AACCGTGTCTTTCCTTGCAGCTCGACTAAGTTTGCAAAACTTGATGCCATTTGTCCTAAGCGGCCTATGTTCAATTATTATATACTCTGTGATCTTACCTTGCGATCAGTGGACGAGATTAGTAAGTCGTCGACTGCGAGGTCCGTCGGCACACATTTGCCCATTTGAATATCAAAGACATCCGATCAGCGAAATGGATTAGGAGGGAAGTGTCCTCGATCCTGGCTCGAAGGTCTTTGTTGCATATTGAGCAAATCACTCAGAGTTGCATTCTCAAGCCGCCATGGAGGTGTGCATGAGTTGTTTGGTAGACTTGTTTGCGCAAACTCATCTGGTTGTGATGAGGTCTGGTGTGATGTAGCCTTTCGAAGGAGATCGCCTATGCTGACTGGGGCCTCCAGTATTATCGCAGAGCGACCGGGTAGGACTGGATGTGTTTGGATCAAGGCGGGCCCGTCGGCAGTCAGCCAATTGGGCGGTATTGTGCTTGCTTGGTGTTGATATGATCGCTGATGTGGTGATGGGTGTGGGGACGACCGTAGATATGTTTGCAATTGTGGACGTGGGCGTGTATGTAGCTGTAAGTCTGATGGTAGATATGATGTCCGTGTATGTAGCTGTAAGTCTGATCGTGGATATTATGGTCGTAAAGTGTTTGGTCGTGCTGACTCGTATGGTCGTGGTGGTTCATAGCTTTCTGGCGATGAAGCGATATCTATGGGAGCTGTCGCATCTCCTCGGGCTGACATAGGATGCTCGGTGCCTCCGCTTGGTCGAGATAAGATTTCCCGTACTTGGAAGCCGATGTCAGGGGCGGCATCGCCGTGTAGTCGTTTGTGTCTGTCTAGTGTCTCATCGGATAGTTGTCTTGGGTGTCTTTGTTGCGATATCTGTTGCAGCTGTCTGTAGTTCCTCTCAAGATCGCCTCCATTTGTCATGCCAGACTGACAATCATGACCAGATTCACCAATATATCCCGAGGCGGTCTGGGTCACACGAGGTCGAGGCACTGTTGTCTCTATAATATGTCTTTTCCGCTTCCTGACCGACGACCAGATAGGGGCGGTAATTTCATCCTCTTCGGATGAATCATCCGCTCCAGATATAGCATTTGCTGGAGGTAGCCTGGAAATTGTAGAGTCTGTGGGTTTCCCAAACTCACGACCCACATATTAGAATGCAAGTTGGTATAGGCGGCTTGGTCTTCGCTACCAAAAGACTGTTTCACCTCATCTACCACAGACGACCGTGGTGTAGTTCACCCAGCAGTTATACTTGGAGACAATCTCGAACCGCTCTATGCATTACTATCACGAGATATCTCATCCTACAACGGAGGTTGCTAGTGCTAAAGAGGGGAAATGAACCGATGAAGTCGGCTCACTGATAACTTCTTTTTGCCAGAGGCGCCAACCATTCGACTTTCCTAAATGGCAAGGAGAAAATCACCAACACTGCCATATTGCAAGGTAAAATTCGTTGAAGAAGCTTTTTTCACACGCATGCCGAGTAGTTTGTGCTCTTACATCCAGCTGTCGCAGTAGGTACAGGCTGGCGATGCGGCACAGCAGAAATCGGTCATGACAATGCAAGGGTCGCACTGGACTCTCTTGTCCTGGAATAAGCTCCGGAACCACGACCATGTATCCTGCTATCGTGACGATTTTTGGACCACCGCCGCAGGAAATTGACCTACAGGAGTCAACGACGGCGTACGACAACAGCGTTGTCATCTCGCTCAGCGTAATGGCAGTGCTAGCGGTAATTGTTCGAATCTGGGCTCGGAGGATCAAGAACGCGCCCCTTGGCCTCGACGATGTGTTCATCTTTGCCGCCCTTCTTCTTGAACTGGTCACCATGGTGCTCACTATCCTGGGCGGAAAGCAAGGTAGCGGGAACCACGTATGGGTAATCAGCACAACGCAGCTGCAGACCATATTCAAGATCCTGTACGGCTATACCTTCATATACGGTACTGCTGCCGCGGCTCTCAAGCTATCTTTCGTTTTCTACTTTGCTCGGATCTTCCATACGGGTAGCATGGGCTGCATCTTCGCCTGCAAAGATTACATCAGCGTCGCACTGTTGGTCGGCGGTGTGCTAGCTTGGGCTTACCCACTTATGATCTGGACCGTCATGCTCGGAGCCTGCAAACCGATCCATTACTTCTGGGACCAGTATACAGATCCGCATGGCGGATCTTGCGTCGACACCACGCTATTCTTCCCGATCGCAGGGATCATCAATCTGCTCATCGACTTCATCATCCTCTGCATTCCGATCCCATGCAACATGAGGTTACAGATCAAACGGCCTGAGAAGTTCATGATCATTTGCATATTCATGCTCGGCGGCTTGTACGTATATATCATTCTTGGTTGAGAAAGCAACTGTACTGAATCGTTAAAGCGTGTGTATAGCCAGTTCGATCCGCATATATTACCTCCAAGTCTTTCGTACGACCATCGATGCGACTTTCTCCATGGGCAGTGTTTTTATCTGGAGTTCGGTAAAGCCTGCGCTAGGAATAGCCTCTTCGTGTCTCATCTCGTTTCGACCTAGATTGAAGAGAATATGGGTTGTGGTCACGAACGGGACTCTTTCGTCCAGTTCGAGACAGACTCGTTCGTACAAGCGGCAGGACGATGCGTGTGATGATCAGCAGCCGGAAGATGAAATCATACTTGTCCCGATCTCCACGAATGCAGGCACGAAGAGGATATCAGCTGGTGCGATGAAAGTTCAGGCGATACATGTGACGAGAGAGTATGATGTACAATCGAGCCGCCATAGTATAGGTAGAAACAAGTAGAACTTGAATCCTATGAATCCATGAGTGAGTATGTGAAGAGGTCAAGCCGAACTGCGACTCTTCAGCGAACAAAAATTATTCGGACAGTATTCCAGTGTCTATGACTAGATATCAGATACCATTAGCAAACTTAGTAGATGTATAGTCCATACGAGGCCTGAGCTCGAGATCTCGAAGTCGGCAAGATTGTTGCACACAAACTTGTGCACGCTCATGAGACCGCCAAGCCCAATTATGCAGCCCAGCTTCGCACACGATCAAGTCTTATCCAATTCTGATGTCCGCAACAAATTTCTAATGATCCGCAAATTTCAAGACTCTTTTGTTTTCTTGCAGCAGCATACATACAAGAAGCAAAAGAACAGCAAAAGATATGTTGATGAGAGTGGGATTTGAACCCACGCCCTTTCGGACCAGCGTATTGGAAGAACCTTAAGCTGGCGCCTTAGACCGCTCGGCCATCTCACCATTGATGGAATGGCAGAGGATTGAACTGTATATGAATTCGCGTCTGTCGTGAATCATCTCAATCAAATAGCCCACGGTAAAACTGACTTAGCGATGGATGAGTGGCGCCTTCGAGATGATTGGCATGTCCAGAGATTCGATGAAATCAAGCTTGCAGCCCAGAAACAGAGGTTGCGCAACAAGTCGATTCCTAGAGGCATCAAGGTGCGAATGTAGACAACGTGTGGCGTGTTGAACTGTCACGATCTCCGGGAGCTGTTCATGTTACTACTGTTCAGCTTCACTGATTTGGTTTAATCAAGAGTTGATGAGGACGATGTGAGAACGATGCAGAATGAGAGTTGTTAGAAACATAGGATATTAGGCAGTATTGTGTCTTACAAGATAGGTAGTTGAGAGTAGAATGTAGGTGTTCGGAAGCAGACGCAGATGGTTGATCAATGATCAGAGGAAGGCACCGCCAAGCTTCGGGCGTCATCGTAACAACGACCCTTTGGGCAACCGCGACGGCAAACATTTGTGGAGAGCATCTCCTTGTCTAGACAATCAACATCAAAATGGCTAACGGGTATGTGCAATGCGTAGAGTCGAAACGATGCGAGGGCGTAGGATGTCTGCTAAATATGTGCGCGCAGGTGGAGTCTTCTGATCGGCCTCCTCTTCATCTTGGCCTTCTGCGCCGTGTCCTGGTTCGCCAGCCCCAAGGGCGAGACGCAAACGTGAGTCGCCATTCCACTCGAGCTTTGTTGCACATCTGTGCTCTGGGGATATACTTGGACGATACCACAGGAAGTTCAAGGAGAAGCCGAGAGCTAACGACATATCGCAGTGTCTGGCGCTCAACCCTCATCCTATCGGCCTGGAGCTGTTACCTCATGTGGGGTAGGTATACAGCACTCTTGTCAACCGACTCTTCAGCTGACTCGATGGACAGCTATTACGTTCCTCGCCCAATGGCACCCTCTGATCAGCCCTCAGCGAGGTGATCTCAGACCCGAGTATGTCCACAGGGACTAGAGACATTGACAAGATTGGAAGAGAAAGATGCGTCCTTGTTCGCACAGAGGAGAAGCTGCGGCAGGACTTGTTTCAACATTCTACATGGCATTGGCGTTGCTTGAGTTTACTGGGAGATACACTGTGATATATCACTCGTAATGGGCTTGCTTTGTGGCAGCCCTTGTTTCTGATATTGCTTTTACTGAGGATCTTGTACATTGTCGCGACACCGCATTCTTGTCATTGCCCGATACCTACATGCAACGCAAGTCGCTTCCATAACTCAAGTAGATCGCCTGTCTCGACCACACCTGCAGCTGCTACACCTGATCCTACGCCAGCAGCTCTCAAGATGCCCTGTGATTTGTCAGCTTCAAGATATAGTCGGCATGAATCACGGAACCCACCCAACCGATCCCTGCTCGAAAAACGGCTCCGACTGCTGCAAGTATAGCAGCCCTGATAACACCACACTCGAGCAATATCTCCAAAGCCGCAACATTGTTGATGATGACGGCCCAGGAGACGGCGCTCGCACTACTCGGCAAATCATACTTCCAAATCAACAGCAACAACGGAAAGAGCTTTGTAAAGCTAGATACCAGAAGTGCTGTGCTTATGACAGCAGGATGCGGATAGTGGGGAATAAGATAGGATAGAGGCCGCGGCAGGCGCAGAGACAAGAGTGTGCGAATGGGAAGGTGGAACGATATCGTCTCCAAGGCACAAAGTACAAGGAAGAAGACGTATTGCAGAATGATAGGCTGCTCGTTAAGGAAATTGGACGTTGGCGACAGACCCAATGTGCTACCCGTCGCATTGCTGGTCGGATGGGCGAAAGGATCCAGAGGGGTTGGCATTGATACAGTATCCGAGGCTGAAGGCGAAGGCATGGCTTCTTCGACGCGAGCCCATGTGAGGTAGACGTCGAATAGCAGCAGTAGGACACCGAGACGTATTATAGACGGCTATGAAAGTAAGTTTATGAGCTGGAGATGTTCGTTGCTGAGACACACGTGGAAGCGGCCACCTTCCCGACCTAGACGGTTGAACAGAAGATGGCGATAGACCTGCATGGGTAGATCAGCACATGTGCGTAGAGGCAGTGTTTCGTGACAAAGCGGGATATGATTGGAAAAAATGTTTCGTGAACAAAGCAGAGACAAGAACTTGAGAGAATGGAGGAAGTTGACTACTGAGTAAACAGAGATTTACAAAGACCTACCTGAGGTTTGATCAGGACCAGATCAATGAACAGAACAACAAAATCATGTTCGACATATTTGTCTGCGAAACGCTTGCATCGAGGACACTGGGTCAAGCGAACACCTTTGCCCAGCGTACGGTCATCTGCCTTGCTGTATGTGGTGTACAGACTGCTAACAGGGTACCGACATTCGATACATATGGGCATTGTTTCTGAGAAGCTTGAATGCGGAGTTGGTATCAAGACGCGGGATGGTGTTGCAGGAGTGACAGCATCGAGCGATACGTCCGTGCACTTTCGGCGCGTCTGCGTCGCCAAAGCTTCTCGCATTTCATCGTGCTTGTCCAAACTTGGATTCCTCTACAGAGCAGCTTCTCTGCATGCCCATCTCCTAAAACTCGACAATGGCCTTGGCAGCATCACAAGCGACGCCGCAGCGTCCTCTGCCAGGTGCCTTCTTCAACACCCCGGCGCCTGGTAGACCCGGCAGTTCAGGACAGATGCCGCAACCTCCATCCTTTCGTTCAAACTCGGCCGCGACCTTGGCTGGATACCGCGCTGGCCAGGTAGCTTCGCGCGATGCCCCCACCCAGAGACCCGCCACGGCCGCTCAAGATAGTCTCGCACCCATCGAACGCGCCGCGCGCACCGTCAACGAAGCCCTCCAGAGCGAGGCCCAATACCCAGCCCTTGACAATTACGTCGGCCAGGGCATCTCCAATGACTACGACACCTCGTTCAATACCGCATGGCAACCCTTCCAGCGCAGCCGCAGCTATGACATCCCCGAGCAGATCTTTGAACAGGCAAACATGGCCCAGGTCTCGACACACTTGGGCCTCTTCGCCGAGCTCAACCACGCCTACATTGTCATTGACTCGTCGCTCTATCTCTGGGACTACACACATCCAAACCCTGAACTCATCGGTTTCGAGGACCAGACCAACGCTATCACAGCCGTCAAGCTGGTCAAGCCGCGCAAGGGCGTCTTTATCGATTCCATCACACACTTGCTGGTTGTCGCGACACATGCAGAAGTCCTCCTTATCGGTCTGGCAGCTGCACGCTCTCCTCACGGTGGCTGGGCTGTCCAACTTTACTCGACTAACATGAAGGTGCCGGTCAAGGGCACTTCTATCAGCTACATCGAGTCCTCCGACAAGACTGGACGCATCTTCTTCGGTGGAAACCAGGCCATCGATGTCTGGGAGCTCACCTACCAGCAAGAGGAACGTTGGTTCGCCAGTCGCTGCTCAAAGATTAACCACACAAACTCGGGCATCACATCGGCCTTCCAGTTGTTGCCTTTCGGTGGCCGCTCGGACCAAGAGCACATCAAACAGATGGTTGTTGATGATTCGCGCGACCTGCTCTACACCCTCTCCTCATCTTCGACCATCCGCGTCTATCACATGAAGCCAAATGGCGTACTCGATCTAGCCTTGTCGCGTCCTTTCACCAGCCTGCTCGCTCAGATTGCACACATGGTTCCCAGCTCCGACCTTCTTTCTCGCAGCACCTCGCTCGTCTCCATCAGCCCAATCTCTGCTCAAGAAACGAATAGACTCAGTCTGCAGGCTCTTACTAGCACTGGCTGTCGTATCTTCCTGAGCGCCACCTCGGGCGCCTTCTATGGCAGCTCCACCTCATCTGCTCCTACCAGCATGCAGGTCCACCACATCAAGTTTCCTCCCAAAGATGGCGAGTCCGCCGCCCCTCAACCTCAACAACCTCAGTCTACCTCTTCCTCTTTGGGACCTTACTCTAGCAATCCCTCAACTTTGGACACCAACACTCGGTTCCTTGCTAACACAAAGGCCGGCGTTAGGTATGCCCCTGGTTATTCATGCTGGGTCATTCCGAACCCTCAAGATCCTCACCGCGACTCCATCTTCCTTACTGCTCCTGATTCCGGTCGTATCAAGATGCCTCGCGATGCCAGCCACGCTACTCTTTTCCCAGAAATTGGCATGTTCCTGGAGCTTCCTTACCCGTCACAAGGCATTGGTCTGGTTAGCCCTTCGTTCGCTGCAGCCTCTACTCCTCTAGGCTTCGCGAATGAACTCGCCGTTCAATTCGATCAATCTCCTACCGAAATCGCTGTCCTGACCAGTACTGGCGTACAGATTATGCGTCGTCGCAGGCTGGTCGACATCTTCGCTTCTCTCGCTCGCTATGGAGGCGATGTGGAAGGTCGCGATGGTCAAGTGAAAAAGTTCATCCGCAACTATGGCCGTACCGAGACTGCTGCCACCGCTCTTGCTGTCGCTTGTGGCGAAGCTTCCGACGGCAATGCTGATGCTCGCATCACCAACATCACAGAACCGGACATTGTCGACTTTGCGAGGGAAGCTTTCATCACTCAAGGAGGCAAGCCTATGCTCAACGAGAACTCTGTCTTGGACAACAACACCCCTGCAATCGATAATGTCCGCCCGTCTCCTAGGCATGATGGTATGGCACTATACATCACCCGATTGGTTCGATCCATCTGGAGAGCACCGGTTCTGACACAAAAAGTCTCCCCTGTCGGTGGACTCGTCGTTACATCTACCGTCGGACTCGTCAAGTTGCAAAACATCCAACGTGCGTTGAATTCGCTACAAGAGTTCTTGAACAAGAACAAGAGCTCTATCGAGGGCTTGTCTGGCCCCGAATCCCTGGGACGCGTGGCTAACAAACAAGATGAGCTCTCTCTGCAAGGCGAGCATCGCGCGATGAATGCTTTGATCCAGCTTATCTCGAGCATCATAGAGGGTATTGCCTTTGTTCTGGTTTTGTTTGACGAGAAGGTTGATGAGATCATCTTGTCACTCCCTGATACATCTCGCGAGCGTGCTAAGAACCTCACCTATGAAGGTCTCTTCTGCTCACCCGATGGCAGAAATTTGGCAAAGGAACTTGTCAAGGCCATTGTCAATCGCAATATCGCCAACGGTTCAAACGTCGACACAGTGGCCGAAGCTCTGAGGAGACGTTGCGGCAGCTTCTGCAGCGCTGACGATGTTGTCATCTTCAAGGCCCAAGAGCAGGTGAAGAGAGCATCCGAAGCTGGCCCCTCATCTGAGGCAAGTCGCAGACTTCTCAACGAGAGTTTGCGACTGTTCCAAAAGGTGGCCGGTGCTCTTTCCATGGAGCATCTCGAATGGGCCGTCTCACAATACATCCCAATGTCCTTTTACGCTGGCGCCATTCAGCTCGCATTGACCGTCGCACATGAGTCTGATCGCGCAAACCGTGCTCTTTCTTGGCTAAGGGACGATTGCCCTGAAGACGTACGTTTGCATTCATCTTCTCGTGAGACAGTCACTGACATTTTACAGGACCCTCGTCAGAAAGCCTTCGCAGGTAGAAAACAATGTTATGATCTGATTCACCGTGTCATCGTATCCGTCGAGCAGGCCTTTGAAGCACAGCCTGAGGGCGCCTTCTCGGTGACTGCCAAGAGACAATCAGAGGCTTACGAAATCATCAACAACTCTGAAGACGAAGTCTTCCAAAACAATCTTTATGACTGGTACATGGGTCAAGGGTGGAATGACAGACTTCTGGAGATCAGCTCGCCATACGTCGTCAGCTATCTCCGCAGACGCATGGACAAGAACCCCGATCATGCAGATCTACTTTGGCGTTACTACGCACACCACAACAATTTCCTTGAAGCCGCTTCAGTACAGTTGCTGCTTGCCAAGAGTGGCTTTGACCTTAGCCTCGAACAACGCATCGGTTACCTCAGTCGCGCAAGAACTAACGCCTCGATCCGCACTGTCTCGTTGCTCGATGCTGCACAAGGTAGACAACAGCTTCTTCGCGAGATCACTGACCTTTTGGAAGTCGGTAACATCCAGGACGATATCCTGCAACGCATGAAGTCAGACCCTCGTCTGACAGATCAACGTCGGCCTCAGATATTGAAGGCACTCGATGGTCAAATTCTAGAAGTCGCCGAGCTGTTCAATCAGTATGCAGACCAAGCAGGCTACTACGACATTTGTATTCTGATCTACCACTGCGCCGACCACCGCAACCCAGCAGATATTCAATCAACATGGAACCTGCTCATTGAGCAAGTGCATCAGGAAGCCGAAAGCGATGGCCAGATGAAACCTTTCGAAGCAGTTGCCCTCAAGGTCCGCTCATTAGGCCAACGCCTGCACGCCGCAGAAGCCACCTTCCCTATCCCTATCCTGCTACCCATGCTTCTTAAATACGCTCTTGAGTACCAGAACAACGCCGTCTCACCTATGTGGGTCATTGATACCTTCCTCGAGCTCGACATTCGTCCTTCGGCTTTGGTGCCTGTGGTTGAGCAGATGTACTACACCAACGAGCAACCCTTTGTTGGCAAACATCGTCGCGTACTAGCCGCCGACCTGGTCTACCTCGTTCAGGCCTGGCTGCGCGAGAGCGAGCGCCACGGTGACAGCGTTCTCTTCGGCAGCGACGAAAGCGCCGCTGGTATCGACGAGCTGCTCACCAATCTTGCTGGAAGTCAGGATCTCGACACCGAGGGCCAGACAGCAGTGGAGACCTTGAGAACTAGAATCGTTCAGGCTATGCGTTGAAGAATCGGGGAAAGAAATGGCTGTTTTGTTTTTCTCTCGTGTCGATCAGGATAGGTGTGCAAGGGTTTCTGGGGTTCTTCTATAACGTGGCGTTGTTTTCTTGTTTCAATCATGTTGATTCGTCCTTTCCTCTGGCCCTTTTGAACAAAAAAGTAGGCACGAGAGGCTCTTATGTACAATCCCCATAAAAAAACACCATCTATGTCGAAATTGTGCTCCTTGTACCGATTACAGGCTGCTCCTTCCCATTTTTCCCATCGTTCGTAGACGGTGTTTGACCGCACTTTCCAGTTGCTCATCTGATTGCGGCTTTGTGTGTCTTGGTGATTTTTTTGGTCGATTGGGCCTTCCTAATACAAACCGCGTGGTTGCTCATTCCCGTGTCTTGATGATTGTGTGCTCGATCAACTCCTTCCCTCGTTTCGGAGAATTGTTTCCTGTACTTCGATGGTTGCTATGAAGCAGTCAATGACAGCCTCCGTGTCAACTGTATTGCACTTGTCGAGCCACACCCGGGTGAGGGCAGAGATATATATTCGCGATAGTGTTGCTGCTGCTTGTGTTCGCCGTCATGCTGGTAGACAGGATGACCCTGACCCCCCCTGACTAACATGCTCTCATCTCAGAAACCACTGCTCTATATGTTTGTAAAACCTGGGTTGGGCATCGAAGCAAGTACGCACGAGTGACGGTAGAGGCATGTGGGAATCTTGGTTTCTGACAAGAAAAACACATAGCCCAAGCCAATTCTCATAATTTCCAAAAGCGTGGAAGAGCGATCAAGTGCATCGCTTCTGCCAGATTTGATTGCTGGCATGTGAGTGTATGCGTTTCAAGATCAGGCGGCATCGATGGGAAATGAAGAGTCGTGTGATCAAGTGTAACACAGAAGCGATGAAACCTGAAACCCAAGGCATGCATCCCCCTTCAATCGGTATGAAACCAAGACAGAGGGATCTAGAAGCTGAAACGCGTGATAAGAAAGGGGTACAAATTTCTCGAACCATCAAGGTATGCATGGCAAGAAAGAAGCAGATGTGTTTGTAAATGTGAGTTTTTGAAATTTTGAATGCTGGCTCTCAGCGGATTGGGGTATAGCGAGCTCATTGGACAAAGGTCCAAGTTTTTCAGACGTGGTCGAACCAAAAAGGAGCTAGATGCCTTTTTCGCTCCAACACGAATCAAGTATAAAGAATAGAGAAAATACATTATACACAGCCAGTGAGCGACATGAAAGGAAGCAGACCAGAGAGTTGCAATAAAGATGAAGTGAATGAAGATAGAAAGAATCGAGACCAGAAGAGGCAGGATAGTTCGGTTCGTGGCCTTATAAGGCTGGTGGTAAGAAGATATAAGAAGTGAAGTGGTTTTTGCCTCGGACCCTCTTCAGAGGGGAGGATGCGGTCGATGATTGCCCAGAACGCCTCGCTGGAAAGTAAAAAGGTTGACGGATTGATTGGGAGAGAAGAGGTCCCTAAAGTCGTGGTCGTAGATTGTGTGTAATCGTGGATAGATCGTGTAGAAGTCGAATGTAGTCAAAAAAAATCGTTTCCAGATGATCATGACCAGACTTGGTTGGGGGCTCTCTCGCCATTGTCAATCACGTAAGAGGGCTTGAAGTGAGGGTCGTGATGGACAGTTGGCTTCCAGGGAACATGTGTGGCTCTGGGACGGTCGATGGTGCCAGAACCTTGCATGTCGGCGCTGCAGAGTCCAGCCAGGCCAAAGCAGTCTGCGCCGCAGAAAGCATCTGTGACACCGCTGTAAGAGTGGTTAGTCGATAATCATAGACGTCAACATTGTAACAAGAGCTTACCAGAATCCGTATGTGTTGCAGCAGTCGCCAAAGCGAGAGCCAATGCAAGTGTACTTGGTGTTTCCACCGCAAGTACCATCAGGAGAGACGAGCGTCCATGGGTTGCCTTCCACTCCATCAACAGCGGCGACAACTGCTTGAGGTACGACTTCCTTGGGAAGGGCAATCTCCTTGGGGAGAGCAACAGCCATAGCGGCAGAAGCGGCAACAGCCACAGTAAACAGAGCACGAGAGAGCATCTTTAGTTATGATGGTAGTCGAGTCGAGATTGTATGCAGGCGGATAACGGAAGACCTCGGTGATGGGAAGATCGATTTCTTGGAAGGATGCAGGGAGAAGGATCCTATGGCAAATATGTAGAAAGTCCAAGTACTTTGCAAAGGGGGTTTGTGCTCTTCAAAACGTTTTGCTTTGATAAAGGGTGTTTGCTGAGCGAGTTTTGGTTCTTTGACGGCCAACCCAGATCAGTGATGGTAAACAAATTGCCCAGTTGTGACCGAAATTAACGACCGTTAGATAGCAAAAACAATGCCGTTCGCCGAATCCAGTATTCCAGATGTTGATAATGTTTCAGCCAAGCAGCGAATGACGATGAGAGAAGAAGGCCGTTGCTGTCACGAGGCTCTTATAGGGTCCAGGAATAGTCCAATTGATCCAAGAAACACGAGATTTCTCAAGTATCCAAGTACCAAGAGCGAGGTTGCGGTATGGATTTGCTCTGTGCCTAACGAAAAGTCCGGGGAACGCACGTTATGTGATTTTTTGCTTTCAACGTCGATGCAGGCCGAGATGATGGAATGTAACGAAGGGAGGTTTCTTTCGTGCCAGGCGCGAAAAGGGAAGCCCGCCTGTTTAAGTAACGCAGGAGGAAATTGCCATCAACCTCTCTCTGCCTCTACTTTGTCACCACTCTTTCCACTTTTTGTCAGGCGCGATGGCCGAGCGGCGGGGGATTTCGCGAATATGGGCCTAGCCAAGCCGCTTCGGCTGAAGGTTCGACTCGTACAGAAGGGAACGTGGGAATCAAAAATGGGTTGGTGGATACGAAGGTCACCTCGTCATTGGTCGGCACCGCCAGGCTTAAACAGTACATCCTGTAGCCAACCACACAAGAAGAAAATCGCGAGACCGCCGAGCATAGTGGAAATAAAGATTGGCAGACGCCAATCGGGCCTCTTTGCTGACAGCAATATCTGTCAGAGTTTAGAGCCTTCCCTCCCCAGATCTTTTTGCAGGGGTGTGTGGAAATGAGCTCGAGCGGCACATCAATTGAAGCCTCGATCAAGCTTTTAATGAAGCAAAGGACCCGACAACAACAATCGATAAACCTGGTGAACATCTTTTCAAACGCGGAGTGTATGGAAGCCATTTTTTGAGTTTGATTCCATTACTTTTGGCGGCAGCATCGGCAGCATCTCTTTTTAGACAGAGGGTTTTCTCTTACCGCAAAAGAAGATCTGCTGGCGGGCCGAGGCGCACACCAAAAGCAGGTGCGCTACTTACAGAGCACGTTCCACTCGTCACGAGGGTACATACCAAGGATCCCTCTCGTGAATCCTTTACCGAGGCCGTTCTGCCATAGAAACCACAATCGCTCTTTCTTATCGCAACACGTGCGTGGGAAACAGACGAGCTGAGACAGAACGAACGGTAACCGCATGTTTCGAAAATTTATCACGTCGAGACCTTTGCAAAATTTTGAAACTTGCTAGCAGTCCAGCAAAATGCGTGCTATCCGTCGCGTGTGGACGGTTAAGTGTCGAGGCTATCAATAGTCGACCCACTGAGGCTTGTTTTTTTGGTGGCCATAAACCAGCTGATTCGAACACGGCGGTGGGAAAAAGAATGGATACTTTTCCTGGAGGGAGACTTGGTATGGCCGTCCCATACATAGAATAGACTCTGCACGGCTTCAGCTAATTCTCCGATCTCGTCAGCTACACGACACCTTCGGTCGTAGCCATGTATAGAAGCCGCGAGATCCGATCACAGCGATACGGACACGATGACATGCAGGATACCAAGATTTAGTGATGATGAGAGTTCATGATGACATTTCGGGAATCAACGCTAGAATACTACAATACTTTGATCACGACATCCATTATAGCTTGCTCTTTGACTGGGCATTACGCAATTCGGCGCCGGCTCCAGAAATGCAAAGCTTGCCGGTTTCCTTGACCTTGGTCTGGAATACGACGACATTGCCCTCCTTCCACATCTCGGTGATGAGAGTCTGTCCTGGCAAGACGACGCCAGCGAATCTGACCTTGATGTTCTTGAACTCACCATATGTCTGCAAAACAGCCTTGCCAGCAAAGCCGAAGAAGCAGAGACCGTGAAGGATGGGAGTCTTGAAACCACCAACCTTGGAGAATTCGGGATCAATGTGCAGAGGGTTGCGGTCGCCAGACAGACGGTAGATGGCTGCCTGGTCCTCGCTGGTCTTCTCCTCTACAACAGCATCGGGCTTGCGCTCAGGAGCCTTGTAGATGCGGGTTGCAGCGCCTCTGTCGGTGCCCTTCTTAGGACCACCGAAGCCACCTGAACCACGGATGAAGACAGTCGACTCGTTGTAGAACAATTCCTTGCCAGTGTTCTTGTCCTTGGTGGTAGAACCATATGTTACAACACCAGCGTTACCCTTGTCCACAACCTCGACGAGCTTGGGGTATGCTGCCAAAGTAGCCTCAGTAGGGATGGGGAAGGTCTTGATCTCGAGGAACTGCTCTCCATGAAGGAGCATGTTAGGTGAGAAGTTGGGAACGATCGAATCGAAGGAGAAGCCAGTGTCGGCATTGAAGGGAGGAATAACACCAAAGGTTGGGATGACCTGGAAGTTGTCATCGCCCTCGTAGACGAAAGGCAGGTCGGTGCGCTTGGCACCGAGACCGAGGTTGTAAAGGATGACATCTCTCTCGTCGTACTTGAACTCAGTAGCTTGAGGAGTGGCCTTCTTTGCCTTCTCGATGTTGGCAAGGTACTCGCCGCCCTTGCCACCCTCTTTCGAAGGCTTGGCTCCAGAGCTCTTGTTTTGCATGTTGGCCATGATAGACTTCAGGCCGTCGTTACCATCGGCGGGGTGGTCCGCGCGACCGTCGCTGAAGTCAATGATTCTCTTCCACTGGCCGAGGACGTGCTCGGGAGTGAGCTTGACATCAACAGGGAAGCCGTGTCCACCGGTGCGCTGCCAGCGAGTCTGAGCAGCCCAACCAGATCCGACCTCGTATAGACCACCAGTTCCAGGCTGGGGCACGAGATCAGAGCTGAGCAGAACTACAAGAGGAGCGACGTAGTCGGGCTTGAAGGCCTGAACCATCTCCTCAGGCATGATAGTACGGGTCATGTTTGTACCAGCGTTAGGTGCAATAGTGTTGACCAAGATGTTGTACTTCTGACCCTCTCTCGCAAGGGCTCTGGAGAAACCGAGAATACCGCACTTGGCGGCAGCGTAGTTGGCTTGTCCAAAGTTGCCGTAGATACCACTGGTGCTAGTGGTATTGACGACTCTGCCGTACTTTTGCTTCAGGAAGTAAGGCCAGGCAGCCTTGGTGACCTTGTAGGTTCCTCTCAGGTGTACATCAAGGACTTGGTCGAACTGCTTGTCGTCCATGTTAGAGAAAGCCTTGTCGCGGAGGATGCCTGCGTTGTTGATGATGATATCGATGCGGCCATAAGCGTCGATAGCTCCCTTGACGACTGCGTCACCATCCTCTGCAGAGGCCTTGACACCAACGGCTTCACCTCCGAGCTTCTGAATCTCTTGAACAACGTCGTCGGGGTTCATCAGATCGTTGACAACAACCTTTGCACCGTACTTGGCGAACTGCAAGCAGTAGATGCGACCGAGACCAGCACCACCACCAGTGACCAGAGCGACCTTGCCCTTAAAGTCAGGGTTCTTTGAGGGAGGGTTGGCCGGCAGCTTCTGGGCCTCCTCGAGCAGCTCCATGAAGTTTGCGACTCCAGTAGGATAGCTGGGCTCGCTAAAGTCGTTGACACCGTCCCACTTGCTGAGCAGTGCACCGGGGGTGTAGCTGTCATCTGCACGAAGCAGAGCACCCTTGGCTCTCTCCCAGCGGAGCTTTGCAATGTGACCACCACCACACTCGAAAATGCTTCCAGTCTCTTCTGTGTTTGAAGGGTGTACAAGTACTGCAACCAGGGGGACGACCCAGTCGGGCTTGAGGTTCTCGAGGACATCTGGCGGCATAACGGTTTGTGTCATTCTGGAGGCGGCGATAGGGGCGATGACGTTGGCGAGGATGTTGTACTTGAGACCCTCCTTTGCCAGAGTCTCGGTGAAACCGACTTGAGCGAGTTTGGCAGCTGATGCGTGTTAGCACCATGATCCAAGCATATCCAGTACACAGATTGACTTACCAGAGTAGTTTGTCTGTCCGAAGCTACCGAACAGACCAGCCGCGGATGCCGTGTTGATGACTCTGCCGTACTTTTGCTTTCTGAAATGAGGCCATGCTGCTCTGGCACACTTGTATGCACCTCTGACGTGGACCTTCATAATCAAGTCCCAATCATCGTCCTTCATGTTCTTGAAACTGATGTCCCTTAGGATACCGGCGTTGTTGATCAGGACATCGATTCTGCCAAAGGCCTTGATCGCTGTGTCGATGATCTTGTCACCATCCTCTACTGAATCGTAGTTGGCAACAGCCTTGCCGCCAGCTGCCTTGATCTCCTCCACCACTACATCTGCAGCCTATGACGAACTGTTAGCACACCACTCGACAGCATTCTCTCAAGCTTGACCCACCTTTGAGGACGCGCCCTCGCCCTTGAAGGAACCGCCGAGATCATTGACTACGACGTTGGCACCGCGAGACGCAAAGAAGATGGCGTATGCCTTGCCGAGGCCACCACCAGCTCCAGTGACAACGACAGTCTGGCCGTCGAAGCGGAGCGCCTTTGACGAGGCTTCTGTATTTTGAGCCATATTGGTTAAGATTATGTGAATGGGGTATCCCAAAAGATGTAGGGAGTAGAAAAAGAAACGGATCGAGGAACAGTTGAGTCTACATAAAGGTGTCGAGTGACAGCAGCCATCATCTCCAGCTTTCGGCGCTCACTCACATGCCTCGGCCCACGGTTGTCGGATAGCTGGGTTAGCGAACGATTACCGCTCGTCGCACTAGCTTGAAACGGCCCAAGAGCGCTTCTCGCATACTCCTTTTGGCTGTGCTCCTCGCCGAGGTCTCGAGCCTCGAGTGAAAGCACCCTAAAGTCTCGTTCGTTGGTGTTTGCTTTGTTTCTCTCCTTTCACATGCTAACTGCCGAAAAAGTGCGGGGACGATGGAATCGTCTGGAGAGAGGTGATCAAGGGACTTGCGATCGACCACAATCATGTGAGAGAGCTTGCACGTGAATAAATATATTTGAAGCATGAAACGACATACCATCTCGGTGTTGAAATAGTCCACAACATTGTCTTAGGTATGTAGTGATCATGGGATATCAGGAAGTGCGAAACTCCTTCGTCACTGCCAAGACGTCATCACGGTGGAGTGTTTGTCCGTCATGGAGATGTTATCTTCCTCCAGCCCTCGACAACCATCGATTTGATCGAACAGACCTCGACAATCACACGACAAGATGGCAGTCAAGATAGTTGACGACAAGTCCGAGCACTGTATTCCTTTCATCCTTGATAAGATCAAGGCACACTGCGAGTACCACAAGAAAGACAAGGATACAGATGCCCCGCCATTCTTCCTCGGACTGAACGGCATCCAAGGCGCTGGAAAGACTACGCTGGTATGGCTTGACATCTCAATTCCCATCAAATCTCACAGCGAATAAGGGAGAAGATATCAATTGTCTCAGTGACATGATAACAAATGCTCACTTGTACCGACACCCGTCTGACCGCATTCTGCAATAGGTCTCAACTCTCTACAAGACTCTCACGTCAGACCCTCACAACTTGCCCACAGTAGTTCTCTCAATCGATGACTTGTATCTTCCACACTCAGCCCAAAAGTCTCTCGCAGAATCTCAACCTGAAAATCCATTGATCCAACACCGCGGCCAACCCTCAACTCACGATATCCCACTCGGCAAGGATATCTTCTCTCAACTTTATGCTCGCAAATCAAACATTCGCATTCCCTGCTATGAAAAGTCTCTTCATGATGGTCAGGGTGATCGCACAGATTCGGAGACCTGGGACGTGGTAAACAAGGATGGTGAATCGCCAGTCGAGGTCGTGATATTCGAGGGCTGGTGTGTGGGTTTCAGGAGCTTGAGTGATGAGGAACTGGTGGAGAAGTGGGAGGGTGCGAAGGCGGCGAGGATCTTTGATGCCGAGGCGTATCATGGACGCCTTGCTTCGTTGGACTTGGAGCATGTGTCGTTCGTCAATGATGCACTGAGGCAGTATGATGCTTTGACAGAGTAGGTGTTGAATTTTCAAGTCTCTGAGGACTTCGCTGACGTATGCCAGCTACTTTGGCGCTCTTGTTCACATCGATGCAGTGGACACGCTTTTCGTCTATGAGTGGCGCCTCGAGCAAGAGCGTGCTCTGCGAAAGGACAAGGGCACGGGCATGAAAGACAAGCAGGTCATAGAATTTGTCAACGGCTGTGAGTGGCCTCTGTGCTGGTGCTTCCCGGTGCTCTTCACTGACTTCGTTCAAACAGATTATCCAGCCTACGAACTTTATACCGATGTGCTTCGCAAAGGAATCTTCAAGGAGACTGGCAAACAGTTGCGACTTGTCGTCAACAAGCAGCGTAAAGTCGAGGAAGTGGAGATACAATAGGCATTTCGTTGCACATATGGTATATAACAGACCAAACATGATCGATCGAATTTCTCTGCGTTATGCCAAAACAGCTTCTTCAAGACTTTTCTGCAGCGCTGCAGGGACCAGATTACGGCCAATAAAGACAATCTTGCCAGTATCGTTATTCGATGCGCCGACATCAGAAGCATCAATAAACTCAAAGACTTCACGCACACCCTGCAGAAGCTTGACGCCGCCTTCTTGCATTACAAGACGTCCTTTGGTACGATGAATCTCGGGTCTCGAGCCCGCTGACTCTACCGAAACTCCCTCAGCTTCGGGATGTGAGATGAAGAAGCGTGTCCAGAGGATGTTTCGCAAGAACGTGTCCAATTTGTTCAGCTGCGCAGAGGAAAGAGGCGGTAGCGTCAAGGTAGTAGTTGAGATTGCAGGATCCAAATGACTGTGACCTTTGCTGGCAAAGTCGATACTGTCAGCGTCCACTTTGTCGTAAGCGTGCAAGTCGAGTAGTACGCCTTCTAGTGCCGGGACCTTGCTGTGCTCTGTGACGTGGATCTTTGCCAAAGCGTTGATGGACGAGATCCTCGCCTTGACTTGCTTAAGCTCGGTTTCTGACACCAAGTCTGCTTTGTTGATTACTATCACATCTGCATGGGAGATCTGTAGATGTGCAGTGCTGAGATGAGGGCCGTGAGCATGTTCAGTAGAATCCGTTTGCGTCTCTGATGGCGTGGGCTCAGACAAGCAGCGAATGATGTTTTTCGCATCTACTAGAGTAACAATGCCGTCAAGGTAGATTGTGCTGCCGAGACCATCGTCGACCCAGAAGAGAGGGGCAAGGTTTCCGGGGTCTGCCAGACCAGTCGTTTCTAGTAGGATGTAGTCGAAAGCTCCACGCTTCTCCATGAGCGATTCAATAGCACTGACACCGGTGTCTTTGACAGAACAGCATAGGCAGCCGTTGGCGAGTTCAAGCCATTCTTCGACTTGTTGACCCTCTTGACTGACAGTCAGACTTTTTTCAATGTCTGCAGAGTCTCCAAATTCTGTTTACATGTATGTTGTCAGAAGTTTGATCTATGAACAGTGTGGAAGATATCGTTCATTACCGTTTAGAATGACTGCAATCTTCTTTCCATGACGTTCATTCAGGATATAGTTCATCAAAGTTGTTTTGCCAGCACCCAGGTATCCTAGGACCAGTCAGCTGAGCGTTCCAAGTAAACCTCGCTCGAAGAAAGCTCAATAGCAGGATATAGCCACGGACCAGTAATTATAGTGATGGGAACCCTGGTCAAACTCTTGTCGTCGACATCATTTGACAGGCCATCGACATCTTCCGATTGACCGGCAGTAACCAACATAGGCGCTTCATCGTCGTCGAAGTCCATATCAGGGTTCATGATTACTTAAGTAGTTTTGGTAGAAAAACAATCGAATTCCGTAAATGTTATAGAGATGACGTGGGGGCTCGGGTCGGATGCTGCCGAGTTGGGAGTCGCGGAGAAGTCGTGTTGGAGCATCTGTGTACAAAGACAAAGCTATTATCTAGATCATATGGTGACCTTTCCAAGTGCTGGAAGACGGGTATCCTTTTTCTTTTGAGTATCTTTCCGCGACTGGACTGATAGCCGCGATGGCATCTCCCTCGAGCTCACCCAGGCTTCCTAGCCCGCCGCCCATCGCCGAAGACCAAATCTCACCCAGCGCCGGCCTCGATAGCGAAGACAAAATGTTAGGAGCTTCACACAAGGCCGATGTCGATGCCTCGAGGAGGATCAGGCCAGGCACCAGAGCTGAAGACATGCAAGAGGGGCCTCCCCTGGTCGAGCTCCAACAAGTGTGTTTGCTCAGCTGTATTCGCTGTAAACAAAAGCTGACAGGCGCCTCTTCTAGATCGACTCAGCCTTCCAATTGACCGAACACCTCAAAGCGCTGCACAACGAACACACGCAATCATGCCGCATCGCCATGGACAAAGCCACAGCACAATCGCTGGCCCAACCACCGCCAGGAGTCGACCGTGGCATCTGGTTGTACGAGCTGTGTCGCTTCCTCACACAAAAGGCAAACATGATGGCCACTGGCCTCTTCGCCGACGATCCTCCTTGCTCGGCCACCACCTGTCCCGAGATGCGCGCAAGCGAATGGCAGTACCTCTGCGCCGCACACGAACCCCCCAAGTCATGTTGCGCCATTGACTACTGCTGCCATACCCTCGACTGGTGTGCTACTGCTTTGACCTCGACTAAGCTCTTCCCGAGCAGACTTGGCTTGGGCACCGAGACGCTATCCGCTCAGGCGCAAATCAGAAAGATGACCGAAGTGTTTCGTCGCGTTTACCGCATCTTTGCACACGCTTGGTTTTCCCACAGAGCCGTCTTCTGGAACATCGAGTCCAAGACAGGTCTGTATCTCCTGTTCAAGACTGTTTGCGACGAATACCGCCTGATCCCCGAGGACAACTACACAATCCCACCAGAGGCAGAAGGCATTGAAACCACCCCTATCGCTACTCGTTCTGCTCCTACAATCCTACAGAGAGATGCCCCGGATGCAGAGTCCGCCGGAAACGCCACACTTGCTACTGGTAACACCACAAAAAGGCACAGACATAACATGAGCCACGATCGATCTGTATCCGTCTCGACTGTCATTCACGAGGAGGTCGAAGAGGACGAAGACAGCGAGCACCCGACTGGACATGCTCCTCCCATGCTCACACGGATCGAGACTGCCCGACACGACGAAGAACCTTCCACCCAGCAAGGCCAGGAACAAGAGGAGGAGCAAGAACAAACCATACCTGCTGGAGATCCTCCACCATATACCGAAGACTCGGAGGTCGAGCAAGCCGAACAATTTAGCCCCGACAGAGCAGCGCCTTCTGCTGACAATCATACCGATGCCGGAGCTTCGTCATCAGAAGCCATGGCAGAGACCGGGACAGAAGAAGGCGAAACAACAAATGAATATCCATTGACTGACCCTCCTTCGTACGCCGAGATAGCTTCAGCTGCTGATGCCACCGAAGCACCATCGATGAATACTGCTGCCACTGATGCTACCCTGGACGAGGTCAACACCGCAGAAGTACCCTCGACAGCAGCCGATGAACAAGACTCAAAGGAGACACCTGAGGAGACATCAACGACAGTTTCAGAGGCGGAGGTAAAGACCACGCACACCGAGCCTGAAGTTGAGCCGGAGGACGGCAAGGCACAGGACGAGACAGCCCCGAAGCCTGCGGAAGTTGCGAAGGCTGAAGCAGCGGATGCAGAAGAGGCAACCAAGACTGTTGCCGATTGACGAAAAGTCCCTTACGATGATGTATTACCCTTTAACTACATTCAAAATAGATACCCTTTGTAGCAAGCATCTGCCAATTGCTGCTTCTGTTGATGATGCACTTCCTTTGGCAGGGTCGGAATACATGAGAGGGTATAGCCATGACTTCTATGAGTATGAGGGCATAAAAGACATGCAATGCAAGCGGTCAGCGAGTAGGAATATCGAGAAGGTCTTGTAGATCCATGACGCACAGACCACTATATTTCGATCCTCCAAATGCCACCTTCCTATCTCGTTCTCCGCCGTCAAGGACTCAGAGTACAAGTTTGCCGAAGATAGAGAGGGAGCTCGTGCCTTCGGGAACAACATTCAATCTAATTGACCCGAGTGGACTCTTCATTATTCTCTCGCGTGCACAATCTCGTCAATCCTTCCCACTCATCAGCTCAACGTTGCATTCGTAAGCCTGTGACTGCCTTGACAGCCGTGCGCGGCTCAGATTCCAGTACACATATAAATTGTCGCAGTACTCCTGCATCATTGGACACGATAACATCCTGCATGATTGTCGAACATTGACTCTGTCAACATCCATCCATAGAACATCATACCTGGAGCACTCTGCTAAGATTGTTACACTTTGGTCATACACTCGCCTTCTTGAGTGCAGCATCTCAGTCATGTCTGGCATAGACAAAGCGTCGAATCTGGTGGTGTCAGCCATCAATACCATACACCCACCGCCACACGCAAACCCTCATGCTTCCGAAACCACGCCTCTACTGGCAGCGTCCTCAGAAAATCCCATCACCCAAGCCGATTCGGAAACACTAGAAATCAACAAGATCAATGGCGCAAACACTGTCGAAGATGACCCAAATGATGAAGATGAAGATAAGCCATTTCCTGTTGGTCAAATTATTCTTCTGTGCTATGGACGACTTGTGGAGCCGATTGCGTTTTTCTCCATCTTTCCCTTTATTAATCAGATGATTTTTGAGGTTGGAGGTGTCAAGGAGGAAGATGTTGGCTTTTACAGTGGATTGATTGTAAGTATGATTTCTATCATCTTGAAGGTCATCTGGGTGTACAGACTATACTGGACTACCGTTTCTGTGTTTAAACTAAAGATATGACATTCGGAAACGCTGACACAGGGCACAGGAGTCGCTTTTCTCCCTCACGCAGATGATATTCATGATCTCTTGGGGTCGTGCAGCAGATCGATATGGTCGCAAGCCTGTTCTCGTGTACTCTATCATCGGTGTCTCTATCATGACCGTCTTGTTTGGCTTCAGTAGAACTATCTGGCAGATGGTCTTGTTCCGCTGCATGGCCGGAGTCTTCTCTGGCACGATTGTCACTGTCAGGACTATGCTCTCGGAGAATTCCACCTACAAGACACAGGCGAAGGCATTCAGTTGGTTTGCATTTGCCGGCAATATCGGCATCTTCCTTGGACCTGTCATTGGTATGTATTATGTTAGAATGTGAAGTCGAGGATCATACTGATAAATGGCTTCAGGTGGTGCTCTAGCTACTCCCGCGACCCAGTATCCTCGTGTATTTGGAGGCGTCTGGTTCTTCGAGGAGTTCCCCTATGCACTTCCCTTGATCGTTGCCAGCTTCTTCGGGTTCAGTGCCGCTCTGATCTCGGCCATCTATCTCAATGAGACTCTGGAATCCGCGAAAGACAATAGTGGAAAGCCTACGGAGCCACCCATGTCGACTTTGGAGTTGATGAAACAGCCCGGTGTTGGATTCACTCTCTTCCTTTGGTGTTTCGTCTCACTTCAGGGGCTTGCAAACACTGCCGTCCTTCCTGTCTTCTGGTACACGAGTGTCCCTCTTGGTGGCTATGGCTTCTCTCCACTTCAAATCTCACTCTTCCTCGGACTCGCTGGCATCTCTCAAGCCTTCTGGTTGCTATTTATCTTCCCGCCGATGCAACGCCGTTTCAACACTGGCGGTGTGTTGAGATACTGCGGATTCATTTTCCCCATCGGCTGTGTCAGCAACCCACTCTTGCAATACGCACGTAGACAAGGAGTCAAGACGGCCTTCTATGTCATACTGCCCATCATTATGTTCATCGGCAGCAGTGCTAGTATGGCATTTACTTGTGTCCAGCTATGCGTCAACAACGTTTCGCCTTCTCCCGCTGTGTTGGGCACGATGAACGCTGTCGCTTTAAGTATGGTTGCTGGTATCCGCGCGGTAGCCCCAGGATTGTTCGCCAGTCTGTACGCTACTAGCGTCAAGACGCAGATTTTCCATGGATATCTGGTGTGGGTGGTTATGTTTACCATGACTTTGATATTGTTTGTGACAATTAGATATCTGCCTGCGGAGGCTGTTGGAAGGATCGAAAAGCATGGAGACGACGAGGAAAACGCTTAGAGCTTGGTATATAGATGTACACAGTAGACTGGAGTTACGGATGTCTTAGCATAGTCTGTCAAATGATATGAAAAGTACCTTACGTATCTGCTGATGAGAAGCCTAAGATGATGCGACTTCATCGCGAAGGTGACGTATCATGAAATCTTGGCGCGTCAGATCAACTTTCTCAAACCATCCACGAAGCTAGACTTCCATGTAATCAACGATCACAACCAAATCGCTCAACATGTCGTCGCCGGAAAAGATAATACACACATACCACTGCATCTGTACCCAACTCGTCCTCGCAACCACAACACCCCTCTCGACCCTAAAACCACGAACCAGCGATTCCTCCCTCATCCTTCCACTCCCCGACCTCTCTGCAACCACCAACCACTACGCGCTTCTAACAAACACGACCCTCGATACTGCACCCACTATCATCCGTCTTGAAGACGGATTCGAGAAACGCTATTTCCACAAGTGCAATCGCTGTGATTTGAGCGTTGGGTATTCACTTGACAAGAGCCAGTCTGAGGATGGCAAGGGAATGAAAGGGGAAGTGGTGTTTTTGCTGCAGGGAGGGTTGGTGGGGACGGAGAATATGAAGGCGGCGAAGGATATGGAGGGCGAGATTGGGAGGGTTGGAGTCAAGGGCTGAAGAGATCGGAGGTTGCATTTGGCAAGACACAACCTCAAATGAGAAGGGAGCAGCGGCGCTATGGAAGCCATAAGAGTTGCAGGCAGATGAAGACCGAGGCGGAGCGCTCGTGACGAAGGCAAGGCGGAGGAAAAGGCTAGCAGGATTCTCAAGAAAAGGCACAGCAGGTCGCCGAGACATCAAGAACGCAAGAGATCAGATCTGACCAGGAAGGAGATGGCTCAGCACCGGATGAGGTCGACGAGGGCCTTATGTCAAGATCAGTCGACGTGTACATGTCGAACACAGAAGCGATCGCGTTCAGGCGCGCAGAGCAGACACGCATATCAAACGTTGGCAGGCCAAAAAGCGCCAACACCATGAGAGAGAAGAGCCGCCTACTGGAAGGCATATATACCAGCCTGCCAACCACCTCCATATCCCCATCGCTTTATCACCAGGCGGTGGTGACCCAGCGGTCAAGCGCCAACTCTAGGTTGGACTTGACGCATAGGAGGTCCTGAGTTCGATTTTCGCCATCCTCGATCATTTGAGCCTCTGACGCTCCCACCCTTGTTCCTAGAAACGAAACCATTAAGTTGCTTTCTTTCCTCCCACGAACGGGCTCTATACAACTGAGCCTTAGTAGTGGGAAGTTTGTTTTGCTCTTCTGTATTCTTCAGCTTCTGTAATCCTTTTGCTTCACTCAAACACAGGAGTGCTTTCAGTTGGAGATAGGAGTTTGGAATATTCACCAAATGTGGTTCAGTCAACATATCTCAGGCCATCTCGGTCGTTGCTTCTCGGCGCAAACACAGGGTCCTAAGTTGTCGACAGCCCCGAGGCAGATGCCGAGAGCCACCTTCTCTTCTTGTTACCGTGCATGGAAAGCCGTGCCCTCGGTCTTCTCCCCACAACAACATTCATGTGATGTCCGAAACGGCTAAAGACCCGTCGGAGAAACAGCCGCCGAATGCTGCGGCATCTCCATTCGGCTTTCTCGCCGTGTGGGGTTTGGAAGAAAGTACCCCGCGACCACTTTCCCGACATATGTTGATGCCATCACGCCCTTTATAATCTCTGGATACACTTTTCTGCTATTTCTCTCCCTCCAATAGCTGAATTGATTCTACCAAAACACCAGATCAGATCCACTTTCTGTTAGACTTAAAAATCATACGATTGCAAGTTGAACCTCGAGATCAAGGAACATTACATCATACATCATGGGCTTGAAAGATGTTGGCTTTATTGGCCTCGGTGCCATGGGAGGTGGTGTAGCTATCAACCTTGCAAGAGAAGGATACAACGTCAAAGGTTTCGATTTGGCACAACCGCTAGTCGACGCTCTGGTCAAGGAAGGTGGCAAGGCAGCAAAGACAACACAGGAGACAGCAACGGATGTCGACTACCTCTGCATTATGGTGGCCAACCATCTCCAAACCAGCTCTGCTCTCTTTGACGGCGACAACCCGGCCATCAAGGGTCTCGGCCAGAACAAGACCATCATCCTTCTCTCAACGACACCTCCCGCATACCTACACGAGCTGAGGCAAAAGCTGGACGATGCTGGCAGATCAGACGTCAAGCTCCTCGACTGTCCCGTCTCAGGAGGTACCATTCGTGCTGCGAACGGAACTCTCAGTATCTTCGCTGCTGGAAAGGAAGAGGAAGTCGAAGCATCAAAGGACATCCTCAACACCATGTCTGGCAACCTCTACCGCATCCAAGGTGGCATCAGCAGCGGCACAAAAGTAAAGACCATTCACCAACTTCTTGCTGCCACAAACATCATTCTCTCATCAGAAGCCATGGGTCTCGCTGCCACTGTCGGCCTCAACACCCAAAAAGTATACGAGCATGTCAAGGAGAATGACGGCACATCTTTCATGTTCGAGAACCGCGCACCACACATGTTGGCAGACGACTGGTCGCCTTTGTCAGCACTGGGTATCATCCTCAAGGACTGCGGCATCGTCACTGCCACCGCTCGCTCAGGTTACTGGCCCACTCCCCTCGCCGACTGCGCCGAGCAATGTTATCTCCAAGGTCTTCAGGCAGGTCTCCTCAGAGACGACGACGCAAAGCTGGTTACAATGTACATTCCCTCTGCATCAGCCTCGCTAGTCAAGGAAAAGTCCACCGCGGACGTCAAGATGCACTCGAACCACCAGGTCTCAGCCGACACCGTCAACGACCTCCTCGCTGGTGTCCACCTTGCCGCCAGTGTAGAGGCAATGGCCTTCTGCAAGCACCTTGGTATGGACCGCAAGCTCATGTGTGAGATCATTTCAAAGGCCGCTGGCTGGTGTGACATGTACACCAAGCACATTCCTGCCATGCTGGAGAAGGATGACTGGAGTCTTGCCTCTTGTGCTGCTGCTCAAGATGTAGTAAAGAGGTTGGAGACTGCTGTTGAGAAGGCGAGATTGTTGAGATATCCTGTGCCCATGGCTTCGACTGCGCTCCAGCAATTCTACTTTGCTGGTCTTAGGGGTTAGATCATAGACAAAATAGAGCATCACGTTGATACCAAAATAGTTTCCGAGGTACGCTGCGGAGCACAAACTTCTCTCCCCAAACCAGCTACCGATTATCGATTGAACCAAACTTTTCCGCCTAACTTTCACTCTCTGACTCTCAGCTCTACGCATCCTTAACTCCTCATCTCTCTCCATCACTGACTTCTCGATCCTTCAAGGAGATGGAGGCTTTGGCTTGCGTCTTCTAGGGGGTTGGGGGTCGTGTTGTAGGTGTAGCTGGACGTATCGCGAAGCTCGGAGTACTGGGAAGGCGCGGTGAAGGCGCGGCGGCATTGACGTTTCCTGATCGGATGCTGAGAGCGCCTGGGATTGGATGGCTAATTTTCGGTGTACTCAGCTCCCCAAGCCGTGCTGTCGATATGCCGCGTGGTGCTATGGGGCAGTCGTTCATTTTCTTCACAGTTGACTGGTCTTGAGAGACTTGTTGTCAGCGATAGGATACCTGCAGCAGAGCTAGACACAAGAAATAGCAATCGTGTATCAAAGATGAATGATGGAGTGTAATCCTGACCAGCCGTATTCGAAGCGAACTTTTTTCACGATGATGTATTTATTGAGAGCCAGCCATGTGAAGACTGGGTATCCGTTGATCCTCCGACTAAGTAGTGAGTAACTATGTGTGTCCTTGGAACAACATCGGTTGGAGATGGAGCTTTGTGATTTCTAGCCTACATCATTATTCCCTAATCTCGGGGTCGATTATATGTTGGTTCCGCTTGCAGACGCCGTTCATTGACTGCGAGCATGAAGAGCCAGCCTAGACTTTCTTAGTCCATTGTTTCTGTTCTTTGCATCTGCTTCTTTTGAGCCGTGTAAGTTGAGGAGCAGACTCAAGTGTCGGTAGGGCTTATATCTTCGAAGTTTTTGTGTAGATCCAGCTCTCCAAAAGTTCAATTCTTCCGATTTCGTGCAAGGTGTCCGCGTTTGAGCAGCTCGGCGTGTGTTTGTGCGGTGATCATTCATGCCAGGGGGATGATTTGTATCTTCGTCGAGTGGCGAGAAGGTGCCGGAATCCTTGTTCGCTCGGGAAAGAAAACGCCCATTCATCATGAGTAGAAATTCTCAGATGCCTTTGGAAAAAATATCATCTCATTCATATACTCCCTCAAGTGGTCCCACCTGATCTGGCCAATCGATAGGACCGAGAACTTTATACAATTCATCCGTACTGCACATATTGTTAATGTTGATCAAAAGAACAGAAGACGATGGATCTTGTCGTGCATCAGATCTATTGATATAGTCAGCTGAGTAGCCTGACAACGAGTCTTCACGTGCTGCCAAAGAGGAAATAGAAGATTGGCGTTTGATGTCATATTTCATTGCAAAGAGAAAAAGCGAAATTTGTGCCCCCAATCATGCATAACTTCCAATTCGTGTTTTTGTTCCGGCGATAAATTCCAGGTCCAACAACGTTCTAGATACCACCATGTGTGATATGCTTAGTAGCTGCGACCGAACATGACCCACTTCTCAGCCTTGCGCTCACACTTGGGGTTGGTACACTTGGTTTCGCCTTGAACGAGACCCTCGGCGGGCTGGTCGAAGGGAATGCAGAGAGACTTGGCACCCATAGAGGGAGCGCGGGCGTCAACCTCCTGGCCCTCAATCTTTCCTGAGCTGAGCTCCTTGATCTCGTCCTCGCAGTCAGGGACCAAACAGTGGGGGATGAGACAGGTGTTCTTGGCGTTGAGGGCAGGGACAAAGTCGTCCCACTTGGTGATGATCTTGCGGTGGTCGCGGAACTCGTCAGAGGCCTTGCGGAACATGTCGCTCTGGATGGTCTCGAGAAGAGCAGGAATGTCCTTGCCAAGGTCGGCGATGGGGATCTCGCTCTTACCAGCAGCGAGCTGATCACGACGAGCGATGGTGACGACCTTTTTAGCACTATCCTTGGGACCGAACTCGATACGAAGGGGAACACCCTTGAGTTCCCAGTGGTTGAACTTCCAGCCGGGGCTCTGGTCATCGCGCATGTCAGTCTCGGCACGAACACCAGCCTCAAGAAGAGCGTCCTTGATAGCGTTGGTCTCGGCGTAGTGCTTCTCACGGTCCTCGGCAGTGGTCTTTGCGGTCATGCCAACGGGGACGATGATGGCCTGGATCTCGGCAACGCGGGGAGGAATGACCAGACCCTTGTTGTCACCGTGAGTGAGAATCATGATACCGATAGAACGAGTTGTCAGGCCCCATGAGTTTTGCCAGACGTGGAGCTTCTCCTTCTTCTCACCCTCCTTGGCGTGAGGGTCCTCAACAGTGATGTCGAACATCTTGGCAAAGTGCTGACCGAGACAGTGAGAAGTACCGGCCTGGATACCGCGGCCAGTGGAGGGAATGAAACCTTCGACGGTGGTGGTGTAGTGGGCACCGGGGAACTGCTCGGCGACAGTCTTGCGGCCCTTGACGACGGGGACTGCCAGCAATTCGTGGTAAATAGCCTCGTAGTAGTCGAGAATCTGGAGGACCTCCTTGCCGGCCTCCTCCTCGGTCATGTGGGCGGTGTGACCCTCCTGCCACAGGAACTCGCGCGAACGGATGAAGGGCATGGGGTGCTTGAACTCCCAGCGGACGACGTTGTTCCATTGGTTGAGCTTGAGGGGAAGATCGCGGTGAGAGCGGATCTTCTTTGAGAAGTAGCCGTACATGGCCGTCTCTGATGTGGGACGGACGGCGAGTCTCTTCTCCAGCTTGTTCTTTCCACCCTCAGTGACCCAGGCAACTTCGGCGGCAAAACCTTCTATGTGATCCTTCTCGCGCTGCAGGTTGGCCTCGGAGATGAACAGGGGGAAGTAGCAGTTGCGCACTCCCATCTTTCTGATGCGCGCATTGAAGAAGTCCTGGATGCGCTCGTAGATGCCGTATGATCCGGGTTCGTAGATGTAGCAGCCGGGAACGTCGGTGAACTCGAGCATCTCGCCCTTGGTGATGACCTGCTGGTACCATTCGGAGAGGTCGTCCTCCTTGGCCACGTCGATACCGATAAGAGCAGCGCCTTCCATCTTCTTCTTTCCACCGCCTTGGGCGACCTTGGGTTCCTTCTTCTGCTTGGCCTGGGCCTTCTGTGCCTTCTTCTGGTCCTTTTGCTCTGTGAAGATGATGCGTCAGCAGCTGACTATGCCGTGCGACTCTGTTGGCGCATAAACACACCCTTTGCGTCGGCAGCGGGCTTCTGCTGGGGCTGAGCGCCCTCGACTGTGCCTTCGGACATGTTTGTTGTTTCTAGCTTTTGTGCCTTGACGTCGTGCGTGTGGTTGGCTTCGACCGGAGAATGAGTGACGATGAGCACGTTGCTGAGGTGCTCTTGTGTATTGCGGGCGACTTGAATTGAATGCGACAGTTTGGTGTAACAGAGCAACAACTTGACTCACTTTTCGTGCGAGACCGTCCACCTGCCCCACCTCGACCCTGACCGCCGCCAAGATTTCCTCCCTCGCCGCTTCCACCTCCGCTCACCGCCCGAATCTACACTTCGATGCTCCAAACAACGACTTCACAGTCACAACTTTCAGTCACTGCAGTCAAGACGATGGGCAAGATTCCATGATGGAATTCGGCATTTCCACGATCTCAAGATGATTCTCCAGCCTTTGGGATTTTTCGAAGTCCAACGACCCACATCAGAGGGCGGCATGAGTAGGCGAGATGAGTCAGGCTCAGAATAATGAGCAGAATCAAGATCAAAGAGACCCGATGCATCATGTTGTGATTTTTTGTCGTCGCTGGAAATTCCAGACTGGAAGAAGACAGAACTAACTTCGCAAGGCGCGAGTCGGCGTGTGCCATGTGTGGGAAAGTGAATGTGATTGGATTTCACTCCGCACGACTACCAAAAGTGCAGCAAACAATATGTAGACTCACCAAGCTTCAGGCACACGTCTCATATAATATAGCAATACTTTATCTGGCGCAAACCCCTCCACCAATCAGTCTAGATCACCAAACAAGTCAACGTTCGCTGTGATGAGGAGTGACGTCGACAGAAGGTAGCTATATACACCCATCTAGTTTTCTGTCTAACTTGTCGCGGCAGCTTCCTCTATCTTCTCGGTTCTACGGTAAATGACGTGGAAGCTGCTGCGACACTCTCTTGCCTTTCCTTTTTGCCCAGAGGCCAGGTTCAATCTGCACGCTCGCCGTTGTGATTCGCCCTTTCTTCAGCTAGGTGTTGTCCCACCCATGTCCTCTCAGCAGCGATTGGAGCGATTTCGAAACTTATCATGCCTTTTGACAGCTACTATGAGCTTCTTCCTACAGCATTGGAGTCATCGACTCAGGTACCTACATCACGAGAAATCTGGCTATATAAGCGACACAAAAGGACAAGCTACTATCACACGAACGGAGTAACTCAAACTGTATCCTACTGCCTTAAAGCACACATTATAGCAGAGAGCATAGAAACAAGTTCACACATATCATATAATATATTATCTAACCATCAAAAGCAAACAAGAAAAGATCGAGGGGGTATATCGTTCGCAAACTTTTCCAACAAGAAGCATAAAACCGCTTTCTACCATACATGCCATAACTCAAAGCACTATTATCATATCTCCTGTACATACTTGAATCGACAAGGAGCTTAGATTTAAGCTTGCTTCTCAATCTCGGTCAACTCAACGTCAGTCGCGGGCCAGAGGTGGCTCAGGTCACCGACGGGGAAGTTGATGCCCAGACGCATCTCAGCGGCCATGATAACAAAGGTGATGTACCAACCCAGGATAGCGACGACGAAAAGGAGTGCACCACCAGCCTAAATTGAAGTCAGTATGGTGTGCGATGAGTACAATTCGTAGAACCTACGATCTGGAGGTTGCCAGCCATGGCGTAATCACCAGTAGCGACATGGAAGTAAGCACCAGCAAGGATGTAAACAGCAATGGCAGCGAAGCCGAAGATACCAGCAAAGATGGCGTTGGTCTTGAGAGAGAAGATGAAGTATGTGACGAAAGCAAAGCCCCAGACAACAAGGTAGAGAGCAATAGCGTTGTTGTAGTCAGGGCTTGCAGCACCCTCGGCAGCATCGCCAGTGGGAGAGTAAGATGCAGCGATACCGAGGGACGGAAGTTGGATCATGCCGAAGGAGAGCCAGAAGACACAGAAGAGCGACAAAGAGTTCATCTGAGATTGTCAGTATGTCTCACGTCGTTGTTTGTTGTGCTAGACTTACAGTGAAGAAGTTGCCCATGATCCATTCGAAAATGGCAGCAAGACCGAGCAGAACAGGACCAGTGAAGAAGAAGATACCGACAACACCAGCAAGACTGCTAGTACCAGCGAAGCCCATCAAGATCATTGAGAAGGTAAAAGTCGAGATGACGAAGCCAGTGAAGCCCATAGGCACGGCATTGGCGAAGCGCTTGACGTTGTTACCATGGCGGGGAGTCTTGGGTGTGAGATATAACTTCTCAAAGAGCTCCGGAGAGATGGTCATGCCATTATGAGAGGAGACGACATTGAGGTTGTGTGACTTCTCAAAGACAGCATCTCCTGAAGGGCGGTTCACGTCGGTGGCGGTAGACGACATACTTGTGGTTGCTTGGGCTGTGGAGGTGACGAGAAAGGAAATTCAGCACAGAGGATTATGATGGATATCATGCCGTCTTTTATAAATGCCGTCCACTCCCTCCCGTGGTGTCCATGATTGGTTGCGTATTCGAGGTTTTTATTCGAACCCACACCGATCTGCGGTCAATCTTCCCTGTCGCTGGTTGGACTATAAGCTTGATTAAGACCGAAGGTCGAATTGGTTTAGTCCATGTCTGAGTAGTAGTATAGCCTGTTCGAAGGTAATGCTAGCGGTCCAGATGCTCGGAATGTAACAGTGTTGGACATTCCCCAATCATCTTGGCCACTCCACTTACCGCACGGGGTAATCGAGACCCGAAACTCGGTCCAATATGGCATTATGAGGGTAAGCGGATGGCCTTCCTGAAGTGGTGTGGGTTGACACAAGAGTCAAGACCCTACGTCCGTACTATGTAGCGATGATCCACGAGCGCGTAGCCACTTGATGCATGAAAGTCGGAGAATATTGATGTGTCTGGCTGGAGGTGGTGGCTGCTTTAGCACAAGTAGCTGCCGCCTTGAATGATGACCACCTCTATGGAGCGTGGCTATCTTGCAGTCAGTCAAGCACGCATTCTCGACAACTCTGATCATCAAACCGGGTGTTTTCAACTTCTGTCCCCAAATGTGTTCGTCTCAACAACAAAATAGAGCATGCGCCATGAAGTTCTTGGTAGCGAGGTGCGAGTCAAGGACGTTGAGTCGCGACTCAGTGATCGTCAGGCTGTATAGTGCCTAATCAGTTATAGCCTGATGGAAGCGATATCAGGTGAACGATCAATCCCACCGGCAATTGCGAGAAGCCGTCTGTTGGAACTCCGGATAGCCAATCGCAGGTTTCTCTTGAGAAGAATTAGGATTTACAAGACGACCACAAAGGCTTCAATTGAACAAGAACCGATGCCTCTCTACAGTCGGCTTGTGTTCATTGCTCGAAAGGTCTTGGTCGAGATGCCATTGGGTCTTTCTCAGCTGTCAAGCAGGTTATCAAGCGGGTGGAGCCGAGTATAAAACACGCGATAGCAGATATTTAGCAAACCACTGACCACAGCTTGCTGCCGTGTTCACGACAGTGCATGTCGCCAGATCAAGAGGTGATTCGCGGGTCGCGCGACCCATACCAAGCTAGGCATTAATCAATCAGGTCGGCTGCGAAAGGGAGTTGACCAGGGCATTCAGGCACTGCGGCGGAAACAAGACTGCTGAATTTCTGAAAGCGGTCCCTCTAGGAGTGAAAGTTCGTCGAGAGACCTGTGCTCGGTAGTTGACGGCGTCGGTCATTCTTAGCCGAGAGCACTGACATGGACGAGCGACAAGGGTCCATATATTACTCTTTGGGTTTCGTTCGTTCATTTAGAGTGTTGAGCGCAGACGGAAATCGGCCTGTGTCAACTCCGTATCGTCTAGCCGATATCTGAGTCGAGGCATCTTCGGAGGTTCTCGTGGATGGAGAAGGTAGGGATCTTGAATTGAGGACGAGCGGTTGAGTCCAGGGTTGTCGGCAGAAACTTACCGCCTACCTGATTCGACAACTCAATAGAGACTGCGATAGCCGGCAGTACAACTCATCAAGTTCTCGGAATTAATCTTCAGCTGATGAGGTTCTGCTACTCTAGCAAACACGAAGCTCTTCAAACCTTTGACTACTGAGGCAACCAAGGCCTACAGGAGAACCGATAGAGTTCGGTCTGGGCATCAATCGTGCAGCAACACTTTCGGCCATGCGGGATGCAAGCCATCCTATCGTCTGGAATCAAGTTTGACCTCGTCATCCATTATACACACGATCGTTTTCAGTTTTGACGCTTGGTGCCTATCTAATACGGAATACGACCGTGAAAACTGCTTGGGCATCCATCGTTTGGATTCAGTCGCGCGTTTCCTTCCGACTAGTAAGTATCTCTCCAGCTGATTGCGTCGACTCAAAGAGCAGTACTCTTCAGACTCTGGCAAGACCGTGTCGACAGCCATGTTCGACTTTAGATGGATGGTAGAATACTGTGCTCGCACAGTACATCGCAGCCGGATGCGGCCGATGGATTTCGAGATGGTACGGCTCTGTTTCGCTCAGCGAGTCAAATCGAAGATATGCAGCTCGGCATCAGGTAGATGCCAAATAGTACTGGCAGAGTGGCTTCCAGACCTGGCATCGGTGGTGGGCACCGAAACCAGACTTTCTGTTTCTCACTCATGGACATGCGGTTCGACCATTCAGGGAGTCTCGGCGCCTTGTATGCCTCAGTAATGAGCTGTCTTCCAGTTACTTCATCTTTCCAGAATATCGATCAGTCCGGAACCTGGTAGGTGATTTTTAAGAGCATCGGCGTGTCCGAACTGAAGAAGGTCACGAAGTCACAGCACGGTATTGTCTTGCATGGCTACGGCCGAGGTTCGTATCATCGACGGTGCCGAATCGTTTTTGATCGAGAATAATGACGATGGTGATATCCATGATGGAGAGAAGATGTACTGAACCGCACTGGACCGTCTTCATCGGCAGGCGAGACTTGCCCAAGAAACGGCTCGGTGCTGACTCCAGAGCGCAAGTACTTCGAAAGGTAGGTAATCGCGATGGCTCTGCAAGAATGGTACCTGGGAACTGGGTAGACGCTAACTTCCTTGTACAAAGTAAGCAAGACTCTGTTGCATCTTTCATTTGATGCTGGGCACGACATCAGTGGCGTTTGCTTGGCGAAGCTTTTTGCGTAACCCAATCTTCGACCAGTAGGGATTTCGTTCTTTCCAATTACTGGATGCAGTTAGGAACAGTAGATCCATCTTGCTATTTCGCGGATCTGATCGTGATATGATCATTCGGGAGCGGCTGAGTACAAACGGACGACCTGACGAATGGGAGTGCGGCTCCGATTGATCTCAGTATGGACCACAGTCCGAACGGTAGCTTTCTTCGAGCTTGGTTATTTGCATTTGCCCAATATATTCTCCTCGTCGACTCTGATCGTGGCAGGGTTGAGCAGACCAATGATGTAGCGACTGCCCATTGCGTACCCAGTGTTTGGTATTTGGGTAGTAGCTCCCTTGTCCTTCCCTGTGTGCGTGAGGAAAACCAAGTTGCGAGTTGGGAAGAGATCGCTGGCTCGTCATTGCCGTTGCACAAGGTGGGAAAGTGGTCCAATAGATTTTGCATGATGCAGTAGCCAGCTAGGTCAGCCAGGTACGAGCGAAGTGAGTCGCGATTGATACTCCGTCATACTGCTGCAAAGGTCAGTTGAGCCATATAAGGTGAATAACCTACGAAGCCTCGTCCACTACTACTTCTTCTGCATCCAAACCCTTTCTCATAATCACAACAACCCCAAATTGTAACAGAAACAACAACATCTCGTTCATCATGACTTCGTTATTCAATCGCATCCGTAACAACCATGTCTTCCAGAAGATACTGCGCGTTCTCCAATTCCTATCCTCAGTCATGTAAGCAAAAGCGCATCGCTTTACTGATGTCCATGACTAACCTCACAAACAGCTCCCTGGGAATGTTCTCCTCTCGCCTCGCCAAAGTCTACCGCCTCGTTCACAACTTGCGCAACTCTTCCGGCGCGGTCGAAGGCATCCTCGCAGCTGCAACTCTCTACACCATCACCACTCTGATCATCAACTTCTGTCTCAAGGGCGGCGCTCCCAAGTTCTTGCGCTGGCTCCTGATTGTCCTTGACATTCTCTTCGTTGGTGGCTTCATCGCTGTCGCTGTCTTGACTAGACCCCATGGAGGTCTTAGCAGTCTGTGTGCTACACCTAATGCTCGCAACGATCCCAACAACCGCGACAATGCGCTTTGCAATCTGCCTCTTGCTACCTTTGGTCTTGCCATCTTCAGCACGTAGGTCTGCTCTGCTCCTATGCTTTCTTCCATGCCGCGGCTATCATACGAATTCGTTCGCTCTTCCTATCTGATATCACAGTCAATACTCAATATTGATGCGGGACGAACGCTGACCATTTGTTATACAGACTGCTGCACGCCATCACCGCCATCTTTCACGAGGTCCGTGATCACCACAGAAAGGACAAGGACTTTGTTTTCGCCGAGGAGGAGATGAAGAGAAACCATGACGGTCTCCATGACTAAACACATCGGAGACGTCAAAGCAAGTAGCCAGCGACTTTCCAGAGCTAGGAACCGGAGCAAGATGCTCAGTCTTTCTACACAATCACGCTGAATGAGGACAAAGGATACTTGACTGGCTGCTTGATGAGTCATGAATTGTAAAAAGTAGTTTATAGCGTACACCCTGATAATCTTTGCTGTTTAAAGAGCTTCCAGCCCTTATCTCTTCACTCCCTCCAAAGCTCTCTTTGCTCATTTTGTGTACAGAGTGATTCCTCAATCTTACAGATACGGATGAAGAGCATCTTGTATCCAAGATGAAAGAACATGATGAAGTTTACAATACATGTGTCTCAAGCGTGTACGACATGGTTTGATCCTGGCTGCCTCTGAGTATTTTCCTGTCCTTTCATGTACCAATTAGACAACAAGACTTGTCGCAAGAGATCCTTCTGCATTCACATCTCTCGACTGTGTTTTGCAGTTCCTTCCTCCAATGTAAGTGGACCTTTGTAGTCGAGAGTCGCGAGCGTACAAGTTTTCCCAACACCAAGCTTCTCTGATGATCAATTGTCGTTTAAGCATCCCAGGGGTACGAGAAGAAAACAACCAGACCTTGTCTCAATGCAAAATCTAATCTTCTCAAACCTCGACTTTCCCCGGAGAGCCGTTGTCCTCAAGCATTCCCAAAGATACGAGAAGACAACATCCAGACCTTGTCGCAATGCACAATCTATTCCTCTCCGACTCTGAGTTTCCCTGAAGAGCCGTTATCCTCAAGCATTCCCGAAGATACGAGAAGACAACATCCAGACCTTGTCCCAATGCATAATCTTTTCTTCTCCAGGTATCGTTGTACGCGGGATCCTCTTCACCCCCGTTTCCTCATCTCTGATATGTCTCCTTGAACGCAAGATACTTGTCTCCAAACGTCTCATCAACAACAGCATTCTCAGCCATCATGCTATCCACAAACCTACTCATCCTCATCTGAGCATACTGATTGCTGGGTTCAGAGAACGGGCCATTGTAGCGCTCTACAATTACTTCTCCTGCTTTTTCGAGCTGGTGGCGGCGCTGTCTTGGGCGTCTTGCTTCATGGACTGCTCTGCCTACTTCTTCCAGCTGGGTGTAGTCGATAGGGGTGGTGGAGATGTCGATGCCGCCTTGGAGGTTTGTGTGTTCGATGTCAATTGCAACGGTATGCTGAGGGCATTTCAGGGAGGCGTAGAAGAGCCAGAGAAGGTACTCTACACGATGCTGGAGGAGGGAGTCGAGGGTGCTGTATTTGACACAAGTACTGCAACTTCTGTCCCTGCAACTGCAAACTCCCTTTTCCTGACCTCTGAGCTGGGCGTTCGGCCATGAGCATTGAATACGCAGTCTCAGACTAGACATGCTATAGCACTCCTTGACCAATCTCCTTAATCCTTGACTCTGAGTCTGGAGAGTATGAGCTTGCCGGGCGAGGACATCTTCGCTCGAGGCTGAAAAGTCTAGATCGTGTAGAAAGTCCAGGGTTATGTGAAGGGTACCGACAAAAGCCTTTACACGATAAGGTAGTCTGTCGAGTATAGTGGAAATGTGGGTGATGTTGATGATAAAGCTGTTTTTAAGCCAGAAGTAGCGGGAAGCTTCGCGCCAGAGTTTGCAGTGTTTAGGAGACAGCAGGTTGAGAGTAGATATGGCGAGGAAGGAGCGAGCGTGAGGGTCGACGAGGGTGGAGATGCAGTGGGTAGACAGGCTAGTGGCGATTGTAGAGGAGTCTGGTATGCTGATCATGTCAGGGGCGAGTAGTTTTGCGCCGTAGAAGGCCAGTCTTCCCTCCAGGGGCAGATCCATAAATCCCTGGACACTGGAGGCAAAGAAGTTGTTTGCCAGCAGATCCCTGGCATTTCTAGCCACGTTTGTGCGGAAATGATGAGGCAGTCTCGAAGAAGTGGCTCTACCACTAGGGGTTGGTGGTTTATTGGCGCGATGTTCTCCTTTCTTGACCCTTTCCAGTTGCTGCGACCGCTTTCCCATCCATTTCTTCATCTTCTCCACATGCTTATCCAAATGTATTCTCTCTGCCAACGAGTCTGTGATGTTACCTGTGGCGGGCAGATTTATGCCCAGCCATTTGTTTGGCAAACCAGAAAGGGGCAGGGTCATTGGAACCATCTCAGGAGGAGCAGGAAGCGAGGATACAGGCATGATAGCCTCATCTTCGTCGGTGACGTCGTCGAACCTGGCCAGCCACTCCAGGAGAGGATCGACGTCGTAGGAGAGGGCCATCTGAAGGCAAGAAGAATTCTCGTCTCCTTCACCTTCGTCCTGTGATTGGGGAGAGGGGGAGGGGCGTTGCATATCCATTATGTCTCTGTGTTAATCGTCAGCAATATACTGCATTGAATAGCTGCGTAGTCAAATCACCCCCAAGAAATCGCGTGTCTGAAGAAGTGGTAGACGCGTTTGAATTCAGGTTAGTCAAGAGCTAGGTAAAAGGTGTGACTGCGGCGTTCACTGTAGGTTGCCCACGGCAATAAGCCTGGTCCACCGACAATAACGACGACACTCACAATAACAAGACCGTCGTCGAGGCCCACGAGGAGTGATCGAAGATTTGAGAAATTCAGGAGGGCACAGGAACAACACGTCACGGGGCAGGTCACTACTATACTAGCTAGAGGTGTTCATAGTCTTGGGCCAAGGCGTTCGTCTCGACACTGAGTGTCAGCATGGCAATGTCAAGGGAACGTGAGTCGAAGAACGAAACTACGTATGATGCATCAGTAAATGGCTGATGCAGGTACCCGAACACGAAGACACATACCTGGGAACAATGTCCAACAGCACAACCCTCACATCACTGATTGTAGTCAGGGTGATTTTTACGGGACAGCAAGGTCTTTAGGCAGGAGTAAACACAATGTAAACGTACGCAAACTATTTACTTATCAGCAAATATCAAAGGGAAAACGCTATACAACAATACCAATTGTACCAAGGGGGTATCCAAAAACAAAGGCTCTTTCTTCTATCCCACTCATCTCCACTTCTTCCATTACTTTATCTTCTGGTCACGTGCACTAGTAAGGTGCTCTGCTGACTCCTTCGCCAGTTTCATCTTCTTCCGTGCCGATCGACGACAGCAGGTCTCTGAGATCCTTCTTGCCATGTGTACTAGCGGCACCTCCGAAGCCTCTGGCAGAACTCCTGCTTGCTACTCTTCTGCTCGCCGGTCTGTTAATTAGACCATCCGGACGACCTCTTTCAGACACGGGTGCGGAAGGCAAAGTGCCATTAGTCACCACCTCGCCACTGTTGAGTCTAAGAGCAGGGGCAGGTGGCGGTGGCATGCTAGCCTGTTGGGTGGACGAACGGTTTGGTGGAGGGCTATAGTCACTGGCGTCATCTTCTAGTTCTCCATCCTCGACATCCATCATGCTCTCGCTGGAGTCATCGCCAGCGCCAGCACGATGCATAGACATGGCGGATGAAGGTGGCACTTGACCAGCTAGTACTCGCTTCAGCTCTTCAATGCGCATGGCTCCTGAGTTTGTGACGCTGCTAGCACCATCGCCATGTCCAGAAGTACTATTGCTAGGACGACGGCCGGCTGGGCTTCGACTAACTAGACGACTGCGAAGTTGGGAGTGGCTAGTGCCCACCCGTGCTGGACCAGATTTAGAGGTACCCCCATTACCAAAGGTTTCCGACGTGCTACGAGGGCTCTGGTAGGGAAACGTGTTCGCAGCAGCAAGCAGACGACGGTGATCGCCCAACGCAACAAGGTTGGTACCGGACGGGTGTGCAGATGAGGTTCCAGCGCGCGAGCCACTCAATGACGTCGACTTGGGTACGGCAGCAGCGATAGTTGCCAGGAGCTCCTCTTTCGTCCAGACTGCTGTGAGCTCTTCCAAGCAAGATTGTGGAAGATCTGCTTTGGGGCGGCTCGGTGCGCTCAAGAAGTCGCTAGGTGCTACAGACAGACTAGGCAGAGAGAAGCTGCGTCCAGGACTGCCGGGTGTACCAGGCGGAGATGCGATGTTAGCGCTATAAGCGTCCGAGATACGCTCAATCAGCTGTTCGCGATGGTCAAAGGGCCTCAGAGCTTGTGATTCCACGGTGGCCTCGGTCAACCTTGTGGGAGCTGATGCGGCTACCTCGGCAATTCTAGCCAGGGAGACAGCCGGGACTTGGAGGCCGTGTACCCAGATGTCACTCTGCTGTCTGCGGACAATCTCGCTCTGAATCTCGTTGCCGACAACAGAGTGCTCAAAGTTGAATCTGTGAGCCACAGCCCAAAGGTAACCATGCACCAGACTGCCGAGTCTGACCTTAGCTTTGGGATTCTCCATCTTTTGAATGTCCTCTTGTAGGCGAAAGATCATGGGCAAGCCAGAGCGAGCAGCATTGATACCAAGCTTGGTGATGATGGATGCAAGCAGATAGTGTAAGAGCAAGAACTCATGATCAGCTTCAGGACGATCGGCCAGGTGCAGGGCGTCCTCGTAAACCGCAAGGTGCAAAAGTTGCAAGAAGAAAGAGCGACCCTTCTTAACGCCGCGACCGCGTGCGGATGCGTTAGACACCGCTCTACGTGCCATGTTGTTGCCATTGATGTTATCACGCTTGTGCTTCTCGGGAGTGATGGTTTCTTCAATCTTGGAGTCCTTCTCACGAGTTTCAAGATCGAGCCAAGTGCATAGCGCATCCACGTAAGCAACACGGACTGGACGATAAGAGTCGCGCAACAGCCATTGTGTACCTTCCCACACTCCAATTGGAACAGGGTTTTGGTTCTTGGTGGCCTCGTTAGCTGAGGTATCGTTGTTGTTGGCAACAATGAGAATACGCTTGACAGAATCGAGGGCGACCTCTCTAGCAGTGTCGAAGGAGAAGAAGCCGTCAGTGTTGGATCGCTCCCTCAAGCCGCTGCTGGCAGTAGATTCAACAGAAGCGCCATTCGGATCTTCGATAGCGTTTGCGGTTGCAGCAGGCATGTTGATGGTGGCAGATGCAGGCTTGAGACGGAGGAGGATAGCAGAAATCATGTCCGAGATCTGGTCGGTGTAGTAAACATGCATGGCGAGATTGACAATGCATTGGCGCAAATGGGTGAGCAGCTCGACCCTGACAGGAGAAGCGGTCTTAACGACTTCCATGACAGGCGACGTTGGCTTCTCGTTGTTCCCGCTCAAGCTAGACTGAGTAGTACCAAGCTGTAGGACGAGAAGAACATGCTGAACCAAGCCGAGCAGGATATCCATGACAGACAGGCCGATGAGGTTGATGTTGGAGCCGAGAACCTGCTTTACCATAACGGCCAGAACGATCTGCGATTGCAGGGAGTCTTCGACTATGGGGCTGCGAATGAGTATCTCGACGGCAGTAAATAAGACGACGAAGCGGTCCTGGACAGGGGTCGATTCGCAAGCCAGCTTGACCAGGGCGACGGACCAAGCATGTCCAGTGGTGTGTTGAGAGATGTATTCGAGCATGCTCAAGGTAGCCATGCGCACCTGACCACGGTTGTCAACATCGAAGAGGGCCTTGAAGCATTGCATGGCCAATGTGCCGGCCTCTTCTTCAGCAAAGCGATCAGCCTCTTGCGCAGTGCCTCCAGCAGCACGCGGATCTCCTTCCTCCCTCGTGTTTGTGCTACGAATTGTCTGCATGCTGGGGCGGAGTCCTTGTTGTGCATGCTTCTGCTCATTCAATCGCTCATGCAGGGTGGTCAGGTATGTGGCATCCTGCGAGTAAAGGTTGCGCAAGACGGCCGGCAAGAAGACGCTGATCTGACGGCCCGGTTCGCTGGCAAGTGCTTGGGCTTTGGCGACACTGCGTAGAGCCTCAAGACCAGCCTTACGGAGCTTGAGCGCATCGCTAGATCCGCCCGCCTCTTTGTTTGTCTTGTCTGCGTACGTTGTCCACCTCTTGACCACATTGGCAAACTGTTGGCGGTATTCAACGTCGGCGGCGAGGGTAGCATGGTCCTGGTCACGACAGAAAGCATCCCAGACGGGAAGACAGGCTTCAATCAGACCCGTGTCGTTCGAGTGGCCTAGCACTTCTTGCAGGATGCTGAGCACATGGGGCGCGAATAGGGGGAACGTGTCGACCGAGGAAATGCTGGACGAGTTGAGGAAGGCGTGAAGAATGCCCAGTGTGACGTGGACTGCTCCTATCCTGCCCTTGTATACATCTGACGCGGTGCGCTTTTCCAGGAAACTGCCGACCTTTGTGAGTTTGGCCCTGCGACTGGACGCGTAGTAGACGAGGTAACTGAGTTCACTGCCATTCGGTTTGGCCTCGCTCGCACTGCCTGCTGCATTCTTGGGCAACTTGGGGTAGCACTTCAAGATCAAGACCTGATGTTTCGGCCGGCATTTCTGGCGCAGCGCGTTCATGTTGGCTGACTGATGGCGTGAGTCGTGTGTGGATCTCAGGTGGGAGCCTGCTGTGCGAGTTTCTTTGCCGCCTGCTTTGCTTGTCGAGGCACTTTGATTGCCCAACGCCGTATGACACACGGACACGTCGCGGGATGCGATCAACAACGACACTGGAGACGACTCAATCAATGTCACCGTAATCAAACCCGCCCGATGATCCTAAAATGTGGCTGGGCCGTTTGCTTCTTGGCGGCATGCATGAACCATTGAACCCTTTGCTGCGCGTCATGTTCGCACTACTCACATCTGTCAAAGCAGGTTCAGGGGTCTGTATCACCAGGAAAAACATGGCTTTCGTACATCAAGCCTATCGAAGTTTGCGACTCTAGTCTTACTGACCCGTCTTGAGCTACTCTCTATATCCTCTGCTCGCGGGTAGAATCGTGATGTTGTACCCGAATACAGAACGCCATCTTGTGCTCTCACGAAACAAAACTAGAAACACTTACTGCGCCAAAAAGACTCCCGAATATCCATTAGAAAGCGTTGTCCTTCACTTGCGTGCCTTCATTTCATGACTCGCTTCTCGTTACTTGTTCAAAGCTCTGTGTTTTTCTTGCCACGCTTTTGGCTGCTGGGCGTACGGTACATTGGGTGTTGCTGCAAGTTGGATGCGTCAGGTTGCAGCTAACGACCTGCCATGCCCATACCGAATCTTGCTGCTCCTATCTTGTGGAATGTACCAATAGGTTGGAAGCCCCTGCATCACTTGTTAGTCTTTTCTTCAACGTCGGTGTTGTGCTAGATATTCTTACTTGGCAAGATCAATGCCGGCTTCATCGTCGGCATCGGCTCCATATCGGAGAGATCCCATGTTCTGTTGCATGCCGTTCATGTTGTTCGTTGCATAAGCGTGGCTGCTGAGGATGTTGCTGGTGTTGGGTGTAGTGGCCTGGTTGTTACTGTTTCCAAGAGCCTGCATAGGAGGACGCATAGAATTGGGCGCGGGCATGCTCGATTGTTCCCGCTGCGGTTGCGCTTGTGCCTGTACCTGAGCGTGCATCTGCTCTTGCTGACTTTGCTGACTCTCTTGTTGTTCAGACTCGTGCTGCTGCTGGTATTGTTGTTGTTGCTGCTGCTGCTGCTGCTGCTGCTGTTGTTGATGTTGCTGCAGATGATGCTGCTGAGGGGGTTGCAATTGGGGAGCATTGAAGGATGGATTTGCCGGTATACTCTGGTCTCTCCTCTGAGGAGTCTCACGGTCGAAAGAGGTCCTCTCATTGCTCTCGGCAGGCATGCTTGTGACAATGTGCTCGTCTGAGTCGAACTCAAGCTTGGCAGAGCGGCTGTGACTTGTTGCAGGTCTGGGTATGCTGCGAGTAGGGCTACCGTCAATACGATCAGGGACAGCTGACGCACGAGGAGGCGAACTGGACTGGATAACAGGCATGTCGTCATCCCTTTCGTCCAGAATGCTTTTCTTGTCAACAGCGCTCTTGTCGTCCTCGTCGAGTATCTTTACGTTGGCACCCATACCAAGTGGCTTGAACGACGAGAAAGGAGTTGCCTTTAGGGGACTAATGTCTGCGAGAGGACGCAAGGGAGTCGAGCCGAACTTCCAGAAGGGAGCGGGCGATGAGAACTCCATGAAGGCTGAGGGTCGCTGCAGTGTCGAGGGAGGCGCGAGCTTCTGGCTGCTGCGTACAGGAAAGGGTGTATCGAGAGGGCCAATGCGACCATCATCGGTGATGTAGAGTGAAGGCGGCGAGCCAGCAGCGTTGGCGACAGCAGTAAGATGATTGAGGGTGCTCTTAGCAGAAGGAGGGTAGATGAGTTCCGGATCATTGTCGTCAAACTTGACAGGACGGCGAGAGCCACGATCGGGAGTGTAGGCCTCGTTGGCTGTGGGATACGATGAGGGGTAGGTGTGCATTGGAGGGCTGTCGCTCTTCTCGGTCTTGCTGGGAACAGGATGAGCAGCACCGATTGGCTTTTGCTGGGCTGAAGAAGGGGCATGCAGCTGGGCAGGACTTGAAGGGTCGATCATGCCAGAAGGCAGAGGGTTGGGTCTGCGGCAGCCCTTCATGCCCTGGCTGAGGAAAGTGTCACGCTCCTTGGGAGAGATCATCCACTTCATACCCTTTCCGGGCTCGTCGGTGCGACGGGCTATCTTCTCAAAGGCCTTGTTGAGACTGAGGTTGTGACGGATCGAGTTTTGCCAGCCGCTAGTGCTATGACGGTAGAAGGCATAGTTTGCCATGATCCACTTGTAGATGTTGTTGAGTGTCATCTGCTGCTCCGAGGTGGACAGGATAGCCATGCCGATCAACTGGGCGTAAGAGTGAGGAGGCTTGAGATCTTTGGCGCTATCTGCCGAATAGTCGATCGACTCGGTCGACTCGAGCATGACACCGCGAGGATAGCCTCCGAGTGAGACGGGCGATGGGCGAGTACGCTGCGAGGTAGGAATGTTCATGCCGTGGTTACGAATCGGCGTGCCCGGTATGGGGAAGGATTGTGATTGCAGGCCTGCGTATGAATGGGGATGCACGCGGTGGCCGGTGCTGCCATCAGGGAAGCTGGACGAAGGGTGGGCAGGGCGACGCACTGAGGACGAAGGACCGGGCATGTGGGACGACGGGTTCGGTGGCGGGTTGGCATTACGGCCGTCGGCTTCGTGGTCTTCTTCTTCGGACGTGTAAGTCTGGCGGACAATGGCGTCAGCAAAGACTGGGCCGTCGTCTTCATGGCGAGCAGTGGTGATGAAGGCCATCTGTGTGCCACTGATGTCGATGACACAGCCAGAACGCAGGGCGGCACGGTTGCCACGCTTGAGCAGCTGTGTGTCGACTCGGAGACCATTGCGGCCGTTGACCGAGATGAACCACTTCTCCTGTTCGCTGTCGTAAGAGATGACTGCGTGCAGGCGCGAGACCTGTCGGTCGGGACCGAGGTCGATGGAGATCCTTGACTTGGCCGAGGGGTCGTTCGACTGGATGAGAGGTGAATCGAGGGACTCGGCCTTCTCATGCGACTCGGGACGGCCGATGTTGATCTCGACGCCTTGGATGATGTATGTCCAGTTGCGACCAGCGATCTTGCCATAGCCAGGCACGTGCTCTCTTCCTTCGAGCAGGTCGTTGGAGAAGTCGTGTGTCGCATTCACTTGCTTGTCCGAGACCTTGAGCTTGGAGATGACATCGACCTCGGATGGGGTCGAGGGTTCTGTTTCGGCGTCGGATTGTTCGTTGGCCTCGGTGCCCTCTGTGTCTTCTCGTTCGTTCGGACGTGCAGTCGTGACCTTTCTGCGCGTGGCGGCGCGGCCATTGGAGGTGGGAGCATCGTTGGCACGCGCTCTCTTGCGCGAAGTGCGCGAGGGTGTAGCAATGGATTCGGGCGTGTCGGCGTCAGACACGTCGGCAGCGGTGGCCGTGGCTGCTGCGGCCACTTCGGCAGCCTTGCGCGCAGGTCTAGTGCGCCGATTTGACGGCGGCATGGTGATGTGTGGTGTGATGTGGACTGCAGTAATAGAGGGCCGAGTTGTTTTGACAAAGACGTCGCTGTGTCGCGTCGTTGATGTCGGGTTGGAGCGGGAAAAAGCAAGCGGGCTGCAAAGCGATCGCGTCTCGCACCGGGCCAAGAAGTTTGCCTCCGCAAATTTGCGTGGGGATGAGGGCAGACCTGATCTTGTTGGTCTCACCCAACCTCGAGTGTTTTTTATGCAGGTCTGTTGGATATATCTCAGCTGAGACGGTGTCGTCGATGACGGTAATGCTTGCTCCTAAAATTGCTCGAAAAAGGGTGGACTGCTGGCTCTGGAGCAAACAGACCTCGAAACTCCGCAAAGCGAAAGGACGTGCTGTTTATGTTGACTGACGCGCACGATCAACAAAGGTTCTCCGACAATCACTTTGTCCTGCACTTCTTCAGGGAACCACTCGGAATATCACAGAGTCGAGTTCCAAGTCTTTAACAGCTTCACTGCAGATAGGGGCAGTAAAAGGAATAACGTTACATCCGTTTCTATCACCTCTTCATCCGTTGTCGAAAGCGCATCTGCGAAAACCAGGCGTGCTGAGGTCCGCCCTTGTGCGCCCGATCAAACTATCTGCTTGATGACGCTGACTGTTTTCCCCGCTTCCCACAGAACTCAACCTTTGTTGACAAAAGTAAACATGGCTTCAACCTCAATATTGACATGTTCGCATGCTTATGTCATTACTGTCAAGCACTGACAAGCATGTTCCTGGAACAGTTCGCGAGAAGTGCGTCCAAAGGGAATCGTTCGTTGATGACGCCGTACACGTCGTATCTAAGAATAATCGGTACTGTTTCACCGTTCATTAGCCTATTATCCTTTGGAGCTTCTCGTCCATTTTCACCGCCCGTCCTCGTCCTAAACCAGCAGAATACGTAGAAAGCAGTGTGGAACTAGATAGCCTTAAGTGTGCCAATATTCATGTGGATCGCGGACAATGGTTAACCACATCGTGCTCACTTGCGAGTGCGTTCATTTTGCTGGATGCTGTCTGGACAACCCTGGCTTTGCATTGCTAGTTCCCATTCACACTCATTCTCGACCTCGCATGGCCGCGAATGTGTCCTGGGAGGTGCTTTACGCTTGTTGCATATATCTAATTGTCTTACACGAGATAGTGGGTCAGAACAGGTCTCGGATTGAATTTTGAGTGATCATTTGTCGGACATGCACGCAGAACCTGACACTGTTCAAGAGGTCTTTTCGCCAGAGATATAGGTCCTTGCACTGGGAGCAATTTCGCCTCAAAGTGTTAGATTTTCTGTCAGATATGTGTCTAGGATACGAATCACAATTTATAGAGGTCAGATATCTCGTGAAAGTATTTAGAGTCGACTCTCGAGCGAGCTCATTCATATGGTTGAGTGCCGATACCGATCGGGTTAGCTCAGCCTTGGCAGACTCGGGAGAATGCCAAAACTTCCAAGGTCACCGAACCAACAACGCGTACTTGACTTCGACCAACTCGAGTACTAACTGTCCATCTCAAAAGTTTGTTGCTTTCGCGTCATACTGGGTGAAAGTCATAGGAATACATCATGGCACCTAAAGTAGCTGCTGGTACAGTTGGAGCAAACGGTGTTGTCAAGAAAAAGCGCGTTGTCACCACCGCAGCGGACAGAGAGAGAGCCAAAAACAAAGCCGCAGATGCCAGATATGAAGCGGCAAAGACTGATGAAGCAAGAGCCTGGATCAATCCCGCTAAGTTGCTCAATGACTTCTTCTCCAGAGACAGAGAAGATGTTATGGCCCTCAAAATCGGCGCAGGAACCCGACGAGATATTTGTGCCAGAGCTGAAGCTTTGGGCTTGCACGTCCAGATGTTCGATACACAATCACGCAGGAATGGACCTTTGGAGAGCTGGATAGTGCTTGGACTTCTAAGTTCGAGGCATCTCGTGGACGACAAAGTCAGAGACATTCAGCGTCAAAGCAAGAGAGAACTTCAGCGTGCGGAGGATGAGGCCGAAGATGAAGACGAAGCCGATGCTGGAGCCGAAGGGCCCAAGAATCCGGCCGAGATGATTGATCCATCTCTCCGTGAGCAGAAAGCTCCTGTGGCTCAGATGATGCTACCACCTCTCCGACAAGCCACCACTAAGCCTAAGGATATCGTCCAGGACCTACCAGATCAAACTTCAAAGACAACAACTGAGACTGCCCAAATGAGTTTGCCAAGCGAAGAGATCGAGGCAGCGAAACAACTCAGCGATCTCAAAAGCTCCGCCATGCCAGCAAGACCAGTGTTCAGACCAGAATCTAGCCAGGTGGAAGCCACTCGTTCAAGCGAGACCCCAGTAGTGCCTGACGCTCCGCCTTACGACAGTACTGCAGAACAAGCTGTAGCTGAAGATGCCACCGAAAATGATCGCATCGCGTCTTGGGTATCTCAACAAGCTCAACCAGGCCAAACAGACAAAGACACCCTCGACCTCACCGGAACTTGGAAAATCACCTGCGCGGCTATCGCCGAACAACTAGGCTCCTCCTCATCTGACCTGACCATGAAGATCCACCTCGAGCCAACTCAACCCCAGTCCGACAACGACACCGATGATGACCCCGCGACCACCTCCGTCACCTCCTCAGATCAACTTACAGACACCCAAAAAGCCCGCCTCGGGACCTATCAACTCTGGGCAACCTTCAACTTCGGCCTCTACCACGGTCTCATCCGCTTCATGTCCCCCACAACCCCCAACACATCCCCCCTCACACGCTCTTCCTTCGACCTGTCACCCACCCAACTCCCCTCGTCCAAAAACCTCACGTTCCAATATAAATGGCGAGGCCGCGAGACGTCCGACGAGGAAATCAGCCTCGAAGCCGAAAAGGCAATTCAGTGGGTGAAATTCGAGGAAAATGGTGTCAAGCTTACTGGTGTGTTTGAGAGTGAATATTTGGGTGAGACTGGATTTGAAGGGCAGAAGATTGGCAAGGGAGAGGGAGAGAAAGAGGATCTGGGTCGGATGTGGAGCAAGGTTAGTCCTCAAGCCCACGAGGCCGAGGCGAAGTCGAAGGAGTAGTTTTTCTTGGAGATGGAGAACTGGTCTTGCTAGATTGAGAAGAAGCTATCGTTTTGTGACTTGAGAGATGATGATAATAGATTTGCTTTTTGTTTCACTCATCGTGCCCAAGCTCTCTACTCCCCTAGATCGATGCTGGTGCTTGTGAAAGTAATTATTGAGTGGGGAGGCCAGGCCATGCAGCCGAAGGCGATATATTTTCAAGAAGCCCAAGACATGCAGAACAACGCAGCTTGCTAAATATGTTGAAAGTGTGTCGAATGTAAAACTCCGCCTTTTTCATCCTTCGTCAACCCTTTTCGAGATGCATCTAGTCCTCCTCCTCAGGTACATCTTCCTCAGTACCCATAAGTCCAATAGCCCAATGCACTCTCGCGCTAGCCTTTGTCCTAACGAACTTCCTATCATTCTCGGCGTCCAACTCTGATAATCGCTGTTTATTCGCTTCTTCTTGACTCTCGCGATATCGACCGATTCTGAAATCTGAGAATGTGGCTTTGCGTACGCGAACGTGGGGGGGTCCTCTTCCGGCTTCCGCGGCGCGAATCCAGCCACTCTGACATCCTTCAGCGATGATACTGGCGGTAGCCCATCCACTGCGACGCGTAGTTTCGAAGAGGCGCTCGACAAGCCAGGCACGGTGGGAGGCGTCGGTGTATTGAATACCGGCGAAGAATTGTGGGATAATCATGTCGATGAACGCGGCGCCCATCTTGGGGTCCAGAGGGCGGTCTTCGGGTGGTGGTTGAATACCTGCTGCTATGCGGCCGATAGAAATGGCGTAAGGTTTTGTTTGCTCTGCTGCTGCGGCTGCTGCGACATGGGCAGCTGGTGGCATGTGAGGGTGATTGCGAAGGGCGGCTATCATAGCCATGTTGTAGGTGGCCCAGAACACGCTGAGATCCCATGATCGATAAAGCAAAGCCGGTCCAAAGGGTGTGAGGTGCGGCGTCTGGTATTCGGCGTCCAAAGGCTGGAAGTAAGGACCTAGATTTGCGGCTACAAAATCCAAAGCTGCTTTTATGCTGTTCCATTCTTGCAATGCGTTTGCTGTTGCGATATTCAGGTCTATGCTGTCGTATGCGTGTGATGCTGTGCTTCCTGGTGAGTGAGAAACTCCTCGCGTAGAGAACATGTTTGGAGGAGGTGTGGCTGATGGATTATTTGATGCATTAGATGCGCGCCTTCCATTTTCAAGTGGTGAGCCCATGCCAGACTTTTCAACTTTGAGCTTTCTCTTTCGATCTCTCACAGCAAAGTCTGCAATGCGAGAAAGGAGCAGTACAATATGATCGAACGAGCCATATGGTGCATCGGCCCTGCCCAATGGTGCTCGGGGCGGACAGTCAGTGTAGCGACTGAAATCCATCCTGTATATTGTTAGCAACGAAAATGCGCTTAACTCTGCCGAACATACATCAAAGGATCAGTACTGATCAAACTGTGGTAAGCATCTTGCTTGCAATACCACCAATACAGGTCTTTCAGTGTATCATATGTCTCCAGGTTGAATGGTTGTGGGGTAGGCATCGCTTCGCCAATATGACCATATCTATCGTAGCTGACTCCAGTACCACAGATCCCACCGACGATATTTTCGTCGGCTTCGTACATCTGATCCAGCAGTAAATCTTGTGGCGATTGATCTGGAGAGACCTGGGGCATACCAGTAGCCGAGAACCGTGGCATTTGCTGATCTTGTCTGGCTTTCACAGCTTTCATCTGCTTGAAGGTTTTGGTCATCCCAGCAAAGTCCATCTCGACCACCAGCTGTCGAGCGCCGTTCAAGTGACTTTGCCAGTTGGCGTGGTTTGCTGCCATACACTCGTAGTAACCCAGTAATAATGACGCAGCGAACACAGGGACGGTAAGTCTTTTCTTCGGATTGCCTACGCAATTGTGAATTCTTTTCAAAGCATATGCGTAATGCTTGAGTGACGGTGTCTCTGAAGCACCCTGTATCTTTGCTATTTGCAGACTTGATATCGCAAGCATAGATTGCAAGAGGCCCTGATGATGCAGTGCTGCCATGGGCAACGTGTGAGTCCAGATACACTTCCGTACCATGGGCATAGTTTTACTGTCGGAAGATGTTGGGTTGAACCGCCAAATTTGCCTCGCCGAAGTGGTCAATATCGCCGCTGTTTCTGACATGAAATGAGCAAACACCCTTGCTGTGGCTGGATTCTTCAGTGGGTTTGCAACGTGTTCCGGTCGGTAGCTGTCCATTGCACCACTGAACACAAACGTATCAAATGATCGAGCGTCCATCCTAGCTGCGTCGAGTCCGTATCTTGCTTGATTGTAAGAGCGCGCTTTCGAGCCGTGAATATTCTGTGCTTCGAAGTCGTTATCCATGTCGTACATTTCGTCCTCTGTATCAACGTCATAGTAATCCTCATCATGAACTTCAATGGCTGCTTCATCCAGAACACCATTGCGTCCAAGCTGCGTTTGTAAGGGTGCGTTATTGTTCATCATCGAATTATTCTGCGAAGGTGCCTGGTACTGTGTTGGCTGTGACTGCTCGATCTTCGAATCATAGCTGTAAGGTATACCACCCGGCGGCGTCGGCGTCGGATCCGGGACACTCGGACTGATGAAACCGTCTCCATGCCATTGATGTGGCACACCTATCGGCTGCTGGTCGTCGTTGACATATGCATTTGACCAGAGTACTGGCGTGAAATGGCCCTGTATATCCTGTTGCCAGCCAGTGGTAGAATATTGCTCGATATATGGTGACTCTTCCGGGATAGACTGATACAAAATTGGGTTCGGTGGTCCGCTGTCAACAGGGACACCATGAGAGAACGACGAACTCCTGTCAAGAAAGGGTCTACCAGACATGTCTGATGTCTGCTCAAATTGAGTCGATTGTGACATGCCATGCAGAATCGGATCAAAGCCTGGATGTTGAGTAATTGGCGGGGACTGCTGGTGTTCTATGGCATTGCCAATACCACCGTATTCATGTGACATCTGCGATGCAACAGAAAGCGATCGTGGTTGCGAACTGGTATGCGGAGGATATTGCCCATGATGGTTGTGCTCACCAGGCATACCCGAAAGTCCAGCATCAAAAGTTATGGTGGCACCGCCATGTGGTAGGTATTGAAAATCAGCTGGTTTGAAGACAACACGCTGGTTGTAACCTTCGCATTGCCGCTTCGATTTCATGCAATTTTTGCATACTGGTTTGCCTTCGTCACACTTGATTCTGCGTTTTCGACACGTGAGACAACCAGTCTTTGTTCTCTTCCGGGCTGACCTTGCCGCTTCAGAGCTGCCCGCCTGCGCGCTGCCCGGTTCGCGACCTTCCGACGCGCCGCCATTCTCCTGCTTGAAAGTAGTCATCCCGTAGCAAAACTAAGTCGATTGCCCAGGTCTATCTGGAAATTCGGATGGGACACCTCGCATAGTAGATCCTCGTAAAGATGTGAGGTGTAAATAATGACGCCCGCCCGCGCATACACCAATTACACAGGTGATTTGGTGGGGAGGCACTGGCCACTCGCAGCTGTATCCAGAAGTCGGAACGTGCAACCGAGGATCGAGATGTCAGGAGATTCTGCACAAAATAGCAAGCGACCAGGCGCGAAATGATTGTGGTGTTAATAGACGTTTGTCGGAGGAGCGGGCACAAGACGAGAGGTGTGCTTTAGGAAGAGAGAGCCGTGATGGCCAGGTCCTCAGTGTCTATCTGACAACGGCGTCAACGGCGTGGAAACGGGTTTGCTTGTCCCGGCCTCGAAGGATCCGTGGATATGCCGACTCTGTGTGTAAAGCGCGGATGGATTATGTTTCGACCGTGCCGCCCCGCCTTGATGTAATTATCACTGGTGCTCCGTGTGTTCTGATTAATGATTTATATGTAGCTAAGCCAGGGCTAGATGAGACCGGCGCAAGGATTAGGGCGCGATTAATCTAGGAGGTTGGTCGCGCCTTTTCTCCATCTACAGGATTTGCCGAGGCGGGCGTGGGGAAAGAGACAGAGAGAGTAGGACAGAAGGATCCAACACGCACATACTCTAGTAACAGCCATCACGAGAGAGCCAACATATTGCACGATCCTTCGATCAAAACTGCTGTGTGCGCATTGACCGCCACCATTTGGGCACATGTCGTCTGGTTGATGTCGCCGGAATCTATACGACAAAATTAAGTTAACCTTGAGACCCTGATGTGCTCATGGCAAGTTCGCATCAGAGAGACAGTGGTTCACGAGTACTCCCACGTGGATTTTCTTTCCAAGTCGCACAATATGTCACAGTCAAGTGCTGATTTGTTCTGATTTTATTGGTCGGCCTGATATTTGAGATATGCAATGCACGAATACGGAAGGTTGTATAACATGATAGCGTGGATGGCTTTGCTGACGAATCAACTCTCCAATCGAATCATCTCTGCCATGTTTCCACGCCGATCAATAGCACAGGGTGACGTTGTTCTACTGCCACTTTGTCTTGTGTTGGGAATACAAGACTCGACTCTGCCTCCTCTTCCATATCCAAGGTCTTTGCCTGCGTCGAACCTCGTCCTCGCAAGCATTGCCTCTTTGTTTTGGGCGCCAGTCGTGAGAGTTTTGATCAGGTAATATAATGGATCTTGGCATGTTTTTGAATGACAAGGTCCCCAGCTTTCGGCCAAATCTCAATGACTCGCTCAGGAAGAGTACCATTGTCGGATCGGACAAGCCCTCATCGAAGGGGCCCTAATGACTTTATGATTTGAAGGACCGTACTCTCGTATTGCTATCACGTCTTGCAATTGGCTTATTTGCATGTGAAAGTCGCGTCTTTTGAGGTCCGACATAAGCAAGAGAGCTCCTTGCCGACACTACTTGTCCACGTCGCTATTTGTACTGCGGGAAGATGCATGCTTCGAGTATGAGTATAGGACTCGAGGTTTAGGCTTCTGCTCCCACAGAATTGTCTCCTGGTGGGATCTGTCTTGTATTTTGTGACAGCTTGCGAAACAAACCACCACGCTCGAGTAAATGACTGTACATCACTTCTTGGGAGCCTGCGTGCCTAATGGCTATGCCGTGAAGTTGCAAAGAGCATCATCAACATGGAGTTGCTCTAGAATGCAGTCCGGGAAGCCACCCGTCCGTCACGGATGTGTGTTCCGTGCTGGAGATCCAGGACTATGTTCTGTCAAATCTGACATGACGGCTGTAATTTTTGGGCCCTTGCAAACCATCGCTGTCGTCGACTGACATGGTCTGACGATGTGAAGATGACTGGCTTTGGCAATCGTGCTTGCTGCATCCCATCACGTTGCGACCAGCATGACCTGCAAGACCTGCGGCGGCAGGTACAGAACAGAGACACCCTGTGAAGATCTCAACTCGAAAATGACGCGACAAATCCCTTAGAAATCACAGTTTTGCACGTGCTTATCTCGTCAGCGGCGCTGGCCTGCAACTCGCCAACTGGTCGTCGGAGTCGGCCGATCCTTCAACTGCTTGAATAGGTAAGAGGAACGACCACCTTCTTGGTGGCTATTTGTAGCCAGTCAAGACGCATGTGAGCATGAAGACAAGCCTGAATGTGCTGTTCAAGACGCAGATATTCTTTAGAGACGCCGGAGGTACCAGACGAGTGCGTAAGTGTTCTCTTCCCACCGCAGATCCACTGCACCGCCGCACCTTTTCAGTACCTTGGCACCTGCTGCTGGATTTTAACCACCGGAGCGCGGCAGCTCCACGGGCTCTCACGTCGCACTCTAAACCTGATATCGAAATGATTGACCACTTTTGTGGATACTTCGACAGCACGACCTCCTGACAATCGGCAGAATTACAACTCTCCCGACGGCGAACCTGAGCGCCTGTTCGTGGATTGGACGTTGCACCCAACTTCTTCATCCGACGGTGGTGGTTAATTTCGAATTGTTATACTGAAGTGATGTCATTGTGTATACCCCGACGATGGAGAGCTTGACTTGGGGCCACAGTCTCGTGTCCCACTGCGGGCGAATATACTGGGGTTGGAATATAAGAGTAGTGGAGCCCTCTGGAGGGCAACGTCGCGTACTCAGGTAAGACGAGGCTTCAGCACAGGAGGCTGGGCATCTTTCATCATGTATACGATCTCAAACATCTATGTTCTGGCCGCATTCGGCACCATTGGTGGTGCACTCTTTGGTTTCGATGTCTCATCTATGAGCGCACGGATTGATCAGGAGCAGTATCTGGAGTACTTCAACTATCCTGACTCAAACTTGCAAGGAGGCGTGAGTGAGGATATACATACCTTTCGAATCATATGTTGACAAGTTACAGATCACTGCCTCCATGTCAGCCGGATCTTTCCTTGGTGCTCTTGCTGCAGGATCCATCTGTGATGCTGTTGGCCGCCGCCGTTCTCCAATGCTCGCGTCTATTATCTGAATTATTGGCTCGGCCATTCAATGCAGTTCACAAAATGTCGCCCAGTTGATCGTCGGACGCATTGTCAGCGGTCTTGCTGTTGGCATCACCTCCTCTCAAGTTTGTGTGTACCTAGCCGAGCTGGCTCCGGGTAGCATTCGTGGACGTATAGTCGGTATTCAGCAATGGGCTATCGAATGGGGCATTCTCATCATGTTTCTGGTCGCCTATGGCTGTGCCAAGGGCGTCAGTGGCCCTTCCGCCTTCCGCATCGCCTGGGGTGTTCAAGGTATCCCTGCTTTCGTTCTCCTTGGTTCTCTCTTCTTCTTCCCCGAGAGTCCCCGCTGGCTCGGTTCCAAGGGTCGATGGCAAGAAGTTGAAAACACTCTTGCTTTGCTTCATGCCAATGGGAATCTTGACGATCCCGCTGTTCAAGCCGAGTTGCTTGAGATCCGCGAAGCTGTTGCAGCTGCTCAACACACTGAGGGTGTATCTTTCTTGGGCCTTTTCGGCTAGAAGATGTGGAAACGTACCATGTGCGGTACCACTGTCCAGGTGTGGCAACAGCTCCTTGATGGCAATGTTGCCATGTACTGTGAGTACAAATCACGAGGAACGAATTTTTCCAGACGCTAATTCGGGCTCAGACATTGTGTACATCTTCCAGATGGTCGGCCTCGGCGACCAAACTCTGACTTCATCAATCATCCAATATGTCATTTTCCTCGTCACAACAGGTCTCATTTTGCCATACATCGACAAAATCCCTCGCCGTCTCCTACTTACTGGATCTACAATATGCTGTATCTGCCATTTAGGACTTATGGCAAACTATGGACACTCCGTCGACTCGATTAATCGAAACTCAATATTAAGATGGCAGGTCGACGACAACACTGCCGCCAAGGGCGTTATCGCAGTCAGTTACATTTTTGTTACGGTTTGACATCGTTGAACTAATGAAAGACGTAACAGAGTGCTTGATTCTTGGAGCTGATGGGAAACATCAGAGCTATATCTATCTACTGCTGAACAAACGACTACCACAGCTACCAGCAAACAAGGTAAATCAAAGCTATGGCCACAAGTATGGGCAGGCATATTCAAGTGACATGGGCTCCGTGTGGTTGGATCTATTCTTCGGAGGTCTTCCCTCTCAAATACCGTGCCACTGGTGTCGGCCTCTCTGCTGCTACAAACTGGTAAGTCTTACGTTGACGAGTCTGCGTGAAGTACAGCCGCTAAGTTCTGTTCAGGATCTTCAACTTTGCACTGGCATACTTCGTCGCCCCTGCTTTCACTAACATAACCTGGAAAACCTACATCATTTTCGGCGTCTTCTGCTTCACCATGACATTCCACATCTTCTTCTTATATCCGGAAACCTATGGCAAGACCCTTGAAGAAATTGATGTCCTCTTCGACGCCAATATTCCTGCCTGGAAGAGCAGTCAAGTCAAGAGCCGCTTCAGCGAGAGATTTGACACTGCAGTCCGCAAGGGTTCTCTCACCGAGCACGTCGAGAACGAGGCTGACGAAAAGAAGAGTTCTGAGGCTGCTTTTCAGAAGGAGAGTGTGTAGATCTATCAAGCCGGACTTGAGTTTGACGAAAGAAGCATGAAATAACGCCGCGATTCACACACGTATTGTGCCTCGAAACAGCTACAAGCTTCATATGCATTACCATATAAGGAGGTCTAGATGTGGACTGGAGTCTGGAATCAGCCTCGGATATAGAGGTCGGGCATTAGAATGGGAAGACATGGACTGAAATCATGGAGGAAGAAGGCTAGAAAGTGATACCACCTTGTTTGATCATTACAAGTAAACTTACAGCTTTTCTGAGCCAATCTCGTCATGTCACCACGGCAGCACAAAGCACAACCGCATAGGCTTAGGACTCGTAGAAATTATTAGCTCTCCGTGCAGTCGCATCAATGGACGGTTCACATGCTACGTCAAATTAACGCGTCTTGACTTCTGCTTGCCGATTGAAGATAATCAGGGGTTAAGACTATGTACATACCTTAGCACCGTACAATGTGGCCTTTCTTTACCAGGCATTTGCCATCAGTCTTCTTATCCTATCAGCATGTGAAAGTGCTCTGTCAGTTGAGCAAACATGCCAGACCTCGAAGTATGGGCCAGAAGTGGTGATCATCACGACATCCTTTTTCGATATTCTTGCAGAGCCGAAACGTTCTCGATGCCACCGACACTTGTCTCCCACCTCCTGATAGGCACCAAGATGATATTCCAAAGGACAAAAGAGATGATTCCGCTGAGGCTCGAACTCAGGACCGCCTGTGTGTTAGACAGAAGTGATAACCAACTACACCACAGAACCATGTGCTTGATGATGAGCCTGAGACACTACAATCTATGTTCTTCAAGCCATTGTCGAACAGAGCACTGACGCGGTGCTCATCTCCTAGGTTCAGATGGTGTGTCGAGATGTTATGTCGGTCAAGTCTCTTGGTGGTGCGTCGACAATACCGCGAGGCCTCGATGAAGTCCCAGCAAGACGATCGGTTGAAGTCTCAGGATGTAAAATCAATCGAAGCACAGCACTCGCGACTCGGTGCCCAACATGCGTTCATGATGTAACTCATGGCGAACGACGACGACTCCACTTCTGTGACGACAGGAGAGTCAGGTCTGCCCATCAAACATGTCTGCGCTGATGTCCCGGATGTCCCGTATGTATGTCTGGGGAAGAACTTGGCCGAGAAAAGGTTCGTGTAGCCAAGCGGATCTCTGGACCTTGACATTGTTGCAAGTTATTGCGTGGTGACGACGGTCGCGTTCATGCCGGGGTCGGGCTGCCAGAGGCAACGGCTAAAATGGTGACATGGCGATGTGCCTCCTCGTCTTGCTCTGAGCAGAGCCGATGCTTGTCATTTTGACAAGAGCTGCCTCACGAAAGAGATCGCGTACCAAGAAGAGGCTCTAGAACAAAGTCTTGTGTATATTGGTGGAAGTTGTTGAGCGATGAAAGTGGCAGGTGTCAAGAAAGTATAGCGTCACTCGGTGAATTCGATTTGCCCCGACGCCAGCCGTGTTGTCCGCCCTATTCCTTCGTAGCCATTTTTTTTTTATCATCCTACATCTTGTGTAACATATCTTTTTTGTCGATAGACGATCCAGAGCACTAGTTGCTTCTCATCATGCAGCAGGATCCGTCGAGTCAGGAGTATGCGGAAGAGGTGGCTCGTCTCCGTGCGAGCGAGTCTGACTCTGATGCCGAACTTATGGTATGTGATATTTTCCTTGTTCGACTTCCATGTTACCAGAAGAGGTTGCGTGTACATTGTATTATGATCAATCCTCCACTGTTAACTCGAGAGAGAGAGAGAGAGAGAGCGAGATGTTCGTGCTAACACTCAGGCTTCGTAGGAAAATTTGGGTTACAAACCAGTCTTGTGAGCGAACCGATTATCTTTTCTCGATCTTAACTCATCCTTGATAAGACATCGCTCCTACAACTTGTTCCATAACTTTGCCACATCTTTTGGTGAGTCGAATAAATCTTTCGTCATGACGCCCAGAACTGACCTCCTTGTCAGCGGCACTGTACTTTGTAGGAGGTGTTAGAGTCACGTTCTCTACAGGTATCAGCGCAGGCGGTCCTCTTGCATACTGGTTAGTTCTTGATGGTTCTGTATGGTTGGTTCAAGTGGCTGACCGATGCAGGACTTCGTATATCGTGACTTGCGTTTTCACTCTCATTACAGCAGCCGTGATTGCAGAGATCTGTTCCTCCCTGCCACTCGCCGGGTCCATCTACCTCTGGGCTGCTGAGGCAGGTGGACCTAGGTTCGGCCGCTTCCTCGGCTTTGTCGTTGCTTGGTGGTCTACCACTGCTTGGACAACATTCTGCGCCAGCAATACCCAGGGTGCTGTCAACTACCTCCTAGCCGAGATCGTAGTCTTCAACGTCGACTTTCCTTCGGACTCGGATCACATCAAGTATCGTGCGGTACAATGGGCGGTCACTGAAATTATGCTTGCGGTCGCTTGTATCGTGAACTTGCTCCCACCAAAGTACTTCCGCTGGATCTTCTACGCATCCTCAGGCATGGTGTTGCTCGATTTCGTACTCAACATGGTCTGGCTGCCAATTGGAGTTGCTCAAGCATATGGCTTCCGCACTGCACACGAAGCCTTCATGACTACGTATAACGGTACTGGGGCTCCTGCAGGCTGGAACTGGTGTTTGTCCTACTTGGCTACTGCCGGCATCTTGATTGGATTCGATGCTTCTGGCCATGTAGCTGAGGAGACGAAAAACGCTAGTGTTACGGCTGCTAGAGGTATATTCTGGAGCACCGTCGTCAGCGGTATCGGTGGCTTCATTGTTGTAATCTTGTTCTTGTTCTGTTTGGTAAGTCATACGTCGTTGTGTCGATGTCGCAAATTAGAAACATGCTGATCGTCTCCAGCCTGACGCCGACACCTTCTTCACATATGGTTCTGAGCAGCCATTCGTGCCACTCTATGCTGTAGTACTCGGCCAGGGTGGGCATGTGGTCATGAACATCGTCTGCATCGTCGCTCTCTGGTTCAACACTGCAATCGCTGTCCTCGCCGCATCAAGACTGGTGTTTGCCGTCGCAAGAGATGGCGTTCTGCCTTACTCTGGCTGGGTCTCTCAAGTCAACAACGGCCAGCCTAAGAACGCCGTGATTGTCGTCTGGGTCGTTTCAGCCATCATTACCTGCACAATCCTTCCATCCAGCACTGCATTCACCAGCCTGGTTTCAGCCGCTGGTGTTCCTTCCGCCGCTGCATATGGTCTGATATGTCTCTCGAGACTGATCCTCACGCCAAAGACATTCCCCAAACCTCGATGGAGTCTTGGAAGACTCAGCAAGCCTTTCCAATTCATAGCCGTTTTTTGGAATGGCTGGGTTGTTGCTGTCTTGTTCTCACCGTATGCTTTCCCTGTCACGGCTGGTAATCTAAACTACGCTCCTGTGATCATGGGCATTGTTACGATATTCGCTATCATATCGTACTTTGTCATTCCTGCAGAGCGATGGCTGCCCAGTCACAGGATTCAGCAGACGCTTGAAGCCGAGGGACCCAAGTCTTTGCGTGTCGAGACAATCGCGCAAGATTAGAGTCACAAAGAGCTCATGGAATCTTGTACATATCGCTCAACAGTCCGCCATGTACATACCGTTAAAATTTAACGCATATTTCGATATAGAAAATGCGCAAAGCATCATTTCCAGTGTACAACTTGCCGATGCCAAATCACTGCACACTCTGACAGTAACCTTCGCTATCTGGTTTGTGTCAAATCTATAGCACTATTCGTGGCGAGCTCCCAATATACAAGTTGGACCAGATGTGTTGACCATCAATGTACAAAGTCCAAGCGAAGGATGACGATGCCTTGCCCGCCCAGCGAGATCGGACTTCTGTATGGCGACAATGATTCGCCAACAAGGTAGATAGACGGACGCACGCATGCAGCTGTGGGCTCTTTGAGCACCAAAGATACGGCAAGCAGGAAAGTGGATAGTGTAGTGGCACCAGCATGTTTGTATGTTGCAGCGACACAAACACAGACAATACACAATCTCATCGGTGTCGACCACCATGACATGATGTTTACGAACAACACAGACCACAAGCATATGCGCGCAGCTTGTCAGCATCAACAGAGCTCCTCCGGCAACGACACGGGAGAAGAGCGGAGAAGCTGCACGCTACCGGCCGCGGACGACTCGGACTCGAGACATGGGTGCAAAGTTGCTTGTCACAGTGTCGTCACCCTCGAGTCCGACCTGCACCGGCGTGCTCCCTCAATACGGCCTGGATGTAGCGCCGATATTCAGCGGTGCAAAGATGTCTCGGGCATATCGGAAAAGCGTTTGCGAATAAGATGGCTCCACGTCGCAGGTGGTTTGAGGCTGAGCTGCAAAAACATGCCTCAGGAGATGAGAGTGTTTTTGGAGCGATGGGAAGCAAAAGAGGGGGCCAGCTTCAGGAGTTCGGTGACTGGCTTGGCTCCGTTAGCGCGAAGGCACTAACAGCAACAGCCAATAACTTGCGACTACGCCTGGTTAGTGCGACATTTTTGGCTTTTCGCGCGTTATCTCTGCGTAGACTTTGACTGCTTGCTTCGCGATGCTTGCTTGCTTGCTGCTGTTGCTGCTCAACAGGTGCTGTCTGCTGCCGTCGAGCGCGACGACCTTTGCGACGCCAATGTCCACTTCAGTAACAGCTCTCTCCGGCCAAGGGCTTCAACAGTCCAGGTATGCAAAGAGATAGCGGTAACAGAGGCCATGGACAAACAGCGAAAGACGACTCTGATGAATATTTTTTCATTGTCGGACGCTGGAGAAAAAAAGAATAATGCAAGGGCTCAGTCACGTGTTCGATGAAGGGTGGTGGGAAGTTGGAACGAGGAAGGCGCGTCTGTGGACTGTGGACTGCGGGCTTTTGCCATTTGGCGGTGCACACTGACTCCTCTCTCACCCACTCTCACTCTCTCCCTCGTCGTCGCCAATGCCTCTGACCGTCGCCTGTTTCTAATTCTGCCGTTGCGCCTCTCGTCGTCGCTGTCGCCCCTCTCCACAGCGCTTTCCCGCCAAACTCGGCTCCGATCTCTCACCCTCCCGTCTCTGTCTTGACCCATTCTCGACCTTCAACGCCGTCTGCACTTTGTCGACTTTCTCCTTTCCACCCTGTCCTCTTAGTCACAAGGCCTCCACCAGTGTTGGTCGGCTTCATCAGTCCTCGTCGAGCCCTGCGCACCACTGCGCGAGGCTTTTGTGAACTAATCATCCCTGTCCACAGCCTCGACATTCCTGCCTCTCAGCGACATGCGTTGCAGACACGACCCGACTCCGCGCACGACATAGAACCCTCCTCAAACACCACCTCTGCATGACGACGATAGGCAGCTGGATTATGACAGACATCCCGCCGCCGTTGAATGCACTCGCTGCTGCTGCTCGTCAGCAGCACCACCCTCTGTCGACCCTACCCTTCGCCGCTGCCCCCTCCGCTCCGCGACGATCAGCACAACCGCCCATCGACGACGGCATTGAAGAGGACGATGGCGAGATCATCTGTATCTGTGGCATGCGCCACGACGACGGCTTCTCGGTCCAATGCGAAACCTGCAACAACTGGCAACACATGATCTGCTACTATCCAACCGAAGCAGATCGTCCTGGTGAGCATCAGAAACATTACTGTTTTGACTGCCAACCACGTTGGCTCGACGCGGACCAGGCAAAGGAAAGGCAGAAAAAACAGATACAAAGACAAGCCCTCGACTCACGGCGACCCGGCCCAAAACATCGCAAAAAGCAGAAGGAATCTCCCTCTGCCGTCAACGGTTCCCTGCTGCAAGGTCGCGAGCGTAAGAGTGCTAGTCCGCGCGATCAACCTCCCCCTGCCAAACGTCCCAAGACAGGCCACCGCTCGTCGGCCGCTGCCAATCACGCACCTACAAGTCGCAAACGAAATGGTACGATAACGACAGCTCGCAGCCCGTCACCCGACCCGTCTAGACCCATCATACCATGGTATTCGGAAGAGTTCTATCGCCTCTACTCTCAAGTCTCGTCGCACGTCGAGACCGAAACAAACCTCATGAACAACATCGCCGTCACGAACTCATTATCGGAATGGCTCAAGAACCCGGCCGTCGTCGAAAAGGATACCAACGGGCTCGCCCAGAACGACATCTTCCTCCGCTGGGACGGTTCTTTCGAAGATATGCCCGGTCGGCCCGAGGTCGCCGTACACTGGGAAGCAGACCCCAACTTCACAGACCAGGCAGAGCCTCCGAAATGGCCCTGCTTGACGGTCGAGCAAGACATCTCGAAGCGCACCTTCATCGGCGAGCTTCGTGGACACATCGGCTATAAGGAAGAATACATGAACGATCCTGACAGTCGATGGTCATCACTACGCCACGCTGAACCCTTTGTCTTCTTCCACCCTCAACTCCCCATATACATTGACGCTCGTCAGGAGGGCACCATGTTCCGCTACGTCCGTCGCAGCTGCCGACCAAACACGGAGATCCAAACCATCATTACCGACGGCACGAACTATCATTTCTGCTTCATGGCGACGAAGGACCTCCAGTCCGGTGAAGAGATCACTGTCGCATGGCAGACCGACGACACGATCAAGGCAATGTACGCCGAGAGAGGCATTGTGCACGGCGATGTACCCGCCGACATCAAGTACGCTATTGCCATGTGGGTGTCCAACGTGTTGGCCAACTGCGGCCCCTGCGCGTGCAACGGAGAAGGCTGTCTCATGGCCAGATTCGATCGACGTGGTCAGCCCCAACCTGTCGAACCCACCGAGACGGCTCCCGCACCTATCAAAGTGCCTAAAGCTCGCCGCAAAAAAACCAGCAACAACCTTTCTCCCATCGACCTGAACCGCAACAGCCACAGTCGCTCTGGTAGCGAAGCCCGGAAAGTCGAAGTCGAGGATGACATGACTGACACTCGCTCTGTCTCTGGCTCGTTCAGAGCTTCAGCCAGCCGAGACATCACTCCCGGCACCCACTACTCGGCTGTTATACCTGAAATGTCCGAGCGCGAAAAGAAGAAGCTCATGCGCGAGGAAGAAATGTTCCGACGACAAGAGGAGGAAAGTGGTCGACAAAAGAAGAAGCGTCACAGTGGCGCCACACCACTGCTGCCGCAGAGTAGCACGCTTTCTTCTTCAAAGCAACAATCGTCGGAACCTTCATCTTCACGCCGCGGTACCATCTCTAAAAGGCCGTCCAAGCCTTCGAGGTCAGGTAAGCAGTCGGAGTCGACGAGGCCAGTCTACGTCGATTCATCTGTGCAATGCGACATGGACAACGACGATCCGCCTGGGCCACCGATGCCCACTCCTCCAAAGAAGAAGCAGTACCTTTCTGTCACGCAACGGCTACTGCGGAGGTGCGCTTCCAATAATCTCAAGCGCAAGGCTGAAAGCGAGACGCCTGAAGATGCACCCACCACGAACGGAGTCCATCCAGATGAAGACATGGACATCGACAATGCAGACCAAAGCCCGACGAGCGTTGGCGCTGCATCAAGAGCCACTCCTCTGTCGCCAGTCTCTGTCAAGCACGCCGACGTCAATATGACTGAGGCTGCGCCTGTACATCCCGCTTCGCTGTCGCCTGCTTTCGGTCCAGTAGATGCAAACATGCAGGAAATGGATGATGAGCATACTCAGGCCACGCCTCCACCCAACGGCCATGCTGCCTCCTCATACAGCTCAGCAAGTCCATCCACATCAAAGTCTGGCCTCCCTTCACATCCACCAATGGACCCTCCACCCCCTCCATGGCCACAAAAAGACGTGCCGAGTATGGGTGAAGTGCTTCCTGCCTCTCCAGAGTTTAAGGATACCCGATTGGAGATGCATCTGACCATGCCTCCGCCATTGAACTCTGCAACTTCACCTACTCTCCTCTCCCAATCACCCGCAACGATGACACCTGGCCTTTCCAATATACCCCTCTTCTCGCCATCTGTCTCTGCGGCAGTGAACCCCAGTCCCGCCAGGAAGAAGCTGAGCTTATCCGACTACACAAAACGCAACAAAGTCCACCAGCCACGAGACATTTCACCCGCAGCCAGTCTGACGGACAGCGTATCAGCCAAAGACAAGGAAAGCATCTTGAACGGTGTCGCCGTCACAGACTCGCCAGCATCAGAGCAGGCCATCGATGCCGCAGTACCAGCTGGAAGTCAAGAGTCCGTGGTACCACCAGCTTGAAATAAAAAGGTTTTTGTAATATAGGGAGGTCAAATTCTGTCTTGAGCGTTCTTCGCTTCTCTTTCTTTTCTTAATGATCAAAAGGGAATAAAAGAGGTGGGATCTGCCGTTTTTATTTTTGTGTGGCTTTTTAAGCGTCTTCCTTCATTCTTCTTCTCCAACTTTATAGTTAACTGGTAAAACCTCGACACTCTGACTGTACGATGATGTTTCTCAACCGTTTTTTCTCTTCCTTCTTGTATGTGAAGTAACTCGATATGAGAATATGCTTGCGCATTAGGCAGCCTGCTCCTGCTCCTGCTTGTTTTCGTAATCAACCTTGGCCGAGCTAGAACAATGGGATGCTGCAACAACTATCCAGGGGCAATTTGCCTTTTTACTTTTTTGCTCTCCCCGAAACTTCGCAGCAGGGGTCAGTCTTGATGTGGTATTATGATGATGAGACCGAGTTCATTCGAGCTTGCTCAGAGACAAAAAATCATGAGCTTTGGTTCAAGCTTTGGTGTTGTTTTTAGCTGGACTTGTATGGCCGGGGGGTTTATCGGAATGTCTGCGTGATGTTTGCGGAAGCTTTTTACCATACAGGCATTGTACTTCAGAAACTCATACAGCAGAGCATTCTGCGGATAACGTGTCGGATCTATCGGTGTACGGAGACTTTTTTTTTTTTGCTGACGCGTCCGGACTTTTTTTGAACGATACATATGATCCCGTCTATCTATATTAGGACTTTGCTTCAACAAAAGGCACTCTGGGAGACTGAGTCCTTTTGATCTAGGAGGTCAGAGGCGGACCATTTCTCGACGATGGTGTGGTTGAGGTGTCTTCTGGCCGATGATTCGAGTAATCCTTATTGACCTTCTCGGGTACTGTCTCTACACAAGAAGCGCCTGTATGATCTCGATATTGAGGATCGATCACGATAAGCATGATATCACGCTCTCGACGACGCTGGGAGAGATGTTGAGATCGCTGCATGTTGTGAAGTTTTTGATTACACAGCAAGGAAAAGAGTGCATCATGAAGGTGAAAGAGAGAATGAGAGATGCGAGTATAGCTGAAGTGAGCCTCTGACACTTGTTCACAACTCCCTGGAAGATGGTAGATGTCACCAGTCTGAATAGTGACATGCCTCTACACAGCTAGCTATTGACGTCCGTATCTCCGAGGATTTCCCAAAGCCAATTGGCGACGATACTCACGCATACGTTCAATTAGCCTTACGACCTCTTTTGCGAAAAAGAAAAGGTCAGCAAAAAGGCAACAGCGATACAACACACAAACAGGACTCACTCTCGTAATGATCCACAGGAAACTTGATCCCTGCGGTAGTAAACTCACCACCCAATTTCTTCATCCTGTCCGCACTTTCTTGCTCCCTAGTACTGCTGTCACGTCTTACCCTATCATTGTGTTCTGCTGATTTTGAATAGTACGCTGCCTCCCAGTCATCAATCATGACGGACTTTAGCTGTCGGATTAGTTCTGAGTCTTGCTGTAGCAGCTTTTCGAGTGGTAGCATAATGCCATCACTGCATAAGGATATACGGAGATGCTGCAGTTGGTTAGAGAGGAAGTCTTGAGACATAATGCCAGGAGTGAGTTTGTGCAGTAGTCTCTCGTTGCTATCAAGGGTCGTGAGGGAAGCGTAGTTATGTAAAAATCCAGAGGCTTGCGCGCATGCAGAAGGTGAGTTTTTGAGTGTGAGACCGCGAGGCTCGGTGCTCACGCCCCACTCATGCCAGATGTCGCGTTTCATGCTCAGACTCTCCAAGCTGTGGTGATGTGAGTATATGATTTTCTTGATGTGCTGTAAGTTCCAGTCTGATTTTGGTATATCATAGCCAAGGGTCTTCAGAACAGTGCAACGGCTAAGCAGATTCTCCAAGATTCGAGGATGAACGGCGCACGAGTGTGATTGGAGGCTCTTGAGAGTCGTGGAGAAAGACTGTGTGGATGTGTATCCATCTTGTTCTTGGATGTACACCTCAAACGGCCATTCGAATCTTGCCGCATAGAGGAAATGCAGACTTAATAGAGGGAGAACGATAGACAGTGGATAGCCCTGATAATGGTCAAGACCAAAGTTGTCCAATTCATAAAAATATTCGTCGTTCCAGTGTGGGTACACATGTACTGAAGTCAGATGTCGAAGGTAGGACAGAGTCTTTATGAAACTTGGTGGTGAAGTAGGCCGTGCGAAGTCCTCAGAGTCGTAATTCGGCATCACTAACTCCATGTGCTCGACATGGGTGATCAAAGTGAACAAGAGGGCGACATCAGCATCCTCTTGGATATCTGACAGCGCATAGAACCATGACTCCCGTTCCTGAGCTGTAATGTCCAGTTTTGCCAAATGTTTCTGGTACAGTGAAAGTAGTTGCGGCGATGGAATCGCTCCATGACTCGGTTCGCCATCAAGCAACGCAGTAAAAGTACCATCTCCAGGAACGGACTAGTAGGAAAGCTCTCTTCGTCCTTGTCTTCAGGGACGTGATCGGTAAGTATATGCTCCAAAGTGCCAGCCTGGAGCCATACTTCCACAACTATATTGCGAACACAGCATGCAAGATCCGGTCACCCCAACAAGGTCTGCAAGTAGCTATGTACAGATCTTAGTTCAAGTGGCGCTCTGATGGTATCAGGTTTGAAATAGTTGCGGCAGAGCAAAGGTTCTGCTGCTATACGCAGTCGTCTGGAAGTCCGGCAGAGTTTTGCGAGGTTAGACCATGATTGGTGAAGTACAGCGAGGTGAGCAAGCGATGTTTTACGGTCTCCATCCAATGGTTTCAGTGCGAAATCTTCGAAGATCAGGGTGAGTATTTCTAGAGGTAGATCGCGGAGCATTTTGTGGACGTACTGTCGCTCGATCTCTGCGACGGGGATGAGAAGCAACGAGGTTGGCAAGAACAGACCTGCAATTTAGTCTGTTGTACATGCCATGTTAGTCACAGTTGTCATGAAACACCCGCGCTTGTTCGACGCTGTAGCTCAAGGCCACCCATTTTTTGGGCGCTTGCGGTGGGTGACTCGGTGAGCGAGTTGGGCAATAATGCCAAGATGAAGTACCGACCCATCGGGAATGGGAGAAGAGGCATAGTAAGATGCAAAATGAATTCGAGGGTCGAAAGGCTTTTGAGAAGATCCTAGTTGGGCTGCATCTGAAGTCGACAGCTGTGTTGCCCTCCGCCGAGAACCCCATCATCGCGAAAGTTATCATGTCTCGCCGTAATTTTTGAACTCATCTCTTCCCTTTGGTGATCAGACTCGTGGTTCTCGAAGAAAGGTACCCTTGCAGATCGAGGGCTTTCGCAGACTTGCTTTGTAGCAGAAAATAACACCACATTAATGCACATCAAGACTTGAGAGAGCGAGCCTGTCGAAGTAGTTGTCTAAGTGTCTTCAGGCTAGACACTTTTCAACCGTTCCTGCTCCGTAATGTTCCTCTCTGAACTTGGCAAGCGCTGTGCTAAGCTTGACATCCTCGTACTCATTTGGAATCCCGATGATCTGCTCAATGGCCATCTTCAAAGCACTTTTGGCTCCTATTACGTAATTCTCTCCAGGGAACTCGATACCCTTCAGACCAGGTGCTAGTGTAAGTATCAGATCAATGTAAGAGAGGGCGCCTTGCAAAACTTCGTCGTACTCTACAAAGTCCCTGTCAAACATGTGAGTATATTAATTTTCTGAAAGCAGCAGGTTTCTCACCAATAGGACGTGTTATGGTCGCCGATATTCAGTAACTCCAGCCTTTCTAGTTTGGGAAACACCACAGGCGTGATTCCCTCGAATCTTCTCCATGTTCGTGGGTTCTGCTCCCAGCCTATCGTAAGTCTTTCCAGATATCGACAAGCAAGACCAACAGCAGACACGGAGTATTCAGTGAGCCCTTCGCTGATGAACCCTAAGGCTAATTTGCGTAAGTTAGGAAACTTCGTGATCCACTGACCGAGTCGATCATCATCTAGCCAGTCGAGCATTGGTGGCTCCTCATCTTCCCAACGACCGACGATACTCAAAACACTCAGATTGGGCAGAGAAGTAAGAGCCATGAACTCGACTGACCCCAGACTATGTTCTGGCCAAAGCGACAAACGAAGTTCGGTCAAGTTGGCGAATCGCGTCAGTTGGCGGCATATACTTCCCTCATAGAATTCCGGGAGGGCCATCTCCAAAGTCTGCAGGGCTTCGGTTGCAGTCGAGAGAGCAAGCGCTAGGAAATCTCCATGTCCACTGACGCTTAAGCGAGTCAGATTGGGACTTGGAGAAAGCGGCTCGTCGATGAAGCCAAGAATCTCTCCTAGGTCGACCTCGTCTATGTCCTTGACCAGTTTGAGATTATCAAAACAACCACACTTGAGAAGCCGTGCTAGGGTTTCATTCGTGCGGACTTCAAACACAATCCCGTCAAACGCAGGTGTGACCCGACGAGACAGGATGTCCTCAGCGATCTCGACTGTGTCTAGGCAAGGATGCTTCACCAGAAATTGCATCAATGCCTCGTAATCTTCGACTTCTGCAGTCTCTTGTAAAGTGACGTGGGACAGTTTGGTGCACTTACTCAAAGCCTGGACTGCAGGCGCACTGAGCCAGCCTGTAAATCTGATAGACCGCAGACATTGTCCCAGAAGTGGACAAAGCAGCCCATCATCAGGTGTGCTGCCCATGATTCGGAGGCCCTCAAGCATTGGCATCGTGAGCGTTGATAAGAGCTCTTTGCAGACCACATCATCGCCATCTATGACGATTTTACGAATCTTGTTGGCATAGAATTGACGACGGCCACTGTGCTTAGAAGGGCAAATCAGAGCTTTCAGTTCGGGCTTGCGCCACAAATGATCGACTAGACCTTCGAACCACTCTTTGTTGACATGGACTGCATTGTAAAGAGTTGGAATATCGCCCTCGAGGCAACCGAAAACATGCGTGCGGAGCTCGGGCGGCAGGTCGTCAAACGCAAACGTCGAGTGGGACCGAGATGCATTACAATTCATCTCGACGTCTGGAAGTGTGAATAATGCTCAAGGAATTGCAAACTGCACTATGTGACTCCGGTAACAGTGGGCAAAGATGAGTCATGTTGCGAGAAGACAAGGGGGACGACGACTGCTTGGGCGGCTATCTGAGTTGACCGATTGCATTTCCTCTTTGGGCCTAGTAAGCTTCGACCCTTTGCAACTTCCTTGTCGACCACATCTCCCAATTCGCTCCGAGAGCCTGTCTACCGTCAACCAATTCTCTCGCCCTAGATAGGCCGGTCAAGTCGGAGAAACGCATTGTCTTATACCAGACATAGGTAAGCAGACTGGATCAGTCTACTCGTTGTGCAGTCCAACTTTGCCTGCGGTCTCTGTTGCAATTCTGTCTCTTGCTCTTCCACCAAGTCTTCCTTGTATCTGGCTAGCAATTTTCTATCTAGTACAGAGCCCTTTAGAGAAGAGGAACCTCCAGTGACCAGTTCATAGGCTGTGTTCATCGAATGTGCGAAGCATCCATGACCATGTTCACAATGGTCCATCCAGAAGTCTTCACAGCCGTAAATTTGGACCTGCTCAAGACTTGGAAGAAGCCTTGAGGCAAAGTCCAGATATTCTACCGCGACTTTCGTATGAGCTCCGTCATTCCCTGATCTGTGGAAGCGTCAGTATCTCTAATCTGGCTGTCTGTGTTCTGCGCGCGATGCGCCGTTCTGAGCGGCCATGTCGCTGATGGTATTGTCGTGGTGATTGGGAATTGAGGTCTGCGATAGGACCTGATGGTTTGCGCACAGTGCGTTATCGTCTTCAGCCATGATGGTGTTGTTGTTGTTGTTGTTGTTGTTGTAGGAAACGAAGTGCTCTGGCGAGAAAAGCGATGGTTATGCGCAGCAGAATGCTTGGCTGGTGAAGTTGGAAGGTGCGGTTGAAGGAAGCTGATGCGGAGTGGGAAGGTTCAGATTGTCTGGTGAGAAGAAAGCTGAGTGATGAAGAAGGAAGTGAACGATTTTTCGTCCGCTACACTCATGGGTCTGTGTACTGGAAGGAACGACCGCCCAGGTGAAATAAAGAGATATCGAGACGGTGACGCTTTCTGTACCTTTATCTTGGGTGTTTTTAAATGCGATGTCTTATTCACGATGCGATCAGGGTCTGATAAATGAGAATGTCGAACGCAATGGTCTGAGAACAGAACTTAGTAGAGCCTAGCCTTTCCTCCCATGCGTATGTGGATCTCGTTCCCTCCATGTGTTATCTCCTGATCCGCTTCTACCTGATGAGCATAACCCTCCGCAAGTCTTTTGTCTCTTCAGCCTTCGATTTTAATTCTTACGAGGGTTCGGCCCTGTGACGGCTGCTTGCTCCATTCACAGCAGAGTTCAGCTCAACCCGCCATTCCAGTGGTTCAATGCTGTTTAGCCGTTGAATGCAGAGGGTGCGAAGGCTAGGCAACGACTCACGGACAAGCAACAAGGCCGCTGGTACCAAAGATGTGGTGATTTCCCTGTGGAGTCTGTCAGCAAAAATTATAGCATGGTCGTTGGAGCAAGTCTTACTCTGAGGCCAGGAGTACGTCGTGTGTAAGTGGATTTGTTCGCCTAACTCGACCGAGTTCCAGCACCTCTAGTTTGGAGAGAGTGGGCATCCGACCAGACAACGACTTCCATGTTTGCAGGTCATGCTCCCAACCTAGCATGCATGTGACGAGGTCGGGACAATTGTAAGCAATCGACGCGATGGCACGCTGTGTGAGCTTCCATCCCCATTGCAGCTTCAGTTAATGCAGCCGAGGAAATCTGGAGATCCAAGAAGCGAAAGTCACGTCAGTCAGGGAGACGTTCGACTGGGTATTGTGCTGACGACGTCTCGTAGATCTAAGTGAGAGACTCTCGAGATGGGTCATACCAGTCAGAGCATCAAGATCTGCTGTTGTCGTATCCCACCTGGAGAATAGAGATAGGAATGTGAGGTTCGTGAAGGCACTTGCAATCGACGTGTAGGAGGGTGAAGCCAGTGCTCTGACCTGGCATTTTTACCGCTTCTCTGTTGACAAAAGATGTCACTAGTGAGCAAAATACAATATGTTTTATATACCATACATGTGATGGTTCAAGATTTCACCTACACATGGCTTCATCTACGATATTAGGACAATCGTAAGAGCCAGAAGAACGTTCAGAGGCCAACGAGACATGAGGCACATTGCAAGTACGACTGACACGACCTCAGTCGTATGCTTGTGCATCTTGGGGAAACGCTGTCGAAGATGGAGAAGAGAAGGAGAGGCAGATGGAGATTAGACGGAGATGGTACGGGCTAACCCCGGTATCGGCTTAGTGCATTAACAAGCTTCAGAACGTCATGGAACGATTAGATTGAAGCTGTAATACACGAGGAGCATTGATCACACGAGAAGAGGCGCAACCACCAGCACAAGAACTCGTTCTCTCCACACACTTTCCAGGCACTGACTATTGGCTACTCTGCCAGCCTGTCCTTTCTGTTTCGTTGGTCACGCACACAACATGTTCAACCGGCAATGCAGAACAGCGCTGCAATCGTCGCAGCGTCTGTACGCCACTTCGCGATTCCACCTTGCCACGGCCTGCAACTACTCGACCGCTCCCCGTCGCATTCCCCTGACACCGCTGTCTCTTCGCCACTCGTCCCTCGCCGCATCGCGCTCCCTTAGTACAACGGTCGCACGCAGGAAAGACGACTCGTCCAAGAAGGTCGACCCAGAAGAGGAGGCACAAGACTTGGAGAACAAGGACAACAAGGACCACAAAGACCCGTTAGCCGAGATCCTCAAGGACGACTCGCACGCAAAGGAGTCTACACCCATCCCCGACGGCCGAGGAGCCTCTTCGGCAGGAGGCGACGGTGCAGCAGCGGGCGGCGAGAGTGGAAGCGGCGGTAGTGGACGCAAACGCAAGGGCGGCGAGAAGGGTCTCGTCAAGCCTTCAGTGCCTGACGTCTATCCTCAAGTCCTCGCCATCCCAATCGCCCAGCGGCCACTCTTCCCCGGCTTCTACAAGGCCATCACCATCCGCGACCCCAACGTCATTGCCGCTGTGCAAGAGCTGCTCAAGCGTGGCCAGAGCTATGTTGGTGCCTTCTTGCTGAAAGACCCCGAGTCCAACACAGATGTCATCAACGATCCCAGCGAAGTCTACGATGTCGGTACTTTCTGTCAGATCACCGGAGCTTTCCCCGCCGGCCATGGCGATGAGAAGGCCCTCCAGGCCGTCCTCTACCCTCACCGCAGAATCAAGCTCACCGACTTGATGCCTCCCAAGAAGGGCGAGAAGGGAGAGAAGACCATCGAGGAAGCTCCCGCCGTCGCTACTGCCACCATCGAAGCCGCAGAGCCTGCCGAGAAAGTCGAGAAGCCCGAGACCGACGTCATCGAGTCCAACAAGGGCGATGTGACTGCCAGCTTCGAGGAGTCTCACATCGAGACACCCGGAGAGAAGAAGCCAGCCGCTCATTACGAGCCCACCGACTTCCTCAAGACATGGCAGGTCAGTCTGGTCAAGGTCGACAACCTCGCCGACGAGCCCTTTGACAAGCGCGCTCCTACCATCCGCGCCTTGATCTCCGAGATTGTCAACACCTGCAAGGAGATTGGCAGCGTCAACCAACTCTTCCGCGACCATGTTTCCGCCTTCGCCATGTCGCAATCCGCCGCCAACATCGCCGACGAACCTGCCAAGCTCGCTGATTTCGCCGCTGCCGTTTCTGGTGGCGAGATGGAAGAGGCCCAAGAAGTTCTCACAAGCCTCAACATCGAGCAGAGACTCAGCAAGGCCTTGGAGATCATCAAGAAGGAATACATGAACGCTCAGCTCAGCAGCAAAATTAGCAAGGATGTTGAGAGCAAGATTCAGAAGCGCCAGCGCGAATACTGGCTCATGGAGCAGATGAAGGGCATCAAGCGTGAGCTTGGTCTCGAGACCGACGGCAAGGACAAGCTTCTGGAAGGATTCAAGGAAAAGGCCAACAAGCTGGCCATGCCCGACGCCGTCAAGAAGGTCTTTGACGAGGAGATCAACAAGCTCGCACATCTCGAGCCTGCTGCGTCGGAGTTCAACGTTACAAGAAACTACCTCGACTGGCTGACCCAGATTCCCTGGGGCAAGCGCAGTGCCGAGACTTTCGGCATCAAGAACGCCATGAAGGTGTTGGATGAGGATCACCACGGTTTGAAGGACGTCAAGGACCGCATTCTCGAGTTTATCGCCGTTGGCAAACTTCGCGGCACTGTCGAAGGTAAGATCCTGTGTATGGTCGGTCCTCCCGGTGTCGGAAAGACTAGTATCGGAAAGTCGATTGCTCGCGCATTGAACAGACAGTACTACCGCTTCAGCGTCGGTGGTTTGACCGATGTTGCTGAGATCAAGGGTCACCGCAGAACATATGTTGGTGCCCTGCCCGGTCGCATCATCCAGGCCCTCAAAAAGTGCCAGACCGAGAACCCACTTATCCTCATCGATGAGGTTGACAAGATTGGCCGCGGCCACCAAGGCGATCCGTCGTCCGCCCTCCTCGAACTCCTCGACCCCGAACAGAATAACTCTTTCCTCGATCACTACATGGACGTACCCGTCGACCTTAGCAAGGTCCTCTTCGTCTGCACAGCAAACATGACCGACACCATCCCCCGCCCTCTCCTCGACCGTATGGAGATGATAGAATTATCCGGCTACGTCGCCGACGAGAAGATGGCCATCGCCGAACGCTACCTCTCACCCGCCGCAAAGGACCTCTCCGGTCTCAAGGACGTCGATGTCGAAATCGAGAAAGAAGCCATCGCCGAGCTCATCAACAAATACTGCCGCGAATCCGGTGTGAGAAACCTGAAGAAGCAGATCGAGAAGGTCTACCGCAAGTCCGCTCTCAAAATCATCACAGACCTCGGCGAAGATGCCTTTCCCGAAGAGAAGGCCCTCACACCAGAGGGTAAGGAAGCACAAGAGGCAGCCGCAAAGGATACCTCAGACGTTAAGGAGACACCCACGAATATGGAGAAGGAAACCACAGAAACACCTCGCGTTGCTCTTTCCGTACCTTCGTCGGTCAACGTCCGCATCACAAAAGACAACTTGAAGGATTACGTCGGTCCTCCCGTCTTCACAGCCGACCGCCTTTACGAAACCACACCACCAGGAGTAGCCATGGGCCTAGCCTGGACAAGCATGGGTGGTGCAGCCCTCTACGTCGAGACAATTCTCGAATCCGCTCTCTCACACGCCTCCCGCCCCGCCTTCGAACGTACCGGAAACCTCAAGGCCGTCATGAAGGAATCAACCTCAATCGCCTACTCATTCGCCAAGGGCTTCTTGGCTGCACGCTTCCCAGATAACAAGTTCTTTGAACATGCACGAGTGCACATGCATTGTCCCGAGGGTGCTGTGCAGAAGGATGGACCCAGTGCTGGTATCACCATGGCGTGTTCGCTTATCTCACTCGCTCTGGGCAGGAGTTTGGAGCAGACTGTCGCCATGACTGGTGAGCTTACTGTTACTGGTAAGGTTTTGCGCATTGGCGGTCTCCGCGAGAAGACTGTTGCGGCAAGGAGAGCAGGAGCCAAGATGGTTATCTTCCCCAAAGATAACCTGAGCGATTGGCTGGAGTTGCCTGAGGTAAGTCTACACGCCCTTTCTGCCCTGATTCGAACACATTACTGACTTTAATCTACAGAACATCAAAGAGGGCATTGAAGGCAAACCAGTAGCATGGTACAGCGAAGTCTTCGACCTCGTCTTCCCCAGCGTCGACGCAAAAGCCGCAAACACCATGTGGAAGCAAACGCTCAAGAAGGAGAAGAAGGAAAAGAGAGAAAAGGAAGACAAGGACAAGGAGTATGATTCTGATTAGATCTCCCTTGTTTTAAAGTCTCGCTGTATAGACGTAGAGACTTATGCTCTAAGATGAACAGAGCGTAATTGGTGTTGGCGTTCCTTTTTTTTCTTGTTTTTCTTTCTAGCGACAATTGTTTTTCTTTTTCATCTTGTGTTTTTTTTCCATATCATCGGAACCACTACCTACTGTATAAAATCTCTTCTTTACTTTATCATACTTTACTTTCTCTGCTTCTCGCCACAGATGATATCTTGATCCATGTAAGTATATGAGATCAAGAATCGACTTCTTCGCTCGTTGACTCTAGAAGAGTACAGTATCTACCCACTTTCCCCCTTCGCTATCGTGACCATTACAGCAGAATTTCTTTAGTGATCCAGATGCTAGTTTTCAAGATCTAGTGGGCTAAAAGTCCAGGATCAAGTTCTTTTTTTTTTTTTTGCAGAAGTGGAGGAACGTTTCGACTGGAAGATGCAACTGACGTGGAGAAGAAACGACCCACAGATGAGGAAGGTTCGAACTGTGGATGAGAAGAGAAAGGAGCGACTGTACGATTCACTAGCCAAGGAGGAACTATCAGGTGGGAGAGAAAGGAGCGACCAACTAATTCAGAATGTTCCATGATCTGGGAGAGGAAGGGCGTTGGAAAATAGGGGTATAGGCATCGGGTAGCGATAGGCACCATGGAGAAAGGAGCTTTGATACACGCCTTCTTCCACCATCTGTCTATCTATAATGTTCTCATAACCTCGGCCTTGTCCGATCACCTCCGTCAAGTCACCACAAGTTCTTGACAAGCTCCATAACAGCATCATATTGCTTGCCACTCTCCGCCCTCGTACATGTCTTCGTAATGGTATGTGCCTCCTTCTCATCAACTTTGTACTCTGTCAATGTACTGTTCAAGCCCAAGCTTTCTACAAGCTTCAAGATGGCCTCACCCACAGCTTCACCATCCTTTACGTCGTCCCCAGACTTGGTAAGAGCGAAGAAAGGGCATAAGCGCGAGATCTGAGAGGCTGCGGAAGCATCGGTGGACGCTTTGAGTTTTACAACGTGGCCCAGAGTCATGCAAGATGTTATGCCGTGGGGGATACCATAAGGCGATCCCAGAGCGTAGCCGAGGGTGTGACTTAAACCCAGCCCACCTTTTACGTTCAAGCCCAGGAAGCCTAGGGATGCGTAGCTCGCCAATTGCAGCTTCGTGATGATGTCCTCGTCTTTGGGGTTAGACTTGTACTTTGGCAGGTAAGTGAACAAGTCATGGGCAGCTATTAATGCCATCTGGCGACAAGGTACTTCTGTGCTTGTGGGGTGATACATCAATTCTACCGCGTGGTCGAGAGCACGGAGACCTGTGCTCATCCACAATTTCTCGGGTGTCTCGAGAGCAAACTTGGAATCGTAGAGGATAGCATGGGGAGCTAATTCGGCATGCGCAACTCCAGTCTTTTGACCACTCTCAGTCGTGTAGCCAGCGTTGAATGTACATTCTGCGGCAGACAGAGTGGTGGGAATGGCAATGTGATGGAGGAAACGACCAGACTTTTCGTTCAAGCGGTAGGAGATGGCCTTTGCGCTGTCGATGGGAGAGCCGCCACCGATACTGATGATGGTATCAATGCTGCTGTCATTCTGAACGGCATCTGTGGCTTTATCGAGCTCTGCTACTGGAGCGTGTTGTTTGATGTTGGAGAAGGTGCCCGCATGACGAGATCCCAATTGTGATTCGACAGATTTGATCAGAGAGGTTTTGTTTGCGAGCGAGGAGCCAGTGATGATGAAGGCCTTCGAATCATCTGTGGGTAGGCATTCCAACAAATGCTTGGACACACAGTCGGCACCGTAGAAGAGCTGTTGAAGATGGGTAGGCTTCCATAGGCCGGAGAGAGGCGATTGCGATGATTCGGTCATTTTGGATTTGTGTCTGACTTGCTTCAGGGTGCTGAGGTATGTTGATCTGGATTGTCTAGAAGGAAGCGGTGAAGAGGCAATGGTTATCGTCCTCGTCGTGGAAGCTGTCGGCAGTCGTGAACCCCACCATGAGGAATGACGCAATGTACAGCTCTGACGGCTGCCTCGGGTAAGGAGTTGCAATAGATTATTTCGTGATAGATTGGACATTGTGCAAGACGACGTGTACAGTCTGTCTACTATACCTCTGTCAACGTCCTTACCTGGCCTTGTCAAACAGAAGCTCAATAAGAGAAGATGTTTGGTCCGATAGCCATCTTGCTCTCTTCAGTAGTGGGGAAGAGCCGTCACCCGTGGGACCGTCGATCCCCGAGGCAAGCTGCTGCTGCTTGTGCAACATAACATCTTGCACTGCACGCCTTCCAGCCCATCTTTCTTTCAGTAGCCTGTCAGCGTAGCACTTTTGCCAAATACTGTCCAGACATGGCAAGTTTTCCAATACTACCACTCATCTCGTGTAAGAGTTTGTGCACACCGCTCGCGCTCGGCCTTGTCTCTGCTCTTTCTTTGTGCATTATTTGCCATGCCGGGTTTAACGGGACGGTCGGTATGAAGCAAGCAAAGAAGCTCAAGACATGCTCATGACCTACCTACCTGCCCGGCTCGTCGTTCAGACAAAGTGACGTTCTCTGCCGCGAAACCCGTCAACGCTATTGCGGAGATGTATGAGACAAGAGGCGTCCTGGAGCAACCAACGGTATATGAACCGTCATAAAACAGTACAGCGATCTGTATTTCACAGACCGCCAGTCGCAGCAAAGTCGCCTCGCACAAGTAGCAAACCAGACAGGAGACAGCAAGGGCAAGAGAGAAATGCCACACAAAGCCATGCTTGCATCGCCATCCCGTGTGTTTGGTGGCACAAGACTATCGATTTCATTGCGACGAGAAAAATTGTATTTTTAGTCAAAGAGTCGCGCGACTGTAAAGGGCCAGAAATGTTAAGGCCCACCTTTGCGCGTAGAACTGCATTCGCAATTGTGCACGCGACGGACTCACGGGCCTCTTTTGACGTGAGCCGTCACGACGCGAGAAACAGTCGTCCACCATCCATGGTCCAAACAAGCCCGTTGAGCAAAGTCAATTGGCTTCCTGTTTCAAAATTGCAATAGAGTCGGTCGCACAGAGTGATGTATGCAGAAAAAGGCAAGTGGCTGTGTCGATTGGCAAAAAGAAGGCAGAAAGAGGTGTGGGAAGCCTGAGAATAACATAACATGAGCCAGCCAAACAGATGGTCAAGATGGGTTCGGGATATGCATGCATGTCGCGTAGGAATATCAAGTTTATCAAGCAAAGCAGGGACCCGACGTGCTGCTGCGCGCGCATTGGGTGGAGACTCAGCCCCTGTTTTGTGCATCCCCCGGCGCGCGCTGCCCATGCTGGTCTAGGTATGAGCAGTGCGTGGGGTCCATGTAACCGGGCAACTTTTACCTCTGATGCATATCCCACTGCTACCGAGAATAGCAATGACGTGCATTTGGATTGCCGTCCGCCGTGCGATTCAATTATCCATTTAAGAACGTGGCCCTTCCCGCCTTGCCATTTTTCTTGCTTCCTATCTATACGCGACTTTTATACCAAACGCCCGACCAACACTTCATCTGAGCATCGATCAATTCAAGCATACATCGAATTGCCTTATACATCAACGACCACCATACCTTGACGCGACGCGTGCCTTGATCAAAACTTTTACCAAGAAAAAACCCATCATCCCAAAGAACATCAAGATGCTCTTCTCTCCCATCATCATCGCCGCCGTTGCTCTGCCCCTCTTGGCAGCCGCATCACCAATCGAGCTTGAACGACGCGCTGGAGGCCCTGCCATCGTCCCTCTCGCAGCAAACTGCACCCTCATGAACCCTCTGCCCCACGCTTCTCAACACCCCGGCAACGCCAGCATCTCAGGCTACAAACCCTCCTCCTCTTTCTCATCCTCAAAAATCTTCTCTTGGTACATTCCCCAACCCGACTTTATCAGCCAAGAAGCCCGCTGGTCAAATTGCATCCAGCAATGCAACGGCCTGAGTGGCTGTGTCTCAGCATACATGGCCTACAATGCCCCTCTTCCTAAGGGCTGGCTGGGTCTTCCTGGTGGTGAGCTCGAGGTTGGCTGCTTCATGTTCAACCGCACCTTGACACCGCTGGACTTCGAGGTCGCCCAGAGTGGACAGTATGTCAATGCTACTGCTGGAAACATCTACTGCCCCAAGCCTGCTACCGCAACCGCAAATTCGGGTGCGAAGTCAACTGCTACAAAGAAGACTTCCAAGACCCCTGTCAAGGTCGTTGCTTGATTGGACTGTTCTCCGCAGCTTTCTTACACGACACACTCCGACCTCTTCCTCCTTTCTCTTCCTCTCTCCTCCTCGATTGAGCGACTCGTCATTCCTTTTCCTGGCATTCTTTCTTCACAAGCATCACTCATACTCGTTTGCATCTGGGTAATCGGATTGAAAGCATGGCTGGATAATGGAAGGTGGGGCAAGGAAAAGGGACTTTTACGACATCGGCATGAACACCACATGCAATAATGATTAATGGCTTATCTCTTTCGTATTCTTATGGGGGCAAACGGAAATGGCGTTCTCTCCTGAACTAGATCAGTGTCACTTTTGACAATATGAACACTTGTTCTCCATCATTTGTGTCTTCTGATCGGGTGACCTTGTGTTCTTGTAGCATGCAGATGACCCATTGCTGGGATAAAAGATAGTAGTCGTTGCGCATCATACTCAGACACGCAAAGAAGCAGATCTGCACGTTGAGTAAACAAGGTCATTGTCGAAGTCATTTGGTTGCTATTCAGTATTCTTGTCACTTGTGTCTCTTGTTCTCTGTCAAGGTCCCACTGTTGGCGAATATAGCTATCTTCATCACTCACTGCCCTGCCACTCTCATCAAATCTCAAAACGAAAGACTGCCACCACCTCCTCTGTGATTCGAAAACTCGACCCACCCTACCCATATAACCTCTCAAGTTCACCATCGTTTCAATACAAAGCAGCAATGGCCTAATGGTCAAGGCGCCCTCACCATCACATGTCTTGCAAACGCAAGCATAATCACCGGAACCCCTTCTCTTGGCCTCGCTCGAGAACTGATCCCTCGAGGAAAACAGATCAGGAGATAACCGCCAGCGGAGAACTTGACAACACAAGCGATACTGCTGGCGGGAAAACGGGGCGATGGATGGATATGGGGGACATGTAGGTTCGAATCCTACTTGCTGCAATCAAGTTTCTTTTTTGCTTCATCGTGTGGAGGTGTAAGGATGATTTTATGTCTCTTGCCCTTGGTAATGAGTGAATTCAACTTCTACATACTCTATGAAGTGTAGGGGATTATCTCGTCACTTTGGTCATGTGTATGATCGTATACGTCGTCTGCGATTCTATGCCTGTTCGGTGGAACATAGTCCACCAATCTGAAGAACTCTGCCATTGCAGGATGTCTCGCCGCATCTGAGATGTTGAACGGCAGGCTTCCCTCAAAGATTGCTCTTGTCAGTACATTGTCCAGTTTCTCCTTTCTTCGGTGAGCGGCACGGTGGGCGAATGCTACTGCTCGCTCAGGCACCGACTCTGGATGATTGTTGTGGGGTTGAGGCCGAGCACGAGGTGGAGGTGCCGTTGCTGGCGCTGTTGGCGAAGGGGCAGAGACATCGTTCATGGGCGTATCAGTCTCGAGACTACGGTTGTAGTCACGAATATCGTCGAGAGGGGTAGAGAGTTCTTCTCTCCTTACAGTATCCAATCCATCCAGTAATGTCGGCAATGAAACGTCAAACTGTCTTCGCTGAGGTGTTTGCTGTGTGACGTATCCACCATTGCCATTCCCACTATACGTAGCTGTTCTTCTTTGCGGTCCGTGAAGAAGTTCCTCGGGTACATCGTTCAATTCTTCATCGTTGTTTGCAGCCAGCTCGGCCAGATAACGATGAAAGTCTACGCATTGTTGAAGATGCTTGACTTTTCTGCTTGCGACACTGCGGGCGAGACGCTTGCTTTTGCAGTGCCGGCATTCGACTATTACTTGTTTTCCGGTGCTTTCGACTTGGTCGAATTGCATCGAGGCGTAGCCTTCTGGTCGGGGCATGGTTGCGTACGTGGTAGGCTACTAAGAGACGATGGAGGATGATGGTATAGATTTTCTGTGAAAAGTGCTATGAGCTTGAGTACCTCCGACACTTCCAGTCCATGACATGCTGTTGCATTGTGGGCGGCAATTAAGTTATGCAGGCAGATCACTTCTTGTGATGTTATGACGGTCGGGATGGAACTTCGCCCAGACGTGTCATTTCTCACAGAGGGCGTCACCGCTGGAAAGGCATGATCAGATGTGACAAGAGGTTGAGGCAAACTCACGGGTGGGAATTGGTGCTCGTAGGCGACCAGGATTTGGACCTTGGTATTGAAGCAAACGCGTCCGCGACGGTGGTGATGCGCGTTGTGGGTGTTGACGACGCGTTCTCGACGAGCGACAGGTTGGAAATGCCCAAGTGGTCTGTGCTCTACATCTTGTCTAGAGCATGACCCTGCGCTCATCTTCCGACACCTCTTTTGTCCAGAGAACGCCTCGATAATGCTCTGTTGATGTCATATCTTTGCACAATGTGCAGTGGAGAGATAGGGTCAATGTTCACTCTCGGGATTGAGACATGGACAGACGTCATATTCTGGACGTGAGATATGATTAACGTCGGCTTGGTCAGTCTGAAGTTCCAATGGAGATGGCTCTAGGGCGTCATATCTACGCAAGTAAACATAGCACTGATAAAATCAATGTCTGGTTCACAGCGATGGAAACATGAATGAGGTATCAGAATCATTTCATTAAGTTGATCAGAATGTAGCCTGTCTTGTCCTTCATCCCCAGTCCATAACGCTTTCCGTAGTCATGTCGTAATCAGTCGTAAAAGGTTCATGCTGTATCACCTGACGTTCAATCGTCCTCTTCACAGGCAAGAGACTGGAAGATTCGTCCCACGTTCAAAGATATTGTTGGCGCATTGTTCAGCGGAAGCAGTTGAGCTTGCCGAAGGAGAAGCGGAAGGGAGCACGACGAGGACCATGCTTGTCGACGATGACACCACCACCTAAAGAGCGAGTCAGCGAAATTCTTGGACAATATTCGAAGATAGGTCAAGCTTACCGGCGTGCTTGCCGCCCCAGCCCTTGGTCCACATGAAAGGCATTTTGCTTTGATAGAGTTCTTGGTAAAGCTTGAGATTCTGTTTGGCGATCTGCTTTGAGAGTGCAGCGTTGATTGCCGAGTTTTCGGAATGTGTTCGAGGTTGTTGTGATGAAAGTGGAGGATTGATGGAGTTGATAATTTGTTCGGCGAGGAGGTAGGCGATATATCAAGGTAGGACCATCAACTTTTACCTGTTGAACAGAGACCTGCTTTCCTGTGTTGATCGTGAGGCTGGGAGGTTGTGAAACTAGGGAGATCGTGGCTGTGCGCATGCTTGGCTTATGTCATGATCGTCAGAACGTCAGAGGCTTTTGTTGCCAACATCGTCCAATCTGGTGACATTCTTCACTTGGCAAGTAGTTGTTCCTTGCAACCACCCTTATTTTGAGCTCGATCTGACATCTGATGCAAGGCGCCTGTCTCGAGCGGTATCTCGCACGTTGTAAAGTGAAGCGACATCTGCTATAAGGTTTGATATCTTACGCCACCTTCCTCATATGGCTTGATGATGGGCCGCCGAGTGGCTTCATCATACAGGTGCACCGCCAGCATATTTGTTCTTGCAAGAAGATATTGTCTCGGCATCGGATTTCTTCTTTCTACACTGAATCTTCCTGCGGTCTGATCGTCAAAAAGATGGCAGTGACAACGTCAAGCAGCTTGGATATGCTCTTGCGGGTGGGCTAGAATCTCGACCTACGACACCGCTTGCGACCATGCTTGGTTGCAGCAAGATATGGCCCATCTTCTAGCGACGACTCGATTTTAGATGTCAAGGCACAGCGTTTGTACCCTCAAATCCACGAAGATGTTGTCATCCTACATTAGCAGCACGAGCTCTAAACTTGTTGCTATTAGTCTGACTGCGTTCACTCTCTCACTGCGTACTTCGCATCAGGAAGTAAGCAAAAGCTTCAGGGGTTTTGTAATAAAGATCATTTGCTGTCCGACGTCTAGACAGTGGCGGAGTCCCACGGACGACTGCAGACCATGTCTGGAGGACGTGTGCGAGCCAAATCTCAGAAGCCGAAGATATTCATATTCTGATGGAAAGTGTGTTAGGGAAAAGAACGAAGCTGACTGTAGCCTCCAAGGCGAGTAACAGTATCTTCTCAAACTTGCGCAGTCATGTACAGAGTCATCGCCGGCACACTCAAGCTCGCTTATCTATATTCCATCTTCGAGGCTCCCGCAACGCCGTACACTAGGATGTATAATTGACCCATATGTATCGAAACCAGACTCACGATCAGGAAGACAACACCTCGGCCTACGAGCAACTGCCCGGATTCGATGGCTGGTTGCTACAAAGGACGCATCCTCGATATGTATCGCCTGCGAGCCATTCTGCAGTCTCTACGCAAATCTGCGCTAGCTGCCGATCAAGGCACTCAAGAGTCGCCCGCTGCTACACTGGCTGTTGAAGAAAGTCAAGCTCTACCTATACCGGTCTCATTCAAACTATTCCAAGGCTTGCCACCCGAGATTCAACTGATGATATACGACTTTGCTATTGCAGATGTTATCGAAGATCCCATGGAACAAAAGCTACCACATCCACTGATGCATGTTTGCCATCAGCTGCGTTAAGAAAGCCAATCTCTAGTGCGACCTCTACTGCAACGACAGGAGAACGCAGTGCTTGTTCTAAGATATGACACTAGTCCTCAGGAATGGCGTTTGATACTTCGGATGTGGGTAACTACCGAGAACGGTATCTGCCACCCGCCTTCATCGCTATGCCTGGAGTGGACCTGGAACATGTTTTGTTGCTCTGGGATCGCCCAGAGTTGTCTCAAGCAGGTCGACAATCTCACGTGGCAATGTGATAAAATATTCATCTTCGATAAGGCGCTGGAAAAGGTCCTACGTGAGAGATCGCACCACCTCCAAAAGTTACGAACCACAATCCGGCGCGACCCTTGAGTCTGGGGACGACATTGGCATCGCTTCGGTCCTCAGCAATGAAAAGGATCCCAGGCCTTCCTTGCTTCGATCTTGGGAACGCGAACCAAAGTCTCTCGGCCATCCCCAAGCGCTCTAGTTTTGCTGTTGAACTATTCTGCTTGGTTGTGTGACGTGAGTTCTCAAAGCCGTATGAGAAGGTCAGCCCAGAGTAATTTGCGGCGGTCGATTGACAAGAAGCGCCTTTTGCTAAATTCATGAGCTCGCGAAGTCTATCATAGATTCGAAGACCTTCTCAAAGCATTTATCTTGATATTGCAACTTAGCGAGACCCCTAGGGTGAAATGGATTATCCTCGATAATTTCATCCTGTCCGAAAGATGGCTCCAGCGGCTAAAAGTCCTCGCACCGCTTGTACAACTTCTTATGTGGTGGAATACACCCTGTGAATTGAGTGAAGGTTCGGAAGAGTACTCATACCATCTCGCTACCGAGAACCACGTTTATCTTCCACCAATTCGGAGTTCAACATGGAATGAGTGAGCGACTGAGGGGTCTGCTACAAGGGGACTGTTCTCCAGATTCATGCATGCAGTCTGACTGCATGCATGGCCAAGCGATTCAGCATCCATGCCCACAAACAATTAACACCAATACTTAAGTGACACTACTTAGCAATCTCATGAGTACCTTTTTGTTCAATCTTACTCATGCTACCTGCAATGTGCAAGATCGCGACAATTGTTACATCGCTGACTCTGTTCGCAGGCTGTTACAGCTCGCCTTTCAGTCACTTTGCTCCACATGCTGTTGTACACAATGACACTGAGCACCTTAGAAAGAGCTATAACTACATCGTTATCGGAGGCGGTACCAGTGGTCTCGTCGTTGCAAATCGTCTGACCGAGAACCCTCGAGTGACTGTCTTGGTCATCGAATATGGCTACGTGTATGTTTTCCCACCCCGATTATGTCTTGTCAGTAGTACTGACATTTCAAAGCGATGGTCAAGAAAATGGAACCGCCGTCCCAGGTCTTCCTGTCCCTGGAAAGTACTTGAGAACAGATATCAGTATACCTCAATCTGGCCTCAATAATCGCACTGCTCCATTGTACACTGGTGCTGTAGTAGGTGGTGGCACGGTGGTGAATGGTATGTTTTTCGCTCGCGGGTCTCGAGGTGACTATGATGCTTGGGAACAGCTAGGCAATCCTGGCTGGGGCTGGGATGGGTTGCTACCTTACTTCAAGAAGGTCGGTTTCCTGGTTTGTAACCGTGACTGATGATGCTGAACGCGGTTTTAGAGTGAAACCTTTACACCACCGACTGAGGAGCTGCAAGAGATGTTTCCTGGGACGATTTCATCAGATCTGAAACCCCATGGCATTGGCGGACCTGTCGGCTCAAGCTTTTCAAATTATCAGTATCCTGTTATAAGTAAACCTTGGCCACACTCACCACACACTACATACAGCTAAATCTGTTGCCAGAAAACTTCTTTGCAGGTTGGAAAGATATCGGTATAAAGATCAACTCTCAACCGAACGACGGCAATGCCACTGGTGCTTTCTACAGCACGATATCCGCATACGCAAAGAATCAGTCTAGATCTCATGCCTCGAATGCCTACTATCGACCTATCGCTGGCGTACGCAAGAACTTCCACCTCATCACTGGACACACGGTTACGAAAATCAATTTCAGCAAAGATAAACGGGCTGTTTCTGTTGATGTGAGCGCCATTTCTGACCTTTGTCTGCCAGCCACTGATTTAAGTCGTTCGGAGTTTATCTCTCGTGAGACCAACAAAACAAGTACTATCAAGACCGACCGAGAGATCATTCTAGCGGCTGGTGCTGCTCGCAGTCCACAGATCTTGCAGCTTTCTGGTATTGGACCAAAGAAGCTCTTGTCTGGATTAGGCATCAAGACCATCGCTGATCTGCCTGGAGTGGGCATGAATTTTCAGGATCAACCGACTATTTACATGCAGTTCAGCTGTGAGTGTTTCCTTGGAAGATTTTTTGTACAGAATCAATACTGATGAAGAGCAGACAACAACTACACTTTCCCAACGCCAGACTGGATGTTTTCGAATGCGAGTTGGGCTGCTGAACAACTTGAAATCTATTACAAGAACCGCACAGGTAAGTCTCGCACTCCTACCCCTTGAAAACAGTCGAGATTGTAACATCAGATAGGTCCAATGACTATCCCATACCTAGGAGGTAGTTCCGTAGCCTTCCTGCCCCTCCAGAATATAACCTCCGACTACCACTCTGTCGTCACCTCCGCAGCTTCCATCAACATCTCTTCTCTCCTTCCTACTACAGCACACTCCTCCATCTTCTCCGGCTACCGAGCGCAAAGTGCGCTCCTCCAATCTCTCTACTTGTCCCCTCACGCAGCAGTAACGGAGATAGCCTGGGAAGGAGGCAACACCCTCCCCGTCGCCATAATCCGGCCTTTCTCGCGTGGAAGCATTTACATAAACACGACCAACCCCCTCTCCCCTCCCATCATCGACTTCAACACCTTTTCCCATCCCACAGATCTAGCCATCGCACTCGCCTCTGTCAAAAAGGTTCGCGAGTGGATCTCCTCCTCCCCTATGCGCGCCCTCGGCACCCTAGAAACCTTTCCCGGCGCAAACATCACCAGCGATGCGGAAATAGAAACTTTTATAAGAGACGCAGCCACGAGTTCCTGGCAACATCCCACCTCCACAACATCAATGATGAAGAGGGAATTAGGCGGTGTAGTGGATCCTGCTCTACAAGTATACGGTACAACAGGCTTGAGAGTTGTGGATGCGGGCGTTTTTCCCATGGCTGTTGCGGGACATTCTAGTAGTAGTGTTTATGCTGTTGCTGAGAAGGTGAGTGGACAGTGGTGGTTCAATCTTTCGAGGATGTGGTTACTGATGTTTTCTGGTGTAGGCGGCGGATATCATCAAGGCGAGCTGGGTATAGGTGTCGGGATGTTTGCTGCATGATGTGGCTGCAGAGTCTGATGATGCTGTCTCAAACTTACTGGACGCGGCAGTGTCTCGCCATCGCTCTTGGAATTCTGAGGATTCTGGGAAGGAAGCTACGAGAGCTGTAGCTAAAGGAGGAGCGATCGAGAGCCGAGTAGGGAATTTCTGCTTCCCACTGAAATTTGGTGACTTCGGAAGCCGTGTGAGCGCTCCTTCTCGGAATGTTGACGCAGTTTTTGCTTGGAGCAGAACATCCCTTGACGTGATACCGCTCTGATGATTATGACTATCGCGTATCGTCTTTATATTTCCATCCCATGGTCACGGAAACCTCGAGTTTGCGCGAATTGCAGATATGAATCAAAGGGTATAAATAAGGACAACGTACGCATCTTTCTACACGAGAGTAAAGTGTCGTTCTTCGGCAAAAAGTGAACATGATTACATCAGTCATATCTTCTCAGACCTTGAGATTAATATGCTTAGCGTCACTCTCCTGCCAAGAATGCTCCGTAACCACCTTCTCAATCATCTCTTCATGCTCTGGGCTTCTTGGGGTGATGTTTACTTTGAAAGCTTTGGGGTAAGCCACGATACCGCTCATAAACTCATGTATGGGCTCCACCACGTTGCCTTCAGCATCGACTTCCTTGTTGATGTTGAAGACGGCTAGGGATTGTGCAAAAGTCAGGAATAGCGAGGCATCAGCCAACATGCGGCCGGGACAAATTCTGCGACCGAAACCAAAGGTGAATGCGGTGGCTGGAGGTTCGTTGTAGGGCGCCTGGAAACGCTCAGGCTTGAAAGACTCGGGGTCATGGTATACGGTAGGGTCACGAGTGAACGACCAGATTGCTGGAAGAAGAAGCGAGTCCCTGGGGATGCGGTAGCCTTGAAGCACGTCCTCCTTGTCAGTCACATGAGGAAGTCCCATGGGAGCAATGGGATGCCATCGTTGTGCTTCCTCGACAATAGCATTGATGTAAGGGAGATTGTCGCGGTCTTTGGCAGTAGGAAGCCGACTGTTTCCGACTGCACGATCAATCTCTGCTTGTGCTTTGTGTTGGACCTCAGGGAACATGCTCATGGCTAGGAAGAAGGCATTCATAGTGGAGACGGAGGTGTCAGCACCACCCGTGTACATGGACGCCGCAGTCCATTTGATGGCATGTTCTTCTGCTGCCCCGAACTCCTTCTCTCGTTGTGCCTGCTCGAGTGATCTTGTGACGAAGTCTGCTTGACCAAGTCTCTTTATTTTGCCCTGCTGTTTAGCGTAGGCGTAGGGTAAGTCAGCCACATTACGGAGAGTCTTGTTCCACGCCGCAGCAGTCTTGCGGAAGCCAGCTCCGGGCATCCAGCTTGGAACGTGTTCAAGGAAAGGGAATATGTCCACCATCCATCTTCCGGGGATGGTAGCTTCACTGAATTGCTCCATGGCCTCATCGACCAGATCGACAAGTGGATCCTTCTCGAATGGCTCGATAGTGTAGTCGTAGACCACCTTGAGGATCAGCTCGCCGGCCTCGGTCTTGAGATGTTGCGTCAAGGCTGCTCCTTTGTCTTGGTTGACGCGCCACAAGAAGCGACCAACAGAGACTTCCTGGACCTCATTGTATCTCTCGACGGAGGTCTTCGATCCCAATTGTTGATGTGCATACTTCCGGTACAGCTTGAAGATGGAGTTGCATTGCAGTCCGGCCATAGTGTTGTTCCATCCAACCATGTCGAAGCCAAACTTCAGCTTAGGTCTGCCCGAGTGTATGTTGGCACGTTCGACGAGCAACTCGTGAGCTTGCTTTCTGTCGTGTATGAGAACCATGGTCTGTCCAAGCACGGTAATGGAGCTGATGGGCCCATACACGTCTTTGTGTGTGAGCCAGTGCTGATACTCAGGAGTGCTCCCAGCAGGTAGGTCCATGATGTTCCCGAGGAGCGGCAGCCCTCCAGGACCTGGTGGTAGAGGAAGACCATTCTTCTTTCGACTCGACAGCACTGTTACATCGTACAGCAATCTCGCGACAACAACGCCTAGCAAGGCGTACAATGCCGGCCAGAATACTGAAGCCACCATCGCTATGGGAATTTGTGTGATCAAGGTAGCGATTGCGACGAGTGTATAGGTAATGTGAGCGAGTCTCCAGTATTTATTCGCTCACGAAGAGGATGCAGAGTAATATATGCAAATCGAAGATCTAGCGCCTGCAGGGACGCGCTCGAGCCAATGGCTCGCTTCGCTCCAGAAGGCGCAAAATGTCTAGAGAGTCGTATGCCAACGACTAATCAAGGAGATCGGTGTCTGATCACAATTAGCGAGCAGTGTAAGTCCCGGAGGCAGTCAAAGCTCGCATCGGGCAGATGGATCAGGTCGCTAAAACACTTCTCTCGAAGTCGGCTCATGCAGTAAGCAAGCGCGACCTGAACGAGTCTCGGTCAGCATGACTGCATGATTTTTGTATGCCTCTCAAGTCACTGAGGCAGTGCACAATTGAGCAAATGATCAGGCACTTGGTAACGAGGAGTTCGTAGCCACTCGACCACGAGGTAGAGGTCGACTTACACAAATGTACGCCAATACTACCTATGACTACAAATCTTGATGAGTGGAGATGATGAGTCTTTTGTCACGTGTGGCTGTATATCGTCTCGCAGGTCCTACATCTGGCCGAACGTATGTTGTCCTGCTTCAAGAGGTTATTGTTGTAGCCAGACGTGTCGAGGGAAGTGAGTCTCGTGGGACGAGTTTTATGTGTGCATATGAACGTATGCATATCACTCGAGATTAGACCGCGAGTGTACAAGCCGCCGTCGACGCATTGTCTTTCAAGAAGGATGACCTAAACCAGAAGCTCCATTGCATTTGCAAGTGGTGGGTGCGAACAATGAACGAATATGGGAAGGAACGATCGGCGCGCTCGGGAATGCCAAGATAAGCTCCAGCTGGCGACCGCCCGGCATTACCGATAAGACCAAAAATTATCTGACCGGTTTCTTGAGCGGACAATTGAATCAAGCATATTCATACTTGCCGCAAACATGTTCGCTGTTAAAGGATGGTCAGTCGACTCGAAAGCGCTCAAGACACAACAAGCCGCGCAACCTGCGAAGAAGTCTGAGGATGGCGCACCCGGAAACTCTGGCCAAAACAAGAAGAGAAAGAGAGGCGGCAAGGACAGAACTCCCCGAGATGTCAACGACTCGAATGTAGGTGACCTCTGGGCCACTACGATCGAGGGCAAGAAAGCGCCCAAGAAGCCAAAAATCGAGAAGAAGGAGAAGACTGAGGCCGTCGAGGAAGCTGCAGCAGCTGGCGCAGAGGCCGAGACGGCCGCAGTCGACGGGGAGAAGAAGGAGAAGGCTGTGTCCGAGCAGAAAGAGAAGACATCGGACAGCAACAAGGCAAAGAACAAGAAGCGCCAGAAGCAGAGAGCGGAGAAGGAGAAGGAAGCTGCTTCAGCAGAGGCCGGCAAGGCGCTGGCCAACACTCCCGCCGCTCCTCCTTCGCTGCCAGTCAATGCCAAACTCACTCCCATGCAAGCCGCCATGCGCCAGAAGCTCATCTCTGCCCGTTTCCGCCACTTGAACGAGACTCTCTACACCGCTCCCTCTGCCACCTCGCTCGCTCTCTTCGCCGACAATCCCGAGATGTTCGACGACTACCACTCAGGCTTCCGCCAACAAGTCACCACATGGCCCGAGAATCCTGTCGACATCTTCATCCGCAGTATTCGCGACCGCGCAAAGGTCAAGCTTTACAACCAGAACAAAGCCTTCCGCGACGTGAAGAGAGGAAAGGCGCCAAAGGTGGTGGAAGAGGAGGAGCCGGCTGGCCCGGCAAACCCTCTACCACGCACACACGGAACCTGCACCGTTGCAGATTTGGGCTGTGGAGACGCAAGATTGGCTGCTACTTTCCACGAAGACGGCAGTGGTTCCCGCTACAACCTGAAGATCAACTCATACGATTTGCAATCTCCCAGCAAGTTTGTCACATTGGCGGATATCGCAAACTTGCCTTGCGCGGATGGCAGCCACGACGTAGCCATCTTCTGTTTGGCGCTGATGGGCACTAACTGGATCGACTTTATCGAAGAGGCATACAGAATTCTGCACTGGAAAGGCGAACTCTGGATCTCTGAGATCAAGTCAAGATTTGGAAGAGTGGGAGGTGACAAGGGCAAGGGTGGTCAGAGAGTCGTCGAACACAGCGTGGGCAATCGTCGCAAGGCTGCTGCAAAAGCAAAGGCTGCAGATGCTACTCGTGCCAAACTCACAGCCGAGGAGGAAGAGGCTGCTCTTCGCGAGCACGTCGACGAGGTTGTGCTGAAGAACGAAGAGACCGATGTTTCAGGCTTCGTTGAGGTTTTGCGACGAAGAGGTTTCGTGCTCAAGGATGAGAACTCTGTTGATTTGAGCAACAAGATGTTTGTCAAGATGGAGTTCATCAAGGCCGCTGCACCTGTGGTTGGCAAGAATGTGCAAGAGGCTGGCGAGGAGAGAAAGGGCGAGCATGGTACTTGGAAGCCCAAGTTTAAGAAGTTTGTCGAGGAAGAGACCAAGGAGGTCAGTGTTGAAGACGAGACTAAGGTTCTCAAGCCTTGCTTGTACAAGATCAGGTAGAGAGTGGATAGCGACGACAGATTTTTTATGATTATGTTGCAATTTCTGAATGCAATCACAGACACGCTTCAGACCATTCAATCGCTCATTTCTTTGATGACCTGTTCAAGGTTTTTGACGTCGTGAGCAAACCGTCCCAGGAAAAGACCGTCAACACCCTCTCTCAGTCTATCGTAAGTTCCTGGACCAGCACTTCCACCATAAAGAATTCTCGTCAGCCCTTTGCGGCCTTCTGCCATCTTTCTAATCTGCTGCGTTACGGCAACAACGTGATCTGGGTCGGCTGGCTCGGCTGCTCCAATGGCCCAGACAGGTTCGTAAGCGAGTATGAGCTCTGCATCATCCGGAATGGCTTGCAACAGGCTCATGACTTGCGGTCTGCACTCCTCAATGGCCATGCCGACAGCTTGAGAGGCAATCTTGCCATGTGTCTTTTCGCCGATACACACAAGAGGCACTAAACCATTCCTACACGCCGCGGCAGCTTTCTTCGCGGCCGTAGCATCCGTCTCTCCAAACAGACGTCTTCGCTCAGCATGGCCCAGCTCAACGATACTGACTCCAGCTTGCTTTAACGTTTTGCAGGAGACTTCCCCAGTAAAAGCTCCCGCATCTTCCCAGAAAGCATCTTGAGCACCCAATTGCACTTCAGTCCCTTTTAAAGCATCCTTGACAGGCAACAACGACACGAAGTCTGGAATGATGAACAGATCAATGTTGTTTGTTGAAGCATGAGTCGAGATATCTGCGAGGTCGGCGGCATACGTTAGGGTTTTGTTTAGGTCAAAGTACATCTTCAGGCTCGTGCCCACGATCTTTCGGCGGGGTCCGACTGCGGATGTTGATGACATTTTTGAGTTCGTACTCTTGTCGTGTTTTTGCGGGGTTCAACGGAATGGGGGTGGCAGGGTATCTCCGGTGGTGAAGCGTGTCCAGACGGAAGATTGGGTCGTTCAAATGTGAGCGAGACGGAAGGTACAGAGGTATAAGCGTGAAGAGATGTATGTTTTGTATTTGTTTTGGAAAGAGCCACCGGGATACTGAATCAGGCAAGAGCTAGGAACGAGGTGGGCAGTTTGGGCAGACACGGAGGTCGTTTGTTGCGCAAGCCAGCGAAAGCGGCGGCGGGGAAAGCATCTCATCAGCGCACAGGCCAGCCCTCACAGAAACGAGGGACTTTGGGCGTAGAGAGTCGAGAGCGTCATGCACTTGGAAAATCTTCTTCCTTCTCACCTCATCAAGTCTCATACAATTTTATGTCTAGAGTGCTGGCCGATAGGTGGGCGCGTAAGAGATATTTCGGTTAAACAACAAAAAGCATTGGAAGGATTTCTGTTAGCAACAAAGACAACAAAGCAACACACAGAAACAGAAAGCAGCAGCGAGCAAGGCGAGAACAATCCTAAGCAGTAGGTATATGGCAAGATGAACAGACCCATGGCCCAAATCCGTTCAACACTTTGCACAAAACGTGTGAAGTCAATGGACAGACAAGCCATGGATCGAGTTCCAATCTTCGTCTTCTTCGTCCTGTTCTTCCTGGCCAAGCGACTAATAACTCGCCACAGACAAACCAAGCGCCGCGTCAGATTCGCCCTCGATTGATCCACAAAAACACATCTGCACCTACATCTAAGGCTAAACACGCCAACATGCACATCTCAGCCAAGCTCCAGGCTGCGGCCAAGGAGAAGAAGTCGACCTACTCGTTCGAGTTCTTCCCTCCCAAAACCGCCCAAGGTGTACAGAATCTCTATGACCGTATGGATCGTATGCACAACTTTGGTCCCTCTTTCATCGACATCACATGGGGAGCTGGTGGCAGACACGCCTCGCTTACCTGTGAAATGGTCAAGGTTGCCCAGACGGTTTATGGTCTCGAGACATGCATGCACTTGACTTGCACCGATATGCCCAAGTCAAAGATTGACGAGGCTCTGAAGGAGGCTCATGATGCTGGCTGCACAAACATCCTCGCTCTTCGAGGCGACCCGCCACGTGAGAAGGAAAAGTGGGAGGCAACAAGTGGAGGCTTCAGATATGCAAAGGATCTTGTCAAGTACATCAAGGAGACATACGGCGACCACTTCGACATTGGTGTCGCTGGTTACCCAGAAGGTTGCGATGACAACGATGATCCTGAAGAGCTGATCACGCACTTGAAGGAGAAGGTTGACCTCGGTGGTACCTTCATCGTAACGCAGATGTTCTACGACGCCGACATCTTCCTTGCCTGGGTCAAGAAGGTCAGAGCTGCCGGCATTGACGTTCCTATCGTGCCTGGTATCATGCCCATCTCCACCCACGCTGCCTTCCTCAGACGCGCAAACTGGTCAAACATCCACGTTCCTCCACACTGGCACGAGGCCCTCGAGCCTGTCAAGAACGACGATTCCGCTGTAAGAGATGTTGGTACTGGTCTGGTCGTCGAGTTGTGCCGCAAGCTGTTGGACAACGGCATTTTGCACTTGCACTTCTACACCATGAACCTTGCACAGTCTACTCGCATGATTCTGGAAGAGCTCAGCATCACTCCCTCGCAAGACACTCCTCTTGAGAAGCCTCTTCCCTGGAGGCAGTCTCTTGGTCTCAACCGCCGCGACGAGAATGTTCGTCCTATCTTCTGGCGCAACCGCAATCGCTCATACATTGCCCGTACCCAAGACTGGGATGAGTTCCCCAACGGTAGATGGGGTGACAGTAGATCTCCTGCCTACGGAGAGTTGGACACATATGGTATTGGCTTGAAGGGTACCAACGAGCAAAACCGCAAGCTTTGGGGTGAACCCAAGTCCTTCCGCGACGTTGCCACTCTTTTCGCGAACTACATGCAAGGCAAGGTCGAGTCTCTGCCTTGGAGTGAGAGTCCCATCACCGATGAAGCCGATGCTCTCCGTCTTGACCTGATCGATCTCAACCAGCGTGGTCTTTTGACTATCAACTCGCAGCCTCCTGTCGATGGCGCAAAATCGAGTCATCCTGTCTACGGATGGGGTCCCCGCAATGGTTATGTCTACCAGAAGGCCTACCTCGAAGTCCTTGTCTCGCCTGAGTTGATCTCCGAGCTCATTACTCGTATGGAGCGCAACCCCAACATTACCTACTTCGCCGTCAACCAACACGGTGATCTGAAGACCAACTCCCCTGACGAGGGCCCTAACGCTGTCACCTGGGGTGTCTTCCCTGGCAAGGAGATTGTACAGCCTACCATCGTTGAGACAGTGTCCTTCCTCGCCTGGAGAGACGAGTTTTACAGACTCGGATCTGACTGGTCTCGTTGTTATGACGCCACTTCGCCTTCCCGCTATGTCATCAATGACCTGATGCAGAACTGGTACCTTGTGAACATCGTCAACAACGACTTCCGCGAGCAACGCGGTATTTTCCCACTCTTCGACAAGCTCGAGGTCCCTGATATTGACAAGGAGATTACCGCTCCTGAAGTCTCTCAAGAGACCAACGGCGTCACCAATGGCGAGAAGCACGACGAAGAGAAGAAGGAGGAAGCTAAGACTGGTAATGGCGAAGTCACCGACACGAAGATCCCTGACAGCGTGCACAAGAAGCTGGAAACCCAGATCAACGGTGCCGAAGAGAAAGCTGACACCGAACCCAAGGACGCACCAGCCCACAACACCGGCGCTGGGCCCTCCACCTCCATCTAATCGATTGCGCCAACCTGTCACTCCATGAGTACACCAAAAGCGACAACCTTTGCCCTTTCATTTTCTTATCTTTCGTTTTCTTCTCATGCATAATTCAGCATACTCCCCCACTCTTGAGAGTTGCACAACCAACTTCTCAATACGATCTTCTTCAACAAGAAGATATTCAACACCCCTCTACGAACATTTCGACCTACAGCATTTCAACGGCGTTTCCCCCCAAAATCATTCTATGTCTTAACGAAGCATGACAATTACAAAAAGCGAGAGATACCCCCATTCAACCGGGATTTGAGTTTTACACAATTACTGGCGTTTTGTTTGCGATCTTTTATCGTTTAGTTTAAACAAGAAGGAGATGAAGAGTCAAGAGGAGGGCAGATAGAGTTGATGAATTGATACTCGTTCCTTTGATTGCGGATTTTGTTTGGCGTCTGTGATGCCGTCTCTGTACACTGATGATACGATGCTCTTTAGGTTCTCGACACTTTATGAGTAGAGAACGCTTCGGCCACTCACCAAACAGCATTGGACGCCATGGCTCCACTCACGGGCTTTCTGTTAGTATGCAACATCATGCTGGCCAAATCATTTCTGTCGACTTGAAGCAAGAACATGGAGTGTGGCATTAACGGCATATTGAATGATGCAAGATGCAGAATCTTACCTTGTTCTTGCTATGCCTCTGCGCTTTTGTCTCTCTTCTTGGAGATTGTGGAAAGGCCTACCGTGCTTTCCATTCTTGTTCCCTCTTATCTTTTTCTTTCACTTTATGCGTGGGAGAACTTATCTTCTGCACCAGATTCAACGTTCCATATTCGAGAGCTTGCCTGGATAGGAATGGAAAGGCTGAAAGGTTGAAAGTGCTGAATAGAGGTGTAAGAATCTATAGCGAGTTAACAGAACATGAAGTAGGTAAGACAAGCAGAAAGGAGTAAGTCGCGTATCACAGAGCGATTTCTCAGCCTCCAGCTTCTGAATTTCACCGTCATCTCTCCGCAGAGCTTAGTCTCCATCACCTTCTCTTCCCTCTTTCTTACCATCTGCATTTGTTCCAAGATGCCAAAGTCTTTCTCGCAGACTTGACCAGTGTAAGCTCCATCGAGTATATATATAATCTCAAGTCTGTAGCATGCAAAGACCTTCTCTCTTCCAACACTACCAAGATAGAAGTTGTAGAACCGTCTGGTTTGCAATCTCTGATTACGCCTTTGGTAGCTGGGCGATCTCACGTCCTGGTGGGAGGAGAGCCCGATCGATGAATGCAACGGGTCGATGACTCGCAAATATAACGGAAGGGCTTTGCTGGGAGTTCAGGGGTAAACTTTTAGACATTTCTATGGCAGGGAGAAGACACACGCTTGGAGTTCCATCGACCTGTTTCTTCGCTCTCTCCATATTTTTGCGTAGGTGAACCCTGGAATGCTCAATCGACACGTCTGTATTGGGGTTATTCATGCAGTCGGTATTCTCAGACAGCCTGTTAGCGAATCCACAAAGTTTTATGAAAACCTCATGCTCTTTTCATTCGACTTGTGGATCTTGCTCTTGTATCTTGTGAACAGGTTGCTTCTTTCAAGAGAAATGATAAGAGTTTGATGTCCGCTTTTTCGTGGCATCGTCTGATATCATTTTTGAAACTTTTCGGCCATGTCGAGGGATGTGGTTTATTGTCTTCTCGTTGGTTTGCTTGACTGTGGTCGGGTTGCTGAAGAGAGTTCAGGCTGTGATGGGGAGTGGGAGGTGGTATGCTGGGAGGCGGGTGCCTGCCAGATGTGTGATTCGACATGGCATCGAATACTAAAGGCCAAGGCAAAGCCTCAAAACAGCACGAATAAAATCGATCGACACAAAAGGAGCAAGTGGAAGAAAAGACAGATTTGAAGAAGGAAAATTGAAACACCGTTGTAGGCATCTCTATGTACAATTCCAACTGACCACGACGACCAAGCAAGGGCAATTCCAAGTGTCGGGATCGCCTCGAATTGGATCACGACCACACTGGGACATCACCGAGCGAAGCAGTATGGAGTGAAAGAACTATTGACATTTGAAAGATAAATCAGAGAACCAAAGAAAACCAAAAGAAAACCAGAAAACCAGAAAACAAACAAAAACCCAACCGAATATCCTTCCTCTAAATCCTTGACCGTATCCCCCAAAAACCAAAAAAACAATATTTAGAAGCAACTTCTTGGGGTCTCACTTAAGCGAGGACGGCTTGACCACCAGTCTGACCCTTGTAGGAGCAAGTGCCTGGGATGGAGTTGTTGGAGTAACTGTAAGAGTAATCGATGGTGTAGACGTTGCCGCTAGAGCTGTAGCCGGTGTTCTTGCAGACAGAAGAATCCCAGCTGGCACTGTAAATGGCGCAAGCCTGGAATTGAGGAAGACCGTTCTTCATCTGCATGTAGGAGGTGAAGTATTGGCAAGTTCTATCGGGATTTCCGGCCTTGAGAGACTCGGCAGTGATGGCGGCGCAGGCAGCATTGCAGCGGTTTTGGTCGTAAGGCTTGCCGTCGTTGAAGGTCTTGATGGTCAGGTAGGATCCGCAGGTCTCCTGCATAGCACAGCTGTCAAGAGCAGTGGAGGTCAGACCAGACAGAGGTTTACTGGGCTTAATAATCTTGTAGCCGTTGGATCCGGCGATAACGACGTGGTAGTCATTGCGGTATCCGCCAGTGTTGACAGCGGAAGCCTGCTCGGCGGGGACACCCCAGAAGGTGCACTTGAGTGCGGTTTGGGAGGTAGGCTGGTTGCAAGTACCGGATTTGGGACTGGGGTCGACGGTAGGGTTACGCTCGAAGAAGATGTTGAAGGAAAGGCATCCAGTTCTCTTCACGCATTCAGCGGCGCACGCGTCGGGATTGTACGAAGGGTAAGAGACATAGCCCAAGTATGCAGAAGTGCTGACGGATCCCTTGAGATTCTGAAAAGTCTGCTTCCATCCAACGGGAGTTTGAGCGTTGATAGCGAGATTAGAGTAGGTGGTGTCAGCAAGGAATGCAGTGTCAGTGTTGCTGGAGGTGGTGTAGGTGTAGGGTGATTGGGGCTGAGGCGAGCAAGCATCACGCTTCAAGACAGAAGAAGTGGTGCCGTCGGCGGTGTCAATATCAGGGGTCACATTGCTGGCAACCTCGGCGAAGACACTGGCGGTAGCGGCAGCGACATTGTAGGTGACAGTCTCACTTCCGACGCCAGCAGGTGCGGTGACAGCGGGAGCAGCGTCAATGGACTCGAGATCCTCAAGGTCGAAGATCTGAGGGTGGGCAACAGGTGAGGCAACCGCAAGGGCAGCGGCAGCAGCAATGAGAGCAACAGCACGCATTTTGTCGAGTGATTGTGCGGTGGGTTGTTTGCTTTGGAGGTTGGTTGCTTTGAGAGCTGGATGTTGCTTGAGGAGGTAGTGTTGATGGTGTAGAAGAGGTTACTCTTGCTTGTGAATGAGGAAGTGGAGTGAGTTGATGATGGAGATACAACGTGCAGATCTCCCTGGTATATATATGCACTTCTTCTCTTGAGCTCCAAGAGCATGCTTGGACTCGACAGGTACTAGAACTCAGGTCCGCGCTTAGCTTCGGGGGCAGCGAGCTGAGTACGGCGCTTGAATCGTGGAAAGCCACGAGATACTATTCGAGACGAACAACATCTCAGACTTCGAATCCATACTTAGCGAGGCTTTGTGGCGCTCTTGGGCGCTGCGTTGTGCTCAGTCATGGTCAAGGGGCAGGGATGAACTCCGGGAGACTCCAACGGTATATCCACTTGGTGTAAACAAAGTGCCGGAGCGTTCTTGTCACACGAGGACGATGCAATCGAGATGAACCGCCCGTTCGTGGGGCACTTCAGATGCCATAACGGCTCTCCAAGGAGACGCTACCAAATCATCTTCTAAACCTTTCGAGTTAACGAGCGAGGTGAAGAACCTCTGGCGGGACGAAAAGGAGCAGCCCCAACCGTGAAGCGGCTTGACTGAGCATTCAGCACGGACTGCCGTGCATCCTCATACGCTCAATTTGGACTTCGAAGACGGGATGAAAGGCTGGTGTACCGCACGGCGTCACCGGGAAAAGAAGTGCCTAACACTGAAGCGACACGAGGGCAACCAGTTCTTTGACATGGTCTCGGTTCAGCTTGCTATGCCATGCAGCCAGGGAAAAACGCGGTGAAAAGCTGGAGATGCACGGTGAATGTCTCAGTTTAACGGCTTCTGGACTCTCCGGATCACGCCAAGAAAAACTATCGAGGAGACGTGAGAACAGCAGCTGGAGAACAAAGCGCCGCGCACTGCTTCAGGTTCCTACAAAAACCGGTGAGACACAAAACACGAAGAAGAAGTCTCGGAGCATTCTTCGTTTTGGTGCGACTATGAAGTGGTAGAGGCTGTCGGTGTAGCTTTGATTGCGACGAAAGCCCTCGGCATCGCCTATTCAGCCGTACCTGAAGACGGCTGTGGCATTCCGACTGGTATAGACGGTGTGAAAGGCGTTCTCGCCCTGTTCCCCAAAGCGATGTTGGACTGCGAGCGTACCAGATCGGGCGAAAGGTCTAGCAACACATCGTATCGGTTTGTGACATTGAGTGTGTTGTCGCGCGGTGCTGGATCTCGCCGGTCAAAGCTCGTGGGCTTGCCAAAGCCAAGATTTCTGACGCGCTGTGTTGGTGCCTTGCGGGCGCGTCGCCCTTTCCACTTCCACAACATCTTCTCTCAGCTCTCTGTTATACCTCCACATAGTGCAGCCAGGCGTGTCTATTGGCAATATTTTGTTGATACCTTCAGCCGTCTTGTGACCGAACCTATCATTATTCTCGTTGGAGAGGATACGTTTTGCCGCCGGACCGCTTTACGTTGACGCAGGCTGTTGTCGGTGTTCGCGCTGATGCTGACGAGCCTTCTCTTTTCTCTTTTGTTACCAGAGTCAGGGCTGCTCCCAAACGCTCAAAGCCCGGGTGGGAGGGTATCCCGACACGTTCATACACGTTCGGGGGCTCTCAACTATTGGTAAAACTCCTCTGCTTTCCCTTTGACATGGCAGCAAATACCTTGAGTGACGTCTGGAGGACGCGCAGAGCCGCTTTCGTACAGAACCCCGCGCTCGACCGTGGCTGTCGCTGTCAGGTTCGCTTGATGTATGGCAATGGTCAGGCATCTATATCGCTTCAGCTGCAAACCAACATTGCCGGGGTTAGTAACACACCTCCCCGTCATATCATCCTCTACATCCAGCCCTCGATCGTTGAAGCGAGTTCTATAAATGATGGCACATCGATATCGCCGCTATTGTTGCAATGCATACCTACCTCTCTCGCTACCCTATCCGATGCCTTGACCATCGCTCTCGTCCTGAAGTGTCCTGGCGCTGTGCACTACCCTCAGGGGTTGACCAGCGTGTCTGCTGAGGATGCGTCTGACACTGACTTTCAATCATTTGTCGAGCTCTGTCAAGCGACCACTGTACACATACACTTCGCCAAAGCTCAATTTGACCCTCACGAGAAGACACAACTGCACCGACTTGTGGATGGTCTTGACGGCAAGGGCTTGAAGGCGCCGCCTCTGAATCTTGGCCGAGAGGATCGCGGTAGAGGCCTGCAGGAAGGTACATGGCAGGTCTTCAGCCCAAAACACCCAGGGTCCAGCCACGATGCAGCGTCTTCAGTGCTAGGCAAGAGACCAAGAGTAGGTAAGTTTTGCTCCAGCAGTCAGTCAGATCGTAGCATTGCACAAATACATTGCGGGACAGTGACCTCTAGCCTGAGCTTCGCGCTGGGGCCTATCGGTCTGCATTTGGTCGCAGCGACACGTTTGGTCCCTCAACAGACGGCGCGCTGTCGGTATAAGCATTGTGCATTGCGTCGGCTCAACCCATCCAAGCCACCCCGAGCTAACGTCCTCAGCCTCGAGTTCGCCTGTTGGTGGGCCCCTTGATGAGCCCCCTAAGCGTCTCGCCGCAAATTCATATACAACGCCTCCTCCCTACTCGCCCACTGAGATCAACACGTCGACCCCTGCCACAAGATCCGTCGAATCTAATGACATACGACCTACTGTGTTCACTCTACCACCATACCGCATTACTGACCCGGTGACTTCGAGTGATGATGCCCAGATCTCCCTCCTTGCCAACATGCTTGCTACTGTCCCTGAGCATGTGCTTCGTGAGGCTATTACACGGTCTGGTCATGGACCACTGCTGAGCTCAGCTTCTGGCACTGTCGTGGTTGAAGAGCAGCACAAATCTCGAGTTCGCCGCATGTCTAGCCCACGACTTGTCTCCTTAGTCAGAGGCATGTTCACGGCAGAGGTAGAAGCGCGTATGAAGTATTTGATCGAGTCTGGACTGCCTCTCCACACGAAAGACGCCATTGAGAAAGTCATGGGTGATTATCAAGATCAGTTTTACATCCACTGTGCGGAAGCCGAAGCCGGCATCCAAGAGAAGGTCGACGAAGCGTCTTTGGAAGTCAAGATGGTGCTCGAAGACGGCATGAAAGAGGTAGAGGACTTGGTCGAAGAGCATCTCCAGAAGCTAGCCGAAGAGTATGAAACACTGGACGGTAAAGGCAATTTGGAACTTGACAGTCTCAGATGCTGGTTCGTCAAGTTTGCTCGTACTTTGCTAGTCGAGAAGCAGTCCGCTCAGGATATAAGACGAGAAGTAATTAGATGCACATCTATATAGCGATGATATACCCACAGTGGCCCCTTACCGAAACCGAACCCGGACTCTTCTGGAAAGCATGGGTTATCAGTCGTCCTTCCCGCATGTTGAACTCTGTCAGATTCGCAACTGTCGCAAGGCACAAGACTTTGTGAAGATTGGGACAGTGCCATCGAGATACGTTGTCTCGTGGACTTTCTGGAGTGGACAGCGTCGATTCAGGAAATGACTGTGGCTGTCTACAGTCGGTCATTGCTCCCCTCATGATGATAGAACAACGTATCGATAGTACATGCCAACTTGCCCCATTGTATCAACGGGGTGCGTGGCCCAATGGCAAGGCGCTTGACTACGAATCAAGAGATTGCAGGTTCGATCCCTGCCGTGCTCAGTTTTTGCCGGTCTCATGGACGATGGGGCAGCGGTATGCTCGTGGAGAGCTTTTTTGTGGCTTGAGAAGTCTACTAAGCACGGACTTGTAGTCTATTGTGCTTGCTGTCGAGATTTTGTCCGCACATAGAGAACCAGCTTTGAATCATCAGTCATCGCGCATAATCATATTCTAAAAACAGAGCGCGCAGACTACTTCTTCCTTGTAATGAGTCCTCTTTGCAAGCGATGCCATCGATTTTTGCTCTGTAGTTTGTTTTGTTCTGTCGACGGCTGAGATCAAGCGTCGAGAGCGTCGCGGCTGGCGCTTCGAATGTTCAAGGCATCACCATCGGGTGGAATAGAAAAAAACGCCGATTTCCAAACCATCCGCGCCTTCCTTCAGCTCATCTATGTACGGCATTTCTGTTGGTTAAGAAATCTCAAATCTGCACTTACACATCTGAGAGCCTAGATTGAATGTACTGCCGTGTGACTGCAATTTACGCTCCCTCCTTGCTCCCCCTGTCCTGGTCATTTGTCGCTGTCCCATCGGTTCGTGTCAATAGACAATCCTTTGGGACGCCGCGTGCCAAACCTTCCCTAACTTACTATTTTTCGAGTGTCGCTGCCGCCTCTTGGAAGAAGTCTAATCGCTCTTCCAGCCCGCAGCCACGAGCAAACTCATATTCTTGGGAAAGTCTCCCCGAACTCCCATGCCGCGCATCCCCAGACTACCCTATTTGATCACGTCTTTCCCTACCGGGACTGTTATGCGAGGTGGAGTCGGCCCTGAAAGGCTGCTTCAGCCCTTGGCGCGTCTACTCAGAGCGCAAAAAACTTGAGCTCGCGGCTCGCATCTGTAAGTGATTCTTCTCTACGCGAAGTGGTATGTATGTTTGTGGGACTTTTCATCTCCATCTGACGTCTTGAATTGCGGGTGTTCCTGCGTCTATGATGCGTTTTGATGGTCATCATCATCACGAACGGTACCTTGCAAATCCGGCAGCTACCTTTTTTGACTGCTTATTTTCACCTCGGCCGCCCAACATCTCAGTCAGCACAAAGATTCTCACCCTCCGCTCTTGCAAGGGCCCAGATCACAGACACGCGTACGAACTCTCTTGGACATATTCTTATCCATCGTGGCTGCACGAGAGCCATTTTGTGAAAAATACACCAAGTAACCTTCTTCGCGCAGGGCTGGCATGGCGCTTTACGCCTTGACGCGACCCGTCCGGGGAGGGATCGATGTGAATATGCTAAGCCCAGAATAGTCCCCTGGCCAAGCTTTGTTTTGCAGACTATCGAAATCTGGCACCATGGCACCTCTGCGTGTCACACTGTTACAAGGGGGTCTTGTTTGCAGGCGACATCGCGATGGCTGCAGGGTGCTCGATGACCCTGATCCTTAGAAGCACAACTGCTCTCCACTCCTAGCTGTTGGTACAAAAAGCTGCCGTGCCGTTTATCGTCATGGGAAATATCGAAAATCCTTCCGAGCTTTCCCGGGTGTACTTGTGTATGCTAGGGCTACCAGATCGAGCGATTAGATTGCGACAGCTCGGATGGGTCGTAGTCTCGATTTTCAGCTGCTGTCAGTTCACGCTGGCGTGGGCCATGGCGGGGAGTCCGTCTAGGCGCTTCTGCCCGACATCGTGTTGCTATACCACGTGTCTGTGCTTCGTAAGGACGGGCTGCTTCTTACTTCTGCATTCCAAGCATTCCAAATGGATCTCGTCAGAACTCAGAAGACTCTTGGTCCGAGAACATCCATATTCTAAAACGGGTGGTGATGGGGTCTCGCGAGCCGTGGACAGGGTGGGTAGTTCAACAATCTCTGCTGAACTCCTTACGTGATTGCGACTTCGACAACGTGATGTTGTGTCTGATCCTCTGGTTATACTGTACTCTTTCTGTACATGAAGGAGGAGTTCTATCATCAATCATCTATCGAGTCATTTGCGACTGCTGGATACGAAATCAATTTTTCCAGACTCCAAATCTTGACACCATCGAGAATCTGCCGTTGAAGGAAGTCCGCATAGTTGTCGAGCAAGAAAGAAGTTAGCTGTATGGTATCGGTCGTCAGACCCACCTAAAATATTCAAGAAGTATTGAATACAATTTCTAGAGAACGCAAGCTCTTTCTGAACTGTTTTTGACTCTGTAGGACGGGGGCCATCTCAGAGCAGGGTTTGCCAGATAGCCAGAAATCTTGGCAACAGGGTCACAGACATAGCAATTCCACTTGGTCTGTTACCAAAGCCTGGTAACGAATCGCCGCACAGTTCGTCTACTGTACAGTTCATGTACGTTAGAATATGACAGGATAGTGAACGTAAGAGACGCGAGGTAAAAGGAGGAAACGTGGGAATCACATCAACATTAGGCCTTGATACGACTGGTGGGTGTCCCGATCCTATCGTCTCTTGAATAACACGAAGTTACAGATATTGGTTGTGATTCGGGGCAACGACAACGATGAAGAAGTCTAGCTTGTCTAGTTTGTGGTTACATTTGAGTATTCTTTTGAGCTATCACAGATAGGAGAAGACATTCAAATTACTTGATGAAGTCGTCAAGGCCGCATCAACTCGCGAATCCTACTTCCAGGCCGCAGATCAGGCAACAGTCGCGTCAATTGTCACGAACATCAACCCAACATGTTATCGAACCTGCAGTTCCAATCAGTCAAACCTCGGACTCGGGCACCAAAACACCCATCATGGAGCTTCCCAAAGAAATGATTTTCCTCGACACATTCGATCAGACCGCCGAAGAAACCATCAACCGAGGCGTCGAAAACGAAGCAGCAGTACATAGATACTTTGATTGCCTCTCCCGTGGCTGGTTGGGACAAGCATTCATCGAACGCTACACATACACTTTCTTCTCTGATATTGCGGATGACGAAGATGAGATCTTGACGTAAGCTGGTTTCACGCCGTGGACTGGGGAACTAGAGAATGAGATTTTAACGACTGTGTCAGATATTCTGGAGGGAGGTGCTGATGAGTATGTTATTACTGAAAGAGACATCTTCGCCAATGCCATGGGAAACCAAGAGGACCCAGGACGAGATGTGCTTAGACGCGTAGTAGAGCGCATAGACCACGAAATTGCGGTAAGATGATGAGATGCGACGGATCGGTTGAATACTAAAGTGAAGACAGAGAACGCAGGAAGAGTGTCCCTCATCTATTACCAAGCTCCCAGAAGCGATGATCCTGCTTGAACCTCTCAACTCTACCGCCGAGGAGATCATACAGCAGGGAGCTAAAAATCCTGCAGCCGCACACAGATACATCAACTGTCTGTCCCGCGGCTGGATCGGTCAAGCCCTTGTCGAGCGATATACATACGACCAATCACCTGATACGCCGGAGGGAATGATACATACCAACGGTGAACAAGATGGCATCTTCAAAGAGTGGCTCAAGCCCATCAAAGACGAAATAAAGGATGACCTCAGAGAAGCATTAGCAGGTGGATACGATGAGATGATCATCACCGAGCGAGACATATACGCACGAGAAATGACGAACGTTGAGGATCCTGGAAGAGAAATGCTCAGAGAACTGGTGGAAGTCATCGATCAAGGTCTTCAGGTAGGGACGCTGAACTTGGTGGACGACAAGCTATTGCTGACTTGTTTAGTATCTTCCAAAGATCTACGTGACTATTTCTGGCTCCCAGAGACTTGCGCCTCCAATAGAACTTCGATGGCGTTATGGACTGGAGGACACTGTTATGCGATTGAGCGCCAAAGTGCTGGAGAAGGACATCTTGGGCATGAGCGTTAAGAAGTCTGGGCGCGATTTGCATTTCACTTACCAGATTGATGACGATGAGGGTGGCTCGAACTACTTCTCGCTGATGGAGGAGATGGGCGCGTGGAATTAGTGCTCTGTGTTCCGGCTGGAGACTGTTCTTGTCCCTATCGAGAGAAATGCTGGTATGTGGACTTAGAGCCATGTCCAGCGAGAGAGCTTAGCCGCCGACCGAGTACCCTCACAAAAGAACGGTGAGAACATATTTCGAGCCCAAATTTGTCTCTGCATAACGGACTACAATCTTTCATGAAGACGGCAGTGGCCAATCAATACATCAGTCACTTGCGCTCCATCGCCTTGGACGATTAGGCCACTAGAGTGCTCGTGACATCTCATATTCTGCTCTCTCGGTGTCGTGTCTGAAATATCGCTCCGCCGACACTCGCATACTTCAGGCTTCTTCAAGATCTGTAGCTCCACACATTTACCCTATGTTGCTGCACCGGACTGGCTTGTTAGCTCTCCAAGCGCGGTCTCGGAGAGATGACAAGAAGACGACTTCATTCTATGCCGATGCGTATGTCTTTGACATCCGTATCTCTGGAGCTCGCGGCTCGAGACTTTGGCGCATGCTGTTCAGGCTTGGGAGTTGTGATTCCTCCAGCATGTCATATTAATGTGGGTAAAGCAAATGTACGGACCGTTAAAAACCATCTGGGAGCCTTCATAGCGCTTTTAGATTATGTGAGCCGCTAGTTCAGATGACTCTGTAGCCCTGATTAGCTCATGCAACTTGCTGGTGGGACGGAAGATGCAACTCTAGGAACACGTCATATTCCGAGAGAGTCCGGGTTATTCTGCAAGCGTCAATCGCATCAAATCCTCAGCAACATCTATAGCGAAATGTTCGTTATTAATGTCCCTTTCGTCACATACGACTTTGAATCCTGTGTCTTTTAGTCCAGTTATTAGTGTTTCGATTAGCGCATCATCAGCCTCTCGGTCCTCGAAAGGACTTCCAGGCGTGGCAATCATGCTGACGCCACCTTTTGGCAAGGTGACTTGCACCCTGCTCGGATTGCTGGCGAAGCACTTGAGCTTGTCAATGATGTAGTCGCCAACAGCTTTGCATTCGTCTTTGGTGGTGCGCATTAGAGTGACCGTGGGATTGTGCTCGAACAACTTCCTGTGCTGATATTTCTCTGGCACCGCCACTCTCGGTCCGAAATTGACCATGTCAGTGGCACCGAGAGAAATGATTGTTGGGATACCTGCCACCAGAGCAGCCTCGAGGCGATTGGGTCCAGCACTCATGTTGCCGCCCATGAGAAAATCGCAGATCTCAGTCGTTGTCAAGTCGAGCACAGCGTCAAGAAGACCTTCCGAGATCAGGCGCTCCATTGCTTTGCCTCCATGTCCAGTAGCATGGAAGATATAGGTCTCCACCCGATGATTTGTTTCGAGATGTTCGCGGACTTTGTCAACGCATGGAGTCGTGACGCCAAACATAGTGATGCCGACTCGAAGCTTTGGATCTTCTTGGGTCTGCTCAATTCGGTCTTGAAGTTGTTGCTCATAGGCTACAGACATGCCGACCATAGCGGCTGCCGCATTGTTCAAGATGTTCCTCAATAGACTGTTGGTGCCTGAGATGTCCACGACGCTATACATCAATGTTATGTCGGTCTCACCGACGATTGGACCGGTGTCTCCTGAGGCAACAGTGCTGACGATGAGTTTGGGCAGTCCGATTGGCAGACTTCGCATGACTGCCGAGGCCAGACTGGTGCCTCCACTACCACCTGCACTGATAACACCATGGATAGGCTGCTTGTCGTGAAGCTCTTTGATGCACGAGGTTGTGCAGCAAATCATGAATTTGACGGCTTCGCCGCGTGGCAGGCCCGGCAAGGTGTCGCGTTCCTCCTCTGAGCAGTATTTCCTGACTAGATCATCATGGGATATGCTGATGGATGGATGGTCAACAACATTGCGGCCACAATCGATCAAGGTGATCTTGGCACTCGGCGGAGCAAGAGACAATATCCGAGAGCGAAGATGCGAGATCTCGAGAAGCTTGGTGTCGAGTGTTCCCAACAGGACTATGTGAGGCATTTTGGGGAGTTGACAGTAAGGGAGACTACGCGATTCGAGTTGATCGAGAATGTCATGGTATGCGATATGACGGCATGCTTGTCGCGTCGCGTCAGATGAAATGGGCGGGGAGGTTGGTGATGAATCCATGCAGGGTTGCGTCATGCCGATCCACAGTTCGACTTCGAGTCTGTCCACCATCTTTCTCGATGCTCTTTGAAACGTCGCCAAAACCCGGCAAGCAATTTCAGCAAGGTACAATGGCACCTCCGACAGATCGCAAACAAATTATCGCCAACTTCCGTAAGCAAATAGATGCTGGGAAGCCTATCGTCGGCGCCGGCGCTGGCATCGGCCTGTCGGCCAAGTCAATTGAAGCTGGCGGCGGCGACCTGATCATCATTTACAACAGTGGGCGATTCAGAATGGCAGGTCGAGGCTCCCTGGCCGGACTTATGCCCTTCAGCAATGCCAATGATGTCGTCGTCGATATGGCAAAGGAAGTGCTGCCGATTGTTGAGCATACTCCCGTCATTGCCGGTGTATGTGGCACCGACCCTTTCAAAGACATGCCTCGTTTCCTATCTCAGCTTCGTGACTTGGGATTTGCTGGTATCCAGAACTTCCCGACCGTCGGCTTGATCGATGGTCAGTTCCGCGCGAACCTCGAAGAGACTGGCATGGGCTACGACAAAGAAGTCGAGATGGTACGACTGGCTGCTGGGATGGATATCTTGACCACACCGTATGTCTTTAACGTCGAGGAAGCAAAAGCCATGGCTGGTGCTGGAGCCGATGTCGTCGTGGCTCACATGGGCTTGACGACCAGTGGCACAATTGGTGCCCAGACGGGCAAGTCCCTGGAAGACTGCGTCAGAGATGTGCAGGCTATCAAGAACGCTGCCGTTGAGGTCAAGAAGGACATCATCGTTCTCTGTCATGGAGGGCCTATCGCGAAGCCGGAAGACGCCAAGTATGTGCTTGAGAGAGTCGAGGGTCTGCACGGCTTCTTCGGTGCCAGCTCGATGGAACGCTTACCAGTTGAGGATGCAATCAAGGGCGTCACTGAACAATTCAAAAACATTGCAGTGCAAAACGCCTAGGAGTTTGCCCTTCAATCGACAGCATGTACTCCATCGCCAAAGCATCTTGACAATGATCTTTCGCCAATCCCGTCGGACGTGATGTGGCGTCGAAGTGGTCGTCGAGACCAAGTGAGATTGAGAGAGGATGCAGGTTGCAGCGCTCGAGATTGAGCAAATTATGACCACATTGACGATTTGTGCACGGGTCTACTTCTCATGACAGCAATGTCGAGGAGTGCAGCTCAGCGACAACATACTACGCCCTCTTACACGAGACACTTGACCGGAGTGTCGAGCTCTGTACTCATCTTGCCGCCCATCGCTGCAATCGACTCAGACCCTCAGACTATCCGTACGAGGAGGAAAAAGGCATATAAGCCATCAGCAAAGAGATCATGGACACTGCCGAGAGCTTGGAGAACGACAGACAAACGACCAGAAAATCGAAGAGCAATGCGACCAACAATGAGGATGAGCTCGCGGAGGATGACAACACAGAGAAGAAAGATAAGACAAAAGACGATAAGAAGTACGCGAAAGACGAGAAAGCACAAAATCGACAACGCTTCAAATCACGCCAAAGCCCTCTGGTACAGCATGTACTCATCTCAAGGCTTGCCCAGAACTGTTCAGTCATTGGGAAGCCTAGTACCGAGATAATGCTTGAACAGCTCGAAGACGTCCTTACACGTTTTGGAAGCTGTCTGATTGAGCAATTTCGTGTAAGCGATTTTTTGCCTACAAACATGTTCCAGATGAACGACATCGTTGAGGTCGGAGGAGCCGAGTTGAAACTGCGGAACGGCAGGCGGTTCATCCCAAATACGCAAATTCGCTTTCTGGGATCCTACTACCCAGCAATAATTATTCGAGTCGTCCGCACCAAGACATATGCGAAGGTGGTGGAGGAGACTAAGCATGCTCTCCACTGTATGGAAGGAAAGCTTCGTTTCGCCATAATCATCAAGATCGACAAGGCTCACAAGTCCGCGTCCGAGCAGCTCGAGGTGCACAGCGACGAGGATAGCGGTCAGGCAGCCAAGCAGAAGAACAAGAGACTTTCATTGGAAGACAGGGTCACTGTCAAGATACTTCACCTTGTCCCGACGGAGAAGCTCACCCGTCTATTCATAGACATGGAAGAGGAGGTATTTCCCAGAGCAACTGAAAAGATCTTTGCTTTCGACTGGCAAGATATCTCGCCCAACCCTTGGATTGGGCCTGCACCAATGCCGCAGATTCGATTGTCTTTGGCTCCTCTTTCTCAACTAGCGTATAGGTTTATGGAAGACGAGCCGGCGCTGGTTGGACGTCCGCTTAATTTAGACCACGTCAATTTTGATGACACGCAGCATCAAGACCTTTACCAGGACAATATTCCGCAACAATTTTACCAGAGCATGCTCCCGCAAGCAGTCCAAGAAGCCGTCGCAGTGCCTCATGAGACGGTGAAACGGCAGCTGCAAGAGCAATAAATGCTAGCGAGGACACTCAAGCATCTCCGAGAGCGGCATGTGAGCACAACAGTTTGGTAGATGAAGATGTCGTAAATCAGTATTCCACACGCTCAGAAGATAATTTTGCGACATCCAGTGCGGGTATAGCGAAGCGAGGCGTAGATGGCAACGAGGGCGAGCTGCTCCTGCCAGACAAGAGTTGTGTCAATGTTTCGCCTATTCTGAAACGCTCTTCCTTCAATTCGGCCCGTCGAAATAACAGTATTTGGTTGCGTCTAGCCCCGTGGGCATTTGTGACTGTACGCTACTGTTTGGCTTGAGGGCTCGGTAATCTCAGGCTGGAGGTTCTTGAGAGAGGATGGGCCGGCATCAAGGGGCTTCCGAGGAAGGTAGTCGTTGCAACATTCACGGGAGGGTGCTGATAACTTTGTGTCGCTCTTGCGTGTGCCGAAGGTCTCCTGATTATTTGTAGTTCTCAGCCAGAGTCAATGCTTGTGTCTCCTATTCGTACGACGACAGACCACAAAATTGTGACATACCGGATAACTCTCAGGCACACGGGTGTGTGTATGAATGATACGGCTGTGACCTCGGAACTTGAGAATCTGGAGAACGTCAGCAGTCTGCCAGAATCATCTCCACTAGTCTTGACAGCGACGTCGCCATGGGACAGCGCTTCGAAGATGGTAGGCGGCCTTCTATCACGGCATCAGAGAGCTCAGACAGACCGCACCCAAAACGACACTGACTGCAAAAACGATGTCCAGTAGCGACGATCGGATTGTCTTTGGTATGCTCTCGGGTGATTACCAATGTTGTTATCTAGCATGTGTGAGCCATTTATCCACAAAACTAGACCAGCAGCTGACATCGCTTGTTGGAAAACTTGCTTACTATGTAGCGCATCTGCAAGAGCGCTCTGGGGTGACAGAAATTGGTCACGCTATGATGCTGCTCTCGAAGGCAGCTTCCAACCCGGATATGTGCCAAACGGGATCCACTCCAGTGGCTGGACCGAGAGGATGAGCCAACACTGCGTTTACAAAAGGGATCATAGTGCTAGCAAAGTAGTTCGAAAGAGCGCGCAACACCGTTGCGTCTGTTCAAGCAGCTGTCAGATATGGAATGATAACGCACAAACTTGACTCAAACTCGATCCGTAAACCAGCTTTGGGACAGGAAGTACAGGACAAACTTCAGCAGCAGAACTATGCAATGCGAGGATGAGGATAAGAGTAAGATTCCCAGTAGGTACAAACAAGCATCACGTATACAAGGCACAGGTCCAAGAGATAGCGACTTGCAGGTCTTCAAAGCGCTCAATGGTGCAAGCCAGCTCTGGAGCGACGAAAGGGGTACCCTCGACGCAGCTTTTAGTAAAGTGTTGGACCAATGCTCGGCACCGTGGTCGGGCACCGGGTCCCGTCACTGACACGAACGAGGTCGACGAGCTTTATCGATGCAAACAGTCGTCGTCGATGCGGAAACAAACGGAAAGTACTTGCAACTGAAGCACGCATAACGAAGTGACCTTAACCTTTCGCGAGCACCTTTACCAACCTTCAACCAGCCTCTAGCCACCCAACCCCTGAAACTCATCCAATAACACTCAGTATGGTTCAAACAAGATCCGACCACGCCGAAGAGTCCAGACACATCATCTCGACCACATCAGCTGCTACTGGCGAGATCTTCTACTATGAAAGATACTACGTCTATGAAGAAGAGGCCGAAGTCTTGTACGTCGAGCAGCGTTTAAACGAGCACGGCAAGTTCGTGCCATACACCAGCGACAAAGAAGAAGAAGAGGAGGAGGAAGAACAAGACGAAGAAGACAATGGTAGCCAGGACAAGAGCGCCATGAAGCTTGACAGGGACTACAAGGGCGAGGACTCTGCTCCTGGGATCAACGAAGACGACGGTTATGTCGCACCTGAAGAGAAGAAGCGTGCTCCTACACGCCACAAGGCTGTCATCAAGCAGCCAATTGTACGTTCCATGATTCCAAAAACATGTCACCCATGCACACAGACCGCTGACAGTCGTGATCAATAGGGACCACCTACGAAGGTTGGCCAGGAGAACCAAGTTGAGACCCGCCGCAAGCCGGCAAGAGCTCTCGAAGGCGGAAAGGAGGACAAGGGAGACTACGATGACTCGAGCTATCCTGCCTTCGAGCCAAACGAGGGTCTTGAAAGAGTCCTCTTGTTGGTCACCGACCTCGAAGCCGCCTCGCTCAACTGTAAGCGCAGAAAGAGGAGTCTGCTGAAGAACTTCCGCCTGGCAGACCTCTCGGATGTCAGTGAATTGGTCGCCCACACCGCCGAAAAGGAGGCATACGATATTGTGCGTCCTGGCAAGGTCGTCTCTGGACGCTGGGTCTTGGAGCCCCGTCCTACCATGTTCCGCCCTACCAACCCGGAGTTCCAGAAGTACGCCGGCAGTGAGCTATAGATAGGGGCAGAGAAACAAATGTGATTCTAACGTGCCATCACGTATAAGCTCTCAGGAGTGACTGTCTCGATCGTAGAAAGGATGTTACATTGATATAGGCACCATTCTGAGCCGTGACATGAAGATGGGATGCCAATTCTCGCCAAACCCTGGATCGACGATTATTCGAGCTCCTTGCAGATTTCTCTCTTTCTTAAGTAGTGTCTAGTAGTACATACAGCTGCCAAAATGCAGCCTCATTGCTAGTTCTTGCTCGTCGCTCGTTGAGAGCACCCTCCGTCGGGTGTCTCGTTGGACGTGTGATACGAAAGCAATATCATTGTGCATTCTGATGGGTGGTATCAGCCTCGTCGACGAGATCAGAGATGGTCAGATGGGCTCCATACAGGTGAGAGAGCACGTTGCACTCTCACGAAGGTGGACGGCACGTACACCAGCTGTCCAGATGCAAAATCCTGTTTGCATGAGAAGGTTATGTCTGTGGAGATTGAAGGAGGTCCTGATCTCATGGGCAGCTGCTCTAGTGCACAAGGTTTCTTTGCCTTTTTATGGGCATGACTCTGCTACAAACGATTGATGGAGTACTGGTCTCCATGGCAGAAAAGTGACTATGGACTCGCAAGTGCTTGTCGATGGTTCAAGGGTCGACCAGCACTGCTATCATCTACGCGCAGTCTACACACTCAAATATACCAGTTCGCAAGTGTAATGATCTACACCTTGATAAGGGTAGAGATACGAGTAGTCTGGCATACTACTCCCTCGGTATGACGGGCAGGGAGTATAGCAGTCTGAACGGAATATCCTATGTGTACAACAGGAGTCTGTGTGCGGAGATCAACAGAGGACTTGCTCTTGTAGACAACTGTACAGACATGTAAAAGCCTTCTGTCTTCTCGAAAGCATATTTTCGGCTTGAGTGATCGGTGAAGCACCGTTCGTTGTTGGTCCTTGGTCTGCGGCTTGCGATTAAAGCTCGGCCAGCGCTTCCACCCTCAACGCGCACACAACGCAACAAGTTCCTTCCAAAACATCACAAACTCTCGCAGCACGCAAAAATGGATACCCCTGCCCCCGACGAAGACAGACACCGTAAGAGGTACGGTCGTCGTTCGTTCTGTTTGTGTATACTCTAACCTAACGTTTGTCAGACTTCTGGAATGCTTCTCCTCCGACAGTGACCACGAAGACTCCATGCCGGCTCGTTGCTGGTACGAGAGCGTGAACGATCGTGTTGCAAAAGGCTTCCAGGGCCTGAACATTTACATCCTCTCGATCGATCAGCTGGCCTTGATCAACCGTCTCAGCGAGGACAAGCTGTTCCTCGTCCTAGAGTATGTCAAGCCCACCAAAGCTTCCCGGCTCATCGCCATGGTTATGCAGGCCTGCGCAGAGACTGCTGCCATCAAGGACAAGCAGTTTGCTTTGCACAGGCAGCCAATATGTCTGCTCTGCAAAGCAAACTGGTTGCCCAAAATCATACAAAGTCTGCTCTACAGAACGGAATTGTCGCCCGCGAAGCCGAGATTTCGGCTCGGGACGCCACCATCGCAACTCATTATGACAAAATCGTTGCTCAGAAGGACATGATCTCTGAACAGAGAGACATGATCTCCTCCCTAGATGACACTATAGCTTCTCTGAGGGAGAAGATTGGGGTCCTGCAAGTCAAGGAGAACGCAAGAAAGTCGGGCTCTTCGTGGTTCAAGTGAAGATTATGGCATCTGGTGGGGAAGAGCCAATGGCAGCAGATATTTTGTTTATTGAGATGCGACTTTTTACTCATCACTTTGTCTGCTCTTATCGTTGAAGAAATTCAGTCCAGCTTCCTTTCTCAATGTACCGTACATGGCTGCACAATCCAGAACTTCGCCATGCTCATCTCTGGCAGCTTTCATGTTCTTGTTTGCGATCTCGGTCGCAGGCAATTTGACACCAGCGTCCTCAGCAATGGCCAGAGCGTAGTTTGCATCCTTGATGGAGAGGGAGACACCAAAGCCGGGACGCTTGTCGAGTGCTGGTGCGTAGTTGCCGCTGGTCATTCTGCCGGAGTAGCCACCAGCCACAGGGCCAAAGCCTTCGGAGATGAGCTCTTCCATGGGTCCGCAGCCAATACCGGTTTGTTCGGCGAAGACTTGGGCTTCGCTGACTGCTTCCATGAGGTTGACTGTGATAATGTTGCTGCAATCATCACGTTAGCTGTGCCGTGCAGTTTTCTGCGGGCTTAAAACTTACCCAGCAATCTTCAGCATCGAAGCGCTTGATGGCTCCTCCTTACAGACAATGACCTTTCTCGCAATGACATCCTGGAAGTAGGGCTTGACAGTTTCCACGGCTGAGCTGGGTCCACCAATGGCGACAACGAGTTTTCCAGGTGCTGCAATTGCCGGACCACCGAACATGGGTGCTGCGAGGAAGGTCGCCTTTTGCTTGGTAATTTCCTCGGTAACTGCTTTTGTCGTATCGGGATGTACTGTTGAACAATCTACGAAGATCTTGCCAGAGAGGTCCTTTGTGTCGTAGGCTTGTTGCAGAAGGCTTTTAAGTGTATCATCGTTGTTGACCTGATTGCTGTTAGGACGTTTGCACTCTGATGGCTGGAAGAAAGCTACCTACCATTGTAAAAACAACATCGCTCTTTGACACCAGCTCGCCGAAGCTTGACGCCGGCGATGCGCCAAGACTCTTCAAGCTGTCGCCGGAAGCCATCGTACGGTTGTTATAGATCAATGATTGATCATTTTTGGCCAGGTACTTTTGCAGGTTCTCTGCCATGGGCTTACCCATAGATCCAAGGCCATACTGTTGTTTTTCCGTCAATACATGCGCTTCCATGATGCCTCGGCAATGCCACGACAAGGGCCTACGAAGCTTGACTCACCCAGCCGACTTGCAACTTCTTAGCAGACATGTTTATCGCTGAAGCACTGTAGAAACGACGCGTGATATTTGTGAGCATTGTTTTGAAGAGTAAAGGGGTATTTTATAGAGGCGATATCAATGACAGACGTCTTTGATGACGGGACGATGCCGGAGAGTGTCGGCTGGTTGTTTGCAGATCTCTTGGGACGGACAACTCAACGGAAAGATAGCGAGGCGATAACGAATCTCCAACGTCACCTCCCACCGCGTCGGCAACGAGCCGATCATGCTTCACCCTCCTTCACTCATGATATCGAGTCTGCGCTTCCGTAATCACTCCCGAATGTGCTGTCGACCTCATCTTCGCATTCGACCTCGCCGCTTCCGTTGTTGAGTGATGCCAGTCTAGTGAAGAGCAAACTGAGGTGATCTTGGCCTATTGTAGTCGGCAAAAGCTCATGATGCGCGTGACAAACGACGTGGACCTACGCTCACTTGCGACCTGAAGTTCACTGTTGCTAGTGTTAAATGGTGCTGCGACAAGCTTTGCGGCCTCGGCGGTAGGACTGCGCGTGGCGGCGCGTTCGACGGGGATGTTGTTGCTTGTCGAGGAAGGAGCCTTCAGGGCACGGTGAGGCGCAATCCGAGCTGTAGGTCTCTTTTCTGGCTTAGGAGGTGGCACGCTTCCACGCTGCTTCTACGACGGTATTAACGCGATTGCCGGCGCAGCGTTCTTCGAATAACTTACGAATGTCTCTTGGACCGCAAAGGGGAAGCCATGCTCAGGTCCATAATAACGAACTTGTACTTGATTGGCTGCGGCCGGGGCTGTGGTTTCGTCGACGGGGTGCGGCATCGTGGATGTTCGGACAAGTGTAGGAAGGAAGGAGAGAAGTCAGGTAAACTGGCCGTCGCGACTGGACGCGTCACTTTCTCATGTGATTATCTCATCTCCAGCACCAATGAAGTAGTGAAATTGTAGCTGTAAGAAGGCACAATCATATTCGGGATTCTTAACCACTCCGCTGGAGACCCAAAAAATTGGTGCTCTCAGCGGTCAGAGCTCCAGATGCGAAATTGACTGTGCCTTTTTACAGCCCCTGTTTCCTGGTGTACACCTTCTTGGAGATGCTGCCTTGGGCTCTATCCTCCAGCGCCAGCGACAAGGTAATTTGGTAGCTGTCAAAATGCACAAACAATTTCAAAATTTCTGCTTGCACCGCTGGAGACGTGAATTATGTCGCTCTCGGCGGCCAATGCTAAGGATCTGAATTTGATCCTGCCTTTTTACAGCCCTTGTTTCAGGTCGCAAATCCTCTTGGAGATGCAAGATATTACGTTCTCATCGACAGCTCCCATTCTTTTGAAAAAGACTCTGCCTTTTGACAGCTACTTTCACTACATTTCACTCCTCGTGAGAGACAGTGACGTATCTCTTCTCCTCAGCTCCTTGTTCCACACATTTTGATCTGTGCTTTTCGACATACTCAGCTAACTTTCTCTTCGCCTCAGCAGTCTCTGCCTTTGCTTCCTGGTACAATTTGAATACATGATCGTAGCTTTCTCTCTGATCTTGCAACTCGATCTCAGCTATCTTGAGAGCATACTTCAAAACCCGCTCGTTGAAGCTAACCTTCTCAGCAGGCGTGGCGAAAGGGTCAAGTTCAGGTGCAGGAGGGTTCTTTGGATTGCTTTTTGGCATGGGACGAAACTTGCTCTTCCATCCTGGCAGTGCACGTTTGGGTGATGGAGTGCGAGGGATGATGATGACTTGTGGGGGTGAAGACGGCACTTCGACAACGGGCTGACATAGATCATCAACGTCGTTGATTTTATGATCGTGTGCAGAGTCTTTCTTCTCCTAATCTGAGTCTCACTATGAGTCGCGATTGGACGAGAGGATATTGGTCTTACAGGAGTTGTAGCATCGGACATGACCACATCTGAGCTTCTGGAGGCATCGGAATGCTCATCACGCTTTCTCTTGAGATCGGGTCTGTGTCCCGCTGACGATTGCATCTTGATCTGACAGTAGCTTGGTGATGTTGGAAGACGAAAAGCAGAAGTCCGGCCGCTTGCGAGATGGATATGCAAGGTCTTCCTTTCAGCTCCGCGCTTGCTACCTTGACAGAGGGACAACTTCCCCAGAGCAAAACCACGACGAGCAATTCAAAGAAGGTATAAACTTTCATTTTATGGAAGCCATACTTTATGAAGTCACTTGTTTGCCCACACTGTCTGAATGCTCAGACTCCATATCCTTGAGGGTTTTCACATCAACATTTCCACTTTTGCGCTAGATCTTCGATATCTCACTGACAGCCGCGTCGCTATTCGAGTTCAGACGATGTACATGGAGCTCATTTCTTAGCTTTGAGATCGTCTCGCTCAGCGCTTCCTTCTCCCATGTCGAACTCTTCGATCCGAGTACCCATCATAGCAATCCTCTTCTCGTATGTAGTCGCCGTCCTAGTATCGTAGCTCTAGCTTTCCGAGAAATATTCTGGAGTGAAAATATGAATGTAGTCTGAGATATCAGGTAGATCTTGCAAGGCGTGAACAAGAGAAGGTGCGAGTTGGATGAGAGCCGAATGAGCTAGAGGCTGTTGTAACGCGACAGACAATGTAGTTCGATTTGGGCTCAAAGACTTCTGTGTAGGATCATTTGTATGACCTGGGCTGCCGAGATTCGGGGTCGGTGCAAGATACATCTTGTCAGTGTTGTGTCTGCTACTAGCAGATTCGTGCTTGGACTTTTCGGATAGGTCAGAAAGTAATTCGTTCTTTCCATCTTCGGCAGCGACAGTGGCCCTTTCTATCTTCCTTTCTTCCTCCAACTCATCCGCCACTCCAGACCAGTACATGTTCTCGGGAATCATCTGTGTGATGTAAGCCTCTTCGCTATTGTCTCCGAATTTCTTGTAGTCGGGAGACATATTTGACTGTGTGTTGAGTATTGAAAGTAGGAAACGACAGCAAGGAAAACGTAACGACAGAATGGTTAAATAGCGTGAGGCCTTAGTATTTATACATTCCTCGTGTTAGCCTCTATCGCATACTCACTGCCACAAACCTCGAGTCAGGTCTATGGATCATTCCTCATATCTGAAGCGCGCCGCGTTGCTGTTCTTTGTCAGATACGCCGCGTAAAATGGCAGAAACAAGTATGTCACTCGTTTTCAGTATGTTGAGACATTGAGTCACGGGCTGAGACCGGCAGGTATCTGTATGTGCCGATATGAGAACTCAATATCACTGAGACTTCTGATTCAATCTGCGTCAAATCTTAGCTGTGCAAAGGCAGGATCATATTAGGAAACAGAGAGGAGTTCCCTGGAGGTAACACCCGTACAGCTCTGCGACCCCGTCCCCTTCGGATTTGAAAAACATTTTGTCTTCCTACAGCTTACCGAAACTGGTGCATTCCAGGTGAGAAGTCACAGTGGCTGGTCCAGCACGATTTGTAGCACCTCAAACAGCGTGATTTTTCATTCCCGCACATCCAATGATTTGTGTATTCGAGTAATCATCCATCCATGGTCATTCTCTGAGGCTTTTCTCATACAAAATCTGATCTAGTTCTTTGAGATGACCCCGAAAGGAATTCTTCGGTTGCTCATTCACAACCGGACAATTATGGCTCTCGAATAGCGTCAATTATTTCCTCAGTTCTTGAGCCACTCGCCAAAGCCTTTTTCAACAAAGAAAATCTGAACAACCAATGTATCATCTGCTGATAAGTCTGGAACAAAGTACGAGCTGTGTCGCATCCACAAACAAGATCCTCGCTCTCGAAAGAGAAGCCAGAGACGATCGAGGCGGGAGTAAGTGGTGGGCTCTCGCTTGGAGAAGATGGTGCGAACAACTTGGTGCCGGGGAAGCATAGATCAAGCTGTGAGATGATCTTGTTATCATTCCAAATAGGACTCAACTCAGGAGTAGCAGGCATCTGAGGATCGGGACCAGGCCATGTTGGGAAATCTATCTTGATGTAGCTGCCGAGAGGTTCTCCTGTTCGTTTGTGTGCTGTGTGTACGGACAGAGATCTTCTGAGTTGCGGTACCTGATCCATAATGAAAAAAAAAACTGTAGTTTGTAGTGTGATGGAGAGCGACAGGCTTGTAAAGCAATGATTTTTGACGAGCTGTTGTAAAAAAGAGAAAGAAGGGGCTTCGAAGGCGAGGGGAAATCTGTTATATCCATTGGCTGTGAAATCATATGCAAGATGCTAATGGTATACAGAAAAGCACGTGGTCGCAAAGTGCTGTGATGGTAATCACAAGTTCCTGGAGGCCCACTGTAGGTCCGGGTACCAACTGTTGCTTTCACGTGTCACCGCAAGAACTGCGATCAGTGGCCCTTTTCCAATCATGCCATTGATACCCACCGGGCTGGTAACAAACCGTGACCTAATCCGTGCAGGAGTATGCCTGCGTCACGGTATTGTTGGTCTGTTATTGTGAGGATATGAAATCACAGCGTCTCTCATGTCGCCCAAAAAGCTGGAATGGACATATCCTCGCCTGTCGGATCATAAAACCGCATTAGCACAGGTCAAGAAGCTTGATATGGTTGTAGTATGCAAACACAGTCTTTGACAGATAATCTTTGAGGACTACTGCACAAACATGACTGTAAGTTAGTGTAAGGACTCAACATGTCCAAGCCAATGGGCGTATCCCCCGTTACTTGGTGTTCAACCAAATCAATAATTCAAGTCTGCATATAAGTCCGTGAATCCATTGAGAGACAGGGCTTGAGATGAGACTCACGCTCTTAAGCTATCTCATCCCTGATACGTACCGCCAGAGGGAGGCTGTGAGAATGCATAGGCATATTCAACTCCCACTACCATGTCCATGAAGTGGCAAGGATCAGGGTAAAAGAAGAAACCGAGTCCTGGGACCCCACTCATACTTCACGCCTAAACCAACATGTCAAAAGGCAGAATGACTCTCAATTGTAGTGATAACTTGTCGAGAGACTGACTCTCATTGGCAAGACTCAAGACTATGTGAGATGGTCAGCCCTCACAGCCATGGCGAGGAATGAGAAAATTCATTGTGCATTGTAGCAGCTCCAGAAGAGTCCAGTATTCGACCCACGGAATGATAGATCTTTCCAGGTCTCTACCGAGTATCATACCATTTGATGAGCTAAGTCGCTCTTCGTTACTTGCAGAATTGCATCTACAACGCGGTCGCGTGTGAAAAAATGAGATGGGAAATACATAATCCATGTCATTGTGCTAAAAGGAAGGTACAAAGAAGCGGGAAGTGACGTTTCCCGAAAAAGTGGGGGCCGCAGAACCAAGCCTTGCCAGATTTGTCACCCTGGCTATGAATACTTTATTGCGAGATAATCATCCAGACGATAGCAGGCGCTCGGAAGATAAGTGTGAAGCTGCGAAAGTCTCCTTGTATGCTCAGGATAGTAATACCTCAGAGTGACGCCATGTAGAACTCAATGGGTGGTATTGAGCGATCAAGAAAACAGTCAAGATCAACTTTTCTGCCTCGGAGACTTTAGCAGACGAATGACCAGCACGACATCAGCAAAACCATGAAACCCAGAGAAAAAAAACCACTCTAGCTTATCATTTTTCATCACCCAAGACCAAGATTGATCAAGGTGTAGTTGATGGCGAAAAAAGAACATCTTTCAAAAAAAATACATGACACCACCAAAATCGCTCTTATCCGTATACCCTTGTGCCCATCTTCCCCCAATACCACCAACAACACCATCGCAAGCCCAAAGCAAAGTCACCGAGCACATATTACCGCCACGGACTGCTAGCATCACCAACGCCAATACTGGCGCTCTCAAACTCCATCTCCCAGTCATCAACCTCCATGAACTTCTCTCTCGCCTTTCTCAACTCATCTGAGACCTTGTCATCAGACTTGGCACCCTTGATGGTATCAAGACTTGTATCTGCAGTCTCATCTGCTTCCAGATCGTCACTATTGAGCTCCGACAACGACGAGGAGCCAGAAGAGATATGCACAGGGTCATTCTCTTTATTGCTGCGACCATAGGTTCGTGATGTCCTTTTGCTCGTCGCTGCCGTAGTTGCTGGCTTCTTCGCCTTCGCGACTGGTGTCTTTTTAGGCGCCGTGGGCTTCTTCGTCTTTGCTTTCTTTCGCCTTTCATCCTCAAAGGCCAAGGACGAGGCTTCGTGTGCTGAACTAGAGGTAAAGTCAAACTCGTCTTTGCGTTGTGCTCGGCGTTTGGGGAGCATGGCTCGTAGTGTAGCGGTGGTCAAGGGCTTGATCTTCTTAGACTGACCACCTGCACGAGCAGATTTGCGTATTGCTGAGGGTGAGAGGGCGGGAGTTTGACGGTGTTGTTCGGGAGAGGTGGGACTAATTGGTTCGGGTGGTGGTGAGCTGCTCATGGGGTCTGCGTAGGTGTCACTGAGCAGTCGTTCTTGTTGCGACTCTGTGGTTGCTGCTTGTTCCTCATCATCATCGGGTGCTGTGGCCGGGATGGCTTCGTACTCTTCTGGCTCGGCAATTGATCGTGATGGCGATGGTAATGAAGGTGATGAGCGGGTGACTTGAACTTCGGAGTCGTCGATGGCATCTGACTTGCGCTTGCGAGTCTGCCGTTGTGACGTCTTTTGTGGTGTCGCTCCGTAGAATTCGTCGTCTGAGTCGGGCAGGGCTGCCTCGGGTGTTTGCGCCTTCTGCTGCTCTTCCCCTTCCTCGGCCTCTTCTACTTCTTGTTCTACATCGACTGGCTTGCTCTTGGAAACCTGCAACGGCGTACTCTCGTCATGGGGCGCAAAGTCGTCCTCATCACCCAAGCTTCCAAGCGTAAAGTCGGTCGTGTCGTCGATCGGGGAAGCAGCAACGAGTTCTGGATTCTGGACCATCTGCAGCAAGCTAGGCTGACGGGCACGACGTCTGAAGTTTTGCAAGGCGAGGACAGATGATTCTGCTCCTGGTGTGCTCTGCATCTTTACAGCAGACTGGGGACGCGCGACACTAGCGGGCGCCTTGACCGCCGTTCCAGGAACTGCCGTATGTCTGGCCGGTGATGGCGATCGTGGAGCAGGACGAGCAGGACGAGCAGGCACCAGAGCAGCATCTCCATCGTTGTTGGTAGCCTCACGAATCGCACGTTCGGCTTGTTGCGACTGACTCTCAGGCACGGATTGCGTGACCAGTCCAGCTTTCGTCGCTCTGCGATCCTCCTCCATACGCGCCTTCAAGTTGTCCATAGCACCCTTGTTTGCCTTGCTTGGTGCTGGCTTCTTGACCGTTCGCGGAGGTCGACCACGCGTCAATGGTCGTTGTTTCGTTCGCGGTTGAGGCATCGCATCGCTTATCGCAGCCTCTTCTTCTTGTGTAGGTGAATCTTGCTCGACATTCGTGGATTTGCGCGACCTTGTACTACGGACAGTAGTGATGACTTCCGCCTCTTCTTCTGGCTGTTCTTCTTGCGGTGGTGTCGCCTTTTGCGCACGCGATCGAGTGCCTCGTGTAGCTGGTGTCTTCGCGGTTGTGGCAGGCGCGGCCTTGGCTGCCGTCTTTGCGGCGCGTTTTGGCGGCATTGAATTAGTGATTGTGGTGTATTGGATGTACGCGACCGGGATGGAACGTGTTGTGAATGACTATTTGGTGGCGATTTGTGTAGCGACAGCGGTATACAGAAGTCGTGGTAGCTGCCTCGGTCATGACGGAATTCTAGACGCGCACATTTCGCGTTCCCATCCGACGCCTTGCCACTTTGGGAAGTCTGCCCCTCCAAATTCACTTCCGCTTCCGGCTCATGTCTCAGTTCGATGATGCTTGGATGAGGTGTACGTTCGGTTTCATTAATCTAGGGGTATCATGAAAGAAAAGAAGACATCGAGCCCGCTCCTATACCAGTTCCACCCTGTGCCTCTCTCTTGCATGACTTGTGAGTTCCATCTTCAGCCTTCTAGTGCTGAGGTGTCTCAGGGATAATTCTCTCGCCTTTTACATCTCTTCTCTTCTCTGGACTGTCCAAATCCATCATGTCCACGTCGTCAGGGGTGACGACCTTCGATAGTGCGGGCATACCTTCAAGCATCGATCTCGACACTCCGTCACCATGTCCAGACACTGGGTTCGGACCATTAGGTCTGCCTTGAGCTGTCGCAAATGGAATTGCTCCAGTGCTGGAGAAGACTGGGAGGCTGTTTTGTGGGTGAGTATAGGATGGATTGAAAAAGGTTTGTCTCTGTGCTTCGATAGGACGTTCTTGCTGCTGTGGTGGTGGAGGTCGTTGCGGAGCAGTCAGCTGGTCCGTCAACTTTTGTGGCTCAATCGGTTGCACCTCCTGTGTATGCTGCTGCATCGCTTGTTGAGGTCCGAACGACTGTGGTGAAGGATGCTGAGCAGGTACAGCAAGGGGGTCGATAGGCGGCTGTGGTGTACTTTGCTTGATAGACGGTTCCAGGTCAAGATACAATGGCGACTCTCTATGTGTCAACTCCGAAGGCACAGTCTTGGAGACAGAAGCTGGTTGTCTGCGTAGAAGTTGCTGCTCTGCTGTCGGAGCGGCACCAAACTCCGCATCGGACTCCTCAACCTTGACGCCGTATTGCTCGGAAGTTGAACGTACTGGCTCGACTGGCCGTTGGAATACCACCGTATCTCCCTGAACAAATCTAGACTCCGCATTTGTCTTCGACTTCTCCTCCATCTCCCTGACTCGACGATCATGCTCCTCTCTTGTCCCCACTTTCAGGTGAATTCTCTTAATCCCAGCTGGTCGTAGAGGTTCGATATGATTGATAGGTCGCGTATAGTCGATTGTAAGAGGCATTGCAGTCGGGATGGAAGCCTCAGACGGAAAACGCTTTGGCTCGGGTCGCGCCATGCGAGTTTCTAGCTTCACAAGAGGTACATTCTCTTGCTCTCTCTTGACCGGATATTCTTGCTTGACGGGAAGCTCTTCCTTTTTTGGTAACTCTCCAGGCGATGGAAGTTTTGGAACCTTCGCACGCGCCTTTCTTGGGCTAAGCGGTGGTTGGGCAGGTATGGCTGGTACAGAAGGTACATCCGTGTCCTCGGACTTCAAGTCGAATAGGTTGCTAGTCCTTCTTGTCATTCTCTTTGGTCCACCAAGTGTCGTGGGCACAGGCTGTACGTCAATGAACTTGGGGATGTCAGCGATCGTCTGGCGCCTGGCAAGATCGATTGGAGGCAGCTTGGTCGACATGTCTGCTTCGGTCGGTGGACTGACTGTGCCAGCCCCCTTTGGCTTTCTAGTCCGGAGCTGGCGACCACCCACGACCTGCTCGGCTGGTGCAGCCACTGGTGCGGATAGTCTATCCTTCTTGACTCTGACTGGAGCGAGATCCTCTGGTGCATGACTTCTGGTCTGACGATCTGAAGGAATGATGAGTTTGCTTAGCTCGTGCACAGCAACGATCCAATCAACCTCGGGTGGTGCTCTCAGACCAGCAGGTCTGGGTGACATCGGTCGCATTGTGCCCGAGATTGATCTCTGGAACTTGAGAGGGTCGACAACTTTGCCAGTAAACGACTGCGTTGGTGTGGCATACGTGGGCATGGCAGTACGCTGTGTCCTCGTAGGAGCAGGCGGTGGGGGCGGTGTGACATGTGTCTCCAGCGCATGCAAATTCTTGACGTCCCACCAGCTCGGATCGTACTCAGGTGACCAATGTGAGAGACCATTGGCAGGACTAGAGATGTTCATGCTTTGCATCGCGCTTGCAATATCATCATCGGCGGGCTGTGTGTGGACGCCGTTGGTTGCTACTGCATTTGGATCTTGACAAAGTCCAGATATGTGACTGAGAACACCACTGCAAAGGGCTCTATCACTATACCCGCCTTCCAAGACTGATATGACGCGCCCGTGAACGCCCGTTCCTTCTTCTTGGGCAAGTTTGACAACGTCTTTCGCGAAACGAGCATAGAACTCTGTAGGCACATTGACTGCATGTCGCTGCATACCTGCACCCTCCCACTGGCTCGCATCAAAGCCAGCCGAAATGAAGATGGCAGCTTTGGGCGGTGCCTGTTTGTGAGAGTCTTTGATTGTTTGAGAGTGTCTTCTCAAGAAAGTTCGAGCTTTCTCCAACAGAATCGAGTACTTCGTTTCGTACAAAGCCCAAAACTCGTCCATTGTTCTCCAAGCTTCCAAATGGACATTCCAGATAGATTGGTTGTGGATATTATCGATGCAGACACTGGCATTGGTGACTTTGTCCTTGTCACCGTCTTCGCAGGGGTACGAATTGATATCATGCATGCTGTAATATCCAATGGCAGTCTTTTTCGTGAAGGAAGCGCTCTTTGGCATCCTCGCGCTTTTCATGTTCCTCTCCCAAGTAATGTCCTGCGATCCATCACCATGGTGCAAGTCGATGTCCAAGATGACGGCGTGCGTCAAACCATAAGTCTGCGCGGCATACTCGATACCAATATGTACGTTGTTGATCCAACAGAAGCCAGAGGGAAAGTCCGAAGAGCAATGATGACCAGGGGGACGAATGGCAACAAAGACACGTCTTGGAGATGTGGGAATGCTGGAGAAAATCGTATCGACTGCTTCGCAAACACCACCCACCGCTCCTTGGAGTGCGTTAAGAGACTCGGAGCAGAGATACAGGTCACCTTCATGGAAAGGCTGCTTTTGCGTAGTCGCACCCGGAACTTCAGGCCTAGCCAACTCCTTCATGTGCGATGCCAGCTTTTCACCCGCGACATTACACATCGTCTCAAGCTCCTTCATCCATTCAGTCCCATGAACAGCAGAAATGAACGCTGAAGTGAGGGGCACAGCGCGGGATGTCTTCTTGATCCTGAAGGGAATGCGCGAATCTGGTTGTTTGTCCGGATGTGGAGCATGTTGACCTCCCGCATGTCTCGATCCAAGGCGAACGTATGCACTAGCAAGTCCAAGAACAGCAGCCAGTACGCGCTCCGGCCTCTCGACGATCATACTTAGCATACCCTTGGACGTCTTTGGTCTCGAGAATCTGTGTCCGTAGCAAGCATCGTGAAGAATTACTGCCACCTGCGCAGTCGTGGTGTCCAAGTCGTGCAAAGCAAGTTCCTGTGCGAAATGTGCCGATGCGACCTGCGCTGCGCTTAGCGGAGGTGGCTCCTCGATAACTGTGTGCGAATAGGAACTGGTCATCGAGCCAGATCGATCGCCTCTACGCGGAGAGCCAGCGGGAGAAGTCTGGTTAGTCATGCTCCGAAGAGAAGACATGGACGATTTGCGCCTAGGAGGAGTTCCTGCTTGGCTCATCGAACTGGATGCTCTGCGCAGAGCATGTGGTGATTCGTATGCGCTAGGAGTAGTTGATCGGAAGTTTGATGTTATCGGACTCGAAGCGACTCGAGAAGCACTTCTGCGATCAGCTGGAGAATTTGATCTTGCCAGAGAAAGACGGTCGAGGTTTCGCGACAGGGATGGACTTTGATCTCTGTGTTGCCCTGGACCAGGGCTTGAACGAGGATGTTCGGCCATTCTTTGTTTACACTTTGAACTTTCCGGACTTTTGCTTCAGTGTGGGATTTCTGCTTGACCAGGCATTTCCTGCATGTTGTTTGATGATAATTGAATATTCCTGCATTGATTCAGAAGCTCGAAATGTGGCAGCCAAACCCCTGGAAAGCTTGCTGTCCACTCTGTTCCCGCTGACGTTGAGCCGCCCCGTCGTTCACGTCTCACTTGCACGTGACAGCCTTGGCACTTCTCGTCATCTCTTGCGTCGCAATGCATTCTTCAGCAAGTGTTCTGCTGAGAAGGCGACTGGGTCTACACATTCTGGAGATGACCTCCCTTTGTGTCAAGATGAGGTTGGTTCGAAAGGTTGACTAGTAGAAAACGTCCGCGGATGCTGCAATGCTTCGAGTCAGATCTGCATCCTTCCAGTAGCCCTGCCGCTATCGGATCAAAGTCAATCCGATATAGACGACTCGTTGAGGCATTGTACCCCATCGTGCCTCAACTTATGTAGTCGGAGTGCCCTGTTAGATTCATTCATTGACGATACAGCTGCTCCCAGTCATGGTCCAAAAGAAGCTCACCGAGCATCTGCTCGCTTACAACACAGATGCATTCCAGTCGGCAACAACGAATCCATGGCTCCGTCTTGCTGGTACCTCACAGCTGCCAACCCAATCACTTCTAGCTTGGTTGACACAAGATCGTCTATACATCTTTTCCTACATCCCCTTCATGGGCAACATGCTGTCTAAAGCTTCCTTTCCATCTTCTTCATCCCGCCAAAAGTCTCTGGAATGGCGAGTCGCCGATTGCTTCATAAACGCCCTTACCAACGTCCGCAGGGAGCTCGGCATGTTCGAAGACATCCTGAGAAAACACTTCAATTGGAAAGAAGGAGGCGAGACCGCTACGAAAGAGACAAGGGCATACCAAGACATGTTTGCTGGAGCAGGTGCGGCAAACCAGAGCATTCTCGTCGGCATGACGGCCTTGTGGGCTACAGAAAAGTGCTACCTTGAGGCTTGGAAGTATGCTCTGAGCTTCAAGGATGAAGTACCGGAAGAGAGGAAGAGCCATGTGTTACATACAACACTTATACCCAATTGGACTTGCGATGAATTCGAAGAGTTTGTGCTGTGTATTGGTGAGCTTCTTGATGAGCTTGCTGAGGACATTCCCGCAGACAGTAAAGAGTGGGTCAAGTGTGAGGAAGTATGGCAGCAGGTCTTATGGGCTGAGGAGAACTTCTGGCCCAAGGTAAAATGAACACAACCCATCGAGCTCGACCTCCCCCATACCCAGGAACACTCCTCAACGCGACTGTCATGAGACGAGATGTCATTGAGATTGGAAACGTCGATTCTGAGAGCGATCGGCTTCTTTCCAATCACACAGCTCTCCAATCACGATGTCGCGGCAAAGCATAGCTGTCATAATCAACCAAGAAACTTGGCATTTGGCGCTCATCTATCGAGTACAGCCATCTACCACTCCCTGACTTTTCCTTCTTCCAACTCTGAATATCCACATGCCTTTTGACAGCCCGTTCCATGGACCCAAGCTCAGCCCGGGAGAATGCAAGTAGGTAGTGCTCACTGGTGCCTTTGTCTCCTCTCTAGACACACAAGCATCGACACCACGTCCATGAACATGTTGAGAGCGTCTCTCTTTTCATGCTCCCTGCTCCTATGCTACAACCATTCGTGCCAGAATGCAAGGACTTGCAAAAAAGGCTGACAATGCCACTGGAGAGCGGTATGCTCCATGGCAGGATCCAAAGGTACAGTCATGTCTCGAAGGTCAGGCATGGGTCTTCAGAAGAAAGATATAGTTTTGGGTCATGCCCATTGTACCAAGGATGCAAAAGACCAAAAGGCTACATGGTTCGCAGTCATACCAGGAACAAAAGAAGAGGTCTATGCCCCCTGACGGAGTCGAACCGGCGACCTCGGCATTACTAGTGCCGCGCTCTACCAACTGAGCTAAAGGGGCTTGATGAGATAGAGGGAAAGATGAGGGTAAGTGTCCTCGTGAAGGGGTAGCAATCTCGGTCTGCCAGATGCACGGACGTTGGAAGCGTTGACTGGCTGAGGACAGACAGTAGACGCGCCCAGACGACTGAGCAGAACGCGACCAGTACCAGTGAATAGAAAAGGGATGAAGAGAGCAGGTAAAGAGAAGGTCGCAAGCGCAGGTGGAATGAAAGCGGAGAGTGGTCGAGGAAGAGCAGAAGAAAGTCAAGTCAAACATGGTGATCAAAAGGGCCAGCCTTGGCAGTTCCGCGCGGAGGTCGGCGAGCAAAAGTCCCTTCAAGCTTGTTGCGGGCGCTAAAGTTCCGCAGACCGCCTTGTTGGCAGAACTTTTGAAAGTCTGGAGGCGAACAATTTTCCGTAGCAAGTCAAAGCGGGTTTTGGTCGCGGTTTCCAAATACACAAATTTACACCCAACACATACCGCAAAGATGAAGACGACGTGGAAGGATATCGCCCCGGTGCCGACGTCGCAGGAGTTCCTGGACATTGTCCTGAGCAGAACGCAGAGAAGATTGCCTACTCAGATCAGAGCGGGTTTCAAGATTTCGAGAATTAGAGGTGTGTACAACTTTCTGCCGTCGAAAAGAGGAGGATTTGGGACGTTGCGGATGGGCGACTCTGCAAGAGCGACGAACGACAACTTGGAAGAGAAATACACGGGGATCAAGACAGGGACGACACGAACAGCAGACTAACACAAGTCGCAGCCTTCTACATGCGCAAGATCAAGTTCACCTGCGAAACATTTGCCGAAAAGATCCAAGCCGTCCTCGACGGATTCCCTCGTCTCGCCGACATCCACCCCTTCCACAAGGATTTGCTCAACACCCTCTACGATGCCGACCATTTCCGCATCGCCCTCGGCCAGCTCTCGACCGCAAAGCACTTGATCGAGACCGTGTCCCGCGATTATGTCCGTCTCGTCAAGTACGGTCAGTCGCTCTTCCAGTGCAAGCAGCTCAAGCGCGCCGCCCTCGGTCGCATGGCCACTATCTGCAAGCGTCTTAAAGACCCGCTCCTCTACCTCGAGCAGGTTCGCCAGCATTTGGGCCGTCTCCCTGCCATCGACCCCAACACCCGCACTCTCCTGATCTGCGGTTACCCCAACGTCGGAAAGTCGAGTTTCCTCAAGAACATCTCCCGCGCCGATGTCGACGTCCAGCCTTACGCCTTCACCACAAAGAGTCTGTTCGTCGGCCACTTCGACTACAAGATGCTGCGTTTCCAGGCCATCGACACCCCCGGTATTCTGGACCACCCCCTGGAAGAGATGAACACAATTGAAATGCAGTCGATTACTGCCATCGCCCATTTGCGTTCTGCCATCCTCTACTTCATGGATTTGTCCGAGCAGTGTGGCTACTCAGTCCAGGCCCAGATGCAACTTTTCCAGTCCATCAAGCCTCTTTTCGCCAACAAGCTCGTTTTCGTCGTCATCAACAAGATTGATGCCATGCGCCCCGAGGACCTTGATGCCGAGACACAACAAGCTCTTGCCGATCTCTGCAAGTCCGACAACGTCGAGATGCTCCAGCTCTCCTGCACAACCACCGAGGGTCTCATGAACGTCCGTAACGCCGCTTGCGACCGTCTTCTTGCCGAGCGCAACGCCCAGAAGCTCAAGGCTGGTACCAACGCTTCTGGTGAAGTCACCGGCCGTCTCAACGACGTTCTCCGCCGTATCCACGTTGCTCAGCCCATGGGCGGTGTCGTTCGCGAGACCTTCGTTCCTTCCTCTGTCAAGACCAGAGTCAAGTACGACAAGGAGGACCCCAACCGCATCACCCTCATGCGCGACATCGAAGAGGAGAACGGCGGTGCTGGTGTCTTCAACATCAACCTCAAGGAGAAATGGATGCTCGAGAACCCCGAGTGGCGCGAGGACAAGATGCCCGAATTCCTCGACGGAAAGAACGTCTACGACTTTGTCGACCCCGAGATCGAGAGCAAGCTTGCCGCTTTGGAAGAGGAGGAAGCCCGTCTGGAGGCAGAGGGTTACTACGACAAATCAGAGGACGAGGTCGAAGAGGCCGACGACGCAGATATCCGCTACAAGGCCGAGCTCATCCGCGAGAAGCGCCAACTCATCCGCAACGAAGCAAAGGCCCGCAAGTCGCTCAAGAACCGCGCCGTCATTCCCCGCAGCAAGAAGGCCGTCCAACTCGAGAAGATGGAGAAGGGTCTTGAGGCTCTCGGTCACGACGCCACCTCCATCACCGACCGTGCTCGCGCTCGTTCTCAGTCTCGTCCTCGTGGTCGTGCCGAGGCTGTCGAAGACGCCGACATGATGGACGTCGACGGCGGCGACGCAACCTCCAAGCACCGCAACAGCATCTCTCGCGCCATGTCCCGCACTCGCAGCGTCAGCCGCATGAACAGACGTGAGGACGGTGTTACCAACGACGTTGCCCGTAGCAAGGCCGAGCGTCTGCACAAGCTGGGTCAACAGAAGATGAACCGCAACGCCAGACAGGGTGAGGGTGATCGTCACACAACCGCCTCATTGGCCAAGTGGCTCACCGCTGGTAAGCGTGGTAACGGCAGTACCAGAAGCAGATAAGTGGTGTGCTGTTGTTGACTTGTTGCATTTTTATCATGGTCAAACTTCATGTGTCTGGCGTTGGTGGAGTAAAAGAAAGGGTTGGGGATATATTCTTGTTCTCTTGTTATTAGAACTCCCAGATCACCAAGCGAATAGTCTGGTAGCAAAAATTTCATGTCTTCTTCATACCAATGTGAGTTTCATAATCTTCATGGCTGTCTCTCTTTGCACCTGTATACTCAAGGTAAAATCTCGAGACTGGGGCTCTCCAAGCTGGACGTACTGCGAAAATGGTTCTATAAAAAGGCATGAAGCTTTTCATCAAGAGCGCTACTACACACGAGATGTTCACATCAATGCATCTCCGGGAGTAAGTTCGAGACAAATTCATGTCTGTACAAATGCACAAACAAATCTAGTAGGAGACATGACAAAGACGAGATGCTTGCCCCAGGGTACAAGGACCGGTGGCTTCTTAATCACATCTCCCTGTCGAGGTACACGAGGAGTACGGAGCTGTAGAAATGCAGAATCATTTTTGGAACGAGGGACGCTACTGCTGGAGGAACAATTTCGATCGTTCGAGATTGTCACATGCTTCTCATTTCTATCTTTCTCTTACAACACTATATTTTCACTTTGTGTTCACACATGTTTCACTTAGGTTCATCACTGATCAGAAATCAGGTTCACTTATCTACTATCTAGCATTCGAAACCCCTTTCGGTAATGTTCTGGCAGACACTCCTGTCAGCAAGCCCCTTTTAGTCTACGATCCGTGAGCTTCCATCGCTTAGTCGTCGCCGCTTAGTCGTCCGCTTAGTCGTCGACGACCCGATCTCCCTGACTATTTCTTCGTGACTCGACTCCGTAAACTCTTCCCCCTTTGCAACGACGTACTGAGCGACGACTTCGGGTATCGGTCGAACCATCCTATCTCCACGCTCCCGCCAGCTGACTCTTACTTCCAGAAAACACCATGCTATCCGACAGCAACGATCAGACCAAGCTCTCGCGCCTCGAAGCGTCTCTGAAGGAGGAGGTGCACCAGCTCAGGGTGCAGGAAGCCAAACTCAAGGCCACCACCGAATCCTGGTCCGCTCTCGTCCACCTCAAGGACACCCTCAGAGCTGGATTCCCCGAATTCGGCGAGCCTATCGATCTCAACTCTCCCGAAGCTGCCGACCTGATTGACTGCAACTATCTCTTGGTCCAGAACGACATCCACACTAGTCGAGCTTTCGTCGACATGAAGGAGAACTACAAGAAGATCAAGAAGATCCTCGACAGGGCTCAGCTCATCGTTGACGAGTTGGCCGAGAGCGATTCCGAGAACCATGTCTACAGTGAAATGGTCAAGGTTCTTCGCGGTGTCGATGGCCTGGTCGAGCCCAGAGCCGATTGGGAGATTCTCATCAAGAAGCTTGCTGCCCTCATTGCCCATGCTGGTTGATCCCTCTTGATCATCACTCCCAAGCAGGCAGATCATCACTTCGTCCGAGTGGAAGGGGGTTTTCACACATGCGTATTCACGTTACTATTCAGATCGTTGTCGCTATTGTTAGCATTGTCTCATCTCGCCTTTTTATTCACCTTTGTCTCCCTAATTCCAACGCAGTTCGTCTTTGCATCTCTCAAGTTTTCGTGCTTCCATGATCAATTCTTTCCAGCACATGCGCGTTTGATACCCGCATCTCATCAAGATGGATGCCGTCACGACGACAAAACTTCAAGTCCAAAGCACCACACCACCCTTGACGTCCCCTATCATCTTATCGAAAGACGCTACACCTGCCACCACTCTCTCGAGAGATACCACAAAGTCCACCGCACCCAAGATCTCAGATCGGCACATTCTCAAAGTCAACATTCTCAAGGAACAGAGAAAGCAAAAGCTCGACGAATTAGTCACCACACAAGCACAAGTCAACAAGCACCTCACCGACAGCTGCGATCACAATCTCCAAATCACCCAACTTCGCCTGGTTTTTGGCGCTGGCAATTCCGTCATCAGAATCAATGAAGATGGCAGTATCAATGCCTGCAACCTCGCAAAGATCGCCCTCGCATCAGAATTACTCGACCATGACAAGAACTTGAGGGAGAGCTTGAGCGCTTTCAACAACAGCCAGAAGCAGTACTTTGGATTGATCAAGGAGATGAAGGAGATTGAGATTGAAATTCAGAAGGAGCTTACACCTGGCAATGGCGATGATGACGAGATGAGTGAGGAGGAGGATGTGGAGTTTAGAGGCTCGCAGGTCAGGTTTTCTATGCTTGAGCAGTATCGTGTTCAGGTGACCGAGACTTGGCTTGAGTGGTTGGATGAGCTTGCTTGAAGTTTATTGTGCCTGGGGTCAGGCTCGCGGCGTTGTTGCAGCAGTTGGGAGGTGGAAACATGTGCTTCCGTTCACAGATGGAGCTATTCACCGTTCACGTTCCCAGCACAAAGTATCACATTTCTGGAATCGGGTATGCCTTCATTCGGGCAGGGGTCGCGTCATCGACAACGATAAGATGAGGTCATATGCGATTTTCCGTCTACAAGGTCACATTTTTCATCATTTACATACACAAGCCAATGATCCTTTCTTTTTCTTTCAGGATAAGTCATCAACAGATTGTGATTGCTTGATCGTTGTTAACCTTCCATGACACTCTGCATAAGTTCTACCACAAGTACCGCCGTCCACCGCACCTATAAATGAATTCCTGATAACAACCTGTTCTCAGGAAGTGAGATCTGCACAAAGAAGATCTAGATACAAACTATCTTTGCTACTGTATCAGAAAACAAATCTTGCTTGTTCTCGTACTTACCGTTGCATAGTTGTGGCATTTCACGTGCCGTAGTCGATGGTGCAACTAAGACTTTTGTCTGTATAGGGATTTGATCATGCTTTCGGTTCGTTCACATGATTGATGTGTGCATTGGAATTCGATTGCTTCTGTCTAAGACAACGACCTCATCGGATGTTTTGTTTGTCATACGAAACGAAGTCTGCGAATACGATTTGTTCGACAGCCATCGCTATATATAAGAACCTCAACTTCATCGGGACAACGACATCAATCGATCATAGTGATCATCATCAACATGAGCGGATCTATCATTCCAACTTCCGACGATCGTATCGTTGAGCCTATCGAAGAGGCCATCATCATCTTCGACGATCTTCTGGACAAACTACGCATGTTTCTTGTAAGTCTTGCGCGCTTTTCATCCATATGATCCATCCCGTCAGTCATACCCTCTTCCAGAGATAGCTGTGCATATGCATAAACAAGTTCAAGAATAGAGACATGGACGAGGAGATGCAGGTTTGTTCACGACTCTCAATGGACATCTTGATAAGCACGATTCTGTTTGTGCATTCTTGCGCGGCAGCTCTAAAATCTTTCGTCTTCAAGGAGAAGCATATGCTGACTGGTAACCGGTTATAGGCCGCACATGGACCGGAGATCGATGCATTCCGCTCCTCCAACCCACCCAAAGTCACTGTTAGTGACACCATGCAGGTAAGTCTGTAGTCATGATAACCACGACTGTATACTCATATCAGGTACCACAGAACATCCTTCACGGGTTCGGTGGCCGCGGTCTCGTCAGCCTTGCCAAAAGTCCCGTCCCAGACTCTCTCGAGGCTTTCAACGAGATGGGCCCCAAGATCTCTCAGCAGAGTATCAACACCTCCAACGCCATGCTGCCCCATATCATCTACAGAATCACCGACGCCCCTGAGATACCTGCTGGAGAGTCAGACAAGATGGCCGATGCTACTGTGCCCGAGCTGTATACCGCCATCTGCCCCCGTCTCGCTCTCGGCAACGACGTCCACATGACTTTCAAGAGAGTTGGAAAGGCCACCCTTGAAGGACTGCAGCGTATGAAGGAGCAGAAGGAGGAGTGGGCATCGATTTGGGAGGATGGAATGAAGTTGTTTGAGCCCGAGACCGTGGCTCTCAGCTTCAACCAGATCCAGGGGGCTTTGAAGAATCTGGAGGAAACCATGAAGGGATGTCTCCGTAACATCCACGCTCTCCAGATGAAGAAGGGATGGTAGAGCATCTAGCTTCTTCCACGGAGTCTGGTTGTTCAAAAGCCATAGAAAGGCACAATCAAGAGCGACATTATGTTCTTCCTCGCTGAGATTTGCGATTTCGAAATGATCATCTTATCTCTCTCGCTGCAACTGCCGCTTTGTGAAATTGTCTCTGCCTTTTGACAGCTCTTTGTTTGTAGTCGATACTGAATGTGGAAAGATGACCATGAGCCTCACTAAGTCTAATCTGGAAGGAACGCTCGTCAGTGCTCCATCAACGCCACTTCCTCACATCATCTACGGCTGTACTTGTGGATCTTCGCGCGTATTACCTCGCACTATCTCGCTTTACTATCAGAACATCTAGCAGTGACGCTATCAATCAAGACTCAAGACTACCATTATTTCTACGACACCACAACTACTACAAAATGAATCACGAAGTTGGACCGATACAGCGTGCAAGTTCTTTTTCGTCTGCACTCTGACATGCGCTCATCTTCATTCAGGCACGCCGCAATTCCGTGAACCCCATCACATTCATCCATGTGCGCTTAGACCGTATCTTGTTCATCGCCGCAGAAAGAGGCAGGGCTCAGCACCTTCTGGTAGACGAAACACAAGACGACTAGCGATCGAAAGATTTCCACACCTTTGACAAGAAGCTTCCGAAAGTCAGGTGCGACGAAGACATTCTCAATCTCGAACACCCTATCCGCGAAACGGAGCAGAACATCGCTTATACACATCGACGATGGACTGAGATTCTGAGAATCTACAACAAGATGGAGCCAGAGATTGTTAATAGTCTTGGGGTTACTGCGGCCTGGATGAAGTGGCATGATGATTGTCCTATTCGAAGACAAGGCTTACGAGGAGAACAGGAGCTTCGTGGTGCTTGTGAGTCGTTGATACGGTTTATCGACAACATCGTGGTTCCTGTCTTTATTGCCTGATTTCAAGAGTTGGAAGACAAGCTTCGATGCCGAGGAGGAATCGTGTTCTGTCATGCTTCATGACGTTCTGTACCGAGCTCGAGCATGTTTGACAGATTTCCGCTCGCTTATCCATGTCTTTCTTTTCACATCAATTTGCTTTCGTTACAAGCAGTTGTACCGTTTCTCCCGTATATAACCATGTCCATCATGACTCGAAAAGTGTTGCACGAATGTCTCACGCACTGATCTCCCATGAGATATGAACATCAGAATCCTGGGGACCGTCTTTAGGATTCCGGACGTCATTAGAGACATTTGGTCCTCCGGGTACAAGAGACGTGGTTCTGCACAGCTATACAAATGCAAGAACAAATTTACTGTGATATGAGATGTCGCTGCAGCATGTCTCTAAGATATTCTCCAGTCACATGTTTGATGGCTCGACAATGATTGTGCTATTTGACAGGCCTCATGATGGGACAAAACCACACACAGTGTGGATACTCGGAAACCAGGGGGCTGTAAAAAGGCACAATCAATTTCACACCAGGTGATGCTGGAGCTGGAGAACGATCACATGTATCATCATTCCCAGTATGACATGCTCCATTATCACAGGGCTGTAGAAAGGCACGGTCAATCTCGTACCAGGTGTTGCTGGAGCTGGAGATGCTTACGTCGCTGGTAAATGTTCTGTTGGAAAATCGCATGCATCACTACTCACAGTATGGTATGCTCCGTTATTTTAGGGCTGTGAAAAGGCACAGTCTATATCAAATCAGAGGTTTCTGACGCTGGAGACGCTTTGTGAGATTCTGTTGACGAATATTCACTTTGAATCTCGTTGTTCACTCACACAGTCCTTAACTTTCACCACTATTCTAGCGTTGACGTCCACCATTATCTCATTGCTTTCTTCGATCTTATATCCACACTCATCACATCAAGCCATCGAACATTAACGCGATGTCCGACGGAGCCAACCTCAATCCGAACATCGCAGACAACTAAGAGGCGGGGCTCAGCGAAACACAAAAGGTACATTCTGACCTGGGCGAACATCTTTCAGAAACATCGCTAATGCGGTGACTTGGAGCCCCCTCCAAGTCCTTAAGAGAAGAAGTATCTTAAGAAGCTTGAACATGTTCTCGAAGAAGTCCAAGTTCTCAAAAGCCAGGTCCTTCATTATAGTAAAGCGAGTTGGCGGAACATGCATCCGAAAGCGGATCGCTCTTGCCATTTTTCAATCGTGGCTACGACATTTCATCCACTTATGCTACAGCACCTTCAGGCGTGGTTTCTTTATCTCACGTTTCTACTGCTTGGTTCAATTACATATCAGCACAGTCATACCTTCTAGATTTATACCTTCCAGATTCACGTCACTCAATTTCATCATCCCAAATCCATCATCCCAAATCCATCATCCCAAATCCATCATGCCGAATCCATCATCCCAAATCCATCATCCCAAATCCATCATCCCAAATCCATCATCTTCAGCCAATTTAGCTAGAACTGCAATCACAGCTCTTCAAGTCCCTTTATTTCTACATCTTCCATCCACCGTGTTTCTCTTTCCCCCAGGTGATTCACCTTGACAACAGACTCAATCACATCTACATCTATACCATTTCCATTTGATCAAGTATGTCGAGCAAACACGCATGGTGTCGCTAACAAACCATATGTCATTGTTCATCCTCTTATCACCTGCAAATATCCTCAAAACCCAGACCGAATGAAAACAGGTCTTGCAAAATTATACTGTTTCCTGTTCAAATTCTTCCGCCCCCCCCCCCCCCCCCCCCCCTTATATTATCACTTACTTTCGGAAACCAGACATCTTAAAAGACTCGTGGTTTTGGAAAAAGATACAAACTAGTGGATTCATTTTTCTGGCTTTAAAAAAATCTTGCCTACAGCAAATGGCACACAAATGCAACCGCCGTGTCCCCTGATTTGTGACGTTTTACAAGATCCCATCATCATCGTCATAACGGGCTAGTCATACTTCCTTGTCTCCTTTTTTCTGGCCTTCAGTCTTGCTGATGTATTCATTGTGTAACGACAAAAGGCCCTTTACTCGAATCGAAACACTCCAAAGTCACTCAAAACGGCAGGAACACTCAGTATCACATGGGCAAAGACCATTCCGACCTGATTCTTAAACAGCAGTAAGGACAGCAGTCGCTCATACCAGTATCTCCACACAGAAGCAACATATATATAAAGACACGGACGATGAAGCTTCATCAGACAATACAGTTATATTATTTTAAGTACTGTCTCCATAGCAGTAGTACAAGGGCAACTATTTCAAAAGAGCGAAAACCAGTCTATCGGCTGGGCGTTTTTCGTGGAAAGCAAAGATCATAAAAGGAGTGTCAAGGTGAGGGCGACTAAGGGAGAACTTTTAGGCGAGGGGGCCGTCATCATCACTAGGAAAATGGTAGTAGAGCTTGAAGTAGTCTTACATCAACGCTTGAGTGGAAGCCCTTGATAGACTGTGTCAATGTCATCTACCTCGAAGGCGTTTTAGCATGAGGTAATGTAGACACCGATAGGGCTGGGGTTCCCTGTGGTCAAAGTCAGTAATATGATCACTAGAATGGATTGGATAGATGGACGAACAGTCCTGGAAGTAAGTACTGCGACTTGTGTTAGCATACTGTCATCAGAAACATCATGTACTAGACTTACAGGCTCATTCCGCCGGTACCACTGGCCAAGATGGACATGGTGGTACCAGGCTGACAAGCGCCAGTAGCAACTATGTAGCTGTTCCCAGGGGTGACACTGGCGATAGTACCCATGTTGCTACTGACAGCAGGGCAGCTGCTGTACGAGACGGTCAAAGGGGCGGGGGAGGCCAGCTGGTCGAACTTCATGCCACCGGATCCAGACATGGTGAAGTCAGAAGTTTCAAGGTCGGACTTCTTAGGGAAGAGGAAAATGACACTGCATTGCTTGCCAGAGTAGCTTGCAGGAATGTCAAAGTTGAAGATAGTGCTGTTACTGGAGCTGATATATGCGTTGTACTGAGTGCCGTAAGAAGTGCCAGGCTGGTCCTTGTTGATAGGGATAATGGCGTGAGGTGTCTGGTAAGCACCAGTCAAGGCAGTAGGACAAGCCTTTCCATTTCCATTGCCACCGTTGCCAGTGGAAGTTCCACTTGGAGGAGGGGCAGAAGCGGCGGGCTGAGATGCAGGTCCGCTAGGGGCAGGTCCGGATGCAGCAGGCTTGGAGCCAGCAGGTTGAGAAGCTGGACCACTAGGAGCAGGCGTCGTAGCAGGCTGCGAGGCGGGAGCAGTGGGCTGGCCACCGCTGACACCGACGTTAGTCGCAGGACAGTCACCGACCTCAGGCGGGCAGCTGTAGACGGTTGCATAGTAGGTGGTCTGGTAGATGGTCGAGGTCTGCATTGGACCAGGAGGTTGAGCATCGCCATTACCTCCACCGTTAGTGGCAGGGGGTTGGTTGCCAGCTCCATTGTTTGCGGGAGGCTGGTTACCACCACCTCCGTTGCCGCCGCCATTGCCACCACCTGTAGACATAGCCATACATGACGAAGGCTGAGCAGTGAAGATGACGGTTTGACCGTTCACAACGTAGCTGGTAGGGTATGTCGAAGGTGTGACAGTGATGAATGTGCCAGGACCGTTGGGGCAGTTACTTCTCGCTGGATTACACCCATCAAACAATCGATTCGTTCGTCAACAGAGCTCGATGGAATGTGTAGAAAGCTTGAACAACTTACTGGGTAGCACATGGGGTTCCCTGACTTGCTGAACCGGATGGAGGAGCTGAGGGAGGAGGCGCAGAGGGGGCAGGCTTCGAAGCTGGAGGAGCAGGAGCCGGGGGCTGGGAAGCTGGAGGAGCAGATGATGCTGGCTTGGAAGCAGGGGGTGCTGAAATGGCAGGCTGCGAGGCAGGAGGTGCCGAAGAAGCAGGGGCAGATGAACCACCATTGCCGCCACCGCCGCCAATGCATTGTCCACCAGTGTTGAGAGTAATCTTGACGCATCCAGTCTGATCGCCAGTGGTGACGGTGTAGATGTTGTAACCACCGTTGTCACCAGTAGCGCAAGCATAGAACTGGGTGTTGCCGTTGTACGTCAAGTCACCGTTCGAGTTGACACTGAATCCGTTGGTTGGAGATGCACCGACGTCGCACTGGAACTGGGTCGTTGGGGGAGTAAGGATGCATCCGCGGCCGCTTTGATCTGTCAGACCGCCATTGCTCAAGCAGTAGGTGCCCTGCTGGTTCGCGAGTCCGCCACTCTGGCCAATTCTGTTCTGACCATCACCAAGCTGACCAACGACTCCACTCTGACCACCTGCGGCGTTCAGAGAAAAGCAGCACTGGTCGCGAGGGTGTAGACTAGCAGAGGCGCCGAGGGCGAAGCCTAGTGTCGTGTATGCGTTCTTCATCTTCTGTGTCGATTGAACGAGAGAAGATTTCATGTAGCGAATGTAGTTGGAAGAAGAAGTACAAGCAGGGAGAAAAGAGGCAGGCTTAAAACTGGAGCTTGGAAAATGTCTTCTCGGCAAAAATAGGGATTTCCACTCCAGCCTCGTCTTCTTGACGCAACGACCATCTGTGATCAACACTCAACAAGTGTGTGACTTTGATCATAGGAGCGACATACAACTTAGTCTACGATGCTAAGCTAGAATCAAGCGCGGAGGCTTACATCAAGCAGGCAGGTTCAGGAGAAGTTTCTATCAGAGCAGGTTGGAACCAACTGGTTCGCGCAGACAAAGGCATGAAAGTTTGCTAGGCTTGCTGATGTGGATTCCGACTGAGGGGTGGTGAGGAAGAAGCTTTCCACATAACAGACGCCGAGTGATCTTGTGGGTCTAATCAGTCGTCGTTACAACCACTGTTCCTTCCCAGCCCTTTCGACTGATATCCTTGGAGCTGCCGATGACGACTGTATTGACGGGAGTTTTGACAGAGTACCATCTATCTTCAGGCATCCAGAGGCCGGCTGTTTGATACAAAGTGTGTCGATTGAGGTCTCAGTCGATCGTTGTAGGTCCATGTGTGTACCTGACGCTCATTCAGGTACGGAAGGACGTCGGCAAATCGGGTACTCGAAGCTTTAGGACAGAGATGAGCGAACGTGGAGAAAGCTGTTGGAAAATCTGGGGCTGCAGATGTGGACCTGGGGTCGTACGTGTACATCGGGGTGCTAGGACTTGAGGTAATTTCAGAGCTCGCTTGCTCTTGTTAAAAGTTATCAAAGGTGTGGAATCGCGTCGAAGTCGATGGTCGGCGGGTTCATGATGATTGGAGTGAGCTATCGTGATTGACCTTGTTAAACCAAGCTTAAGTTGGGTCAGGCCACAGGAAGACAGAAGCCCAAGCTTGCAGATCAGGACGACTTACCTCATATAGCATGCTGGATATGATTCAAAAGAAAAGCCAGTCAGGCGACTGGGCATTGACCCGCCTTTCGAGGGATACCAGCGTTCCTAGCCGTCATGGTACATAATTATCAAGTAAGAGAATGGAACCTTTCAGCTTCACAGTGTCCAACATACATTCAACTCACACTGGAAGCAAGTGGCTCGTCCTCAAGACATCCAGACGGCGGACTCAATGACGTACAAGAGTGCCAGTGCGAACGTTGACTTTTCACTAGTGCAAGGTTGCTGAAGATGTGCACCTGCTGAACGGCCAGCGACCTCTGGTTGATGACTTCCAGGGAGCGAGACGATGTTCCATGGCCAGGATGCGAAGATTAGATTGTGGTCGTGCAGATGAACATGGATGAAGATGTGAGATGAATGATGATTAATTCATGCGGAGCAGGAAAGCGACGTGCGAGGTAGGTGCGATGGATGACTGTTGTTACATTTGTATGACGCGATATTTGTACATTTTGGAAAGTGGCTCGAGGACGTGGTTTCCTCGTAAACGAAATGGAGTGTATTGGGGAGCTGGGAACATGATAAGCTTCGCAATCAATGTAGGCAATGAGATGTACACACATACCTTGGCGGAGACGCGAACAGGCATCTACTTCGCATCCAAGAACTGCCTGACAGCCTTTGCAACCTGAGACTTCTCAACAGGCTTACCCTCAAAGGCGCCTCCAGGAGCCAACAGCTTCTTAAGCACATCACCCATCACGACCTTGGCGCCCTCGGCCTCAGCCTTGATAGTCTCAATTGTCTTTTGCACAACCTCCTTGATATAGTCCTCACCCACAACCTCCACGTTACCAGCATATTCCTCCAACACCTTGATAGCTGCGTTCTCCTTCTCCGTCAAGTCTTGTCTACCAGCTTTTGAGAACTCCTCGGCTGCTTGATTGGCAGCTGTTGTACGCTTGCGCAGCAGACTCAAGAGCTTCAAATCAGAGTCGAGAGGCTGGGCTGTCTTTGCAGCATTGGTGACTTCGGCGAGGAGGCCGCGGAGGACATTGAGGCGGTTTGTGTCTTTGGCCTTCATGGCCGTCTTGAGGTCGGAGCGGAGCTTTAGCAGGAGCGGCGGCGCTGAGGCAGGTGCGTCGGTCGCATAGCGGTAGCGGAGACAGAGCTGAGCGCTCCTTAAGGCTGGTCGGCTTCTTGCTGTGATTGACTGCATCCTGCGTGTGTTGTGCTTGAGAAATGGTTACTGCCATTCTTCTGACGCTGTTTAGCAATGTAAGCTCGGGCCTCGAATCTCGTTGGAGCATGTCACCCTGTCTTGAAGTAGGCATCACCATTTTCTGGAAGTCGTACGTACAGCTTGGAGAAAAACATCCTCAAGCTGCATTATATCTTTAACGGGCTGTCTAGAACTGATCCAGGTTGGATTGATTCGGTAGCTTGCTCTACATGGCTCTCACTGGTCGGCCGCCCTGGCCGTGTAGTAATAGTTGGACATGACGTCCTCTTCAAACTGTGCTTCCGAAGTTGTGATGTACATTTCTGCAGACGCCCAGTAAAACTCGTCTCTGACATCGTCGTCGCTATAGGCGCCACCGCCAAGATCCCAGTCGGTGCTCGGAGCATATATCGCAGGGTTGGCTTCGGCAGCAGCATAGCCTATACGAGCAGCGCTCAAGCATTTCTGAGCGAAAGTAGAGTCAAACGGAGACCATAGCCTTGCGCTCATAGCTGCTGGAGCTCCCATGTGAAGTGTTGCGACCGTCGACGGGCGATGCAGCTCTCTTCGCTTGGAATCGAGATCTGGAGGTGTCGGTAGCTGCGTCCACTGATTATCGTGCATCTTGTGATGAACCATGGGAGCTTGTTTTCCACCGGCGTTTATCGTCTCTCGAGCTTACTGCAGATGGAAACTGCAGGCAGCACTAATGTCAGTAGTAACATATACACTAGATTCTTGAAAGCCATCAGGAACACAAGAGCCTCGAATTGCTGATGAGGAGGACCAGAGACAAAAGGTGAGGTCGGTAGGGATCAAATACATTGTCTCTACGACACTGGACCTTCTCAACCTGGCAGTTGAGCTGTTAGCCCCGCAGGTAGAGCACCTCGACTACTGCATGATGCTAAGATGGCCTCTTATGACGAGGCACGGAGCAGAATGATGCCAGGACGGAATGTATTGGTGTGCGGAGAAAGATATAGCCATCACAGAGCGGCTGGCTTTGCGGCTGAATGTTACCAAAGAGCAGTCGTAGTTTTCGAACCGTCCTCTACGGAAAACTCGACACTGTTCACACTCGTCTCGAGGCAAAAAGAGAATACAGGGACTCCAAAGCAAAACGTACAACAGCAGGGATTCCCACGTGGTCACCCACCGTAGTACTAATCTGCCGTTCAACTGCTTATGTATGGCAGAGCGGACGGGATGCCCAGTTTTCAGCTGACTGTGGCCGTACGTGTTGGGCTCTGCAATCTTTGCGTACAAGTCGAGAGGATGCGGTGGTGAGGGAAGACAGCTCGGTCAAACATCACGTCCGTGTGCAGAGAGAGTGCGACCTGGATGTCTGCAAGTTGTGACGAGCGAGAGGAGTATATTCCGCCGAGCAGGCAACAAGGCATAAGGGCGAGATAAGGAAGCTGGATGATTGGGGTATGGAAGGAAATCAAGGAGGTTGGAGATGGTCGATCATTGGGTATCTCAGGGATTGCATGACGTTCACAGGGCTGCGCCTTGGTTTTTGGGCGCCGACGTGCAGCTTGGACCGCGCCGTCCTTGTCGCGCCTACCTACTTTCTTGACTATAAGCACGCTCTTTCTTCTTCTGCAGGTGCTACCTGAAGAGCTCGACGTCAGATTCAAGAATTAGAAGGAGTTCAGATTACACCTGAGGCTGAGCGACTTTGAAAAGACACTTCTTCGGTGTGAAGCTTACACTCCAGCCCACCCCGCGCTATCCACAGAGTCGCAGCCGTTTCCTACCAAACATCGCCTACCCGCAAGCCGTCAGGGTGCGAGACATAGTTTCGTCATGTCACGCTCACAGTACGGCCGTCATTCTAGCAGCGACCTTGGCTACGCAGAAGAACCTCAGACTCAACGGTGGGACCGCGACCGCTTCGAACGCTACTCCCGCAGACCTGCTGCTCCTGTCGAGGAGCGCGAGACTTTCCGCTTCACCGAACATGACCGTCCGGGTCGCCAAGATATCCGCATAGAGGAGAGAATCGACAGAGGTCCACCTCCACGACGTGAAAGGAATGACTTTGCAGAAGACTCGTATGGTCCTGCTGCAAGGCCCCGTCGCTCGGACCGCGAGCTGTTCGGTGACAGAGATCCTCGTGAACTCGCCGACCTTCAGCTCGCTCCGTACAGAAGGAAGTCGATTGTCGAGCGTGATGACTTTGAGTTCCGGGAGACCAGGAACGCTCCAAGACCGGGCGGTCTGCAGAGGAGACAGAGCAGTCTCGACACTTTCGACCGCCGACCGTTGCGTCGTCACGAACCCGACGACTATCGCATCCCTCCTGGAGTTCCCATCCCTCTGCCGCGTCGTCGCTCTCCCTCTCGTGGGCCTCCTGGACGATACTATGAGGAGGAATACGAGGATGTGAGACACAGGGACTACTCTCCTCAGGACTCGTACCGCGATGTCGAGATTATGCGTGAAAAGAGCGTCCATCGAAGACGTGTAAATCGTGACCGAGCAAGGAGCGATGCCCGTAGCTCGACGACCAAGCGCAGTTCACGAACCACTCGCAGCTCCAGCAGTAGCAGTCAGAGCAGTTTCACCGAAGTCAGTCGACACAGCAGTCCGAGCCCAGCTAAGGTTGGCAAGAAAGGCAAGACTCGCATGCCCAAAAGGCTGGTACGCAAGGAGGCTATCATCAACCTTGGCTATCCCTTCGAGGAAGAGGTAAGACGCCGTCGACTCTCCATTTTCCACCCGGAGCTGACAAGAAGCAGGAGGACTTCATCGTTGTACAGCGAGCTCTGGACAAGGAGCATATTGACGAAGTGATTCGCATCAGTGAGCAGTACAAGGAGCCGAGTAAGTTCCGCCTCTTCCCCGATGGAATCCTTAAGGATACTAATCTGATCAGAAACCAAAACATACCGTTATGACGACCCAGGCGCACCACCAGAAGAACATTTCGAGCATCTCCGCACCGAATGGATCAACCCTCCTACCGTTCGCGCCCCGTCTCCTGCCCGTTCTACCCGCACTCGTCGCAGCTCTCCAGCACGTACCGTACGCCAACCTTCTCCTGCACCCCCACCTCAGCCTCAGACCATTTATATCCGCGACCCTGCACCACCGCCACCTCCAGCTCCCATCTACATCAGAGAGCAAGCTCCTGCACCACCTCCTGCTCCCATCTACATTCACGAGCCGTCTCGACCCGCTCCTCCTCAGCAACAACCCATGACCATTGTCCTCCCTGAACGCCGTCGCGAACACAGTCGAGATGTCCACGCCGAGGTCCGCGCACTAGAAGCCGAAGCTCGCGCTCTTCGTCTCGAGCGTGAAGCCCAACACCACCATCATGGTCAAATCGTCCTCGCCCAACCACAACAATCCGGCTACGAGATGGTCGAGTACAGAGAGCGTCGCCCCGACCGTGAAATTGTTGAATACGTCGAAAGAGACAGGAGTCCTAAGAGAGAAGTCATTCGTGTGGAGAAGGATCGGAAAGGTAGGATGGCGCTTGTCAGGTCTGCGCGGTGATGGTGTGTCTTTTCTGCGTAGACCGCAAAATTCCCTGGAATAATGCATGGCTGACTTCTCTCACAGCGGCAGATAAGGAAAGAAGACAAGCGAGGAAGATTGCCATGATGATGGCCACGCTTTCATAATCTGAACGAGGAATAATTTGCATCTAACGACATGGACATTTACAACATTTGCGGCTAGGCGTATTTCTTTTTGACCTTCATATTGAGAGATATCTGTGGCAATAATGAGAGCTGATATTTTCTACTTTCTTCGAGCGAGGCGCTGGGACGGATGGACTCCTTGTTTGCAGCAAAAAATAAAGCAGTAACGAAGTCTACGATCATTCTACCTTTCTATACAATATCGAAACGATGAGAAATCTTCTGGAGTGGGTGACTCACGGAGCAGCCCAAAGCTTACAGCATTACATGTAAGGACACGCCTTTTTTGCGACGCGTCGGCGACGCGTGATACACCGGCAGTCGATGTTCAACCACAACCACATACCAGATCTGAACCGCTCTCCGATCTATACTACTCAACATGGCTTATGGCTAGCAGTTGTATGAATATGTTAGGCTAGCCGAACGTGCGAACTTGACAACGATCTCAAATGACGTGCGGTGGTCGTGTGTGCTGTATGCTTTATGCAGCGTCACGAAGTATTGACCCGAGAGTCGTATAACGTTATCGACTTTTTGAAGAGGTGCGAGGTAGGCGATATCTGCTTCTTTGTGTGCCGTGCTTGCTGCACTTGCTAACGCAAGCGTTGCGGATGCGAAAAATGGGTGTCCATTGCATGTTTGGGAGGTCGTGTGATCGAGGGGTGTGATCGATTTTGACGAAGAATTCAAAGTTGGAAAAAAAAGTTGTTGATTTTGTCTGTCGAAGAGATGAGGCGGATATCTCTACCATGGTTACACATGCGAGGATGAGTTTTTGTGCACTGGGCAAGACGTGCGTGTATGATGAGAAGATGCAGGCCTGATGGTTGCCTGATCCTTGCTCCAACTTGTCAGGTCAATACCACCAGGTAAGCGGAGAATCCGCCGTCGTCTCTCACGACTGTACCTGTGGGATCTCATCGATCCCTTTGTTTCTTCAACACAGTGCTCAGGTGTGTTTAGATCACCATGGAGAACATTAACATTATTTTTAATTCCGTCGAGTTGCTCTCTGAGAAACCAACGATAGTCTGCATTTCTTGGCCACGACAAGGTCAGATCTACCATACAATCATCCGACTTTCATATGACACTTCACTTTAGCTGGCCTGTTCTTGTTCCACAATTCTCGCAATCTTTGTCTTCGATTGTCTCGATGACTCGGTCAGGGTGCTACCATTAGCAAGCACTCCAAGCCAACATTCACCATTGGCAGCAGCGACATCAAACTTTGATGATGGATATACATACCGAGAGGTGACTCTGGATGTTCTCACCCACGATTGATGACTTCGATTCGATAACCCATGAGATGGCCGTTACATCAACAAAAGTTGATTTTCGAAGTTCGAAATTTGGATTATGTCAGGAGGACCAATGAGATGTGCTCGGCGATATTGTCACACGCGGAAAGTTGCCAGATATTTTTCACCTGTACATCTAGGCTCCTATCCACCAACCACAAGACTACATGGACCTCTCAGGCCGCCCGAGTATCTTGCCACATGGGCTCAAGATCGAGCCTGGGCTTTCCCGTAATGATGCCATACATTATATTTGATCTGACAACAAAATTTCCCAACAAGCCGCTTTAGCTCATCTGGGAGAGCGCCAGACTGAAGTCAACTTCTGTCCCCCCTTGCATTTCGTGCGAGTGAATTCTGGAGGCACTGTGTTCGATCCACAGAAGCGGCATTAACGTTTTGCTTGCGCTTTTACCTCACATCCCTTTTGCCAGCCAGCCATTGTACGTCTTGTTGGCAGTTCTTGGCTGGTGATTGAGTGGAAAGTGGAAATTCTGCGCGGCTTTTGGGTTTGTGGAGGAAAGAGTTTTCGCTGAAGCCTGATAAACGCTTAGCTTTGCTCAGCGTATTTCTCGATGCGACTGTTGCAAAACTGCGATGAGTGATGTCTTGGTGGATAAAGCAGAGATCGAGAAGCATGCATTGAGCCAAATAGGAAGGTGTAGTCTTCGAGTCAGAATAGCGGAAGCTACGATCGATGCACCGAACGTACGGGAATAAACGAGTGCTGCACCGGGCATAACACATGTCTTGTACAAAGTACAAAGCACACAGCCACCAGGGATAAAAGGCTTGGAGCAAGATGTCAGCCTCTACGATCTACGAGGTCTCATTTGTTCTGTGTACTGCACCGGTGGCTGTGTACAACATGCAAGAGGTCGATATGCTGTCGACCCTCGTCCGCAGTGATATTAGCCTTTCTGTGCTCTGGCGCATTGAATCCAGCAGCTTAGCTGTTAGAAGATGACATGGAATGTCTCTGAAGCTGTTGGCAAAAGCTAAAGTCCGACACACCGTTCTAGATCGAGCAGCCAGCACCAAGTTTGACAAAACACAGACTTGCTTCAACCATCTCTATATCATCCTCTTCACCGCGATAGAGCAAAACAACGTCGATCCATACACAGGTAGGACAAGAACCAAAAGATGGAGTAGCTGGGAATCGAACCCAGAACCTTCTCCACTCAGTAATGCTATGAGAGCAATGCTAAGAAGATGTCATACCACTAGACCACAACCCCGGTTGATGAGAGCTCCACCGTCGTCGTGATACAACAATACTTTTTCGTCGTCTGTAGAAGCTCAATCGGTCAGAGCTCCCCTCGCCAGCAACTGCTTCACCCCATCATCATTCTCATACCTCTTCAAAGTAATCTGCTTCCACTCATCCCAGTTTAAGCCATCATCGACACCAACACACTTCCTCAGCCCCTTGAATACACCCATCCAACCCTCCCAATCAGTCCTCCCATCGAACGCACAGCAAAAGTCGAAGAAAAGGCTCTGTTTCCCCTCTCTAACTACCTTTGCCAAATCAGCTCTCCCCTCACCCTCCAAGCACTCTACAAAATAAGATTCAGAGCTGGACAACGCGGTTTCACCAGCGAAGAAGTCTTGTATGTGGAAGAGTGCTTTAGGACTGTTGAGGGCAAAGCTTGCAGGAGCGAAAAGTGCCCATTCCCAATCTATGATTCCTGTGATGTTGGCGGAAGCATCGATGAGGATGTGACTGCCTTTGTCGTCTGCGTGCTTGAGGTAGCAGGGCTCCTTTTCTGCTGTCCAGACTTGGGGAACCAGATCGAGAAGGAATCTGTGAATGAGGTAGGCGTCGATAGGGTGGAGGGTGTAAAGTTGACGATCCAAGATCTGAGCCAGAATGGATTGAAGGTACGTGGCCCAGTAGTCTTGCATACTGGTAAACGGACCCAGGGTTCGTAAGTTTCCGTTAACGAGATCGCAGAGTTCTTCTCGTGCGATGGGACCAATGGTCCCTGGAGATGGTAGATGGAGAGCACCAATGCTATCCATTGGATGTTTGGAGACTTCAATCGCCATGTCGGCCATTTGAGCAACGATCTTACGCGTCTGTCCGTGCGTTAGATCACCCCAGCAGAGTGGTGTTCCAGGCAGCTCTTCGATGAACATGTATCCCACACCGACTTCATTACCAACATCTCCCTCCAAAGCATACCCATGTATTCTGGGAGAAGGTATGTTGAGTTTCTCCAGGAAACGGAGAGTAGCAATCTCGCTGCGGAAGATGTAGTCGCGTACGACTGGAGGTGGAGAAGTAGCGTTTGTGCGTCTAATACGGGCCAACCAAGTAACACCGTCTTCAAATTGGACCTTGATGTGCACGTTCATGCCACCAATGACCTCGTATTGTGTCTTGCGGTCCAAAGGGAGGGTGATAGCGTGGCAAGATATGCCCAGTCGAAGATCTCTAGCATGAGATTCGAGTGCGGCGTAATTGATCTTCTTGCTGATCATCTCAATCTCTTTCTGATCTGCTTGCATGTACGCTGGATAGTAGTCTTTCTCGTCCTTGATCAGCGTGGATTAGTATGCATGTCGAGCTCAAGAAGCGCGTGGAACTCACGTCGAGGTCTGGACAAGTATGAAATGTCGGCGCCACGTGCTTGTAGCAGAGGTGCCGCCCGCAAATAAAACAATCGCCAGTAACCCGCACTGATGCGTTCTGACAACACTCAACGCTGCAAATCCACATCGCCCTGCTAAAGTGTTGAGTGAGAAGACGAATGGGCATGGGATGGTGAAGTTGAGTTCAAGAAAGCGTGTATGTTTCACGTGCCACGAGCATGCAGGCCACTCTACGCGTCTGCAGACCGCCCCTGCGTCTGACTATCGGTGCCCGCATTACGCGCTGCGTCTGAATATCAGTGTCCGCATTATGCGCTGCTTACATAGAGTCCCAGAAGGGGCTACCGTCCAACAATTGTCCCTACTATGTGAAAGAGTGGGTTCACGTGGGTACGCCACATATGGAAGTAAACTATGAGTTGATAGCAAGCGAACGCTACCGCCAGATGCAATTTGATACATATTGAAGCTCCGTACTCGACACGCATGTAAGAGCCGAGGTGGTTTGCACCCAATAGCCAACAAACCACATACACCCAAGCGCTTCCGTAGAAGAGCAAACCGACAATCCCAGGCCTATCGATGTCAAAGGGGTGCGCTGATGCCTCGATTCATCGCTCGACGATTCTTGAGCGCTAAACGATACACTATCACTGGTCAAGGGCAACAAGACAGACATGTTGGTTCATTGGTGGGTCAGTCATTTGAGCGGTTCAAGTCTTGTCAATCAACCAATATCCAACACTCGCATGCAGCAAGGTCAAGGTGGGAAACAGAGGCCGTATACCTATCGCTTCTTCTGCAAGTACCGGCTCCACCCTTCCTGGCGTCTATCCAGATAAAGGCTCGCTGTCGTAAGTCGGTCGTGGCTCTATATAAAGTGCGGTAGTCTGCATGAGATTGATTCTCATCTGCACTACTTGGAACCCCGAGCTCGACTTTTGGATAAACTCCTCAAACTACACTATTTCTTCGACATGGTATCCCCTGCGGTCAGATGTCCTGTTGCCGGCTGCGGAGTATGGGCAGTACAGGGCTCGCGATACTGCGAAAAACGCAAGTCATACTTGTATTCCGATCGGGCAGATTATACTGACCATGCCAAGACAAAGGCACTAAGTCCTAAAATCGCGTGAGTATGGTCACGCGCAGTGACATGTGGATTTGTGTTGTTGCTGCTCGGAGATGGGGGGTTCCACCAGAAGGTTGATAGACCCATATAAGCTCTGAGTATGGTTTTGCCCAAGCGGTTTTCCGTATTCGTAACGCAAATGCGGGAGCACTCAATCGCATAATCTCTTACGACTAGCCTTGACTATTTTCCTGAAGTAGATTTTGTGGTGACTGATTGGTCTTACATGTTCCAGATCTGTTTCCAACCATACCTATGAATACGACGAAGGCTAGGCCTAAGAGCACAAAATAACAAAAACACCAAGTTGATTCAGCATGTGCAGATTACACAACTGTTACACTACAGCATTATACCAAAGTGACGAAAGGACACTATGGAAAGGACAAAAGTATTGGTTCTCACAGTCGAAGATAGCATTATCACCTCTCGCTTTAACAAGGCACAATAAATTGTGCTGCTAAAACACCAATTATTGACACGAGCACTAATACCATTTGCCATCCCCAATTCCTCAGAATAATCGTGCCTTTCCACATCTACCAATCAACCGATCACTTAGCACAGAGAGCAAAGCCTACAGTTTCTAAGCGCCCTCACTTATGCAAGGGAGCGGTAAATCCGCACTCCTCCCATCAAGAAAATCGAAAACCACCATAAAAGCGGGATCCAGCATGTCATCCATCAACTACGAAGCCTACTCTTGAACATCCTATCCGGCAAGAAGTTCAAATGTCAGTTGTATCGGCCGTGTTGTCTTACTCTCCCACTTTTCTATGACGGAGCCGAAGAGAGACACCGTGTCCATGACCCTCCAATTTTTAGGTCGCCATCTCGGCTTTGGCTATAAGTCGTGAACGTATCATTGATCGGAGACAGAGTAAGTAGAATAAGGGGGCAAACAGGAGTGTAAGATGGTATTATGTTTAGGGGCCTGGCAAGCTTCAGCTGTACATGTAAAAACAGGGTCCATAAAAAGTATGCATATTGCTTACTCTCCTTGCTTGTGAACCTAGTCGTACTTGCAGCTATAGAAAGACATGATTAATTTCAAAGAATAGAGCAACGTCCATGAAGACCGACCGAATCCTAGAATTTTCTCCAGAATCAGATGAGACCAGGAATGACAGCCTTGCGGTTGCCAACCCTATCCTTGCCAAACTTCTGAATATACCAACGTCTTCCCTGCAGAGCACGAGGCAACATGGTGCTGATCTCGTTGAACAAGAAAGCCCTAGCAGGCGTACAAGCCAAACCACCAATCATCCAGAAACCAGCCCACTCAAACCATTCACAAAGATAGTGAGGGAAAAGCACGTAATGGAAAAGACCGTTCTTGGGCATCATGTAAAGCTTCTTGACACCTTCAATGGGCTTGTTATCTTTCTTGGCTTGGATCTTCTGACGGCGGAGAGCGGAACGGCGAATCTCGCGGAGGTCCTCGTCGTGGAAGATGTTGCCGAGGAGGGCCCAGCCCCAGATGACAAGGCCCGCTTGGATATAGTAGAGGCGGCCAGACCAGTCGTAGACGGTGGTAGGACCGTAACCAGCTAGGAAGCCTGAAAGACACAGGGAGTTGGTCAGGTTGAAGGCTAGAGCTGAGACGAAGACAATGGGGTGGATGGGCGACATGCTGGGGTTGAGGAAAAGTGGGGAGAGGATGGCGCGGTAGAAGTAGTGAATAGACTGTGATGGGTGAATTAGCTGAGGGACTTGAAGACGGAGAATGCGAGTGATTGTACGTAGAGACCGGCCATAGTCCAATTGACCCAAGGCAGGGGACCCAAACCAAGCTCAGCCGGCAGCGTCTTCATATTGTAGAGCAGCGTAATGAAGCCGGGAGCCTCCATGAGAGCCCAAGCCCATTTTCCAGGAAGATTGAAGCGCGACTCGACTGATGTCTTGCCTTGAGGATACCAGTCAATGAGCCATTGTATACCAGTCACGACAGGGAAGAACTGCCAAAGGTTGTTGATGATGACCCAATTCTCGCGCGATGGCGGAAGCAGTCCGGGAACAAGCACCATGATTGTTGATGTGTTGAATGCTGTTTTGTTCAAATAAAAAGAGTCGCGATCCGCTCTCCTACACGACCTTGTCGCGTCAGAGTGGTGAGAGGCAGCTCACGAGAGCTTTCTCCAAAACAGTGTCGTCATCACCCGGCTACTCCGGCGTAACCACCACATTTCCTTGAATCTTCTTCTTTTCCCATTGGAAAACCGTTTCACCACAATCTCTCAAACATCGTGTCAGGCTGTCCGTAGCACTTCTGTTGAGACACTTGAGGATATGCGCTCCACGACTTGTTGGAATAACAAATGTTACGGCAATTCAGAATGGCATTTCCGGTCTTCGTTGCATCGCCAATAGTTTCCTTTATCTGAAACACTTTGCCTGCTGTGTCAGAGAATGCCCAGCCTTTGCACTCGGCATCAGACTACCCGAATACTTTTGATCGGCTCTCTTCGGTCGGACTTACCATCATGCAAAACACCGAGCAAGCACTTCTTCGACGATGATCTCGACCTGAGTCATGAGAAGCCGTTCTATCCTTGGCCCATCCGATATCCTTGGCAGGGACTTCACGGGTAAGGCGAATCCGGATGTCGACTTTCCGATTTTGCTCATTGTCGATCTTCCATGACCCTGTCGAACCTTGTTCCGACAGCCAAGTATCAAAGTCCGCCTGGTACGAAGTACGGTGGCTGGAACGGCATGTCGTGCAGATCTCTTGGTTCATGGAACTGCCCAGATCCGCGTCTGTGACATTCGGAATACTGTGAGGCGGAGCTGGATGCAGAGTCTCTAAGCGATGGTAACGTTGCATGATTATCAATCATTCCATTTGGAAGCACTGCAAGCGAAGCGTTCATTGCAGTCTCGTGATGAACTTGTGTGATGTGTGATACGGAAATAGTAACATCCGATATTAATGATAGATTGAAGGAATGAACCAGCGAACCGTGCTCTTATATGTTCATATTAGTTTTCAAGGATAGATCGGTATACAGATGCATGAGAGAATGGTTAGATAGTTGATCGCCTTTTAAATTTCACGACGAATAGTCGTCTGTATGATGATATTAAGTAGTGGTTTATGTACAAGAATAAGACTGGCGTGGATCACGTATATTCGTTTCCTTAGCCATTGCAAAATTTGACAGACATGTCATCTGCACCTGTGATGCAACAAGCTTCGTCCGCATTATTAGCCATCCTAAAAGATGAGCTACACCTTTGATCTACTGAGATCCACCTTCCTCGTTCTGTTGTCCGTGATAATCACTGGTGATGTTTGGGTTGATTTTGTGTCAAGTGGCAAACACTCCGGATAGTCATTGAGATTGTTGAAAGTTCTGGTATCCATAAGAGCCTGAAGGGTCGACATTCATCATCTGGAAGTCTGCTGTTGGGAGTTGTAGTTGCATTGGTGCAGACATTTGTTGAGAAGAGAACGTCGACCACATGTTGGACTGTGTTTGTACTGGTGTTGTATTCATGGGCGTAGAGTGCATGCTGTGTTGTGAATTTGCACTCAAAGAAGATTGGCTGGGTGTCGGCAGGATTGGCATGTTGTGTGGAGCGAAGGAAGGTTCGAACATGCTACCAGAGTCATGCCTGAGGTTGTGAGTGGGTGGGGCGACTAACGACTCCATGGATTCGTTGCTTAATGTTGCTTGAGTGAAGAAGAGCGACATGTTTGGCATGGCTTGGTCGAGATCCGGTGATCGGAAAGGCGCCAAGTTGGTAGCCCCCTCGGGCAGTCGAACACCCCACTGGTTCGCGAGTCTGTTGATCACCTCGAGGCAGCACGAGGCATAACGGTGGTTCACGGACATCGTGTTCAAGTCCTCTATCGTGGGGTTAGTCTTTGGCCAATAAAGAGGCAAGGAAGTACTTACGCATTGCCTGCGTGAGCTGAACTGCCGCGCCTTGGGAGGGAAGGTTCATGAGATGGACTGTGCTGGCCGAGAGAAGGATCGTGCTAACGACCAAAGACGTTCGCCTTAGTCCATACATTCCGCGGAGCGCATTCATGAGTTTTGAGATTTCTGTGGCACAGTAGGTCGCTAGCTCCCGGGGATAAAGGCCAATGTCTGAGAGGTCCAACTTCATAAATGGGCGGAAGAGACTGCAAATGATCAGTAGGATCCTGCTTGGAGATGTGAAAAGTACTTACTGTAGCACACTCTGGTGGTAGTACATATGTAGCACAATGACATGAGGCATTGCTGTGTTTTGAAGCTGGAACATTTCTGGCAGTTCAGCATACCAATTCTGATATTGGTTGTACGCTGATGCCAGTCGTCGCGGTGTGAATCTTTCTCTGGGCGCATAAAGATTGAGGTTGATGTCGTTGATCAGCTCCGAGAGCTTGCTTTGAACGCTGTGAAAGAGTAGACACTTCATAGGCTGCACAGCGCTGGGGCTGACCGGCAAATTTGCGTCTTCATATGGTTGCCAGAACAGTGCATCCAATTTCTCAGAGTTCATAGCTGTAAGAATGTCAGTCTTGCCCAAGCATCAACTAAATAGGAGAAACGTACGTTTGTCAATCTCAATCGCATTCTTTGGAATTGAAGACACTCTGCCCAGCGCGAGACAGCATATCATTTCGCAGTTGAAGACACCCCAGAATGTCAACTTTCGTATGTCCAGTTCGCTGGATCGGAAGTTGGGCTCCCCAGCTGTGGTGTCTGCAAGATGGAGGCCCATTTCCATGGCAAGGCGCACAGCTCTTCCTATCAGACGAAAACTGATGTGGTCGCGTCCTGCAGAACCCTCTCTTACAGCCATTACAGCCATGGCTTGCACGGCAGTCAACTCTGAAGCACCAATGCATTCAGACAGTCTTTGTGCCTCGCTGAAGAAGTAGTCTCCTGCTCTTTCGCGTGCTGCTGGCCGGTCGGAGTACTGACAGGCGACCGAAAGCACTGCATTGACCAGCATGGCACTGCAGTATTTAGTCGAACCTCGAGACATGTCTCTCAAAAAATGGTCCTTGGAGAAGAAGCAAAAGAAGGGATGACTCCAGCAGAAATAGAGGTTGAGCAAGTGATCCACAAATTCAGCGTCTTGCGGTATACGAAACCAAGACGAAGACCCTTCTGCCGCTGCACTCTGGCTTCCTGCGTCGTTCCACTTCCCGTCGACAGGGCTTCGAGAAGATTCATTTCGCGTAGAAGGTACTTGCGTATGGAATGTCGCTCCAGGAGTAGGTCCAGAAAGATCGGTGTCCAGTGTTCGTAGCTTCTCGGTATCTCCAGCATTGATGGCTTCGGCCAAATTATCAAGTCGTTCTCCTCGGCGAAGGCTGTGGAACAAGGCAATTGCTTCGTGCTCGGGAAGTGCACACAATGAGTTGATGACCACATCGAGGGCAGTATTTTTGTTTTGTAGTGACGCTATATCTTTTCGAAGGGCTCCTTTGCGGCGATGGTCTGTGTCTTGATCGTAGCTGCAGTCCGTGCGGTAGACCGCTAAACAAGTCGAGCAGGATGGAAGTCCTCCATCACACTGGAAGGAGCTGATGTTAGTGATTGCTCCCAAAACATATTGCAGTGCAACGCACCTTGCTCTTGCGCTTGCGACAGGGTATGCAAGCAGAAGAAACGGCTTTCCGCTTTGCCGACTTCGGGGGTGCCATGCTCGCGGAATCATCTCTTGAACCTTGTTCATCTTTGGGGAGGATCGTTCTTGGGGGCATAACAAGGCAAGAATGATAATTGAAAGATAAAGCGGAACAATTGCAGGAGTTGGACTACAAGAAGGAAGGAGCACTTGACTTGTAAGAGAGAAGCAGGAGTAAGCTTGAAAGGAAAAAGTTTAAGACGACAGAGGCAGGAAGGTTGATCTCACGAAGGAAGGCGCGACGGTGAGTTTATGGAGACAACTGACTCCGAACCACGACGCTGAATAAGAGGAGACGAATGCTAAGACCATGGAAATAAGGGAAGGTGAGTTTCAAGGCTTGGCCACAGTTTAGTCAATGACATTCGGATGAACAGGGTGGTTAGCTCCGAACGAGCCAAAAGTGCACATCACACATAAGATGCGACTAAAAGCATGATCGTCTGTGACAAATATGGACATGAAAGATGGGACAGTCTCGAAGGGCACACAACGTTCTCTCTTGGCACGTAACAGTGGTGCCCGGGCGCAAACACATTGTAGATGCACCTTGGCAGGTTCCAAAGTGGACCTTGGGCTGCTCTGAGGAAAAAGTTGGGGACGCAGGGCTAAGGTTGTGGTGTCTATGGTGGCTGGGCCGAGTCATTGCTAGTTCAGAGGCGCCGAGAGTGCCGATTTGCATAATTAAAGAAACAGGAACGAATGATAACCCGCTTGGCGTGATGTTGATCCGCCGTCTCTTCCAGCTTAAGTCCGCTACGAAGGCCGTACGATATGCTTGTTCCAAATGGCTAGGCATCGCCGGAGAAGCAACAGCGAAAAGTGCGTAACTGGGTCCCGGCGAATCGGTGACGCAAAGGCGACTGAGATTTGCGCTCGGGTGTCGGCGCGCCGCCATCATCAAGCCACCGGCCCATGCGTCCAAGGCTTGTTTGAGTTCAGGCTCAGGTTTGACCCTGGGGGAGACAGGGCCTCGGTCTGGCTATTCTTGCTTGTGTTTCTGCTGCAACATCTTCGCCTTTATCACCATCGTCGCTATCGCCTTCCGTTCATGCGAAGACTGCGCCCTGTTGAGAGCACCTCAAGGTTTTGAGAATATGATTAGTAACCACATGTCTGCTGGGTTCATGTCACTGGGGAGCTTTATGGATACTTCTGTGGGCCGTTGGCCGGTACAGAAGCCTAGTCCCGGCAGGCGAAATGCTTCAATAGGTCGTGGTTTAACCGGGCCAAGCAGTCACGATGCTCACGAGTCGGAGGGCTTCTCACATCCACTGTGGCTTAAGCCTTGGCCCTTTCAAAGCCCTACTCCTGAGTCCTGTCAGTAACACACTCAAGCATCCGTGAGGAGTGCCGTGTAAGAAAGAAAGTCTTTTGCTACATATCTTGTCCGCATCTCGCCCGTGGGCGGAGAAGCAAAGAGCACAATACGGAGAAAGGCAGATGGACTGTTGCGGCATAGGGATCTGCTCATGCGTGATGTGCGATGCCGATACGCACGCGACGTACCTTGCGTTCATCATGAATCAGAAGAATCCTCATCCAAAGTCACTTTGACTTCGAGAACCTTGGCAGTATGCTGACCAGCTTTTAAAGCTTTGCGCCGCGCAGAGTAAAATCTCCAGTTTAGCGTGACGACCACTTTCCTATCTCGTGGCATGTCAGCGAGCAGTCAGAGCTGCGTTGTCAGATTCGATCCATCGCACACACCATTGGTAATGAATAGGCCCGAAGATGTGTATTGATAAAATGTATTTAATGTGATGAAAGTACATATACGGAGTATGGGGATCGACTTCCTATGATGGGATTCGGAGCTTGCGCCGTTAAGCAGGCAAGACTACGCGAAGCTATGACCCACTGCCTCGGTAAAGGTCACTTCAGACTTTTCTGCAGTCAACACCGGAGATGGTGCGCTGAGACGGTGTACCGTCTTTGACTCTCCTGGGTCTCGCAACTAGTTGACGCCACATACCAAGAGATCAGCTAGAGCCTGGCGGAACCCGCTCCCTCAAGCTGTATACCAAGCCATCATGGGATTTCAATGGGTAGAATTGTCTTGGTGTTTGGGTGGGTAATGACATTCCAGATTGGTGCATTACGCCCTGGCAAATCTCGCTTTCGCTTGAAGAGCGGAGCACAACATAGAATGACTCGTTGGTGCAGCAGGCTTGATGACCTGCTCTAAAGAGCCGCATGCCCTGCTCAACACATCAAGGGCCATCGGATGACTCCGCATGCACGACACACCTAAACTCCCCATGGACGTTTGCCGGCCAGCGCCGTTCGGGAGCAGATGTCTGTTCCAACGCTAGATCCATCCCGAAAACAACATCCATGCATGCGCCTACCTAAATTGGATATTTTGCGAGCTGGGGTCCCACCTATTGTCGCGCGCCACGGGCTTGGAAGGAACACCTTCATTGTTGGCCGGCGACGCCGCAGCGCTGGGTCCTCCGAATCGAATACCCATCTCTGGCGTCCACATGCCCGGAGCAGGCGATACGGCCGCTATAGGGGGAGGAGCGACATTGGCTCTAGTGGGCAGGGGCGCTGCTAGCGGCGGGCCTGTCCGTTGCGTTGCACGGGGTTGCTGTTGATTCTTCAAAACCTCCTGCTGCTTCTGCTGGCGCAAGTTGGTTTGATTGGCATTTTGCAGACTCATTTGAGCCATCGAAGTGCTCACGTCGTTCTCCAGAGATGAAGCTTCGGCGCGTCGTTGGTAGACGAAGTTGCGACAGTCATCGCGGAAGCGTGTGACTATGCTGGCAAGGTCGTTGTAAAATTTGCGACCAGTCTCAAGGTTTGAGATAATTTCCTTGTAGGCCAGATACGCATTTTCCAGGTTTTGTAAAGCTTGCTCACGGTCCTTTGTGGAGGTGTCTCCTTTTCTGGCAACGGTAAATGAGCTGTTTGCCTGTTGTACACGTTCAAGCAGTTCGTCTTGCTCGGTACTTTCCGCATTAATGCCGTTACGGTCTGCGGTATACTTCTCTAGTCTTTGATCGAAGAAGCTTTCGAACTGTATTGCCTCGAGTTTTTGCATGGGGTACTCCCTCTCAAGACGCGCGGCCTCACGAAGGAGTTCGGCGTTGACATCATCTGCTTTTGCCTTTGTCCGTATATCCTCGATTTTACGCTTGCGACGATTCTCAAAACGGGCAATATCATTGAGCACAGCACGAAGGTTGTTTGCTTCCCTCTCGACCTTGGTAGTCATGGTTGCGCGCCGACTGCTTGGGACATAGTCTTCAAGATCACGATCTGTGCCCGCGAGCAAACGGATCAGAGTCTCGTTATCCTTCAACTTCTTCTGCACGAGCTTGTCGCTGTTCGCTGCTTGTTTGAGATAACCATCAATCTCGGTGACTTGAGCGTACAATTTGCGGGAGGCTTCGTTTGAGGGTGGTCTTGCCCATCTGTCAGTTCCATACTTTCGTCGCGCAGCGTCGTCCTCGGCTGCCTCAGCGCGCAGCATCTCGACACCTTCTTGGTATGTTGCACGGTCGCTGTTCTTCAGCTTTTCTGTGTCAGCCATGGCGCCATGAAGTCTGTAGATACCGTTCATTTGCCGGATCTCCTCAGCATGGCTAGCGACACTTGGGGGCAGGCCGAGCGGCTTTTCTAGAGCCTGCAGAGATCCGGGAAGTCCAATGGACTGTAAGAGCTCGTGAATCTTGACAGTGAGATCTTCGAGTTCGTGGACAATGGTGTTGTTGACCAGACGATCTCTACGGTCAGCATAGATACTTGCCGCAACATGTACCGAATATGGCACGAGCTTCGAGAACAGCGGTTTACCAAGTTCTCCATGATCTCCGAGCATGGTCAATGGTTCGGAGACTTCCTTGGGTACTCTGGCTGTGACCATACTCGCTCTGTCAAGCGTTTTAAGCTCAGACTTGGGCGGCACGGGCTGTAGATAGATCATGTCATTGTCTTTCTCGGCTCTCTTGAGGTCTTCTGAGACTCTTGTTTTCAAGCCGTTCAGATCGTCTTGAACAGCCTTGTTGACATATTTAGCCTCGCGCAGAGCTTCGTCGGCGCACTTTAGACTGTCGCGTAGACGGGCAACCTCTTCACCGTACTTTCTTTTCTCGAGACAGTCGCAAGCAGCGCGATATTGAGCAGCAGCGGCAAAGTGGTGGTGCTTGGCATTCATGTGGTGGATCCATTCACTGCTGACAGAGTCGCTCTTGATGCCCCAGTCGCCAGCCTCGTTGTAGAAGTCGCTGACCTTAGCAGCGAGCTTTGCTATACTGGCATCCTTGAGTCCATCTTTCACAGCCTTTTGCCAGAAACATTCTTGGGCCTGAGCAAGCATAAGGTATTCCAAGCTCTCCAGAGTGGAAGTGTCCATGTCTTCTGGTGGAGCAGTCCTCATGTCTGGGACAATGGTCGTCTTGAGATGCGAAATGACACCAGCAGAAAGGCAAAAGTAGTTACAAGCAGCTTTCAGACCATCGCTAGTGCTTCTGTTGGATGACATGGCCAGTTGGGAATACATGGCGGCAAGATTAAAAAGGATGTTGGCGAGTTCGAAGCGAATGTTGTCTTGAGAGATGGGCCGCTGGGTATTGTAACCTAGCGCAGGATACCAAACGAACTCCAGACCAATGTCGACGGGGAATTTTGCACCCATCCAGACGAGCTGAGCAGCATACTGCTGGAGCTTGCGGAGGCCACTTGTGTGAGGCTCCAGGGCGTGAACGGCGGCATGTCTGAGATGGTCTATTTGTTCGAGGTCTGCTGTGAACATGTCCGGGTGCTGGTCATATTTGGTCGAGATGTAGCGTTTGATGGCTTCGGCCACCGACACATTGTGCGTGCGACGGAAGGGAAGATGTAGGATGTTGCTCCTGTTGATGTCAGCAAGACATACGGCATGGCGCGGTCAAGTGAAGGGACATACGAAGCCATGGCGGAAGTGTCGGACTACGATGTCGCAGTGCGCAAAAGATCAAAAGTCCCTTTGGCTGTTGATGGCCTCCACGTCATTCGCGATGCGGGAAACTTGTGGCTTCTCGATGCCTCTCCCGCAGGGTCGTCACCAAGACACCTTGCTGCTTGTAGCCTGTCGGGCAAGACAATATCAACAATGTCAACAATTACCATCAAGGTTGAATTGTCATTACTGACTTCTTCTATTTTCCAAAAATCACAGACGTAGCACACGGCTCTTACGCAAGTCAGCATAACAAAGACCTCCGCGTCGTTGCTGAGCACGTCGGTCTGGAACATGTAATCACGTCTTGGCGCCTTCCTATTCATTACCCGAAACACAGCACGCCATCCCTCCTTCCTCACAGTCTCACCTCCTGCTGACATTGCTGTTCCCTGTGTCCTGTATCGCTCCTACCTCATCTGTTCCTCTTGACTCACTTCCAAACAACATCACACACAAACACAATGTCGGACCACACATACAACTTCAACATCACCATGACCTGCGGCGGGTGCTCCGGCGCTGTTGAGCGTGTCCTCAAGAAGCTCGATGGTACGCGACTGCTTCTTCCTAGCCCTATCTTACTCATACTAATACTGTCACAGGTGTCAAGTCGTTCGACGTTTCCCTCGATAGCCAAACCGCATCAGTTGTCACCGAACCGAGCCTCGATTACACCACTGTCCTTGAGAAGATTAAGAAGACTGGCAAGAAGGTCAACTCTGGCGAGGCCGACGGCCAAGCACAAGCCGTCTGAGCAACATGTTGCCTTGTCTTATTACAAGATTCGTGGATTCAGATTCCACTCCACATAGAGTCTGGTTGAGCTACATCATAACGAGAGATACAATTCGTGGGCAGGTCCCATGTTTCTTCAGAATCGCGCCTCCACCTTTCGCTCCGTGTCTGCCAGCGCCCAGTCACTCCTGTGCACCTTGCTGCGAACCCGGTTCACTTGGTCTTTGCTGAATCCCTTGGCTTCAACAGCTGGGTTGTAGCCGAGCCCGTTCTTCTGGCCGACCGTCTGCGAATCCATCGACTCGCATGCCTTGCCATCTGCTCTCTTGTACACCGTGACCACCACGGCACCGCCCAGTCCGAGATTGTGTTGCAACGCCACTGTAGTGCCCTTGACCAATCGGTTGTTGGCCCAGCCTCGGAGATGCCATACCAACTCGGCACATTGTGCAATGCCGGTGGCACCGAGCGGATGACCCTTGGAGATAAGTCCACCAGATGGGTTGATGACCATCTTACCGCCGTAAGTGATATCTCCTTTGCGCACCATCTCGTGTGCCTTGCCGTGTTCGCTCAACCCGAGTGCGTCAATGACAATCATTTCGTTGGCCGAGAAACAGTCATGGAGTTCGCAAACTTTGACTTCGGATATTGAAACACCTGCTTCGTCCAGTGCCCTCTTTGCTGCATTTTTTGTCATCTCGTATCCCATCAGGTCGATGCTGCTGCGCGAGAACAGTGAAGTCGCATCAGTTGCAAGACATTGACCAGCAATGAGGATCGCTTGCTCTCTAAGATGGGGTCGAGCATTTAGGAAGTCTTCGGAAACCAGGACTGCGGCTGCACCACCATCTGAGGTAGGGCAGCATTGCAGCTTTGTCAGGGGTTCGTGAATCGACGTTGAGTCCATGACCTGTTGCAGTGTGTATTCGTCCTGGAACTGCGAATAAGGATTACGCTTCGAGTGTTCGTGGTTGATTCGAGCAATCTCAGCAAAGTCTTCCTTCTTCGCTCCGTACTTCTCCATATACTCTCTACCAGCATTACCAAACATTTGAGCAGCACCAGGAGCGTTGGTGATACCTCTGGTCGCCTTCATCATGTCCACAGTGGTACCAGTAGGGTTGGTACGATCCTGGAAGAAACTCTGCAAGGAACCTGGGAACATCTTCTCGAATCCGACAACCAAGACACAATCAGCAGCTCCGTTCGAAATCATGGTACGACCAAGATTTAGCCCTGTCGAACCAGTACTGCAGTTGTTGTTGACATTGTAGATGGGGATCTGGGTCATGCCAAACTGGTAGAAGACGCGTTGACCACAAGTGCTGTCGCCATAGCAATAGCAGGCGATACCTTGCTCGACATCATCGTAGTTGACTTGTGCATCTAGCATGGCCTTGACACCGGCTTCGAAGCCTAGTTCTGTATAGTCGACTTTGCCTCTGGGCTTGATGAATTTGGTCATGCCAACGCCGAGGACGTAGCATGGTGCTGCTGGTTTCTTGCCCATGATGATAGACGTGTTTACGACTTGTTTGGTTTTCGTTATAATGCGGTGCTCGTTGTCTCGAGTGTTTGGCTTGTTTCTAATAGGGGACTTGACCTTTGACCATCTAGGTAGCGGTTACACGGCGGGGAAGGATAATGCGGAGCTGATGCGGAGAGAGCTCAGATGCCTCGGTTCCATTCATCCACTGGATGGCTGCGAATACCGCGGCATCTCTACTTGTGTGTCGATCCCAGAACATAGACGAGCATGGCACATGTTATGGACAACTCCAAGCCTGTAAATATGCTCGACGACTCTGACAGCAGCTTCCCAGAATGTTGGTATACAGATGTAGTAACCCGATGCGGCGAGAAGTGCGTTTAGGCTGCACGTGGGATGATGCACAAACGCCGACAAATACCGATGTGATTTGAGCCTCGCAAATGAGGAGAGAGAGACAAAACTCGTCCTTTGTTGTATCCTGCGTCGTTTATATCTCGTAGACCCTTCCTCGGACCTGCATGTAAGTGATAGAGAAGACGATCTTGCTCCCATATCGCTAGAATGAGCATTGAGTGTGATATTTCAGATCCTATCCTATCGGCTTCAATCTCCAGCTCAGCCATCAACATGTCAGGACAGCTCCCAACCGACCATCAGAAGCCGGATAACCCATCCATGAGTCCTCAGGAAGTCAAGACAGACACCATCAATGTAGATCATAAACGCATGGCCCTGGATGTCAGCTATGGGAAACAGCTATCCCAGGGAAAAGGCTTCCGCATCTACGACAGCTCCTTTTCCAAGATTCTCGGCTCCAACCCATCAATCACCCAAGTCCAAAGCCGTGACTATCAGTTTGCTCACGAAGCGGGAGTGTACATCAAATCAACCAACCGTGTCTACTTTACCGCAAACTTCCAGACTTGCGATCCAATCACTTTGTACTCTGTTGATGCCACAACTCTGAAGGTCGAGGACGACAAGTTCACAGGCTGTGTACAAGCAAACGGCGCCTGTAACTACAAGGACAAGATCCTCTACTGCTGTCAAGGCGACCGCGAGAACCCATCCGCCTTGGTTCTCGTAGACCCCATCACCAATACCTCCGAACCTCTGATTACAAACTTCCAAGGCCGCCCCTTCAACAGTGTAAACGACGCAGTAATCCACCACGCAAACGATGAAATCTGGTTCACAGACCCAACCTACGGCTACGAGCAAGCTTTCCGCCCTTCCCCAGACCTACCATCCCAAATCTACCGCTTCAACCCATCTACTGGAAAGATCTGGTGTGTGGCTGATGGCTTTGTACAGTGTAATGGCCTCTGCTTCAGCCCGGACTACAAAACTCTCTACGTAACAGACACAGGAGCCTGTCAAGCCCACTCTGGCCCCGGTGACGGCCACAATTTCTCAATGAACCCACGTCTCCCTGCCACAATCTACGCTTACGATGTCGTAAACTCGGGCACTTGCCTCACCAACCGCAGAACTTTTGCATACTGTGACAACGGGGTTCCTGATGGCATCAAATGTGATGAAGAAGGAAATGTGTACTCGGGATGTGGAGATGGCGTGCATGTGTGGGATAAAGATGGAAGCCTGATTGGGAAAATTGTGGTGGGGGGTTGTGTTGCTAATTTCTGCTTTAGTAAGGAGGGCATATGGATGTTTGGAGAGGAGGAGTTGTATCTTTGTAAGTTTGCTGCTAAAGGTGCTCTTGTGAGTATTGAGTGTGAGTAGGGTGTGGCATACGATGGAAGCTATGCATGGCATGTTTGGATGTGGTGTACAGTGTAGATAGGCATGTATTCCTTAATTGATGTATACATGTGACACCTTCTAGTGATGTGCTACCATTCTTCGTTACATGTCCCATCGAGCGACCGTGCTTCCCCTCTTGACAGCAGAGCGCCTTTCTGGATGTTGGTAACCGAGGTGAGCTTGAGTCACAGCCCTGAGCTGCTGTCAAACCCAGCCGAGGCCTTACCAATAAGCGGCAATCTAAACACATGTCGAGTAAGTCTGCATGTACACCTTCAAGCGAGCGAGCAACGAATGGCAACAATGTAGAAAGCATGAGAGTATATCAATCGTATATTATGTTGATACATCAACCTCGTCTATGACCCTAATGGAGGAGTGTAGATATCGCCGAATGAAGAAACGACAGAGCGGAGTATTACCCACAACCACCACCAGAGCCGCACCATCTAGATGACCCTCTAGAACAAAATAACAGGAACTTTTTTTGAAAGCATCGGAGACCTCGTGTCGTGTGGTATAATAAGCGTAAAGAGAGAAATGCAAGCCGGCCAAAGAAGGATATGGTCTATCCTGGATGTGAAAGAAAACGCCGTGAAACACCAATCGCTTGGAACGCAGGACGGGGTATGGAGAAGAAGCGCTCAACGGACGGGAGCAGAGAGCAAGAAGCAGTGCAGATGAAGAAAGTGCAGGGGTGCATGCGCTCAGACAGCAATGGCGAGGCGCTGACGTTCCCTCTCCATAGCAAACACCTTCCTGCTCATCTCGAGCACAGCCTCAAAGCCCTCGCGGCCCTTGATAGCATTCTCCTTGAAGCGCTCGACGGTAAAGTTCTCAATGCTATTCTTGATTTTTTGCCAGCCGCCACAGAAGGCAGTGATCTGAGCGGATTGTTGGAAGATTGTGCGAGAGTTGGGACCGGCGGGAGAGGGACGGTATACGACAGTTTCGCGGACGGAGAGGAGATCGTTAAATGTCATGTTCATGCTGCACATGGTGACCTTTTTTGCGCGAGGGTCGACGTAGGAGGTTTCGTAGACTTGGGAGACTTCTTCACCTCCGAAGAAGGAAGCGAGCCATTTCGGTGCTGATTGTTGGCAGGTGATGAGACGTTCGGTGCGGAGCTGATGTGAAGATTAGCAACTAGATTTGATGGTAGAATAGTGAAGTGAATGACTTACAATACCGGTGTCCGGGTCAACATGACGCGAAATGGTGTCGACGGCGATAACGTGGGTGCTCTTGTGGTTCCACGGGCAGTACTTGCGCCAGTTTGCAGTCGAGACCTCTTCCCATGAGTAATCAAACTCGTGCTGGGACTCGAAGAACTTCATGGCTGCAGAAAAGTGACTGTGCGAGCAAAAAGATGGAGCTGCGTCGAGAGAGAGCGAGATATAACGCGGAACGCGGACTGGTAGCCGGCGGACGGGAGAGAGAGCGTTGGGACCTTTTGTTGATCCTTTGGTCCTTTGACTTGTTGACGATTGCAATGCTGAAGCGTCGACGGATAAATAGCAGATGGATGTCGCGTGAGCAGAAAAAGAGAGTCGTTCACTGGTGTCGTGTGCTTCGTTACTGGAAGGAAGAATCAAGCAGAGTCAGGATATAAGATGGCAAAAAGAGCGTTGGCGCTGCGAACTTCGGTCTTTGTTGGTGCGGCTTGTGCTCTCGAAAAATCAACCCGCGCCTCGTTCGCGGATGATCTCTCCGTCTGGAACAAGCCCATGGATTCTCCTGTATTCCACTCATTTCTGTCGTGCGACTCTCTTTCCACGGCTGGTCTATTTCCAACTATATTCTTACACATCTCACGAGTACAGCTTCGACATGATACCCGATTGACCACCATTCCGAATCTCGCAGAAATAATTCTCGCGTTCGAGAGTCAGCACGACTGTTGCGGCGGTTGGCTTAGCTTTGCATGTGATAGTGGGTTCGCGCGACTCTTCCCGAGATCCCGAACTCTAAAACGGAAGATCTGAAACTATGCTCTGTCCACTCGACGACCACCTGAAGGTCGTGTGCATCCATGCCATCCATCAAGGTGTTGTCATAGCAGACCCTCTCTTGTGTCATCATGTCGTTTCATTGCTTGCCTTAGGCCGCCTATACTACTGGACCCCTTCTACTTCTCGGCATGGCCTTCATGATCTCGTAACTCGTCGGCCTTCTCTTGTTCGGCCATCTGTTTCTTTCCCCTCTCGTCTTCAACGCGTTGAGTCCTTGCATTTCTCCAGCCTTGTCCATATTTCTCGAGCACCCAGAGAATGGGCGAGAAAAGCATCACCACACCTGCTATGAAGGTGAAACACCAACCTCGACCCATATGCTCTATCATGATGATTATGATGGCTGTTCCACCCGCTCCCATGAAACATCGAACAAGATTGTTCGCTGCTGTTGCCGTCGATGGGCTGAGCGGGTAGAGATCGATCAACATAACACTGTTACAGTTGAAGGCGCCCGTCAAGCAGAGTCCGATGAAGAAGAGTAAGACCAGAGGCGCAGCCAAGTTCGCCTCCACGTGCATAACCCAGCCGTAGCACAGCAAGGCTGCGTCGCCAACGATCACCAGAGGCCACGTCACTTGGATGCGAGCTTTTTCCAGTGGAAAGTCTTTGAGATCAGTAGCCCGTTTCTTATCGACCGGGAACCCGTGCTTGAGGGCCAGACGGCGAAAGTTCCAGTCGAGAGCCTTTCCGCCCAGTATTGGAGCAATCAGACATCCTATACCGAAGGGAATGAAGCAAAGACCGATCTGAAGATCGTTAAAGTTGTAAATCAACCCAAATAGATATGGCATGCTAGCTGTGACATCGTAGAAAGCCGTGTAGACTAGCGAGTTGTAGAGCAACAAGATGCCAGTATCCTTCTCGAAGACTATCTTGAGGGTCTTCAGCGGGTTGGGGAAACGTAGCTTGCGAGCTTTAATCAATCGAGCTTCTTCAAGTCGCACGCTTTCTCGCGTAACTGTCCGGGTCAAGGTTGGCGCTTTGGCCGCCTTTCTCTCGTGAAGATAGTTGATAAGTGACCTGTTCCAGCTTTGTGGCTTTATGGCTCCATTACCAACGACATTCCGACCAGTTTCCGGGAAGGCGATTAGGAACGGCACCAGGTAGCAAGCACTCAAAATAACTAGAAACCAGAAGATAGATCGCCAGCCTAGGAATTGTGCAAGAATACCCCCAATTACTGGCCCTAGAGCAGGAGCAACCATGGGTCCTGAAGTAACATAGCCCATGAACGTGCCCCTCTCAGCACTTGTTGCTATATCAGCAACAACACCGCTTCCCAGTGCAATAGTTGCAGCACATCCTGCGCTCTGCAGGCATCTCAGAATGAGTAAAGAGACATAATCCTGACATAGTGCAATGCCTATGCATGCACCAATGTAGATGACAAAGCACACAAAGTATGCTGGTCGTCTACCAGCCATGTCGGCTAGATCGCCCATAATAGCCGGTGCTATACCCTGAGCAATCATGTATGTAGTCAAAGTCAGGTTGATTAGCGTTGCCGAAACATTGAACTCCTCTGTAAGTGAGTTCAGAGCTGGGAAATAAATGTTTGCAGAAACCTGGGATGATCAGCACTGTTCCGTGATTGTGCTCGACGCAAGATACTCACAGCAGAGAAGAAGCCAGCACAGGCTGCCAATAGGACAATGAACCTTTTCTGACTGGCCGTGAAAACAGTATACGGGGGTTCTGCGATACTGGCTTCAACATCTCGCAGCTCACTATCTTCCAACGACGAAGCAGCATCATCACGAGAAGTCGAAGGTGAAACGTCATGGACAGACTCTGTTGCTTCACCAAACTGTTTTGGTATTTTTTCTTGATCCTGAGGTACACGATATTGGGATCCAGGACTCAAGGGTTCGCCGCCTCGGGTCCCCTCATTGTGATGGTTTTCTCGAGTTGGCAGCGATTGAGACATGCGAAAATGGGCAAAGCAGATATGAAGAAGAGCCAAGGAGGAGAGGTATCGCCTGCACAAAGATAGCGTGCCTACCCATATCTATCTCGAGAGGCAATGCCGACATCCGTTCAGGTATTGATGTGAGAGGCTGATAGGACGGCAAAATCGCCGTGCCTCCGAAGTCGCTGACGGGGGATCTCATCGGGAAGGTCATTGACTCGCCGGAGCCAAGACAAACGTCAGTCTGGAGATTGAGCTACGTAGGCGAAGACCGCGAAGTTCACATGCGACAGTTGTTTTGGCTCGATCAACACAAGCTTGTTGATACAATCAAGAGATCATGGCCGACATTACAGCAGTCTTCAATACAGCGTTGAAAGCGAACAATGCGCCACCGGTCACATCGCATCGCTATACTATAGATCGACTCGACGAGTTTCTCAAAGAAGCATACAGCATCGTACGCCATTACATATGCAAAGCGTGACTGGTGCCTGACGCGACTATAGAATGCCCGTATAGCGGACCTCACTTCATACCTCCGCGCGATCAGGCCCTCGTACCTTTCTACTGCGCCCGCTCCTCGACGACCACAACGACACAACTCCACAGATCACAACCCTACCCAGGATACGACTCAGCGACATTTGTCAGACACGGAAAGAGCCTCGATCGATGCTGAGGCCAAAGGTGTCTTGCGGCAGTTGCATGCCGCTGTAGAACGGATAAGTCAGACTGAGCAGATCAGGCAAGATACAGCATCTCATGTCGCGCTACGCAAACGGAACCAAGGCGGGCTCGGTGCTATTGGAAGATGGGCAGCTGGGGGTGCTGTCACTGCAAAAAGCGCAGATGAAGAGGTGGAAGAGGCCAGGCAGAAGATGCTGAACGCGCATCGAGAGAGCATCGTCTGGTTCCTGCAGGCCAAACTCAGAGAGGCTGGCACTCTTCAAAGCACAATGATGGAGATCAGAATACAGCGTGAAGTCGAGAAGAGTAAGAGCGTATTGTACAAAGCAAAGGGAAGTAGCGCAGCATACTCTCAAGGCTTCGATGCTGCCTTGTCATCCGGGGAGCCAGCGCCTCAAGGTCAGGAGAGAGCGGAGCCTCAATTGAGCGATGAACAGATGCAGCTCTTCGCGCAAGAGAACCAGGACATGATGAAGCATTATCAGGATACGTTGGATCAAGTTCGGTAAATAATCGCGCTTCACAGGGTGTGGACCCATATACTAACTGAACATACAGCACGGCGGAGCGTTCTCTTATCGAAATCTCGGAGCTACAATCGACCCTCGTCACAAACCTGACAGAACAGAATGAGCATATCGAGCAACTGGTACAGGATTCCTTCTTCACAACCGAAAATATTGGAAGAGGAAACAAAGAGCTCAAAAAGGCGAGTGAACGAACGAGCAGTGCAAGAATCCTGTTCCACAGCACTTGCGCCTTCTGCGCCTTCCTGGTCGTATGGGACTTGATATTCTAGGATATTTTTTCCAGACTGATGGTACGCGCCTTTAACCGACCAAGACCGACTATGTTTCTACATGCCATTGCAGTATTGGCTTCTCATGAATCACATGTAACATGACAACATGAACTTGTACATGACTCAATTCACGAGCAGCCCAGACAGCATGAGTAAACTGTCTGAAGACTGTTTGAAGACATCATTGTCCATATCCACGGAGAATAGGTCAGCTTAGGTCTAGCAGCAACGTCATTCGCTGAACCATCGGCGCATGATGGTATCGGCACCACCCCTGAAGTACGGAGGCCCCTCATTTGCAAAGTCACTCCAAGATTCAGATGGTGCCTCGGTGAATCGTGGGGCAGACCTATCCCGAGGTTCGACGATAAAAGTACAAGCAAGTGCTGGCGTGATGTAGACGATATTGATATCTCGCCTTCAGTCCATACTCTTCCTCCCATACTTCATTACAAGAATCTCACAATCAGTCCACCTTCCTACTCAGCCGATTTTCGTGTCTATCTTCAGGCTGAGTTCGTGAACTACTGCCAAGACCCGGATCCTCTGCCCGCCCTTCACTCCGCATTACTCAAGTCAAACCCCGCCGCCGGTGGTGTGCTTCCAGGGAGACAAAAATGGTTTCATCTTCGACCTCTTCAGACGCCCAATCTCGCCTCCAACAAATCACATCTCATATGTCTACCACAAACGCAATGAAGGCTACATCGTTCGGTGCAAGTGTCGTGCCTCAGGCCCCTGAGGATCCCCTGTTTGGATTGATGGCCGCCTTCCGCCGCGACACTGCTTCGAACAAGGTCGATCTTGGTATTGGAGCATACAGAGACAACAACGCAAAGCCTTGGGTACTACCCGTGGTGAAGAAGGTATGCATATTTGTCCCTCTTCACGGATCGTCTCTTCAGAGATATAAACACCTTCAAAGGAGGCACTCACATCCACGATTATGAGGGGCTAATCTGAAACGCTATCTAGGCCGATGACCTTCTTCGTCAAGACCCCAACCTCAACCACGAATACCTGCCAATCGCTGGTCTAGCCGACTTCACCACCGCCTCGCAGAAGCTGATCTTCGGTGCCGATTCGCCTGCTCTCAAGGAGAACCGCGCCGTCGCCCTCCAGACCATCTCAGGAACCGGAGCTGTGCACTTGGGCGCTGCCTTCCTGGCCAAGTTCTATACCCCTTCCAACCCGGAGGCCAAGACTATCTACGTTTCGAACCCTACATGGGCCAACCACAACCAGATCTTCTCCAATGTCAAGCTCCCGATCAAGAACTACCCTTACTTCTCTGCTGAGACAAAGGGTCTTGACTTCAAGGGCATGATCCAGACGATAGAGCAGGCCCCTGAAGGCAGTGTGGTCCTGCTGCACGCTTGCGCCCACAACCCCACAGGTGTGGACCCTACTCAAGATCAGTGGAAAGAGGTTGCCTCGCTCATGAAGAGCAAGTCCCAATTCCCCTTCTTCGACTGCGCATACCAAGGCTTCGCATCTGGTGACCTCAACAAGGATGCTTGGGCGATTCGTTACTTCGTCGAGCAAGGCTTCGAGATGTTCGTCGCTCAGAGTTACGCCAAGAACTTCGGTCTGTACGGCGAGCGTGCTGGATGCTTCCATTTCGTGACTGGTCCCTCTTCTGATGCTGCCGACACTGCTGTCCGTGTTGGCAGTCAGCTTGCCATTCTCCAGCGTTCCGAGATCAGTAACCCTCCGGCATACGGTGCCCGCATTGCGTCGGTCATTCTCAACGACGAGAAGCTGTTCGCTGAGTGGGAGGAGAATCTTCGTGAGATGAGCGGTCGTATCATCTCAATGCGCAAGGCCCTCAAGAGCAAGCTTGATGAGCTGCAGACTCCCGGCAACTGGGATCACATCACCAACCAGATCGGCATGTTCAGCTTTACTGGTTTGACCGAGAAGCAGGTCTTGAAGATCAGATCAGATTCTCATGTATACATGACTAAGAACGGCAGAATCAGTGAGTGTTGTGTATCTTGCTCATCGGACTTTACTAACCATTTGTAGGCATGGCTGGTCTGAACACTAACAATGTCGAATACTTTGCCAAGGCTGTTGACAAGATCGTCCGCGAGACTTCATAGTCTCGTCTCACAAGACAATTGACATGATCATGGAAGGTTAGCATTGGTGGAGTAAGTGCATTAATTTGGTTCTCCTTGGGCTATCATATCCCAAGAGGATTCCTTCGGGAAAGGAATCGACTTTTCATTTCGTGGATTGAGTACACCTCGTCCGTTGACCTTATACAAGACACGAACTGTGGACATGAGTGAAATGATTGAAGTCCAATTGCCTTTGTTTCAAATAGCACGGCTGAGGTCGGCAGTTGCATCTGAAGTGGAGCGGGCCGAAAGGAGAGAGCGCCGATGTCGTGACACTCATCAAAGTCCGGATTCGCCGCCAATTGAAGTTCGAAACATTTTTTCTACATCATCAACGACGCATCCAATCCCACGTCAGAAAATTATCAAGCAGTCAAGGCGGCCCAAGGGATCGACTTGCATTTCCAGGCATAAGCATCAATTACGATCGGAAGTCCCGATATCGTCCACATCCCCGCGTCATCCCCCGCATTAACTCACCCGGCGGACCTCGCCATCCATCAGCAAAGTGGCTCCTCAATCCCGACTCAGTCTCATCTCGAGACACCTCGACCAAACACCCCAACTCGAGTTAAACACACCATACGCACACGAGCGCCAATCCAGCCCTCCCGACGACCTACCCTATCTCCCCGTACCCGCTGTGCAAGAAGAGAAGAAGACCAGCATGTCGAGCCAACCACCTCACCCTGCCCTGCTCATCCCAGGTCCCATTGAGTTCGATGACCAGGTCCTGCAGTCCATGAGCCACTTCAGGTAGAATCAGCGCCTCGTCTCTGCCTCCAGCTTTGACTGACGACCACAGTGAATCGCATGTTGGCGCACCCTTCGTCAAGACATTCGGCGAGACCTTGACCATGCTCCGCAAGCTGTTCCAGACCGAGGATCCCGCATCGCAGCCCTTTGTCATCTCCGGATCAGGTACCCTTGGTTGGGATCAGGTCGCCGCCAACCTTGCCGAGCCTGGAGATGATGTGCTGGTCCTCCACACCGGTTACTTTGCCGATAGCTTTGCCGACTGCTTCGAGACATATGGTGTCAAGGCTACTCAGCTCAAGGCTCCCATTGGCGACCGTCCTCAGCTTGACGAGGTCGAGAAGGCTCTGAAGGAGAAAAAGTACAAGCTCTTGACCGTCACCCACGTCGACACCTCGACTGGAGTTCTCAGTGAGATCGAGTCCCTCAGCAAGCTCGTACACAAGGTCAGCCCCGAGACGTTGATCGTTGTCGACGGTGTCTGCAGTGTTGGCTGTGAGGAGATTCAGTTCGACAACTGGGGAATTGACTGTGTCATCACCGCCTCTCAGAAGGCCATTGGATGCCCAGCTGGTCTGAGCATCGTCATGGCTTCTGGCCGTGCCATCAAGTCTTTCCAGAGCCGCAAGGTTCCCCCAACCTCATACTTTGGCTCATGGAAGAACTGGATGCCCAGTAAGTAGCTTCTCACACTCCTTCTTACCGCTAGTGCTAACTCGTCGCAGTCATGCAAAACTACGAAGCCGGCAAGCCCTCGTACTTTGCTACTCCCTCTCCTCAGCTCGTCCATGCTCTACACACCACTCTGACTCAGATCACCTCAGTACCTTTGGCCGACCGCTTTGCTGCCCACCGCAAGGCCTCGCAAAAGGTCAAGAAGGCCGTTGCTGACCTTGGTCTTGAGCAACTTGCCGCAAAGCCTGAGAACCAGGCTAATGGCATGACTGCAATCTACCTCCCCAAAGGTATGACTCCTCCGGATGTTCTGCCCAAGCTCATGAAACGCGGTGTTGTGTTTGCTGGTGGTCTGCACAAGCAGATTGCTACTCAGTACATCCGCTTCGGCCATATGGGCGTCAGTGTCACCGACCCCAACCGTGATGATATTGACCGTGCCATTGTTGCGCTGAAGGACGGAATCACTGAGGCACAACAAGCCACTGATCTGTCAGCTAGATAGACGAAAAGTATAATGATATTGTCCATGCTGAACTTTCCGTATTGCACAAAAGTATTCATTGCGAATCATAGTCCTACCTGCTGGTGTTGATATTTTGGCTTTGTTCGCATTGTGATGCTACAGCAGTTGCCAACGAATGCCTTCACGTAGTCAACACCTTGATTTCAAGTGTTGCAGCTCAGCAATCGAGACCATCGATCTCCCAAGTACACCCGCCCTTCCCAATCGCATGGTTCTGACCTAAAGATCCAAGCACATACCAAGCACGTGGAATGCATGATCAACCAAATGTAGTGTCTCTGGGCATATCCTGGCGTCAAGTGGTCGACGAAAACCCTCTTGAGCCTCAACCCGCGGAGTGCCGTACATCTTTGTTTATTCCCGGTCAACGTCTACCGCCTCTTTTCCCTCCGACGCTGCATGCCTCTCAGAAACTTACTCCATGTACCTGGCTACCTCCGCACGTTCTACCAAAATCTCTTTTTTCGCGATGGCCGGATCTAGGTCACTGACATGTGAGCCCCATCATCGGGGTAATGATTCCAATTCTTGGTAGCCCCGCTGCTGACTGAAAGAGCTTTTTCGCTAGGTTCACTGTGGTGGTTTGTCTGTGCGATATATCCTATATCCAACTTTGCGCAGAGTCACAGTGCTGCTCGCGTGATGGACTGTTTTGGGGCATCACAATACAGCGGGCTCTTCATAGCGAGAGTTTCCTGCATCGGAACGCCTGTCATCGACGCTGGAGCCAGCGAAGAGTGTAGGTTTGTGCTGTATGACGCTACAGCATCGATACCCAGCGTACACTTACCGGACCTGAGCTGTGGCTTCCGGATATAATTGCCTCAACCTTTGCTGGGATATACAAGCCTCAATTGTTCGGGCACAACTAGGGCTCTGTGACTGGATGGGACATGATTGCTGAACGCATAAAATACCGGACGTCGCACTCATACATGCATGCCTTGTCTCCTTCGAGAGAGACGACTGGCTGTATCGACATTGTGAGTTGTACGGATCCGCGACTCAGGTCCTTCAAGGACCTAACCTATTACCGAGAATGCATCATATCCCTACTCCCTGCTAGTTTGTGGACAAGCCCCCGGATCTCCATTGAGTTCAAACGAGCAAGTCCCTCCTAACGACCCTCCGCGGCTCTCAACTCCAGTTATTGCCTCTGACACATGGCTGAGAGTTGCCATTATGTACACCTAATCAGAGGTATTGCAATCATATGCGAACTAACAGTCGTCCGCGGAATCAACTTACGCTATGCCCACGTTGACACTCTGCTCTCCAGCTGCTATGTGCCAAGAGTTGGGCTCCTCAGTCTAGCATACTTCAGTAAGCCAATGCTCAAACTATCAGAAGGTCAAGTCGCGGCGAACATGTCGATACCCCGGTATGAAGAACCTGAGGATTCAATCATGGGTATGTCGCCAGGCAGAATCCCATCCGACCAGAATCCACCTTGGCGAACAACAAACGAGAAATGGCTCTATGCCACATGCCAAACACCATTGGCTGGCAGTGTATTGGCCGCGGTGGCAGTCTTGACTCATGGACTCCAACACCAATGCCATGATGTGCATGTCCAAGCTAGTATCGACTCAGCCAAACTTCTGTTATACATCTAGGTTTGCTCCACAACAGGCCAAGCCGTTAACATGCTACCTGCCCAAGGGCACAAGCGACAATGATACTCGATGACATTGCATCATTGTCAATTGATTTGAGAGACGGCAATGACTCCGTGGGCAACCTCCTTGGCAGGGTGCGTTATGCTTCTCGACGTCCGCGGTATGACGCCGATCGTAGTCAGGTCCTGTTCCCGACAGATAGTAAACCCGTGATGAAGGGATCGAACATGCAAGCTCGCAATGTGCAAGGCAAAGAAGTCTTTGGACGTATAAGTATCATGTTCTCTGCTGTCCTAGACCAAATCATCCAACACATTACTCAGTCTTCATAACTTCAATCACTCTCGCTTCTATCTTCTCAACTTCAATCCCCATCAACCAAACAACAAATCAACCATGCGTTTCACTCAGACCTTCTTCGCTGTCACAGCCCTTGCTGCTGTCTCCTTCGCCGACGATAACGGCCCCTGCGACGACCAGAACGACAATGGAGTCGTCTGCAGCAACGGAGTCCCTGTCAGCTCCAACGGTGTCGCTCTCAATGCCAACACTGCTACCATTACCACCACCAATGCCGCTTCCACCACCAGCCTTGGCTCGCGCATCTCGCTCATCTCGTCGACCGACACCGACATCATCGTCTTGACTACACAATCAGTTGTTGTAGACACCACATCTCTCCCTCACTCCCTCGACACTCGCACTTCCACCAACTTGAACACCATCGTTCAGACTCTTGAGTCCGTCTACACTACCAACACTCTTGGTAACAGCGCTTCATCCAGTTCTTCCAGCAGAGTTGTTGCTACCACCACCAACACTGTCACCACCGGCACTGCCGCTGGTGCTTCTGCTGCTTCTACCTCAGCCTCTGCTACTGGCAACTTGGCCGCTCTCCAAACCGCGGGAAAGTTTGCTCCTTTCGGTGTTGCCGTGGCCGCTCTTGGTTTCGCTGCTGCTCTCTAAGCAAAGACATTGTAACATTCATCTTACGCAAGTTCGGTGATTCTATGAAAGGTGGAGAGGAGATTGAACGTGGACCTAGGGAGATCAGAACTAGATGCGAACTTTCAACATTGGATAGGATAACGGATTATGGGCGATTATGAATACAGGAATATGTATAGTAATAAGTATGTAGTATTGTTTATGAATCTTTCTGTACTCGACAAAGATGCTCCAACCTCCTCTGGTACCTTTGACCCTGGTCAACCAATTTGCTAGTGCAGTGTGATGATTTAGTTTTCTTCTCCAAAGATTGGAGTCGAGATGAGAAGATCTGCAGGAATGGTTCGATGTTGTTCTGAAGGCGTCGTTCGGTCGGGATCGGCTAACGATCGGAAGAAGCAGCCGGTGCTCACGGATGTTGCCGCACGACATATTGGGTGGCAGCGATTGGCCCGAGGCATGAGCGGTCTTAGATGAGCCATGACACGAGGGGCTCGCTGCCCGCTGCCCTCGATGACAAAAGTAGAAAGTGCTTCCATGTGTATTCTTTAGCTCTTACACCCCTCTGCCTCACTTCACTCGGAACATTGCTACATGTCCTCGATTCTCTTTCCCTTGCCTGCCAAATTGACCTATCCCGCAAAGGAGAACTCCAGGTGAAAGCAGAAGCGACGCTCGTCATACACAACGCCGAACCATCCCCGCCGCCGTCAGACATCTTTACCTTCCTACAACACACACGACACAACATGTCTTTCTCATCTCTCGTATCCGACCTCACGTACCGCGACCGCAATGGCGGCATCGAGGAAAGACGCAACCCAATGTCGCGCCAGGTCTCCACCATGTCCCGCGCCAGATCATACGCCAGCACTGCGGCCACCAGCGTCAGCATCTCGGGAGACATCTCAAGTCAACTTCACGGTGGTTACAGCCACCCGCTCGCTCGTTCATGGCAGGCTGAGCGTCAGTTGACAAAGTCAATGCTCATTCTGCCCCTGTTCATCACCGACAACCCCGACGAAGAGACTCTGATCCCTTCGCTGCCTGGCCAGTACCGCCGTGGTCTCAACAAGCTTACCTCTTTCCTCCGCCCTCTGATCGCAAAGGGCCTCAAGTCGGTCATCCTGTTCGGCGTGCCCCTCCACCCCGACGCAAAGGACGCTCTGGGCACTTCCGCCGACGACCCGACTGGTCCCGTCATCGCCGCCATCCGCCTCTTGCGCAAGGCTTTCCCTTCGCTCTTCATCACTGCAGACGTCTGTCTGTGCGAGTACACCAGCCACGGACACTGTGGTATCCTGCGCGAAGATGGCAGTCTTAACAACGCTCTCTCTGTTGATCGCATCTCGGATGTCGCCATGGCTTATGCCGAGGCTGGTGCTCACTGCGTCGCTCCCTCAGACATGAACGATGGTCGTATTCGCGCCATCAAGCTCAAGCTGATCGAGGCTGGTATCGCCCACAAGGTCGTGCTCATGTCTTACTCGGCCAAGTTCAGCGGCTGTCTGTACGGTCCTTTCCGCGACGCTGCTGGCAGCTGCCCTTCGTTCGGTGACAGAAAGTGAGTTTCTCTTGTCCAACCACTACACGTGCCATAATGCTGACCAGTCCTCCTCAGGTGCTACCAACTTCCCCCTGGCGGCCGTGGTCTCGCTCGCCGCGCCATCGTCCGTGACATCAGCGAAGGTGCCGACATCATCATGGTCAAGCCCGCCTCTTCCTACCTCGACATTATCAGTGACGCAAAGGAGCTTGGCAAGGACTTGCCCGTGGCTGCATACCAGGTCAGTGGTGAATTTGCCATGATTCACGCTGGCGCAAAGGCTGGAGTATTCGATCTGAAGGCCATGGCTTTCGAGGCCACCGAGGGTATCCTTCGTGCTGGAGCCAGTATCGTGGTTTCGTACTTCACCCCCGACTTCCTTGACTGGTTGGAGAACTAGACTGGAACACTCGAAGCAAGAAAAGTGGGACACTGGTTGTTCCTTGGTTTCTAGTTTCTGGTCACTGTTATCTCTGCAGGTTTTCTTTTACTGCATGACACACGTCGACATATTCATGGGCAGGCGTTTTCACGGACCGGGGGGCGTTTTACTCACGGCTCATTGATAGCCTCTTTGATTTCTTTTTCCTCTTGAGCGCTCATCTTGACGGTTTGCGGCTGCGCTGTGTTTGATTTTTGGCCCCTGCTTTTTCTCTCTCTCTAATGATACCAAAAAGGATACCAATGAACCCATCTCAACTCTAATTCCATTGCTCAAGACATTTCTGATGATTCTCTCTGCGTTCTGGACTTTCACGATGTAGGTTTTCCACACCTAGTATCATTGGACTCTAGAATCTCCTCACGTTCCACATCAGCACCAGTTCATCTTTCGAAGAAGAGAGATAAATGGTAGAGCAACGACGACATGGGACTATATTTTCAAGATGCTAGTAGCACGATTCAAAAGGGATGCGACATTCCCATCCACGTGACCAGTATCTATATTCTCAGAGCGAGGGATATAGAAATATTGTGTTCCATTGTCGACTGCTTTTATACAGAGACAGGGTCATACGCGCTACGAAGAGGTGACCCTGTCCTTCCAATCTGGATGAGATATAAGAATTGGCAAAATCAAGAGTCTAATGTAAATTGTTTTGTGTATATTTGTATTTCGGCATCCTCTCAGTTCTTTTTGCGACTTTCTTTTTGTTAATCGTTATGTTGTAGTAGTAGGTTTTCTGTATGTGTGTGTGTTGTTAAGGGTAATAATTGAAGAAAAAATGGGAGGATTTTCTATGTGGATAGGGAAGGTATGTAACAGAATCTGACAAAAGCATAAAAGAGTGTCGATCATCGGGGTAACCTATTAGTTAATCATGCTCATGCTCGCAAGTCTTTACAAAGAGAGAGAGCTCTCAGCCTCTCTAGTTCCAGTGTTGAGGTTCCGCAAGAGTCACATCATCTTTTGGGGCCCTGAAAGGTAGTGGTAGCATAGGAGGCTTTTTAGTCGGGCCTGGCCATATGCGTTAGTAATAAGAGGCATGATATCCAATTCCCAACCTCATCTACGATTTAGCGTGAGCAATGAGAGTTCGTGCTGCGGCAGTCATGACAGAGAACCGCGACCACTTCGAAAATGTTTTAAAAGTGAAGTTCGGTTTGAGGTATTCGAGTCTTTTGAAATAATTGGTCTCTTTTTCATCTGTCTGCCAACAAAATAACGCTGGTTGTAATGATCCTCTTCTGATCTCTTCTCACAGCACTTCTTGTCATCACATCATGCGGCCTTGGGTCATCGCTACATCTAGCTGTTACCGCTGACAGCCAACTTCATCAAGTGGTCCATAAAGGTCTGTAGTGAGACATCGTCGGTGAAGATGGTTTGTGCGGTCTGGCTGACACCGCCGTATGCGCCAGTGGTATGTGTCGTTGAGGGGTTGAGCTTGGAGAGAAGGAAACGTGCTTGAGAACCACCGGCGTCGCAAACAATGAAACGAGGTAGAGGGAAACGGTCTTGGATGAGTTCCTGAAAGGTTCGTTAGCATCCGGCAAGGTCACGGAAAATGGGTGCTGAATAGAACTTACCTTTGCGTCCTCCTTGGGCGCTTCGAGCATCTCTCTGAAGTTCTCGTAACCTTCTTGATCTTGGTAACCAGCCTTGCGCCATTGTGCCATGGTCTCACCGTGGAAGATGAGGATGTGGAAGAAGGTGTCGAGCAGAAGAATGGTCTGATCTTGGATGCTGGTAGAATCAAGCAAGACGGGTTGACTGCCTTCGTGATCGAAGCCGTAGCTGTCAAGGGTAGGTTGAATCATGACCAAACTGTTTGACACATCCTCGTGGTTGAGAACGTGTCTGTAGAAAGCAGTCTCATCAGGAGAGTTGTTGAAGACCTGCAAGAACTGCGAACGGCGCAAGTGGAACATGAACTGCGGGTAGAGGGTGAAGTTCTTCTCCAGGCGGAAAGATGACGGGTCGTCCTTGCGGTACTCGGCAAAGCGAGAACATAACCTGATAAGCATGCGATCAACCCAGCGAAGAACATCCGGACCGTCATCGACCTCAGCCTTGAAGACTGCAATACGAGACATGAGGACTGCAGCGGCTTCTTGATCGAAGGACTGGGCAATAGCCGGATCGCCTGAGGGACCGCTCATGTTGCGACCGACAGTTGTGACGCGAAGGTGGAACTGGCCAGAAGAGTGCTGGTAGTATGTGAGGAACTGCATGAGACCCTTTTGTGGGGCTTGTTGCACGTTGGTGGGACCGCCTTGGCCAGCAATCTCAAAGTAGATACCGTAACTTGAGTTGGGGTTGATGCCGCACATCTTCCACGAGCAAGTGTTTCCAATACCGCACTCGGTCTCACCGACATTGGCCGACTTCTTGTTCATGGAAACGGCGTGTCCTATCAGACCGGTCACCTTGAGCTCCTTTGTGGTCAGGACCTCGAGCGAAGCGTTGAAACCCATCAGGAGGTTGTCGTTGGCGTCCTTGTCGAAGATACGTGCGAAGGATTGCTTGTACATGGACGAAGTAAAGCTGTCGGTCAAGATCATGTGGCCGCCGGTCGAGTTTGCGAGACTTCTCATCTCCAAAAGACCGACTTGATCCAGACATCCGGCAAAGATGTCGATAATGTGGCCGTTGTGAGCAGTTCTCTTGGCCAGAGTTTCGTAGAACTTGAGGGCCTTCTTATAGTACTTGATGTTGTCCTTGTCAATGTCGTGGTGGGAACGGATGGGCTCCTTGAGTTCGGGGCCAACAACCATACCAGGACCTTCTGTAGCAGCACCTCCAGTGAAGAGCATGATGCGACCACCGGCGTTCAAGAACGAGGTCTCGAGCAGACCAGTTGCAACACTCATGGCGACACCAGTACATCTCAAGGGACGCTTGTCGTTTGCAACAGGCCATGGGTCCTTCTGCAGGGATTCCAGGGCGTTGGTGAGCTGGAACTCGCATTGCTGAACGGGCAGCAGGAATCTGGCGGCAGCACCCATGGGAGCGGTAGGGGCGGGACGTCCGGGTTGTGGTTGCATGGCGGGCATGCCAGGTCTTGCACCACCACCAGTCATCAGACCGAGCATCTCTTGCACCTGCTTGCCAGTGTAGTCCTTTGATCCACGGAAGACGTAAGACTTTGCGCATTCAGTGTAACCCAGCTCGTGGACTTGAGCCATGGTACCGTATGTGATCAGACCGACAAGAGCGTTGGGAGGGAGCAGGCTGAGCGACATGATGATGGAGTCCTTGAGAGCCTTCAAACTATCCTCCTCTTGACATGTGTCGACAACGAAGACGAAGATTGGGGGCGCGGGAGCGGGTCTGGCGAGTCTGTACTCGATGGTGGTGCTGGAAGGGTGCAGCTCTGGGGGAATGGCATTCTCGGAAATGTCCTTGTAGTGCGGCGGCAGGCCGTTGCGTTGCAGACAGAAGGGGCAGATCCAGATCCTGGCGCGCATGTCGACTTGGCTAGACTGTGGTGAGCATGTGACGTGTCAGGCATGTGTAGGGCAGCCTACCAGAAGGGGTTCAGCACGGCGCGGCAAGGCGCCTTGCAAGAGACGGGCTCATACTGGAGCAGTGGTGTGTCGGTCTTTTCCTTCAGCGGTGTGTAGAGAGCTCCGATGGGGACAACCAATCTCGAGGCTTCCTGTATAGCGTCGCTGTTAGAGAGAGCTTCATGGCAGACGTGACAGCTGTTGCGGGGCAGCGTACCATGCGCGAAGAGGGGAACGTGTTCCAACTCAGACGGATACCGTCCTTGTCCTCGATATCACTCCATTGCTCTTTCAAAGCCTCGTAGTCCATAGCTGGTGCTCCGTGAGGCGCGAATGCGGCCATGTTGTAGGAATAAAGCTACCCCTGGGCTGTGATGCTGCTCGTTTGCTGAAACTTGATCGGTGCTGGATTTGGTGTGGATGTTGAGATGTCGTGTGTCGAGAGAGTGGGAGGAAGATGCGCAGCTACCCTTCAGACGAGTTGCAGGTGAATTGTACAAATGTCCCTTGTATCAACAACTGGAGACGTCGCCGACTGTCTCAATGTTGCCAACTGCCCCCAATCAACATCCAGAGCCCCGGCTCCTTCCGTCATTGAGCACGGACCGTCCAGCTGGAAGCACATCAAAACTGTTTCTCCTCAGCCCAGTCCTTCTGTTTTCTACAAACACCGCCAGCTTATCAAATTACTTATCGACGTCCTTTGCCTTTTTGTAGCAAGGTCGTTTTCGCGCTGTGCGCAGATGGATGACACCCGTTGCTGGGCGCCCGCATGGAAGGATCGTTCCGATTCTCTAGAAATGTTGGGAATCAGTAGAGGTTACAACCTGCCATTTCTTTACTCTGTTCAGTCAAAATATATATATACCACGAAAAACACTTTCACTCACGTTCATTCCTCACTCTGCATGAATTGTATTTCTTCCCAGCCTGTGTTTCATTTTCCATGCTCCCCGTCCCCCAGCGCATGCCTATGACATGCTTATCAAAATGCACATTTTGAGACACACGTCTGTCCTCAGTGGAGCATCTCGAGGGAAGTCAGCTCGACTCACTCCACCTCTGAAGACATGCCTATAGCATGCTTGTCAAAATGCACAATCCCTTCGAGATGCAGGTCTGTCCTCGGCGGGGAGGGTCAATACACCTGCTCGTGGACGACTACACCGTTGTCAAAAACTGTCATGCCTTTTGACTAGTCTCTCTGGTCGGCTGTCTCCTTCTTCGAGTTATCCTCACTCTCACTCACCCTTCCACAACCCCTATTGTTGCTTCCCATTCACGGACATGTGGTAGTCTTGTTTATGACAATGCTTCCCTACTATTCTTATTCATCCCGCCATTGTGCTCTTGCTCAGTCTACATCTTCACTTCGGACTCCGAGGGCATGGTTCATTGTCCACAATAGGGATTGACAATGCCCTGTTGCAATCCATTGTCAAACCTCCACTCCTATAGATCTGTATAGCTATTGTCGAGGCAAGTCATATCGCTTTCCGTAGTCCGGTCCTCTCCTTTCCTTTCTTTCTTCTTTTTTCAGTCTTGTTCTTACCTCTTGCTTTCCCCCTCTGCAACCTCAAGACAACTCTTCTCCTCGCTCTCTCTTCCCATTACCATCCCCTTCGAGCCGGTCTCGATTCAACTCAGGACACACTTTGAGCTGGCCTCATTGTGCCACTCTCTCACCACCCACACGACATCTCTCATCATGTCGTTCAACAACAGCAACAACAACATCAACAGCAACAACAACTTCCAGCCAGCCCTCTACTCCCATGTGGCTGTCGGGTTTGTGTGTCCTCTGGCCTCTCCTGAGGGCTATGTCTACAACCCCAACGCTACTTGGAGTCCTGAGTGGTCTGGCCCTGCCTCTCCAGACAATGTTGCCATCGACGAAGACGATGACCCCCTCAGCAACTACGTCTATGGTGGGGAAGCTTGTGATCCCATGGACCATCCCTTCGACGATGGTTTCGATTACTGGCCGTCCGTGAGGGGCACCAGTATTCGTTCTGCTTCGGCGGAGCCAGAGTTGTCGGGCATGGGCCATGAGCCTGATGCCAGTGAGTCGGAGGAGGAGGTCTCGGAGGAGGAGACCGAATCTGAAGATGAGCGTCCTTCCCGCGGGGAGAAGCGCCCCGCATTGCCTCCGGGTGTCTCTGCAGGGTCTGGCAATGGCGTTGGAGAGCAGGCTTCTTCGGCTGGTGTCCCTCTCGCGGATGCTGCCCAAGTGCAGGAGGAGGAAGACGAGGATGATGGTGTGGAGTTCGAGGAGGTTGACGACGACGACTACGCCCCTGTTCGTCCTGCTCGTCGCGAGGCAGCAGGTCAGCAGTCGGCAAGGGTCTCGGCCGCACCCGCTCCCACCATCTCCTCTCGCAAGGCAAGTGGCTGGTCCGACGCAGAGGATCTTGCTTGCATCAAGGCCATGAAGGAAGTCTGCACCTTGGAGAGATACGCTGCTGTTGCCAGCACAGAGAAGCGCTTCGAGGTGGTCGCAGAACGCATGAAGCAGGGAGGCTTCAACCGCTCCGCCTCTGGCGTGAAGTTGCAGTGGAACCGCAGATTGCGGGCCATCTCGGGGTTCGAGGATCGCGGTGAGAAGAAGCATTCTGCTTCTGGGCTCACCACCTCGGCTCTGGGTACTTCCAAGGGCACCAAAAGTGGCACCTCCGCTGTCACCTCTTTGGCTCCTGATTCCCGTCGTGACAGCAAGCGCAAGGCTGCCGTCATCATCAGCGACGACGAGGAAGAGGAGGACTACGCCTACGCCCCGGCACCGACCTCGTCAAGGCCTGCCAAACGTGCTCGTACCACCTCGGCCGCTCCTTCGACACAAGAGGTTCCTTCGACTCAGTCACGAGCCTACTACGATCTCTCGCTCACCAACGTCCTCTCCGGACCAAGATCATCTCGTCAACGTCCTGCCGCAGCTGCTGCTCCTACCGCATCAACTCGTCAAAAGCGCGCCATCACTATCGAAGATGAAGAGGATGAGGACGACTTCAACCCTTCTGAGCCCAAGCCAAAGCGTCAAAAGCAGACATCAACCGCCGCTCCTGCCAGGCGAGTCGCAGCACCTCGCAAGCAACCAGCTCAGCCTGCAACAGCTCCTCGCATGCCTTCTCCCTCTGTCCCAATCCCCAACTCTGGCAAAGGCAGCTCCTCTGCAGCACCTTCAGCAATGCGCAAGCACCGCATGTCGACATTCGAGCCTACCAACCGCTGGAGCAAGACCGATGGCCGCAAGCTCGACAAGAACAACATGGCCGACTTCCAAGAGTACCACAACCCAAAAAAGTACACCGAGCGTGCTGTCACTCCTGAAGCAGGACCCCTCAACAAGGCCCACTGGGCAGGAATCCTCAAAAGACGTCAGAACGAAGTCGCTGCCAAGAAGGAAGCCAAAGCTCGCAAAGAAGCAGAAGAGGCAGAAGAAGAGGATGAAGACTCCATCGTCAGCACAGCCAGCAAAGCCAACAAGAGCCGTGAGCTTCGCAGACAGAGAGCCTCTACTACCACCACCACCACCACCAACAACACTGCTCAACAACCTCGTCCTCGCTCTCAGCGCCAGCTCTCCCCCATCGTCGAAGAGCGCGAGAATGACAGCGATGGCCAGAGCATCATCCCAGCTCAAGGTGAAGTAGCAGCTCAACTCGCTGCTGATGAGGAAATGGCAAGAAAGCTTCAAGCAGAGCTAAATGGCGGTGTTTCTCGCTCTCGTCGTGTTCGTGGCTTCAACTAATTAGACATCTTTTTTTCGGAGGAGTTTTTCCATCATTGGGCAAGGAATTTTTTTCGTTTCGGTACGAGTTTATTCTCAGTGGAGTTTTTATTGCTGGTGGAAAGCAGAGAAGCATGGAGATACCCCTTTTATGTGACGATGAAATGAAATCAAAACGCAGAAGCTGGTCTTCTTTTCCAAACACTTTTTTGCCATTTTCGTGCTCTCTTGACTGTGATGATGTTTTGTGAAAAGGACTGTGCCTTTTTATACACCTTGTTTCATCGTGTCGTTGTCGGTGAGAGAGCATGTTATTGAGCATCCCGAGAAATGATGCATAGATCCTGAAATGATTGTGCCTTTTCATAGCTATGATTTTGCAGTACCACACTCATGGAGAGAGTATAATACGAGCCATCTCGTACTCAACGCAAAGATCTCGATTGTGATTGTGCCTTTTTACAACCCTGTTTTGACACCGCTGTCCTCGATGAGAGAGCACAATACAAGCTATCTCAGCAGTCGATGCAGTAGTCTTGCAAAACACTGTGGCATTTTACAGTCCTGTTCTTGCCATACCATACACTGAGAGAGAGCATGATCCGAGTCGTCTCAAGGGTCAATGTTAGGGTCCTAAAAAAGATTGTGCCTTTTTACAACCTCCGTTTGCTGGTATCATGCTTGATGAGAGAGCACGATAATGGTCATCTCATCAGGGAGCAGGACAATGCGCAAAAAGATTGTACCTTTTTACAACCACTATTTCACAGTGTCGTGCTTGTCCGGAGAGCGTGATATTGATCATCTCGACAAGCAGTACAATAATCCCAAAAATGCTCATGCCTTGAGACGGCCATGTTTTGCAGATAGAGACGTCTGTAGAGATATGGGGAAGCAGCATTCTCCAGCGTCGTAGCATGCTACCGGAGATGCATCACGATGCAGAGAATTTTCCAACATCTAAACTGCTTCTGCCGGGAGAAAGCCACAAAGGGATGAGATACGAGATAGACTCGGGACTCTAATGTTTCTCGAGGGTGGTGGTTAGAAAAAAGTCGATCTGCGACGTCTTCTCATTCGAAAAGCAAAATGCGGCTTTTAATGCGTCTGTCTTGATGCTTGAACCTTGCAAGCGCCGATGATGACATGAGCGTTTGATGAAAAGTCACTGTGTAGTTTTGTTTCATGCATTATGTCCTCAGCTTGTGGAGTCGCGATGAGAGATATTCATACTACAGATCGACATCTCGAGAGGTTTGAAATTAATCTGATGCGCATTCAGTCCGTCTGGCAATCGTGATGATTCCTCAAGCAGAGAGACCCTTGATCGCATCGCAGAAGGTCGTTTGCCGAATCAAGCCTTCAACCTTTTTCTGCTACAGACACCCGCTCAAGAAGAAAAACCAAAAATTATTGGCTCGTTCCAACGTCATTTGTTCGACTTATAGCACCGAGCTGGTCTAGTGGGTGATGCGGATGGAAACGACTATTAAGTACGACGCATGTTACGCGAGTTTTGAGAGCCAGAGCTTCGGGAGTCGCGAAATCTCGATGACTTCGGCTGTGCAAGCAAACGGTGTGGCATGGTATTCTTGGAAAATCATGTATCCGTTGGCATTTATTGGTCTTTATACGAGTGGGCTTTCTGGCTTGTGTTGACATGACGGGGAGGCCGGAGTTCCCGAAGCAGAAATTGCAGGTCGTGGTTGCCAGAGGGAGGAATGTTTGTGTGGTGGTGGGCCTTGGGGCAGGTATAGACGGACGACGTTCCGGCGCGTGCTGACATCGACGATCTTCACCCATCGCAGTCGACGATCAACGATGCGAGCGTTTGCCAACCGGGGATCAAACCACTTACTGCCTAGTTGCGTCTCTTCTTTGCCTAGCTTCAGGTCCTGTCATAGCCATGCAGCTTTTGAGTAACCATGCGAAACCTTGGACGGGCAGGGAACGACAGGGAAGGGGGTATGACACTGTGACGAGAGCAATTACCATCGCCGATGTTTATGTTGGCTTGCGTTGGCCCATGGGTCAGCCACCGAGACGCTGACAAGTAGGTACTGTAGAGGATGTAGCTCGGTTGTTTCCCATCAGCGTCGTTTCTGTCCTTCTCTCTTGACCTGATATACCAAACCAGTCTCTCGCTGCAACGAACACACTTGACAGCGTCACCAACAACATGCCGTCACCAAGCATTTCACCAATAGATTCGACTACCTCGTCATCCACACAATCCACAACCTCTCGCATCACGTCTTCGACAAGCTCAAAACCTCCATTCGCAAGATCAAGCAGTTACAGCCATGTGTTCCCTTCAACCCAGAACTTGGTCAATCCCGTCCCCGGTGCACCCAACCCACGAGGCCTCTCAGAAGATACAAAAGCACTTGCCCGGAAACTACTCCAAAACCAGCCACAGTGTCCCGCAATACAAGGCGAACGCACCAAGCTCTTTTCGAATGGACTGCAATGGCTGCTCGACGCAGCGACCGAGACAGAAAAAAACGCAGGCAGACCAGCCAGGCACTCAACTCGCGTAGCCCCTTTGACTGAAGACGCAGTAAGGAAGCTCGACAAGCATGGTAGACATTCTCGCATCCAGGAGATCAGGGAGAACGAGAGTGTAGCCAGTTCGACCGTCGACCGAGCACGAATCGATGCCTGGGTTTCAGAGACGGATTCAGTCCATCGAGGCATCGTCGCTGCTACCAACAACATTACGAAATCATGAAGCTCCCAGTTCAAAGGACGGTACCCACGTCATCGCGAGCTGGAGATACAAAACTCGACTACGCGGAGCCTATACCCATCTTACGAGCCTGCCACGCAGCGACAAGGACTGAGAAGCCCGCTACGACGCCGGCTCACAAACTCCCGCAACCCCTCCATCCGTTGACCGGATCTGAGAAAGACCCGAACCGTAATGGCTCGACGAGAGTACACGGAAATGCTTCCGTGCCAGCCACCAGGGTCCTGCTCGAATGACGTGCAAAAGGTGTCATCAATTCCTCGGTGTTTGCACAGCTTAGCAATCACAGATGGCACTCTCGGAAGTGTCTGTCTCGAACGCCAGCACATCTCTAGCATCGAGCAGAAGATCACATCCAAAGAGCACTACCGCTCCACACCATATCTTATACCATATACCCCTTCAATCGAAGTAACGCAGGTTTCTACTTCGCATCTTAGCGTTATAGCGAGCATCCAAGCATTTACTCAAAAAAAGAAACAATTTCATCACCTACTTTTCCATTCATCCTCTTTTAATCGATTCATGTATTTACAGATCCACGATTGCATCGTGAGATGATGATCAGAAAAGTAGGCATGCCCGGATATAGCGATCGCCCAAATCTCGAGTCAAATTGCCATGTGGGTCGCCGATCAAATGCAGATCTTTCTGGAGGCTACATCTCCGATGAGGGAGTGAGGCAGGAAGGAGGGCTGTAAAAGGGCAAGGTGATTTTCGATATCCATAGCATTACTGAGGAGAGAGACAACAGTTGGCTCTGCAATGTATCTCCAATGAGAGAGTATAACACAAAGTAGGGCTGTAAAAAGGCAAGGTGATATTCGCTATTCATGCCACGATCAAGAAGACAGACGGAATAGGAGCTCTCCAACATCATCCCTTCCCAATTCTGGAAAAGATTGCGCATTTCTACAGTTCTCTAAGCCATGATACATCGTCAAGGAGAGATACGTGAGGAGCCTCTCTCCAATAGCATCCCAGCCAAACTCCCCAAAAACGATTGTGCATTTCCACAGCCCTCTAGGAAAGATTCTTCCATCACGGAGCACCACTACAAACAACCAACCCCTCCTATAATCGCCCTTGACATCAAAGTTCAAATGTGTGTAGTCAATGTTCCTCCCACACCCACCACCCAGCACGAAAAACGACTACATCTGCAAACCGGTCACGGACGCGAGTGTCGTACTTGGGTACACGGTGCCATTTGTTCTTTAAGTAGTAGTGACCGCTACCCATAATTCGGGGGGGGGGGGGGGGGAAAAGAAAACCAAAAAAAGCACAACAGCTTGGCGAAGTAACGTGGATGGATGGGAGAGGAAAGGGGGTTATGGATGTTCAGGATGGCAGGGTGTATGGTTCCTCGAAAGTGGGGGTTGGTGGTGCTGCTCCATGGACAGTGTCAGTTGTTTTGGAGAATTGATTGTGTTATTTTTACAGTCCTTGTGTTTGAGTGCTGTATGGAGAAGGAGAGTACTACTTCATAGAATATGATTAGAGGAAAGACTTTGGTCAGGATTCATGAACGTCGTTATTTCTATTCTTACAAGTAAGATCTAGCAAGACTGCTGGACTGGCACCTCAATTCTTAGGTCTTTTGGTGGCAGTCTGAGCATCGCTGCTCATCACACTCGCACTTCTCTTCCTTCCGACCTTGACCTCTTCACTCTCCTCCTTGACTCCCTCTTTACCTTCCTTGATCCTCTTCTCAGCCTCCTTGACACGAATCTCTTGCTCCTCTTTGTCAGAAACCTTGCGCATATCCAACAGCAGATGCACCTTTTGCATCAATTTCTCAAAGTCCTCGATGACACGTTGAGTTGGCAAGGGGATGATGTCAGGAATACGAAGGTGATTGAGGATGGCAGAGATCTTTTCGGTCTGGACCATGGATTTTGCAGAGCGGGCACGATGGAGGCGATCAGAGGCGAAGGAGACGCCGCTGCTGAGACGGTCGTGTTGAGTTACGAAGTAGCGGCTAGCGGCGTGGGGTGTCATGGCGCGTGCAGTAGGATCCATGCCTGAGCTTGAGCCACCAGCGAGGGAGTCACGGCCGCCTGCCTTGCGAGCTCCTGTGGCACTGCTGATGCTGTCGCGGTGGCCGGATGATGCACCGGCGGCGGACTGCAGTTGTGCGGAGGGAGGGCCGCCGGGGGTGTCGCCGAGAGCCTTGAGGCGGCGGTCCTTTTTCATGCGGTCTGCTTGGAGTAGCTGTTGGAAAAGTTGGCCAAGTTGTTGTGAGGTGCTGTATTGAGCTCCTGCTGTGTTGCTTGTTGAGGGATACTCGAGTCTATCGCGAATCTCCTTGCGCTCGTTCTCCAGCTGTTGTTGGTTGATCATGATGCGTTGTAATTCGGCGAGCAGGACGTTCTCTTCGTCGACTTCGATTTGAGTACGATGGAGGTGTCCTTCGGCAAGCTTCTTTCGTGACGTCTCCTGGACGGGGTTGAACTGAGTGAGGGTAGAGTACAAGGTGTATTGTGGAGCGGTCATGGACGAGATGGGCGTGTGGTTGGCCAGAACCTTTGCGCTCACGTTGTAATAGCGAGTCTTGAGATCTTCCATGGAACGAGACTTTGGTTGTGGTGCTTCTGCACCTTCTTCTGCAGGTCCTGGCTGGTATTCATAGCGGTCGACGACGACGGGCCACTTTTGACCAAAGTCTCGTACTGTCTCCAACAGATAATCCGTCTCTTCCTTTGTCCAATCGGAGTCCTGTAGTTGGGCATCGTAGAGGTCCTGATCGTATGTGGGAGTCTCGACCTGGATATTGTATTTGGCGTACTGGTAATCCTTCTGCTGCAGCTCGGGCTCTGATTGCTTCTCTCCATCGGCTTCCGACTCGGTTTGAGGTTGTTGCTCTGTTTGTGGACGAGGTTTAGGAGTGTGCTTGCGCTGCCAGTGGTGTAGAGCAAGGCCGTCCTCTCTTGCTTGGTTTGTGAAGGAAGCCCACTCCCATGGCGCAACGCGATGAGATCTTCGTGGTCGTTGTTTGTATTTCGGTTGGACCTGGATCATAGCTATCGGCGGAGCGCGTTCGCCCATCAAGGCCGAAACCTCTCGTGCAATTCCCTTTTCCACTACAAATTGTCAGCTCGCGGCGCATTGTGTTGGCCAAAAGCGCGACACACGTGAACGCTTCTCGACCGTCTTTTGCTTCTTCAACGGCGGCGGACGGGCGACATCGCCCGTCAAGCCCAGCATGTCGCGCATATCTTGTGCCGACATGATGAATCGACTTGTTGGAGTAAAGCCGGAATTGAGTCGTGTTTTATAAATAATTGACGTCGTCGTCGTTGTCGCGTGAAGATGTTGCACCTCCAGTCGCGGCGAGCCTCCACACTTCTTGGCACGAAACCGCTGGAGCTCGTGTGTGTTTAGGGGCATCTTGTTGCATGCTGTCCTTTTATCTTGGACATCGCCTCATTCACGAATAACGACCGTCACGATGCACTCGATGCTGTTCTCGGTACTCGCCTTTGCGGCCCTGATGCTGCCGACCCAGGCTCTCTACTTTTACATCGATGGCCCCTCCCAAAAGTGCTTCTTCGAGGAGCTTCCCAAGGACACACTGGTGGTTGGTGAGTAACATCTTGCCTTGTTTCTGCTCCCTACTTTACCAGCAAGCGAATCTAACCCACCAATTCCAGGTCACTACACTGCCACACAATGGAACGAGCAAAGCCGCAAATACGAGGCCAACCCTGACATGGGCCTCTACATCAGCGTAGACGAAATCTTTGACAACGACCACCGCATTGTTTCCCAGCGTGGCAACTCAAAGGGCCGCTTCACCTTCTCCGCCGCCGACTCTGGCGACCACCGCATCTGCTTCACCCCCACAAACGTTCCCTCTGCCCAAGGCTGGCTCTCAGGCGGCTCTTCTGCCGGAAACATCAAGCTCGAAGTCGACATGGCCATTGGCGAGACCTCCCGCATCGAGAGCGACGACAAGCACAAACTCAACGACATTGTCTCCAAAGTCAAGGACTTGAACGCTAGACTTAATGATATCAGAAAGGAGCAGGTCTTCCAGAGAGAGCGCGAGGCTGAATTCAGAAACATGTCTGAGCACACTAATGCTCGTGTTGTGCGTTGGACTTTGGTGCAGTTGGCTATTCTGGGTGTTACTTGTGCCTGGCAGCTTTCTCACCTTAGAAACTTCTTCATCAAGCAGAAGCTCACTTAGATCGATGATGCCCCTTTTTTCTCAAAAAAATGCTATACTTCTTTTCCCACACCGATCTCTATCATTCGCTGTTTCGGCCTCGAAGTTGTTGACATCTACTCACTTTCACTGCAGGACGAAAAGCTACCATATCCTGGCCAAGGTATGCTAAAAAGTCATTCCTCTGCTACTGATCTCTCTTCCCCAATCACCGAGTTCACCAAGGACTCAGAGCGAAGTTGAAGACGATGAAGGCCAAGTGTGCTGCTGCTCTCAAAAAGTCCACACAGAAAGAGTCCAGACACCTACACACGCCATGCACGAACAGGTCTGTTTGTTGGAACGACATATTGAAGTTTACGTCTTGAAGTCTGTATAGCTGAACCCGGCGCAGTGCCGGCAATCGCGCGACTTTCAGTGATCACGCTTGAAGTTTGGGGTTTTACGCACCACGTCAAAACTTCACTGACAGAAGCATCCAAGATGAAGAAGGAGACGTCGACTTTTAATTGTAATTACCAACTTTCCTCACCATGTCATCAAGACCTTGCAGCTCTATCCTTTTCAGCCTTTTCCCTCTCCATTTCCTCTCTTCTACGCACAGCTTCTTCTCCAATTCCCTTGACGCCCTTGACACGCTGGCGTTCTTCATACAGTTCTCTGCTCTTCATGATACGATTTACAATCGAGTCTGCATTGACGTGCGAGTAAGAGTGTGAGGATATCTCCTTGAAGACGCCCATTTCTTTTGCGTCGGTATAGAAGTCTTGGCCCGGTGGTGCTGAGACGGTGGGGCCGTGGTAGACTGTCGAGACTGTGTAGGGGAGGGATTCTAGGAAGACTTTGCTGGGGACTGTGGGGGCCATGAAGATGATGGATGAGATGTACTGTTGTTCTTGTGAGTTTTGCTCAGATACAATAAGGGTGGTTTGTGACTTACCTTGCATTGCAAAACGCAGAGACCACGCTCGAAGATGTTCATGATTGGGTAGTTGATGCCTTTGTAGTCGTTGATGTCGTCGTCACTGTGGACACCAGCAACGACATAGACAGGGCTGTAGTCCTTATTCCATCCCTTCTGCTTTGCTTCCTTCTCTTCGGTCTCGACGACCTGCTTCAGGAACTCGATGTGTCCAGTGGAGAATAGATCGAAGCCACCATCAACATAGACGATCTTCTGATCAGGTTGTGGTGAGGTGCCATTAACCTTCTTCAGGAAAGAGCCATTCTGGTGGAAGTGCTGTTGGTTCGAGTGTGCCGAGCGCCAGCTCCAGACCTCGACGAGCGGCTTGTTTCCTGAAGCGTCTGTTGCGTATTCTCTGATTCTCTCCTTCATGTCTTTACCCGTGCTCTTTCTCTCTTCTTCACCACCAGGACCCTCTCCGCCTTCCAGCAAAGCGTCGAGATCCTTGATGAAGTGTGATTTTGTGCATAGCAGCATGCGTCCGACCAGATCGGTGGTGCTGATACCGGGTGTGCGCTTGACGACCTTGAATCGACCAGCCTCCTTGACAAATCTGTAGCAGTCGTAGCCGTTTGCGTCGGAAGTGATGTCATCTCCGTGAACGACGTATTTGGCACCGTAGTGGGAGATCCAGGGTAGAGAGGTCACATAAGGGGCGTGAGGGATTGATTTGGTGGCCCAACGACAGGCGTCAACAGCAGCACAGCTAAACGAGACAGTTCAGTTGTGCACAGACGAGTCGGGTATGGAGCGACAAGGATGGCAAGAAGGGTCGAGTATTTACCGTTCGTCCAAGGTCATGACAGTAGGCCCCTTGTTCTCGAGGATGGCCTCGTCCGAGTGGACACCAACAAGAAGCTCAGTTCCCAAGCGACGAGCTTGAAGCATGGCGCCAGCATGGCCGTGGTGTGCAAAGTCGAAGCAGCCATCGACCCAGACGCGGCCGTCACTGATTGGGATGTCCTCTTGAGGGTCGACAGGCCACTTACCAGGAGCTGGGATGCTCTGCGAGACGGTCAGCGTCTCTGGGGCTTACAAAGGCGCGTTGGGCTGGTAATTTCATAGTGTACCTCGGTGAAAGACATTGTTACGTGAGAGCTATCACTTTTTGTGAGTGTTGCACAGATGGAGGGGTGTATGAGTGACGGGCTCCTGCTTGTCAACATCACAGATGCACGTGGTGGGGCAGGAGATGCAAGGTGGGGGAAGATTGGCGCTTGGACGACGGCGGCCTGCTTTCCGATCAGATGCAGGGGGTCCCGGGTCCGGGAGAAGCAAGAAGGTTGTTTCATGAGATCAAGCACCACAAAGGCACAACGTTTGTCTACAACACTTCCGCCTCTCTTGCTCGCGTGGGAATTGACACGCCAAGAAGAGTTATGTCGTAGAAAGCTGATTTCTCTGGCCACTTTCCGAGGCAAAGGTAGTTGCAGCGTAGCACGGCCGACTGTCCAACGAGGCCATCTTCCATCTGCTCCATGCCCTCTGCTTACAGGGTCTACCCCTGAGTAATTGTCCGTTAGATGTCAGCTGGGCTAAGAGTCTAAAACGTAAATCGAAGGATGGCTCCTGACCCGTCGCCGACGCCCAGCGCGTCCATCTTTGGCAGGAAGGCATCCTTGTTCTCCAGCAAGAAGTCGTCTCGCAAGGAAAGCACCTCCATCACACCCCTCTCGCCGCCAATCAGCGAGGAAGCATCACCAAAGGCTCGCAGAGACTCTTCGCTCGTTTCGCTGCCCTCATCCGTCGCCGAAGGAGACATTCGCCGGAGCGCATCACTCCGCTCTCACGACTCTCAATCGTCCCTACACCACCCCAAGGCTCGAGGCTCTTCGATAGCCATTCCATCTCGCTCTCCCATTCGCCTGCATCGTCAGAGTCGTTCCATTAGTGCCAATGCCACTCACACGATCAAGCCGCCCTTCAACACATCCTTGAGCCCTCAAAAGTCGACGGATAGCCTCTCACGCGACCGCCAACACAGCATTGCTGAGCCCGTCCCCAAGACTCCTTTCTCCATGCTGGCCACTCCATTCGCTCATGGTCTCAAACGTTCAGAGACGGACCGTCCGTCATTATCATCTCACGCCACCAATACCAGTTCCTTGAACTTGGTGCCGTCAAACACAACACAACCTCCCCAGACGAATTTTGTCCCTGCTGCCCTACTAACACACATCCACGAAACATGTCGCAAGCGTATAGCTACTCTGGAGTATCTCCGCAAAGTGTAGGTTGATGTCTATCCACTTCTTTGGACACAAGACACTAATACACTGCAGACATGAAGGTCACATCTACTACTTCAACACCCTCCTCTATACGCCCACCAATCTCAACCAACTTCCGTCCATGCACTACTCCAGGCTCGGCCGCCGTGCTTCGAATTACGTCCTACTCGGCACATCTATACCTCCCCTTCTCGATATGAACGCAGACAATCCGCTCGACTATCTTCGCTCCCTCGCCGCCCTCCTGTCAGAGTACGACACCTACCAACAACTCAATAGTCCTGATGCCTCCATAGGCGCCCGTGGTCGTATGGGTGCAATGTTCAAGAATGGTATGCGTGGTGTCAAAGGTCGCAGATCTAGCAGCGCTGCCATCGAAAATTTGTCCGAGTCTGTCGAAAGTGCCCAGCTAGACTCGTTGCCTCTGCCTCCTATATCCTCTGGAAATCTCCCGGAATTTGCATATCTGCAAACGCCTTCTTTGCCCTTCGACCCAGACTTTCACACCGCTTTTGCAACTCTGGCTGATATTCTGATCGATACTTATTCTGGCGTTGTCCAACTCCTCCCAAACACCGAGTCAGTCGGACCTGGTGTTGGTGAAGCCTTTGGCAAAGCGGACAAGATTCTCCGGAAAGTGCTTGTACAGAATGCTGTACAGGAAATCGGCGACACGACTCGTCGCGAGGTCCGCTCTGAGATTGGAGGACTTGGTCGACTGGTCTTGGGGGGATTGATGTAATGATATTGTCTCCCCTCTCCCTCCATAAGACGGATCTCCAGGACTAATGATCTGGTTATTGTTTTCTTGAGCGATGGCGTGGGGAGATTTTGTTCTCTGGTCCAAGCAGCCACGGCTACTCGACCTTTGGACCTCGTTTTTTTTTGTTATTGTTCTGTTTCTTCTTTTCTTCTCTCTTTATACCCTATTTCTAGCATCATGATACGCATAGACAGACTCTTAGTAATTACCAAGGTACAGAAGCGGTAGTGACGAAATCTCGGTGAGTGTTGTTTTGATGCCTCTCCAGGTTCTGAAGCTCACCGCTACTGCCTGATCAACACATCTATACCCATCTTCTTCACCAACTTCTTATTGTATACTGATATCGTCTGGCTTAATCTACTGCGACTCTTTGCGATTCCAGATCCTACACAAAAAACGGTCCCGAAAGTATAACACCACATCATATTGTCGCAGCAAGCTTCGGTTGCTCCATACTACCACCGCTGGCATTCCTCGAACACGCCAAAAAACGAACAAGGCAACCCTTTCCAACATAAGGACCCTTCTGTATCCCGCTACACCAACAATCGGATTCCTGCATACCATCCAAAGAACAACCGTTTGTTTCCGAATCGAAACAAACACAATCTATTCGAGCATGCCAATCGATATAATACACCCACACATTTCGCACAACGACAATTACTTCATCATAAACCCGGCCATTTATCGCACGAATCTTCTTTCGTTTCTGCATTCGTGCTTGAAACCTTCTGTTTCGCCGGTGTTCACGCCTCCGAAACCTGCTGTACCACTTTACGAGCTTGCACCCTGCTCTCCCACTCTCCCGACTAGTAGCACAGATCAACTTCTTTGCGCATCCGGCCCTGCAGCGCCGAACATAACACTATCGCCTTGTGCAAATGTGTTGGGGGAGGAAGAACAAAAGCAAGATCGACGCTTTCTGAGGATTCCGAGGGTTGGGAGGGTGGTTAGGAGGTGTGAGGGGGGGATGGGGTGTAGATGTGCGAGATGTGGGAGGAAGAGGCGGGAGAGGATTGCGGTGTTGAAGAGGAGGAGGAAGAGGATTTTTGTGGGTAAGAGGGAGAGAGAGGATGAGGGGGAGAGGAGTGAGATTGAGGGGTGATTTTCATGGTGGTCGATGGGGTGGAGGAGATGGATGTGTTGGTTGTCGGGATGCAGAGTGTTTTCTTCGGAAACGGGGAGATACCTGAGGGAATGAGCCATTAGAAGGGGCGCTCGGTCGATGTTTTCGGTCACCTTCCTGACACTCTGCATGGCGACGCACGAGGTCTGCTGCTGATGGGGTGGTGTATGTACGGAACTCGATGATCGTGTGGTGTACATGATATGATGGTCAAGCTGTTCCTGATGGGCTATAGCATCAAGGAGGTGGTTTATGCGGTCTATGATTTTATGATGATTTGTAGTGTGGATATGGATACTGTACTCTTTAATGTCTTTGTTGTACTTCCCATACGTGCCATGGCCGGTCGTGATGCCTACTCTCCTCTCCCTTCACGGGGTCGAGCCTCTCAGTTTCCTTTTGGAAGCCGACTTCTGCTCCGTTGCCACTTATGCATGTTTGATCAATAGTTGTCTCAACGCTCAACACTGTCGCTATCTGGTCATAGTGTTCGTGGCTGTAGTTTAGAGACTTCCCTCACATAATGCTTCCGAGCATGGTTGTTCCCGGCATTTGTGATAGTTGCAAGCATACTGCGCTGTAGTGCCCAGATGTGCATGTTCACACCTTCTTCCGCTTTAGTGTGACTCTGAAGCTTCTAAATGTCAGCCATCGTCCGACCTCAATAACAAGTACAACTCACAAATGTAAATTCTCCCTCGACCACTTTGGTTTATCAGGATCATCTTCGATGGGCTCCACCACAAACATCTTCTTCATGACCTTGACAAAGTTCATGTCTGCTCGTCTTCGTTTCTTGAAGCAGAAATAGCAGACTGTATTCGGTCCGATGAGATCCTTCATGGTTTGTTGTAAAAGAGGAAATGCGGGTTCGAAATAGACACATTCGGCTGCGAGTATGACATCTGGATGTTGTGGTATACCCTCGGGTATAGGACCGCCCCAGTCGTATATTGATGGCTTGACTCTGTCTTGGAGGTTGTTGAGGGCAATGTTTCGTTGCATCAAGGAGAACATGGGTATTTGATCGGTCAGATGTAGGGGTTGATTTAGTCGATATCCCAAGGCGACAGCAAGGCTATCCATGTCGAAACATACTTGTTAGTCGATGGTATTTCCAAGGTGATTCCAAAATTGCTCACCCAACAAGGCCACCTCCAGCTCCCAATTCAACTCTGTAGGATTTGATCAGCATCAGGGTACCATTTTTCTTGGCGATCAAGGGTACAAACATTGTCTTGTCCCTGAACAGATCCCGATCTTGTCTCATCAAATACTTCGCCATCACCATACCAGCAGGCCACAGCATACCACCGCATCCCTTCGTAAGATCCTCTTCCAATCTCAAAGGCGTTTGTAACAGACCCTCGAAATCCACTGTCATGACGCCGATATGTTCCTGCTCGCGCACCGGCACAAGCTCTTCACCAATGTCAAACACGCCATTTCTTTCGTCGTCTGATAATGTCATGATAGTCGTTTTGTGATGTTGGAACAGGTGGTGTGGTGAAGGGATACGTTTGCCGTCGGTGAGTGTGCGAGATGGAAGAGGTGTGGGAAATGGAAAGTTTAAACGAGACGCGGGTTCCAGACCGTTCACCTTTGGGGCTTCTGCACACGACAGCCTCGGGACACGGGCTTTCTGCTTACCAACATCTTCGACTTCAATTCAGCAACATTCCATCACGTCAGGCTCGATGTGACTAGATGGTCTCAAAGAGCCCTCATAACATGGATGTGAGTAACGGGACGAGTCCAAGCAGAGCGGATCCAGTCGCAAGCCCTTCTTGTAATATCCCATCACCTAACCCACAGGTTGGTGCTACTCAGCATATTTCTTGACTTCGCTCTTGGTAGATCGACACCAAGAAGAGTCCAGGTAAGTATGTGTCTCGAGACGCTACCGCTACAATCCTTATGACCTTGATGCTCACATTCATGTTCTCCGTTTGCTCAGATCGATCTAAAGCAATCTTTACAGAACGAAACATACCTTCTGCGGGCTGTCACATCCTCCCACTACAAATATGAGAGCTTCGAAGCTCTTCACAACGCCCTGAATGATACAAGTAAAAGACACTTCTCGGGCTAAGCTCAGGGGTGATGATTCCTTGTCTCTTCGGCCTTTCGTTCAATATGCGTCCTTCAAGGCTTCAGGGGTATGAGCATTCGTTCATTGCCGCTTAATGTTGATATACCACATGAATGAACAGGGAAGTCACGATTGGTCCGGTCACAGTTTCCCTCTTTGCAAATTGCAACTCCCCCATTTGGTTTCTCGGTCGCACCTTCCTTAATTGTTCTCCTGGTCGCACCTTCCTCATCTACATCCTCTGGTCGTGACTTCCTTGTTTAAAAGTTGTGCCTTCCTCTTCTGTAGATTGCTCCTTCTCTTTTCATCTCATCGTTCGTTTCTTCCTCTTCTATACCATCGTTTCTTCTTCTTTTGGTCTATCGTCCCTTCCTCTCTTACAGTCGATGGTTCCTTCCTCTTCTGCCCAATCATTCCTTCCCCAAACAGCTGAAATCGCATCTTTTCTCACCTTTTCGAAAATCCTGAGCATAATCTTGTGCTTGTTCTTTCACTTCATGTCCTCCATTTCCTATAGTCGAAGAACCTTCTTTTCTTTTCTGTTCTACACTCCCCCCCCATCTCCCGATCAAGAAGCAGCAGTTTTTGACATTTGAACTTTGGACTGCTTAAAATGATACGACCTCAAGAATCAAGGGAAGGGAAACTGACCGATTATGCAGATAACCAAAGAGTCAGGGAACAGACGAGGGAAATGGGGAATCCAAGAAGGGTAACATGTTAGAAAGGAAACGATTAGACCAAACTGATAAGTAAGGAAAAAGAGCGAATAGGGCCGCCAGATAAAGAAAAAAAAACGACCGACATCAACGGACGAGGTAGGAGCGATCGTCCGTGACGAGGAAGGGAAAGCACGATCAACATTAACAAGGAAGGAAAGACCGACTAACATCGACGAACTTGGAAGGAGCGATCCTTGTTGACAAAGAGGGAAGGAACGACTGACCCCCTGACAAATGGGGAAAGAGCGACCAACGTTGATAAAGAAGGGAAGGAGCCACTGAGCTGATAGAAGAGGAAGGAAAGATCAAACATGGACAAAGCAAAAGGAACGAGCGGCAGTGGCGACTGAGGAAAGAGCGATCAAACACCCGATGAACGATGAAGGAGCGACGAGGAAAGAGCGACCAGGCTCGAAACGTGAAGAAGGAGCGACCCTGACGACGACAAACAGGAAGGAGTGAGTTAACTGAACGCAAAAGGGAAAAAAAGATGGGATCAAGTACAGATGGGAATAACTAACCTCAATTCGCCGAAAAGACAAGAACGACAAATGTATTAGTGATTGTGTGCCAATATCAAGAAAGCACTCGAACAGGACGAGACGTGAAGACTGAAGCGAGGAGGTGGATGGAGTAAGTTTGCTCGAGTAGAGTGTGTATTTCTTGAAAGACCATGTCGTCTGACCCTCCTTCTCATCTAGACGATCATATCCAATATCATGCTATCAAATCATCAGGCTTTTTTTTCAACCCAGATCATGCTGTTATGCGTTCGTTACAAGTATGGCCGTAACCCAGATGCAAATCTTTTCCCGAAACGCCATGCAAAAATGCTCATATCAATAAAAACAATGAACGAAATGTTTCAGACAGGATCCGTCGTCTACGAGTTGTCGCCACACGAGAAGGCACTGGCGCTACCAGAGTTCTCTGAGATGTCGACAGCACTGCCCCAGACGCCCAAGCCGCAGAGGGCGAGACCGATGAGAGCGATGACGACATTGACTATGGTAAGAGAAATCTTCTTCCAGTTTGCAGTGAGCTGTCTCTTATTCATCATAATCCACCAAGCTGCAGGCAAGATCATGGAGAACCAGGTGCAGAAAAGAGAACCAAGAAGACCGAGAAGCTGGCTGAAGACGGGAATGGCGTTTGCAATGACCCATGCGACAACCCAGAGTATGACGGTGAGACCGTACCAGCTGCCAAGCGAGCGGAAGCTCTTCTCGTTCATGACATTGGTCTTGCGCCAGATACGGACGTAGACATTCTTGGTGGCGACGTGAGCGTAAATGACACCAGCAACAACGATAGTAGGGATGGCGATGCCATATGCGACCTTGCGAACGATGGGGCTGGCGGAGCCAATAGCGGGAGACTTGACATCGGTACCAGCAAAGCGGTAGATGACAACAGCGACAATGATGTAGAGAGAGCAAGTGCAAGTCTGCAACATAGCCAAAGCCTTGGGGAAGTCTCTGGGGGTCTTCATCTCGGAAATGAAACCAAAGTAGGCGATGTTCGAGCAGAAAGAGACCAGGATGTTGGCAACGGCCACGACACCAGTGCGGAATGATGTCTGGCTCGAAGGTGTGACGGCATAAGCGTGTGCGCCAGCGGGAGGATCAACACCAATTCCAATCATGGCGATGAAGATGGCGGTCGCGATGGACAAGCAAGAAGCGATTGACATGAGGGCGACGTTCTTCATAGTTCTAGGAATGCACAGGATCATTGAAACGACCATGCCGACAACGGTAAAGACAATGGTGCAAGTTCCGTGGTTGGTGAGAACGTTCATCATGATGGAGAAGGTCAAGATGTGCGCTGACATGATGAAGACCAAGAGGATAATCTGAGCTGCTTCCGACACTTCCTTTGCCCATCTTCCGAAGAAAAAGAGACCAGCATCGGCAAAGTTGTGAATTCCGGGAAAGGCGATCTTGACTTGGTAAGTAACGTAACCAGTGTATGTGGTAAGGACACCAAAGAAGACGATGAGGATGACACCAGGCACGAAGCCCATGCTGGCCACGACGGCTGGGAGTGAGAGGATACCCAATGAGATGGTCTCAGCAACGAGAAGGAATCCAGCATTGAGCCATGTCAATGTCCTATATTCAGTCTCGCCATTGGCATCGTTCTCGAAAGGATTCACCATCAGGCCCTCTCTCTTGCTGTCCAACGTCATGGTCTCGTCTCCTTCTGGAATCGCGTCCTTCTCTTCTGGTAGCCTCGGCGGCGGCGCTTGTTCCAAGTCTGCATTTGATGACGAACTGACGCTGCCAGCAGTGTAAGCGGCTCTTTTGTCTTCTTCAGACGCCATGTTGGCAATGATTCGGTGGCGAGGTTCGAATTTGGTGTTCGCGACGCGATCGGTCTTTTCGAAGACGAGTGTCAGAGTTGTCTGAAATTTGATGAAGGAAACGAAAATGATAGTGGGAGGAGAAAGTAAGGAAAGATGGGTAGAAGGCGGATGACGAAAGTATAAAAACTAGGTCAGCACCACGATGAGTTCGAATGAGCGAGACGTCAAGCAGCGATCTCGGAACACATAGTCGACCTCTTCGTAAAAGTCTCAGGCTCTGGACCCAATGCGCACGAAACAAGCAGTTTCTATTAGCAAAACATTACCAAAAATTTGCGGGTTAGTCAAGCGTTTGATGGAGATGGTGGTCAAAGCTTCAGATGTAATGCCATCTGATCCAACAGGACTTGGAGCTCTGACGCGGCACAAGGGGCTGGAAGGAGATGAGAAAGGCGGACGCAAGAAAGTGTCGTGAGTAGCCGATGAAAAAGGGAGGTAAACACCTACAGAAATGAATCCTACCTTTGTTGTTGTGGATGTTGGAGAGATAAATTCTGGGATCCGCGTCGTGAGGTGGACCTGAAGTTTGCAGCCGAGTGGCAACGACCAGCATCATCAAAAAAGCAGTAATAGTTCGGCAAAGTTTCGCGAGCTGCTTGGTGTCTTGATAGTCGTCATCGCACTGCTGTCCCTAAAGATTGGTGTTGGCGTGGTCGTTGTTGAAAAGACCAGCCATCTTTGATCGAGTCATGGTTGAACTTCGCATGTCGACTTCAGGGTGCAGGCTTCTCAGCCAAGCTATCCAAGCAAAAGCAGACTCCGATTTCGTCGCGGCAGTCGTTTTCTCGAGGCCAAAAGAAAGACCGAAAATTGAATCATCGCCTGAGGTCGCACGGTCATTGAATGCGACTTGCAAGAATTTGCCGGTCGGCGGTCGGAGTGTTCGGAGAGAGATGGAGGACCACGAATTTGCTGGTAGGGAAGCCGCGACTTCAGGGTCCTGGTCGTTTCGATTTTGCCGAAATGCGGGGTTGGGCGAGCTCGAGCTGGCGCGTAAAGTGCAGAGCTTCCCTCGAGCTTCTTGTGCTGACAACTGCTTGCATACCTGACGACTCGACCAGCAGCGCTTCGCAATCAGCAATAGATCCGGACAATCAGCTTCTCGACATCCGCAAGATCGATTATTTCGCCTTCTCAAACCGCCTTATCTCCTCGTAGACAACTGCTCGCCGCGAAAATGGTCGAACTGCGCAGCTCAAAGCGCAAGGATGCACCTCCTCCAGCCCAGGCACCAGCACCCAAGAAAGAGCGCAAGACAAAAGCGAATGGCAAGTCGGAAACTGCCGCCAAACCTTCTGAGCCAGAGTCGACTGCTGCGCCCGCTCCAGAACCTGCGCCAGAGCCAGAAAGCAAGCCAGCCTCTAGCGGTGCACCCAAGCCCGGAGACAAGATTGATTTTGAAGGCTTCGGCGGTGAGGTAGAGACCAACGATGGCAAGAAGGTCACGCTCAAGTCCTTGGTGGATGAGAGTAAAGAAGGCATTGTGCTCTTCACATACCCCAAGGCGAGCACTCCTGGCTGTAGGTTCCCTTTCTTATGCCTTTTGAAGACATGGCCGCTTTGTAGCCTGGCTCCTATATGTCTCGCATCAATGATTGCTGACATAGTTTCATAAAGGCACTACGCAGGTTTGCCTTTTCAGAGACTCGTATGAACCCTTGACGGCAGCCGGACTCAGCATCTTCGGCTTGAGCACAGATTCGCCCAAGGCCAACACGACTTTCAAAGACAAGCAGAAGCTCCCATACCCTCTACTGTGCGACCCTTCAGCATCGCTCATCGGAGCCATTGGACTGAAGAAGGCGCCCAAAGGTACTACACGCGGAGTCTTTGTTGTCAAGAAAGACGGCGAGGTTCTGGCAGCCGAACCTGGAGGCCCGGCAGCGACGCTTGAAGTGGTCAAAGGTGTTATCGCAAAGATGGGCGGTTCCGGTGTCGGCGAGAAGGCTGAGGCCAGAGCCGCTCAAGCCGAAAAGGAGGAGAGCAAAGATGGCAGCGAGACTGCATCCAAGTTGTAGATGTTGATGAGACACGACATATGCTGTGCACGAATACAAAGGTTGATAAGTTTTCTCAATTGTCCTGGAGTCGAGAAGAATGAATTGGCATTCAGAAGGCGTGCTTTAGGGCGTGACGAGCCTTGTAAGTATGTCCGACCGGACGGCAGCCGGGGGCGGAGACGGCTCGGCTTCCGTGCTTCCAGACTTTTTTGAATTTAGCAATGACAATTGGACGCAACCCTGATGGACAGCAATGCTTCACGAATCGACGACCAAACTCAACTCTGACCATGAGGAAGGTAGATGGGTCTCGGATGCGGGTGGTGAACAAGATTTGAGGTGCGATAGAGATAAGGAAGCGGGATGAGAGTCTTCAATTTGCTGAAGCCAAAATAAGATGCGCGGTGCAGTATACCTCAGGGTAAAGCTGAACAGACACAGCGATTCCAAGCATCCCGATGTGAGTCTTCACACATGTTCAGGACACGCAGACTCGCTTGAAAGGTAGACATTGATGGGAAAGACAATTGATTTACGGACGGCCGCGTCATGATGGAGCAAAAGTTCGGGTGGTCTTGTCGACCCCACCAAACGGTCGCATTCGGACCCTGACTTTGTGTTTGGATGTTGACGGGCTGCAAACAAAGAAAAGCCGTGTCACTCCTATCTCAGCCCAAGAAGAAACAACAGAAAGACGTGGCGCTATCACACCTAGACTGGCGATTGTATCGAAGGTGGCAGGGTGACACGTATGCCATTGACTAGCGAGTGACTTGGTCAGGCTGCGATATTATTGACTCGGCGGGTGGCAGGCGCTGCAAGTGGAGTACGCAAAGGGTTGCCTGCATACGTAACGTGCGCCTTTGCCCATCACCACTCGTACAGACTATTCTTCTGGCCAGAAACACAGACATCTAATCGTCCTCCCTCGAGAGCATAAGCCATCTGTCATCTGTCGTCTGTCAGAAAGGCGGATTGAGTGTTTCAGCATGAGGGCCTTTGCGCGAGGCGCGACTCGACTTCGAAGCACATCGCTGAGTGCCGTTCCACCACCACAACACTCATCCGACTATATCCATGACTACGCAGAGACTGCTGCCTCGATCCTCTATCGCTCTCCGCTACCATCCGAGTCTGGACTCCCCGTATACATTCTCAATGCCGCCGCCTTTCCCGACGCTTTCGAAGTAGACTACGATGCCCTTCTACCCTATGTTCTGGCCAGACTACCCGGAGAGGAAGAGTTGATTGCAGGAGAGGAGTACGAGGTCGTCTTCTTTGCCGGTGGACAACCAGAAAGTGCTACGTTGGAAAAGAAAAATGGCCCGGGTATGGGATGGTACCTGCAGGCATACCACGTGCTCAGCAGGGCGGTTCGCAAAAGACTACAAAAACTCTATGTTGTACACGAGCGCAGCTGGGTGCGCGTGCTCATTGAGGTCTTTGGCACTATAGTCTCGCCAAAGTTCCGCAAGAAGATCGTCCATGTCTCGACCCTGTCGTCTCTGGCTCTGCACATCCCCATCGAGAAGCTGCTCATCCCGCCGAACGTCTACCTCCATGACCGCCGTCTCTCGCCTGACATCCATTCTCCGCATGTCAGCGGTCGTAGAGCTTTCTGCGCCAATGATTCCATGCCGCGCAATCTGTACGGCCAAAGACGTCTACCTCGCGTGCTGAGGGAAACTACCCTCTTCCTCTGTCAAAGTGAAAACATAAAGACCGAGGGTATCTTTCGCATCCCCCCTCAGTCTATTCTCGTTGGTATACTGAAGGAAGCCTATGATCGCGGTCAGCAATTTATCGTCTGGAAGGAGGGCACCGTCTCTTACACCCAACCCGATATGGACCACGACACTCTGAGACACGTTCATCAGTCCGACGCATATGGTGTGCATCTGGCAGCTGGTCTCATCAAGCTTTGGTATCGCGAGTTGAAAACTCCCGTCTTCCACGAGTCCTGTTACGATGAGCTGAGATACAAGTTCGGCAGTCCCGACTGTAGCATCGACTTGGATGACCTGACTGAGATGCTCTCCCCTACCTCTAGTACCTCATGTCTGTCTCAAACAGCAAGGCTGGTATTGATACTCCATCTCCTCCCTCTACTCTCTCTCGTCACGAGCTATTCATCTACCAACAAGATGACGCCCGGCAATCTAGCAATCTGTTTCTCTCCCGCCCTTGTATGTGGCTCGGATCAATTGGCTGATGCGAAAATGACATCCATCGTTCGCCGGGTACTCGAGTCTGCAGTCAAATACTGGCCGAACGGTTTGCGTGATGCTTGTCTGACCGCCCCTGACTCATTTGCTGCTGCACTGAGACCGCCACCAGCTGCTCAAGATTACGAAGACCCCTTAGAGGAGAATTACAGAGATACCTCGCAGGACTCTGAAGAATCCTCACACAGAATTGTCCTCCAGGATGATGAATCTGAAAAACCGCCTCTTCCGCCACGCCCTTCCTCAAAGACAAGACAGCGCGCAGAGTCTACATCGGCATTTCCTGCACGATCTGATAGTCTGGCTTCGCCTGTCAAGCGCAAGCCCGCACCCATAGGTGCTGCCCCTCCTCCATACGCCACATTCCCTAGAACCACCACCAGAGAGCAATCTGCAGGCTTGATAAACTCCATGGACGGTTTCGTTGCTGATATGAAAGCTGCTGTGCCGCACAACGAGTCGCCCCCTAGTGTACCACCAAAGCCAAGTCCACCTCAGCCAGCACCTCCTGCGAAAAACGACCTTATGCAAGAACTGAAGAATTCATTGGCAACAGACATCGTAAAGCGAAAGCCAGTCTCTTCCACAGTATCCCCAGGCTCACCGACAAGCAACAAGCCAGCAAACATACAACCTCAACGCTCAGTCTCCGCCCGCATCCCCTCACCACCAAAGCGCGACGACACCACATTCGTCAAACCAACCTGGGCAGCCTCGTCACGCACAACATCCCGCAACCCATCCCTCTCCGTCCCCACTGCCCCACCCTCTTACGCACCACGACCCAGAACCCCATCCCCAGGCCTTTTGAAAAGAATGGCCTCCATAGAATCTCTGCACAGTACAGCTATTGCTCAAACCCCGGATCCGAATAGAATCGCGCCGGTGGTTGAGAAGATTGGCTTGCGCAAGAGTTCTGTGGATGATCTTAAGAGGATTTATGAGGAGAGGGCTTCTGCTACTATTGGGCTTGCTAGGGCTGCTAGCGGGAGTGGTAGTGGTAATCAGAGGACGTCGAGTGCTGGGTTGAGTAGGAGGACGTCTGATGCTGGTGTTTAGTATATGAAGGTTGGATGATTGAGCAATGCTTATGGATTTGTGTGTCTTTGCGTTTTTTTTTTCCTTTTTCGACTTCATCATTGTATTGCTTTTCCTTGTACTCCTAGAACTTCTTTCTCTTCGCTGCAATTATAGATACCCATTTCTTCGCAGCATACACTTGGGATATGCGAGGGTGATCAATCTTCTGCTGTATGTTCTTACTACATGCTTTCTGTTCCTATGTTCCCTGAATCTCGCATGATTAGGCCTCGTCCTGTGCATACGCGATGCCACGAGCGAGACTTTGATCTGGAGGCTACAAAGTCTCGGCTACTCTGTCAAATATGCTAAGCCCATTGTCGTGGTCCTGAAGCTGTGTACTCGATGACACGATATTCAAGCTTGGGCAGTTGCAATACTTCTTCTGTGAGGTCTTGAATGGTGTCAGGAAACTGGAAGAGGAAAGGTCTTTTCATACCATTCTCCTGCATTTTAAACGCGAAGCGCAAGTGGACTATGCTGCTTTTCAGCTCCATTGAGTAATTGTTAGAGCCTGTGGAAACGGATGTAGATAGTAATTCGATGGCTCTGTAAGTGCAGACCCGAACGCTTGAGTGCTTCAGCTAGCATGGGGCTAGGAGCTTCGGGTTCATGGAAGTGTCAGTCTCCGGCATCTACAACTTCGATGAGTTTCGCACAACTAGTGACGTGCACGGCAATCACAGTGCCGATTGTAGCAGCACCTCTAGGAATTGCGCGGCCCCAGAGAGCCGTACCGCTTGTGCCTTCTAGAGCAGCCACGATAGCACTTCCCGTAGCGCCAGCAGTAGCTCCCATGAGCCAGCATTTCCAGAACGGCTTTGGTGGTAGTGTATCACTGAAAGAAGTGCTCAGATATGTAAAGGTACCGAAGCAGAGGAAGAGCCGTAGTGTTTGTGCTCCCAGGGCAGTTGCAGAGGGAAGTTTCCTAGACTGAACTAAGGAGTGTAGTAGAACTTCATTGAAGCCTCCTGCTGCACCTCCTAGCCCACCTATTAACCAGACAGGCAGATGCAGAGGAGCCAGAAGATGACGTGTCTGATCAAAAGTCCAAAAGCGGATTCCAGCGCGAAGAACTAGTGGAGTCGCTGCGGAGATGGAAGGAAGTTTTGGCAGGAACGCCATCGGCAGACTTGCGAAACCTGCCAAACAGCCTGTGGAAAGGAAACAGAGTTGGCGAATTGGAGATGAGAGACTTGTGGATCCAAGATGGAGTTGTTCTCGCGATAATGTCATGGTCAAACTTTTATACTGCGACGCGATCCAGATCCCAATTGTGCAAATGTTCAAGGTTATACTAATTTCGCAAGAGGCCGAGTTATTGTCCAAAACAGCTCGGTAAAGATAGTGGGCGTGTGCAGCGAAGGACCAGCCTTCAGCTGCGATGCGTTACGAAGAAAAGGTCAAGTTGGATCGAGTGGTGCATGATTAAAGTCCACGCTCGGCGAGATGGGTGACGTCGGAGGGGAAGTGGATACAAATCAGCGTTCACGATTTGGCGGGCGAGTCGCAGATGGACGCCGATCGCGGGCTGGACTTTTTCTGGAGGGATGAGCAATAACGATTCATTGATCGAACACGATTGTTTTGTCGCTTTGTTTTCCTGAATACCAAAAGTCCTGCCATCATGTCGACATTCGGAACACATTTCAAGGTCACCACGTGCGCGATGATCCGTCATTCTACGCTTCTCAAGGTCTCAATACTGACCAGTCTTTCCACAGCTACGGCGAGTCGCACTGCCTCAGTGTCGGATGTATTGTCGATGGAGTGCCGCCAGGCATGGAGCTCACCGAGGCCGACATCCAACCTCAGATGACCAGACGTAGACCGGGACAGAGCGCCATCACAACACCGCGTAATGAGAAGGACAAGGTCGAGATCCAGTCGGGCACCGAGTTTGGCATCACGCTGGGAACGCCCATTGGCATGCGCGTCATGAACGAGAACCAGAGACCCAAGGACTACGGAAACAGCACAATGGACCTGTACCCCCGCCCCAGTCACGCCGACTGGACCTACCTGGAGAAGTACGGTGTCAAAGCCAGCAGTGGAGGTGGCAGAAGCAGTGCTCGCGAGACCATTGGTGAGTTCATACTGTCTTCATCTTCTCTCTCAGGCGCATACTAACACCTCCTCCAGGCCGTGTTGCTGCCGGTGCGATTGCCGAAAAGTACCTCAGACTCGCCCACGGTATCGAGATTGTCGCCTTCACCTCATCCGTCGGTCACGAACAGCTCTACCCTGCCACCGCCGACCACCCCACTCCATCCACAAACCCCGAGTTCCTCAAGCTTATCGACGAGATCACCCGCGAGAAGGTCGACGAGTTCCTCCCCGTCCGCTGCCCTGACGATCAGGCCAACAACCGCATGGCCGACTTGATCGCAAAGTACAAGGAGAAGGAGGACAGCATTGGTGGAAACGTCACCTGTGTCATCCGCAACGTGCCCTCCGGTCTGGGTGAGCCCTGCTTCGACAAGATGGAGGCCATGCTTGCACACGCAATGCTGAGTATTCCTGCCACAAAGGGCTTCGAGATTGGTTCTGGTTTCGGCGGTACAAAGGTTCCTGGAAGCATCCACAACGACCCCTTCATCGTTGCCCCTGCACCCAAGGGCTCGGCTGCTGCTTCAGGTGCTGCTAAGGCTGGTATTCCTCGTCCTCGTCTGACCACAAAGACAAACAACTCTGGTGGTATCCAGGGCGGTATCACCAACGGTGCTCACATCTACTTCTCCGTTGGCTTCAAGCCTGCTGCTACCATCGGCCAGTCGCAGTCTACTGCCACCTACAACGAGACCGAGGGTGTTCTCGAGGCAAAGGGTCGCCACGACCCCTGCGTCGTCCCTCGCGCCATTCCCATTGTTGAGGCTATGGCTGCTCTCGTCATCATGGACGCTCTGATGGCACAGAATGCCCGCCAGGCCACTCGCTCCCTGCTGCCTCCTCTTCCCAACGTCATCTCCGTACAAGCCGCCCACAAGGCCGACCAGGAGGCCAGACAAGAGCAGCAGACCATCAACGTCGAGACCAAGAACTAAAACTCTCCTATCGACTGGCCATTTGATCGCGAAAATATATGGTGTACGGCGTACCGAAAATATCTAGATGCCTTTGGAATCAAATAGGAGAAAAAGGCTTGCTGCAAATGTTTATTTTGATTGTTTTCTTGTATCACCTCAATATATCCCAATCTCGCGCTTTGTACATCTCGTCTTTCTCTGCCACTTTACCCCTTGAATAGATATCCCGAGCAACACAAGTGTCTAGAGCTGAACAAAAGAGTTGCTAGAAAATGCCGAAAACAATGCTAGCTTCGGCAATTCTTCATGTTCAGCTTGGCAAACTCTAGACGCCATCGAGTTTCAGCCTCACGACGTCTTTCTTATATTTCTTAGCGTTACAGAATAACGCGGGCCTTTTTCATCTCGTTTAGAGCTGTTCGGTCGTAATCAGCTGTCAAATGTCTTTCTACTCTAGGTGGTCTCGGCCCTTGATACGCAGATTGACGGACGGCAAGTACAGGGATGAGCAATGGTATATGGGGAAGGTGCTTTGTCGTACATCGTTCCGCTACAGGGCCGCGGCGGCATGGGCTGCTAGTATCATCTGCCGTGTAGACTCCTCGCATAGTGGAGCGAGAGGTAGGTGCTAGTAAGTTCTTGCAATCGCTTTTCCTTCGAGCTCTCGAAGACTTTGAACGTCGCGGCTTGCTTTGGAGTACAGACGTCAAGTACGAACACACTGAGTAGGAGCGGTGTGCTGCTGAACTTGGCTTTTGCTTTCCATCTTCGTTCTTGTATCGATATTGTCTTCCGTCTGCACTTCTGCCTTGGTTTTGACTGATTGCCACTGGATTTCACCACCACATCTCTTCGACCCCGCCATCTACAATCACAGGCTTCATCTCTCCTCAGATGTCCTTCTCACCAGACATATTCACTCGAGATACCACTCGACCAGCTCATTGCACAAAAGACACATGTCCAGCCTCTTACTCCATCTACGGCTACGCACCCAATCTAGGTGCCAATGCATTCTTCGTCGCTCTTTTCGCAATCAGTTGCCTGGTCTTTTGCTACCAAGCTCGTCTCTACCGCACATGGCTCGGTTTCTCCATTGCCATGATCCTAGGCACTTCTCTTGAGAGTATCGGTATGTCTCATTCCACATCTCGACGAAAGAGTGGACTCTGCAAGAAGTAAAATAGTATGGGTAACACGTGATCAACAGGCTATGCATCTCGTCTAATACTGTCAAACGATCCCTTCTCTCCAACAGGCTTCAAACTAAACATTGTTCTCTTGACCTTTGCCCCGGCTTTTTTGACCGCTGGAATCTACCTCTTGCTCAAACAACTCACGATATCCCTTGCACCCGCACTGTCACCACTGAAACCTTCGCTGTATACGCCAATATTCGTCTCTTGCGACATCATCGCCATCCTCCTCCAAGGAACCGGTGGCGCCATCTCCGCCGCTGCAGCCAACGGCACAAGCAAAAACCTACTAGATCTGGGCGTCAATGTCATGATTGCAGGATTGAGCAGTCAAGTCATCACATTAGCCATTTTCGCCCTCCTAGCAGCGGTTTTCTTCGTCAGAGTTGCTCAAAACGAGGTAATGCTGTCACCTTCTGCTAACCATATATGGCAAGATGGAGGGTTTCGATGCTTTATGCTATCTGCAGTGGCAGCTTTCCTATTCGTCTTTGTTCGTTGTGCGTACAGGATTGCGGAACTCAAGGATGGATGGGGTTCGGCTATCATGAGAAGGGAAGACGAATTCATCATTTTGGATTCTGTGTATGTTTTGCTTCCTTTTTATTTTACCTACCCCCTTCTTTCTCGTTGTTTGTTTTTTTAATACTGACAAGAAGATTAGCATGATTTCTGTGGCTGCAGTCTTGCTTAACATCTTTCATCCTGGTAGATGCTTTGAGACGAGTTTGAAGGAGACTTCGATGGATCTTTCGAGGCTTGAGAGGAAAGAGGAGGATGAAGAGAATTTGACGGTGTTTGTTCAGTCAAAGGCACATACTTAGACAAGGTGTGGACGATAGACCTGAATGAGAAAGTCACTGTACAGATCTATGCTGAGTTGTTCCGTCACAGAAGCATAACAAGGAATTGCCGGATCAAGACAGGTTTCATCTACAGTACACTGATTTGGAAAGGGATACATCAAGACGGCATGGTTTTGCCGCGTATCGGCCCAAATTATTTCCATTATGTACAGGTACCAGAATCTCGTAGCTTATCTCTTCTCTCATATCGTGAAATGGTTTGATAACCCACATAATCTGTTCTTCGCTGAAACGCCGCTTTGCAAGAAACTCAAGATTCTACTATACATACAAGTCTCTGTCGGGTATGTCCCACCCTCGCATTACCCCTGACCACCATTCGAAGACAGGAAGAAGTCCAGATCGCTAGGTCCACCGTGACCGGTTTGTTCATTCTCTGCCAATTGCTCCAACAAGCTCATGAATGGATCTTTATCTCCTTCTGTATTTACACTTCCGTTCGCAGACATTCCTCCTGGCGTTTGTTGATCAAACATTGCGGCATGATTTTGCCCTGGTATACTGAACAAGTTGTCAAATTGTGCGGCGTTGAGATTAGGGTCGGAGGGTAGAGAGAGATGAGATTGCCACGGCGAGAAGGAAAAGGAGGGAGAAAGCGGATTCTGTGAAAACGTCTGGTTTTCATCCACGATTGTGGAGTGTGGCAGGTGATTAGTTGTTGGCGATGTTAACGGGTTTGCAAAGTCCAATTGCGGTGAAAGAGGATTGAGGGCCGGATCGTTGATGACTGCCGAGAGATCCGAAGGACTCGTGGCATCATTTGTGCGACGACGTTTGCGACTTGACGTAGAAACATGACGGTCGTTGTTCATGTTGTTGTGAGATTTAGTCGTCGCTGTGGCAGAAGCGGAGATAGAAGTGCCATTCTGAGGCTGAGGCCATTGCCAATTGGTGTCATTACTGTTGTTGAAAGCATTATATGCTGGTAAGCTTTCGTGCAGAGCTTCCACAGTAATGTCCGTAAACGTGATGTGTGCTCCGTCAATGAACTGTCCAGGATAGCGATCGAAGAAATCCTCCATCTGGAACACGGGCGAGAAGCGCATAGGATTGGTAGCAAGCGACTTCACTAGCTGAGAATGGCAGCCATATACTGTCTGTAACGTCTCTCGTTGATGTTGAACTCCAGCCCAGACAACACGCATTTCAGACAGTTGAGACATCTCTTTTGAAAGAAACTCAGCACTTCGGGTGAAAACATCGCCCTCTCGGCTGGGATAATGTGCGCCATGTACATGGATGGTGCCAGCAGTGCAAAGACAGTAACCAACATAGGCGGGCCAATCAGTGATAGACGAATGTTTGCCGATTTCTGTCAATTCTGAAATGGCATTCGCGTGCAAGAAACAGAGATTTGTCGCTTCGATCTGCCAAGATTGGTGCTGTCCAGTTCCAGAAAGCTCGGTCAGGTCGATGGGTAGGAAAGGTCGATAAATCAAACAATGTATCAGATGATACACTAGCTTGCTCAATACTAGAGTTTGACTCTCTGTCTGGCCGAACAGTGTTTCGATTGAGAGGAAAGCATCTTGTGCTCCGGCAGCCCATGTATCGAGATCTTGTCGAATCTTGGAAAGATTGGACTGAGCATGCCAGGGGAAGTGTGAGTCGCCTTTGACGCCGCCTGCAGCAAGGTAGCGATTTGTGATGCCTAGTATTCTCGATATTTCGATCAACATTGATCCACCACTCTGTTGCAGTCTTCCCGGTCCGGAAGACATGGGTAGATTTATCCCGTTGGAGAAAAAATTACCCTCATATGGTATCGAGGTGGAATCGGATTGCCAACCAGGTAGCCGTAGAAATATGGCTTCATCCGCGATAAGAGAGGGTCGCTTGGATCCAGAGGCGAGGAAGCGATCCATTACATAGCAGGTCCAGAAAAGTTTGCGACGTCCCTCTCGCTCGTTGGGTGATATGCGGAGACCGGCTGGTAGTTCTCGATGCAAGCTTAGCGCATATGCCATACTGATAGCACTAGCTTTGAGATATGTCAGCAAGTTAGGCTCTTGTACCATCACTGCAGAAGTCCTCACTCAAAAGCATATACGACTTTTTGCCCTTGCCGGCTTGGAAGAAAGCATTGGAGAGCAGCAACAACACTTGGACATTCTCAATAGTCGGATCGTCAATGTCGGTCAGATTTCGCGCTCGTACCGCGCATTCCTCGCTATGACGAACGGCAGCATTGTGGCCACCAAGATGCTGTGGGGAAAACCTGGAAATTGTCAGATTGAGTGTTGGGACCACTGCCTGTAGTGGAAATCAATGACGCACCGAGCAGTCACGGCATGGATGGCATTGATGACGCTTGGGGGCAACTGTCCGGTCTGCCATCTTTGACGAGTTGCAGCTTCGTCAAGGATATAGTACGGCTTGCTATGGATCCGTGTAAAGTATGCGTCGAGCAGAGTGTTGTTCTGAAGGGCAGACGGCGCTTGTTGGCTAATTTAAACTCAGCATGATTTCAACAAACAGGAAGTCACGGCTGTCCTCACCGCACAAATTGTTCTGGGAAGCCTATGCTAGGATGGCGCTGTGGGGCTTGCGGTCGCTGCTGCTGCGCTGGCCGTGGTTCGGCTGGCTGTGGAAGAGCATCTGGTGGAGTAAGAGCATTCTTTGAAGGCTTGTTGTCCACCGCATCTCTCACGCTTTCCGCAATTATCGCTGTGTCTTGTGCGCCGTCGTCGTCCGGCTCTTTCCCTTCATCTTTCAACCTCTTCTCCAATCCGTTCACGCGTTTCAGAAGTGCTTCGAGTACGTCGGTTTTGGGGCCTCTTTTTTTCGGTACCGCGTCTGTATGCCAGCGAATGTCAGTCCGGAAAAACACCCATGCAAGAGAATAGGGTCCGTACCATAGATGCAGTCACAGTTGAAGACTTGGCAAGCTTCACAAGAAGGTCGCAGACGGTTACACTTGATCTTGGCCGAGTCTAAGTCTTTTGCGCGTACATGACTTCATCGACCCATACACACCTTTCTCTTGCGACAACTTTTGCAGTTCATGGCTTCCTTCGGTTCATGGCTAGAGCGTCGCACTGGAAGGCGGTCTATACCGATCTGTGGCCGAGACATTGTAGCGATCCAACGACACAATGACGACCGGCTCAGCTCCAACCAGATAATGGATGAGGGTACCGCATGCCAGCACTCTTTCGAGTGACTATATTTGAGGTGAGATGGTGAAAGGGCGAGACGGGTACGCCCACGATGTCTCTTTGCGCCAGAAGAAATACAAACGACCGCAGATGTTGGAATAGGTAGGTAAGTGACTCGGTATGCAATCGAGAAGGTTCATGGGCGCTGTGACTCCCGGATCTCGAGCTCCAACTTCTAGCCCCAGGGTCACGCCCCGTAGTCGCGAAGTCCATGTTTAGAGCGGGGAACGCTGCATGAGAACGGCGCCGCTCCTGGATCGGTACATTGGATTGATCATTGAACATCACCCACGAGGCCAGCCTCGTGTCCGCCTACTGCTTCTATCAAACACTGTTCTTCCACAGTCTCTTTGCATACTGCACGCCCTCATTCATTCGCTCGAGTCCGCATGTCTGATGCATACACATCCCCAGACTCGGCTGGAATCTTGTTCAAAGATCGGTGTTCAAGCAGCCGAGATGACCGCCTCCGCACACGAGCTTCGGGCCCACTTGTTCCATCACTCGAGCCCTAACGCCTCGGTTAATTACTTGCTTTGGGCCCAGCGTCTCAATATGCAGAAGCCCTCGCTGCCGTCCTATCCATGACCACAGAGATTACTAGGATTTTTCACATGGTTGCGAAGATGGCGTGTTCGCAGCTGGGATAACTATGCAAAGAAGAATGCCCATGAGAAAGAGGTCATATGAGAGTAGTTCAGAATTACGAGCATCCTTGCATGTCTTCCGAGATGGTGCTCTGCATTGGGAGCGGACCCTGTTGGTCCGGAGGTGTATGGCTACCTAAATAAGGGAAAGAACGCAAAAGAAACAAGAAATGTGACAAGCCCAGGTTATAGACCTCGTACCGGAACGCCTAGCAATATGCAATCATCAAATCCTTCAGTAGATGCTTCGTCCAGCTGCCAACCGCACAAAGTCGTAGGGAACATTCTGTCCTACCAGAAGCCTCAGTGTTTCGACTGTCGTCCACGCATTGACGTCGGCGATGCCGTAAGCGGTCCAGCCCTGTGCTGCTGCGAGCGCGACCGGATCGCCTTTTCGAGGTCCGTTGCTCAGGTCTAGGAAGACCTTTGCTGCCCTACGCTGTTCATGCTTGTGGCTGCCGTAGTGTTTCAGTAGAGGTGAAACCAAAAGCGATTTGTCCGCTCTGAGTGCCGAGATGATGACCGATGGCTGCTCAACCTTTTTGACGTCCTCCAGACCTCTGAAGGGGGTGACAAAGCCAGAAAGCGGTCCTTGGACCTTGAAACCAATAGTGTAGATAGGTCCGATGTTCAGACTACGGAGAGCAAATATCGCTGCTGCTGCCTGAGATTCTTGACTGGCGAGCAATAGCGCAGCCTGTCCACTATATGCCGAGGGAACAAAATCTCGGCAAAGAGTAGCTCTGATTCCCTTCCACGTCGCATTGTCACCGACAAGACTTGACTTATTGCCATCTGAGCGAGCGACTACAGTATCGATCTGGCCAATGGAGGCGGCTGCATCCGAAATCGAGGGTAGGCAGGGAGCCGATGCGGCGATTGGAGGATTGATGAAAGCACCTCCAAAATGAGGTATCTTGACCACGGTGGAGAGGCCATCTTGTGAGCTTTGTTCAACGCACACAAGCTGGTGTGGTAAGCTCAATTCATTGATACACTTTTCGAAGAACATGGCTTGCCCAGTAGCACGCATGCCACCAAAACAGTACATGTCAAGTTTGGGCATTTGACCCATTGAGTGAAGTGCAGAATTGATCTCTGCAGCACTGAGTTGTCCTGGTGCGGCGATGATAGGTAGAAGAGGATGCGTGATAGGCGTAAAGATCTTGTTCAAGGCTCGCGAAAGTTGTCCCATAGGTCCCATATTCAGTCCGGAAAATGGGGGGTAGGGATAGGTGCTCTGGATTATAGACCGGAAGTACTCGAGCTCGTAATTCTCTTGCATGGTGCTGACAAGAGCAATCATCTTGACAACGTCTCCATAGATAGCTCCTTGCTCAAACAACTTCTGAGCATCAGGCGAAGTCCACTTGAAAGTGCCGGAGAAGTCGTGGAAGGCGGAGATGATCTTGCTATTCCCCTTTTGTGAAGCGAGTTTACGCCGTATCTCTTCTGGCAGCCAAAGCTCAACATCGATATATTCACAGCCCCACTGTACAGCGCGATACAAGTAGTCGTAGAACAACTTGGGGTCATCCATGGGGAAGCGTCCGTTCTCTTTCGTACAGCGAGTTGTGAATATGATTGGCAATTCTGTTCGTTGCCGCAAAGTCATGAGCTGCTCGCCGACATACTGCAGGCTTGGAACATCGCTGAAAGAGCCGTCAGGCTTCGTCTCCTTGAGTAAATCGACACGAATCTCTATGGCGTCTGCGCCGACAGAGAGTATATCAAGATTGGGCAGGGCAGCATGGACATCTGGGAAGGTGGTAGAGATCAATGTCGTTTTCGCCTTCTTAGCCAGGTCCTTGTGAGGGTTGATCTGCCCCAGGATGAAGGACAGAAATCTGGCCAGGTCCCTTCTAAGAAAGGGCTTGGTTGTGTACAAGTATTCGTAATCGCAGACAGAGGAGCGAGAACCGACTGCAGGGTTGGCGTCGTCCAGACAGTGAGTAGCTAGAACGGTGCTGGAACCGCGCCACCTTTGCAGCTGAGATATGTCATGGGCCTCGGAGAGTCCGATGACAGTACCATCCATGGGTGCAAACTCCTTTTCTTCGGGAGTGATCAGACGCCACTGTTGACCGAGCACACCGGCTATCTCTGCAACAATGTGCTCTTGATCTCTTTCATATAATACCAGGACACTTGGATCTTCGTGACCGCGGATCTCCTCGACAGCGACGATAGGCCGGGGTTTCGTGTAGGACATGGTCGACGTCTCGACCTGGACTCTGGTAGCCATGGTAGGCCCTGTTGTTCGAGCCCGTTTCTTGATTGCAGTTGGCTAGAAAGGGCGAAGGGGTAGGACGATATGAGAGCAGGTCAAGCTTGAGGGACGCAGACGCGCATGCGAAAGACGATTGAAAGACGGTATCAGAGGATGGAGCGGCAGCACTAGGTCGCTTCCCATGTCTTCGCGCAGCCAAGTATGCGTAGGAGCAGTCGAGAGGACGGAAGATTAACGGAGAGAATCGCGATATCGAGTGGGAGCGGCCAGACAAGGATAGGCGTCCGTCATGCACGGCAAGTCTGACCTCAAGCGGTCGTTGCAGAAGATGTTTCCGTCGACATGGCCGCCAGACCGTCTCGAGCTCCATCCCGCAATGTGACTTTGTTACCCCTCGGCCTTACGACTTTCGAAAAACGTTCCCCAGTTTCCACCGGATTGAGCCCCCACAGTTTTTGCGCCAATCATACGCAATCTCGCATTTACACGGTTCCGTCTCTCACCTCTTTATCCATCATGTACCAAATACCAAGCCTGTAGCATCTCATCACACACTCTTATATGCGATCGTTACCCGGTCGTACCTCATACCCCTACGGTCGAGTTCGGCCGACGTATAAAGTGGCAGTATCCTTCTTTGATCGAGTTGGTGGATTCCATTTCGGAACTGCGCTTCTCTTTGCGGATCTTCCAACCCTCTTCCATTTAGCCAACAGCCGGGGCGACCTTTGTCGATGCCGAGAAAGATGGTAGTGCGGAGCGCGCACCGGAATTAGAACATCCGTCTATTTCACCACATGTTGCCTTTGCGGACACCAGTCGTCGTCAGCGAGATCATGCGAATAGCCAACGCCGAGATGGAAAATTCGTGGACGTTGCGACCGGATGCTCTTGGTAGTATTGATTGTACACTGCCAAGTGTCGCTCAAGGTCAGCATTTCACCGCCTGCGAGCACAGCCTCATTACTCCGGACACGACATCCACCACACGCACCAGTGCATCCATATCTGCTGCGTCTTATCATAAACACATGCACACCTCTGTCTCATATTCAGCCCATAACGCAAGAATAATCATCCACGAATCTTCTCCCACCATAGCGGTGCATGGTGATCAGCGAAGATCAAGCAAGATAAGTGCTTCTTTTCCCTCCTTCCTAGATTACTGGAAAACAGTCGCCAGTTGTCCTAGAGAGGAGTCGGTCACTCACATGATGCGTGATAGCTCATTGACGTAGGCAGTTCAGCGTTTGAGTGGCGACCTCCCTGACCTCGTTGTGAAATGGTCGGGACTGCTTCATGTCATTATCAAATTGAGAATTTTCGATTCGTCCGTTGCCAGCTTAGGTAATAACAAGATCTGGACTTGTTCGCACGTCATCCGTGACATGTGTATTGTCAATCACGAGAACGACTTGGACAAGATCCAGGCGTGCAGGCGGCGTTGGCCTAGGGATGCGTCAATCACCACTCACCATGTCGCCAGCAGGATTCTTCTATTTGTTCTCGACCTAGGTGGACTGTAGCTGGGGTGATTTGAGGCAGTCAATTCTGACTCTGTCTCATGTCGCCTAGGGTCTGTGACCGCGGTTACATCGCAGGATAGCGCCACACCAGATAATTAGAAGACATCGTGGACATCCCTACCACCAGAAGTCGCGCAGGGATCTCTCTGAATACATGATCCAGCAATCGAGGAAGTACCAAGGGCGTTGGGATGGCTAAACGAATGCTGAATAAGTGAGCACGTTTACTCAAACTTCCTTATATTAAAGAGGAAGTGACCGCCCTCAAACCCATGACATCGATCAGGTTCTAGTTACCACCTACGGGCATACGACTTTGTCCCCATGGCGAAGATCCGGACACCTAATTTCCAAGCAGATCGATCATTTTCATGCGCAACACCGTCAGTCATGTTCGCCGAGATTGTGCTGGAATCTGGAGTACCATGGATCCACTGGGCGAAACAAGGACGGGAAAGGTCAATGTGGCCACGAGTTGTTGAGAGAAATGGCAAATTGCGGTCTGGAGAGGAGGATTTCGACAGCTCACGTTGCTGCGAGGCTCTGTTGGTGGTCCGAGGGGTCTGGGTTCGGCAATGGGGAGCGTTCTGCGTACAGGACTAGTTGCAGAGCCGTTGCATCTTTGTCTGACATGCAAAAAGATGACCGACATAACACAAACACGATAGCTGCATGCCGTGACGCCTCGTATCGGCATCTTGAGGCCTTCTTTGTTCGCAATCGCTGTGAGACCAGGGCAATGGACCATCACGCCGAGTCATGTTTGGATGACGACTCATAATTGGCTGCCAATGCGAATAGTGTCAATGTGCCACACACCGGGATCAGACAGCCGAAATCATCAGATCGGCGCAGAAAGGCCGGACAAGAAATTTTGTTGTTGGTTGGGGGCAAGCCAGCCAAGGAGCGCCAAAGGAAATGAGATGGAGCATCAATCTTCAGCCATGCGAAAGAAGCGGAGAACGAAAAAGCGCAACAGCGTCGGACGTTGGTCTGTTTTGATGTTGACAATTCCAAGTGTTCCTCGAGAGGAAGAAAATAGGGGGCATCGCAACATAACAACCCTAAGTCGGAGGATATACACTCTTCGAAACTGAACGGCGGTCGCAGTGTAGCGCAAATAAGCCGGGCAAAAGGGTCTACAGAAGTTTGCCCACGATGCACGCTGTCAGGTACCCGTTCAGGAACAAGCGATAGGGGGAAGGCGCTAAGCGGAGATCGCCACGCTAAATGGTCCGTCCAACAACGGCCTGATTCGATGAAACGCACCCTTGGCCACAGACTGCGTCCTGCACTACACCCGTAGATTGAATGTGATTATGGTTTTCCTGCAGGGTATGATAGATTGTAAGTCAAGCAATGGTGCCTTGGTGCGTGCCACACGGGGCATTCTGAATCGCCTTTTCTCAAGACGCTTCCCCGTCGCTTCTCCTACTTCTCCCTCACCTTCAAGACTACTCAGCGTTTCTCGTCCGGTCCTCTCGTCTCCTTTAGACACCACACTCTTTTTCAGAACCAGTCACTCTTTGATTACTTGCTTTGAGCGCGGAATTGATTTCTTGCCTCCACATTCTCTCCACCACAGCATCTAAAGTACTACCACGAGTTCTCACGACTTCGACGTTGCAATCGCATCCTAAACGGTCATACCTACTCTAAGACATAACCATCATCATGCACTTCAGCTCTTCCCTCATGGCCGCTGCCTTGGCAGTCGGCGCAAACGCACAGTACAAGCGTCAGGACTATGGCAACTTCAACCAGACCTCGACTGCTCCTGCTTTCAGCTACGCTCCTTTGTCTAGCTCTTCGGTCGTCGCTCCTGTCAACACTGCTGGCTCCTCTGCTGTCGCTCCCGTTGCCCCCCTCTCGACTGGTGTTGAGGCTTCCTCGGTCGCCATCCCTCTCTCCACCGGTGCCTACGAGAGCTCTGCTGCTGCTGTTGAGACCAGCGCTGCTGCTTCCAGCACTATCGTTGCTCCCTTGAGCACTGGCGTCTCTGCTTACCCTAGCATCAACACCAATGCTGCCTTCGGCACTGGTGCTTACGGCTCTGGTGCTGCCGGATCTGGCGTGACTTCTGCTCCTTCTGCCGGCGCCACTGGCTACGAGACCACCACCGCTTACACCACGTTCACCACTGATGTAACTCTCACTTACACCATTGGTACTGGCTCGACCAAGTCTGTCATCACCACGACCATCCACAAGACTTCCACCGCCTACCAGACCCAGACCGTCTACGCTGCTCCTGCCGCCTCCTCTGGCGCAGCTGCTTCTGGCTCCGACGAGTCTGATTCCACCTCGACCACCACTCTGTCGACCACCAGCACCACCACTAACACCGTTACTGTTTCACCTACTTCCACTGGCTCTTATCTGAGCTTCTGGGGCGAGAAGGCCGCTGTTACTGGATCCGGCTCAAGCTACGGTGCTCCCGGCACTGGCGCCAGCGCTACCGATTCTGGCTGCGCTGCTGCATCCACGGTCACCGTCACTGCCAACGAGACTGTCTACGTCACCGTCGATACCGCCATGAGCACTATCGCCCAGAGCACCGCCACTAGTGCAAGCGTTGTCCCCAAGCAGAGCAGCGCCGCCCCTTACTACCCCACCACCTCTGGAGCTGCTAGCTCTTCCAGCTGCGCTTCCACCGGCTTCATCACCATCCACAAGCCTTCGGGCGCCTCTGGTGCCGCCTACCCTACCGCTTACTAGATACCTAGCAAATGTTCGCTCTTGCGAGCTGTAACGACCCCAATCCGGCATTGATGAACCCCCTCCAACCTCCAAAAACCACTCGCGTGTATTCGTGCACCACCTGCTGGCTGTTAACTTGAGATATCACCATCTCAATCAGCACTTCCTTCAGGCTATCTATTGTCTATCTTATCGCATTTGATTTTACATCTTCGTTCCCACCCTGAGGGTTTAGCATCGCGATCTATAAAGGGCTGGGCTCTTTTACTGTTGATTGTTTCCCTGCTTATACCCTTCTAAATTCGTCTGAATTCAACATACCGCTCACGCAGTTTGGCGTCTTCACGAACACATTGTCCTTTTCTTGTTGATATCAGTCGATATTTGTTCGCTCTCCTTTGTATATCTAGTTTCCTTTGTTCTTGAAGACAGAAGAGGAGGAATTTTGTAGGAGCGACAGGCGCTTTTCCAGGGGTCTTTTGTTCTCCATTCTTCTCCATTCTGTTCTAGAGCAAAGGACGTATATACAATCAAAGGAAGAAAATCTCTCTGTTGTTATCAACACACTCTTGTCTACACTTCGTCCATCGCGTCTATTTCCACTCCACGCTTGTCGCATGTCAATTAAATATTTTGGCAGAGCAGGGCAGATTCATCTAGCTGTTTCACCAGCAGTGCACTCCATCTGCTCCAGACAATCATAATCTTGCAACGACCAGAACCTTCCCCTCGACCCAGTTTCATGTCTAGACTCTAGATAGGCAACAAATCGATTATAAGATTTGCCGGCATTGCCGAAGCGTTTGTTGTTGTCGTTGTAGTCGCAATCATCGCGATTGTGCTACCGGCTATAACGGCTTTCGGGTTTCCCCTATACCACGTTGGAGCTTGTGAGGATGACGAACGCATACGTTTCTCTCTTTGCGCGATTTAGTCTATTCTTGCCTCCTTATGACGAGTAGGGAGTAAGTTACTGTTGCACTATATCAATGGCTGGATCGTGTGTCGTTCGAGATGGACTCTCGGATGTTGATTGCCGGGAATGCTGCCAGGGCCACCCTGGTCATAATTTACGACACAACTCATCACTGCTTGTGACCATCAATAATAGTTACTCTGTATTACCCCCGACAGTAGAGGTATTACGGACATGATACATATCATATGTGAGATATACCATCAATGCAGAGACGTTGATTCGAATTCTTATTTTTTAAGCTGGCTCGGTAACTTCGAGCTTGGAGTTACATACTCTGGCTCGGTAGAATGAGTTGCTGAACGTGAACTGCCTTCCAGTTCTCCTGCCCTTCCTTGACCTCAGCCTTCCTGGGCGCGTCCCTCTTCGCCCAACTCATTATATCCTTCGCATGCTGCAACTTACCTGCCCAAGTCAGGCAGCTCCACTGTGACTCCTCTTCCCACGCGGGAAGTATGTCACCGTCATGATTGACAGTCATGCTACCTCTAGTACCACATGTAGTGCATCCAATAGCGTTTTTGCCGTGCTCAGGTAGAAGTTCGATCTTTGCAAGATGGCAGTGTGGGCATGCACCATCCTCTTTATCGCCGAGGTACTGCGCATCATCATACGCTTTGCCAATCTCACTGGCAAGATTCTTTCCCATACGTTGTGCTCGAGAGATCAGATCGTCGTGCAAGCATACCGCCCCAGAGGTTCCCAAATCCTGACCAATGAATTGATCAACGATACGGGCATGCAGAGCATAAAACAAGAGATGCAAGCTCGGCAGGACCATGGTGAACTGATCGGGCGTGGAAGATCCTCCTACTGCAATGAATGCAAGTACTCGTGGCTTTGAGAGTCTTGGATCGAGTTTGTCTGGGTTGAATGTCTTGCCGAAAGTGACATCCAGAGCAGGTCCGCCGATTCTGTCCATGAGCAGCTTCAAGGTTCCCAGTGGCTGATGGCTGTACGTGGGAGTGGATACTAATATGGCATCTGCATCGAGTATAGCTTCGCGGACAGCAGCCCGGTCATCTGGTGCATTGTTGGAAGCTACATTGAGTTTCGAAGCAAGATCGAAGCCAACAGGACTATCCAGTGGTACTGGATTTGTCGGTATCGAAATGGAGGGAACGTGTATCCATGATGTCGTTATAGTAGAGTCAGATTCCGTTGCTGCTGTCAATGCAGCCTTCAGCAAGATCTCCGAATTGCCTGATGGCGTTCCGTTTGCAAGACCAAGGATATGCATATTGTATCAATGTTGTCACAATGCCATTGACCAGCTGTCAGAGTATATGTAATAATGCTCTTTGAGGGGTCAATCGTTTAGCTCGGATAAGTGACCGAGCCCTAAGTTAGGGCTTCGGGATGTGGAGGACCGGCAATGGTGACGGCTAGGAAACAGCGACCCTGTCCACGCCTGCCCCAACAATTGGCTTTTGGCACTCGTCATGAGCGTCACCGAGAGGCTTTGTAGCGACATCGTTGAACGCGTCCGAATCTCGATGATACAATCCATTTGGCCGAGCTCTGATATGCACACTGCACTCAAGATCTGAGGACGATTCACGCGCCGCCGGCGGTGGTGGTAGGCACATGTCCATGCGCAAGTCAGCGCAGCCATGGGCTACTCAAACCAGCACAACACGACTGATTTAGGGATATGTTCAAGACGCGTCGCTCAAGCAGCAGCGCAGTCCTTCCAGGCTGTATCCCGGTGGTGAGTCCCACACGAGCCGCCTTGTGAGTTGACCCAACCTTGTGCAGGTCTCTTTGAGATATTATCAAAGCAGTTGATCAACCAGCAGCTTGCAGCGCTGCATGTTCAGCTCTAAGAGACAGATTTGCTTTGGCAGAATGTTCTAAACTGGGTTACGTATCCGTCTTCGATCGTTAGTACTGTGATTTGAGATACTTCATATGCATGGATGGCTTGCAGACCATGCATCCTCGTTGCGAAATCTACGCTCATCCGAGACACACCAAGCTCCTCGGAGGTCTTTGTGTTCCCTGCACGATGCAGCATCGCCAAAGTCGGTAAGGTTGCTGGATACTCGAGGTTATCGACCGTCACCTGCCAGAACCATTGGCCTCCGAGTATCGTCACAAGGAAGAAGTAAGGCCAGACCATGGCATACTGCAAGTAAAAAGAAGCATACACTTGCCGAAGTTTCGCCAGGATTGCAAGAACGCGCTCCCTTGCTTAGCCACATCCACCTGAAGAGCTCCAGTCTCAGTTCAACAAAACGACCTTTCCAGAAAGACGTCTCTTCTCAACGGTCGGCTGAATGTACGCTATGATTATAAGATCGCCTGACTGTGGTGCTGCCCTGCTACTCTTGCCGATACGCGCGGAGGGATTCACAACGTTCGTCAAACAGCAACAACGTCCATGCGTAGATACACTATCATCTGGATACCCAAAAACACCGTTGAGTATTGGTTGACCTATGGAGTAGGCGCCGAAATGTGTACAAGATCTGTGATCTATCGTGGTGCCATCTTGCACACATTCGTTCTCCACCTAGGTGGTAGAGCTCGGTGCCCAAATTTCTGTGAGTAAAACGTTCGTGCTTCTAACATTCCATAGTCCTCAGCCTTGAATTGCAAATAGTCCCTCAAATGACGAGGATGAAGGTCTTGACTCCATTCGGCAACCACAATCTTCCAAGGGTGTCCTCGATGACCACGAACGGAAGTCTCGACTGCTGGGAGGATTGCAGGGCCGCGAGACTTAAGGTATAACTACATCAACATTGCTGTCCTAGGATGGCCCATCTCAAATTCCAACACGATGAGTACTTCCATATTCCTTTCTCTGGCCTTTTCTTCTGCGGCTTACAGTGCTGCATCCTCAGGTTGTGTCAATCCGCTTTCACCTCAGCTCGCTCGCGGAGGCGTCGAATAGACTAACACTCTAAATTTCACGACTTCTGGTGGAGCCATTCGCAGCTATCTGCTACATGTTCCCACAACTTATAACATCAAAACTCCTGCACCCGTTGCTTTCTCGTACCATGGCAGAGGAGCATCACCACAAGAAGAGCAAGATATCTCAGGCATGTCCAATGAAGCCTTCAATCCCAGCTACCTTGTTGTTTACCCACAAGGTATCAGCTTGCAGTGGCAGGGTGATCCGGATGCTGTAGGATATGACGATGTTGGTTTTACGCTTGAGCTTTTGGCCAACTTGTCAAGTACTCTCTGTATCGACTCATCCAGAGTCTACGCTGCAGGCAAATCAAATGGTGGCGGATTCGCTGCCAACGTACTAGCCTGCGATCCTCAGGCCTCGCGAATATTCGCAGCATTCGCCGGAGCTTCTGGCGCATACTATCCGGGTGCGACGGACGCAAATTGTAATGGTGACGTGGTTCCTCTCACGTGTAATCCAGGTCGCTATCCTATTCCGCTTTTTACGACCCATGGCGATTCAGACGGTGTGATTCCGTACATCGGGGGTGGTCGTCGCAGTCGCTGTCTCCCGTCTTTGCCGCACTTTATGACCGAGTGATCCTTCCGTAATGGATTGGGACGTTCTAACATCTCGACTTCCCTCTACAATGGGAATACGGATCGCTACGACTATGGCAACGACAGCTTCCAGCAACTGGGTGCCCACTACTTTGTCCGTGGTCTCGGACATACTTGGCCTTCCATTGCTGCTGGGTCATTGTTTGACGCCACGCCTCTGCTGCTTGCCTTCTGGAATAAATGGACGCTAGACACAACTCCCTACAATTTTGCCAATGCCTCTGTCACTACGCCTACGATTTCCTCGACCACGCGTGTATCTTCTTCAGCTACTTCGACCTCCAGCATATCAGCAGCAAGTTTGTGCCCCTCAGCGAACGATCAGACAGTCACAGACTCCAACGGAAACGTCTACAGAGTTGCATGTTCTGCAGACAACAGCATTGGCTCATACTCCAACGCTCAAGCTTCTACATCGTACCTTGACTGTATGACTGCTTGCGATGCAGCTATATCTGCGGGCTGCGCGGGCTTTACATACGTTGGCGGCGTCAATGGTCAAGGCTCAGGGACGTGCTATCTCAAGAGAAGTATGGGCATCTACCCAGCAGCAGGCAGCAATACGATCTCCGCAGTCAGATTATCTGGTGGTTCGTCTGTCAGTAATGCTCCAGCTGCGAGCTCCAGCACATCATCAACTACTTCAGTCGGTCCGGGTTCGTTATCTGCTGCTCCAAGCGCCTCGGCGTTGTCATGTCCTGCATCTAATAATCAGGTCTATACTCATGTGGCCAACGGAGCTCAGTTTGTGATCGAATGTGGCATCGATCATTCTGTCGGTAATATGGCTAGCACCTCCGTCAAGAACCTTGAAGGATGTATCGCAGCTTGCGCAACTACGACTGGCTGCGTTGATGTGTCGCTGTCTGGTTCAGCCTGTCACTTGAAGAAATCTCTTGGAGCGGTAGTTAACAGTGGCGGCATCTTGGGTGCCAGATTTGTCGGATTTGCCCCGGTGACCTCGACGAGCAGCACCTCAATTTCGACGAGGGTCAGCTCGAGCAGCGTTTCCATCTCCATTCCTGGGTCGACTGTGACTGCCCTAACATCATCATCATCATCATCGTTATCAACGTCATCATCGTCATCATTGTCGTCATCATCGTTGGGCGTGCTGCCTTCTGTCGGTACTAATGGATACACGACGACAGTTTACCCTCCAACTTGCACAGCTATCAACACCAATATCTATGCCGTGGCAGATGACAGTGGAAAACCTTACCTGTTCATGTGTGGTGGAGGATCAGCAGGAGGTACAGCTTTCACCATCGCCAATGTCGCAAACTGGACAGCATGTTTCCAAGCTTGCGGCAGCTACACGGGCTGTACTGGATTCAGTTACAATCAAGGAGCCAACTTTGGCAATGGTGTAGGCCAATGCTTGATCAAGACAGAGAGTCCTCAACCATTCGTCAGCACGGCCAACCTTTTGAGTACTCGAGTCGCAGGATATATTCGTCCGAACACTACTACCTCTACTTCGAGGTTCTTATCAACATTCACAACTATGGCAACTTCGAGCCAAGCGACCATCAGCACTTCTTCTGCGGCCTCGAGCATTTCAAGCCCTATAAGTTCAAGCGTAACAAAGTCTGCGACTTCCTTTAGCACCGCGATAATTGCTTCCTCGTCGTTGGCCTCCAGCTCTGTGGCCTCGTCTAGCATCATTGGGCCGTCAATTACACCGATTCCAGCTCCATCATGTCCTGCAGCCAACGGTACGACCTACACGGATGCTGGTGGCCTCCAATACACTATTTTATGCACTTACGATACTTTTAGTGGCATCATCTCTGCCGTTCCCAGTGTCGGCAGCTTTGGAGATTGTGCTGTGATTTGCGACACAACTTCAGGGTGCAATAGTCTTACTTGGAATGGAACGGTTTGCTCCCTCAAGCAGTCTTTCGGCCAATACGTCATTGGTGCTATCAAGTCTTGAGGCAGTTGATCACCCGCGAAGTCGGATTTGATCATACGGCTCCACAGTCTAGGTCTGTCTCTCCCAATTGTTTCTTTCTGCTCAATATACCGGCGTTTTCAGTTTGGAAAGACATGGCGATTTGGGTGATTAGATGTCTAGAGCATTAGATACAAATCGCAACACAATCCACTTTCGCAAGATTCACTCAAAAGATCCTCCTACTTGGACTTAGCAGCACGTCCCAATGCGAGCTCTTCGAGCGTCAAAGTCTGCCCATTCTTGTCGCGTGATCGCGGGATCCAGTATATCGTCAACACAAGTCCTATAAGCATGAATGCGGAGAAGCTGCGACAAAGTCATAAGTATAAGCAGATAAGGAAAGTGCAACCGCCAAGACTTACACGAGGAGATATGTCTTGTCATCTTTGATACTGCCCTTGATCCACCCTAAGATGCATTGAGATAACACAGCACCAAATTTACCGAAAGCTGCACTGATGCCATGGGCGGTGCATCTATAGCGAGTAGGAAACACTTCTGCTGGGATGATGTATGTTGTGGTATTAGGCCCTGTCACGCATCAGCAAGTACGACGACTATGGGAGCTCGGAAACTTACCAAAGTTGAAAAAGATCTGTGTCAAGATGTACAATACCACCAGTACTGAAGATCGTTGAGTCTTCATCAGCGTACGATAGCTCGTACCAATTACGAGGAATAAGACGAAGAGCCAGAAGAAGCCGTTGATCTGGATTGTTCTTCGACCCAGACGATTGATGGCGACCATTGTAAGCAGATTGCCGAGTATGGCCCCCAGAGATACAATCAACAGGCTTTGCCAGGCGTTGACCAGTAAGGATTGGTACAACGGCTCTTGTTCCAGACTGTTGTTTGACCATATGTGTTCAAGAGTGGTGTAATCGTTCTAGGCAGTAAGTCAGTGGATGCAGAAAGTATGTAGTAGGCAGTCATACCATGCCGAGTCCGTAGAAAGCCAAATCCAGAGACAGCCAAGTCAATGAAGTCGCTACCAAGGTGCGATAGTTTCCTCTATGCCAAAAGTAGTCTACGATGTCTGAAATCGAGGCTTGAGGTGCTTGAGAAAATTCTGGTTCGGTGACAGAGAGTTGAAACATTGCGTTATCAACTCCTTCAATGTGCTCTCCATCTTCTTGATCTTGCTGAGAAGGATCAAAGCTTCTGGTTGAGAGATGGTCGCCGGAATAGAAGTAGCTATTGACATCGATGGCAGCCTGATGATCGTCTCGCACAATATCAACAGTATATCTTGGACTTTGTGCACCCTATTAGCATAAGCCCACTATGTAACATCTTCAACGTAGGCTTACCTTTCGATGATGGTCAGACGAAACCAAAGGGAAGCTGCCGCAGGAACAGCTCCAAGACCCAAGACCAGACGCCAGATAATGTCGAGTGTCTTTTGGCAGTCCTCGTCGCACTGCCTTGTTCCTTGTGGGAGTCGCTTGCGAGCAGCGTATACAGCGATAAGAGGGACTAGAGTAGCCAGCAGTTGCCCGAGAGGCTGGCACATGAAGACCGCAGTCAACATTCTGCCTCTAAGCCTGGTGGGTGCCATCCTGAGAACGTCAGCCTACAATCTTGATCAGCTTTGAGCTATGGGAAAACACACTCTGAGCAAAGAACAGCACTCAGCGGGTAGTCAGCGCCGATACCGATGCCCATGATCAGGCGCCAGAAAATCAACCACCCAATAAGCGACATAGAACCATTGATACCGTTCGAGGCCATTGCAGAGCCCAGAGCTGCGACAACAGTAATGATGAGCTCGAGACCATAAGCCTTTCTCCGACCTGTGACGCTTTAGTGATGCAATCTCAGATGCGTCTGAGTCCTTACCCAACCAATCTCCAGCTATGCCAAAGCCAAGCTGACCTATAATACTTCCTCCTAGAGTTGCGATATTGATCGCTACTTCGTACTCATGTGGAACGACGCCACTAGTGTAGTAGACGTGTCCTATCATAGGCATGACGAGGTTGATAGCAAAGATCTATAGGATGTAAATGTGTGATCATGCTCCGTTGGATATCATCATACGTTGTACGCGTCGGTCAAGAAGCCGACTCCAGCAACAACCACAACCCAGAGCCATTCTCTTCGTCTGGAATGCTCGAGCGAATCGAGAATGTACTGTCGTCGATCTGAGGGCTGCCAGGGTGTCAGGATTGGCAGCTTGTCATGAAGTGACTGATTTCGATACCGAGACGTCTTCGAATTTCGAGACGTTCGCCCACGGATTGAGATGCAATCTGATCCAAGTCAGTCCAGCCATAGTGGATCTGTAGTCTGATCAATCGAGAGGGAAGTGTTGTTGCAAGAAGATATGTACAGATGGCAGTCGATGACAAGAATATAGAGCCACTAAACGAGGGCTGAGAACGTCTCGCGAAAGCCACGATGCGCAGCGGTACTATCAGGCATTTCTGCCTGGTTAGCTGCTGCGCCCACGGAGTCGGCTTCAGTACCTATGTGCATAGATTTTTCGACTATTGGCTGCACCCATCGCGAATTTCAGAGCGAGAACAGCTGACGAACCTCGACCTATTGCTTACGAGCGTGCCAGAAAGGGCGACTCCGAGATAGAGTATATCGTTTCTCGTAGATCGAGTACGGCAGTGACTTGGGCTCAAAGCACTTTCACCTGTTGTTCTGAAATCTGCTGCTTTCGCGTGGCATACAGATGCGCGTGAATATCCAGACTACATATTGCACGAATTGTCTCCTTGAGAAAGCACCGCGGGACGAAGATCTAGACGCGCTTTCATCCAATCAGACTAAAATCTCGCGGCCTCTCGCGTTGTGACTTCAGTGTTAGTTGGAACATGCTGCAAATGCGAGGAGGCTGGAGGAAGGAGCAAGGGTGTCGGGATGGCCGAAGGCTTGGCAGGGCCACAACGAGCTTTTGCTGTGACCACGTTCCGCTTTTTGCACTTTCCATTCGCTCACCGCATCGAAATAGGTGCAGCTGCAAAGTGATCCTCCGTGATTTCCAGGTTGCCTGTCTGACACTGTATCTAACAGGCATGTGCCTCTCCAGCCTCGTTGCCACTTGGTAATATGCGATGGAGATGGCCAGGTAGAAGCCGGCTTTTCAACCAAGTCCAGTTGAAGTCAGCCAAAATGCCTGTCGTTCGCACTCGGGAGCACGTACTACGTTTCCACCATGAGCTTCGGCTGGTCCATCAGCGACGTCATTCTACTCGCGCAATATAGCTGGAAAGTGTACGAAAGCTTTGCGGAAGGCACGTCCAACGCGACAACTGAGTACGATCGCTTCAAGCGAGAGTTCAGACAAGCGATTTTTTGTCTCGAAAGAATCGTCAACGTCAGTCCCGATCTCACTTCGCTTGCAGGCTTCGACGAGACTTTCGGGGATACCATCAAATTTATTGACAAGCACCGTGTTCTCACTGCTAAATCGGCGAGTCCTCTGATCACCAGTCCATCACAAGCCACCAGTAGGATCAAAGACTACTTGGGACGCTTTAACCAAGGATATCAGACTGCAACATGGCCAATATATCGCGAGGAGGCAGAAAGACTTCGCCAACAGCTCGATCGGGTCGTCTCTCTCGCAACTCTCCACGCTACGACGACTACATTGAAGAGTACACAAGGTATCGAGAGGCAATCCGAGGATATAATGCGTGCAGTGAAGTATGTCACATGTATCATTTTGCTCTAGAGTCTGTCTGAGTCGGTGTATCAGGTCTTTGAGTGACAAGGTCAACTTCTTGCTAAAAAGGATAGCTCCGACGTCCATTGCAGGCACATCAGGCATTGACCTCGACTATCTTGCAACATTAGCACATACCAGTATGGCTCCGCCCAGTTCTATTGATCAACTCATTGCGCCGCTCGACTGGACCAACTCACCCAACGACATGCTCGAACTACTGGACCAATTCTCGCAAAAGATGGAGTACTTGATAATGAGAGATTCTGGCGGCGTGCGCTCGTCGGACTCCAGACATCGGACCACTAGCGACAACACGCCCGTCACACCCGCCAGGATCAATCCTGTTCTTCAACTCCTGGACAGCGCTCGGAGTGTGGCAAATACAGCACTCGATGATGTTGGCCTCCACAGTCTCCCTCATACGCAGGATCAGATTCGAGGGCGTTCGGCCAGCGCTAGTCTAGGGGCTCGAGCTAATGATTGGGATGTCTTTGGTCAATGGCTCAAATGGCACCTCCTGCACGATAACACAAACGAATTGGCCCATTCGAGCCATGATGTACATCCCCTCACGGTGGTCTCTGCATGCTCATCTCCGGGTTCTACTGGAGGAGCTGTAGCGGTACCAAGACAACAGCTGACTGGACAATACCGTGACATATCTCCATCCATTGTAGGCAGCCCTCTTCCAGAACCAGTGTGGACACCTTCGAGTGAGATATTCTCAACTCCTGGTACTACATTCACTTCGAGCAGCAGCGAAAGGAGATTCAGCTCGCTTGATCTGGGATCTGCTTCCTCAGAAAACAACGCACGGTCAACTTCTGCTCTGTGGCCTGTGAAAATGTGAGCACTATCACTGTTAGCGATTCATTGATCTGACCTTAATTAGCCTCCTCGAGAATAAACGCGTCTTTGATGCTTCGCTGGAGATACTCGTGACTGCGACCGGTGTCGTAGAAAAGATCAAGAGTAAGACTCGAGACAAGAAATTGACGATATATCATGTGCCGCAGGGTGGGACAAATAAACTTAATACATTTATCCCATGGGTGGATAATGGTCGTGTACATAAATCGAACACGAACGAGGCCAGATTACAGTTCAAAGGCTCACACCAGATCATTGTCAAAGATGAGCGAACCCACAGAAGCACAATACACAACACAAGACCAGTGTACTACTTTGATGAACCCGAAGGTGCGTACTCATGATGATCAGATCACTCAAAGGCTCTGATATGCTGATACACTGTCGAGATTTACGTCTTGTACAAGAACAACTCCTCGGCAAGACAGTGATCGCGACCTTCGATGTTGTACGAATCTCCACACGTGCCGGTCAAGACCATTGTGCTTCAGAGACATTGCGTGTCTTGGATGACTCAGAAAGACAGAGATCACTGCTATATTACGCTCATAAGATGCCATCAAAGTCTACCACAACCAACCCGGGCTTCGTAGAGTGGACTTGTAGGTGACGACTGTGCGTATGCCTCGGTCAAAAGCTTTGCTGACTCGATGTCTCAGTGAACGATTTTGACGACATCAAGAAAATCGACAAGAAAAAGATGAGGCTGACGTTCGGCCGGCGAGACAGCTTGACACGGAGATCAACAATCGGAAGCATCAGTTCTGTCCTATCACACGACTCGACGTCTAGCGATGACCCACAAACAGATATCATGCAACGCATCAAAGCGATCGACTGCGAGTTTTATGACCAGGAGGGTATGTTTTCTTGCAATGATGCCATCCACCACTCACTGATTAGCAACTAGACCGTGAAGCGTTCGAAGAGTTGTGCAAACCATCGTCAGCACCCGTATTTCGTATGCCGTTCAGACCACGAGACTTGGGCATCGGCTCCCCGTTAGCAGAGCTAGATATAGGGCCCCCGCGTGCAGAATTGGAAGGTTGACCTGACATGAACTTTGCACGGGTATTGTTGATGATCAGTCTACTCATAGAAGTGTCAAGACCTGCTTGATTTATCTAGTTGTAATTGTACACAACTGCCATCTGACTACTTAAGTCGTCAACCGGACACTACTTGAGTGTCATGGCTCTCAGTGTTCTCGACACCGCTACATTGGGGAGGGTCTTTGTCTTCTCGTGTGCCACCCCATTTTTCGCCGCCAATGATCTTTGCAGGTAGTTTCATGTCCTTGATTACTCTTTGAGCTTCACCGCCAGATACTCGATCTGACGATAGCAGCGTGAAGGGAGTCAGGCCCGTTTCGTCAAGCTTACAGCGGAGAATTTCCAGAGAACGTGCAGTAAATTCCACTACACGACGAGGATCATGATCGGCATAAGTGGACGAGCCTGAGTTGTTACCCGGCACACGCTTCTCAGCTTGCTTCAGGACTCCCTGAAGTACTAACAACTCTGTTGATAATGCTGTGATATCTTCTCGGGCCTGACTAATCGCTGTTGCGTATGCGTGTAGAGTGGATATGATCTGAGCAACCGTTGACACCAGGTCTGTGGTAGATATAGGGTCGGCCATGGAGAAAATCGATCGTTGTATCGCTGCCGCAAACTACTGAAGCAGCAGGCATACTAATATATGCATTTCACCGGGCTAGGCAGCCAAACAGCGTCAGCTGCCCGAGCTATGTATGCGGGCACTTTAAGGATCTGGGCGGCTGTTGTTTTTCTGACAACCCAGGATCGCAATAACAAGCTCGCACACTTGCATTGCATAAAATTGTGGTGGACTTTGCTGTGCCTTGAGCAATGAGCGAAAAGAACATGGAGTCAGAATAGCCCTGGAGACCATCAACTGGGGAGGCTGGCATTTTCGAAGCTCAAACATCGTCATCGTTCCTGCCGACCGCGTCCATCTTCGACATTTTTCTCTGACTTGTGATCTTTCCACGATGATGAACCCATTTTATTTGACAGAAACCACGAAAAGACCACTTGAAACTTTGCGCTGCATACAGCAAGTGTGGCGCGCCCTAAATCATTCGAATGACTGGGCGATGGGGAGGTGCACGGCGTCTGCAGGAAGTCGTGCCTGATGGGCACTCGAGCACGATTGCACCGGGTCAACTCGACGAGGATGACCAGTGGTTGGGTATGTCAGAAAACACATTGCTTGGCCCTCTCTCTCGACTAGATCGTTGTTAAATCCTCGAGCCGAATTGAAAGAAATCATACAGTACCACTGCTGGGTCGATAAGGCGTCCTCAACAAACATCCTCAAGTACTGTTCGCGGCTTTCTCGAATGTGCAGGCGAAACACAAACGCAAAACCTTCTGGTTCTCTGCGATCTTGGAAATTATGCGACGCCAGACTCCAAACTGACTACTCTATTGGCCTCTCCAGGAAGATCTCATGATCATTTACACTTGCACCTCTTGACCATCGTTGCTCTCTTTAGCCTGCAGCCGCTGATTGTACTGGTCCAGTTGTGCTACTTTTGCTCGCACAAAACTTTCGACTTCCTTCTTACTAGGAACACCCACTTCTAGCAAACCCCTCCGCCGGAGTGCTTTCTCCAGGTTCCGCCATAAGATCTCCTCGTCAAAATTGAAAGCTTCTTGTAGGAGTTGCATGAACCGGAATGTCCCGTCTTCAAAACTATCGCGCATGAGACTCGACATGCACCTGTCTGGTGGATCATCGTATGCCGACCGAATCAATCTCTTCTCCTCTTCTTCTAAGCATTGCAGAAAGACGGAAAGCTTTTGTTTGCAGCGTTCTTCCCCATTTTTCGTCCAAGAAGTAGGTCGCTCGAGGATTAACCATGGAGGGGGGCAGAACAAGGATTGGTAGGGTGCAGTATAAGTCCACTCCCAATCGATGATACCAGTGACCTGGAGACTGGTTTCGTCCACCAAGACGTTGCCGAATCTGAAGTCATCACAGACCAATTTGAAGGGACCAGAGTCATACTTCCTGGAAACAAAGTGCGGTATCAATTCCATCATCCGACAGCGTAACACGAACTTTTGTCGGGCATCTGAAGCATCGTCAATCGAGTTTCCTTGTTCATGCAGATGCGTGATATTCTGTTGAACAAGATTCTGCATATACTCGGTTGTCGATTTGAAAGCGGGGAGGTCATGGTCTGCAGACGTGAGTAAGCGCTTGGATTCGATGAACCATAGGTGCGATTTTACCGTCAGCGATAACATTACCGCCTGCTTCTATCTCGTTCACCTTGAGTGTCATTGGCCTGGCCACTATTGACCAACGATCTGACTCTGATTCTCCCTCGGTCATCACAAGAGCACCGATCTCATCGAAATCGTGTGCTGCAAGTTCCAGAAGGATTCTTGCCATCTGTCCGTAGACCTTGCGCAGCTGATCTTCTTCGACGTCTTGACGAAGTACAGGTCCCCAACTAGGCCGAGGCAATTCTTCAAGGACGATCGCAAGCGGTTTGCCCTCAACCCACTCGGTGATCAAAAACGGGCCTATCAAGGGATCGTGGTTGTCTGCAGCAGCACCAAGGGCTATGACCTTTGGAACCGGTATCTGAGTACGTTTTTTCACAGACATCATTACTGCCGCTTCACGGCGAATCTTCTCATCTGAATGCATAACACGGCCGGGTATGGGATATCTCACCGCCCATGCTGTACCGTCCTCGAACAGAACTTTGTGGCAAGAGTTGAATGAGCCGTTATGTTTCGATTGCCATGTGCAATGCTGGCCATCGCGATAGCTTGATGCTAGTCTCTCAACGCCTGCATTGCCGTATTCACAAAGAAAGCGCTTGGCCCAGTCATGGGTAGCAATCGCGTGAATGTTGTTGATGATATTTTCGTCCATGTTGCGGCACCAAATGGTGAGTGTTCGGATGTACAGGACGCTGTAGTATATCGAGGCAAATGAAGCGGTAAGCAATCACAGATGTCCACGTTCGTGCCAAGTCTCGGGTCAAAGCACATCTAAGTGCTGTCGTCGTGCCTCTGTGCATCGGCCAATCAAGCTTCCACCATACAATTGTCGTTTGGCGTGTGCAGAGCTCGCTCGGTATCAGTGACCAAGACGCGTTGTACTGTAGCGCGAGCGTAAGATGCCCAGGCTCTCAGCTCACCAGGACCTGCATCCAAGACCTGCATCCAGGACCTGCATCCAGGACCCAGAATCTGTGACGGGATGTCGTTCATATAAGACAGTATCCCTTCACAGGCGAGTTCACACTCCAATCGTTTTATTGTTCTGTAACTCAGCGCAAGAAGGCAGCCTATTGATCGTTGTTCAGATCTCGAACTCTTTTTCAAACACACTTCGGAGCCTATCAGGCCAGACGCCCAGAAAAGAAATGACAAAGCGGCTGTGACCCTCGGTCTTACCGACCCTGTCACGGCAAAGATGTTACAAGATGTTGAAGACACGAGCAAGCGTAGAAGAAAAGGCGCTAGTGTTCGCAAAGAGAAAGAAGAAGCCGAGAAGTAGCAGAAAGGGTTGCCATCAAACATTTTAGGAACCGCGAGAGCTAGCTACTAACGCGTCTTATCAGTAGGATCCCAGTGATCTCGTGAAGTCTCGATCACGTTCAGCTCTGGAAGAGATACTTTGATATAGTTCAGAGCATAGCCTCTCGAGATTCGTTGTATGATTGGGCAATATGTTTACCGGCTTTGCGATTCTCGTACTTCAAAACCGAAAAGAAGGAAACTCGCGTCGTTCTAATTGCCGCAACTAGAGCACAGGTATATAACGATGGGAGGAGATTTGAAGACAGCTACGCTTTGTTCTCCCAAAGCTTACCTGTGAGATCGAGAGACTAATCAGGACCCCCAAATAAACCATCAATGACTTTGCGCCAAAAGTCATACCTGCAGTCCTTCTTGCACGTGTATCAGTTGTTGTATTTGTCGCATCTTCTGTATGTGCATTAGCAACAGTGAGCTCGCAACATGACCCGCCGAGTGAAACTCATCGATCGCCTGATTGCAGTTGCTAATGCCCGAAATCAGTTGTTCATCGCGTTGAGCGTTAGTATGTTACGCATGACTTTCCGCAGATCCCGAAGCATTTTTTCATCACTCGTCGCCCTCTACCTTATTCAAAGTAGCATCTCGGTAGAGACCTCCGGTTAGAGATACGCGCTGCACTCACCGACGTCGAGCAGGGCGAAATCCAATATCTGCTTGCGTGAATCTACCAGGACGAGGAACTTGACTCGAGAGATTATTACCAGAGCAACTGATACTCAGAGACCTTCAAGAAAAACGGGTATCGGACACGCGAAGCTCGGTCTCGGACGTATCAAGTAAACATCTAAGGGGTGTAACACTTGAATTTCATGGGCGGGAGTTCTTGACTCACAGGATGCCGTCCCGTTCAGTATACAGTGCACCAAATATATCATCAATCTGTGCTAATCATGCGAACCACGCGTTACTGCATATCCTCTGCCTCTGTCTAACATTTGATCATCATTCTCTCAAGCATAAAGCATGAGGCAGAACTCTGCCATCGCGTAAATGCCAGTACACCACATCGAGAAGCTCTTCCAGTGATGTGTCTCTCGATGCAAGTCAATCGTCAGGTAGATTTCCAACCTCCGCTAAATCTACCTAAGCAAATTGCCAATAGTCAACGTTGAACAGATATCCACTACCTCCTACGAATCTTAGGTAAAGGTCTTTGGTTCCACTCGCACCGTCTACAGTACAAGTCACCATCTTCCAAGTCTGCCATCCGTTGGTGCCGGGAATAGTGCATGTTCCCGCCAATGTACCGGTAAGACTACCCAGGCGAAGCTCAATCTTGCCACCGCTAGTAGCTGAAGCAACGCGAGCAGAGAAAGACTTTGCGCCGTTGCCAAAGGCAGCGCCAGCGACCTTGACATAATCGCCGTTCTCTATGTTGATCAAGGAGATACCGCCCTCAGTCATAGCCTCTGTCTGGACTCCAGAAGAGAAAGCCATAGTTTCTGCTTCGTTACGGGTGTATGGGTTGAGGGTCCCGACTTGTGGAGCACCAGCATTAGTCATGGTGAGAAGTGGTATCGTACCGTCCGAGTTGTAAGTGAATGGTTCTACAGCGATAGAGCGAGTGTACCCACTACCACCAGGCAATGCACCGTTGTGGTAGAACAGGTAAGATTTGCCTTTGAAGTCGATGACGGCTGGATGGTTTGTGAAGGATTTTCCTGCTGATGCCATCACAACGCCGCGGTAAGTCCAGGGACCAGTGATAGAGGGGCCTGTCGAATAACGCAAATCCTCTGAACAGCATTGGGCGGCGTATACGTTATAGTAAAGGTTGTTACGCTTGTATATCCAAGGTCCCTCTGCGAAAGTGGTACCGTCCGGCTCGCGACCACTTCCGAAGCTAGAGACACTGGTGGGGACCTGGACGATGCCACCAGAATATGAGACCATGTCTGCGTTGAGTTTGACATAAAAGAGACCTGGATTGGCGAAGTACAGGTAAGCTTGACCATTGTCGTCGATCCAGACCGTTGGATCAATGCGAGCGTTCTCCAACAGTGGTTTCCCGATTGCATCTTTCCATGGGCCAGTGATAGAGTTGGCAACCGCAACACCAATAGCCATGTTCCCGCCGCGACGGCGCATAGGTAGGTACATATAGAACTTGTTGTTGCGAGCGATGATCTGACCCGCCCAGGCATTGATGTCTGCCCACGGGAAAGTGGTGGCTATGGATGCAATTACACCATGATCCTGCCAGTTAGCCATGTCCTTTGCGCGATGTGATCAGTGGGTGTTATGAACATGTTCAAAGACAGGACACTAACCGCAGTAGAGAAGAGACGCCAGTCCTTCATGTTGTAATTGGTTGAACCGTTCTCATCATGATCCGCGAGGAGATATACTTTGTCCCCCACAACTATTGGAGCTGGGTCTGCAGTGTAAATAGACTGGATAATCGGATTGTCCGCCTGAACTGCATGCAGAAGCGTGCCCAGGACCGGAAGCAGTCTTGCCCAACTGAAATACATGTTGTTTGTGGAGAAATATGGGTAACACCAGAGTGCCAGAACCGAGGTTTATATATCTTCGTGACCCAACGTCGTCGATTCGTCACTTACTGGCGTTTGCTTGAAGCGAGCATACTTGGTGAGGGGTTCCTCGTGTTCAGAATTAGCCAGGTGGGCACCTTCCATGTATGGAAGCGATGATGCAGAGTAGTATATTGCAGTGGTTTCACTCTATCGAGGTCATAAAGTCCCTCTTGAGCAGCACAACGCATACGTACGAGGAACAGAGCAACGCTCGCTTGCATCGTTCGTGGTGATTGGACTTCGCTAGATACCCTGTTCCTGGAGCGCAGATTTAGGTTGCGTTTGAGGAGCTCATTATAGGCTCTGCGATACCATGAATGTGACTAGGAACGTGACTGCCTGAAGATCGGCTCCATACCTGAAACTAGACATATTGCTCGAAGCGACGGCGTGATGGTAGCTATCACAGTAGAGCGCCAGTACACATAGCTTGCTTGCAAAGATCACGGAGCGTGCATGTCCAATGGCGGAAGAAAGACTTGATGAAGGAAGACCGGGACTGTCGATGTTTGGGACTGGAAGCGCGTATGTGTGTCGACGGGAATATCGCGTGTTTTGAGAAGTTTGTCGATGTCACCAAGCGTGGATGATTAACCAGAGTTCACTAGAACCAAAGGCATGAGGGCTGCGGCGGCATGAACGCGGTCCGCTGTCGGCGTCGGTCGGTTGAGTACGGATGGGTCGCGACATGCGCCGCGCGTGACACGCGACGAGCAGCGCCATCGGGAGTCGAGCCCGCTGGCTCGACCTTTCTATGATTTAGTAATGTAGACTCATCTACCGCACTCATCTCTGCACTCACAGCTGCGTCGTTGCCTGTAGCAAAGTCTAGGCGCCGAAACAAGCTCGCATTCGTGACGAAAGATAAGACATGGCTTGATCTTATCAATCGCGTCATGCCCGATCGGGTATGGTCGTCTCTGCCGACACTTTCCACGCAATCTCAATCAATCAAAGCACCCCGTCCGCTCACTCGAACCGACCTCACTCAATCATTTCGTTCATGCACTCTGACCGAAGTGCTTCATCCATATCAGTCAGTCTCCGTTTGATATCACCATGGACGCCAGGAAAATCTGCATTTAATGTAGACGCATAGGCACAAACTCAACACAGATGACGACACGTTCTGGAGAGTCCCATCATTTATTATCATGGTACTGACGAGTCATCCGATACCGTAGAATGTTCCGCTGCACACGTACGACCTTGACGAAGCCAATTGTTTTTTCTGATGCCTACCACTGCTGTCTTCATGAACCCAAGGTCGGAATCAAGCACCCGTCCGAAGATCAACTCTTCTTCCCATAGAACGGTGCTTCAGCTCCGTATCCCATATTGTACACCTTACTATACTGCAGCTTCCAAGCACCGTTCTGTAATACCCAGATGTCGTCACATCTGTAGAAGATGCGGAAAGTCTTCGTGATGTCGTCAAGAGCATCCTCTACCCAGTGGGACCAGGTAATACTGTCACAAGGTCAGTGGGACGATCGGACTTGCCGTAGAGCGAAACGAGCCACTTACTAGGTGTCCGTCCTCCACTTTGTCGGAGTGATCGCATCGAACACGAGGGAGTTGGTCACGATGTGGGACACTCTTGCTCCAGCACTGGCGCTTCGAATAGCAGCTACAGTCTGCTCAAGTCCCTCGGACCTGCCGCCATAGGCTCCAAGATCGGTGCTGTCGTAGACAACGTCGTTGGTCAGAACCTCGCCGAAGGCAGTGTAATTCTTGCTATCGATCAGCCAGGCCAGCTTGTACTCGGCAGCCTCGAATGCCTCGAGTGATGAGCCTGAGTTGACAGTGGGGTGAAGTTGATAGGGATTGGCTGCAGCTCCGTATATGAGTGCAGAGATGACTAGGACAAAATTTGAGACGAACATTTTGCTATGCTGGTGAGTGACGTTTGTGGGCTCAGAAGGTGTTGATTGCTGCTGTAGTATTTAAGCAAGTGCGCAATACGACCATACTTACACCTCTACCTCAAGACGATAGTACTGTGAAGTGCCTCCAAGAGAACTCTAGGGCTCAGTGAGTAATTGTGTCAGCATCGGGTCCAGCCCTGTAGCTACGGGGAAGTAGAGTATGTCATGGTCAGACAAGGCATGAGTATGCATGGTGCGTGTCTTACCATGCAACCATTATACCGTCGTAAGTCATCCGATGAGCAGCTGTGCCTCACCTCGAAGCCTTTCGCCTTGAACAAGAAGAGGTTGGTAACGCGGGTAACGACAGCCTGAACACTAGCGATTACTTCGCGATAGTCCACATTATCCAACCTTGAGCTCCATTGCGATGTACAAAAGACAGGAACTTCCGGACTGCGTCGCGAAAGGTCCGTGTGGAGCAGAGCCAGCTAACGAAGACATGAGATTGAAGCAACGTGGTTCTCACATGCCGGTAGAGTCCTGGACAAATGATAGTGCATGTTGGAATACTCAAGGGTCAGAGTCTGATGTTGTTGTCAAAGTGCAGGATGTCAACATGGAGTGGACTCGAAAGGCGGTGTGTCACTCGCTCCTTCCACCGGGGCACTTCCAATGCCCATCAGTTGAGAGCACGCCAAGAATGGCAAAGACTTTCCGATCTTGGTGGCAGCCATTTGAATATTGGCACTATCGTGACATCCTTGCGCGATGTTCTTGCCAGTAGACCAAGTTGTACGCATTCGAAGTCCTCTATCTAGCCGTCAGAACAAGACGGTCCCTGAGACTCTAATTGTAAGCACTTTGTTCCACGCAAGTTGGCTTTTCGTGCGGCGCACAAACCGCATTTCTCAAGTCAACACCGCTCACGCGCAAGCGCGACAAATAATGATTTTTGCTGTCCAGATTACCCTAGAGCTTCCTGTGGTCTCCAATTCCGAACGCTCACTTAAAACTGGATCTGTGCTCCACGAGGACTGAATCAGGTAGTCTGATACGCGACACATAACATTGCGCACGCCAACAGTCAAGAGCTAGGTACTCTTGCATCCCTTCACATGTCACTTCCACCTTCACAGCCCGATATCTGAGTATGAGACGATACCGAATATGGCCAGAACAACACAGACTGCTGGCCTCTCTCGACAACAAGCCGTCTGTCATACATAATTCCTCACCGACCATGCTGGACAGCTGGTATACCACAACAAAAATCGGCCAGTCAATCATGGCTGGTGTCCAAGAATGTACGAGTTACGGCAGAATCAACATTGGCTCCACCATCTACTCCCCCACAAGCTCTGCTGCTGAACTAAGAGCCAGTTGCTCCACCGGCTTTTCCAGCAGTTTGGACAAGTTGTTCAAGATCTACGGTAGGAACTGGGATGATACATTGGGAAATGGTGATATTCTTAGAGACGCCTCGGTCCGCCGCAATGGGAATGATGTTAGTGACTGTGAATTCACATCTCCTCCTAATGACGGTACAACATGGGACTTCTTAGCCAGTGGTCAGATGAGTGGCATTAGTAGTTGTTATGGACAGGCTGCTATAGACGCTGAGGGTTGTAGAGTTGGAGGTAGCAAGACGATGCCTTCCAGTATTTGAAAAGCATAACGGCAATACACATGGAGAGAAATCATCCGGGATAGTGGAACCAGTTTACAGAAGGAAAAATTAAGCTTCCGTAATTGGTTTCGAGTGTGGTGGATTCTCATCTCTATCGACGACCATCTCACGACGCCAAATTTATCACTGTCAATTGAACAGCCATATCAAATCGCTCAATGCTGCTTATCAGTGTCGTTATCCATTTGGTTACCTTTTGGCAGGCACATATGGATGAAGGCGCCTCACAAAGATCGGGTTACTGAAAGAACTGAATACCGGCTGGGGCGCAATCGTGTAAGAGCAAATACCCTGATTGGATAGCATTTTGTAAAAAGATCATATTCGATTACAACAGCACAATCTGCACGTACGGCCACAGTCAGCTGAAAACTGGGCATCCCGTCCGCTCTGCCATACATAAGCAGTTGAACGGCAGATTAGTACTACGGTGGGTGACCACGTGGGAATCCCTGCTGCTGTACGTTTTGTTTTGTCCTGACGACCTGGGTGGTCTCGCTAATCTATGGCTCAATTCGATACAATTTTGCTCTCGCTGGAGATCACCTTTAGGTCCAGATGCGTAAGAGGATTATCACGATTCAAAGTCAAACAAACATTTGCGCAAGAGGAAGACCTACGCGAACATGTCGCTTACCATTGCGACTTCCTCGCTCGTAAAGCGACGCGACCCTCCTTCGTGCTAAACGCAACTATCAATTGACCGGCGCGGGAGTGTGGAAGGTCGCATGTGCTTGTATGCAGATTATCCTGTATGAAGCATCTGGAACCTTCCTCGTACGTGTTCTGCAAGGAACCAACACGGCGGGAACATTTAATGTAACTCAACCAATGTCAGGTCAACCACAATTCTCAACATGCAGTCGATAGGTCATTGGTGGAGGAGGGGTACAAAATCCTAGACCATACGGGACAGATGGTCACCTTGCCGCAAGAGAAGGCGTCTGTTGCTGCGAAGCTCTCGAATCAGGACAACGTCTGACTGAAAACCCCTCCTCTGACTCCAACCACACATTTCGTGCTGTCAGCATATCTGTAATGTCTTACGCTGGCCTCCCTTCACTATCACCCAGTCTCATCATTTCCCTCGACTTCGATAGTACAACAGCTGACAATTATCGCTACCAATAGGCAATCGAAGGATTCGGCGACGCCGGGATCCCTTATCATGCCAAACATCGGACCGTCTTCGAGACAGCAGTCTGGCAGTGGATTGTCGGACGGGAGCTGAGTGGCGTGAGAATGCGCTAATTTGTTCGCAGTGGTAGGCAACCGTAACGACTCCTCTCTGATCAGAACCAAGACACGATCTCGACTTGGCGCTTGGTACATATCCAAGCAAGTCCTAAGCATGATATGAAGAGATACCGTCTTAGAGAAGCTACTGCTAACAATCAGCCGAGAGGGCTTAGCGTGCCAAGATGATCCTCCGCAACGCGAACATCGAGAACGAGGCGGCGAGTGCGGGGTGTGGAGAACTAGTCTGTAAGAGGAAGGCAACGAGGATGATGGGGAAGGCCAATCGTATGTGGTAGTGAGTTGGCGATAACCAAACGGCGCTCAAATCCTTTGTATGGTGTACGTAGGATTCATGGGATCATTACCTAGTCATCTGACTTATCGCCAGGGGCCAATTTTGGCACCGAGGCTTGCTGGAGATAAGTGACTTCGGCGAGCCGTAGGTGGCGCTCGCTTCACTGGACGAGTGAGAGCTTATCAATGAGACGTTGTACGATAGTCCACGAATGGTTGCATTCCGCAATGAATTTCCCGCACCCGCCGAATCGCCTCAAAACAAGGCTGGCCGCAGTCGCATTCCCGCTTCACGTTTTCCTCTGATCTGCTCTTGCGTCGCAAACATGAGTGATAACGACGAAAAGACTTACGGCGAGAAGCATGCGCATTCCGCGTCGCTTGGTGACCATCTACACGGCCAACAACTCGGAACTGGCCCAGAAGTCCACGATGTGGTCGTCGGTGATCAAAATGAGCTCCACAGGGAGCTGAAGGGCAGACACATGCAGATGATTGCCATGTAAGTCTTGTTAATTAACCTCAACCTATCCCTCTACTGACGAAGTCTTCTATCAGTGGTGGTGCAATTGGCGCTGGTCTTTTCATCGGCTCTGGTTCTGCTTTCCAGAGTGGTGGCCCTGGCTCGGTTCTCATTGGCTTCATGCTCGTCGGTTCGTAATTACTCCCAATAATTGAGGTGCGCTTGCTAACTGTCTCCAGGTTTACAAGTGTATGACCGCCTTTCATCGATACGGTGTCCACCTGCTGACACATTTCTCTAGCTACTTCATGATGCAGGCCCTTGCAGAAATGTCGGTTATGTACCCAATCAATGGTGCTTTCGCCATGTACATCTGTCGCTTTGTCGATCCATCCTTCGGTTTTGCTTGCGCTTGGGAGTACGCTATCAGTTGGCTTACAGTCCTTCCCTACGAGATCTCCGCTGCTGTCAACATCATTCACTACTGGGAAGGATCTTTGAACGTTAATGCCAGTGCTTTCATCGTTCCTTTGCTCGTAGCCCTCGTCGTCATTCAATTCTTCGGCGTCAGAGGCTATGGCGAGGTAAGTTGATTGGAACCACGTTGGAGGCCACAAGCTGATTGGACAGGTCGAATACGTCCTTAGTGTCATCAAGATTCTTGCCTGCGTCGGCTTCATGATCCTCGGAGTCATCATTGACACAGGCGGCATCCCCGGTGATCCATCTGGCAGAGGTTATATTGGTGGCAAGATCATGTTCGTTTTTAAAAGCCGCATATGGCTAGCCAGAAAGACTAACGAGTCAAAATAGCTCCCAAAACACCTTCCGCAACGGTTTCCATGGTTTCTGTAGCGTTTTCGTCACCGCTGCATTTGCTTACACCGGTACTGAGCTTACCGGTCTGGCTGCAGCTGAAACAATCAACCCCAAGAAGGAAATCCCAAAAGCTTCGAAGCAGGTCATCTTCCGTATCATCATCTTCTACGGTGTGAATCTTCTGCTCATCGGTCTCGTCGTACCATCGGACCCTGAGATCTACAGCGGCCCAGGATCTTCGTCTCGTTACTCGCCTTTCGTCCTTGCGATCAAACTTGCTGGCATCAAGGTGTGTATTTTCTCCATGGACGTTAGTTCAGAATGGCTGATATTCTCAGGTGCTTCCTTCCATCTTTAACGCTGTCATTCTCGTCGCAGTCATGAGTGTCGCCAATTCATGTACTTTCGGCTCAACTCGCACAATCCAAGCTTTGGCTGCAAACGGTATGTATTCGTCCCGCCAGCGACAATTCACGCAATCTGACCACGACTCCCAGGCATGGCACCCAAGTTTCTCGCATACGTCGACAAGAAGGGTCGCCCCTTGAATGTCATCATTTTGCAGGTTCTTTTCGGTTGCCTCGCATTCATCAACTTGGCGCCCAATGGAGGAGATATCTTCGGCTGGCTTCTTGCCTTGTCGGGTCTTTCTATCCTCTTCATCTATGGAGGAATTGGTCTAGCGCACGTGCGATTCCGCGCAGCTTGGTAAGTCGACACTCAGTTCACGAATGCAATAATGGCTAATTCTAGCAGGAAACTCAACGGCCACACTCTGGACGAGCTACCTTACAAGGCCTCCGCCGGTGTCTGGGGATCGTACTTCGTCATGCTCATCACCGTCCTTGCGCTCCTCGCTCAGTTCTATGTCGCGCTCTATCCCATCGGCGGCCCCAACTTGAACGCCAGTGCCTGGTTCCAGTCTTATCTTGCCGGTCCTCTACTTGTGTTCCTCTACTTCCTCTGGAAAGTCTACAGTTGGTTCAAGAGACCGGCAGACAGACCCATCTGGATCAAGACTTCAGACATTGACATTTACACTGGCATGAGAGAAATCGAGCGCTTGTCTGACGACGAACGCATGCTCGGTGAGAAGCAGAAGAAGGGACCCATGGGTTACGCCAAGAAAGTCTACAACTCTCTGTTCTGAGCGCAGGCTTGTTCCGATGAGACTTCTCGCTGCTGAACTCCTTGATCACTTAGTAGAAAATGTGGCTATCCATAAAAGAGTTCGCAGCCTCACCAGTTGGCTTTGATCATCGTTCATCGTGATTCACACCAACACAAGACTCAGGCATACAGGTGCTGCCCTGCTGTACATTCAGCATATCCTTCGTAGTAATATATACTTTGTACTCAGGGCTACCAGCCTCTTTTAATCTTGTGTATTGTTCTTGAAATGCTCAAAGGCTCTCAGCGTCACATATCGTCTCGATTTTTTCGACCTGGACTCGTCGTAAGTCTCAATGTACCATATTGCTGAGCTGACTCGAAAGATCCATTTGTTGTTCAATGCGGGGTGGCTGTGTTGGCTGGCGGTGTTGGCTGGCCGTGCGCCTAATTGATCTCCTTGCAACACGTTGCACCCCGCTACACATCATCACAACTTCGATCCTTCCTTGCTTCCTTCCTTCCTCCCTTCCGTCCTGCCTGTGTGTGTACTGTCGCACTTGACTCATACTGCCCAGACTTGCAGCGATGTCATCGAATACGTCGCCAGATTTTTGAATGTAAGATACGACTGTGGCTTTCGACAGGTAATCGTAGAGAGTGGAGATGACAAAGTTCAGCGCACACAGACGTTGCGTTGCAGGATCGCTCGAGTGATAACCACGAGGCAAGAACAGCACTTAGCATGATGTTTGTCACAGGTAAAACTTCCAACCCGAGCGTCCAGTTGCCGATCTATCAGACCAAAAATAAATCACCAACATTCAGATCCTGCTATAAAAATACTACAGGAACGATGCGATCAGACATATCAATCCGTAGCAATCGCCACATACGCCTCGGTCGACAACAACAAAAGGGAAACAAGTTTCTCTCGCATCAACTTATTGCAGCTCTTGATGACTCGAGGGCCACTACATCAACAGGCCAGACGAAAACATGGATCTTTACACCTGGATTTCACCGGTCGTTCCTATTGCCTATCTCTCGACTGCAAGCTTGGCGTTCTATGTTCTCTTGAACCTTCCTCAGCATCTCAGGAGTACATGCTTTCCCATCTTCGTCATGCCTGCGTGGCGTGCTTTTGCAACATTCAAATATTTCACATGGCCCGCTTCGCTGGACGGTATCTGGGGACTCGCAGTTCTGATATGGATGGCCAACATCATATCGTTGTTGTACATCGACAAGATTACGGTGCAGAGTAATACCAGGAAGCAGTGGGACATCAAAGCTGCTTATAAGCTTCTCTTTGATGTGCGGCACCTTGACAAATTCCGACCCACCTTTTCTACTCCCGAAAAACCTATTTGTGGAAGGCCCCTGATCGTTTTCGCGGCAACTCAACTGTTTAGACTCTTTGTCTACTGGCAGGCCACAGTACACCTGTTCACTCCAATCATACCCCTTCTCTTTGGCCCTGTCGAACCGTGGGAGTTTGATCAGTACGCCCAGATCTACTTCCGCCGATTGCCATTGTTCGAAGCAAGTGAACCTGTCACCTTACGCGAGACTTATATCCGTATCGTCTTCACCTTCCGTTGGATTTGGCTCAGCTTCGTCGACGTTGATGCCGCGCACACTTTTTTGAGCATCATCTTCGTTGGAGTGCTAGGGCTTGATTCCCCTGAAGAGTGGCCATCGATGTTTGGAAGTCCTCTGGAAGCATATACCCTTCGTCGCTACTGGGGTAGATTCTGGCATCGTCTGGTACACAAGCCTTACTTGAGTATCGCAAAACTTCTTGCAAGCAAATTGCACATCGGCAGTCTTGGTCCAAGATCGGAGAAGACTTTTCTTGCCTTGCTTGTCTTCCTCATCTCTGGAGTCGCTCATGCTATGGTCTCCTTGCAGAGAGGAAAGCCTACAGAGGCCATTGACGACATGGCATTCTACTGTATCAACTTTCTCGTAATAGCGATAGAGGGCATGGCTTTGTATCTTCTTCGACCGATACGTCGACTTCTGCCTCGATGGCTCTGTAGGACGACTGGATACATCTGGGTCTTGACGTTCTGGTTCTGGGCAGCACCAAAATGGTCATACCCTGAGGTGCACGGCGAGATGCTCAGAGAAATTGAGAGGAAGAACAGAGCACAGGGACTCGGGATTTTTGGCAGTCTATTGAGTGGAAAGTAGATGTTCAGCACCTTGACATTCGTGCAATTTTGTATATAGTCATGATAGACGACGAGCATATTTGACATAAATTACAACTTCTGAATTTTCTCATCACCACAAATAACTGGAGCAAAAAATGTTCAGTAAAGCGCATTACTAATGGTGTCAAGCAAGGAGCTCGGGCAATCAACTTGATCTGTAGTCTAAATTACGTTGGTGCATACAAGTACACCACACCTGTCAGCTGGGAGTGAGACGAACCTTAATCCGACACAACTTAAACTGAAATTACCTCGAGAGTCAACTTAAATCAGACTACAAAGATACTCTACTGACCTCTAGTTTTACAAAACCGGAATTAAGATCGGATTCAGTGTGACTCCCGCTTTTCTCGTCGAAGGACAATTTAAAACCACTGGTCGAAATCCTGAACTACAAAAATCACTAGGCAAGGAGGACGAAAAGTAAGTTTTGGTGAAACACGAAGCTGAAAAATTGAAATCTAATCAAACTAGCGAGCGAGATACAAACAAGGAAAGAGCAAACAGAACAAGAAACTGAGACCAAAGCAGAGAGAATAAGAAAACACCAGAGTCCGTCACTATCACTATCGGCCTGTCCTTCAGATCAGGCCATATACCACACAATCAGGGTCTTAGTGGCAATTGAAGTCGAGCGGATGACACTGTCCATCTAGTGGAAGTAAGACTGGAGCTCCTTCAACTCCTCATCAGTGAGGCCACTGAACTTGAGAGAGTCGGCACCAAGAGGAATGGGGTAACCAGCATTGAAGCTACCAGTCAAGGTGGTAGCGAGGACCATGCAAGTAGAAGGAACACCAGCGACCTGGAAGCCGCCAGGTCCAGCAGGGGTGAAAGTGAGAGTGGCGCCGTTGAGAGATTCGCGGCACATGTCGTAGTTGTACTGAGGAACAGAATCGAGAGGGTCAATTGCGCGGCGCTCGTGAATGCCGCGACGACCGATGAGACCGCCAACGACACCACCGGCGAATTGAGCGCCAGCCTGGAGGACACCGTCGCCGGTGAAACCTTTGCCGTGAAGACCCTTCTTGGCTTCGGCGGAGGAGGCAAGAGCCATGGTGATAGCGATGATGATGGTAGAGAATTGCATCTTGAATGAAGTATTGAGGATGTTTTGGTAAATTGTAGGGTGGATGAAGTAGTGTTTGTGAAGGGTGTTTGAAGAGCTGAGTGGCTTTGGATGCTTTGGTTGTTTGGTTGCTGAGTCGCTTGATGATTTCCTTTTCGCTGGACTTCGAAGAGGTTTATATACCTTCCTGCGTCCGAGTCTCTTACGGAATCTCAGAGACCTCGAGCAAGACCTACCTTCTGTTGTTGCGATCTTCGTCGAAGTGCTACTACGCGAAAGGATGGAATCCACTGTTGGCGTTGGTATCTGAGCCTCGCAATCCGCCTCAGGATGGCCAACATGCTGAATTGAACAGGATTCATCTGAGCAACAATTTGTTGGACGAGTGGGTCGAACATGGGGTGCTAAGTCCGTCACTATCCTCTGAGTTGATCATTGTGATAGTGTAGCAGAAAATAGAATGCTAAGTTCGAATACTGAGGTTGCTGTTGATGAGCGCCGCAGATTTTCTCCGCAGCACGTGGTGGCTGGGTTTCGTTTGTTTCTATTTCTGTTTGAGCTTGCAGCAAAGAGATCCATCCTCCACGGGCATGCATACCGCAAGACACTTACGAAACTTGAGCCTGGGATTTATATCGCAAACAATATGATCAGCGTAAGTAGACGCCAGATAAGTTCGCGCTCCACAGGCTACCAGAGTCGAATGAGCATATTTTATGCTTTGTGCAACGAAAAGTTGTGTATGACACAAAAGTATTATGCAAGCATGATTGATCGCCTGAGGCGCTAAAGCTGAAGGATTCAGTCCGCGACCCAGCAGGAACGAAATGCAATTTATCTGATATTGTCCAGACCAACCAACCAACCAACGCAGCCTAGGCGCCCTGCATGATTGTAGCATCAAGATCTGCGCGATGATGTTTCCTCTAATAACAACTTGAACAGCTATGAGTCGCCAATTCTTGACCGCATTCTCTGCGCCACGGTGTAGGCATGCCAATATGAAACAGGATATCTGATCGCTTCCTGGAGACCATCTTCCTTCCCTCTCCAACATCTTGTTGTTGTCACTTCCCCAACATATCTTCTTGTCGACAACATCATTTGTACGATGAAGTATAGCACGTCGCTACCACTGCTTTCAGTCTTCGCTTCATCTGCTCTGGCCACAGGCCCGCTCGAGTTCTCGCTCAGGAGTGAACCACATTCAGAACTTTCACGTGTCGCTGAACGTGATGTGGACGGGACCTCTGAGTCTGCAGTTCTCACCAACTTTGCCGGTCAATTGGGAATGAAGTACTTTGTCAACTTCACCGTCGGAACGCCAGGTCAACTTCAGACCGCAATTCTTGACACTGGAAGCGCGGATACAATCCTCGTCCCCTCCGACGCTCCATTCTGCAAAGAAAAGGGCGCGAAATGTCTAGGCGGGACTTACAACGCATCGGCCTCATCCACCTTTGAGATGATCACATCTAGTGCCCTAGATGCAAATTATGGCGAGACTGGTACCGATTCTGGTTTTGTCGCAGATCTTGCAACCGATGTGATCCAGGTCGGCGACGTCGTTGTTTCTGGTGCTCACTTTGGTATAGCCGGTCAAGCTGAAGGTAATTTCCTCGGCGACAGCAGTTATGCCGGCATCATGGGTCTTGGTTATTCGGCCATGGAGGCTGTCAAAAAAGGTCAACCGTATTATCCAACTTTTGTCGAGTCGCTTGTCGGAGCTGGAGCCATTGCCTCGCGTGTCTTTAGTCTCTATCTCAATGAAGTGAACAGCTACGGCTCTATCTTATTCGGCGGTGTTGATACCGAGAAGTACACTGGCAATCTTACCACCTTGAACTTGGTGCAAGCGGGAGTGAACGGAAAAATGGTCCAGGCATTCTTCATGTATCTTGATGAGGTCATGATGAAGCGTGGAGATGGCGTGGAGGAGACGATTGTTGCACCCAACGAGATTCAAGAGTTTGTCTATCCGGACTCTGGCGCTTCAGATTGGACAGTGCCTACGGACGTCTACAACAAGGTAGTCAACATGACCGGCGTCACGGTCACAAAGACCAATGCAGTCATGGCCTGCAGCAAGATCTCAAATGAGACATCCTTCACCTTTACGCTCTCCGGCAACGGAACCAACACAGCCAAACTGGATATTCCCCTTTCCTCCTTCTTTGTACCTGCAGCCAAAACTGATGGGTCTATCGCAAAAATCGGGGGTGAGGATGCTTGTCTAATGATGATCAAGCCAGCTGCTTCAGGGTCGAAGTTCTACCTCCTCGGTGATCCCATCATTCGTGCAGGCTACTGGGTGTACGACCTGGACAACGGACAAGTCTCAATCGCTCAAGCACGTCTTTCAGCCACCAATTCGAATATCGTCGCTGTAGAAGCTGGTCCTCATGGTATTCTGAATGCGACAAATCAACCTGCTGAGCTTAGTACCAATCAGACTCAGCGTGTTGCTGGTACTGCTACTGCATCAGTCAGCTACTCATTGTATACTGCTACCAATGCCGTTGGACAGACTTCCGGTCCGCAGTCTACCGATATCAGCAGTGGAGCTATCAGTCTGATGTCTGGCATACCCGCTGAAGGTATCGTGTTTTTGACTGGCGCTCTTTTACTATCCGTCGTATTCGGCGCCTTCATACTCTAACCACACCCACTATAGATCCCCATCAGTAGATAACCCAAGTCTCTTGAAATGTTAGACATGTGTCCACTTAAGAGGCAAGCTTTAACCGTGCCTTCTTGATCTTGTAACACGAAGTCGTTCGCACTTGCATTGTGCAATCCTGACGAAGATCCGGAGTCGCTCCTTGTACACAAAAGATCTTTAGTCGGTCGCATTGTTGTCCAGCGAGCGGCTGTCTCGTTCCACGCCAAGCCCTGGTGTAGATGCCCATTCCCGCGCTGCACAATCATGCGTCCCCCCCTAATTTATATAGTCTCCAAAGTGTTGAGTGTTGTCTGATGCAATCTGAAGACCATTCGAAAGATGTTTATGGATAGACTACGGACAACAAATTGACCACGTTTCGGCGGTGGTTTTACCTGGGCAGGAAGTCGTCAGCTCCATCGGTGCACAAAAACAAATGGACAGATTACGCTACCCAATATCTCGACTATGAGCTGCAGATTCTGACGATATCAGATAGCTAAACTACAAATAATGAACGACTGTACCTAAGAACGACCCAAGATGCGCAGTCGTGATAGAAAGTCATTTTCATGGAGCATCTTGTCGTTGTCGAGGGAAGCACCCTGGCGCGAGCGATACTCTTCCCAAATCGCACAAGAATGTTCAGCCCACGAAAGATGGTCGTAAGCTTTACCGTGTGCTACATACAGTACGTAACATTTGTAGCTCCCTCAAGCCACGACGACTTCTCGAACCTCCGTGATATATACCGGCACCTCACCCTGCAAGAAGCTGTTACTGCAGGATAACAAAGTCTCTCACATCTCTACGTTGTTCTGAATCGTCGTAGAATGGAGAGAGTTAGGACAAAGAGGCAAAAGTGAGTGTTGCTTAATGACAAGGATCCAGCCTCGATTCAATTTCATCCAATCGTTCCCCTGTTCTACCTAAACCAAACCCACCACTGTCTCAACCCTCTAAGCCCCCCTGTAGATTCCCCTCCCTAATCTCATTCAAACTCTTGGTGAGTCTATCCAATTTGATAGGTTTAGTCAAGAACAAATCAATCCCAGAGACAAACGCTTCTTCTTGAGCTTCCGCGCTCCCCAAGCCTGTCAATGCAATGATGGTCGCAGGTGTGACATCTTGACTGCGTTCAAAAGCGCGGATCTGGCGTGTGGCTTCAAAGCCATCCATGACTGGCATGGAGATATCCATGAGTACGACTTCTGGTTTGGGCGTTGTGGGAGCGTTGCCTAGAGCTGCTGCTTTGTAGGCTTCGAAAGCTTCGAGACCATTTGTTGCTGTGAGTTTGGCGTGGCCATGCTTTTTGGCATAGGCTGTGATTAGACGGAGATTTACGGCCTATGGATTATGTCAGTCTGGTGCCTATTTCTTTGTGTTTAGTGTCGCTTACATTGTCATCTACGAGCAGTAGCGTCGGTTTGGACGGATCAACGTTGGTTCCTGTTGTAGTCTTGACCTGCGTCGTTTTCGTCGTGACAGTCGTCACAGTCGTCTGCTGCTCGAAACCCGCTATTGGTGAGTCTTTAGGTAGCGCCGGAGGTTTGTCGTCCTGAGCCTCTTCCTTGAAAAACTTTTGATCGTTGGGTCGCGGCGTTGTCATATTGGGGTCTTCGGATTGACGTCTAGTTGGGAAGGGATATCCGGGGTCGGATGGCTTCTGTAACGACGTACCTGGAGGCGTCGGAGTGTTCTCTGACCATTGGTCGTCTTGAGGCGTGTCACTGAGACACCTTCTGATGGCGGCAGCGAGCTTGCGTGGACCACAAGGTTGTGCCACGTATTCGATGTGACCGTGCACCAGCTGATTCAGTGCAGACTCCTTCAGATCGCGGCGTGACCGGCAATTTCTGCAAATGACCAAAAGAGGTTTCGTCCGTAGTTGTTGTGTCATATCGGTACCAGCGTGCGGTGTTCTTATCAAGGATGGTTGTAGCAGTCTCAGAAGCTCCGGAACATCTTCTTCTATGACCATCGCTAGATCGAAGGAGCTCGGCGAGGACCAGCTCGAGGGTGATAACATGACGTTGAGCTGTCGACATGTTTTCCGTAAGGTCTCTATTTGGAAATCACGACCGGCCATGATCGTCTTCTCTCGATATTGCTCAGTAGGGGCAAAGCCCAGACATTGCATGGAAATCATGTTTGGTCCAGAGGATAGAGTTCGGCTGTGAATACGCTGAGCGTCTCCAGCTCCCCTGACGTCGAGGGGCATAGTGACTGCAACGGTCGTGCCAACATCCTTTTTACTCTGGACGTCGATGTGTCCTCCAAGATTCTTGACAATCTTAGCGACCATCGACATACCTAAGCCAGTGCCCTCCGAAAGATCGTCTTCTTGAGCAAACGCACGGAAAAGTTGACTTGTCAAGAACTCCTTCGAGATACCTTTGCCGCTGTCCGTGATTGTCAGGCGCACACGTGAACGCCTCTGCCTTTCCGTTGGCGGTATCAGCTTCAAGGCCGCGACAATATAACCTCTCTCAGTGTACTTGAGAGCGTTGTTTATGATATTGATGCACAATCGTTTCCAGGCCCCTACCGCAATGCTGCAATTCAAAGACAAAGCACTGGGGTCAATGTCGGTGATCACTGTGACTTTGCGTTGGTTGAGTGTCTGTCCGTCTTTGGAGCAGCAGAACGAGTAGACTGCAGTGTCAATGACCTCCTCCGTCAGTTCATCAAGCAAGACGTTCGTTTTTTCCACGACCATGCCACCGAGCGTTTCAGTCCTGCTGAGACCGGCAGAGCGATTACGGTTCCTTTGATCAACGCTAGTCTGTAGCTGTTTCCTGTTGTGTTTGGAAACCGAGTTGACCTTAGAAAAATCGAGGAGATGGTCCACAACATCAAGTAATGTCTGCCCGCACACTTGAATCTGACCAATCATATCTGAGGCCTCATGGTCGTGAATCATATCAGAAACAAACTCAGCTGTTCCAAGAATGCCGTGGAGCGGACTGCGAAGCTCATGGCTGATGCTTGATAAGAAGTCGGATTTGACTTTGTGTGACATCTCCATGTCTAGTCTTCCAATCTTTGCCGTGATGACATCGCAGAATGCCTTCAGATAGCACATTTCGGACTCGAGAGAGAATACTCGGATGGGAGAGTTTGAGTAGACAATACAGCCGGCGTCCCACCGATCTCTCGACATATTCCAAAGTCCAAGCAGCATCAAACTCCTCGCTTCGGGGAACAATGCCCCTAATTTTCTGCCCAGCGCAGACCTGGTTGAGCGCTTCCGTCTCTGGAAGGAATCCTTATTTCCACGAACGTTGATAGGGGTCATGGAGAAGACTTGGGTGTCGACGAAACCACTGCCGTCGGATGTATGCGTATCGGACGTGTAATCGCCCTCTGCCCCATACAGAAAGACCTTTCCGTGTTTATGACATCTCAGCAGAGATTGTAATAGTTTCTTGGGAACCTCTGCATGGGGCGGGGTGAAGCTGGCAGGTACCAGCCCGTAAGAAGCCCCGAAGACCGAGCAAGGCTTTGAAACGTCTTCCTGGTTATTTGGTTTGTCCAGTGTATCTGTAGCACTACCAGCGCCTTCTGTATCGCTTGTGAAAAGATCCGGCTCACGTCCTGGTTTCGCAACATCGATGGCCTCATCTGCTAGTTCACCAAAATTCGACATGGAAGCATCCAGGAACAGAACACCGTCCGCGCCTACTGCAGTGCGAATGAAGTCCGCGGCGGATTGCATTGCGTTGCTTGCGATCTGATCTCGCAGCTTGAGTGGGTCCTCCTCTTTCTTTGTAGCTAAGCCTGCGTTTGACTTCGTACTGTCTCTACGAGACATGGGCGGACGCACAGTCTCTGATGGTATTGGCGGCGTGTTGTTGGATTCAGCAACGAGTGAGTTCAAAGTACGACCAGTCGTCAGCAGAGCGTTTTCGTCCTCTAATTTGTGCTGAAGGGTCAATTGCTCCATATCGTGTTCCGTCAACTCCGTAAGGTCTGCATTGGCAAGTTCGCTGGCTTGCGCGATAGCCTCTAAGGTTTCAGATGAAGCGGTGGGAGGTGTTCTCGCTCGCTCATCTCGGACGCCTGGCTCATTCTCCATGAATGAGTTGAGAGCCTTCACCATCAGTGTACCTCGGCGTTGTTCTGCTCGCGCCTTCAGCATAGCCAGATGCTCCATAACCAGGGAACCCATCTCTTGTACGAAGCGCACATCCTTTGTTTCGAGTCCGTCTCGAGGTTTGTCATCCAGAATACTGTTGCAGTCTCGAGTCAGCTTCTAATCAACACCATGCTGAATCATGACGATTGTCAGAAGTGTGTTTAACGCTCACCACTGCTCTAGAATTAGTCAGGAACTCAAGACTTGTAGAGGCGAGGCAACGTACAAAAGCACCGATATTGAAGCCCTTAGCTGTCGTTATGGGCACACCAGCATAGAATCGAGCCTTTATGCCACCAGCAACATAAGGCTGATTGGAGAAGCGAACATCTTCCAATAGATCATTGACGATATGGATTTTTGCTCCAGTTTGGTCCTGAGCATTATTTCCAAGGTTGTTCGGTAAGTTGACGGTATGCTCGCAGACGGTAGAGCCTCGAGGTATCTTGGTCATACCTAGCCAAAGGCCATCTCCGGGGTCGTGAATACCATCGTCCTCGAACGACAGGGTCTGTGTGGCTTCGCCAAGGATATATGCATGTTGACTGTCGAAGCAAAAGATCATAGCCCGCCTAGCCTTCAAACGTAGAGCAGCGAGTTGGCAAAACGCTGTCAACGCTTTGTCCGTGGATGAGGTCGGTGTGTGTTCCTCGTCGGTCTCGGAAGAGTTGAGGTCGGTCCATATGGCATCGGGTCCGGCGAGTATGCGAAGCGGCTCATAGTAGCTAAAAGGCACTTAACTTTGACATCAAGCGAGCCAGTGGGATTTGGGTTCTGTCAAACCTGTAGAACTCGTGCTCGCGTTTTCTCTCGTAACGTGCTCGGTCTTGTGGGCTCGTAGCCTCGACATCGACTGTAGTAGACATGGCAATCGACTCCGGAAAACTACCCCATGAGTCGTTCGACTGATGTATACAAGAGACGATTCAAGACCCTAGAAAGAGAGAAACCAATCTATCTGCCAAGCTGTTTCGTGACCGCAAGCGTGTGTTGATGGCTCATGCATGTCCCAGATTGCGCTTATCAAGCTGTCAATAGATCAGACCCTGATGGCGATTGCCGGAAAACAGTCTTCAGCTATGGTCCCTTGCGGTGTGCATACGCGATGGAAGCCATGTGAAATGACGATTCGGCAATTGACGCTGCGAATAGGCTGGCAAATTCGACATGCTCCACATCGTCGGAATAGGTACCGCTTGGTCATAGAGTCCGCGTCAGTATAAGCGATGGCCTAAAAGTCCAGCCTGCTGGCCCATTCGCTGTTGAAAAAACATCCCATGCAGAAAACACTGGAACCAAGTTTTATCCCGAGGATCGCCGAAACAGTTGGTGTCGTCAGGCTGTGCGAATGTAAGTCGCCCATCTTGACATCGAAGTTTGTTGTGGTCGATTGACCCCGATGCTCGGGTGCACTTGCCCCAAACCGTTTCCCACGTAATGAGGCTCGTGTCAACGCTCAGGGGGCCTGATACAGCACTGTGCCTTGTTTTTCCACCAAGCTAGCGGCTGCAGTTTGCTGCGACTAGAATGCGACACTCACAAGTTGGTCTTGGTCGGGTGTTGGTGAAGGCCTTGAAGGGAAATAGTAAATGACGATCGGCGGAGGAATTCACTCCGGCAATCGCGTGTTAAGCGGCAAATCGTGCAGAAGGAAAAACACGGGAATAACGTATTTGACTTAGAAAGTAGTTGGAACGATAGCTGCCATGTGACAGGAGACAAATAGGCAAGATAAACAGCGCGTATATGCAGGAAGAAGGTCAAATTGCAGTCCCATATGTCCAGTCTAACGCCCTTCGTAAAGCATGCAAAGTGAGAAGATATGCAATGAGATCACAAGCGGCTCTCGAGGCCATCCCACTGTCTCTCACCAGGCCAGTGGTCATCAGGCCAGACCTGACGCATGGCTTCCCATATGTGACCAACGTATACGATCTCGAGGCCTGATAGCACTTCTTCAGGCAAGTCCCTAGTGTCTTTCCTGTTGGCATTTGGCAACAAGACCTTCTTGACACCGGCGCGATGTGCGCCGATCAGCTTCTCCTTGATGCCGCCGACCGGAAGGACTTTTCCGCGTAGACTGAACTCGCCGGTCATTGCAAGAGTAGGCGGTACAGACTTGCCACTAAATAGACTGACAAGGGCAATTGTGTGTGCTAGACCTGCACTGGGTCCGTCCTTGGGGATAGCACCGCTTGGGCAGTGTACGTGAATACTGCGACTCTTCATGATATCCTCGGTGGGATCATGTGTCAGTGCCAACTCGAAAGCATGGGCTTTGACCCATGTCAAGGCAACCTCGACACTCTCTTTCAGGACATCTCCAAGCTTTCCAGTGAGTTGTACGCGGCCAGAGCCAGGCATGTCAGCCACTTCGATAAAGAGTATACTGCCTTGGTTACCAGAGCTATAGGCCACGAGACCAGTGACTATACCCGGCCGTGACGTGGTAGCCGCAATTTCCTCTTCGAAGCGTTCTATGCCCAGTATCTCTTCGAGATCTTCCATTCGCACAGTTGGGGAGTAAGACGTAGAGCTAGCATCGGATGCTTCGGCGTACGCTACCGCTTTGCTACGACAGACTGAGCCGATCTCACGCTCTAGATTACGGACACCTGCTTCGCGTGTGTAGGAGGTAATGATCTTGTCAAGCACATCCTCAGCAATGGCAACCTGATCATGGTTAAGACCGTTGGTGGTAATCTGCTTCGGGATTAGATGGCGATTGGCGATGTGACGCTTCTCAACACTCGTATAGCCAGCCAGCTGAATGGTCTCCATTCTGTCAAGCAATGGCGCAGGAATCGTGTCCAGAGAATTGGCTGTGGCAATGAACAGGACCTTGCTCAGATCGATGGGGATATTGACATAGTGATCGGTGAAAGTGTTGTTCTGCTCAGGATCCAAGACTTCCAACATGGCAGCAGAAGGATCGCCGTGGTGACTCGATGTACCAATCTTGTCGATTTCATCCAGCAAGAAGACAGGATTCGAGACGCCTACCTTCTTGAGACCACTAACAATCAGACCAGGCATTGCCGCAACGTACGTACGACGGTGCCCGCGAATCTCGGCTTCGTCACGGACGCCTCCCAAGCTGATCCTGTGGAACTTCCGACCTAGCGCAGTAGCAACTGATTTGGCTAAACTGGTCTTGCCCACACCTGGTGGTCCCACCAGAAGCAAAATGGGTGATTTGTCAACCATGCGCTTCTTGTCTAGAATTTTGGCCTCCTCAGGCGTCTGTTCGGGCTTCGTCTCGGGGTTCTCAGCATTCTCGACTTTGCTGGAGGCATTCGCTTCCTCGGTGATCTTGTCGATCTGAGACTGGAGGTTGGCATTGACCTGCTGCTTCAACTTCAGTACAGCCAGATATTCGAGTAGTCGCTTCTTAATCTTGTCAAGACCGTAATGATCATCGTCTAGTTGTTTGCGAGCTCGTGATAAAGTTGCGGGATCGAGCTTGTCTTCGGTGAACTTGGTCCAGGGGATTTCAGAGAGATTCTCGAGATAGGTCCTGCAGACCTGGTAGTCGGCTTGTGCAGGGTTAATCTTGGAAAGTCTCTTGAGTTCGCGGTCAGCAACCTTGGAGGCCTCAGGAGACAGCTTGGCCTCATCGAGACGTTTCTTCAACTCGTCAATCTCATTGGGCTCTTCTTCTTCGTCGGGTTTGCCGAGACCAAGGGGTGAATTAGATGCACTGCCAGCCAGACCGCCACCAAATCGCTTGAGTAGCTGCTGTCGGCGTATACGCGCAGCTTGTTCCGAATCCACGTCACTATCGGGAACAGATGACTTGATTGACATGATGCGGTTGTTGCCTTGTATAGTCGAGACATTTCTCTGCAGCAAGTCAACAGCACGCTCGAGACGAAGCTTGAGCGGGAGGGCGGAGATGATGCGTAGCTTGTCCTCCTGAGAGCACTCGATGATGTTTGTCATGAAATCAGCAAGGACGCCAGCCTCTTGCAAATCTTTCCTGACGATGAATAGTTCAAGACGGCGAGCGAGGAGTGGCGACAATGAGGTGGGTGGGGCACGTGGTAATAGGGAGGAGAGCCTGATGAGGGCGAGCAGTTCTCTCGAAAGCTGCTTGAGCTCAGCAAAGAGTGCTCTGACCTCCTTATCTGATTCGTCGACACGTTCATCTGTATGGACCGAGACGTCTGCTTCAAAGTAGGGGGTGTCTCGGACGAAGCTGTTGATCTGGAAGCGGCTCACGCCCTCTACGACCAAGGACAGTTCGCCACGTCTCTTTCCCTGGACACCAGAAACCTTTGCGAGAGTACCGACGGAGAATAGCTGGTCCTGGGTAGCCTGAGCGGGGTTGATGCCGGCAATGGGGCGTCTATTGTTGTCTTTGCCATCGTCGAGCAGCTTTTGACCGTCAGAGCTAAGATAGGGAGACTTTACAGGCAGACAGCCGACGCTGATCGAGGTAGGATCAGGATTGGGAGTGGCAGCTTTGCTGTAGATGTTTGCAAGAATGGCGGCGATATCGCCACGACCTTGGAGTGGAATGCGGAGAGTCAAGCCTGGCAAGAGGACGGAACCCTCTGCCAGGGGAATTATCGGGAGTGTTGTAGTCTTGGGTGTTGCCATGGTTGTGAGCCAGCAAAATGGCTGGGTATAGAAGTCACTCGCTGCACGAATATAGGGGAGATGAGTGATAGGTAATCAGAAGTCGAATGTGTTGATAAGGTGGTCTCGCGAGTTGCACATGTCATCGATTGGTTAATGCGGAGAGAACGGGCCGAGGTCTTTGTTTAACGCCGACCCAAGGGAGTTAAGCAGTCTTGGCGGCGATTTGTGAAACTGTGAAACCATCGACTTTTCGATGCTGACGCCGTCGGAGCCTTCGCCTCGTGTGAGTATTTCTCGACACACGACCAACACCAATGTCTTTGAGCGCCTGTGTACGCCGTTCACTGGGCACTCGTGGTCTGCGATGCTTTGTTGCGCCATCCTTCGCCGCAGCCACTCGACCAGCTGCATTGGCCTTCCGCCCGTTCTCCATCACCACAAAGTTCGCCCAAGAGCAGGCAGAAAAGCCCGAGACTGATGCGCCCGACGCTGCAATTGAAGCTACGGAATCTGTCGAAGTCGCCGAAGATGAGGCGGTAGCTCAGTCAACAGAAGTAGAATCAGTCCCCTGGTACCTTCAGGTCGACACGCCCACGCCACAACAAGAGCATCCTTTCGCCGAACGCCAGCGCCTGCCCGAACTGCCCGAGTCTCCGCCAGCCCTTCTGCAGCCAATTCTCGAGCATGTCTCGGTCGAACTCGGCTTAGACCATCTTTCCCTTATCGATCTGCGCGAACTCGACCCCCCTCCTGCCCTTGGTGCCAATCTTCTCATGGTCATTGGAACCGCTCGCTCGGAAAAGCACTTGCATGTTTCGGCCGATAGACTCTGCCGCTGGTTACGTACTGAGCACCGTCTGACTCCTTATGCAGACGGTCTCCTCGGTCGCAACGAGCTCAAGCTCAAGCTGAGACGCAAGGCCAAGAGGACTCGTCTGCTGAGCGCTGTCGGTGCAAAAGAGACTGCCAGTCAAGACATTGACGACGGCATCAGAACAGGCTGGGTCTGTGTCAACGTTGGCAAAGTTGAAGGCGGTGCCCTCCAAATGCAGCAAGAGCCAGAAAACTTTGTTGGTTTCGGTGGTCAGTCGTCCGGCTCTAGAATTGTCGTTCAGATGATGACCGATGAGAAGAGAGGCCAGATCGATCTCGAGACCCTGTGGAGTGGTATCCTCAGAAGATCCATAAAGGCAAAGTCTGACAAGGACCAAGATGTCGATGATGCAGAGACACGCGTCCGTAAAGGCTTGCTGCTTGAGGAGTCTCAAGACTCGCCTGGTTCTTACCGCTACCGTCCCCATGCTGCTGACTACCCAAGTGGACAACAAGCACGAGCATTCCACTCCTCTGCTAAACAATCAACACAACAAGGTGCGCAAAACTCAACACTCTCACAACTCAACCCTCAATCTGACAGAATTTCTCAAAGTGCCATCATCCTGAACCACATGGTCGATCATGTCCAGTCTATGAGCCCTTCCGAAGCTCTCAAAGCACTCGGTCGTGATAGCAAAGATCAAGAGTCGACTCCCATGCTGCGCGCTTTCTACACTGCTATGCCTAGATTTCCCGAAACCATGCATTGGCATGCGCACGTATCGCTCGATTGCCATGCAGTACGACTGGGCCATGCTGGTTACACTCACACATGCCTGATCCAAGACTTGGAGAGCATGCGTATTGCCTCTCTCATCCCAGACGAAAGAACATATCTAGCAGTGCTCGAGGCTATCCTGCTGCCATATGCCGAGGATGCGCCTCCGACACGAGCAGTCGTCATATCTCGCACCACAATTCGACGAGCCCTTGCCGTTTTGGACCGTATGTCTGAAGACGGCATTGATCCTGTGAGCAATTCGGTCTGCACGATTTTACATCGTGCAACTTCCACGGCCCCAGCTATCACTCAAGACTCGATAACAAACACAACGAGTCAATCTACATCAACATATCAACAGCCATTTGCGCTGAATCAACTCATCTCCGCTCTATCTGTTTATGCTCTCCGCGCCACTGCTCAAGATTCTCCATGGTCCGAATTCTGGGAACTTTGGCGTTCTTACCCTCGTCGTATGTCACCACGCTCTAGTGACATGTATGTGACCATGTTTGACAAGGTCGCCGAGAGAAACAGTCAGAAGGATGCGATGGATGCCTTGAGACAATGTGTACCTGAAATGTTGCGCGAACAGCCAGCAGTCAAGCTGGGAGGTCAAGTGACTGATGCTGTTATGCGATGTCTAGATATCGCAGAGCCTCGAGCTGAGAAACTAGCTAGGGAAGGTAATCGTGGTGAATGGGCTACTCTGTGGCTAAAGTGTGCAAAGTCTCTGGAACTGGGTTGAGTGTAGGGCCCACGACTGACGATTTCAACGACTTTTTTCTTTCTAGCATTATATCCATCTTGTATCAATACTTCTGTCTTCGCTCTCGCATGTGTATTCCCACACTCCCGATCAATGAAGCCGAAACCGGGCACTCGGAGAGGTGCGTCAGACCGGGCGAGAATCAATCTGGAGATGTGGAGAAATCGATTTGATTCCCCACCACGAAAGCGCTCCCAAAAGAGGGTCCCACTTTGCCGTGCGACGTAAACGGTTTCGCGTCGACGTAGACTTTATACCGCGCGGACATGCCGTCAAGAATAACCGTGGGACGGTTATGGGGCGCGGCTTTTGAGAAATGCGAGAAATACAAAAGTAATTCAGTTGGCTTCTTGGTGTGAGGTGTTTCTCACTCTTCTCACACTACTTGAGTACTGCTTCATTCTGTTGCACTCTAGACAACAGGCTTCTACTTGGGATAAACCTCTATACAGCTGAGCTATATTGATCTGACTGTGTGGTTGACTACTGTCAAAGACGTCAAGATGTCAAACAACGTCAAGGACATGCACATCTGCATTGCCGGCTCAGGTGCGTCTTCCCCCCTCATCTTCATAATGCCCTCTTCTAACAACCACCCCAGGCATGGGCGGCCTTGCATGCGCCCTCTCCCTAGCCCGTCAAGGCTTCACCAAAATCTCCGTCTACGAATACGCCTCCTCCCTCGGTTTTGTCGGCGCCGGTATCCAACTTGCACCAAACATGGCACGCATCCTCGACCGCCTAAACGTCTGGTCACCCATCCAAGCCGAAGCTGTAGACCTCAAGGACACTTCCATCCGTCAAGGCTCTTCAGATGCCGAACTCGCGAATGTAAAGCTGGACTATGTGAAACAGACTTATGGATACCCGCACATGGTTGGCCATCGCTCTTCTCTGGCTGGGGAAATGTACAAAGGCTGTAAAGAAGAGGAAGCGAGTATAAAGTTCTACTTTTCGCATGCTGTGCAGAAAGTCGATGCTTGGACGCCGAAAGTCAGTTTTCAAGTCAAGCCGAGGGATGCAGAGGCTTTTGATGTAGAATGCGACATTCTTCTCGCTGCTGATGGTGTAAAATCAAACATTCGCGATCAAATGCTGGAGCTTTTGAATATCGACGCCAAAGTCGTGGATTCGGGACAAGCAGCTTATCGCATCATGCTAAAGAGAGAAGACATGGAACACGACCCCGAGTTGCTCGAACTCATCGACTGCGAGAGAGCAACACGCTGGATTGGAGAACGCAGACACATCATCGCCTACCCAGTCTCCAACAATACAATCTACAACCTCAGCACCGCACAACCAGATGCAAACTTTGCAGCAGCACCTTCAGCCACTTACACGACAAAGGGAAGCAAAAAGGAAATGTTGGAGGTGTACTCTGATTTCTGCCCCAAAGTGCAAAAGATGCTTAATATGGTGCCGGAAGGCGAGGTTTGTGAGTGGAAGTTGAGGGTACATGCTCCTCTGCCTACATGGGTGCATGGGAATATGGCGTTGGTGGGTGATGCTTGTCACCCTACGCTTCCTCACCTCGCACAAGGAGCCGCTCAAGCGATCGAGGACGGTGCAGTGCTAGGTGTTGTGTTGAGCAAACTCCCTGATACGAGTGCGGAGAGCATCAACAAGGCACTCAAAGTTTACCAGGAACTGAGGAAAGCGAGAGCGGAGGGCTTAGTGGCTTTGGCTGCGGCGAATGGAAGAGAGATGCATCTTGGTGACGGTGCTGCCAAAGAGGCGAGGGATGCGGCATTCAAGGCAATCAGGGAGGGGAGAGAGGGTGCCAAGGTGCCGGATAGATGGGCCGATGCTGATGTGCAGAAGATGATCTACGGCTATGACTGTTGGTCGGATGCTGAGGTGCAGTTTGATGCTCTATTTGCCGCTGCTTGAGGAATTTAGTATACGTTCGTAGGCATGCAAATAGCACGATACTGCAAGACATGTCACTGCAGTTTAATAAAGGTAGTGCACCGACATCAGTGTAAGTTGAGATTGTGAAAGTGGACATGAAATTAGATTCGATTATCCGGATCGCCTGTACTCTCCAAGGGGAATCGGTGGTGCCTCGGATACGCTCAGTCTATGCAGTCTTGACATCCGTGTGGGTCTCAGGTCGTCGTCTCTGGATCGTGGAATAGAGGAGCGGATAGTGTGAAGCGGGCCGAGTAGTCTATGCACCACCTTCGCGCTTTGCGTACTCGTCCTCCATGGCCTCGCGGTACTTCTTGTCTGCATCAGACTCCTCGGTCACGTCTTCGACCTCGTTCTCTTGGAGACGACGCTGGTTGGTTGACTGTTGAGGCATGCCCAGCTGCTCGCGACCCTGGCTGTCGTAGTGTCTTGTCTCTTCTATCGTGGGGCCACCAAGGTTTTGCTGGGTAGTGCGGACAGAGGTGCCATCATGGTTTGTGTGCGAGACGGTGGAACGGGTAGCGCCTGTTGTCTGGCCGTCGTTGGAGCTGCTGCTGGAGCTGAAGGTGTACGAGCTATTGGTGAAGGTGCTAGAATTGCTGGACATGGTGGCGAGATGATTGTGTAGAGATGAGTAGGATGTTGAGTAGGACAGGATGGGAGAAGAAGTCAAGTGGTGGTCAGACTTGACCCAGGTTCACAAATGCAAGGAACTGCGACAGCGACAGCGACAGCGACCCCACTTCCCACTTCGACAGCCGCACGTCAGCCAAGCCCAGCGGTCGATCTAATCGCGGATAGATCCTTCCTCTCTCGACAGCCGTGCGTCAGTGTCGAACTGAAGCCTCTCATGTCCAACTTGGTACTTGGTCCTTTGCAGCTCGACACGATCACTCGAAGCCCAAGATGGGGCGCTTCTTTCCCTTGTACATTGCACGGTCCGATGGTATGCTGGAGACAGCTACCAAGCACGGTGCCAGGATTGCAAAAGAGGCCAACAAACCCACGCCCAAGCAGTTGGACGACAAGCCAAAGTCCGATGGCGTCAAGGACTACTACCGCGAGGTCGCCATCGACGAGTCGAAGCATATGGACTGGAGGAGGAAGCTTGCTGCCATGCTCGCACGCGATCTGAATCTCGATCTAGGTACGTTCGTGCAATGCGACACGGAACTTGCACGAAGCTGACCACTCGAGCAGAGAAGGGATATATCCTGGCCCACTTCCCCGAAAACTATCGCCTGTTCGAGCACGTCAAGACGGCAAAGAAAGGAGAGGGAGAAGCAAAGACAAAGACGCACGCTGGTGGAGGCAACGAACGTCAGGATGCCTACCTGTACGGTCATCCTCTCGGTCGCAAGAAGCGCTTCAGGAGTCCTGGCGACTTCTACCCACATCTGCTATGGCTGGCTACTGACCCGGAAGGCGACTCGGACAACTGTGGTTGCAAGATCTGCTGTCCCGAAGAGATGGACGCTTCCCTGAGAGACCAGACGGTGCAGCCAGTCATTGCTCGTCGTCCCAGCACACAAACACGACCTTCAAACACTCCGACACCGGGTCCGCAGACTGCCGCCTCCGCCGTTCCTCCTTCTCGTATCGCTGCTACCCCCGTACAACGGCAACCTCCGCCTACCGCCGCTACACAGCCCGCTCCCCGTCCCGTGGCCAAGCCCATGGACTATGAAATCGATCGCCAATACGCTCTCTTCCTGTTCCGTCAAGGAGAAATGGTCTGGTTTGACAAGAGCGGCGCATGGGGCTTGGGTGTCATTACCGAAAGATCAAAGGTCGGCCACGACTCAAACTACAGGGTGCAGCCTCTCTCATATCCCGAGCACTACACCCAGTCCGTGAACATCACCAGAGACGTCGACCTCCGCCCATGGCTAGCGTGGAGTGTACCCCCGTATACACACGATGCTCTGAACAAGATCAATCACTCTCTGCACTACACCACCTTCGACTTCAAAGCCCTGGCTACCGGCAAGTTTGGCGATGGTACTGTCGAGATTGATGCTAGTATCATGGCTGCAAAGGCCATTGACGCCACCTACACCCCTTTCAACCCCGAATCCCGCTCAGAAACACAATCGTACATTGAAGTACGATGGAGTGGCATATACTTGGGAGCTGAGAAAATCTGGTTGAACGAACCTGTTCGTCTAATGCTTCCCATGGGACAAGCGGCAACCAGAGTCCTGGTCGTACGGGCAATCGTCGAACGCACTCAAAAATCCGCACGACAAACATATTCCACAATCTCCTTTATTGGAGACGTCTATATCATGCTACCTGTAGAGTCTGTAACCATGGACCGCGCTCCCAACGGCCTAGTCGCAGGTTCCGACACCGTAAACGTACCCCTCCGCATGCTCGAAGACATTCGTCGAAGAAACATCTACACCATCCAAGCCAAAGGCACCGCATTCCACTGGAAGCTCCTCGAACGCAATAAAGCAGTGGATATGAAAGATGTAAGGGGTAGATGGTATGAATCCACCCTCTTCCTGCCTATCCTTTTGCCAAAGCAAGCAGAAGACTACGAAAGACAAGCACGTCAAGGCGTCATTACAGAAGTTTTAGGCATGATGAATGGACATGGCGATTGCAACAATGACAAAGAAGGTAGACGTCTCATCCCAGACGCACGGGCTTCTCATCGTGAACAAGCGTTTGGAAAAGCTGTGCCAGAGCGCATTGTAGTGGTGGAAGGTGTCAAGGCTGCTGCTCCTGCGCTTGCACCACAACAAGCAAGAGGGCAAGTGACATCGAACTATCAGGGTAGCAATGGTCATGTTGGTCTTGATGTTGCGGGTGCGAGTAACGGTGCAGGAGCTTCTGTTCCAGCTACGAATCATACTCAACCACAACAACAGCAACAACAGCAACAACAACAACAGCAGCAGCAGCAGATGACGGGAGATCAAACAACTGGCTTTGAAGAATTCATGGATCTTGATGGTCTTGGTGGAGATGTCATGGGTGCATTTGATCAAACTTATTGATTCCCATTTTCTGTCCTTCCTTCCTCTTCTGCTTTCTCTCCTGTCATGGATCATGGATCATGGCGTTCTGGTTGGGGTTGATGCAAAAGAGCTTCAATGTTGCTTGTGGGGTGTTTTTGGTGTTTTCATTTCTAACTGTTTCGGGACGGGGTTTTTTTTTCTCTTCTTCTTGCTTTTGCTCTGAAAGAGTGGCCTTTTCTGCATTGATGTGCATTGTTAAGGTGTTGTGGTGTAGTGGTATGGTACTCTGTAGTTCTGGCTGTTTGCTTCGTTCTTTACTATTGAGAGATTGGTTGCTTTATGAGTTTTGCTTTTTGAACGCTTTTTTTTTTTTCTTACAATGGTTTTACATGGCCATTTTTTCATACTTGAGTTTAGTGACTGATGATCAAAGGATTACTGTTTCTATCGTTGGTTTTGATATGTGTGGAGATGTCATGTAGACTGTAAAATACGTTTTGCTTTGCTCTAACTTTTGACTCTGTAAAACGTTTCAAGGTTTTTTTTTCTGGCACTACTTCCCTACTATTCACTCCATACCTTGTCTTCATAGGGTCAGTCAAGCAAGATATCTTGCAAGTCAGAGGGCGGTTCTCGCGACTATTTTGATATCAATGGATGTGGCTTTTCTGTTATTACCTGCAGCATGCGCCTTTTGCTCTTACTGTTTGGTGCGACCTATTTTGACTCTTGGGACTTGTAGTGTCCCGGGCTTTCAGGTTCCGTTTGTGGTTTGGAACGTCTGTCATGGTGGCTTTTCTCACGACTAGGTCATGGTGTGTTGGATGGTGTTGGCTGTCTAGGCACTGTGGTGAGAGCGTGTTTGATGTTTGCAGTCTCTTTGTGGTCTATCTTTGTAATGTAGCGGTGCTCAGCGCTTGGGAGACGACTTGTTGGAGTTACTGTGTTGGCTTTTGAGGTTCGAGACGACCATGAGTAATGCCGCTTTTGCCTTCTCATGCTCTGCTCTCGCAGCGAGACTTGCGATGGCTGTTTGACCTTGCCGTGAGAGGTGCTGATTCCAACCGTTAGTCGCTTATTTGCTGATCATACCTTGTACCTTTTGCGAATGTTGATACAGTAGTGTTCACCGGTCTGAACCGAGCTATGTTGTAGTGACCGTGATGGTTTTGGCGGCTCGAGGCAACGTGGTGGCTTTCTTGCTCTCGGCACGACATAGAGAAGCCTTTCTCACCTTGAGTCTCAAAGGTTCAAAGTGATCCTGTGATGGCGTTCTCGCTTCCCAGTCATGCATCAATCTATGGTGTTGGCCGTTTGACCATGGCATACATGTCGTGCTGTTTGCGTGTTTTGTTGCAGTAGTCTATCCTGGTTTGCAAAAAGTTTGTTATAGTAGTCGGCATGTAGGAATCAGGGGTCCATCGGGAATTTCACTCCCTGAAATGGATGATACGGCGTATACGGTGAGCAGAGTCAAGAAGTTGAGAAATTGAGATGCTCAGTCTCAGCGCCGTCAAGACTTGCCCGCCAACTTCCACAAAAGGCTGCATTTACTATTGATTATGGCGTGAGTAGCCAAGGGTCAGAGAAAAAGAGTCAGGATAGAGTGCTTATGGTACGGAGACGGATGCTTGCAGCTCCGTGTTGACTCAACTGCATGCCCTGGCATCGGAACAGAAATGATTCCGAGAGATGCATGAGTACGCCCTCAGGGTTTCGCTTCTGCTTTGGAGATTTCTGTTCCTCTCGATGGAATGGAGCGACCAGATGTTGTACGGAAAGGCTGCGTGCAGATGGAGCGGGTCTGTCTGCTTCATGGCGAGGCAACTGAGGTGTCCGCTTGCTGCGCGGGTGTCTCTCGAATGAGGCTGTCTCTTGTCACTCTTTTGTTACGATCACCGTAACATGATCTGAAAGCGCTATACTGCCCTTGGCCCAATTCACTTTTAGACGCTCGATCCTACGAGTCCCGGAAGTGCGTATGCAACGGTCGTACAGAGACACTACTTCGTCACCGGTTGTCGGTAAGCAAGCGAGAAAGCAGAGGCTCTTGTTCGGCGAGAAGAATTTAGCCCTGATGACCAGCAGGCAAACTCATCACCTTGGTGGAAGGCGAGGTTTGAGCCTTTGCGACTCCTCTCCAATCGCTTGGAAACTCGGACAAGGGCGCGGCGCCGTCCGTCTCGTGGGGGAGGGAGGGAGTAGGGTTCACGGCAGGATTAGCCGCTTCCGAGCGGGAAAACGGCCGCCAGCCGGGGCGTCGGTGCCAGCCATCATGCTGGTTTTCTGCAGGACGGGAGCTGCAAGGTGTCACCAGAGGTCCACAGCCAACGCATCTCCAAAGCTCGGCTTGCCGGGCGTCTCTCGCGAAACGGCTTGCATTGAAGCGGTAGAAATGGGGAGAGTGTGGTGAGAATGAGGGAGCAGAGATTCCAGACGAGGCAGCATGAATATTCCCGGACCCATCTCTGACTCGTCCATTGCCCCTTCCCATCCCCATCTTTCTCACCCATCACCCAATCCACTGGCCCACGAAACCCTTTCCTGGTGCGCGGAACCTCTGACGCTTCACGCAGACAGACGATCAGGCAACTGCGTTCGTGTTGTCCATCGTTGTTCTTCCCGCTGTCGTGCTTCTTGTTTCGTTTGCTTCAAATCGATCGCATCGCCCCCTGTTTACCCTCATCTGTATAGGGAAGGGCTCCACGCGGCGCCTCTTATCTACAGGTGATACCCTCATACGCGAGCAAAGGACGAGCCAGCCAAAGCAGAAAAAAGGTCGGCGCGCCTGCGAGAACAGAAGCGAGCACAGACTAGGCTACTTTCCCAGCCTGACCTTGTGATTTCGCGCCGTCGTCCAACCGCTTGCTCCGCTTTTTTTGATTTGGCCAGTCTAGAGAGTTGACCCTACTTTGCGTACTGATTGTCCCCTTGGTTAGCGAGACCAATCTTCCGCTTCGTGCAGCTGTTCCTGACCTTTTTTCTTGTCTCTTATACCGCAACGATGGCCATCTTTTTCGCGAACTGAGATGCCTGCTTCCTTCTTGGCAGCCTTTTTTGAGATCCAATCTCACCGCAGTCACACGCACTCATCTCACCCGAAACCTGTCTTTTGGTACCATATAGAGTGTTCTGCTTACTGTCGTCCCTGGAAACTTTTATAATCACTTGCTCCAGGCTTTCATTCATTCGCTTGGATTCCGACGGCTTGGGTTCACGCTAGATCTGGGAGATCAACTACTGCCCATTACTCTGTTAGGCCACCCTGTCTCTCGGATTTGATTACTTGGATACAGTCACGACTACCTTAACGTCAACCAACTACCACCATCTTCGGTGTCGCACTCTGTCAGGACTTTGCTGGAATACTCCGAGAACAATACAGCCATTGGTCTGGCCAGCATGCCATCATCCCCACCTCCTGACTTCGCCTTTGAGCACGGTCGTCGAGGTCAAATCCGTAGGTATCTCCAGAAATTTACCACCACAATCCGGAGAGGAAGCAAGGATGCCGATGTCGATGAAAACATTCCACAGTCGACTGCCGGGACGAACGACGCCCAGGAACATTCCCATGACGATACGTTGTTCACAAACACCATTGATGCCGACGAGCCTCCAGCGACACATGATGTCTCCGACGAGCAATCTCGACCAACCCCACCGGTCACAAATGAAACATTCCACGTTGATCGTGCTTCCGTGTATCAGGAGAGGGCACAGAAGTTGCGTGACCGATATGGGATGAACATCGCTGGAGGTGACCGCTCTACTTTCCCTGCCACCGCCCGTCGTGTTCAAAAGTCTGCAAGAATGCGAGTCCATCGTAGCTGCCATGAATGTGGTGTTGACTTTGGGCATGGTATTCATTGTCGAGCCTGCCATCACCGACTGTGTGAAGATTGTCCCCGCACTGCAGGTAGAGGGGTCAAAGAAGCCATGGCGCAAGCGAGGGAGTATCCTTTCCACGTTGTTTCTGGAGAGTCGTCGATGAGCCCAGACCTTGTTATGGAAGAAGCACCTACCGCTGTCTCAGATCCGCTTGATTCGTACGCGAACATTCTATCGACCAACAAGCAGGCTCCGAAGCCCTCTACATCTTTGGGTCCCATTTTGGCCGACGACAGCACACTGCCAACACTAGAAGTTGACGACGATATTCCCGAGTGCGCGCCCATCCGTATCACACTTAGTCCTCGCCGTGGCAAAGACGCAATGTTGAGTTCGATGTCACCTCACTCATCTCGTCATGGTAAGCTAGCTCATGTTCCTGATTAATCCAGTTCGCTAATCACGTTAGCAGTACCCTATCCCATTTCTACTATCAGAGATCCCATTGTGAAAGCTCCATCAGGCGTGCAACGTGTGTACCGCAAACCTCGACAGAGAGTCCGTTACACCTGCCACGAATGTTCTACACCATTCCACAATCATAAGAGAATATGCGACAACTGTACCCACGAGCGCTGTCTTGACTGCCGAGATCAACCGTCAGTTCGCATCTCTCTTCTCCCGTCTTGCAGCCTTACTAACATAATCACAGATCTCACAAGTCACAAAAATCACAAGCAGACCCAAGACTACTCGAAGCTGTGAACCAACGCCTTGCAGAAGTCGGGAAGTAATGTTATTTCTTCCTCTTCCCATCATTGTGCTTTTGCAATGCATAGCGGCGGGTTCCACTGCACGGATGAATGTTATGACCTTTTTGTTTCTGTCGTCGTCTTGCCCAATACAAGCATGCGAGTATTGCCTTTCTGCTTTACAACTTTCGTTTTGTCTTTATAATAGTGGAGTGGGCATGTTATTCTCATTCTGGTTTTGAGCTATACAAGACATCGGAGATACCCTTGTTCTGTTTGCGAAAAGAAGTACATTTTTTATATCCCTGGCCATTGTTCACTATTGCAGCATCTGATTATACCTTCTGCCGAGACTATTAAGCACCGCTTGGAAGATTGCGGAAGCAGTCGGTACTCTCGGACGTTGTTGTCGCCTTCACTGGGTAATTCTTCAGTTTCAACTTGACCGTGGATCACGAGCACACTAACACCCACAATCCTGCTCTCGCGCCTTTGTCAGGTCACCCTTTCTCTTCGATTTTAGCGAGAGAATGAGTCACCGCTTCACACCAACCTTCACGCCTCCTGGCAGTTCAAGCAGGTCGTTCAATTGGCTCAGTAGCACTGCAACAAATACCTCGAAACAGTCGAAGATGATTGCCTCTGCCGCAAGAGCAATATCGACCTCCAACAAACTACCCTCACGGTTCGTTCCGACATCAAAGTGACGTCACTATACATCACTGACTCTACGTTCAAGTAAACACTACAAGAACACCGTCACCATCGTTGTAGGCCCCGAAAAAGAACCATACACCCTCCACAAAGAGTTGCTATGCTTCTACTCCGACTTCTTCCGCGCCGCTTTCCAAGGAAGTTTCAAAGAAGCAACTGAAGGCAGAATAGAACTTCTTGACGTTCAGGTGGATACATTCGAAAGCTTCCAAGTTTGACTCTATTCACGCTCCCTCCTCAATATCGACGAGCATGAATCTTCTACCGCTGACCCAAGTCTTCCTCGTCATACGACCCTTGCCAATCTCTGGGTCTTTGGCGATCAATACCAGATTCCGCTTCTCCAGAATTGCGCCATTGACGCTATTATCAAGAAAACGGAACTTAGCAAGACCTTTTACATCGGTATCGTCAAAATCGCTTACCAAAACACCCTCGAGAACTCCCGTCTACGCAAACTCGCAATCGAGATTTGCGTCTTCGACATGACTCACATCGGCCATGAGCAGTCAATCTTTGGGGACGACCAGATGGATAACTGGAGTAAGGAGGCTCTTGTTGACTTCGCAAGGGCGATTAGTAAGGCTTGGGAGGATGAGTCGCCATGGAGAACTCTGCCGGTCCATGACAAGTGCTTCTATCATGTTCACAGTGAGGGAGAGCATTGCTGATGTTATCGGGGTCGCAAAAGGAGTGGTTTCTTTGGGATTGGCAAATACGACGGATGAGGGTATGCACGACATGAAATAGCAGTCCACCGGATTCGTTGGCCCTCCCCATCATCTTTCATTCACTTCTCGGCTTCAAACTACTATCTGATCGCGCTGCAGTGCACTTGCTAGAGTCTCTGACGTAAACGAAGTTCTGATAGAACATTCATTGACGTGGATCAATTTGAGATGAACTCAAAGTGTCGGCACGGCGTCGTCAGACTTCACTTACAAGATATCTTTTCATTGGATCGAACACACCTCACTGAGCGCTCTCGGACTTGCCCTTTCACCGCTTCGTCCTGGAGGTTACTTTCTCCTGCTGCACATTGCTATCACCTATCTTGACACTCTTTTTTCAACCTCTTCTGCAGTTGACCAAGTTCTCGCCAATCCACCATGTCGACTCCCTCGCAACAAATACAGACAGGCGGCTCGGCGGATAGAGCCATCTCGACGCCCAGGAAGCTGTTCACCAGGTGCGTCTTGAACCACGATCTATAAGACACGCGTATTGATTCGATGACAGCAAGCTCTACAAAGAAACTGTCACTCTCGTCATCAAAGAAACCAAGGAAGAGTACACTTTGCACAGAGAACTGCTGTGTTCATACTCGGATTTCTTCCACGCAGCCCTCCAAGGCTCCTTCCAGGAAGCAAGTACAAGCAGAATGGAGCTATCGGTAGAGCCTCGTGTATTACAGGCCTTCCAAGTTTGGCTCTACTCACGCTCTCTGCGCAATGCTGAGGGTATCGCCGAGAAATCGAAAGCAAAAGTGAAATTTCTCTGCAAAGAAGAGATCCCTGATCAGATTGCCTAAGAGAGACAAATGCTACTTCCATGTTCATTCCGAAGGCGAACATTGTTGATCTTGTCGTAGGTTCTGACATGTACACCAATCTTGGTTTCATCGCTCACATACTTAGACTTTGATCCCCTCTCCCTATTGAGATCATTCCGCTCGCAACTGCAGAGAAGGATGACATATCTGAGACGCAGATACCAAAGTGAGAAGACTCGCTTCGACGCTCGTTTGTAGCGAAGAATGCACATACTCAAAATTGAATCCTTACACGAGTGAGGCAAGATAAGGAGGAAGCTGTCAGACTCAGTGCAGAAAGGCAGAACTATTTAGCACTGATACATGCTTCTCGAGTTCATGAGTTGAGTGGTAGATGGACAGCGCACGATCGACGAGTGGCTGGTCCGTGGCTGGAAGTCGGGAAGAGGACTTTCTCAATCATGAACTCTATTTTGTCTCAACTTGAACCACAAAGGAACTTAACAATAAGCCTACATGTGACTGAGTGACAGTGTCTCTTGTCGTCACTTCCAACACCTTCGAGTGAGTCGTGTCACTTTCTGCACGCGTCGTTGAAACGTTCATCCGCTTGCGCCTTCCTTCCTTCAACCGCACGTATATGGAATTCCTTCCTCTACAAATGCTTCCTAGAAGAATCACATTACGCCAACGACATGAGATGAGTAGGAGATCAGCTTCCTCTACCGCACCAGAATGTCATTCCACAAGCTCCACGACGCCCTCTACCACGTCAGAGTGTCCTGCCACAAGCTCCGCATCGCCCACTCCCCGCTCTGTCACGAAGGCAGTCTCTGTGCTCTCTGAAACCCCACCAAATTAAGTGCGCAGACACATAACAGAGATTTCAAATGATTGACAGATCGACAGCAACTGCTTCCGCGTTCCGCGGTCTTGTCACTATCGAAGTCGGCCCCAACGAACAAGTCTTCTCAATCCACAAAGATCTCCTCAGCTTCTACTCCGATTACTTTCGCGGAGCTTTTGAAAACGGTTTCAAAGAAGCGGTTGAGGGTAAGATGAGCCTATTGGACGAAGATTCTGAGACCTTCTATATATTCAACACTTTCGTCTACACTCGTGGACTTCGCAATGCTCAGGGTCTCGAAGGATCGAAGCTATCATTCTCCACACTGATTGATCTGTGGCTTCTGTGAGATCGATTTATCATCCATACACTCCAGAACATGGTCATCGACTGCTTCGAAGAGAAATCAGACAAGGAGGGACGTGTACCGTGGAACACACACCTACACACGATCTACGAGAACACTTTACATGGGGGCTCCGTTGCGAAGAAACATGATAGATCTGATGGCTTATGTAGATGTTATAGGTGATAGGAAACGCGACAAAGTGATAGCAGCATGGCCACTGGAAGGTCTGGTGGATCTTGCTTCCACACTCTCGAAGAAGACAGCAGAAGAATTTGGCGACTACCATTTGCCAAAGCACAAGAGGGAAAAGTGCTACTACCATATTCATAACGAAGGAGAGAAGTGCACTTGAACAATGAATACATCAACTTGGGGTATCTGCGGAGCTCACAACAAATATGTCGCGATGGCCAAAAGATGCCTTTCCAAAGTCGCGTAAGTCGGTCGTCAGGGGAAGGACAGACTATAAAGAACGCTAAAGTTTGGAGTAATGATGACCGTGTGTTGGTGCCTTCTTCAATATACGCCAAAGTCGTCGAGACAATCCCACCGCTTTTGTTCACTTTCCTCCCATCTGCACACCGATCGTCATTTCCTCAGACTTGCGACTCTCCAGCACTCAGGCTTGATTTCCTCTCCTGTTCGACTGTGTTGGGGCGAGTCATCAACTTCCTCTCCCGGCATTTTCACTCCTAAACACCAAAGCCACGCAGCACTGTCACCTCACTTCTCCACATTGAACTGCGCCGGTCAAGACAATCACTCTTCACAACTCTGGCTTACAGCAAACTCAATCATCATCCAGAATCTCCACAATCTCCTCAGAGATCTTCAGCCAAACTACTATCATGTCGACGCCGAAGGAAGAACAAGCGCCTGTCTCATTGGATACGACCACAGCCGTTCCAATTCCTCCACGATCTTTCTTCAAAGCTACATCAATCCCGTCAAAAAGACCTCCAGGATGGGTTTGCGTTCGCTTTGTGTTTACACCGTACTGACGACTCAAAGTGCATGCTTCCAGACTACTGTTGATGTTGAAGTAGGACCTCTGAAGAAAGTCTGGACGATCCACAAGATCTGCTCATCCACTACTCAGACTTCTTTCGCGGTGCTTTGACCGGTTCAATTAAAGAGGCTGCCGAATCCAAAATATCCCTTCCAGACGAACGCGCCGATGTATTCGAGATTTTCAATCACTTCATCTACACCCGTTCTCTTGCGGATAGTGAAGATCACAAAATCGCGTGGGAATTACTCGTGGAAACGTGGTTCTTTGGTGACCAGCGTTTGATCCCATCTTTACAGTATATCGCCATGGACGAGCTGACTAAGAAGAACAACATCGAGGAGGAGACTCCAACGACGCAGATCAAGAAATTCTGGAACCGCACTTTGCCTGCGGCGCCGCTTCGAAAGGTCATACTCGACTTAGTCGTGTACAAAGCCGCCATCGATATCGTTTTCTACGAAAGATGGCCCCAAGAAGCACTCGTGGACTTGATCAAAACCGTTTATCACAAAGAAGACACCGCAAAAAGGCACTCGATGCCTACCAGAGACAAATGCTACTATCACGTACACAACGAGGGACAGCACTGCTAAATAAGAAGAATGAACCTTATCTCAACGAATGGAGCTCCAGGGAGAACAACCATCAAAAGGTACAAAGAGTCTGAGGCAGTCGCTCAAGGGAGGCGCTATATCTCGAGAATCCGGATATATAGGACGAATCTTAATCGAACTATGCTCTACTACAGCCCTCGACGGCCTTCGCATATGCTTAGCCTTGTCTCCTCTGCATTTCTCTGAACGATTGTGAAGCTGTAAGTTATGGTCTCCCTTGAACCGGTCTATCCACCCTGCAGAAATGATAATCCAAAGGACGACAAATCTTGTGGATATTGCTGCGACCCTGGAAAGTAAAGTATGGTGTATTGGTTAGTGCTGCTAAGCATCACATGTTTGAACACATGAGGAGGCGGAAGCTTCGGAAATCTGTATCTCCTAGTTGGAACAGTCCTAATCAAGTTGCTTTCCCGATTGGAGCTGCCGATCCACATCTCTCCCCTTCGTTATGAATATGATAATAACACCCATATCTCCCTCTTGGTAAATCGTTCCTATCTTTCTCTTCTTTACCCAGACCAGACACAGTCACCAGCAAATCTCTTAGAATCTCCTTTGTCCACCTCTCCTCGTTGTTCAGCACATACTCCTTGACACCGTTCGAAAATGCCATTCTATCAACAAAGAAGGCCCTCAGTGGCGACCCTCGCATCGTATTCTCATATACGTAATTGAGCATACGACAAGGAATGACATTTTCAGTATCGCTTTTCACCAGTATATTCGTCATCACTGCGTTCTGCAACGCTGGAGCTGAATACCTAGAGCCGAAGATCCAAAGGGCACATAGAGTGTCGAAGCCAAGGTTGATACGAGAAATGCCGTGTTTATCCGTCAACTCATTGGTATAGCAAAAGATCTCGAAGACGCCAAAGATGTATGCGCTTTCGTTGGGAAGCGAGGATGTGATGGATGAGGGCTCGGAAGTAAAGGCTCCAGCTGCGGTGCGATAGTAGTCTGACCAGAAACAGAGGACGTCCTTGTGGATGTGGAATTCTTGGGGTGTGGAGGTGTGTTGGCCAAAGACCATGGAGATGATTTCTTTCCGGCATTCCCTAGAAGGATATTAGGATGGTGTGTGGCAGTATCTTTGTTGATATTTGACTTACGCAGGGAGTTTTGTAGATGGTATGGAAGTTGCTATCGTTTTTGTAGTGTAGCAAGGAGAATTTGAGATGGATTCCGCGGTGGTCGCGAGCTTCTCGTTACTTTCGTAGGCAGGTCTTTGTCTGTGCTCTTTATTCAGTCGCAATAAAAATGACAGCTTATGTCTCCATGACCGCCTGCGTGATGTGTCCGATGCCATGTCGAGCTGTCACGGGTGGCCAGTATCAAGGTGATGGAGGAAGACCAAGTCCTTTTTTATTGACAGAGTCCGAATGTGGATGAGGCGACTGTCACTCTCGGAGTCGTCAAGTCATGCGTTGTACGAATGAGTCCAAACTAGAGACGGTCGACCTCTGGTTATCCGTGGCTCGCGTTGCGCAAATTAGAGCTACCAAGATGAGGCAACATGTGTCGGCTTACGGTCCTTGAGCGACTGCACAACGATGTACACTGGGACTCTCTGCTGTACATAATATAGTGACAGTCAAGCCGGAGTTCGCTATCATGGCTAGCTTCAGGTGAGAACCAATCGTGGGCATCAAGGTGTACTGCGGCGTTGAGGCGATTATGGTCCACCAATTTGGACAGAGAGCAAAAGCGAGGTTGATTGCGAAAGATTAAAAAAAAAGTCGCGGTTTTTCAGCAAGAAGACGGTAGACATTATAAGACTAAGGTGCCAGCCTGTCAATTGCGCTCGCTGCTTCCATCATTGTTCTTCTTTGGACTTTTCAGAAGACTGGCCTATCCATGGTTTGGTTTCGGCGCGGTAATTCTCGCTACTGCTGCCCAACACACGCCAGCGAGAAGAGAGGTACAAAGCAGAAGGAGTCGACTCATTCGTCGGACGACGACATGGCCCCCAAAACTGTGTCCCGAGTCAGAGAGCTGCCGCCAAAGTCGTGCTTTCGTGGTGAAACAGTCTACCTCCTTGTTGGCATGGGCTCCGAACAGGAAATCTTCACCGAATACAAGAACATCCTCTGCTTCTACTTCCCTGGCTACTTCCAAGGAGCACTTTCTGGGGCATTCTCGGAGGCTTCCATGGACCCGCTATCGATGAACGCTATTGACATTCGACTCTACGAGACGGTACACTACTTTCTGCAAAGAGGTCAGCTGAGTGAGGATTCTGATTTGTCCTGGGAGGATCTGTTCCGGATCTGGCTCTTCGGAGATCAACATATCATTCCTGCCTTGCAGAACGAAGTCATGGACGTTCTGATTGCCAAATTTGATACTGACCGCAAGGTCCCGGCCAAATGCATACCGCTGATCTATTCGAACGCTCTGTCAGAGGCACATCTGCGCACACTCCTGGTGGACTGGACACTGTATCTGGGGCAGTACACCCTTGTCTTCAGCGATGAGTTGATCGACACTTTTCCAAAGGCGTACTGGCTTGCTGTACTACGAGCCAGTGGCGACCGACCTCGTAAACGAGCAGCCGATGAACCTTTCAGTGTGACGAAGTCAAGATGTCATTATCACGTCCATGGCAAGGATGAGAGTTGCGGAATGCTAAAACAGACAATTCAAAAACTTCGTGATTGTGGAATCGCGGCACCCCACAAGCATTGCCGGTCCGGAGGAATCATTCATGGCGCTAGCTTGCCCAACGGTTTCGACATATATACGTACCGATGAATGTCTAGGTTAGCCAGATATGTAAATGCATACTTACATATACAAGCGATCTTGAGTAGATCTCAAGTGTCCTTGTCAGATTCGCCCTCGACATCGTCTTCGCCTTCCTTCGTGACGCGCTTGCCCTGTACGCCCTTCTCAACTTCGGGAACCAGGCTGTCCATGTACTCCTTATTCTTGCCGACAAGAGTGACCGTGTTTCTTGCCTTGCCCCATCTTGGGTAACTGCATTCATGTGTCAGTGACCAATCACGATAGCATATGTGGATATTCGCTTACCTTCCAACCTTGACGCCCTCGGGCTCAACCTTCTTAGCCAGCTCGGTCAAGTATGATGCAACTCCACTCTCAGGCAGCGGTGTCGAAATAATAATTCGATAAACACTCTTGCCTTCAGGATCGGTCAATCTCGGCAGTAACTTGGGCTTTAAGCCAGTGAGCATGCGCTCGAATAGTCTGGGTACGCCAGGTAGAATGTGAATGTTTCCATTGACGACAGCGACGGGCACCCAAAGATCATCGGCTGTGAAGACGACTTGCTGCTCACTAGATAGATTCTTGTCGTGAGGCAGGATGACCATGCGCTTCTTGGCCTCGAGTGCAGGGGAAGGAGTGTTCCAGTCAAAGTTGGGCTGGCCAGGATGAGGTCTGCTGAGACGCTTCATGCGTGAGAAAGTGTCATCATGAAGAACCAAGGGCAGATCAAAGGCGTTGGCAATGCTTTGATAGGTGATGTCGTCGTGAGTGGGACCGATACCGCCAGATGTGACGACGAAGTCGTAGTTTGATGACATGCGGCGGACAGCCTCCACGATTTCTGACTCTTCATCGCCGATAACTTCGATACGCTTGAGGTTGATGCCTAGGCTGAAGCAGAACTTGGCGAGGTAGGCACTGTTTGTGTCGACAGTCTAGAGGAACGTAAGCATTGGCACCTTTTTCTCCATTTGCTGGTAAGAAGTGAAAGAAATGAAATGGCATTTCTTTGATGTTCGAACGACCACATCCCAATCAATACTACGACAGTTGGTGGCAGGACGAGAACAGTAATGAGATCCACCAACCTTTCCACCCAACACTTCATCTCCGATGATGAGACATGCGGCTGTGTTGATAGTGCGCTTGCTGTTTGCGTCGGCCATGATTGCAGGACTGCTAGTAAGTCTGTTGGAAACGGCAGCTGCGGATTGATGCAGGTAGTTTGGCAAAGGACGACTGAGATGACGTGCTACTTGGTTGATGCGGGCGAACATGTGGGAGCCAACACAAGACTTTCTGGATGAATACGAACAAGAAGTGGAAGGAACAAACACGCGTCTATGGTGTTTACGGAAGGTGCAGTCAAGATGTCATTGTCGTTTGCGGGGAGACCGATTGCCGGCGGGAGAGTCGTGTTGCAACGATCGAGCGTTTGGGATCGACACTCGAAGATGTGAGCTGTATAACCCTGCTCGTTTCCAAGAACCGATGATAATGCCCATCAGACTTGAGACTACGCTCACATTATGTTATTCCAGTATTGGTCCATTCTACCACCGTCGGCTTACGAGCTCACGGCTCTTTGCGAGGTCTGATGCTCGAGTTATGAAGCAAAATGTCAAAAAGGTAGTTACTTGACATAATTTACCTCCAACCTCCAGCATACAGGAGAGACCATCCTGTGAAAAGAACTACCATCATCGAAAAGTTTATCGGCAACCACGAGCTTACGCAAAGGGTGTGGATACTTGACACTAACCAGATCTCTTTGCGATAAGAGAATGTTTCCGACATGTCGAAACCTCGTGGTCTTGAGCAACGTCCGTCGGAGTCGAGACAGACAGCACCGACGTCAATCGACTGCGGGGCATCTCAACCACGAAAGCTCCCTAGGGTCCTCGAAAGCCATCTCTTAGCATAACTCATCTCTTACACACCAACATACTTATTCAAGATGGCACGAATACTCTTTCAGTCTGACCATGTGATCATGAGCTAACAGAACGTAAAACAGGCATCAGAAGCTCGCCTCTACACATTCTCCTCCGAGACCAAGACCGCACTCCGCAAGTTCCGTCTAGGAACCTCACGAGCAAAGGATCCGCAAGCCGTAATCTGTAAGCAGAGCACCTCCAAAGAAACACCATGTCGTCTCGGCATTCAAGATCAAAAGAGCTTGGGAAGAAATGACGACAAACACACGACCACGAAGGAAAGAACGACAAGCTAGAAAGTACAGGAGACTGACATGGTCTTCTTACCACAAGGAATAGACCAAATCGACAAAAAGACCCTAGAAATTTCAAAAGCAGACGATGAAGTCTACACCGATCTAAGCACACTGGGCGAAGAGCTGCCAGACCACTCGCCCAGATTCATCTTGCTCAGCTACCCCCTGACCATGGTATGTCTCCCGCGACCCTTCTCCCTCCCTTTTAATCGGAGTGCTGAGAGACCATATCGCTGATTTTCTGCGTGCTATCCAGACATCCGGCCGTCTATCCGTACCCTACGTCATGCTATACTACCTCCCCGTAACCTGCAACAGCGAGCTCAAGATGGTCTACGCCGGAGCAAAGGAATTGATGCGCAACCAAGCAGAAGTCACCCGTATCATCGAGATCGACAGTGCGGAAGAGCTAGAAGAGATTGAAGACCAACTCAGAGGAGACGAATAGATGACGGACGGTACAGAAACATCACAATCACACTCTGATCACCGTAGTTACAACATGTTGTATGCGGAGAGTCATGACCCGCATGGTTTGATGATGATCATATACCTTGATGGAGTACAACGTTGGCAGATCAGCCCAAAGGAACCCTATGTTTCCCCACATGGCATGCTTGAAGCGGCTTGAAGAATGTCAAGAAGATCGATTGGAGAACAAGACATTTGAGATTACATCTAAAAAGTAACTGATATGCTAACCATAAACGCCGATCTTTTGCGCCGTCGTGCAGATGCATCTTTCAGCTGCCGAGATACATGCTGTTGCAAGATAGAAGAAGAGAATGTAGAAGATACGCAAGCAAAACCACAATAGCACATGTTAACAATGTTGCTGGTGTAAGAATTCGGCACTTCTTTCCAGCTGTGCGAACATCGGTCCAATGAGGTCCTTTGCACTCTGGCAAAGACAAGCGGAAGCAGAACATGATACATGAGATTTAAAAGCAGACGGCATTCTGTCGTCCATTCATTTTTGTTGTGGTTCTTCTTTTGTCCTCCACCTATGCCATCATCGTTGCCGCCTCTTGTAGACCTTTTCACGGCTTCGTCCCTTTGACGAGCCTGAGAATCTGTGCCGGGTGGTGCGCTGACTTCTGTTGCCGCTTTTGAGGCTGGTAAAATGGTATAAAGAAAAGATAGAAAGAACAAGACTTGGGGGAGAGTGCTAGGGGGAATCGAACGAGTAAACAGAAAAAAGAAGAAAAAGAGACAACCCAAGGCTCTAAAAGGTCAGATCAAGAAGGGAAGATTAAAAGCTCCAGGCACCAAAAGAAGAGTTATAGCGAAAGGCGGACGGCGTGCGTGGCGTGAGGTTGAGAGGTTGTTACATGACGGTGCATTTGCAGCAGCCGGCCTCTGAGTCGCCGTCGTCGATGTTCATCTTCTCAGCAGGGCCGCCGTTTGCTCTCGCGCCGGGTGCGCCGCCGGTGATGTCGCGGTTGTATTTGCGAATCTCGCGGACAATATCGTAAAAGGCATTCTCAACGTTGATGCGGGATTTGGCTGATGTCTCGATGAACTTGCATCCGAAGCTGCGGGCGAGCTCCTTGCCCTCTGCAGGGGTGTGTCAGTCAAACGGCCAGAGTCAATAAACACTAGGGGAGAGGGGTAGGCGCACCTTCAACCGACACTTCTCTCTCGCCGTCCAAATCGCACTTGTTTCCGACAACGATCATAGGGAAGTAGTCCTTGTCCTTGACGCGCAGTATTTGTTGTTGGAAAGTCTTGATCTCTTCGAAGGATTGTTGCGACGTGATGGAGTAGACGAGCAGGAAGCCTTCGCCAGTGCGCATGTACTGTTCTCTCATAGCCGAGTATTCTTCTTGTCCCGCCGTGTCGAGCACGTCGAGAAGGGCGACCTCATCGTCGATAACGCATTGCTTGCGGTATGAATCTATGTGGGGCGGATACGGTCAGAAGTGACACCTTGGACGCGGGGAGCGGCGATAGGAACGAACCTTCAATTGTCGGGTCGTATTCGTCGACGAAGTGACTTTGGATGAGTTGGATAGTCAGACACGACTTTCCGACACCACCACCACCGACTACTACGAGCTTATACTCGCGGAGGAACTGGCGATGGGAGTGAGCACGCGCCGTCGCGACGAGGAGACGGCAGGGCCGAGACGAACCTTTGAAGCCATTGCGGCGATAGGGAAGGGAAGTCGGAAAGGCGATTGACGCGATTGATCAGGAGCGACGGCAAGAAAGGGCGGCCTGAGGTGGGAGACGGGGTTGTTGTTGTCGAGAGCGGAGGGAGAGAGTGGTGATGATTCGATCTCAGCTGCGGAGAAGGCTGGATTCGGTGTAGAGAGCGAGGCTAGAGGCTGGAGAGTCTGGGACTGCTGCTGCTAGGCACAAGAGTGGATGAGGGTAGAGAGAGGAAAAACGGGCACCGGCAGGCTTCAACGGGTGATGCACGTAGGTGAATGCCGACTTGGGGGGGACTTGGATCGTCTTTCGTGCAAGAGGCTAGAGCGAAGGGAGGCCAAGACAAACACAACCAGAGTGGACGGCAGGAAGCAGCGTCGAGCACGGTGAACACACAGCAGGGTTAAGAGATAGACGAGAGAGAGACAACGGGAGTGCTCGGACTCTGTGAGACGGCGCAATTCGATTCGAGCGCGAACGGGCCTTTGAAGAGACGATGTGGATGGACGGTGCACAGTTCAAGTTCAATGGCTGACTTGCAATCGAGTCAAGGTCAAGAGATGATCAATAAACCTGGAGAAGGCAAAGTGCTGCCCAGTGCCCTCCCTCCCTTTCGCCCTCCACACGCCCGCTGATTGGCTGCTGCCTCGATCTGCGAATCGTTGTTTGATTCTTGTCAACAACTAGTTTGCGCCCTCTCCTGACCAGAAGAGTACATGTTAATTAATCCCTTTGCTCCTTGCCCGCCACTCGCTCGACCCTCTCCCATAACTCGGCTACATCTACAGCTAAACGTGTCTCTGATGAATCCTGCAGCGAACGAGCGTGCAACTCAAAATCAATGAGCAAACACTCACCAATTTAGGCGTCTCTCCTCCGCCGGCGGGACAACCGCTCACCAACTTCTAGAACCGCCCTAGCCAAAAACCACCCTTTCGCCAATCTCACCATTCCTTTTTGACCATCATGCAATTTCACCTTCTTCTCGACACTCTCTACAACCCTGTTGCACCATGTCCGTGCTGTGCCTATCTTTCGCTTGACCAAATGAAGAACATAGTGCTGCAACTTCTTCTCGTCTTCTAGCTGTTTTGTATAGACACATATCTTCTTATCGCCATAAACACGATTCGCCGACACCCACTGACATCATTCCTCATGCCCTTCAGCTGCGCAAGTCATCTCCAAGACGCCGGCGTCACCATCACATTTTGTTCCATCGAGGTAAATTTCCCATTGCCGAGCTGTGACACTTTCTTTCTGGCGCTTCCAGAAGCCAATAGTGACGGCCACTCCCTTGTACGCTCGTAACTCTCTGTCGGCGCGCGGCAGCGTGGGGCCAGCGGACTTCGACCACGTGTGTCCGAAACCACATCCTTCGCTGTCAAGCAATTTTGTCTCTGGCGCAAAGAACGTCGTCTCTTCTAGAAACGTTTTGACTTTGCTTTCGTCGCATCCGTTCAGACGGATCTCTTATCTCCAGCGTTCCGAGACAAAATACCAACGTTATCAGACTGCTGGACGCAAGCCTCGTTCGCAAAATCGTGTCTGACTTGATCACGAGTCGAGTCTCCACATGTCGTTGTGTCTAATCTTACAGCATCGCTGCTCATTGCCTTCAGGAGTAAAGGTGTGCGGTGAAGGCTTCCATGCCCGAGCGCACCTCGTCGCCATCGGGTCGCATGTCACGAACTATTAGGAAATTTCGGCAAGCACCCGACTAGTACCGCATTGACGCACTTTTGGCTCAACGTCCCGCATGAGTTATCGACTCAACACCCAAATGCTTCTCGACCGAGCATGATGTACATTTCACTATGTATACAGGATAATCTCTAACCGTTCTAACCTCAGCGCTTGTATCTAGTGGTCTCGTAAAGGCTTCTCCACAACCATCTCAGCTTCTTTATTGCCGTACTCTGGGTGGACGACGACTCCATCAAATATTTGCGGCTCATTCACTTGTACAACTCCAAGACTAGCAGCTTCCTTTGGTGTGAATGTCTCGTAGACGTCCACCTCGTCGTAGTCGCCCAGTCCAGGGTATGGGAAGATCAGATTGAGCACGTAAAACACGGTTCCACTCACGAAGAATCCGACCAGGAACGCCATGTAATACAGCTTGACTAGAGTCGCCGGCGGATCAGACATACCACCGACAGTGACGACGAGGCCGCCAATCGTAGGCGCCCACCCGCATATCCAAGCTGGTACAGCACGCCAGTTCACACCCTTACTGAACCAGTATGAGGTATCCTTGATCCTGTATAGATGGCTAAGCTGGATTCTTCCTCTGCGCAAGAGGTAGAAGTCGACCACCATGACGCCCATGATCGGCGACAGGAAGACCGAGAAAGAGCTCAGAACACTGACGAAAGTGGCTGCCTTGTTGACCAGCTGCCATGGTTGACACACCCAGACAGCCATAAAGGTCAAGATTGCTCCTCTACGAATGTCGAGATAGCGAGGGAAAAGACCCGCAAGGTCGATACCTCCAGCAACTGCGTTTCCGCACACGTTCTCGAACATTCCTGTCAACGCAAAGCCTGCTGCTAAGAAGAAGACTCCCGCTCTGGCTTTTGAAGAGCCTTCGCCGCTGTCCATCATGCGCATGAGAAGATCTGGTGGATTCCAGAACACTTCGCCGTAGATTTTCTGACATGCAGCTGTGACAACGAGACCTATCAAGCTGACGAGCACGCCGGTGACCCATGCCGAGAGGACAGTACCCAGCACGTAATTCTTGGGCGATCGAGCATAGCGCGAGAAGTCCGAGCCGTTAGTTATGCCAGCAGCAATACCTCCAATGATCTGATTGATTCCTCTCATCTCGAGCCAATGCAGGTTCCAGGACGAGTTTTGGGGAATGGTTTGTCCAGTTGTCCAGAGCGGTCCGACACCTTTGGCCACCGAGAGGGACCAGATCATCATGCTAAGCATACCGAGACCACAATAAATGGAGGTTACTAGGAAAGGCAGGCGAAACTTCTCTGGCCGTACAAACAAGAATGGCACCGAGAAGATCCAGAACAGGACGAAACCAACAAACTGGTATGTGGTTGTTGGCATAGAAGACGGCAAGGTGTTATGCATCTTCGCAAATGAAGGCCATATTGCAGTAATGCACACCGCTATCAATCGTCCGCCGTTCCAACCTGCGGAGACTGTTAGTCACAACGACTCCGGAGCTGACAGTGCAGACGCTGACTTACATTGTATGGCGCACCATATGAAGTTGAGGAGGATTCTCTGTAGCAGAGGGATATAGCTTCCGCGAAGGCCCCAAGTATAGCGGTTCTGCACGGTGAAGCCGATATGCCAACGAAGTCCACACCAAGCGATCAGCGTGGAGAAGAAGGTGACCAGAAGCTTTCCAACCACAATCACCATCATGCTCTGACCGACAGAGAGTCCATATGCTTTACTTCCGGATTAGTTGATTTCAGAGTCTAGCAGATTCTGATCTTGACTCACACAAGAATGTGTTTGGCGTCTGCCAGTTGGAAACATTGAGCGAATTGAGCGTCCAGTATCCGAAGAAGTGAAACCAACCCCAGGTCCGTCGAGAAGGCGGCAGAGGTATCAGATCACGGTTGGACCATGAGTTGACCTCCTCGTGCTCATCTTCGTCGCCCTTGAGTTGGACTTTCTCCTTCAGCTGTCGCAGTCGTATTTTTTGCATGGTTGAACAGATAGAGCACTACCACAGCACAACGGACCATGAACCAACCGCCGCATTATATACCGACCTAAGACATATTGGCAGTGTGATTATTGGCTGGATTTTGCAGTCCTGCAGAAAGGCAATCAGTTCATATCAAGATAGGCCAACCGGCATATAGGAACTTCCAACTGCCTGCCGATCGTTGAACTCTCCAAAGCAGTGGACTTTAGAGTTGCGGCGACAAGATAAGCGTATGTGGTCCCGCATGGTTTCTTGTCCACTGCAACCTTGTGATGATATGGCAATCGTGACCAGCATGTGGTCAGATACCACGTTGCTGTCGAGGAAGGAGTGTTGGCCGAGGCCGTCGCCAAGCGGAGATAGGCCGCTTTGGGCCGATACCGGTTACCCTGTCCTTCCCTGCCACGTCTGTCACTGATTCTAATCATTGACCTTTCATCTTAACACAGAATTGTCCATCTTACCGAAGCAATACAAAGCAACCGTCGCATAGAAGATGCACAGAGTACTCAGAATCGGCGTCGACGTTGGCGGGTATGTCAATCAGATAATACTCCTCGATACTCAGCTAAGCGGACACTTTTTAGTACAAATACCGATGGAGTGATACTAGACCCTACAAAGGCCTCAGAGCCGGGAAAGGGTATCGTTGCATGGTAGGTTGCATCAACGAAAGCACAAGCCTCGCAACGAATGGCTCATGCTGATGCTTTTGCAAGGCACAAAGCACCAACGACCACAAATCCTAGCTTGGGCATCAGTGATGCTCTAGTATTTATGTTCGACCAAGCCGAAATCAATCCTCAAGACGTTGCTTCTGTGACTATTGGTACTACAGTATGAGTACCATCGATGATCAACCGAGACTCCGCTGATCAAGGTGTAGCATTTTGTCAATGCGGTGGTGGAAAGGGATGCTGCGAGGCTTGCCCGGGTAGCCGTGATTCGACTTTGTGGGCCTTTCAGTAAACACGCTTTACCATGTTTAGACTGGCCGACCGACATGAGGGAGCTCATCCTTGGTCACTATGCTTTGGTCAAGGGTGGTCTTGAAGGTGTGTCAAGGTCAAGCTATCAAACTCTTTCTGTCTGACGTACCGCCTAGTGGATGGCAACTTGATCTCGGACATCAATGCCGACGAGATCAGGGAACAATGTGAAATCATCAAGGGAAAAGGTATAACAAGCATTGTGGTGAACGGGGTCTTTAGTCCGATCGACAACACTCATCATCAAGAGGAGCAGACTGCGCAGATCATTAGCGAAGCTCTACCTGGGTGTCATGTGGTCCTCTCTAAAGAAGTCGCCAACCTCGGATTCCTGGAGCGCGAGAACGCTGCCATTCTGAACGCCTCCATTCTGCCTTTCGCAAGGAAAACTATTCGCTCCTTCCAAGAACCTATCAAACTACTTGGGCTAACATGCCCTGTCTTCCTGAGTCAGAATGATGGGACAATACTGAGCGGTGAGATGGCATCACGATTGCCTATCAAGACGTTCTCCAGTGGACCAACAAACAGTATGAGAGGCGCAGCATACCTAGCCCAAGGCGAGACAAAGGAAGCAATGATGGTCGTCGATATCGGTAGGTCCTGTCGACTTGCAAAGTATATTTCCAAGCTTATAACGACACAGGTGGAACAACAACTGACGTCGGCTTACTACTCGCCAATGGCTTCCCCAGACAAGCAGCAGCATACTCTGAATTTGCCGGCGTTCGCATGAATTTCTCGTGTCCTGATGTCAAAAGTATCGGCCTCGGAGGCGGGTCCATCGTACGAGAGCGTAATGGCGAAACCACCGTCGGCCCTGACAGCGTGGGTTACAAGATCCAGACAGAAGCTCTTGTATTCGGCGGCAATATCGCTACGACTACCGACTATACAGTCGCTGGAAGTGAGAATGTCGACATCGGCGATCGCAGTAAGGTGAAGCATCTGTTCGAGACCGGCATCTCTTCCTTCAAGGCAGTAACGAAGGCAATGCTTGAGAAAGTCGTCGATACTATGAAAACATCGCCAGAAGATCTGCCAGTACTACTGGTAGGTGGAGGAGCAGTGATAGCTCCCGACGAGCTGCAGGGCGCAAGTCGCGTGATCAAGCCCGAGTATTCGGGAGTAGCTAACGCAATCGGAGCTGCTATTGCAAGAGTCAGCGCTGTGATCGATACAGTCAAGTCAACTGAAACCAAGAATGTTGCTCTTCTGGTAGAAGAGATATCGAGAGAAGCGATTGGAAAAGCGGTAGAGTCTGGAGCTGCGCAAGACTCTGTCAAAATTGTCGAGGTTGAGACACTACCCTTACCAGTAAGTCCTTATGCTTGACAAGTCGGATAAAAAGACTAATTCAAAAATTCAGTACATTGCGAATAAGAGCAGATTCATCATCAGAGCTGCAGGAGAATTCGACTATACTCGCGCCAACGAGATGAATTCGACTACAGAAGACGAGCTTTCAGACGACAACAACATGAACGCCTACGAGAAGAATGGCAATAAGTCTCAAAGAAACGTCAATGCGGACAACAAGCATGTTATAGCTGAGCCGGTCAACATCACCACATATAAGCCAAAAGTTGAGGATCGAGTCTGGTATGTCTCGGAGACCGATCTCGATTGGATGGCCATCGGCTGCTATATTCTAGGGACTGGCGGTGGTGGCTCTCCATACTCGCATATGCTTCGTATGAGAAGCCTCCTACGTAACGGAGATATCATCAGAGTCATCAATCCGCATGATCTTAAGGATGAGGACCAAGTGGGTTGTGGAGGTGGAGCTGGCTCACCCACTGTCGGTATCGAAAAACTCCCTGGCGATGAGTAGGTTGTGACATTCCACTTTACGTCGGCTCACGGATTACTGACTACTGCACAGGATGATGGATGCTCAACATTGTCTCTATGAGCATTGTGACAGAAAGGCTACTGCCATGATTGCACTAGAGATTGGGGGCGGCAACGGGCTGCAAGGTATGATTCTTGGAGCAAGCTCTAACATGAATCTTCCAACTGTTGGTAAGTATTTCACGAATGGATCCGTTGAATCTTGTTAACCTCATGACAGACGGCGACTGGATGGGAAGAGCATACCCGACTAAATGGCAAACAACACCTGTTGTATTCAACGAGCGACCATGCGTGTTCTGCCCGATCGCAACAGCAGATGGAAATGGTAATTTGATTTACATGCCAACAGCCACGTCGGATCTGGCTGTGGAACGAATCATTAGAGCCGCATTGTCTCAGATGGGCAAGCCGATACTTACAAATGTCTCTGCATTCCGTCGCTAACATCAACCAGGTTCTCACGTCGGTTGCGCAGAGGGTCCAGTCACCGGGGCAGAAACAAAGCGCTGGGCTGTCGAACACACAATATCTCTAGCCTGGCGCATCGGTCGAGCAGTCGCCGCAGCACGCCAAAGCAATCGTATAGACACCGTAGCCGAAAGCATCATCGACGAGGTCGGTGGTCCCGAAGCAGCAAAAGTCATCTTCAAAGGCAAGATCGTTGGTGTAGAACGTACACTACGCAATGGTCACGTCTATGGCGAAGTCATCATTGAAGCAGCTGCCGACACTTCTTCTACTGAGTTCAAGGGCCGTATCAAGATTCCCTTCAAGAATGAGAATATTGCCGCGTTCAAGGTCAACGAGCATGGGAGTGAGGAAGTGTTAGCGATTGTACCAGATCTCATTGCAGTGATTGATGCACAGTCAGGAGAAGCTATTGGCACTCCTGAGTATAGGTATGGTCTGTTAGTCACGGTCATTGGTATCACAGCTAGTGATAAGTGGACTTCGACTCCACGAGCCATTGAGATTGGCGGACCAAAAGCGTTTGGCCTGACGGACATCGAGTATAAACCACTTGGGAAGTTTGTCAAGCCTATCAGTGTTATTGACGAGTATTCTGATTAAGGAGATGTACGAAATACTGCTAGAATCGCTAGATACAGAAACGCCAAATGTTTGTAATATAGTATGTCTAGAATTAAACCACTACAGCCGATAACACGTCAAACAACTTTGCAAACGCTGAACAAAGACATACCAAGCCTCTAAATATTCGGTCTATTGCAAGAATAATCTATCCGGCAGCTAGCCTAGAGGTTGATATGGTATGATCAGGCTCGTAGTTGCAATTCGGCAATATTTGTCCCTACGAGTTATCTGTGTAAGTCCTGATTCTGTACAAAGATATGTTCAGACTTCCAGATGGTATGGAAAGAAAAGCAGAGGGAAAAGCGGTTCTTTGACTTAATCCACCCTACTCAATTAATGGGTGGTTGGGAATCGACACCATAGTGTGTTCGATGGCACTAGGTGACACGAGCTCATGACAAATGAAAATCTAGCTTCCTGATGTCTGCCGACCACCCGGAAAATCATAGGCGAGACAGTCTTCTGATCGAAGTCATGGAAGAAAGGCCATGTCTGCATTGAGGTATCGGAGACGGTTGTCGAGGGGAGACATTGGCAGTAAATTCACCGCCTTCGTATCGAGCTTGGCGCACGTTTCAAAGAGACATTACTGTACGACAAGCTAGACCACCATCGTTCCTTCCATCCCTTACTACCTTTCTCGTGCTCCTCAATCAGAAGTCGAGGAACCAATATCATAGCCATCGATGAATATCAAACAGCACTAATGCCGTCCGACGAGACTAGTCGGAAGAAGCATCGGACACCGTGCCAACTTAGAGCAATGGGCGATCATTAATATACGCGTCCACGCGTAGTCGCGTACTTTCCAATTCACCTTCATTTCCACATTTTACTGCTGTTCAAGTCTCAATTGCGAGTTACGATTATCGCTAAAGCGTTGTTGAAAACGAAGTTACTAATGGCTGGCAAGAAGAGAAGCAGAGCTGCTCACGATCGTAAATCTGATGCTTCGTACTTCAATCTTGGACAACCATTGACTTTGATGAACGGGAGATAATGGTGCGGCCTGTTCGACACCCAGCAACACGAAAAGATAATGCACGACCAAAGAGGAACTCCCGAAAACCCATTCAGGCTCAGACTTGGCTGTGCCTCTGATCAAGAATGAATCGCCCTGCGCTCATGCTGTGGAAGACGCTGAGGATCAGGTGAATCAGAAGGACCTCGACTTACAGATTCTGAGGGCTCAACTCAAACAATTTGACGACGACACCCAGCGACTGAATCGCGCCAGAAAGACAGACAAACAAAAGCTGGAGGAACTAAGGACTGAGAACGAACGTCTCGCGTATGAGAACGAGGAGCTCGTGAAACAGAGTCATGAACGTCAATATCAGTCTGGACAACACAATGTGACGGAAGGTACGGATGTGCTTCAGACAGATCTCGAATAACTCGATCAACTGGATGGGCTGGACCGAGTCATGGAGGAACATGAACTGATCATGCAACTTGGTGGCTTCGAGCAGGTCGTCAAATTCTTCGACAAAACACAGGAACGCGGTGGTGTTCGTATGCTTGAGAGAGAGCACAATCTAATCTGTAAGCTTGGAGGTTACAAGAAGGCCAAGCGAAAGATTAAGCCCTTGCGAACTTGCAACGCTCATGCCGAGGTCGAGAGATTGACGCAAGAGCTACAAAACTACACACGAAAAGGAGAGCGGTACGAAAACTTCTTCCGGGAACGTGGTTTACGCCGTCCACGTAACAATTGTTCGCTGGAATCGTTCTTGCAAATGTCACACCAAGATCTGGCCCATCGCGCTTGGTCGATCAGAGACCAAACGAAAGCGATCGCGACCGAACTTTTGAATGAATTCGATCATCAGAGAGAGCATGTCCAGCGTCTGCAGACAGAAAGGGAAGCCTTTACGCAGATGCTTCGTCTTCGAGAAACTCGTCTCACTCAGCTCTCCTTGAACCATGCGGCCGATATCAGAATCATGGTTCAACAAGTCTACAGTGCCCCATCGACAGTATCGTCTGTCCAGATCCATGCGAATGCAATCCTGGAAGCGGCAAAAGCTAGCGTAACAAAGCAAATGCGCCAGGCACGAGCCTCCGACTCGCCAGAGACATAGTATCATTGGAGTTTCTGCCCTTCGGAGGCGGTCTTTGATAGGCTCTTCGGGACAACTGCCAACACACATAAGACCACGCCGGCAGATTTTGAGGCAATGCTTGGATGGCATCTTGAAGGATCTGTGAGTTTCTACTTTTCTGTGCCTACGGGACTAGGCAGCATGTGACTAACATCGGTGGCAGATGACATCTCGCCGTCATGTGTGGCAGTGTCAACATCGTCTGGAGACCTGAGCAACTGGTCTTCATGATAGCCGGATACTACGAGTAGATGCGGTCTTCCATCTGAAGCCTCAGGTATCAAGGCGACAATCCCCTCTCAATCATGCTCATCCTACCGCACTCCCCTATTATCCTCTCAGCATATACATACAACTTATTTCATGACCTCCTTGTCCCCAGCCAAGCAAGGGTCCCGCTCCTACCCGACTGCAGTGTGTTTGGCCCACTTGGCTGGCGTGGGCAGTCGACAACCTTGATATTTATATGTTCGTGTTTGTACTGTTCTTGTAACTGGTTTCGAGGAGCTTGACTTGAATCTATCATGTCTGGTCTGAGATCATCTCCTGACTATACCATTGTCTTTTGTTGTATATATTAGAAGAGTCAGTGAAGCGGGCTATGGAAACGACGGGTCCCCACTGCGATCCATAGAGGGCACCCTAGCTGATTACAGCTGCAGATTACATAGTTGAGCACACGGGGAAGGCGCTGTGCCAGGAGATAGGTCGCAAAGCTTACTTGGACAACTCTCAGTCGCAAATGAGATCTCGGCATAACAGGTCATGTCAACATCGACGCGCATGACACTGACCTATAGCGATCGAAGAATACTGTGTTGGAAAATAATGAAAATGTGGTATTGAACAGGTGAAACAGGGATGAAATATAGACATATGCGACAAGCATCTTACAACTTGTAAGAACCACCAGCAGAAGGAGCCTGGGCATCCTTGACAGCAGCACCAGAAACATCCGTAAGCTGTCCCTTGTTGCCAATGACCTTGACACCACCCTTCTTGAGGTCGCTGATGATGCCCCTTCTCTCCCTTGACTTTTTGCTCTCCTTCTTGTTGGGGTCGATGTTGGCGAGTGACTTCTTCTCGCGCTCCTTGTCACGTCTGCGGCGACGCTTGCGGTCTTCTCTGCTCATCTCCTCGCGGTTGACGACCAGACCGCCACGAGTAGCAAGCTCGGCCTCTGCCTTCTCGGCCGCCTCGCCTGCCTTGTAGATCTCTTGCGGTGCGAGTTGCGAGGCAGTGGCGGCTTCTGCTCCGGCGGTGGGACGAGCATCTTCGAGACGAACGACTGGTGCGTCAACACGAATGTCGAGTTGTGTAGCGGGACCCTTGGGCTTGAAGTGCCAGGAGCTGAGGCTGTCGAGCTTGTTGCTGATATCGCACCATAAGGCATCGATCTCCTTTTGCTCCTTCTGTGTCTTCTCATCCTTTGCATCGACGTAGTTGGGGTCCGTAGCCTTGAGATGTTCCTCCTCGTACATTTCGGCAAGGGATTTCTTGCTCTTGCTGTCATCGAGCTCAAAGTCAAGACGCCCGCGTCTGCTTGAGCTACCAGTAGCCAGGTCATCAGGACGACGGCGGATGATGTCTTGGAAGTCCTCTGACAGAATGCGACGCTTGATGAGCTCTTCCAGACTCTCACTGATCTCGGCAGTGATGACTGGTACGGGCTTACCGACACGCTCGAACTCGAGGTCTTCTTCGAGTAGAGAGTTGATGGGACGGTCAGCAGCACGAGCCTCACCAGAGAGAGTCCAGTCTCTCTTAGCAACGTTTGCGGCTTCCAAGCGTCGGATCTCTTCTGTGAGGGCAGTCTGGCGGCGCTCGTGCGCTGAACGGCGAGAGCGAGGGTCGGCAGGATCAAGATTCTCCTCATCCTCCTCCTCATCTGATACATCGTCGAACAAGTCACGATGGACCTTCTCCATGGTACGTTCCATCTCTTCTTCGTTCTCTGCAGGCTCATCGGCTCCACTAGGTGAAGGTTGCTTCGCAGGGAAGTTGTGGGGGTTGGGACGTCCCCTCTTGTTTGGGCGGACCTTTTTGGCAGGCGGGGCGAAGAAGTCTGCGTACTTGACCTCGTTTGTGTTTGACAAAGAGCCCATACCGTCCATCTCACCTTCCTCAACCTCTTCCTCGTTGTCGCTGAAGCCTTCCGGAGCGTTCAAGTCGACGTTGCCGAATGTGGGACCGTCCTCGTCGTCTGATGCGTCGTCGTTCTGAGCCCCCTTCGAGATGGTAGCACTAGCACCTAGAGGATTGGAGCCCCAGTCGACGCCCTCCTCATCGTCGTCTTCAAAATCGTTGTCTCCGCGGGCATCTGCTTGTTCGAGGAACTCTGATTGTTTGTTGAAGTCGTCGATGGAGAAGAAGCCGTCGTTCAGGCCGTGCGGGTCGGGCACGTATTCGGCTGCTTCTTCGCTTTCTGCCTCGGACTCGCCTTCACTGCCCATCTCGACGTCCCCGTCGGTTTCGATGTCTGACTCCTCGTAGTCATCGACTTCGCCATCAACTTCCATATCCTCATCTTCCTCGTCTTCACCGTCTACATCCTCACCCTCGACTTCGTAGTCGATCCCCTCTTCGCCAATTTCGCTCTCGCCATCCTCTGAGACTCCTTCACCGTCCTCGCCCTCACTCTCTTCCTCTGACTCGTCGATAGCATACTTCTCGGCAAGCTCATCAAAGTTGCGCTGGGCCTCTTTCCTCGCTGCGTCGATGATGCGCCTTGCTTGTTCCCAGACCTGGTCGACAGCGAATCCGTCAACGTGGACCTTCCTCAAGCGCAAAATCTCCTCATCATCGTTATGTTGTCCACGCTTTCTCTTCTTGCGGGCCTCTTGCAAGCGCTGTTGTTGTGTCTCGGCGATGTTTTTGGCGATCGGGTCGAGTGTCTTCTTCAGAAAATCGAGCGACGATGTGTGTAATGTTGTTGGCGGTTGCAGAAATGTGTGCGGCTCAGAGGTGAGCGATTTGACGAGTGTGGTGGCCATGTTTGGCAGTTGACTCTATTCGATATCTGCTTGCTACAGGCAGGCGCAAAAGATGAAGCCGAAGGAAAAATGTCTTGCTGTGTCGGGGATAACGCCGATCGCCAAGCTTATCGCCGTCATGCTCGTGATCCGCAAAAATATATTGTAGCAGAGATGTCTCTTAAACAAAAACGGGTGCGTGGCCCAATGGCAAGGCGCTTGACTACGAATCAAGAGATTGCAGGTTCGATCCCTGCCGTGCTCACATTCTCTTTTGTTCATCATGATCGATGCCAGACATCGATCTCTTTTTGTCCTCGGAACTCGGTCAGTCTGGCCTTTCCCCGGTGTGCGAAACACTATCACAACTTGTAGCTGTCAAGGCACAAACCCTCTTGGAGCTTCAAGGCGACGGTCCTGGGATACATCCTGGTCACCCATTTACAATAAATTCATGATTTTTGAGATATGACTGTCCCTCGCTACAGCTATCCAAAAACTCTGCTCTGTTCGTGGAATCAGGGTGGGAAGGACAAGGCTTGACACACGGGGGAAGTCGACTGCAGCCCTCAAGCCACTGGTCGACAATCTCTTCGACGAAGCTCGTTTCTGATGCTTGTCCTCGGCTCCAGTGCTTCAGCATTGTCTCGAAAGCTCAATGTAAACGTGCTGGAAGCAAGGCTATCTGACTCGAGCCGACCTTGATGACCACAATACCCCGACTTCCAACTTACAGTGTGATCTGCATTATCTCAAAGCGTCAAAGAGCCAGGAATATCCACTGTTCTTTGTGCTACCAAGCATAAAACGGTGAGCCTGGTTTTGTACCGAAAGCAACAAAGGACATTTTCCGGATGCGGACATAGGTATGAACCTTAAGACTAGAAGGTTATACATACTTTCAAGAAGCGCTCTATGCCAATAGCACAACAAAAATTGCTGGAAACTCACCATGGCGCGCTATGTGGATGACGTCGAGGCAAGGGCAATACAGAAGGATGGCACTAGCCTTAACAGGATTCGACTTCCGCCAAACCCATCACCAAATACACAATGGATCGGCGGCTACAAACTGGCCTCCGGATCCAACGGTATCGCAAACATATGGGTGTTGGTAGACAATGACACCCGCAAGGCTATCAACCATGCTGTAATCAAGGACGCCTTCGAGGGAAACGTCGCCATCGCCGAGACAGGTCTCTACAAGGGCATCTACAGAAATCTCAGAGACAAAGGTCTTGACTTTGGCGCTGATCCAGGAGCAGAAATAGGACATGCGCGACCTGAGTTTCGATTCCAAAAAGAGGCCTACCTACAGGGATTGATGACGGAGCCTAAAGCGACTGAAGAGATATTTTCTATCCCACTATGGGGTTACTCGAGGCAGAAGCAGAATTACAAGGACATCTTTCCTTACCACTATCACTGGAGATTATACATGCCGTTGTATGATTACGGAGATCTCGACACAATCATGAAAGCTCATCGACACAAGAGGAAAGGCATACCGGAACCCTTCATTTGGCACTTTCTCTGTTGCATGATGAAGGCAGCCCGCCAGCTAGAAACACAAGCGCAGTCACATGGATTTGCTAGGGAATCCGATGTAATAATCCCGTTCGACATGAAACCGAAGAACATATTCCTCGCTCCACCTGATAGCAACTCATCGTTCCCAGCATATCCTCGCCCTCACATAGCGGATCTTGGAGGCGGATGCATCACCCGCGACGGCGATGTTGAGAACCAACAGCACAAACAACGGTGGGCTTACACACCTGGCTTTCTAGCTCCTGAGATGTGGAGACCATCCAGTGATCCGCACCGTCGAGCTCCACCAAATGGACGCATCCTCCCAGAAGGAACTTTGCGCGGGACTCACACAACAGTCTGGCAAATTGCACGAGTGGCCGAAATGCTAGTGAAGCTGGAAAGACACCCACAAAACATTGATTACCAGATCGGCTCTCCTGATTGGAAAATGAAACCGAATGTTCTTACGGATATAGGACCTCATCCTGGACAAAACTACTCGATGACTTTGAGGAAGCTTGTGGACACATGTTTGAATTTCAGACCTGAAGCTCGAGGTACGCCTCAGCAAGTCTTGGATTACATTGAAGATTACGGGCTTGCAGAGTGTCAGGGTATGGATACCTTTGGCAGTGATATGTGGTTTGTAGACCAACAGCACCTAAAGGATACCGCGCCTCCTCCCCCTTACAGACTTGCACGACACGCTTTAGATGCAGCGGAGATAGAGAAAGCTAGACGGATCGAACACGCAAGGCCATATTTACGTGCTTGGGGTCCGGAAAAGACACGGCAATTCATCGATCTAGGGGGTTTGCCTCTTGAGAGTCTTGAGGTAGAGTATAGTGGGAATGCACATTGGTGGATCACAGACCCGCAGGATTTGGTTGATGACAATGGAGGTCCGGTGATTCCGTATGATAGATTATAAGGTCGGGTGGGATTGAATGTTCAATATTGAATGTTTAAATTTGAGCTGTTGGCAAACATATCATCTGGTACTCTCGCGTGCACCGTCAGATACTTGTATCATACATCCATCTGTTATTACGTACAGGCACCATATATGTAGCAACGACCTCAATTAAGCTTAGACATGGCATGCCCTCAGCGTGTGTGGGATGCTGTGACACCCATTCAACTTATGAGCGAAGCAGAGCAACGACGAGCTATAGAAACGCACAGTCATATCACTTGTGCATGACTCTAGAGCAAGGAGTTGATGAAACAAGGTATCTCGAAGACATCGCCACAGTCTCTCACAAGTACTGTGCCTTGGAACAGCTAGCAGTATGACGGTGTTCTGCACGCAAAGAGTGCAGTTTATACCAACAGCTGATCCACTCCAGGACACAGTCAGAGCTACCGGTTTCGTAAGTGGCAAGCTGACTGAAGCCTAGCAGAAAATCACGTTGCCAGAGTTTATCACGATTATACCAAGTGTTCTTCAAAGAAGAAATGTAAGCCGCAAGCGAACCCGCAACTCCGCAAAGGATAGAGAGGCAAGATTATAAAGGGCACCGTGTCCGTTCATATTGATCTCACTTAATATGGACCACCTATTTAGATACACTAGACTCCGAATTGTTCAGCACGAAGCTCAGCGACTCGTGCTAGTGAAGGTGGGTCATGGGTTTGGAGAGCTTCAACTTGAGAAAAGAGGAGTTCGACGCGAGGCTGCGAAGAAATTTATTGTGCTGTACAGCTGGTCTGTGCGAAATCGGATTGTGCCGTGGAGTGGGACTGGAAGAATAACGACGTCTGATGCTTTGAGGGGTGAATAGGGAGGTTGTGAAAAATCGGTTGGTTTTTTGAAGAGTGTCTGGAAGAAGTGTACGTTTGCGGCCTGGTTGATGCTGGTCGAGGCTTGCTCTGATGGCGATATTGATGATCGTGTCCGGCTGTTGGCTGATGAGTTCCTCGATCATTCATGACCTTCGATTGATCATTGAATCAATTGCCGGAAACCACTATCAATGAGAGTCAACGTCTAATCGACCACAGGACAATTTTATGCTTAACAATGTTCAAACTTTGTAGGTAACACCAGGGTAACATCATTTTCTCATTACTTTGGAACTTCATGAATTCAGGCCCATCACGCTTTACATTTCCAATCTTGTTTCCCGTCATGCGTCTCTGCCACTGTTGTCGAGAGATGTTCCTATCTGAGTCTTCTCTTTATTCTCGACAGCCACTCTTGTTCCAGTCAAAGAGAGTCGTCCGAGAGTTACTGCCAGTTCAGGTCCTCAATAACACTTCGACCGCCCCACCTTTGATGTATCCTTTGTCTTCTATACTTGCTTCTTCATCCATCACAACTCATAAATAGATGCCGAGAACACGACCATCGAGTAGATTTCCTTCTATCAGAAACACACGCTTTCTTGCCCCCCTTGATCAAACCAGATCCATCATTACAAATCATCTTCTCAGTCGTCTGCAGCACGACTGAAACCAAAAGGCCAAAAAGCCACCTCCAACTCAAGCAACAAACGTCACAAAAGATGGTCCGCTTCACCGCCCCTATCCTCTTCATCGTGACCCTCTGCACCCTCCTCCTCACCGCCCCCGTCCTCGCAGAATCCGAAAACGACTGGCAAAACTACAAACTCCAATGCCTCCTCAAAGACCACAGAATCCTTCAAGCCACCGACCGTCTCTGCAACCGTGACCTCCACGTCCCCAGCGGTGTAGGTCAAATCGGAGAATCCTACGCTCGTAACCAAAGACTCAATGTTCTCCCTAATCAAAGGTGTTTGATGGATGGACGTATGAATATGAAGAGTAATGTTTGGGTTCCTAAGTATTGGTGTGAGAGACAGTTTTGGAAGACTTGTGCTCAGGGCAATAGTAAGGGTAGGGGTTCGCAAATGTTTGGTGGCAAGGGTTGTCAGCATTTCTTGATTTCGGACTTCCCGGAGTAAAGTGGGTGTGAAGGGGTTCTTGCTACTTTGATGTCTAGCAAAGGTACTGTTGTTTTCTCAAGGTCTTGGTCGTTATTTGTATCTTACCCTTTGTCTCTCGTTGATACCTGTCCACGTCTCATGACTGTGTTCTAACAGCTCTTCATTTCCCTCGCTTTTAGTAACAGGAACACAAGGAATCTTTGCCTCATGAACATTTACGCCATCTAACTGTGATGGACTAATCACCTACTCGTGATATCCATATCTTGACAAGTAAAGCTCGTCGGTTGCAGGTGAGATAGAAATGTTCGTATAATACAGATACATAAGCAGGTTACATACAATCGTGATTACAAGGTCTCAATCGACGAGCCTGTCCTCCAAGCTCAGTTGGGGATATCATCCACACTAGTAACATGGACCTCCTTTCTGCCATTCATCTTGCGTCGAAGCGCACTCGATGCAGGGTAAACAACCCTCCGCAGTCTGTTTGGCGATCCGAGTGGCTGATAAGCCTTCAGACCATGCCAAGGGTCAACTCTCATATGATCCTCCCAGAAAGTCTTTCTCTCATAGTCGAAACTCTCTTGCTTGGGGATTTTGACGGTAGCCACGGTCTGCCAGGGGTACTTTTCAGGATCCCAGACCTTTCCGGCGTATTCGACGGGTTGGTCTTCGAGGTTCTCGCATAGCTGGACTTGGAAGAGGTATTCTGCATCGTGTTCGGCGTGGAAGTTTTGGAGCCAGCGGTGGAGGATGTCGGAGCCGTCTTCGGGGCGAACGGTCTCGTCGTAAAGCCTTCGTTGGGTCTCGCTGGATGGTACCAGGCAGTACTTCATGACATAGTCGCCGAAGCGGTATGCGGTTTGTGAGTATTGACGGGTGCTCTCGAGATGGGTGTTGCGGACCTTGTCGCGAGCAGTCTGCAGTTCAGTGTCGTCGCGCTTCTCCAGATGCTTACGTAGCTCTTCCTGGTCATGACCATACTTGATACGCAGGTCGATGATCTCGCGAGTCACTTTGGCGGTGGCTAGATCGAGGGCTGGCGTGCTGTTGAACTCTATGTCTTGAGTTGGATAGTCCTCATACATGTCTCCTTGGACTCCAAACAGCTTCATAGCAAAGCCTCTAGGTACGGGGATACGATCCTGGAAGAATGTTAGATGGCAGAACATGAGCAGAAGAAGGTGAACGTACGTCAAGGCCGGGGTCACCAGGCTCAGTGCTATATCTTGCAACGATGGGATACTCTCCACCCTTTGAGAAGAGCTCGCCTTGTCTCAGGTGCTTTGGCAGACCATCAGGAACGACGAATGAGCCCTTGACGATTCCGTGGGTACGGGCATGGGTGCCACTGTAGCAATGGCGATGGACGTTCCATTGGGCCTTCTGAATGAGATTGATCTGTTCAGCGACAGCCTTGATATCGTCTTCTTCATCGTCGGCTATCTTCTCTACGCCTTCAGAGTCCCAGCGGATGTAATTGCGTCCTGACAGGTTCTCCTGTTTGACATTGTCGGAGTCCTTGTTAGGTGCCTCGTGAACGGTCAAGTTTGATGTACGATCAACGGTTACAGTGGAAGACATGATGACGTCTGCTCTTCTGATCTGTGAAGGTGAAGTATACGCGAGAGCCCGACCTACCTGATGTAGGACCTATATAACACTGACAAGCAGGTCTAGACCAATTGCGGGGTATGACCTTGATGAGCGGAGAGTAGAGCGGGATGAGCAAGTAGCAGATATAAGCTCGATGCTAGTCGGCTATGGGGGGCTGGTATTTCAAATTTGACATAGCTGAGGAGTTCCCCGCCCTGTTCGAAGGGGATGTTGGAGCATCGAGACATGGCCGGCCATACGGAAGGACGGAATTAGTGATGGTGGCTTGAGGGCTGGCTGCAGGATGTAAGGCCATGATCGAACTTCAAGACTTCTTGGCTCGAGACAAGAACAAACAGCAAGCCGGTCACTGGTATTGATCGAAGATGCGGGAGAGAGTCATGTAGATGATGGACGTGATTGGTGTCTGATCAAGCGGACGGGCAGAAGACGCGTTGATTGCGGCTTGGGTTGCGGCATGGGAAAGTGTGGGGAAGTACGGAGCCCCTGCTTGTCTCGATGCTGCCTTCCCGATCTTGACTTTGTAGACAAACTGATTATCCATAGCATTGTGCTTGTTGCATTCTGAACATGTCTGCTGTATCGAATGCTGACGTGGCGATAAAGTCGGGTTCGTCCATCTTTCTTCCACGCGAATCGACACAGAAAGCTGACACTGCCACGTTGCAGCTTCCAAGAAGAAGAGAAAGAACAAGAAGAAGACCAACGACAAGACAAAGACTTCTGCCGATGCTCCGGACACGAACGGCGTCAATGATGAGGGAGACGACGATGTCGACGAGGAAGATGTTGCAAGTCGAAAGCAGTCGGTAGCCGGTCTCGAGGACTCCCAGGACAACTCTTCCATCCCACAACCTCTACCTGTGAACGCTACCGAACAGACACGCGATACAGCCGCTTCTCCTCCGAACATCAAAGCCGACGATGATGCGCACTCCGAAACAGCCGCGCGACTGGACGCCATGGTCAAAGAGCGAGACACGCTACGCTCAGAGTTGGCAGACTTGCGCAAGTCCTTTGAGAGCATGCAAGAGAAGCACAATCAAGAGACAGAGACCTTGAAATCACAGGCCCAAGACGACAAGGCTGCCAAGGACAATGCGGAAGTGGAAGACTTGCGCAAGTCGTTGGAAGCTGTCCAGATCAAGCACAAGCAAGAGCTCGACCACGTCAAGAAGCAAACAGAAGATGCTCAGACCGCAAAAGACAACGCCGAAGTGGCAGGGTTGCGCTCCTCGATCGAAGACATGCAGAAAAGCCACCAGCAGGAGGTCCAGTATCTCAAAGACCAAGCACAGCAGGCACAGTCTGCCAAAGACAACGCCCAGATAGCTGAGCTCAAACAGTCACTGACATCTATGCAAGAGAAGCACACAAACGAGATTGAGGTCCAAAAGCAGCAAGCGAAGGACGCCCAGACAGAAAAGAACAACTCGGAAATCACATCATTACGTCAATCGCTGCACTCTCTCCGAGCAGAACATCAGAAAGAAGTCGGCCATCTGAAGAAGCAAGCCCAGGAAGCACAAACGACCAAGGATAACGCCGAGGTGGCAGATCTTCGTCAGTCACTGGCTTCTGCGAAAGAGCAGCATCAGAATGAACTTGACCATCTCAAGAAACAAGCCCATGAAGCACAGACGACCAAAGACAATGCGGAAGTCACCGAACTACGAAAGGCACTTGAAGCTGCCAGAGAGGAACACCAGAGAGAAGTCGCCGAATTCAAGAAACAAGCACAAGAAGCACAGACGACCAAAGACAATGCCGAGGTGGCCGAATTGCGCAAGTCGCTGAAGTCTGCTCAAGAGGAGCACCAAAGAGAAGTTCAAGACCTTAAGAAACAAGCTCAAGAAGCGCAATCTGGAAAGGATGGCACCGACGGTGAAGAGGTGGAACAACTCAAGACACAGCTGCAAGAAACACAAAAGGGCAAGGAGAGTGCCGAAAGCGCATACCGCACACTCTTGGGCAAAGTCAATACCATTAAGTCACAGCTTGGAGAGCGTCTCAAGGCCGACGCCGAAGAACTATCCAAAGCCCGTGCCGAGATTGAAGACCTTCAAGAGGAGAGCAGATCCGCCCGCGAAAGCAAAGAGGAACTCCAAGTCACCATCGACCGATTGGAGACGCAACGCAAGGAACACGAAAGCGAAATCGAATCTCTTCGAAGCCGAACCAATGTCAGCCAATCCAACTGGGTCAAGGAGCGCGACGAGTTGATCAGCAGAGAAGCCTACGCCCGCGAGGAGTTCGAGAATGCCCGACAGGCCATGCAAGACTGGGAAGTTCTAGCCATGGAAGAGCGATCATTACGTGAATCACTCGGCGAACGTGTCATTGAGATTGAAGAGCAACTCAACGGTCAAAGAGAAGCTTACGAGCGTGCTGCGAGCGAAAGAGATACACAAAACTCGACTGTCGACTCTCTGCAACGAGCACTCCAAGACATCCAAGATGCACGCAAGAAGGAGCTTCGCGAGATTGTCGAAAGCTCACAAGCCCAACTCGATGCCTTGCGTGCTCAAACAGAAGAAGCAAAAGCCTCAGCCGCTTCGTCAGCAGAGGAGCTGGAGAAGACGAGGAAGGAACTCGAGCGCGCCCTCCCCTTTGAAAAGGAAGTCAAAGAAAAAAATCTCCTAATCGGAAAACTACGCCACGAAGCCGTGATTCTAAACGACCATCTCACAAAAGCACTACGATTCCTGAAGCGCGGAAAGCCAGAAGACAATGTGGATCGCCATATCGTGACGAATCATTTCCTCCACTTTTTGATACTCGATCGTAGTGATCCGAAGAAATTCCAAGTTTTGCAGCTGATAGCCGCATTACTTGGTTGGACGGAAGGTATGTCTCCCCTGACCCTAATCTCTACCACAAACACAGATTGCTGACACGCATGATTCAGAACAAAGAGAACAAGCAGGACTAGCTCGCCCAGGCGCCTCCAACTCCCTACTTAAAATCCCTCTCTCGCCCTTCCGCCGCACACCCTCTACACCATCCCTCTCAGACTCCACCTTTGACAACCATCAAGGGGGAAGTAAAGAGTCACTTGCAGAATTATGGTCTGATTTCCTGGAGAGAGAAGCTCAAGAGGGTGGTATGCATGGGAGTAGGAGTGGCAGTTTTGCCATGATGAGTCCGACGCAGGAGAGACCTGCTAGTAGTGCTGGGCTGGGGGTGGGGGTGGGGAGTCCTAGACCTTGAGGTGGGGTGGAATAGGAGGTGAGGTAATTGCATGAGAGAAGTGCATGAGAAGTGTAGATGAGTGAGATGTTTATATATTCAGCTTTTAAAAGCATCAGTCTTTTGAAACTTTTTAGCCACTCGGACTAAACACCTATCGAGCTACATGTGTGTAAAGGGGTGCCATTGCGATAAGAGTAGGATTCCTCATTGCTTTCCTCTCTTCCTGTCCTTTCAAACCCATGATCGTTTCTCGAGTGAGTTGACTTGCTTGTTTCTTGCTCTCCTCTTCTTCTCGGTAACAAAGCCCTTTGAACGCCGTACGCCGCGCTTCATGCTCGGATTTGTTTGATTCTCCACACCCCAGCGTCTCGTCTTGTTGTGTATCCTTTCCAACCCTAGCCAGCATTGATCGTGAATAAAGCAAAGTGAATTTCCGGCCCTCCCCTTCTTCAAGTGGAGTACTTCAGAAAACTACATTCATCGCTTCTTGGCATTAGGTCTAGGCTTGCACTCATCAGGAGCAATAGAGTGCAGCATGACCTTGTTAGGGTATTGAGGGTTGTTCTGTTGGTATCCTTGATGCCAGTCGTAGGAAACAGCGTAAGCAAAGACAGAGCCATCGTGGGAAAAGTCTGTGCAGCTGATGGAGCCTCCAACTTCGGGGTAGCCCTTGAGACGGTGCTTGGCGTCCTTGTCCCAGAAGTGGAAGGTGCCGTCACTACCGGCAGTGCTGAAGGTTCCGTGGATAGGGTGGAAGGAGATGGAGTTTACCGAGTAGACGTTTGATTGGTCGCGGGTGTTGGGGGCGGTCTGACGATGGCACTTGAAGGAGAAGTTTGAGCTGGGAGAGATATGTTAGTGGGTGGTGTATGTCATGCACAGAGTGGCCAAAATTACCTCGAGTCCTTTTCCTCGACGTACTGGATAGCACATCTACCTTCGATGGAGCCAATGGCGAAACCGGTGGCGTCGGCGAAACAGCTGATGGTTCTGGTCTGCCACTTCAGAGGACTCTGGATTTGCTTGTATGCCGAGTTGGGCTGGGCGAGGTTGAAGATTTCGACCCAGCGGTCGGCGGTAGCAACGACCAGAAGCTGGTCGCGGGTATCCATGGCGTAGACGCGATCCTTGCACTGAACGGTAGCGGCAGGGGTTTGTTGACGTAGATCCCAGTACTTGATGGTCTTGTCCCAAGAACCAGTAACGAGCATTGGAGAGTTGTTGACCATGATGCTTTCTACGCACTTGATGGGAGCGTCGTGGGCGGCGACGGTCTGGGGGGTGGTGCTGCCTGCTCCGAGATCAAGCATCATTGCCTGTTTGTTGGCGCCTGCTGCGAAGACTTTCGTTCCATCCTGCTAGAGTGTTAGTAGCGTCTTGGGGCGCGCAGACTGTAGCGCATACCTTTGACCAGCATGTGCTGAGAGCAGGGGCACCCAAATCAATGAGAGCCTTTCCTGATCCGCCATTTGGATCGACTTCGTAGATGCGAACTTTGTTGTCCCATGATGCGACTGAGAGGTGGAGAGAAACCGGCGAGAAGCTCAAGTCCTGGATACTATCCTCAGGTGGATTGTTGAGAGCGATGTCGCCGGTGATGCTGCCCTGGGTAGCGGTCGCCGAGTTGGACTGTGCCGAACCAAAGAGACCAGCCATTTCTGCGTTTTGGAGGTCGACGTAGCCTAAGTGTTCGATTGTTTGTGGTGTAGATGAGGTTGTCTCGTGTTTGAGATGAAGGAGGTCTTCGGCGCGTGAGTTGTGTTCGAGGAGAGCCCAGAGCTGTCGAGAATTGGCGCGACTGATGCGACTAAGACCGCCAGTGACGGTAGGAGGGATGCCTGTGGTGTTATACGTCAGACGTCTGCCAGAACGATATGAGCACGCTCGGTGGGATCCTTCAGCACGAGGCAAAGGAGGTCCTTCTTCCTCGACATCGCCATCATACGGAGATTCGTCCATGCCGAGAGCCGTGTTGCGCGAACAGAAGAGAGCGACATGGGAGCCATCTAGACAACAAGCACAGAGCGCGAGGATTCATAACGTACCGTATTATATTGTCTCGGCGTACGGTAAGAGCAAAGTCGAGAGCGGCGACAGCAACTCAGGCGTACTAGGTTATCTGCGTACTAGGTGATGCGACAGCAACAAGGGATCCACCAGCCAGCAGCTACGAAAGTTGTAAAGCTCACGACGACGAACCCGACGCTGCCACGCTAGCCCAACACCGCCCGGCACTAGCAAGACCCGACAATCCGCCGTCACTCCCGAAGTCCCAGCAAGCTTACAAAAAGGCCCGCGCGCAAATCTTGCACTTCCCTCTCTCCAACCTCTCGCTCAAAGAATCGCAATCAAAGCTTCCACACCGAAAGGGGACGCGTCCTCTTTCTGTTCTGCACAGAAACACACTGCTTTGGGAGAAAGTCCCCGGACACGCCATGGGTTTACTCATGGTATGCGGAAACGCGCCGCCATAGATGCAAGCACACCTGCGGCTTACTTCGCCAGCCCGACCTCTCACACCTCAGACATTGTCCCCATCGCCGTCTGCACTCCGCATGTGCGCTGTTGGCTATTCTCATTATTGCTTTCCTCGCTCGGTCGCCTCTGCCCGCAAGGGGGACGAGGATATGAGTCCGTGGCCGGGCAATGGGGGAAGCTGGCTATCGGGATGCCTGCTGGCGCTGTGTAGAGGAGGTGGTGGGTTCGTCTTGGTAATCTCGCAGTCTTTGGGTCTGTGGGGTTTCCGGTTGGGCATACTGGCATCTTCTTCGTCGAGGTCGAAAGATATGCGATTGCTTCTCTCTGCTTGCAGAAGGGGTAACTCGATGGGGCTTATTCTTGATGCGAGGGGTTCAACACACAAAACACTCTTTTTCTCGGATCTGTCTGGGTGCTTTGCGCATTTCACTGCGCTCTGTTCATGCCATTGCTCGGTCAAACGTGCCAGATTCCTTTACACAATCTTTTCCCCCACACACACACACACACACAAATCGTTCTACATGATGATGAAAAGGTATAGAGTCAAGCACTGAGATTATCCACTTCGGTGTCCCTTCATTGGGGCCGAGGCTGGTCCATTGATGCTACATTTCCTACGACGGTATCTGACAGAACGATTTGATGTGCTCCCTTTTTTGGTATACACTACACACATGGCAAGAGGAAAGAAAGAACTGGAAAAATAAAACAAAAAACATTTTCTTGCACCATCACTCATTCTACTGTTGGCAATATTCAACGTGATCTACCATGTCCCATGGTCTTTGTCAAGTGCTACTCAAGCAAGATGATGCCAGATTTCGAATGCTGTTGCTTGAATACTGATATGCTAACTATCTACCGCCATGAGGACGCGAAGACGGTTTGCCATCATCCTCATCGTCGTCGCTGTCATCCCCAACATCAAATCTCTCCCTCTCAGGATTGTGAGGACTCGTCAACTCATCCAGCTCTGCTTCGTCAAAGTCTGCCGCTTCCAAGTCTCTTCGTGCTTGCTTTCTTCGGAACCCTTCGGCATTGAGACCCATGCCGTCCATCTCGAGGTTGTGTGACAGCCCACGGTAGCCTGCCGCGCTTCTTCTTTGACGCCAGATAAAGTATCCCCATGCTGCCACGGCAATGACAACTACGACTAGCGCGACCTCGCCAGACTTGTAATATGCCTTCCATGTTGCTTGTTGCAAAGCTTCCTTCTCCGCTTCCTCGGCTGCAGTGCTGTTTGGGTGTCCACCAACACTGGTCAGAGGTCCCTTCTCACCGTCAATTCGACTGTCGGTTGGGATGCCTCCGACGCTGTCAATGTCCACCCCCATGAAGCGGTCCAACATGTCTCTACTGCGACGAGGCCAGTCGAATGGAACCATGTGCGAAGCGTTGTAGAAGACAACATATGTAAGGTTGCGAGCCTCTTGCCAGATTCCTGCTGGTTCACTCTCGAAAGTCCAGTCGCGACGGGGTGCCCATACGCCAGGTGCTGTCTCGAAACCCTTGCCGCCGTTCCACTCCATTCTGTTGATGAGCTCTTCAGTACCGATATGGTTGCAAATCAAATCTTTGTCGCCAGAGAAGAGCAGAATGGGGACTTGTTCAAGCAAGGCAGGCAAAATCTCGTACGAAGGCTTTGCGGCGCGGGCGCTGAAAGCATTGCCCACTTGACCGCTGCACTCAGCCCAGCCACTTGTCTTTCCAGGACTAATGTGCAAAGCATCCGTGACGTCCTTGCGACGGAGATATGGCTTGACTTGAGCGAGATCTGGGGGCCAGTTCATGCCGCAACTCGGGTATGTGTCGTCCAGACGTACGTCATACATGTTGACACACTTGCCGTGCTCCTGATTGCTGACTTGCAGAATCGCTTGCAAGATGGCCTCGCATGGCCGCGAGTCGACGTGGTTCTTTCCGTCCTTGTCCAAGTCCTCTATGCACTTCGAATGCTGAGCTTCGACTTTCTTGGCACTTTCGCTGCCATCCTTGATGAGGCCAACTTTCTTCGCGTATGGAAGATATGAGAGGGACTGGTCGACGGTCGAGATCCATCCATTGCCAATAAGAAGACCAGCAAGACTCCACTTGTCGCCCTTCTTTTCTGCGTTGCGCTTCAGGATGGCTTCGGCCAGGTATGGAATGTACTGGCCGGCGTATGACTCGCCCGCAATGTATAGCTAGACAGAATTAGTGACTGATGTTGACAGTCAGGACCACGATCTTGGACTTACGTCGTCATGTCTATACTCGGGGAACAGGTCGTAGAACTTTTCCAGGAATTGTACCATCTGGTTGGAAGCGTCCTCCAGTTCGTGAACGTAACTGTCCGTATCGACGTAGCTGAAGCCGGTTCCAACAGGTTGGTCGACAAAGAGCAAGTTCGCGAACTCGGCCCATGAACCATTGTTGTATTGTAGGCTCCCGTCCGGCTTGACTCTGTATGGACCAATTTCCATCATGGCGCCGTCCATGGAACTACACCCAGGGCCTCCGTTGAGCCATAACACTGTGCGTTGCTTGTTTGCGATGTGACGGTTCTGGTAGTGCCAGAAGAACAGGTTGCCGTGGTGCTCGGGTGTGATTTCGATATGACTTGAAGAAAAGGTCAGCACACAGTCTCCAAGGTCCAAGGCCAGAGTTCATACCCAGCATGCATCTTGAGCAGAGGCTCGGGAGCTCCAGGCAATGAAGACACAAAGTAGTCGGCTGCCGTCTGCTTGGCTGCAGCACTAGCCATCCATGAGGAACAGTATAGAAGGCCACATGCCAGAGACCCGGTCCATGTTGCTTGACTCCTCCGACGAGGAGAGGTTGAGAAGAGCTGCATGATGCGCGTATGCTACCTCATGCCAGTTGACAGCTAATCGATGTCGTAGTTGAATAAGAATGCCAAGGGTGAGACTTGAGCTCGTGAGATGTGTCCGCTACAACGAAAGAGAGTTGTAAGCGTCTTCCAGTTACCTCGAACAGCCGGCAACACAATGCGACGACTATCAGCGAGCTACACAGAGAAGGCCGAAATTGTTCGAGTCGCAAAAGGAGTCGCAGTCACTGCCCCATTGACCAAGCAGACACGCGGCTTCCCCGGATTTTCCACTTGCATGTGCTTCCGACTCGCTCGCCGACCCTGACCTGCACTCTCACAACTAGCACAAAGACAGTCAAATTTGGTTTCAGTCATCAATAAACTTGCATTGATGCTACCTTATTCGAGAGAGCGCTCAACCCTTTCGTAGCCACCCATGATAGACACCGCCTTCTTGAGCTTCATTAGGCCAATAAACTGGTTGTCGATCTTGAGCTTCTCCAGTCCAAAGAAGAACAAACCAGGAAGATGTTCGTACTCTTTGGCAGTACGAGAAGGAAAGCAACACCTGTTTGCGTCTCTTTCAATGGCAAGGATGTACTTCCAAAGGCTGGAGCTTTCAGGAACCGACTCACAGGCTAGACAAACGGCTGCGATACTGAATCTGAAAGGGAATCCTTCAGGTCTGATGGCCTTGTCAAGTTGCTGAAGAGCTGCGTTTGCAAGCTTCGGGATGTCGAGTCTGTCTGCGAAGATGTAAATCTCGATGTAGGCCATCTGGCGTTCCTCTGCATCTGTATCATTTCTGCCCCCAAAACCTTTCTCAACAAAATCCAGATCGTTACGGGAAAAGAGCCAGGTGTGAAAGACCAGGAACAGATCCAGACGCTCATCTAGACTGATCTTGCTTTCGTTTGCTTCTCTGAATGCGCCGTTCAATGCGCGTTCAAAGAAAGTAGGGCAAGAGGCGAGTAAATGCTTTGAGACAGGGAACGCGATGCCGCCGACGATGACCTCGATGTAAGGTGGTGCGATGTTGGGGCTTTGATATGTCAGTACAGCTTTGTGTGCTTCTGGACAGTTGTAACGTACTCCAGTGGAATCCAAGACTCGTCAACTGCTCCCTCATCATCATCATCACCAGCTTCCTTGCCGACCGGTACGAGAGGAACCACTTCCTCAACCTTGATCATGCTCATGGCGAAGAGACTTGTAGGCTTGGAGGCAGGGGCTTCTGGAATGTCTGCGTGGTCGTCGACGAGATCTTCGTGCTGCATGTTGGAGATCTCATTGTCACCCATTTTGAGAACCTTGGTGATGAGATCTTCATCGATAGTGAAGTGACCTGGAACACGATACTCGTCGTAATCGGTATGAGGGTCTTCGTATTTATCAATGTGTGAGGGTTCACGCTGTGCTACGGTGTACGCAAAACGTTGGAAGAAACCGCGCATCATCTTGTGGCTGACGGTAGACGATGGCGAAGTGGGAGAAAAAGAAGAGTGGTTGTGAAAGGTAGGAAAAGGAGCGGGAGTTGTGGTGAAGCGAAGAAGAGGAAATGGAGTTGTTGTGAGCGGGATCTCGGACTTGGACAGAGCGGTCGACAACAACAAGTGAATCTTTGATGTTTCTTTCAAATATGTAAGGACCTTACTTAGATGACGCTCCTCTCAACTGGTGTCGACTGGCTCTTGCTTGCTCGATGGAAGAGAAAGGGGATGAGAGATTGGAATGGAAGACGAATGACTACACATACTCATCATCGAAGATACCCACCTCACCATCACTGCAGTTGCTCAGTGATCCGCCAACACTTTGCTCATTTCACTACACTGTTGCCTGTCCTGCACATGTCGGGATTTGAAGATGCCTCGGTGAAACACTGTACTTACAACATACCTCACTCGTCGGATCATGACAACGAGCCTAAGATGATCTATATTTGGCTGAGGACTGTCAACTATGTATCACAATGTGTGGTCAAGAAGAAGCCATCTGCTGCAGAGGTGGTTGGACTTCGAGCTTCTTCCCTGGCCGAAGAGCAGCCGCGGGCGACCAAGTCAAGCTTGCATCGCATACAACCCTGCTCCAGCCCTAATCTTGTTACAAACCCACCATACCAACTTCTTCTGCTCTTATCTGTGTACAGCAAGAACAAGGATAGCAAAACATGGACCCGTCTCAATACCAGTTGTCTGGGACCTCTCGTTGCCTGTAGTGCGTCGATTCGCCTATGTCTTGACCGTACACCCGTTCGTGTACATTCTCGTCAGCGTTGATCCGTCGCCCACCTGGACAAGACCCGAATAACACTTAGCCAAGCAAATCGCACCTGCCTCTCCAGATATCTCAAGACAATCAAGCAGCCAGTAAGATGTTCAGGTGAACATCAAAACAAACGAGTATCAAGTGACAGCAAATGGAGCAGCGTTCCAACAAGCAACGCTGACTTTAAGATTCTAAAAGCATCGTGCAGACCTATGCTCCACCCCCGCTAGCGAGCGGATTAGAAGGACTCGTTGGTCAAATGAGTAAAAGAAGACCTTGGTAACAAGACAAGGTTAGCATTACGACCTGGTGCATGATGCCAATTGACAAACAAAACATCAAGTGCCTCCTAACGGAGTCGAACCGGTGACCTCGGCATTACTAGTGCCGCGCTCTACCAACTGAGCTAAAGAGGCTTGAGATGGAGCATGCCTCGCTGAGGATGTACATGTCCAAGTCAACACACAATACCACCCAGTCGAGAATCGACTGGTATCTCGAGAGCAGAAAACTTGACCAAAACATCCTTCATTCCAAAACATCATTTCAATACCTCTCATCTATGAAGGAAACGCCGGGGTGAGGTATGCCGAAACACAGAACTTCCAAACTCTTGCCAACCTTTTCGTCCCGGAAAAACATGACAGAAGCTAGGATGATGCGAAAAAAACACATCTAGCTAGTCTGCAGAGCAGCCTGCTTGATACCCTCAGTGACCTCCTCAATGGCATCACCAGCCTTGGGATCCTCAGCACCATCCTTCTCTGCAGCTTCAACAGACTTGCCAGCATCTTTGGCGAGCTTAGCCTTGGCTCTCTCAGCCTCCTTCTTTGCCTTTTTCTTCTCCTTGTCGGCCTTTTTGGCAGCGGCTTTGGCTTCCTTCTCTGCCTTTGCCTTCTTAGCCTCTTCACCACCAAACATTTCGCGCCATTCCTTTTCCTTTTCGGGCTTGATTTGCTGAAACAAGTGGGCGGCGGCGTTGAGCTTGTGGTTGGGAGGAATGCTGTTGCCCTGCCAGTCGTCAGGAATGATGAGGAGGGTAGTGTTGAGTTGGTCGAGGATGGCGGTGGAGGTTGCGGGCATGTAGGGAGCGATGATGGAGGCGAGGAGGTGGACGTGGTTGAGACCGAGACCGACGACGGCGGCGCAGCGTTCGGGTTCGTCCTTTGCGAGGGCGTTGTCGAGTTTGTTGTCTTGGAGGAGCTTGTTTCCGAGGTAGGAGATGTGCATGGCTGCTTGCAGACCTTGACGGATCTTGACGGCGTCCATGATGGCCAGGTACTCCTTGAGAGCCTCGTTGACTTCCTTCTTGTGGGCAGCGAGAACACCTTCTGGGTCGTTGTACTTGGTGTAGTCGGGTACGACACCTTCGAAGTTGGGTGAGTTGACAAACTTGACGATACGGTTGACAAAGTTGCCGAGGTTCTTCAGGAGCTCGTTGTTGTTTGAGTTGATGAATCCAGTCCATTCGAACTCCGTGTCGCCAGTCTCGGGACGTCTTGACAAGAGGTAGTAGCGCCAGACGTCTGAGGGGATGCCGGTTTCTCTTGCGTTGTTGCCAAAGACTCCAATGCCTCTGCTCTTGCTGAACTTGCCCTGTTCGTAGTTGAGGTACTCTGTAGTAGAGAGATGGTTCAACATGGTCCACTTGTCGCCAGTACCAAGTTGGGATGAGGGGAAGACAACAGTGTGGAAGGGAACGTTGTCCTTGCCCATGAATTGGTACAGGCTGACATTGTCGGGGTTGTGCCACCACTTCTGCCACTGATCCGTGTAGTTTGCGGTGATGGAAACGTAACCAATGCAAGCGTCGAACCAGACGTACAGCACCTTCTCGTCGTAGCCAGCAAGAGGAACCTTTGTGCCCCACTTCAAGTCACGAGTGATACCTCTGGGCTTGAGACCTTCTTGCAGCCAAGAGTTTGTGATGTGAATGCCGTTTGACGACCATGCGCCCTCCTTGCTCGACTTTGCCGACCACTCTTCAACCTGTGCCTGCAGCTTGTCCAACAGCAGGAAAACGTGTTTGGTCTCTCTTGCGACGGGTGTTGCGCCGTCAAGCTTGCATCGAGGCTTCTTCAACTCCAGAGGATCGAGCAAATGTCCACACTTGTCGCACTGGTCTCCTCTTGCATCCTCGTATGCGCACAGCGGGCACTCTCCCTCGACGAAGCGGTCGGCCAAGAACGAGTTGTGCGTTTCGCAGTAAGGCTGCACCGTTGTCTTCTCCTCCAGGAAGCCGTTGTTGTAGAGTTTTGTGAAGATGTCCTGAGCGATCTCGGTCTGCTGGTTGGTGGGCGTGCGACCGAAAATGTCAAAGCCAATGTTGAACCACTCGTAGACTTCAGCGTGCAGCTTGTGGTACTTGTCGCAAAGCTCTTCCGGTGTGCACTTCTCCTCGATGGCCTTGGTCTCGGTGGCAGTTCCGTACTCGTCAGTACCGCACACGAACAGGGTAGGAAGGCCGCGTGCCTTGCAGTATCTACGACCTGAACATCAGCCACGTTTGCGCCCAAGTCCTGAAGCGAGACTGACCTGGAGAAGACATCGGCAGACAAGACACTACCGATGATGTTGCCCAAATGAGGGACGTTGTTGACGTAAGGAAGGGCAGAAGTGATGAGGATGTTCTTCTTGCCCTCCTCGGGCAGGATCTCTTTGCGCTCGCTCATGGTAGTGCGTCGGCTTCTGTCTGCTGGATACGATATGGAGTGTGATTGTATGCGAAGAACAGGATCTGCTGTTCAATGGTTGCGGAAGATGGTGGATGTGACAATTGCGCCTTGCTGCTTGTCGCTCAAGTTTCAGCTTTGGAGGGGTCCAACTGCTGCTGCAAGTGACTCAACTGCCCGTCCGCACGCGCCATCCCACCTTCGCCCTCGCTATTCAGCCCTACCGCCCATACCACATCTTTTTTGACATCACGAAACAAAAATATCAAATCAGATCGACATTCACCAACGCCCACCATCCCTGGACACCGCCTTCCCAGCCGACAATACACATCGCATTAAGAATGGCAAACACTCAGCCCGATGACTTCGACTCCCTCTTCAACCTCGAAGAAGAGTACTATACCGAAGGTTACAATCTCGGCGTAGCAGATGGTTCTCGCGCCGGTCGTATCGAAGGTCGTCTCTTCGGTCTCGAAAAAGGATTCGAAAAGTTCGCTGCCATGGGAAATTTAGCTGGAAGAAACGCAATCTGGGAAGCAAGAATTTCTGATCAAAATTCTGCTACTTCAGAGGAAAGCGAGTGCAGATTGCCTAAACTGTCTGGAGGTGCTAGATTGCAGAAGCATTTGCAAACCTTGTATGCTCTGACTGAGGCTGAAAGTCTGTCTACCGAGAACAATGAAGACTCGGTTTCTGATTTCGATGACCGACTCAAGCGTGCTGAGGGCAAGGTCAAGGTCATTGAGAAACTGGTCGGTGAGGGTCCTCTTGTTCTCGAGGCTTCACAGCCTGCTGTTTCTGGCAGTGGCAATGCACAAGTAAGACGTCAAATCAAGATCAAGAGAACAGATGCTGGTGGAGAGAGCAGCATGGAAGACTTCAACATCCGCCACGCTCGCTCTTGAAGCTCGATTTTCATGCTTCGAAAAGGATTTTCTTCCTGCTACAGCTACCAAGCCAACGATATCATCATTCCCCGATATCAGCAAAACACCGAGTCTCAAAAACCCACAAACTCACGATACTCCGCAATATGCGCCCAAAGATCCCACTCGTCAGCCAGAGTTTCCACAAACCAAACAAACGCCTCGCTCATGCCTTTTCAATCCTCGAACTCTTCAAGCCACGACCTCAGTCTCCGCGCTGGCAGGTTTTGGCTCCTGCTCAGCATCCAGCTTAGGTTTCTTTGGGTCACTAGCTCCATCGGTCTGCAGAACATTACTCATGTCGGCAAGCGGTGGTCTACCAGCAGGATTGTCTGCTGGCAACGGTCTCTTCATCGCAGGAGGCTTGTAGGCACTTCTATTTGCCAGAGGACTCTGCTGCATTCCACCTGGCATGCCAATACGTCGACTAGCATCCATAGCAGGATTGACGAAGTTCGATCTGTTCGCAGGTGCTCCACCATTCACCATCATTTTCGGGTTTGGAATTGGCACAGTTGGCGCGCCAACTTCCGATCGCTTGATGGGTGCTGACTTCCTGAGATCAACTCCTTGGGTTCGTCGAATTGAAGGACTCTCGTGATGGGGATCAAACAGCTTGATCGGTGGAATAGCACCTGCCTCGGGAGGCTGCACCAGAGCAGTAGCTGCGGCTCCAGAGACGAAACCGGATGGTACGTGTGCCGGAACTTGAGATGGCGTAATCACTGATTCGGGGGGTGTGATCTGTCGACCGTTGGTGGTGGTGGTTGACTCTGAGGCGGATGATGGGTTGGAGCGAAAGCCATTCTGGTTGTTGGCTTGGTGTGGAGGAGGCATCATGCGATTTGGCGGTTGGTTGTTGTTGTTAGTGTTGGAGTTCTTGAAGATCTGTGGCGGTGGCTGAGGACGAGATTGCTGCCCGTTGTACTGGCCATTCTGTTGTTGGCCACCGGAGAATTGGCGCACGTTAGGCATAGAGGCTACTCTATTCGGTTGCTGGCGATTTGCTGCTTGTGCTGCGACAGAGTTGGCAGGAAGTCGGACTGGCGTCTCAATAGAGACGTCTGTAATGGAGTTGTCCAAGCGAACCTCATCAGGGTGGCTGAAGTCCACCTCGTCAAACAGATTTCCTCCAAACTCGTCTTCGAATTCCGATGTGTTTGACTGAGCGCTAGGCATGCGTGCTGGTGGATTTGCTGCAATGGTCGTGCAAGTCGAAGGGCCAGCTACGGCTTCTTTCTTGATCGGGGCGTAGTCTGGATGACGGTGTAGATTCTCGGCATCCCATTTAGATGGCGCGATCCTGACCTTTGTCACTCTTGCGAGATAGTCCTTGTCATACAAGCAATTGCCCAGGACGTTTCCGAAGTTGCGCAATGCTCGTTTCAGGGCGTCGGTGGTGGCTTCCTTCTTTGCTTTCTCAAACGCGGCCGCTTTGCCCTTGCAGTTCTCGATGTGGCCATATCCAATATCCTGCACTGCGTCAGCTTCAGTAAACACGGACGCGTTGAGAGAAGCTTACCTCGTGAAACGTGCCATCTCTCAAAGAGACGCGCACAATAGTGGACAGTCCTAGATTGATCTTTCCTGTTGTCGGACTCTCGTCGCACTGTGATAATTAGCATCCGGCCAAGACAAGGATCCCTCAGCAAGACTCACGAAGTCAACCTGAACGTCTCTGATCGCACTGCTCCATCCATTGAAGCCAAAGACCTCGTTCGCGAGGTTGATGACCTTTTCTGCTGCTAGGTAATGGACTTTGCCTCCTCCATTTCCTGGACGAGTCGAGATATATTCAGGTCCAAGTTGCTTGTCAAGGCGGCTCTGCAACGTAGCTATCTCCTGTGCCGTGTATTCATTGATGCGGTCCTTCTTCTCTTCATACGGGTTGCTGAACTTGTGGTCCTTCCACTGATCACCTGGACTAGGCAAGTGTTAGTAGCACATCCAGCTGTCAGAATATCACGACTCACGCAGGCATAATCGATCATCTGTCTCTGCAACCAAAGTGGCGACACGGACTTGCTTTATGCACAAATGCAACAGCGCTTGCCTTGGAGGCGACGCGGTGATCCGCGACAATGACGCGAAGCACGTGGCGCGCCAAGCCCAATCCATCACCTTCACTGCCTCCTCTTCTGCCTAATGTAGCTTCTTCAGTATCGCTATCAGGTAGTCATCGCTGCTGACTGCGACTGCCAATTCTGTCGGACAGTCAAAGCCACACGAGTGTCCGTCTCGTTCGCCACTCTCGATCTCTGCGCGCCCATCACGCTCGGCCGCGTTTGTTCTGACATTGGCACGATAAACAACTCAGTTGAATCACACTTGAGTGCATACTGACATCGAACTACAAATGTAAGCCTGGATCAACATCCACGCGCCCATTCGATCAAACTTTCGGAGCGTTCGTCTCGACTCCCATGTAAGCTTCCGATCCCGGCAACTTGACCCAAGGTGCAAACACATTCGTGTCTTGCGGTATGACTGTCACGAGCTCGGGAAAGTGTCTTGCCAGTACATCTTTCATGCCAGTATTCTGCACCCCATGGAAACCGACCTCGGTATAAGTATCAGCATTCTATTGTCCAGCAATAAATCTGTCACTCTTGAGTCTGCGACTGGCCATTAAAATGAAAATGCGGAAGGCTGTCTCGCTGAAGCCAAAGCCCTTGATCGTCGGCTCGCTGTGTGATCCAACAAGCGCGTCCACAGTCTCGACATCACCATTGTAGACTTCACTGAGTCTCGCTGCAAGCTCCTTGTTGCCACCGGTCAGTTCCTCGAATGTCTTAGGTACGGACATACGAAGAAGTCGTCTAAACTGGCAGTAACGCGGCACTCCACGCTCCCGATCACAAAGGATGTCAACCGTGGCCAAGTCACGAACTTGACCATCCGGAGTCGGAAGGTTCCGCATCAGGTTCGCATAGTTGTTGTTGGTAATGGCACCAGGATAGTTGATGCAGAAAGAGTAGAATGCATCAGCGAACGACACGCCGCCAGTTTTGAGGGGCTTTACTGCATCCTTGAAGGTAATGTCGGCTACAGGGATTGTAGTCCTGTGCTGACCTCCGTCAATGTCGAAGAACGCAACATTATCTTCTGCAGTCAGTCAAGCGTAAGACAAAGCTAGAGGTGATAACCTACCTGGTATGAGGGAATGCATTCTGTACACCGAAACGAACTCTTCGGTAAGAGAGTAAGGGACTCCCTGGTGGTCCACCGTCGAGCCCGGAATACCGCTGATGGCCTCGCTGGTTTTCGAGATTCTGCCAACGATTTTGTTCAGAGTCTCTCCTGCAATGCCCCACCTTTCGACATATCAGCATCTCTGCCAAAGCAGAGCAGGACACTTGAAATACCAGTTTGCGTTCATGCTAGTTTCCATTGTAGGATGTGCCAATATAGCAGGCGTCCATTCTCTGTGTTCAGTGGTCAGTAAAACATCTCGATCCTTCGGTAGGTCATCGCATACACTGTGTGGATTTTGGCCATCAGAGCGCAGTTGACGAGTCGAGCCTTGTCGAAGATCTTGTCACTGGGTCTTGTCAGTATCGCTACAGCCAATCACGAGTCTAACAAATGTTACCCGGTCCAATCAGGATGAGCTTCACGAATTCTGTCGCAAACGGCATTGTGCTCCAAAGCGAAGAGCGTGTGTAGAAGTTCTATGCCGGTCCACCAATTATCGGAGAAGCCTGTCTTCGGATTGCCATCTGCATCGCGAGGTAGGAAGGTCTCTTCGTTCTTCTGGTCTCGAGAAGCAGATATCCGTCATGATGCTGGTCTCTCAGGTCTTTGGTCACAGTTTCGCTTGAGCCGTATATTTGGGAACCGTCCCACCTACGTAAACTGGTTAGTTCGGCGCAGGTAGTCTGGGGACAACAGATATACCAAGCGGTAGATGTGTTCTTGTAACCAGGGCACTTTATGTCAGATGCATCAAGCACCTCATCTGGCTTTGTGCGATAGATCTTCATTTGGTTATGCCAGCTATCGTTCGGAAGCAGGGGCACTTCGTATGTATCCTCGCTCTGTTCATCAATCAGTATGAGCAATAATACGACTAGATCAGTTTTACCTACACTTTCATGAAACACCCAGTCATGAACCTGGAACTGGATCCAAGCAGCAGCAAGCAGATTCAAAGTTGTCGCTGGCTTGAACTCTCCTGGCTTCCTGGACATGAAAGCCTCGCTGACCAGTCTAGGATTCGGGGTCCACAGCTCCTCTTCAGTTGGTTTCTCACAGTACTTCCGAGGAAAGTTGCGACCAAACCGCATTCCAGAACAGCCCATCTTAGGCTGAGTGAGCGAGTTGTCTTTGCCATCCGAGTTTCTGGCAGCGAGGAAGCGTTTGTCCTCCAGTGGAGTGATGTAGGTGTCGCCTTGTGCTGTGGCAGAGTCATATCCATCGTGAAGGTTATATTGGCGGAGCTCGACACGAAGAGCATCTAGATTTAGAGCTCCGATTGCACTGGGCAGCTTGTGCCATGGCCTGACTAAATTGACGACATGGAACAGACATACGAGTAATCTGTCTAGTAAGCCCGGCTGATAGTTCTGTGGGTCCATGACAGTTGTATTCTGTATCGAAGTGAAAGATGATGGCCGAGAATGAGGACTCTGTCCAACTTTATAGTCGAGCAAAAGCTGCTCGAGACTCAAGTTTTACGGTAGTAGAGGGCAGTGCCAAACACAGCCATTGTTTCCTTTTTACATTTGGTATTTCCCAACATACATGCTTCCCTACCCCGAATATGGGCGGCCTTATGATGCTCGTAAGCATGAGTTTGTCGGTTCCAGCGGATCCTTCGAAGACCATAGCAGCCTTGTAGGATCGGATTCCATCCGCCGTGAGACACTACCAATACATCCGCTGCTCGAAAGATGCATTTGCATCAGAAGCTGAGCTTTAGCTTCAGCCACTGTTGCGTAACTCAGGGCTACATCCATGCGATGAGAGCGAAATGCATGTTAGCATGAATCTTTTGAACGGCATCCTCACTATGCAGTCAGTCTGACAGGCTGAGGTATCACATGCAGGCACACGCAATGCTGTGAAGTGGAATCAGCTCGAAAAGAAATTGGTCCTGTCCTGTGGACCGGGATTCCAGGTTCACGACGAGAGAGACGTGTTGTATGCATGCATAAGGATGGGTCACGTTGTCGCCGTACAAGCATACTAATTTTTCACGCTTCTCTTCACCTCCGAAATCATCCATTATTCCAATAGTCGACTTCGAGGTTGTATACCTAAGCTTCGAGAAATGTTCTCGAAGCGCTCTCTCGACAGTCAAGATCTAAGGACAAATTCACCAGTTCAGACAGTGGAGATCGTGACAACTCTTGATGCGACACTGCTGACTACAGCCATTGACCTACAAGCCATTCACGTCTGTCTGCCTTCCAAGCTTTCGACAAAACAAAGGTCAGCTAAGTCATAATACCACGAACATCACGAAGATACGACACGACTCTACCTAAGTCAAAGATGGTCGGGAAACAACTCTCCATATGGAAAGAGGTATCGGCCTTCTCTACGACGCGACCTCTTTTTCGCAAACAGTGCATCGACTCATCGCCTCCAGCTTTCCTCCGTTTTCTTGCAGATCCTTGATCACGTCGTCTTTGGACTTCTTTCAATGACTGGACTTTCTAGCTTGCAACTTGCGACTCCCTTCTTGCAAAGATCCCAATCATCCTGGAAGATACGGATGGAGCATCCTTAATCACGACGGCACTGCTGGACCATGACATTCTAATACGTTGATCTTTGATGACGTTCTCAACAAAAGCTGCTGTAGCTCAGTGGTAGAGCGTGGGATTGCAGTCATCTGCAATTATCCTAAGGTCCGTTGTTCGACCCAGCGTAGCAGCTTCGTTTTTGCGTGTAAAATGTGTGTACTTGCTTTTTTGCTGAAGCCTGTCTTGTGTGGGGCGTGGCTTTTTGGCCTTCCATCTCCAGGTTTCAGACTTTGGGTGCTTCGAGAATCTGGCAGAGAGAAATGCCCATTTGCTGGACTTGTTGCTGGCTAGTACGCATTGTCTCATCTAGGTTGTGCGTGACCCAGTTGAGCGCAAAGGTATGCTGGTGTACGACGTGGATATTCAGGTGGTATGTAGGCAAGAGGATAGAAGAGTCTCGAATCAAGGCACAAGTGACCAGGGAAGTCTAAGAGACCCCTCTGATTTCTGAAGAAGTTCGTCCATCGATCTAATATCCTTTTTCCTGTGGGGCGGTAAAGAGGAGCAAGGTTCACTGTGTTTATCATGCTCGAGCTATGTCTGGCGGCCAATGTCTGAAGATGACGCCCGCGTAATCGTATCGATCATCGCACTCTTCGGGGACCTCCAAGGACCTCAGGTGCAGACCGTCGAGCTCAAATGTATCCTCCGCTGCGCTTTTGCATATAGAGTAATATGACAACGGGACCGAATCGGGTAAAAACGAGACCGAATCGAGCCATGACTCGATAATCGGCAGTACTACCGTATATAAGGTACAAGTGATGCGGAATTTGGCCTTGGTCTCGAGAGCTGATCCGATATCGACTAGGGTTTCGAGGAATTGTAGCATTTTGACAGTCCAGACGCCATGCTCGCGAAGCTCTGTTGGTTCAGCGAAGTCATCTGCTTGATCGATGTCGTAACTGCTGAGGAGAGAGACACGACTTGGCATATGCATCCTGCTGGTAAGCGCTTCGATGGGAAGAAAGAGATCCAGTGGCAACGCGAAGGAGAAGACTAGTTGATGCTGGCGCAGTGAAGAGAGCGCGAAGAATGGCTTGCTCAGGAAGTGACGATTCACTTCAGATTTGAACCATGTCTCGAATCCAGTATCCAGGTGATACAGAGCTCTTGACGTATTGATTCATGAAGCGTTAAATCTTAAAATGCGAATGAGACTGGATGCGTTGACCGCGTGACAAAATCGACTGACCTCCTTCTCTTGGTCCTCTTTTTACAGGATTTTGATGTTAAGCTCTCGCTGGTAATGCTGTCTACCGTATCAGGACTTCGACATGAGCATCAACCGTTCTGTGTTCGAGCTTGAAATTGGCCATGGATCAAGATGGAGTGGAATGAAGGTACTTTTTGAGACTACCTACTGCGTATTGCAACCTTTCTTCCTTCGTAGCATCGTATCAAGTGAGCAATCGGTCCTCCATCAACCCCAAGAGATTGCTCGTGTTTCTCAAGCTCCTGGATAGGCTTGCTCATTGTTCGAGCGAGCGAGCCGTGACGGCAGCCAGTGATCGTGTTCCATTTCTGTTCCCCGGCAAGCCCCGAATTGTTCATCTTCAAGTCCTGGTGTGATCTATCGTTCTGTGCCCGTGATGTCCTGTAACAGAGCGACTATCGAGGAAGAGTACTACATCATATCCTCGGCTCGTCTGCGTTGAGTTTTGCGGTCTTTCATCTTGTCGGCAAAGAGGTCGTTGGGCTGTCCTCCACTGCTGAACTTTGAAGGGAACAACTCCTTGACTTTCGGGTTGACTTCTCGAGAAGCGCCACGGATTGAGAAGCCCGGTACGTCTGACTGAGCGCTACCTTTGATGCTGAAGCCGGCCGCATCGGGACCACCAGTAATGCGATCAGCCAGGCTGCCTATTGAACATGTTAGCTGCCGTTTGATCACTCGCAGGGCTGAGCACGACGTACGTCTGATGCTAGCGGTCTCACCGGCGTCAAGGGCGTCTGAGCGGCGATGGTTGCTGCGGCCCGACTTGTTGGGGAAGAGTTCTCTGTTGCGTTTTGGCGGACTTGTCGAGGTGAGAGGGGTATCGAGGCCATAGGTCTTGCCGGTCTTTGCAGGCAGAAGTTCTATCGGACCATTACTGGCGCGAGTAGAAGCCATGAGATCCTTTTTGCGTGGAACGGGTGATACGGTTCGGCGACGTGCGGTTCTGCGTTCGGGCTGATCCTGACTGAAGCCATACCTTCCGTCTCCATCTCTTACAGGAGAAGCGCTACGGTCTCGCAATCTACCCGTGTCTTTTCCGGCAAACAGATCACCTCCGCGCGACCTCCTTGGGCGTTCTTCTCTACGACGCGTGTTTCTGCGGTCGTCTTGGTCGTCGTAGCCGAGTGCTGGTGATTCTTCTTCAGCATCGTCGTACATGTTGACATCGAAAGGCTTGGGCGCATCATCTCTTTGCCTGTTGTCTCTTCGCGGGCCTCTCCGTCTGTTGTCATAGTCCCCTTTGCGTTCTCTCGGATCGTGGTCGGGGTTCATCAGGTAGAAACGACTCTTCTCGTGGGCACGCGGGGCCTTCTTGTCGGCCAGGGTAGCTTGACGGATGTAGAGTTCGGCGTCGGGATTTGATGGTAGCGCCTTTGCCTTGCGTAGTTGTAGAGGGGCGAGATGATCGGCGGAGCCATCTGGTAGGTCGGAGAGGGCACTGAGGGCTTCTGTTGCAGCCTCAGAGGATTCGTAGATGAGGTTGGCCGACGTGTCGTCGATCCACTCGACGCGCTGAAAGTTGTCTAGCGAATAATACTCGCCAGCGAACTGTCTGATGTTGTCGGTGGTGAGGTTGTCCAGACCGCGAATGTGGACCTTTGCCGGAGCGAGGTCGTCGAGGTTGTCGGCAGGGGTAGCAGCATTGGGGGCTTGGTAGTCGATTGCCGCCGAGCGGGCTTCCTTTTTCAGTTCAGCGAATGTCGCGCGACGTGGCCATCGGTTGGCGTACAATCTTCATGGCCTCAGCCTCGAGTTGGGCGATTTCGGGGTCCAAGCCGAGGTCGATGTCCATATCGACATCCATGTCTACGTCTGCCATGATCGATATCGTGTGATGTGGTGCGACTGGTGCAGGGAAGACTTTCTCCGCTGGTGTCTCTTGCTACAGTGAAGTGCAGAGATTGTAGTCGAGAGAATGAGAGTTTGGCTTGTGGATGCTGTGTGCTGTGTGATGGTGCAGGTGAATTGCTCATTGCTTACGGCTGACGCGCTTGGGAAGTCTCGACCCGGTCTGTGCTCAATCCATCCACGAGTCAGCCGTCTATACCATTGATCATTCGAGACTGCTCCTTTTTGTTCGACACGTTCATTCAGCTCGCACCCAATCTGCATGTAACTCCGATTGGACTGACATGCAAATTTCATGAATCGAAGACACATGATGAATCGTCAACAACCTTTCAATACACATCTGACACCTCCCAGTCTCCAAGTAAGTCACCGGACTATCCTGATATAGTCGTGTTCACGTAGACACTAGCTGTGGTAGGTCTTTGTATCTCCTTGAGGTTGGTGCTCGAATCTGTTGCACGATGCAAGGCACAAACATTGGCGCTCATGGACGGAATGCCATGCAGCTAAACAGACTGAGACACCCTGCAGCCACCCTTCTCATGTTGCTCCAACTCTCGGATCTTCGTCGCTCTCTCTTTCTTCGATGCGGATTGCTGAAACGGGCATTTGGTTCGTTTGACTTACTTCGCTTTCTCACCACACTCCATCTCATTTAGCAGGACTCGTCTCGACATTCCTTTGACTCTAAACACAAGTCCCACGCGTAACAATACATCGAGAGCATCGTCAAAATGCTCTCCAAGATCTCAATCGTCCTCGCACTCCTGGTGCTGTTGACGCAGTTCGCAGTCGCTGCTACTCCTCCTGCCTGTGTCATCAGAGCTGTTGGGTAAGTGTCCTGTTCACAGCATTATTCGACAAACTCTCTAAGGATGCGCAAACAGCGAATCGGACCAGTCGCCAACCAACATCAAGGACATCTGCGGAAGTGGCAACACAGTCGAACAGACCCTGGTTAGCGACTGTGGTAACGATCTCGATGCTGCCATGAGCGCCTTCTCCAGCATCTGCGCCAGAGCTGGTGTCACCATCTGTAAGTTCAACACGCGTATACTTCCGAGGGCGCCGACTGACACGGGATAGCTACTTGGGCTGCAGCTACTGCCACTCCAGCTAGTTCAGCACCTGCTGGCTCTTCTGTCGAGCCTTCCTCGGCCATGACCACCGGCATCAAGTCTGAATCTGCCATCACCGCTGCCACTGCTTCGCCCTCTAGCACAGAGTCTGCTACTCAATCTGCCGGTGTCACTGTCACTACTGCTACCAACACCAACACCCACACCGATACTGTCATCAGCACCCAGACAACCTCGCAGTCCACTGACGAATCGGCTGCTGCCACTTCGACTGGCGCACCATCTACCGGAGTCGCTGACCGTTTCAAGATCAGTGGCCTCGCCATGAGCATTGTCATTGCTGCCGGTATCATTCTGATGTTGCAGTAAACTACACTGATGGACACCAGTCCAAAGCAAATGCTAGATGAACCGCGAGGCGAACCATTACACGACTAGCTCAGGACTCCGGATGCTCAAATAAAATTCATGTATCAAATCTCCCGCTTCTCTTCTCTTCCGGAACCTTGCACGTGTGACTTGACGGTTGAACTCGCACTACATCCTAGAAACTTCCTCCCTACGTGCTACATTGTATCGTTTCCACTCTCTTTCGTTGTCGAAGCAGAGCAACACCCGGTTGCAGGAAGTCACGATCATATCTCGTTTACCTGTATCCTTCCCACAGAGTCAATCACACGTTGTATCTCGGTAATATCGCTATGAGTCAAGAAAAGAATAGTGCTTTGAGACAGCTAAAAGTACAAAAGTGAGTAGTACACGAGGAGGTCCTGACTCAGTTGACTCAGTTGACGTGAATTTGATACTATGGCCTCTGAACTGTGAACAAGGTCGGGACATAACTTTCGCGACGATTGAGCAATTCGGTCGGAGTCTGAGACCTGCTTCCCAGTCATGTGCAATCAAGAAGCAGTCAAGCGCTAGGAGATTGGACACTGAGATCAATGTCGGATGGACGAACCAATTGTCAATATCGTTTCCTTTGTGGTCGACGGTTGTATGTAACGACTTTGCAGTTTTGACCTTCGTGTTCTTTCAACACCCATGTGCTCGAGAACGCACCACCTATTTCTGCTTCTTGAGACAATGCTTCTGAATGTAACAAAGCTTCAGTTTCCCGGAATGTCAATCCTCGATACAGATTTCCGGTCTGGGTGCAGAGTTAGGCTGCTTCCGTTCTTTCAGCAGCCTTCAACCTCACACCTTTTCGTCAAGTCGTTTGCTCTTACAATGATCTTAGCCGCTCTTATTGGTCCACTTGACCGGACTCTTCAAACCCGCCTTCTCGGCTGTACCTTCAGTCTCTTGCGCCTTTTTGTTGACCGACTCCATCTCAAAGCCAGCAACTAGTTTGTATTGCTTGCCCACTCCTTCCAGTTCTTCCTTTGGCACAACATCGTAAATGTTTTCGAATCCGTCCGGAGCTCTCTCATGTGCGAGTTGGAGAACGTAGTCCGGCCCTCCGGCTCGGTTTGCCATGACGATCTTTGCAGTGGCCGGTAGGCGAATGGCTTCATACTGCTCCAGAGCAAGCATGATGTTGCGAGGGTTGTCTAGAAGGCACTGCGTAAGTGCCTCGGCATCTATAATCGCCTGGGACGCACCATTGCTTCCGATCGGGTACATGGCATGGGCTGCATCGCCGAGCAAAGTTAGGCTTCGGAAGCTCCATCGAGGAACAGGGTCACGGTCACTCATAGGGAACTCGTAAACTTTGTCTGTGTCGTCGATGAGTTGCTTCATGTTTAAACCACCACAATGCCATGTCTGGAACGGCCCTTCGAATTTGGACTTAGGTACCATCTTGGTCCAGTCTACCGGCGGAGGGGTGAGATCAGGATCATCCTCGTCACGAATGCGTAATTCGGCAATCCAGTTGACCAAGCTCTTTCCATTACGCATCGAGTTTCCAGAGATGGGATAAGCAATGAACTTCTCATCCGCATGGCCAGCCCAGACCATCGAAGCTCCAGTCAAGTAGGGTTCCTGCTCATGGCATCCACGCCAGAGCATACGGCCTGAAAAGCGAGGTGGTCCTTCCTCCGGGTATAGCAGTTTGCGAGCCACACTGTTGATGCCATCGGCTGCGATCAAGACTTCGCCTGTCATTTCCGGGATCTCGGGCTTAAGCGCCAGATCGCTCTTCCGTACGAAGCGAGCTGTGATTGTACCAGAGGGGCTGTCTCCTCCTAGTTCCTCATCCTGCTCGAAGCTAACGAGTGCGTGGCTCAAGTGCACGCGGTCAGCGCCAAGACGTTCCTTGACGGCATCCAGAAGGAGGATCTGAAACTCGCCACGGTGAATGCTGAATTGAGGAACCATGTATCCAGCACTTTCACCTCGAGGCTCACTCAAAATGGCATCTCCATGACGATTGTAGAAGTTGAGCTCCTTTGTCTCAATGGCTGTCGACTTGAGTGCAGGCAGAAGACCGAGGTTCCTCAGGATGAGAACAGCAGATGGTTGGACGTTGATGCCTACGCCTAGCGTAGTGAGATTTGAAGCTGCCTCGAATATATGGATGTCTGTGAAACCTGCTGCATGGAGTGAGAGTGCTGTGGTAAGACCTCCGATGCCAGCACCGGCAATGATGATTCTAGGTTGTTTGTCTTCGAGGAGAGGCATGACTTCAGTGTGCCTCCGTTGAATTGGTCGACTGGCTCAGTCCTGGTAATCCAGATGTGATGTCACTGGTTCCTAGCAAGCGAGCAAATGGTAGTCCACGGGCAATTTGTGCAGCATAAAGCGCTGAGATGAATTGAGAGTGTCGATTGGAATTGAAAGGAATTGTGTAGAGTCGCCTGCGCAAACAAGTGTGCTATAAATTGTTAGGTACGTCGCCATCTTCTGTCGGCCTGTCCGAGGGTCGTCGTTTTGCATGTCCCGAATCTGGCTCATTCGATTGCCGAGGTTTGGAGTCGCGGTGAGAGATCTCCGCGGTCGGGGCAGACGAAACCGTCGCGACAGCGAAGCTCTGCCTACAGGCCACTGCAATTCTCAGGATGTGACCGCCACACTAATCTCTCGTCGAGATCCATGACAGTGAGCCGTATACCTGCAGAATGATGTTTGTCGAATGGCGGCTCCAAGAACTTGGCGCGCAGTAGAGTTTGGGGCCTTCGAGCAACACGCCGACTATTCCCGAACACGTTACTAACAAAACAGCGTTCCAAACAAGCATGTCCTTCACGCAGAAAATCAGAGTGATTATGAAGAGCACATCGGAAGGTTGAAAGAGGACAAGCCAGTGATAGTCTTCTACATCGGAGATCATTCACAATTGCAGAGGTTGACTTGAAAGAGAAAGGTATTGAAAAAGGTCCTGAATTCGTCATAGTCATGGCTATCGCAGTGGTGGTATCATCCCAGAAAAATCATCCGCCCAATCTATCCCATGTTGTCGATCGATGTTCCTGATAGCTTTATAGAGTTCCGGCTCTCAAGACGCTTAGGCTCTGGCCTGCTTGTCGAGGTCGGCCTCAACACCACGCTGCTGAGTCTTGCCCTCATCGTGCTTAGCCTGGTACTTGGCCTTGTCGGCCTCGTTGCCAGTGACGCCAGCAACAGCACCACCGACAGTGCCAGAGACACGGTCGGCAATACCAGAGCCCAAATCACTGAGCTGGCCCTTGGCCTCTTGCTCCTTGCCCTCTGCGTTCTGCTGGGCACCCTGCTGCTTCAGGGACTCGTTGCCGAGAAGGTTGCCGAGAGTCTCCTTGCCAGAGCCGAGAGTCTGGTTCCAGGAGCCGGCGCTGCGGTTGGGGTCGTTCTGAGCAACACCGGACGCTGACACGGAATAGCCTCCAATGTTAGCGCCGGCGTGCGAGGCGTCGTTCTTCAGTTCGGCTTCGGCCTTCTTGTTCTCGCCAGCAGTCTGATGATCTGTCAGTCTTATGTTGCTGAATGGGCTACGACACCGAACACACCTTATCGGCATTGCTTCCGATGATCGAGCCCAAAGCTGACTGGGCAGAGCCCATGACGGACTGTGCAGCTCCGTAGAGGGATGAAGTATTCTTGTCAGTCATGTTGATGGTGTTGTGTGGTGTTGTGATGTGAAGTTGTTCGTATGGTCGATGCAAAGAAGGTTTGAATATACTTTGATAGAAAGCTTAGTACTGGAGCAGGAAACAAAGGTTTAAATGACTTAGGTATTTCAAGTTGTTATGGTGCTTCCAGCTTTCACTTGCATGTGAAGCCGATGACTTCATTGTGTTGTTTCGGACCCTGTTTTCCGCGCGTGGCTAGGACCATATGACTTCACTGATTTCTTTGATAGCCATGTTATCGATTCTTCTGGAACCTGCACCTTGTTGGTTGAACACGTATGCATACGTAGTGATACACCAGATGTTGCTATGTGCCCAACTCATGGAGCGGAGCACCGACGCGCTGTAGTGATGCGCAATGCAGAGACTCGGCGTGATGATGTCTTTCAATGATATTGCTGCAGGTCGACAAAGTGCGTGTCTTAAGAAAATTACCAAATGTGACAGTACTTCGCACGCGGGTATGATGTGTCGCATGTGAGCAATCTCATACGTCCTACATACAATATGCTGTTTCTTCTCCTCATGATCCACCATCGTGATCGGTACTACCAACCTGACATGACTTTACAGCCTCCTGACCGAGAAGAATATTCTCTTGGTTCCCTCCTTGTGCCATGATACCTTGTTTCCAACCATTGGCCAGTCTTCTAGAGCGGCCTCTGCCTTCCACTTTGTGCCAGTTTCCTTTCCAATTTCACTCCACATTTGCTTCCATGAGTCCACATTCTGCAGGAACATGTTACCGCTTCCGCTGGCCGATGACTCTTCTTCATGCGCGTTGATGTTGCCAACTTGACGTCCGACTAGCAGTGAGTCTTTTTGGGGCTTAAGAAGCTGGACTATGCGTCTTGCAATCTTCTTCTGCCCTTCATAGCCGAAGAGATGGAAGAAAGAGGATGCGTGGATGATGTCGATACTGCCTTCCAACGATGTGAGTGCTGATCGGGATTCGAAGACATCAGCGGCGATGAACTCGCTCTTGAGTGTCCATTTGTCTTTGAAAAGTGAATATCCAAGATCAAGGAAGCCTTGATGAAGGTCGCTGCCTATCAAGACTTCACCAGGTACTCCATCCGTCACGAGTCGACGAATGTCCTGGCCGAAGCAGCAGCCCAAGTCAAGGTACTTTTGATCGCCAGATTTGAGTCTCCTGACTATTTCCGGGTATGTTTCGAAGCCACCTAGAGCCATATCCAGAAAACGAAACTGACCGATGCAAGGATATGGAAATACTTCCCAGGCTTTGTCTCGCTTGCGGCTTATTAGCAAGCTGCTGAACGGATGATCGTATATTGAAATTTGTCCAGCTTGTCTTTGAGACGTTCGTAACAAGGGCCAAAACTTACAATGTTCAAGACATGCGGCACGACCTCATCCGAGTGAATCTTGCAGTATGTTTCAAGGACAGACCTTGCTTGAGGGTTGACATCCTCCAGCTCGTCTTGAAACCAGTCGACGCTTCTGTTTCTGGTACCAACTGCCGTCATATCTAGGTTATCAGAGAACACACGCCGATGTTGCGCAGGATGCTGAGGTGGTTAAGAAGGATAAGCGGCGGTTATTTGTCTCGACAGTCGCCATGACGTGGGGCAAGGAGCCGCCGACCACCGAAGACATCATTGGGCTGTCATTCTGGCAACGGGATAACCGTCGTTATGCTCAGTACCGCACGGAAGCCTGTACAATCGTATCAAGCATTAAGACTGCTGATATTCATAGGCACCTACCTGGTCCAACTGGCCATGAACGTAGTACGTATTGATGGACCGACCTATTGTAAGATGCCAAATTCGACGCAACTGCCTTCTTGCGGTACCCAACATGCAGCCAATACAGCCAAGGAGCAGCTCATGTCGCCTTATATCGAACGTGTGGCTATGGAGCGCATCAATTGGCGCCGATGGAGGAAAGAACCTCTAGGAAACAAAAGAAATATAAGTTAAATGGCAGAAAATTGATCAGGTACCCCGTGTGCCCCGCAATGGCCAAGAACGGGCAAGGCAGCGGGCGCAGAAAAATTGCGAGCAACAACATCTCGACACAAACAGAACCATCATTGCTTCTCGTATTGTTCACGTCGCTTGTAGAAAACTACCAGCGTATTCAAGAATCTCGAAAGCCCCTATTTCCATCCTTTCGAAACACCCTCCCGCAACAATGAGCGAAATCACTCACCCCACCATCAAGGGTAGCTAGAGCTCCACATGTGCAGTTGAAAGAGAATGGAGGCTCATACACAAGGCAGATGGCTGGTTCCGCGAGATCTCCGACATGTGGCCCGGCCAGGCCATGACCCTCAAGGTCAACCAGGTCGTCCACCACGAGAAGTCAAAGTACCAGGATGTCCTCATCTTCGAGTCGACCGACTACGGCATGGTCCTCGTCCTCGACAATGTCATCCAGTGCACCGAGCGTGACGAGTTCTCGTACCAGGAGATGATCACCCACTTGGCCATGAACTCCCACCCCAACCCCAAGAAGGTCCTTGTCATTGGTGGTGGTGACGGTGGTGTCCTCCGTGAGGTCGTCAAGCACGAGTGTGTCGAGGAGGCCGTCCTCTGCGACATTGACGAGGCCGTCATCCGTCTCTCCAAGAAGTACCTCCCCGGCATGGCTGTTGGCTACCAGCACCCCAACGTCAAGACCCACGTCGGCGATGGCTTCAAGTTCCTCGACGACAAGAAGGGCGAGTTCGATGTCATCATCACCGACAGCTCCGACCCGGAGGGCCCCGCCGAGGCTCTGTTCCAGAAGCCTTACTTTGAGCTGCTGAAGGGTGCCCTGAGAGAGGGCGGTGTCATTACTACCCAAGGTTGTAAGCACCCTTTCCTACTCCCCTGACTTGTCTTCGATCCCTCTTCGCTTCGTCACCGTCTGAATTGACCAGAAGTTGCTGACTTTTTAATCCAACAGCCGAGAACCAGTGGCTCCACCTCCCCTTGATCACCAAGCTCAAGCAGGACTGCAAGCAGGTCTTCCCCAACGTCGAGTACGGCTACACCACCATCCCCACCTACCCCTCTGGCCAGATCGGCTTCATGGTCTGCTGCCTTGACGCCAACCGCGACCTCAAGAAGCCCCTCCGCCAGTGGTCCGAGGCTGAGGAGGACAAGCTCTGCAAGTACTACAACAAGGAGATCCACGAGGCTGCCTTTGTTCTGCCCAACTTTGCCAAGAAGGCCCTTAAGTAGATATGATTTACGACAAAACGGTCGACCAAGACGCTGTGCTTTTAGACGTTTTCACAAGATACCAATGACATTACCTGCACGCCTTGCGGCCTTTCCACTACACACTACACTCTGGCTACAAGCCTTGGGCCTATGAAGAGAGAGAAGCTAATCTCGATCTGATCCATGTTCCTCACGAATCGTCAGCTGATACAAGCAAGTGACTTACTGTATTCGATCGCATAACTTGTCGCAACCGAGCCTTTGACCCGGTGATCATCTTCGCGCAGAAGCATCCAGTCTACAATCAAAGCTCCGTTGACTTCTCAAGCTCTCAGCGTAAGCGCCCAGGAACGCTTGCTGATGCGTAGGCAGTCCCACCCGAATAGTGGTGGAGTGGAGCCTTATTCAGGTCATGAAGATACATGCTTCGAAGTCTCTTTCTCTCAACCGACCCGTCGACTCGCGAAAGCCGGCATGGAGAAAGTCGGCCGAGTCGCGGCCAGTCGCGCGGCGGCGACATCAAGGTCTGCAGAACACACCGCTATATTACATATCTCCATCTGCCGTGTGCCATGAGATGGCCAGGAGGCGAAGGACTTGAGTCGGCTGGGAAAAGGCGGGACGAAATGCATGCAGATGCACCTTTCTCATTGGTCCAATTGTCTAGATTTTTCATATGCAGCAGGGCTTTTTCATGTCGGGCGGCTCTTGCGTAGAACTCCGTCTCTTCCATAGCCATCTCCATGTCGCTTTGAGCAAGGGCGAGCGGGTTGGTGCGCCTCGATGGGTGGCAGATGCTACCGGTGCATGGTCGATGGGGTTGACCGCATGACAGAGCCAGATTGTGGCCATCTGACGAGTTGACTCCGACACCAACGCGCAATCGTGGCTTTAAGATCCCTCGGGCGACAATTGTCAAAGACGCATTGGCTAGAATTCTCCGATTTGACGTGAAAGTCCTGTTAGTGTTGACGGTGAGTGGAGAACTGGCGAAAGCGAAAAACATCGAGGCAGCTAAAGCAGGACAGGTGAAGAGATGGTCCTTTTCAGCTCCTCAATGTTTGCCGTGTAGCATTGTGTAGCAGGGGTTGCAGGGAGTAACAGGGATAGCGTGTTTCGAAATGCGCCATGCCGGCCTTGTTCCTGAGCTAGCCACGCCATCCTCATGCTCATGCGTTTGGTACCTTGAATCTTAACACCACACCACTCGATTGATTTTTGCTGTGCCCGGCAGACTTGACATGCAAGTCAGCAGCCCGAAGCTCTACGGTTCTCAAGGCAAACTTTGGCGATGCTGAAGCGGCAAAAGTCGTCCACTTGCTGACTTATACTGCGCCACACATTGACAACTCTCTCGAAGAGTGCGCAATTGAAGCCTGTCTTGACTCAACCAGATTAAGCTCATTCGGCTGATCGCCCGTGAATCTGGCCGTGCGGTCGCGTACAGGTGCCTGACAGTCGTGATGGGGGTGGGGAGCTCCATCTCAGGTCCACCTTGACGCAAATCTCAGCTCGCCCACAGCGAAAAGGCAGGTCACAGACGGCAGCTCCGCGCAGTGAACGACACGTAAGCCAGGTCCTCGGGTGTACATGCACTCTGCGGCATCTCGAGTTGGCGGCAGAAGACTGTTGCAAAGGGAAATGAAGGAACCAGAATTCAAAGCTGCGGCAGCAAGCCGATCTCCACACTTCCGGCTTCTTGCTGGTTCGCGAACGTTTTGTCCTCTTCCTGCTTGGTTGCTGTGCCCCCTTTCACGTATCCTCATCCAGAGGAGCAAAACACCAGTTTTCAGCTTTCTGATTATATGAGAGCGAGTTGTTTTGGACGTTATGGCGCAATTGTGAAACAATCATTCGGTCAGGCTGAATCGAGCGCCAAACTGTGGTTTCTCGTTCTCGGCAGCGCGGCGGCTCTCCAGTCACACTGATCGATGCATCTATCGAGGTGGGTATCCTGCAGCGGGAATGGCGCTGCTGGCGCTCTGGACTCCCTGCAATCTCTGGGATCCACGCTGTCACTTTTTCCCGCCGCATGGCTTCCCTCACCTTCCTTGTGGGCACGGGCGATGGGACGAAACTCAAAGTACGCCCTTCTCACCTACTCTTTCTCCTATATGTATCAAGCCATGTTCCCCTGGTTCTGAACTCCATCTATTCCGATCATCTTGTCTTCGTTATACCTCCTAGGTCTGCGACCTATTCTTTCTTTTACCAAAGTCCTACCTCGGGCTAGTCATTCATTCAACACTTCCTTTCATTCGCTCTTTCAACCTCCTCCCTCTTAGGATTTGATATCCTCGTTTTACCCTTTCAACCACATCCTTGATACTTAGAATTATGATGTATACTTCCACCAAAGTATTCGGCCTGGCTGCCGCTCTTGCTGCTCCTGCTGCTGCGTTCTTCCGTATGCCTTGCCCTGGTCGTATCGTCACCGAGCGTGCCGACCCTATTGTCTCACCTGGACAAGTTGCTGGTCATGTCCACACCATCTCCGGAGGTAATGGCTTCAAGTTCGAGATGGACTATGCCGATACTCAGGCCTCGGACTGCTCCTCCTGTCCCATCAAGCAGGATCTCTCCAACTACTGGACTCCTTCTCTCTACTACCAGCACCAGAACGGATCCTTCGAAAACGTTCATCAGTCTGGTGATGGTACTGGTATCTATGGCGGCATGACTGTTTACTACCTTCAGCGCCCTGGGCCCAACAATGATGCACTCAAGGCATTCCCTGAGGGTTTCCGTATGCTTGCTGGTAACCCTTTCAAGCGTAACCACACCGACGACTTTGCTTCAAAGGCTGTCAGCTTCGTCTGCCTTGATTACAGTGGTGGCTCTAGCACCACCGACGGACTTCCCACCAAGAAGTGTCCCGATGGTCTCCGCGCCCAGATCTTCTTTCCCTCATGCTGGGATGGTGTTAACCTTGATTCAGCCGATCACGCCTCGCACATGTCATATCCTATTGGCGGCAGCTACGATAGCGGTAAATGTCCTAGCACCCACCCTGTTCACTTGGTCTCTATCTTTTACGAGGTAAACTACAACACCGGCGACTTTGATGATCAATGGTACGGTAGTGGTCAGCCTTTTGTGTTTGCCATGGGTGATCCTACCGGCTACGGATTCCACGGTGACTTTGTCAATGGTTGGAACGTTCCTACTCTTCAGAAGGCTATCGATGAGTGTAACAATGACAGCGGTCTCCTGTCTGACTGCCCCGTGTTCGATCTTTTCACTACAAAGGAGAGTCAGGCCTGTATCATCCCTCCTCAGGTTGACGAGCAGGTTACCGGCATGCTCGATGCTCTTCCCGGTTGCAACCCCGTTCAGAAAGGCCCTGGTCTTGCTACCCCTCAGAGCTGCTCGACCAACAGTAGAGTGGCAACTGTCGGTGCCTACCAGCAATACTACAAGGACGTTACCTCATCGCTCAAGTGGCAGTACGTCGGTTGCGGCACAGACAACCTTAGCAGCCGTACCCTGAACTCCGCCTCCACCAGCAGCAACTCCATGACTGTCGAGTCGTGTATCTCTTACTGTGAGGGCAAGGGCTACAGCTACGCAGGTCTCGAGTACGCTTCTCAGTGCTACTGCGGTAACTCTGTCGCATCTGACCGCCTACCCGTGGACGGCGTCCTTGGCAACTGCTTCACGCCCTGCACTGGCGACAGCACCGAGTACTGTGGTGGTGGTAGCGCTCTGTCCCTCTACCAGAGCTGTAAGGGTACCTCCAGCTGCACAAACAATGCCTACACTGGTCCTGGCGGTTCTTCTGGTTCGTCTTCGTCTGCCGCCTCATCGGCTGCTTCTTCATCTTCCAAGAGCGGCAGTAGCTCAAAGACCAGCTCGACGTCCACCACCAAGACTAGCTCGACTTCTAGCACAAAGACCGCCACCACCCTTGCAACGTCCAGCAAGCCTGCTTCTTCTTCCAAGTCTTCTTCCACATCTACCTCCAAGTCATCTTCGACTACTAAGACCGGCCCATCTCCTCCCCCCGGTCCCCGCAAGCAAAAGGCCCCATATTCCGCCACCAAGAACGCCCGCTTCGCCGCCGCCGTCGCCTGGGAAGAAGAAGCCGACCGTCAAGCTGCCGAAGTCAAGGTCAAGCTCGCCGCTAGCAAGGTCCGCCGTCACTTGGCCGAGCTCAAGGCTGGCCGTCACCACTAAGACTTGACCTCTTGAGGTCAAGGGCTTCACCTTTTTTTTTTATGAAAATCAAACGTCGCTGCATGATGGGATTTGGGGGGGAACAGGGGATTTCGGTATATAGATGGAGATGACGCCTTTTTCAATTCTTTACATTCGCTTCTTTTGGGTGATGAGGCCCTCTTTTTGATGGGGATGTTTTTGTAGGCGTGACGTCCGTGGATTGTTCACTGCCCAGGACGTTGCTTTGCCGAGGATATATGATTGGAAGGGAAATATACGATACTTTTTTCGCAGCTTGACTGTTCTTCTCCGTGTGGATGCGTGACTTCTAGTAAGTATGGGGGAGGAGGATGTATCCTCAGGGCTAGTTCTCCTTACATGGAGGAACGGCTCTCTTGAAACTCTTCAAGATTCGTCATTGTGTATTCCTCGGTCCATAGGCGCATTGCTACAGCTATACGCCCATAATCTCATCGTAGTGAGAGCTCTTTGGGGGCGAGCAAATGATCATCATCATTCATGTCTCATAGCATGTGATCTACCTAGCAAAATCTTCTCAGCGGTCTTCTCAAGCTTTTGATGCACGTCCCAATTCATCCCTCCTTAAGTTTCTTGTTCGGACCTTGCTGCTCGACATCAATCCTCTGTCTCTTGATTCCTGATCCGGCGCCCAAAGACTTGACTTCCTCGATGGGAGGTGGTCCGCCAGGAAGAGGTGGCATCAGTGCGCGATCGGCTAGGACCCAGCCCTCTCTTTGCAGTCTCTTTAGTCGTTGTCCCACGGCGAATCGAACCAAGTCGCCGGTCGCACGCGCGTCCTCGAGTGAGTCGTGACCCAAAGCACCTCCCATTTGGATGTCGCGGCCGAGGTGACGTTTGGTAAGCATTTTGAGGCCGAAGCGGAAAGGTAGCCCACGCGGGTGGGGAAATAAGATAATGGTGTCGATGATGGTCGGATGGCATAGACGAACGGAGTTGAGATCATTCTCGATGCCATGGCCAATGAGAGGAGTGGATGGTTTGAGATATGAGCATAGTAGGTCCCTTGCGGCGGCTGGACTTGAAACTATCGGGAGTGGGCTGTTGCCAATATCATCAGTAGACGCAGTGGCCGGACTGCCGGGAGGCGGGGGCGGTAAAGGTGCGTCCATGGCTACTTGTTCTTCGTATGGAATAGCAGAGCTGTACATCTCTGGTGTTACACCCGACCAGCGAGTGTTAAGGTCAAGAATTGTGCCTTGAGGGCGGACGAGAACATCGACCAGACAATGACCTTCTGGCCAAGATACTGCAGTCAGACGAATGAGCTCGAGGCCACAAACAGTATACCCCATCTCGCAATCGAAAGTGACGGCGTCTGGTGGTTGGCCATTGGGCCCTTTGGTCGGCCTCGAGTTATCCGGAGTATTGATGAACGGCATGATCGACGCGAGGCGCTTGCCTTCGCTGACTTTGAAGACGTGCGTGTCACATTGTGTGCAACCCGGTGTGCCTTGGAGCTCTTGACAACAAGCGTGGACCGCTTCTTTCGGCCCCTTGATGGCGTCCGTCTTCTCACGTCGAGGTGTGAATAGCTTTGCCCAATGGTACCTGCAGAGTCCGTTCGTAGTCAGAGCACCGTCTTCCTCCCTACGCTCTTCGAATACTCGGAATCGAGACTTGCAGCGATCACACACTTCATAGTTGAGTGAGGCTGCAACAGCGGCTCTGGCTTCTGCAATCTCTTCATCGTTTGGCGGCACAGTGACGTAGCCATGATTTGCCAATGGCACCTGGTCTGTGATCAAATGAGGAAGAACGATGTGTTCCTGTTCCAGTGGTAGTCCGGTATCAATGGGAGGAATTACGATGCCTCGAGGTTCCTGTTGATCGATCCTGACGGTTGCGATGATATGCGTGATCCAGTCATCGACTGTCATTTTCGAGAGTGCTGCGACACGCATCTTGATGACGTTGGCATACACTTTGTGATTCTCTCGCGCAGTCTTTTCTTCATCATCCAGGGCGACTTTGATCAATTCGTCGCTCGACAGTGTCAGGGCCAATTTCTTTGAGTGGGATCCTTTTGCTACTTCATCGTTCAGGCGTTGCATCTGAGCATGAAGATGCTTGAGGAAAAGGGTTCGTTTTGCGTGGCCGGCAGGATCATTAGGTATCATACGAGGATTCAGAGATTCTTTGATGTTAGGTTTTACGGTCGTCGGATTCGTAGAGGCTGCCTTGGATGATGTGGTCGGTTGCTTTGGTGGTGGGCTCACTGGCCTCTGCAATGTCTTAGGGACCTTGGGCGGAATTATAGTCGCAGACTTCTGTTTGTTGACGGTTGTGAATCCATTGGTCTTAAGCCCGTTAGTCGCATTGCCAGATGTGACAGTGACGGGATTGGCAGTCGCTTTTGCGAATGTGGCATTCCCTTGATCTGGCTTGTTCTTTTCAGAATTTGTCTCTTCGGAGACAGCAATGGCCTGCGGTCTTAATTCATGGGAGAAGATACAATGGATTATGTTGCATCGTTCACCTTCAGGACATGGTATGCCTTTGAAGAGACCAGTGGTTGAAAACATGGTACCTCAATGGAAGCCGGACAGGGTAGGTTGCCTTTGAAGTTCAGAAGGCTTTAGTGCTGAAAAGATTAAATAGATTTGACAATCCTACCTGAGAATGAGTGTAGGTGAACAAAGCAGATTACTCGAGAGAACAAGGGGTCAAGTGAAGCAGCCGGTGTTCAACGTGGGCCTTCTTGCGGAAGTTTGGATACAAGCGGCGGGTTCACTCGGCGCGAACCAGAGCTGTCTCAAGAATCAGGAGGCTCTTCAAATTCTTCCAATTCGAGACATGTAGATGGTAGGGTTGCCGATCTTTGGATGAATAAACTTGCCGGAGGTGAACGCGAAAGACTGCCCGTCGGACTTTCGAAAATGCCGAGAGGATAAACGCGCGACGTCATCAATACTAAGGGGAGCCCGGTCGAGGCAACCGAATTGTTTCCTTCATTGACGTGCCATATATATGTCATTCGCGTCCTTCAAAGATCATGGCCATACAGCATTCATAACAGCCTCGGAAGAAATACAATCTCGCTGGAACGGCAAAAGTGTGCAGGTAAAAAGTAGAGAAACAGGTATGGCCGACCATCTCTGTATCTTGATTCACGGGTAAGGCTACATTGCTTGTCTTTGCGCATATTTCCACATCAGCGTTCTTGTCCAGGCATTCTCGAGTACCTGTATGTATATGATAGCTGACTCTGTCGTGAAACAGGCTCTGGGGCAATCCCAAGCACTTGAAGAACCTCGCGGCAGCACTGCAAGCCGAATACGCAGACGATAAGCTACACGTCTTGGTGACGAAGAGCAACTCGAACAACTTTACCTACGATGGCATTGAGCTGGGAGGTGAGCGTACTACCAACGAGATTGAGGAAGAGATCAAGAGACTTGAGAAGGATGGCAACAGGATCACAAAGATAAGCGTCGTCGGCTACTCTCTGGGCGGACTGGTCGCGCGTTATGTTATCGGCTTGCTATACTCTAAGGGCTACTTCGACCGCATACAGCCCGTAAACTTCACCACATTTGCCACGCCTCATTTAGGCGTACGAACACCTCTCCTCGGTCCACATAACTACCTCTGGAACGTACTTGGTGCCCGTACTTTGAGCACATCGGGTCGGCAACTTTTTACCGTCGACTCATTCCGCGATACCGGTCGTCCACTTTTGACCGTTCTGGCTGATCCAAACAGTGTCTTCATCCGCGGCCTGGCCATGTTCAAGCATCGTACTCTTTACTCCAATATCGTCAACGATCGCAGTGTCGTATATTACACCAGTTGTATCACCTACAAAGATCCTTTCGTCGACCTTGACGCGGTTGAGCTGCAGCCTCTGCCTGGCTATGAAGGGGTCCTGTTACGACCAGATGAGCCGGTCCGTCCCAAATCCAGAGTGCCACTCGGCTTCTGGCCTCGCGTCAGAGCTACGGGCTGGTCAACTCTCACAGCAGTTCCGTTCTATCTGCTGCTCGCTGTGCTCATACCTGTTGGAAGTATGCTTTTCCTGATCAATAGTGGGATCCAATCAATCCGATCTGCTCAGCGCGTCCGCTTGCACGAGTCCGGTGGTGCCGCCTTTGGCATCGAGCGCTACCGGGCAAATCCACTTCTCGAGGAGGCTCAGCAACTTGAGGAGCGTGTTTTCGAACGTCTGAACTCGAACCAAGGTCAGGACTATTTACCAACGCCACCATCAGAAGATGAAGAGCGCTTTACGAAATTCGAGCACAGCGGTGGTCAATTTAAGGGTCAAGAAAAGTTCCCCACACTGGCTCTGACGTCGGACCAATTTTACATGATCGAGGGATTGGATAGCGTGGGTTTCACGAAGTACCCGGTGCACATCAGCAAAGTACGACATACCCATGCAGCCATTGTTGTAAGGACGAATCGCTGGGGCTTTGGCGAGGGCAAGATTGTCGTTGGACATTGGGTCAAGCATTTCGAAGTTTAGAAGGAGGGTCCAATGTTTGTACAACATTTGTCAAACCATTATGTAGACGGTTCTACTTAGATGTGAGGACAGGGTCCTTTCATAGCGGCTCCACGTATAGAATGTTTCTGCTCAGTGCAAGGACAATCTCGAATAGTCTCGTAGAACGTAGATTGTGATCCATTTTGCGAGATCTCCTTGGAACCCCACGTATCCCAGTAGCCATTTCCGGTGTGCCAAAGCGTGTCGTTATAGTCGCGAACTTGGTGAGAGCTTTGCATGTTTCGAACGCACCGCGTCCGAAAGCAGTCACGAACCCGAACATCAGATAGCCAAGTCTGTGTACAAGCACGATGCCGAGATGACGATGACTCACGGATCATTGATGGTCAACGCTTGATTAGCTCAGAGCGACCCCAGCTTCCAATACTACTTTCCTCAAGAACTGATCATTCTTTCAGGCCAAAAATGGAGGAACAAGGTGATGCCCCCAGCAACCAGATGGATGTTGCATACGTCATCGAGGATCTTATCGATAAGGCTACCGATAACGCTACGGATAACACAGAAGCTCGCGTACTCCTGCCCGCTGCGGAGATTCACTCGCGCAACGAGCGCTCAGAGTCCACTTTCTCTTCTGGAGCTTCCACTCAGGTTGCTGAGCTGAAAGAAGACGAAGAAAGCTTGTATATAATATCGACATGGAAGTCTACTCTTCCGGCGATTACGGTGGTGACATCAACACGTCGTCTGAGGTCGACGACGACATGGATTTCTACGAAGGCGACTCATCCCAGTCGGCGGTCGTGGTGGGCGCAGTGAGATCTTCATTCTCGACCCCTATCACTGATCGTGTAGTCAATCTTACTGAGTTTCACTCTTCTAGCAGCTTCAAGCACCTGCCTCGTCGATGGTCGACAACAAGACGCGTGCAACGCAGACTTCGGAAGCCAACGATCCCAATACGCGCAACGCAGTGATTGCCAGGATCAACGCCGAGAAGCTCAATGACCTACGAGCCAAGTTACTTGCCAGTCGCCAGCACACTCCGGTCAGAGACGCCGCAAAGTCTGTTAAGAACGCCATGCCCGTCTCCGTCAAGACCGAACTGCTGTCTCGAGCTCAGAGCCCTGCTCTCCCTCCGGACCCCGCCTCGACTAAGAACAAGATCAACAAACAAGCACCTCAAGTGAAGAACAACAGACCCACTGCTGCCCTAATGCTCAGCCAGTCAAATTCAGTCGATGCTCTGCTTGCAGAAGGTCATGCGAAGGTCCAGACCCAACAGGAGACTGCCCCAATCGAGCAGCAACACAACACAGCAGAGTCTGCACCTAAGATCTCGATGGCTGTAAATATAGTGTCAGCCAAGTCAGCTCCTTCGCCTGCTGCCACTCCCTTGCAGCTCAATACCGTCGAACAGGACAGTGTCACCAGCGACAAGTCTTCTTCGACTGTCAAGTCGCCAGAACCTTCAACTCAACAGAAGAACAAGCCCAACAGTATGACTGTAGACAAGAATGCTTCCCCCAATCCTGAACAGAAGTCTTCCAAAGACAAGACTGTCAACTTAACTGACCAATCCGCTGATACCAACAAACCTGCGCACGCTTTGCCCACCGGGCCTGTACAAAACACTAACCTCAGTTTACCAACTAGATCTCACAGGGAGAACGAGGCCGGCGATTACTTCAAGGACGTCGATCTATGGTTGAAAATCACGGGCTACCACGACACCATTTTCCGTGAACAGAAGCTCCAAACTTACAAGAAGCGTGCTGCGCTCGAAGAAAAGAAACGTATTCTGGAGCGTGAATTTGCCGAGCTCGAACGTCTCGAGGCTGCTGTGGCTAATGACCCTAGCACCAGAGACTGGATGCGAGGTACTTCTGCTGCGTTTATGCCTCCTCCACCTCTTCCTGCTTTGGCATCGACCGATGAACAGGCGACTCTTTCGATGGGCACCACTTCGGCCTCTACTCAGCCTGTCACTGTCGGAGCCAAACGCCCTCGCTCGCCGTCTGCTCCAGTGAACAAAGACCACCGCGAGAAGTTGAGTCGTCTGAACACATCTGGTCGTGCCGTGCGTAAAGACGACCTCTTTGATAAGCCTCTGTCTGCCGGCGCTTCCAGACGTGATTCGGACCAGAGGTAATACGACGCGCTTGGACATATCTCGACCTCGAACAAAGATTGGGCATGGCTAACTGACTTTCCTCCAGAACCCATTACGTTAGTGACAGATCGGACAGACTCGAGTATCGCCAACGTGCCTTCGAGGTTTCTCCTACCCGTCAATCTATATCTGTTCGTGGTCAGGCATACCGTCCTGCTGCCGTCGACAGTCCATTCAGTCGTCGTGAGTGGAATGCTCCCAGATCTCCCGAACAATGGTCCACACGCAACAATGGATGGAACTCTACTTCTTTCTCGAATGTCAACGAGCAACCCATTGGCCAGGGCAGCCACCCGAGCAACAAAAGTGGGTACACGCCTTCCAACCCTAGATCCAGATACAACAGATAAACCTGTTGTAGTTTTGGTCCTACACAAGCATGCATTCGAATTGTTTAGTCGGCGCATATTGGGAAGATGTAGAAAGTTCTTCCAGCATGATTAGCATTTTGATAGCGAGGAGTTTTGGGGATATTCAACAAATGCCCATCACGAATGAATGCTCTTCTGTTATACCTACTATCACGAACATGAATTATCTCAATTGGCCTCCTTCTTGTCCACCAAAAACAAGCACACGTGCAATCAGAGCGGGGTCGCTAACTTGATGTTTCACACAACTACTGGTGAACGATTCTTCATCATTAAGTCCTGGAACATGCAGAACATCATTGAAGCGCAGAGAGATGGTGTTTGGGCCACTCAGGAGAAAAATACAAACCTCTTCACCGACGCTTACAAAAATTGTCGCTCCGTCGTACTGCTGTTCAGCGTCAACAAAAGCATGGCTTTCCAAGGCGCTGTAAGCTATTTTCTCCCTAAACAGAATCACATAAGACTGACGAACTCGGTTACAAGGCTGTAATGACAGGTCCACCATCACCAACTGTCCCTCTGCCCCTCTTCTGCCGTAAACTAAAGTGGCCCACATCACCACCTTTCAAGATTCGCTGGCTCTGCACTACGCCAGTGCATTTCAAGTTCGTCGGTCACCTGAGAGATACAATGAATCTCAGAGATGATGGTGAGCCGCATGCTGTGCTTGTTGGTAAAGATGGACAGGAAGTCAACCCCTCAGCGGGACATGGGGTCGTAAAGATTCTGAAGGAAAGAGACGAAGAGGCTAAGGAAGAGGACGACAGACCCTGATGGATGATCAACAAGGGTGCGATGGCAAAAGAGACTAGCTTCTGGACTCTGCCTGTTAATGCAGCAGTCTTAGAAAAATTCTTATGGTAGTGTATACGACGATGGTATCCTGACCAAATCGGGCATGGTAAATATCCCTTAATTAGTCTCAATTGAGCTCCTACCATGATGTCAAGCCGACGCGTAAAATCACGTCCTTCGGTTATCAACGCGATCTCTGAGATTCAGTAATTGTTTGGTCATCAACATTGTGATATTCTCGAGATCTATGAACGGCGCGTTGAAGCTTTCATCACATCCTGCCAGCAGGCTTACAGCCAGAGAAGAGGATCGACTCAACGAAGCTGCGAAGATACGTATCGCTAAACTACTGGGCATAGAGCGAAATATGATCGACCTTACAGACGACGAGTCACCAAGAAAAAAAAGGCTCGTCGAGAAGATGATAGTTGGATAAAGGCCGAGGACGATGGAGTAAAATCGACTGCTGCGAAGTATCCCGAGCTTCAGGATGCTCTGCCCCAAGCAGCCTCCCGAGCCCAGGATATCTCTTCTCCTCGAAACACTCTTCTAAATCCAACTTCGTCTCCATCATTGTTCGGAACATCGAGTAAGCCACAGACTATGGCAGGTGCAAATCGTTCGATGGGACCTCCGGGCGCGTATCAGAACCATCTACAGATGAATGTTCACCAAAACCAACCTCAAACTCAAACACATCCCCTTCATAATCCACCTCAAACACACAATCCCAGCCTTGTCAGCTATCAAGCTCCGAATCAAACCAACATCCCTCAAACTGCTTCCATGCCTCAGCAGCCTCAAAGATCCGCCTCCCTCGCTACTCCTCAATACATGGAGCTAGCTCACCCTGCAGATCTGCTATCCAATATCTCATTATCAGTAGCTTCCCTAGAGACGTTTCAGCTACAGGAGATCCTGTCGATAGCAGCATTGAGGCATCCTGATATATTGGATCTTCTTCGTACCTGCTTCAATCAAAAGGAGACGAACAGAAATACTGCTCATCAAGCACTTTACGATCGCCTTCTTACACAGTCTCAAGAACAAGCTAGGATCATAAGGACTGAGAATGAGCGTGTGAGGAACAATTCTATACACGCCGTGGGACCTTTTGGTCCGCCACAAGGCGCAGCTCCTCATCCCACTGCTCCAGCACGAGGACACGTCCTACGATATGGTCTTGCGACGACTCAGTCCCAGGTAAAGTCGACCACTCAGGAGCTAGGGGATACCTTTTTGACGATTTCAGACTGCTCCAAGATCTGTCGCTCAAAGGCCAGTCTTCCGCACTCCACCAGCTCGACAAGAACACATATCAGCTCCAAATGCTCAAAATCAGAAATCTTGCGCTCAAGCTAGTACAAATTTACCAGCAGAAGTGCCGAGTTTCCACAACGAGATCAACCACCTTCTCAACCCAAAGGAACCTAACCTAACGCCAAAGGCCAAATTCGACACGCTGAGATTTCTATGCTATTTGGCAATAAAGACAGTGATAAAAGCAAACATGACTGTAAAGCAACACCTACAACTGGACTAGTCATTCACAAACGCGTGTTCGCAAGTCTACAATTCCCTTGACCAAGACTCGAAGCTCAAGATCATGCAGCCGCAAGCGTTGTGGAATGGTCTTGACACGTTGGAAAAGTTGAGAGATGATTGCTATGATGGATATGAACAGTTTCTGCCCGCTTTTAGGGGGAATTCGATATATGAGCCCAAGGTGAGGGTACAGGGCTCGGACGACGAGGGAGCGAGGAGGAAAATCGTTGCTGAAGAACCAAGCATGGTGCGAGACTCAGACGAAGATAGTACCGACTCAGAGCCCGGACAGTCGGACTCTCTCGCAGACATTGAAGAGTACGATGACAACGACAACGAGGATGAGGGAGAAAGCGACCAAGGCAGAAAGCCTAAACGCTACGTACATTTATGTTTACTAACATCTAAGATCAATAGTCTTCTCCAAAGCACGTCTTCAAGGTATGATGCTGACTCAGTGCGCAATGATTTCCGAATTGGTGACTCGTTGACGAGAGTGGCTGGTTGTTGGGTCCTCCATGGCCACCTCTCTGGCCTGACAAAAGTCTGTGCATTTTGACAGCTTCATACAAGACATGTCAGCTTGCAAAAAGGCGACACACACGTGCAGTATCGAAGAAGCTGAGCGACTTGAAGCTCACTTCCACACAGACACGAAGTCTGGATTTGTAAGGAAAGAATACTGGATACGATGGATACTAGACACCGGCGTACCTGCAGCTCTACTCGACCTGTGTCACGTCATGCTGTACGGCATAGTCTTGAACAAATATGATGGTGACCACGATCTACGGCTGTTGGACCGCCGGGCTCTTATTCCTGACATTGAACAGCACAGTGACCACAAGGGCAAGAACGAACATATTAGAATACTGATCCAAGAAGCGGACGAAGAAACGAGTAGCAATGAACAATGTGAGGATGCCGTTAAGCTAAGGGATAGATTCTTTGACATGTGTTGATGTTAGAGATTGGAATATTCTCTAGAGTCCGTGTCTAACCGAATGGCACAGAGAATAGCTGCTCGCCGTAGCCTGCGTGGCCACCTCTGCACTCAAGATACTTTTTGCACTTCCACAGCTTGACACAAAGCATCTCGGTGCACAGGGAGTCGGTCGAAGCGCGCAGCAGGCTGTACTTGATAAAGTAAGCTTACTATCGCTAGGGTTGGGGTCTCCCTCGAGAAAACTCCGGTCTTGTATTGATAAGCAGTGGCATTCTTCTCGTTGAACAGGTTGGCCAGCGCAGCGAGCAAGTCGAGCTTGTATGTCCTTCCCCTCATGGCTCGTGTCCGCGCAGGTTGTTGAGCAAGATCTTTCTCGTGGTCAGAGGTCCCAGTGATCCTCGCACAGTACAGCACAATCACAAAGAAGACCGTTTCTCCCCTTCCTATGTCCAGGCCTTCTGAGCAGGCTTCTTTCTGGGTCGAATCCCGCGAAGAGGATTGGAACGATCGAACGTCGTCGGTAGAAGTCGATCGTACTGGCACACCCAGTACATTCTACCTGATTGACAAGGCCAAAGCATCTTTGTCTACTTATGTCAAGGCCCCGAGCGACACATCAGGGACTGACTTGATTGTGAGGGTGTGAAGCGGTCTTCACAGCTTGACGGCATCCTTCTCCAGAGCCTCGACTTCTTGTTTCAAGGCTTCTCTGATCCTCTGAGCCAGCTCAACTGCCTCTTCCTCATCCAACTCTTCTCTCTGACCTCGACCGAACATCTTCCAGCTCTTGACCTCGAAGGTGTCGGCCTTTGGTTTCTTAGACGGTGGACGACGGCCTTCCGAATACCTTGGGATGAAGTGAAAGTGGACATGTGGCACAACCTGAGCAGCGCGGATTCCGTTGTTCTGTACGACGTTCCAGTCTTCGACATGCAGAGTTTTGGCAAGGGCGCGTGACACTAGCGGCATCCAATATCCTAGAGCCTGCGCTGTGGGACCGATAGGCACTTCACTGAGTTTCTCGTGATGTACGCGTGTGGTAAGTAGGACATGGCCAGTCGTCATGGGTAGAATGTCCAGAAAAGCAAGGACATGGTCAGAGGACAGGATGATGAAGGCATTGGGATCAACAAGAGCAGGATCGGGACTGGAGGGGACAGGGGACTCGGAGGACGCGGGATAGGCTTCGCTTATACGACAGAATGGACAGTTCGAAGGGTAGTGTAATTCGAGCGACATGTTTGTTGTTCCTTCCCGAAGGTGCAGCTGCGTGTGCCTGTCTGTGTCCTTCCGTCTTGACTTGGAAGTCGCTTTATTGCCAAGACTCCACTCGCCGTCGTCATGATCTCCACGCTCCCACAACGCGGTACACTTCCGCACATCGGGACCTCCAAGCCACCATCACATCTAATCTGTACGGGATTGTTTGTGACGATGACCTTCTATGCGCGACTGCCCAGAGGAGCTTGGAAGTCGTCCACTTCCCTATAGCCTTGGGAAGATCTTGACGTTGTCGGCAGCATCATGCAACCGCGACAGCTAGACACTCTGCTGCGTCCCGCTGACGTCCTGTTCGTGAAACTCGCTAAGCATAAGCTCCTTCGTGTCAGTCTCGCGAACCCTTGTAAGTGTGCCAAAGGTCCACGCTATTCGGTGAATGTTGAAGTAGAACCGGGCTTCGTAGACCCTGTTCAGCAGTCGGTTTTATGCTGATCGTAGACGTCAAACAATCCTTACCACGATTTAAAGTCGTCCCGCGAGGTGCTGACACAAAGTATGCTCTGGCATGATGTCGAACATCGATAATATCTCTAGGCTCAAACATGCCGGTCTAAATCGAAACTTGAGCCGGCACGGTGGGATCCGGCCACCGAGCCCTGGACAACTGTGCTCGTGCGGCGCGTCGATCACTGTTTTTCCAATCTTGAAGGCTGAAGCCACGCGAGTCGCGAGCGGCACATCTGAGACTCACGCACTTCCCGCAAGCACCCATTTTGTGAGCTCATCAGATAACCGTTACAGTAATCACCCACCCTCTAAATACGCCCGGGATAATTGATAGCCGTGTATGAGGGGCACGGTAATCGACAACGACCAACATGACTGAGACGGAAAACTCCTGTTCACAACACTGTGGCTCGCGGAAGGAGATTATGTCGCCATACATCCGGTCCGCCCGCCTCCATCCTCTCTCCCGTTCTCAGCTCTTCGGCCGTAATAGAGACAAGGGTGCAGAAGCTTGCTTGTCCATAGCGACTCAAGCTGTCGATACGCCAAATACCAATGATACGCCACCTCAACGCGAAAACAGGACGGCAACGATGACTCTCTTGCAGGCGTGAATACTACCGACACTGCCGTGAATCGACCCGCACACGGTCAATTAATCCTGCAACGAGCTTTTCGACGCTCTAGTGTTACTGTATGAGGACTTGTAACTTTGTCACAAACGAGGCTTCAAACTACAGAGCACGCACCGTCTACCAACCTGGTTGCCATTCTTCCGAACGAACAATGCGCAAACCGTTCGCCCGTCAAGCCCCGTAACCTTACCATTCCTCTAGAAGTAATGTAATTGACGATCATGCTCCCTCGGATTCAGGACGTAGATCCACACTTGTCAAAGAACTGACACTTACGTGGGTCGAGTACAATGCGCCGTCTACAGGGTTATCCCGAGACAGTATTGATCCTTCGACCGTCGATCTCCTCGTGGTAGGTGTGGTGCCTGCATATGCAATATGAATCCCTATCACTCCCTGTAGGGTCACTCTGATGCTTCCGCATTCTTCTTCGTTTCATATATCTGTCGGGACTGTTTAGGAGCCGAGTCCTGCTTCCTCGTCCCCATCTTCGTTCTCCACTCAAAGCATACTTGCTTTTCCCTTCACTCCGTTTGACCCTCCTTTCGCAGTCATCGGACGACTTCCTCTTCTCCATCCCTTTAGGGTGTTCTACCGCATTGGACGAACTTCCTCCGAAATGGCGACCGAGCATGCGGAGCATGGATCGAGAGGAGCCACAGGCATCATCGTAGCAGTTGTCTCAACCTCTATCGCCTTCGTCGTACTAGCTTTGAGGATGTTCACGAGAGGACTGATTGTAAAAACTGTTGGAGCCGAGGATTATGTTGTGCTTACTGCCTTTGCGCTATCCGTTGCACTCACGGCTCTCATCTGCGTGGAGGTGCAACACGGACAAGGTATAACAATCTGCTTGATGCATTGCAAGACTTGTCTGATACTTATCTCAGGACGCCACTATTCCACGGTATCTGTTGAAGAATTGAAACAGCTAAACAAAGCCTTCTGTGAGTTCACAAGAGTCCAGCACGAGCCAACAGTCATTGCATATACAGTGTTCTGCGCAGTCATGATACAGAGTCTGTTGTATGTTGTTGACTCGGGCTATGGGAAATCTCCCACACAGGAACAATGCTAATCGGGATACCAGGGGCGTCGGTGCCATGTTACCAGGCCAGTTTGACCTTGACCAAAATATCTATCCTGCTTCAGTATAGACGTGTCTTCGTCGGTCCTGGTATTCAACGCATCATACTCGGTTTGATTGGGGTTATCGTCGTCTATGGACTGTGGTCTGTATTCAGTACTGCCTTCATGTGCTCGCCAGTGGCCTACTTCTGGGATCACAGCATTGGTGGTCACTGTCTGAGCCGAATGGGAGTGTGGTTTTCCAATGCTGCTCTCAACATCATCACGGATGTCATCATATGCTTCCTTCCTATTCCGGTTCTCAACAAGCTGCAGCTCCCACGCAAGCAAAAGTACGCCCTGATGGCGGTCTTCTTACTTGGACTATTCGTCTGTCTAACCTCCATCTTGCGACTCAAGTCTCTTTACGAAATCTCCATTTCGACTGATATCACCTGGGACAATACCCCGGCGGCATACTGGTCATCTCTCGAAGCCAACTTCGGCATCATCGCTGCTTGTCTGCCCACTCTCCGCAAAACGATCACTCGCTTCTTCCCTCGCTTCTTCTCATCACACTCGCACTCGAGATCGGATCATGCTCGTAGGACGAAACCCAAGTCACGCACCAACAACGATACTGATGGCTTTGCGAAATTCGCCATTACGTCACACGCCGCCCAAGCAGATTGGGTGCAAGGCTTGACGACCCAAAATGGCAATGCCAAAGACATATCACACAAGATCGAGATGGACACTCTCAAGAACAAGACGCGCTTGAGTGGAAGTGATGATGGTATAACTATGGTGGAGCCGGAAGCTGACGATGGGAGAATCAGGGTTATCACTGTGATAGCGACACATGAGCTCACACCGACACCATCAGAGATGGACTTGCATGCTGGCACGAGTTCGTCAGGTTGAAGTCCAAAGGAGAGACATCTCGTGTAAGCCCTATCTCTCGTTCACGATGCGGTTAATCACCGCGTCAGTCATGTCTCTCTCTTTCAATGTTGTATACCCCGCCCACTGTAGCCTTAGTCGTTTACCCTCTTTTTGTAATGACATTCGACGATCCTAATTTCTGTGTCTTACTTCTACGATGTTCAAAAGTCGAGGCAACATGCTGTCAACCCCCCCGAATACATGGTTCAACTCTCCGATCCTGAGCGATTGCAATGACTTGACCATATTCCTAAGGTTCCAGTCGTCAAATCACACTTCTTCCATGCTGAAGCTCCCAGTAACACATTCGTGCATCGTTCCTTCCACCCGGGTCAGAAAGTCACCGGACATACCCTCATACCCCTGTCCCTTTCCGCTAAGCAGATGTCTCAAGCACTGTCAACCCAGCGCCACCCATCAATCAGAGTGCTGTCAAATACGTCGATCAACCCAAGCACAGGGATTCTTGATAGATGTCGTCCCATTCCACGGAAGAAAAAAGAAAAGGAGTCAGAGTCATGCTTCCGAGTCATGATCCCATATGTCAGTCCTCGAATCAAGTGGCTCACGCACGGACGTGGTGGGTATACCTTCCTTATCTAACAAGATCTTCAGAGCACGTGGGCATGTGTATGTGGGTAATATGAGGCTGAGACTGTAAGTGCTGTAATGTGTGGTGATCGACTTGTCAGTGCTTTGTCACTGTATAGTGCTGGTCAAGAGGGTGTCTGATTCTGCACATCGCTGTTACTCTTATCAAAACTGGGGCACTGAGAGAGGGTTGTTAGAGAAGGGGATCTACATCTGTTCCATGTTGCCGGGCTTTCTTGATGCTCTATGGGTTTGGTGTCCTCTAGACAAGTTTTGACAAGAGAAATTGGGATGGCTTCATGATAAGCAGATCTATCCATGTAGGGTGTACTTTAGATACAGCCTGCGTGGATTCGCCACTGTCCTAACAAGAACGACACTCCATAAGCCGAGAGAAAAGAAGCACGACAGTGATGCGTGCATTCCTGAGCGCCAGTTCCTTCAAGACTTCAATTCGTACAAAGTGTTATCAAGCATGATCCGACGCTTCAGCGTCACTATGCGTAAGCCTATCAAGGGCCTGGAGACTCTCCATGTGTGTGGTACATGCTTCTTCTTCTGGGACTGTACATGAGCCCCTCAGGCAGCGTCATCCGGAACTTGCCCTTGAAAGCAGACTGGTCTGACAGCGAACGGAAGGCACTTGACAACCTCCTTTACTCTCCCAATCTAACATTCTCTCTATCCTTACGTCCCTCGAGATCATCCTTCGACACCCTTCCCTTGGAACAAGGGGGACGACAGGTTTGAACGATCCTGGGCGTTGACCATCGAACATTAAACCATCATGTCAGCTGCCAGGAATGGTGATGGTTTCCATGCTTCCGATATCACTTCCTGACAGTGGTAGCGACTCATACGAACACAGCCATTGCCGTTCTGCTTAAGCCCGCAGCGTTGTCCATAGCCACAGCCCAGGCCTGAGGGTACGTTCTGGAGGTTGGCCTTCTACTGATTATAACAACTTGTCTAGCCCAAGACAGTTTGCCAACCATTTTCATGCATTACGTCGAGCCAAAAGACACTGCCATCGCCAATATCGAAGCGCCGCCAAACCTCCTTGACAAGCTTGATGACCATGAATACAGGCTTGGAAGGCAGCCTCGCGGAAAGCTCTTCCAATCTCGTCATCGCAAGATTTCTGGCGCGTACCACGTGTAGCGTGGATGGAGTGGTGGGTGCAGACACCTGAAGTTCAGCAGCGGCGGTTAGTATGATGAGAAGTTGGAGTGGTCGTGTGCCAGAGGTTGGTGGAACATTTCCGATCAAATCCAGAAGGATATGCCGTGCAAGCGAGGTCAACCAAGTTGTTGGATTTTGAGCATCGTGATACAAGAGTGTTCCGCAAAATGGGAAAAAGAAGTGACTCGAAGTACCAGTGATATCGGCATTGTTGAATAATCGGCTGTGCAAGATGTTGGGGAATACACGATAGATCTCTAGTAGAGCAGAGCAGCGAGTGGCTTCTGCGACCATTATGAAGTCGAGCTTGCCAGTAGACTGATCTTGAACGTCGACAAGATCATCAATAGCCGGCCAGCGGATATTTAGCAACTCTTTTTCAAAATCCATAGCAGCAGTGATCATTTTTGTAGGGTCAACATGCTCACTCGTTGCTCCATAGGATAACGGCGATGAGATAGCTCGATAGTTTCGAACAAGGCGCCCGACTTCAGCGAACAGAACTTGTGCTCTTGGACCCACACCAGTCCAAGGATGGGGCATGACTTTCGTTCCTATTGTCCGTGCCTCGTTGTAATCTGTCGCGTCGTTTGGTTTTTCCCGACCTGGCGTCATTGGCTCCTTGTGCACAAAAGCGACACACATCTCCCAGTAGATAAGGGCCTCGGCAAAGAATTGATCGTTCCGCGCCATCTCTTCCGACTGATTCTTATCTTCTCGGAGAAGCCGGGGGTATATGAGTCCTCTAGCGGCGTTCAGGTGTGCCATACCTAGATCGCCAGCCTCATGCCATGGCGAGCTCATCCCCAACAAAAGTACTGTCAGTAGCAGTCGGTCATCTACTTGTTGATTCACATGTGCAAGCTGTAGCTCATGTTGTAGACATCCGTATGCTTTCCGTTGCATCTGCAAGCCTTGCACTTCCATTACAGGATTGTGATTAGCCAGATGAGCAGCTGCCATACTCTGGATTGCGTAAAAGATTGAGTCGGAGCTGTCCCACAACTTTCCAATGACAGTACGGAACGGATTGAGCTTCGAGTCGAAAGACGAGTAGAGGACGCAAACGTCTCTGAAATAGTGCTCAACAAGCCCAGTACTATCGTTCTGAAGGGATCTCGTTATGGTGGGGCTCGCCATACGATAGTAAGCTCGAAGTAAGGACTTCCATTGATTTGTCTCTTCCGGGCTGCTGCTCCTTGACTGAATGTTACTTAGTACTACATGATCGAGTCTTACATGTGCATCAAACTGGCTCGGGGAAGCACTAGGAGCGTAAGGAACTACAGCTTGCTCGTGGCTTATTTCGTGATAGCCTGGCCACTGTTGAGGCCAGGCACAGTATGGTCCTTGTGCTTCGAGTCCATCAGTAATCAAAGACGGGGTCGTGTATGTCGCCACCACGTGAGGGCCAGTGTCCTCTAGAATCTCTCCGTACCCAGTGATAGCTCCGGGTAATTGGTCAGTCGAAAAAGTAGGTGCTTGACCAAAAGTGACTGGATCGATGGCAGAGAAGTGATATTCCACTGAAGGGTGAATTGTCTTTTGGTTGTCGGATTCCTCGGGCTGTAGGACCTCATACTTTGTTGACCACTTCAAAGCCTTTCTGTATCCAGGACAGTCGTAGCCGCGCTTCGTGCAATTATCACATGCCTTTCACGAGAAAGAAACTATTAGCGACTATCCGACAAGAATACAACCAGGCACTGTAATGCGGTCCACAACTTGCAGTATAGGACTCTGGGATCTGTCTGAACAAGAAGGCGGCTCATCATGGGGGCGTTCGTTGCAAGATAACAGGACAAGGACTTACCGGTCGTGTCTCGTCACATTTGAGCTATGATACAAGGGTCAGTCTGGATAAGGCATGAGTGACAATACGCGCTCCCAAAGATACTCACTCTCTTGACCTTACAGACTTGACACCCGTTGCGGCTCTTCGCAGTCCTTCTAGGGTTCTTCTCCACGCCTCCAGATCCGGAGGCAGTGGCCGATGTCGCTTTCTCCTGCGGCATCCGCGAAGGCCTGCTATCGTTGCTCAGCTGGGACGTGAGGGCGTAGAAGAGTGTTGGAGATTGTCGACTTACGAGGAACGACTTGGGAACTGGCTCGTCCGGGCGTTCCCCAGCGAGGTATTTCCAAGCAGTACATGTGCTGGAACACGGGCGAGACCTAGGTTTATGGGGGGTCCCGGGCTGCTTTTCGAGGGTCGAGACGCTCCTCATCGGCCCGTTCCCATCGGTAGCAGACAGCCGGTCTGGTGGGGAATCAAAAGTATTTTGTTGCGCAAAACGTCGATCATCCTTCATCGGCTACACCGAGTGTAGGCGCATGAAGACCGTCCTCTATTGGTATACGATCCTTAATCTCATAAGAGCAGAAGATGCATAAGCCGATGCTTGATCCTTTCAGCTGGGCAGCCCTGTATTGAAGCAACTAAAGACACCTCGGCCTACGACTCAGGACATTACGTCAACACCTAATCATTGCTACCTACAGTACGACTTTTACGAATTTCACTGACGAGTCTGATCTTCCGACGGTTTCGTGAATTGAACCACCGAAGTCTGACCCAGAGGCCAAGCAAAAATCTGCATACCTAGAATCATACCATTCTGATCTATTAGCGGTCTAGGAATGAATATACCGGGTCTGTCTCGCAGGTAATGTTGGGGAAGGTGGGACACTGGCGCTGTAGTTCTGAACAAGCGGCCAAGCATGGTTGACTAGTTTGATGTTTTAAATACACCATAGCAACCTATTCCTCAATGGTCTTGACGCAGTCCCATCCACCCTTCAGGCTCTCCTTCCAAAGACTGACTCTGTTGTCACCACCACTGACAGCCAAGACGTTTCCGCTCAGACTCCAACTGACACGCCAGACGACGGCGTCGAACTTGAGCTCTGTGCTTTGCCAGCTCGATGGATTTGCAGCATCGGCGTTTGCCTGACATGTCCAGATGCGCACAGTCCTGTCTTGCGAAGCTGAGGCAATGTACGATTTTGAGAGCGGCGTAGGGGACCATGCGACGTCGCGGACCCAGTCCAAGTGACCGGCGAGAGTGCAGAGGTTGTCGTATGATTGGGTCTGGGGGTTGAAGTCCCAGAGCTTGACCAAGTTGTCGCTGCCACCAGTGACGAAGCGTCTCAAAGGTTGTGGTTGTGACTGAGGGGTGTGGGCAGCAGCAAGCTGTGAGGGTAGAAGCGACGGACTCCACGAGACGGCGTTGACGCCCATGGCGTGCGCGGGAAAGATGGAATGGGAGAAAGAGTTGTCGCTGAAGGTGATGACGGAGACGGAGCCGTCAGACGAGGCGCAAGCCAGATGGCAGCCGGGTTCTGGCGGTGACCAAGCGATCAGGTTGACGCTAGCGGTGTGGAGTGTAAAGTCGTAGATGCGTTGCCATTGGCCGTTCTGCTCGCGCCAGACGAAGACCTTGCCGTCGTAGGATGAAGAAGCGAGGATGGTGCCGTACTTGGGATGTGCCTGACACGCAAGAGGTCAGCGAATATGGTAGAGTAGAGTGCTTTACAAGGAGAAGTCGCGTACCCATGATACACACCACACAGCCCCGTCATGTCTGTAGTGCGGGTTAGACTAGGCAGGGAGGTATCGGTCAAGAAACACGAACCCCTTGAGAGTGTCTACCAGACGGTGTGAGTCACCCTCAACCTCGAAGATTTTGATTGTCTTGTCAGATGAGCATGTCGCCAGGCGACGGCCGTAGTAGTCGAGGACCGCATCGTGCTAGTTGCAGGTCAATGGATGCGAGCTTCGGCCAGGACATGTTTAACATGTTTAGGGAGCGTACAATCATGTCATCGTGACCGGAATTTGAGATTACTTGAGCCTGCGAGAGATCTTGTCAGTAATGGCTCTGGAGTAGTAGTGAGGGAGAAGCAATACCATGTTGGCTGTGTGTTGTGTTCGGAGGGGGTAATATTATGATGGTGGTATTGCCAGCTATGCGATCACTCTCCGCTGAAGCTAGGAGCGGACAGAGCGCCAAGCAGTCCGCCGACGCCTGCTGTTTCCGAATCAGAGCCTATCGCCGAAGCCGAAGGGTACGAGTAGTCGGCCTCGGCTTCCACGTCGGTTGCCGCACGCGCCTATGATGAGTTGCATGTGCATGATGCTTTGTCAAGGCCAACATGAAGACACTCGACCTTGGTACGACTGTGTCTTCCTCTGATCCCATTCATCACCGTCATGTCGGACGCTCTGTGTGGACCGTCTAATGCGGTTCAAAACTTGGCCAAACACTCGTCGGTCGATCGGACATTGCAGCAAGACCGCCTAGTGTCGCGGCAGTCGCCCTCTGAAGTAGCTTGAACCATGTCGTGGAATTCCCTGTAGTCAAGACTGACCGTTCCCTCAGGCTTTCCGCTCATACGATCCCAATGTCTCCTCGCTAGATCCGGAATTCGAAGCCTTCCAGAATGGCGGACCGGCCTTTGCTGGACCATCATGGGCTGCTTCCTCCTTCTCCCACCTCCAAGCGCAACCTCAACCTTCATTCCAGCCATTCTCTCCGTCTCCACCGGCTGCATGGACTCAAGACTTCCAGCGCCTGGCCATCTCGTCTCCACAACAAACACAGCTGCATGCGGCTCCTCAAGCCTGGCACAACCATTTTGGCCAGCATGCTCACCACTCTGCCCCCTCACACGCCTCTCCTTCACACATGCAGATGCCATCTGCACGCCTCCAGTCTCCTCATATCTTTGGCCCTATGCAAGCCGCTCCACACTACGCCTCCCAATTTCTAGATGCCCACCAGCAACGACTCAATCTTCCTCAAGACCACTTCGATGAAGCCGCCTTCGAGGCCGCCTTTGACGCTGCTCTACAAGATGCTTCGCTCGATCAAGATTTCGCCATGCAAGAGAACGACAATGTTGATCTTGCCGATCTTGACGACGTCGATTTTGACTCTTTCCTAACAGATATTTACCCACACCTTCCTCTGTTCCGCCTCGTTTTGGCCAATGCTCTGGTTACAAACACCGACGAGTCGCTCCATAGAGCTGCTAAGATTGTCGCTGCTCTCATACAACATCCTCAAACCATGCACCCAATTCAAGCTATGCTATTCCGACCTCTGTTGTCTGCCCTTAATGATCCCAAGCGCTCTTTATTTTCTCAACGCTATGGCTTTGAGCCCGCCTTGAATGAGATGTTGGACTGCCTTGCTCAGCAGACTGAAAACACTCGTCTCAATATAGATGCCCCTACTGAGCGACTGCTGGCCTCATACGCTGATCTGCTCTGGCAGAGAAACGAATCAAACCATTCGGAGCCTACGGATGTCCCCCGCTCCGCTGATAATGCTTACTGGCTCGACAACTTCTTCCACGACGAAGGAATTACCTCCACCCAAAACATTACCCAACACTCCGCAAACATTCTATCCGAAAGCCTCAATCGTCAGGTCTTGACGAATCATACTTCTCAAGCTCTCAATCGAGTGCTAGACATTGAATACGAGGTCTACTCAAAGCGTTCTGCAGTATCAAACATGTCTGTTCAGCAACCAACCTCTACTCGAGAGAAAGAGACCGTGCTTTTTGACATGATGGATCATGTATTAGCTGCTCCAGAGACGATCGAGGCGTTGGAAGCCGTCACTTCCGCAGACTCTTTTCAGGCGAATACTAGTCAGGAACAAAATTCGCGCTCCGCAAATCACGCCCTGCAAGATTATCAAACTCAGCTGATGTTGCTGGAGCAACAGAACGTGCGGAGACGACGGCTTGAGGCAGAAAGACTCTACAAGCCGGCGTTAGAAGACGACATGTTGGATGACTCGACAAATCAGCAGCCAGAGGAACTCAATCAGGACCAGAAAGACCTAGATCGGCAAAATGACGATGAATTGGCACAGACTGCAGCCAACCTGCTCGAGCGCGTATCTGACAACCAGTCGTCCAAGTTCAAGAACAGTGCTTTTCTAGGACTCATGAGACAGCTCGCTGATCGAGAGATTCGAGTCGAAGGAGACAAAATGGTCCCAGTAAGTACGACCAAATGCTACTATCATATGCGATGCAAGTCCGCGAACACATCTTCTGACATGAGCCTCACAGACCAACATGAGTGAAACCCTCGGCCATGATCGTCCTGCTGCATCTGTAGCTCAAGATGGACAAGATGTTATCGATATCCTCAACCAGCCTGGCAGTTTGGCAGACCAAGGTTAGCCTTATCTCTCTTTCATCATTTGATTTCTCAACCTCTGACAGCCTCAAGATCACGAATTTATGATGACAACTCCATTCGCATCTGCGGATGACTACTGAATAACGTTCTGACGACTTCCCGTTCTTCATTGCAGACAACATGGAGAGCATATTCCACACATCACTCAAAACAAACCCACATTCATATAGTGCTGGGTGCTTCTTCAAGAAAGATATGCTACTCGAGGGCCTGGCATAATGACTCCTGGAGAGAGCGTTGTACTGGACAGTCTATATATAGTGCCTACCCTACTAGCAAGCACGGCATCAGGGCTGCGGTGTCGCAGGATGTGCGAATGGGTATCCTCGGGTGAGCTATGACCGACCATCCTCGGTCATGTTGTTTCCGAGAGCCCCGGCATAAAATAAATAGCGGTTTCGACTTCACCAGCCCTCAGGTCGTCAACACGTGTCGTAGATGAATACTTCAGTTGCTACAGATGGAACACGATCTCAACGATTTCTTCCGTAAATGCATCCTATAAAGAAAAGAAAAAGTACTGAACTTTGCAAATTGAGAATGTTCACATATATCTCCGCACTTCGCTCCGCTTCCTATCGATCGGCGTTATCGGCGCCGTGAGGGTGAGCATTCAGTCATATCTGAACTGGACAACTTTAGACTTGACAACAACGTTACACGTTCCACAAGCGCAATCATGTCTAAGCCCAAGGTCCTTCAGCTCGGCGAAATCGTCCTGTCTGTCTAAATCCATTCCGGTCATTCTGATAGCACTACTGACATATATCTAGTGCCCACCAAGCATGGGAGCGACTCTCTGAAGTTGCCGAGATTGTGACTCCTAAAGCCACGAACAGAGAAGAGTTCATTGCTGAATGTAAATCTGGCCGATTCGATGATGTGGTCGCTGCCTACAGAACTTTCCCCTCTGTCAGCATTACAGGCATTTTCGATGAAGAATTAGTGCAAGCCACACCAAAAAGCTGGAGATTCCTTGCTCACAATGGCGCCGGATACGATCAAGTTGATGCTCACGCCTGTGCTGCTAGAGATCCTCCACTCTTGGTCTCGAACATCCCCAGTATCGCCGATGACAGTACTGCCGATACAGCTGTCTTCCTGATTTTAGGTGCTTTGCGAAACCTCAACCCTTCTATGCAAGCCTTGCGTGAGGGTAAGTGGAAGGGTGAACCTGCTCCTGCTCTTGGACATGATCCTCAGGGAAAGACTTTGGGTATCCTCGGCATGGGCGGAATTGGCAGGAATCTCAAAATCAAGATGGATGTCTTTGGTATGAAGGCTATTTACCACAACAGAAAGAAGATGAGCGAAGAAGACGCTGCGGGTGCAGAATATGTGAGCTTCGACGAGTTGTTGGCAAGATCTGATGTTCTGAGCTTGAATCTACCTTTGAACGTGAGTTGTCACCTCTGTCTGGAAAGATATGGCAAGGGGTCATCAGGTGCTGATACATTGTGCAGCCCAAAACCCGTCACATCATCTCGACTGCGGAGTTTGCGAAAATGAAAAAGGGAGTAGTCATTGTCAACACGGCTCGCGGACCTGTCATGGACGAAGACGCACTGGTCAAAGCCCTAGACTCGGGCCATGTGGCTTCTTGCGGTCTCGATGTGTTCGAGGAGGAGCCCAAAGTACACGAGGGCCTGATTCGCAACCCTAGATGCGTGTTGGTACCACACATGGGCACATGGTGCGTCGAAACTCAGACTCGCATGGAGGAGTGGACCATTGGAAATGTGAGAGAGGCTGTCACTAAGGGCAAGTTGGTGAGTCCTGTGCCCGAGCACGTCAAACTGCAGTAGGGGTGATAGGGCTCGCTTTTGGGTACAGGCAGATACAGCCGAAGATTCCTGACTGTGCGATCGTCAATCACCATATCTTTGTTATACCAATGCATGCTTCAGAGTCAAAAGACCAAGCTTCGATCTGGTCACATAAAAGGCCGCTCGGTTGGAATGTGCCGAGTAAGACCAACCCCGGATTGCAAGTTTCAAACTCGAAACAGGAAAGTTTGGCCATGTTTGTTTACCTTGTTCAAAATCAAACTCAAAAAGTTCTTGCAGCTTGGCTTTTGATAAGATGGCATTCAGGTCTGCCACACCACAATCAACAAAGACCAGCTAAGAGTCTCAAAGTAGTATGACTATCCCGACGAGACTCGAGCCAGTGTCTGGGTGCGTGACGCCGTTGCGCAATACGTTTGATTAGATGCATAAAGATAATGGCACGGGCGTCAGTTGATTGGATGCAGGCGAGTAGGGCGAGCATGGCGGCTTGCGATGGTGGGGAAAGTCGAACAGAGGACATCGCAAGAAGTGGCTTGGATCTGTCTAGCATTGCGACATTTGGCAGGCACAAAGTACGAGACATTTGCTAGAGAATCGACAGATCTGGTAGACGAGGTAAATAGATACAGTACCAGGCCTCCAGCCGTTGCTTCACCGCTGCTCCAAGTTCGCGAGACGATTATCCCCCCGCAGTGCGGCCATAGCCCATGGTCCTTTCGCTCGTGACTAAGTAGCGCATACAATTATAATTTCCAATGTCTAGTACCCGGTTCGCCCTCTTACTTCCTGTTGCTTCCCAAGGGCTCTTCATCTAGGATAGGCGGCCACTATGCTGTCGACGCTTCTGAGGCCTCGCAAGAGGCGCGCCGACAAGTCGCCCTTTTCGAGCCCCTTTAACAGTTCGCCTCTGGCTACGAGAAACGACTACGACGGTATCAACGACAATGGAGATGCAGACGACTATGACGAGGACGACGGTGGCGAAGATGACTTGGAAACGCCGCTTTTGCCCATCTTCTCGGCCGCGCATCTGGGTTTGTCGAGATTGCACCTCCTTGCAGAGATAAAGCACTAAGCCGGGATAACAGACAAATTGCCCCTGTACAACATTACGCACTCCTGCCGTATACTGATAGTGCAGAAGTGCGAAACCACTCTTACCTGGGACCAGTTGCGATCACCTCAGGTCTCTCAATTCTTGGTCAAACCGATCCAATCGCAAATTCGCAAAGATCACTTCAACCGAGCAACGATATGCGCCCTCGTCGCAAACTGTTTACAGTTCCAGAAAGAGGCACAACAAGATGCAGGGAATGCTGGCGTGAGCAAGACACGAGCAATGGTGTCGGAGTTGCTGGCCATTCGCCTGCTGAAAGAATTCAGTCTGCGTGAGTTGATCGATGCGCTGAGCTACGACTTCAACCCGCTCGAAGGACTGGGTGCTCCCGAGGGGGGCGCTCAGTTGAGGCAGTACAACAGATCTGCACGCATCTCAGCTGTCGAGATCGCCATCCGCGCTCAGGCTAAGCGTTTCCTTGCCCACCCACTGGTCGTACAGCAGCTCGAGGCTATTTGGGCGGGGAGCATCGTCTTTCACTCCGCCGCCGACAATCTCCACCGCAAGCCGCCAACACCACTACCCACTAGAGGCCGTAATGGCTATGGTACTATTGCGAACGCTTCTGCTCCCCTGCCAGCCTCCATCGACAACTCACAACCTAGTCTTAGACGAAGTGTCACCCTCTATAACCCAAAGGATGCCTCGCTATTCAAGCTATCTCGTTTGAGAGTCCCTCGATACAGGCAGCTGTTTTCAACCATCTCATTTGGCGTCATGCTGGGTTTGTTCTTGGCCGTCTTGGTTGATCGGTCTACTGAAATCACTCCTCTCGAGATTATTTTCTGGTTCTGGAGTGCGGGATATATGCTCGACGAACTCGTAGGTTTCTCAGAGCAAGGCTTCGGCCTCTACATTATGAGCGTTTGGAACGCTTTTGATTTGGGCATCTTACTCTGTTTCTTCGCCTACTACGTATTACGCCTCTATGGTATCCTGATACCCGCAGCGCGCAAGCATTATACTGCGCATATGGCTTACGATGTCCTGGCCTCTACTGCTGTACTGCTTTTCCCACGTGCATTCAACGTCTTGGACCACTACAAGTACTTTTCCCAGCTGCTCATTGCTTTCCGCCTCATGGTCCAAGACATGATCGCGATTTTGGTACTCATCGTTATCGCCTGTAGTGGTTTCTTCGTTGCCTTTACATTGTCCTTCAGCGAAGAGAAGGCGGAGGCTTCCAAGGTTGCCTATGCTCTGTAAGTCAGATCACATCCAATACATTTACACACGCTAACAAAATCAGGTTCCAACTTACGATGGGTTTCACCCCTGCTGCTTGGGATCTCTGGCCGAAGTATAACATATTAGGAAAAGCTGTTCTTGTCGGCTTCCTCTTCCTCTGTCATTTCCTCATCGTCACGATTCTCATCACCGTTTTGACCAACTCGTTTATGGCTATTGTGCAGAATGCCAATGAGGAGCATCAATTCCTCTTCGCTGTAAACACAATATCTATGGTCAAGTCAGACGCGCTATTCTCGTACATCCCACCGACGAACCTTTTCGGATGGGTGGCCTCCCCTCTGCGCTACCTTATCCCATTCAGGAAATTCGTCAGATTCAACAGAACTATCATCAAGATTACACATCTTCCGATGCTTTTCGCCATCTTCGCCTACGAGCGATTGTTCCTCGTACGGAACGCGTACACTCCCATGGATCTGGTTGAACGTAAGGCGCCGAGCAGAGGCCGCCTTCCTGCATTCGCCTTGAAGAACACTGGACCTTTCAGCCCTGGTACACGACTTCGCGAACCATCTATTGTGTCTTTCCACAAGGATCGTGCTCTAGAAGAAGTCTTCCGTCGGCCCTTCGATATGACGGCACGAACGATATCCCAACATTCTAATCCCGATCAGCGTAAAGCTACTGTCGTCGATAACTGGATGCAAGATATGGGCGACGAAGGAGGTGCTAGTCCTCCTATGGAACAGCCTCGCTCTGTCTTGGAGAGGCTGGAAAATAGAAGGCCTGGTGTCAGAAGGGCCCAAACGTCTGCTAATAGGATCGTCACAGTCAAGCGCGACTTTTCTACAGCTTCTCGTTCTGTAATGTCCGATCCAGAAGATTTGGCATCAACAATCTTCCCAAGGCCAACACCCATGAGAATTGAAGAAGAGACGGATTTGGAGCTGGAGCGAGAAGATATGCCTCAGGAGACTGATGCGGATGGCGATGACGAACTCCTCACGAATGATGGTGATAACGTCACAGCTACTGGTTACGACAGAACGCCAACAGGGACTCCGGATGGGGTTGAAAAAAAGGAGCCTTCGCCAAACAAGCTCACAGCAAAGGACTATTTTGAGGGAGCTGACTATCAGGCCGCAAGTTCGGTTCCAGATGCTACAAGAGCACGACTTATGAGTGGCGAGCACAAACGCGGGCCTCATCAACGGAATGTCTCGCAGAGCACTATGGTATTCTCTCCCATCGTGGAGCAAGGATACACATCGTCTGCGTCAGAGAAACCAGTCAAGCCGTCTCGCCCTACTACTGCCAAACAGAACAGCGGAGACTCGACGCCATTGCCTCAGTCAGCGCCTCAATCCAGCGGTCGAAAAACACCACGTACGAGCAACCCCAGCAGACCACGTCCGAACATGCCCAACCGACTTTCACAATACACGGCCCCTAACATCCGGTTCGATCGCTTCGGTGACTCGACTCGTCGTGCGAACAGACAGCCATCCTTCAACGCCCTCGCACTCGATTTGGCGTCCGACTTTGGCGACCACCATCGTCGAGATCTGACTCCAGAGCCCTTGTCGCCAGGCTATCAGCCTAGCATTCCGGCAAGCTTCAGTGAGCAGATGCTCCGCGAACGTGAGCTGGCACAAGGCAAGGAACGGCGCCGTGAGGAGCAACGACGCCGTAGCCAAGAGGAGGAGAAGGGCATGGTCGGTAGAATCATGCTGACGCGCATGAACACACTCGAAGAGGGCTTTAGGGAAATCCTCCGCGAAGTACGCGATCTTGCACATACGTCACGTGGAACCAGTGAAGCAGGAATGTTCAATTCTAGAGCATCACTGGTGGTACCGCCGTCGTCGGATGGCAACGTACTCTCTAGACCCAAGACTCCTGTTAGCAGAGTAGGCGGTGCGAGTGAGAGGGCTAGAAGCCCGAAGAAGGCGAAGGGCAAGAACAAGAGCAAGGGCAAATACTCGATCAACAGTAGCAGTGAGGCTGATCCTGTCAGTCCTTTGACGGCCGGTGAAGGTGTTTCTCAGGCCACTAGCCCGACAACCAAGGAACCTGAGACGCCTGCTACAGTGAAAGCGTTATCGACACATGCCGAGGAAGGAGCAAATGAAGAGTCACTGGACACAGAAAAGTAGACTAGACGTCCGGATTGGGTCTCGGATGTAGAACACAATCCTAGAGGAGAAGAGGGAGGTTATGGCGAGAAGACATTGTTGATAATACATAACTGCATACTGGTACGAGCTTTGCATAAGAACAATAATGAATCAATTTACGGCATCTGCGATAACTATTCTTCTCCTATTCTTCCATTATTCCATTCTACCCTCCTAGACATACTGCTAGATTGAGATCAGTCTTATACCAGTGGGATGGTTTCGAAGGCGCTCATCACATCAAGTTGCCGAAATATTACTCTGATATGATCTATGCCAGTCTTCCACACATGTGTTCCGTGAGTATGTATATCGGGCTTCAGAAGTCTCTAGACTATCTGCGGTGGAACGTTTGCATGTATTGCGAGTGATCAGGTAGCTGCACCATAGACAGGATAACCGTCATGAAATTATGCTCTTTTTCTTTGAGCCGACCTTGATGCGAATTGATGCAAGGTCGAAGTAGCTTGCAGTGCAACCCTGACCAAAAGTGGCTATAGCGATAGCGACGTCGGTATTGTGTGGCATCACTGTTCAGGTGGCTCAACAAGATTCGACGCGTGATCTCTTCTTGTACACGCATGACTGTAGGAGTTGGCAGGTCTTCCGAAGTCGTTGCAAAGCGATCTGGACCTCTACATATGGAAGGGTACACGATGCTCTCAGCCCGTCAGGTCACAATGTCTTTCATTGCCCTAGCCATGTCCGCTGAGAGCTGTCGTGTCATCGGCTCTTCACAGAGGTCCGGCATTTCAGAAAACAATTGTGCTTTCTTACGGCTTAATTCGTTTTGACAAGTTTTGTCACTCCCACTGTCTTCCAAGAATTCGAGGCAGTCTGATGCCAAGGCTTTAGCGCAGTTCAGTAGAAAGCAGGTCGAAGACTCGCTGCTTCCTCGCTTCTCATCCGTTTTGACCATCGCAGCTGCCTCTCCCCGACACTTCCGTAAGCGAGCACCTGCCGCATCATTGGTCCGAGGCTTGCGGCGCAACTGACGTGCGGCGTGTTGATAGATTGCTGAATAGATTCGGCTCGGCTGAGTTGATTGGAGGCGTAGGTCAACTCGAGGGAGGATATGAGGAGAGATGGACAGGGGAGACGACCAACACACGGATCCCGTGCTGCACCTGCAGTCGCAACAGTCGCATCAGTCGCTCGCACCTCCTCCGCCGCGGACTAACAAGGACGCCCGAAACGACGCGCTCCCACGCGACGAGACGAGGACGTCGCATAACCAACATCACACCGGCCAGCACACACAACCTCCGGCCAACGCGTCAGAACATCAACACGACCGACCGCAGGACAGCAGTCATCAAGCGGCCGCGTCTGCACAGGACGCGTCGGGTGCATCTGATCCGGCGCAAAGCTACAACTCACAACATTCGACGCCAATCCTGCCGCCCATGAGCTACCAACAAGCACCGCCGGTGCATATTCCGGCCCCGGCCCCGGCCCCGGCCCCTACTCCAGCGACGGTGCATGCTCCGAATGGCCATCCTACACAACATCACCAACCTCCACCTCCACAACAACACGCTCAACCAGCTCCGGCGCACAGTACCAATGGCACACCAGTGCAATACCCACCACAAGGACATGCTGCCCCGTCGCAGAACTACGGCGTGCAACAAGGCCCGCCGTCTATGCATCCAAATGGTGGACCTGTCAATGGCTACCCACCACATATGGGCTACCAGATGCCGCACGGAGCACAGCATGTCAACAACACCAATAACGGCAACCACCAGCTACCAGGAGCTCGACATAAAAAGGAGATCAAGCGGCGCACAAAAACAGGCTGTCTGACGTGTCGAAAACGTAGGATCAAATGCGACGAGGGCCACCCAGCCTGTCGTAATTGTCAAAAGAGCAAGCGCGAGTGTCTTGGCTACGATCCCATCTTCAAGTCGCAGACATCTCCTCAGACCATTCAGCCTGCTCCGGGCCACTTCCCTCCTCTGCCTCAGCAGCAACTGCCACCCCAGCAGATCAAACATGAGACACAAATGACCTCCGAGCCACAACGATACTCCAACATTCCTCAGGGCTACGCACCTGCTGCTAGTGCCGGATATTCACCCGCGACAGCCATGCAGCCACCTGTCGAGTTTGGCGCACACATTGATCCTGCCTTGGGTCCAGTGAACCCATCCGTTGCTCCTCCACCTGTGCAAACATTACCACCTCCACCTCCCCCGCCACCGCAAGACGAGTACACAACGAGTCTGCATCCACAACGAAATGGTATCGCAAGTCTTGTACCTACTCTGCTCACGCTTTGCTAACATGTCGTAGTCCGCCTGGTGAACATGGAGTCGCTACATAGCCTTGACAATATCGCCCCGACACTCCCCCCACATAATCCATCTCCTCTATCATCCCAGGAGATTGAACAGATTCGCGCCATGTACCTTGCTGAATACGCCCCTGGACTGGATCGCTTCTTCGAGACTGATTGGTATACGGACCACGGTTTCAGCCTCCTTTTCGGGAATCACGACTTACTACGTTACTTCCTACACTGCATGGAGCGATTCTCACAGGCCTCAACAGGTGGTGGATCGCACGGTCTCACATCTTTGGAAGCTCGTCTCATATGGAGACTTGGATGCCTACCTCGCGCCATTGTTTCCATCCCAGCTCCTCCATACCTCAGCAGTCTTTTGCAACGCTTGTCCATAGTGGAAAATCTGCTGTGCGGCACATTTCTGGACCACAGCATGGTTCCTGTACAACCTCCGGCAAACCCACCGGATCCAAAACTCGTCGAGCAATACACTCAATATTTGCAAGATGCCTTCTGGCACCAGCTAGGTCGCTTTGTCAGCATTCACGACGACATCATCTCTCCCGATGCCGCTCAGCAGATTGCAACAGCTCTTGCTGCCATGCGTAACATACTTTCCATGCTCGAGAACCGTGATGTGTTGTACTCGATGGCTATTGCTCGCCACTTTGGCGGTCGAATGGTCGATTACAACGAAGGCAAGATTTTAGTGTCGAAAAGTGCAGAGCCCGACGATCCTATCGCAAAACTAGCTGTTGCCATGAACTTTATCCGTGATGAAGATTCACAAGGCACGACACAGGTTGTACAGAGATTCTGCAGTATGTGCCGAAGGAGTTGGCAACTGCAACGGCAAATTGCGCAGCCCACATAGGAACGGGCCTTGCACATGTTCGGTGCGCCATAAGAGATGGATTGCTGTGTTTTGTTCATTCGCTTTTCACGATACCACGCCGCTGCGATACAGGCCAGTAGGCTTCTGCTGTTATTATCACCCACCCATCTTATATTATCATGTCTCAACCCTTGCCTCTCATCCATCAGCCTTGAGTTGTTCCTGCCAGTCTTCAAAGGGTTTGTGCTTGTGCATATGTCAACTCAACATACAGGTGGCATCCCAAGTCCTGCCTAGTATCTTCACAGATGTCCTAATGCTAGGGAACACATCAGTATGCTTTCACAATCGGCTGTCATGGCGGATAACACGGGCCCTGTGTCCAAGATTCACTCGAAGGTTCACCCTCCCGAGCACGGCCAGTTCGATCAGTCTCTTGAGTCTTGCCGGTCAAGGCCGAGGGTGGCTGGCTGATTGTCCAACAGTCTTTGCTTGTTTGACACATTCTCAAACAAATAAGACTGGTGGTATACGTTTCACCCAGTATCGATATTTCCTTCCACTTTTAGTCATAACCTTTTGTGAGAGCAGGACCAAGGGCTAGAAGGATGTCATATGGACGAAGATCTCGGGATTGTCGTCGTCGCATCCTCGTAGGATTGTGATTCTCGTATTCAAAACCAAAACGTTCGCCCTCTGGTAGTGTGTATCCAAGGTTACAAGTGAGCTCGGAAATGAGCGGGGGTTTGTGATGTTCTTGCGATGGGCGAGAATCGGGGAACAGTGTAATGGCTCTGGCCAAGCTGTGGGTCGCTGCGAAGCCCGATATTGCTGTTCAGGGACCAGACAGCTTCTTCCCCTTTTCCCCGCATGACCATCGAGTCAACATTCAACCATCGATGAACTTTCAAGGAGATGACCGCGAGTCGACTGGCCAGCCATCATGTCATGATGCTTACCGAATATACTGCTCAAGTCGCAATAGTGCACCGGGCGTGAATAGCTTGAGCGGGATCAAGACCATCGGCGCGCTTTGTCCCTCCACCTCTGCCAAAGCATCGACTTTCCAGAGCTTTCTCTCCTTGGTGGGTAGCAACGGTTCTATGTTCGTATGATATTAAACCGTTGCAGCTGTGAAGAGCCTCCGGATGATTTGGGAGTGTGATCCAAGACATGCAGTCTGTCTCCAGTATCAAGATAGGCCGCAATTTATTTAGAGTCACGTGCGGGACTCTGATGTGAACACCTCGCAAAACACAACATGCCACTTGCTGCATTCAGATGTGTTTACATTCGACATCATACACAAACGTCTGCAAATCTCCATCCTACGACATAACAATGTCAATCCAACAGTCGTCAGGCACCGTAACGTCTCGCTTGGTTTAGCGTCAGGAGAGCTCGATCCGGATTGGCTGTGGTCTCAACGTTCTTCGCTGTTCGGCATCATGAGGGGAGTTTCTCCTTCACCCTTTGACAAAACCAATCCACTACACGCGGGAGTTCAACCGTCTGGCCCGCAATAGATATAATTGTCTCCATGTTATCGTTACAAGATGAGCCAGGTAACGGCGCTGCTGCCCGGTAGGGAGGAGATTGCTCTGACAGAGGCAACTCTGCCGTTGGAAGCATAGGCAATAGAGTACGTGGAGGGAAGGTCGCCGCCCTAAAGGGAAGAAAGCTGTATATAAGTCACTATCACCTCCCAGCCATCCAATTCTTTCCATCATCACAGCAAATCAGTAACACAGCAGCTCCTCACCAGCCCCTCCAGTCACCTAATATTATAATAATCAGGCTTCAGCCGTCCATTCATTCAGCAACCTCACACTCGCTACTAATAATATCCTAATTATTACCCCCTTCAAACCAACAAAAATGCCTTCCATCAGCAACATCGTCGCCGCCATGGCCTTCGCCGGCACCGCCCTCGCCATCCCCCAGTACCAGAACGTCAGCTCTTCCGCTGCCCCTGTTGTCAGCTCCAGCAGCAGCGCCAACAGCACCTCTGCCGGTTCTTCCAGAACCTCCTCCGCCGCTGGCGGTATGGCCACTCTTCCCGCTCTTGCCGAGTCCGCCTACTGCCCTGGCCTCAACGGTGCCCTCGTTGGTGACTACCTCATCCAGTGCAGCACCACTCACTTCGGTACCATCCTCCAGGTCGGCAACGGCACCGTCGCTGTCGCTAAGCGTGCTGTCTACACCTCCCTCGGTGACTGCATCAACCTTTGCGAGGCCACCACCAGCTGTGTCGGTACCGCTTTCGATACCGCTGCCCGCACCTGTGCCCTCTACTCTGAGGTCGGCCAGGCCGTCGCTGCCCCCGGCACTGACTTCGCTGTCCTGACCAACCCCAACGGTACCCCCATCTCTTCCGGTGCTCTTACCACCTCCACCATCTTCAGCACCCAGGTCGTCACCATCTCTAGCTGTGCCCCTACCGTCACCAACTGCCCTCTTAAGAACGGTGCCAGCGTCATCACCCAGGTCATCCCCGTCTCGACTACCGTCTACGCTTGCCCCTCGGCTGTTGTCGTTCCCGCTCCTGCTGTTGCCTGCGGATGTGCTGCTTCCGCCACTGTTGTCACCCAGTACGGTCCTTCCTCCAGCGCTGGTACCGCCGTCATGGTCCCCGTCCAGACCGTCACTGTCAACGTCCCCGTTCCCACTGCCACTGTCGTAAGTTCAAAATCTTCTGTTCTAAAAGTTCACTCATGGAACCACCTTACTAACTGCTATCTCGCAGCTTACCACCACTGTCTGTGTCTCATGCGCCAAGCCTACTGCCAACATGAACAACGGTGGCAACGGAAACGGCAACAACAACAACAACAACAACAACGGTGGCTCTACCACCTCCACCGTCGTTGTCTGCAACGGTGCCAACTGCCCTGCTACCGTCACTGGTGCTTCCAAGACTGCCACCAACACCATGGCCGTCTACACCGGTGCTGCCGACTCTGTCAAGGCCGGCATGGGTTTCGCCGCCTTCGTTGCCGGTGCTGCCGTCCTCCTCTAAGCGTTTTCACTTCTAAAATGAAGAAGGGAGATGATTCGATATTATACTAATCCAACTACAAAAACAACACAAAAACCGAACAAAAATATTCTGGCCATTCTGGCTTACCTGACAAAATTACCAATATTGGGTATTTTCCACAGGACTGGACTGATGGGGAGCTGTACATGATCTGACAAGAAACTGATCTCTTTCTGATTTACGCTGCTGTTTGATATGAAAGGGGACGAGTTTTCGGCGGTTTGGTGGTTGATTTTTCCGATTTTTTGATTATTTCTCGATTATTGCAATCTACGAAAATCTTTGTTCACAAAAAAAATAACATGTGCCTTCTTCTTTTGTCATCTGTGATCGCCTTGCTAGCCAACTGACGTACTAACCAGAGAGTCCTTCAACTCAGGACGGGAGGGAAAGCACAGCAACCCGACACTACATACTCGTCACTTGGTCGTACCCGACGACAAGCCTCCAATAAATCCTTCACAGGCCGATCTATCAACCCTGACACCATCGAATCTCAATATCAAGCCACAAAATGATGTCCGAGGCCTGAGGCAAAATTTTGCGCGGAACCGTTTTGTATCAAATATCGAAATCCAACGCTCGAGGTCAGACTCTTCTGGAGATGGTGGTTCGAGCCTATGAGCCGACCTATCCACGATTGCTCTGATGAACGAGTCATTTGCTTGCGAAAAGGTAATGCCGGGTTCATCGTTGCAGTTGTAGGGTTGTCAATGAGGATGAATCCCGTGTGCTAGGCCTCTTTTCAAGCCCACGCTGTTTTGTAAGAATTCTGTTAAGCCTCTTTACAGCGCTCCTTTGGGGGAGTATGTGTTGCTGAATCATCTACTTCTCGTTAGCAAAGCCAGGAGGTTGTAAGGCAGAGTACATGTACGACTGGAATGATGAATGCATTTCCAGTGCAGCTGACACATCGCAAGGATTCACCGTGCAAATGCACAATAATGTCCAATCTGACGGACATGCATGTCGAGATAGACATTTCCTCACACTCTTCTTGGGCCAGACTATCGATTCAAAAACCACCAGTCACTTCTTCGGATCTGATCATGGACACTTGGTTCCGACGGAGTGCCTTCGTGAGGCACGTTGAGACCGTCAGAGAAGGTATCTCAATGTTGACCTACCCGATGAACATCCATCAATCAAGCATGACCGGTGCACGTAAGCATGTGGAAGCGCATGGCCATTCCACTGCCTATCGCAGTCTTTATCGCAAATATTGACGATAGGCTCACTCGTACAACCCTACCTAGACCTGCGACATATCTAAACGTCAGACACGCAGTAGTAAACGAGGAGACCGGGTAACCACAACTTCGAGGGGAAGTGGTGTATTTCCTGACTAGGGTCGCGTCATATTGGTAGCTGCTGCAAGACAACAACATTTTCACAGACAAAGAACGGTCTGCGGGAAACATAGGAGCAAGCGCCTGATCCTCAAGGTATGTCATGCAATGAGACTGTGAGTACTACCATTCACCCAGTTGAACGATCGTGGTTACGTGGAAGTTGAGAGGCGAAGTGACTTTCGAAGTTCAATCACAGAACGATATAGGATTAATTAGCGTTGAGTAAAAGCAATTCTGGCGCTTTGGCTGAGTGGTTATAGCGATAGACTAGAAATCTATTTCCTTCGGGAGCAAGAGTTCGAATCTCTTAGGCGTCGTTTCACTTTTGTTCCACTCTGTGGACGGCACGTGTATCTAGTTTTGCTGCTCTATCAAGACATCCCACCGAATGGCACCAGCCTGGGGAACAATGGGTATAAGCGAAGCCGTATGCACCTTGAGGCAGGGCGTGGCTGATTTGGGCCTCCGAGCTTTTTTTTTTCTAGACTTGTGTTGGCCTTCTGATCATTCCTTGCGACTATGCTTTGCGCAGATGATGATATGAATGAACATTGCATCAAGACTGGTTGCGTGTTGCTGCTTCGAGATAGGCTGAGTGACACGATCAGTCCACAGAATTGAAGACGGTCAATTGTCCAACGGCTCCTTGTGAGCATCGTGATCTCGTGCCTGGACATCAGGAGACATGGTACGTAGATTGCGGATTGGACTCTACCAAGAGGTGTTCTAGACTATATCAAGGCTTAGCACGTTCGCAGGGAAAGAGAGCATGTGAGCACAGATTCCGCATTCGTCAGATCATATACGGTAAGGAGGACTTGCTGCCCTTGTCCTCGCTCAGCAACAGCCTGGCTTTTCTACGGGTCGCATAAACTCATGAGACATTGAGGTTGTTTCGTGATCCATCCTATTGAATCCCGCCTTGCAAAGCTAGAGCCGAATGATGATGGTAGATGTGTCGCACCAGACATCGGATGCAAGGCAGAGGAAAGAAAATGCGAATGACAAGTTGGATTTTTGCTTTTATTGCATCAGGGTTGTTGTGTTTGGCGACATTTACTCGACGTCGGCCTTGCCCTCGAAGTTCTCGCCCTCAACGAGATCGGGAATGTCATCATCATCCTCCTTCTTGTCCTCACCCTCGACACCCTTCTGCATGCTCTGGTAGCTCTCGGCGAGCTTGCGGAGGGAAGCGAGCGAGTCGGGACCAAGCTGGTTAAGGATACCGGGAACGAGCTCAGTAAGCTCCTTGTCCTCGCCGTTACCGTAGATGGCGAAGGTGTTGGAGGGAATGGCAGCGTGAACTGTGATGGGCACGTGTCAATATAAGCGTGGGGTCGAAATGGCAGACTTGGAGGACAGCAACTCACCCTTGGGGGCGGCGAAGTGGATGACGTTGCCGTCCGACTTGAACATGTTGACCTCCTCAATGGCAGGGATGGGCTGGACGTTCATCTTCTTGAGGGCGGCCTGGAGCTTCTTGTCGTCACCACCACCGGATCTGTTGACCTTCTTGACCTTTCTTCTGGGAGTACCCTTGCCGCTGCGATTCGAAGTGCGTCAGTTTCGGCGCGTTCTTTTTGCGAGCTTGGAATTTTCTGGAGCTTACCCTACGGCATGGGTTAGCGGGACACGAGTTTCATGGACATTCGAGAGTTCATACCGATGCGCACGGCATTCTGAAGACGTTGGAGCTTTGCTTGATCCATGTTTGCGATGGAGGTGAATCTGTCCGGCGAGCGACTTGTCAGGAGCGGTCGGAGCGGGCGACGACGATATTGACTCACATGAGGCGGGACAGAGAATGGGTTTGGTGGGAAACAGCAATTGGGCCTTGTTGCTGTCGTTGTCTGCTCTCAATCGTTGCTCTGCTTCGAGCTTGGTCCGTGCACGTCTACAGTATTCTCGCGTGTGGGCGTCCTCGGCTAACGCTGAAATTTTGATACGTCAGTCTACCATCTCACTTTCTAACATACAGGGCTCTTCACTCGAGCATCTGATACACGCTTTTCGACTCTTGTCGTTGGTCTGGCAAACTCAGCTTGCCGCACACTCTGTCAACGAACATCGAACTCAGCCTGAGCCACATTTGTTGATATCAGGTGCTGGGTCCGGTTATCGCACATTGCCAAGCCAATTCAAGAAAGTCAGGGTCGTGAGCACAGCGACATGATACGGCTCCCTCTTGCAGTTCTCCAAGACGACATGGATGTTTGACATATCACATCTCCTTATCGATTTCTGCTCTGTACGGTGAACATGCTTTACAAGTTTTGACGCGAGGCGGGTATTGTGTGTGGTGATGGCCGGGATGTTCACCCAATTCATATCGTTGAGCATCAATCGCAATGTGGATGACTTTGAGTTGCTCAAGATCGCAGATCGCTCAGCATGAATGTTCTCAGCAAGCCTTACATCCAAATCCCATCCCTCTAAATCGTATCATCAGTACAGCTGACTGCTTTTGGTTCGGAAGATGACCCGATGACACAGATTTCGCGTAAAAGACCCAGTCCGCTGGTTCTCCACGATGACAAGAACAGCAAGACCAACGGTCAAATATAGGATAATACATGCGAGAGCATGACGATGCTTTCGTGTAGCATCTGTATATAGCAAACCAAATACGAGAAGTAGGTAATCCAAGTAACCGTTCGTCTCGAGATAATCGGAGGAAGGCGCGACCAAGTCAAGATCGGGATCGGAGCGGGATTGAAGATTGATAGATGGGATAGAGTAACTTGCTCTGCATAAATGACCACATCATAATCAATCCTGCTCGATCTCATGCAAAGTAGGCTGGACTGACTGTAGGAGGTACTCATCGACAAACTTGGCGGTGCGTCAACCAGCGACTTCTCCTCGACCGCAGCATATGCGGTGGTGAATCACTATCTGTAGACTGTCGGTGATGCTGTGAGATATTAGGCATGATGCAGGAGTGTGCAGGTGACTGTGTTCATGACCTGTCTGTCAGGACATCGGAATGGAGAGCCACAAGTGGCTGGGAGGATGACCATGACATCAGCACCACTAGTGGCGGTGCATCTAATTTCCGCTAGCACCTGTCAAATGTGTTGTAGATCTGCCAACTTTCCAACCTTCTCCCTTAATTTTGTAACCTCTCAAACCGACTGATGTCGACGGCCGCTTGTTGTTGCACATCCAGAGCCGCATCGGGTGTAAATCCGCAGAGCCTGCATGGCGCGTCAAACCCATGAGGTAAGGGCTAAACTAGCATCGTGCAGATTATTCCCGAATCAAGACCAGGCCTGAGATTGTTGTATGGCACCCATGGCATCGGATGCCTTGGTTGCTGGGCGGCTAGAGAAATTTCCTGATTTCCGATAGTGGTGAAGAAAAAAACATGTGTGATATCATGGTCACACCAAGTGTGCAGTTTGAAGATATAAGTGCTCCTGCTGTTTCACGTTGCACAACATTCACCATCAACATTTTTCTACATTCCTCGCATCCTCGCAAAACATCAAACACCACCATACTCGCCCCGTCCTCTTAGCTTGCTTTACCCACCGAGCATCCAGAAAGTAGACCCTCAGACAAATAACAATGGGTGCCGTCGTATCTTGCGTATGCTTTTCACCGTCCTCTCCTCAGATGCGAGCAGCAACTAATCGGATGTTAGATCACCTCGGTGTTCCGCGCCATCGGTTCTGCCTTGATGGCTGTTGTCAACGCCATCGGTGCCGCCCTCAAGGCCATCATCAACGGAATCGTCGCCGTCTTCGACATCATCATTTCCTGCCTCACCTGCGGCAGAGGTGGAGGCCGTCGCCGCAAGACAACAAGTGCGGTTTAATGAGCGGGGGCGAGTACGAAAGTAGCCCGAGAACCGCGCAAGATCACTCCACGACTTTGACTATTTCATCGATCAATCCTGGATCTCAACGAGGCTCTCTCCCACTACTTTCCCCCATGGCTCAGCAGCACATAGCTCGCTCCCGCAGCCTTTGATTCAGACACCCCTTTTCTGCATTCACGACCAGTCATGGATACAACACAAGAGAGACACGAATCACAACAGTTATGACCAGACGAGGGGACGCATTGATACCCATTAGTTCAGCGAGTTGAGAAAGTTTTATACCCTAATGACAGTAATTCAAGTTCAAGCCTTAGTTTTTTCTCTCTCCGTCTACGGGGATCTACACGACAATGTAGATGCCACAAGAGGTTGTGCCTGCGTGCAGAGTCTACGAATGTCTTCTGGCTGATGTGATATTGTCTCTGTAAATCGCAGACGGCTGTTTGAGCTACCTGTCGAAACCTTTGGCTCTACTCGTTCTAGACACGATGTCTTCAATTCAATGTGCCTGGGCTGCGAACTGCATCATCATAGCAGTCTTCATCGATCGTGGATTCGTCGCGTGAGCTAGTAGCATATCAGCCGAGCTAGGGAGCTCAGATTTGGATGCTTGATGGTCTTCAGTCAGGTAGTCGTACCTGCCATTGTGATGAGAGTGATGATCCTGATGAAGACATGAATTTGGACATGACAAGTCACGATGCATGAGAACATGGCGAGACCACATGGCATTGGCAGAGTCGGAGGCAGCCAGTCCGTGCCAAGCCACTTTACGGCGACGCGTGAAACGCGTCACCCTCTGAACTTGATGATGCTTGTTCTCCCAGTGTGCTGCAAAAGAGAAGCAAGCAACAACATGGCCAATGATTATGTCGAATACCTGTCGGAAAATGTGCTGAATGACGGTCAGACGGTGAGTAAATCATGGGAGATGATACAAGTTGCCTGCTGACGCCTCATGAACAACAGGTCAGTTACCGAACCTTGAGTCGAGCACTCCGAGTGCACAACAATGTCGCCAAGCAGATGCTCTACCAGTTCCATCACTCTCAGAACGAGAAGCAGTCCAATTCGTTAGATGCCACCTATCTGATCAATGGACTCCAAACCATCGTACCGAAGCAAGCAGAGGATACAGCCACCGAGAGCCAATCCGAGTCGCAAGAGACCCATGCCTACCAGGCGACATGTTTGCTTCTGGTAGACGAGCATGAACTGGATCGTCAGTCGAAGTCCACCTGGAGATGCTTGGGGGGTTTCGCTGAAACGTGGTTACACAGATGCAAAGTCCACTTTCGACCAAGTCCTGTCAATACACGTCTACAGCATCCAGCCTGGCAAGATCAATGTGCATATCACGCAGCTACAAGCCGACTCCCAACCTAGTCGCTGACTTTGAGCAGGACCTGCACGTCTTGACAGAGTGCAACCGAGCCATCATGGCAACAGCTGCCAAAGAGGACCTCCTTGAGACGTACAAGCAGTATGGCGTGATTCAGAATGGCCAGGTCAAGGTGAGCTCCCCTTTAGCTCAGCTGAAGATCACGCTTGCTGACATGATCTACTCCAGCGTCGCGCCATGCGCACCCAACAGCACTCGAAACAAGCATCAGCACAAAAGCCAGAGCCTTTGGTGTCTGCTACAAAATCGGCTAAGCCAATGTTCGCGTCTGCGAGACCCACGGCCAGTGATGCCCCAAATAAGACGACGACTTCGAACGAGTCTACTCCTGCTTCTTCGCAGCCTTCACAAACTTCCGCCAAACCTGCTGCTACAAAGCCAGCAACACTCAAGCGTGAGGGTTCGAGCTTGTTCAAAGCCTTTGCCAAAGCAAAACCGAAGAAGACGCAGAGCCAGACGACAGAGAGTTCTGCTGAACCTACGCCTACTGCGGAACCTGTCGAGACCGAAGACGGTCAGTATTGCAGTGTCGATCCCGTCATTGATACAGGAGCTAACAGGTCTTCCAGAAGCTATGCACGATTTGTCGGATGAAGAAGCTGACGACGAGGACACCGCCATGCTTGATGAAGGCGCCATAACCGAGACAGGAGGCAAATCAAAAAAAGAGAGAGAAGACGAACTGCGCAGAATGATGGACATGGAAGGTAACATAGAGACACCTTCGCCCACGCTTGCTGTAGTAGGAAAGCTGACCTTGAATGATCCAGATGCGCCAATGGCCGAAGCACCCAACAAGACAATTGCCGCAGAAGATTCGGGTGCTGCACAGGACGAGTCTGACGTCCAACTACAGGCAACAGAAGAGCCTGTGGAGACGGTCACTGTCTCTGACGGTCGTCGACGAGGCAGGAGAAGGGTCATGAAGAAGAAGACAGTCCAAGACGAAGAGGGATATCTTGGTACGTCTGAACTCGGCATACGAACTTGACTGAAAGCTGACATGATTTGAAGTGACGCGAGAAGAGCCTGGTTGGGAGTCTTTCTCAGAAGAAGAGCCTGCGCCCAAGAAGGCCAAACTTGCTTCTGCACCAGCCGCTGCAAAGACGAAGAAGGCTGCTCCCAAGGGACAGGGAAACATCATGTCCTTTTTCTCAAAGAAATGAATTGCATGAGGAAGTGTCCAGAGAAGCAGACATAGACAAAGCATCATTTCGCCTTACCGTACTTTGACTCGCTGTTAGCCGCCGCATATCTTGAGTTTTGTCGTGAGAGAAACCTCGACAACTCATCGTTTGCAGCATGCTTGAGAGACATGCACGTGTGCTGAGATGTCCTGAACAGCAATAATAATGATGCGACACGATGAGGAAAGCGGATGAAGAAAAAGCATAGGCTGAAATTGATCGCATTTCGATTATATACTTTTGAACTCCAGCCACAATATCCCTGTACTCGTTACAAGCAAACTCTCCGATCAACCTCGATCCCAAGTAGCAAATGTTGTGCCTTGATTCATATCTCGTTTGGAAAAACATCTCGTTCATTACTTATGACAGCCGAAAGAAAAACAAAAGAAAGAAGAACAAAAAACATGCTCAAGGAGACAAACAGCGATGACAATGGTCAGTCAAGAGGTGGTGGTAATACTGGCACAGGCGGCATGCAGAACGTGATACTACCTTGTTGACGATGCGATTGCAAGGCAAAGAAATTGCTGATGATGGCCGGATAGCCCCAGACAGCAGAGTAGTGAAACATCATGAGTGTACCGAAGAGATGCTCTCGTATGTTTGTTGTGTCAATGTTGCGAGATGGAGAAATTGACAAGTTGTACTGTGTGACCCGCAATCCTTCCAGGCAAGGGTACTGTTGTAAGGTCATCGGTTGTCGTCGATCGTCCTGAAGAAAAGTCGATCAGGAAATCTGATCATCCGAGGTGGACGAATCGACAGCACTCTGATCACCGCGAGCAATGGCGGGCGTGGAATTGGTGACCGACTTGGCATCAGCAAGGTCGCTACGAGCAGAAGGCTGGCTCTCCAAGATAGCACCTCCATTGGCTTGAACAGTGGGATATTGAGCATTGTTGCCATAAGGCAAGGAAGCAAGAGGGGTGCGGCCAGACATGTTGCGGAGAGCGGATTGAGACCAGCGCTGGTTTTGAACAGGCACACTGTGGAAGACATGTTAGTTGAAAGCTCTGATCAATGCCGTCAATATACTGACCTGGTCGTCATGTACGTCTCAAACTCGTTGTTGGACGTGTAGGATCCGCGGCTGGACGAGTAACCAGCTTTGTGGGCTTGAGTAGCATACTCGTACTCGGCAGAGCGGAATTGACGGGCGGCGGCAGTCTGCTGCTTGAGCTGCTTCTGCTCCTGGGTGTCGGCAAAGCGAATCTGGATGGTGTATTCCTCACCGCCAACATTGACCTTGTAGTTGTTGAATTTCTTGATGACTTCCTCGCAGACTGTTCTGGACTCGAAGCTGGAGAAGGAATTAGATCAAAGTCGAGCATGGTAGGAGGTGTGAATAAGACTCACCGGGCGAAGCCGACTCCACGACAAGTACCGTTCTTGTCTCGGAGAATTCTGGCCGAGCAGACCTTGTGAGGAGTGAAGACAGATGCTAACTCGTGCTCGTTCAAAGACTTGGGCAAGTTGGAGACGTAGAGGTTGGTGTTACCCTCATCAGCGAACGTCTTCAGCTTGGAGTAGAAAGATTCCTGTGGTGAGAGTTAGCAAAGAAGTCTCGAACCATGGTGGGTAAAGGTAGCATACTCTGGCAAAGCTAACTTCGTAGCCCAGGTAGTGGAAGCCGCGAATACAGTTCTCGGCGTCTTCGTAGTTGTGGTACTTGACAAAGCCAAAGCTATTGGGCACAAAGTCAGCTTGTTTCAACCAATTGAAGCGTCCTGTTGGACATACCCCTTGCAAAGACCAGTCGAGTGATCAATGATCGACTTCGAGCTGCGGATGTCTCCGAAGCGCTTCCCCCAGCCTTCGAGCATTTCGTCGGTCGTCTCGGGATGAAGACCGCGAATGTAGACGTTAGTCTCACCGCGAATGTTCTCAAGGGCTCTGTCGAGAGGCTTCAACGGAGAGCTTGGGGCTGGGATGGCCTGCGGAATGGGAGGCTCCTTGCTGACCAGCATGTGGAGGCTGGGAGAGATACTGCGATGCTCGGCCATCTTGGACACAGGCATGCCGTAGGGAGCGAGGACCTGAGTGGGCGAAGGCGAGCTTTGGGTGTACATGCCGCTTGGCGAACGGTTGACGATTGCAACACCAGGAAGCTGATGGTATGCGGGATAGCCGGCATATGAGGGTGTACCAGGAGCATCGTTCTCGTTGGAGGAGATTGAATCGCGGCGTGGAGTGATGAGAGTGGGAACTTCACCCGTGGTGTGACTGGGAGTCCAAGCCTGCGACATGGGACTGTTGTCGTGCTGCTGCTGATGATAGGCATGAGGGATGTACTGTGCAGCCATGGGAGTGTAAAGACCAGGGTTGTGCTGATGGACGGCGCTGGGATAAGGGTGACCTCCAGGAAACATGAGATGGTTGGTGGCGCCCCAGAGGGCGGCAGGCATGGGAAGCCCGTTGAACTGGTGACCAGCGGCAGCCATGACGGCAGCCTTGGACTGAGCCGTGTAGGCGGCATCTTGGAGGTTCATGCCTTGGAGACCATGAGTCAATGCTGCCATGCTGGCAGCCGTGTGGCCTCGCTGCGTACCGTAACCACCGTGGTAGTTTGCGTTGCTGTTGCGAGCAAAGGGCTGACCGTAGCCGTTACCACGCTGGCCCATGGCTTGATCACCACGGTTGTTGTAGTTGTTGCCACGCTGACCTTGAGAATCGGCCATACTTGACATGCTGAACTACATCTCGAATCAGTACCTGTAACACAAGAGATTGAAACGGATAAGAAATTACTTGATTAGATCGGACAGAGCCCGATGAAGAAGTGCCTCAAGCCGGGAGGGGTTGATAACAAGGTGTAATGTGTTGTATCTGCCGGACAACGGAGGTTGATGAGCACAGAAGCTATGCTATCAATGTTGCGTCGACACGGACAGGATGCCAGAGATGAAGAAGATGGGGGATGATTGTCAAGAAGAGTGGAGGAAGAAAGAGGGTGATGGAGAGAGGTCGATAGAGGAGGTGAAATAGAAGTGCGCAATGCAATGCCCGGATCGGGTATTCGCAATCTCTGACTTGTTCTTTCCGCCGGGCTATGGGCATCTTTGAAGAAGGAACTCCTCTGTAATTCGCATGTGCTTTGGCGGGGTGGCGTAGAAATATAGAAGGAGCGTGAGCTTCGTTACGTACTAGTGAAATAAGAAGAATATGTGCAAGAGCTGCTGCGCGAATATACCGGCGGGCGAAGCAGTGACCTGTTTAAGGAGGAGAAGAATATTAAAGTGACAACTTGAGCAAGAGACTGGAAAAGACACAGGATGAGAAATGTATGCCAGAATCGAGGATAGCAATGCAAAGATACGCACAAGCGGTTCAAGTTAATGACGTCCAGAGAAAAGTCGAATGCAGGCACAGCGGAAAATTCGCTCTCTTTTTATCTGATGTTTGAATGACCAGGATGAGCTTTGGGGTTGAGCAATGTTTTGGATATGCAAGCCGAACCGGATGAGTGGATTCTGCTGCGAACCACCTTGAAATCTTCCGGCTACACAACCTGCACCAACCACGCTGCACGGTACCTCTAGGTTCTTCTCTGGCCAACATGTCGAACTTCAATGGACAGGGGCGAGTCTATGGACTCTTTCTCTCCCTCCTGAGAGACCGGTCCTCGATTCCCTCGTGGTCGCCGTATGAGTTTTCTCCGCGGTGTCGAGCCAGCAGAAGTCTGCGAAGAAGTCGGGTGGGAAGCAGGCATTCATGACCTTTTCCCTCCAGAAGTCCTGTACCGATTCGGTCCCCATACTCAATAACAGCTCACATGTCGGCATCCTTTGAACAACGATTGACAGATATGCCAAGGCAGGGGGGGGGGGGGGGGGGAAAGTGCACACTGAACTCAGTATCTTGCATCTGTTTGTCATTCGATATTGCAGCTGATACGTTGGTCAGTCTACGACAAAATACTGACCATGCACCCGTCTGTACAAGACCGCAGTCTAAAGCGACTGAGCAGATGATTTGAAGCCGTGGTGTCACGAGCTCAGGTTACACCAAGAGGGGCCCCGTTTGTCTCTTGAAGCGGTATCCACCACCGGAAGCCCGCTGTTGCATGACAAGTCTTGTGCGAGAGGCACGGAAGATTCTGACAAACAGCATGGTGGGAATGTTCTGGAGGAGCACCGCAGCAGCAGCAGCAGCAGCAGCAGCAGACGACGTGGAGAGGTCCTTGCGTCGGCTGTTTTGCCGCCGGTGCCTTGATGGACCTGGATCTGAACAATAGACATGTGTGGATCAAACCGATCAACTCCATTTTTCCTTTCTCCGTTCAACCATTGCAGAATGCAGCCACTGTGACCTGAGATGCGACAGGGCAACCAGGTTGGTGGGAGTGTCTGCATCTCGGGGAATTGCATCTGCATTACCGCCACCTGTCACAACCTCTTTTTGAAACGAATACATCACAATTATTCTGTTGAGGACCAAGATTATATGACACAGGGGTATATTTTATCAACTTATTCAAACCGACCATCGCTTGACAATGCAAACATGACGCATGAAAATCAACAAATCCAATAAACACGTCTAAGTTTCGCATCATGACCAAACATCTTCTTGGTAGGCGTTGCTGTTGCGCATGGCCTTGACGATATCCTCTGCCTTGGACTCCGGAATTCCTCTTTGTTCAGCGATGATTTGGGCCAAAACAGTGTTTACCTCACGAGCCATATTCGCTGCGTCACCACATACATAAAAGTAGGCTTTCTGCTGCAAGAGCCTGTCGATCTCCGCGGCGCGTTGCTTGAGCAGATGCTGCACATAGACTTTCTGAGCACCATCACGAGAGAAGGCGGTCAACATCTCGAAACTGTCGCCCATATCATTCTTGTACGCCTGTGTGACTGTCAGTTTATTTGGTAACTTCCACATAAGGTTTGCTTCACTTACATCCCACTCGTCTGCATAGATGAAGTCTTCTGCCTTCTTCCGGCAGCCAAAAAAGAGCATGGTTTTGCCTACAGTCTCTCCGTCGCGTGCTTGCTTGGCACGCTCTTGAACGAAACCACGGAATGGAGCAACACCAGTACCCGGACCAACCATGATAATTGGCTTTGAGGGATCCGATGGAAGTTTGAAATTGGAGTGGCGGACGTGTACAGGCACGTGAATACCGTCGTACTTGTTTCTAGGACCGGTAATTGCATAGTTCAATCCGTGAGGATCGGGAGTAGGATCACCGTGTTGCTTCTGCTTGAGAGCCAACAAATAATTGGTAGTGACGCCCTTGAGCACATTCGAAGCTCCTGGAGTCTCTACAGACTCAACGACGGCGGTGATTGAGATCTTGTTCTTCTGCACCAAAGAAGACGACGAGATGGAGTAGTAGCGGGGCTGGATCTTGTGGAGACCTTCGATGAAGATGGAGAAGGGCACCTGATCCCATGTCTGACCTTGGGACAAGAACTCGAGAAGCTGAGCGAGATTGTAGTTGCGAGCAGCGACTTGGTCGTGGAAGTATTCTCTATCACTGCCCATCTTGGTCATCTCAGCCTTGATGCTGTCGTTGGGAGAGAAAGGGGCAAGAGCCGAAACAAATTGTCTTGAAACGGGCGCGCAGATTTCCATGTGGTAGCGGACAACAGCGTCGTAAGTGGTGGGTGACGGGAAAGGAATCTTGGCCGTGGCATCCAGACCCTTGACGGTAATGACCATGTGGCGTTTGTCGCCGAGACCGAGTATGTTCATGAAACGATCGACCTCCTTGCCAGCGTTAGTAGGCCAAACGGCAATGTGGTCGCCAGTGGTGTAGGACAAGTTTGAGCCGCTGATGTCGATTTCCATGTGCAGACAGTTTCTGTCCTTGACGGTGAAAAGTTCCTTGGACTCGACAATGGGCGCAATGTATGGGTTGTGAGCATTGAAAGGTCCCTTTTGCTTGCCCTCCAGGTGGTTCTTGTTGGGCTCTCCTAGATAGACATCGTCTGACTCGGCGTCCATATCTGGCTTCTCGCTGACTTCAAGTACGGGCTCGTAAACAGCCTCACGTTCCTGTAGACCCATGGCATCGGCAAGATCCTTCCACATTGGCTCCTTCCAGGCCAGGAAATCCTCTTCCATGGTGCCGGCACCATCATCACCTTCACCGGCAGCGCCGATTCTAGTGGCACCAAGTCTGTCGAGAGATTTGGTGACGTTGCGGACCATGGAGTTGTAGTGCTCGTATGTGTTGTTGCCGAGGCCGAAGGCGACGTACTTGAGGTTTGCCAGAGGCTTCTCGGAAATACCGCCTCCCTGGTTGAAGGAAATGTCCTCACTGCTGATGAACTCGTAGAACTCGACGGCGTTGTCGGTGGGCTCGCCCTCGCCATAGGTAGCCAGGACGAACATGGCAACCTTGTCCTCGGGGAAGGAATCGAGATTCTCAAAATCGTATTCCTCAAGATCGGCCGTCATGGTCTTCAGGCCAAAACGAGAAGAGCCCTCCTTTGCCAAACGCGAAGCATAGTCCTCGGCAGTACCGGTCTGCGAGCCATAGAAGATGACACAGTTCTTGCTTGACTCTTCCATCTTTTCAATAATGTCCCTTGTCTTGCCAGCCTTTGCGGCGGCGCCATTCGCAAGAGAGCCAGCATAGGGGTCTTTGGCGACGGCCCAGTAGGTGCCCTTTGTGAAGTAAGCGACGGTGCCTACGAGGAGAGCTGCCAAGACGACAATGTCGAGCGTGTCGAGTTGGGCCATGTTGTCGACAAGTGGCAGGATCGGGGAGGAGTTGCGGCGGTGGGAAGAAGAGGCGAACAATTAGGTGTCCACTGAAAGTATGCGGGGCGGGCTTATCGAAACCACGGGCTCGACAGGACGGGCGAGCGCGGCAAACGATCGAGACAGATTCTATGAGTAGTAATGGGAGGGAGAAGGCAAGGGCACGCTGCTACAAGTCCGAAAGAATGAGGCTGTCTAACTACCGATGGTCGGTGTGGTGAGCGGCCAAGGGGCTCGGGCATTATTAGTGGCATGATTATTCTCAGCGGTCTGTCATGTCCGCATCATGCAGTTGAACCACTGCCGCAGCCGGACTGTCTTTGAACGGCAAGATTCCGCTCGGCTGCCTTCGGCTCCACGCTCTGCCGGTCCGGCGACATTTCTTTGCCGGCAAGCTGATGGATAGGTAGCCAGGCAAGGTAGGTGAATACGATATTCTACAGCAGCACGCCAGCAGCCGGCGAGAAGATGTCGCTATAGAGCCAGAATGTACAAACATGTGCACACAGCACCAAGCTGATCGAGCTATTGAGGGACCAAAGCTAACATACAAATAAAGATATTCTTGTAAAGCGTGCCGTCTTCATGAGCACTAATGGCGAGTCTGAAGACGCGTCTGCGATGGCTTGTGATTGCACGCTGCTGCTAGTCTTAGTGTACAGTGCAGCGAGGACAAGGCTCGAATGTTCTCAATAGATAATAGATGGTCGCGTTCAAGTCGTTGGCAATGTGGTACTCGTACTCGTGCTGTCTGCACTCTGCAGAACCCCACACTCTTGTGCCATGTGCCTTGGGCATTCGTCGCGCTCGCAAAGAACAAGGTCCGCTCGATACAAAAACCTAGTACATTCTTCGGTGCTCGAAGCCAAGTAGCCGTGGCAGTCCATCCTCTCGCTGTGCCCTAGTTCGACTACTCCTCCGACCGACTGCCTGCGCAAGAGCGGCACCAGGCTCGTCCATGGCGCTGCAGCTAGACGCGCAATGAACACCTCCCAAAATGCCTCGCCCTCGCTACACGACCCGGGCGAGAGCTTGGATACCTCGACCCCGACGGCCCCGAACTCTGCTCCCGCCTCGACGTCCGCTGCCTCTTCGACCGTCAGGGGTAGGACTCCCAGTTCCGCCTCACGCGCCCCGTCTTCGCGTGCCCACACGCCTGCTGCGCAAAGCGAATCCGTCGAGCGCAAGTCGTCCGTGTCCTACGGCCACCACCGACAGACGTCCATAGTCCATGGCTATCAGCACTCGCGCAACCCGAGTCATGTCTCTGCTACCGCCGCCAGTCCCATCAGTCCCGGAATCATCCTGGCTCAAGGAGCAAAAGATGGTCCTGCCCTGCGCCAGAGTCCCTCTTCTTCAACCCTGAATGCGCCCACAGATCAGCTACCTCTACGACGTCTTGAGCGCATGCACAGCGGTCGAATCAAGCGTGAGCATGAATCGCATCTGCATCACCACCATCACAATCATCGTCATCATCGCTCGCGATCACGCCAACACCACCAACAGCAAGAACCCACCACCGTGGGTGAGTACGCGCTCCACCATCTGTTGAACGAGTTCATCAGCGAAGCAAACGAAAAGATCAGTCGCTGCGTCTCCGAGCTCGACGATGCTTTAATAAGGGTCGAAGCCATTTGCGGTCCAGGCGCAGATCACGCCTTTGACCAACTGATCAAGGCTCTCGGTCACATTGTACGTCCCCGTCCGAAGCCTTTGATAGATGCTCTCATGATCTGGCGCAAGTCCAAGAGCGATGAGATGAGCCCGATCCATGCCCAACTGCAGGCCGCTCGTGCGCAGCTCGCAAATGCTTCTGCTACCGTTCGGCGCGCTGAAATATCTCAAGTCAGTACAAATAGCAGTTCTGTCTCGATCTCGGCAAATGCGGATCCTGCTTCCGTGGCCACTCTCGAGCAAAACCTCCGTCAAGGCGAACGTCGTTCGGCAATTTCTGTCTATATCCTTTGTCGTGTCCTCATGCAAGTCATTTCTCAGTGTACCTTGGCTGCGTTGACAAATGATATTGCCGAGAGGCTTGAAGATGTTATTTACGGCCAATTGCGCAACTTTGACTCAGAGGCTCTTGCATATTCGGCTCTGAAGCAATCACAATGGAACATGTTCGGTCAGCTTCTGGGTGTCATGGGTAACCTGCGTTTCGACAAGGTCGCCGACCGATACGTCTCAGATCTGGAGACTGCACAGAGACGCCTATCTGTCAAAGGTAATGCCGACAAAGATCTGGAGAATCGTACCGCTCTGCTCGTGCATAGCATGCGTTGGCTCAAGATCCAGACTCAGCCCGAGGATGCATGGGACAAGTCGTGCGATTTGCTTCATCTACTGGCTGGCTTCTTTGCAGGCGTTCACGGGAAACCGGTCAAGTATGCATATTGTCAGCTGTTTGAAGACTTGCTCCTGCCAGTCGCGAGCAAGGCCACCACCGAACTTAATTCGCCAAAGTGGAGACAGATCTTGGATATTCTCAAAGTCAAACTGAACCAGCTACTCGCCAAGCCCAAACATTGGATTCAGGCATTCCCTATACTTGCAGTGACTATTTGTGTGTCACCTAATGATGTGTTTCATCAGCAGTGGCTTTCGACAACCCTCCATCAGTTGCAACCAAAGCTAAAAGAACGTACCACGCGTGGTCATGCACTCAAAGCATTATGTCGTCTTGTCTGGGTCTACCTCTACAGAGCTCCCGAAACTCAACTCACAACGTTCAAGAAGCTGGAAGATGTGATTCGCATGGTGTTCATGACGGGCAAGAAATCGTTACTGTCCACGGAGCCATCCATCGCGGACCCTCTCATCCAGCTCATCCGCATAATCGGATTTAAACACCAAGATCTCTGCTTTAGATCCATCATCTTTCCTTTGATGAATGCGGATGTTATAATTACTGGTAGAGACCGCCGGATTGAAAACCTCGACCCTGAAAAGATGGTCTTAGCTATTCGAGCTTTCCTTGCCATCATGACCGATCTAGAGAAGGGTGAACAGCCTCCGTTCCCTGTCAGTTTTGAGTGCGATACACTTGGTGATCCATTCTCAAGGTCTCCCAATTCTCATAGGCGTTCCTTGTCCCAGAGTCAAGCTGCCATCATTGGTCCTAAAGTTGAGAGACTCTCCAAACCTGTTATGACAGCCGGCTTCGCCGATGTCGCAAAAGAATCTTATGTCAAGTTCTGTAAGATCTTGGGTGAAATCACCATTATTTGCGACGAAACCTTTGGCGGACAAAAGGTACTGGACGAAAAGTTTTCTGCTCAAACCATACCCAAGACACCAATGGCGGACGCTTTCAGCTTCAGCCGCAGAGATGAGCTTTTTAACTCACCTGAGGTTCGGCAAAACTTTTACGACCTTCTCCACGTTGCAGTGCAAGCACTTCCTCGATGTCTATCACCTCAGATTCCATTAAAGAATCTCATCAACTTATTATGCACCGGTACTGCACATGTACAGAATCACATTGCCTCATCGTCTGCGCAATCTCTCAAGTCTATTGCAAGACAGTCTCATGCGCAGTTGGTTACCATTGGATTTGCTCGTTTCATATTCAATTTCGACGACCGATACGCTACCGTTTCCGCTGGCAGTCTATTGGGTCATGGCCATATAGAGAGCACCCTACGTCTCTACGTGGAGTTACTCGAGATCTGGATTGAAGAGCTTAGGTCTCAGCCTCAAATGGCAACCCCAGATCTTCACGACGATGATTTCTCTCGCGGAATGCCTTCTGACTTGAATCGATCGAGAGTGTTTGCCCATGTAGATGAGATCGAATCTCATGGCCTATTCTTCTTATGCTCACCCTCGCGTCACGTTCGGGCATACGCCGTCAGAGTACTCAGCCTTGTCACGAAGTTTGACACTGCTTTGGGCCAGCCTTCTACCCGCATCATCAGTGTCCTCGAAGGCAGCTCGCAGCAGGTAATTGATGTGAATGACGAAAAGCTCTCTTTAGCTGAGAAAAGTCGACTCCAAAAGGGCCTCAGGAAGAGCAATATGAACAACACGCTTGTGGAGCTTTGCAGTAGTGATACTGTACATGATCTGACTCTTTGGTCCAAAGCATTCCCCAATTTGATCCGGCTGAGCTCACAAATCTGTCCTCAAGCTGTACTCCTGACGCGAGACATTGTATGTGCGCGTCTTTCACATGCGCACCGAATTATTGGCACTCTGGCCGAAGGTAGCCGCGTCAATACCTACGCAGCTCTCGAGATCGCCTTCTCGCATCGTATGGTAGGAAGGACTGCTTTTAGTCCTCCCGAAGTCACGATAGAGCAATGGAAACTCCATCTCATATTTGCATGCACAACCCTCACAAACAGTGGTGGCTCGCAACAAGCCCCAGTTCCAAGTCAAAGTTCTCAACACTCTCGTAAAGGTTCCAAAGCCTCCTCCATTCACCAAGAAAAGATTGGATCTGCTCACGAGCTGTTTGCAAAGGTTGTACCTTTTCTCTCCGCGGTACACCCCGGTGTGCGTGAGGCTGCTGTGTATGGACTGGGCGCAATCAACACCAACCTGTTCAGACCCCTGCTAGAAGCTCTCCAACCCTCAGTCTCCACTTGCAGTGAAGATGCTAAGCAATGGCTAACAAACCATCAACGATCCCTGAACAGCCCTCGACGAAGCAGACGAAGTGACTCCCTGCGCACCGAACTCACTCATCTCTACCAATTGACATCTCATTGTTTGTTTGAGGTCGAAGTTTTCAATGACGAGTGGATACTGCAAAATCTAGTCAGTTTCACCAAAGACTTACGAATCTTCCTCAACGACGAAGACGTGCAAAACCAATGGGACTTTCAAAAATTGCGTACCTACTATTGTGGACTAGTCGAGGTATTGTTCGAAGGCATCCACAAGACTAAAGACCCCGTACGATGGATGCCGTTCCACGCGAGAAAAGCCGCCTTCTCCATGATGGAAGACTGGTGTGGCTTCTCTCCAAACCAGACACAGATAAGGCAAAAGGAGAACCATATGAGAAAGTCGATCCTGGACCAAGAGCAAGACTCTCGCAGTCGTGGGAGTGTCACCGCGAAATTGGAGATTGAAAAGAAAGACTTGCGAACAGCCGCCTTAAGCGCCATGGCCGCACTTTGTGCAGGACCTGTCATGATGTCTACTGACGGTCAGATTACTATGCAATTCGATGTTCGCCGTATGTTGAAGTGGATCGACGCCATTTTCGATTCGGCAAGTGATAGAACGCATGCAACAGGTCGTCGAGCACTCAAGAACCTCTTACTACACAATACCGAGCACAGTTTCCTGCTGTCCCATTCCATCGAGGAGTGCTACCACGCAAAGAATCCAAAGGCCCTTCTCAGCTACTTTACTGTTGCCACCCAGGTCTTGACAGATGCGACTGACGACAGAGTTCCTTTCTGGAAGATTTTGAGCGCCGCTCTGTACACTCTCGGAAACGAAAATAGCGAGATCCGCATGAAATCTGCCCGATTGCTGAGGACTCTTGAGGAACGCTTAGGCAAAAACTCAAAATTACAGGATCTCGACATCAGTATATCTGACAAGACAACTGCAGTCTACAAGCTGGCGCAATTCGAAATCTCCCGCAGGCTAGCTAAGCAACATGCAGACATGGCATTCCACGTCTTCTCAGAGTTCACCAGATACTTTGGAGGTCTTGTGCCGGACCATCAACGAAACATGGTCGCAGCCATGTTGCCTTGGATACAAACAATTGAGCTCCAGTTACTTCCAAGTGGAGGACCTACCGCTAGTTCATACATGTTGATGGTCAATCTATTCGAGATCACAGCCCGAAGTAGCAGTGTATTGCACAACGAGATACAAGCATTATGGCAGGCTCTTGCAACAGGACCATACGGAGGCAACGTGCAAGTAGTTCTCGACTTCATCATTGCGATATGTCTGGATCGTAGAGAGCAGAACTTTGTCGACTATGCCAAGCAGATCGTAGTATTTCTGTCAACGACGGCAGCTGGTTTGAAGGTAGTCGAATTTCTCTTGTTGCAAATTACTCCCAAGGCCATGATCGCTGAGAAACGACCCCCTCCACCAATACCTCAAGATATGACTGGCCTACCATATATTGCAGACCTCGCACAAGTTCTACCCATCGGCAATCGGCAATCTGGTCTTTCATTAGGTCAGTTGGCTCTGATGCTGTTGGTCGATCTTGTGGTCTCCCCTGTACAGCTTCCCAAAAACAAGATACCTCTCCTGCTCCAGGTGGTTGTTGTTCAATGGGATCACTACACACCACTGGTGCAAGATCAAGCAAGAGAGATGCTCGTACACATGATTCACGAGATTGTCATATCCAAGATTGGTCCAGGACATACTGGACCAGACAAGCAAAGCATAGAGGACTTGATCGAGGCAATTCGACAACATGATCCCAAGGTCGTTTGGGCTTACGAAGAGACTGACAACAAAGGCCTTGCTAGGAATTCAAACGGTGTTCCTGAGCCCATGGTCTTTGTCATCGAAGAAGTGGTGAGAGTACTGAGCTTCTCATACGATGACCCGTCTGTAGGTGACGATATACGCAAAGATTGGGCAAGGATGAGTCTAGTGTGGGCCACAACCTGCGCAGTACGTCACGTAGCATGTCGCTCATTCCAGATCTTCCGCTGCATCATCGACTCGCTCGACAGACAAATGATGGCAGACATGCTAGCTCGTCTAACCAACACCATTGCCGACGATGAGAATGATTGTTTGACCTTCTCTCAAGAAATCCTCATTACACTGAGGACCATAATCAGCGCTCTTGAGCCGGAAGACTTGATCCAATACCCTCAACTGTTCTGGACTACTAGTGCTTGTCTTGACACCATATTCGAACAGGAATTTCAAGCAAGTCTTTCGATGCTTGATCGACTCTTGGACAAACTCGATCTGAGTGACCCTGCTGTGATCAAGCTCTTCAACGAGAACAAGCCTGCAAAGTGGGAAGGCGAGTTTGAAGGCCTTCAGCCACTGGTTTACAAGGGGTTGAGATCAAATGTGTGTCTTGACCGATCACTGGACATGCTTGAGAGAATGATCAAGCTACCCTCGAGCAGTCTTATTGGCGGCGACACTCGTCTGCTCTTCACGTTACTCGCAAATCTACCTCGATACCTTCACTGCTTCGAAGATGATATGAACGACCAAACATGTTTTGAATCAGCAGACTCTCTTGCCGCAGTAGCCGAGGCCCAGCAGTTGCCTGATCTGGCGCATGCTCTCGATGGTTTTGCCCGTCAACACTATCGCAACTCCAATGACTTTTTGACCCAGGTTGTCGCTGCGGCTCGAGCTGCCTTCTTTCCCGCCATGGAATACCAGAGCTTGGTCTTCCTCATCGGCTTGCTCAACAACCAAACCCCATGGTTCAGAGTCACTGTCATGCAGTTACTTTGTGTGCTCATTCCACAGATAGACATGAGAAGACCCGAAATAGTCTCTCAGGGACCAGATCTCATCTCACCACTTCTAAGACTGCTCCAGACCAGCTACTGCCAGCAAGCTCTGGACGTACTCGACAACATCATGTCTGTCACTGGAACACCTCTCGATAACAAGCATCTGCGTATGAGCATGGCAGGCTCTCACTCAACACGCGCAACGCGCAAGGAGTATGACAGTACAAAAAGTCTCTATGGTATCCCTGAGGAGTCTGGATGGTCGATACCGATGCCAGCGATTCAGGCTGAGCGGGCACGTAAGAACGTCATGGCCGTCTACTACACCTGCCTCGACTCAACCCTTGCAGACGGAACAGAGATCACAAGCACACCCGATGTTGCATTTGCAGAAGATCAGTATGGATCATACTTTGATCGATCAGTCACGGCAATGTCGGACTCCATACGGGCTGACGGCAGCATGAGTGAACTGGTACTCAAACTCGATAGTCTTGATGATTTCTTTGACGATCACAAGGCCACTACCACAAGGGAAAAATCACGAGGGTCGATAGAGGATCGTGAGAACATCTACGAACAGCAGACATTGCCCATATTACACAAATCGCTCAAGCGGAACGCTTCTGTGACGTCTTTCCAGAACGGATTCTCTGACACAAGGTTCGGCATGGCTCGAGAACCTGTCGTCATGAGTCCTGGTGCATTTGCTTCCAATCCAGCCATTGTTGCCACACGGCCTGCCCTTCATGCGAGATCAGTCACGTCTCCTATGGCCGCAATGCGACACATGCCCAGAGTCATTACTGATCTCCAGTACGAAGAAGACACTGGCGATGAACCGTTCTCGGACGACGACCTCTCGATATCTCGTATGACGACATCAGATGACTCGCTGTCGGTGCACAGTAGTACTTCACGAGCTCCTTCTGCAGCAGGGCTACGGGCAGGGTTCAGATCAGGAATGAGAAGGCTCACTGGAGGCACAACTGATCGCAGGGACGTCAAGGGACTGGTGCGTCTCAGTCCGCAGGTACCACGAGTTCCCACAGTGTGGCTTAATAACCCCAAAAGTTCTGAGCTTTAAGTATGGCGACCAGGTGTAATTAGCGCGTTGTCTTGTGCAGTTGGAAATCACAAATTTCTACATCAATCCGTAATAGATTCCACGTGATCGCCTTGTAGTCCACGTAGATGGAAATGGGACTCTGACTTTGACTGTAGCGATGAGTGACGGGTCGACTTGGCGAACGAACCCTCGACGGACTGGAACGACGAGAACGCCCACAGTATGAGGTTGTTCTGTGCTTCTTGCCAGAGCTGCTTTCCACCACTAACCCCATCGGGCTAATAGGTCTCGAGATCACGTGTCAAATTGTCCCCTGGTTCGTGACAACCTGCACTCGCGTCAGATCGTACCTGTCTCTGATTGACTGACGATACAAATCTAACCATGCTTCCTGCTCATGTCCTGCCAAGAGATGTATGTAGACTGCTGGACCTTTTGCTGTCCCAATCTAAGTGTAACGAGATTTTGGCCAAGATCGCATTAAGATGCCTCGTATGGATATGAGCGCAGTGGGTCCGCACCGTCACTCAGAAGAGTGTGAGCCTCTGTGAAGCATGATATTCTGAGCTGCAACGCCACAGATGGAGGAATCATGTGCCGAATACTTATTTGTCTTTACCAATGGATATCGACTCTATCTTAAGGACTGGGCAAGCCGGTGCATCGGAAGGCTGGAGTCACTTTGCAACTCGTTGCTCATTCTTTTGAGATCGAGACTCAACAATGGACAGAAAACGAATGGGTGTTTGAACGCGGAGCAAGTCTTGGCAGTTTTCAAGACGACTCACTTTGAGCAATACCCGACTGCTTGAGCCCGCTCCTTCCTTTACCCCTCCAAACTTAGCAAGACCTTGAGAAAGATGGCCACTGAAGTCGATGATGACTTGCAACTGATTCGCGCAACGCCGGGACTCTTGACCGATCTACAAGTCGCCCTCAAAAAGTTACTCTGGAAACGGGGTAATTCAAGCCGCGTTCACAGTCTCGTTCGTTCACGGGACCTTGATCATGTCATCCAGTTGGTAAGTCATCAGATTGTTTTTTACTTACCTTCACATCCCTTCTGAGCCTTTGCTTATGCGTCGGACAGGTGGAACCTTTCCAAGGAGAACCTCAACTACTTGATGCTCATTTGAAAAGCTTACTGCCTGCCATTGTCGAAGCATACCTAGCCGTTCTCCAACTACCAAAGACCAAGAAACCCTCTCCTCTGACAGTCCCTCTTGATGTGGCTGCTAGTAAGCTATTGTACACTTTCTGTAAGGTCAGGGGAGAAAAGATAATCACTGGCTTTCTCAATAATGAACCCAGATATCTCGAGCTAATCCTGACCAGTCTTGAGGACTTCATGATCAGAGATGTGGATGCGGCTGCTGCCTGGGAGAAGTCATACATTCTTCTTCTATGGCTCACTCACTTGATGCTTGTGCCGTTCGACTTGAGCTCAATCTCGGCTGCTTACCAACCATCGAATGTCGAGCATGAGCAAATATCTCTACAGCCTTCTGTTCCAGCTGTCACGCGGCGAGTCTTGCAAGCAGGCGTACACTATCTCTCGAGCGCGACCCGCGAACAAGATGCAGCAGCGAGGATGCTCGTACGTCTGGTCACCCGTCCTGATATGCAACAACTCGATCTCCCTTCAACTGTCGTATCGTGGGCATTAGAAAAGCTTCTCAACCCATCTACTTCACCAAATTCCAATCTTCACACCTTCCTGGGTCCACTCCGGTTCTTGGTAGGTATGACAGTGTCGGTAGATACTCAGAAAGTCGCCGATCTCGTACCGTCAATCTACTCTGCTGGCCAGAGACTTATGGATGATGCAATGCTTGCTTTCTTGAGCTCATCAGCCGTTACCAAGAAGCTGGTTGTAAAACTGCTCCGTAACATTGCTCTCCTAAGCTTGAAGCACTCATTCGACAAATTGGATGACTTCTTTGAGTCAAGTGGTGTTCTAGAAGGGACGATTGAGTATTGCCTTCAAGCCCTCGAAGATCGCGACACACCAGTCAGATTCGCCTCCAGTAAAGCTTTGAGCATGATAGTTCTTCGTCTCGACCCTGGTATGGGACACGAGGTCGTTCAGGCAGTCCTCGAAAGCTTCAAAGAAGATATGCCAAAGTCGTCCTCAGAACCAGACTTCGGAGCTGCGAATGCTTTGAGATGGCATGGTTTGACCTTGACACTTGCACATGCATTATTCAGAAGGTCAGCCTCGCCACATCAACTTCCTGAGATCTTGAACACTTTGTTATTGGCGCTCAGCTTTGAACAGAGATCTGCTGTGGGCGTAAGTACTGGAAGCAACGTTCGTGACGCCGCCTGCTTTGGAATTTGGTCTTTATCACGGAGATATACGACTAAAGAATTGTTGTCGGTGGAGACGTCTCTAATCGGCTTCGACTTCCATCTACGTGCTAAATCCATCATACAAGTTGTTGCGACTCAGCTTTTACTTTCCGCTTGCTTTGATCCTTCTGGCAACATCAGAAGAGGGTCTTCGGCAGCGCTCCAGGAACTCATCGGTAGGCATCCTGATCAAGTCAGTAATGGCATCTCCCTTGTACAAGTTGTCGACTACCACGCAGTTGGACTTCGACAGCGAGCGATGGTCGATGTTGCTCGAAATGCAGCAAACCTCGATTCCATATACCGAGAAGCACTACTAGCTGCTCTTGGCAAATGGAGAGGGCTTGGTTCTACAGATACTACTTCGCGCGAGGCCGCTGCAGAGGCCATGGGTTTACTCTCTGCACCACAGATTCCTGAGTATGTCATGGCTACCCTCGACCACTTGCAAGAGGACATCTTAACATCAAAGGCCGATCTCGAAAAACGACACGGATCGTTTCTTGCAATCTCGCGAATTGTCGACACGAAGATGTACCAGCGACTCGGTGGAGAAACACGCCCGAGTGTTGAGGATATATCACATCTGACATCTGTTTGGGGTTTGTTTGACCAAGATCAAGCTCTGTTCAGAAACCACACTTCACGGGCCACCCGTGCAGAGTTGCCCTCCGCTGTTGCCAAACTCCTTTCGTCTCTAGTAGAACTCTCTTTGCTATGTGGAACAGATCACCGGGATTTGTCATCACTCGTACCTGTCCTGAACCAGATCGTGTCTGGTCTGATATCTTCTTCGGAGACACATGTCTTACAAGTCCTGCCTCGCTTGGTTAAGGCCATATCAAGACTTGACCCATCGACTTTGACACGCTCCATACTCAATCTTCATGATTGCCTTTCAAAAATGGCGCACGACTTTCTGGGGATGACGGTGCAAGGTTCAGGTCGTGTCATTGTTCTAGGTGCAGCGTTCCCATGGCTGCACGATGTCTACGGATGCGACCCGCTTGATGCTTGTCATCTGCTCTCGAGAATCATCAGGACCGCTCCCCTGACTGAGTGGCGTAGCATCGCGCTACGGGCCATAGACTTGATCATGCAGGCGGATATTCTGGGTGACGATGTTTATCAATCTCTTGTATCTGCTCTTGACACTGGGCTCAATGACTACACCATCACTGAAAGGGGCGATGTTGGTTCGCTGGTAAGAATAGAGGCTGTAATATGTGTTCGACAGATGTGGAGATCAAAACGAGGGCAAGTCGACCCGACTTCTTCTCAGCTCCTACGAGGCAATATCATTCGGCTTGCTCTCGAGAAGATGGACAAAGTGAGATTGAGAGCCGCAAGCTGTCTTGAGGAGACAGATCCCATGTTATTGAGACGGTGGGTTGCTCATTATTTATTGCATCCGTTCGCGGTCAGCTAACAAGAAACCAGTACTGCTGTCACAGACGTAACAAGCTACCAGTATTTTCTGGGATTGCTTGAACCACTGAACGACAATCCTCCCGCCTGGAAACGCGAGGCAATCCTGAAGGGCAGCATGTCGTGTGCTGGAGTAGGCGCAGAGGGGCTATTACGAGCCTCTCGTATGGCCCTGGTTGATACAATCATCAAAGGAAGTCCCGAGATGAGGTCTAGTTGTATGTCTGCTTTCACCGGACTCTTGAAAGAGTCGATAGCCGCAGAAGTTGAGACACAACCGTTGCTTGAACTTATTGCACATTTACTCGACACGATGCCATCTGTCATTTCACCGGACGATCCTTTCAAGTAAGTCCAATCACTCAAGTACAATTCAAGTTCTAATCGTTGAGCAGCTGGCGTATCTTACTCTCCTCGATTCAAAAAGCACACTACAAGTCAAACAACATCTCAAGAATACTGGCGGCAATAGAGGTGTATCAAGCATTGGCTGAGAAGCCCACGATTCGTGCCGATACCCTGAAGAAGCTGGCTAGCATGCTCAGGACGAACCCATACCCAACAGTAAGATCTGTTTCAGACTATGACTCTTGAATTACTAACAATGTTAGGTGCGGACGGCCGTGTCCGAGTGTTTGTTTCTCGTAACAGGCGATCAAGAGCTGAAATGCGTAGATGGGAGTAAATCGCAGCCGTACAATCTGCAAGTTGATGTGCGGTGACTGTTCCGCATCACGGAATCGGGCCGTACTAGACACTTGCTTCTTCTTCCGCACCACAATTACCATCCGTGTGTTGGTGGGGTCCCCGCGGGACTGCAATTATTGCGGGGTCATGAACATATCTCAATGACAATAAGAAGACATCGTAGCTGCCAACGATCCTATGACTTTCGGTCATTGTTGCCCTCTTTGACTATCGCTATGCTTTCTCTCCTAATCTTGGTAGCTCAGACTCAGGCTAAAGAGCACCCATTTCGATCTATCGTTATTCTGTCGCTTCTGTTGCCATTCTCGTACTTTGTGACCAACGAATTTGTACGAAGAAAGGCCAGGATACCAGGCTTCGACGGCCCGCCGGGAAATCCAATATTCGGAAACATCCCGGATATTAAGTACAACGCGGCAGAAAAGGTTGCTGTGCCCAGCGACAGTTCCTTATCAAGCCTGGCTGACCAGCATCCAGTACCGAGAGTGGTCAAAGACCTACGGAGACGTGGTACGTTCACTGTGTAGTCATTAGAACACTCTCTTTGTTGGTAGACAGCGTCGGCAGGATGCCATCCTCCAAGACCACCTATCTGCCTACTGGCAAAGATAATTTCGAGGCAGATCTGTTACTCACGGACGTCTTTTTTGCCAGGGACCTCGCTAACTGGACTCTCATGTCTAGTACCAGATTCAGCTAGGAAACATTCCTGTTATTGTATGTAACTCAGCTGAAGCATGCCGTGTGATATTCGGTCATTTCTCGCAAGCTCTCAGCTCGAGGCCAGTCTTCTACACCTTTCACAAGGTGAGATCTATCAGAATATGATGTGCGCTGAAGGCACTAACTGGAATTAGGTACTCTCCAATACTGCAGGAACCACCATCGGAACGTCACCATTCAGCGAAAGTCTCAAACGACGCCGTAAAGGTGCCGCATCTGCATTGAATAAGCCTTCCGTCGCCAGTTACATCAACCATCTAGATGTAGAGACTCTAGCATTCATCAAGGAGGGCTTGGAATATGGAGCAACAGGTACACAGTCTGTGGATCCAATGCCTATGATACAGCGGTTGAGTTTGAGTCTGGCCCTAACTCTCAACTGGGGTACCCGTATGGGTAGCAGAGATGATCCGCTATTCCATGAGATCACGGAAGTTGAAGAGGAGATCTCAAAGGTATGTTGTTATCGGAATGCCACGATACTGGTACTGATCTATCATGCCAGTTTCGCAGCACCAGTGGAAACCTGCAAGATTACGTTCCTTTCCTTCGTCTGAACCCATTCAGCGTTGGCTCAAAGAGAGCAAGAGAGATGAGACAACGCCGAGATGTTTACCTGACCAAGTTGAATAAAGACCTAGACGACCGCATGGAGAAGGGTACACACAAGCCTTGCATCCAGGCCAATATCATACAAGACAAGGAAGCGAAACTGAACAAGGAGGAGCTCACAAGTATCAGCTTGACTATGCTCAGTGGAGGACTCGATACTGTAACAACACTGGTGAGTGAATCTTTCAGCATGGTATTGGTGTCCACAGAAGGCCAAGCTAACTCTTTCTAGGTAGCATGGAGCATCGCGCTCCTCGGACAAAGACCAGACGTGCAAGAAAAGGCAGTGAGAGAGATCCGAAAAATGTTCAGCGAGGACAACATACTTTGCGACCCAGAAGATGACATGAAGTGCGAGTATGTGATGGCTTTGGTGAAGGAATGTTTAAGGTAGGTTGGAGAAAAAGAGTAGGTCGACACAACAGACTAATGGGGCGCAGATATTACACCGTACTCCGCTTGGCTCTGCCTCGGGCCACAGTCAAGGATATCACATATCAAGGCAACCTCATTCCGGCAGGCACGACGGTATATCTGAATGCTTGGGCCTGTAATATGGACCCGAAGGTGTGGAAGGATCCGGATGTCTTCAGGCCAGAAAGATGGATTGAACAGCCAGATGCGCCTCTTTTCACATACGGTGTAGGATATCGAATGTGTGCTGGGAGCTTACTCGCAAACCGAGAGTTATACCTTGTGTTTATGAGAATGCTGAGCTGCTTCGAGATCGAGAAAGGGACAGATGTGGAAACACACCCAGTCAAGGGTAGTTCTGATCCAACGAGCCTGGTTACGTTGCCGCATCGCTACGAAGTCAAGTTCAGACCAAGAAACCAGGCAAAACTCAGAGATCAAGTGCAGGCTAGGGAGAAGGTGCTGGGCGAATGTTGATGGAAGGGACAAGCGCAAGGATGCATGCAAGTGTCAAATCTGGTAGCTTCAAAACGTCCATGATTTTGCAAGTGAATAGTGTTCAACCCAGATGTCTGGGGACTTCGAATATACAAATAGCAGATTCATGATCACCGTCATGACGGGCGCCATAAAATGCGCCAAGGGTATTGTCGCGTGTGTGACGCGTGTCAGCCAGTCGGAAGCTTCGACCTTATCTCGAGCTCCTGGCTGACAGCACAACCCTGATCAAAGACTCAGAGAGTGACAGCGATGTCTATATCCAACAAATGTACTGTTTAAACATCAAAGATGTCTCTTTGGTACCACAGCTTTGATATAGTATCACTTTGGGCATTGTCTTGGCTCATTTGGCTAGATTGTCTAAAAATCTGCATTCCATCGAGCTTCCAGTGTTTTTGGGTGCCAGGCTGACCAGACTTCAATAACAAAGCGGTGTCATTCAGCCCACTTTCGATTATCTAGTCAAAGTGGCTTGAAGACAGCTCTCCAGAGTCTGTCGTCCATAGAACAGACACAATTTGCTAGTAGCTACTCGGGCTGTGCGTGATGGTGTCTAACAAGTGATGAGCGGCACAAAGCAATGCGATACACGCACGGACCGGGATTCGAAGTTCAACTTGTCGTAGAAAAAGGACAATGATGATGATAGTGCGTCGTGCTACCAACGAAAGCAAGACAAGCAAGACAAGCAAGACAAGCAGGAGAAAAGGATGAAATCAGAGCTTAGACACCATAACAGGTAGCCTACGACACGCTAGAATGGCGACGGCACCACGACTGTTCGGCAGTGACGACTATCTCGGCAAACGCGACGATGACCTCCGGCGACGACCAGGTTCGCAACCATGGTCATGGTCCACTATGCTACGCATGCGCCGTCGTCGCCTTGCCATGGGCCTGCTCGGTGCCTTCTTGATCTGGCTCTTTGTCCACAACATTCCTACCGATCTGGGAAGTGTCGACCAGCGCATGGGTCGACCCTTACGTCCTGGGCATCGAGTTGGAGGTGTCGAGTTTGGTTACAGGCCACCGACTCGTCCTGCCCAGCAGCCCGCCTCTCCAAAAGCCGGTTCCACAAAAGAGCCGACGGGCCCTCCACCAAAGTCGCAAGCTGTTATACAGCAAAATGACCATTATTATGCCGGTCCTGTCAGGTTCTACAAGTTGGCAAAGACTATCCAGGCTATCGCGCGCACCATGGGTCACAGAAAGGATAATAGAAATATCTTGTTCGCCGCTTCCAATCTCAAGAGTGCTGCGAATCTCCTACCTATGGCCTGTGAGATGGCCCGCATAGACAAGAACTTTGTACATTTCACCCTTGTTGGACGAGAGGCCATCCCGCTGGAAGACGTGCTCGGGATAAATGGTGTAGATCGCGACTCTTGTGATATATTCTTCCACGACGCCCGATGCGATTACTCCGAGTACAGCACAGATGCCCGCGCAGAGGCTGCTGTCGTAGGTGCTCTGGGTCACATTCAAATGTACATGCATCCCCAAGCCATTGTCATTGATGATTCATCTGTCGAGGATGCCTTCTTCATCCGGGCTTTGCGTTCAAAACTTGCAAACCTAGCCACACCGCTTATCGAGATTCCTAAAGGAAAGTACGAGGACTTCTTGTGGATGACTCGTCTTGACAGCGGCGGATTGACTTCGTGGCACAAGCCTAGCGTAAATATTCTCATTCACGCCCAACCTCATTCATCTGGCTCGTTACTGCGCCTCCTGCATTCTATCAAGACTGCAGACTACTCTGGACTTTCTCACCCGGACATCACCATCGATCTTCCTGCGGATGTGGAGCCATTTGCACGCGACTATCTACGAGATTTTCAGTGGCCTCCACACCAAGACCCTACCGGACCACGTCAACGTAAAGTCAAGTTGCATCATCGCATCTCTACTGTCAAAACCACGTCCGAGACAAACGCCCTCCGCTTTCTGGAGTCGTTCTACCCTGTTGATCCTGACCACTCTCACGTCTTGTTACTTTCAACGCAGACGGAGCTTTCCCCACTATACTATCACTATCTGATGTATCATCTGCTGCAACATCGATACTCGGCGGATGGATCAGATGATGGAGACAACCTTTTCGGCCTTGTGCTTGCAGCTCCGGACTCCTACCTCAATGGTACCAGTCCATTTCATACCATGACAATGTCCGATACTGAGCGAAACACCAAGGCAATTGAAGACTTGTCTGTGCCGTTCTTATGGCAAGCACCAAATGCCGATGCAGCTCTCATATTTGGCGATATCTGGGCCGAAGTACATGACTATCTCAAGAATCGTCTGCGTGCAGCTCATGACACCTCATCGGTCCAGCAAGCGCCAACCAAGCGTGCAAAGCTCGTTTCGGAGACTCAGCCCGGATGGCTTGAGTATATACTAGAGCTGATGAGAGCAAGAGGGTGGAGGAATCACTACCCTGCTCAACTTGATGCAGGAACATGGGCCACTGTACATCGTGATCTATTTCAGAAGCCGGAAGAGTACTCGGATACGCCTACCAAGATTGTTGACACACCAAAAGAAACAAAAGCAGAGATGGAGATTGGTGAAGACGAACCGTTCCTCCGAGCAGAGCCAGCCGCGGAGCAGACTCGCCGGCAGGAGGAGTACTTGGACAGGAAAGAGCATGATACGCTGCAACATTCTCAGCCACTACACGCAATGTTGCCTTACGAGACCAAACTCACTGAAATCGCTCTCCTACCAGCACTAGAGTTTGGTGGTCAAAAGGTGGAGCGCGAGGAGTTCAAACGTCTGGCAACAGAGTACCGACCAATGCTGAGGGCACAAGTCGGTGGTTGTAATGCTGTGGAAGCCTCCAATGACCGCAAGTATGATTTTGGTAAAACAGGTGATTTGTTTTGTTTCCTTGATCAGCCTGACTTGGAAGAAGAGGAGAATGTCAGTGAGAAGACAGCCAAGGCCATCCTCGGAGATGACATATCTGAACCAGCTTCATACGCCGTGACAGAAGCAAAAGAACCTACGCTTTCTCCAGAAAGCATGGCGCTAGCGGAACAGGGACCTTTGGACTCGGCATCGAAACAGAAACTGGCGCATATGAAAGCACAACCGCCTGTCGTCAAGCAAGTCAACCAAGAGGAATCAGAAGATCCGCCAAAGACGCTAGCCGACGATCCCTCTCGTAAACATGGAGGTGGCACACTGAAGGCGATTGTAGAGGATTTGGGACCTCCAAAAGCAAAGGAGGAATAACGAAGTTTCTGGCAAAATGTCAATGAGATTTTGTAATACCGTACTCAAAGATAAATGATGTGTTTAAACCTGAGAACGATGCGCATGGTATGGTTGATGCTAGTGCAATGTCTATCATTAGCAACGACGAACATGAACCTGAACAACCGTCATAAATTATCTCGACAAGAATCCTGTAGCATTTCTGTTCGACAGCTTGGGACTTGAGAGGTTGATGCCTCTACAACCACGACTCAAAGGTATTGAATGTGAGATAACATGTCTGATGTACTCATTCAAATAAACACTGAACGCCTGTCGTCCATATCGACACTGCCCCGTCATACATTAATCAGCCAACGCCGGGGCGGAACGCCAACTCCCAGAAATACCATCATTCAATCACTGTTCATGAACACCCATCTCCTCAACATCACAGTTGGGATGTACGACGTAAAAGATCCTCTCGGCCTGCTCTGCACCTTGGCCAGATTCGTCGGCGAGACCTTCGCCGCGAATGCGTAAGAGAATGTTGTCCTGTTGAAAAGTCAGTTGCGCTGTATTTCGGGATAGTTGAGTGTAACGTACCCTGACCATCCTTTTCAGGACTTTCCTTGTTTTCTCTGCCAAGGTGGAATGTCCCTCGAATGTGTCTGTGTCCAACTCCTTCTGCTCAAGGAACCAAGTTACAAGATCTTGCTCTTCAACACCATCCTCATCATCTTTCTCGTCAGCACAGATCCTGCCAACCAGCAAGTTGACCATCTCGCGGTATTCTGCCATAGTGAGAGTTGCCCTTTTGGGCGCCGGCGTATCTTCACCCATCATAGCATCTTCCTCGTCCTCTCGCGCGACTTGCTCCAATATCTCATCAAGGTTCTCGTCATCAATGTCAATGTCATCTTTCTCGACACTGATGATGCTTTGCCTCAGGAGTCTGAACGCCTCGTTGACGAATTCGGGGGAGATCTCGTCGATGCAGTTTGCCTTTGCGATGGCCTCGCTTAGACGAATCATACTTTCGAGCTGTCTAACGGTGATTCTGTAAGAGTTCTTACCAACACCTCCCTGTGAATCGTCGGCACGCAACTCCTTGTACCTCTCAACCAAAGTTGCCTTGGCCTCTTCGGTAAAGACTGGCTGGAAGAGACGTGCAAAACGAATGTAACGTTGAAGTGTTTCGGTGCTGAATTCGGGTTCGACAGCATCATCGCGCAGGCGGTGGACATTGACAATGTGTTGTGCAAGCTTTTTATCGACAGCCTCGTTACACTCGTCGAGAACGACAAAGAAGAGATCGAAACGAGACATGATAGGAGCACTCATGTTGATGTTTGCTCTGAGAGTGGTTTTGCGGTTATAACGACCGCCTACAGGGTTAGCTGCGGCGAGGATGGAGGTACGAGCGTTCAAAGTGGCCTGGATACCGGCTTTGGCGATGGAGATGGTTTGTTGTTCCATGGCTTCGTGGATGGCGACTTGATCAGCAATATCCATCTTGTCGAATTCATCAATGGCGCAGATTCCGTTGTCAGCAAGCATTAGAGCACCAGCTTCGATTGTGAACTCCCCAGTCTCCTCGTCCTTGACGACAGCGGCAGTCAAACCAGCGGCAGAGGAAGCCTTCCCGGAAGTGTAGACAGCTCGAGGGATGAAAGAGCAAATGTACTTGAGGAATTGCGACTTGCTAGTACTGGGGTCTCCAACAATGCAAATATTGATGTCTCCACGAAGAGCCATGCCTTCGGCAGTGGACTTGCTCACACCGCCCATCAGTTGCAAAAGCAGACCTTTTTTGACCACAGTATGACCATAGATCATGGGTGCAAGTGAGTCTACCAGGCGCATGAAAATGTTGGGACTGTGAACCATGTTCTTCAGCTCGTTGATCTCATTTGGACTAAGCGAACCCAGGTACTCAGATTGAGCGGCTTCACCAATGTGGTCCATATCGGCATTCTTTGCCTGGTTCAATGAGCTCATAATATTCGTAGCTTGACCTCTAAGCTGTTGGGTGGAGGCTTGGCCAGCGGTAGAAGCGTCAGGTGTGACCATGTTGGCCAAGAAGGCCATGCGATAGGTGAGCTCGCGCACACCCAAAGCCTTGAGACCGCCAACACCGCTTCCACCGGCCTCGGAGCCTCTTGGAGCCGAGCTGGTATCGCGAGTGGCCTGAGGACGTTGACCGGGCACTCTGAATTGACTGACGTCAGGAACAACGATGAGAGTGCCGGTGAAGATACACTTTTCACCAGCCTTTGCACGATCGACCATCTCACCACGCAAAATGACATCCATAGTTCTGGGCATGCTACCGGTGGGAATCTCGGAACTGTTTTCTTGGATGCGGACCTTCTGCCAGTCAACAAAGGTGCTCTGGCGGATGTCTAGGCGCCAGGCTTGACGATTGCCGCAAGTCAGATTTGGACATTGTGTGGGCTCCGAGTAACGGAAGATTTGCTCGACATTGGGGACGAGGGTGTTGCAGACTTCGCAGACGAAAGTTGCTAGCGACAGTTCTGGGCGGACTTCTGATGTGCGGGTGACTGTGCCAGAGATGGACAAGAGGGAGCCGATCTGGCTAGTTCGTAATTGACGGACGCGCGAGACCAAGGGGAGGTTGTAGAAAGCAAGAGTGAAGACCTTGTCTGTCTGCTGGTTGGTGGTTTGATCCGAGATGGAATCTTCGCGGTTGTCGAGCGAGGGGTCGGTCGAGGTGGGGACTGATGCGCCCGGTTGGCGATGCTGACGAAAATAGCGAGGAGCGTGGGTGGCGATTGCGTTGTGCAGGGCACGAATCATGTAGGGGTGATAGCGGTAGAAGTCCTCCTGGATGGCGTGGGCAAGGACATTCTTGGCAGCGTCCAGATGCCTGTAGTCGACGTACAGGGTGGACAGCGAGTAGCGGGCAAGGCCTTTGATCTGTTCGACGTAGTACTTGTCTGTGGTGGCGGCACTGGAAGCCGGAGCCAGGGCGGATGAGATGGGCTCCTCTGTAAAGGTGTTCAGGAAATGCTCGAATTCTTGGGCCAGTCGTTCGGCAGTCGTGTCCATGACCTGTTCGACCTCGGGTCTTGGTCCGGCAGTAGGGGGACCTCTTCGACTGCCTCGCACGCCGACGAGTTGGTCGTCACCAAAGGCGAAAGCATCACTTCCCAGACCGGGTGTCTGGCCTGGCGTGCTCACCGATGGTGGGCCTGGGGGTCTCGCACGAGGCCGAGCTATCGGTGTGCGCGAGTCTTGATCCTGATTGTTGTCTGAACGAATGACGGCGTCGAGAAGAGACGACATTTTGGGTGGATGTCAAGTGTCAAGTGTCGAGTGTCGATTGCCTGAGCCTCTGCTTCTGCTTGCCAAAACAACAAAGCAGCCTGTTGTGTTTGGCCAAGCTTCGCAGGAAACGCGGAGTTTCCACGCGAGCGGCGAGCCACCCAATCATGGCCCAATCAGGACTAGTTCCAGGGCTCAACGGAGATTGGACTTTGGACTTTGGACTTTGTGCTCTCCTGCGCCGCTCTGCTCTGTCCAACACTCCACATTCCTTCTCTTGCACTGTCCAACACTCTCCACATTCCTTCTCTTGCATAGCCGACATGAGCACCACCACCACCACTACTGCTGTCGCCCAACCGGCCCCGATCACCGCAGAGAACATTCTCCGCCTCTTCCCTCAGATCAACACCTCTCTCGCCAGTTCTGCTTCGGCCACTCAGGACAGTGATCTGGCTGGTTATGACGACGAGCAGATCCGCCTCATGGATGAGGTCTGCATTGTCCTTGACGAGAACGATTTGCCCATCGGTAGTGCCAGCAAGAAAGTTTGTACGTCTACTTTCCGTCGTCTTCCCCCTACTCGACTTCTGTGCCTGACTCGTTGCGCCAGGCCACTTGATGGAGAACATTGAGAAGGGCTTGTTGCACCGCGCATTCTCCGTCTTCCTCTTCGACAACAAGAACCGCCTGCTTCTCCAACAAAGGGCTTCCGAAAAGATCACCTTCCCCGACATGTGGACCAACACCTGCTGCTCACACCCTCTTGGCGTCCCTGGCGAGACTGGCTCCACCCTCGACACTGCCATCATGGGTGTCAAGCGCGCTGCCCAACGTAAACTCGATCAAGAACTTGGCATCAAGGCACACCAGGTTCCTCTGGACAATTTCCATTTCCTCACTCGCATCCACTATGTCGCCCCTAGCGATGGCAAGTGGGGCGAACACGAGAGTCAGTCATCCTGCGCTACTCTGATCCTGAGCATCCTCAGCTGACCCATTCGATAGTTGATTACATCCTGTTCATCAAGGCCGACGTCGATCTCGCAGAGAACCCAAACGAAGTCCAAGCCACCAAATACGTTACCGAAAACGACCTCAAGACCATGTTCAAAGACGATTCTCTTCTATTCACACCGTGGTTCAAGCTCATCTGCCAGAGCATGCTCTTCGAATGGTGGGGCAGTCTTGACCAAGGCCTCGACAAGTACAAGGGCGAAACCGACATCAGACGCATGCTCTAATCTTGCCCGCATGCAACAAAGACTAGCACAGATTCCCTCTAATCCTTTTTAATACATATGCGATGGCCCACAAATCTGGGATGGCATTGGAAAAGTCATAGCGTTTTGAAAGAGATACCCTTATCATCCTTATTGTCAGCACATGCAGAAACTCCTCCTTAGCAGACCCTCTGTCCACCAAAAGTCTAATGAATCCCGAAGTGGAAGGAGCGATGATGAAAGGCCTGTAAGGGCAGTGGCACTTGCTCAAGATGCCCGCTTCCCTTCAGCCAAAGGCGTGATCTAATCTGCACTCGTCCACATACACGTATACAGCACTATGTTTATGCAACCATCCAGGAAAAGGCTCTTGACGACATACTCCAAGCAGCCGTCACAGACTCGTCATCGCACAATATCCGCCTCACTCACTTCCTACGGCCGACAGCAGCAGAAAAGACAGATTACTTTGACATCGCCGGCCCGCAAGTTGCCATCCAGTCCGAGTTCGATTTCACTATCTCCACCTGTCCAAAGCGATAACGAAGAAGATGAAGCACAGGAAGAGCAGGCAAATCTCAACCATTCCCGCGTTCAAGATCGTAAGTTGCTGCCGACAAGATACATGCTCAGCTTCTCAGCTCACCACAGGAGTACACTCAGACCTTGCGATCAGCCCAGCCAGCTCTTCGGACCCCGAGTCCATCTCTGACGGAGGACCAGCGCTTGCCGTTCGCGGATGGCAGAAGCGCGCACATGTGTATCCTAGTCCTCAGCCACTCAGCTCACTGAGAAGATTGTTGAAATTACGGCCCTCGAAGATACGACTTCTCAAGAACCAATCAGCACCCGATCCTTCGGCAGAGACACTCATGGAGATTGAGAAAGGCGCCGACGGATTCGATTCGACACATCTGGATCTCCCGGTGATGTCGAATCGAAGAAACAGAAAGCGCAATATGCACACCCACCAAGCCACGATGAAACCCACCTTGGAGATGATCAAAGGACCACATCCACCTGTTGAGTTTGACCATGCGAACTAGCACCAATCAGACGACGCTCAACCTACAGCGAGGGGCACGTGAATGACGACTTCTCGGAGGGAGAGCACGACTAAGGGCGAATAAGCTTGCGTCACGAGACACATGTTCATACGATGAGGTTGTAGCAACACAGTCCTTGGCAGGCAGGTATCACAAGCTAGATACAAGCGGTGCGGAAATGGCTTGATTCGATCAGAATGTTTCCTGATCAGTTGTAGATGTGACAGGGAGTAGCTTCTAGTAGACATCGAGTCAGGCTTGAGATGATGGATTAGAATAGCGGTCATGTATACGATGCTGGTTCCGAGAGATAAGATTGATAAGCAAGACCCCAGAAAGTTTCACCAAGTTTGAAAACAAAGCCGAAAGTGGGGAAAAATTCTTGGACTGGTCAGCTTCACCTTGGTGGCATGGAAGTGCTTGACAAGGGTTGAAGCAAGGCAGCAAGATGGGATCAAGTGCCAAAAAGAAGAGAGAAAAGAAGGCCGACTTTCAAAAGACGAAGCTCAAAGTCGGCAAGACCAAGGCAAAGGCGGCCAACTTCACCGACACGAGTTTCAAGGCAAAGTCGATTGTCCTCAACCAGCAGTCGCTCTCGACAGCCGCGCCTTCGATCGATCAGCAGTTCGCGCACCAACTGTCGCTCGCCAGTTCAAAGACCGACTCGCAGCGCCGCGATGCCATCAACTACCTGACCAACACCATCACCGAACGCCCGAACAATCTACCCTTGCCCGTCGCGACCATCCTGCCAAAGATCCAGCCTCTGATCCTCGATGCCTCAAACTCTGTCCGCGCCGCCCTCACAAAACTGCTGCGTGCCCTGCCGCCTGCCCATGTCGCCACACATGTCGATCACATGCTGCTGTACGTGCGCGCCGGTATGACACACCTGGCTGCCGAGATCCGCAACTCGTCACTCGACGTGCTCGAGTGGCTACTGCAGACTGCCGGTCAAGAACTGGTCAGCTGCGCCGGCGGCTGGCTCAAGACACTCCACTGCTTCCTGACCCTCCTGGGCTGGCACTCGGCCACACAACCCGGAAACTGGTCCTCTGAGCGCGCCGTCTCCTTTGGCAAGCCCGGTTCCGCAGCATCGAAACTGCTGATCAAGCAATTGAACATCTTGACCATGTTCTTGCGTGCTGGCTTTACCGATGCAGACGCTTCTGGAAACCCTGCCGCTGCAAACGCCTCCTGTTTCCCTCTGTGCAGCGCCGAACACCAGCTTCTCTACGCTCGATCCAATCCCTTCCGCGGCCTCAATCTCTTTGGCGCTCCCAAGGATGCAGAAAATGCCATGTATGACGACGCTGAGGCTAGAAAGAGAGCATTTGACGATGCAACTGTACGCACAGTAGCCCGTGGTGTTTCGGCGGCGAAGAAAGAAGGTGGTGAGATTGGTAGAGCGGCTTCTGGTTTGGAGAAGGCTCTGCTTGATGGCATGGGCGAGTTTCATCGAGACACCGAGTAATCAAGACAAGCCAACCAAGTCACCTTGTACTTGATCAAATGCTGCTCAGAGACTTTGTGCTTGGAGCATTCACTCCCGTCTACAGGCTCGAGACAGACTCGAGGACATAAGAATTGTTCGCCTGCGCCAACATGCCAACTTCATCACCTCGGGCCCGGTCAGTGTATGAAGGGAGGGAGCTGGTGTAACTACCAGTACGTCATGCGCTATGGCAGTGATATGGCAAAGAGGGGTTCCCACAGTATACCAAGTACACGGCATAAGAACAGTAGACACAAGAGTGTGACAGATAATATAAGCAGCTATCTGTCTTCGTGTAGTCAATTACACGAGCAAGGGGAAAGAAGTACGAGGAGAACCCGAGATTGCGTCCTTCGCACTTGAAACTTTCATCGCTGCCCAACTTCAATCGCCGTGATCCCCTTTGTGCGCCCTGTGTGTTGTAAAAGGTCTGTCACAACTCTCTGGCTTAAAGGTGGCTGGCATCCTTTACCTCGTTGATAATCTCATCATGGCAGTCACAGCCAAACTTTGCCCTGAACTCATAAGGCGCCATGCCATCGAGTTCCTCCACTGCCTTGATTGCCGCCTTGATGTTTGCATATCTGCCAGACTTTGCTCGCCAGACTCCAATAGGCGTCGAGTCGTGAATCATCACTCCCGACCAGAAAAGTGGTTGTATACCGTCAACTGTCTCCTCGCTGTTGAACAAGTTGTATTCGTGGCAGCCAAAGTGCTTTTGCATTACGTTGTGGAGACGAGTCTAATTGTCTGCATTAGTGACCGAACGACTTCATACACAGTCATCTGACTTACCACAGGGTGGTTGTTCGCATAGTCGTCGTAGATTTCCATGTCGGCGAAGAATGGCTTCATGTGTTCATCAAAGAAGCGTTGGACCACGGTGTAATCGAAGTCAGCATCGATAAACATGGCACCAACGTACGCCTCGACTATGTCAGGTAGACACTCCAGTTTGTTAGCATGTATTCGAGAAGTCATCGAATTCAAGTTCTTACCTTGGGTCCTTCTTTTACCGTTGTCCAGTAGTCCATGGCTCCGTGAGATGCAACTTCCGCGTCAGTGATGTCAGTAACATAGTTCGCAATCTGTTGCCGTAAAGAGTCGTGATTGTAGAGCAAATGCTTATGAAACCCAAGTCTAACGCAAAGTGCTCCAAGGAACTGATTGGACACCATTGCCATTTTATGTTCAGTCAGCCACTGAGGATCCTTGTCTGGATGATTGTAGAACAGATGCGTAATGCTCGTCATGTCGAGAAGCGCGTCGCCTAAGAACTCGAGACGCTGATACGACGGAATGCCAGCAGACCATAGATTTGGATAAGAGGGATGATGGAAGGCAGCCTGGAGCAGACGTGGGTATGTGAAACGGTAAGAATGCTCTTTCTCTACATTTTTGGCGAGTTCCAGATTAGCAGCTCTGGCATCAGCAGTTTGATATGCTGGCTTCTCATAGGTACGAGAGTAGTCGTCCCATTCCATCATTTTATGGTCAGGACTGTCCACAAGTTTAGTGACAGCCTTGACAGCATCACGCCAATGTTCAGGCTGCCAGTGACCTGGCTGATCATGAGTGAGAAAGGCCGCACCCATGATTGCTTCGCAGACATCGGCGATGGTCTTATCACCAAGTGCATGCTTTACTGCGTCTGATCCAGTTTTGTTTGCACCCTTGCCTTGCAAGAGTTTGATGCCCTCAGGATACCATGTACGACTATAAATTATTAGCTCAGACGACTTTCATGGTGGCCAGAAGAATTGAGCTTACCGAGAGAAAGAGCTACTACGGATATTCTCGTAGAGTTTCAGCTTCAGCGCTGCGTTGAAGAGATTCTGATTACACAGAAGTAACATGCGTTTCACATGAAAATCGAACTCATTGTCGTTTGGATTTTGTGTGAATGTCGAGATCGAAGTAGCCATCTTCAAGAAGCAGTCCCCTAGAAATTCGAGACGCTCATAGTTCTTCCCCATACCACGCTGGAAATTGATGCGCTCATGATTCTGATGCTCTTCCGTGTTGTCGGAGTCTTTGGTCATGGCTTCCAAAGCCAATGGTAGATCGACCTTCAGGTGAAGCTCCTCACAAGTTTCCTTTGCGATGAGGTAGTCATCGATACGATGTATGACGGCTGGAAACACGTAACAGGTCGTCACGACAGATGTTGGAAGCTATAATACATCAGCTTCAATTCCACTGCAAAATTTTGAACGCTCACAGAAGATATGATCAGTGGCTCCGGACATATGTAGCTTCGGATCTTTGAACCTTCTTGCTCCTCCTTGGTCGTGGGCTCCGCGAGCATGTTGCGTCTATGAAGCACCCTTTCGGCTTCCAAAACAGGTTGATCGAGGTTCCAAGAAGTCTTTTTCATCTTACGTGTCTTGTGCCACAGACTGACAGTATAATCGATAATGTCAGTTTGTCTCTTTGAAGCTACGCAGCCTTCAGGGATGGGGTCCGAAGGCTTGTACTCAGGTGCAACCCTATTTGAGAAGAAGCGTCGTCCACCATCCCATGGATCGATGAAAAACTTGTCTACCAAAAATGGATTAGGCGTATCAGGCGACCACTGCGTACCTTTGTTGTCGCAAACGTAATTCACAGTCGGCCAATCGATAAGCTGCAACGGATCGACTTGGGTGTCTGCAAGTTGAGGAGCGACATGAACAGATGGTATCAACCAATAAGGCATTTCCATCACGTCAAACTCGTATGTCTTGTTGAAAAGGTCCTTGAAGATGCTCAAGGTGAAAGTAGTGAGCTTGGCCAGTTGAGCCTCGTTGATTTCGCAAGCCGTTTTTAGTGAAGTCAGTTTCGCATTCGTTTTGCGAGCGTCGTTCATGAACAGTGGGAATTCTGGGAAGTGTGGCATCTTACCCCTGGTGACAAGAAGGAGAGGTTGGTGAGGTCGGTCCAGTCCGTGTGGCATATCCAGGTGAGTGAAGTACACAACAGCTGGAATCGAGCTCTGTCCATGCTCCCAGAAACGAGGTTTGATGCGCATGTCATACATACCTGTTTGTTTGGAACTCAGAGCTAATGCTGCGTTACGCATCGACGGCAGTTTCTTCGTGTAGATAGGGACGAGATTGGCATCGAGGTGCTTTGCCAGCACGAGTTCCTTGCAAGCCTTGAATGCAGCCGATCGCTTAGCAAGTGACTTCTTTGCCATAGAGTCTCCGATAACTGAGCGGACTGGTGAGGGCTCAGGAATGATGACCTCGCAAATGTAACGTCCACCCTGATTCGTGATGATATAAGCAAGCTGAAAAGCTTCCTCGCCTTCTTTGGGTAGACTGTCCACAAAGTGTGACAAGATTTGAAGTGCAGAGCCAAAAGTGATTTTCGCACCAGTCGTGAGTATGACGTGAGTAGGGTAGAGACTGATCATGTCTTGCGTGAAGATCATATCATCGCCACCCTCAAGCTGACGGTCGGCAGGAAGAGCTTCGCAAAAAGATCTCATGACTTGCTCTGCACCCCGGTTCTTGAACAAAGTATTCTCGTGATCCCAGTTATTCTTGTCCGTCATGTGCAAGAATTTGGAACTCTTGTGTCGTGCACGTCCCCGAGACTGTACATACTGAATCATCGTCTTGCAGATGTCGAAGCGCACCACCAAGTTGCAGTCTGGTATATCCAGACCTTCCTCGGCGACGGAAGTCGCAAAGAGACAGTTCAGTTGTCCCTTGCGGAAGTTGATAAGGGTCACTACTTGATTGCGGAACGTAGATTGGACGTCATCGAGACGACCAGTTCCTGCTCCAATGAGTCGCCCTGCGTGTAGATGAGGCCCTCCGATGGTCTCGAAGACCTTATGAAGTAGGTATGCGGTACTGCGTTGTTCGACGAACACAATGCAGCGATAGTCTGAGGGTCGCTCATAATGATGTTCAAGGTAGGTATACAGTTTCTGGACCTTTTCGCTGAGATCCGAGAGGTCGATTTGAGGCCTGCCAAAGTTGTAGTTTGAAATCATATCCATCGCCTTGCGGATCTGTTCAAGTTCGAAATCGGCATCTTCTATGGTGCCCTTGGATCGCGCCGCCTTCTCGACACGGTTCTCCATCTTTTTCGCCCGGTCCTCGGACAGAGCAAAACCCCAGTATCGATCGGCACACCACTCGCCCAAGTGAGTGCGAACCTTGATAGCCCGCTCAAACAGGTCATCGAGGAATTTGATGCTGCCGAATTGGCTCTTCAAATCTTGAAAAAGTTGGCTTGGTGAAGTGATGGCGTGGTTAGTCGTGTAAGGCAGATACTTTTCATCGGGCTTGGTGACAGCCTTTTGGAGTAGGGTGAGATCGCGGGCCGTAGCGATTTTACTGTGCAAGATGTTCTCGAGGTCCCTGTTGAGCATTAGCACAAGACCATGACAAAGAAGGAAAATCAGGAACGTACCTGGCAGCTTGGCGCACATCGACCCTTGCATCGACAGGGGAGGCAGTCATACCAAAGATTCGGGGTCGGCATTGTATGTCCACCTCAGTCAGATAGAAGTCCTTTATGATCTGGGCATAAGCATGTCCTTTCCTGGCGTGGTGGGCTTCGTCGAAGATCAAGAGATTGATTTGACGCATGGAGATGAAGGAACAGCTCAAACAACTCTTGAGGACGTCGGGAGTGCAGACAATGACATGAGTTTTTGCAAAACGTTCTTCCCATGCTTGCTTGTTCCACTTGTCACTCATCATGGCGCCGCAAAGGCGATCAAGATGGTAGTCGAGGTTGCGCTCAAGCACAGAGAATTGTTGGAAGACGAGTGGCACAGAGGGCACCAGGAAGAAAGAAATGCGATGGGGCTTTCCTTCCAGACGAGCTTGCAGCTCTTCCTCGATCGTGTGGCGCAGAAGTAGGACAGCGATCAGAGTCTTGCCGGAGCCAGTATCCAGCACAGCGATGGTGTTCTGCTGGGTAGCACGCTGAAAGAGGTCAAGCTGATACTCTCTAGGGGTGGTGATGATCTGAGTGGTTTCCTGGCTAGCGAGTAGCTGTCGAATTGACAGTTCATCGTCGGCGGTGGCACGATTCAGCTCTTGGGCGACACTACGAATTTCTTGGACGGCATTCTTCTGTAACCATGACTGGAAGCGAAGTTTGCGAGCTCGTCGTTTGTCAGTAGACGAGAGGTTAACGAGAGATGGGTCAACGTCAACATCACTATCACTATCGCTGTGACTTTGTTGCGTTTCAGGAGGGGTTGTATTGGCCATGTTTGGAAGTCGCGCAAGCCGAGGATGGTCATGCGAAGAGGAAGGGATATGGTATGGATGTTGATCGGTGCGAGGGTCTTAACAAGGGGCAATGCGTGTGAAGGCGAGGGAGTCGGAGCACCATGAGATGAGTGATACAAGCAGCAAGAAAGCGGAAGATACGACACTCGTTGTTGAAAGAAGTGACGAAAAGGTGATTATGTTTGCAATTAACATGCAGCAGGCCGATGCAGCTAAGGTATTCACCTACCTACCTACGCTGGGGTGAGAATGCTTGCTTCACCCAAGCACAGCGGGCCTTTAAGACACTATCCGAATTGTATTGGTTGAGTACAATCACGAAAGGCAGAGTCCGAAATGTGGTTGTCAAGCAAATGGCAGAGGTTTGGCAGGGCGGAGGAAGGTGGAGGTTTTGGCGCGTTGGTGTTTCAGCAAGCTCGGATGATGTCAATTGAACTGGCCCTCGATATCAAATATCGACCAAGACACCAAACACCATGTCGGAAGAACCACAATCACTTCGAGCGCTATGGCAGACCCTCGAGGACAAGCGACGACAGATTGAGGGCTCGTGGGACACAAACTCTGCCGCCCACCAAGCGCTGCTGAATGCCACCGTCAGCGGCTACGAGCAGGCTCTTCGCATCCAGGACCAAATCGCCCTCTTCAGTCCAAATGAATCCGCAGAGGACATCGCCACAAACGACCTACACTACCTCCTGGCCAACTACCGACTCGCCGACCTGAGTCAGCGTGTGTCGTCCGGTGATCGCAAAGCTGTCTTGCGTCGCGCCCAACATTGCTACGACAAGTTTCTCCGACAACTCGACCTCTACGACCTTCTTTCTCCATCTGACGCAAAACTTCTCGAGGAATACCGCGAGGATCCAACTTCCTTCTCCACCGCCTCAACTTCGGATCCTGCTGCTCGCCGCGAGAGAAAGATCCTACGATTCAAGCAAGAGAAGGACCTCAAGCAAAAGCTGCAACATCTACAACAAAATCCTGCCGCTCTACAAAACGACGATGACATGCACCGTCGCTTACAGCTGACTCAGATCGACTTTTGCGTGCACCAATCCTTCCAGTCCCTCGAGTCCATCGCCCAAGAGCTCCACATCCTCTCAAGAGCCCCGCCACCACCTCCGCCAGGACAAGAGACCTTGTCGTCCGATCTCAGAGAGCGTCACAAGTCAAACGATGGCTATTCGGAAAGATTGGACGGTCCCATGTCTGCTGGCTTGTCAGGACCCATGCTAAGCAAAGACGGCAAGCCACTACGTCCATTCACGCTTCTCAACACACGCCAGACAATGCAGGCTGGTGTCTTCCGTCCCGACCACAGTCTTCCTACCATGACAATTGACGAGTACCTGGACGAAGAGAAACGCCGTGGTGGTATGATTGAAGGTGGAGGTGCTCAATCTGGTGTCCAGCCGGAGGTAGATGAGGATGACTTGGACAAGGCAGACGAAGCAACAATGAAAGCAAGAGCTTGGGATGAATATGTCGAGCACAACCCCAAGGGCTCTGGCAACACCTTGAATAGAGGCTGAGGCTGCTCCGAGTCATTGGAATCCTTGCATGCATCTTTCATGTTTCTATCATGGCCCCGAGTCACGTCTAGGCGGACTTGTTGGATCAAGGCTGAGCCAAGCAGGCGCAACACTACGATAGGTACCAGAAGCTGGGGAGTCCAGAGTTTGCCGGCTATCTGGGATGGAGCCATGGTCAATTGTGATTTCGAGACATGTCTCTGACTCGGCGGCTATCGTGTCGTCCTTTTAGCACCATTAGGAAAGCAATGGGAAGTATGACCGTAGGCTACGTGCATCTTCACAACCGACTCCGACGGCGCAGAGTGCCGGGCTATGGGCGATATTCGTTGATTAGGAAGCCATCACATCGGCTTGGGCCTTGTCCTATGCGAAGTCTGTAGTTTTTGTGTCCCTCTCCGGTTGCAACCAGAGATTGAGAGGCTTCCAGTACACATAATATCCCTCCAGTAGCTAGCCTCAACTGAGAAGAGAAATCAACTCTCCAAATACTCCCCTTCGGTTAATCTCCCCTCTTCCAAACCACGGTGCACATTTATGGTAGTCAATGTGATATTCTCAAACACATGGATGATCTGAAACATTCCCAGAAATGGTGTACCATTATCTGGCTCCATAACAGGTCTTTCATATAGTGCGAATGGCAGCGATCCGACAGTAATGACTAGCTAACCTCTGCTCCTTTTGGGAGTCTCTAGCACCTTTGTTCACTTGCGAGTCCAGTACAGTTGACATTACGTCTGGCAGATATCTGAATCCCAGCTCGAGACTCATCTGTGCTTGGAAGCTTACCACTGAGTAGGAGCGTCGGCAGGAGCAGCACCCCAGTCGCCACCAGTAGCGGCAGCGCCAGCACCCTCCTGCATCCAATCGCCCTCGACTGCGGTGGGCTCAGCAACAGCAGCAGTAGCAGCGCCGTTGTTCATCCAGTCGTCAGAACCGGTGGCGCCACTGTCTCCGTAGCCAGCGTCAGCTCCGACAATGTAGTCCTCAGGAGCGGTGTCGCAGCGAACGACTGTGTGACCAGCTATTGAGTGTCAAGAATTAGCATTCCTACCTCGGCGAGTACCATACGATTGTACTTACAGAGACCGCACTGTCTGCAGATAACCTTGTTCCAATCCTTCTTCTGGCTGCAGTCACGAGAGAAGTGGCCAACTTCAGAGCAGTTGTTGCAGGTGATGTTTTTGGCCGAACGAGGCTCGGGACATTCACGAGAGATATGGCCTTGGCCGTCGCAGTTGCGGCAGGTTATCACAGAAGGGTTCGGGCATTCGGACTTGTTGTGGCTGTACAAGCTGTCAGTATGTTGGATTCACTTTGTTGGATCTCGAATGCTTACCCAGTTTCACCGCAGTTGAAGCAGGCACCCATCTTCTTGGGCTCAGTGCACTCCTTGGACCTGTGGCCGACTGGAAGACAGTTAGTCAACGATGAATTTGATAGGTGAGATACGAGATCACTAACGCTGTCCGCAGTTGTGGCATGCGTTGGGGTCGACGTTCTCGTTGCCGTCAGGAACGGCCCATCCATTGAGGGCGGCCTCGGCAGCAGTGGTATCAGCTGCCTGCTTGATGAGTGCAGCTCTGTGCTTCTTGCTGCGTTCGTGAGGAACTCTGTCCTTGTAAGCGATGACCTTGTCGCAGACATCGCAACGGTGAGTGCTGGGGTGTATCTCCTTGCGACCAGGGTAAGGGTGCGAAGAGAAGATGTCTGCCATGATTGTTGATGGAAGATGAAGATCAAAAAGAGGTCAAAGAGAGAAAGGAGGCGCGGATCAGATGTCTGCGCAAGGTGAGAGGTGGAGTTCAGGAAAGAAAGCTCATTTGGTGAAGCAGCTGTGGGTGACAAACGGGGTGCGCAAACAAACAGACCGAGTGAAGTTTCCGCTCGAACGGGCAGGCGCAGATGGTTTCTTCACTTGCTTTGAACTTCCTAGGCGTTTGCAAGACGGGTCCTCACTCATTCACGATGTTATACATCACCCTTGCGGCCGCTCCATCACTGTCAGGCTGACCCAGGATTCATCATTGACGCACTACACACAGTACCGAGAAGGCAGGATACTATCACACAGGCCAATGAGGGGCTCTGTTCATGTTGCTATATCCTGCTTCTGCCTGCGCTGCACTTCACTTCGCCCTTCAGCTTGATCCAGAGTTCCGAGACTTATTCCTGTGCGATTGATAGCGTTGAACCCGAAGAGTTTCACCATTTCGTTCCCAGTATCAATGCATGTAAAAGCCAGCTTGGATTCATACGTAGAGGCAGCAGCAAGCTTTAGGAAGCGATATCATGGGAGCAGAGTCGAAGGCTCCATGTCCTGTCCTGGGATTGGTTGGAAGCAGAGCCTGGTGCCCCCGCCTCGAGCAATGCTGACTAATGTCCCGAAGTCCTTCTATCTTGTTACTGGACCACATTTACAGACCGTCGAGTCGAGATACGCGAAATGGCATAGGATGCGTGAGACGTCGCCTTGTGTAAGCTGGCGTTGTCGAGGATGGCGTCGGAACTGCTTGCCCTTAGAGGAAACTCAGAGCCTCGACCTCCACACCCCAACGGTGTGCTTATCGCGCTAACAGCTTTCCCGTCACGTAATTTAGAGTTCCTTGACCAAGTCGCGGGCAAGGCGGCGGAGGGTGTCTTGATGCTCATCTATCTAGGCGAGCGCTTCTTCACAATGCTTGACACTGTTTGAGTGATACCGCCGGATACCATTTCTCTGTTGTCGAGTACACCACATCCTTTCTCCAACATCTATACCATCCGTGACCAGAACTCTGGACACAGAACAGTATCACGTCTCATACCGGTGACGTTATGAGTAGACCCGCGGCCCTCAGCACTTCCTTGCGATCCGGCAATGGCTTTCTTTCTTCCTCCCCATTGGCGCAACAATCGATACTGAGGGATCTTGCAGATGCTGAAGAGGAGGAAGGGGAAGGTCATAGAGTCGACGTGACTGCGGATGTAGGTGAAGATCTTGTGACCAGTCACGAACAACATTTTTCTCTGGCTGGCTCATACCGAAGAGCTTCCTACGTCGCATCAGGACCGCGATCGCTATTCCCATCGGCTCAGGCAACAGAGTCCAGGCGAGCAAATGAACAAGACCGCGAAGCCGCCCTTGCCGAAGAAAGAAGCCTATTGCGCGACAACCAATTGATCCTCCCAAAACACCCTCGAACTACAAGTGCTTTGTCGAAGAAACCTAGCGGGCTGCTAAAGAAGAGCTTTGTACCTGGATTCGTACCTCGAAAGAGTGGTGCTGATGAGGAATCGGCCATTGAAGACGGAGGACCAGACGAGAATACATCTCTGTTAGGGGATCCTGCTGAGCCTTACGGAGGTGTCGATCCGGATCAAATCGACAAGAGATGGGAAGAGGCAGTCGCCTCGGGGAAGATTAAAACGACATGGCAGAGGGAGGCAATTGTTTTGGCCAGGTACTCTCGGTCCCTGATCTTGACATTTCTCCTACAATACTCCCTTACTGTGACTTCGGTCTTTACGGTTGGTCACATTGGCAAGTTCGAATTAGGAGCCGTTTCTCTTGCCAGTATGACCGCCAACATCACTGGGTATTCAGTATATCAAGGTTTAGCCACAAGTCTTGACACTCTATGCGCGCAAGCTTACGGATCTGGTAACAAGACTCTTGTCGGTCTACAACTCCAACGTATGGTTTATTTCTTGTGGGTCATCACCGTGCCTATCGCCATCGTTTGGGCTTCCGGACCGTACATAATCGGTGCAATCGTACCAGACAAAGCAACCGCGGAACTAGCAGGACAGTACCTACGTGTACTATGTTTTGGTGCTCCAGGATATGCCGCATTTGAAGCGGGAAAGAGATTTGTGCAGGCACAAGGTATGTTCTCGGCGACGCTCATCGTACTTTGCGTGTGTGCGCCACTTAATGTCTTCCTGCACTGGCTCTTTGTCTGGGTAAGTGTTCGCTGTAGCTCTTGCAACTCTGATATCTCTGCTGACGACGACTACTAGAAGTTAAACTGGGGATTCATCGGGGCCCCCATTGCTGTGGTCATTGTAGAGAATCTCATGCCGCTGTGCTTGTTCCTATATGTCCGATTCCTGGGGGGCATGGAGTGCTGGGGGGGATTTTCACGTCTTGCGTTCAAGAACTGGATGCCCATGATCCGACTTGCTCTCCCGGGTCTGGTCATGATTCTTGCCGAGTATCTTGCTTTTGAAATCCTAACACTTTCTGCAAGCTGGATTTCACCTACGCATCTTGCAACACAAAGCGTTCTCAGTACAATCTCGACCATCACCTATCAGATTCCGTTCCCGATCAGTATTGCAGCGAGTACGCGCATTGCCAATCTCATTGGCGCTACGCTTGCCGATGCCGCCAAAGTCAACGCCAAAGTTTCCTTGTATGCTGCATTGATCGTCGGTGTGTTCAACATGATCTTGTTGAGCTCTACCAGAGAATACATACCGAGACTCTTCACTAATGACGCTGATGTTATCGCTCTTACCGCGAAGACGCTTCCCTTGAATGCAGCGTTTCAACTATTCGACTCTCTTGCTGCCCTCTGCAACGGTATTCTACGTGGGCTCGGTCGACAAGAGATTGGAGGATATGTGAATCTCTTTGCCTACTACGTGGTAAGTTGGTTCCATATGTCGTACAGTAGTCATTGTCTTACGAATGCCAGATTGCCATGCCTATCTCTTTTGGCACCGGGTTCGGTCTCCACTGGGATCTTTATGGACTTTGGGCTGTAAGTATCTCACAATACACCCACTCTTCGGGCATAGTCTCATCTAACATCGTTAGGGTCCTGCGCTTGCACTTGGAATTGTTGCTGCTGTCGAAGGCTGGTTTATCTACCAGACCAGTTGGGAGAAGGCTGTCGAAGAAGCTCAGGAGAGAAACACGCAGGGGATGTCATAACAGTGTCGTGCTATGTAGACTGAGTCCCATGCTCAAGATCAACGTCGGTCAATTGGCTGGAGCGCTCCTTGTCCTCCCCGCGAGTTAAACCTTGTCACACCTGTTCACTCTCATTGATCAGAACAGAGCGACAACGAGCTAGAGCAATGCATAATCATATCTCATATCCAGGAATCTACCATAGAGAGTCGTTGACAAGATGTATAGCAGTGCCGTCGCTGCACGTCTGGAAGGGTTTCTGCCTTGAGACAAGTGTGACAGTGTTTCACACTGCTTGTGCACAGCTGAAGCTTTGATTGCGACTTGTGAGGGGTCGGCAAAGTCGCAGAGTGTTTGGCCGACGCGGGGTTGCCCCACTGTATGAGAGGGCACCGCCGCACCCGACGTGACGGCATCTTCGTGTCCTCTAACACCAACTCACATGCATGTCCGAGTCTGTGTCTCGCATGCCGAAGCATCGTAATGCCAGAGACGCTCCTTGGAATCCGCAGCGATGACCAGGGCCGCACCGCAACCATAGCCCCCGGCCAGGAGGAGCATCTACCCGCCGTCTGCGCAAAGGTGCATGCCAGAATCACCGCATTCTTGGCCGCACAGCCTTCTACCGACAGGTTGCGAGGTGTACAGGAGCAGACCCGCTTGAGTCTCAAAGTCTTGGACGAGGCACTTGAGCGATACAGGTCGGTTGTGTCAATTCATGATTACATCGCATCCAACTGATAAGCATTCAAGCCTGTCGGAGTTGTCCCTCTCCTACAATGGAGGCAAGGACTGTCTAGTCCTCCTCATCCTCTATCTCGCTGCCCTACACGCACACTCAATCAAAACCTCGACGCCATTACCACACACTTTGGAATCCGTCTATATCGTCTCGCCACATCCGTTCCTCGAAGTCGAGGACTTTGTACAGCTCTCCATCGATACCTATCATCTGGATCTGGCACGTTACGCCAAATCTATGCGACAGGCCTTTGGCGATTACCTGCATGATAATTCCAAAGTCAAAGCAATCTTTGTGGGGACGCGGAGGACGGATCCTCATGGCGCTACACTAAAGTACTTTGACCCTACAGATCGAGGATGGCCCGCCTTTATGAGGATACATCCGGTCATCGATTGGCATTACGCCGAAGTGTGGACTGTGAGTTTGTTGCATCCGGAACTTGACATGAATTGCCTGGCTGACTTGGATCACAGTTCATACGACATCTAGACATACCCTATTGCTCTCTATACGATAAAGGATACACCTCACTGGGAGGAACCACAGATACACACCCCAATCCCGTCCTGAAAGCAAGCTCGGACAAAAATTCATATCGACCTGCTTACGAGTTGGTGCAGGATGAAGAAGAGAGATTGGGTAGAGATGGATGACGAAAGGGGATAAGACGTCGGACAGATCATGTACCTACAAAGTAAACCAAAGCGGGCAAATGCGCGCCATTTCTTCATTGCACGATAAATTCGAGATGCTCTCGCGTGATTGAAACGTGCAGTGGCAGTGGCGGTGGCAAGAAGGGCACACGATACTCGATATGGTAGTAAACGCGCTTTCTCACGGTGGTGACGACGATGACTTTTTGCACTGAGGCAAAGCCCAACGCATACGAGATGTCAGCTCTGTCGCTAAACATGCTCGGGTTCAGTCGGGCTTTGGCAGGGTGAATAAAGATTCGGGATTCGCTCGCTGGCATCTTCTCCGACACGGCAGACAAACTTTCAAAGACGGCGGAGATCTATCGAGATGGCTTGGCAACGTGCGTGGGGTGAGTACTAGCCAATTACAGCCCATCAAAGGTCACTTTGGCCGGTGTCGCAGATGTCGCCATTCCTGAGAAGAGGAAAAAAGTCACTGGAAATGGCCGTGGACAGAGACGGCTGCTAAGGGCTCGGTCTGAGATGAGCAATTGAACGGCAATTTTGGTCACGCCTCGTTCCTGAGCGGCCGCCTCCCTCGTCCCCGGGTTATTTTTCCAATCTACATTGCCCCCCACTACAACTCCCTTCTCATTGCTCTCCTTTCTTTTTCTCTTAGAACTCTCATTATTTGTATAGAACTCTTGTCGAGTTCCTTATTCAGGTCATCACTGCGGCAATGGCTTCCATCTTGACTGCTGGAGAGGCTGGTAAGTTGCTTTCCCCAATGCTGACCATCCATGGACACTTTATTGACCAAGTCTAGTCGCACGCATTTCATACCTGGCCAGCGACGTTGTCGTCTCTGTCCAGCCATCTCTTGCAACCGACTCCGAGTTCTCAAACTTCTTCACAACCTACCGCCAGAACAAGGCTTCAGGACTGGTCTCAACATCTCCCGAGGTATGTGTTTGCCCCCTCTGCACACAACCTATTGCAATTCCCCGCCTAACTCTTTTTCAGATTATCCCTGTCAAGCACAATGCAGACCCGCTGCTCTCGGCCTTCCAGCCTCTTCGCTCAGGCAAGCTTGTATCAGTGACAACATCGTCCTCGATCCTGGTCCGCTCCGTTCCCCACCTCTTCAAGCTTGCACAGTACCCGGTAGTGTTGCACGTTGCACTCCAACCCGCAGGCTACCCCGATTACTCAGACATTACCTCAATCAGACAGTCAGGCTTTACTTTCCTCCAGTCTGAGTCATTGCAAGAGGCTCAGGATCTTGCTGTGACCGCACATGCTTTGGCTATCAAGTCAGGAAAGGGTGTCATCCACTTCTTCGACTCTGCCAACATTTCAAACGACAATCCCATTGAGCAAGAAGATAGAGAGCTGGTTAGAAAGATTTTGAAGATTGAGCAACATTCAGCAACTGCTTCCACCGAGTCCGGCCTCTACGCAGATGACGGCAAGATCGCCACCCGTACCATTTCTGGCACTGCTACCGGTGTCAATGGTTCAGCCACCCCTGAACGTACCGGAGCATCCTCTGCGCCGATAAGCGATCGCGAGTCATCAAGTGGCTCAAGCACCGACGGTCGCAACGGTAGCAGTGACAGCGGATCCGTTGTCTCATCCAACGCAACTTCCGTCGACTCTGTGCCAAGCCGTGCTATCACTTCCGAGGACATCGACACATTCACCACTCAGATTTGGTCTGAGTTGTACGAGTCCACTGGAAGAAGATACAAGGCTTTCGAATACTCTGGTCCTGAAGACGCCGAGTCGGCTGTTTTCTTATTCGGATCTGACACTGCTCTGTTTGCTCAAGAGGTCGACAAGGCCAACTCCTCAGACGAGTTCTACGGTGCTGGTATCGTTACCGCTCGTCTCTACAGACCTTGGTTGGGCGCCAAACTTCTCGAGACTCTTCCCAAGAGCTTGAAGAGAATCGCCGTCCTCGAGCAAATCCGTCGCAAGACCACTCGTTGGGGACCCCTTCTTCTCGATCTCCTTGTCTCTATCAAGGCGTCAGGTAATGCAGGTCCTCTGATTGTTGGCCACCAGCTTGGCTACATTGAGCCTTCCACAATTCGCCAGGCGCTCAAGGGTATCTTCCAGAACTTGTCTTCCTCCACTCCTATTCAAAACCTCGAGATCGGAAACCATGAGGGTCCTAAGGAAGGCGAGAAGGAGTTCGAGCTTGAGCAACCAAAGGTTGAGAACGCTTACATGAAGATTCTTGATCAGCTCTTCGGAGATCGTCTCCATGTGGCTAACAGAATTGGCGCCGACAATGCCGGCGTGTCGAACGAGATCAGTGCAAATCCTGAGTACGGATTCGGTTCCCTCGTCGCTCGCTCTGAGCACAGAGATCGCTTCATTACTGAGGTGCAGACAGCAGCCAAGTCCGGTGACTTTGCCACCGACGCACCCAAGCAACAGCTCTCGAAGTGGCTTCTGGAGGCTCAGCAGGCATCCAAGGCCAACAATCTTGCGCCTGAAGTAATCTCTGGTTTGACCAGCGACAACTCTCCTCTGGCCACCGAACTCCTCTCCAACAAGGGCCTTTTCTACAAGGAGTCGCAATGGCTCATTGGCTCGGATGCATGGGCCTATGATTTGGGTAACTCTGGTGTTCACCATGTTCTTGCATCTGACAAGAATGTCAACATGCTCATCATTGACTCACAGCCCTACTCTGAGAGAGCTGCTGCCGACGCCGCAAGAAGAAAGAAGGATATTGGTCTTTACGCCATGAACTTCGGCAATGCCTACGTCGCATCAGTCGCTGTCTACAGCTCGTACACTCAAGTGCTGCAGTCCATGTCTGAGGCTGAGCAATTCAATGGTCCTTCCGTTGTTGTTGCTTACCTACCCTACAGCAAGGAGACCGACTCGCCCCTGGCCGTTCTTCAGGAGACCAAGAAGGCCGTCGATATTGGTTACTGGCCTCTCTACAGATGGAACCCTCGCGCCGAGGAGAATGGCGAGGAGAACTTCCAACTCGACTCGGAGCGCATCAGACAAGAGCTCAAGGCATTCTTGAAGAGAGACAACTACCTCACTCAGCTTATGAAGAGACATCCTCAGTTCAGCGCCAATCTCTCACAGTCTTATGGCTCTGAGGTCCGTCAGCTTCAGAAGCGCAAGGCCAAGGATGCCTACAGCAGTCTTCTCGAGGGCTTGCAGGGTGCTCCTCTTACCATCCTGTTTGCTTCCGACAACGGCAACTCGGAGAACCTCGCAAAGCGTCTGGGTAACCGCGGTAAGGCCAGAGGTCTGAAGACCATGGTCATGGCCATGGACGACTACCCTCTGGAGGATCTGTCGACTGAGGAGAACGTTGTCATGTTCAGCAGTGTTGCTGGTCAGGGTGAGTTCCCTCAGAATGGCAGAAACTTCTGGGAGGGTGTCAAGAACTCTACCGACCTGGATCTCGCTAGTGTCAACTTTTCCGTTTTCGGTCTCGGTGACAGCCACTACTGGCCGAGAAAGGAGGACAAGATCTACTACAACAAGCCCGCAAAGGACCTATACTCAAGAGTTCTTACTCTCGGTGGCAAGTCTTTGGTCGACTGTGGTCTTGGTGATGATCAGGATCCCGACGGCTACCAGACTGCTTACAACGATTGGGAGCCCAAGCTCTGGGACGCACTCGGTGTTGGCAACGTAGAGGGTCTTCCCGATGAGCCCCCACCAATCACCAATGAGGATATCAAGATTGCCTCGAACTTCCTTCGTGGAACTATCGTGGAGGGTCTCCAAGACCCTTCTACTGGAGCCATCTCCGCCGCCGATGCTCAGCTTACCAAGTTCCACGGTACATACATGCAAGATGACCGTGACATCAGGGATGAGCGTAAGGCTCAGGGTCTCGAGCCCGCATACTCCTTCATGATTCGCTGCCGTCTGCCCGGTGGTGTCGCTACTCCTGATCAATGGGTGCAGATGGACGCCATTGCTTCGACCTTGGGTAATGAGACTATGAAGTTGACCACTCGTCAGACCTTCCAGTTCCACGGTGTTGTCAAGAGCAAGCTGAAGCCAGCTATGCAAGCTATCAACAAGGCTCTCATGACTACCATTGCTGCCTGCGGTGATGTTAACCGCAACGTCATGTGCAGTAGTCTGCCCGAGCACTCGGAGTACCACAGAGAAGTCTTTGCAAGCTCCAAGCTGATCAGCGACCACCTGCTGCCCGCCACTACGGCCTACCACGAGATCTGGCTCAAGGATGAGAACGACAACAAGACCCAAGTCGCTGGAGATGCCGTTCAGGACCACGAACCCATGTATGGTCCTACCTACTTGCCTCGCAAGTTCAAGATCACCATCGCCATTCCTCCTCACAACGATACGGATGTCTACGCTCACGATGTCGGTCTTATCGCCATCAAGGGCGAGGATGGTCACCTTGCTGGATATAACTTCCTTGCTGGTGGTGGCATGGGTACTACTCACAACAATAAGAAGACATACCCTCGTACCGGCAGTCTTTTGGGCTACGTTTCCAAGGAGAAGGTTCACATTGCTTGTGAGAAGGTCATGCTCGTCCAACGCGACAACGGTGACCGTACTGACCGCAAGCACGCTCGTCTGAAGTACACTATGGATGACATGGGCGTAGATGTTTTCAAGGCAGAGGTCGAGAAGTACTGGGGCGACAAGTTCGAGGAGGCTCGTCCATTCCACTTCAAGAGCAACATCGACACCTTTGGCTGGCAGAAGGATGAGAACGGCAAGAACCACTTCACCATGTTCATCGAGAACGGACGTATCGAGGACACTGCCGACTTCCCTATGAAGACTGGTCTGCTTGAAATCGCCAAGGTACACAAGGGCGAGTTCCGCCTCACTGGTAACCAGCATCTCATTCTTTCCAACGTCAGCGATGAGGAGTTGCCCAAGATGAAGGAGATGATGGCTAAGTACAAGCTGGACAACACCAACTTCAGTGGCCTTCGTCTGAGCAGTAGTGCTTGCGTGGCCTTCCCCACCTGTGGACTTGCCATGGCAGAATCCGAGCGCTACCTGCCCGAGCTCATTACCAAGCTCGAGGGTGTACTTGAGGAAACTGGTCTTCGTCAGGACAGCATTGTCATGCGCATGACTGGTTGTCCCAATGGTTGTGCCCGTCCTTGGCTCGCAGAGGTCGCGTTTGTTGGTAAGGCTTTCGGCGCATACAACATGTACCTTGGTGGTGGCTACCACGGCCAACGCCTGAACAAGCTTTATCGCGGATCCATCATGGAGGAGGAGATTCTTGCCATCATGAAGCCTTTGATCAAGCGCTACGCGAGCGAGAGAAACGATGGCGAGCAGTTTGGAGACTTCTGCATTCGTATCGGCATGATCAAGCCGACGACCGAGGGCAAGTACTTCCACGACGACGTCGCAGAAGTTGAGGATGAAGAGTAAAGATATACCCGCAGTTTCTTGTCAAGTTCTTTCATCAGCATGTAGATTGGCGTTTATCGGAGCGATCGGGTGAGCATTTTGATTACAACAAAATTTGTATATTATATGGATTGTCATGAGAATGAAATACTATTACATCAAAGATAGTCAAGCGAAGTGATAGGTGCTTTGGCGGCGTTACTAGGCTGGTGAGCACTGAGCAGCAGGCGCAAGGTAAGAGACGGCTAGAGACGGGACATGGTGGGCGGGGCCGAGGCGGGAGAGAGACGATGACGATGGTGGTCAAGGTATCAAACCGTGGTAGGGCTTATCTCTGTTAAACAAAGACACATTGCGAGGACAGTATCTTGATCGCGAGTGGACGGCTAAGTTGTCGGGCTTTTGACAGACGCAATAGGAAAGAGCGAGGCCAGTCGGCAATGCCGGGCGCGGACGGGCACAAAGAAGGATTCTTTCATGCACTGGTGACTGAGTGAATGAAGACTCGCAACCAAAACATGCCGTGAGCTGGCACCTCTCTGCCTTGACCTGTACTCGAACTCGACTTTTGAATTGAAGCGCTTTGCCGCGCAATCATGGCTTCAATGTAAAGGTGGCCGGCATTGGCGTCTGACGTGCCTCGAGCTAACGCGTGCGAAAACAGATCTTTGAACGACCTTGTTGGCGCCCTGAACGCTACCTTTGCCCATCCAGACACGACCCATCCGCTACCCGATGACCTGACACGCATTCTGTCCCAATACGTCGGCAAAGCGAGAAAGGAAGGCGATGGTCTACATGACGAGCTGCGCACCGTCTACCGTCACCATGTCGAGGCGCATCCGAACAAGCTGCCTGCTTTTGTCGCTGTCCTCAAGCTCCTACGCCCAGCCATAACCAGCGACTCCCATCTTGCTTCCTGGTTCAGGAATGTCGCCATACCTTTCGTCGACCAGCCCGCTACCAGTCGCTCCGCCATGTCGGACGCCCAAGACTTCGTACTCGACTGCCTCTGCCATGACGACGTCTCTCGAGACGCTCGAGACAAGGCTCCACCCGCGCCTCACCTCAGCTCTATCCTTCTCGATGCTTACATTACCCGTACCACCGCTCACGCAGACAGCCCATCTGTCCAAACTCAAGACTACGCTGCTCGCCAGCTGCAGTCCATGCTGACAGCTTTTGCTCGCAAAAATCCCCACGACTTCTTTGTCTCGGTCGACAACTTCTTGCTCAAATCCGACACACGTCTGCAAGCTCTTGATCTGCTTGCTGCCTTTCTAGAACAACAGCACGCTCATCTGTACCTGGTCCTGGACACAACCGTCGTCGAACATCTGCTCAAATGCCTTATGAACGACACTGCCACCGTTGTAGTCTCCGCTGCTCTAAGATGCCTCATCATGCTGCTTCCACACATTCCTGCTACAGTGGCTTCGCAACTACCGAGGTTGTTCTTGATATATAGCCGATGCCTCTGTTGGGAGAAATTCAGCGCCTCTAGTACAAAGGCTCAGCGCGATCTCGTTACCGATAACCGCGTTCGACGTGATTCCGATTCTGATCCTGACCTCGACTATGATGATGCGACCGATCCTACTTGGCAGGTCCTACGCGCCTTGCCAGACATGCCTGAGTCTTCTGCTCCCGAGCTGTTGCATTATTTCACCTACCTTTATGGTCTTTATCCTCTCAATTTCATGAGCTACGTCAGGAAACCTCGGAAATATCTCAAGAACATCGATTTTCCTGGTGCCGACGAGTTCGATCTAGACCAAACTGTCATCCGAAGCCGCACTGAACAGTTTCAACGAGTCCACTTCCTGCACCCCAGCTTCTTCGCTACCACGGTTGAAGAAGAGCTGAGTGAGAACCGTTGGCTCAAGGCAGAGCCTTCAGAAGTCATTGCAGAATGTCATGGTCTATATGCAGGCGAGCATCCCATCTTCGAGAGCCCTGCTCCGCCTCCTTCAACAAAATTGCCGTCAGTCCCCAACTTCTTATCCTCTGCGCCGGAGCCCACGCACCTAGACAGTCCCACTCTACCTCACCACCCTATGGAAAGTCCGATGGAATCCGCGCTGGAGGCAGCAACGTCCAAGGATCTTTCATATTTGCAGCGGGAGCTCACGTTACTGCGGAATGAGCTCACCTTCGAGCGTTATCTTAAACAGCAACATGTGGCTGCTATTGGTCAGCTCAAGCGCAACCACATCAAAGCTGTTACGGTCGAGGCTGAAACAGCAACTTTGATCAATGCAAATCGCGCTTTACAAAAAAAGTTGAGCGACTCCAACAAGTTTAACGAGAAGATGCAAAAGGAGACACAAGCTCGTAGAACGCACACCAAACAAAGTGAAGAGCAACTCATGGCAAAGATCCGCGGTCTAAAATCGGAGCTTGCAGATCAAGAGACTCTGCAGCTCCGTCTTACACAAGCTTCTAAAGACTGCAACCAGCTTCGTCAACTTCTGGTTGAGAGCGAGTCTCGTGAGTCTAGTAAGCAAGAAGAACTTGAAGCTCTCGAAGCGCGTCTCAAAGAACAAGAATCGATTAATCAGCAGAACGCGGAGCTCAAGCAGGAGGCGCAGGATCATCGAGATCAGGTCGTTGCGCTCGAATCGACCCGTGCAGAATACGAGCTAGCTAAACAGGAGCTCGAAAGCACGAAGTTCATTTTACAGCGTCGCGAACAAGAGCTCGAGAGATTAAGGACCGCGCATGAAGCCAAAACGCAAGAATACGATCTTCGCCTGAAAGAGGCAATGGAGAGCGCACCGGCTTCAGAGCGATCTAACCATGCTGTCACTTCACAGCTTTACGATCAACTCTCAGAGAGTCGCATTCGACTTGCTCAAACGAAAGCAGCTTATGTTCAACTGCTAGAAGAGTTCACAAATCTGCGCGAATCCAGGAGTGTTGCGGATGGAGGTTACCCCATTCCGGGCTGCTCTGGCGAAGTTGGTCACTTGAATCAAGAAGGCAGTGTCAGAAGTCGAAGTCCAGCTGGATCGCATCGCGCATATTACACCGATCGCGGCACGGGTCAATTCGAGCTTTTTGCACCTCACATGGACTTTGGGCGAATCGCCTCACCGGTCTCCTCGTTAAATCAGAGCTATCCTCCTGCACGCCCGCTGCGTCCCGAGGCGTATCAACAAAGAATCAATAGCTCTAATCCGATGTCTCGAGCGCACGGCATGTACCATGACGATCATGCGCTTTATCCTTCGACTGCCTATGGTGCAGCACGTTCAGCAATTGGATCCGATCAGAGCTCATCACCTCCGTCGTTTGTAGGGCGAGAAAGTAATAGGAGTGTTTTCAGTTTCAATTCCGAAATATCGGCGGACCATGACAAAGAAAGCAACAAAGCTAAGCCAGAGGTCCGCATGTATGGACGTGGTGAGTGCTCGTCTCCAACATGATTGCGTGCGAATTGCTAATCCATGAGTTAGGTGGAGCGCAGAATAACAAAAAGAAAGATAAGACTGAAAAGTCCGAGAAGCCGGTAAAAAGTAATGGTATTCGAGGGTTAAGAGGTCTGATGTAGGACCATGATCTCGTAGTCTCTGAATTGAACCGGTCTATTCATGATATGTCTATGAGACCTTCGACATATGTACCAAAGCTAGTCATGTGCACATTCACGTTTGAACGTGCGTCGTTTCGCTGACGTTTCGACGTGATACGCACGGCTCACTATTTCAGTCATTTTTAAACTTGACACAAGTCACCCACGTAGTATATGATGGTCAAGATGTGCGCTTAGCCAACAAGCTTGATACAAGAACCCATGTATCTTCACTAAGAATCACGTTGTACCCACCAGCGAGCGTGGGAGACGCTGGAGGCGAGATGCCAAATCGTGGCAGGGTCGTCCTGGCAGCCACTTGACATGCTCACTTTGGTAGGTCCACTCGATGAACACATACATTGCACTTTTGCGCGTAGATGAAATGGCAAAGTTGTAACATTGAGTACGACAGGCTAAACCAAACAAGTGACCTAAAACTGGGGAAAGGGAAAACTATTATTGCCGCGTATACTTCTTGAAATTGATCTTTATCCTGGACGGTGCTGTCCTGGCTCGGATGTTGGCAATCTCGTTCGCTGAGAGAACATCGTTGGTCGGTAGCATGTTGAGTCTGTTGAGGACAACGAGATTTGAGTCCTCGTAAGGATAGTTGATATCGTCAGAAGGAGCTGACTCTTGGGTAGGGGTTGAACCCTCTGCCTTGTCTTTATCTCTTGCTTCACGTGCTTTGCCCAAGTGTCCTTGTTTCTTGAGCAATTTATGATAGATGTTCCAGATTTTTTGACGTAGTCGTGCATCATCGGGAAAGGGGACGCGTAATTCCTCAACTGATCCGGCTAGTGCAAAGGTCAATCGCATGGTCGCTGGACTGACCGGACTCAGAGGAGTTTGATCCTTTGATGGGATCAGTTTTCGATGCTTCAACCAATTATCGAAGCTTTCGAGGACTTGGCTGGGAGTTTGAGTATCGATGTCTTGCAAGGGTGAAGAGTGATGCAAGATGTATTTGATGGTTTCGAGATCGAGTCGATCGGTGGGAGAGTGGGGATTGCGCTCCAATCTTTTACGCTCTCCAAAGTATTTGCCCATGGTGTATCGATTGAGGAAGGGTACAGTACGTGTGAAGTGACGATCGTCGGCGATATTGTCCGAGCTTGGCTCAACGAACTTGACACAACGGAAAAATGCTCGAATAGTGGCCGAGTCCATGAATCCTGACATGGTCAGATTGATCATATCAATGACATCTGTGATTCTACTGTAGGAGACCGCAGGCCCAGCATCAGCACTTGGAGTCATTCCAAAGGCTATACACCAAGCGTTCAAAATGGTAAGATAGCCACATTCCCAGCCAGAAGGCTGTTGCGCTACGCGGTGGTGCGTGATATCCATGCTGGGCTGTTTGTTTATATCGTCGTCGAACCATAGCGAATATCTAACGACGGTCTTGATTTTACCCTCGTAGAGATGGGAATGGTTCCCACTGTCATAGCAGTGGATTTCAGGCCCATCTGCAGTATCCTTGACGTGAACAACCATCCAGTGAGTTCCTCCTTGTGTCGTGTTGAAGGGCAGGATCAAGTCTCCTCGACGGCCAATCACAGAAGATGGGCTGCCACCTCTAGCCATCTGGTAACTTCCTTCATCGAGCTGGGCAAAGGGAACACCATTCTCCAGCTCAATCGCGGTAGTGACTGAAGCAATTGCTCTGAACATAACAGTGTCCACAAGCCATTCAGGACTCCGTCCTGAGCCAGCGGGTTTGGCAGCATCATCAACTTTAACACCGCTGCGCTTTCGGAGGAGTTTCCATTCGTCCATTCGCCATCTGAAGTAGGAGCACGAATCTACATCTTCTGGCTGTTTCTCGGGTTGAACTCTTAATGCAAACCTGCCACCGGTAGGCTCATCTCCTGAGGAGGTGTCCGTAGCCGACTTTCCATAACGCTGAAGAGCTTGCTCTATGTCTGAGCCGAGGCCATTCACAAGACGAAGACCATACTCGGTAAATGTGGAATTATCTGGACCCGAAGGTCTGTAGTCCACACTTTGGCGGTCTACGTACAGGAAAACTGCACGATCGTCGTATTCTATGATCGAAAAAGCAGGAATGGGCCCAACAACAAAGTCGTCATGGCTTGGATAACGCTGTCCATTGATAGTCAGCTTTGTGCCTTGTTGCACATACGCAAACCACTTGAAGACATTTGCATCAGCAACTCTCTTCATTCTGATGACTTTCTTGGAGCCATCTCGGTGGGTCCTAATAGTGTCAGTCGCGCGTTGGATATCAATGGTCACGGATATTCGTACAGAAAAAGACCCTCACCGGACTCGAGCACTAGAGGCAGCAGAGGATCCACCCAGACTACATCCTCACTATTGCAGGTGCCTTGAATCGTTTGACGAAGAGTGAGTCTGTTGCCGGCGGCGCTAGATGCCTTGTACGTGGTCTCTACGACAGGACCGAATTTTCTGAGAATCTTCTCCATATCGCCATCTAGCTCGGGTCGAATACCAAACGGAGACGGAAGCAGCGATGCTATCGGCGTATAGACCTGATGATGGAACTCCTGAGCCGTGAAATCAACGAGTACCGGAATTTTCGCCAACCGAGCCCTCTTCTGAGAGGACTCGTCGCGAAGCTCCTGGCCTTCGGACTTTCTCTTGAGGTGTCCAGACATTTGCGGTTGAGGATGCTGTTACCCAGTGCTGACATGACATCCTTACAGCATTTATCAAGGATCAGTATCATAAGAAAGACCTTTCATTCACTTGCCGCTTTCGGAAACTCGCCGGATCCGTTCGAGTAGACCAGACAAAGAATTGAGACCCTTATTGGGTGTGTCTGGAAATGGTCCGTGGTCAGCCATTGGTCGTGGATATGATGATTACTGACTAAAATCACAAAGTCCCTAGGTCAAATCGACATGGGTAAAGGAAAATTCATGCAAAGGAGGCTACGTTGAGCCAGGGTATCTAACACGCGGTAATCAAAGAAACGAAGCTCACCACAAAGCTTTCCCCTCTCATCATAAGATGCTTCTAGGACACAAGTCTGAAATTCTTCGACCATGAATTCAGAGCTCGCCCAAAGTGCTGCTGACGGCAATGATAGGCTCAGGCTCGCCGTGCAGTCGGATACGGTAGATGCAGGTCCAGTCTTGTCCCCAGTTGTTGATGACTCGAATGATAGCAAAGTCGACAAAACCAATGGCTTCATTGGCCTCGAGATCGAAGTTTTGAATATGATTGATTGCGTTGATGTCATATGCTGCCTTACCGACACATACGAGGCCGGCTTCAGGTGGCTCTCCACAATTAGGATGAGAGTTGTAGGCGTGAGGTGCTCCAATATCAGCTTGACGCCTGACCCAGATTTCAAACTCCCTGGGAGCTGCTCCGATATCAAGGGTGCCAGTAGAAGGCATGTGTTCGATAGTGATACTGGTTGGCTTCATGGCGCGGGGCATAATAACACCGATCTGGGCCTTTCCCTTGTCATCTGATGCAGCAGCGCACCAGCAATCCGAAGGTTCCTCCCAAGGTGTAAGAACTCGAAATGGTGAAGGATGACCTCGGCCTTGGAAATCATGTAGGTTTCTGTTGACCCAGTGCCAGAGGCCTCCGAGTTGCCGAGGATGAGTGGGTGAAGTATATCTTGGATGCACAGTGGCACCCAGAGTATGAGAGAAGAAATTTACACTGCGCAACCTCAATTCTGTGTTTCGTGCGATGTTTGCTAGAGCAAGGCTGTGTAGTTGCGTTGATCCCTTGCTACCGGGAAGTTGCTTGATAATGTCCGACACCGTTCTCCTCGCAACGATCTCTGTATTCTTGCGAAGGGAGGCCTCGAATGAATGCAGCTGCGCGGAGAAATTCTCTTGGAACGCCACATGATTTTCGTTGACAGCAGCAGCAAGATCTTCTCTGCTGATGACCTTTTGATGTTTGAGTGTCTTCTGTACAATGTCTTGAGCATGTTGCTCCAACTTCTTCTGGTTGGTTTGAACGAATTTGTCCCAAATATTGCCGTTGTCACGCTGATCCAACTTTGAGTCTAGTGCTCGCCAGAAGTCGGGAGGAAATTCGAGTTGACCAGTTTCAGAATTCTTGCGCACCATGATCTGTTCGGGAAGAATCGACTGAAGACGATGGAGACCTTCAGCATCAATTCCTCGAACCTGATGTCTGATGCCTTGCATATCGAGCTCCAAGGTTTGCATACGTCTCGATAAAACATCCTGGCCAGATCCAAAGGCTCGTCGATGGATGGATGAGAAGGGACTCAAGGCGTATTCACCCGCCCTGTAACATACATTCGTGCCCTTGTCCAAGAGGCTGAGCCACCTGCCAGGGCCAAACAGTAGGAGAAGTAGGAGTGCAGTCAAGAGAGCAAGGCAAATTCGTTTGAACAGTGGTGAAAGCTTCTTCCACGAGAATTCGAGATTCTGCCATCGACGGTGGAGCGTCTCAAAGAATATGGAAACGCTCCATGGTCGGGCCGCTTCTCTTTCTTGTGTTGTCGGCGGGGGTCTTATTTCTGCGACTCTCCGAGATCTAGTTGAAGGGGGCATTGATGTCTCGTAGGAAAAGTGCGTCTCTAGGTCGGTGAAACTATCAGCGCCTATGGACGGTTCTCTTTGCTGGAATGCAGAGCCGCCAGTGGGAAGGAAACCATTGCGTCGGTGTCCACCATCGAAGTCATCGTAACCGTCATCATCAGTGCTGTCTTGAGCTTGTGGTTTGAGATAGTAGGGTGTTGCAATTTTTGGTGTTGATCGCACACTGCTGGCAGCGACAGATGACTTTGAAGTGATGGTCTTAGTGCGTGGCTGTTGAACGACAACCGGTGCCTTGGTTATGTTCGGTACGGGCAAAGGTAAGGGCTCAGGAACAATGATGTCGCCGACATCACGGCTCACTGCAGCTCCTCTGTCTGCACGGAAACGCGCCGCAAATCCTCCAGCACTGCCAGAAGGGTCTTCGAGTTGTGTAGACAGCTCAACCTTACCAACTGCACCATAAGCATGCGATTTTCCCGTCGGTACTGCAGGCAGAGCTTTGGGTGTTTTAGGACGAGGCTTGCGACTGCCCGCGACTGACGGTGCTCCTGGAGTTGCACTCATTCGAGTCGACCCACGCGTCCTGCGAGCTGGTGTTTCTGACATTGTGCGTATGTTGGTGAATGGTATCAAAACAGAACTAGACGCATACAGACTGTTGTTGGGAGAATTAGTTTCCGCTTGATTTGGATGATGAGAATTGATGTTTGTTCGTATTGTCCGTGGTGTCGAAAGACTTCTCGACGCAGTCAAGGTTGAAGGTCTGTGAGGGCAGTAAATTGAAACTTGAGATGTTCACTTACCAAGTCTATAAAGTGACAAGAATCTGAAGGTAATGTGAACGCGTGCGCGGTCGTCGCATTGACTCGACTCGAACTTTTGAAGCCGTTATGACCAAGGATAGATTGTTGTTGGACAATCGCTGGCAAGGACAATAAGATCAATTGCATAAAACATTGAGACGACTCAAAATGTTGCGTTGCATGCTACAGAGGAAGTTGGCTGTTTGCGGGCAACATTCCTACCTTGTTCGACCGACCTGCAAAACAACGCGTTCAGAATTGGTCCAAGCGTCGGCATAAACCCTGGCTTGCACAAGAGAGATTCTCAAAGTTCAGCACAAGACCAGAGAGGGTTCTTGATGTCTGTGAATCTGGAAAAGGGGGATGGAATCTCGAGAAAGGAGACACCAAGGTCAAGGAGCCCGACTTAGCCAGCGCGTGGACAACGGCTTCTGGGCGCAGTGGGCGGAGGAAAATGTCACGGTTCTGATAAGTGGTCATCAGCGATGGATGCGCGTTGTTGCACATGAAGGATTCGCAAGCAACTGCACTGATCCGCGGCGGGACGATGAACGCTCAAACGCACTAATCTTGGATACTATGCATGACAAGGAGGGCATCATGATCAATAGAGGACGACTTTTGGATCACGTCCGAGTACGAGAGAAGAAGTTCAACAACGGGTAAAAGGAAAATCTACAGGGCAAACACGAGCAAAGCATGAGATGTTCCGGGTGGGCCGACGGATAATAAAGACAGAGCTGGTCGCAAAGGTCGCGAGAAGCTGGAGTTAGGTGTGTTTAAATTGGCGAGAAATTTGGGGCGCGCTTGTGTCATCGGTTCTTTCCCCATTCACTTCCAAGGGGCAAGGACGGTCTCCACATTGCGCCAGGGTACGACAGAGTTACAGCGTGTGATCCCGATTGCTTGTTGGTCGCATCGGCTGAATAGCAGTTAAGACGACGCAACTCCCCTCTCCCAAACTTCTGCCCGAAACCTTTTTGTCTCAAACACCTGTTTGCTCTTTGTCTCGTCCATCGAAAGCAATCCACCACACAACAATGCCCGTCGGATCAGTACTCGTCACCGGGTAAGTGACGCATTGCGCCGGACTGCCCCGCCATGCGCTGATTGATGCGACAGTGGCACCGGATACATTGGCGGCTTCACAGCCCTCGCCCTGCTCGAGGCCGACTACAAAGTTGTCATCGTCGACAACCTGTACAACTCGTCCGAGGAAGTCATCAACCGCATCGAAACTATCTGCGGCAAGCGACCCATCTTCTACAACGCCGACATCACCGATGAGAAGGCCCTCGAAAAGGTCTTTGCCGACCACCCCGACATTGACAATGTCATTCACTTTGCCGCTCTGAAGGCTGTCGGCGAGTCGGGCGAGATCCCTCTCGAGTACTGGCGCGTCAACGTTGGCGGTTCAATCGCCCTGCTGCAAGCCATGACCCGTCACAATGTCACCAACATCGTCTTTTCGTCCTCAGCTACCGTCTACGGTGATGCAACACGCTTCGAGGGCATGATTCCCATTCCAGAACACTGCCCGTTGGGTCCCACAAACCCCTACGGAGACACCAAGTACGCCATTGAGAAGCTGATCGGCACTCACGTCGAGGCCCAGCGTAACAATGCAGAGAAGAAGGGCGAATCTGGTGCTAAATGGAACGGTGCGCTCCTGCGCTACTTCAACCCTGCTGGCTCTCACCCTAGTGGAATCATGGGAGAGGACCCCCAAGGCATTCCCTTCAACCTGCTGCCTTTGTTGGCTCAGGTCGCTGTCGGAAAGCGTGAGAAGCTCCTCGTGTTTGGCGACGGTAAGCTAACTGTTCATTCGGACATCTGCAAAAGATCGAGACTAACCATTATGCAGACTACGACTCAAAGGACGGCACAGCTATCCGTGACTACATTCATGTCATTGACCTCGCACAAGGCCATCTCAAGGCACTCAACTACCTTCGTGAGCACCAGCCTGGTGTACGCGCCTGGAACCTTGGCACCGGCAGAGGATCAACCGTATTTGACATGGTCAAAGCCTTCTCGCACGCCGTTGGTCGCGATCTCCCATACGAGGTCGTCGATCGCAGACCGGGTGATGTTTTGAACCTAACAGCTATGCCCGCCAGAGCCAACGAGGAACTCAAGTGGGAGACCAAGCTTTCACTCGAAGACGCATGCCGCGATCTGTGGAGGTGGACTGAAAACAACCCTCAGGGCTACAGACAGCAGCCACCAAAAGAGTTCGTCGAGCAGGCTCTTGCCGCGCGCAAGTAGGCAGATTGAGTCGAGGATGATGGTAATGCTTGAAGACAGTTTTCTTTTTTGCACGCATAGATTTGACGCCACGGACGCTTTTTTTTGTGGCTCTCACATATTATACCCAAAAAGTACTTGCGACTAGGTCTGCAGAACTAATTTAATCCGTTTTTGGAAATGTAAGAGGTTACACACGTAATGTCCGCGAGAATGACGTAGGTCGGCGCATGACGCGCCGTTGTTCAGTCAATCAATGAATGTGTCGGCCATCAGGAAACACACAACAACTTGATCTTGATTCATTCACAATCGTAAATCATCCATCACATTGACCTCTCACTCCGAAAATCGCTGCATTTATTCTAAACATCAAACATCACAACTCACATTGAATTATTGTCATCATCATGGCTCCTAAGAGACGCATTTCAACACCTTCGACCGCCCAACGTAATCAACAAGCCACCATATCATTTGGCAAGCAAAATACCCGCGTCACCAAAACCACACTCGCACAGCGCGACTTGAAGTCGACCAAGAAAGAGTCGGCTCTACTCGATGTCGTGTCTGAACATGCTATCAGCCAGCCCACTACCGATGAGGCCCCAATCGAAGAACAGATCGAGGATGAAGTCGTAGAGACCAAGCCCTCGAAGACCAAGACCGAGATCATCTCCAGCATCAAATCAGATGATGACGAAGCTAGAGCAAGAAAAATCACCGAGACCCAGATCAAAAAGTACTGGCGAGCAAAGGAGGCTGAAAGGAAGGCCCCACGCGTCCATCAACAAGGACTGGAGGTCTCTGAAAAGATCTTGAGAGAGTTCGACATGAGCGGACAGTACGGTGTAAGTTTGCACGCAAGTTTTGGCAATTTCGCACAATCACTAATCACGTTGTATGCAGCCTTGCATTGGCATCGCCAGAAGCAAGCGCTGGACAAGAGCCAACAATCTAGGTCTCAACCCACCTATTGAAGTGCTAGCTGTCTTAGTCAAGCAGGGTGACAAGAACAAGAACAGAATGCAGCGTGCTCACGTCGATGAGCTGATGAACACGAAGTTCATCGAGACGTGAGAAGAGAAGAAAGTCAACAGAGGCAAAATGATCATGAAGAAATGCATAGAATGGGAGTTGGCGGCGTTACAAGATTGCTTTACAAGATACCCGGACTATGGGTTTGCTATGGCTGGGAGGGAATCACGACCTAGGGGTGAATTACGGCATTGCTCAAGATAGTAATAACAACAAGGATCAGATCTAGACACAACTTTGTTGATAAAAGAAGAATCGCACGTGAAATGATCCGAGTTGGCGTTTTTGCAGAAGCGCAAGCTCCAGCTAGGCAAAGCAACTTCATCTTCCTTCCCTCACAACTCAACAGCAAGATCAAGATGTCGGAAGCTCTCAATAATGCTGAAGGACTGATTCCTCAGTTCAGCTTCGAGAAACTCTTGAACCAAGGTATCGAGAATTGTACATTCAGCCAAGGCACAGGAAGATGAATTGTAACGACGACGACGCATACTAGACCAAGCCGGACGCCGCATCGTCTTACAGGGCACCATCGCAGACCAGCCAGCTCTGCTGCTCGCCGAGCGCGCCGCCTTTGACTCGCAAGACTCGCACCTGTCGACCTTCAGCACTTCTTTATCGCAAATCCAGAAGCTCGGCGACAATGACATCTACCGATGGTACATGGCCCACAGCGGCGCCGGCCAAGGGCAGCCACCCGACTTGAAGATCAACCTCATCTACCCATGCACCGACCAGCACCTCAAGAAATACTCTGCTCAAGCCGTCCGCTATGTCACAGAAACGCCCGACATCTACCGCGAGCACGTCCGCCCATTCATGAAGGCCAAGCGCGACCAAGGCCGACTCAATTGGGTCTTCAACATCCTCGACGGCCGCACCGAGCAAGAAGACGTCTTGTTCCGCTCGCCCCACGACTCCACCGCCGAGGATGAAAGATATCTGTTGCTTCCAGATCTGAACTGGGATCGTAAGACGCTGGGAAGTCTACACCTGCTCGCACTGCTTGAACGCAGAGACATTTGGAGTGTCAGGGATCTCAAGAAAAAGCACGTCGCTTGGCTCAAGCGTATCGTTGCAGACATTGCCACTACTGTATCTCGCTTGTATGCCATCGACCCGGACATGCTCAAGTGCTACATACACTGTAAGTACACCGCGTCCCTACACGCTCTGCTCGCACTGACAATCTCTTGCCAGATCAACCGACCTACTACCACTTCCATATCCACATTGTTCATGTGTCGCTAGAAGCTGGCGCGACACAAGCTGTAGGCAAAGCCTTGTCGCTCGACAACATCATCTCTCAGCTCGCAAACATGGCTGGCCATGACGAAGCTGGCATGGACAATGTCGATTTGTCTTTTACACTTGGAGAAGCCAGTGAGCTATGGACGCATGTCTTCTTACCTATCAAGGAAGGACGTTCACAATAGATTCTTATCAGAGGCTAGAGAGATCCAAGAACCAAAGACCCAAGCATGATGACTGACTATACTCATCTTGTGATCTTAAGTGACCTATACTGCACTATAAATGCAGACCATACACGAGACTTGGGTCGTCTGTCGCAGGCACTCTGTAGGGAGTAGTGTCAAATGCAATGTTGTATTGATTCTCACTCCAACTATGCAACTCTGCCCGTGTCCAAGACCTGCCCGTCCGTTCTTCCAGGACTCTTTTTCCAACCACCACCTCGTGAATTAAAACTCCTCGTATCTTTTTTTACGCTATGAAAAATAACGCCATCGCTGTGCAGGCAAAGAAAGTAAAAATCATCCATGCTCCAAAGAAGCCAGCTTCTTCATCTCCCCGGATGCTCATCGTCGTTAGTTATTCTTGTTGTGCGTCCCTTGTCTCCTTTGTTGGACTTGGATGTAACTCGAATGCAGAGTTCTCGCGTGTAGGACTCACACACTCGCTCAACCTTCTCTCAAACCACTCATTGGCAGGATTCAGAGATGAATTGCGTGTCGACAGTCGACTCTGTCGGTCTGCTCTTTCCAGAGCCAATCTCTCCGCTGCTTGATCCGCCGCCCTCGTTGCTCGATCCGAGGTGCCAGAAAATGTCTTTTTGTGCATGGGGATCATCGGCTTACTGCCATTGACCGAGTGTCTCGCGCTGAGACGGTTTGCTTTTGCCGGGCTGTGTGCTGATCCAGAGGCTTCCTCTTCATCTCTCTCCAAAGATGGTAATCTTTTTGGTGCTGGTGTTGCCCAGCTTCTTCTCTTCTTGCTTGTGAAAGTCCAGAATTTGAAACTGCCGAGAAATGTGCCGTCGGCGCCTGGTACGTGTTGCCATGGCTTTTCTCTCCATCCAAAGACGATGCAATCGACGGTGCCGGCGATTGTCACGCAGAATGTCGATAGAAGTCCTAGAATGGGGATGGGGTGTGCGGCGTATTTGTCGCTGTAGTTGAATGAATGGTAGACGAATGGAATGGTCCAGACCATGAGGTAGGTGATGGGATAGATGAATAGTAGGCGCAGTTGTCGTTGGATAGCTCGTCTTCTCTTCTTAAGCGGTGTGTCTGCTGAGATAAAATCCGTCTTGTCTCCACTCGTCATCTGATGCCCCTCTTCAATTGGTGCAAGGTTGACTGGAGAGGTTGCAACAGCAGTGGTCATATCTGCGGAGCTTCTCCAGGATGCAATGGTTGATACGGATGGTCTTTGCAGTTTCGCTTCTTGAGGCACTTGCAACAAATCGTGCTGGACGGTTCCATCGGCAAGGATGATAACGTGACTACTACGTCTCGAGTGGTTTGCTGATGGCAGTTTGAATCCTTCGGCTGAATCGTTCAAGGAAGTCGGCCATGTGGATTGACTACCTTGACTGGAGCTACATGTTGGAGCTTGACTGATCGAGGTGTTGCTATACGTGAGACCAGACAGATCTTGCAATTCACCAGCACCGGGACCTCTCTTCTTCGATATTCTCAGCTCTTGAGTCCCCTCTCCAGGCATGGTCCCGAGACTTGCCGCTCCGTAGCCGTTAGTACCAGTACTCGAATCTTTGTCGTCCTCCCGAGCAAAGATCTTGAAGCCTTGGCCAACATGAAGGTAGATTCGAAAGGCCACAAACATGATGTAAAGCCAAATGAGGTACCGAGGGATCCATTGCAACGCAAGTCGATACCAGTAGGGACGGATCGGTAAGGTGCAGAACGGACCTTGTGCAATGTATCCTTCACGCCCTCTGACGAAAGCAAGGACGGCACATAGGAACGGGAACACGAACCATCCTGCCATCACAGTATGTCGGAAACGGTAGAGGCCATCGTGGCCAAACACTTTACTACCAGTGTTGAATATCTGCAGATACATATGCAACGACATGATCAAGATCGCGTAGTCTGTCGAAGAGGGTCAGTGTTGTCCAAGCATGAGTTCCATGGTAACTTGACACATACCACAAGCTATGGTTGATGCCTGTAATAGAAATCCGAACCCTTGGCAGAATGACGAATGTGTGTCGATTGAGCCTCGACGCAGGGAAACACCAGAGAAGCTTATATACCATAGTGATTTGAAGAAGTCGGCCAAGACAAGATATAGAACCAAACTGCGAGTTGATTTAGCAAACCATTAAACTTCTTCTGGGACACTTCCCCAACTTACTTTCTCCTAAAGTTTCTTCTCATCATAAAGAACCAGTAAATTGTGATCAATGTGCCAATCACACTGGAACTCGATGAGATTGTGGCAACGATTCGAATTGCTCGACTCCATTCTGGTGAGATTACAGTCGAGGGATTTAGAAGGTGACCACCGAGACCCATATTGTTTGCACGTCGCTCCGGTCTAGTGAACAGCAGTTCACCGCGCGGTTCATGGGAAAGGTAGCGCTGTTTAAGAGATGTAGCAAGGGAGAAAAGGGTGCACCCATTCGAAGAGAATGATTGTTTAAGTCGATTGAAGTCATCTCCAATGGCCGTTGCCAAGTCCATTCTCTGTTTCCTAGATGGATGTGCCGATCAAGACTGTTTTGACCAAAAGTGCGAGTTGCTAAGTTACTGCCGTTCGAATTGAGCCGCTACAATCGCAACGGCATCAACGCTCAATAATCTTATGGCCGAAAAAGTACTCACAGACGACCTCGTTACTGTTCTAGACGACTCTACTGACCAATGTCTCCTGACTCGAATTAACATATAGGATCGAAGACGTTGGTGACACGAGCAAGAAGACAGACCAAGAGATGGACTAAGCAATTTGGACGTCTTGATAAGGAGCAGACCAGTCGCGTCTTGCATCCATCAATAAACACATTTCCATGCAGATACCGATCGGCAACAGAGATCCCGTTTGCAGTAAGCACAGAACAAAGGCAATAAAGGGGGAAAGACTAGAGCAAAGGAAAGAGAAAAAGAAGATTTGCCGAAAGCAACCTTAAGGGAGCTTAAAAGTCCCTATGTGAGACCATGTCCTGAGAACACCTGAAAGTCATGTAGGCATCTGCTCTGATCTTTCGTCAACCCGCAGTCTTCTACATGCCTCGGGAGCGTGCAGTGGTTGCGGGCGGTGCAAGAGGAATGTGTTCGTTCCCTTTTGAGAAACGTCATTGTTGGAAGGGAATCGTTGGTCAAACGGTTAATCATGCCGACCGCCCGTCTAGTCCCACATACCTCGTGAATCATGGATAAAAAGGTCTGAATCCACATACACGTGTGGCCGTTTGCATGAAATTCAGCCCTCGGGCTTTCAGCTTTTGGTGTCCGATATTTCCGGATATATGCCTCAGTCAAGTGACTGCGAGAGTGCAATAAGACTGAAACGCAAGTCACCGCCTCCAGCTTCAGCTTCTCGTTTGAGGAAGCTACGGACACCCATATCAAGAGCTTTGTCGCTCAAGACGTCGTCGTCGACAGTCAAGAGACCCCTGTCGAGGGGACCCTTGCGACGACCGTCCATTTCCCACAGGTGATTGTTGGCCGACTTGACAAAGCAGACGTAGTGCAGGTCAACATTGTCCTCTGCGGCAGGAGCGGAGGTATCGCCGCCAGTCGCGGCAGCTTGGTGGGCGCTTTCGAGAGCTTGTGACTCGTATAGCAGATCGGCGCGTTGAGCAGGCTTGAGATTGATGGCGTCTTGGAGAAGTGTTGCGAGGTCGGAATCGGGGGTGATGAAGTCGCGGGCGGCACCATTACTCACGGCATGGAGGACACCGATCAAGCCGCAAGCATTGCCAATCGTCTGTTTGTACCACACAACCTCCTCGTTTGGACCAGAGCCTTCGTACTCTGCCTTGTCGCCGTCCTCGCTGCGGCGGAAGGATTCATACGTGTCGCTGATTGGGAAGACCAGGAGTAGGGCGCTTGCCGGACGGGGCACGAAGGCGAGTAGTTCGGGTTCGTCAATACTGAAGACATCGTGAAAGGCGAGTTGCGACGAAAGTCCGAGCTTGTGTAGAAGGGCGCTCATGACTTCGGGATTGTTCTCTGCGCGCCATGTCAGTTATGCCACAGCCCAGCCCTTCCTCGAGCATCCAGACTCACCCAGCGGCACAAAGACTTTGGGCGCTGTCGACGCAGCTGATGCTGCCCCGTCACTACCCGCCTTCGATTGCTCAATCGACGCCATGGTTAGATCGTGAAAGTCTTGTCGTCCTTGATGATGTTGCGTACAACTGAAGACGAGCTTCGCCCTCCGCCATGTGATTGCGTCACATGATTGCCCATCAGGGTTGCATACCCCCATCAACCAATCACGACTGTCCTCTCACATGTCACCACCACATGAACCATAATTCATCCATTGATTTTGATCGAAGATATACATCAAACACTTTGTCAATCCGAGCATCCTTCCAACCTAGCGCCAGCGCTTTCGCCTATTTCTTCGAATCTACTAAAACTTAATTACTTCTTAGGATTAGCTATTGACATTTAGTCCCGACGAACGCCTGTTGATGCTACGCTAACCATTTCAACTACAAGACAACCTTCTTCTATCCTCGCTTGCTGGAGAAAAAGTGTCGCTTCTTCTTTTCCGGCTCTTTCTGGAGCTTCGAGCTGCTCTGTGCCGGAACTGGTGTCGCTGAGCCATTCGGCTGCTTGGAGTTCAGGCTCAGGTTGTTCATGGCTGCAGTGGGCGCTTGAGTCTGAACGACAGGCTTCAGCGGTGCTGCCTGCACTGGCCGCGGTGCTGGTGCTGGCTCACGCTCGAACAGATGAGCAGGGGCCTGTTTAGGTGCTTGTTCGGCAGGTATACCAAGCTTGCGTTTGTCCGTACTGAGATCTCCAACCTGACGGATGAAGAAGGCTGGGGTGAGCATGTGACTGGTCAACAGGAACACCTCTTTGTTGCTCTGCCGTGTCATGTCGTAACAAACTCGACTCTCCGAGTACGTTGCACCGCCTGCCATGAAAACAATCACTCTCTGCCGAGGTTCAGTAGTCGATGATTTCGCCTTTGCCCATGTTGGCTTAGCCGATCGTAGAGAAGTAGGCGCAGGACCAACATCAGCTTCACCAAGATCAATCGGCGGTTTTATGTAAGGGAATACTGTAGCGTCGACAGTGTTGGTCGTGTGGTTGGCCAGAAGTCTTTGAAGAGCCGTCTCAAAACGACTCAGGGCATATTCTTCTTGCACCAAGGTCGGTGGTGGTTTTTGAGGGAAAAGAGGGATAGGCGGAGGACGCGAATCTTTGAGGTTTCGGGATGTGCGTACTCCCAAGAGGCTGAAATTGTGCAACATCTCGGCATGTTGAGGCGGAAGTTGTGCATGAAGTAAAAGTTTGACGAGATCCGCCGGTAGAAGACCGTCCTTGTAGATGAGATAGAGCGCAATCAAACGTAGCCTGTCGGACGCTACGATCCCATCATCGTCGAGGGTCCGTACGACTTGATCCGTTATGTGTTTGGGCTTTCGATAGTCCTCGTCAAGACCAGTGGCTAGAATCTGCTCAACTGAAGCCATGTCTGGAAGCTTGTGACGTTGGAACAGATCCATACATTCTTGGGCCATACCAAGATGCAGTGAATAGGCGCCCTTCATCTCCTCGAACTGCGGGAGACCAGCCAACATGTCCTTGATTGTGTTCAGACCATTCATACCACTAGGATCACTCTCTTTGGTAAAGTGAGGATTCTCGTCTATGAATTTTTGAAAGTCACCCATCAACTTTTCGATAGTGTCTTTCATGTGTAGATGGCGATTTTCTGTCCAGATGCGATCTTTTTCCGAGATTTCATAATCCTTCTCCTCCTGCTTGGGGGTGCCTTGATTGACGATGGTCTTGTAAGTGATCTTGTCACCTTCGCGAATGGGTAGCAGATCATGAGCCATGGCCTGGTAGGTGAATTCATGGAGCAAAGGAGCAAGGACATCCATGGACCTGTCGGTAATGTATAGAGTCGCACGAGGACGATTGCTTGGTGGAGGAAAGTCCTTGTGGAAGTTTGCGTACAAGTTGAGCTCCTCCTGGACAAAACGAGCGAGGTGAGAGCACAGTACACTGGCTTCGTGGGTGGGAGTACGGGGACGGTAATATCTGATGTCGGGAAATTCGCCGAGGGCAACACACACGCCGACAATCTTTTGAGCGAGGTCTTCCATGTGCTGCCGGATCAGGTTGTTGCAGGCAGGGTGAAACAAGATTGGAAAGCTCCAAGGGTCGCGAAAGGTGACGAGATGGGATTCGCGAGGGAAGAAGTCGATGTTGAGGACGCGGAAGATGGTGATTTGATCGCGGGCGACGGAGGACTTGTCTATGCGGTCCTTCATGTGCGGTGGCAGTAGCGAGGTCCAGATGAGATTGGTCTTTCTATAGCGTCGGCGATCAAGGTCGGCCATGACACAGTCGACGATGTGGGAGTGAGGAGAGATGAGATAGATGGCATCGACATCAGGGTTCTTTGGGCGACGATCTTCGATCTTCTCAATGTCTACAGACAAGAGGGAGTCAGGGCTATGCAGGGAGTGGGGGCCATCAGGGGGGTATGGATACTGGTGATGTTTTCGGCCAAGATTTCGTCTTCGTGTAGGAGATTGTCGAGCAGCTTCTTGCTAGAGTCGTCGACAACCAAGACCTTCCACTATTGAAAGAGTGAGCATTCGAGTGGGACAAGCGGGGATGCGGTGGTGAAGGAGTGCGTACCTGGCCTTGGGTGGTGGAGCGGAGTACATTTAGAATGACTGTGGAAGTCTTGTCAGTGAGGGTGAGAATGTGCCGGCGAGGGTCGACATACTGTCGCGCTGGGCGTCTATGATCGAGACGCCCATACTGAGGAAGAGAGCGAGGGTTGTCGAGGTAGAGTGGAATGATTAGCTGCTCGATGCGGCATGGCCGATGCTTGACGCGACCTTGAAATGCGGAGAGTCGACTCGATGTGCCAAGACTGCCCGACATGCCCGACATGCCCGTCATGCCCGTCATAGTCTCTTCGCGCCTGCGCCTGAATAGCCAAAACGCCCGCGAGCTTTGTGGTAATTTTGAAAATTTCCATCTGTCCAACTCGTAACCCGGCCAATTTCTTTTGTCGCCAACCAGGGATAAGTGTGGGAGGTGATGCTCGCATCGACTCGCCAACCAGGCAGATCCGTCTTCCGTGCCTCGTCTGCTCTGCCCTCTCTCAACACCCCGACATGTCGCTTCTTTGGAACCACCCGCCACGTCAATAGACAATTTACCCTTTCCTACTCCCGGGACAAGAACCATGACTCCAACAACCGCAACGCCAGGAGGAGGGACGCTCCTACCAAAGGCCGACTCTCTTTTACCCGCAATGAACAGGCTCGCCCGAGGCTCAAGTTTATCGACGTCCTCAAAGGCCAACTGGATGCGCTCAAGCTGGAATTGAACGGCACTCCCATAGGTCAAGACCTCGAAAGCAAAGGCAAATTCAAGGATGTGTGGAAAGCCTTCACATCCGCCATCTTCGCTCCTGGCGACCAATCTTCCACCCAGCCTCTGGTTCTTGCCCGAAGGAAAGAACACCAAGCTCTTCGTGATGCTTGGTTCGAACGAGGTGTCAACGGCTTGAACGACCGCATTCGATATGCCTTTTACGACCACATCACCACCGCTCGCTTCACCCCCTCCGATATTCGCAACCAGAAGAATCTCGCCGATCTAAGATATCCCACTGAATGGTACCCCGCCACTCGCACCATGCACCGAACTATACATCTTCACGTTGGTCCTACCAATTCTGGCAAAACTTACCACGCCTTACAACGCCTGGAGCAAGCTGATTCGGGTGTCTATGCCGGTCCCCTGCGCCTGCTCGCTCACGAAGTCTACACAAGACTCAATGCAAAAGGCAAGAACTGCATGCTCATTACTGGAGAGGAAAAACGCGCTCCCAGTGATGATAGCCTGACCTCCGACCTGACCAGTTGTACTGTCGAAATGATGCCTCTCAACAAGGATGTCGATGTCGCAGTCATTGACGAAATCCAGATGATAGGCAATGCCGAGCGAGGTTGGGCCTGGACTCAAGCAGTACTCGGTGTCAAGGCTCGTGAAGTCCATCTGTGTGGTGAGACTCGCACCGTCCCCTTGATTCGGGAGCTGTGCGCTTCAATTGGAGAGAAGCTCGTCATTCACGAATATGAGCGTCTAAGTCCCTTGCATATGGCCGACAGGAGTTTGCGGGGCGATCTGAAAAAGCTGCGAAAGGGTGATTGTATCGTCAGTTTCAGTGTAATGGGCATTCATGCGCTCCGCAAGCAGATTGAACAATCTACTGGAAGAAAAGTCGCCACAGTATATGGTAGTTTACCACCGGAGACTAGAGCGCAACAGGCACGCCTGTTCAACGATCCTGACAACGACTACGACTATCTCGTTGCTAGTGATGCCATTGGTATGGGTCTGAATTTGAGCATCAAACGCGTCATCTTCGAGTCTTCGGCCAAGTTCAATGGTTTCCGTCAAAGCACCCTGGCTGTTCCGGACATCAAACAGATCGCAGGACGAGCAGGTCGTTTCAAGAGTGCTTATCAGGCCAACAAAGCTTCTGAGGAAGCCGTCGCACAAAGCCTTGCCGAGGTAAAGGGAGAATCAGAACCTGGCAAAGAGACCATAATTGAAGCTCCTGTCGCGGCCTCTCCCTCTCAAGATGTGCAGACATCGACCGACGCCGTCGAAACCGAGAAAAATCTCGATGCTGCGAAAGAGCCTACCACTTCTGAGGATTCAACGTTAGGCCTCGTGACTACGCTCGAAGATTTCGACTTTCCCGTGATCGCAAAGGCGATGACCACTGAACCCGAGCCTATTCGCTCTGCAGGAATCTTCCCTCCAGCAGCCATCGTCGAGAGTTTTGCCTCGTATTTCCCTCCCGGTACACCTTTCTCTTACATTCTTATGCGCCTGCATGAGCTTTCTCAGATGCATTCAAGGTTCCATCTCTGCGGCTTGAAAGATCAACTCTGGATAGCCGACCTGATTGAACCTATCCAAGGTTTGACTGTTACAGACCGCAATATCCTCTGCGCATGTCCTGCATCCAAGACTGATAAGGATCTAAACAAGAGATTGATCCCTGCTCTGGCTCGTTGCATCGAACAACAAAGTGGTGGTGCTCTTTTCGATATTGAAGAAATGCCTCTTGAGACATTGGAATTGGAAATGTCACCGAGCAGAGATTATCTCCGCCAGCTCGAGCAATTGCACAAAGCTGTTGTTGCTTATCTGTGGTTGAGTTATAGATTCGCCGGAATCTTTTCCACACGCCCGTTGGCTTTCCACGTCAAAGGACTTGTAGAAGAGAAGATTGAACACGTCCTTCATCAATTCTCTTTCACCGAGAACCAAAGGAGGAAGATCAAGGCAGCACGAGAGAAGGCATTGATGGAAGACTTCCGAAGAGAGTCTCTGCTCGATGTTGAAGGAGAAGATCAAGAAGCGACCGAGGACACGGATCAGCAAACCAGTGTAATTGCGGGAGGTGATTCATTCGCAGGAGAGACAGATCTCGAGATCATGGACGCAGCCGAGAGAGAATCGAACGACGAGTCTGCACAGGTTGTGGACTCGGATGATCTGGCGCCCAAAACAACATGACTTGGCTGCTGAGCACACATGGCGCGAAAAGTTATCTTGCATCATGTGTACAAACAAACATTGGTCCAAGGGATATAGACAGCATGTATTATAGTAATGAATAACGTCCAAATTAGAAGAATTCAAGTCGCAAACATGACGAGTTGCCAACTTGAGAGACGTTGGCTGCCGAGCCGCGGCGTTTGGCAACGCGGATACCTACGTAGCTTGTATTATGAGGGCGCAAGACGAAAGATATTTAGTCCTGTCACCAAAGATTACATGCAGAACAGTATGAGAGACTGAGTCCGACCTGTCGGCTTCTACTCTTTGGGGCATCCTCGACGCGCACACTCTCCATCTCCCTCTGGACCAGGCCTACCGAGCCGACCAGCAACCATGCTATCGCCTTTCGCTCTTTTGGCCTTCTCGACCGTCCTCCTCACTTCTGGACAGAAGGCGCACGCGAAAGATGCCCAAAGACCGCTGAAGAGTGCGCAGGAAAGGGCAAAGATACTCGCAGCATGTCCAGCATACGAGCACTATGCCAGGTTTCCACAGTACGTCGTCCATGGACCCTGGTGCACATTGTCACTGACCCATGGCCAGTCCACCCTTCTCCGAAGGTCCCATGGCGCTTCCCTTCCAGCGTCCTGCTCCCCTATGTCGAACCTTCGAGTCGGATCTAGTCGAAGACATTATTGAACACATGAACCAACACATGCTGGACAAGGATCTGGCTAGGATCTTTGAGAACGCCTTTCCCAACACACTGGACACCACAGTACGATGGCACGTCGATGGTACCGACAAGTCCACCCACAAGAGCAGCGATGGCGCATGGCAAGGTCCACAATCTTTCATCGTCACAGGAGACATCAATGCAGAGTGGCTTCGGGATTCGACAAACCAACTGGCGCAATATCAGAGGCTTGCCAACAAGGACAAGTCTATAGAGATGCTGATCCTCGGTGCAATCAATACCCAGGCCGAATATGTCATCGAATCGCCATATTGCAACGCCTTTCAACCACCGCCGCCCAGCCGTCTGGCTCCATCCAACAATGGCCAGGAGGACGTAGTACATCCAGCATACGAGCCTTCCAAGGTCTTTGAGTGCAAGTACGAGCTAGACTCGGTCGCCCATTTCCTGTCTTTGTCCAATCAATTCTACAACCACACAGGCTCCACTGCTTTCTTGACCCCAAGATGGTACACAGCTTTGGATACTTTGCTCGCCTTGCTGGATGAGCAGGCAAAACCCACCTTCAATGCAGAGACTGGTGTCTTCCAACATAATGAATACACTTTCAGACGCCGTACAGATGCTGGTACAGAAACGCTCAGCTTGTCTGGTAATGGAAATCCTCTGAACAACGGGACTGGCCTCGTCAGAAGTGCCTTTAGACCAAGCGATGACGCCACAATTCTTGGCTTTTTCATTCCTGCCAATGCCATGATGGCGGTTGAGCTGAAACGAGCTTCAACCATGTTGGTAAAGGCTGGTAAGCTCAAGCTTGCGGCAGATCTCAAGAAACGTGGTCAATTAATGGAGGAAGGTGTATGGGAGCACGGCGTAGTCTCGCACAAGAAGTACGGCTCCGTTTTTGCTTTCGAAGTTGATGGTTATGGTTCTTCGATCATAATGGATGATGCAAACTTGCCCTCGCTACTCGCACTACCACTTCTTGGTTTCGTGTCAAGGGACGACAAGACGTATCAAAACACGCGTCGGATGATACTTGAGAAGAATGGCAATCCATACTATCTTTCTGGCAAGGCATTCAAGGGAATTGGAGGTCCTCATATAGGACTGCAGAATGCCTGGCCTATGAGTTTGCTTGTACAAGCAATGACTTCGGATGACGATGAGGAGATTGAGGATGCGCTCTCTACCGTCAAACGCGTCAGTCATCTGGGTCTAGTACATGAAAGTATTCATGTTGAACGCGGAAGAGAGTATACTCGTAAGTTGTTGAATTGCTCGCGGTTGATCATCGCTAACTCGTCTTTCAGGTAGCTGGTTTGCTTGGGCTAACTCAGTCTTTGCTCAAACCATACTTGACGTTGCAGAAAGGAAGCCGCACATACTTTTTGGTTCAGGAGTAAAACCTTATATCGTCGAATAGACATGGACTTTATAATTCAGATGCAACGAGATGTTCAATACCAATTTTTTGATGATGAGTGATTTTGTGATTCAACGATGGAGGCTGAAATCGGCACGCTTTCCGATCTCCCGAGATGACCAACGAGTACACATCACAGGAGTACCACATTATTTGGTCGAATATAACAACAACAATCTTCCATCATCGCGAGTTGCGAGTTGCGACTCCCAGAATCTGACAGCACTATACTTAAGATTCCAAACTGGTCGCGCATTCGTCGCTGGATACGAATGGCACCTCAAGAAATACCCCTCCAAGACTATCGGCCTAAACACGATGACCGCACGGGGGATCCAACCGACATACAAATAAGCGACCTACACTCTCGTCCATTACTAAAGACTGGAAATCAATCAGATGAGCTCAACAATGATAATGATGAGGACGACAATTCCAGCGTACAGAGTTTCGAACTGTATACTCCCGACGAAGAGAAGGCTCTACTCAGGAAACTAGACACTCGGCTCGTGTTGTTCCTAGCACTTTTGTATATGCTCTCATTCTTGGATCGGTCAAGTACAGTTGCCAGTTGTTTGAGTGTCGAATTCGATTACTGACAATGAAGTACAGACATTGGTAATGCCAGAGTTGCGGGCATGTCCAAGAGCCTCGGGATCAGCTCTGGACAATTCGATTGGCTCCTCACTGGGTTCTACATATCCTACATCTGCTTCGAGTGGATGACTTTATTGTAAGTGACAGTTTCAGCCCTGAGTGCGATGGTTGTTGGACCCCTCAGAGTCCACATCATTTTTGGATGGGCAGGGTTTCCCTGTAAACTAATCACCCAACGATAAATTATTTTTACCATTATCCTGTGCTGGAGACGGCGATGAAATGAATGCCAAACTGGACACATCGGTAATGACTACGAGTACTGACTATAATATCATAGATACAAGGTATTCCCACCACATGCATATATATCGATATGCGTTCTGGCGTGGGGATGTCTCGCATCCTTGCAAAGTGTCAGCACAGGTTTCGCATCCATGTTGATCTTTAGAATATTGCTTGGAGTATCCGAAGCAGCTTTCGGGCCAGGAGTTCCATTTTACATGTCTTTCTTCTTCAAAAGGAATGAATTGGCCTTTAGGACTGGACTGTTCATCTCCGCTGCGCCTCTGGCTAGCAGTTTTGCAAGTGTGTTGGCATTTGCTATCGTGAATTTCGGCAAGAACACTGCGATCGAAAGCTGGCGACTCCTATTCATCATCGAGGGGTTTCCTAGCATTGTTGTCGCTGTGTGGGCTTGGTATGTGATACCAGATTCTCCCTCAACTTCACCATGGCTCTCGTCTAGAGAACGAAGAATAGCCACTCTGCGTTTGAGGAAACAAACGAATGCCTCTCAAGTCCACACAAGAGCGAAGAGATTCGACTGGACTGCAGTGCGGAATACTCTTTGCGATCCAAAGAGCTACTTGACCGCTGGCTGCTTCTTTTCCTTGAATGTAGCTTTCTCCTCGATGCCGGTGTTTGCCCCGATCATTATACAAAAGTAAGAATAGCAGACGTTTCGTCTTTGGATGTCGACTAATGAAAGTGTAGTATGGGATACTCGGTCATCCAAGCACAAGGCTTAGCTGCACCTCCACATCTTTTCGCTTTTGTAGTGGTGCTCGTCACCTCGGTCATCTCTGATCGGCTGCAATCTCGTTCTCTGCCCATCATCTTCCATGCGCTTTCGGCCATGGTCGGATACATGTTGCTCGCCCTGGCTCCCAGACTGCATCTATCCATCATAGCGCAATATCTGTGCCTCTTCCCTATTACCGCAGGCTTCTTCAGCGCAGTCACGACTGTCATCGTTTGGACTATCAACAATCAACAAAGCGAGGAAGGACGTGGAAGTAATGTTGCATTGCTGAATATCATTGGTCAGTTGGGGCCTCTTGTTGGAACACGACTGTATCCAGATTCCGATGCTCCGTTCTTTACCAAAGGACATGGCTTGTGTGCTGGTTTTATGGCATTGGTGGCTGTGCTGGCTACAGTTCTGAGACTTCTACTAGTCAGAGCAAACACATCTTTGCATGTAGCTCGGCTCTCATCGTCACCGCAAAAAGATGATGGTGCAGATAGACCACTAGTAGGAGTTTCTGGTCCTGCAGTAGGCGGTTTTGCATACATGCTATAAAAGTATGCCATCGGTCGAGTCAAACGAGAACGACACTGAATTCTACACACACATATGCAAAAGTCTCGTTTACAATCCAAGTCTCAACTGCCGGTTCGGCGCTTGGAGGTGTGCGAAGTCTAAAAAAGACACACGGATGATCGACGAATGATCCTAGGAGCAGATGAGTGAAGATCGAGAACAGATGCTTTGATTAGAACCGAGTCATCAGCTCGTCGTCTGCAAATCAGACCAATACCAACAGTGATTGCAGTCTTTGCAGTGTGATTGTACCATACCCCTGGGACATCCAACCTGCAAGAGGTTTTGAAGAGGTGAACTTTGGTTGAGACACAATATAGTATTATTGGACTCAGAGATTGTTCCTTGATTAAGCGACGTCGACCACATCTTTGCAAGTCCGAGACAAGGATTCCGACTGCACTTCTCGGAAGGCGGTGTGCGTTTATCGATATCGTCTTGTGATATCAGTTGCTTTTGGAGTGAAACCACATCTCTACCTGCATATCACCACTGCGGGAGTAAACTTTATGGGAAGATTCGCTGCTGCATGGGCAGGACTACACGCCGTTCTCGGATGAAGACGGCCAATCATCATGCATGACATCTGCATACCTGTTAGGCCGGACCCGAGCCATCAGCGGGGGTCCCACAGACTTGACGCCGAGGTAGAGGGCTACTCCGATCCGGTGCATCAATGTCATGGGCGTCAAGAGTCCTTCGTATGCCTCCGATCGAGGCGTCAACCTTGCCGGTCAATGACTAGGCTAAGGGATGATCTAACTTGCTTCCGACCAGGTTGGACATTTATCTTGAGGTATGACGTTGTTTCCGACATTGATTCTTCTTCTCACCAGGAATATAAACAAGACATGATCTCTTTATATGAACAAGCTCTGCGAGATCGAATGCGAGAGACCCAGGTTGTCATGCTAAGTGTGACGTCGCTTGAACAAGACCTTGTCATTTTCAAGTTCCATCGTGACACGCGTTATTCGACAATTAATTTATCTGAGCGGTCGTGATTGGCAAGTGGCCTGTGATCATGATTCCTGGGTATGCATTGCCGCCCTCGGAAGGGCCTTTGGCAGAGACAAGAGCAAAAGGCTTCTGGCAAGTATCATGAGTCGGGATTGTGAATATCTCTTGTTAGGGCTGTTTTAAGGAGATAGGTAGTCGGAATCAAGGCCAGCGTGTAGTGGTGTCACGGTCCTTGAGTGTTGAAGAGTTGCAGCCTGTTGTACAAAATGAATCACTGACTCATAAATGGCGCACTCTATTATCCTTCTGGTGGTGCTCGGACCTGTTAGTTGCTTAAGCGATTGTGCATGCTCCGAGTACGAGAAGAGGTGGAGAGTCCACACCCATAAGTCTTGTCCCGCCTCAACCGTCATCAGAGGCAGTCGCAAGCGGCCTTGTACAGCCACATGAAAACGGGGGACGGAGGAATGCAGCGTCAATTCTTTTGTAAGTAGGCCTGATGGCAAGTGCGATGCGGACGCGTGTATTCATAATTGCGGTGTGAATAGTGGATGCCCTACGCTACCTTACCCTTGAAGCGAACGGGAGAAAATAAGCAGAAAATCATTTCATGGGGTATAAACTCTGGATCAACCCGAAACAATCGTAATTTCAATACTTCCTCGCCCTGGAGTGTCACTCAACAAGTCGCAATTGCGATTCGTGTTTGAGACATTTTGACAGGAAACGGTTGCTTCGCGAGGACGACCTCTGAAACGAGCCTCTCGAGGGCTGGCGCAATGTAGCAAATTGGTCATCCTTGTGGAGAGCGTAGACTGCTATACCATTCAGCGGGAGATGATCTATATTGTCGTACTTGGAGTCGATTGTAGAAATGGTAACCGATATATGATCGTCGTCATGGTAAAGCCGTCAACCAAAGTTGATATTTCCACGTCTTGCTTAGATTCGCCTTGATCGCCATTCCCACCACGCGACTGTCGATCAAGACGTTGATGACGACTGCTAGAGGGAGATCCTGGTACCTGCAACTTTCTTGCATGGTCGGCGCATTGCAGCAGCACAACGAATTTACGCGACGTTCAGCAGATCAACGTGGCTAGGTGATACAAGATGTCGTTCGCTAGACTCGAGAGAAACCTGTATGATTACTTAGAGAGTCATCTCGGCAGCGAATGTGCGATCGCATCGAAACACAGGGCAACCGTTGTGTGCATGTGTGTGCACGCTGCGTTAAACTCCACAGCCATCATCTTAACCTAATTATGAAACTGACACCTGGAAGCGGAGAGGGGGCTGGTCGATCCTAGAGAGACGCCAGAAGACATGGATCGCTGTCGATCGCTCACGAGCCAAACACGCAGTAGAACTACTCTCGACCCTTGTCGCACACACACACATATCGACACCAATTGTTGTCGCTCCGGGATCTATCAAGGCTGACTCGATTAACATGCCAATGAAGATCTATGTGCAAGAGACATGAAGCGCCAATACCAAAGTCACACAGCACTATCATCACCAACCTCTTGAAGAGCACTGCCCTGATGAGGCGCACAATAATCTGCGGTTCAGAACTTACAAGGGCAGAATTATCAGGTCCCTGATTGGATCTTGGAGCCCGAGGGTGTGGACGTCTTCTCGCTCGACCTCTTGAGCATGGCCGTTGTTCTTTGTCCATAAGCGAAGCGGCAGAAGCCATACTTGCTGCATGTTCGTCGATCCCGCCAGTTTGACGCCTGGCGCAACATGCTAGTTTTCTGGAGGCGCTGTCTGTGTGCATGTTCATTGACACTTTGACTCGCTTGAAACCTACCAAACAATGCTTTCACCAGCACGAAGAGATGACCGTGCATAACCATTAAACTACAGCCATGCCGGAGTGATCTTCTCCTGATGGGTTCGGCTATCGTCCATCACTGATACGTCTAAAACGCCACAGGCCCTCCCGCAATGTGAAACCCATGGAAAGAAGAAGAGGCCCAAGCTACGTAAGCTTCGGACTCGCAACCAGCATCGTGTCTATTGGTGGATGCACGCATCAGGCTTGCAACCCTCGTGCGTGTGCTTTTATCATCATCATCATCATCATCATCATCATCTTTTTCCCAAAATCTATCTCATGCACGCCGCTTTTTGGGGAAGGGGCTTTGCTGAATACCATCGCATCGCCCAGGCAGATCGCACTTGGACCTTCTTTTCACTTTCATACCCTGAATAGAGTCCCTGCGCTTCCTCAAAAAACCTGTCGAGGTTAGAATAGATTAAAGACCAACCGCAGGGATCAACCTGCACGTCTGCCCGCCTAAAATCACTGACCAGCACGTACGAGATTCGCGTTGCCTCTGTGCTTCCGCCCGGATCTTGCCTTGCCCTTGTACTGCTGCCCGCTCCCCAGAAACAGACCAGGCTCTCTTATTCACCTTCTGTGCGCTAACCTTGCTGCTCCTTAGCCCCATACCCAGAGGGCAGCATCATTTCGTACCCTGTCAGTGCATTTCGTTGCCGGCGATGCTCATGTTTTGACATCTCTGGTCAACTTATCATCCTACTTCCTTCTTCTACATCAAGATCTACCCTCCTCTTTTGTTCTTGATCTATACATCAATACGTCTCCTGGTCGGGATTCTCTTCATAAAGCTTATTGCTCTCTGTCCTTCCGTTGTTGCCGAGCATCAAGGAATCCGTAAATCAACCTCCTCTCTCAAGACCTCGACTGGCGCGAACTACCCTTTACATACACTCACACATACAACCTTGGAGGTACACCTTTCGATCAAGAATCATGGAAGTCGCAGCCTACGCACCATACCGCCAACACACATTCCATCCGGACTTTCAATCGCATTACAGCCAGTATCCGGAATCTCGAGGTCAAATCTCTCATCCCGTCGCTGTGCATCCTGCTATGGTAAGTCAATATCAAGAGGTCAGGCGTGCGGGTCAGCGTCATGCGCCACAACAACACTCCACCCAAGCAACTTCATCGCAGGACGATATGAACAAGCCGTCCTTGCCATCAATTTCAAACCTCTTAGGCATAGCGGATGGAGACAGAACTTCACTTGCCGGTCAAGAGAGTGGTAAGTCCTTTTTCGAAGATTAACGAGTCCCGAGTATCAGTTTGCTAACGTTTCATTCAGGAAGTCCTCCACAACAGTCCCAAGCTCACTACTCGACTGCTCCGACAGAATCCTCATTTGGACAAGGCTATGTGACAGTGGCAGAACCAACAAACACGACCAGAGGTCCTCTTCCCCCTTCACCGCCGGCTTTGCGCTCAGACTCTGTAGTCGAAACCGCTCCAAGTCCTACCTTGATGACAGGTCAATCTTACTTGGTCGGATCATCACTAAACAATATGGAACCCCATCAACAAAGAGTAATGCCTATGAAGCGTCACTCCGTACCCATGCCTAACGGTGGGATGTATGCAACATCACCTTATGCGATGGCTGCCTACAATTCATCTCCAAGTGCGATGTCGACCAGTTCCTACTACTCGGCGGATGGCGTTTACGGTATGAATGGTGTCTATCAACAGAGACCACTACCTTCGAACTTTCCCCCCATCATGTCAGGACCTGTTATCGCAGGATCCACCGTCCCTGCTCCAAACATGTGGGAGCATCACCATTATATCGCTCCTTCCAACCAAGCAACATATCCGCAATCGCAGGATCGTTATGTCTGTCAGACTTGCAACAAAGCGTTCTCACGACCGAGCAGTTTGAAGATTCACAATTACAGCCACACTGGAGAAAAGCCTTTTAAATGCACGCAACCAGGCTGTGGAAAGGCATTCAGTGTTCGAAGTAACATGAAAAGGCATGAGAGAGGTTGCCATGCTGGATCGTCCAGTATCATGGCTTGATTGTTTGACTATACTTTCTTTTGTTTTAACCTTCTTCTGAACATCTTTTTGTGTTTTTCTTCTCTTGTTCATATGGAGGCTTGTCTGATACCACGGCCTGTTTTGGGTGAGATGGTCTGGTGGCGTATACTCGGGAATATGGGGTCTCAATAGACTTGAGGGAGAAGAGGGAGAGATCACGACGCAAGACGTCGAGACAGCAATTCTGTACACTAAGTCAATGAAATCGTCCAAGTGGCGAAGCACTCGATCAACCAAAGTCTGGCAGTATAAATTTGTTGTTTGAAAATTGAACGCCAGTCAACGGGAGGTGCGACGCCTAGGGTTTTCGCGTTTTGACTCGGCGAGACGCGACGTCAGAAAAGTTGCAAGCCCCAAATCACTCTCTCGTGGAGAGGAAATGTTGCGTACACACAATCAGCACGCGAAATGGGCACAAAAGCAGAGGTAGGAGGGCAGAATGCAGGACAAAAGCGCAATGGCAACTCGACGGATGCTGGAGGCTGGCGCAATAAACGACAAAAGACACAACGCGACGCTCGTACTTTGGCCGTACAGACGAGCTCGAAAGCTTTCAAGAATGGTGAAGTCGATGTCGGATCGTTCGTCAAGGCTCGCGAATATGAGATTCGAGCTCTCGAGGAAGGCATGGCTCGAGCCAGGAAGGGCTTGACACAGCGTGCCTTTCAACAAGTACCCAAGGACTTGAGGCGCAGGACGGCCAGTCACAATGCTAAGAGGGTGCCCAAAAGACTGCGCCGTCAAGCTGTGCGAGAGGTAGGCCACGAAGAAGGACGCCAGATCACACACGATGCTAACGTGTCTCCATATAGATGGCCGAAGATAATACCCCAACCGTCACATCTCGTCGTCGGAAACCCAGTGGTCACATGCGCCTTCGTATGAATACAGTCAATCGTCTGCGAACCCTTGGCCGTAAGAACAAACAGTCTCCTGTTCATGGCAGGTCCCTTACACCCAAGAAGAACAAGATCGCACTACCTCCTGTGCCAAAGGCAAAGTATCGAAAACGTCAGATACACAAAACATGGTTACCCACACACATGTTCCACGCAAAACGAGCCCACATGACACCACCTTCTCAACCCCTCTGGCGTTTCGCCTTGCCTTTGACATCAACTGTCAAAAGTTATCGCCCAACTCATCGTGCGAGTAAAGATCGTGGAGCTGTTGCTTGGGATTCAAGTTACATGTCTTGCATTTCTGTACATGGCAACCTACAGAGTATAGAGTCTCTTCTTCATGCCCTGAGTGTTGGTTCATCCGACACCGCATGGTCTTCAAGAGGTCAAAAGTGGAGACAAGGTTGTCGTATTTGGCAAGGTTGGCTCTATGAGCGTGACATGTACCCAACCCATCCAATTGCTCCTGCTACCATTATTTGGCGAGCAGAATCTAATACTGACGTCAAACAATCTCGTCAGATTATGATTCGTGTACACCCATCCGCTTTCGATCAACTCTGGAATCAGCTCATTCTGCTAGCAAAGATTGCCAAACCTCAATTGACCATTGAGGATTTGCGATTTGAGATTGGAAGTCTTGAGATGGTCGGTCCTGCTTCGGCAGAAGCATTAACGAGTGCCCTTTGGCCTGTGAAGTCCAGTCATGGAGATATCGGACCTGTCGAAAAGAACTGGCCAATGTTAGCACCAATTCAGAGTCCGTCCACTTTGCCTCACAACGCAATGATCACCTTCGACATCTCGGACCCTCGGCTACATCACCCACCTCAATCTACCCCTGTCTCTCACGCAACTCATAGCTCTCAACAACAACTTCTTGATCTGTTAACAGAATGGCCATTCGATACCACAAATTCAACAGCAGGAATCTTCGACCGCAAAAGAAGACAAGCATCATGCCGTGCTTTGTCAAGTCAAAAGAATGTAAATCGTCGCAAATCTGCTGCCACACCAGGAACCTATCCGGAGCCACTACCTCAGGATCCTCGCATTCCAATCATGGCATATCCATCACCTATTCAGTTCAGTCCCAAGCAAGGCACCCGAGACCGCGCATCGTGTTCATGGGTTGTACTGTTACCATGGAAAACTGTACCGACTGTTTGGCAGAGCCTAATGTATTATCCTGTCTCAACTGGCGGACAGGTAAGGATGGGTGGTTTGGACGAGCAACGTCAGGTCACCTTTGAGACCGGAGTGCCTTGGTTCCCTGGCGACTTTCCAGGCACGAAAGCAGGTGACGATTGGGAAGCTATGGAGAGTGCCAAAAGAAAGGCACAGTGGGAAGCGAAGCCCAAGGGCAAGAGAATCGAATGGGACAGCGTCAAATTGGGTACTGGCAGGAATGGAGAGATTGGCAATGGCTGGGCCTGCGACTGGGCTTATCTCTCGGATGGCATTGAGAATATGGACGATGACAGCACCACCGCAAGGATCCATCACATTGCTCCAACTCTTGCCCAGAGTCTAATTGGTGGTCAGACTGCTTCCTTCAAGCACCTTTCTCACGCCATCTCAACCGTCCGTATCACACTACTTGGTCGCGGAACACCTGAACCTTGCGCAAGAGTCTATCGATTGCCGAGCGAACATGGTCCAGACAAGGTGTCATTGAGAGATCAATGGCTCGCCCTGGATCCGATTCGAGCAAACTCTCGTACGCAAAAGAACAAACGTCAGCGAAGTCTGCCATCATCGGTTCTGAGGTCTGATTCATCGGCTACTATGCAGCAGCGACTAGCTGCAGACTTGGCACAGCCTCCTGACTCAGACGATCGCGACAATTGTCCAACGATCCCCGAGAGACAAGACCTTATTGGTTTCGTCACAAAAGGCGAGTTCAGCTTGACAGAAGGTAGAGGTGTTGCCATTGGCAGTGTCCTTGTCCAAAAGTTGATCAGGGACGCCGGTGATCAAGGATCATGCGTGTGCATTGTCAGAAATGCTGGAGAAACGATTGGCAGATTGGGAAGGTTGCAATTCGTATAGGCTCAGTCTCTCAAGCTTACGCGTCATCGCTCGACTCTTATTAATCGGGTTGCTATCCTATGTCTATATATGCTCTCGACCATGATTCCCAGTCACTGCCCATGTGTCCCATGCCGTGGTGACGCTCATTGAGGGACAGGTGCTCCTGCAATTCAATGAGGATTCTCGCGCTGTATACTGGCCTTTTCATTCAGATTGGACGAAATCTGGCGAGGAACGTTTGAAGGGGTTTTCCCGGGTGAAGTTCTGCGAACACGTGTAGGAGTCTGAGGCATTGCTGGAGTACGGCCAAGGTTTCCACCAAAGACATCAATTTCGCCCTCGCTCTCGTCTGCAATCAAGACATGTTCAAGCATTGTCGTATGATGTCTAGCTGAAGCATGTGGTTGCGGCGTTGAAGGTTGGAATTGGGGACCACGCAAAGATGGAGCAGTCTGTGGTATTTGCGTATGACGCGCAGACTGCAGCGTTTGAGGGGTCTCATAGGGCATCGGAGTTATCGAAGCGGCTCTTCTACGTCTTGGTGTTCTAGGACTTGTAGAGTTTCTTGCACTAATTAGATCAGAAGCATGCAACAAAGCTGCAAAAGGCGGCTGATCGCGTTCGCGGCCGGCCCAAGGGGTCGATTGAGTGGATTGGCTCTTGTGCGGCGAGTCGAGAAATCCGGCAGCAAGACGATAACGATTGAGATGAGATCGATTCTCACGAAGTCGCTCGCGATATAAAGAAATCCTGTCGTTCAAGGTGGCAATTTCGCTCTCCTGTTGTATGACCATTCGCTTATGTTGAGACACAAGTTGTTCAAGCTGGGCGTTTTGAGACCTGAGACTCTCTTTCTCCTGGGCCATCAGATTCCATACATCGACGTGAACATGACGAATGCTTGGATCGGCTTCCTGGCGCGCATGGGTCGTACGTGGTTCGATGGGCTCATTTGTGTTCAGAAGTTCAGTCTCGCGTTCGGCCATGTCCATTTCGACCTGAATTCGTTCCATCGCTTCAGTGCTCTCGATTGAAAGCATGTGATATTGCAACTTGTAATGTGCAGCATCGGTACGAGCCTCTTGCAGGAGAGGTACGAGACTCGATATGATTGTGCGCAGCTCATCAGGCTGTGCTTGTTGGATATGGCGCTCAGATAACACAACTGGTTCCGGTATAGGCGTGGAAGCTGATGATGGAGTCATACTGGCGGCGCGATCCATTGTTGGGCTCGTCAAGGACTGAGGAGTGATGGAGTTGGGCGCAAGCCCACAAGTAACTTGAGCCGAAGTCGAGGATTGGCCGAATCCTGGACCAGGCGTTAGTGGTGCGGTCGCATTCATGGTCAAGTGTGTTGATCTCGTCTTCAAATATTCCTTGAGCAGAAGCACGAGATATGTCGAGACCCGTTCTTGAGAATAGTATTTGATATGCTGTGCAATGCAAAAAGGACAACAAATGTGAAAGTAGACTTCCTCGTTGTGTACTCGAACGACGCGCAACGTGTGTGGATCGCGTTGAGTGGGCAACGTTGATGGCCCTATCAGAAACGCGTCATTGCTTCATGCGCGTAGGTCTAGAAAAACGAAGTCCTGGAGGGATATAGCCTCTGCGATTTGCTCGCAAGTCAGAGAGGGGCGTATACAGACAGATAGGACATGTACAGCCTTTTGGGCTCATTTGAATGCCTACCTTTCGAATTGCTTGATGGACTTTCCATCTCCGTCGCTATCGTTCTTTCTTATTTCCGGCAGACAGAGCTACCCCAGCACAGTGGAACTCGTAATTGTGGTATAAGCAAACACTCATCCATTATTGTGTTGTTTTCCCATATATGTTCTTGTTTCAGGAGAAATAACCCCGATTTTCTACGTGTATAGGATGTCGTTTCGTCATTTCTCACATAAACATGTCTGTGCTCCGTGGATGCAATGATGCATCCCTTTTTGGTTTTGGAGCAGGGTCCACGTTGGCGGGGCGTTCGAACGTTGTTAGGCGCCTCCCACTCCCATATCCAGGGGTTTCCAAATGTCCAAACAAAGTGCCGATATGGAATGAATCAACGTAGACATAGAATCTTCTTTTCTTCTGGATCGTCTCCAACCTACGTGACTTTTCCTCCCACCGGCTCCCCATAGACGCCTTGGGTCGCCATCAGCCACAATGGATCACTCAACCTCGGCCACTCCTCTCAAGTCCTCCTCAGGCATCCCAAAGTTTTCTTCCATCGCAAGACCATCGACTTCAAGGTTGCCTGCCCCTAACAGTGAACACAAGTCTGCATTGCCTTCCCCTACCAAACCTTCTGCTTTGGTAAAACCCTCGCCTGCAAAGAAGGCTCTCCCAAGACCACCATCATCTAGCACTGGCTTTAGATCAAGTATTTCTGGACCCTCTACTGGTATCATTCCACCCAGGACATCGTCACACCGTTCGACATACTCCATCTCGGATCGCTCTGTTACTACGGCCAAAAAGCCTGCTTCACGCCCAGTGTCGTATATTGCACAATCTCGAAGGCCTGTTTCTAGCTTCATCACGACCAACCAACAGGAGGATCTAAATGATCAACTAGGTTCTCTTGATGGATTTCGTAGTGCTTCACGTGCCGCTTCAAGGCAAGGCAATCATGATAATGAAGACTTTGATGACGTCCCGACCACCCCAAATACGAAAAGAGCAGCTCGACTATCATTGTCAGATCGGACTATGGAGAGTCTTTCGCGACTTCCTGAAACCCCAGGGACTGACAGGCGAAGATCAAGCTTCTTTGCGCCTCAAAGTCCTATGGGTCCACCATCACGTCCGGCTTCTGCTCTGAGCAACGACGAGACTCGAGAAATGACGCTTCCCAAGCCTACTGGTAAGATCGTTTCTCCAACCAAACGAACTTCTGCCATGGTCCCTCCATCGACAGAAATGCCTACCAAGTATTCTACCCCAAGAGCGCCCTCTTCGATCGGCATAGCACCTTCTAGATTGAGCCGTCCTGCTTCAGTAGCAGGAAAATCTGCTATAGGTAGCAGCACGCCCAAACCTCCCACGGCGAAGCCGCTCCAACGCACGAGTAGTCTTCGTCAGCCAGGAGCAGGGATCAGCTCTACTCCCAGACCTAGGCCAACAACAAGTGTTTCGACTCCGGCGATAAGAACAAGACCGACGCCTGCTACAATTGTAAAAGTCGCACCTCCGAAAGAATCACAGACACCTTCCGAGAAGCCGGCCAATTCTTCCGCGGCACTTAGGGATCAAATAGCGAAAGCAAAAGCCGCTAAGAAGGCACCAAGTACATTGAAGGGACAGTCAGTCTCCAATGATTTCGATCCCTTTGCGGATCCGTTCAATACGAGACCTAAGAACGGCAATGGTCTTTTACGCAAAAGGATAGAAGCCGCTCGCGGTGATGGTCGTTTGAACATTGCGGGAATGAGCCTCAAACAAATTCCAGACGAAGTCTTGAACATGTATGATCAGCAAGAGGGCAACAGTTTAAATTGGAGTCAGATGACGGATCTTGTTCGCTTTGTAGCGGCGGATAATGAACTCGAGATCATCTCTGATGATATCTTCCCGGACATCACGACTGAGTCGGCAATGAATGATGAGAAAGAAGTCAAGGGATTGCAATTTCGCAGCGTTGAGATGGTTGATTTTCACGGAAATAGTCTTCAGACAGTGCCTGCTGGTCTGCGCTGGTTGGAGAGGCTGACTGTCCTGAACCTGGTGAGTCTTGTCATGCTCACGAATATCCTACATCTTCCATGGTACTTACGATTCTTCAGTCTCACAACAAATTGGGCAATGCCATCTTCGACACAATCGGTCAGCTCGAGACTTTGAGTGAACTCAGATTGGGCAACAACAACTTGACTGGGTATCTTCCTCAGACAATAGGACGCTTGAACAGCCTCAGAATACTGGAACTGCAACACAATAAGCTTCTTAGTCTCCCAGATGGCTTACGCGAACTTGTTGACTTGCAAATCCTCAACGTCGCTGGGAACCAACTCACCGGGCTTCCTATGGATGTTTTGGAGACATTGCCTATTATACACCTCAACGCTTCAAATAATGCCATGGTCGGCGCTCTGTTTCCCTTCAGCGTGTCAGGGCTTGCCAAACTCGAGTATCTGGATGTTGCAAACAATTCACTAGCTTCGCTTGCGTTCTCTGAGAATCTGTCATTACCCGCGATCAAATCCATCAACATGGCAAGCAATAGAATAGTTGCACTACCAGACATGTCTGGCTGGAAGGATCTAATAACTCTAGCTGCTGCTGACAACAAAATCTCCGTGCTACCTCAGGGTTTCACAAGTTTGAAACACCTCAAACAGGCCGATTTGACAGGCAATGAACTCAGCAAACTTCACGACAACATTGGTCTTATGGACTCTCTGGATGTACTGAAAGTGGCTGCGAATCCTCTTCGAGAGCGTAAACTCTTGAACATGTCCACCGAAGAGCTCAAACGTAACTTGGCTCAACGTCTGAGTACACCGGGTCAAGGGGATAAGGGTGATGGATTTGAAGATGAGGGGATCGACATTCAATCACCGCATGATTCCGGCTCACAATGGGGAGTCGTTTCCGGAACGCTCGATCTCCGCGAAAGAAAACTTGTGGACGACGATGCCGACGTGCTTCGATCAATATTCGGGACCGAAGATGTCCGCGAACTGAAACTGGCCAAAAACAATTTCGTCACAATACCGTTCGAAATCTCTTTGGCTCAAAATCTCAGGATCTTGGACATGTCAAATTGTTCGCTCGGAGACAAGTATTTGAGTGAAGTCCTGACTTTACAAGCTCTTCAGGAACTGTTCTTGGGAAGCAACAAGATCTCAACTTGGGAACCACTCTTAAGTTTGTTGCACGCGCCACGTCTTTCTTATCTGGACATGTCAAACAACAGACTGATTGGATCAGTCCCTCGTGTCCGAGAATCTTTTCCAGAGTTGAAAGTGCTACATGCTGGGAGCAACAGAATTGATGCGGTCTCTGATGAGGCTCTTGCAGGTCTGCAGTCAGCTGATCTTGCAGATAACAACATTGGCTACATGCCTCCGGAGATCGGCCTATTGTGGGATCAAGGTCTAAAGGGACTGAGTATTGGTGGCAACGTTTTTCGCGTACCTTCACATCGAGTTCTCGAAAAGGGAACGGAAGCTACCATGATGTGGCTCAGAGATAAGATTCCACAGGATGATGAAACATTTTGAGACGAGAGGAGACGAGTAGTGGGATGACAATGTCTGCTGGCAGAGGGTCGTCTAGATTGGGTCATGCAATAGTGTGTGGCTGAGTGTCGGATATTTTTCTGACTTGTAGACTTTTTCGTATTCGTCTTTTCTATTCTTCAATTGTCTCGTTCGTTTTATGTCGATTGGAAGTATGTGACCGTGGTGAGTGAGTACAAGACTCTCGAGATCCTCTTAGCGGGTTACACAGGAAATCAAGAAAGCATTCCACCCTTCCGTAACTGTGTTTCGAGAATGAGCTGTCGTTCTCGACTCTTCGATGAACGAATGAACGAGCCAGACTGCGCAAGCAATACTCGTGGACGGCATCAAGGTACTCCTACGCATCAGAGGGTCGAGGTCGAGACGTTGGAAAGTGAGGCCCGTGCACTGCCTTGGCGCACCACAGCCTAAGCGACAAATCCAAGTTTTGCACGGGTGGAATTCGAACTTTTCTCCTTTGACGACGACGACGACCTTCGACAACAGGATCATTTATCGCCCACCGACACAATGGTTAGTAGAGACATCGTCACTGTCTGCGATGGAATTGGAGCACGCTTGTTATGCTGTCTTGAGTCGACTATCGATGCGCCACGCCTTCTCTACAACGCCCGACGAACGCACGAAAGACTTCGAAGTCATCAGAGACGGACCAACTCGCACGCCTGCACGCCCGACCGTGTCGCACGCCAGCACCTCATAGATAGCAACAAGCTTGACTCGACTCCAATGCCGCAGCAGTGAAAAGAGATTGGGGGAAACATTGGCTGACACGCATGCCAGGCCATCAAGCACAACCAGCAGATCCCGCACAACCATTTCCGCAAGGATTGGCAGCGCCGTGTGCGCGTGCACTTCGACCAGGTAATTCCCCTCTCTTCATGAGAGCAGAGGCGCCTGCGGTCAGCGACAGAGTTCCTGACAAGATCAATCCTAGGCCGGCAAGAAGAAGGCTCGCCGCAACGCTCGCGCTGCTAAGGCCGCTACCGTCGCTCCCCGCCCCGTCGACAAGCTTCGCCCCATTGTCCGCTGCCCCACCCTCAAGTACAACCGCCGTGTTCGTGCCGGTCGTGGTTTCAGCTTGGCTGAGCTCAAGGTATGATTGCCCTACTACCCTTTGCCCACTCACATCATGCAGTCGTACTGACATGTCTCTCAAAAGGCTGCTGGTATCCCCCGCAAGCTTGCACCCACCATCGGTATCTCGGTCGACCCCCGCCGCCAGAACCTCTCCGAGGAGTCTCTTGCCGCCAACGTCGAGCGCCTGAAGGCTTACCGCAGCCGCGTTATCCTCTTCCCCCGCAACAGCAAGGCCCCCAAGAAGGGTGACGCCTCTGCTGAGGAGGTCAAGGCTGCCAAGGACAACTTCGTCAAGCAGGCCAACGTTACCTTCCCCATCGAGAACAAGGCCCAGGTTGTCGAGGGCAAGCTCGCCGACTACCCCGGTGAGGAGAACGCTTACCGCAAGCTCCGTAACGTCCGCAGCGAGGCCCGCCTTGCCGGTGTCCGTGAGAAGCGCGCCAAGACCAAGGCTGAGGAGGCTGCCAACGCAAAGAAGTAAAGGACATGATCTGATCTATACTACTTTGAAGGTCGGCGTTGATGGATCTGCTATGACGGCTGCTTTGTGTCACGGATCCAAGGCGAAAAATGGGCATCATCTTTTGATAGAACTTCTGTCAGCAGGAAGAGAACCAAAAAAGCCTTTAGTTGCCCCTCATGATACCACTTTTTTATGCATTTCGTTGTCTTTGTTTGTTTTTGTGCATATCATGTCATTTTGGTGTGTATGATCTAAATCCATGTTCGGACCTTGTCCAATAATTTCCTTGCCAAGATTGGTAGTACTTGAAGCTTACTTATCTACCGTCATCAAACCCGGTCAACAACAATATGTTTCTACTACGAAGGCCTCGTCCAACAGTGATCTCGCGATCTATCTTCAGAGCCATGTCGTCTTCTCACGAGCAATCTTCTGTCCAGTTTCAATATTCCGCGGGCGAGAATGAGGAACAGCTTGGCCGCGATGCTACAGCTCTCACAACACAAGGCGGAGGCAGGTGGAAGGTTACAAGCGACAGCAGAGGGCTCGAGCGAACTTTTCGATTCAAGACTTTCAAGGCAACATGGGTATGTGAACGTTTGGCAGCCATCTGGAGTGTGTTGGATGAACGTGCCAATCCACTACTCTTGTGCTCATCACTAATTTGATCGTCAGGATTTCATGAACACAGTGGCGGCAGAGTGCAAGGTCCAAAAGCATCACCCAGAATGGACAAACGTCTTCAACAAGACACATGTTCGCTGGACCACTCACAAACCTCTTGGTATATCGTCCAAGGACGTTGTTATGGCTAGATTTTGTGACGAGGCTGGAACTCGTCATGGTGAGCTGGTCGATTCACCGGACGATGATGGATGTGGTTGTGGCGATTTCAAGCCTTGATAATTCTTCTTGGGGGGCTTAAGAGAGGAGATATATTACAAGTACAGCAGCTTCAGCCCTCTCAAACATAGGCCTTGACAAGACAATGATCTGAAGCAGCAGGATTTCTTGACGTGCAGAAACAAGATGGCAATGTTTGCACCAGGGAATACAGTATTATGTCTCGGAAAAAGAGAGCATGGTATCCAAAGACCTATTCGAAATGCTGCTTGATGAAAAAGAAAAAGGAAAATAATGAGTTGATATCAAAAATACACCAGCCAGCTTCCTAGTCAGACCCTCAAAAAAAGAACTCCTGTATGGCTTTTCTCTAGACGCGCAACAGCTTAGCGGCGTAGTCGACGATCAGCTGCTCACTGGGGAATGACATCTCCTCGAGCTTCTGGGCGTAAGGAGTAGGAACCTCGGCACCGGTGACTCTGACTGGGGGAGCCTCCAGGTAATCCCAGGCGTACTCTGCGGTAAGAGCGATAAGCTCAGCACCAACACCGAAGCTGGGGAAACCAGACTCGACGGCCATCATGTGACCAGTCTTCTTTACTGACTTGACGATAGCACCAACGTCAAGGGGCTTGATGGAACGAAGGTTGATGACCTCGGCCTCAATGCCGTATTTTTGCTTGAGCTGCTCGGCGGCGACCAGCGACTGGCCAACACAGCGGGAGAGGGTAACGATGGTAAGGTCCTTTCCGGGGCGCTCGATCTTGGCCTTGCCGAACTGTGATGGTATGGTCAGATCAAAGGATCGAATAGTAGAGAGTAGTAAAACACTTACAGGAATGACAAAGTCGTCTCTCTGGGCCTCCTCGCTCATGGGGAAGGACAGACCGTAAAGAAGCCTAGTAAGCGGTCAGTATTTGTGAGGGTAACATAATCGAAAGGCTAGACTAACTCGTTCTCGAGGACAACAACGGGGTTGGGATCTCTGATGGCGGCCTTCATGAGGCCCTTGGCATCCTCTGCGCTGTAAGGAGAAACGACCTTGAGACCGGGAATAGAGCCGTACCAGGCCGAGTAATCTTGCGAGTGCTGGGCAGCGACACCAGAAGCGAAACCGTTGGGGCCACGGAAGGTGATGTTGCAAGGCTGGATACCACCAGACATGTAGTGGGTCTTTGCGGCCGAGTTGATGATCTGATCGATGGCCTGCATGGCGAAGTTGAAGGTCATGAACTCGCACTGGGTACGACGGGTCAGTAAGAGGACTCGCAGGTGTCAAGCTGAGCGGAGCGGGTGCTTACGACGGGGTGGAGGCCGGCGAGGGCGGCACCGACGGTGAGACCGGTGAAACCAGACTCGGTGATGGGCGAGTCGATGACTCTCTTCTCGCCGAAGCGGTCAAGCAGGCCCTTGGTGACCTTGTATCTGCAAGAGCAAGCAGATTAGCTAGCTACTCGACAAGATGCTCTCCCAGCTTGATCAAGCACAAGGACTCACGCTCCGTTGTATTGGGCAACCTCCTCACCCAAGACAAAGACCTTGTCGTTTCTCTCCATCTCCTCGGCCATGGCCTCGTTCAAAGCCTCTCTGACCGTCATCTCCTTGACGCCGCCTTGGGAAGCATAGTGTCTTGAGATTGCGACGGGGCGGAAAGTGCGAGCAGGGCGGGCAATTGATGCTGACACCAGACGCGAGGTGGGACGGAACATTCTGGAGGCGGCCATGGCGAATGCTCTTCTTTGGACGGACGGAAGAAGGTGTGAGGGCGAGGGGTATAGAGGTCGGAGGTGTGAGAGTGCTTTCTGAGCCTGGTCTGCTCAACAAAGTCCGTCTCGGAAATCTTGAATGCTACCAGCCGCCGCCCGCTTGCTTATCCGACAGCACGCCAAGTCTCGACCCATGCCATGTCTCTGCATCTTTTGATCGAGAGACGATCTAGAGCCTGTTGGACATGCTCATTCGACTATGTGCTATCATAAACAATACATGCTCGGGTCAAGAAATCAAGCGCAGGTCCTACAAGCAAGATCATTCATAGTCTACATGGTTTGATTCAAGCTTCTACGCTTCGTAGTCGAACCCTGAGCACTCTCTAATCATACACACGGCCCGAAATCTTGGCTTGGTCGCGACATGCTCCGACCCGATTTGCTTAATGTCCGATGTTGGGTATTTACCATGCATGATCCAGCTGTCTTGTCCGTCAACTAGCACATGTTGGGTCGGGAGCTTATAAGCCAGTGGTGTCTTGAGCCGCTCAAGCTTGTTGTCTCTGTGACAGGGGCGTCCATCAATGCTGCCACTCATAATGCAAGCATACAGTGGTAGGCACTCATGCCGGCTGGGCACTCGAGCCAACCCGAACTCGTGGGTTCCATGCCTTTGTATTTTATTCGAATGCCATGCCATATACAGCCTGCAGTTCTGGATAGTATATAGAGCCGCTACATCTCTGAAGGCCATGCCATGTCGTTTTCCTCCAGGTTACGCGTCGAGATCAACACGTAACCCTGAATTGCAAGAAAGGGGGCCAGTCGGCCAAAGCTAAACGCTTCCGTTTCTCCTCCGTGAGACGTTGATAGCTAGATACATTCATCATTTTGGTCAACCCACCACCAATCTCTCGCCCTTGGAGAGTCTTTGTATCATTCCTGCGGCACTTTCAGACGTCGGCCCTCGCTCGTAGGCCATCGTTCTTCCGTGCATGCTTCCTGTACATGCATCTTCAATTCAGCGAGCAACAATGAACAGACATGGCTATTCCAATTCAGGCGCATATCCGCTGGGCGGGCGCTCCCAATTTTCAATCGAACCTCACAAGTCAGTCCTCTCTCTCTCTGCGTCTCTTTAGCTGCCATGTGCGCTTACATGACTCCCCCTCCAGGTTCGCTCCCCGCTCACAGCCCGCCATGCGACGACGTCGTCAACTCATGCTCCGACTGGCCTTGATTGGCTCTCTCCTTTTGGCCGCCATCTTCCTCTTCTTCCCCTCGACTCGTCAAGCTGTACTACCTGCGCTATCACTAGGACTCTTTTCTGGAAGCCAACAGCTACAACTCGAGACCGTCCGATACTACGATCTTGCCAACGTTCAAGGCACTGCAAGAGGTTGGGAACGGGAGGAGAGAATTCTGCTCTGCGCCCCTCTCAGAGATGCATCTCCTCATCTGCCCATGTTCTTTTCCCATCTGCGCAATCTGACTTATCCGCATCATCTCATTGATCTGGCCTTCCTGGTCGGTGACTCCAAGGACAACACTCTTACTCTACTCTCTGATCTTTTGGCCAACTTGCAGGCCAGCGAGAAGGATGGTATGCCCTTTGGAGAGGTCTCGGTTATTGAAAAGGACTTCGGTCAAAAGGTCAATCAAGATGTTGAGAGTAGACACGGTTTCGCTGCACAAGCTAGCAGAAGAAAGAGTATGGCACAGGCACGCAACTGGCTTCTGAGTGCAGCTCTGCGCCCAACACACAGCTGGGTATACTGGAGAGATGTTGATGTCGAGACGGCACCATTCACCATTCTGGAAGACTTGATGAGACACAACAAGGATGTCATTGTGCCCAGTAAGACCACCTTTTCCCCGGTAGCGTGATTCGATTTGCTAACACGTAGGAAACAGACGTTTGGAGACCGCTTCCTGATTGGCTTGGTGGTGAACAACCATACGATCTGAACTCATGGCAAGAGTCCGAGACTGCATTGGCACTTGCCGACACTCTAGACGAAGACGCTGTTATCGTAGAGGGTTATGCAGAGTATGCCACCTGGCGTCCTCATTTGGCCTACCTCCGTGATCCATATGGTGACCCGGACATGGAGATGGAGATCGATGGCGTTGGTGGTGTCAGTATCCTGGCAAAGGCCAAGGTCTTCCGTTCAGGTGTCCATTTCCCGGCATTCAGTTTCGAGAAGCACGCAGAAACCGAGGGATTCGGCAAGGTATGATATGACACCGATTTCCTGGGATGAAAAGAGTCTAACCGGTTGTCTAGATGGCCAAACGCATGCAGTATTCGGTAGTCGGCCTCCCCCACTACACCATCTGGCATTTGTACGAGCCCAGCTTGGACGACATTCGACACATGGAAGAAATGGAGAAGGAGAGAAAAGCGCATGAAGAAGAAGAGCTCAAGAACAAGGAACGCATGGACAAAATCCAGTCCCAATTCGACGACACTGCTAGCGAATGGGAAAAGGACAAGTCGGAAATCGATGACGCACAGAAAGCAGCAGATGCTGCAAAGAAAGTCGTCGGAGGTGTCAAGGATGCTGCTGGAAATGTCAAGGAGGCTGCCGGGAGCGTAAAGGACAAGGTCAAGCAGGTGGCTGGTGAGGCCAAAGTTGCAGCAAAGGACGCAGCTGGGGCTGTCAAGGATAACGCCAAAGGGTGAGTACGCGTAAACTGGACTTTAGAAACTTATTGGCTAACATGACAAACAGACTAGTTGACAAGGCTGAAGAGGTAGCCGGTGCAGCTGTGAAAGGTGAGGGTGCAGCAGCCGCTGCAGTAGTAGGGCAAAAAAAGGACGACAAGCTCTAGAGTGAAACAGGAGTCGATCATGGTTATCATAAACGAACACGGGGAATAAATATGTTAGTATATACATTTACAAAAAAGCAGACTAAAGAACCACAGTCATGATGCCAGTCCCGCAGACCTGTCTGTATGCTGCCGATTTGATTGAGAACATGTCTACTCATAAAGACACTTCTCAAATGCGGCGAGTCTCGGGGGTGAGTTGACGCAAGATGTAGAGAATCCGGGGCAAGTCCGCGGGTGAAGCTTTGACCGCATGGATGCAGCACGTAGACCACACTTGGGTGTTTGGAGAACGGTGGATCGATGTACCCATGATCAAATTTACAGACACAATGAGCAGTGGTACGGGTGCAGACGAAGGCCACAGCAGTAGGGCGAGCACGATGACAGCAGCCGACTACACGATAGCATCGCGACCGGTCAACGTAGCCATTGATCCTGTGGCCTTGATCATTACAGAATGCATCACCGTCACGTCAGCTATGCGCAAGCACGCACGTTGGGCTCAGTCTTCTGTATCAGCAATTCTCGGCGGCGGAGCTGCTAGGCGTCCTCCTTCCTCCTTGGGTCCCCTCAGTGTCGGCGACGATGCTGATGGTGGACAGCTGGCTACACGATGGGGCCTTCGCGGCAAGAAGGGAAAGAGCATCCAGGATAACCCACTGTTGTCTGCCTTTGCGCGTTTGCGGAGTCAACTCAAAGGATGTAGAGGTATATCGAGTCGTCTTGCTCATCTCATCGAGCAGTTAGTAATCCTCTTCGAACAGATATTCGCACCGTCGACACTCCTTCGATCCTCCAACCTTTCTTGCAGGTCATTCGCTCCTCGTCCACCACCGCTCCAATCACTTCACTGGCATTAATCGCAATAACAAAGATGCTCTCCTATAATGTCATCAGTCCAGGCATGCCCAACTTTCCATACGCCATGATGCTTCTGTCCTCGAGTGTAACAAATTGCCGTTTCGAGGGTGACAATACTGCCTCGGACGACGTCGTCTTTCTTCGTATCCTCAAGCTCATGGAAATCATCATTACTGGTCCTTCTGGGGATGTCCTTGGCGATCAGAGTGTCTGTGGCATGATGGAATGTGGCATCTCGATATGTTGTGCACTGCGCATGAGCGAAGTGCTTCGACGTTCGGCCGAGATTACAATGGTCACCATGTGTCAAACTATCTTCCAGAGATTAACTCATCTCGAGTCCTTGCCAGAAGATGACAACCAGAACGATTTCAAGATTGAGTCCAGTACTACGCAGATCGGTTCGACTCCCGCTCAAGATACACCTCCATCTGGAAGTCTAGATGTGCCTCGCGTCGCCGGGAGTGAAAGACCATCTGCAGAGTTCAATGCTAGCCAAGTTGACTTGACCAGAGTAACCGAAGCCACTGACATCCCTGACATCAATCCATATGGTCTACCCTCGATCAGAGAGCTTTTCCGCACGCTAGCTGAACTCCTCGATCCTCATGACAGACAATATACTGACACCATGCGAGTCATGGCTTTGCGAATTGTAAATGTGGCTCTAGAGGTTGCAGGTCCTTCGATCGCCTACCATCCATCTCTAGCATCGCTGGCCAAAGATACTCTCTGCCGCAATCTTTTCCAACTCGTACGCTCCGAGAATATTGCGCTTCTTCACGAATCATTACGTGTGGCTGGTACCCTACTTGCAACTTGTCGGAGTGTGCTACGACTACAACAAGAGCTCTACCTCTCATACATTGTTGCTTGCTTGCATCCTCGCGTTCCAATCCCTGATGAACCATCCATTAATCCCGCCCTTTACGAAGGTGTACCTCAAGCTCCGAGACTCGTCAAACCGGCTGCATCTGCCACTCAAAGCGGTCGATCAACACCGGTACCCGTAAAGGATCGACAGAAACTTGGAATGGAAGGAGGTTCTCGCAAACCTGACGCCAGAGAAGCAATGGTAGAGAGTGTAGGGGCCTTGGTCAGAATACCCAGCTTCATGGCTGAGCTCTTCGTCAACTATGACTGCGAGATAGATCGAAGCGACTTGTGCTTGGACATGGTCGGCCTGCTTTCGCGCAATGCATTCCCGGATTCCGCCACCTGGAGTACTACTAATGTGCCACCCCTTTGCTTGGATTCGTTGCTCGGATATGTGCAATTCATCGCCGATAGACTCGATGATGAGCCTATGACCGAGGGACTGCCTCGTTTGGAAGCTCTCCGCGAACAGAGGACCCGTAAACAGATCATCATACGCGGTGCCGCCAAGTTCAACGAGAATCCGAAATCTGGTCTTGCTTTCCTGGCTTCGCAGGGGGTCATTGAAACCATGGAAGACTCCATGTCCATCACACGCTTCCTCAAGGGAACATCACGGATCGACAAGAAAGTTTTGGGCGAGTTCATATCTAAAAGGTCTAATGAGGTCATCCTTGATGCTTTCCTCGATCTTTTCGACTTCACCGGACAGCGTGTTGATGAGGCGCTACGCCAAATACTCAATTCATTCCGTCTCCCTGGCGAATCACAACTCATCGAAAGAATTGTCACGGTCTTCGCGGGGAAGTACTGCGATAAAACCAATCCCGAGGGCATTGCTGATAAGGACGCTGTCTACGTTCTGACGTATGCGATTATCATGCTCAACACCGACCAGCACAATCCGAATATGAAGCAAGCGCGAATGGCCGTCACCGACTTTGCTCGCAATTTGCGCGGTGTCAATGGAGGCAAGGACTTCGAACCAGAGTATCTTCAAGGAATTTACGACTCAATCAAGACTCGAGAAATCATCTTGCCAGAGGAGCATGATAACAAGCATGCGTTCGAACATGCTTGGAAAGAGCTTCTTATCAAGACACAAACTGCGCAAGACCTGGTCTTGTGTGATACTAATATCTATGATGCAGATATGTTTGCAGCCACATGGAAGCCTGTTGTCGCCACTCTCAACTACGTTTTCATGTCTGCCACTGACGATACTGTGTTCCAAAGAGTCATCTCCGGTTTCGATCAGTGTGCTCAGATTGCTGCCAAGCATGGACTGCACGACTGTCTCGATCACATCATATCTTCCCTTGCACAAATTAGCACTCTGGCTACAGAAACACCTCCAAGTACCGCTCTCAATACTGAGGTACAAGCTAATGGCAAGAGTATCATGGTAAGTAAGTTTGCGGTTGATTTTGGACGAGAGAATAAGGCACAGCTCGCCACGCTCGTCCTCTTCCGCATCATCAATGGTCACGAGGCCACAATTCGTGAAGGCTGGAGCCCTGTAAGTTTGACGTGATATCATTTCTGATTGTCATTGTGCTAAATCCTCGAATAGATCATTCGCATCATCCTCAATCTCTTCACAAATTCTCTCATTCCAACTACATTGTCGACGTTGACATCGAAGCTTGATCTTCCACCGATCCCTCTCCAGAGTCCAGCTCAAGTGATCGAACGCAATGACAAATCCACTGACATTGGTTTGTTTTCTGCGTTCACATCATACGTATCAAGTGTAATGAATGATGAACCACCGGAGCCGAACGACCAAGAGATTGAGTCAACACTTTGTACTGTCGACTGCATCAGCGCCTGTCGATTGAATGAAGTCGTCGCCAATATCGGGTATGAAACAAACAGCTCGTCTTCGTAGTCGCTCACTAACACATGTATCTTCAGCAACATGCCAATTGATGCCCTCAAGGCATTCACGCAATCGTTACTCTTGTATTTACCGCCGGACGATATTGAGAGCTCTCCAAAGGTCATCGTCGTTAAATCACCAGTCGTTGCCCCAACCCCAGTTCGAGCCAATGGTCAGAAACCACAACCTGTAACACCAGACTACGATCCGGGTCTCGTCTGTATTCTTGAGCTTGCCACCGTGTTGGCAATGCGTGATCAGGCTTCGGTATCATCATTCGGCCAAGAAGTCGCTCAGAGTCTCAAGTCGGTAATTCGTGATGCGGATGGTCTGCATCCGGTCACACTTGGCCGAGCATCATATTACCTGTTGAATCTGCTTAAAGCTAGCGACGTTGGTATCCTCGATCATTACCCATTGCATATTTTCTGACCAATATTAGGACCACGATTATGTTCGAGCGCCAGTTGTTTTACATACGATATCATCTTTCAATCAGGGCCTTCTTCAAAAATGCGGCCCAACAATACTCAAAGGAGTTTCTGGATGTATCAAAGGCTCTGCGAGCCTCCGGAAAGAAATGGCAACATCTCCAGACTTTTGGTCAATACTTCATAGTCTTCAACCGATTCCCGAAGCTGCCCCGCTTGCTTTCCACATCACTGAAGACATTGCTACAGGATCACCTCAAGCAATCACTGCTGATAACTACGAGTCGGCCATTGGTTTATTGAACACCTTTGCTACAGTCAGCAACCCAAATGGTTTTCGTGAACAACGAAGAGATCCAGCTGTACGGCGTAGCAAGTCGGCAGCTCCTGAAAAGCGACCTGCTCCCGATGAGGCCACACTGCGTGGTGTGAGGGCAATGGCAATCATATCACAAATGACTGGTCGTGTACCTGCATTCATCAAACAGTCTCACTTGGAACTCAATGAGGCTTGGCAGGCGTATTGGCTTCCCATCTTCAGATGCTTTATCATGCAATGCGTCAGTCCCTCTCGGGAAATCCGTCAACAGTCCTTCTCGTCCCTGCAACGCTGCTTGTTGTCCAACGACCTCGCATCGCCAGAACACAAAGAATGGACAAACATTTTCAGTCAGGTCTTATTTCCTCTTGTTCAACAGCTACTCAAACCAGAGGTCTACCAGATGGATCCAGCTGGTATGGGTGAGATGCGAGTGCAGACCGCACAATTGTTGTGCAAAATCTTCTTGCACTACCTTGTCATGCTTAGTGAATGGGAAGGAATGCATGACTTGTGGATGGAAATTCTGGACCTCATGGACCGTCTGATGAACAGCGGTCAGGGTAACACATTGGTACGTTATGTGAATATCTATGCATGCTCCTTCGACTAACACTTTGTTTCTAGGCGGAAGCAGTGCCAGAATCTCTCAAGAATGTGTTGCTCGTCATGTCCAGTAGCGGCTATCTGAAGCCGCCAAGCGACGATGACGAGCAGTCAGAGCAGCAAAAACAGTTGTGGAAAGACACATCAGACAGGCTGCAAAGCTTCCTACCAGAATTGATGCCTGAGCTATTCCCAGAGCCTGAACCAAAGGTAGTAAAAGAGGTGGGGACAAAAGTCGCTGATGAAAACGAGACAGGTGCTCCTGTGCCTGTCATAGAGGAGAAGAGTTCAGATGTTGCTTAGAGTAGATTCGTTTGATCAATGCTGTCGAAAGGAGCCCTAGACTTGTCCTCTAGACAGTATGTAGTAGAGCCGCATATGGAGCGGTGTCTTGATCGTGGAATCGACTACTGTGCATCTCGACGAGTGTGACAGTAATGTGTTATCATGATGTGACGGCATGTATGAGGCAAAGCGTCGCGCGATACAGGTTCTATCCTGAGTTAAAACACTATCATAGGGAACAAGCTGTTGTTATCGGAGTTTGTCCCAGTGGAATGTGGAAAAGTATATACAAGCAAACCAATGCATGGTTGCTCAGAAGGTGCCGGATCTTCATTGCTTGCTTCCCGGACGACCCTGCTCTTCTACATGTTTTCGAAATGTCATCCACTAATTTGCCCTATTCCATGGGTGCTTGAATTAGAGTAGCCTCTCAAGGTCTACACTGTCGCGGAATGGTCAGACATATGGGACAGATGGTGTACTTCATTTCCCCCTTGACATCAAGACTTCTACATTCCTAATTCTTCCTGCCTGTCTCACACAACCTCTCCCAGAATTGAGAAATGGTCATCCTCCTTTGCCAACCGCCTCATTCTGATGCAAAAAGCGCATGTGAGCATATACTACTAGAGAAATTAGCGGGGACGTCTAGATATCTCGGAGCTAAAATGCATGGACATAGAATGGAGGCTACATTGACACCAGATACTGGTCGTCAGTACCACCCTGTCCAAGCTATGTGGCCATCCAGATTGGAGCACAGATGATTGAACGTGTACAGTAACAAGTACTGCCGCCGATTGATATGTTTTGAGTTTAGTATCGCATCATGACTGCTTCTTGTATTCCTTCAGCTCCTTCTGGAACTGCTCTTTGAGTCGCAAATACGTCTCATCTTGCTTGATCTCTTCCAGCACGTCTTTGAATATCCGACTGGACTCTTCCTTTTCCTCCTTGTCCGCGTGATCCTTGCTATTTGGTAGAACCTCATGATCCTTGTCGTACTTTCTTCCACCCTTGTGGTTTGCATATCGTTTCGATCGCGTGAACCCCATTTGTATAAACTTGCGAGTCATGTCCATGCCCACAAAGTCGTCCTCTTGTCCAAAGTGCTCAAACTCATCTCGTAAAAGGGTCGAGGACTGTCGTGCAATGTCCGGAGTTCGAAACCGCCATAGTGGGAGCAGGTAGGATTTGTAGGGCTCGAAGGTCAAGACGCCCATCTCTCCTCTCCCTATGCGATACTCCATGCGCTGAGTGTGGGTCGTTTGTGGTCGCGACACGGTGGGAGCCTCGAGCTTAGCTGTTGCTATCGGTGCTCGACGTGGCATTGTGCGTCGAGTATGGCAGGTGCCAGTGGAAAAGGTAGTTGGTAGTGATTGATCACTTCAGTGTTGCAGCCAAGCATGATGACGAGTTCCTGAAAGCGCATGTCACCAACATACCATTCACGCGTCTCGCGCTAGAGCCGAGCAAAACTTATGTCGCGACCACGTAATAGCCTTCGCGAAAGATGAACCCATGAAAAAGAAAGAAAGTGATGTTAGTCGTCTCCAAGAGGAGATACTCTTACAAAAAGACATGGTATTAGTTCAGGTCGTACTGGGGCTCGAACCCACTGAAATGAGTTAGAATTAGATACCATCGGAAGATGATTAGAGTAAACTCACGGACTCGAGAATATTTGAATGATCAAAATCTCGCGTGCTAACCGCTACACTATACAACCAATTTGTTGTGCACTAGTCTGGGAAGAACCAAATATAATGTTCACATGATATCGGACCCAGCATGGGATCAAACCGTCAACGAGGACATGCTATGGAATTACACATCTCCGCCACACCCATATCCTTCTCCCAAGCGCTCTTTGCGGTCACGGCTTTTACTAGACACCGGTAGACCGAAAACCTCTGATACGGAGTCGTCCTGTTACAGCAAGCTGGCGGATCAGGAGCTCTGCGCCGCGAACGATCAAAGTGCAATCTGAGCAGCTTGAGTAAGCTTTCCCGCTTTTGGTGGGGCTCCAAAGCTTCCAGATCTACGAGGTACGACGGGAGTTGGTCTGTCAGAATGAGCGATCAATCCAGGAACAACACAAATGTCAACTAAAGACAAGCTGTTTATACTCGCACGACTTCCGCTGCTGCTCGGATAGTCAACGCCTTCAGTCGTCCACTAAATCGGTGCCTGCCTGCGATTTAGACACGTTCCAGCTCCTGCGCTAAAGGCGTTCTGCGACGTCATTGACATGCTCTAAAGGGTAAAGTCATAACAGACCAAAGCGGATTCCACCTCGAGACCGGTAGCCAGCGGTCTTTGAATCGCTCCGGTGTCCGACTCAAATATGAAATAGGTTGCTACACTGTTCTCCCCTTGAAAACGTCGTACCTAGGTCATTCTACATTGTTACTTGCTAGTGCTTGATTTGCAAACATGGTCAATTCAACACAGACCTCTGGCCCATTGCAGGCATTGAGCGGTTATGTGGCATCCTATGGCTGGGGGCCTCTCTTGTCTGTTTCGCGAAGCACTGTTCTTTCGCTACTGTCGCGTATCCAGGTTGGGCATCTAGGAGTAACAGACGTGGACGGGAAAGTCTCTGTCTATGGACAAAAACAAGTGGTCAATGGCAAAACAGAGAAGAGCGTATATTCTCTGCCAAACATAGAGTTGACTGTGCACAAAGATGTGTTCTGGGTGCGCATGTTGCTCTTTGCAGATATGGTAACTCTCGCGGTCGTCAATTGAAGACCTTGCGCTGATGGAGGGATAGGGATTTGCAGAGAGCTATATGCTTGGGGAGGTTTCCTGTTCTGACTTGACAGAGTTCTTCCGGGTTCGAATCCAGACCGATCGCTCAAGGTAAAACCTCTACTAACACACGACTAGTTGTTCATTCTCAATCGAAACTACCTCTCGAACGGATCCACGCTCACGTCGAACCTCTCTGCCAAACTCACGTACCTCCTTCGCAAAACGAACACGCTTACTACCGCTCGCCTCAACATTGCCGCGCACTACGATATCTCCAATGACATGTTCGCCGCTTTCTTGTCTCCAGACATGACCTATTCTTGTCCTATCTGGTTACCCAAGTCCGACCCTGGCTCCTCGGAAGAAACACTCGAGCAAGCACAGATGCGCAAGTTGAGACGCTTTATCACCAATGCGAAGATCAAGGAAGATGACCATGTTCTGGAGATTGGTACAGGCTGGGGCAGTTTTGCCATTCTAGCTGTAAAAGAGACTGGCTGCCGTGTCACAAGTTTGACCTTGTCAACAGAGCAAAAGGCTTTGGCAGAGCAGAGGATCGCCGAGGCAGGCCTTACGGACCGCATAGAAGTTCTTCTGTGCGATTATCGCGCGTTGCCAACACCAAGAGATGGAAAACTGTACGACAAGGTTGTTAGTATCGAAATGCTGGAAGCTGTGGGCAAGGAGTACCTTGATACCTATTTCCAATGTGTCGACAAGCTCTTGAAGCCTGAAGGCGGAGTTGCGGTCTTCCAATGCATCACAATGCCCGAAAGTGTGAGAAGACTATGCCTGCTTTGACATTGTTGATAATTGACTGACCATTTCAAGCGCTATGATGCATACAGCAACTCGGACGACTTCATCCGCCGATACATCTTCCCTGGTGGTCACCTTCCCACCATCACGCAACTGCTAGATTCCGTTAGAGCCGGCTCCTCATGCAGACTCATCCCGGAATCCGTGGAGAATATTGGACCTCATTACGCAAAGACATTGAGACTTTGGCGCGAAGAGTTTATGCAGAACTTCGAAGAAAAAATCAAGCCCTCGCTGCTTGAGGAGCACGAAGGAATGACGGACAAAGATGTGGATCTATTCCGCAGAAAGTGGGAATATTACTTTGCATACTGTGAAGCTGGCTTTGTCACCAAGACTTTGGGCGATGTAATTTTCACCATCGGAAGAGAAGGTTCAGTGGAGATGATGGAAGATGTGCCCATTTAGTTACATCATTGCAGATGTGGATTTCTATAATGTTTGATTGATGTGTAGGAATAGGAGGGCGCGGAGGAGGTATAGATCAGCTGGTGATACCCCGATTGTGCCATATAGACTTACGCCAATCACAAATCGTATTCTGGTATGCACGAAGCAATTTGTGCTGTAATGTGTGGTGAATTTTGTTCCATGATGTGATGATTTCCGTACCAGTCGCAAGGAAACACCCTCTGGTGGCGTCAGGGTGCGCAAAGCCTCGTGCGCACGCAAATTTACGCCGCCTTCCACTTTGTTCAAAGAGACTTCAATGCGAAGTATCATCGCAAGCCATCGAACATGGAACCATCTACTGTAAAGACAAGCCTACCGGCGCAGCTCCCAAGAATTCGCAAAAATGAACCGTTCAACGCCTTGATCCAGAAGCTTGCAAAGTAGATTCATCATACAATCTCCGACATGCCACGGCATTTGCTCATCGTTTTGCCAGATACTTCACGGATCTTGTAGTAAGACCCATAACATTCGAGGAGTTCCGCACCACCCAGGATCATCTACTCACCCCATTGTGTCGACACCTGTTACACGATGTACACCATCCTGCACTAGTTGCGGGACTGCTGTAAGACAGAACTTCCTGGTAACCTTTCGTGGCTGACATTGTATGTCGATAGCGTGCTCAAGGGCCACTTCGTCACTCTTGAAGCCGATGAGGAACAAGGTATTCACGCCGCGCGAGGATTCGCTTGTGAAGCTGTTGCAACAAGATTCATCATCGGACTGGCCGACAGGGAGATCATCGATTTACTTCTGTATGAGTTAGAGATTCCCGAGGCTCCAGGAGTCGAAAGTCAAGGCGCAGACGACAACCAGCCAGAGCTTGCGTCGCCACTTACCGAGCAGTCCCCTCTCCTGTCCCGATCAAGTCTCCGTTCTAGAGGAAGCTACAGGAGCAGGCTCACCATCCCGGAAAGCTATGATGGTGTTGCAGAAGATCCATCTGATACCACTGATGCTGAATTGGCTGATCAATTCGATGGATTGAACGCTTTGGAGATTGCGGCCGTGTCAGGAGCCAAGAAGTTCCTCTGTCAAAAGCAAGTTCAGAGGATCATCAATGCCATCTGGACTGGAGATATCATGTTCTGGAGCAAACTCAGCGCCGATGCGCAGAAGAAGGCACAAATCTATCAACGCAAGTCAATGGATCCGTTCTGTCGCCTACGAGTACCCATCTATCTCAAGGCGTTCGAAGTTCTGTTTTTTGTGGCATTCCTCGCGTTTTACTATGCTGTTCTAATGCAGCGTTCGTTCTACTCGGTCACAACAGCTGAAGTGTTCCTGTACATTTGGATTGCCTCATTTGCTCATAACGGTATGTGTTCACTTGATGAAAGTATGCAACACATGCCTGAGTACTGACGATCATACAGAAATCGGCGAGTTCTGGGATGCAGGTACCACAACTTTCTACCTCGCAGACTTTTGGTCTCTTTGGGATCTATTCGTGATAGGTATCGGGGTGGCGTTCTTTATTACTCGTACGTTACGCAATCTTCGAGCTTTCCTGATGCTGTACTCCATAGACCAATCGACCCTATGGAAGCAGCCTACAGTGTCTGATGGGGTTGGAGCAAGCGCTGACATGCTTAGGAATGATTGGTCTCCATCAAGGAAATGATAGGATCATCGACACTTCCTTCGATATCCTCGCGCTCGAAGCATTGTTTCTTATTCCGCGAATCTGCTCTCCTTTGCTCTCACTGTCGCCCTACTTCGGTACCTTGCTTCCATGCCTGACGGTCATGACGAAGGTCAGTCCTAAATATTTGATCTGTGCCTCCTTTGATAGCTAACGGTTCGTCAGGACTTCCTCAAATTCCTTTCGTTGGTGGCCATCTTGTACTGCGGATTTTTGTCGACCTTCTGCCTTCTGGGCAGAGGTCAATTCACCTCGCGGCAGATGGCTCTGATTCTGACAAAAGTGTTCTTCGGAAGTTCATACCTGGGCTTCGACATTAGTGACAAGATCTCACCATATCTTGGACTGCCGCTGATGTTGGTTTTCATAACGTGAGGGCCACCACGTTAACATTTTCCAATACCCTGCTGACTTCCCACCTACTGTAGATTGACACAAATTCTTCTGATTACTTCACTCATCTCGATTCTATCCAACAGTTTGTCAAACGTTCTCTCACACGCCAGAGAAGAGTATTTGTATGTATACTCTGTCTTTGTGCTTGAAGCATCGACATCGAACAGGCTCACATACTTCATTCCCCCTTTGAACCTGTTCTCGTTGGCTCTTAGACCTCTCCGACTCTTTCTGTCCTCGGAACAGTTGCGTCACAGTCGTATCGTGGTTCTCAAGATGACGCATTTGCCTCATGTACTCCTCATTAATCTGTACGAGAAGATGCAGTCTGTTCGTAAAGGCAACACCACTGGCTTCGGTTTTGGATCTCCCCGGAGCGTCGAGAAGCCACCCGGCTGGAAACGATCTGTATTGAACAAAAGGCTTCCATCACGATATCCGCTCCTGGCGCCGAGTCCGCAAGGCGTGGACCAATCGCCGGCATCGCCGAGCACACAACCTTCGGTCTCCGCAGCTGCCGTCAAAGACATAAAGGCCGTGCTTGATCAGCTCACTACACAGATAGAGCAGCTCAGGGGCATGGTTGAGGAACAAGAGCGTCAAATCCAAGTGAACGACGACCAGTAGAATACCCGCGCGGTACCACAGTTGCCACACTGCAAGGTCGAGGCGCTTCAAGGAATGCAAGGACGGCTTGCCTGATCGATGATTAATCCCAGAGTGTCAGGGAGCGCGTTCCATAACAGTCACGGGCTCGACGAATCGTACATACCTGGGCTAATCGCGACATGAGACCGAGACGGAGTCTGAGACACGGGTGAACTGGTGGGTGGGTAGTTGATTGCCCTGAACCAGACAGTCGGGTCGATGGACGTTATCCGGCAGCCGCGATCGGCAGCCGAGAATCGGGAACTACAAGTATTGACGGCATACAAAAAGCATCAACGAAGTAATAACAATCCGAGCTATCGACACTATCAACACGACGTGATGAATATCCAGGCGTTCATGGAGAAAGGTGTCATGTGCTGCATATCGTCGAGTGTTCGGATCTTGGCAGGTGCCCTACCGTCGGGTCCATCGCCTCTCTAGGTGCTGGCCTATGGAGGATTCTTATTTAGTTATAGGTCCGCCTTATTCTTCAGGTTCTTCATTGCTTTCGCTCTTCGTTCATTTTTGTACAGACCGCTCCCAAAGATCCCAGTAAGTGACAACTCATCGAGAGGCCATGATTTTTGGATCCGTAATCGGCTTGGTTCAAACAACCTCTGACCATAGTTGTTCAGGATACTCACACCTGTGTATTTCCCACTATGCAACATCAGTATCGCTGGAGTACTGCCGAGCCTACCTTCGGCCATAGTTCAGAGCTATATTACCCCTCCGGATATCAACTCGACACCAATCGAGACTTTGTTCCTGGACCCTGGCGGAGTCCTGTAGAGTCGGAGAAACCTCTCTGGACGGAGCTACCCCAATCTCTACAGACTATCGTTCATACAGACTACTCTGGCCCTATCTTGTTGAGTCCTGAGCCACTGAGCTTCACGCTGAAGCAAGAGTATGATTCGGGCTTAGACTGTAAATGGTCACCCAGTCTGACCGAGTCGAGTCTAACTTCAACTACACCGTCACTATCGACACTACGGTCCATGCCTTCAACACAATGTGCCGCACACATGACAGGCGCAGAAGATTCGAATCTTTGGCCTACGCGGTACCAGCATCATAACGAAAATCCTGGTTGGGAAGTTGCTCCTCCAACTCATTGGCCAATTGTGAAAACCCAAGGCAGCGAACATAAACCCAGTCGTAGCTCACGAAAAAGACGGCACTCGCCTGAACGACATCAACCACTCAGTCGACATCCAGAAGAAGAAGTACAGGCACTATTAGACAGGCCACGCAGAGTCAAGACTACAGCCGAGAATGCCAGGTTCTACTGCAATGCGTGCGACAAAGGGTTCCAACGTGTGTATAATCTTCGCAGTCACATGCTCAAACATGAGATCTCGCGGGAAAAGATTCAATGCCCCCACAATGGATGCGACAAGAGCTTTGACAGGAAGACCGATCTTGGTCGTCATGAGCGTAGTGTACACTTGCATTTGCGAGAACACAAATGCGTCCTATGCGGGTCGTTCTTCGCAAGAAAAGACACGCTTGTCAGGTAGGACACATTAGTATCTTGGATGGGGTGGTTCACTGACTGGATTCTATGCAGACATATCGAAGGTAGCTGCTCCAAAAGGACAGAAGTGGATCGAAACCGGTCCAGCAATCTGACGGAGCCCAACACTCGTTGACGGACCTACCAACACGCATTGGCACCACAAACCCACGAGGGTGAGAAGAGACCTTCCGGTACCTAGTTGTATCTGGCCAGTCCATGGCAGCTCAGCCGTCCAAAGCCAACACACTAGCTGCATACGCTTAAGCGCGGGTGTATGCGCAGGTGACGGTGGCGCCAACAGATGCTGATCCTGACTCGTGAGTAAATTGTATTGGCGATAGGATGTGGAGACTTCTCTGATGAGCCGATACTGGCAGACCAATCAACAGCCTATCACCAACATCATGGGCGGGGGCATTACGTGGGAATAAACACATTGAACTTGCCGTTGAGCCCAAGGTCTCTGGCAAAGATAGAGCATTATGGACTATGATGTACCATAAAGGAGATTTGCATTTGTTCTTCCCATCCGACTACTCGTCATCTAGACTACGTACAATTAGCAAATCCTCAACAAGTCGTTTCTGAGGACGTAATGGGAGAATGAGGGGAGAGGATGACAGTCGAGTTTCATGATATGCAAAAGGCGATCGCAGACCCCTTGGAGCCGAGAGTGACCAAATGTGTCAGGGTCCAAACGTTGAGTGCTCGGCACCGAGGGAGGCTCCTCCCTGAGCGAGCGGGGAAGGTTCGCTCCCCAGCGGACCTAAGTTAATTACTCTATTCGAACCACGACCGTCTTGCCTGATGACAACGTGATAGCAGTCGGGACCATTCCGCCTTGGACCTCTGACCTTCTCATTGCGGATTATGGCTTTGCGACGCGCATGGTGGATCTCTCGTGCCGTTCCATACTCGAGCGAGTCAAACCTGGATTTTGCAATGCGGGCTAATGATGTACATGGATAGTGTAATAGAGGTGCACACCGAGACCCACATTATTATGACTGGCGCTCTGTCGTTTGTTTTTCCTCCTCTTCCTTGATCGAGACCTACGCTAAGCTGCAGCTCTAGCACGGGCGGATGTTTTCTTTAGCACAGTACTAATGTAGGACGTTCGTTCAACTACCGACGATATCTGAGCTGAGATCCGCAATGCATTCGGTTGATCAAGTATCTAGACTGCACAGAGGCCGCGAGACTTGCATTGCAGCTCAATCAATCTTTCACCAATACGCACCCGATAGTTCTCCATGAAGATTGCATGACCTGATTTTCAATAGCGCCATTTGGTTGATAGATTGGTGATTACACCCGAATATTGCGCACATTGTCTTGGCCATGGTCTAGTCATGTAGATTTATTGAGTCACAGACATGAGTCGGTTGAGGCCAATTCGCGCGGTCTCAACATAAGACGCTGGAAGAGAAGGATCAGACACGCATAAGAAATGACCGGGTGCTTGGCAAAGGATCAGTGTTTTGCTACGGACAGGCATCCGACGGTGTGAGAAAGTGGGGTATTAAAAGTTAAAACAAAGCAGAAGAAGTTGTAAGTTGTAGCAATGAGCTGGTTTGTACTTCAGCTAGATTGGCGGAGAAAGCTCACAAGAAGTCGCCACTGCCAAAGTTGTTGAAAGGGTTAGGTGGACCAAAGCCCGAAGGACCGCCAGGACCACCGGGACCGACTGGATCGTATCTGCTTCCTGGAGGAGCTCTAGGGTCGTAGCCGCGGCCACTGGGATGGTGAAGATCAGGAAGGGTTGGATGCATACCGCCGCCACCGCCAAAGCCAGGATTCGAGCTCCCGAAAGGGTCTCTTGGACCCAGACCTTGCGGATATAGGTCTCGTTCACCGATATTTGCGAAGCCAGGGTGTGTGGCGCCCATGGGACGAAGGGGTCTGTTCAGGTCGTATGGATCTTCGAAGGCTGGGGGAGAAAGTTCACCTTGTGGGAAAGGACGAGGAGGGTAGGCAAGAGGGTCCCGGAAGGGTTCAGGGCGAGCAGGAGGTTGGCGGCCATCACGAAGAGGGTCGTGACGAGGAGGGTCTGATTGTCTGATGGGCTGTTGAGCAGATTGGGCAGCAGACTCTTGGTAGCCTTCCTTTTGCAGTGACGGCATGAGCTTCTGGACGATGTTGATGCGCATGAGAGAGCCATAGTCGGAGAGACGGCCGTTTGATATGAAGAGGTTGAAGAGATTCCTGGCATGTGGTTGTTCTAGGGTGAAGGGTGTGGAGGCTTCGGAGGTGTAGTCTGCAGCCTTGACGTCCAGCGTGGCCGTCTTGTCATCGCCCAGGCCCATGGCCAGAACGACGGCCTTTTTGCCCATGCGGTTCACTTTCAACAAGTACTCCATGGACGACTGGGTGTGTGCGTAGCGGAAGGCGTAGTTTGGAGCATTCGCGTTCCACGATTGTGGCAGACGGGGAGGGGTTTCGACGGTGATACGGTCGTCATCGCCCAGACCGACAAGACGGAAGCCAACAGCCAGCATCGAGGCATGGCTTGCCAGAGCGATGGCATCGAAGGGGGTGTTGATGTGGGTCGGACCATCTTCAGGCAGAGTGCCGGCCATGATGGTGGCTAGTGAGTTGGCCGAAAGCACATTGCCGACGAGCGCCATGTTGATGATGTGAGGGTGTGAGAGACGGTGAGTGCTGCGAGACAGAGAGTCGTAGTTTCGTCGCTGCTTCTGATGCAGAAGAACATGCAGTCGATGACGATGATCTACAGAGAGAGCACCCCGCATTCGAAGGGCAAAGCCAAGGCGGGCACATGCAAGCGGTGACGATCGCATCCGCACGTGCTCGCAGTCTTGCAGTCTTGCAGCAACACAGCAAGACGGCAACACAGCAAGGCAGCAACACAGCAACACGGCAAAACAGCAACACAGGCCGGTCCATGTCCATGTCCGCTGCGTCGCATCATATAGGCAGATCTTGGATGGCAGTCTGAAGCAACATGACGAGCAACTCGACGCTGGCGCCGTCTTCGTCGGACCTGCTGCTGCTCGTGCCCCGGCTGGCTCAAAACATGGTCCATCTGGCAAGGCGCTTTCTGTGCGACCCGTCGCTCCCGCATGCAAACATGACCGAGACACTCGCGTCCCCTCTACTCAACAAGACGGCTACAATCATACATGAGACCGTAGCTTCAGCCACTGCTCCTACCGCTACGCTCGCTGCCCACGCCCTGCCCGAATCAAGCACCTATCTATCCTACCTCACATTTCCCTTTTCCGCCGACTCGATAAAGAACTTTGGCGGTGTCTTTTCGTACATCGGCTCACGCTGGGCCCTCGCTACCTTTGCCATTGTGTGTCATCCCCTGTGCCATGCCCGACATGTGCTGTGAACCTTCGCTAACCCGCATCTCCCAGTCCATCTTCCTCAATCGCACCCACTTTTACGCTTCGTCCCGTCAGAACCTGGACCCTAAATGGCATACCCGTCTCCTACTGTACTCTGGTCCCATCCTTCTCCTCTCCTACCATGTCCTGTTCATCTTGCAGACCCTCAAGTGCCAGACTTCGATACACTACCCGACCTTACGATATGGCGACCCAAACAAGATCCTGCCAATCAACTTTGCCGCTGACGGCGGCTTTGTACACACTCTTGCTTCAACCGCCCTCTTCTGGATGTCCGACGCCGACTCCTGTCGCGCCATGAACATGGACCGACAAGACGGTGATCCTCTCAACATCATGGGCTCCTTCTCGCTGCTCTGGCCCCTCTTTCTGGCCCTCTGTTTCAGCCAGTTCATCGAAACTTTGAATTGTGCCCTTCAGGGAAGGCAGCCCTTGCCAGAGACCGGCATGACCACTTTCGAACACTCTCTGGCCTTTGCCGAATCGGAAGCCATGCTTACCAACCTTATCGGCTTGACTGCTTTTGCTCCAGCTGACCAATCCCCCTCCTCGCACTCTGATCCTTCAGATGCTGTCTTGTTGACAAAGTCCATGGTTCTCCAACATCTCAATGTCCCCACAGAGGTCTTGCTTATCGCTCTCATCTCTTGTCTGAGCCACATTAGTAGCGCCGTGCTTGCAATCACTGGCCGCCGACACCACATGCGTCTCGTCAACACCGCTGTATGGGCTGTATGTTACATGGCTGCTTTCTGCTGGAGCTTTGTCAACGCACTCCACAGCCCCTTGGGGTCGCATGACCTTAGCATTCTTCGCTTCCCGACAGTCTGTATTATAGGCTTCATCCCTCACATGCTCATAATTCTAGGCATCCTGGTTTGCTCGTCCATATACGCCGTCGCTCTATTGCTCAATGCTCTATCTCTTCCGCCAAACTCACCACCTAATCCCTCAATCAAGGAGCGCTTCTCAATTGCCTTCAACAACATGCAGGCGAACGTGCAATTCTCTTCAGTCTCATCCATGAGGCTTAGTTGGACCGAGGACTTTTACACTGTTCTACTAAAAATAGGCTTTAATGTCCTTACGGCCGCGAGCGAGTCTGTCTTTTTGAATGAGGGAAGCAAAATCCAGATCTATGCCATGACCTGGCTCGAAGAGGAACGCATGCAAGAGTTCACTTCCATGTTGGAGGACCGGCGCCGTGCGAGTCTTGTTCCATCCGATTTGCTCGACGAACGCATCGCAAGAGGGCTCAGCTTCACCGATCACAAGACCATGGTATCATCATCTGGCTTTGCTGTTGAACGCAGATCGAAATCATCTGCCGAAAATGCCAGTACCAGAGCAGTCAACAACGATAACGGGCTCGGCATCGCAGAACGTCGTGGTCGATGGCAGCTTAGTTTTGAGTTTCTGAAAGGACTGTATCTGTTGCTTGTTCGCATCAACTGTCGTGTTGTCTTGACTTGTCTATCGACGATGGGCATCGAAAGGACGCCCGGATGGCTGACTAGGGCTGCTGAGTTGAGATCACCTACTAGCTCTTCGGTTGCCAAACAACGGAACGCTCAACGAGCCTCGACACCTGACTTCTGGCTTGTTTCCGAACGCGGTGTGTTGTCGCTGCCGGAGAACGGAAACATCGACGTGGAAGTTGAGATGCGCAGACGGCTAGGGGCTCGATATTCCGCGGGCCACTCTACTGTAGCGGAGGATGTTGTCGATGCTGATCTGTACGACTGGTGGAAGCGAGGTGGCTGGTGGGGAGATCTCGATACTAGCGGCAACTACGTGGCTCAGGAGCAGGACGACGACGCGACCAGTGTGGTTTCAATGTCAACGAATGCCACCAGTGAGGCCGACTCAGAGGAAGACAGTGGCAGGAGAACTCCAACACAAACCGACTATCTTACTCGGAGTCGAGAGCAGACTCCCGCAACAGGCTTCGAAGTGACAGATCTTGCTCGACTACTAGACCCCAAGACCGCGGCAGACAGAGAGGAAGCACGCATGCTTGCCCGTCACATCCGAAGCGAGAAACCAATGACCCGCTCACAGTATCGCCTGCAGACGAACCGAGAGAAGGTTAGAGTCCTGGAGGCGCCATATCTCGAGCCAGTTTTCAGCGAGGGCCTTGAAGCAAATACAAGTCTCAACACCGAGGTAGAGACCTTGGAACGCTTCTTACTCGAGCGGCGCTCGGCGAAGCCCCGGGTGCCAGAAGGTGGTGCTGGGTCTTGGGATTCTGGTGCAGAGGGCATGGGATCCAGTGGGCCTCAGTGCGTCGTCTGTCAGAGCAGTCCTCGGGTCATTGTCGCATGGCCATGTGGCTGCCTCTGCGTCTGTGATGAATGCAGGGTTGGCGTTGCTACACGAAACTTTACGAAATGCATGTGTTGCAGGATCAAGGTGGTCGCGTACTCGAGACTTTACGTTCCATAGATATTACATCCATCCATGAATATGAACCTGATTTCCACTTCGAAAAGAACCTTGCTATTTCTCCATGATGACGTGTGTCGAAAAGTAATCTGTTCAATCCAGGAATTCGATCAGGGCCTCATGAGCGAGCGTCCAAGCAACAACTCGACATCGACAACGCTCAATCGACGAATTTAGAAGCAATGCCATCTTGTCACACTGGATCATTGCAAAGTATCTTAGATGCACAGTAGATGCCGGGATGAGACATGGGTGAATCGATGGTAGAAAGACGCAAGGTCGACCGGGAAGAAGGTCGGGTCACGGGTCCTGGGCACTGAGCCAACCCAATTGGGCTAGCTGCGCTTGCGGCCTCTCGCCCTACACATACAGCCTCTCGCACGGCGCAAGAGCTATCAGGAATTAGAACCGATGTTAGCTATCATCTTCTTGCGATGAGGTTATCATCTACCTGATCTACCTCTACAATGCTCTGCCTTTACCCTTGCCTGTCCGTATCGACAGAGCAGGGAACTCTTCACGAGCCTCTGCTTCTGCCTCTATTCTACTTTGCTCCTCCGCAAGACTCAATTGGAGAGCAAACTCCAGATCTGTCAGCTCTGTACTGTTGCTACCCTCTGCTGCCTCTTGATTACTGTAAGCCTCAAATTCGGCCTCTTCTTGCTCCTGTAGACGCTTGCTTTCTTCTTCCGCCAGGCTGAGTCGGATCGCTTCTGCAATCTCTAGATCCAGTTCGGCTTCCAGCATTGGCGGAGTGCTATATCTCGTGCCGTCGGACTCGGGCATGCTGGAATTCTTCTGTTGATCCTTTGCAAGCGCTTCCTCGCTCAACATGCGAGCGTAAGCTAGAATCTCCTCCTCGCTGGCGTCATCTCCTAGCAGTTCTGTTCCGAATCTGCCGGCGAGATGCTCTGCTTGTCTCGCTTCCTGGGCGTTCTCGCGTTCCAGTTCGAACTGTTCGTTGGCGATGAAGCCGTGGATGTTACCTCTACCAGCGTTGGCAAATCGATCGTTGGCGACGTTGGTACCTCGATCGGCTCTTCGGAATTTGCGTTTGTGTGATCTGTATTGGTCTGCGGCAGAAGAGCTGAAGCTCCAGTACAGCAGGTGCGTCCCAATTGACACCATGCCACGCAGGACTGTCGGATCAGGATCGAGGCAGATGGCTCCTGCTGCAAACAGATTGATGCCAACGCCCTGTGCAGATGCTTGAGCCTGTATCAGCCTACGTCTTGCCTTAGATGCGAAGCGAGAGTTCAACGTCTTTATCGGATCCATGCTAGAGGCCAGAACATCCCAAGCTTGAACCAGTCCATCGTTGCCTCCGTGGACTAGACACAGAGAAGACAGTGCGATACAAGAAATCTGAGGTGACTCTGTATGGATGATGCGTACGGGTTCCAATGTATTGACAGCATCATGAAGGGTAGGCAAAGATGCTCTTGCATCCCACACCAAGACACTTCCAGTAATTGTACCGACAGCAATGAATCGAGCTCGCTGTCCAGGGGCATCTGCGACAGAAGATGGACTGCTGGATTTCGATAAGGGCGTCAAGCTAGGAGAAGATACTGTGGAGGGTCCTGAGAAGTTCAGAAGCGGATCCTCCGAGGATGTGAGGGTTGCGAAGGTAGAGCAGTCCAGCGCGTGGGCTGTTATTTGCACACATTTCAAACCACCGAAAGACATGTTCGAGAGTCTCCATTCCTCTGTCGATCGCTCGAGCCTGTCACCGGCTTCGAGCGCTGATATGGACAGGCCGTAGTCCAAGTCACCTGTCGAGGGAATGGGACCACCAAACAGAGACGTCGATCCGGGTGGCGTAGGAGTTGATGCAGTAGTGCGTGACTGCCGCGACTTAGTCTCGACGCTCTCCTTGTCAGTGACTCTGAACCGAACAAATCGCTTGGCTGACGCGGGGGGGTCTTCTTCGTCGAGGCCGCTTTGAAAGACAAAGACAGCCTCTCCAGCCTGATTACCATCATCTCCTGCAAAGTCAACCTCCAGCACTCTACGCATGTCCCATCCCAAGCAGCTTCTCTGGAACTCCTTGGGCTTGCGGTCGATGTAGTCTTCAATCTCTCGGGTCTCGGCCGTGATTTGGTCCTCGCTCAAGTACATGCCGTTCCAGGACGATCGAGGAGAGTAGCTGCCGTCCACATGAGAGTTGCTGTAAGGATTTGGGCGAGCCGCACGTCTGCTGGACTCTACAAGATTCCAGTATACCGACCGGCCCGTCGACCAGGCGAGGCGTTCCCGCACTTCATCATTTAGTCTTCCAGGCTCATCGTCGTTATTGCGCTTAGGAAACTTGGTCAAGTAGAAAACCTCGCCCAGAGCATTGAGCACGACTGCCCATATCTTGGACTCTCCTTGACGTTTGATAGAATACTGTTCATCAACTGCAATACCAATGATGGGTACTCCTGGACTTATTGCCCAACGTGCTGTGACCTCGCCTCGACTGAAGCGCTGATCGCGAGTTCCGAGAGGTCCGAGACTGTACGCGGTGAGTACACCAAGAGAAGAACCAGAGAGAAGTCCTATGAGACCATCTGTGAGAGACGGGATGGCCGAAGTCTTTGCAATCCAAACGCTACACATTGCTTCTTGGACTGGCAAAAGCCGTGGAATACCCGATGCCGGTACAGACATACCACTTGAAGGTGTCAGAAAGTGGCCACGCATTTCCTCGGTGAATCTGTAGTAGACAAAGCCACCGGGCGAGCCTTCACCGTGAACCATGCCATATGGCTGACTGACATCCATCGAGTTGGGCACACCGACGACATTTCCAGGACAGAGACCGTACATGGCGTCGCCAGGAAAGCGGTCGGAGAACTGGAGGAAAGTATTCGGATCGCCCAATCCCCACGAGTCGGCCTTTCCAAGCATCGGATCACTGCTTCCAGCAGTACCCACATCGTCGGCGCCGTGAACGAAACGAGGGGAACGCTTATTCAAAGCGGCACCATGGAAAGTAGCATGCAAATGATTGACTGTTGTGAACATCTGTGAAGAGTAGTAGTAGGAGGGGGTTGCGACGGGAGTTTGGCCAAGGCGGGTCTGGGCGGGAGAAGCAGGCAGCTGAACAGGCTTGCCCCGAGCGAGGGAGCGTAGCAAGCGGGTGCGTAAGATATACTCGCTTCGCCACGACGCCAAAGCAGTCACACGGGTGAATGCCCGACGTTCGACGCGGAGGCCCTCATCTTGATCGTCTTCGCCATCGTATGCGCTAGGGTTGAGGGAGTCTGGGCCAGGGAAGAAACGCGAGAAGGCTGTCCTCCAAGCATGAGGGGTGGTGACCAGATCGTGGAAGCGCCGGGAGACAAGCGAAACAGCAGACAGGTCCTGTGGAGACAGATGGGCGAGAGCATGGGTCAAGATCTCGTTGGGCAGATCGGCAATAGGGGAGTGTTTGTCGCCGGGCTTTCTTGCCTTCTTGACGACGGCAAAGGCAGGACCCCCGGTCTTCTTCCTGGAGGGAGAGGCGGCTGAGGCGTTTTCATATTCGGTGATGCGATTGCGCGAAGGCGTCGAGGCGGCCTGCGGAGGACTCAGTCGTCCAGATCCAGACGATGCGCCAAAGTATTGCAAATCGGCAGAAAGGCTGACACCTCCACCGCCATCTGCTGGACTGGCGCGTTGCTGCTCTCCATACTGGCTATCAAAGGTGGACTCGGCGGGGCTCGTGGACGCGACGTGTGGCTGTTGGACAGACGTGGGAGACTGTGCGTGCATAAAACTGTCGGGGAGGTGGTTTTCAATGGTGGTGTGACCGAGCCAGCGATAGCGGTTCAGTCGGCCGTGGATTGGATGTTCTTGAATGGTTGTTGTTGTGTTTGGTAGAACTGCTGCAAGTGATGAATTTGGAGTACGACGATGAGGGGCAAATCCACCTCTTTCCTTCTCCAGCCTCCACCTTCCTCATCCCCCATCACGTGGAGAAAGAGAAGATCTGGAACCTGCACGAAAGACTTCACAGAGACGACTGTCACAAATCGACTTGACAGAGGAAACAACTATTTCACGTTCGGCGACAAGAATTCTGCGGGCCGCAATTCATGCCCTCGCGACCGCCTTGATTGCGGTTCGTCAGGACTGTGCTTTTCGACAGCTACGGACTACCATCTCCATGGAAAGAATGTGTTAGAATACAGAGGGAAAGGATGCGCGCTTGCGTTGGTATATTTGAATAAATGAGATAAAGCGGGAATTGGCAAGCTGCTAGAATTCGAGGTTTTTACAAGCCGTCCGGCAAATTTATAGATCGTCGTCCATGTCGATAGCATCTGGGTTGGCTGTGGCTTGATTCGGCAAGGCAGCTGCGCCTCTGTTACCTCCTTCAGGTCCGCTACTTGCTGCAACGAAACCAGTCGGAGCACGAGCCTGACGCTCCAACGCCGCCATGGCATCTGTCTTTTGTGTGTCATCGTCAAGAGCTTCATCTTCCGCCGGTATTTGTTGACTCCGGGCGATAGCTTGAGAAGCAATGAAGCTGACATCAGTGCTAAAAGACAATCAGTAGATGCAAACAAACTTGGTCTCGCCGATACGTACTTGTATTGTGCTTGGACGCTTCGCTTGATACGAAGCATGTCTTTGAAGGTATCCTCATTTCCATGTTGTACCTCGAAGCTTTCCCACTTTTGCCAGAAGCCAGGCTCCCTTCTTGGATCGCAAAATTGACTAGCATGGCCATAGATCGCTCTGGCACGGTCAATCTCTCCAAGTCGTCTTTCCATCTCGGCAAACTTGAGACACATGTCTTTTGCTTCGCTGTCTGGCAGAGCCGCGATAGCCCGTTCGTATATAGAGCGAGTCGAAGTGAGGCCAAAGTTCGAGGCCGATTTCGTAATGTAAAAGTTGAACATATCCAGGCGATCCTCGTCCGATACAGCACGGGTCGCTCGCTCGTAGATACGCATAGCATGGCGAGCCAATCCACGTTCTTCCTCTAGTTGGCCATACATGAGGTATAGCACCTTGGCGAACTTTGGAGGACAACCTTCCACGGCTTGCTCGAAAAGGTCTCGCAACCTCTCGATACTGATCTTCCGCTCGACCGCCTTTTGAAGGTACAGATTCCAGAGTTCGAAGGCGACTGGATATGAAAACAGGTCTAGACCACGCTCGTATACCTTGAATGACTCTTCGAAATACTTGTTCTCCTCGAGTAAATTGGCGTAGTTCACGACTGTCTGAGGTGTAGCGATGCGTAATTCGAAGATGCGCTCGTATACTTTGCGAGTCTCAGCCAGTGTGCTGACAGACTCGACAAGGTCGACATAAAATGACCAGAGCTTCCAGCTTTTGTGCACTCGTTGTTGAGGACTGAGGCTTTCGTCAAAGTAGTCGACTGTGCTGCGTTTCGGTGCCTGAGTAGCCTTGGCCATAATATCGACAGCACGGTCGAAGTTGTCATTGCGCAGCTCCATCTCTGCCCATTCGACCCACATTTCAGCGAGTTCGTTGACAGACTTGAAAGGTACTTTGACAGCCTTTTCCATGATGACTCTAGCATTGCGCAGATCGCCTCGTTCCTCGTAGAACTTTGCGTAATTTGTCCAGAGCGCATGGTATCGCCCAATGGCCTTTTTGGGATTGATCGCAGCGATTGCATTGGTATATGTGTTGACAACCTCCCGCTTATTTTCGCCCCACAGCGCAACCCTCTTCTCCCACTCGATGACGCTATTGGGATTTTGACGCAGTAGAACGTCGTTCAAGAGGAATGGGCGGCGGTCCATTAGCTGCTCGAAGCGCATCATGCGAATATCGAGTTCGAGGTCGGCATTCTCATTGGGCGTACTCTTTTCTGAACGAGCCTGGGCCTCGTCCATCTTGATGCCAATCAGAGCCTCCTCGGCCTCTGCATATGTATCAAAGACGATGGAGAAGTCACGTACGGTCATTACCGTAGTAATACCTTCTTCGAAGACGTCTCTCGCACGCTCATAGTCGCCCTTGTTGATCCAGTATCTCGCGAGACCTACCCATAGGATACCTCTCTGGTCCGGGAAGCGCTGTATACCGCTACGGACTATGCGGTCTACATCTATACCAGTGTCTTCGCCAGTCTGTACGTGTTGCGCGTGGTCAATGATGAGTTCCAGCATCTGGGTCCAGAACTGGAACGGGCCCTTGGCATCCTTGCTGCGGAAGCGTGGATTGTTGAGGATATCCATGTACTTGATGACAGCATCTGTGTATTGCTTTTGGTCAATGAGAATGTCGATGAAGTCTTCGGCGTGTTCTGGGTGAATTTGCATGTAGCGGCGCCAGATTTTGATTGCGGTCTCTCCGGAGGCGGATGTGGCGAAGGGACGGTAGAGGGCCCATATCCGGTTGTGTTGGGTAATGGGGAGGGCGCGTAGGGCACGGTCGAAGGTGCGACGGGTTTGTGTAATTCTGGGCTGCTTGCACAGGAAGGACAGATACATTTCCCAGATGCGCGGCATCTTGTTGAGGAGGACCAGGGCTCTTTCGAACAAGGCATTGACCTTTTGGAAGTCGGAGGCGCAGCGAGCTGGGTTGCGGTTGCGCAAGTGGTTCACACGCAGCTCCAGGTACATTTTCCATAGCTTGTAACTGCGCGGAAGTGAATTGCAGGCGCGCTCCAGGACGAACGCGTGTTCCAGCAGCGAGCCGGTTTGTCGCTTGAAGGAAGCATAGTCGAGCCAGGCGCGTATGTTGGCCGGGTTGCGCAGTATGTCCTGCTCGTAGATGACATCGTTGTCCGTGACAAGGTACAGGTGTGAAGCTGCCGACATGTCGAAGAGAGTACACACACGTCGCAGCGGACTCACTAGCGACGGCGGTAATGGCGACAGAGCGACGGCGGCGGTGCTGCAAAGGAGAGTAGTAGCGATTGGCGAGGCAGACAGCTACCTAGTTCTGGCTCGAATCGTCTGCCTCAGCTTTCCGTCTTCACCAATTGCCAAAGTCGCGCGCGTCTTGGCAACTTTCCGGAGCAACGACGGACGTCATGCGGCCAGCGCCCAGCGGGCATACCGCTTAGCTGCTGTGCTCTCCCTGCTGAACAGCGAAAACACTCACAATTTCTTCCCTTGACTATCTAGCTAGCTGACAGCATGTCCGCTGCAGGAGTAAGCCTCTCGATCAGGTCACATACAATTCCAGGCTAACGGCACGTCTACAGAGAGAGGCCGTGTTCCCTACCCGGCAATCGCTGGGCTTAATGAAGGGCAAACTGAAGGGCGCCCAAACCGGCCACGACTTGCTCAAGCGTAAGAGTGAGGCTCTGACCAAACGTTTCCGAGAAATCACCCGCCGCATCGACGATGCAAAGCGCAAGATGGGCAGAGTCATGCAGATTGCTGCCTTTTCCCTAGCCGAAGTCAGCTATGCCATTGGAGGCGCTGGAATCGGTTACCAAATCCAAGAGTCGGTTCGCTCTGCAAAGTTCCGTGTCCGCACCCGCCAGGAGAACGTCAGTGGTGTCTTTCTACCTCAGTTCGAGAGTTTCCAGACTGAGGGCAACAACGACTTTGGCCTGACTGGACTGGGCAAGGGAGGTCAGCAAGTCCAGAGGTGTCGAGAGACATATGTCAGAGCTGTAGAGACGCTTGTCGAGCTTGCTAGTCTGCAGACTGCCTTTGTCATTCTCGACGATGTCATCAAGGTTGTCAACCGCAGAGTAAACGCCATGTATGTCCGCCTCGTCTCATGTCACCATTGTACTCTACTGACACTTCCGCAGTGAGCATGTAATCATCCCCCGCACAGAAAACACCATCAAGTACATCAATTCCGAGCTAGACGAGTTGGACAGAGAGGAGTTCTTCAGACTGAAGAAGGTGTCAGGCAAGAAGGAACGTGATGCTCAGGCAGAGGAAGCTGAACGTCAAAAGGCTAAGAAGGCCGCTGAAGAGAAGGGAGCCGATTCACAAGCCGACGATGGTCCTCAAGACATTTTGGGAGGAGGAGAGGATGACGAGGATGTCATCTTCTGATTTATTCGTTTTTGCTATTTTGAGATATCCTCTGCTGCTGTAATTACCAAGCCCATGTACATGCTTGGAACAATCCATGCCTTTATTGGCGCTGGAACGTGACTCTGATGGTGTTATCACCCAAGGACATGCCTGCTGTTGCCTCTTTGGCGCTGATGGCTCCGTCCTCGGCTTCATACTCGACGAAAGCAATACCCTTGCGACCAGGTACAGTACGGACCTCCTTGAAGCCCGGGAAGCGCGAGAAGATGGCCGTGAGCGCGTCTACTCCGTAGTCTTCGGGCACTTGTCTGATGAACAGAATCTTGTTTGGTGGCAGGTACTCGTCTGGCACGACTCCAGCACCGGCACCCGATGTTCCCTTGAGCCCTGCTCCTCGTGCTGTCTTGGGTGCTCTCTGGACTGCTGTGTCGACTTCCGGTGCACCTGGTGCTGGTCTTTTCAGATTCTTGGCTGCTTCGGCGGCCTCGAGGGCTTGCTTGCGCTCTGGTCATGTCAGTCAGTGTTCTGCGTTCGAAAAAAGACGCTCCATGACAACATACCCTTTTCGGCCTTGCGGTGACGCTTGTGTTGTTCGAGCTCCTCCGAGGTTCCCTCTCTTTGTACAGTAGCGTCGCTTCTGGTCCGGGCAAAATCGAGAGACATGGACTGGCCAAAAAGCTCGAATCCGTTGATCTCATCGATGGCATTCTCGGCTGACTGGACGCTGTCGAAGACGATAAAGGCCTGCCCTTTGCGCTTCAAGCTGGACTTTGCGACAATGTCGACAATGGTTCCATATTCCTCAAAGATCTCACGCAAGGCCTCGATCAGCTGCGGGATCTTGATGCGCTCAGACAAGTTCCTGGCCTTGGTGTTGCTATAGTCAGTCTCTTGATTCGCACTGGTGGTGGGTTTGGCCTGTGAGTTCAGCACATACATAGACACTGCTCACTGGTTAGTAGACGCTCTTACGCTTGTTCGTACGGAGTGCAATGTACGAACGTTGCGTTGGGCGCGGTTCCTTCATCTATGGTCGCCATCTTCTGTGTGTTTTGTACGACTGGTAAGAATGAGGTTTAGTAGCTCGATCGCATGTAGCGCCGACAAGTGAAGACAAGCTGCGGCGGCGCAATGAGCGGGCCGCCAAGACAGATCTGCTCTAGCCCGATTAGGCACTAAACGATGACTACATCATGGGAAAGACAACCGCATCTACGAGCGGGACAGACCTGTTCTAGACTCCTGAGTATTCACGAAATACATCTGGTGGTATTGATACCGGAATGGCTCCATCTACCTGGCAAAAGGTCAAGAGCACCCTGCAGATCAGTCATGATTACAATGTCACTCCGGCTGGCATAAAATGGAGAAGCAACACTCTGTTCATCGTTTCGACAGTCGCGGTCGGTCTCTTTACTGATCTATTCTTATACGGCCTTGTTGTACCAATTCTTCCGTATATGTTACAGGACCGGGTTGGTCTGCCAGAAAACCAGATTCAATCACACGTGGACGGACTGCTTGCCGCCTATGCCGGGGCTTCCGTAGTCTTCTCGCCCATTGCTGGAGTTTTAGCGGACAAAACCTCCACAAGGCAGGGCCCTTTTCTGCTTGGACTCGTGGCTCTGTCTCTCGCTACGATCCTGCTCTTCCTAGGCTCCAGCGTCCCCGTACTGGTTGTTGCCAGAGTGCTGCAGGGCTGCTCTGCAGCAGTGGTCTGGACGATCGGATTGGCGCTTCTAATCGAGACTGTAGGCCGCGAGAACTTGGGCAAGACTATTGGATCGATCTTCAGCTTCATCTCCGTTGGGAACCTGTTGGCTCCACTTCTGGGCGGCGTGCTTTACGACAAGACCGGATATGCAGGAGTGTTTGGAATTGGTTTCGCTATCTTGACTATCGACTTCCTCATGCGACTTTTGGTTATCGAGAAGAAGGTAGCCCGCCGCTACAATTTTACCGAGCCTGCTGATGGCAGCGAGGAAGCATCTGCTGTACACGACGATGATGAAGCAGCCCGCGGCGAAGAGGAACCTCTGCTCGGTAACAAGGCACAAAGCGAATACTATCGCATTCCAGATGATCAACCGACTATCGTCCGCAAGGTCCAGATATTACCATGCCTCAAGAATCCTCGCCTTGTTGCTGCTCTGGTAGTAGCCTTTGTGCAGGCAGCTCTGCTTGGGTCGTTCGATGCTACCATCCCCACGATCGGTCAAGAATTCTTCAACTTCAGCTCTTTGGAAGCCGGCATCTTATTTCTTCCTCTCGGTGGATTCGATCTGATACTTGGACCTGTATTCGGGTGGGCGGTGGACAAGTATGGCACGAAATTAGCTGCTGTGGGTGGTTATACATTTCTTGTGCCGTGCCTCGTCCTGCTTCGTCTTCCGCACGCCGGAGGGAAAGACCAGATTATACTATATGGCGCGCTACTAGGGCTGTGTGGAGTCGGTCTTGCGGCCATCGGAGCACCTTCGATTGTGGAAGCAGGAACCATCGTAGAGAGCTACTACGAAGCCAACCCAGAGTTCTTCGGCAACGAGGGTCCCCCATACTCCCAACTGTATGGCTTGACTTCAATGGTGTTCTCTGCGGGACTGGCAGTAGGTCCTGAACTGGCTGGCGAGTTCAAGCAGATGATCGGATACGGAAACATGAACATAATCCTGGCAGTCATTTGTGGGTTCACGGCTGCCTTGTCTTTCTTCTACATTGGCGAGAAACCAAAGGTACTTCAGAAACGGTGATCAGGGCCTATGGGTTATATAGACAGATCAAAGTAGTGTGTACCTACCGGATGATGTACAGATGTAGTAAAATGAAAACAGATTGATAGTGGAATTAAAGACGCCAAGACGCGCGCACGGCCGTATTATTCGACACAGGGCGGCGGGCCTCCTAATTAACGAGAGCTGCGTGGGGTGCAAGAGACTCATCATCCATAGCATCAAACGCATCTCCTTGGCCTGTCGTGTGTCTGAACTTCGATTGACCATTACCTTTCCTCCTCGCCATAGGTCCTTGGTCAGCTCCGTGCCGCCCCACCCACAACACACGTCACATCCTCGCCCACTTCCATCCGCGCTCGTCGCGTCCTCGCTCCCGGCCTTGCATTGACGACATAGCACACGCCATCATCACAACAACACGCTCGTAATCCTCCTGCACAATGGACACCAATATGGAAGATGTCGGCGCAAAGCCAGAACTTCCAATGACGGCGCCCGCCGACCCTCCCGCTATTCCTACCCTCGACGGATGGATTGAGAGCTTGATGGCTTGCAAGCAGCTGTGCGAAGCTGATGTCCAGAGACTATGCGAAAAGGCAAGAGAGGTTCTACAGGACGAGTCCAACGTCCAACCTGTCGTATGTCCATGCCCGTTCGCTGCTACTCATCTCGCCGCCCGAGCTGACACTACTGCCGCGTAGAAATGCCCCGTCACCGTCTGCGGAGACATCCACGGCCAGTTCCACGATTTGATGGAGCTGTTCAAGATTGGAGGCCCCAACCCCGACACCAACTACCTCTTCATGGGTGCGCCTTGATCTCTTCCATGTCTCGTCTTGTGCTCCGCTGACACGTGCTTCGTACAGGCGACTACGTCGACCGTGGTTACTTTTCGGTCGAGACTGTGACACTGCTCGTCGCCTTGAAGATCCGCTACCCACAACGTATCACAATCCTTCGCGGTAACCATGAGTCCCGCCAGATCACCCAGGTCTACGGCTTCTACGACGAGTGCTTGCGCAAATACGGCAACGCGAACGTCTGGAAGTACTTTACCGATCTTTTCGACTACCTCCCTCTCACCGCTCTGATCGACAACCAAATCTTCTGTCTTCACGGAGGCCTGTCACCGAGCATCGACACACTGGACAACATCCGTGCGCTCGACAGAATCCAGGAGGTTCCCCACGAAGGCCCCATGTGCGACCTGCTCTGGAGTGATCCCGACGACAGATGCGGTTGGGGAATAAGCCCCAGAGGTGCCGGCTACACCTTCGGCCAGGACATCAGTGAGGCCTTCAATCACAACAATGGTCTTACGCTGGTTGCCAGAGCCCATCAGCTGGTCATGGAGGGCTACAACTGGAGTCAGGACAGGAACGTCGTCACAATATTCTCCGCTCCTAATTACTGTTACCGCTGCGGCAACCAAGCCGCAATCATGGAGATTGACGAACACCTGAAATACACTTTGTGAGCATTCTCATCTCTGCTGCTGAGATTTACACTTTGCTGACTAGCCTTTAGCCTTCAATTCGATCCTTGCCCACGCGCTGGCGAGCCAATGGTGTCTCGTCGCACCCCCGATTACTTCCTCTAGATGACAACGGGTGCCTTTTTGGCTGATAGACTGTACACTTATGCTTTCTGGCAGCTCCTAGTCAAGAAACACAGTCCACGGGTTGATTGTCGTCTCTCCATTGCATTGGGGGTATCTAAAGCATGTCATGAAAAAGAAAACGATCAAAACATAAACCCGCATCCATCCCTTTCGTAATTCATCTGTCTACCAATAAAACACCACGCTGCTGTGCGTTACCAATTCCATGTCCTGCTTGCTGCCGTGAACACTGGTGGTTTCCACTGCAGCTTTTCTGCGTCGATCTGATGTTTGTTGCCTTTGATTTTTTCCTTTTCCTTTTGTCGCTCTCTTTGTTTGAGTATGGCTTCTGTGAGAACAATCACGTGATGGTTTTTCTAAGATCAAAGTCAGTAAGATGATCTCGGGGAGAAATTTGATCCTCCAACTTACAGAGTATCGCAGCATGTTCAGGTTCTGCAATGTGTGCAGCACATCGTTGGTCGTCATGGCAGTCTGTGCACCAATGTCTTCGACGCTCATCTCGCCTTTGCTCTCCATCAAGAACTCTACAATGATCTCCTGCCAGAAAGCACGATAACCCAACAATCCAAGATCACTGAGCGGTTTCTCGGGGCTTCCAAGTTTGCCTTCGCGTTTGCTGAGCTCGTAACTGAATGCAATGAGTAGTCGACCATATCCCTTACGTTGGTATTGTGGCAGGGTCAGAATACATGCAACGTTGTAACCCTCCGCACTCTCTTTCTCCTTTGAGAAGTAACCGACGAGGTGATGACCGTGTTGATCGCGTGTCGTCATGCAATAGAAGAGAAAGGGGTCCACGTCGTAATAAAGAGTCTTGTGGTCCAGGAAAAGCTTACTCAGAAGACACAGGTTTCTACACCAGGTCCGTTGTCTCCTGCCGTCGATCTCGAAGAAGCTGACCACCTCATCGCGGTATATCTCATTCCCAGGTGGGTGCAACAGAGTACACTTGCTTCGATGTCGCTTAAATTGTCTCTCGTTGCCGAAGTAGAGTAGACACATTTCGCAGATGTACACCAGCTCGCAGTCAGAGTATTCGACTGGGTACGGCGAGAAGTACCACGGTTCGATCTCGTGGGCGCCCATTTGAATCTTCTCCAGATTTCGGACTCTGCTAATTTCGGTCTGATTTTGCGTCATTGAACCGCTGGTGCGGAGCTTTTCGATCTCCTCTTCGCGTGAGTATAGGTGTTCTGGTACAGCCTTTGCGGCAGCGGCGGCATTTTGCACGTCGATGAGATCCACAGTATCATCATCAATCTCTCCATCCGGTTGGGGCGTTCCGTCGATGGCCTCTGTCGCTACGACAGCCACAGAAGGCGATCTGTGATCCTTGCCGGCGAGTGATGGTCGACGCGTGCCTGCCCTTGAGGATTGAGATGCTTCGGTCGGTGTTGCAGAAAGCTCTCTGATGGACGATGCTCGAGATCGCTTTGGTGCTTTGTTTGCTTTCGAGGTTTCTGCTTTTGCTGTGGTCTTGCTCGTAGTCTTCTTCTGCTTCGCATCTGCCTTCTCGGGCAGCGGCCATTCTACCTCCCTCGATAAATCAATGCGTTCTGCTGCAACCCATTCTGATCTGGCGATTAGCGAACGAAAGCAGCCATGGGTTATCTAGGAATTCATACCGTCTAATCGCTTGTTGAAGTCCTGATAATGGACACTTGTCCGTCAGTTCGAAACTGATGTTGATAGACCATCTGAACTCACTAGAATGTGGGTTTACCCCTACGCGTCTGAATTGATAGAATCTCGGCCTTTCGTTTCTCATCATCCTAATAAAAGAAAAAAGTGAGCTTAGATGTCGCCAATTTCAACAGACTCCAAGAAGTTGAGTTGTTGTGTTATCATGGCAGCATGATCTTCTTACCTTATCAACCCATGCTCGGACTCCGACCCTGACCAGATCAGTAAGGACCATGTTCGGGCTTGGCGATTCGCGACATACCTGAGAGTCGCAAGAGTCGCATATCCCTTCTCGACTTTTTGATCCTCGCCGTGGTTATTGTGGCCTCCCATGGTGTGTCGCTCGATGCGATCGATGAGCAGGATTTGTGCAAGTTACAGCCGTGACAATTCTTCTTGGACTGCTCGACTCGTCAGTGGTAGAGTCGCGTTATGGCCCCGCAGATTGCGCCCGGAAATCAAACTTTGCAAACACGTCCAAGTTTAGCTAGCCACGTGATTTCTGAACATCATCCCACCTTCTAACACGCTTTCTCTCTCTCACTCATACCTACGAATAAGCAGAACCTGCCGCATATGACAATCCAAGTCGATCCAGCGTCTTGTGCCGATGTTAGATGCACTTCGCATAGCAGACCGCTACGCTAGGATGACGCCTGCCTTCTTTGGATCCCATTGCGTAGCTTCTTCGTGAAGTCGCCCTTTCCGCTGGCTGAAACATGAGCTTCGTGACCTTGTGTTATCGGAAAAGCTGCTCTGACCCGTTCATCCGGTACCGGTCACTCTTCGCCGAGTACAGTCGGGACCATTGGCTGCAGTTTCAAGCTTTTTGCAGTGGACTCGTTGATCGTCGAGTTCAAGTTCTGTTGAGCGGTTGTTACTTCACTGCACATGTCTCTCCATCTGCGACTATCTAAAGAAACCTTGATGGGTTAGTTTATCCTCCATACCACACGTCTCAAGCTCAACTCAGCTCAAGTGTCGACTCTCTCGTTAGAGCTTCACATTTGCCTTGCGCAAGAGGTGTACGCTAGCTATAAAGAAGCTCAATAACCTGCTCCATCCCCCACTCTACAGAAGTCTATTTCGCACCCGAACCCTTGTTCGCGCAGCCTCTACAAACCGGTCCGCTAGACAACTACACATACCTGACTCTCAGAGCCCAGCAACATCTCAGTGGGCCTTCTGCGTCAAGAGAGCAAGAAAGGAAGCAGCTACACAGATCCTCGTTCAACAGAGCAACGCGGATCTGCGCACAAAATGTGCTTCTTCCAGGTAACTTCGATAGCTAGGTAGTGGTGTGGAGGCATTCGAACATAGGCTCTTGCAAGTGTTGAGGTCTATTCCACTCTCCAAGGCCATGATTGGTGTAATTTTCAACTTCCTACTTCAGTCAGCCCCACTGGACATATGAGTTGAGCATCGTAGATCACTCACTGCAAAGCGCTCCTGTAAGGTACTTAATGGCGTTTCCGTCCCATGATCTTCTTCTTTCTTACCTTCATCAATCGTTTTGCAAGGCACCCACTCAACGCTATCTGCAATCATGAGAGCTTCTCTTTCGTTTCTCATTGCACTTGTATTGTCCAGTCATGTCCATGCCCGAGGGCTGAAACCTCGTCAGACATCAGGAGCGACCTTCATATCGCCTTCGTCTGCTGTAAGCAACGTCACTTGCAATGGTAAATCTGCCTACAACTATAGCCAGGTACAAACAGTTCCGGCGAACGCATCCTGCACCACACAGACGTACTACATCAACACACGCACCACATCGAGCTCCCAGTCCCCTCCTTGCAACTCCTCGACCTCTTCCGCGCCTCGAGCCTCGACCTCTTGCACTGTCCTTTACCCCAATACGACTTCGTCAAGTGCCCCGTGCTCGACTTCCTCTTCTTCCAGCTCCGTTTGCTCGACCTCCTCTTCCTCGAGCACCCCATGCTCGACCTCCTCGTCGTCTACGCCTTGCTCGAGCTCTTCCACAAGCACTCCGTGCTCGACTTCTTCCTCTTCTCCGCCGTGCTCGAGCTCTTCTTCTTCAACGAGCTCGTGCTCGAGTTCCTCGTCATCCACTCCATGCCCAAGCTCGAAGACATCGCATACCTCACACGTAATGACTCTTCATCCCACTCGATCATCTCGGCCCTATCCCTGGACGACTGTAACCTCGGTCATCAGCTCCACGGTCTTGGTGGGCTGTCCGAGCTCGACTCACTCCTCCGTCGTTTGTCAGAAGAGCGACATGACCTCGAGCACATACAAGTTTACTACTGTCGTGGCTACACGGGTGCAGGTAGTGACTGCCAGTTGCAATTCTTGCATTGGCGGAAGCTCAAGCACTTGGTTCTACGTCACTTCAACCAGTTCCGGGCCGTGTTTGAGTGCTTCCAAGACAGCTTCTATGGTCGTGTCTTCTGCGAAGCCCACTGCACCCATTATTGCGACCGTGGTCACTGTTGACGTGTCGAAGCCTCCTCGAACAAGCACTCAAACGGTGACTTCTACTCAGAAGGTGGTGAAGGAAAGTTCTGTCCTCACTATTCCTATCGCATCGGCCAAGACAATCGCTACTGTTGTGGAGTCTGCGGCGTCGCCCTCTCGCAACATGGACTTCCCGTCTGTCAGCACTGTGGTGGTGGTCTCGCCTTCTGCTTCAATGAACATCCCATCTGTTGGAGCCGTGGTGGTGGTCCCACCCCCTGCTTCAGTGAACACGCAGACGACGGTCACGATTCCGATCTCCAAGATACTTACCACATGCCCCTGTACTACGCCCTTAGTACAGCCTCCTGCATCATCACCAAAGTCACCAGACGTTCCTGCCACCTTGATGGCATCTCCTCCGGCCGCTCCTACTACGGTCGTATCAATACCAGCATCCTCACCAGTCTCGCCAGCCACACCGAGTTCAAACTCTCCTCCAGCACAGATGTCGCCTCCGGGACAGATGCCACCTCCATCTACGGCGCCTCTTGGCCCACCCTCGTCACCTGTCATTATGCCCCCTCAGAACAGCTCGCCCCCTCAGAACAGCGTCCCACCTGGTAACGATATGCCGCCACAAGGTAGCGCTCCTCCAGCTGCACCAGCTTCTCCAGCTCCTCCACAGAGTGGCCCACCCGAGCAGCCTAGTTCTCCTCCAAAGACCAACTCTCCACCTGCAGTAAAGACCAACACTCCTCCGGGTACTACTCCCAGCGTTCCTGCCACAAGTAAGTTGACTATCGTCACCTTTAGGAGTCAGTACTGATCAACCTTACAGAGCCGAGCATGCCGCCCGCCACTGACACAAACATGTCTTCGGGCACCGTCCAAAGTGTCAAGATTTCCGTGCTGACCTTCATGGCGCCTGTTGCTGTAGCTGTTGCAGGGATGCTCCTGTAGGTTCCCACATTTTGGACAGTGTCTGTACTATCTACAAGATACTACACACTCCTTTCCCGCAAGTCCCTTGTGTCTCCTTTGTGTTCGACTCTCTTTCCCCCTGATTGTGTTTAATGTATAAGATAAACAAGGACGAGTGTGTTCGATGGAAAAGCGAGCAGAAATATTGAATACTGACACAACCGCGTAAATAATATTTCGAATTTACGAACCGATTTATGCCATCTGTGACCTGCAGTTCTCATCACTTAGATATTCAGGGTCACTTGTCCAAAATTTGGGTTTCAAAAGACATCTATCACTGCTCGGATCATATGTATCAGATGAGGTTGATTTGGAATGTTCAAGATCTATGAAGGGCGCCGAGAAATGCGAAAATGAAATCGAAACACTTTGATGTTCTTTGTGTCCACCACAGTACAGTGCTACCAAGCAGAAATGAGGCTGATAGAGGAGAAAAACGAAAGTGTTTGCTGAAAACTATTATTGATACAGAACATGTGAGAAACAAGGACTTTAAGGCTTCTCTATAGTGCAAGGACCGCGGCACCCAGAGCAAGTACAGCAGCACCGGACAGACGGTTAGCGGCTCCAGTCTCGGAAGCGGTGGCAGAGGCTCCAGAGGCTGTCGATGAACCCGAGCGAGAACCAGATCTGCTTGATGTTCTGCTTGCGGCGGTTCCCACAGGGTAGTTTGCTTCGCTGGTAATGGTGATGGCGAGGTTGCTCATGGAAGCGCCGTCGACACCGTAGACAGGAAGAGCAACTGCTGTCGCAGTCACAGAAACCAGATTCCCAGTGGGGGCGTTGGAGATACCAGAGGAGATCAGTGCGTCAACACCGCTGGGACGAGAAGGAATATCAAACTCGTCGCTGAAGTCATCCGCTTCAATGAGATCGGACGAACAGCGTGGTGCAGTGATGGCAGTGGCGGTATCGTTGCTTGCTTCGAGAAGTGTAACGTTGATCCGGCTGTACTGCTCCTGAAGACTGTTATAGTCCGAGCGCAGACGGGCAGTACCGTTGGAGGAGATGTCAACAAGTCCATAGTTGTTGTCTTCCTGACTCCATTCGTAAACAAGACCTCCAGACATGACTGTCATCTGAGGACTGTACAATGCCTCGACTTCCTCGAAGACACGGGGGCTAGGATCGTTACAGCCGTACTCGGAAAAGAAGACGGGAATGGATGCGTTAGAGAACATGTCGACAAGGACATCGTACTCAGCAGTCTCGAAACTGGATTCCGAGCCACACCTATTATTCTGAATTAGCACGGCATGGAGTAATGTAAGATCTTGCAAACACTTACCATGAATACGAGTTCAATCCGAAGAAGTCGGACGCACTCGAATCTCCGTTATCACAAGCAAGGTAATGGTAAGTGTCTTCAGTGAACTCTCGGACATCAGCAGCTGAGTAGCCGACCGGAATGGGTCTGTCTGCATGAGCAGCGATATAGTCCTTCATATCACGTTGGACTGCTCTCATGTATGGAGGGTTCTCGTCGGCAGTCTCCAGGTCGTTGATGATCTCATTACCTCCGAAAAGACCCAGTAGATTGGGATAGCCCTTGAAGGCTTCGATCACTGTGAAAACGTGCTCAAGGTAGCCGCGAGTATATGTGCTCGCAGGGTTACTGCGGTCGATGTGTTGTCCGTACAAGGGGGTGTTGACATCGAGAATAACATAGATGCCCACGCCGTTGAAGATGGACATACACTCATCATGATTGAGAGTCTGGGAAGAGTCAGCAAAACGCATTTGTAGGTCACAGTCATTGACAACATACAGGGTCCACGTTGTAGCTTCGAATCGTGTTGACACCGAGACTCTGCATTAAGGCCGCATCGCGAGTACAGGCTTCAGCATCGCTGAGAACATCTCGATCGTTATCTGCCGAGATGGCACCTTGGCCACCAGGTTGATAGTCGACACCAATGACGACGAATCTGTCTCCGCTGACAGAGTTGACAAAGTCCTGTCCGCGTACTTCGACGGGATCCACAGCAGCCGACAATCCAGCCAACAAGGCCAGGCTTGCAATTGAGTAACGCATATTTGATGGGCCGAGGTTGGAACTTGATGAAGAGAGAGTAGGGAAATAGAAGAAGAGTAGGGTTGAACGAGTGTCACTACCGAAGACCACGGTATTTGTCCAACATACCTGGGAGGGATACCGCTTGCTTTATGCGACTGCTCCCAACCTGCATCCTCAACCTCCCGCGGCAACTCCTACTCGGCGCCTTGGGTGTTTTTGTTTGCGCATCCTTGGCTGCTGGGCGAAAGCCGTATACTTGGCGCACGCCGTTATGTCCAAGAGATCCGCCTCGCAGTGATGCTGCTATTCGGGGGTGTATACATTGCAGCTTGCGATACGATCTACTTAGATTTGCTTGCTTAAATTGATGCAGGCTTTGGATTTGACGCCAGGTAGCCAGAGGTAGGTAGGTAGCTGTCAGTCATGACGCTTGAGAGAAACGTTGCACGGCTGCCAAGAGGTCCGACGAGTAACCAATTGATCACGTACTGTAGCGACGGGCGAGTACTCGGTGTGTTAAGGAAGATCCGCAATTGGATTGCATGGAGATTAGAATTCACATCCGACCCCACAGTTTTCCGAAACATGTATGCTGCGCCTCGTGTGTGCAGTCTTGGACAAGTGATGCATTCGTCGTCCTTTCTTGGGGCCAAGGACTCTGTACATGGAAACACACGCAACAATCTTGAAGTAAACAAAGCCACCGACGATCCCACGAATTCATTACATCGACATGATTGAGCTTCCTCGAAGTACACAATTTCAACTAGGGTTTCAGCAGAAGCTTACCGGTAGTCTTGCGACCTTCGATATCCTGCTCCTTGTCAGTACTTATCGGACAGTCAGGGGAAACCGCCGGTCGAGTCACTCCACTTACCTGGTGTGCACTAGCAACATCCTTGAGGTCGTATATGTTGTGAATTCGTACATCCATCTTGTCCTTGACGATAAAGTCAAAGAGCTCGTTGGTGTACGTTTCAAACTCCTCTCTGGTCGCGATGTAGTTGAAGAGCGTTGGGCGGAGGACCTTAGCATTCTTGGCTGTGAGTCTCCTATAGTGAGAGGCTGTGTAAGCGTGATTTCGATCGAAACAACCACCGCTTCAAAGAGATGACTTACGAGATTGCGAACGGTGGTACGGCACCGCTGGCATTTCCAAATGATGCCATGGTTCCTTTGCGGGCAAGACAATCCAGACTGAGGTCAAATGTATCCTTGCCCACACCATCAAAGACAGCTGCGACACCCTGCTTGTTGGTAACTTCGTCGACCTTTGCCTTGACGTCCTCGTGGCTGTAGTTGATGAGAACCTCAGCACCAGCCTTCTTGGCCAATTCCAGCTTCTCCGGTGTGCTTGCAGTTGCGATTGTCTTCGCTCCAACAGCGGCGAGCAATTGACATAGCCACAAACCAACTCCACCAGCAGCTGCGTGAACTAAGACCCAGTCTCCCTTTTGCACATGGTAAGCCTCTCGGATTAACGTCAGAGCAGTGAGTCCTTGGAGGAGCGCTGCTGAAGCCACAGTGGGCTCAATGCTTGAGGGGATCTTGATCGCCTTGGCTGCGGGAGCTGCAGTATATTCGGCGTAGGTTGCCTCGGACAGGTAGACAATACGGTCACCGGCTTTAAAGCCTTGCGGTGAGTCTGGGCCAATTGCGACGATGGTACCCTCTGCCTCTCTTCCAAGCATGTAAGGGTAACTGGGTGCGGGATACAACCCAGTGCGAAAGTAACTATCACATGCCATGAGCTTGCGGTAGAGATTGCGCCAGAAAGTGTACATACGTATCAATGTAATTGATTCCAACGTAGTCGTTCTTGACCAAGACTTGACCCTCTTTTGGCTCGGGCACTGCCAGATCTGTCTTGTATTGCAGAACCTCGGTGCCGCCTGTTTTCTCAATGATTACACCCTTCATTGATTTGGGGAGCGATTGTGAAGCCATGCTGCGTGCGAAATGCCCAGATATGTTTGCCAGTCTACGTGGAGTCAGAGATGGTATCGAAGAGACACCGTTTTTTAGGAAGATGGACATTTGGAGCAGATGGAGATATCCACGTCAACGTAGTCGTATTTGTAATGCGGCTAATAAGTGGTGCCCCGCAATTGAGGGGTGCTATCGGAAGTCAGCGCACGTCATCTCTGCAGAAAATTCGGAGACCAAACCTGGCACTTTTCACGGCCACGCTGAGTGTCTAACGTAGCAAGTCGTTCTGCGAAGCGGAATTTTTGTAGGTGTTATTGACTCGCTATTTTACAAATCCCATTAATGCCCCCCCACGTGCGTCCTTCGGGATGTCTTCGCCTTTGTGTGGCTTCTCACATAGTGTCTTCCACTCAAGAGTCCTCGTTCTGAGAACTCACAGTCTCATCGAAGCCATTAATGTCCTCAAGAAGGACTTGCGAGTTCTGCTGCTGTGCTTCTTCTTCGGCCTTCATTGCCTTCTGCTTACCGTAGAGCTCGTTCGGAAGCCATTCGAAGAAGGAGGGACCAACGGCACGAACCTGATCCAGCCACTTGATGCCAATGTCGAGCTCGCGGATCTCACCCTCAATCTTCATGCCTACAGCGCAGTACTGCAGAAGATCCTCCTCGACCCATAGCGTCATTGTGTGCTCGATTTGCTGTCGTCTGAGTGCTTCTTCCGACTGCTCGAAGCTGGGTGCGAGAGGATAGGACCAGCGACAGCAATGAAGCTTACCTAACGTAGCCAGGAATGGCTTCTGCTCACGAGCGGCGGCGTACAGTGCTCGTATTGTTTCATCAGCCATCTCAACCTTGGTTACCTCGAGGCTGATCTGCTCTTGGTAGACGGTTTCGAATTTCTCGACGTCGACAACCCTGTCGTATTGTTGTTGAGAACCATGGGCAGAGATGGCGAACTTGAGGATGTCTCGGCAATCTTGAAGAGTACGGTCAACCGAGCCAATGTCGTCCCAATCCTGGTCATCGCCATACACCCCCGCGACAGTCCCGCCATATGTAGCAGAGACGGCTGTGTTGAATGGACCTGGGAGCCTTTCCTGGACCACGAGTATGTTGAAGAGCTCCACATCTGCAAGATCGCAGATCTTACGTGCGGCAAGAATTTGCGTCTCGAACTCTGGGCACACGTTGTGATGCAGCAGGTAGTTGTAGAAGTTGCGCACGACGTTTGTCGCTCTTGCAATATCCGCCTGTCCCGAGCTACTTTCAAGATCGGTCAGAATGTGAGAGGAACTGCGGCTGATTAGCTTACTCCAACCGTATGCGGGTAGCCATGACTTGCAAGAATCCCTTTACCACACCGACAAAGTCGACTTCCCATCTGTCGGAGCACATGACATCCTCCGAGACAAAATGAACAGCAGTCGAGGCGGCGATCTCTGCAGCATCCATCTCTGCGAGATCTTTGTTGTCACTTCCACCAAACATCTTAGGTCCACACTCGATACCGCCATAGTTCATGAACTTGTTGAACACCTGAGCAGTCTGCTGATGGAACTTGCGTCGGGCGCGGTAACGCTGGATGGCCGTCTCGATACGTCTGGAATATAGTCAGTCTCGGACGTACCGCCAAGCAGTCGTAACTTACGTCGCGAATGTAATATCACTAATGAGGCTATTAGCAGAAATTCAAGATTGAGAAGGTGAATGTCATACCTATCGTAGAGCGACTGTTCCTCCTTGAACGTGGCAGGAGTAACTGGCGCATCTGCGAAGAACTCCTCGAAGCCAGTTGGTCTCATCTGTGCACGAGCTTAGATGTCAAATCTGCAATACACTCTCGCAACCACTCACCATTCCCTTGGTCATCCATGGCTGATCTGCAGGAATTACATATCCTTTCTTCTTCTGGTCTGCTTCCTTTGCCGCCTGGATTTCCTCTGCGGATACAGTTGGCGCTATAGCGAGCGGCACTCTACGCTTGATATACTTGTCGTCGACAATTTCAAGGAGCTTGCTCTTCTTCAATGACTCTACAACGGACCTGTAAGGCTTATACTTGCGCATTCTAGGAAATCCGCAGATGGTCTTCAAAGTGACGGGTTTGTTCTCCTTGCCGCCGGTCTTGTCCAGCAGGTATCTGTCGTTCGGAAGGTTCCCGTCTGAGAAGTAGTACTCAACCTACTGATAGTGAGCCACGAGTAGTTGACTTGCATGAGGAAACCCAAACTGACCTGCTTCACGATCTCTTCGCCCTCGGGATGTTCTGAGTATTGTGGTGGTTGCCATTTGCTTATAGCTTCGGCAGCCTTGTCGGTAGTAGTCTGTTGAAGAGCCATGGTAGTTGATGCATCCTCGGGAGGGCTGGTAGGTTGTGCGTCGACTTTCTCCATGTTGAAACTGGTCTGGAATACAGTAGACGGTGAGGCAGGAGAAGCTGACAAGATGAGTAGACCGAATCGGTGTGAGACCAAAGCTCTGCGTGAAGCAATTTGATTTGTTGTTGTGCAAACGACTGAGAAGAAAGCGTCAAGCTGTTTGGCTCACAGTGAAGCAATGGTTAATGCACGGTGCGGGAAGACGCATTGAACGTGACACGAGAATCGGCTACTGAGAAGTACTACTCAGCGAGACGCAGCTCACCAAGTTTCGAGAACAGCACACGCTATATCCTCACACGTCTAGTGAAATTGTGAGACGACAGGCTAGCATGCACTGTATTGAGCCAACGAAGGGAAAGGGGAGACTGGGAGTGGAGCTTCGATTGTCTATGAGCGACTACTGCTCAGTCTGTTTTAGATGCTGTAACGGAGCGCGGCTTCCAACGCTATCGAAGCATTTGGAGTTTGCTACTGGTCTTTTGATTTACGGTATTCATCCGCACAATAACAGCAGATGGCATAAACAGATTTGACTTTGGAGATTTACTGTGCCACCCCCACGTCGTGACTTCCTGTCGATCCCCCGCCTAGCGCCACACGAAGCATATTCTAAGCGCGCGACTTCCCTGAAACTTGCGACAACAGATAAACAATGACAGAACATGGCCTCAGTTGGAACTCGCTCGTCGCTTTCGATAACGTCGCAGCTGGCCAGTAAGAAAATCTTGTGTGACATGAACTTTTCTGTGCTAGACTGACTCATACAGTGAGGGTGTCATGTCAGATGCGTCCGGTAGTCTGATCATTAAACCATGTGTCGCTGCCGAGGTGGAATTCTATGAGGTGTCCAATTCTGCGCATCCAGACTTTGCCCAGCTGATGCCAAACTTCATGGGCAGCTTACAGCGCGGCCAGTCGAAAGAGCTCCAAGATCACGTTACGGCATCGCACTCTGCCAGCAGAAGTGCAATCATTTTACCCGCCGCTCTTGACGCCGAACAAGATGAAAAGAACTCGAGAGATACAGACAAAGCAAGCGATCCGCTACACGGGAAGAAACTGGATACAGAACTCGCCATCGTATTAGAAAATGTGCTGGCTGGCTTTCGTAAGCCCAATTTTGTCGATGTGAAGCTGGGAAAACGACTATGGGCAGACGACGCACCACTCGCCAAAAGGAAGAAGCTGGACGATGTTGCATCCGAGACAACCAGTGGTTCGCTTGGGTTCAGGGTTGCAGGCATGAAGATTTGGCATCCTGAAGGCCCGGGAGAGTACGAAGTGTTCGACAAATTTTATGGTCGCAACTTGACACCAGACAATGTGAAGGATGCTTTTTCCGCGTTGCTATGTCTCGACCAGAAGACGGAGGACTCGGATGTTATCGATGATATCATCAGCAACATTGAAGAGGCAGTTGGCTCTATAGAGCAGATCGTAGCGAAGCAGGAGAGCAGGATGTACTCGGCGAGTCTGCTATTCGTCTATGAGGGAGATCCACAAGCACGGAAGCAGGCCATTGACATGGCTGTTGCACAAACGACGCTGCCCGTTGCGGACTCCGTCGATGTCTCGCAAGCTGCAAGGGAAGAAGAGGAGGAGGATGAGGGTAGTGGTGGAGATGATGGAGATGATGGAGACGATGAGCAAGTCGAACCAAAGCTGTTCGACATTAAGATGATCGATTTCGCGCATGCAAGTTGGACACCTGGGCAGGGACCAGATGAGAACATGCTAGCCGGAATCCGCAACGTTCGCAAGGTTCTAAACAGTTTGATCAAACAAGGCAGTCACAGTTGAATTGGACCGAAATCTAGCTCGGCGCAACTATGAACAATAAATCGTAGATCTGCAGTAAAGGACTTGATATCGTGACCATTGTTCTCGCGTGACTCTCACTTGACATGAAGTCAAAATATTGTTTTATTGAAAGTTGAAGTGATGCAAAATTCACTGCTCACCACGAAGCGGTTCCAACATTCAAAGCCACGTCAGTAAACACATCCATCCCGACACGCGAAAACAACAGGAAGGCATCGCGTCACTCGCAATGTCGCTTTTACCAGGACTATCTCTCTCAGCGCCATCGACAGCGACACCACAACCGGACGCCGCGACGCATGCGCCTCCACGAACCGAAGAGCTGTCTCCGCGCTCAGAACTCCGTTTCGAAGTCGCTTTCACAAAAACATACCGTGTACGCCTAGTACGAGGAACGGCCGAACTCTTCGGCAGCGAACTGGCGCCAGGGACAACATATACCTTCAGCGGAATCAAAGGCGCCATCTTCACATGGCACGGGTGCACGCTGGAGCTGCAGGGCGAGGTTGAGAGCGAATATGTCGGATCAGAAACCGAGGCCATGGTGGAGTGGCTCAATGTCCATGGTATGCTAGAGACAGCACGCGACGATGCTACCATGGGAAGAGATGGCAATGGCGGTCCGCGGGTACTGGTAGTAGGCCCGGACGACAGCGGCAAGACAAGTCTACTCAAGTGCTTGACAGCATGGAGTCTGAAAATGGCTAGGACACCGACCATTGTCAACACGGACCCGCGTGAAGGTCTGCTAAGCATCCCTGGTAGTTTGAGCGCAGTCACAATGGGCAGTATGCTGGATGTCGAAGATGGCTGGGGAAGCAGCCCGGTCTCTGGTCCTACTGGCGTGCCTGTAAAGACTCCACTGGTTTACCACTTCCCCTTTGCATCTCCCGAAGACAGCCCACGCATGTTCAAGCCTCTGATCACACGCGCTGCCTTGGCCGTCACCAGCAGATTGGAGGAAGACGACGAGGCGAAGCAAAGTGGTATCATTGTCGACACGCCGGGAAGCATCAACCAACCCAAGGGTGGTTATGACCTCTTGATGCACATCATTTCAGAGTTCAGTATCAACGTCGTCCTCACACTGGGCTCCGAGAGATTGTACAACGACCTGTTACGCAAATTCGGCAATCCCCAAAGTGCTGACGATGTCGTGCACGTCTTCCGCATAGCAAAGTCTGGCGGCGCAGTGGCTAGAGACGAGGGATTGATGCGTCAAGCTCGCCAACAGCAGATTAAAAATTACTTCTTCGGCGACAGCAGAACATCACTCAACCCTCACGGACAGTGGTGGGACTTTGGAGACTTGACCATCTACAGGGCTGTGGATCCTACAGCATCACATGCGCAATCACACTTGATGCCTGGTATGGACTACGACGACTCGCCATCGGGCCAAGGATCTGCAAGCATACTGGAGAAGGTGTTGCCAAGTCAAGAAATGGTCAATGCAATCTTGTCGGTCAAGTTCTGCTCGGGCAACTCGTCGGCAGACAATGTGTGTGACAGCTGTGTCATGGGATTCGTCTACGTGGCCGAGGTGGATGAGGGCAGGAAGAAAGTACGATTCCTGGCGCCGCATCCCAGCAGATGGGGTGATCGAGCATTGGTTTGGGGCAATTGGCCCGAGGGTGTGGGAGATTTGGTTGCATAGAAAAAAAAAGGTACAGGATTCACACGAGCATGGCGTTTATTGAGAGGAATATATTTAAGCTTGGGGAGGAGCAGTGCGCGGGAGGCAGCGCTTTATGAGACGGTTTATACCAAGTAATGAGAAAAGGATTGAAGATTTGCAAGATTTCGAGAAGTGCGACAAGAGGTATATGTACAAAACGGGGTGATGGTACAGGGTGAAGAGGGAGGTGGGAATTTTTAGGTGAGGAGGTTCGGGAGGAAACTACTCGACAGGCTCGGACTCGGGAGCGGCAGAGACCTTTATGCTGCTGTCGACTGCGATCATCTCGGCAAGGATATCGAGGATGGGCTGCAAGTGGTCAGTGATTGAGACGGGTCGGTCAGAGATTGTGTGGGAGTGGTACCTTGGGAACGGTCTTGTCGTAGATGCTGATGAGCTCTCTGGGCTGGGGGTAGACCTTGAGAGCCTTGTAGAAGCAAAGGGCGGCGTCGACGGGGTCGGAGCCGTCCTGGCACATCTGCTCACCACGGGCAACCTCTGTCATGAAGTACTCCTCGGTCTTCTCGGGGTCGGTGGGGAAGCCCTCGTCGTTGGCCTCGTCGACGAGCTGGCGGACCTTTTCCTTCTGGCCCTTCTCAGCAGCGACGGCCTCGTCCTTGGCGGCCTTTGAGAGCTGCTTTTGCTGGCGCTTGAGCGAGCGACGGAAAGCGGGATCGGAGCGTCTCTTGTAGTCAAAGTAGACGGCGTATGCGAAAGCGGCCGTGGTGAGGGTGCCGAGGGTCGCGAGGACAATGGTGGACGTCTGGACGCCAGACGAGGGTGTTGTTGACGGCATGGCGGAGTGTGCGATGCGGCGGGAGTGTGTGAAAGGACGGTTGATGTGCAAGAGTGTGTTGGTGGGACGGAGCAGCGATGGGCGATGGTGACGGTGATGGAATTTCTTGTTTCGCGCTTCTCCACAAGTCGTCAGCGCCAGAAGAGCAAGCAAGCTCCAGCCTTGTCCCAGTCGCGTCTCCCGCAGCCCGCCAGCCGCCAGCCAGCCCGTCCACGCGCCCGCCGCCCGCCGCCCGTCAACCGATCCGACTGAGACAGAGCCCGCTCAGGTCAAGCCGGCCACGCGAACATGTCTGAAAAGGCAAAGGGAATCGTGTCGTTGCGCAAGAAGAAGACGACCAAGCGTCCGCAGATCAGCGCTCCCCGTCAGATAGTCACCAACCAGCAGGAGCTGGCCCCTCCGCCGTCGCAACAACAAGCCGCCGACACTGCCCCTCGCAACAACAGCCAGACCAGCCAGGCCAGTCTCCCTGTACCCCGTCCGAGACCCTCGCTGGGAGGCCCCGACCGTACTGCCGACTTGGTCAAGCGTCGTTACTCTACCCGTTTTGCCAACTACCCCCAGGATGCCGAGCGAGCCCCCTCTGTCCCAAGCATCCCTGCCCACCTCGCCAACTCACGTCCCAATCGCTCGCCCGACCGTCGCGGCGAACACATCAGGCTCGATGTCAACGCTCTGCGCGATCCCGACCTCCAAGCCGACCAATACGTGAGTCTGCTCTTGCAAGATGCCTCCGAGGCCGACATCCACGCCTACCAACAGGACCTGCGCAACCTCAAGAACCGCACTTCCTCCGATCTGCAAACAAATGTCTACCAAAACCGTACCCAGTTCATCCACATCTCGAACGAGGCCGACAAACTCAAGTCCGAGATGCACACCTTGAGGGCTCTGATGTCCGACCTCACCGCCGTACTATCGCACGCTACCTCTGCTGCTGCGAGTACAGAAGACCGTACTGTTCAGCAGAACAGAAAGCGCCAAAATCGTTCCAGTCTCGCAAACCTAGAAGCCCTGTGGTCCACCCACCTGCAGGCCATGTGGAAACGCGTCGAAGGCTCCCAGAAGTTCCTCCCTGCTGTCCCTGGCCGTCACATCGTCTATGAGTCTGGCCGCTGGCTCGAGTTGAATGCTGCCACTTGGAAGCCTCGCCGTCGCGTCCATGTCATTCTTCTCAACGACCACTTGCTATTGGCCAGTGAGAAGAAACGCTTCGATTCCCCCGGCGTCTCCGCCAGTCCCCAGAACAAACGTGCTTCCGTCTTTCAGCAACCTCAGACGCAGACTCAACTCGTCGCCGAGCGTTGCTGGCCGCTTCAGGATATTCAAATGACCGACATATCGACACGTGCTACCGATGATCGTCACAATATAACCACTGCTCTCAACGTACGCATAGGGAACGAGTCTTGGACCTTGGCCTCTTCCAGTGCTTCCGACGCTGGTCAAGAGGTCGGCACATTACTTGTGCACTTCCGTAAAGCCGTCGAAGATCTCCGTAAGACAACAGCCGCAGATCAAGACCATCGCGGTCGTGCCATGGATGAGCTTGCTTTCTTCACAGGAAATGCCCGCCTCTATAAGAAGGCTGCAAATCAAGTCACCGACAGTGCCGCTATAGACCATTCCTCCATCTTGATTGATGTAGATGGCAAACAGCAGACCCTTCGTTGGGTCGAAAGTCAGATTGATGCGCTTGACCTTAACATAGCACTACAACACTTCGATGATGCTGTCGCTCTAAGTGAGAAACTACGTAAACTAGCTCGCAACATCAAGGGAAACAATGTCGCTCAAGACATAATCCTCTCAAAGGTAGACCAGCGTGCAGTCAAGTTGGCCAATATGCTAGCTAGACGGCTTAAGGATACAAATTCGGCGGCGGCAGCTACCAAGGAAAATGTTGGATGGTTAATGCGGTTGGGATTCGAGGAGACGGCTCGCTCGGCTTATCTGGAATCTCGTGAGCAGGTTCTGCGGAGGAAAGCAAGGTTCGTGGTACCCATGCCTGACTCATTTCAATCACTGACAGACTTGCCAGACAAATCCCTTTTACAGGATCTCTGCCACCACATCTTACTGCACTCTCTTACGTCACTTTCACGATCATTCTGCACACATTCCGTACCTTTTCGTCCTCGTTCCCTCCTACTTCGTCATCGGCGGTTGTCAAGTGGGCAAAAGAACGAATTGACGAATTTAATGAGAGTTTGAATCGCCAGCTCAGTAGCGTGGAGAGAGGAAGCTCTCTGTGGAACGATTGCATTGATGTCGTTCGAGAGCAGGCCGCTGTTCTGAGCGATGCTAGTGTGGACTTTTCGGGTCTTATTGCACAAGGTCTCGTGCAGCAAACTTGATGTTTCATGAGCTGCTTGCCTCTCACGATACAATCAAGTCAGCCTGTCTGGGTGAGTTCTCCCATTCACTGCTGTTTATTCGGCGTGCGCGCCAGAAGGATCTTCTTATTACTCTCCGTATGGAGTAACCATCTGAGACTCCATTGTGTCGGGACTTAAGATTAAAGGGATCTAGGTTGTGTACACTAGACAGTGCGCTCTGGTCTCATTATCTTGATCCTGCGTACGTTTGTGGTTTGGTGACAGCTAATCAATGATGTATCAAGAGAGTACGGGCTCATCGTTCAATGTCCCATTGTCCACCAAGCAAGCAGCCCAAGCCTGAATGATACTACTGTTTTCTGTGGTTTTGTAGCGGTCTGTTGCCTACTTAAGAAGATCGGACCTGGCCCTGTGATTAAGCCACACACCCTCAGTTCCCTTTCGCAAGCAACAAGATGCCTGCAAAGATCGATACTGAACTTAACTTGCGATTTTTGTACATCTGCTTCAAGCATTCCAACTTCAGCACGGTGAGCTCATACATGCCTGTTCATTACTAGCATTCAGCTTCTGACTAATTCATTTAGGTTGACTTCCATGAAGTCGCTTCCTATTTCCAAATCAAAGCTCCAGCTGCTCGTATGCGTTTGATGCGTCTCCGCCAGGCCCTTGAGGCAGAGTCCAGCAGGGAAGGCTTCAGAGAGAGGGATAGAAGGCGTAAACTCAACCCATTCAAAGCCAAGGACAAATCTTACGCACTTGACGGCGAAGATGATGACGACGAGACCTTGGACGACATGCCGTTGATGCAACGTCTCCACGCCCGCATGATGCGTGTCAAGCGCGAGGATGGACTCATGATCAAGAATGAAGATGGAACTTTGATCAAGGATGAAGATACCGCAATGATCAAGAGTGAGGACGTTGCTCTCTGGGGGAAGAAAGAGGGAGACCTGGACGACCAAGATGAGACGAAGATGACCGGCATCGACTCCCGCGATCTTCATCGCACCTCCTTCAAGAGCGAGGTCAATGACTCTCATCTCAGCTTGAAGGGCCAACCTACATCGCAGGAGGTGTTCAAGTCCGGGTTTGTCAAGATGGAGCTTGATACGATTGATACCAAGCGTCAAGCCTTCGGTCACGGCAAACAACAGTCGCCAGCCCCTTCTGCTAACACTGGCCTGTTCAACTTCTGCGCCTATGGCCATGCAAACACCTCTGGTCCTCCCATTCAAAATCACGATAGCAGTCTCAAACCGGAAAGCACCAACACTAATGGTCACTTTTTGCACAACTACAGCTCGCATGCGCACTCTCATCCTGACGTCTTGAACCCATTCGCACAAGTAAAGCCAGAGAGCACACACGACAACACTCAGATGACAACTCCCTCTGGTCTCAGCTCGCCTTTCCGTCTAGACGCATTCAATACTACTCTGGCCAACTCCCTTACTCTTGGAGATGATGTTGGGCCTAAGCCAGAGTACGCTGAGTCTCTTTTCGGCTCGCCACACATCAAGGATGACACCGGCCTCTGAGACTGTGTCTGAACATTTAGTTACCTTGGTCGTCCAACATCCACCATTCTCTTCGGCCTGACAAACTTTGATGACGTTGTTGGCATTTGTGGGTTAGCTTAAGAGACAATGTGACCAGTCAACGTATTATTGCTACCATGACCAACTTTTCTTGGTTGATGCAGAATGCTTGTTTATTACCATGAATTACAAAGTCTTTTCCCATTGGCCATTATTTACTACAATTGTGAGCAATCCAATCAAGTCAAGTAGAGGACCCAAGCGGTCGACTCCCACTCATTCTACTGTCGATAATCACGATATTCTGGGTCCACCTTGCTCTGCTTGAAGAGACTCTTGCCCTTGAGCCACTGACGATAAGCCTTGTATCTCTTCTTGTCCCCGTCCTCCTCCCAGACAGTCAACGGGTCTTCCCTCACTGTCAAAAAGTCTGCAAACTCGACCAGATCTTCATCGCTGGGCTCAAGCACGCCATTGCTACTCTCGTCTCCAGAGTCAATGCCAGCTTTGCCACTGTTGACATATTCCACAAAGTCCAAATTCAGATTAGTTTCTGGAGGTAGCTCAGAAGTGACGACTAGTGGGATCTTGAAGGGGTGTGAGATGTATCGTTCGTACTCTGTGGTTTCCTCGGCGGTGACAGAAGGATTGAGTGAGTGGTCGTAGATCCGATTCACAGTCATTTGTGTTATCGCTGCTTTGTCGGCAATCTTGACTGACTTTTGGTTGTCTGGGTCCGGTGTTGCACGCTCGACTGTCGTATCGCGGAGGATGCTTTCAGGGACTGTTGTCACCGTAGAACTCTTGCTTGGCTGTTGATGTCCGACCTCATTTTCGCTTTGTGGGTCCACAATCGTGACGCCTTTGCGGGGAGGCTTCTTTTCCGGTGAGTCGGGTGAGTTTCTGCTCGGATCGATGCGAGGAGTGAACGGGCTGAAATCGTACTTTGTGTCTTTGTTTGGCTTCTCGGGGAGAAAACGGTGATTTGTGTTCATCTTGTACGAGTAAACTTTGACAAATGACGACACTGCTAAAGGTCTGTAATATTCTAGCCAGTAGTCGTCGTATTCTGCCGGATGCTGAGTTGTCAGTGTGCCCTGGTCATTTTCAATCGTTGGAGGCAGGACTCGTCGCTCGAGGTGCTCCGGAGTATACCAGTTTATGTAGCTCTTGCGAGGACGGTCCAGCCACTTTTTGGGGTCAGTGTGATGCAGATAATAATCTGTGGAGAGATCCCAAAGCATGGGTTGGCCTTGTGCCCAGGTGTAATTTCCGAGAAACAGATTATATGCCTCTTGACGTTGAGAGTCAAGAAAGGAGTTGTGGTAATATCGTTTGAAGCTTTCCACCATGTCTCTTGACTGGCTGTGCCAGTGGTTGATCTTTCTGTACGTAGCCATCGTGTTGACCAAGTGAGATCCGCCGTATTGGATGGCTATAGTATCTCCGTGGTCGTGAAACATGTGCGTGAAAACGTTGACGGCATCCGAGTCATACTCCATATCAGCAGTAGGAATTACACCTAGTGCTCGTAGTTGGTGTCCAAGAGCGCGCTTGCCGATGACGAACTGAGCTGCATTGGTACGGTCGAGACAATCTATGCAATTTGTACGAGCCACGCCATTCTGGACTTGCGACAATCCATCTCCTGAAACTCCATTGTGGAAGAATCCAGTCTGCTGCATGATCTCCTCTGCAATCACTTCGAGCGTTCCAATGACATCTCCGCCACGTGTCTTCGCAGCTCGACTCATATCGAAAGCCTTGTATTGTATCTTTTTGCTGTCCGGTAAGAACTGATTGAGGTATGCCAAAGCGTTCTGGAATTCGGTGAGGAGCTTCGATTCTCGCGCCGTCCTCTCACGGGACTTGATCAGGTTCAAGACGTAAATTGGGCATCCATAACGTTTGAACAGATTATCAAAATGCATGGCCGCCGGTTGATAGAAAGGATCTGTCATGTTGACATCAATATCTGGTTTCGGAGAGACACCGCTGTTATCCTGGGTCCAGTAAAGTGGTATACTGCCTCGATGATGGACATACGAAGTGTAATTTGGGTTCGAGAACATCTTAGGCCCTGGGGCATGGAATGAGGTTGTAAGCATCTCCGAGACTATCTGTTCAGTTTCTACGTCGTTAGCCACGAAGCCAAGGTCATTTGCTCCGCGTTTGAGGAAACGTGCACCAGCAAAGAAGCGTGATCGTCGCCCAATTATGGTGATGTAGATGCTTCGTCCAAATACGTCGAGAGACGACTGGTCAATGAAGCCGTGGATGATGGGTAGGCACCAGTCAAACGCGTTCTTCAAGTGTTTCACTGCTGGACTGAGAAGATGAGAATTCCAAACAAACATGTCATCATAGTCATGACCAGGCTGTTGGACTCCTTGGTTGATTGCATTTCGTTGTCGAGTAATGTTGTACTGCAAAGTACGAGTAATGTCGTAAGAGTAGCTGAAGTAGAAAGAACGCGTAAGGTCGAGATTGTTCAAGATTCCCAAAAAGCGGCCTTCCTCGGCGTTTCGCTCCCTGGAAAAGCGAGAGCCAGGACTAGTAGTAAGAGGGACCAGCTCAGTACCATCAATCTGGTAGATGTAGTGTCCGCCAACCATCGCAACCTGCTGTCTTTTGGTGATAAGCAAGACGTAGTAGGAGTCGGTGAACCTGATGAATCCCAAGATACCCCAGAAGCTACACTTGACTCGCAGTCCTCCGGTTGCCTTGTTTCCATCGTCAATGGTTGTGAGAAGTTGTGTGACCTCCTTCTTGTTATACACAATCTCATCCTCAAAGACTGATAGTTGTCCTGGAGGTGCAGTGCGGTCGATTTTCAAGAGCTTGTAATACTTGTCTGTGATATCTGAGCCAGTTATCCAATATCGAGCATTTGTCTCGTAGAGGGTAAACTTATGCATTCTGTGTAACTGTGTCTGTGGTAGGTTTGAGCTTTGGTTGTCTTCCATGGGTTCTCCGTTGGCACTGCTGGCGGCGGACTCGAGATCAGATGCAGTGGGTTCGTCATCTTCCATGAATGGCTCCTGCGCTCTCGTGTCGTCAAAATTGGGCATGGACGTGGGCTGGAGCTTCTTGAGACTCGATTCATCCTTGCCAGCGTGGTTCAGAGCAGTAGTTTCTTGAGTATGCAAACCATCATTTGTTTCTGATGTGTGGCTTTGACATAATTCGCTGTCATGCGCTGGCTTGATATCATGCAAGCCAATTCCGTGAAGGCTTGCTTCTGAGCTAGACACATCAGACTCCTCATCGGCAATGACAGCTTTTGGTTGGGTGCTTGCCATCGATTCTTGGAGAGCCTTGTATCAAAAGATGATTATATTCGGCCTACTGTTGCTGGCAATGCATGCTGTGTGATAACGGAAGAGGCGCGCCGCGTGTTGAAACGTCACGTCAGGACATCAACTTCAGGCTCATTAGACGTAGTTCAGTTTGGTCGCGTCTTCTAATATTCGGATGTGCACGAGGTCAGTGAACCATTGTTTCATTGCATCGCATGTCTGTCGACGCGCCCGCGTGGCTCTTCACGCACTGGCACGCCCCTGCCAAGCAAGCTGCGTTACTAACATGTGTCCGTTCCCAACGTGCCACATGTGCTTCCAACTATGCCGACCATGGTTCAGTGGATAAGTGATACAATTTCCCTGAGGCTTATGTATATAGCTAGACTTCTTGCGATGACCTCTAAGATCGCACAATACGAACATCCTACCTTTATGTGGTAGTCGAACAAACATATGACAACTAATCTGACATTAGAGGCACTCGGAATGCTTACAATTAATGTGTCGAGCGAAACAATTGTTCATGCAGACAAAGACCAGCATCTTAATAGCAAATGAGCTGCAATACAATATTCTAAGCGTATGGGCTAGGTTAAAAGAGCCTTTGAACATTGGTCATGCGGTGTATGATGGACTGGAGTAGGGTTGTGAGCTGAGGCAGGGTTGTACCGTCAGCAAGCGTCGAAGGATGTGGCGAATGAGAGGCAAGTCTCGACCGGGTGATCTCAGGAGGTGTTCCCCTTGAACAGGTGGAAGTTTACCTACGCGTACGGGCGAGACCCTTCTCCACATAAATTAGCTGCGAGGCGGAGCACCATCTCTTTAAAACTCGAAGCGTCCCTCGTGTTTGACAATTCTTGAGCTTTCGTCCATTCTTTACTGTCAACCCTAGCAACTCAGCAGTCATGGCCGTCAGCACGACCGCTACCACCAGCGCTACCACTACTATGGAGCAATCACCCACACTCCGCGCCAACATGAAAAGCTCCAGCAATCCGGCACCCGTAAAGCAAGAGGATCAGGAGGACCAATTCTTCTGGTCGTATACCGAGGAACCTCATCGTTCTCGTCGCATGGCCATCATCAAGGCACACCCTGAGGTATTTACCAATTTCTGCCTTTCAGCTTGTAAACTCAGGCTGACCACCATGCATAGATCCTCAAATTGTGCGGACCCGAACCGCTGACGATCCCCCTTGTCCTCGCTGTGGTAGGCCTTCAGTGCACCTGTGCCTACCTCCTCAGCAACACTCCTTTCTGGTCCTGGCGATTCTGGCTCACGGCATACATCATCGGTGCTACTGCCAACCAAAACCTCTTCTTGGCCATTCACGAGATATCACACAATCTTGCTTTCAAATCTGGCTTGGCGAACCGTCTGCTCGCTATCGTTGCCAACTTGCCCATTGGCATTCCCTACTCGGCCTCATTCAGGCCCTACCATTTGACCCACCACAAGTCTCTTGGTGTTGACGGTCTCGATACCGATCTGCCCACCGCCTTCGAGGCTTTCTTCCTCGATTCTATCGCAGGAAAAGCCTTCTTCTGCACCTTCCAAATCTTGTTCTACGCTCTGAGACCTATGATGGTCTATCAGATCCCTTTGACCAAGATCCACGCCCTCAACATTGTTGTTCAGCTTCTGTTTGACTATGTTCTCATCCAGTCATGGGGAGGCAAGGCTGTCGGATACTTCATCTTGAGCAGTTTCCTCGCTGGATCTCTGCACCCTGTAGCCGGCCATTTCATTGCTGAGCACTATGTCTTTGATCGTGCTTCGATCGAGAACAAGCAGGCGCGCGATGCCAAAAACCGTATTCCGGTCCCTGAGACTTTCTCTTACTATGGACCGCTCAACCTTCTGACTTACAACGTTGGCCTGCACAATGAGCATCACGACTTCCCAGCCATTCCCTGGACCAGACTCTGGAAGGTCAATGAGATTGCCAAGGATTTCTACCAAGATTTGCCTTACCATCGTAGTTGGGTCGGTGTCGTCTGGCAGTTCATCATGGACAAGGAAGTTGGTTTGTGGTGCAGAGTCAAGCGCAAGGAAGGTGGAAGAAAGGTTGGTGCCTGGAAGGAGGAGGAGATCCAAAACTGATCTCTGATCTAGTCTTGGCTCAAGCTGTAATAAAAACTTCCTAGACAATAGACATGCGTAATGACGAAATGAAAGCTCTCAGCCCTCGTTCAAGATGGCATTCAACACCTCGATTGTATGATTATGTACATTGTTATACTCCGGATTTATTATTCAACCGACACATGCAAAAAAACCCTAGACCTCGACGCCGGAAAGTTGTTTGGGAAATCTCAGGGCGAATGTCGCGAACGCTACGAGAAGATCGCGCGGTATTGAGCCAACAGCTGCAACTCAGACGATTGGCCAATTTGTGATGATGTTTTTGTCTTCGACAATGTTCGTATCTCAGTGGCTCCTACAGACGCCCAGAAGCCTCATTTGTGACTGCCGCCAGCTCCAGTCACACGGAGCACGAAGTTGACAATGACAGCAGCGAGCAGGGCAATCGCTAGGACTGTGGGACCAAAGCGATCATCGAAACCGCTCTGTCCTCTCATACGGATACTCTTTGCTCTCCAGTGGAAGGTGACCAGGGCATAGATCATAGCGGCCATGGCGACCAATGTGAAGAGACCAGCAGAGATCTGGCCGACTTTGTCGCCGAAGTTGAGGAGACCGACGGCAAGACCGCCGAGGATGACGGTGAAGTTCAGCCAACTGAGAAAGGTACGCTCGTTGGCGAAGAAAACCTTGGGCTCGACGCGGGTGGGAAGGGCGATGCGCTTGCCTGTAAACACATCGGGTCAGTATTCGAGGTCGTCGGGTCGGTCGTGGAAAGCTTCCATGAGGGGCTTCGTACCAGGTGCCGTCTGGAGTAGCGGTTGCGAAGACATGGTTGCGATGTGGAACGAGCGATCGAATTGGCCAAGCAGAGGATGTGTACGATGCAAAAGACAGCAGTCAATGAATTGCTAGAATGTCAAAAGCGACTGGCGAAGAAAAAGGTGCAATCAATCATTGCAGCAGAACTGAATGACGCTGGCTGGCATCTGACACGTGCGTCGTCTGATTGGACGAAAATGCTTCCTTCCTTTCGTCGCGATATTAATTCCAACCAAGGACTATTTCCCGTCAATTGATGGGTCTGCTACCAGGAGCCGGAGAAGCATAAGACCACTGGGCGATTGTATGTAGTCCACACTTGTTGCGAGTTGTGAAGTATCCTAACTCGTTGTTCGAATGGATGGTTACTTTGTATCCCCGGACACTCTCGCTGTGTTCTGTAGCATGGCGGCGAGACCGCGAGGCAGAGGAGCGAAAACGTTCTCAAAATGCAAGTTTCCATGACAGTCAGCGAGACAGAGAATGGGATGACCCAGTAACATGTCCCACTATACAATCCCATGTTCTAGCTAAAGGTACTGGCGAGCCAAGAGTTGGTCAAGTACACGATAGAACCCAGAAGTCGGGACCCCACGCTTCAGCGTAGATACGCGAGTCAGCACATGTTCAGCGTCAAGGGTCAAGTAAACAAGCAAACCCCAAATTGCCGTCGCATACCACTTCTCTCGCACTGAAGCTCAGCGTCTTTGCCAAACGTATCAAACTTTCAATCACAGTCCCCATCGCCGCCGCTTCCACCGTCACAATGTCCACTTGCGTATGCCGTAGCCATCTCGCATGCGATGTTTGCCCATCTGACTTTGTTGTCTAGCCAGTTACCGAGACTCGCCTGAGCCAGATTGCTACCGACGTATGCATGCCAATCGCACGAGCTGAAAGAAGCATGCACTAACACTGGATAGGCCTGCAACGATGCCTTCACCAGCGCTACCACATACAACCACGCCCAAACTGAGCAATGGAACTCGGACATCATCGTATGCCACGCGCCCTTGATCACTCTTTCACCCGGCGTTCTGACACGCCTTGCAGAAAAACATCCTCACCGCGCTCATCTCAGAGTCAAAGGGCGACGTCCAATACAAGTTCGCCGTAAACTCGACCATCATCCAGCATCTGACCGACCCGCGTCCTGCTGGCTCCGACACCCCGACATCTCCATCGAACGGCACAGTAGGTCGCCGTGGAATGCACTCTGCGACCGGCGCCTACTGGAACACCGAGAAGGACGGTATCTGGAACTACAAGTATGAAGGCGGCGAGGCCAAGGGCATGGACGTTGTCGTCTGCGTCATGTGGGTCGCAAACTGAGCCATCGATTCGGAGGGCATTGAGCTCGAAATGTCTCAGCATGGCCGGCCCATGACCAGTCCTTCCCTCATCCCTCGTCTGTACATGGAATCAAAGTCACGAACATATGCATCACAAGACCATGGCAACACCGGCGTTGGTTATCACGGTACATATATGCGCAGGAGCCTACTCGACTCGCCCTGCACGCGGAGATTGGTGTTAATATATACAAACGTCCGATGGCTTTGGCCAGAAGGAATGAAAAGGACAGCCATCAAGATCGTTAATTCCTGTGTTCGTGCTTCCACGTTGCTTGTTGTGCTGCTGGTGATGATCAGGCCATTTTGGCCCCTCGGTCATCACTCTCATATATTGTGTTCTCGGCCACGGCCTTGCCAACCCCCTGCGTGCAAAGCTGTTGGACCTCATTCCAGTCTCGTTGCTTAGCTGCCTTTCTGACTCTCGTGCTACTTACACCAACACCTTCCTCAGCGCGAACAACCTCAATTTGGGAAGCCCATTCTTGTTTGGCTCCGTCGGTCTTCATGTCTCCTCTAGCCAATCGGTCAAAGAAGCCCTCCTGCGACTCAACCGTGCCGTACTCATCCGAAGGCCTCAGAGTCACACGCAGCTGATGTCCCTTATCAAAGTAAGGATCGAGCGCAGAAAGTGGCGGGTCGAACTCGGGATAGTATTTTGCAGCAAAGAAACGCGTAATAGTGTCAAAGCCCAAGAGATGTACATGTTTGGGAGAACCTGGATAGTGCTCGGCGCCCTCACTTGAGATAGCCGAGCTTTTGTCGGTATAATAAGGAGCAGTGGTTAAACCAATATCGACAGCGGGCAGCACGTAATCATCATGGTCGGCCACACCTTGGATATCTCTCAGAAGATCCTCGGCGAAGAGAGTCATGAGAGCCAGACGTTCGGGAAAGGAAGCGGCAGAAGGAGCCTTGTCCGCATTGTGAGTGCTGAACAGCAGCAACAATCCGAATGGAGACTGATGATGTTTGGTTGAAGAAGAGTGTAGGGCAGATTTGGCTAATGCCAGGTGTGCCTTCGAAGGAGGATTGAATGAGGAGTCGAGAATGAAAAGAGTCTTTGGAGATGCCGGGCTAGAAGCTGGAGGGTTGATGCTTCGGACAATGCGAAACTTGGAATCGGAGGACTGGAAAGATTTGAGAGCCGTTTCGAGCTGCGGCAGTATACTGCGCATAGAACTTGCAGCGATGCTCATCGATGTGATATTATGATGAATAGATTGAGGCTCGCAGTAGAGAAGTCTAGTACTTTTTAAGACTCAAGATCGACCTTCAGGAGATTTCAGAGGTACATATCTACAATGCCGGCTGCTTGTATGAGAGTGATCTGGTAAGGGCGGCGGAGTGAAGTGCATGATGAAGTGCTCGGTAGACGGCTAGGATGCCGACCGTAGGCTACCGTTGCTGCCAAGCCCAAAGTCCGGCATCCAATCCCAATCAAGGCATTTGAATGTCGGCGGAGCGCGTTGTCGTCGATTCACTGTCGTCTGGGAAGCATCGCAATCTCAATTCACATCCAACATGGTCGCCGAGCTCAAGAAGTTGGCCGCTTCGGCTGCTGGCAAGCATGCCGCATACAAGAAATACACCGTGCAACCGACGGGCATCTGGAAGCGCATCGGAGACTTCTTTGCTGTCGACCCCAAGCGCTCTTCCGGTATCCCTCTCAACCCTCAGTACCGTCTGCCCTCTCCCGGTGCCGTGGATCCCAAGCTCTACGACGACCCGACCACAGTTCCTGCCGCCGACCTTGCCGAGAACCCCTACTGGAAGCGCGATGTCCGCAGATCGTATCCCAAGCTTAGTGTCGTCAAGCAACCTGACGTTGTTGCTCTCTTGACCGTTGGAAGTGCACAAAACCCAAAGGAGAACGTCCTGCAAATTGGTGATGCCGGCGCCAAGCAGTTGGTCTCATTGAAGGAGGAGGGTGAGAAGGGTCTCTCGGCCTTTTTCCAGAAGGACAACAAGGCTGGCGTCAGTGTGCTGGGCCCCAACGGACTGCCTCCATTCCCTACCTCAAGATACCCTTCGTCTACTCCCAAGCGTTACGAGATGCTCAAGGAGCAGTCTTACAGCACAAAGTACGTCTCCTATCTCGCATGACCTACATCAGATTACTGACTTGATTCCAGCTACCCCTGCAGAACGTTCGAGTAAATGCAGCGAACATGTACATTTTCTTTTCCTTAGATGTTCCAAATTCGACATGCCTTGACAGACAGCCTTTTCTGAGCGTTCGATTGTTTCTGAGTGAAGACAGGTTGACTCGTTATCGTGATAAAGCATCATACACGGTCAAGGGTGGGTGCCTTCCCAAATTTATTCCGGGCGCCCGGATCCGAGACGGGCAGGCACGACAAGCCAAAATAACATTTACGTGAACTCTTCATCTGTCAAGATCATCCACCTTGACCTATTTTCGACCCGACTAGCATAAGAGCACCATGGCCGACGATTCTGACGCAACTCAGCCCTTCCAGCCGCTTGATCTGATATTTAGCTGTAATGTCTGCCACGACTCGATCCGCGACATCCGAGGGCCCATGCAAGATGGGAAAGAACTCGAGAATATTCGAAAACCAGTCGCGAAACTCTGGATGACCGAATGCGCCCATCTTATATGTGCGAAACACCTTGAGGGTGGAGGTATGTCACGCGTGGCCTATGTAGTTCCTGCCCTTACGCCGTGCATAGCTCCCCCTTTCCATCCGGCTGGGCAAGCACCTCGAGCCGTCTGCCCGGTCTGTGTCGCTAGGCAGAACAATCATGCGCTCAAGCAAATGTACGCCATCGGTGGCTTCAGTAGAGGCGAATACGACCCAGATATCCCTCATCATTTCTTCCAATGCCCACCTGTGGCTCTTGACACCAAAGATGGTGGTATGGACGCGCTTCGAGTATGATATCAAGCACTCAATTGTGCGTAGGCCACAATTAATCCTGCTCCAGTTCCAGTTCCTCGGTCTCGTCACTTACGGGATTGCGATCGCCACCAAGTTCCGTGGATTGCAGGCAGCACATACCGGACTCAAGGATCAGGCAGAAAAATCGAAGCTGGAGAAGGCCGAGGCCGAGACGGAAATACAGACGCTGACGGAGAGAATAACGTTGTTGGAAGAAGTAGAGAGACGACACAAAGCCAAGCAGCCCGAGATTGAGCATTATCTCCGCCAGTTTACTCTCGTGAAAAAGTAAGTCTGTTCGAACTCGAGCGGCTGAATCATTTAACAAGTTCGGACAGAGAGCTGGATCGTCGCAATGAAGATTTAACAGCTATGGGTTACCCTCCACCTCCCATTGATTACACATTTTCTCCTTCACGCCTGATCGAGGACGACACATCAGACGGAAGGAGGACGACTTCGCCCACCAGACTCAAAGGACGTGGAGATAGGGCCGACCCAAGAGCCGTGGACGATTCATTGCCCAGTGTCTCGAGTATCACGTTGAGAGGCGATTCCTCAAGAGCTTGTAAGACGTCGAATCCTTTGATATCAACATGATCTGACGTGGGCAAAGACACCGAAGATGATCTACAGAGGACAGAGAACAAGAGGCAGAAATTAGCCGAGTACAGCTACAAGCCGCAGAGCATACAAACCCCGTCGGGAAAACCACCAGATCGGGAGCGACCTGGAATCAGACTGCCTCCACAATCCTCAGTCATACCAAATGGTCCTTCCCGAAGCGATCATTTCCAGACCATACCGAAGCTGAGTCAACTAAACAACCAGCAACCAAGTTTCGCCGGATGGAGCAGCAACAGAGACCATGTTGCCCAGCTGACAGACATATCTCGCGACAAACAAGAGTCATGGGGTCGTACCGATCCAGGCCAATATGCTGAAGCTAGATTCGAAGATCCACCATACATGAGTGGGGCCCTGGGTCCTGGCGACCAGAATATCTCGGATTCTACAGATCAGTCCAAACAGGCTAAGCAACTGAAAAGAAAGGTCCAGCCGGCCGATAGCATCGATGAAATCTCGCGGTCCAACCTCAATACAGCAAAGCGACCTCGAACAAGCTCGTATCTTTACCAGCAACGTGGCGCCGAAGAGCATTCCGAGCACGAGCCGCGAGGTTTGTTTCGCGAGCCCCGAGAGTCAAACAGATACTATCCAAGAAACAGCCAATATGCATTGCCTTTGCAAGGATCGCGTACTGACCATGATCTGAACCATGAAAACATCCAGCCGAGATTCGATCAGCTGCGGAATCATGGAGCACACATTCGACAAGAACTTTCGCAGCTACTACCCAATCAGCATTTGAACAGACCTCATACTCCTTCGCCACAACGACTCGATATTCTCCGACAAGCAAAAGGTGGTTCGGTGAGTAGTCCCTTCTTCCGAACAAATCAGACCCGTGATTCAAGACACTATCCTACCTCATCGCCCGTGTTATATTCGATGGACCGCCAAACGATGCCGGATTTCAGAATGGCACCACCGCAGAGGCCAGTACAAAGTGGCTCTCAACCACGATCTCGAACAAGAAATGGCCTTTCGTTCGTTCAAGACCCACACCTAGGCCGAGATCATATCTATAGCTTTGAAGCGGCTTTCGAAGGTCGCCAACAAGAAGCGGCGAGTCGAGTGCCGCAAGATCCCAATGGTTTCTTCGTAAGACCAGGTGTGCACCAAGGCCCGTTCCCAGCAGCCAGCCCGAGACGTGAGACGATGCACTCCTACCAACGTGCAAACCGACCCCAGCCATTGCCCTCCAGAACTCCGTCTTTGGCATCGAGCATTAACATACCTCGTTCGAGGAGAGGGCCGACACATGATGAGGCACTTGCAAATATTCGTGGCGTCAAGGGTGGCTCAACGTCATCGAGAGGCGTGTCGAAAGAACTCTTTGGTTCAAGAGCAAATGTTTTCTCCAGTTCACGTCGTAGCGTGAGACGTTGATTCAGTATTCGTGTCAATTTGCTGTTCGTTCCAAACTAGCTGCTTTGTCTTGGAGATGGTAATTTTTATTCTTCGAAACATCGGTAGATGGCAATTGACCCGATCCGGCTAAATGGCGAGAGCATGTACCCCACGTTCGTCACCACTACCTACTCAACCCCACCAGTGCGAACTTGATTATTCAATACTGCCAAAGTACAAAATAAAACTCCCTTGGATCCAATAATACAGTAGCCATTTCAATTCCCTCAACCAATCATGTCTCGTCCTGGAGTATCCCGTACCGCATCGACCAATCTCGCCAGCGGAAATGGTCACAGAGTGTTAGAGGGAAAGATTGCTGTCGTCACCGGTGCTTCTAGAGGTTCGCTTGATGGCAGGCATTGAACGACGAAAGCACTAAACAATTCTCAGGTATCGGCGCCGCAACATGTGAGAACCTCGCATCCAAGGGTTGCTCAATCATCATGAACTACACCTCGGACTCGTCGGAAGCCATCACCAACGAACTGGCCGAGCGACTCCAGAAAGAGCACGGAATCAAGGCATTGCCAGTACAAGCCGACATGGGCAGCGAAAACGGTCCTGCCCACCTCATCGCCACAGCTCTGAACCACTTTGCCCACCCAAAGACTCGCAAACTGCAGATTGACATCATCATTAACAATGCTGGCGTCGCGTCGAACCGCTCCATTGAGAAGTGTGATGCCGAAGACTTTGACTTTGTATACCGCGTCAATGTCAGAGGTCCCCTGTTCCTCATGAAGGCTGCATTTCCATACTTGCCTAATGATCGCAGTGGTCGCATTGTCAATGTCAGCAGTGTCAGTGCTAGCTGCGGCTTCAGTGAGCAGAGTGTCTATGGAGGCTCCAAGGCTGCCGTAGAGGCAATGACCCGTACATGGGCACGCGAGTTGGCCGAGAGAACCACCGTCAATGCCATCAACCCTGGTCCTGTCCTGACAGACATGTGGAGCGGCGTCTCCAAAGAGTTCCAAGAAGGTATTGCACCCTGGCTCAAGAACACACCCCTGGCAGCCGTCCGTCCTGGCGTCGATAGTGAGGATCTGGTCAAGGGAGCCGAAATCGCTGGAGGTCGTCCGGTAAGTCGAATAACGTGATTTATAATTTTGCATTCATAATGCTTACTCGCATATTGCAGGCATACGAGTCCGAGACTGCTGGAGTCATTGCAATGCTCTGTACTCCTGACGCTGCATACACCACTGGTAGCGTCATCTCATGTAACGGAGGCTTCAAATTTAGCACATAGATGATTGTGGCGAGTGGCAGCATGATAAAGTGACAATGCCACGCATCGATGGTCGCTCTCGTTAGGACAACCGTTGCGACGTAGTGACACGAAACTCCGATCGGATGGAGTACATAGAAATGATACAATAAAGCTTACCACTGGCTTTGGTCAGGGACACTATGCTCCAAGATCACTTGCTTCAGTACCCAATCTTCTGTTTCATGCCTGAGAGGACTCCTCCCCAAGAATGCAAGTGTGTATAGCGTAACTTCATATAGCGTGTTGCGCAAATGCAGACCAATCTATGATCTACTAAACCTATTCATGCGCAGCGTGAAGTGCATAGTGTACTCATGATAATGATACTTTCCGTGTAAGTGTATTTCGGTCAAAGGTGACGAATCACAAAGCCTGTTCAATCGTTGCTCTCATCCACAATCGACCCATCCGACGTACCTAGCAACTTCTCGAGCTCATGTGTTTGATTTGCCCTTACAGTCTCCAGGAGATCCCTCGTGCTCTTACGAACACTTTTTCCGGATTCCGCAGACAGCAAACTGACACTGCGCCAATGCCCCTTGCGGTCATCGATCACAGTGACCGAGGGGAAATGCCTAGTGATTGGACCAGAAGACTGGCGATGTTCGGTCGATGGAATTGCCAAAAACCGGCCTTCGGACATCTCAACGTCGGGTTTGGATGTTCCAGCCGCCAAACAGTCTTTCGGTGTATGTAACGAGTCATTTGTGAGACCGCTTTTCTCGACCTCGGTGTCATCCAGAGATGCTGGTAGCTGTACATAGGCTTGATACATGCGAGATAGTCTTCTTGCACTCAGCGCTCTGTCGGGTTCTGCGAAGCTGCTTTCAGTGACTCCATCTACAGCACTAGGTGATGTACCCTTGTCCCTCAAAAGCTCTTCTGGTTCCTCCCTTTGACCTGGCGTGGACTGCGATCTGTCTTGAAAGCGGTCAACTTGTACAAGTCCAGATGGCAGCTCTTCCACGCATGGTGCGGGCTTCTGACTTTGATCATTGAATATGTCAAGCCTATCCTCTTCGAGATGATGACTTAGCTCCTCGGTGTGATCCCTATCTGCTCCGAGATATTGTGATGCGGTATAGTGGAGAGGAAGCATCGGCGGTAAGATCTCAAGCTCTGGATGCTCCAGTCTACCCCCTGTTGCTGTAGACGACCGGCGGTTTCGCGCTGCTGACGAAGTAAGAAGATTGGAGTAGTAACGAAGGATCGTTCCGAATGTCATTGACCGCGACTTCACAATCCAGTGCCTTCTTCTGGCAGTTTCCAAGCGTGGCTCCCCAGCGGACGAGCTTGTGGCCGCTCTCGAGGATACTGTTTGATATGTATTGTTAAGATCCTCGTCGTAAGCGAAGTCTCGACAGACCACTCCGTCACGTCGTCCAGCTGCACTGCATCGTCTGTCTCGTGTGTGAGAGGGATATCGGCTCCAAGAATGTGGTGGTGCTGTTGCGTTGAGGTGCGTCCTTGTTCCTGCAGTAGTAGTCGTGTTCATGGTCCATATTGTACTGCGCTTTTTTCTGCGAAACAGAGAGTTTCCGACAGTATCACCAGGTGCAGATCGAATGTTCTGCATGCTTTGACTCCTAAGGACGGTTGAAGGTCCCTCAGCTTCGAGTGGATCCAGGTCGTCAATTGCCGCCGATGCAGATCTCGCTTCGTTGGTGGACGAGAACCCGAATGAACTTGTGAAAACGGGTGCACGAAGTGGAGATGGTCCCGTCTCTAGTTTCTGGTTTCCAGGGCGCAGTAGAGCGGCTTTTTCTAGCTGGTGTTTCTGTAGAGCGTTCTCCATCAGTGCTTCTTGTGTCCCTCTCCTCCCTAAATTAATCAAAGGGCCGGCACGATTTAGGTCACCTGGGTTGTCCTCATCATCCCAAACCTCATCTCCGTGACTCTTTGCCGGGTTCAATATTGATTTGCGGCGCCGATTATCACCCACGACTGAGAGACTTCTTTCGTAGTTCACCAACGATTGTCGTGATTGTAAGGATGAATCGACAGCTAGGGAAGCGGTCGAAAACGCGCTCGCAGGCCTCAGACTTGTCCCACCGCTGAAACTAGGAGTACGCTGACTACCTTGTGGCTTCGAGGCAGACTGCGGTACAGACAGTAAGTCCTGGGCGTCTCCAGTACCATCGTAAGTCTCAGCGACAGAAGATTGACCTCTTACATTAAGCAGGGGCGAACTGGTACTTCGGAGTTTTGAACGTGTAAGTTTTGGCAAAAGTATGCGCAAGACTGAACGTCGCTTCTTTGCAGAATTCGGGTGAGGGGAGGGATCATTGAGATCTTCCTTGAACTTGCTGAGCTTTCCAACACTCCCAGAGCTATCGCTTCTGGGTAGAGAGCAGGTTGTGCTATAAGCAGGCCAATCGTTGATGCATGCTGAGCCATTCACGGACGGTGACAACCGGAGATCAGAGCAAGATGTCGGACCACTCGCCACTATGCTGATGCCAGTAGACACTGACATGACCCTTTCGATGGGGAGAGAAGCGTCTGTATTGCTTGAACTGAAGACGGGAAGAATGTTGCGAGTCGCTGGGTTTCCATGAGTTGTCTCGTTGGGAAGGTCTAGTGAACGCCCCCCCTTTGGTGACACAAGAGGCGATTCCATAGACGTGCTTGGTCTACGGCTATAAACAGATGAGGACTCGTCCTCTAGAACCTGTTCCCATGTGGAACGCCCAGCAGAGCCCACGAAATCGAAGCTGGATATACTCTTGCAACGTTCAGGGTCCACAGAAGAGAGCATGATGCTGTTCAGACTTGCATGTGTATTGCGCTTCTGATTCTCTGCTTCGCTTCCACTTGAAGCGTCTGAAGTTTTTGATCGTGTACGCAAATGCTGCGAAATCTGCATGTCATATAGGTGCAACGAGGTTGTTGAGTTCCTTTGCAGCGCTTTGTGCCGATCTGGGCTCCTGAGCTTAGAAATCACTACTTGTGGGCGGCTCGGTATAGATGACAAAATCCGAAGCCCTGAGGCCTGCGGACCATCAGAAGCGGGTGCCTGGAAGGATCCTGTCGGGTTCGTCTTCGTTGTTGCAGGCGACGGTGGCCAAATAAGGTTCGGGTCCATGAATGTAGGACCAGGTATATGGACGGTCAGAGCACTCTTGAAGTCCTTGTGCGTATTGGAGGATGACTGCGAGCGTCTTGGACAGTGGATAGAGTCTGGCAGATAGGACGCAGGAGGTACGCTGGTTGATCGCCGAGGCTCACCTGGCGCTATGATACCGAGACCAGTTGGTCCAGATGGCCGGGTGAATTGCGATGAACTCTCGTCGTTCTCGAGAGAAGCAAGGCGTGACTCGCTCAAGCATAAGGATTGAGCGTCATCATCATAGCCATCTGAGAAGCCTGCCGGGTTGTCCTCCCTTCTTTTTCTTGAGTAGGCGAATGCCTTAATCTTTGACTTGCCCATCACGTCTTTGTCGACCAGGTCTGTCACAACGCTCTTGCGACTCAGCTGTCTACGCAGTTTGTTTGTGAAATTGGGTGAACGAATGATAGTTTCGTCAACATCTGGCTTTCGATGCTGCAGCCTGAGAGCGTGAGGATGGTCCTCGGGCAAGGAGGCAGTGACAAATATGCGGCGAAGCTCGAGATCATCTGCTGGATAGCGTGTACGGGTTCTCTTGGAGCGGTCATCGGTGACGACTGGTGTATGCTTGTTATGAGCAAAGTGGATCTTGATGTTGGCCAAGGACTTGAACTGCGTGACTGGTCGTGAGGGCATGTTGTCGGGCGACTCGGGCCGCGAAGGAGCAGTACAGCAGAGCTTTGCTGCCGCCATTGTGGGCTGTATCTTCGTTGTGGAAAACAAGCAAAGATAAATAATGTGGATTGAGCAATGTGACAAGAAGACTGATGTTGAACCGAGCCAACGAAATTCGGGGACCTATCGACGGCAGGCATCGTCAATGCCAGCTTCCTACCTTGTGTGCCCGAGCCGAATCTGATTTGAGCAGGCAGGCACACTGGGATACTCCTGACAGACGACAGACAAGCATCAGACGGCAAATCTCACAGAGCGCCACAACTTCTAGCAAGTGTATTGCTCCATACGAATTTTAGAAGCACTCGCTCCCGCCGTCTTTCAAGAGATGGCCGTCGATATTTCGCTGGTCCTAAATCATTGCATCTTGAACTCCACTTGCTGCTCTTCATACAGGCATGCCTGCCGCATTTTTGCATCGAAGGATGTTGCAACGTGGGCAACCCGACCCCTTCTACCACAACACATATATTTATGGTCTCAATGTGTTCTCCGAGTGCAGCACTTCTGGACGGCACACCTCGAGGGCAAGACCCTGTGCGGAGCGCAGCGGAGCCTGGCTCATCTAAAAGACGACTCTTAGTGCGGCATCTGGTTATGCAAACCGTAGAGTTCATGGTAGCTCTCATGCTGCAGGGTGGTTGTCGAGAGGAGCGTTGATCTACAGCTACTAACAGTCTAGAATCCTCATTAGTACAGGGTCTGTCTTCGTCGCGTTTGCAGATGGTCGTAACAAGTGCAATTCAAGATCTTTGAACTCTACTACGATATATATTGTTCAAAGTCTCGACATGCGGAAGTCGCAAGAGTCGGACGGAGTGTAGACCGGCTTGCCCAGGTCCAACCAATCGGCGCGACTGACGCTTTGTGTCGGGTTGAGTATGACCGGCCTCCGCAATCGGCCATTAGTGAAGCTCGTGCCACAAGGGCAAGCGGTCATGATTCACCGAGTGCACATGAAATGTGGAGAGAGGGCCAGATTGCGAGGGCCGCCAGCAAAGTGTGAGTAACTTAATGGTGTCGGATATCCTAATCGCGCATAGAAGAGGCAAGTTGACAAAGGACCATGGCCGGCACGACATACAGGAGGCGCGTTACGAGAAAAAAATGTGCGAGTAATCATAGAGGTGAATGCGAGACTTGGTGGCAGGTTAGCGCGTTCTCGGTCGAGATCTACCTACGCAAGGTGGAATTTCGATGGAGTCATCGTGGAATTCAGCCAACGTCTACCTGTCAACAATATCAAGCCCGCAAGCTGCGAAGAAGACGATGATCCAATCAATGTTGACTCGAGAACAAAGGGAATGGAACAGGAAACGAGCATGCAGCCGAGAAGAATGGCAAGCTTTTGAATGTGAGATGGAGAGGCAATGGCAACAAAATGGCGTGATGGCTACCGCGGGGTCTTTCAACCGTTTCCTCCCACCAAGAGCGAGGGCACCAAGAGTCTCCGCAGTCAATTGAGCGCTTGGACCTTTTGAAAAAACCGACGAGTACTTAAACCGCCTACACGACTGTTCATTGTGCCTCCATCTATCTCCCCTTTCCTCTTTCCCTGTCCAATTTCCTTTCCACACATCAGCAGCCATGGTTCAATCTTCAATCTTGGGTTTCCCCCGCATGGGACGTCTGAGAGATCTGAAGAAGGCCAACGAGGCATACTGGGCTGGCAAGCTGTCGAGAGATGACTTGCTCGCCGAGGGCAAGAGACTCCGTGGCGAGCACTGGAAGATCCAGAAGGATGCCGGTGTCGACATCATCCCCAGCAACGACTTTGCCTTCTACGACCATGTCCTCGACCACATCCAGATGTTCAACGTAAGCATCCCCACCTTGATCCTCCCTGGCTGCGTACCCCAGCATACTGACCCCGGAGCAGGCCATCCCCGAGAGATACTCAAAGCACGGCCTCGACCCTCTTGACGAGTACTTCGCCATGGGTCGTGGTCACCAGCGTGACGGCATTGACGTGCCTTCGCTCGAGATGGTCAAGTGGTTCGACTCAAACTACCACTACGTCAAGCCCACCCTTCAAGACAACCAGACCTTCAAGCTCGCCTCCAACCCCAAGCCCGTCCGCGACTTCCTCGAGGCCAAGGAGGCTGGTATCACCACCCGCCCCGTCCTCCTCGGTCCCGTTTCGTTCCTTGCTCTTGGTAAGGCCGACCGTGGCCAGTCCGTCGAGCCCATCACCCTTCTCGAGAAGCTTCTGCCCGTCTACGAGCAGCTTCTCCAGGAGCTGAAGAAGGCTGGTGCCGAGACCGTCCAGATCGACGAGCCCGTCCTTGTCTTCGACTTGCCCGCTCAGGTCAAGGAGGCCTTCAAGCCTGCCTACGAGAAGCTCACCAATGCTTCCGGTCCCCAGATTGTCCTTGCCACCTACTTCGGTGACATCGTCCACAACTTCGACGTCGTTGACGCCGCTTTCAAGAACATCCACGCTCTCCACGTCGACCTTGTTCGCAACCCTGAGCAGCTCCAGCAGGTCATTGACCACCTCGGCCCCAAGCAGATCCTGTCAGCTGGTGTCGTCGACGGCCGTAACATCTGGAAGACCAACTTCAAGAAGGCCATCGAGGTCGTCGAGACTGCCGTCCAGAAGCTTGGCAAGGACAGAGTCATTGTCGCCTCTTCCAGCTCGCTCCTTCACACCCCCCACACCCTCGCCAGCGAGAAGACCCTTCCCGAAGAGGTCAAGGACTGGTTCTCGTTCGCCTCTCAGAAGGCTGTCGAGGTTGCCATCATTGCCAAGGCCGTCACTGAGGGCCCTGCCGCCGTCCGCGAGCAGCTCGAGGCTAATGCTAAGTCTATGCAAGCCCGCGCTTCTTCTGCCCGCACCAACGACTCCAAGGTCAAGGAGAGACAATCCAAGATCACCGCCGAGATGCACAACCGTCAGTCTCCCTTCGACACCCGTTACGCTCAGCAGAAGGAGCACCTTAGCCTTCCCATCTTCCCTACTACCACTATCGGTTCATTCCCTCAGACCAAGGAGATCCGTCTGGCCCGTAACAAGCTCGTCAAGAACGAGATCACTGCCGAGGAGTACGAGAAGTTCATTGAGAAGGAGATCCAGGATGTCGTCAAGATTCAGGACGAGTTGAACCTCGACGTCTACGTCCACGGTGAGCCCGAGCGTAACGACATGGTCCAGTACTTCGGTGAGCGCCTCGACGGTTATGTCTTCACCACCCACGCTTGGGTCCAGTCCTACGGTTCCCGCTGTGTCCGTCCCCCAATCATCGTTGGTGACATCTCTCGTCCCGCTCCTATGACCGTCAAGGAGAGCAAGTACGCTGCCAGCATCAGCAAGAAGCCCATGAAGGGTATGCTTACTGGTCCCATCACCTGTCTTCGTTGGTCTTTCCCTCGCGACGATGTTCACCAGTCAGTTCAGGCTCAGCAGCTTGCCCTCGCCCTCCGTGACGAGGTCGTCGACCTCGAGGCCGCCGGTATCTACGTCATCCAGGTTGACGAGCCCGCTCTCCGCGAGGGTCTTCCTCTCCGTTCCGGCAAGGAGCGTGAGAACTACCTCAGCTGGGCTGTTGACAGCTTCAAGCTGTCTACTGCTGGTGTTAAGGACTCTACTCAGATCCACAGTCACTTCTGTTACTCTGAGTTCCAGGACTTCTTCCACGCCATTGCCGCTCTTGACGCTGATGTTCTCTCCATTGAGAACAGCAAGAGTGACGCCAAGCTCCTCAAGGTCTTCATCGACGAGGACTACCCCAGACACATTGGTCCCGGTGTCTACGACATCCACTCTCCCAGAGTTCCCAGCGAGCAGGAGATCAAGGACCGCATCGAGGAGATGCTCCAGTACCTCAAGCCCGAGCAGCTTTGGATCAACCCTGACTGCGGTCTCAAGACCCGCCAGTGGAAGGAGACCAAGGAGGCTTTGACCAACATGGTCAACGCTGCCATTGCTTACCGCGAGAAGCACACCTAAACATGCAACACAACTACTCATCCATTTGAGATGACACATTTGGGATGACAGCACTCAACAGCTGCATCATAACGTTTATTCAACAGAGATACCCCATTTATTCAACTATAATGATTGCATGACGGAAGACGGAGTTCAACAAAAGGCTATGGAATCGGGTCAAAAGTTAAGGACCATTACGATCTCAACGATCGATACTCATGAAACGGAGTCCTATTTTGCTTGGGTGTTGTTTAGATAGACATCTACAACAAACTGACATGGCATTTACATTGTCAAACCACATTGCTCCACTATTTATCACTTGTGACGATTTGCTGTGGCTTTCGTTAATGTTTGGTATTGTGTTGCACCACCATCGAACTGTCTAGGAGCAGCAGGCCTTGGGCAGCGATCTGTAGATTTCGATGAGGAATATATGCGAATATGATAACAATGGACGCATGCTCATAGCCAGTCCGACCATCCCCAAGTTGATTTCTCGCCAGGCAACCTTCCGGCAGCAATCTCCTGCTGCGTGACATTGTGCCACGCGCTCAGCGGAATCCAACCGATGTATGCACGATCGCCAAAGCCTCCGATCCAGTAAACCTCTTCAACCACAAGTCTCACCCATCTGCTGGTGTGTATGCGATTACCTGGCAACCATGCGACCGCATCTGGGTGATTCTTGACGAAGCATGCGGCAAGACCAGCTTTCTCGACATCCGCATCGTCCACATCCTCGAGGTGACCAACAAGAGAGAATCTTGGCATGCTGGCGGCACTGTGCCAGCGACCGTCCTGAGGATGCCAACGTAGGCTCATAGTGATGTTGCTGCCTGCCGCCACGTTCTTGAACGATGTAGCAATATCCAGTGCAAGAATGGTCGGGTTGCCACTATCGGGCTCACAATCGGCATAGTAATCCATCAAGCCGATGGGAATACCTCCAAGTCCAACTGGTCGTTGTTCCAAAGAGTAAATTTCATGCTGATTCTCAGATGGGAAAACAGTCGATAGTGTGCCAATGTTTTCAAGACGAAGAATACGGCGTGCTTGGACAGCAGACTCATGCACAGTGGGGATGCGGAAGCCCGAGGTAGACTCTGGTGAGGGATTCGAGAAGATGTGCTGGCTGCCAGGAAGAAGTGACCCCAGCGACGAGCCAACCAACCCGAAGCTAGCCAAGATTGAAGAACTGATATGCATTTGCGACTACTGGATGTTGTGACAGTGATAGACGGCGATGGATCGTTGAATGTTGATACCTTGACCAAACGCAGATGATGAGCTGACTTTCCGCCAAGACTTTTGATAGAAGCTGATTGGTCGACTAAGCGAACAGCCCTGCCGGCGGTTCCAACACAGACTCACTTCATTTTTGCCTGCACTCTTCTCGAAGGACGACCGACGACAACTTGCGCCAGCGTGAGTATGCCCATTTTCCTTCTCAGCCCATTACTATGACGTTTCAAACTATCGCCGTCTTTTCCGCCATCAATTTTGAGCCAACTTTGAACGAGCGACAGCGACTGACTTCTTTCGCCACCTACAGGCCATCAACTCCTTTCAAGTCATCCAACAATCCCCATAAATCGACAACATGGGTAAGGTCCACGGATCCCTCGCACGTGCCGGTAAGGTCAAGTCGCAGACTCCCAAGGTACGAAATTCTCCTCCGTCGCTCGGTTGCACGTCTCCACGACCGCCACTCGCATCCGCCATCAGCCCGGCACCCTCGACACGGCGTGCTAACGAGAATCCGCTATCAGGTTGAGCCTCAGGAGAAGAAGAAGACCCCCAAGGGCCGCGCAAAGAAGAGAATCACGTACACCCGCCGCTTCGTGAACGTCACCATGACCGGTGGCAAGAGAAAGGTGCGCACATGTCTCGTCTGGTCTTCGCCACTCTCGACAGGCACTGACAGAGGCATAGATGAACCCCAACCCCACCTCGTAAACGAATTCCGGATCTGGAGTTTGAGAGATGGGACAAAGACGGGCACATGGATAGCATACAGTCTGGCGACACCCTCGATTCATTACTGGGCGGTCAGACCGTTTCCTAGCCCTGGCAGCCATGATGATGATTCAAAATTCTGGCGGACAGTCATGGCTACTCAGCTGCTGTTCGTAAGCTGGAACAAATGTCGCCGCAGAGACTGGTGTACATCTGGCGTCTTTGATAGCTTTTTTGCAACAACGGTTACTCTTCTGAACAATCATTCCAAGTCACCATGTGATCCATTCCATCATCATGATAATACTATGCTTTGACATCTCGAGAAGTACGACACGGTAGCGCGCATGGTCGGCTTGAACATCCTAGGAAAAAATCATACCGCGTTCATCAATCTCACCGTGAGGATCAGATACGAGGCAGCGATCAGACATCGCATTGGTGGTCCATGATAAGAGAGTGAAATGTCCCGTAGCTATCGATGGATCACCAGATATACACCTAGCTGGGTAGGCAGTTGTATGCAAGAGGCAGTCCATGCACGATACGTCATTAAGCTCCGACTTCCCCAGGTTGTGCAACCACAACTTCAACCTTCACAGCTCCTCCAGCTTCACGTCTTTATCCAATTACATATCAACACATTTCACCTTCAACATGTTCGGTGCACTCAAGGGACTCTTCAAGGAAGTAAGTCTCGTCGTCCCGTGTCCAGGTTCTGCCCTCCTTCTTATACTGACACGTTAAGGCTGGCGTCAAGGACGTAATCACTTTGTTCCATGCGCCCAAGAACCCCGCCTCGATCCGCGTCCACACCTTGCTCAAGCAGAATGCTGCTGCTGCTCAGACGACTGCCACTCTAGACCAAGCCTCTTCCCACCCACAGCAGTCCAAGGTTGAAAGAACCGACTTCGAACTCGGTGTGTAATCACTCTTATGTCTATAAGCCGAAACAACTGCTCATCCATCTCGCCTTGCAGACGTACAAGAAGGTATTCCGACAAATGACCAGCTCACCAACATCTTCGAATACCTCGGTCAAGACAAGATTGGAAGCATAGTCGAGGGCGCTTCGAGCACCACCGAAGCTCTGAGGAAGCTCAAGGAGGACGGAAGCCTCTTCCAGAGACCGCTCGTGGTGGACTGGGGTAACGGACGTGCTGGTACCTCTACTTCTCAACATTCGCCTGACGAAACCAGGTTGTGACTGACACTCGAACAGTGACTGGCGACAATGAGTCTGAGATCCTCAAGTTGCTTCAGACCCCTCCCAAGGCATAGAGCCATTACACTGCCCGTCAGATGCCACATACCCCAGTATCAAGTGATCAGATAGAGTTACACGCCCAGCCGAATGTTCTGCATTGGTGGCTTTTCATAATGACTGAAATGGTACCTGGCACTTCACCAGAGTACAAAGGTCCGAAGCCAGGCATAAAACCGAGATAGGATAGCAGAGAAACCAGATGAGTGGGGATGCAGGGCAGCTGCAGAACGCCGGGAGCTAGGTGAACAAACAGAGAGACTTGAGGCTGTGAAGGCAGATTCCCTCTGGTTCGCAAAGGTAGAAAAATGGTACTCAACTTTCGCTGTAAGTGAAATAACAAGATCTCGTTCATTCATTTGTGTCTCTTCAAACAAACTCGATCAAGAAGGAAGACCGGCGCGGAGAAGGTGTCACTTGTCGCGTTCCTTCGTTTTTCGAGACAGTACGAAAGTGCCTGTTTGTTCTTGAGCTTCTTGCCTTTGACCGCACCTTCCTCACTGAAGCAGTCACTTTCACTCCTTCGCAAACTTCACTCATCGTCAAGCTTGCCAACACTTCCTGAACATATCTCAATGCCAACCTCAGTTCCTCTCCCTCACCAAGCATCCATACAAAATTTACGAACACTCATCTATCCTCACGTCTCAACACCTTGAGCACAACCACGCGCAGACATGACGGATCAACCAGGTGAGACGCCTCGACCGCGCTCAGCCTCCATCGCACAGTCCTCAGACCGAGGTATCATACTGCGCCATGATGCGTATGCTGACATGAGGCCATTCATCGAGAATCTGTGGGAAACGCGCCGTAGAATGTGTGCAAACATCTATCTCGATCAATTTCCGCGTGGCACCGATGGTGAGGGTGCAACCAAGGAAGAGGAGGATGCTTTCATCCTTTGCCATTTCAACAGCAACGATCTCAACCTACAGGGCGGTCGCTTCTTGAAACAGGTCCTTTATGCCATCGCAAAGTTTAACGAAGATAGCGTTCTGTCTCTCTCCGAGAAATGGTGGAAGGGATCTTTTTGCAACTGGTATGGGATGACCGCAGCTCAGATCAGAGATGAATTGGACACAAAGCTAGGCGCCAGCTATCCCGATTCATTCTTGTCTCGCATGGTCCTTGTCATCAGTGATGGATACAAGAGACTCTATGGGTTTGCGCAGCGCACTGTTGGTGTGGCTATCGAGCATGCTCGCCCTCTGCAAACCGGCGAGAATCCGGGAAACTTGCCTACCGAGTCTTCCCATCACGACCAATTCGTAGACGGTACGTCCGCTTCGTACTATACCACGTCAGATATGGTAGCTAACGCCCTTTCAGCTGCACGTGAAGCAACTTTCGTCCCCAGCCGTCTTACAGTCGAATCTCTGACGCCCACTGCTCAGCCCTACCTCCAGCAACAAAGCCACATCACGGACCCGATTCATTACGAACAGATCAGATCTGGCACTTCGCTACTACATGGTCAGAACCACAATGCTCGACCCTCACGTCATTTCTACAGGAACGACTTCCGCGGACGCCATCGTCGTTCGTCTGGCAGCATGCACATACCCTCAGTCCCATTGACTATGACGCCACCTCAGTACCTGCCTGCCTTGAATGTTCCGGCCACCTTTTCCGACTTTGATCCCGCCATGTCAGGTTTTGCCGACATCCCGCCCGGCTACACACAAGTTGGCTATCAGATGCCACCAGACGGCCCATTTGCTCCTCCTAACATGCTTGCAAGTCAGGGCTATTATCCCGCTGCCTTGTACACCCCAGGCTCTGAGTCTCGCATGCCGTCATACAGTGGGCACTTAGACCACCAATCTATGTCCGGGCATGGTTACTATCCTGAAGAGAGAAGCACTCAGCTGTTCCCTCATCAGCGATCTGGTTCATTCAATCAACGTGGCCCTCGTACCAGCTTCTCGCACAACTCTAGAAGTCCCAGAGTTATCGATCCGCAGTCCTTCACTCGCTTTGGCGAGGAGCACCTCCCACCCCAGCGCCCTTTTGTGTCCTACAACCAGAGAGGAGGCTACCGCGGTTGTCTTGCTTCTAACCGACCTCGTCGTTCTTCTTTCCGCGGCGGTGCTGCATGGCAAGGTCATAGAGACACCGGACCTCTCGAAGGCAGTCAGAGGCGGATTGGATCCGATCAGCAAGGTCATCCTGCGCTCGCCGGTAATCGCAACCATGAAAATAGAGAGGGTCGCTCCCAGTCAGATGTCGCTGCTGAGCATGGCTACATGTCTCAGAGGAGCAACAGACACATGCAAGGATATGCATCGTCAAGCTCAGTTTCCAATGACTTCGAATGGACTTGCAAAGCCGATCGTATTGGCAATCGTCGAGAGGATGTGACCGGTCTCGTTGCGCCCAATCTACCGTTAGACATAGCTGAGAATGCTATCGAGTCGTATCTCATGAGGGAGACCCAGTGCACACGAGTGACGTTTCACAAGAACCCCTCGAAGACAATGATCTTTGTGCAGTAAGTGGCCCTTCAGCAACCCTTCTCGTGTAGGCTGACCTTTTTTCCAGATTCCGCAACAAATTCGGTGCTCAATGCGCACTTGAGCGACGTAACTTGACGTTCGATGGCGCTCACATTCTCTTCAAGGTTCCTTTCAAGTATTGGAAAGAGTCCGACCTTTCGTACATTCCGCCCACTGCCGCCAGGTTGGCCAGAGAATCCAACGACTACTCCTCGTACCCCAGAACTCGCGGATCATTCTCTGCCGGTAGTTACCAAGGGCGCATGGCTGCACGCTCTGTAGCTGACTCGGAGACATCTCATCCGACTCAGACCTCGCGGGAAAATCATGACTCTGCCTCACAAGTCCCCAGTCTTGAAGAGAGTTACGCGAGCGACCGTAGCGAAACCGTGATTGTTCCCGCTATCTACACTGGACCAGTCTTGCCATCCTTGTCAGAAACCAGTACGCCACAGAGAAGCTCTAACCAGCCCAGTACGAGGAAGAGTCCCAAGAAGAAGTCCAGAAAGGACCGAATCACAAGCGTGAGTAGTTCGAGCGCAAGTTCACGTACAGAGATAGAGAAGCGTCAACCAGTAGGCTTTGAACAAGAATCTCACACTACGGCTGAACTACCCATACAGCTCCATCAAGCCTTTGAGCCAGACAATTTGTCAACTGCTTCAACACCGATCGCTGATCCCATCTCGGGCCAACCTGCTAGTATCGCTTCGAGCTCCTTTGCATCGCGCGTTTCAGCATTCATCGATGCCGCCACAACGAGTACAGAAAGTGCTGAGATAGAGTCTTGTACTGAAACCCACTCGGCCTCCACGGACACGACCAAGCAAACCAACAGCTCGCCGAAAACAGCAGAAGACGCTGATGATAGCTTTCAGACTGCTGCCGAAACTCCTGAAGCAGCAGGCAAGGTACTGACACCCCAATCCACACCAATGCGTGCTGCGAAATCAGCCGCAGAGAGTGTTCGCCTCACAACTCCGACTCCAAGAATCTCGCAGGAGAAGACAAGATCTGCCACACACTCGCCTAGAAGCTTTGCTGGAAGTGAAGATACTGCTAGCAACTCCACTACCAATCGGCCGTTGGTCCCCGTTGTCGAGAAGATTGTAACTCCTAAGTCAGGTCCAAAGCAGACTGAATCATTCAGCCAGTTCTCGCGTCAAGCAAATGCAAAGAAGAAGGATGTTAAATCAAAACAGCCCAAGCCGAAGGTTAAGACAAAGCAAGTCGATTCCGATGACCAGGGTAACGCTAAGATTGTCAATGGACATGCCCGAGAACCTATTGAGGTCGGTGATCGCTCCATCAAAGAATCCGCAACAGCCAACGCTGAAGTCTTGCCCGCTACAAATTGTACAGAGCCTCTCCAAAAGCACAAGGAGTGTGGCGAGCCCAAGCACTTGTCTGAATCGACAGTCAACATGGAAGATTCGGGACAAGCACAGCGTACAAGCGGTCAGACGCTAGACGAGAGTCCACACAAGCTGAATGCTGAAGCCGATAGTCCAAGAAAGACAGTACCATCTGGCATGACGAAGGATGAGAACGATAGTCCGCGCAAGCGTAAGGCCCTCCCAGACCAGTCTGGTCACACGACTCCTACAGTCCTCCAAGCACGCGATGTTAGACCGAAGGGTGACACCAAAGGTCCTGCGGAGTCAACTGCTCCTCAGGTTTTCTCGACCCTATCGTCAATGACTGCACTCCTCACTGGTGCTTTGAGCAGTATAGGCACGAACAAGATGAAGAGCGAGAACGATGCGCCTACTGTAAGCCAGGCATCATCGGCGGACGGTGCAAACTCTACAGCCACTCCTCATCCTGATACACAATCTTCAGCCCCTGCTAAGAAGTCGAAGAAGAACAAAAAGAAGAAGAAGAAGAGCAAGACCGTCGCACCACAACACGACGAAGACATAACGTCCACCGAGACTCTGGCTAATGAGACTCCCATCGGATCGCCCCTTGCGTCGAAGATGTCCAAATCAGTCCGTCAATCGACTGCCACGGTCTCACACAGGGACCAGAACATCCTCGACGCCAACCTGGCAGGCCTGGGTATAACCGAAGGGTCTATCATTACGCTTGGTGACAACAGTATCGTATACCATGAAAATTTCACTGCTCAGGAAGAAACCTACGGTCTCGAATCCAACAAAGTGGTGGAAGAATCGAAACGCAGGATCCAGGAAATGGAGGAGAAGGAAAGACTGTTGAAGCAGAAGAAGGGATGATGTGGTTGATATGCGACTTGTATTGCGGTTTCGTGCATTCGTATCTGGCAAGAAGGGTCGTACTCATGATGAGGAGCTCAGAGGCTCGTTCGATTCTTTTTTTCCTAGTCTTCTCTGTTCTTGCTTATCGATGCTGCACTGCATCAAGTAGCTAAATCATCTGGTGATAACGAGGAGGGACAACAGCTCTTAGCACAATGCTAGCATGTTCCATCTTACTGTACCCTAATTGCATGAGTGTACAGATGAGGAGAAAATCAAGATACATGCAAGTGGCACAAGTTTTGACATAAGATCTTGTTTTCATTCACAACTTTTTTGGGATATCATTATACGTCTAGTAGTCGTCACCTCTGCTTACGACCTCTTTGCAGTTGGGTCTCAACAAGATGGTCTGAAGGGGGCCATTGTTAGCTACAAGAAACAAAGAAGCTGAGAGATGGAGATCGACTTACGTGCTCATATTGTGCAGTGTACGAGCCCTTGATGTCGACCAAAGGAGGGTAATCTTGTACAATGCCGGCCTGGACGAGGTTGTTGAGCTGTGGAGATTTTCAGTATGAAGTGTAAGATTGGACTGATTTGATTGCTTACTCCGAGCAAGTACTTGTCATGGCCGAGACGGTCGAGATATCTTCTGCAGAAAGGCAGAGTGCCAAAGTTCTTTTCGATACTCTTCAGCAGTGTCTTTGCACTCGTCGTTCTCAAGGGGACTCTGGGAGCATCGGCAACCTTTGCGTAGTGACTGCACTCCATGTCCTCTCTGACGTAACCCTTTCCGGTGGAGCCAAAAGTTTCAATGGCAAAAGTCTCGCCCTCCTCCATTTTTGTCTGATCGCCTCCCTTTACGATAGGGACGCTCTTTGTGCCGTGGATGGACCATTGTCTGATGTCGTGGCCGTTTAGGTTACGAATACACTTGATGGGGAAGGTTTCGCCGCCGATTTCGCATTCGTAGGATTCCATTGCTTCTTGGATGGCGGCACCAATGTCGGACATGCGGACATCGATGCCGGCTTCTCTGATACCGGTGTTTGTTGCGTCTTTGACGGCGGCGAGGAGATTGTCGTAGGTGGGGTCGAAGGACATTGTAAAGGCGCTGTCGACGATGCGGCCGTTGATGTGGGCGCCGAAATCAACCTTCATGACATCGCCCTGTTGCAGGATGGTCTTGTTGCCGGCGTTGGGTGTGTAATGGGCGGCGCAGTGGTTGATGCTCAGACCAGTTGGGAAACCCATGCCTCCTCTGATGTTGTCTCCCTCTTCAAGACCTTGATGGCCGGTCAAGTGACGCACACCATTCTCGATGCCCTCGGCAATCTCAGTCAGGCTTTGTCCGGGCTTGATGTTCTTCTGTGCCCACTGTCGCACCTGTCTGTGGACTTCAGCGGCCTGGCGGTACTCTGTGAGGTAATCGTTGCTCATGCGATCAAGGTGTCTCTTCTCCTCGTCGGTGGTACGGTAGGAGTTGTCGTCGATGTATTCGCAAATCTCGCCTTCGGGGTATGCGCCGTTGGGGAAGAGCTGCGAGATGGGGATTCGTGGTGGGTTGGTCTGGCCCTTTGCGGTTCCACTGGCCTTCTTCTTCTTTCTGGGCTTTCTCTTCTTCTTTTTCTTCGCGGCACCCTCTTCTGCTCCGTCGTTGGCATCCTCGGCATCGTCATCGTCAGAGTCCTCAGGGTTGGCGTTGGCTTCGGCGCCTTTCTCTGCTCCGGCAGCAGCTCCTTCGGGCAGGTTGCCCTTGGACTCGGCCACTAGGGTACCGTCAGTGGTTGGGCGCAATAGTAGTTAGTCAGGGATCGTAAGTACATTTGAGGGCCTCTACACCGTTGGCCGCATCGGAAACGGCAGACATTTTAGCTAAATAATGGCACTTGGCAAGAGTTGTCTAGGTAAAAGTGGTAGGACGCTAAGGCCAAGCTTCAAGGGCAGATTTGAGATCAGATTAGACAAAGAAGCCGCCGTTTTCAATGAGGTCATCAAGGTCGTCCTGAACAAAGCCTCTGGCACAAGGAGATCATCTACCCTTGTGACCAACGACATGAGGCATGATCCTCCGGCCAATTCAGTTCCGTCCCGTCGAGAGACGTCTTGCAACACACTTTCTACCCAGGCAACCGCTTCTGCATCGCTACTTTCATGCCTCACAAGTCCGTCGCGATGATGGCATTCCGAACCACTATGCAACCTTGGGTGTCGACACGACTGCCTCTCCTGCCGACATCAAGAAGTGCGTCGGCCTATTCTTGTATCGATCCACAGTAATGCTGACCTCCAATCCAGACAGTTCTTCAAAATGAGCAAGCAACACCACCCCGATCGCAACCCAGACGACCCAAAAGCCGCCGACCGCTTCGTCAAAATCTCAGAAGCCTACCACGTCCTCGGCAGCGCTGAGAAGCGCGCCCGCTACGATCGCGACTTCCTCCGTGCCTCACCAAAAACCGCTCCCTACCCCCAAGGCTCACACAGCAGCACAGGCCCAGCAGGAGGCCGACCAGCAACAGGTCTAAGCAGACGTCGTACACAATTCAAGGGCCCACCGCCTTCCTTTTACCGTAGTGGCGGATGGGGTGATTTCAGCCAGAAGCGAGCTGAATATGCGAATCAATCTTCTCATCAGCATGATGCTGCTGGACATACGGATACGACCAGTGCGCAGGATGCTCCTGGCACTGGCCCATCTGGTTTCCAAGCTGGTTACAACAATGACGTACCGCATTTCGATCGCGAAGGTCATTTCCGCACACATGACAATGTTCAGAAGAATAGGCATAGGGCGAGACGAAGAACTGGACATGTCAGCACAGACGATATTCTGGGAAGCACGAGCATGCTGTTCAATTTTGTCCTCTTGAGCGGTGTCCTGACTGTCATTTTTGGTGTCAGCGGCATCCTTTTCCGCAAGACCGACAACAAGAAAAAGCTAGCTGCGCAGTGACGAGTAGATGAACGTCTCTTTGAAAACTTTACACTCACATACACGTATACGCACCGAGTCATGGTTATGAATCCTGTGTACAATCTTTTTTTATACTGGGGCTTTATTACAACAGAGGTAGCGTTTGGAAAGACAAAAAGTGCCAAAGCGGATGTTGCTTGGTGCGCGCTCTCTCTATTTCTCCTCCCAAAAAAACAAAGAATACATGACGCATGTCTACGTGAGCAATTTTGTTTAACCCTCGAAGACGAAGCTGGTGCCGATCTTGTGGCCAGCCTCGTTGAGCTTGTTGGTGTCGAGCGAGAGACCAACACCGAAGGTGGTGCCAGCGTTGAGCTTGGTGTTGTAGGCAAGGGCAGCAATACCACGGTCGTTGATCTTGGCCTGTAGAGAATAGACACGTCAGTAAAGGTTGTTGAGATCAGTAGGGCTGGGATGATTCGTACCTTGGCGAAGGACAGGGGGTCGAGCTTGTACTTGGAGGCAACCTCAAGACCGACGCTCTTACCACCCTGGAGATCGTAGGTGGCCTTAGCACCAGCCTCGACGTTGGAGTTGACCTTCTGGTAGTAAGAAGCAGCAAGAACGCTCAGGTTCTGCATGGCGATGAGAGAGGCGGTGAAGGTAGGGGCCTGGTAGCCGAGACCAGCGCTGTAGCGGGTGATGGCGGCCTTGGAGACGTCGTAACCAGCCTCGGCACCGGCAACAAAGCCCTCGTGGCCGACGGTAGCGTCGATGAGGGCGTTGATGTTGCCGGCGGCGCTGTGGTCGAGGAAAGCGCGGGCGTGGAGGCTGGGCTGCTTGAAGGTCAAGTTGAGCTTCTGGGCGGCCTTGCTGGGGGCGTTGGGGTTGAAGAGGTTCTGGAATTCGGCCTTGACGGGCTGCGACATGAGGCTGGCGAACTCAACCTTGGTGTCGAGGAGGGCGGCGGTGGTCCAGCCCTGGGTAACGGTGATACCTGGTTTGTAGTGGTAAGTAAGATAGACAAGATGTTGGGTTGAGAGCGAGCGCGGTTCGTCGGATGTCCCAGCCTTCTGAGCAACAGGTGCGCTGACGATCATAAGGTACAGCGACTGCCGCGCAGAGACAGGAAACGGGATTCCAATGCGGCTCTGTTTCAAAAAGTGCGTACCCTGAGGCTTAAGAGTGTATTTGCCCTCGAGCTGAGATGCGTGTTAGTCCAGGCACTGGATATAGACAAAGGAGAGCAACGCACAGAGGCAGTGGTGGCACCGTCGAAGGCCTGCTTGCCCTTGACGGTGACGTTGGCGCCATTGGGAGCCTTGAGCTTGACCTCAAGGTTGGCTGAGTCGCGCTGTTAGTCTTGTTTTTCTCCTTTCGCATCATCATCATGCAACATGCCGGCCTGGGTGTGGTAGAAGTCCTTGTTGATAAGCTACGCGCATCCATGTCAGTCGATATGCTCTTGCAGGTTGAATCAATGCCAACTCACGTCGTTGGCGGCCTTGCTCAAGTCACCGTAGGCGGGGAGGGGCATGGCGATAACTCTGGAGACGCCGATGCGGCCGTCGAGGGGCTTGCTGATGTCGGAGAAATCGGGGGCGGCCATTGTGTAGTTTGGAGATGAGGGGGATGTGATGTTGATTGAAGGTATGTCCAGGATGATTATATCCAGCAGCGAGGAGAAACACTGGCACTTTAGATTCACGCTTGGCCCAAGCTCACGCTTTGAGCTTCCGATCTCTCCCATGTGCCGTCCTCGCCCTCCGACAACTCAAACAACTCAATCTTCGACCAACCAAACTAGACTTTCATGGTCAGCTGTCACTTCTACTCATACATTGAGTCTGCTCAAGCTGTCTTCGCTGTTAGATCTTGGACTTCCTCACTCCATGTCGTGAGCCGTCTAAATGCACAACACATGTTTCGCGGATCCGGTTTCAGGGCGCCACACTTGTAACGACCTCTCCACGTGCTGAAGTCTGTCACGCCTAGCTGTCCAAAGGCACGATATCGTCTTAGATAATAGCGTTTCCTACTTGGTTTAGTCCTCTCCTCAACTCTCTGCGCAAATCGCATTGGTCTGAGAACTGTCTATACCTTATTGCGGCTGTCGCTCTACGAATTTTGAAGATGAGAGTGGAAGTAGTGATAACACAAGAGGTAGCTTTGGCCCTTCATTGCCGAGACAGACATGCTTAACATGGTACACATAAAACAGGGGCACTAGGATGACAAAGAACAGTAATATTGTTGAGGGAAATGAGAATGACATGATACGAAACGATGGCTTGAATCTTTACCAAGCTGCTTTGCCGTTCTTTCGACCTGCCTAACGATCTGCTCTCCATCTGTGAGTCTCGCTCTCGGTGTCACGACTGGGATGCAGAGTCGAGTCGGGTCTCGCAATGGTTGGTGGGAATTGCGACTCGAAGTCATAGGGTGCTGAGATGTTGACTGGGAGCGGAGGCCCGACGCTTTCCTTTCTGCGGCCGAAGAACTTCTTCTTACTACACCAGGTCGCCCGAGAGTACAAAGAAGGTGAGACGGGTGTTCGCTGCTGTTGAGGCTCGGGCGAGGGACTATGGTACGAAGGTAAGGTGTATTCTTCCTTTGTGCTGGTGCGGAACTGTTTCAGCGAGCTGTCGGCTGTGATTCGAGACGACATAGATTTGGCTGTGCTCGCAGTTCGTTGAATTGCGGCCAGATCTGCTGCTTCAGCTCCTCGAGCACGAACTTGGCGCGCTGTGATACCTAGAGTACTGTTGCGGAATGCGAAGCTCTATTCACCAGTTAGTGATTTCTCCTGTCAATATACTAGAAGAGGCAAAGACTTACTGCGATGAGGTTAAACACTCCAAGGATGAGGTTCAGGATACCAGCCATGATGACAACCCGCCAGAAGGCCATACCTAGATGCTCTTTGCTGTTGCTGGGCTTGTTGAGACATGCCAGAACGTGCATGGCGAGGACAACCATGGCTGAAGCAAGGCCCACGAACCCATGTTCCAGGCTGAGCAAAGGCCAGTTGCGAGCGAAGTAGCCACTGAAAATGCCAATTTCTGACACGATCAGGAATATGGCCACCGATGCGACCACGACATGGGTGACGGCATCGAAGAAGAAGAACTAATTGATGTCAGTGGGTACATACAACATGACGAACAATAGGTACTTACGCTTGAATCAGTTGTTGTCTTGATGAGCATGAAAACGCTTGCAGCGATGATGGCGAGCAATCCAGTTATGTTCATACCTTTGAGCACATTGAGGATGACATAGCCCGAGCCAGCCAGTGATTTGGTAGAAAATGTCATGCTGTCGGTGTTCTTGTTCGATTGGGTCTTGAAGAAAGGTAAATATATAGATCTTCACCACACGTTAGATCGAGGACTTGCCATAAAACAGGGCAGAAGACTTACAATTTGGAAGGCCAAAGCCTGAGAAACATTCGCGTTTGATGGGATAATCAGCAGTCTGGCCAGCAGATGCTTGATGGGTCGATTTACTGCAAGAAAGAAGGAGTCGTTACGGGAAAATTGTGGAAGGAAACAAGAGAGACAAACTCGAGCATGGGTGAATCAATTAGATATGGAAGACACGATACGACTGAACGAAGACAATGGGAATATCAAGGACAATAGGAAATGTGAATGAATGAAAGAAGAAGCAAGAAAGAATCGAAGAAGCTTAATAGCAGAATAAAGCGACAGAGCCTGCCTTTGTTCACTTAAGCGCCGTCAGAGCTCGTGGCTTCTTCAGCGTAGCTGAAACAACTTCTCAGACGTCTTGTGCTACTCCAACAACACAACCCCTCTTCCACTCGCAGCTGAGTCAATGCATGGTCTTTTTCAGCAGCGCCGCGATGTCCGACGAGATTCGTCGTTTTGGCGACTACCTACAGGCTCTCCACGAAGGCTCGTACAATCTAGAAAATCACTGTGCCTTGTGACAGCTCGCTTCACCCCGGGACCACCAGAAAGGAGAGCGTAGGTAGCATCGCGTTGGAGTGGGACCTGGGACGAACTCTCTGGTGAGGCTGCAAGCGCCGTGGTGCCGCTGGTCAATAATAGAAACGGTTTCAAAGGATGGCGCCTAAACATCTTGCTTGGAAGGCATCGATGACCTCTTCTACTGGATAGTGGACAATGAAGCACAAATTCTTTTTGAAGTACTTGTTCGCATTGCATGGCTTGCGCAGAGGTACTTCTGCGTAGCGTTGACGGCGTGTCATCTTGGCAACAATGATACCATTTGTTGGCATTTACCGTACTTTGTGGACTCCCTACCTTAATCAGTCAAGGCCATTTGGCCCTCATGTATCGGACCAAACACTTCTGAGAATTATACTTGGTGTGCAGAGCGATATGGTCGAGTGCGCCAAGCTCGTCCTAGCCCTCGCATTGCCATTTGACTGGCAGATAGAGGTCATCAACACGAACCTCGTATATCAGCGCTCCGTTTGGGTCGTTCTGACCACGGTGTTCGGAGACGAGAACAGAGAGAAGCAGACCGAGGATTCAGACGCGACTTGTGTGGAGTAAAGTGCCCGGTTGAATGTGTTACCTTAGTCTTCTAGAAGTTTTGTTTGTTCTACGGAAGCGGGAGCGGCGACAACAAATCCCGCGTTCCCGAAGCGTGCTAAAGTGGTCAAATGGAAGGGTCTAATTTGCCAGTCAACTTTCTTTCTGCCGGCCTCTGTCCAACGCTTTTCTCGAGCAGCGATCTCTTCCTCCCTTTCCTTACACCGCAACATTCTTCCCAAAAGCACCCTCATACTCAATCAAAATGGCACGCGGTAACCAAAAGGAGAGAGCTCGTGAAAAGACCCTGAAGGCAGCCGGCAACGTCGTAAGCTTTTCTCAACAGGGATCAACATTTTCTAAGGGAGATCGCTTTGCTGACATCTTGCCTTCATCTAGAAAAACAAGAACAACGTATGATTTCTTCGCGAGCGTGCAATCGTGATATTCATTAATCATCTATCTAGATGTCCGGCTCCGAGCAGGCCAAGGCCAAGGATGATGCAGCCGCTATTATGCGTGCAAAGCAGGCAGCAGGTCCGTCTCTCTGATTGTTCTTATCGTTGTTTTTTTTGACATGTTTGTAGCCGACGCCAAGAAGGCCGCCGAGGGCAAGAAGTAAATTCACTGCACATCAACACACATCAAGGCGCAATCGAGGCTGCCGGCGAGCAGGAGTCAACTATTTTCGGGCCATTACAACAACATCCGTTTGCAAAGCGTTCAGCGATGGATTTGTTCTTTTCGACGAGGTCTAATCGTCCCAGTACTAGAGGATATTAAAACGCGTTTTTTTCTTTTGAGCTGATCTCTTTGTCCCGTCTACTTCAGTGCTATCGATTTCGGAGTTGGCCCTTGCCTTACACTTTGGAAGTCCTGATCGTCTCTTTGCTCTTGTTCTCCACACGGCAGTGTGCCTAGCGCTGCCTGTATTTTTGACAGTGAGCTTTTGACAGAGGGACCCGCATACAAGTGCTGCGCTCAGATGTCGCCTGTATGAAGGCAGCGATCTTTGAGTAAGACTGTTGGCGAGCTGCGCTGGATCGATGGTCATAGAGACTGCCTCAACGAGATGACGTGCGAGGGTCTCAGGCAATTCTGACGTCCGGTCGAGTAGCGTACTTAGCCATATCTGTTCCAACACGTAGGTAAGATGGTAGAACTCTGGTACGGAGCTCACGTTCAGTGGGCTGTGTGCTCCTGGTTGGCCTGGGCCTTTCGTTGTCCTTCATAGAGACCTGTGTAGTATCCTGCAAAATACCAGGACGTCATGAGCGCCTTGAGATTCTCATCTTGAACTGTTTCCGTCAGCTTTGATAAAGTAATGAGCGTGTGATGCACTCACCAGAGTCAAGAAGTACTTGAGACACTCCTGGTGGTGTGGAACGGACAGTAGCATTGACTGCCTGTGCACCAATAGATACATCTGTCGAGTCTGTAGAGGCTTTCGGAGCCAATCCTTTGTCTTCTTCGATCCTCTCCCAAGGTGGAAGACCAGTGTGTGCATCGATGGTCTCGTTCTTAAGATTTGTAGTGACTCTGCAGGTGTACATTAGCATCACTATCACGACATGGCTGATCTGATTTGAGGGGAACTTACTGCGCCTGCTCCTCTTTCTCAACAACATCTAATACATCCTCAACTCTTTCACCTCTGGCAGACATGCTGTGGTATTTCTAAATGCTATTAAGCACGTGATCGTGAGACATGGCAAGACCAGGATGTTACCTTGTATTCCTCGAGCGCCTCATTCCAGGACTGTACGAGAGCAGAGTCGTCCCATATTTCATTTTCCGAGTGCTGCTTGTTGGTCATGATTGGTGAGGTTGACTGTTAGAAAGCAGATAGACCACTGGCGTGGGTGGTTGGAGAAGCGCAAGCGGCGCGTCGGGAGAGCGTCTGCCTCCCCGGATTTCACGATCTCAGAAACTTTTTGGCCGCCATTTTCATAGGAGCGCCTCTACCTTTTCTACCACAACTAATTCTGCAAAATTTCACGTCAAAATGTCAAAAATCGATAGCAAGAGCAACAAGCGCAAGGGTCAGTAACTGGCTATTTCTCAATCTAGCTGTTCCGACACTAATATCACCAAACAGGCGCATCTGAGCCCAGCGTAACTACCAAGAAGGTCAAGACTACCGTTGTCGAGAAGCCAGCACCAAAGTCTGCTCTCAAGAAGACAGAGACTACCGCTACCACGACCAAGGCTAAGAAGGAGACCAAGGAGGATGCACCTGTCGCCGCAACTGCCAGAACCACCAGATCAACAAGAAAGCGTGCCGAGGATTTCCTGGAGCCGGAAGAGAAGATTGTGAAGAAGACGACTGTCAAGACTGCCCCTGGAAAAGTCGAGAAGACTACCGTTATCGAGGCTGCAAAGCCCGAGAGCGCTTCATCAAAGGTCTCAAAGGCAAAGGCAAAGGCTGGCCCCAAGCCTGTTGTTGAGGAGGAGGAAATTGCTCTCGCCAACGAGTCAGACAGCGAGGCCGAGGCCGAAGAGGACGACCAGACTGCCGCTTTACTTGCAGGCTTTGAGAGCAGTGACGACGAGAACGACCCGCAAGACGATGGCATTGCCCTGGAAAAGCTCCCTGCTGTGCCCAACATGAAGGAGGTCCGCAAGCAGTTGAAGGAAGCCCAGCAAGACGACGAGAACACACCCGGGGTCATCTACATTGGGTATGTCTGCCTCGTGCCACCTACTTCTCGTGAACCACAACTAACAAAGTTCACAGACGTCTGCCGCACGGTTTCTTCGAGGCGCAAATGCGCGAGTACTTCAGCCAATTCGGCGACATCACCCACTTGAGAATGGCACGCAACAAACTCACCGGTCGCTCCAAGCACTACGCTTTCATCGAGTTCGGATCTGCCGCAGTCGCCGAGATTGTAGCCAAGACCATGGACAAGTACTTGCTTTTCGGCCATCTTCTGCAGGTCAGACGTATCCCCGCCGAGCAAGTCCACGAGAAGCTATGGAAGGGCGAGGGTGGAAGATTCAAGGTCATGCCGCGCAACAAGATTGAGGGCGGTATGCTGAAGAGAGGTACCACAAGAGAGGGCTGGGAGAAGAGAATCGAGAGAGAGACTGAGGCCAGAAGCAAGAAGGCTGCACAACTCAAGGAGTTGGGATACGACTTTGACATGCCCGCTCTCCGCGATGTCAAGGAGGTTCCCACCAAGGAGACACGTGAGGCTGAAGCCGCACCTCTGATCACCAGCGCCGACGTGACTGCTGTCTTGAACAAGCAAGAAGAGCAACCTGAGGTCAAGCAGACCAAGAAGGCGGCACCTGCAGAAAAGGCAGGCGCCAAACGTGTTAAGAGCAAGGCAGACGGCAAGAAGGGATCAAAGAAGGCAAAGGTTTCGGCATAGGTAACAGGTCATGTGGGTAACTCAAGGCGTTGTTTTCTTTTCATGGCCAGATACCACGTCTGCAATCGTTTCCGTCGTCTTAATTGTCGAAGCGGCCCACGGTCAAGACTTTTGTGGAAAGCGTGCTCTATATGCGAGATCTGAGTCTCTGTGAGTAAGCAATGGATGCGGTGGAGCCTGAGCTTCGTGTGCAAAGAATCATGCAAGGTGTAAGATGATTGAAGCAGATGAATTGTTACAGAAAAGAAACAGAGGCTTCCCGTTTTGCGCTTTCCCCCCCCAAAGAAGAATCGTTTCTCAATCGAACGCATTAATGATGCCCTTCTAGGACCGTGAACATGACCACCTCCAACCTCCAAGCACGTGCAGTCTTTGCACTGCTATGGTTCATCCAGCAGTCAGACGACACCGAGATGCATCACTCGTGGGCGCATGCTGTGTGTTCCGACACAGCCATCCTTTTATCGCGCCTAGAAGAAGAAGTAGGCAATCAGGAAACACAAAAGGCAGAGACCGGCGACGACTTGAACGGGGACACCGCCAGCGGGGGCCTTCTGCACACCAAGACCAGTCGTTCCAGCCGAGATTCTTTCCTTTGAATCTTGGTTGACCGCATCGGTCTTTCGCTGACGCAGTCCCTGGTCGTCTCTTTCTTGGCTCATTCTTGCAATGGTAGCTTGAGCTTCTGCGAGCTTGGCTTTGATGTCATCAGCCGATGTAGGGATAGAGTTCATGAAGCTTTGGGTAGTCGAGGAGTCGGAGTAGGTGGTGTTTCTATCGGTTGCTGGGTTTCTGGCTGACTCGACAGCATCTCCGAGGTGCTTGTTGTCAACAGGGCGTTCTTCTGGACGAGAGATGGCACCAACGGCTCCTACGTCGGTGCCTCGTTGAGGAGTTTGAGGTTGGGGTGAGGCGGAGTTGAAGGTAGCGATCGAGTCGTCCATGTGGCCACCGGCACCAGAGTCGGCAGCGCCGTCTTGGGGCAAGAAGACGACGCGAATCTTCTTTTCTTGAATCGACGACTTTGCTGTTTGTTCGATGTGAGACCACTGGTCAGGTGTTAGTGGCTGGTTTTCTGGCGGAACAGAGACGGCGTACGATCTGGGAAACATTGGGATATTCCTTGTCGGCCGAAATGGCGACAGATTGGACAAGGAACTTGTCTCTGCACTTTGCGTCGAGTGGGGGATCTTCTCTCATTGCTTGCAGCAGGACTGTTGGTGACGATGGTGGTCAGTTGCATATCTTCCGGATAAGGGCCACGTGCACTGCGTACCTTGGACTTCGACATCTTGACCAGGCTCAATGCGACCAGAGTTTGGTCGGACACAGTACCTGCAGAATGGTCAGCTGAAGTAGGGAGAGTGGTGAGAGCAGGTGGCTGACTGTTTGGGGGCAGTGGTCTTGACCTAAGGCAGCTGAGATTAGCACGATTGTCGCACACGCAGATTAGAAGGGCAGTACCTTGAAGGCTACAGGGTCGGAGTTCTTGTTGTACAGGCGCAGGACCTGGGCGACCTCGTGGGTGAACGGGCCTATTGAGCAAACGAGTCAGAGAGGGGGTACATGTAGGCAGATCGGACATGGACACGCACGCTTGAATCCGAGCTCGACGGGGTCCAACTCGACAGACATTGTGGGGAGAGGATGGCGCGTAGATTGGCTGAGGATGAGATGAGCTGCGGTCAGGAGGTGAGAAGCAGAGGCAGAAGCGGTGCTCGGAACAAGAGGTGTGAGTGAAATCGCAGGGTGGTATACGGCGACGCGTAGGAAGTGCCCGGTGCTGGGCTTAATGACGGCAGGCACGTTCCAAGCGCATCTCGAGCCGTGCCCTGATGACGCACTTGCATACTGAGCTTCACCAACTTTCACTCCCCGCCCTTGTGCATCGTGCTGCTCATCTAACCACTTGTTGCAGCTACTGCACATCATCTCCGCCTTCGACTCGACCATCACCAGACGCTCCTTCAACCTCGTCTCGGTAACAAAAAGTTCAAATTCAACCACCATCATGTCTTCCGAAATCGACAACCTCGTCGACATGGGCTTCGACCGTGAGAAGGCTGCCCTCGCCATGAAGAAGGCAGGCAACCGTGCGTATCTCTCAACCTCAAACAGATCTCGCATCATAGCTTACACATGTGATTAGTGGGAGCCGCCGTCGATTGGCTTAGCAACAACGCCGACAAGTCTATCGAGGAACTCAAGGAGAATGAAGGCGAAGAGGAATCGCCCCTGTCACTGCAGCCTGGTGAGCTAGCCAGAAGTCTGCTCTGTAAGGACTGTGGCAAGAAGTTCAGATCCACCGCTCAAGCAGAGTTCCACGCCAACAAGACGTATGTGTCTCCAACTTGTGTCGCCTCCAACTTCGCGCTGACACCCTACCCTTTACAGTGAGCACCAGAACTTCGAAGAGTCCACAGAAGAGATTGCTCCCTTGACCGAGGAGGAAAAGGCAGCTAGGCTTGTAGAGCTGCGCGAAAAGCTTGCCGCCAAACGTGCCGGCCAGTCAGAACAGGACAAGCAGGACAAGATTCGCAACGATCAAATCCGTCGCAAAGCAACAAAGGAGCAACAGGACATCAAGGAGGACTTGGCCAAGAAAGAACAAATCAAGGAAGCCGAAGCCAAGAGGCGTGAGAAGCAGGCTGATGTCGAGGCAAAGAAGCGTATCCAGGCAAAGATTGCCGCAGACAAGGAGGAGCGTCGCCTGAAGTCCGAGAGAGAAAAGGCTGCTCGTGCTGGTCAACCTGTTGTCGCTGCCGAGCCTACACCTGCTGCAAAGCCCACCCTACCGAAAACGGCCGGGAACTACACAGAGGCAAGACTGCGACTTCAAACTTCCGCTGGAACTGTCCAAAGGACTTTCCCTGTCGAAACAACTCTCTTCGAGGTTGCCCAGGCTCTTGGCCAGGAGCCCGGTGTGCAAGTCACCGAATTCGTCCAGAACTACCCCAAGAAGGTCTACGACAGCTCGGACTTCGGTCAAACCCTCAAGGAGGCGGGTCTTGTACCCAGCGCTGCTCTGGTTGTTAGATAAGCTATGAGCCCTAACGTATTTTGCAGCATGATTTGGCGAGGCGTTCGGGGATGAGCATTTGAGACAAAATAGCTTGCAGGGGGGCCTGTTCGATATAGACCGGGAATTAGCAGTACCACTCATTCAGATATGATCTAACATATTATGCGACCTTCACCTAGTGTCGCAAGTGGCCATGCACATGAGGGACATTGTTGCAAAATATGGCGGTGACAATACATCCTTTGCTGTAGTTCGCACTCCGTAGTCGTTCCTAATTGTTACAAGTGTGGACGTTCGAACATCAAAGTTCAAGGACTACCAATTTTTGCTGTGGTCAACGAACCAACCAGTAAAATGTCTTATGAATCTGTCAAATGATACTTGCTACATGTCGCGAGGCTTGAGTAGCGGCGTAGCGTGTCTGATCAATCAGAAGTGGTGTATGGGACCTTGAAAGTGATGGTGTGGGGACGACCCTGGCGACATCAATCATGACATGTGAACACGCATGTGAATATGACGAAGGTGAAAAGCCCAAGAAGAAATTCGATCCCCTGCCACCTGTAGTATCCTAACCGGCGACGCCGTCACAGTCAATGTTCCCCGATAGCTGAGCACCAGAAAAGCGTGGTTATACGCGGCCTATCTATCTATTAGTGTAGGGTATTACCCGTAGCGCAGTGTTTTTACATAACCAGATTGATTCGGTAGGGGAAAGCTGGGGACCAAGGGCGTCGGCGGGCAGTTCTGATGACTGGGCCGACAACGGAGCCACAAGGAGCCGTGTTGGCGTCGCGCGGGAATCGCAGATGGCACTCGAATTTATTGACGGCCGCCCAGAATTGGTGAGTCAAAGGTTGACAGGGTGCGCGCCAGTGTTAGTTACTACTTCGGTGCTTCTTTTGAGTCTCGACACTTTGCTTCCTTCATCCACTCCCGAATACATACCAATCCATTGCCCAAGATGTGTGGTATCTTTGCCTGCCACAGGTACGTGCGCATCAATTCTGGATATGGCTCGGATCGCGTGCCCCTCGATGCTCGTATTGACTGGTATACAGCCATCCCGATGTGCAAAAGTTCAAGCCCACTGCCCTGCGCATGGGCAAGCAGATCCGCCACCGTGGCCCCGACTGGAGTGGAAACCATATCTCCAACAACACCATCCTGGTCCACGAGCGTCTGAGTATCGTTGGTGTTGGTATGTGAAGAAGCCAGGAAGACATGCTCTGCGACCTTTTGCTAAGACTCGACCCTCTTGCTAGACTCGGGTGCCCAGCCTCTGCTCAACGAGGATGGCAGCATTGCCCTCGCCGTCAACGGTGAAATCTACAACCACAAGGTCCTGCGCAAGCACCTCAGCAAGCCCTACGACTTCAAGACTCACTCTGACTGTGAAGTCATCATTCCTCTGGTACGCGACTACCTTGCAAGCTTGATCTGGACGTCGATTGACATGATTTGCAGTACATGGAACACGGCATCGACACTCCCAAGTTCCTCGATGGCATGTTCTCCTGGGTCCTACACGACAAGAAGCAGGACAGAGTCATTGCTGCCAGAGACCCCATTGGTGTCACCACCTTCTACATGGGCCGATCCAGCGAAACCCCTGGCGCCGTCTACTTCGCTTCCGAGTTGAAGTGTCTCCACCCAGTTTGCGACAACATCATTGCCTTCCCTCCCGGCCACGTCTACGATTCCAAGACGGACCAAATCACCAGATACTTCACCCCCAAGTGGCTGGTCGAGCCTACCAACATCCCCACCACCCCTGTCGATCTCAAGACCCTCAGGACAAAATTCGAGAGAGCTGTCAGAAAGCGCCTGATGGCCGAAGTTCCTTACGGTGTCCTTCTCTCCGGTGGTCTGGACTCCAGTTTGGTGGCTTCCATCGCGCAGAGAGAGACCCTCAGGCTGCAGGCTGCACACAACGCACAGCAAGAGCAGAACGGTTTCACCGACGGTGAGGAGGAGCTGGCTGGTATTGACGAGGACTACAAGCTCAACACCATCCCCGTTCTTTCTCAACTCAACTCCTTCTCCATCGGTCTGCCCGGCGCACCCGACAGCAAGGCCGCCCTTGAAGTCGCAAAGTTCTTGGGAACCAAGCACCACAACCTCACCTTCACCATCCAAGAGGGTCTTGATGCTCTTTCCGATGTCATCTTCCACCTCGAGACTTATGACGTTACCACCATTCGCGCTTCGACTCCCATGTTCCTTCTCAGCAGAAAGATCAAGGCTATGGGTATCAAGATGGTTCTCAGTGGTGAGGGCAGTGACGAGATCTTCGGTGGTTACCTCTACTTCCACAACGCACCCGACAAGAAGGCCTTCCACGAGGAGACTGTCCGCAGAGTGAGCAACTTGCACTTGGCCGACTGCTTGAGAGCCAACAAGTCGACATCGGCTTGGGGTCTCGAGGCTAGAGTGCCCTTCTTGGACAAGGAGTTCCTTGAGTACTCGATGAACATCGACCCCGAATGCAAGTTGATCGACAAGGACCACATTGAGAAATACATCATCCGCAAGGCATTCGACACCAGCGACGAGCCTGGCGAGAAGCCTTACCTTCCCGACAACATTTTGTGGAGACAGAAGGAGCAGTTCAGTGACGGTGTCGGTTACGGCTGGATCGACGGCCTCAAGGACACGGCAGAATTGCACGTGAGCGACGAGGACATGAAGAACCCCAAGGCCATTTGGGGAGACGACATTCCCGACACCAAGGAGGCGTAAGTCACGATTAGTAGTTTGAGAAGCGACAAGACACTAACATTTGCACAGATACTGGTACAGATGCATGTTCGACGAGCACTTCCCCCCTCACTGCGCCTCGACCGTCATGAGATGGACACCTACATGGTCCAACCAGACTGACCCCAGTGGTCGTGCCATTGCCGCTCACGCCCAAAAGTACGAGCACGCTGCTTAAGCACGAACAAGAGACAGCATTTGAGCGGGTGGATTCCATGACGATTCGGCTTGAAAGGCGTTTTTGAAGAAGCGACAGGCACAAAAAGGGAACACTTCATGCTCGTTGACGAATTATAGACCTCAGTTATGTACAAGTCAAGATATACTTTTCGTTTTTCAATCATGAGGTAACCTCTGTGTGTTTCGTCAAAGTCATAAGTGTGATGTTAGCGCAGTGTCTCCTGCTTCCCTTGTCCCCGTTGATGCCCTTGTTGCACCTTTCCATCAAACTCCTCGCTAAAGACCAGAATTCCAAATGATAACAATGTCGCCCTCCGACCGTCTCACCTCCCCGGTGGCCACTCTACGCCTCGGTCTTTCTCTTCTTCTTTTTCCTGCCACCCTCTTCTCCCTCGTCATCAACGCCCAGCTCCTTGACAGCACCCTTCTTTCCCTGCACCAGACCCTCTCCCGTACCAATGTCGAAAGCCTTTCTGTTATCCTTGAGAATCTTCTCAGCAAAGAAAATTTCCGTCACTCTGCCGAGCTTCTTTGCATCTCTTCGCAGAACCCACTTGAAGTCATCGACCTTGATCTTTTGACGGCGCGAGTATGAGGCGCAGATGGCGGCGCTGTGACAGGTTTCGATGATGAAGTCGGTAATGATTTCGTCGAGGGTTGTGAGGGTTGCGGGGAGGGGTTGTGTGTCGCCGAATGCTTCGAGGAGACCAGCGACTGTGTGTGGTGTTAGTGATGCAGTAGTGAGGGCAAAGGTTGACGAGACACACGTTCTGGATTGGAGAATTGTTGGCCTTTTTGGCGGAGGCGCATGCGTGGTTCAGCCATTGTGTTTGTGAGAAGTTGATTGTCGTGGTTGTGGTGGAATCAGGCTGTCGAAGGATGCTATGAAGCGCTCTTGGAGGCCCAGCATGGAATGCGCGCGTGGTGTGCTCGTGTGCAGTGGTGGTGAGGGATCACCAAGGTGAGTGTCGCTGTAGGCTAGCTTCCAGTCGGGAGACGTGTACACACTTCACCCCAGTCGTGCAATGTTGTCACGTATTCGTAGACGTCGAGGAGCGGTGTCCAGAGGCTTGTCGTGACTGACTTGGAACTACGACTGCCCGTCCGGGCGTTGCCGACAGTCCTGCCTTCCATACAGCTTGCAACCCGGAGTAGTTTGATAAATACCAACGACCCATCAAAACTCATCATCAGAATGGTACCAAATCAATCACATGTGTGACATGCAGAGAAGTCTTACATACTGACAACCAACAGTCTGCCTTCTTCAACTTCCAGTCTCTGCTACTGGTTATCCTCCTCTTCATCTGCACATGCTCCTATATACATGGTGTCTTTCCCGCAATCATGGATAAGCACAAGGATGGGTATCTTGAACCCCTGTATCCCGAATGCCATTTCACTGCTAACATTTGATAAAGATTCACATCTGTCTTCTGGAGAGCAGCACGTATTGGCGAGCGTCTGAGTCCGTACATCAGCGTCTGCTGCGTCGTCATGGCTGTGGGTACTATCAAGGTTCTAGTGTGATTTCCCTGCTGACCATTGTGCAGGGCAGAATCTTCATCGGACAGTGAAAATGGTCTTTATATCTTCAGCGCTCGGAGTTTGGAGTTGTCGCTGCAAAAGGCAGAGTCGAATTAGCGAATACCAACAGCCTTATGATCATCTATCTCCCTCCCTTGTTCTTATGCCTCCCAATGACGGCCCTTGACGAGGATAATCGTCAGCTTCGAAGACTTGAGCAGCGGAACATCACGCGCAGGCACATAGTCTCTGCTCGGCCAATTGTTAAACAACAATCTTGTTGGTAGCAAGTTCGTCGATAGCGAGGCTAACACAAGGAGCGCAACTGGCAAAGAATACCGGGTCAGTAACCAGGTCGTCACTATCCGTAAATCGATCCAGCACAGAGACCAGGCTTTTCACCAAACTACCGGCTCATTTGTCGACCTCCTCCGAGGTGTGGACATCTCAACAGCTCTTCATTTAACACCAACTTTCAGTACTCGTTCGTTTCCTTTGACTGCTCGTAACTTCTTGCTCCAAGTGACATCGGGCATCGCTTTCACACTGAAGCTATACATTGCTGGATCTCAACTCATTTCAAGACTTGTTCAAACCGTCAATTACACGAGTCACAAACACTCTCTTCTCTTCTCCCTTACACACCATAGCTTCCTCGTTTCAGGCAGCTTGCACTAACTCTCATCCTCTACCGATCGCGCCTCTGAATCGAGACTCGACACGACCTAAGTCTCTTTTCAGTTGAGACAGTCACCAACAACTCAGTGTCAACTCACGAACAGCTCACTATGACGGATTCGTCTCGCCGCCTCAGGGGAGCAGGATCGTTCAGGTATGCTCCAGTTCTATAAACTTTGACGGTCAACTGAAAGTGTTTAGGAGGTCTGTTTCTGGTCCGGTCGCAAGCATCGAAGTTGGGGATGGCCTGCATGTCCAGGAGTTCTTTGCTCATAAGTCGCTTCTTTGCGACTGCTCTCAGTACTTCAAGGCAGCCTTAGATGGCCACTTCGCTGAAGGACAGAAGCAAAAGATCGTCCTGGACGATGAAGATCCTGTCATCTTTGGGACCTTCGTCGCTTGGCTGTATCAAGGGCAGCTCGACTCTCAGGGTGTTGAAGCGGCTCTTGATGGGTCGGAGCGCTTCGACTACCACATCGCGAAGTTAATTGTCTTCGCTGACAAACGGAGCATCACTGAGCTCGAAAACGATGCGATAACAATGCTCTTGAGCTTTTCACACCGAGCTGGGCCGGTAGAGCGCAGGGTCGTTGAGTGTATCTACGAGATACCACACGTATTGCAGATCAGCAACCTTCTGTGTGTCCTGGCAAGTGAAGAGGTCCACTTTCGACAAAGCTCGAGAATGGGAAATATGACGTGTTACCCTCCAGAGTACCTGGCTATCATGGTTAGGATACTTCTGGAGCCTGTCGAGTCTCGCATTCACCGGTCCCTCAAATTCTTCATTGATGACCTGGCGTCTTTCTGCAACGCCTACCACACCCACCAAGAGTCCTCAAAAGTCTGCTCTTCTCTGACTGACAACGCCTACGTACCTTACGTACCGCCAGAAACTCAACGACCCTCAACAAAGAGACCTAGAATCTTGGCCGCGGGCCTAACAACTGTCATCAACATCTCAGACGATCGAGAAGGCGAACATCGATAACACCAATCACACCAAGACCAACTACGAGCACTTGATCTACAGGACTTACCAGCAATGCAAGGAAGATTCGACTTGGCCTCTGGCACAAGATGCGGCTTCCGATCAGACAAGATTCAGGCAACAAACTGCTGCAAAGCGCTCGCAATTCACATTGAACACGAGGTACATGGAGAACGCATCCAGTCGACAAAATGTTGTCACGTTGGATCGGAGGCTTCATACAATCATATTCGTGAGGCGAGAGACAGTTACAATTGACGCTTGTCTCGTGGTCTTTCATAACATTATTATTGCGTCCATAATATCATCACTACTTCAGACTTTACCAAACGATGTGACTGTATGATTTTGCTCGAATAGCGTGTGATACGGTGACGGCTTTTGTGCATCGTGACCTCATCCGGTCATGCCCAATCTTCTTGATGGTCTTTATGAGCACCACCATCCTCCTTGTTTAGGTCACATTCCTCTTTGCCCGTGGTTGGCAAGACCAGCCTTTCCCTAGCGGCGTTGATGAATGTCGCTCGACGTTGCCGTAGCTGTCTGCCCGGTATGGTTTGCCACCATGTTTGGCGTGCGAGCGGCGTGGCTCGAGGATCTGGTGGACCGGATATGGCGATCCAGTGCTCAAGCTCCAACCGGAAGTAGTGGCTTTTCGTTGTCCCCTTGGAGTAGGAAGATGATACCGAAGCTTGTATTGATCTTATAGCGGAGTCATGCTAGGGGTCAAAATCATGAGCTGATCAGAGCTTCGAGTTGAGCCTTGTGGATCGGACTGGCTTTAGCAGCAATCTCGATAAGGAGGATAGCCTCTGCCTGGTTGCCAGCCTTGATTTGTCTCTTGACGACAGCCTTGACACGATCAAAGCTACCTTGGTTCAAAACACGGACATACTGTGCGACAGCACTTCTGAGAACTCTCTCAATATCCTCGTCAAGCTCAAACTTGAAGTAAGGCAGAAGAAGCGCGATAGCCTTGTCAGCCAAATCAGCATTGAGCTTGGGTGACTCGCCCATGCCCTTCTTGAGCACTGAGAGTGCTTTGGCGAGCTTGAGAGGGAATTCGGCGGACTCGATGGCTTCAGATGTGTTTGTGTCCAGGAGCTCGAGTTTTGCGAGGCAGATTTGCTTGCTGATGTTGCTAGAGACGGATTCCTGGTTGGAGAGGAAGTCGATAATGTGTTGCAATAGTCTGCTTGTGCAGGGGACATCTGTGAAGGCAGCGAAGACGTCGAAGAAATCCTCGGCCAGGGAAGGGTCGTTGAAGTCGCGCATCGAGGTTTCGAAGACGATGCGAGGAATATCGCCGTTCAGGGCAGGCGAGGCGGCGAGTTTTTTGAGTGCCTCCTCGTCAACTGCCTGTTTGGGCTCGGGTTGACCTTCGGGCTTGATCTCGTCCGCCGTGACATCCGGCAGTGCCATCATGTCGGCATCAGCGTCCAGTGTCGTGTCGATCTGCTTTTCCGTTCTCTCAATGTCCAGGCCCAGAATCTTTCGTCGCGCAGCAATCTTTGCAACGTAGAGCATCTCCAACTTGGCGTACTCCAACCACAGTTTCCTTTCCCTCTTGCAGAATCTCAAGCCTCTTTGCATGTAACTGCGCGCAGAGGGCATGTCGGCCTGCTGCTCGAAATAGTACTTGGCGGCCCATGTCCACAAGTCCCACTTGATCGGGTGCATTCTCAAACATTGTGTCAACGCCTTTGCCAACTTCTTGTTCGCTGCCTCTTTACGACAGAACTCGAGGTACTGCATCCACAAACCCATATCTCCCTGGAACCTCCTCACGCCTCTCTCCAGAACGAAGAAGATCTTCTTTTGACCAGCGAAAGCGGTGGACTTGATCCCCAAACGCTTCGAGCGCTTCTTCCTCAATGTGTCCAGATTCATTTCATATAGTGCATAGCGAGCGTAATCGGCGGGTGTAGCGGCGCCAGGTGTGTTAAGAAGATGTTCGAATTCGGAGCGCTTGCGAGCGATCGATGTGATTTCTTCGCGCGAGAAGATCTTTTTGCGTTCGTATTCCTGGAGTTCGGGAACCGACTGTTCCATGTAAAAGCGAGCCTTGTCACTCGCTGCGGCCATTATGACGGTATTTGTGAGTTTAGAATGTCCTTTCGTGTCAAGAGTTCATCGTTGATCGCAGAAAGTGTACGGCATAATTTTGAGCTTCACCGCCTTGTTCTGCCGAATGTCGGAGTTTTGACACCCGACGACCGCGGCTGCTCAGGGCATCCAAGCTTCATCTTGGACAACCAATTACTCGAATAAATGCTTACCTGGATTGGAATACACGAAGGATGGCCAGTCCCTAGTCTCAAACAAGCGCCCTCGACAACTAAACACGTTATGTCCTGGCAGCAAGTCTGATTGACTACTGACTTCTGAGTGTGTAACCTCAGTGAATATACGTATACAGGATCTAAAGGCATTGTGTTCAGAATCTGGCAACAACCTTCAGGAGTTGGAGTCATCGCTGTCGATACCGAATCGCTCTGAGAAGCATATACTTGTAATCAGCTGGTGGTCAAAGTCCGGTCACAATCCTGATGGAAAGCACAAGCTGGACTCGTGAAGATCGCATGCAGCAGGTTGCATGTGCCATGACGTTCTGGTGGCAGGTCGGAGCACAGGCATTTGATCGTTATCAGAATTACTAGCTAGCATGCACGACCTGACATCTTCTCCTCCAGATCTGAGGAGCGACCTGCGTATGTGCTTGTCGATGAAGTTCTCAATCATGGCTTTTGTCGTTGCCGTGACAGGCTCATGGGGGAAGACTGAACAGACAGGGCTTTTGCAGCTCTCCGAGCTCGTTGCTCCGCAGCGGGTCGCAGCTTCCCTTGCCCCACCAATTTCCCGAGATGCCACTTTGACCACGTCGTCGTTCTGTGTGACTATTTTATCCGGTCTTTCTTCTCTGACATTTTTTTTTTCGCTTGCGCACTAAGAAGTATGGCGAACGCAAATCCAAACAGCCCCTTAGCTGGTGAAGGCATTCGTGAGAGAGTGCCTACACTTGCTAAGTCAATGATTTCAACATCAACGGACGATGCACAGAACACTGTTAAGTCACTCAACGAAAAGGAAGCCGACAAAGACGAGACCAAGAAGAGAACCTATGGCAGAACGCCAGGTGGTAAAGGTACGCGAGTTTGTTGGTTCAGGATTTGATACCGAGACACAATTAATGTGGTATGGCTAACCCAAGAGCGTGACAGTATTTGTGGTGCCGCAGACACATGATATGGTCTCACAGCTTTTGTCTCCTACTCAACCGAAGAATGTCTCCGACATAGCCATTTTGACAGTGCTTGCATGCCATGTCGCGATGCTCTACTTCCTTCCAGACCCAGTTCGTATCCCTATTCTCGCCATCATCTTCCTTTTCTGGCGCGCCGCCTACAACGCCGGCATCGGTTGGCTACTCAATATACAGTCCAACCACAAGCGCCTTACCACATGGGCTCGCAAGTACAATGTCTTTGACGACTCAAGATCTGGCAAGAACCCACGTCCTTGGCTCTACAATCAACTGAAACGTGAAATGGAAACCAAGATCGCCCACGATTACAAATTCGAAGAGGCTCCACTTGAGTACAACACATGGTTGGTGTTCAGGAGAGTCGTCGATCTGATCTTGATGTCCGACTTTGTCGCCTATTGCTGTTTTGCTATCGCTTGCGGCGGCCGTCCCTATGGTGAGAACATTGCAATGACCATCGCTCGCTGGACATGTGGCTTAGCCCTCGTCGCTTTCAACCTCTGGGTCAAGCTAGATGCTCATAGAGTCGTCAAAGACTACGCCTGGTACTGGGGTGACTTCTTCTACCTCATCGATCAAGAACTCACCTTTGACGGCGTCTTCGAGATGGCTCCTCATCCTATGTACTCTGTGGGCTATGTCGGATTCTACGGCATTTCGTTGATGGCTGCCAGCTATAAGGTGCTCTTCATCTCCATCGTCGCACATGCTGCCCAATTCGCCTTTTTGACCATTGTTGAGAACCCGCATATCGAAAAGACATACAATCCACCAGCGCCCAAGAAAAGAAGAGAATCCGAGAGCGACAGAGAACCCCCCAAAAGCGCCACACCCGACTCCGGTCATATCAACGGATACCCACCCATAGCGACAACAGAAAAGCCGTCTTCCGTCCACAACATCCTTGGCCTTCACAACATGGACCTTCATCGTATCACAGATATATCCGTCCTGCTCATGCAAGCTTATCTCTTTAGTGTTGCGTTCTTGACTCCATCAACTACCTTGTGGCAGATCGCCTTTGTCGTCAATGCGGTAGCTTGGCGACTGTGGTACTCTCTCGGCATCGGCTATATTCTTGATCGTCAGTCGAATAAGAAGAAGTGGGCTCGGCACTTTGTCAAGTATGGTGAAAGTACAGAAGAAGCGTGGAGACAGTGGAAAGGACTGTATCATCTGAGTATGAGCATGTGTACTGCAAGCTTCCTCTGTGCGGCTCTTAAAATGTACAATCTACCACCGGACTGGACCTATGGTCTGGCTCTCCTCCGACACGTACTCGGTATGGCTCTGGTCGCTCTTCAAGTGTGGACGAGTATCAGCGTCTACGAATCTCTCGGCGAGTTTGGATGGTTCTTTGGCGATTTCTTCTTCGATCATGCATCTCAACTCACCTACGGCGGCATCTACAGATTCCTCAATAACCCTGAGAGAGTGCTTGGATTGGCAGGTCTATGGGGTGTTGCATTGATCACGTGGAGCAAGACAATCTTCTTCCTTGCTTTGTTGAGCCATCTCCTTACACTCGTCTTTATTCAATTTGTGGAGCGTCCTCACATGGAGAAGCTGTATGGCCAGTCTTTACGTCAGGATTCTGGATTGTCCAAAAGCCTCAAGAGATCTCTTCCGTCGCCACTCAAGCAATGGCAAGGCAGCGTCGATAGGGTGCTTGAAGACTCGATGGACTTCCTCGAAGAGTTCATCGACTCGGCAAGGCCCAAACTCGCAGCCGGTATGGATACCTTCGTCAGAGACACTCGCACTCTTTTCAAGAACTACCCTACTCGTATCAGTATCACACGTCTTGCTCCCGATCTTGCCGGCTACGATCCCAAGGACTATTCCATTGAGATTGAAGGCACCCCGTCATCTGGTAACTCTGAATTCGAACGCTATAGTGGGCGTGAAGGCGAGATTGGTCAGGTCCCTCAACAACGTGTTGACAAGTACAAGAGTCTCACTTTCGAATATGGCGCCCCGATCAAGGTCCGCTGGCAAGCTCCTGCAAATCACCGTCAAAACGACTGGATTGGTCTGTACATGGTTGCCGACAACTCGTCTCGCGACGTCACTCGTGTAGGCTCTCAAGGCCGCTGGACCGCCACCACGAAGGGTGTCTACGACTCCTTGACTGCCGAGACTGGGCTTCTTGTTTCGTCCCACTCGACCACGAAAGACGGTAAACAATACGCAAACGGAGAGATGGAGTTCTCAGGCGACAAACTGTGGTGGACACACGGCGTCTTTGAGTTCCGCTACCACCACGATGGAAAGCACAACGTCATGGCCACTTCTCTACCCTTCGAGATCCGCATCGGAAGATTCGACGAAGACGACGTTCAGTTTGACAACATCAATCTGGCACGCTCTGCTGTCGAGCAAGCTCTTCTGCCTGTTGTTCAGAACTGCTTCGATCGTGACTCGGAGGTTGCTCCTCGTACTGCTGACGACATGTTTGGTGACGGATTGGAACGAGAGGGCAGATATGCTAGACGTGTCGTCTTTGCTATTCATCAGATGTAAGTACGAGCCACCTCTGGCTCAATGATTCCTGCTAATGGTAAACGTTTAGGTTTGGTATCGAGTTTGCGCCTGAAGTCGTCTTGGCTGATGGCAGTGTACAAAATCTGGCTTGGAGAATTTGCAATGCGAAGAAAGTGCTTGTGAGTGTCGATCCTTCTCTACCTCTTGATATGATACTAATGTACTACTCAGGCACCTTACAGTATGACACCGAGTCGTGGCCGCTCAACCCCTGCCGAATTTAAGGCTTGATTGTGAGCTTTGGATGTAGATAGAACAAAAAGGCGCGGGATCTGTAAATAGTGGTTGGCGGAGGATGATACGAACACAAGCTAGAGCCTGACAGTTTGGAAAAAGATGGGCTCGACAGTAATGTATAGGTCGAATGTTGAGAAAAAGAAGGAGGTGGTTGTACATACAGATGCCCTAGCTTGTATCATAAGAACTGGTATCAATCATGGTTGCACCTTCCTCTTCTCCCTTTCTGTTCTCTCTGTTGAGCCTCTAAGCCTATAACCAGCGACATCCTTCTTGACTCGAGCCTTCCTGGTAGCCTCTTCCTCCTTGGGATCCATATTTACACTTTCTGCTAGTTGCTGCTACAGCTTGACAGTCTAATATCACTTTTGCACCTCATGACCACGGCTCTAAGTACGTTTGTCTGCTTTCAGTAATCATTTCAAAGATACAATAAGTCTATTTATTGATCTTGTTTGTGTTGCTCTCTGTATGTAAGATAACAGTGGTAGTACGAGTACATGATAACCACAGTGAATCGAATGGCCTCCTCGTTCTTTCCCTTGCATAATAATCCATCAGGCTCTTCTCTCGTTGTAACCTATGAAACACACCCTGCAGGTAATCCGGCCCATGACTAATGAGTTCTGCGCTTCTTCACCCTTGACTGGAAGTTGTTGTTGTTCAGTGCTCCAGCAGTAGTCTCAGGCTCCTTGTTGGCTGCTTCTTCGGTGAGATCAATGATATCTTCAGTGTCGTCGGTAAGGTCGAGGACCACCATGCGGCGCTTGCCCTGTCTGACTACTTTCAGAGGGGTAACCTGACCAGACGACTCAAGCGTTATGCCATCGGTCATCGATTCGTCGCGGCTGGGCGGCAGCGATTCACTGCTGTTGGGTGACATCAGAGCCTCGGCACCGGCTTGAGTATTCTCAACCACATTGTCGTACTGAGCACGAAGAAGGTCTGCATACTCTGTAGCATACTGCTCTGTCATGCTGGCGATGAGCTTTGCGAACTCCGGGTCCTCCTGCGATGCCTTACACTCGGTGCAGTGGATGTAGAAAGCATTGCGCTTTGGTGGGTTGTCCAGCAATTCGTATTCGGGAAGGTTTTCACCAAGCAGCTCAGATTCGGGGTCAAGACAATCCTCGCAGTAACCTTTGTGGCACCAGCGACAACGATAAATCAAACCACCAGCGTTGTTAGTGCTCTTCTCGCAATCGTGACAATCGTGCTGAGGACAGTGGAAATTCATCCTGGACTTGGCCTTGGCCTGATACTGCTTGCTCAAGCAGCCTAGATGATAAGCACGAGGGCAGCCTGAGCAGAGATACACCTCGCCACCATCAAAGCAGGATTGGCAGATTTCCTGATGAATGATCGGCGCCGCCTTTTCTCGTTTGGGCTCAGCGAGTCGGGGGTCTTTGCCTGCCAATGTCGGAACTGCTTCCCACGCCTTGCAATTCATACTCTCCTTGTTGATTGCGAACCCGTCTACCATAACTGTGGTATTCTTGTCCATTCGACGATCTGCGCGTGAAAGAGTTGTGGTAGGTGCGGCTGTCTTGTCGACGTTCTTCTGATATCTGACACCGTCTAGCACTGCAATCTCGACACGCTCCATCTTGGCCAGCCACTCCTTCTCTGTGACTTCCTCAGACTCGCCGTTAACGTGAGGATCGATAGGCTTGTCCTTGCACTTTTCAATAATTGTCTCGATATCCCAAGTGACCATCTCGCTCACGTCAATCTCGGGATGAGTCAATGTGGTTGCACCGCGACGAATCAAGCTTTTCAATTGGGAGAAGCCAAGCTCAGGGCCATCATCTGTTGTAGCGTCGTCTTGATCAGCGGCTCGTTTCCTCTTCAGCGGTTGATTGGCAGAATGAATGTCCTGCATGGATTCGGTGATCTTTGCAGACAAGTACAGCTTTTTTCTGATTCGGCCCATCATCTGCTCTTCGACGGTGCCGGAGCTTAATAGTTTGTAGATGGTGACAGGCTTTGTTTGTCCGATGCGATGGGAGCGCGCTTCTGCTTGAAGGGTGACCTGTGGGTTCCAGTCTTCATCTAGGAATATGACGTCGCTTGCAGCAGTAAGATTGAGGCCGAGACCGCCGGCACGAGTGGAGATCAGCATGATCTTGTACTCTGAAGATGGATCGTTGAAGAGTCTGATCTGCAGATTGCGCACAGCTCGTTGGGTGCTGCCATCGAATCGTACATGGCGGAAAGGGGCGTCGTTTTGATTACTGCCCTTGGTGGCGAGGAGATCTTCACAGTAGTCAAGAGCTGTGGTGAAGCCCGAGAATATGAGAATCTTCTTCTTCTGCTTGACGACTAGTTCGTCGATCAGCTTGCTCAAAACGATGAATTTTCCAGAGGCATGCATGATGTGATCTCCAATACTGTATGGTTCCGGAGCGGCGCCTTTGATCATGTACGGAGTGATACATGCCTTGCGGAGCTGCATGACGATGTTCATCAATTTCTTGTAAGCCGAGGTATCCTTATCTCCAGTCGCTTCGTTGGAAACAGCCTGTTCGATGAGGGCACGACTTTGACTGGTGAATTCATCACCGGCTGCATCTTTGACTTGGTGAAGATGAGCGTCCTCTTCAATCTCTTTGACTCGTGCTTCGTGTTCTTTCTGCTTCACATTGCCAAAAATATCGTCGAGCAGTGTACCGCCAGCTTTAGTCAGGAGTCGTGTGTACCAAAATCGTTGAACGGGTGTCAGAGGGATGTAGAGAAGAACCTCGCTCTTGGAAGGCAATCCTAGGTCAACCCCAGGGCTGCTCTTCATTCTTCGGATCATGACGAGCTCGAGTAGATGACGTGCATGGTCCATGAACTTCGAGTTAACCTGACCACGGCCAATGTCGAATGCCTCTTTGAACATTTCTGCAGTCTTTTCGATGAAGACATTGGGATACAGCCAGTGGAGCAAGGCCCACATCTCACGCAAGTCATTCTGCAAAGGCGTTCCGGTCAAGAGCAGGCGGTGCTCAGCCTGCAACCCTTGCAACGCAAGCGATATGTTTGTCTTGTCGTTCTTGATCTTGTGTCCTTCATCTAGAATGCAGTAACGCCATGCGAATGCATGCTTCAGCCAGGAGGCCTCTGACTGAAAAGTCTCGTAATTGGTGACCATGATGTCGAAGACAGTCCCAGAGTCTTCGTTGGCAGCGACGGAGTGGTCGCCCCTCTTTGTCTTGTTGCGACCTGTGGCGTTGCCGAATCTGTCCGTGACTCCAGACGCCATCAACTTGACATCGTTGCGCTCCGAGACTGAACCATGAAAGCGGAGAACTTTGAGCTTTGGCGTCCACTTTCGAGCTTCGTCACACCATGACCCCAAAACACTGAGCGGGCAAACGACCAGATATGGCCGGGCAACTCCAACTGGGCTGGGGTGAGTGTCTTCAAGATGTTGAATTAGGGAAAGCGTTTGCAACGTCTTTCCCAGACCCATTTCGTCACCCAAGATTGCAGGCATTGCGTTCTCGTACATGTTCGCCAAGAAGGAAAGTCCAGTGAGCTGATAGGGCTTCATCGTAGCAACTACGTTGGTGGGTTGCTTATTCAGAGGAGTGAAGGGTACGTAGTCCTGGTGCTTGTGTTTGGCTTGAAGCAGCTTGGTAATGTAGTTGTTGGGAGGAAGCAGAGGCAAGAAATAGTCCTTGTGATGAACGAGAAAGGCATCGCGTTTTGATTTCGTGGTGGTCGCAATCTCCTCGCGTACACGGTTTCGCACAGTGTCAGCTTTGACGATGCGCGGCGCAGTCGTTCTCGTCTTCTGAGTCGTAGTCTCGACACTGATCATGTCAGAATCGAGGACACGATTGTCAGCGATCTGTTGCCTCTTGGACTTGGGTCTGGGTGTATTTGATTTGGGAGACTTGATTCGTGGCGTATTTGAACGAGGCGAATTGCTGTAGTCAACTTTGGACCGAGCAGCTCGTGGAGGTAGAGTTCTTGTTGGAGTGATGGGGTTGAGTTTGACTGTACTGGGTTTGGTTGGACTCGCAACATCGATATTGGACATGACATCCTCGTCATCGTCGTTGACACGAGAAGCGTCTTTGCGATCAACTCCGACTTCCTCCACTAGTTCGAGTGTGCTAGAAGACACTGCGGCATCAGAGGGCTCTTCTGCCATGGCTTTATTTGGAGAGGGCTGGCTGGTAGATTGCAAAGGACTCATAGGCGTAGACAAAGGTCGCTGCCTGGGCTTGAACATGGACAGAAGACTAGAGGCCGACAAACGTTGTCTCTTGGGCGCGGGCGATTGAGTGCCGGGACTCAAAGGATTCTGTGGTTGAAGTGACTGGCTCGCCATGATTGTGAAGCCGAAGCAAATGGTTCAGAGCCAGTGAAGCAAAGCCCTGTCTTCACGAGAGTTCCCTTCTAGAAGAATTGGCGGCTGATTCCAAGAGAAGTGAATGTAGTCATGTGACACGACGAAGATGTCGAGTGTCATATGCTATGGCGTGAAATTAGGAACCTCTGTATCATACACCAGATTTGGTGAATTTGATGAGTCAAAGAGAAGAAAGGTTGTTGTGGTGCTCATGCCATCACTGAGAGCAATTGGTGCTAATCAAAGCTTGAGTGTGACAACCATCAAACAAGGTGGGTACTCGATGCTGCAGAGATCTATGAGCATCAACAAGCACTTGTATCTCGGGTCCACTCCAAGGAAATGACTAGATCTCTTTGGCTGATGGATTATGTTCACTGTCTGTCAAATGCGGAAAGAGGAGGACGCGACTCGTGAAAGCGCGTCTTCCTCTTTCCAGCCAATCACAGAAGTGCCGATCTGACATTTCGAGCCTACATCCGAGTCGCCGTCCTCGAATCGAAATTGTCTCAACATTCTCCTATATTCGTAGAACTCTCCTCCGTATGCGCAGTGCTTTCACCAAGTCGCTGTCACCAATATACAGCATACCGCGTACGGTCAACCGTAGCCGTTTATCCAGAATAAGCACAAGATCATTCGCAAACATGGAGAAGCCTTTCGACGAGATGGCCGAGCAGATCCCAAAGGCTGCCGAGCCGACCAGTGCTGCAGCACCCAAGCAAGAACAGCAGGACTTGCCCAAGTTGTCGCCACAAGAATTTAGAATGTACAACAGGATGGCAGAACACATGGACATGTTTGTATGTCAAATTGATCTATCAACTCTCCCACCTAATCTGGACCCGGACTGACCATGTGAAGCACGAGAACTTCCGCCGAACGTGGAACCTTCTGTACGGCGCATGTGAGACTAAGAAGAGACCTACCGGCATGTCTATCCGTCAATTCATTGGTGTGGGCGACGACTTCTGCCATCACCTGGAGATTCATCACAGTATCGAGGAGCGCCACATCTTTCCCATTCTCGCCCGCAAAATGCCAGCCTTCAGGAAGGAGCTGGAACTGCTCACTCAGCATAAACAAATCCACAAGGGACTCGACAAGTTTGAGGAATACCTCGGCCAGTGCAAGAGTGGAGAGAAGGAGTTGCGCATGGAGGAGATGAAGGCCATCCTGGACACATTTGGCAAGGTCCTATGGCAACATCTCGACGATGAGGTGCATGAACTGCGGGCAGAAAACATGCGCAAGTATTGGACACCGGCCGAGATGGCGAGGATACCAATCTAGAGCATGAGTCCGAGACATACCCCATGTAATTTCCAGCTCTTGTTCACGACGGCTTGCCTTGCTTCCTTGCCGCGGCAAACTTTTCGTGCCATTTCCTCTTGCCAGCCGTCGCAGTTGTCGCTGGTTTGGCAGCGCCAGCAGTGGCTTCTGCGGCTTGTGTGCTTTGATTGCGTACGAACTCGATGCGCTTGCCGCCCGCCGACAGCTTGTACAAGCCCTGTTGTCTGTATTAGCCACGCCGGTTGTTTCCGACTGTTGCAAACGTACCTTGAGCATGTCAAGGGATGCCATGGGTCGCCACGCCTCCGGAAGGGCGTCTCTCCAGGCTTCCAGGAAGTCGGATGTTTCGATAGTCGGCTGGTCGGGATGTATCTGGTGATGAGATTCAAGTGTGTTCTGGCCAACCCACTTGAGCGTAGGCTGTTGTTGAAGATGCACCGACTCTTGCTCGCTCTCGGACAGCTTCATGAAGATGGCGTCAACCAAACTCCTCGGCCACTCGTCTTCTCCGTCGAGCATCTTGTCGATGGACTCTCTCTGTATGGGGATGGCGAGATTGACGGCGTGAGCATATGCGATCTCCAACAACCATTTCCAGACTCCAGTAAGGGCAGCGGCAGTAGGTCGGAAGCTCTGGCCATCATGCTCAAATGCGACAAGGTCTCTCCAGACATGGTCACATTCGTCATGGCTCATTGGAGTATGCGCAAAGACGTAGGATCTGGAAGGCGGATCGGACAGGCGAATGTTTACGTCTTGCGGTTGGGCCACGGGGATCAAGAGGGAACGGAGGACGGACTCGGCATGGCGATTGGGCGTAGGTAGACACTCAAGAGCGGAGGCACATTGGGAGACGGCAATCGTACCAGAGGAATTGGCGGCAGGATTCGTGATGTAGACGGTGTTGGAGGTGTGGACTTGACGAATGGAATAGGAGCGGTGTTTTGTGGTGAGGAAGGCTTCAGGGTCGGTCGCGTCTTTGGCCTTGAAGGACAGGGTAGGCGCGTCAGTGGAGACGAGGTAGTCGAGTAGGTCGGGCGGCAGCTCGAGCAGACGACATGGTTGCAAGTCGGCGGCGATGGAGAAGGGGGTGCCAGAGTCGGGCTTGGTAGATGTGGACATGATTGAGCAGAAGGAAGTCGCTGTTGCGAAGTTGCGATGGAGCTAGCAGGCTAACTTCTCTACCCCGCAAACAAAACACGGCCGGCGCCACACTCGACCAGGGAACGGCACCAGGACTAGTTCGTCGGCAGTGCGGCCCGAGAGATCAATATCCAGAGCGTTGCAACACAAACGGGTGTGACCATACATCCACTGCCCTGGTATACAGGAGTCGACTCCTGCATCTGTCCCTCGCCTCGGACGCTTGTTGTCTCTGTTTGCACCCATCGTCTGCTCCCACGCCGCGTCCGCTCGCTCGTCCTCACCGCCGACTCGAAGGCTGGTCCTCGTCCGCTTTGTTTACCTTTTCCACAACCCGCCATGAGCTTGAGCTTATACCACCGCGCCCTGTCCAGTGTCTGAGATCCTCCAAATGGTCGTTGTCACCCCGGCCATAGCCGCTCTCACCGGCGAGCTAACTCTCTTCCACACCACCGACCCACTCCTCTCCAATTCGCCCATCCTCGTCTTCTACGGCCCGGCGCCCTCCATCTCCGCTGCCACCTCGCGCATCCAGATCCATGTCTTCACCCCCGCCGGCTTCGAGTCCTATCCGCGCGTCAGCATCTCGCCCAATGCCCCCTACTATGCCGCTGTCAATTCCCTCCCACGAGAGGAGCAGGGCGACCAAGTCTGTCGCGGTCTGGCCTTCGCTTTGTCAAAGTACTTTGCCGAAGTCCCTAGGCCTTCAAGAGATGCATGGGTGGCTCAAGCCTGTCCTTCCAAGAAGGCTGCTTCTGCCTTTGCCCTCTTCAGCGACGCCCATGTCGCCATCCTGGCCACTCGCATGAACAAGGTCGACAATCTGGACGAGATCATCGCCGATATACAACGCTCTCTGAGCGAGCAGACTGTCTCTTGGCTAGACCTTGACGTCGTCCTGCCCCCCGGTTCTGTCAGACCTATCAAGTTGGAAGACGAAGAGCCCGAGCAAGATAACGTCGACGAAGATGAGCTGTGTGCCCTCCGATATGGTGACTATGCGCCTTTCATCAAGCTGATGGGCGAGCCAGCTTTCCTTCCCACCTCCAAGCTACGGAGAGCCCCTTCGAAGCCTACCGCTATCGGCCGTAGTCAGGCCTTTCTCAGAGACCAACGCGATGTGGCTAGGAAAGAGATGAACGAACTCGTCGATACAGAGTCCAATTACATCAACAAGCTCTCTCTACTCGTGACTGACATCGCTTCTGACTTGCGACAGATCGTCCACAATGATGCCATTCCTGTGTCAAATCCCATGGAGCGAACGATTAACGATCTGTTCCCTCCATTTCTCGACAAGATGCTAGAGCTCAATTCTGCCTTCTTGGAGGCCATTCGCACTGTGCTAAGCGATACTGAAGACTCTGCTGTCGTAGACCTGTCCGACACTACCGAGGAAACTTCTCACCACGATCCGATATCAGACACGATCGGCCTCACAGATTTCGCAAAGTGCCTAATTGAATGGTTCCCCAAATTTGCCGAATGCTATCCCTCCTACATGCAAGCACATTCAAGATTTCCGCGCTTAATGAGGAGGCTGGCGCGTATTGGGGATGCAAGCATTCTTGAGAAAATTCAAGAGTTTGGAGAGAAGCGGCTGAATTCTTTGCTCATTGAGCCAGTGCAGCGTCTGCCACGCTACACCCTGTACATCGATAGCATCGCAAAACAGCTCCCCGTGGCTCATCCGGCACTGAAGCTACTGCTCAAAGCCCGTGACATAGTCTCGGAGATCTGTTCTCAAGACGCTCCTGGTGCTCAAGAAACAAATATCTGGGAACGTCTGCAACGTATCGTCAAATCATGGCCGGAAGAGATCGAGTCTGTCGGCCGACTGATCACAATAGTAGACGTAGTGGAGATGTTCCCCCCATTCGAGGACGGTCATAGCCGTGGGAGTTCTGGCGTCCTCATGTTGTTCACTGACTGCACCATCTTTGTCGAAAAGCGAAGTCAGACAGCCATGTCCGCACGAGCTTTACTGTCAGAGCTTGGGAAGCCATTACTCGAGGATCGTCGCGACTCGACCCGCCCTGTCACTCCGCCGTCTTTGCATTTCGTTGACACGTTCAATCTGAAAGACACTACTGTCACAGAATATCTCAACAGTCGTGCCATCACCATCATGCCGTTATCGCCTGGTCCGGATCCCGGTATCGCTTGTGAGCAGCGTGTCTATTTGCTGGAGGGTCCGTACTCCGGCAAGGCCTCGAAATTCCAGGAGGAGTGGACCAAGGCGCAGGTCGAAGGCCGTTTCACAGAAGAGGAGCGTGAGAATGGGAAGTGGGAAGTCCGCAGTGCTCAGATAGCTGGTGGAGAGCTGAATTTGTTCAATGCCATTTTCGAAGGTTCTCAGAGGCATCGTCAGGAAAGTCCCTCCGAATCGGCGCGCATTCGTGTTATCATCGACCCCAGCAAGCATCCAAATCGCACCGCTATCGGAGAGAACGAACTGGAAGCCAGTGTGGCATTGGAGAAGACAGAGAAGGGTCAGTGGCGCATATCCATCGAGAGCGCTTTCTCCGTGGCAACACGTGATAAAGTTGATGAAGGAGAGTTTCTCTCTCTTCTTATCCGACGACTCAGTGGTCTACTGGCATCTCGCTTCTCCACCAAGAATTCGGCAATCACCTCGTCGTTTGTCCTTCGCAACCAGCAAGTCTTGGATGATCTGCATCTCGAATTCGAAAAGAAAGAAGTTGAGGTGACACTCGTGCCAGAGCCGGCTTCTGGTCAGGAACATCATCGTCCCAAGTCCCCGGTCAAGATGATCTCCAATTTCCTCTCTCAGTCGGCCCACGGCCGTCAAACTCCCACATCTAGGAAGCTTCCTCAGCTCAACGCGTTCTCTGATGCTCCTTTACTCCTTCCAGATAGTAGGGACGGGAGTCGACCTTCGTCTCGGGATCAGCCTCTGCAGCTCTCTGTGACGCCCGAAAGAAACAACAGCGTGGCCAGTCCCTCAAAGAGATTAGAGGACGCGCTGAATACGTATCTACTGGCACTTCTGGCTCGCAAAGGTAATATTGTAGGCAAAGTCGTGCAAGGCAGATCGCGTGCAAATGAGCTCTCTGTCAACGAGTTGTACAATTCTCTGCTTGAAGACCCCAACATGATGGTGGTCGCAGCACAATCATCGATCGATGTCCTCTTCGCTGCCTTTGAGAAGTTCCTCAACGTTGCTTGGAAAGAAGGTGTCGGCGCTGTGATGACAGCGACCCAGTTCCAGACCATCCAGACCAAAGCTGAAAGTCTGTTCCCTGTTGACTTCGAACGATACTTCAAGGACAGCTTTCACAATATGTCACCACCAAACCAACGAGCATTGAGAGGCATAGTGAAGCTACTTGCAGAGCTTCTAGACGGTACTGGCAACGATGGTGATCGTGGTATCCTGACTGCAGCATTTGTCGAGATACTGGTTCCCGATGGCAACCCATACGATTTCGTATCACTGCTCGATAGGTTCGTGGAGGATATCGAATCGTTGTTCGGGGAGGTGGTACAGCCGAGAGAAATAAGACCCACCCTAGGATCACATGGTCGCTCACGCTCTACTAACACTGCGTCTTTGACATCGAATACATCGTCTTTCCGCAAGAAGTTTGGATTTGGTTCCAGTACTAGCAGACCGGAACAAGACTATAAGATCTCGGTGTGGCGTACCCTGAGCAAGAGCACAAGGCTTCCTGATCAACCTTCGAGCTTGTCCAGGGGTACAATGCAGCGAGCGAAGACCACGGACGGTCATGGAGGATTGCCTGTTAGACCTTTCTCGCAAGAGGGACCAAGCAGGCAGCCATCACCTCAGCCTCCTGAACGACCAATGTCCCATGACTCCACGTGGCACAACAATGGTCCTTCGCTCGGCAGTATTGGAGAGACACTTAGCCCACCCAACCCTTCACCTCACAGAAAAAAGCGGCGTAGCTCGCTGTCTGACCTCAAATCTCTGGAACTCACTCTGAACGAGTCGCCATTCATATCACCATCAGCCATGCGCTCTTTCGAAGATTCACCCAAGGACCCTGTCGAAAGGACAAAGTCACCTTCACCTACGCTCACGAGGACCAGTGGAATTCCTACGCTTGGGTCAACTCTAGGTTCGCCTATCAGTGACCGACCTCGTTCACGTCTACCATCAGCATTCCGCAAGGAGAATTCGCCATTAAATCAGCCCAGTCCATCTCCTGCCTCAGCCAGACCAAGAAGCCTGGGCAAGCAACCAGAGGAATTCGATGCCAGTCCTGGACCGCTTGTGCGACGCGGTAGCAAGCAAGTGGGAGATACGAGTCATAGTCCTTATTCCATTGGGAGACGAGGCTCAAAGCACATAGATGAAGCACTTTATCCTCTCGCTCGACGCGGCTCCAAGCAGGTGGAAGATGGACACAATGTCCTCGCGCGCCGTGGATCGAAGCAAGTTGATGACGCTGGCAGCACTACCCATCCGACGCTCCGACGCAGTTCAAATATCCCACTGCTTTCTAGCAAGGTCGACAGACCGAAAACACCATCCACGCCGACTACAAGAGCAGGACTTTCGGAACGCCCTACAGCGGGCAACGCAATGCGTATCAAGACAGGACAAACAGGTACCCCAGCAAAAGTGACCATCAAGTCGCCGCCACCAAGCGCTACGCCAACCAGAAAGCTACGTATGCAATCACCGCAGAAACTTCGCGAACGCCTTCAAGACGAGCATCGTGCTCTTGATGCCGCACACTCAACTCTACAAGACGAACTCAGCCGCATAGGAGAGGAAATAACGTTGAATCGTCACAACAGCGTTCTCCGCAACAATGACTCACCAGCTCACCATCAATCCCCTAGTCATGATGTCCGCACTCGTCTTTCCACGCTCGAGGCTTCTCTGCCTTCTTCCATTGATTCTGTTGCGGCTCGTGTAGCTAAGATCCATGCCGATGCTCTCTCTTCCCTCTCGGTCTCCGAATCCAAAGCCAAGAAGTTGGATGAGCTGTACCGTGAAGCCAATGCGGAGAATGAGGCACTGTATGCCCGCTTCAACGACGAATTGGCTCGAGTATTGAAGGCTGTCAGAAGCGGGCAGGGGGTTGATGAGTTGAAGAATAAGATGCGTGAGTCGCAGGACGAGGCTGGAAGGTTGAGAAGGGAGAATGCAAGATTGAAGCGCGAGGTCTTGGGGCTGAGAAGTCAATTGAAAGATTGAGAGATGTTGTCTGAGACGACATCGTGGTTAGTGCTAGTGGTGTTGGACAAATGGGTGGTTGCTTGATGGACTGGGTAATGGTCACGACTTGGTAGAAGAGGTCAGGCCAGAAGGGACGGACGGATTGAGAATTTTGGCTTGGCATGAAAGGAGAAAGGACGAGCGAGGAAGAACATCAGGAAAAACCTGTATCTGGATCATGAAGAATGCGGTCACAGATCCTGTCGCGACTACCTTACCTGTACACAGAGGTCGTCTTTTCATCGTTGTTGTTTTTGCCGCAGTGTATTAGCGATGGCGCTTATTCTTGTTTCTGGTTGATGTTTTTCCTCATAGCGACATGCAGTACAGCATCTTCTAGTCAAAAAAAAGCGTGTTCCATATCATATCGATACATCTATCAAGCTTCTCGATAACGCTTCTTCCTCTTTGCACAGATATCGTGACGTTCGTCAATCTCATGAGCTGTAGTATTATAGCCATTGTCATAACCTCAAGCCTTGCAGCATGTCCATCTGAAGCCATCTGGACAATTGCGCTTACTCGTGTCGACCGCCTTAGCTTCTTTATCGTCGTGGCGAGGCCGCCCATAACCATTGGCCACGAGCTCTCCTATGTCGACCTGTCAACATGGACGGTAGAACAGACTGTGGCCAGGTGCATACCTGTGTGATGCACACAACTGTCCTCTGTATTCTCCGTCACATCAAATTCTTCCTTGCACCATCTACACATCTCGAACCTAGGTCTTTTAATCCCAACTCTCTTTTTTACTTCTACCATATCCTCGTCTTCGTCAGAGTCCACGACTGGCGGTGCCAGAATCTCTCCGATCCATGAAGCCGTATGCCATATCCCTCAGATCACACCTTCCCTACCTACGCATGCGATCTCGAAGCAAAGAATAACAAGAGAAAAAGCAACGAACTAACCTGGAGGTTGATCGGTCGGAACAAAAGAAGATACGACGCCTAAGAGATTCGAACTCTTGCTCCCGAAGGAAATAGATTTCTAGTCTATCGCTATAACCACTCAGCCAAAGCGCCAATATTTCTTTCCTACTTTCAGTAGTACTCCAATCCCTTCCCTCGAGCAGGAAAGGAGGCACAGAAGGAGAGCGCGACCGACGTGAACGTGCTCGTGATCGGTTGAACGTCGACAGATTGCTCTCACTATGCGCACTTTATGAAGCTTCATCGTGCTTCAAGCGCATAAGACGTGAGTGTCGTGAGATGTACGCTATGTTGTTTGTGTGCAGTCGCGCAGAGGTCTGGGTCTGGAAGGGCGGAAGGTAGGAAGCAATCCGATCGAATGGGATACCACGCCAAGCTTAATGATGACGCTGCTCCTGCTGTTTTCTCGTTATCTACATGACCCTGTCAGTATGTAGATGCACCATTTACCACATACATGCTTGGAACATGGCATTGACCTTATCCTTAACCGTTTCATGGGGCTCCCGGCTACTCATGAGTATCGGAGATGATATCAAATAGGCTGTGACGTCCGTATTCTGCTGCTGTTGGCCTATCTCGTGCTTATCGCCAGCCGAAGCACCACTTCGTAATGAGCACGGCACTCAATTGCATAAAGTACCAGACGATTGCATTCCGATTTGTCGAAACGTATAGACCACAGCCAGTCGAGCTCTACAGCCATTACCATGCCACTACCAGTCGTCGACCCCCCTCTACTGAACAGCGCCAACCCATGGTGCAGCACGCGAGAAGACCTCGAAGCACTGTACACTTGCCCTCACACAGGCGCCGTCACGACGAGGACTAGTCTTCCACTAGGCTTTGCACACGACCCATCCATTCACCAACATGCCTTCTTCTCGACTCAATCGCACACCTCCACGACAGCGCCAGACTACACGATTAGCGGAAAAGAGTACCCAGCCAGTCTCAACACACTGGGCTACTCACCCACACCCATCAACGTCTACCTCGACTGGGTAGAGCAGATTGTCGCCGCACACCCGAACATAAAACCCAAACCTTTCATCGTATCCGTTACGGGCTCGCCACAAGACGTCGTAGAATGCTATACCCGGGTCGCGACACTGGCTACTCGCATCTCAGCACCACTTGCCGTGGAAGTGAACCTCAGCTGTCCGAACATTGCCAACAAGCCGCCACCAGCATACTCTGGTGCCGCGCTCAAAACGTATCTTGATGCCTTGAAGCATGTACCTCGCACAGTACCGCTAGGCCTCAAGACACCGCCCTATACGTACGCCGAGCAATTCAAGACGTTGGTAGACACGCTTTGTGAAGCAAAAGGCCCGACCATTGATTTCATAACTGCCACAAATACTCTGGGATCTTGCTTGTTGCTTTCGAGCGAGGAGGCCCGCCAAGGTCAACCTCTGCTACCATCAGCGGCGGGTACGGGTATCGGTGGCCTTGCAGGCGAGCCATTACATCCTCTAGCTCTCGGCAATGTTGCGACACTACGGAAATTGCTCGACGAGCGTCCGAAGCTGCATGCTGTTGACATCATCGGTGTCGGTGGTGTCAGCGATGCCGCTGGTTTCTCGCGTATGCAGGCAGTAGGAGCAAAGGTCGTAGCGATAGGTACAGCCTTGGGCAGAGAAGGACTATCAGTGTTTGGTAAAATTGTACAGGGCGCAAAAACATCAAAGTTGTGAAGGAGTGGACAATGCCATGCTATCTTGTTAATGACAATCCCAGATCCATCCTCCCTTCGTGAAGAGTGCGCCTTAGGTAATGCTAAGAATGTGCGATGCTATTAGGTGAAGACATCGGTCGCGAATCTCACATTGCGAATACCCTCGAACCACTGTTCGGCCTCCTGGTCGGTCTTGTCTTTGCCGAGCTCCTTTGCCCGTTCCATGTATATCTTCTGACACACCATTTGAACACTGCGCTCGAGCCCGCGGCTGCCACAGACATAGACTCTGCTGCCAGCATCCCACAACTCAAGAGCTTCTTTACGATGCTCCCACAAGGCGTCCTGTGCGTACTTTGATCCTCCACTAGCCTCTGGTTTCCTGCTGTAAGCACGTAAGATCTTGACAGCACCTGTTGCTTCCCACTTGTCAAAGTCCTCTCTGTACAGTTCATCCTCATCAGGGCTTCTGCAGCCAACCACGAGGAGAGCGGGTGCAAGTTTGCGGCCGGCTTCCACTTGAGCTGCTCTCTCTTGTACAAACCCACGGAAGGGTGCAAGGCCGGTGCCAGCACAAAGCATGATGACAGGTGTGTTTTCGTAGTCGACAGGCAGATGGAAAGCTTGGCTGGAAGGTCGCACAGCGACGTGCAACTTGTCACCCGCTGCCAGTTGCGAAAGGTAGTTACTAGCTACACCCACATATTCGCCCATGCCGCTCATGTGTGATTGATGCAAAACGGCAAAGGTTAGAGTGACGCGGTGAGGATTGACCAAGCTCGAGGAAGAGATGGAGTAAGATCTGGTACGCATGGGCGGTAGACTACTGATGAATGCACTCAAAGGTAGTTGTACCGAGGGGAAGCGGTTGAGCAGATCCAGGAGTGAGACCCTCTTTTCGCTGATCTCGGTGCTGAAAGCATCGCCAGAAAGTCGAGTGAGCTCCTTCTTGGTCTCGTCGTCTGTGCATACATCCAAGAGTAAAGTGACGTTACGTTTGGTTGCGGGTTGGCCGAGCTCGACATAGGCACCGAACAAGTCGTTGGCAGAGATGGGAACGTCGGTAGGCAGAATCGTGCCAACCGCGGCCTTGATTGTCAAAACACTGTCCCAGGCAAGGTTGAATCGACGCATGACTCGCTGTACGCTTTCGTGTGGGTTGATGGGGAGCACATGGAGGTAGTCACCACTGCTGTAGGTTGCGGAGGCCGGTAGCTCGATTTCGATGTGTCTCTTCTCTGACGCGCCAGGATGCGAGAGGAGTTTTGCGTCAACAACGCGTGCCTCATACACGTCTGCGCGCAAATGAGAAGACCGAATGCTCGAGACCTCGACTGTCAAGCTTTGTGTCGCGGCCGAGTCGGTTGTGCTACTATCGCCACCGTACTTACTCGCCATTGCTGGCCAGAAGACGTCGTCTTCCCATTTTTCAAATTCACTGAACATGTCGCCATTGGCTGCATTGGCCGAGCCTCGACTGCAGATGCGTTCTCCACCTCGAGCAAGTAGAATGTCGTCGATAGCGGTGGGAATCTTGTGGAAGGTGTTCTTCCAGTCACTATGTCCAGCTCCAAACACAGCATATTGGACCTTTGTAGAATCTCCTTGCAATGACTCGAGCCAGTGGTAAAAGTGAGCGGCATTATCTGCCGGTTCACCTTCGTAAGAACAAGTAACGATTGCGATAGGTTGGTCCGTAGGCAAATTGTCTTTGGCCGAGTCAAGGGTATCGATCTTGGTGACCTTAAAACCATGAGATGGTGCATCGGCTGCGAGACCTTGGGCGAAAGCCTGACAAGTGCCTGTGTTGGAACCATACAGAATGGTCAAAGGTCGTCCTTTACTTTCATCTGTAGTCGCTCTTGTTGCTTCACCGTCAGGCCTGCTGGATTGATGCTCCCGGACCGGCGTTCCGTCAGATGACAGGATTTGTTCGAGCTGAGTGGGAGTCCGACCATGGCGCAGTTGTGCGTGCATGTAGAAGTGATTCGGCTTGATGGTCAGAGTGGACTTGATCTGAAGATCGTACTTTGCATCGTCTAAGGTGAAGTCAAAGTATTGCAGTAACATTGCAACCACAAGTTGAGCCTCTTGCCAGGCGAACGGACGACCTGGGGTTGCATTAGTACCCGTAGTCAAAGCTCGCTGAGCCATATGTGTAACTCACCTATACAAGCACGAGAGCCATTTCCAAACGGTTTCCAGGCGTTGGGTGGAAGTTTGTTGAAGTTCTCGTCAAGCATTCTTTCGGGCTTGAACTCGTTGGCATCCTCTCCGTACACTGCAGGATCGCGATGGATTTTTGGCAACAGAGCAATGATAGGTTGACCCTTGTGTACGGTGTATTCGCCACCAATAACATCAATCTCATTGTTGGGCTGAATCGAGAAGGCCGGGGCGGTAGGCTGTAGGCGAAGAGTCTCTCTTAGGACCGCGTTGATATAGGGAAGCTTACTCAAGTGTTCTACTTTGATACTGGCGTCTCCAATCACTCTGTCCACTTCTTCTTGTGCCTTCTTGTACGCAGAAGGGTTCTTCAGTAGGTAGTAGAAGAGGAAGGATAGAAGACCAGAAGTAGTTTCGTGACCAGCAATCAAGAAAGTAATCATATTGTCGATGATACTTTCATCACTCAATGAATCTCCGTTGCGTGGATCTTTACCGTGAAGCATAGCATGCAGGAGGTCCTTTCTGCTTCCAGGATGCTTCTTGCGATTTTGCACCAGTTCCGAACTCAATTCGCGCAAGTACTTGACGTCTTTCCAGTATTGATATTCTTCTTTTCGATACAGAGCAGCCAAGAAGCCAGGTCTGCGAATTCGTGAGCCAGATTCAGACAGGACGTTGACCATGGCATCCACAAAGGGGTGCATTTGTTCTGCATAGAATGAGTTGAAACGATAATTCATGGAGCAGAGAGCAAGAGTGTCAAGTGTCAGTCGGGTGAAGTCGTCTGTAACATGGACCTTGTAGTCTTGTCCATGGCGTGCCCACTTCATGACTAGTTGGGATGCTATATCCTTCATGTCATCGAACATGGAGCGGATGTTGAGCGGACCAAAAGCTGGCACTAGAACACGATGTGCAACCTCCCAGTTGTGTTCGCCGTTGTGCTGTAAGCGTGTTAGACACAGATATCGATATAGAGCTTGATGATATGAACTTACAGCGGTAAAAAGACCATCTCCGGTCAAATTTCTGACCTCTCCCAGAGCGGCGGTGACAACTTTGCCAAATCGTTTCTCATCGCAGATCTCGTTCAACAGCTCAACAGAGGAGACGATTACTCGACGTTTTCCGAGGATCGAGAGACTGTAAATTGATCCTGTTTGTGTTCAGCTTTGTTGCTAGATTTGACAAGCTTTGAGATGCTTACCATATTTGTCGGCAATGTCCATCAACGACTTGACGGGAACTTCGGGGTCTATGTCATTGATGTTTCCTAGGAAAGGCCAGCCAGCTGGACCAGGAATAGGAGTAGACATGATTAAGAAATATGATAGGGTGAAGGAGACTTCAAGTCCTGCTTGACGTCTCTTATATCAATCAAGTAAGTCATCGAGATACTCCGCTCGTATAAGCCAAGCATCGGAAGTCTGAGACTTGGCGACCGACACGGCCTGTTGTCAGCCGACACACACGCCCCCTTGTGATCAACGCTCGCCTTGAAACACCTATCTCTTCGCTCGTTCGGGCAACCCTTGCGAAGTCGACCCTACTGTGATGCAACGACATGGCAAAATTCGCAAGACCTACTCCATTCGTTCTTACTGTCAGGGGCTACATATAATAACACTTGTCGGAGGAGGCGATATAATCACCGGCTAGTTGAAAAAAACAAAAAAAAAACGAGGGGCCAATGACGCTCCATATTTGCTGTAGAATTATCATTAAATCGTAAGTATCTCGTACATATAAGTTTGTCTACTTCTCCCATCATTATGCCGCTGGTGAGATGTGGACCACCATCAACGGACGACTCGTTTCAGCTTGACCCATAGGGATGACTTATCCCAAAACGAAAAGACCTTTTGCTCAGTCCAGCTTTTGCTCTCTGGCATCAATTCCAAGTCAAAGTTCCAGAAGACCTCTGTCAACAACAATCGACATTCGTGATATGCGAGATTGCGACCTATACAATTGCGAGGGCCCACTGAGAAGGGCTGGAACGCGGCATGATTGTCGTGTTCGAAGCGCGCATCTTCTCCCAGCCATCTTTCTGGAATGAAACTCTCTGCGTCGTGAAAGTTGGACTCGGAGTGGTAAGTTGCCCACTGGCTGACGGAGACCGTCATGTCTTCTGGTATGAATTCTCCACATATGCTAGCACCGCCTTTTGGCACCTGGCGTGGTAAGCCAGTCGGCACTGGCGGATACAAGCGCATGCCTTCTTCAATACAAGCCGAGAGATATGGAAGCTGTTGCAGCGCCTCAATTGTGATATCTGCATCGCGAGTAAAAGCGGAGCGTAGCTCTCGAGTGAGCCGCGCGGTGGCCTCTGGATTTTGTAGGAGATGGTACGTGAGACCGCTAGCCTCTTATCAGCAAAGGAACACGATTTGAATGCTCCTTACATACCTCAATAATGTCGCAGTTGTCTCGGTACCTGCAATCATGAACATGGCTGAGTTGCTGTGCATTTCGCTCAGCGACATGCCACCTTCTTGTCCAGCTTTCTTCAAAACAAAGCTCCAGAGATCTGGACTTAACGGCGTCCTTGCAAGTCGACGATCAACACGATCAGCAGAGTATTTGAAATGGTTGACCTGCTTCTTGCGAATTGCGTTGTTCAACACGATGTTGATGAACGTCGTCATGCCAGGTATCAATCTGATCGCGCGAAGTCTAGTCATAGACTTGATCGAGGCGAAGATGGTAGCCACCCATGGAGAGTACTCTGAGCCCTCGAGCATATGTAAGCTCTCGGAGAATGTCAGATCTGCCATGAGGTCGAAAGTAGTGAAGTTGTAGTAGGCGACCAGATCGATAGGAGAGTCAGCAAAGGTCAATTCATGCAGCTTCTCTACAAGCAAGTTTGCCCAGCGCTTGAATAGAGGTTCTTCCTCCTTCAACGCCTTGTCAGAGAATGCGTGCGAAAGTACTCGTCGTTGTCGGGCATGATTAGCGTCATCTGAGCTCAGAATCGAGGTTGTTCCGTTGACGGGAATAGCATAGAGGCGGCGGTCCTTAGCAAAGCTCCTTTTACCAGAGAGTCGATGGCCGTAAATCTCCTTCCACGCGTTTGTGCCAGACAATCCTGTGCCATTTGCTTCTGCATCAATGTAGCTTATCTCGGTGGGAGAGACTCGCACCACCGGGCCGTATTTTGAGTGTAGCCGCTGCTTTGTCCTGGTGTCTTGTCCTCTCCAGATCATGCATATAAGTGGAAGGTTGCTTGCAGCCCATAACTTGGGTCCTGGGAATTTAGACAGAGGCCCGAACCAGACATCGTAGATGGTATTCGCGACTTGATAAGCAAGATACTGAACATGATCAGTATTCACACGTCGAAGACTGGGGGATGAGCAATACCGAGACAAAGCCAAAGACAAGCACTTTCCAAGCGAGGCTGGACGCTGATAAAGAGTGTAGTTCAAGGTTCATGACAGCTCAGCAGAGTAGTCGTCACGTACGTAGCGGAGGAACGGGCAGAGAGAAGTGTCGAGGATCTGCATTTTGCGGATCTGGGACTGAGGACAGTCTAAATATGCTACGGCCATATCGTGAGAGTTTTGACAACCACCATGCCCTCAGAGCTTTGTTCCTACCCTCCGCTCCGGGGTTGCGTCTCTACTTGCCAATCACACCCTATCTCCTCCTACCTTCCGAAGGCAGCGGAACGTTGCAAGAGTCATGAGTGAACTACTGCAGGTTTCACGGCGCATTATGAGACGCTTGACAAAGTGAGCATGGTGTCAACGATAGCCAAGGCAAGATGTGCGCAGTCTTCTCAAGCTTAACGGATGTCGAGCTGCCAAGCGAGCAATAGTCTTTTGATCTTCGCAGGCAAAAATGACGATCCCGCAACTCGACCCGAGGTCCCGACGAAGCAGCGACCCTATAAACCCAGATGGTCAATCTCAACTGTTACTTCCAACATTTGAGACTGCGTAGCTCATCCTCTTGATCCTTCAAGTTCACAAGAGGCAAGGAGTAGCTCGACAGAGGAAGTGCAGTGTGTAGCTGAGCCGGGGTATCTGAGAGTCCCCCAAAGCGATACGTGCGTACGGATGGTCTCTTTCACCCATAAGGCTCAGCCGTTCCGGTCTCCAAGGCACCATAATGTCTTCTCGGTCTTGGCCTACCAAGAGCTTGAATCAGGAATATGTTTTTGTAGAGTATTGGTTTGACGGTTTGACCACAAATCATGCGTGAGAGAAATGGACGGCTTCTCTCGCAGCCGGATCTGCGATCAGCACGAGTGCCATGCTTGAACCGGCAAAAACGTCCACAATTACGAGAATTGATTTTTCTAACGCTCGCTGGCAAACTATGGGGGAACTTTCTGTCAGGCTTTGTCAATTGTGATGGCTGGGCATTTTCCCATGCTTGAGCCTCAGTGAAACGCAAAGACCTTTGTGTTATCGCAGGGCATTAGCACGCCTCAACTTGTGCGTTTCGCTTAATGGACTCGGCAAACGAAGCACAATAGAACCTGTCATGCCGGACAATGCTTCGATAGACCGAATCTTGCCTCCGTCGGGTGGAGCGCGTACAGGAAATGCTGCAACATTGCCTCGGGTGGTTGGTCCGCCGCGGATGTATCCTTGTCTGGGCCTGGCTCGATCGTGAAAGCTTTAACCTTTGCCTCAAGAATTCGGCCGTAACAAAGAGATCTGCAAAACAACATGCCCACAATGCCACATGCGTGCGAACGGCAAGATAGACGTGATCCGTAGTCGCAATCGTTTATGGCTCCTTATCAGCAGCAATGGTTGCCACATTGGCTCAACATGAACACGTCTCATTTACTCGTCCAGTGAGCCGATCTCGTGTCTCGAAATCGATGCCGGCGGACCTGGTTGAAGAACTATATACCAACAACGACCATCTCATCATGCCCGCTCAAGGCCCATACTAAGACTTGAGGATGTTGTGACATGCGCCTCCAGAGCCAAACATCTTGCGAAGGTCAGAAACAATTTCTTCCGGTTGCTCGTAGGCAAGGAAATGGCCTCCACGTTTCTTCTCGCTCTCGAACACAACTGGGCCGAGGGTCTTTCCCCAGGTTCGCGGGACGATGGTGAGCTCCTGTGGGGAGCGTGGTCAGCCTCTTGTACAGAGCATGGGCTCGGCAGGCGGATCCGAAATGCTGATCAACTTGTGCTGATTGGGCTAGATCTGGGAAACGAGTTGAAGGAACCACGAATATATTCACATACCTTAGGCGCATAGCACAATCCAAGCTTGACACCTCCAATCCAGTGCTGGACACGTTCACGATTTGCCTCTGTTGATGTGTGCGTGGCCTCATAGTATATTCTCAAGGATGCTGCAGGACCGGCTTCCGAGAACCAATAAATCGAAATCCAGGTCAAGATCTCATCATCGGTCCAAGGGTAGTTGTCAGTCCAATCATGAAGCTTCTCATAAATCCAGGCGAGCAATGCGACGGGGCTGTCTGCAAGGGCATAACCCACAGTCTGAGGTTTAGTACCTAGGAAGAAGCTTTGATCAGCACAATGTTAGACTTGATCACATTTGACTGACTCTGAATTGCCCTGTAACCACTGCCCTCGTTGGCAAACCAGTCACTTCTGGACCTTCCTTGATGTTCGTCTTCGGTGTATGGAGTCACTGCATGCTGAATGGCTAGCAGCGGATTGGAAGACCACTCTGGAGGATATGCTCGAACCATATTGATGTGGGAAGCCAAGCAAGACTCTGGGTAGAGCAATCCGATCGAGCGAGTGACAAACATTCCCCAGTCTGGTGAGTACAATGTCAGAAGTAGGTATTAGACGGGTGACGTCCGTGACACTTCTTACCTCCGCCCTGAGTGACTTCGTAGCTCGGTCAGCAACTTTCCATGTTATGACTAAACAGGGTTCAATGTTACCGTATCTCTCATAACCAAGCAGCTTCATTAGGCGGTGGCATGCCTCAGCGTATTGACCAAGTCCAAATCCCTTCTTCTTGATTCCTGGTCATGTCTGAGCTGAGTTTACTTCAAGACGACATGTTTGCCTACCTGCACTCCAGGCGTAGTTTGGAAGAGACGGGGCTACGATGGAGAAACTTACACCATTGGCATCTCCTGACAATGATGACAGCATCTTGGTCACCTCAATGTAGCTGCCGGGCTGTCTTCTGCGTCAATTCATCTCCAACAAGAAACACTTGCGACCCAGACCTACCCAGCCGTGAACGAAAAGTAGGGGGACCGCATCTGGCGCAGAGCTTGGCTGGTGCAAGAAGTGAAGCGCAGTGTCTCCAAAGCCATCAACGGTGACATTGGCTTTGAAATTCGGCAACTCATTCAGCTTTGCCTCCTGCTTTCTCCAATCGAAGTTGGTCTTCCAGTAGGAGATAAGCCTCTTGACATCGGCCAGAGGGCTTCCATAAGCCCATTCTGCATCCTCGAGCTACGACGATGAGTCTTTCGAGTCATAAGATGTTTCGTATGGATCTCACCTCATCAGGAAAAGTTGCCAGGTCAAGCCTCTTCTGCAAGTCTTCGAGACGTGACTCTGGCACAGCGATACGATATGGAGAAGACGACATGGTCTGCATACAATGAGAGGTATAATAACACGACAGGGCAAGCGCAGTCTGAGCCCTTGGTGGTGAGCCTCAGCTGTTTTACACCGTCACATGTTTGCGATATCGAGCGGGGAGAGTTAAGCTTACCGAACAGAGCCGCAATCCGCGCCTCATCCGTCACTCATCACGAATTGCCCTGCACGATCGTGAGCTCTAAATTGTTCTAGGCCAATGAGACAATCGATTGATGCAGGCATTTTACGAAGTGTTGTACATATGTGAACACAACAATAAGAGCTGTCTGTATAAAGTGAGAATACACGATCATGACGCATTGCCATTTGGAGGAAGCAGAATGTCCCGGACTTTGACCGTCGCATTCGTCACCGATTTGCCGGAAATTTTGTCAGATCGTCACCACAAAGATTTACATGACTTGACGTGCCAGTGCATGGGTCCCCTTTCCTTCTAAAAGGGGGCTAGGCATCGACTGATCAGCGACGATCAACATCAATTTTCAGCACACGCAGCGAAAATCACGTACCAAAAGGGAGCGAACCTCGATGACAACCCCATTGACCCTGCCCTTGGGGGCGGCACAAATCTATACTGCTACAATTATGGGCATTGCAGGGTCAGTGACGTGTGTAGAAGTCCCTCTCAGTGATGTCCCTTGTTTGGGGGAACTGAACATGCGGCTTGTTGAGAGATGGATCTGCTACATATCTTTACCACACTCGGAAATCCCTTCAGCTGCTATGACGATCTGAGCCTTTGCACAGTGTCGGGAAGTACTCGACATGGGAGAGATTGCGTAGGTGCACGGGCAGAGAATAGCTGAGTACCATCCTAGCGAAGCACTATTCATCTCTAGTAAATAAAAGAGGGAGTGGATCCCTCGTCCCAATGCTCGACTTGCTTTCCCCATTGCTATCTCTCTTTCTCGTCTGAACATGTACAAAATGCAGGGGATCTCAATCGTGCTCGCCCTCCTTTCGCTTACGGGTTCTGCCCTTGCTAGACCAGCACCCGCGGATCCTGTTCCATCTCCTGAAGTCACCACAGCTGCTTCCCTCGAAGACCGTGACTTGATCAGCGATCTTACAGGTGCTGTTGGTGATGTCCTTGGCGATGCTGTTAGAGATATCAACAACATCCTCTCAAAAGTAGGAGTAGGCCAACTCGCCGGAAACCAAGCTTGGAGCTCTATCTCGTCTGCTCTGGCTCAGGTCACAGCGACAAAGACTCAGACTAATGCTGAATCAGCCATCGCCCAAATGTCCAGCATCCACGCTGCCAAGCCTTCTGCAAACCTCTTTGAGTTTGTTGCTACGATTGCTGCAGAAGGATTGACTGCCAATTCCGTCACCGAACTACTTGGTTTCGTTGAGGGATTGGCCTCTGGTCAAAATAGTATGAGCAATGTCAATGTTCAGACGCCCAAGGATACCATCTATCCCAGGAAGGGACTCGACCCCAAGTACAGCGTTACTGAATCATCTCTTCGCTCTGCCATCTACATTCCTGCCTCATTCCAAGGCGGAAAAGTCCAGCCAGTCATTTTGATGCCCGGATCAGGCTCAACTGGCTACTTTACTTATGTCGGCAATTACATCAAGCTTCTTACTGGATCAGGCTACGCGGATCCAGTCTGGCTAAACATCCCTGGATATCTCTTGAACGATGCTCAAGTCAATGCTGAGTACGCTGCCTACGCAATCAACTACGTTTCTAGTATCACTGGCAAGAAGGTTTCCATCATTGGTTGGTCCCAGGGCAACATCGATATCCAATGGGCATTCAAATACTTCACCTCGACTGTCAAGTCTGTCAGAAACCACATTGCCATCAGCCCTGATTATGCCGGTACCGTAAATGCCAACCTCATCTGCCCTGACGGCCTTCCATGCGATCCTGCAGTCTTGCAACAACAATACAAGGGAACAAGCAACTTCATCGACAGAATGAGGCTCGGTAACGGTGACTCTGCATACGTTCCCACCACCACTGTGTACAGTGGACTGTTCGATGAAATCGTCGAGCCTCAACAAGGTACTGGCGCGTCTGCGTACCTCAACGATGCTCGCAAGGTTGGCGTCACGAACAACTATCTCCAAGGAATCTGCCCTGGTCTACCCGGTGGTTCGTTCTACACTCACGAAGGTGTGCTTTACAATCCCCTTGCATTTGGCCTCGTCAAGGATGCCCTGATCAATGGTGGTGCTGGCAAGACATCTCGCCTTGACCTCAACAAGCTATGCAACATTTACCTTGCCGAGGGTCTCAATGTTGGCGACTTGCTCGTAACCGAGAACACCATTGTGGTTGCTGCACTCTCTCTTATCTTATACCTGCCCAAGGTCGTTGTGGAGCCTGCCATCAAGGCTTACGCCTGGTACTAGGTACTCGTCACCTTCTTGTCATCTTGATGTCTAATGAATCTGTGTAAATATATTGGTCTCATAATCTGTACATATATCACGACCAACCAAATTGAACTGTGGAATGGAGCTGGACACGATGGAAGCTAGCGGCCCTTATTTTGTTCATTTCTGTATATATATCTGATCGTTTCTTCTTTTGTCACTCCTGAGTACTAAGCAAGACGCAGTCTTTCCTTAATGTTACCGAGCCGGAGGTATTGTGCAATGGAGCATGCGATGCTGCAATGGTATTTCGTATTTCGTCAAATGCTTTGTGCGCGTAGACGTACGTTCATTAGAATGCCAAAAGCTCGAGGAGTCCGATTATGAGGTGTGCGATATAGGGCTACACGATATTAGCACGTACTTCGAATGAGCAGGAGGCCGAGGAAGCAGAAACATACCAGCTGAGCATTTCTCACAGCGCTGCTACCTATAGTAGCGGCAGTGCTACTTCCGACAAGGATGAAGCCATCACCAGTAGTAGTAGTAGCAGTAGCAGCAGAAGAAGCGGTAGTGGTAATTGCAGAAGATGTGGTGCCGTGGCCGCTTGCGATAATGAGCCCACCTCCCGATGTAGCGATAGATGTAGCTGATGAAGCAGATACGGTCAAGGGTGGGGAAGCAGTGGCAGTCGAGCGTAGAGAGCCGCCCGAAGCAATGACACCGCTGGTGATGATGGACGAGATGGCACCAGTGCAAGCGGCACCGCTTGGGCAGCAGGCAACATGACCAGCCTGATCAGGAGCACAAACGGCTGAATTTGCGCAGCAGAGACCTGGAGCACCGAGGTTTGCACAGTTCTTGTAGCCAGTTGGGCACGACGTTGGATCAATGGCCCGTTTTGGCAGGTCGTGGAATGTTTGGTTGGAGGGAACCTGTTGCGACCAGTCGAGCACGGACAGCAACGGCGAGAAGAGTGTTGCGCTTGCGAAACAGGTCAAAAGCTCAAGGATGCTGAAAAGCAGCAGGACTCGAGAGTGGAACGACATGACGGTCTGTAGATTTGGAGTCTGTCGAGGGAGATCCTGTTCGTCCTACAATGTCTGCTGCCCGAAGAGGTGCATACTGTATGTAGAGCCTCTGTTTTCCTGCCGGCTGTTGGCATGGTGAAGGCGCATGGGCCACACTTTGTTCGCCAGCTTGACACTCCTCCATGAACACTCGCCCACTGCATCTAGATTCTGCTATTCGTGACGCTCTGTCCGGCAGAAACAAGACCTGACATCAGTCCTCAGCTCACTCCGACATTGTAGACTGGTAGATATAGAGTGCCTAGATACATACTGTAAGTCAAGCCACGAGCTCATCATGGCTCCGTCAAGAGGCAGGTGATGCTGTGGTTGCTTCCTTCCCAGAAGTGCCTTCTTTGCAAGGCTCTCAAACAACAAGTCGAAAGTCGTCTGCAAGCCTGTCTTCAACATCACCAACAAGCAGAAAATCCATTACAAGCATCTGCTAGTCTACACACATCATGATGTTGCATCTCATACTGTTGTTTTCCTTGTGCTGCCAGTTCGTCTACTCGCAGACAGATTGCCAATTCTTCCGTCCTGCGACCAACAACTACACAGCATGGTCAGAGAGTCACATTGCCACTTGGTGCAAGCATCACGACCCCTCATCCACCTCTCAATGTGCCAGTCAGTCACGAAATACAAGCCCCAGCCATTTCATTATTCTGCTAATGCGAACAAGCTGTCTCATGGCCTGAAAGCATCCCAAGTCTAAGACGCGTCAATCATCGCCGCAATCCCTTGGAATTCATCCTCCGGCTCAAGCCTAGGATTGGCACGAGGAAAGACTGCATCGCCCGCTCGTCTGCACTTTCTCTCACTTACGGAAAGAATGCCAACGGTCTGTACGAAGCTGCCACCTGCGACCTCTACTACTTCGACTACACGCGCAGCGCTGAGTGTGTGTGCTTCCCCGTCTATGATGACCATGTTTCTCACACCACTTACATCGACCACGACATCTACGACATCACGAGTGTCTTCGCAACCACATCCGTCTTCTATCCTCCGGAGCAAGTGGTAAGCAGCTATCTTCTTGCAGCTGCTACTCAAGGGACGCCCACAACCTGCAACCCCAAGAGAACCACTTGCCCAAAGTCTGCCAATCTCGTGCACCGGAAGCCTCGTGTGCTTGGCGACTTTCCATACTGTCCAAGACCTGGTCAACAACAGAAAATTCCAACTCGTACCTATTACCATGACGACATGCCATCCAAGCCATCCAAGCCATGCAAATCATCCAAATCGCACAAGTCGCACAAGTCGCACAAGACTCACTCACCAAAACCATGGGCCTTGTTGCCCAACAGCCATGCCTGCAAAAGCAAAGACACCAAAGAGCAAAAGTCACAATGCAAGATTGACAAGTGTATGTGGAGCTTTGTCAGACCTTACATGTCTCCAACTGTTGCAGCCCGTGCAGTCACCAACGCCAAGGGTGCTAAACTCTTTGTCACATCTGTGACGGATTACGTCAACATCACCACACCACACTGGGGGTTCCTCGCCCACCCTTCCTCCATCACTCAGCCTTGTTCCACATCGCTGAGTTCCAAGGACAGAAAGAAGAAGGAAAAGGATGCCAAGATCGTGTCAAAACCTCTGTGCCGTAACGCCAACGAATGCCGGGCATGGTGTGAGAAGAGAGTCAAGGCTCCCTTCAAGCACATGATGGTGCTTTTGGCAGGCTTCACTGCCGTTTCCGCATTAGCTTCTTTGGCCATGTTGGCCAGACTCTGCTTCCGCCGCCGCCGAAACAAGGCTCGTGCTGAGGACAACAATCAAGTTGTGCAGGGCGTGGAGCTTGTGCAGATTCCTTCAGCCGCTGCAGGAGAGAGGGCTGGTGACCCGGGCGGCCAGGGCGGTCAAGGCGGTCAGGGTGCCGAGATGAACAGCTTGGGCAACGGCCCTCGGACTGTGAGAGGCCAGGAGATTGTTCAAGCTCCATCGACCGCGAGAGGTCAGGACATCGCAATGGGTTCTTCTATTGCCAGAGACCAAGGGCTTGGACCGGGTCCCTCGACTGCAAGAAGCCAGGAGGTTGTGCAGGCCCCTCTGACGGTGAGCGGTCAGCAAGTTTCGCAGGGTCCTTCGACTGGCACAAGAGAAAGAGTGCGCTACCAGAGTGGCGAACTGGATGAGGTGGATCACCTGGGTAACAGCCCTAGAGTTGTGAGAGATCAGTCGCTTCATTAGACGAGGCTGTTTTGGGAGTGATTTTACCTGTGACTCAAGGAAATTGTACGGGTAGGAAGAGGGAGAGTAACGGGTCATTGTTAAACACAAAGAGTATAGATAATCGAACATTCACATCATCACCAGACTCACAGTGCCTCCACTTCATGTCCTTGCTTTCTTTCTGTCTGACATGACAAGAGGTGACTCGACGGCACAAGTATATCAACTAAGCAGCCATTTCACACTCATAATCACATACTTTCTAGTCACTATGTTGATTTACAAATCTCGCAAGCACGGAACTTGGGAAAATAGGGAGTTTAGATGCAAGGTATCCTAATGAAACGATGAAAGGAAAAGCAATATGAAGATTTGAATGGGTGGATTGGGCCACAGGCGCGAAACCAAGATTCCTGCTCTCGAAAAGCGCCTCGATGCTTTTTGTCCAATGACCCCATGTGCCTCGCATTATGTACAACTCTTTGGTTCTCGGGTCGTCCCGCTGAAATCTCTGTTCTGCAGGCTTCGTGTGTGTGTTTCGGTCGCTGGCAATTTGTTTTGCTTTTATTTGTTGGCGGCCGAGTCGCGCTTGATGGTGGGGTTCTCGCCGTGGGCGAACTTGGAGTCGGTTGGGAGGGGCTCTTGAGGCTTGTCTGTAAGGAGAAGTTTGTTAGTGCTCTGTGGATTTAGTTAAAGTGGAGGTTGCACAAAACTTACCATGACGGGCGTACATGTTGTACTCTTCGTCAGTGTACTTGCCGACCTTGCCAGACTCGACATCAGAGCGGGTGAGGGTGAGCTTGCCCTTGGGCAGACCCATGCTGCCGAGGTACGAAACAGCATCCTTCCACTCCTTGTCCTGTCTCGACTTGGTCCACTTGTACTCCTCGGTCATCATGTCAATAACCTTGGGCAGAGCCTCGAGGGCAGCCTGGGCGTTCAAGAAAGCAAGACGGGTACGGCGGGCGATAACGTCGACGGCAGTCTCTGCGTACTCGTGGCGCATGGCGTAACGAACCTCGCCGTCAACGAAGGGGTAAAGCTCGGAGATACGGTTGCCGCGGACGGGGAAACGCTGTTCGGTGGGTTCACAGAGGGCAGCGACTTGCCATGCACGATCACCGTAGGACTCGGCCAAGTGCTTAGCGACCTCGGTTTCGATACCGTAGTGTTGGATCAGGTTGATGAAGAGGGTCTTGCTCCAGCCGTGAGCACCAACAAGTCTGACCTGATGGGTCTGGCAGGTACCGTCGAGGGTGGCAGCGTCGTTGAATCGCTCGGAACCGGAAACACGAGGAGGGTTGGCAAGAGGACCGGTGGACAGCTTGAACTCGCTAATGGCTTCGTCAACAGTCTCCTCGGCCATCTGGCGGTAAGTGGTCCACTTGCCACCAGAACAGGTGATGAGACCGCTGTCGCTGGTGGTGACAAGGTGGTTACGGACGAGACCTTCAGACTTGGCCTTCTTGGGGTCGCGGACGAGAGGACGGATACCAGACCAGGCGGCGAGGACATCACCACGGCGGACAGTAATTTCGGGTTGCAGGTAGTTCTTGACTTCGGAAAGGATCCAGTTGATCTCCTCCTCGCCAGCAATGGGGTTCTGGTTGATGTCACAGGGGGTATCGGTGGTACCAGCAATCGTGTTGCCCTGCCATGGGAGGAAGAAGATGACACGGCCGTCGGATGTGTGAGGATCGAGCATACCCATATTGGCGGGCGCGTAGTAACCAGGAAGAATGACGTGAACGCCGGAGGAAGGAGCAACGATTTCTTGAACGGTTTGGTCGTCCATCTTGCGAATCGAGTCGGTGAAAGGACCAGTGGCGTTGATGACACCCTTTGCGCGGATGGTGAACTCGTCGGAGCTACCGTTGGCTTCGGCCACCAGATCCTTGACGCGAGCACCGTTGAGTCTGCCGTTCTCGTCCTTTGTGAGGGAGGTGACTTCGATGTGGTTGACAACAGTTGCACCATAGAGGGCAGCAGTCATACCGAGAGAGACGTTCATGCGGGAGTCATTGTGAGCACCATCTAAGGACTGTCAGAAGAATAAACCAGACAATACTCGGTGGGTATACATGCCGTAGTAAACAAGAGCACCAACCAAGTTGTCCTTCTTGAGCATAGGGAACGCGTTGAGGGCCTTTGACTTGGTCATGAAGTAAGAACTTTCGATGTTTTCAGAACCGGCGAGGAAATCATAGAACTTTGTGCCTGCCCAGAAGTAGGGAGCTTGCCACCACTTGCTGATGGGAATCATAATAGGGAGCCATGACGAGAGATGAGGTGCGGTATCGAGGAAGAAGCGACGCTCACGAAGAGCCTCTTTGACGAGCTTGTATCTTGGGACAGAACATCAGCATTTGGGGTCAATTGCATGGTTGGTAGAGGGTAAACGAACTGGCTGTAGTCGAGTTCCCAGACAGCCTTCTCAAGATATCTAACACCACCGTGGACGAGCTTGGTACTCTTTGAGCTGGTACCAGAGGCGAAATCGTCTCTCTCTACCATGGCGACCTTGAGGCCGCGAGTGGCAGCATCGAGAGCGATACCGGTACCGGTTGCACCAGCGCCAATGACCAAGAGGTCGTATTCCTCGCTCTTGTTGCCTTGGTTGTCGGCCTGGACATCGCCAGACGAGCCGGCGATGGCCTTGGCAACCTTGTTTCCAGCATCCTTCAAAGCACCTGTGACAGCACCAGCTGAAGCCTTGAGGTCGGCGATCTGAGCGGCGCGAGACTTGATCTCGGGAAAGCTGGGAGGATTGAAGACACCCCCCTCGCCATATGTCGGCGGCGGGACGGCCGCGGCCTCGGAGCCGGGAATTTCGCGGGGTCTGTAGATGGTATAAAGACCACCGGCGCCGACGACACCGGCGGCCGAGGCGTAGCCCAGAGCGCGGAAGAAACGATTCGATCGACTCGCCATTCTCTGCTTGTTGTGAAGGGAGGAAGGAGAGAGGGCAGAGGGAGCGAGGCGAGAAAAGGTTTGAACAAGTCGCAAGGATTGCGGTCTTGGTGTACGGTGCGGCTATGATGCAACGGATGTCCAAGCTTGTGGGTATTCTCCACGCTGATGGAGGATTCGAGCGGACATGGTGGATGGGGCGGCGCTATTACGGACACTCCATTGACTCCTTCTCCACGCCTCACTGCTGCTTACAACCGAGGGGCCGCCGTGTTATGCATCCTATTCAGGACGCGCCCTCTTCCTCCCGCTGCTTGACGGCGGAATTCTGACGCCCGCCGGTACTTTTTACATGTGATGGGGAGCTTCCGCCTCTCAGCGGTCACGCGTTTCTCCGCCAATCAAATCGCCGTGGCCGGCCCTAGCCTCTGTAGCTTCGAGATCGGAAAGTCACCCCTTCGTGCATCTTGGCAGTTGAAGACGATCCGACGATCTTTCTGCCAACACTTTTACGATGAAGCCGTGTCTTGCGCTGGGACACGACACGCTACACCCCCCTTCTCCAGTCTTTTTCTCCAACCATTTGGTTCCTCGTACATTGATCCCGTCATACTCCCATCACCTTCGGTCTGCATCTTGATTTGTCGTCTGGGCACTCGGGTACATCGGGCAGCAACAACCATCTGAGCGTGACTGTAATTGTATCTTTGCTGTCCGCTAAACGTCAAATTCTACAGTGTCCTTCTCTCCAACGCGTCTAGTTGTGCTCCTCTATTCATCGGCTTCATGAGGCCTCTGCTGCCTTCAGCAAGCCCTTCAGATCGATACTCTTCGGTCGCTCAATAGGAAGACCGAGTGCGCGGTCCCAAATCAGCTGTGCGAGCGGTCCGAGACCTCTACTGACACCGAAGATGGCCGTGTAGTATAGTGTTTCTTGGAAGCCGTAGTGATGGAAGAGCACTCCCGAGCCAGAGTCGACATTGGGATACGGGTTCTTGGTCTGCAAGTTCGTCAGTATCCATCATCGAGAAGCAAGAGCCGGATACAACATACCTTTCCGTGTTCGGTCAGAACGCCCGGCGCAATCTGCGAGTTGGTCTTGATGAGCTGGAACAGCTTGTTGCTCTTGATGTCTTCATGAGCATCTCCGAATGCAAGCAGAGCATCGAATCTAGGATCGGGCTTACGCAGGACTGCGTGTCCAAAGCCTGGGATTACCCTACCGCTCTTGAGTGTGCTCCACAGGTACTCTTTGACATCCTTCTCAGTAAAGTCCTCGCCGATGTGGTCCTTCATTTGCAACATCCATCGAAGCACCTCTTGGGCTGCTAGACCGTGGAGAGGACCTGCGAGACCTTGCAGACCAGCTGAGTAGGACAAGAAGGCATCCGAGAGAGCAGAACCGACCAGGTGAGTTGAATGGGCCGAAACATTGCCTCCCTCGTGGTCACCGTGCAAGGCGCAGTAAAGTCTGAGCAGATCCTGGAAGCCCTCATTCTCCTTGCCGCCTTTGCCCAACATTGCAGCATAGTTGTAGCACCAGTCTTGCTCAGGGTCGATCTGAGCAGGCAGAGGACCGCCTCCATGGTAAGAGTTTTGGTAGATCTTGGCTGCAATGGTGGGCAGTTTGGCGATCAAAGAGATTGAGTCTTCAAAGGTTGGCTCCCAGTAGTCTGCCTTGTTCAAGCCCTTTTCGTATGCCTTGGCGAAGACACTGGTCTTGTTGAGAGCCGAGACTGCGCATGCGAACTGTGTCATTGGGTGCATGTCGGCAGGAAAGTTGTCTAACATGGTCTCGACATAGTCTGGCAAGGCGCCCTTCTCTGCTAGCTCGCGGGAGAACTGTCGCACCTGGTTGGTGCTTGGTATTTCACCTGTTAGTAGTAGCCAGAACATGGCCTCAGGCAACATCTCCGAACCAGTCGTTCCCTTAGGAAGTTGTTCCTGGCAATCTTTGATGGTGCGGCCGTGGAAGCGAATGCCTTCGTTTGCATCGAGTACTGATCCCTCCCAGATCATGGCGGTGAGGCCTCTGTAGACGCTTAGCTTGACTTGGTCATTCAGCTCGCAAGGACAAGGTTACCTCATTCCACCCAAAGTGTTTTCAACCTTGACGCTGCCAATGCTCTTGCTTGCATGGCTCTTGACTTGCTTGAGGAGCTCGCGTTTGGCGGGAATGACTTTGGCGAGCGTCTCTTTGAGACTGGGCTCTGTGCTCGTTGCGAAACCTTGTTCTGTGCCATCTCATGAGTTTCTATCCAAAGGTACAGATCGTTGTACATACGACTCGCAGTCGGACGATAGCTGGTAGCCTGCTCGTCATTTTGTCAGCTACATCAAACATGACCAAAGCATAGGGATACTAACCTTGACACTTCTGAGTGCCCTCAGGGCAGTGCGAGAGCTTGAGGTCATGATGTCGTTGTTGTCTTTGAAAAGTAAAATCTCTCAGGTACCGTTGGAAGGCAGCTCGAGGACCTTAGATATTGAGACGCCCTGTGTGATGCAATCGGAGAGCTGCGGGGAATGCGGAGGCGTCTGTCACTGCGAGCGTGGGGTGAGTGAACCTCGGTGTCGGCAGCTTCGGTTACGACGCGCCGGAGCGATGGACTGAACCTCCGTATCGCCCGCAATACCCGCCGTACCTTCCTTACGCCAGCGAGTCAACATATGCTAAAGAATCTGCAGCTGTATCGCAAACCTCACACCAGATTCTACAACATGCGTCGCGCGACTGTTCAGTGCCTGCAACGGCGATCATTGCCGAGGCTTCATACTACTGCTCGCTTCATCTCATCGACCCCGGCATACATGTCTGCATCCTTGAAATCGGTCAATCCTCCTCTGCCTTCAGCAGATCCAACGTCAGCTTTTCAGTTGCTTTCGACCGAAGACAAGGTCGGAGATTCAGAAGACGCTATATTCAATGACCAAGTCAAACAAGTCCAGGATTGGTGGGCCTCTCCTAGGTACAAGGGCATCAAGAGACCTTATTCTGCAGAGGACGTAGTCGGCAAGCGAGGGACTTTGCAGCAGGTCTATCCCTCTTCTTTGATGGCTCGGAAACTCTTCAACCTCCTTGAAGAACGATCTGCCAAGGGAGAACCTGTGCACACAATGGGAGCTATTGATCCTGTACAGATGACACAGCAAGCACCTCACCAAGAAATTCTCTACGTCTCGGGATGGGCTTGCTCCTCTGTCTTGACTAGCACGAATGAGGTTTCGCCCGATTTTGGTGATTATCCATACAACACCGTACCCAACCAGGTACAACGCCTTTTCAAAGCACAGCAATTGCATGATAGAAAGCATTATGATGCAAGGAGGAAAATGTCACCTGAAGAGAGGAAGACGACCCCATATACTGATTTTCTGCGACCAATCGTTGCCGACGGCGACACTGGACATGGTGGTCTCTCCGCTGTGTTGAAACTGGCTAAACTCTTCGCCGAAAACGGTGCTGCTGCTGTTCATTTCGAGGATCAATTGCACGGAGGTAAGAAGTGTGGCCACTTGGCAGGGAAGGTGTTAGTTCCTGTTGGTGAACACATCAATCGTCTTGTTGCTACTCGCTTCCAATGGGACATGATGGGTTGCGAGAACCTGGTTATTGCGCGCACAGATTCGGAGAGTGGCAAGTTGTTGAGCAACGCAATCGATGCTCGTGACCACGAATTCATCCTTGGTGTGACTGAGGATATTGAACCTTTGGCAGAGACTCTCCAAGTTATGGAAATGGGAGGCGCTACGGGTGCTGAAATTGATGCATACGAGGCAAAGTGGGTCAAGGAACACAAGCTGGTCACTTTTGACGAGGGTAAGTCATCGAGTATCTGCTTCACGCTCATGTACTAATGTCCACATCAGCTGCTGTTGCTCACATAAAGTCTCAAACTTCTGACTCGGACAAGGTCGCGAAATACGAGAGCGAGATAAATGCAAACCGTAATCGTCCATTGAACAGTCGACGCCAGCTTGCAGCATCTATTGCAGGTTCTCCTGTTCAATTCAGCTGGGATGTGCCGCGCACAAAGGAGGGCTATTACCACTATCGTGCCGGACTTCCTGCAGCAACAAAGCGTGCAATCGAATTTGCTCCATTTGCTGATTTGCTATGGCTGGAGACCGGAGATCCGAGTGTGCAAAAAGCTGCTGGGTTCGCCAAGGAAATCAGACAGGTATATCCAGGAAAGAAGCTCGTATACAACCTCAGTCCTAGCTTTAACTGGATGGGACATGGATTCACTGAGGATCAACTGAAGAGCTTTATCTGGGATCTAGGCAAAGAAGGGTAAGCGACTCTGCACTTCAGCGGACATGATCAATATGACTGACATATCTGTAGATTTGTGCTCCAGCTCATCTCCTTGGCTGGCTTACACAGTACCGCCACAATCAGTAACGAGCTCGCGAAGGGATTCAAGACTGACGGTATGCTGGCCTACGTAAATCTGGTCCAACGTCGCGAACGTGAACTTGGTTGCGATGTACTCACACACCAAAAGTGGAGCGGTGCAAGTTACATCGATGGTATTTTGGGTAGCATCCAGAGTGGCAGCAGTAGCAGTAAGAGCATGGGCGACGGTAACACGGAAGGCAGCTTCTAGATTATGAGAGAGTATGAGCCGTGTTGTGACGGAATAAGGGGTATCTTCCAACACAAGGCTCGGCTGGTAAAACACCAAGCTCACACAACAGCTCAAGCGTTCATGCTGTATCGAACAGAACAATCATACACAACCTCATAGGAACGTTAGAACGCCTGTCGCGAACACAATGTCGCGACTCGTCACGCTCCTCTGTATCGTCGCATGCTTGGTGGCTGTGGGTATGACCCTGGTCAAGGTATATAGCTTGCACAAACTAACCTGGTACGATCATGGAGGGTGTTTTCTAGTGTTTCCCCGATTGATGTAGGTCGCTATGCATGTATCAGGGGTTATTCGGTGGTTCTGGGGTAAGGGTGTTGGTGTCAGCACATGTTTGGAAACTTCTGGTCTTGTGTCAAGTCAATATGAGTCTCTTTCGCAACCAAATCACCTCGATTGTGACACATCCATCCGCGTCCCGTAAACGACTCTTTCTGGCTGAACATTCCATCATCACTCGAAACACGAATATCAGCTGCACGGACGTTCTCATCAGAAAAGTGCATGGTCAGAATATCAAAATCTTGCCATCACCACTCGACAAATTCAAACATCCACCACGCCCATCGAAACATACTCGACTCTGTTCGCAAGTTACTCCAACATTGACTGTACTCAATACATCACCATCGCCACCGCTTGCATCTTCTCAAGCTCTTAAAGTCAGAGTCAGCGAGTGTCACCACTCTCCAATCTCCACCTCATACTAATTTACCTTTTCACATCACTCTCTCTCTCTCTCTCACACACACACACACACACACACACACACACAGACCATTCGACATGTGTCACCACGTCAGCTCCACCATTCGCACTCGCCGCATCACATGCGTCGATCAAGCCAACTCTCACGGCACTGGTGAGATCCGCACAATTGAGCATGTCAAAGCTATCGCTGACGATGTCTACCAAGGCACTTTCCGAGATGGAACCCCATGGACCATCGACGGCAGCAGAATCCGCGCCAGGCCAAAGATGTACCGTCTTCGCAAGGAAAGAGGCCACCGCGACTGCTACCAACTAGTCATCACCCAGGTCGAAAGGTATCGTCAGCTGGAAGGCGAGCACGCGATTTGCGGACCCATGCAGAGAGATATGCCAAACAGAGCCACGAAAGTATACAAACTCTCCGATGGTCAGAGTGTCACTAATTTGGCCTTGAACCAAACCGAGAACCTCAGAGAATATGAGGTCGTTACACTTCCCGACCCCAATGGGAAACCGACAAGACGTTATCTGAGAGAGACACACATGGTAGGAACTACCAAGAAGCTACCCACCACCTACGGTCAGGATTGAGACTGCTAAAACGAGAATTGTCGCAGAATTCGTCCAGGCGAGAAAGCACCAGACTGGCCACAACAATAAACTCAGACTGTTTCATGACCCGAGATCAACGTCCTCGGTCGAGCTCCTGGTGCTAAAGAAGCAAGACATATCACTCAGGAAGGAGCGAAACCCGAATGATCAGCCCTGCCGCATTACGAGCATATCAGCCCTATGCTCTTATGCTATACATCTCATCTCCAAGCATCTAGCGTGATATCGAGCGACTGGTATATTGCGACAGGATAGTCGTCAGGCAAGATAATCGGAGGAACGTTTCCATTCGGATGTTGGGGTTAGTGAAGCCATGCATGGGTAAGGCTATACCGTGGAAATAACCAGTATGTCGCAGTCCGCTTCTCGTCTGATTAACTTGTACCTCCTCCCAGTGTGCTTCAGTGATGTGGCCCGTTAATGATGCAGCCAAGTGAAGTTGTGGCTTCGCCATCTCAGGATACTCGCCTTTGGACCACACAGCCGATGGTAAGATCTACGTCTTCGGGTTACGGTTCCACTAAGTAAGTTCGGGACAGCATCATCGGTATTGCCCGTAGTGGTGACGCACGCATGCAAACGTCCGCAAAGCCATGTATGCAACCGTCAGTCGACTCTAACTGACTGCCGTAGCAGGATGGCCGTCTCTTTAATGACCTGATCGAGCTCGTCGATGGCTTCTGTCTGCGACTTTAGGACCAATGTTTCATGATTTCAATGGATCATGCAGCAGCTTCTAGAAGCGGATCGTGTCGTAGACGTTTCGTGACGAGTGCACCGATTGCCCACCAACTAACAAACATTAGTTTACGTGCGTACCAGATATTCATCAGCTCACCATGACAGGAGTGGTAAAGATTTTGGTAGTGTTGAGAGAAGGATTCCTCTTTAACAGTTGGGAATCAGCGGCCAGGCCAGTGCTCCTACGTCTGAACAGTTTTGGGGCATGTTGACCGACTGCAGCAAACAGAAGCAGCGTCAATGGCAGAACTCGGGAACCGGGACGCTGGCATAATCCCAGGAACCCATGGCCTGGACGTGGCTGGACAAGGCGCTTCTCGGCCCATACGTCAGGGTTCTCCTCTGGAGCTGTCGTGGGTACGCGCATCTCGCGCTTTCGTCAAAAGCACAGCCAAGAGTGTCATGTCGTTGTACAGGTGAATATCGCGCTCTATTGTGCCTCATGGACAAACGAGCAAACCATTTATGCGACACAGAAAAGACGGAAGAATAGATTGGTATGGATGGAGTCCCTGGCCGAGAAAATTTGGCGCATTTTAGTTCCCGCTTCGGCGCGTTTGCTCGGAACGTCATGCAGCTAATACGAATTGGCCAACAACTGCCATCTACAAGTTGAACAGTTACATAAAGAGCAGAGGAGAGACTGTATTGCATTGTTGAGTTGATTTTCTATTGTCGAAAATCACGTACGCCTCCTTCCCGCTGTAGGCCATTCCGCTCCTGCTTTTTGGCAGTATCGGCAGCTGATGACTTCAGAGACGTCGCCTGGGACAGCGGCGTCTACAACATCTGATACATTGGCAAGTTATGTCACAGAATATCGGATGGAGAATGGGAGAAGATATCATGCTTATCAAGAAGGCAGTTATTGGGTTCGAGCCTTTGCCATCTTGACAATGCTCTGAAGTTTGGCTGACGTACTCAGGGTCCAAATGACGAACAGTCTTGTGAAGGCGAGACACTGTCACATACCATGTACACCCTGACTCTTGGCGGAGAGCTACATTTGGCACCTATCAAATCGCCGCGAGAGATCCTGGACGTCGGGACTGGCACGGGCGTTTGGGCCATTCAGATGGCAGATAAGTTTCCCGAGGCACAGGTCACTGGAACAGATTTGTCGCCCATTCAGCCGGATCTGGTCCCATGTAATTGTGTGTTTGAGATTGATGACGTTTCGCTGGAATGGACTTGGGACGACAATCAACTCGACTACGTCCACGTCCGCGAAATGTTTGGTTCCATCAAAGATTGGGACTTGTTTTGCAGTGAAGCATTACGATGCATTGCACCTGGTGGTTACGTTGAGATCATGGAGCACTCCACTTGGCCGGTATGACTGTCACCATAGTGGCTAACTACGCTCTCCCGATACTAATTCATCTGTTGTATAGGTTAGTGATGATGATTCGTTAGGACCTGATCATTTTTACAACACTTGGGGTCAAACCATTGCTGACCTTGGTGTCGAGTGGGGCAAGACCTTCGATACATGGAAAGAGAGCAAAGCTTTACTAGAAAAGGCTGGGTTTGTGGACGTGGTCGAGAAGCGCTTCAAGTGGCCTATGAATGACTGGCCGGATGACCCGGCGTTGAAACGACTTGGAGAGCTCAATCGCATTCGCATAACTGAACACATCCAAGGATTCACCTTGAGATTACTAACTGGTGCTGGCAAGGTGAGCGGGGGTTTCAGAGACCTAAGATCACTTGAGCTGACATCTTTCCAGTGGCCACTACCACGAGCACATGTTTTTCTGGCCGAGATGAGGAATGCCCTGAAGGATGTTGATTGCCATGCATATCAAGATGTGTGAGTGTCTGGAGAACATCGTTCGAGAGAGGAAAGATCTGATAACTTGTTTGCAGAAGCGTCGTGTATGGCAGGAAGCCAGCTTGAGTAGCGCGACCTGGTGAGATTGGACAGTTGATCTTTTAAAAAGGCGCAGAAGACCTCATTTCGGAGCCACTCACCTAAGTGCGGTCGGCAAGACCGGGAACAGCATCGCGAAGAGTTTGGGAAGAAGCAGCATAGAGCAGTCACGCCTCAACTCAGAGACTGCGCGATCAAAAAAGTGTGTTATGCTCCTGGTAAGCACCTCGATGCAATCCGAAGATGTCGTACAACAAGAAACGTCGAAGCCGACCATGAGTGATGATTTGTCGGTTCCACTTTTGGTCAGCCTGACGCCGAACAAGGACCTAGCTCTGCCAGCGGTACATATCAGGCGAAGGACGAATGGACACTCACACCAGGAATACCAGCCCATGCCTTGCGGAATTATTTTTCGTTTCTTGTTCTGCGGTATCGAGGCTTTCGTTCTAGGCAGGTGGTCGAGTATGACCACAGAAGACGTTTAGGTCGTTGGGCCAACGACCTGCAGATAATGCAAAGCTCATGTAACCACTCATGAATAGATAACACTTCTCCAGCAGAGCATCAAGACAACAGTGACCTTAGAGGCTGCAGATCTTCTTGGGAAGCCAGTAACTTCAAGTTTATGCCTATGGCATGAGACACGCCTTGGCATGTATCGCGACAATGCGCCCTCCTGTCTGGATACTGTAGTGCAGCAGTCTTTGCCAAGCGCGTGGTTTGTAGAAGAACCAGCAGTACGCTTGCAGCTTGTGTGATAACTTCCGAGACATTGCCGTTCCCTCGACCAGAGCGACCTTGGTATGATACCCCCGACCATGGTGCACGATCAACTCACTTGCTCGTATCGTCCTTTGAAACCGGTGTGCATTATCGAAAGTAGTGGTCAGTCGCTACGGCGTTCCCGATATTCAGCTTACACAAGAGCTTCAGCGCCTTTACTACTCAAGGACACGTCTGCGGTACCGTACGTGTCCAGTTACCAGCAGTAGAGAAAGGGCGGCAATGGCTGGCGACCAGCGCGCTTCCTTACGGCTACGACTGCCTCTTGTCAAGGATTTGTAGAAAAGCATGAGTCCAGGTGGCTGCAGCATTATCGTTCGGCAAAACCCAAATCTACCAGACTACTAGCAGAGAATTCTGTGTGGTACGACGGGGGGTTGGAAAAAGACGTTTCATAGCTGTTCGTCGTACGTGTGGGTGGCTGGTGGCTTACCATAATGTGCCGAAGGACAAGGGGCAGCATGTGTGAGTCGGAAACGAATCAGCGAAAGCTGAGCTAGTCGTTGTGTTGTGTCTACAATCCCGTTGTACTCATCACTGGATCCTGGTTTCTTGGTACATCTTTCGAGATCTTACTGCATAAGCAAAGTCTCGCCGCGTCGAATAAGCTTGGACTTCTCCTTGACACTGGTCGTCTGTCGTGCAATTCGTCATAATCAGTGAACAGTCGAGCGCGGAACGGGTCGAATCCTTCTATGATCATAGATGGTATTCAACAGCTGAGATTCATCGAGATCTTGTGTCTGAAGAACATCAGATGGAATTTCAGCTTCTCCGAGGTCGTTGAAACAAACATTGATCTCTGGACATGCTTCAATATCTACGTTCTGGTCCAAGTTCAAACTCCAGCCACAGACAAAAATGCATCATAGTTGAATGGTCGTTGGCCTAGAAGCGACCGAACTCGCAAACGCAGCGTTTCGCAAAGTCCTCATGGATTCTAGGCCCACGGCATCTACTCCTACGGGGCTGCATCCGAGAAAACGAGACCCGCGCTCCTCGCCGGACCAAACCCTGAGAGCCTCAGGCCTTCAAAATGCTAGACAACCGAAAGTCAATCACTCAACAATTAATAGTCGAGGGCTATTTGACGTAGACAGTCGCGTAGTTTTCTTGAAGCTGGTCCTCGAGCGCGTCAACAAAAGACAGCGTTACTGGAAAGATGACCGAAACGCTCGGCTACTTTTGCTCCTATGGTATCGAAATAAACTTCGGTCGAGACGATAGCACGATCAGGGTATGCATAGTCCGCTTGCGGGGTATTGCGCGAGGTCTTGAATCTCCCTACAGGACCCGCGTAGGGGTTCAAATTTCAGTGCAGAATTCGAAGCCGGATTTGTGCACGACCTAGAGATTGGGGCGTTCTTCGCTTGCGCGATCTCGAAGGCTGTCAGGAGTTTCTGAGATCTTACCGCAGAACCATGCCTAAATCGCAAGGTCGCGATCATGAGCCTGAATAAAGCTACAGTAAAGCTACTAGTACAGTAGTAACGGGTTACTGTCTGCTGCTGCGGATGAGTACGGGTTTGAGCTTCTCGTGGCCAGATGGAGGAAATGGTCCCTATAATCTTGCTTTCGTCACATGAGTGTTAGCGACATCCGGCACACGATGTGAATGTTGTTGTGCGGGTATCAAAGGGTAGAGCTGGAGTATATTCGTACGGAGGTTCGATGTGACCTGCCCTACTCCAGGTGGGTGGTAGTGACCTCGAGAAATAGGGCAGCAGGCCGGAGGGGCCGTTGCGATCCGAGGTGCTTGACACAGAGACCTAAAATCGCAGCATGGCCTCGCGCGTGGCAGCCATGATTGTGGGGTTATCAGATCAACTTCAAGCCACTTAGCCACTGATGGAGCCCATGAGTACAATAGAGAGCTTAGCGGACCGAGGACGAGTAGAGTTGACGCCAGGGAGATTCAAACAGAAGAACTTTGGAGCTATTGCGAACCAAGAAAGCCAGTTGGGTCGTCGGTGCGTGCCGACGCAGATGCACCAAACAAGCTTCGGAACATCACCGAAAGTTCTAAATTAGCCTCCGAGCGTTGAGCGAGTGCTTTCGGCGTCGCCGAGTTGAAGCGCTTGTGTGGTCGCTGTAGGAGACCGACATGGTGCCAGAGCAGAGGGAAAACCCTCCGGTAGTGGCGTGTGGGGAAACTGCCAGAGGTGTGACCGCAAACGGATGCGCCTCATCCAAGGGGGTGGAATTGGACGATCACACAATAGTGCTATGGTCTGTAGGCGAATTCGTTTACCGCTTACATGCAGCAGCATGCCGGAATTGGAGAAGGATGTTGGCGAAACCAATTATATGCGTGACAAACCTAGTGAACCACATTCCATGAGAACTGGAGCAAAAAGAGATTTGAGTCGAGCCTAGACCCGGTAAGTAAGTGTCTGCTCACCGTGAACAAGATCGGGGTTCGCTTAACAGATGGTTTTATTGGCCGAAACATTCTTTGTCTTAAACCGTCCATTCCGTTATTGTCCAGCACACGACTCACGAGATACGACATGGACTGGCTAGCAGGTGATATTGACAATGTGCGATGAGTGGTACGTTCTGAGAGCTGAAGCAAATCTACAAGTGTGCCGCCGTTGGCAGATAGACTTGGATGTGCGCACAACGTAGAAACGAGAGCTTCTAGTAACTCCAGTGTGTGGCAGAATTCGCAGAGGGGTCATGCACCGTGCACGCGTTTGACTCTCGAGCCTCGGGAAGGATGCAGTCTCCAGACGCCATGCCGCTTGTGTCAACAGTCGCATCCACTATGATCATGATGATCATCCAGCTCCCAACCTCATGGTGGCTTCAGGAAGCTTGCATGCATAACGATTGACAACAGGATACCTTTCTTTTTTTGCTCTCTCCGACATGTACGTCTCCAGCAATAGAGATTGATGTATATCTGTGTGCCTGATCGAGTGTGATTTTGGTGTAGCGGCCACACGTCCTGTCTATTCAAATCACTGATTAATGAAGCACACAGGTCTTATGCGTATTAAAGAGATGCAATTAACCGGTCGTCACCGAGTGAACCGTTATTGACCCGTTGCGGGCAAAGCTTCGTATCAGTCTACAAGAATCAGAATGGACCAATCGTCCAGCACCTGAATGTCGCGCGGACGGCCGGCAAGACCTGCATACACGAGACAAGATCTGTGTCCAACACATGTGCATCATTGCGTTGGCGGCCACGTGAACATCATATCGCACATTCGTCCATATGCGCGCAAGCTTCCGTCACTGGACGGGTCCTTTTTGAAGTCGTTAGAAAAGACCGAGAGTCCGGTTCACAGAGACCGAAGCAGAAGAGTGTTGCGCGACATGGGGCAGGCGTTGGACGCTGATCCGGGTGGAGAAACCGACAGTGGCTTCCCTGCAGCACAAAGAGAGCATGCGGTCCGTAGGCGACGACAAGGGTATCGCGACGAGAGATTTAATAGTGTCGTGATCACTGCTCAGAACAGTCAGGTTGCTCTTGAGATCTTCCGCTAGGGCCGACGCTCGCTCGAGTATGCAAGAAGAAGATGAAGAAGGCGGAAGCATTATCATCTGCTGACCTGGTGCTTCCCTCCCCCCGCGCGCTGCGCACATGGCCATTCACGATCCCAGAGTATCGGTTGTTTACCATGCAAGCGCATGCATGCAGGCACAGCACTCTGTTTAAACAATGCGAGAGCCTCAGATTGGAGATCCCCTAAGTCTCGTGTGGTCATGCTCGTGGCATGATGTACCCATCTGTACCAGTCTTGAAGCGACGTTCAGGCAAGGCTCATTTCATGAGAAAGTTGCTTGGCTATAGGGGGAGACATGGGCCTGTCCGTTGTGTGCCGCCCGCACGATTGGATTGGATCTGCAGGTTGGCGCTTATCACGCTGGCGGCCGACCCAATGAAACGCGAGCGTCTGGTTGGTCGAGTTCTGGTCGAAGGAGTTGGGCGCGCAAGCGATGGTGGTGTCTACCGCAAACCCGTCCCGCAGAAACGGCCCCGAGAGTCCAACTCGGTCTAGTCCTTTGAGCGAGTCACCCTGTTTGTACACAGACCACGGCGTTGCTTTCACTTTCTAGTGCGAGAAACGCGCTTAGCGTCCGCTTCCAAATACCGTTTGTCGCGCAGTGAGCTGAGGACCGGGAAGCAGTGTGCTGCATGGGTTTGGTGAGGGTGTGAGATGGGCAGCAACAACGAGGATGTAGAGTAAAATAGGGCCTTGTGCAGTCTGCGGCCAGACGCATCTTCCCTGGAGCGGCCTCGCGTCGGCAGCTGGAGCGTGAAGGATCGCAGATGGAAGAAGAAAAGACGCTGGGAACGGAAGGATTATTGGGCTAGCTGTCAGGTGCATCGGAGCGGTTAGTGCAGGCCAGCAGCGCGCGCGGGAGGCAGAGGCTCTTTTCTGGCTGGCCGTCGTCGAGAGTCTTGCTCTTCTCCCTCGCGAACCTCTGCCCTAGCTAGCTCGATCCAGACGCCTCGCGCTCGCGCATGGATCTTGTCTACCACTAGCGGCCTCTCAGACAGCGCACTAGTCATTTAGATTGCCGTGCATGTTCACCTCTCCGCTGTTGTCCAGCCCTTGAGTCCGCCATCCGTTCTCTAAAAGCGCCAGGGCACCTAAGCTTAACAAAGGATCGCCCTCCTCCCACATCCTCAAAGACGTTCGTCTGTTTGTCCTGCGCGTGCGCGACTCGTCCCCCTCGACTTCTCAAAGCACTTCCAGCATCCCCAAAAAGACCTTCTTTGTCTAGTCGCCTCTCGTTCGCACTGCTCTGATCTTCCCCCCTTGCTCGACTCCTGCTGCTGCGTCCGCTCGCTCTCATTCCAACCACAAGCCCCTGCAAGCCACCCTCTCCACCATTCAAGCAGCTCTCCCAAAACGTGCATTTTCCGTCTAGCTTGCAACTGCCCAGCACGGAAGCCACGTTTGTTTCTTCATCTCTTGCGAGTCCTCGATTCTTGTACGACGCGTGCGTGTGACCCTGCCGTCTGCACAACCACAGTTCCGGGCTCCCAGATCTCTCCCCCAGTCGCAGCAGGCTTGATCTCAATGTAAGCCTCTTTCCCCCGATCGTGGCCTTGGGTAGCGCCTTCTGTTGTGCGCAACACCCGCTGAGACATTCTAGTGTCCATTTGGATTGACTCGCAGCAACTCACGTCACCTTCTGCTTCTTCTGCCTCACCATCACTGCCCCATCTAGCGACCAGCAACGTCAGGCTTGACATCTTTCCGGGTTTCTGGAATCGTGCTGCATCAAAGCGATCCGAGTGCCCGCATCTCTGGGATCCAGTCCGACCATTTCATCACCGCGGCAAAAGCACAAGTCTCTCTTTTGCCTCAAATAACATCGCAAAGCCATCTCGCAAGCCGACATCTCCTCGGCTGTTTATTTCCTCAACCGCCGGAGCCTGCATCTCTGCCGAACGCATCCTTCTTTTAACCCTGCAGAACCAAGCCTGCGATCCGCCAACGTGGCTGCCAGTGTTGCTCTCCCGTCACATATGATTCCCGGGTCAGATTCGATGGGTGCTCCCACGAGTTTCTCATCTCGCAGACCCAATGCTTCGAACCTCCCCAACTTCGAACTGCCTCCTCCTCAACTGACGTCGCTGCATCAAAAGTACCACTCTTATGCTACCACATCTCAGCCTACCCCTTCCATTCCTTCAAGCCTGACTAGTGTCGGCAACCTCTTGACTCCTCCGAGTGGCATCTCAAGCGACGGTCTAAGCCCTAACTCATCCAACATGCCGACCGGCAGCTCCCAAGCCAACCATTCGGTACCCCCCTTTACCCCCACTGGTTACATGTGGCCTCCTTCGCATACAGGAACCACGCCCTATGGATTCCAATCTCACAACAGTCCTAACCAGCGCGGTCTCTTCTCTCCCTCACTCAATTCGATCGTCAAGGGAAACAACTCACCTCACCACTCCGAGAACCTCCCTCCTCCAAACTTCCCTGAGAACCCCTTCCCTACCTCCATGTCCATGTCGGCACCAGTCAACTTGCCTGCTTTACCATCTCAGTCATCCAGCATCGGTTCCGCCATGATGGGTGGTCACACTCCTGTCACCCAACCTTCGCCAGTGAACCACCACGACTCATACGCAAGACCTCCACCCACTCCGACATATTTCAACGCCTCCCAGCACAGCCACAACGGCCAGTCAGCATATGCTTATTCATCCGGACCTTCGCCTATCCAGCAAAGCCCCATGAGTGCAGGCGGACATATCCCTCGCATGTCTCCTGCAAACGGACATGGCTCCATACCGCCCCTTCAACCACAGAACGGTCAACCACAGTACACACACCAGCGCCCATCGTACCAATACCCTCTCCCAGGACCCGTCTTATCCAACATTGGCAACCCGAACAGCCAGCTCGCTTTGGTCGGTGGCATGCCTCCTTCAATGATGCCCGCATACAACAGCGGACACGCGGCGCACATGCAACACATGTATGGCCATCACCCTCAGACGCAGCCGAACCCTCAGAACGATAGACCTTTTAAGTGCGATCAGTGTCCGCAAAGCTTCAACCGCAACCACGATCTGAAGAGGCACAAGCGTATTCACTTGGCTGTCAAACCGTTCCCCTGTGGACACTGTGACAAGAGCTTTTCCAGAAAAGATGCCCTCAAGGTAAGCATCTCCCCGCCGAACCAATCAAAACTTTAGCTAACTCCTTGACCAGAGACACATTCTTGTGAAAGGGTGCGGCAAGGCGCCAACCAATTCTGGAGAAGGCGACAGAAAAGATGGCTCAACGTCTCCAGCAATGAAGAGCGAGAACTCGAGCCCTGCAGTCTCTGCCTCGGCATGAAACCGATCGAGTGACGCAAAATCAACAAGAATTGAACAACAACGACAACCTCACGGTGATATGTTACTTTATTGCTTGACTATATACTTACGCTGTTACGGATCGGAAAGCATGCATGTGGTTTTTCTTCTCTTTTGCTTTTACAGTTTATTTTTTTCCTACTCTGTTTTTGTTTCAGTCGAAAGCGCGTCGCAGAGGGATGTGGGACTGTCTTGGGATTACATGTTCACAGGGCGTTTAACGAGCTGGCATCTGGCTGGGAACAGCAACTTTGAGGACTCGAGTCCATCACTTTTCATGTTCTGATACCTCTTTCGATTCTTCTGGCGGGCTTTTTGAATTTGCCATGACTGATTGAAGGCATATTTTCGTTTTGCTTTCACCTCTTACAATCAAGCTATACGTTTCTGCCATCTTTCATATTCTCTCGCGAGGACCTACTCAGTGTTACACGTTTCTTGACACTTTCAAGCAAGAGCACTTTCTTCGTATTCCTTTGTCCTTTCGAGCATCCGGTGTTCCTAACTTCTACCGTTCAATCTGTTAAACACATCTCGGCGAATGATTGGCGTGTCTTTGTCCTTGCTTAGCACTCGATCTTTGATGATGCCTCAGGCACATCTCTGCCGACACTATAAATGTCATTCTCGATCGTCAACGATCGCTCGTACATACTTCAAGTCAGACCGCCCGAAGAGAATCAGGACGTTTGAGCAAGGAGTAGATCTCGGCTTGAGTCTGCCACCGACTGAGAACGTCGAAGCCTGTCAGGTGAATCAAGCAAAGAGCAGGTTCCAGCGACGCATTCCCTGCGAGATCTCCGGGGTTTTATCCAGACTGCTCTCGCCACGAACCACGATCATGGAAAACTAGATCTCTCAGTCCCACCTTCTGATGTTGTGGTCCGAGTCCCTGTGGTTGGCTCCATGCAGTGCACCGGTGCATTCGCCAATCGATAATCTACTTGCAAGAAGACGAAACATGTCTAACCAGATGCAACGCGGAGCAGACATCGAATGAGAGCCAAAAGGACCTTGTGGCCTCGACTGCACCTCACTCGTCCGGAACCATGAAATTCTGCTTTGGGCATATTGCAGACCGACTGCCAGTATATAGCTTGATGCGTTCGTGATGTACAGCCTGCCTTGTGTAAGTGGGTGTGCCTGATGACATCATTGTCCACGTGGGGTTAGGCTATTCCCGCGGCCACCCAGGTTAAAGCTCTTCATGCTCCAGAATCATCTTCTCGACTCTGACAACCGCACTCACTGCGAACAGAGAGGCTCCCTTATTGCCATATCCAGATCGATCAGAGAAAAGGTTATCCCCTGTGATAGCAATTCTCCCTTTTTCCACAATCATGGCGATGCTTTCGATGGTTAAATCAGGGGTAGGTGCAACGTTTTCGCATGTCAGGGGGGAGACGGTTGAAACTTGACATGAAGCTGGCATAGGCAAGATGACGGTGGTGCGCCTGGAATAGCACGAGTACGTTGCTGAGCGTGTTGATGTGCATACAAGGTGAATATTAGAGAGATCCAAACAGAAAGAATGCTTGTGAAGAGTGGTTGTCAAAGACAAGGTCTTGGACAAAGTTGCGCACGCAGTAAGTCGAATGTTTGTGAATTGCAGCGAGCAGGAGGTCCAACGTTGCGCACCGTTGCAGCATTCCTAGCTTGCACATCAAAACATTTAATCACCATATCGGTCAACAACAAACAGGCCCTCCTGATTCTGCCATTCCGTTCCCCTCGCCTCGGCAAAGTGTTTCTTGTTAATCGCTGACAAAGGCCACCGTTGGTGTCGATTGACGATTTCGCCGTCTTGTGGTGGTTCCTTCCCTCTCCATCACCTTGTACCTTGTCGCTCCTTATCGACCTACACACGCCTTCCTTGATTCCTGTTTCCACGCGTCAAGTCCCACGCGCCCGCCTATCCTTCATCGACTCTATAGATACATCACTCATTTGTCTTTAACCACGCCGCCAGCACCCAAAATACTCCGCTCCTTGCCCGACCTGCATCTTAATACACTGGCCAATGTATAATTAATCACGCTCATTATCTTCGATTCGACTTTCAGAGCAGGCCTTGACTCGATTGGGTAGTCTGCGATACCGACCAATTGGAACAACAGCAAGCCATAACCAATAACGATCAGCATCAGCATCAATAGCAACAACACAAAGCCTATTACAACACATCTTGGCCAACATGGCTGAACAACACCGCCGACCGACGCGACCATCAACAAGGCGAGAAGTCCTCGGACCTGGCGACTCCCGCGCCAACATTGACCACTCTACGCACAAGAGTACACGGTCCTCGAAAGTGCCAGAAGTATCCTCGCCCTCCTCGTTACCCCATAACCAGTCATTGGCCGCCAATGGCGCACTCGATGTACACACAACCAGCCCCACTGCTTCAATGCGCCAGGAGCGCCTCTCATCCGCTGCGCCCGAGTCTCAGCGAGCCAGCAAGCGTTACTCGGAGATATCAAATTGCACGACCGCTTCAGGTTCGGGTCGTAAAAGCTTTGTTGGTCGATGGCAACTCGGAAAGACAATCGGCCAGGGCGGCTGTTCGACGGTGCGCCTGGTCAGACACAAAGACACTGGCCAGATCGGTGCCGCAAAGATCATCTCTCGAAAGATGGCCGAGACCGTTCGCGCTCAGAGCTTGGCCAACCTGGCAGAGATGCCCGACAAGTCGTTGCAAGACCTTGTCGCCGCCGGCAAGGCCATGCCCCCACCTCCTCCTGGTTTACTGCGTGAGATTGCCATCATGAAGCTGCTCGATCATAGAAATATCGTGCGCTTGTATGATGTCTGGGAGAATCACAACGAACTCTATCTCATCATGGAATATGTCGAGGGCGGTGAGCTTTTTCATTATATCGAAGAATGCCGCGGCCTTGGAGAACAAGAAAGCGTCTACATCTTCCGCCAAATTGTTGCTGCATTGCTCTATTGCCACCGCATGCACATTCACCACAGAGATCTCAAGCCCGAGAACATCCTTCTTGATCGAGAGAACATTCAAGTCAAGCTGGTTGATTTTGGCATGGCCGCTCTCCAACCAGAAGGCAAGAAACTGACGACCGCCTGTGGTAGCCCTCATTACGCTGCGCCCGAAGTCATCAAGAGCAGACCGTATGATGGTGCACGAGCAGATGTATGGAGCTGCGGTGTCATCCTTTATGTCATGCTCACTGGCATGACCCCATTCAACTACGATCAAGACAGAAACCTCGGTGTCATGTACCGCGCCATCGCAGAAGCTGACTACTATATGCCTCCGGAACTCAGTCGCGATGCTCAAGATTTGTTGCGCAAGATATTCGTTCCTGACCCACGTCGTCGTATCACCATGGAGCAAATTTGGGAGCATCCTTTGCTTCACAAGTTCGACGAAGAGTGGGGCTATACTGGTCCTCTTGCATCCAAGGAGGCTTGGGTTGGCCCATCTCCTATTCTCGAAGACTGGACAGTCACGCGGGAAGACGAGGTTGACAAGGAGATTCTCCGCAACATGCGTACCCTGTGGCACAGCGTGCCTCAGTCTGTCCTGGTGAAAAAGCTCGTCAGTAACGAACCCAACCAGGAGAAGCTTTTCTACGCTGCCCTTTTGAAGCACCGTGAGGAGAATCTTGAGAATTACCTCGGCGGTGCCGATGCTATCAGCTATTCAGCCAGCGATTACCAGCACAACAAGAATGAGCTCAAGGATCAACCACCTATGCCCAACCAGAAGCAGCAGTCCCAGTCACAATACTCCATCATGAATGATGAGCACCTACGAACTCCGCAGCTGGCTGATGACGACTTGCCATCAGATGGTACTCACGACCCGTATCGATCCTCTCGTTACCAAACTACGCCCAATGGTACACCTTACACCAAAGTCACTGTCCATCGCAGGGGCGAGAGTAACGGAAGCCGAAAGGCCTATATGCAGCACAGTTTACGTCATCCTAACGCGCTTCGTGTCGAGATGCTCAAGAAGCAAGGCCAGGCAAATTCCAGTTCAAGCTTAGTCAAGCAAGAATACAGAAAGTCCATGACACGGTCGATATCAAAAGCTTCGACGTCCCGCAATTCAGTCGTCAGTTCTGTCTGGCCTAGCAGTCCGCCGGTCATGCCGAGGACTGTAAGCTCACACAAGCACAAGAGGAAAGTCAGCTTTTCGCACCATCGCAAGAGCTCGCAAGCTGCTGTCAGCACAACTGCTCGCTTCACACCTGAGCTCCAGGCCAAGGCTAGATTTTCTCAACTCATGCATGGAAGCCCTACTCCCGACATAAACAGTCCGTCACATCGCGTAGAGAGTGCAATCAGATCTAGAAAAGAGAAATCGGTCGCACCCGCACCTCGCTCGCGTCCTCGCAATAATTCTACCGGCGCTGCAAGAACGGACATTCGCAAGGCCAGCAGTGAACTCGAACAGGCTTGCGAAGAGGCCTTCAACCGCTGCTCTTTCAGCTCGAGCGTTTTCACATCGGCGTCTGCAACCGAGAAGGCTGGCTACGAAACCCCTCCTTCATCCGTGTCTAAGAGGGACTCTGGCAGCTCAATCAAGGAACACGTCGCACCTCGTCCTCTACCTGCTCTTCCTACCGATACACCCAACACTTTCATCACACGTACACTCGAGGAAACACGTCACAAACTTGCAGCGAGAAGTGCGTCTGAAGGGAACGATGGCTCAGCCAAGATCGAACAAGTCCTTGCCAACCTTGACAGAATCATGCCTGGCGACAAGCGCACCGTATCGGCTCCCGATCATCATGCCATGGACAACAGAGCACCTCTGCCCATCATAAGCGAAGAAGGCAGACCTGAAGGCTCTCACAGGCGTCCAGTCGAGGCAAACTACAGATACAGATCAGTCACTGCTCCTATTCCAGAGAGGACCGTCCGTATGGTTCAGCCCTCATCGCCCGCTACCCCAAAGAGTCCATACAATTGGCGCTCCGTCAACGAACCAGTCTCTGAAGTATCCCACCACACTGCCGTTGACCGCAGCCGTCTTACTGTGCCAACTGGAGACCCTCGTATGGTCCGCAAGAAGACCAGCGACAGTGACATCCCTCTGAGCCAAATCTCCTCTCGAGGCTCCCAGGAAGGCACAGTCAAGAAGAAGTCTTCCTGGTTCCGCAAGTGGAAGGAACCCACCACCAGCACTGAGGATAGCCAATCTCGATCCCGCTCTCCCATGCCGTGGAACGAGACCGTCGGTCAACCCGTCCAACCTAGTGTTCTCAATCGGGATAACCGTCCACCTCAGCTTGATTTGACAAATACGCAAATGCCTGCACCCAACTCCTCTTCGAGCAATGAATTCCCGATGCGCCGGGAAAGCAAAGGATTCAGCAAATGGTTTGGCAGAAAGAGGGACTCCGAGAAACGTAAGTCTGGCTTTATGAGGACCACAGAAATATTACTGACTCAACATACAGTATCCCCTCCATCTGCAGCTACCATGAATGGTCCACTTAGTCCCTTTTCCACAGGTCCGCTTTCGCCTCTACCACCAACCACACCCACCTCTGCTGGCGGTGATAACGCAACTCGCTCCTGGTTCTCTCGATTCCTACGCCTGCGGCCCGAAGTACGCACACTGGCTTTCAACGTGCCGCGCACCCGAGCAAGAACAGAATTGGTGCGCATGTTGCGCGAATGGCAGCGACATGGTATCAAAGACTTGACATACTTCCCTCAAGATAATGCTATCACCGCCAGCATTGACAAAGTTAATTCCTTGGGCATTAAGCCGGTCACCTTTAGGATCGAGTTGTTCGTGGTCCTCAAGAATGGCCGAAAGGCTGGCCTCTCTCTCGCGAGATGTTCACAGATGCGTGGTGCAGCCAGTTCATTCCGCAAGGTGATTGAAGTGTTGGAACAAGTTGGCAGAGATCGCGGTCTCCTCATTGATGACGAAAGTCAATGGAACGAGCTCTGTGGTATCTTGGCCTAGACGAGAGTCGAGCACCTACTGAATTACAGGCACTGTCTTCTCAAAATCGACAAAGTCCTTTTGTTTTGTTTTGAAGCTTCGATTCGAAATGTCTATTGCGACGAACGGAGTATGCCTTTCTATTGGAGTGGAGTTTATGTCTTACTATCGTGGCGGTTCGGCCATGCAGCATCATCCAGACCGGAGTTTCTCTTTTGTCTTTTCTGGCGTATTGGGCAGAGAAGGTTTCCTTTCTTGAGCAGATTGAGTGTGGTCTTTTCTTTCATTTTGTTTTCTGTCTCAGCTTCACTATTGTAACATACCAGAAGAAGAGAGAAAAGCAGGAAAGAACAAGAGGTTGTAGGAAACAAGGATGGGAGATGGAAACAGCACAATACGCTCTATAATGTTAATGATACCACTTGTTTTACCACGAAGGCATTCTCCCGGCTCGCTTCTTCTCTATCTTGCCAGATCGGTTCCTGTACTAGGCAGTCGTGATAAGTTGGCTCCGGCCTGTAGAATAACAAATCGGCTTTCCATGTGACGTCTCAGTAGTCCACCAAGTAAATGTAAGGGCAATCAGCCCATCCGCGTGCATCTGTTGTCTCTGCGTGAGGTATGACATGAGCATAGCGTCCGTCATGTTCAGCGCGCGGAAGTTGTGTCTGGACCCTCCTGATGGGGGGCGTGTAAACGTGCATCATACCAATTCTTTCTCCAGCTATCCAGGGTATCTTTTTGCCATGATCCCCTTTTGCATCGTTGCGCAAAACTTCTCATATCTCTCTAGGTCTGCATCTTTCAGACGCCCTTGCCTGTAGCTCAGATAGATTCATTCTCCACCCTCGCACTCAAAATCTTGACAGCTTCCACCGGTCTATCACTCTTATCCACCTTGACCAATCCCATCCTCTGCACAACCTTCATACCCCCCTTGACACGACCAAAAATCGTATGTTTACCATCCAACCACGGCGTCGGCGCCAAGGTGATGAAGAATTGACTTCCATTCGTATTCGGGCCTGCGTTTGCCATGGACAGGATACCTGCACCCGTATGACGGAGGGAAGGGTGGAATTCATCGTCGAACTTGTCGCCGTAGATTGAGGCGCCGCCGCGGCCTGTGCCGGTGGGGTCGCCGCCTTGGATCATGAAGGAGGGGATTATGCGGTGGAAGGGGGTTGTGTTGTAGTAGCCTCTGCTGGCCAAGGTGGAGAAGTTGTGGCATGTCTGGGTTGGAAGGTGTTAGCATTTGGGCCCGAGAGGAGTCCTGGGAGCTGGAAAGTACTTTTGGCGCGTGTTCGGTGTAGAGCTCTACTGTGATCTCGCCCATTGTCGTCACCAGCACCACGTTTTGCGCCATGATGAATTGAGGTCGAGTGTTTGTGTTGATCTGGTTTGTAAAGTAGGAGACAGCTATATTGGTACAGGTAAATTGTTTGGAGGATAAATCAAGGGCGTGGTGTGCAAAAAGGTCAAGAGGTCTGAATGAGCTCGGAGAATGTTTCGAGTCGCGAGGCCATCACGGTTGACCTGCACAAAAACGATAATTGTCTTTGCAGCAGACAGACAAAACGTTGTCGCAGCCGTGAATCGAACACGGGGCTCGTGCATGGCAAGCACGAATTTTACCACTAAACCACTGCGACTTAGATGAAGCTGGAAACTTCAGAATTGTTAATGATTCTTCATTGAACAGACCTCTTCATCTCTTTTCCTGCCTCACTAGTACAAGTCATGACCGATCGCTCAGCCAGTGAGTGTATCAAGATCCTGACAGGTCACAAAGTCACTGCTTGAGTCCACATGTGCGCCCTCGCATAGCAGAAATAGACTGTAGTAGTGTCTCGCAAAGATATCGTCGGTCAGGCCAAACACCAACAGAATTCGACCACTCGCGATATCCATGCGAGGCAACCATGACCAGGGACTGTAAGGACGCAGCTCTACTAGAAATGACCGATAGAGTACCCTCGCGAGAATTCAAGATCAGCTTAGACATACTCGCAAACATCGATTTGATCATGGTGGATATACCAGAATTCGACCTCTCACAACCTCTGCATATGCGAGGCCCGGCAATTGAGACATCTTGAATTGACAGTTCACGTAGGAATAGGTCGTAAAGCACCCTCGTGAAAGACTCAAGTATGCCCAGCTATGCTCGCAAAGGTTGACCCAATCATACTGGCTACCACCAGATTCAACCACCTTCTGCCCACGTGCGAGGGTACACTATTGACAGATTGTGAATAGACAATTCGTGTAGAAACAGTCGCTAGACTGCCCTTGCGAGAAATGAAGGAAAGTTCAGACATACTCGCAGAAATCGGCTCGATCATGCTGGGTATATCAGAATTCGACCACTTACAACCTCTCCACATGCGAGGCTGTCCAATCGATAAATTGTGAATTGACAGTTCTTGTAGGAATGACTGTCAAATCTTGCTTGCGAAATATGAAATTGTGCCCAACTATGCTCGCAAAGATTGGTGGCAACCACTAGATTCGATCCATCCCGGTCCACGTCCGAGGACGAACATTTGAGGCAAGTCGAAAACAAAGAACGTCGTACCAATTAGAAGAAAAACAGAGAGAGAAGTCTACATGAAGCATCATATCAGTACTACCATCCAACTATCCATTAATTACCACAAATGTCAATCAACGGTTCCAAGTTCATCCTCTCAGTAGCCATGCTTGGCCAACTCTGTCTCCGTCCACTCCCAGAGCTCTTCGACCTTCTTATCACTCTTGGCCCACGCAGTACCACTACCCGAAGAGCCAACCGGCTTGAAGTAGTAACCCTTCCTGACCTCCTCCTTGTTCGCCGTGCATGCCCAGAGCTGGTTTCTTGCTCCCTGAGGCACAGTCTGCATGAACAATCCACCGACGGCAGCGATACCATATCTTATAAGCATGTTGTCACGCTGCGTGGTAGCGAAGAGATCAGTCTTGATGACACCCGGATGAACGGCAACAGCGGTGATGGAAGGGTAATGAGCAGTCAAGCCGCGAGAGTGAAGAATGTTGGCCAGCTTTGCGCTGCCGTAACGTGCCCAGGTACCGTTCTTTTCGGCGGCGGCTTGATCGTAGATGATTCCAGTGCTCTGCGGTGCAAGTTGATGTCCTTCGCTAGACAGAGAAACAACTCTGACATCAGAGTTGGGTTCTTCGGCAGTTTTGAGAAGTACAGGAAGCAGCAGTTTGGTCAAAAGTGCATGCCCCATGTGATTAGTGCCGAACTGAATCTCATAGCCTTGCTTGGTGGTGCTGTAGGGTACTGCCATGATGCCGGCATTGTTCAGCAGAATGTCCAGTCTTTGTTCCTTTTCCTTGAAGGTGTCTGCGGCAGCCTTGACAGACTCAAAGTCCGTCAAATCCAACGATAGGAATTCGACTTTGGCATTGGGGACCTGCGACTTGATCTCCTCGATTGCAGATCTGGCCTTTGATTCCGTGCGTGCTGCAAGGTAGATCTGGGAAGGGTTGTGCTTTGCAAACTGCAGGACGGATTCTTTGCCCAGACCAGTGTTTCCTAGATTCGACGTGAGTTTTTCTCGTCGACTCGAATCTATGGAGTAAAAGACGTACCTCCGGTGACAATGATGACCTTGCCCGAAAGGTCGGAAATGTCCTTCTCGGGCTCGAAAGACTTGCCGCCGTAAAGACCAAACATTGTCTCTGCTTGTAGAGAGATGAGAGGAGTCGCACTGTGCTGTGCTGGATGAGTACAGGATGGATCGAGTCAGACAAGGGTAGATCGGCGCAATCTGAGACGCGAAAGGGAGCTTGAATTCTGGGGGAGAAAGCTTGACATTTATCATGGGGACGTTGACCTCGGAACGAAGTACATCAGGCTGCAACTTAGATGCACTACATCATGATAGGAGTATCAAGAATTCAGATATGCAAGGTATCTGTCTCACTGTGCCAATCAGAAAGGGTTATCGCACGTGGTTGTCAAATCATGGTTGCTATTGATTGGAGCGTGCAAAGACCTCTATCGTAGCTCGAAAAGAATGCATCCTTCGGAAAAGCAAAAGAGGCGTGCCGGCCGTGGTATCTAGTAATTCTCAAAATCCTTCAACAAACGCCGTGTTTCCGAGAAACGCCAACATCAAACTCAAGTCATGATGTGGTAGGTAGGTAGGGTCATAAGATATGGCTGGCAGGTCATCGTTCCATGTCACTCAGCCATCCATTGTTGGCTAGACCCATGTTCATGTTTGGAGTCTGCTGTCCATAAGCACCCATCTCATTCTCGCTAATGTCTCCCCATTCATTGCCACTACCAGCGTCGAAACTGCTTCTCCCACTGAAGACTTCAGGCTCTTCTGGAATAGCTGGCGCCCCCACTGCACCCCAGTCGAGATTGGCAAGATCTGGGTACATTTGGAGTAAAGCAGCCGGAAGAATTGGGTGGAGATGAGGCTGGTTCATCATGGGTGGTGGGGCTACAAAGCCTTGATCGCTCTGCATTTGTCGTTGGGCATGCTCTTCTGCCCATTGCTTCTGGCGCTCGGCAGCTTCCTCGTCCAGCAGAGGTTTGATACACACTCGTCCGGCTTCTGAACGGAAATGTCGGCCAAGAGCATCAGCGCGCGCAAAACGTCGACCACATCCCCACTGTTCCCCATTGCTCAGTTGACCTCTGCAGACAAACTTCTTCTCGCCAGAATGCAGGCTTTCGTGTCGCTTACGGTCGTGTTGACGAGCGAATGCTTTTCCACAAACAGTACAGACAAAAGGTCTTTCGTCGGTATGGGTACGGAGGTGGGAGCGCAGGTTGTACGCGCGTGTGAACTTCTTGGGACAAAGAGTGCACTGGAAAGTGGCAGGGTGTTTCTGTGTTCTCTTGGGATCGTTGCCGCCGCTAGCAGCTCTTTCGGGATTTGCCAGATCGAGTATGTAATCACGCTGAGGTACAGACGAAGTCGAAGAGCGCCTGGATAGTCCGCTGGTCGAAGAGATGGAAGAAGGCGAGGGAGAACGAGAGCCGCTGTGACGAGCATCGAACGGCGATAGGGAATTTGTACCCGGTTGCAAAGAAGGAGATCTACCTCTTCCTGCAACCGAGGGAGGCACAGGTCGCGACCCAACGAAGGTATCCGACTTGGCACGCATCCGATTGCGACTGCGATCTAGAAACACTGGATTAGTAAAGATAGACGATGTCTGAGTTGTACGACGTACTTCTTTCTGGGGGGCTGAGCGCGTCCTCTGGTCCTGTACCGTTAGGAGGTCCAAAGCTAGGCACTCTCGATGGCGGAGCAAAGTCGATGTTGATCTCAGGCGGAGACATGGTATCAGCCATGCCTATCTCGTTGGGAGTGCCGCCATTGCTAAGCTGTGGGAATGGTTCACCTCCTGAAAGCGAGACACCAGGGTACATGTCGAAATTCTGCTGTTGTGTTTGATATCCCATATCCGGCTGCAGCGCGAAGCCATTGGCAGTATTGAAGTCTGGAAGCGCCTGCTGTGATTGTGGCAATAAACGAGGCGACACAGCTGGACTAGGGCCTGGGCTGATGTGAGGTGGAATTTGCGTATCGGACAAGGAGAATTGCCCGAGACCAAGAGCATCGGGAAAAAGCGAGGGATCCGTTTGAGGATTCAGCATGGGTGAAGCATCGAAGCTGTCAGCTGAGGGTAGATACGGTGAGGCGTGGTTGGAATGCGACGAGATGTCCGAATACGCGTCCGACGGTGAGCGACGATGCGACTGGAAAGCCTGGCCGGCACCCCAATCGTTGCCGCGATAACCAGGAGGTGGGTAGGCAGCGCTCGCGGGGTCGAGAGACTCTGATCTCTGGCGATTGACCTGGTTGAATGAAGCCTGTTGATACGACGGGGAAGCGTGCGGGCTGGGGCTCTGCGACGAGCGGCGCAATCCTGGCTGTAACAGATGAGGAGGAGTCGGGTTATGATGCGTCGCAGCCATGTTGGGGTCGACTAGCGATGGGTTGGACGAGTGTTGCTGGACGTTGCCGTACAGCAAGTTTGGATCTAGCTGATGTTGGTTGAAGTCAAAGCCAGGGAAAGCGTTGGACTCGTGCTGAGAAAGATTGTGAGGCGATGGTCCGTTGAGTGACAGGTTGGTCGCGCTGAGAGATGTGGGAGATAGGTTGCCGCTCAGATTACTACTGCTGCCGTTTGGACTATAGAGGCTGGGAGTTCGTACGCCGAAGAAGCTATTGTTATCGAAAGAAGATGATTGAAAGTCCAGCAGGGTTGCTTGAGGGTCAAGAAATTGTTGGTGGTTGAGGTTGTTGGCCTGGAATTGCTGCTGCTGCAGTTGGGTGTCATAAGGATTGGAGAATGGTTGGAAAGAATCGGCCGTGGCAGGTGGAGATAAGTGCGACGACGAGGCCGAGCGATCACGCTGGCCTTGGTTGCTCATGTTGACGAATATAACGAGGTGGCTTCCTTTAGATGTCTTCCAATATCATAGCCATATGCGGTCGCGACAAGGGCGTCGAGGCTGTGGGGAGGCTGTATACAGCGCGAATGCGCGCCGACTATAGCGCAGGAATGAGCAGGCCGAATGAAAGCCTCTGCCTGAGGCGGTGCAATGTGTCGTCGAGGCGGAGCACAAGATACGGGTTGACTCTGGTAAGAAGGAACAGGAAGCAAGAATCAAGAAGGAAGGCGCGCGTGTCAGAAACCAGAATAAGGCAGCTACCAACGACCGTACCCTACCTGCAATAAGCAACAGCCCAAGGTATGTCCTCCCGCCGATTGGATTGGGACGACCGAACCGAACGAAGTCAAAGCGCGGTGACGGACCCGACCCAAAGAGCTCCACTCCGACTCATGCAGTTTCCATTTGGTTATCTGATCCCTGAATTCCTTACTTGTTCTACCCAAAAACTTCAATCATTGACCACCGATACCTTCAACTACTGTTCATGTCGCAGTTTCCCAATGTCGGCGACCAGCGCGCCCTGAGACAAGAAGGCCAAAACCTGCAGAGCGAATGAGTTCACCGGTCGAGGGACCCGCCAATAGAAACGTGTGTCGCATGCTCTAAGCCCCGCTCGAATGAACCTTGCTTTACTCCCGCCCGACCTTTTCACGTGCTGCACCCTTTATGCTCTGAACCTTTTCCCGCTTCGAGGCTTGCAGGATCACCACGATTGAGATGCTCTGCAATGCTTTGTGCCTGCGCCTCTGGAGCCCAATATGATGGCGCATTCGATGACTGACGCAAGCGCAATCGGTAGCAGATAATTGATGAGCTCGTTTGTTGAATGACTGCAAAGTGATGCCATGCAGGACTAGCGATGGTTTATTGCTTACACAGCCACCTCCATGTTTTTCCAGCCATGATCATTTCGGTTGTTACACACAAGAATCGGTTTCTGCTCTGGCTCAGAATACTCTTGTGGGACTCGGGGACGTGGTGTTGTAAGTATTTGTTGCGAGCAGGTAGCACAACGTGCGACTGCGCTTGTGGTAGGTAAACTGTCGTTACATCCCTGCTATGGAACAGAGGAATTTCTTGCCAACCTCGGGAATAAGAGCAAAGCATGGAAGCCCAGCAGGTCAGCGAAGCGAGTCTTATTCGCTTGTGGAAGTGAGCGGACATTCTGGGAACCGTTGTCAGTGCTCCGTCTACTTGTCAAGTCGTCCAAGAAGAGGTCCAAGGAGCGGTAGGGAGAGGAATCATCAATGCATTTTTGGGACTCTAACTAAACAAATTACAAGCTACTCAACCACCACATGAAAGCCAATTGAATGACATAGGAGTAAACGAAGAGGAAGTAAGTCCTCTTTGTCCTCTGCGATCGGGCTATAGGGTTATGGGCGCCCGAGGCAGTGTCTGGCAGAATAACATATTTGAGCGAGCGGAGCTGCTTCTGTCAGTCTGGGGACGGGAGCTTGACCAACAGGTTGGAACTTACGAGGAAGAAGGCATTTGCCAGGTAGGTGTAGGCAAAGACGGACCAGCCAACGTAACCACCAGTACCTTTTGCGCCAGTGGTAATGGCAGCCAGGGCGATGGTAAAGATGACGGCGACAAATTTGTAACCGGAATAAGCAACCAGATCTAGCCACTGCGACTCGTTTGAAATGTTCAGGAGATAGGTGCCGAGCTTGAGAAGCAAAAGTTCGATGATGACGACGGCAAAGGCATTGGTAGCAGTCAGACCGAGCAGCTCTGGACGGAAAGCACCCTGCAGACCGGCGAGCAAGGTGGACAAGAGGATATAGGTGACAAAGGCCATGACCGGGATGTACATGTCGGGACTGTTGATGTCTTCACGAGGAGGCAGAAACATGGGAGCGGACTGGGCGCTGGTGGCCATGGGCTGCTGCTGACGCGACCAGGGACGATGGCGCCAGGGGAAGAGGACTATGAAGAGCTTGTTGACGACGTAGGCATTGGAGACATTGAAGTAGTGCTTCATGGCCGAGACATTGACATAGCGGTTGAACTGAGCAGGGGTTAGTTTGGCATGTGCGATCAAGTATTGGGTGACGGACGTTTTGCTCCATGTACTCCTGACCGGCAGCGACGGCCGTCTTGCCCATCTGAAGACTCATCTGAGCGGCGGGGTCATTGATGAAGCCGCCAAAGGGAGGCTGGCCGTAGTTGTTTGGGGCATAGCCGTACTGCTGTTGCTGTTGCTGTTGCTGTTGTTGTGTCATGGGTGGAGGAGGGGATCGCAGCTGCGGGACGGTCGAGACGTGTTGAGGGACCGGATGGTGTAGGGGAGGCGACTGAGCAGGGCCCATGTTGGAGTATGAACCTCGCTGCATGCTTCAGGGTCGGTGGGAGGGTCGGACTTGGACGAGGATACGTTACTGCTATGAGAGTCTGGACAAGTTTGACAATAGAGTCGAGCTTCCCGAGCTTCCCCCAGGCCCCCAGGCCCGCAGCCACGTCAATCTTGGCGCCGACACCGCCCGGCAGTCGCAACGCGCGAGTCGCCAGTCGCCAGTCGCCAGCCAATGCGACAGAACATTAGCGCGTCCTTGTAGACACTTTGCGACCCGTCACTTACGACTTGCAGCCTGGACCTCGCGACACACTGGATCAAGATGCTGGACGCCTTTGAGATCATCACAACTTCGGGCGTCGTCGTGTGGAGCCGCACGTATGCTCCTGTCGCACAAAAGGTCGTCAACAGCTTGATCAACGATGTCTTTATCGAGGAGCGTGCCCAGAGCCTGCAGAGCCAGCCACGGAATGCCTCCTTCAAGTCCGACAAGTACACGCTCAAGTACACGCACGCCAAAGACGTCGGCCTCATCTTTGTCGCCGTCTACCAATCCATCCTCCACCTCTCCTGGCTCGACAACCTGCTCGATGTTGTCCGTGCCCTCTTTGTCAAGCAATATGCTGCCGACATCAAAAATCTAAACTCTACAAACATCGACTGCTCCCAATTCACCCACACCTTCGATGCTCTGATCCAGAAGCTCGACAAGACGCAACAATCCGCGCCATCCGATGACCACGACCCACTCGACACCGACTCGCCCACCGATCTGACTCCCCCCTCGAGCTCTGCTGGAGACGATCAAGACCACCCGCCCCCTCCCGTGCCCGCTCTCAAGAAGCCTGCTCCCAGACAGCTCGCCGACACCATATCAGCCTCTACAGACGCTACCCCGAGTGCCACGCCAGACACATCGCGACCCGCTTCGCCCGCAGCGAGTCAGCTGCTAGAAGGAAAGAGCCCAAGGGTTTCACGCCGTTCGAGAAAGGCCGCCCTCGCCACTTCCTCAGCCCCTGCTTCTTCTGGCGACGAAAAATCTCCCGCTCGCAAAGCCGCCCCTGCAAAGAGACCGAGCGCAAAGTCCAAGCGAACATGGGACGCACACGGCTTTGGTGCCGAGGAAGATGAGGATACCGTGCTGGATTACTCGACTCAAAGTCTCGACGACGCACCTGCCGCTCAATCAACATTACAGCCCGTTCGTGCCGACGACATGGGAAGCAGGACAGCCAAGGGTCAATTCATACTAAAAGATCTGGATGACGAGGTAGATGCCATCCTTGCAGAATCAAAGTCAAAGAAAGACCAAGTCGACTCGGATCCGTCTAAAGGACTGGTAGGAACTGGACTGGGAGCCATCAGTGGCTACTTCCGCAACATGGTCGGAGGCAAGACCTTGACCGCTGTGGACCTGGTCAAGCCAATGAAGGCCATGGAGGATCATCTCTTGAACAAGAACGTCGCCCGCGAAGCTGCCGTTCGCTTGTGTGAGTCCGTCGAGCGTGATCTTATTGGCCTCAAGACCAGTAATTTCACCACCATCGACCAGACCATCCGCGATTCAATGTCCAAGGCGCTCACTCGCATGCTGACCCCAACATCTTCTCTCGATTTGCTCCGCTCAATCACCGCTACTACCTCTGGAGCCAATGCCAGACCCTATGTCGTCAGTATTGTTGGCGTCAACGGTGTCGGCAAGTCGACCTCTCTATCCAAGCTCGCCTTCTTCTTCCTTCAGAACAACTTCCGTGTCCTGGTTTGTGCCGCAGACACTTTCCGTTCTGGAGCTGTCGAGCAACTCCGCGTTCACGTACGCAACCTCTCCGAATTGACCGCTCGTGAGAACCTGGGCCATGTTGACCTGTACGAGAAGGGCTACGGCAAAGACGCAGCTCAGCTTGCCAAAGAGGCCGTCGTCTATGCCACTGAGCAAGCCTACGATGTCGTCCTGATTGATACCGCTGGCCGCAGACATAACGATACACGTCTCATGTCTTCTCTCACAAAGTTTGGTCAACTCGCAAATCCGGACAAGATCTTTATGGTTGGTGAGGCTCTCGTAGGCACAGACTCTGTGGCTCAAGCTCGCAACTTCTCTGCGCAATTTGTGGACCGTCAGGGCAAGGGTCGTGGTCTCGATGGCTTTGTCATCTCAAAGTGCGATACTGTGGGCGACATGGTCGGCACACTCGTCAGCATGGTTCACGCTACTGGCATCCCCGTTGTCTTTTTGGGCGTCGGTCAACACTATGGTGATCTGCGCGGCCTGAACGTTGGTTGGGCGGTGGACAAATTGATGAAGTAGTGATGTTCCAGTTCTTTCAACTTCTTTCTACCTTTCCTTATATTAGGAATGAGTTTAATACGATCACGGCCTTTCCATGTACCTAAATTGAGGACCATTTTCTTGTCAATCTCTCATACTCGGTCTAACTCGGCCTTCTCTCGCTTTTGGCACACAATACCCAGGCCGTCTTTAAAACCAGACCCAAGTCAGCAACAGAACCCCGACTGCTGAATCCGCATCCCCGAGGTTCTGGGCTCATGCACCCCTCGATCGTTCGGCAGTTGTCACTATGAAGCTGTAAGAGGGGCGTGTGAGGCTGGCATCCCCGCAGTAAATTGCCCCGCATCTGCTATAGTGGGGTTCCATGTCGTCCTTATATAAGCATGCTGAGCATGAAGCAATGCAGATCCCAGTTCCTCCTTTCTTCTCTGCATATTCCTGCTTCATCAGTTACTACAAGAGAAGATATCCTGGTTTCAATCATGTCTGACAAGCAAATGAAAGCTGTACATTACGAGGGACCCTTCAAGGTATCCGTCAAGGATGTACCATTGCCCCAGCTTGAGCACCCAGACGATGCTATCATCAAGGTCACTACTGCTGGTGGGTACCTCTTTACACACTACACGTGCAACAGATACCTAGGTCACTGTGCACCTAGGGCACCTCATGCTCAAGCTCTACAATCCATCCAACTCAATTGGAGACACTCGGACTTAATAAAATGCTAACCACCATCGTAGCAATCTGCGGTAGTGACTTGCACATGTACCAAGGCCGTACAGCAGCAGAGTCGGGTCTCGTCTTTGGTCATGAGAACATGGGCATCGTCACCGAAATCGGCTCGGGTGTGACCCTGCTCAAGAAAGGCGATCGTATCGTGCTACCATTCAACGTGGCCGATGGTAGATGTAGAAACTGCGAACAGGGCAAGACCGCCTTCTGCACTGGTAATCTCCTGCTGTCATCCCTTGAAGCAAAACGTAGCACTAACTTCTGTAGGTGTCAACCCTGGCTTCGCTGGTGGTGCTTATGGCTACGTAGCCATGGGGCCTTACCAAGGAGGTCAAGCACAGTACCTTCGTGTGCCATATGCCGACTTCAACGCTCTTGTCCTGCCTCCTGGCACTGACAACGAGGCTGATTTCGCTCTCTTGGCTGATATTTTCCCTACCGGCTGGCACGGTCTCCAACTATCAGGCTTCCAACCTGGTGACAGTGTCGCAGTCTTTGGTGCCGGCCCCGTAGGTCTGATGGCCGCATACTCTGCTGTGCTTCGAGGAGCTAGTAAGGTCTACGTTGTTGACCAAGTCAAGGAGAGATTGGATGCTGCTAAGAAGATTGGTTGCGAGGGCGTCGACTTCACAAAGGGCGATCCCGTTGAGCAAATTATCAAGCTGAACGGTGGAGAGATGGTCGACCGCGCCGTCGATGCTGTCGGTTATCAAGCTGTTGACAAGAGCGGTAACAAGGAACAACCCAACATTGTTCTTGACCAACTTATCCGTGTTACCAGAGCTACTGGCGGTCTTGGTATTCCGGGACTCTACGTGCCCTCTGTAAGTCCTCTCACACCTCTTGGGGTACGCAGATACTAACGCCGATCAATAGGACCCTGGTGCTCCTGACTCGCAATCTGCCAAAGGACAAATCTTGATCTCCTTCGGCAAGCTCTTCGAAAAGGGTCTGTTTTTGGGCACTGGCCAGTGCAACGTCAAGGCGTACAACCGTCAACTTCGCGACCTCATTATCTCCGGCCGTGCTAAGCCTTCCTTCGTTGTATCCCACGAGGTCGACATCGATGACGCCATTGACGCTTACGAAAAGTTCGACAAGAGAATCGACGGCTACACCAAGGTCTTGCTTCATCCTAACGGACCTCTAAGCTCATTCTCCATCTAGAAGTGACGCTTTGGCCCGAGGCTGAACATGAATGTTGTTGGCAACATCCATTTTGGAAGACAATTGTACTTTGAAAACAATCATCATTAACATTGGAATGACAGAACATGAGAAATTATCTTGGAAAATTTGAATTTGACCAAGCTTCCTGTCATCTGAGCTTCGTGAGGCTTGTACATGACGATCTTCAATGAGGGGGTGGAATCCTTCTCGTATGAACACTATGCTTCTGATGTCACTCACCGGCCGTAATCAGCAACATTGCATCCTGCCGAGATGGACCCGCACTATAGCTCATCTAAATGCAGGAGCAGGCTATTCGAGTATTGGCTAAACTAAGTTCCTACTTCAGCAAGTATATCATGTAGTAAGCTGTATTCCCTCTATCCGTTGTCCGCACAACTTCTTCCTTCTTCACATCATCCATATCCAAAAGTTGAGTTTCCGACCTTCAAGACACCTTCGCCATCATCACAACAAGCATGGGCTGCGGAAGCTCGAAACCAGAAGACTATCATACTAGTACATCCGCTCGTCCTGTCAATGGCGTAGTACCACCTCAAGAATACGCTGCCCCTCAGCAGCCAGTCGTCCAGCAAGCTTCAGAAGGGAAGAAGAGAAAGGGAGCGAAGAATCTAGGATTGCTCAGTGTGCTGGTCAATTAGTGGATCTCTATGACTGTTCAGGTATGTACTTCTTCCACATCGATCCTGGAATCTGGAGTCGCTGACTTGACAAGAACGACATACGACACACGCGGCATTGAGCAGTTTAGAAAAGAACAAATAGCCTCTTCCTGCCATACTCGATATTCTTCACGCCGTGGCCAAGATTCATCGTAGCTCTGCCCATATGGCTTATTGATTGCATATCGTCGGCCAATGATCTGAATCTTGCACTTTTCACCCTTGAGTAACAAGCTTGACATTAGATATACATAAAACAAGAGCACATATAATTCAAATCGCGTAATTCTCTGCGTGCAAATACACCTCATCTCTACCCGGGTTATTCCACACCGTCCTCTGTAACTCTGCAACAGTATTACTGACATCAACCCTCATACTCGGCGGCCCACACACAAACACACAAGTCCTTCTTCCAGTCCACTCTTGACTCATCTCTCTCAACATGAACGGGATGTCTGGCCTTCCATACTCTGTACTCCAACCAGTCTTTGTCGACTTTACAGCAGCAGGCAAAAACGCAAAGCGCATGAGGTTTTTCTGGAACTCGGTGGGTGTGGACGGGAAACCAAAGTCGAATTCGCCTTGAGGGGATGCTCCTTCCCTGAGATAGGCTGGTGCGGCGGGATCAGGCAGTGGGATTGACATTTGCTGAGACTTTCGCTTTTCCGCCAACGTGAGTCGAGGAGTTGATAACTCGGATGGTGGAGGTGAGGCGCGACCACTGCGTGATGCGCTTCTCATGGGCAGTAGATGCGCTTGAGGTAATGGTCTGAGGCGATCTTCATTTTCGCGTCTCAATGCCTTTTCCCTCTCCGGATCTCCTGCCGCTTCTTCCGCTATCAAGGCCGAGTTTCTGTTGGTGTTTGCCGAGATGGTGGAGAGTCTGTTGTTTGCAATATTCTGGAATGTCTCGTTGACCTTGTTGTAGAACATCATGCTGATTGGTCTCGTTGGTGTCTGTGCCGAGACCAATTCTCCAGTCCTAGGCTGTCTTTTTGCAGCTGTAATGTAAAACTGACATTGTACTGTACCTGGCGGGGCAAACTCTCTGCAGATGCGCAATTCTTCTTTGAACCATTCCATTGTTTCTGGTCGTTTGAGGGCCCAAATTACTTGAACGGATTTGGTCACTGCTTTACCATCTCGAAGACGTTTGATGAGGTCGAGAAGTTGGGAGACCAAGGCTGTGATGCCGCTGCCGCCAGCAAATAGAACGACATGATCGAAGGAGTCCATGCTTCTTCTCATACCGCCGTAGGGTCCATCGATGAAAGCGCGATAGGTGTGCCACGGCCCATTGTCCAAAGCGCTATCCAGGACTTTCTTGGTGAAGCCACCGAAAGGTCGGAAGACTAGAACCATGTCTCTATACTGTTCGCCGTATTGAGAAGGGAAGTCATCACTCCATAGAGACGCAATAGTGAAAGGATGATTCTCGAAGACCGAGATGCCGGGCATTCTCAGATAGACGTATTGTCCAGGCTTCCACTTGACCTGTGTGGGAATGGTGACTTTGATTGCGTTTTCAGGCATCAATGTCACGGCCGCCTCCTCACCGACCAACCACGATAGTCGGAAATAGTTAGTCCAGTTGAGGAAGAATAAGCGAACCATGTACGAGATGAACCACATTGCCGTAGTCGCCCATAGATAGTGCCACGATGTGAGGAAGTTTTTGCAGTGCCAAAAGAGCATGGCGAGAAAAACAACTGATACGGGCACATGCAAGGCAACAAACAATTCGTACATCTTACGGCGTAGTGGCGGAAGAGAGTGCGTGCAAAGAAAGATGAGAGGGACAAGTGTCGCAACGCCAGAGCCATAGACGTAAATGCCAGAATTGCCAAATGCTGGTTGAAAGACGCCCAGTCCACCCTCAGACCAGATAGGCGTGACGTAGAAGGGAATCGTATGGATCAAACTCAAGATCAGACAGATGTATGCAAGCCAGCGATGTAACACATTGAGTCGTTCGTGACCAATTCCAGTCAGAAAAGTGATGACGTTTGCTTTCATGCTGAGGCCAACAATCCACGGCATCAATGCCACCGCAATCATTCCTGCTCGAATGGCCAGTGGCGGAGAACCGAATTGAATACTTTCCCAGTACAGGGGTTGAGGGACGAAACAGTAGAGTATTACGAATACCAGCGCAGCAGAAACAATGACAAGCGCACCAAGTGAGGGAAATATGACTGGCCTCCATCCTTTTCTCAGCCTGAGCACTGGTATGGGCCGATAGAACACGAATCGAAAAAGCGCTATCGTATTGTTGACCAGCCACATGGACGAGACTGATGACTGCAATTTGGGTTGTCCGGGTAGCGGTCCCTCGCGCGGGAAGAATTTGTGTGTCGATCTATCAGTACTGAGCACTGATAATTCATAGTCTGTGGCCGGAGACTCTATCATAGCAGAGGCCACAGCATCTTCCTTATACAGTGCTGTTCGAACTTTGTCCGTCCAGATGTGGTAGAGATGTAAAAGGCATGCGAACGCCAGCAAAATTACACAAAAGTACACCCAGCCCAAGGCGTACTCTCCGGACTTTGACCAAGGATCTCGAGTATTTGCTTCTATCAGGCCAGGTGGGCTCGTGCTGTTAGAGGGTATATTTATTCGCTTTTCGATAGCATGAGAAACGCCGCTTTGGGCATTTTGGACCGATCCTCTAAGCTGCGCGAAAGTGTAGCTCGCAATTCTTTTGACAACGTCTGGCATGGCGTACTGTGCGCGTGATATGCGCCTCTGTTCTGCAAGTTGCCGTCCAGGGGAGATTTTTCTTCAATCGAGGCTTACGTTTGCGAAGGATGGTGAACAAGATTGAAGCGATCTCGCCCAGAATCACCTCCAGAATGCAGGACGCTCGTGTAACAGTGAGATTACGCTATCTCTAGCATACGTAAGTTGTGCATAGGCCAGGTAACCTATCTGCGAACGATATAAGATTCCAGATGTGTCCAACTTTACAGTCGTCGTCGCAAAGCCGAAGAAAAAGATGCAAATAGATGCGAGGAAACCGGAGAAGGGTAATCTTAAGCATGTTCATCAATACTGCAAGGGTCCACTAGACAAATTGCCATATCAAGGACCCAAGCCGTGATTCCCAATACAAGCGGGGTATCACATTTGAGGGGCAGCTGCTCTAGCACACAAAGAGCTTTTGCAGGCGGCCTTGGATAGTATGGTTACATGCAACCCGGAGCTCTTGTGTGCCGCACCTATCGAGCCATATTGACTGAACCGGGGCATGATCATTGCCGCAGCACTGCAAGCGAATAGCCGGGAAACGACTTGCTGGGTCCTGCACATGCATACATCCGCTTGAAGGATAGAATCATTGATAGATTCAATACGATATCATGAGAACGCTGCAAGTTACACTATTACAGTGAGCATGTTGCCAATGAGAAGCAGTCACTCGTCAAGTCGGATCACTTCGACTCACGCTGTCATCAAGCTCTATGTCAGCACCAATGGCGCGGTAGACCTGATAGCATCGTGCTTGTGGATGGCCTAGTCTCTGGGCAGCACATGGAGATGCGCCAATCGAACATCAGAAAGGCATGCTGTGCATTGTGAATCGCTGGTTGCGCTGCATATTCGACCTGTGAAGTCGAGAGGTTACGCGCCCACGCCAGTCCATTTTGAGTTGTCGCCTCGGCTCGGTTGTCACCGCTTTCGTTGCGCATGAATTGTGCATGCATTGTGCACGGAGGACTGCCGGCAGGAACACCCTGCTCTACAACACAATCATTACTTTTGGAGCGTAACTTGACTAGAACACACGATATCTGTTGGCTGTTGGCGTCTTGGATACTTCTACAGTGATCAGGAGTGAACAGACTCATGAAAGATTTGGATACTATAGGTCATAGAGCGCGCGTCCTCACATAACTTCACATAACTTCACATAACGTTATCGCCAGTATTTGTTCGCGATCTCTAACATGATTCTGTACATTCACAGCATGAATCTGGGTGTATCTAAGTGCTCTCGTAAGGACATTATTATAGTCTATCGGAGAATACTCGCCTGATATAAGCAGCATCTACATAGTGCCATTCCGTGTTACTCGCCGATGCTGATGCCTTCTGAGTACGTGTCAAAGGATGAGTCCCAGGCCGACTTGCAGTGGGAATGGACATCAAACTTGAAAAGTTAACACGACCCGAGGGACGAGTACCAAATGATCACGTGGCTCAGGAAGATGGAAATCAAAGCTGTTACGATTCTCTAGTGAGCTAGCTATCTATCATTACACCTGGTGAATATGTCGATCCACGTTTAACCTGTACGCCATTACCCAGTGCCCAATTAGACTCCGCAAACCACAATGCACAAACGCTTTACCGCCCTCGTAATACATGAACAATACAATTCTCTCCGTCCCCTTCAGGTGATCTAACCACTGCACATGATGCAAGATTCAGGGTTGTCGATGCTGCAAGCGAGAACTGCGTCGGCGTAGATATCACCTTCACGGTCTTTGCTGTCATCGGCAGCGTCCTCATCTTGCTTGACAGTGTTCTTGATCTCCTCATCAGGGGTGCCGATATTGCTGTCAACTGCCACCAACTTGGGGCTGCTTCCCTCAGGAAGATCGGCGGTGAATGGAGGGGCTCTCATGGGCAGTTCCTTCAAGGGAGTCTGCTTGGTATCGATCTCAGTAGGAGGAGGGGTTGTTGAGGGGGTAGGTACACCATTAGCGACAGCCGAGTTCTGGGGCTGCTTCGACTGGAACATGGGCTGAGGAGTGGGAGACTGGGTAGCGGGCGAACCAGTGCCGGCGATACCGCGCTTCTTAGCTGGGTTGCGGGCAACGTTGGTATCGACAACCTTGAGCTGTTCCTGATCGACAGTGAACTGGATAGGAGCGGCGGCAGCCATGGTACGAAGGTAGTACATGCCGGTCTTCAAGCCGAGCTTCCAGCCTGTGAAGTGCATGCTGGTAATTTTGCCCATGGTCGGGTTCTGCATGTGAATGTTGAGCGACTGAGACTGGTCAATGAAGGCACCACGGTCAGCGGCCATTTGAACAATGTGACGCTGGCTGAGCTCCCAAACGGTCTTGTATAGAGCCTTGAGTTCATCGGGAATGTTGGGGATGCGCTGAATAGAACCGCCGTCGGCGATGATACGGTTCTTCATGTTGTCAGACCACAAGCCGCGGTCAACGAGATCCTTGAGCAACCAGGGGTTGACCACTTGGAACTCTCCAGCAAGGACACGACGAGAGTAGATGTTGGAGGTGTAAGGCTCGAAGCACTCGTTGAAGCCCATGATCTGCGAGGTACTGGCAGTGGGCATGGGTGCAACGAGGAGGGAGTTGCGGACACCATCCTTGGCAATCTTCTCCTTGAGAGCTTCCCAATCCCAGAGATCAGTAGGGGTGATTCCCCACATGTCATACTGAAGCTCACCCTTTGAGACGGGAGAGCCGGGATAGGTCTCGTAGGGACCAAGCTTCTCAGCCAGATCACACGAAGAGGTCAAAGCGGCGTGGTAGATGGTCTCAAAGATCTGGATGTTGAGTTGTCTAGCCTCGGGCGAGTCAAAAGGCATGCGAAGGGCAAGGAAGGTATCGGCAAGACCGCTGACACCGAGACCGATCGGACGGTGACGGAAGTTGCTCTTGCGAGCCTCGGGGACAGGGTAGTGGTTGATCTCGATGATCTTGTTCAGGTTCTTGGTGACGACCTGGACAACTTCGTGAAGCTTCTTGAAGTCAAATTTCTCGGCGTTCATGTCGACATATGTAGGAAGGGCGAGGGAAGCCAAGTTGCAGACGGCGACCTCATCGGGAGCAGTGTACTCGATGATCTCAGTGCACAAGTTGGAGCTGCGGATGACACCGAGGTTCTTTTGGTTGCTCTTGCGGTTGCAAGCATCCTTGTAAAGCATAAAAGGGTTACCGGTCTCGGTCTGAGCCTCGAGGATGGCGTACCAGAGCTTCTGAGCGCGAATGGTGTCGCGACCACGACCCTCACGCTCGTACTTCTCGTACAAAGCCTCGAACTCGTCACCGTAGACGTCAGCCAAGCCAGGGCACTCGCTGGGACACATCAAGGTCCAGGTCGAGTTCTGCTCGACACGCTTCATGAAAAGATCGGGGATCCAGAGGGCATAGAAGAGATCGCGAGCACGGACTTCTTCCTTACCGTGGTTCTTGCGAAGGTCGAGGAAGGCAAAGACATCGGCGTGCCAAGGCTCGAGGTAGATGGCAAAGGCACCAGGGCGCTTGTTGCCACCCTGGTCAACATATCTAGCGGTGTTGTTGAAGACACGAAGCATGGGGACGAGACCGTTGGAGGTACCGTTGGTTCCAGCAATGTAGGAGCCAGTGGCACGGATGCAGTGAGCATTGAGACCGATACCACCAGCGTTCTTTGAGATCATGGCACAGGTCTTGAGGGTATCATAGATGCCATCAATCGAATCATCCTTCATGTCGATCAGGAAGCACGAAGCCAACTGAGGTTGAGGGGTACCGGCGCTGAAGAGGGTCGGCGAAGCGTGGGTGAAGTACTTGAGCGACATGAGGTTGTATGTCTCGATGGCAGCCTCGATATCCTCGCCGTGGATACCGACGGCAACACGCATGATCATCTGTTGGGGCCTCTCAGCAACCTTGCCCTCGAGTCTGAGGAGATATGAGCGCTCCAAGGTCTTGAAACCAAAGTACTGGTAGTTGAAATCTCTGTCGTAGACGATGGCCGAGTTGAGCTCTTCTGCGTGGTCCATGACAGTCTTGTATGTCTCTTCGGAGATCATGGGAGCGGCCTTTCTGGTCTTGGGGTTGATGTAGTGGTAGAGATCCGAGATGACGGCAGAGAACTGCTTCTTGGTCTGCTTGTGGAGATTTGACACGGCGATACGTGCTGCGAGGACGGCGTAGTCGGGATGGGTTGTCGTCATGTAGGCGGCAGTCTCGGCAGCCAGATCATCCAGCTGGATTGTGTTGACACCCTGGTAGACACCGGCAATGACCTTCATTGTGATGGCGGCAGCATCGACATGGTCGGGATCAAGACCGTAACACAATCTTGACACGCGAGCTGTGATTTTGTCGAACTGAACACGCTCCTTGCGTCCGTCTGCACAGGCATTAGTAATCTCGAGTAGACGGAAGACGGAAGACCTTAGACAGAAGACTTACCGCGCTTGTACACGAACATTGTGGCGTGTTGATGTGATAGAAAGGGATAAGTATGAAAATGGAAGAGACGGCGGGTCTCGAGGGGTGACGAGGGGTGACGAGGGGTAGACGGGGTGGAGGTCTTGATGGGACTAAAGATGTAGAGGCAGAAAAGGGTATCAGAAGGAAGAATCAGACCGAGTCGTCAAGGCTGTGGAATTGCAGATATGAGAGAGTGGGTGGGAGAGGAGAGGTGGGAGAAGTGGACGTGTGCAACTTCTTAAACACGACCGCGTGTTGATGCAAAGTCGTGTCTGGCGCGTTTCGCGTGGCTAGCGCGTCACTTTGCCAATTTAATGATGCTCCCACTCAAGCCTTTTGCGGCTCCCGCGTCTTAGTAAGCCACCGTCCGCTGCCTTCCTTTCTTTTTCTCGTCTCCTCGTCGACGCTTCCGTTCTTCCCTCATAACAAATCGAGCCTTTGTTTCTCGACAATGACTCCATGACATTGCTTCAGGATCGGACGTGTATTAAGACGTTGTCGCCAATATGCGCAGCTTACACTCAACCTTTCCTTGTGCACTACATAACACATTATGCCAACAGCATACAAACTTCGCAAGGCGGATTCGAAGACTCGGCGACCACTACCTTTCCCAAGGTCACGAGTTCAAAATCGACGCCAATATTGAGCCCAACGATCTGCCAAGATCATCTCACTCGTGTTGCAGTTTCTGAGCTTTGCTTTGAAGATTTTGCGTCAAAATGATGAGAGACATGCCATATGTACAAGTACTCTCTGGGTATCATGATAGTTTCCCCGTTTGTGCTGGTCTACAATTCCTTCTTGGCCTCTCCAGCCATCGTGGATGCCGCACCACTCTGGAAAGCCTGTGGCTCCTGCTCTTGCTTGCCCGTCTGCATATCGGGTCGCTTAGTGATCAAGACGTAGCTGGCGGCGATTGCTTCGCTTGACATGGCGATGACACTCGCACAAGCAATACCCCAAACCTGAATGCTGATGCTTCCTTTGGGTGCTCTGGGAAATGACAGAAGCCATTCGACGTAGCCGGGCACCCAGCCTTGGGGCAGCCAGAACAGTGCTTGACGCGAGAACCAAAACTGTAGCAGGTAGCGCATACCGTTGGTACCGAGCCAGCGAAGCGCGTTGGCTGCCTTGTCGAACTTGGCCTTGGTGTCTTGGACCGAGGTCGCTGTTTGGTGTCAGAATGTGACGCTGCGAATTGCTAGATAGTGAGGATCCAACATACAGCTCCTTTCGTAGTCGGCGACAGCTTTGTCGTGCGTTCTACGCAGTTTGGCCCATCTGGCAAACTCGTCTTGTGCGCTGACAGCGTTCATCTCGCGCTTGAGACGCACCACCTCTTTCTTCAGCCTAGCAGAGTCTGACGCATCTTTCGCTGTCGGTGTAGGAAGCTTGTTGTAGAGAACCCAGAGCTGTGGTCAATCAGCGTCCATTCCGTGGCTGAAGAAGTCGATCGTGTCCTTACTAGCTCGTTGATGGTCGCTGCTCCGAGTGTGTTGATGAGGTGGATGGCCACGTTCAGCAAGAATACTGCCAGCAAAAGAGACATCATACTGGGCGATGGATGGCGTTGCGACAGTCGTCTTGTCCAGGTCTCACGGCGCAAGTGGGATGGATGCACGATCAAGGCCAATGCAAATGACGTGGAGCTTGTCATTCACCCCAAACTTTCTGCCAAGACTTATAAGCGTTTGGAACTGCGGGCTCGACCTCCTACTGGATGGCACTCATGTTGCCGATCCGTTGGCAACCATCACCACGTCTTCGCTCGAGGATCAAACATACCTACGTCTTTGTTCATCGCGTGCAAGTTGGGCAGAAATCCCGCACTGTCTTCGGTCATGACCAAGACTGTACAAAGACAAAGCGGACACTGTCCGCCAGAGAACTTGTCGTGTCATATACATCCAAAAGCCATATCATACGTCAAGGATTCGACTTCGTTCCTCTCAACCTTACATTCTTGGAGCGGGTGGTGCAATCTCGTACAAAATGTGTGTTTGCAATGGCATAATGATCTGGAGGAGGATGCGTACAGCTAATTACTGATCGATTACAAAGCAAACAACCCGACCCCGGGTGGACACTATCATGGGAGAAACAGCTGAATTGTTGTCCCAATCTGCTGTATCCTAGACCCTTCATCTGTTCATCTGTCTCCACCTATGATGCACTGCAATTCGCCATTGCAAGCACCCTTCATCACTTCATTGACCGTACCGATTACTGGCTGCATATATGAGGATCAGGACCTGGGATACGCACGACTACTCCAGCTCTTTCAAATTTCAATGTTACGGAAGGTAGAACTGGATAGCATGCTTCGCCTCACCCTGCAAACGCCCAAGGACTGCATCCAACCAGGGACGTCCAGCGTGACAGAGCTTGTGTTCACTAACTGCGGTCCGGTCAGTGAACAGATACAAGGGAAAATGAGAAATCTCTATAATAGTATGAGCTTCTGTGGGACCATGATGCTACTTCCATTGAGAGCACGATGGCCAGGGCATGGCAGCCCGTGGTCTAGCGGTCATCAAGAGCGTGACTCACAACGATTGTCGCTCTACATGGGTAGAATCTCGAAAGAGTGAAAATCATTGCACTGCCATAACTTCTTCTTCCAATTCAGTTCCGACCGTCTTGATGGCCGAAGATTTTGCTAGCTCCTCAGTCTTTCCAGCGCATGAAGATAAGACTATACAGAATGAATCAAAGCCTCAACCTCGTCCCAAGATCTAGGTGCCGTAGTCAAATTCTCGCATCCATTCTCCTTGACAAGGACATCATCCTCGATACGCACACCCCCAACATCCCAATACTTCTCCAGGACAGCCTTGTCGATGAACTTGGCGTACTTTTCTTCCTTCAATGCAGGTTCGATGATGAAGCGGCAGAAGTAAATACCAGGCTCGACGGTCACGACAGAGTTGGCAGGGACAGTGCCTCTGATGCGCAAGTAGCGGAACATGGGATCAGGATCTTCGTAGTTTGCGTTGCCACCGCAGTCATGGGTGTCCATGCCGAGATAGTGGCCGAGACCGTGAGGAAGGAAGAGGGTAGAGACACGGCTGTCGAAGAGCTCTTTCTTGTTGCCTCCAGTGAGTACGCCGAGACGGCGGAGACCATCGATTGCGATTTCGTGGGCCAGAGCGTGTAGATCCTCCCAGGTTACGTTGGCCTTGAGTGCCTTCATACACTCGGCCTGCATCTCGTCTACGATATCATAGATTTCGCGACTCTCCTTTGTGAATTTACCCTGGAGAGGGTATGTGCGTGTGATATCTGAGCAGTAGCAGTTGTACTCGCAACCAGCATCGATAAGCAGATTGAGCTTCTCAGATAGAGGAAGGTCGTTGTGTACATAGTGAAGAGTTGCGCCACTGGGACCTGAAGCGCAGATACAACCATAGGCTTGTTCGCGACCACCGTTGCTGATGCAGGCACCAACGAAAGTACCCATCAATTCTCTCTCGTTGCGTGCATTCTTGACCATACGCATGACTTCTGTATGAGCATGCGACGAGATGGCATTGGCGTGACGGATGAGACCGATTTCGTGCTCGTCCTTGACAACACGACATCTTTCGATGGCGTTCTTTAACAGATCCCAGTTGGTCTCCTTGAATGACAAGAATGTGACATGATCTGCTACCTGCTTGGGGATGGCCAAGATGGTACCATGAGGAGTCTCGGGTGATGTGAGATAAGAGTTGACTTCTGTTGAAGGCTTGCAGGAATCAATGTCGTACCTAGACCATATCAGCTAAAGTTCGATTAGACAGTATTTTGATGCGTACTTCTCCATCGCTTCCTTCTCAAGGAGCGGCAGACCGGACCAGATGACATCTTCGGGGTCAATGGGAGGGATGAACAGTGTTAGATGGTCGTTCTTGATGTCGTATGCAAGATACGCGTCAGGAACGGCACATCCAGAGAGGTAGAAGAAGAACCTTCGTTGGCTGGAATCGAGTTAGATTTTTGGGATCTGGTCGTATGCTTTGAGTGCGAAGTAAGCATAAAAGTATTTACTAACCGAAAGTGTGCAGCTTGATCATCATCCTATACCACATCTCTTAGATTCTGCTTGACATTTCGTGTTCAGGTTGATCATGACTTACCTCGACCATAGCAGTCTTCTGCGCCTCCAGATAAATGATTCCGTCTTTTGGTCCACCATTTTGAGCGATGAATTCAGCCACGCGCCTGGCATGAGCCTTGGCGGGGTATTTGCCCGAGGGCGGAGGTGGAAGGTCGTGGTTCGCAAGACCCATAGTCGATGCTTTGTTATGTAGCAATTGAAATGTGACGGAAACAGTGAAAGAAGAAAGTCGATGATTGCCGGTAGGTTGTCAAGGCTCAAATGGCTTTCTGATAACACCGAGATTGGAGGATACGGGAACGCCAAGGCATGGAGCTGTCTCGGTCATCGCCTGCCTAATCTGGCTATACAGTAACCGCAGATGGCGAGTAGCCTTCACGCGAAACATGTGAGGACCTCGACAAGGAGGATTTGGAAGTAGTTCATTCAATATACATAATTTCGCCATTTCCATGCTGTGCCACTCCTAGGGGTAAAACCAAATTGAGGATTCAAAAGAACGCCATCCTTGGGGTAATGCCGTCACTCAAAACAAAAGCCAGATTAACAAAAACGCCCATGACAAAGTCATGCTTCGCATCAGAGTCGAAGATACCTAGTCCTTCCAGCGGTTCAGGTACTTCTTCATATCGGCAGCTGTGGGTTGAGTCGCGGCCGAAGCCTGCAGCAAACAATGTCAGCACGTTGTGTGGGTTGAAAGGCGTCAGAGGCTCGAGCAAACTTACAGGATTCTCTCTACTCGTGTGGCTGAGGGTTTGAGATTCGGTCAGGGTGTAGGTAATGGAAGCGGGTGGCGCATATGTCTTGAAAATAGTAAAAGACGTGCTGGGGTTCATCATAGATGGGGTCTTTGCAGTGATCTTTGTTCCAGGGATTGGCTGCATAGGAGCGTACTTGATCAGACCGGTCTGAAGATGATAAGCAACGTCAAACATGGCAGCGCCGGCGGCAGCACTAGTAGCGCCTGCAGCGGCGGCAGTCTGCAAGTTATGAGCTGCGGCAGGGACGAGAGTCGTGTCGGAGCCCACGGCAGCAATACCAGCAAGTTGAGCGGCAGTGAAAGTGCCAGTCATGCCTGTGAGGCCGAAGCGCGAGCTGTAAACAATGTCGGTGCCGCCGATCTTGCCGTTCGAGATCATCTGGAGGAAGCTGGGAGCGGTCAGATGGATTGATAGGTCGGGCCAGAGTGCAACAAGACATACTATCCGTTCTTCGAGGTTGCGCCGTTGACGATGGGAATGATTGCGGTGACTGTCCCACTCGTTCCAGAATATGTGCCAGCAGCCGTTACGGTGTAGATGGAGCTCTGCAAACACAATCAGCACTTGCGACGACCTGTCAGGACGAGAGGGTAGAGGTTGCGTACAGCAGAAGCAGCAGTGCTACCACCAGCCAGGACATTCAGTTGATAAGTAGCGAACTGGTCGATTGTGGGAGCCGTCCCATCGTCGGTCCAGGTGATGGTGATGGCGGTGCCGCCAGCGAGCTGAGCTCCGGCAACTGGAGATGTGAACTTGATTTCGGCGACGGCGGTGGCTGCCAGAGTGGCCAGCGCTGTCAAGAGGTGGCAGCGCATTGTTTGTGTATTACTCGTACTCGACGCGCGGTCTTGGGTAGAGGCCGTACGGGCGTTGCGGTCGTCGAGTTGGCTGGCTCGCTGCACTTCGGGGTGCGTGTGTGTTTGCGCTTAGGCCGAGACGATGGTGACAATGGAGAGGCGTAAAATGGAATGAGTAGGTAGGTAGTCGAGCAGCAGCCACGGGATCAGTTTGTCAAGGTCAACATGATGCGACACGGCCTTGGCCTGTCGGGCGAGGCAGCCACAGCGCCTCTCCCCTGAATAAGCTCCCAGACTTTCTCTTCCCGCCAAGCTAAGCTATCCTTTAATTAGACACTCTCTCTTCTGCCCATCCGCAGCATCAATCATCAATCATCAATCATCAAGCACAAAAAGACGTCAATCACACCAAAACTAGTCATGGTCAAGTTGCCTATTTGACTTTGCGCTATCACACTACTCAAACCTGAAACGTCAAGATCAATCGTCCTTTTGCCTTTTGCCAGCGCCCGCACTGGTTCCGTTTCTCGCTCTATCCTTAAGCCTTGATTCGTGTCCAAACGAGGCACTACTACTCATGCCGGGACGCCCATTGTTCTCTGAGCCTTGACGACCTCTGTGCCGTTCCTCGTCCTCGTCGTCTTCGCCAATCTCGAAAGACTCTGCCATTTCAATCAAGTCTCCAATCCCACTGGGGCCACCTCTGTTCGCCATCCCACGCTCTTGTGACGGTGGAGCCCCTGTGCTGGCCTTCGCAGCCATCTTACGCATCCATCCTTCGACGGCTGCACCTACATTTTCAATATTGATCGAAGGTGATTGTGCATGTGTGAGGCCGGGTGTGAAGAGCGTCGGCTCGTCCGAATACGTAGGAATGTCAGGGAGATAGAGATTTGATTGGTTCGGTGGAGGGGCCACGTTGGGCAGGTGGCTCGCAAACATCTTGTTTAGACCGTCTTGAGCAGGGCCAGGGGACTTTACGTTTTTGCCCATTGTGCCAACGCCTCCCGGTCCAGCGAGATAGCTGGGAAAATAGGCGTTGTTCGCGTTGGATGATCTCCTGATCCCGCGCGGTCGCTGTGGGGCCTCTTGCTTGGGAGAGTCCAGAGGATTCTCGTGTATCACGGAGCGATTCAGATCGAGAGAAGCAGAAGGTGTGTCGATATCAGAATAAGACTGGGATTTTCGCCTTGCGGGAGGAAAGAAGGCCAGATTACGACGGGACGAACGAGCAATCTCTGTAGGCTGTCTGCTGTTCGGTAGCAGCACCCATGCGTCATGCTCCCAAGTTGCCTCCGGGTCGTGAGACGAGCGACATGAAGATGACGGGCGATCACCGTTCGTGGACACAGACTCGGTCCTCTTCCTACCCGTAGGTACAGGTGCTTTGACTTCCTCTATGGATGTTGGGAAGGGGTTGTTTTCCTGGGTTAGTTGATACAGGTCCTCGCTACCATTGAGCCGAGTGCCTTTCACCGCGCACTGATCGACGGGGAGCAAGATGGTCTTGCGAGCTTGTATGCGGTCATTAGGCCACATACGGTTGGCGCGTCGCAGAGCTGATGGATGGATGTTGTACTTGATAGTGATGCCAGCAAGCGTGTCGTCGGGCTGAACATGGTGAACATAGACCAGAGCATCTCTGTCATGAGCATGGTCAGGGGGTGCCGAAGCAGATGGACCATCCTCGGAAGAGCGGCGCTTGAAGTGGGCAATGGCGTTGTGTTCAGGCGTAGCATTCATAAGCTGCTTCCGCTTCTCCGCACGCATCAAAGCATCCCTCTCTTCGTACGAGCCAGCACCGATGGCGGAAGAGGAGGCGGTGGGCACACCCCATTGCTTTGGCGGAGCACTTGTATTCCGTGTGTTGGTTGAGTTGATGGAAGGCTTGCGTCGTCGCGGTGAGGGGCCGGCCTTTGAAAGTCCCGAAGATGGTGTAAGAAGGTCCGAGGCCATGCCCTGTATAGCGGACCAGGATTCACCGAAGAAGGCTGACAGAGTCGCAGGGGACTGGGCGCGGTCTGGGTTCAAGCGGCTCATGCTCTTCACGGGACGGACAGCGTGTGAAGAGGCAGTTCGCGGCAAGCGAGTGGCCGGCATGGGCGAGGGCTCGCGCGAGTCGAATGGAGAGGGTAGCGGCGAGGCATGGCGTACTACGGGGGTCAGGGTAGGAGGGGCTTCATCGTCGAGGCCAGAGATGAGGCGTGGAGCTCTTGGTCGTAAGGTCGACGAGGATGCCGTCGTCGAGCTGGTACGCGAGCTCATCGTCTGGAAACCATGTGGTCTGTCTGGGACGCGATCGCTGCCGTGATGGCACTTGTGAGGTAGCTACTGCTGCTGTCCTGTTCTACTGCAAGATGTGGGGATAAGCTCGGCCTTTGCTCTATGACTCGCAGCTAACGTCTATGACTGACGAGCCAAAGGACGGTCTATCCAGACAAGACCGGGCTGCTGGTAAACTCGAGTTGCAGAGGGATCGATGTCTCGTTGCTGTTGAAAATGCGAGTGAGTGGTAGGTACTAGGTACCACTCATCCAAGTCGCTGCCCTCGCTATCTGCCCCAGTCACCAAGACTTCCCCAAGCCACTGGCCTCGTCATACCTCCACTCTCGAGTCCGTGCACGCATCCGCTCATCTCCATTCTTTCCGTCCCTGAACCCACGACGCGTCCTCCGAGTGCATGACCGTGTCTTTGCACAATCAATCACCGTCAACATACAAGAGCATCGAGTGTCTGAAGTGACGGCAGCATGTAGAGAAAAGAATAATAGTTCATGTTGACACTAACAAAGCTCCCAGTGTGGAAAAGTATGTAAGACAGTAGCCATGTTTTTCTCCTTGACCGTCAAACGGTATACCATGCTTGTTTTCTCCTTGTCATGCATTACTTGCCTGTCAGCTCCACTTGACTTACTCTCGTCCGCCCTCTTGTCCTCCTATCGACGTCTCCTCTTGCCAGCCCTTTGCCTTGTCGTTGACCACCTTAGGTGTACTGCCAAGCACCAGCCGTGAGGTTCGAGTCGTGCACGACGGCGTACACTCCAACACACGATCTGGGGAACTGGACGCCTACGAGGCGTGCGAAGAGCTTCCAGGCTGTGTCATTGCTGCCTGGTGGAACCACTGGGCAAGTAACCAAGTCTTCGCCATTTGGTCCGAAATAACCAGCGCCTTTGTAGGCAATACCACCGCCGTAGTAGCTCAAGTTCCACTGGGACGATGAGTGAGCCTGAGTGAAGGCTAGAGCTCCATCCTTCTGCCAGTAAATGTTCTGTCCGCCTGGGACCACAGTTGCCTGCTCTCTGGTCAGTTTGGATTGGGTTCTAGAGCACGCCGGTCTTGCTCACCATATAGCCATTGCCAATCAGGGTAGTGTCGTCGGGAAACGAAGTGCAGACGCTGCCGACATTTGATGGGCAGTAAGTGGCGGCATGTCCTCCGATCCAGAAGTGGTTGCCGGATGCCTGGATAGGTTGGCCATCGAAGGGCTGATCAGGGTTGCTGGCAGTCAGCGTGAAGGTTCCGCTTGACTTTCTCGTATTCTCTGCAAGATTGGTCCCGTTACAGCTGGGTGCCATCAGTACATGCACGTATGATCATTCAAAAGGAAAGGAACAAACCTGTAGCGGTAAGATGTGTAGCAGGCGCCGGCACAATCGTCCATGGGTTCGCCGTTAACGACCGGGCAGAGGGCGTTACTATCGGCTCCGGTTCTGCAGGTATAGCTGCTTGGGCTATACCATTGACCCTGGCATTGCTTGAGGTCGGCGGGAAGAGGGGTGGCCTTTGTAAAGGCAAGCAAACCCGAAAGGGCAGCCAAAGAGTAAGTTGGTGCCTTCATTGCTGTGAGTTTGATTGTGTTTGTGATAATTGATGTTCTTGATGTTGTTGATGATGAGAAGAGAAGGAAGAAGAGCTTCAAGCTGGAGAAGCAAAGGCCGAGATCTGTGAGGAGCACTTGCCTTACCAGACACAGCAGCTCTTTCGCATTGTGCAAGCCATGTTGCGTGACGTTTCATGATCAGGTAGTCGTAGCTCCCTTGTTCGTATTGGAAAGCAGACAGCCGGATTGTGAAGCTCATCCTACGGTCATGTAGAGGGATGTGAGCGCAGGGTCACCTCTTGGACCGGAGCTGCGTCCAGTCAGAGCACTTCAGGCAGACGCTTTTCAAGACCATGTCCTCGTGATCTCAACATTATCCGACTCCATAGTTGAACTCAATGGAGGGTGGAAGATGCTACATTATGACCCCACCCCTGGCCGACGCTATGCTATGCCCGATCTCCATCAACCACAGCTTCGGCCAGTCTCGCTTCACACATATTGGGTCTGACAATGACCGGTCACACTCTTTTGTGTTCATGCGGACGTGCCCAACCAACATGCGTATGATCGGCATGCATGCACCGGCCACGACCTGGTTTGACGAGCGAAGGACATTATTTCCTATGCATATACCCGTGGCGTGATGAAAAAGCAATGCAAAGTGGCACAGAAGAGGAGTCTATGATAGCAACTTCCGGTTACATTGCACTTAGAGGCTCGTAGTCCGGCATACGCTACGATCAGCTTGACAGCCAGCATATCATGTGACCATCTGCGACATTGGGGCCGCTTTGTTCTTAGCCCGTGGCTCACTAAACCTGCTGCTGTCTAGATACAACATATCAGAGTCAGGTAAGTGCCCGCGACCTGCATATAATTCTGTCGCTTGCGCAATTCAAGTTCGGCTCTTGGTACATCTCCCATATGCGTTTCTAGGAAACGATCGTTGATCACTCGCCCATGGATCCATCATTTTTGGCTGGTGTTCAAGTCGAGCACCTGTCGATGTATTAGTGCATGCACCATTGCTGCTGGCCATCGACTCACCATATCGACCCAGTTTCCTCCACCAAAAGTAGCCTTGCTCGGACCCTTGTTCTCAAAGCCCAATTTTTCGTAGAACTTGACAAGATCTCCGTGTGCAAGTAAAGCAACCCTGTCTGCGGCCTGGACATACCCCAAGCGTTGGACAAAGGCTTTGAGCAGTGTCGAGCCCAAGCCTTGGCTTTGTAAAGATGGCAGGACAGCTAGACTGTGCACAGCAACAGTGCGGCCCTTCTCTTTGTGACCAACCTTACTTGTCAGAGCACTCGAAGTCTTCCAGTTGTCGGGAATCTCCATGTCCTCATCCATGACGGTTGAATTGGTTGTCTTGGTGACAACGCAGTGAGCGAGGAGGACAGATTTGCGCGCCGGGGCTCCGCTGTACACATGATGAGCACTGGAGGCCGTCTCAACAGATGCCAATGAGGAAGATGAATCGCTCATGTCAACGGAAGTGAAGAGACCAAGACAGAGTCCACCACATTTCGTGAATCGGTATTCAAACTGCGGAGTGACTGTTAGCCGGAGTGCCGAAAGTGTTTCTGCCTGGTTGAATGCTCGAGCAGCAACAGAGGCAGAGACACAAAAGGTGATGAAAAGTGCCCCCTTCCAACGAAAAGCTACTGCATGGCTGGCTGTCTGCCGAACATTGGAAGTGGCAGATAACACACTGCTCACTAACTACTCTTGAAAGTCTGAACTCGTGCTTGTCGACCGACAACAACTAAAGTCGGAGCATTGAGCTTCTGGAAAGCAATTGGGAGACACGAGATGCATTGGTATCCCTATAGCCTTGATCATACACGACTGGATGTAGGATGATTGGAACCAAATACTGGGGACTTCTGGAAAGAGTACGACAAAGGGGGCAAGTTTTGGCAGCGGAAGGAAGGGGTGCGAGATGCAGATGTAGTAGTGCAATTACCTTTTCTTTGGTGGCGCGCTCTTCGGGGGGAAAGGTAGCGTCTTCCAATTTGACGGCGCTGTCAACGTCAGAGATGGTGAGGGTCTGGACATAAGGCTTGATTTCGGCGAGATGATCCTGCTTTTCCATGTCGCGAGAGGTCTTGTCCTTTGGCTCTTGGTCACGTCTCATCATGGCGGCAAGATCGCGGGGCATGCTGGTTGATAGATAGTGACACGTAGTAAGCAGGGATACGTATTGTAGGCAAGGAAGCAGATGGGTTGGAATCGACCCCTGGCGTATGAGTGTTGCAAGGTACAGAATAGGTTGGTAGGAACAGGATGTTGGTACGACAATGAGGTGCACAAGCACTTTGGTCAAATGCAGCGACGTATAGCAGTGACGTGTGGGAGTGAGCGCATTGACCAGTCTTGGTGGGGGTGGAACGGCGGATGGCATCAGAGGGCGTCAAGACGATAGAAGTCGGGGTCTCAAAGCGGAATGACAGACAAGTCTACGGTTTGAGCAAACGAAGACTGTCGGACAGCAGAACAATCTAGAAGAAACAGCACGATGTGGGCTTTGCAGCGGCACAACCAAAGGCAAAGGACGAATGAGGGGCAACGGGCAGGTTAGAGCATGACAGCGAGACAGCGACAGACCGCCAATCTGCCAGTGACTTGTCGTGCATGGCTGCATGGCGCACTTTTGGCAGTCGCCAACAGAGGGCAGGAGCAGGAGCAGGAGCAGGAACAGGAGCGTGGAAGGGCAGGCGCAAAGTTTGGGTAGCTGGGTAGTCGGAATATAAATGCAGTTGCAGTGTATTCCACGTGCCTGCACTCTCACGGCTCGTCTTTGGCTCCGCAAGCTCTCAAGGCGCTTCGACGAGCTTCCGTCACCGACTCACGGCGTCGGCCAACTCGTAACAATAGCATACCTTCTTTCCTTCATACAACCCGTCACTTGTCCAGGTGCAACCGTACGTAGCCAGCACCGTTGAGCGATCCATCCAAGACACTCTTGCAACCTCTTTTGCCGCTTGTCGACCTCTTTCAGCGACGTGCATAACCACATTCGCCTGCACGCAAGGCACCATCCCCCATCGCCATCGCCCATCGCCCATCTCAGCGGCCATGTGAGTACCGTGACACTCCCGCACTTCCATCTGGCAATCTGGACTTCCTCCTTTTGCTAATGCCCACTTCAACAGGGTTCAAGTCACGATACAAATAAATGCCCCCGGCCATGCTCTGGACGAGGAATTCCTACCGCTCGACGCCGACATCTCGTCCACCCTCGCCGATCTGAAAAAACAGGTCCATGACGGCACTGGCTTTCCCATTCCATCCATCCAGTTCTTCCTCAACGGTGCCCCCGTCGTTGGTGACACAAAGACTCTCGACCAGGCAGGAATAAAGAATGGGGAGATGCTCTACATGCTAGTCCGCGATCAGAACAACATGCCCCGCCAGCAAGCCCGTCCACAACCCTCCCAGCCACCACAGTCAGCCCGTTTCAGCAATGACCAGATCGAGACCCTGCGTCTGCAGCTATTGGGCAACCCCCAAGCCATGCAACAAGTCAGCCAAGAGAGACCCGAGCTGGCCGCCGCTGCCTCGGATCCTGTCCGCTTCCGGGAACTGTACCTCGACTCGATCCAGCAATCAGAGTCCAGAGAACGTGAGAGACGTGAACAGATGCAGCTGCTCAACGACGATCCCTTCAACATCGAGGCTCAGCAGAAGATTGAAGAAATCATCCGTCAAGATCGCGTCATGGAGAATCTAGAGTACGCCTACGAGCACAATCCTGAAGGTATCAACATCCCTTGTCCACCAAACGCCACACCTTCTAATCTGATACAGTCTTCGGCCGTGTGACCATGCTGTACATTAACTGTGAAGTGAATGGCCACAAGCTCAAGGCCTTTGTGGATTCTGGCGCTCAAACTACCATCATGTCTCCCAGCTGCGCAGAAAACTGTGGCATCATGCGCTTGATTGACAAGCGTTATTCTGGTATTGCCCGTGGTGTCGGCACTGCTCAAATTCTTGGTCGCGTCCACTCTGCCGACATCAAGCTCGGCAACGCCGTCATGCCTTGCTCTTTCACAGTCATGGAGGGCAAGGATGTTGATCTTCTACTTGGTCTAGATATGCTGAAGCGCTACCAAGGCTGTATTGATCTCCGTCGCAACAAGTTGGTCTTTGAAGGCAATGAAGTCGACTTTTTGCCCGAGTCTGAGCTGCCTAGATCCTTCGAGGAAGCCTTGCAGAACGAGGAGCACATCAAAGGTCCTAACGGTACCGAGATTGGCACCAAGACTGGAACTGTCACTCAGGCTGGCCCCTCATCTCAACTGACCAATGGCAATTTCCAGGGTCAGGGTCGCTCCGTAGGTGGACCGTCTGTCAGCGGCCCTGCTGTACATCCCACGCCTGCAGCATCTGCTCCTGGGAGGGCAGCAGCTCCCACACCAGCTTCTCCGGCCAGTAAGCACCCAGAACCAGATGTTGAACAGTTGATCGGTCTTGGTTTCTCTAGACAGGAAGCCATTGCCGCGCTAGATGCCACTGATGGAAACGTCGAATATGCCGCTGGACTTCTGTTCCAGGGCTAAAGCTAGTGACGTGTATCACGAAGTTCACGAAACGGGAGGTTCGAAGTCAATCAAGCATTTTCAAGGCGTTATCTTCTGTAATAAAGCGATTGCTTTCTCTAGGGGCGTTGCCGAGAACCGCGGAATGGGTTCAAAGGTTGGACGTTTTCGTCACCTTCTATCTCTGCACCTGTTTTTCTTGCTTATCCCTCGCATCTCCCAAGTCTTAAACTGTTCGCCATTCTTCTCTCTTCTGAAACTGCATCTTCTGGATGCTGCTCGTCTAACATCGCCTCCTTCGACAACACGAACGTGGTAATCATCAAGCAACGGCCTGCTCTGAAAGATGAAAAAGAGCTTCGTTCATCCTTTGACGAGTCGATGCTGCCAGTCAAGGCTGGAAAAACAAGGATCGTATAGGAAGGTGAGGTCTGTGATTGCGTCAGTACAGGACCAAGAGGATGGGCGTGTGAGAAGACGAATCTGGGTGCCTGTCTGTTGAAAGATGAGGCAATGTCGCCGTATCTCTCGGATCCTCCAGTGTCGTGGCGTTTTTTCAGAAACTCCAGTCTTGTGTGCGTACTACTAGACCATTTTCGAGGATAGCGTGAGCGAGCAGAGATGCTGCGCGAGAGATGTTGTCAGGAGCAAGCTCTGGAAGATCATCTTCGGGGGCCTGATGATGAGGACCTGCAGAGAAGCACTTCATCTTGCTGTAGTCAAAGCTGCCAGACGGGAGCTCGTTGTTGTTTGTCTGCTCACCAGGCCACTCAGGCGGAGCATACTGTGAAGCAGGTCCTGGACGAGCCGTGCGAGGCGAGAGATCAAAGACGTCTGAGGCACGAGTTGTGAGCCAGATCATGCGATCGTTGGCCTCCTGGATCTGCTGGACTTGTCTCTGCTCGCGGATTTCTTTGCTCTCGGCAGTCTCTCTGGCGAGTCGATTTGCTTCGCGGCGCTTCCAGAGAACGAAACGTTCCTCTTCCTCCGACATGTTTTCGTAATAAGCATACTGAGTGTCCATATGCTTTACTTCAAGTCTGGCTCTGGGCGGGACGTCAGGCTGAAAGCGAATGCGAGCCATATAATTCTTCTTGGCTCTTGACTTGTTGCCGTCAGCGAAGTCTCTGCGCTTGATACCGTCGGAATTGTCGCCGTCAGCATCATGGGCATCCTCAGAAACGTTCTTGTTGTCCTCTGTACGTTCAGGCTGACCAGACTGATCGTTGTTTGAGGGAGAACGGATACCTTCGGAAAAGCCATCCGCGGCCTCGTTGTGACAAGCTTGAACATCTGGCACAAGAGGAGTGGTGTGCTTTCTCTCAGCAATGCCAGAGCGAACGTAAAGCTCACGCTCCATGACTTCGGCCAAAGAGCTGCCGTTCTTCAGGCAGATATAGAACCACAAATATGCGTCGTGGTGTGGGTCGCCGACATTGATTGGACCAAGATCCCCACGTCGATGCAGTTCGATACTGGACTCAGCCTGGGACCATGTGGTAGCCAAGTGACCAGAGTCATGGCTAAATTCGGCGATTTCTACTACCATAGAGAGGCCACCAAGATAGACCTCGCGAGTCTCGACAAGCCTTAGGATTAGGTGGCCGAATTGGGCATCATCATAGCAGTTACCGTCGATCTCGGGAAGCGCGTCGAGCTGCTCGATGATGGGACTCAGTTGCTGGTCGTACAACCGACAGAGATGCTGCACAAGATTGTTGAGCAGAGTAGCACAATTGCAGCTGTCAGAGATGGTGGATTCGGCTTCGCTCTCAGAGTCACTGCTCTCGGAGTCGTTGATGCCAAACCTCTCGGCAAACTGCTGTGCTCTTCTCTGTTCGCGGAAAGCCATTTCAACATCGAAAGCTCTCTTCGAGGCAGGAGTGTGGTAAGGGTAGGGAACAACCTGAGCACGGCGATTGTACTCCTCGTCATCAAGCTCTTCATAATCAGGGAAGACGGCATGGGCCTTGTCCTCTGCTGTGACGTCCTCACGTCTGATCTTCCAGCCGAAACCAATCGTGCGCAGAAACTTGCGCATCTTGGGGCCGCTCTTCTTGACGGGGCTCTGTGACAGAAGTCAGTGGTGTTTACCCCACGATATAGAAGCAAAGAACTCACCTTGTCCATCTCACCCTGGAAGATCTTTACAGCAATTCTGTACTCTTCCTCCTGAGCGGCATGGAGTTCCTCCCAGCACTTCTGAACGATGCAGGAGGCGGCGAGAGCGCCAGCAGGCTTTTCCTTGCATTGGAAGTACCCGGTTCGCTCACCAAGCTTGGGCGACGGCATGCCGTACATATCTCTGGTGTAGGTCATCGTTGGGTGGTTCGGGGGTCGTTGAGGGTTGTGGTGGCGACGAATAGTTGTGCTCGTCGATGACCCGGTCGAGAAAAGTAGGAGCGACGCCAACGTTGAGAGTGATTGAAAGTGTCACCGACCCGGTTCGCTTCGTCAGCGGCACTAGTCGAGTGTAACAGAAGTGAACGACCTCACTACAACTGAACGAGTGATTGCTATCAGCTTTCGACGTCTCAGCAGAGGGCGTGAACGTAGTGTAGTCGAGGAGAGTAATATAGTCCAGGTCACGTGCGATGCTCACTCGAGGGGGTTCGATGTCCCCTCCCCGTATAACCTCCATCATCTTGTACTAGACCACCATACGTAGGTGCATCAAGTCACAATACTTTCCGTAGACACGGTAATGGTCTCTGGAGTTCGTCGTGTCACCAGGTTCATCTCGAATTTCCAGGGGTAGGTCGTCGAACCAGGAAAGCACCTTGCCTTTTCGTAGTACATAACTACTCTGTAACTATGGAAGGAGAGAGTGACTCTCCTTGTTCACGTAGAGTACCCCTGTGAGGTTTCTATCTCTTCTCCAACCTTATGGTACCATCCCGCGCAGCTGTATAAAGGCATGATACATTTCAGAGTTGTAGGGATGGCTCCTGGAGTCAGCTGTGTCATCGGGTTCCTAATGACTCTCCATGGTAGTATATCTAATTCTGAAAAGCACCTTGCCTTTTGACAGGGTCAGATTGCGATGTGACGTTGATCAGGAGAGTATGGTATAATTATGGTCAGATGCAATGGCCGCCCGGGGTCCCTGTCTCTTCTCCTACCCCATATCATCTCCTCCTCATGCCAGAGGCTGTGACATGCGGCTGTGTCAAGGCACAATGTTTCTCAGAATCAGAGCAGTGTTCGCTGGAGTCAGTTGTGCCACCGGCTGATAATCGACTCCCGGAGGTAGTGTATCTATTGTAGAAATTGACTTTGCCTTTTGACAGCTCTAGTCTGACATGCAACTATCAAGCTGGAGAATAGAGATGGGAGGATATGAGGTGTATTGGTTGAGAGGCTATAGTCTAGCTACTTAAGAGTCACGACAAGTTTCTTGGCAGATACGCCCTTTCTCAAGACATCTAGTCCCTTCTGCAGAGATCCCAGTCCTTTTCCAACAACTTCAGCTTGGGGTGCTGGTTTGTATTTGCCTTCGGTGATTGCTTGAGACAAGAAGTCGACAAACACGGCCTCCGCGACTCCATTGTCCTTGATTGTGCTTGCGAAGATACGGTTGCACTTGACGCCAGCAGGAATGTGTGCAGGCAGTAGTACAGTAGTCGTGAAGAACTTGTTACCTTCAACTCTGGGAAACAGATCTGCGCAAATGGCGACGGCGGGGTCGGAATCTCCAGCAGTATGTAAGACGCCAGCAAGGACTCGTCCTCTGAACGCATCGGTGAGCTGCTCAAGAAGGGTCGCGGAGTCCACGTTGTAGTCCAAGACCTCGCTGGTACCGAGGCTACGAACGAGTTCGAAGTTCTTAGGAGATGCTGTGGCAATGACATCGTAGCCAGCAGCCACTGCAAGTTGAATGGCGTTGAGTCCAACGCTGGACGCGCCGCTCCAGATCAGTACTGTCTGTCCGGTGGGCTTGGGAGAAAGCGATGGATACTGTAGAGCGAGATGATCTTTCTGGAAGAGACCACAGGCACTGGTGGCGATTCCAAGAGGCATGACAACAGCCTCAGTGTAGCTGAGATCATCTGGAATGTGGGCGGCCATGGTACCGGCGACAACAGTGTACTCCTGGAAAGCCGATCCAGAAGGAGTGTTGGAAGAGACTCCTCCGGCTTGGGCAATGACTCTGTCACCAGACTTGAAGCGCGAGGAAACTGCACTGCCCACATCGACCACTTCACCAGCGATATCTGCTCCAAGGATGGTTGGGTAGGATAGAAAAGGGAACATGGCGACGTCCTGCAGCTTGAAATCAATTGGATTCAGAGCAATGGCATGGTTTCTGACGACGATTGAATCGACAGAAGGAGCAGTGTAGGGAGTGTCTTTGATCTCGAGAGTGACTCCGGGGGTAGGCTGCCATGCGGCAGTGTTGGAAGGCATGCTGAATGTTTGTCTGTTTGTGAATGTCTGCGTGTGATCTGTCTAGTGCCGATGATGATATTTCAGTCTTAGGAGTGCGAGGATTCTATCCATTTATACCTGTAGACTACCGGTGATACTCATGTCCGTCGGATGGCAGCACGGTGATGCTTGGCCCAAATAGGAAGTCGCTATCTCCGACGGATGATCTTTGAGGCCAAATGGGCTACTCATCACTGGTAGGGCAGGGACCCATGGATCGTATCGGCCTTGATTTTAACCACCTAGGATACACGATATGTTCCAGCTCGGAGCTTTGGGTTTTGATTATTGATGTCAGTTGCGGTTGCTCGGACCTTGTATCTGGCTCGGCCGAAGCACTCCGTGATGACCCAAGTTCGAAGCATCGGAAAGCGATGACTCTGCCCTCATCGTTCTGAGCTTGGGAGGCTACAAGACAGGACTTTTGCGTAGCGCGGCGTTGTCCGTTGATGGCAAGTCCCTACAAGCTGCCGTTCTCGTCGCTGTACTTGCTATGGTTTGCTTTATGCACATGAGCGTTGTCGCAGCATACACTAAGAGCGGTCTATGCCATTCTGTCTTGACGGATTTGAGCATACCATAGTCTACATCTATCATTCGCTTGTCACGTATGAGTTCCTGGATACCTGCCGAGCAAAGTATGGGAGAAGGAGTCGTCGTTGAAGGTCGTACCAAACCTCGTGCACGAACGCCTGGTCAATGCGCTTGTCCACGGTGCAACGACGAGACGTCGTTCGCTCTTTTCTTATTGACCACATCAGGTATCATTTGACGTTTTTTCGTGTCGCAGCAAAGGTACTGTCGAATTAGTCGTAATGGCCCTCTCCATCTGGAAGCGCAAGCGTGATCTGATCTACCTCATCTTCTTCCTCACGCATATCCCGATCATGTTCTGTAAGAAGAAACTCCTTTGTCGATAGCATAGCAAACTTTGCTCAATCGACATCTGTGGCATGGATGAAAGTACTCGTAGAGCTAATTCAGTTGGCAGGTGTGGATCTTACACCATTGTACCCGGCAGCTTTGAAGCCTGCGTTCATGACGAATCTAAGAAAGTGGTACATCACCACATACAGGGACCAATTCTTCTCTTCTCCACCGTAAGTGTACATCAATCTGGATGTAAACATCTGGCTGACGGTTTTATGGTGCCTGGTTCGATACCTACATCTGGCTCGAAGCTCTTTACCATGTCCCGTTGAGCTTCTGGGCTGTACCGGCTCTCCTCCGTGACGATCCCAAGGTCCCATTACATCTACTTGTCTTTGCTCTGGAAGCTGGTCTGACAACCTTGACCTGTATCGCGGATTACTTGTCCTGGAGCAATTATTCGGGAACCGAGAAGATTGAGCTTGGAAAGCTCTACGTTCCCTACCTTGCTCTGGCTATCTTCATGGGTCTTGATATGTTCTACCGTTTGAGTAGCATGATCACTAGGTCTGATAAGCCCACCAGGGGCAAAAAAGTACAATAGATTGAGCTGCCCAAAGACAGCTCTCGAATTCAAGAAAGGACTGCGCATCCGTACTGGAGCAAACGCACGACTGCAGCTCGAGTGAGAGATGAGATTCGAGTGCTCGTAGATCACGCCCGAACGAGGGCTAGACCGCCGAGAAGGACGACTCATCGCTCCAGCGCGGCTGCGCGCCTCAGTTTGATAGATCTGTCTCCCTCCATTCTTTTTCTTTTTCACGCATCACCAACAAGATGCCTCCCATCTTCGCCGTCCTCTGCTCCTGCTTCTGCAGCAGCAACAGCAACAGCAACAGCAACAGCAACAACAGCAACAGCAGCAACAGCAACAGCAACAACAAGGCTCCGGCCTCCCCCCTCGCCATCGTAAGCTCTCGTTGTCACACGTCGTGTACGCACATCACTGACGCGTAGCATAGGGCGGTCCTCGCCGCTTCCACCACCTGAGGACCGGCGACCCCGCCATCCCTCTGCGTGCTTTCGTCAGCACGCCGCCCCCTTACGTGCAGCCAGAGCGCCGCTAAGGTCGGGTGCCGGGTACGTGTCGAGTAGAACCAAACTCCATAGATCTTCTGACTAACGCATGTGATTAGGATGGCTGGTCTGCCTCTCCTCCGCCTCCTCTTCGCCCCCCTCCCTCTTCTGAGGCGCCCCCCTTGGTGGGTGTCCTCTCGCCTGCTTCGCGGGCCCATTGGCCGTTGAGACGATTGTATAGAGTAAAGATCAAACTTCTCTGCAAACCCCCTTGTTGTCTGTACTTGTGCCCGTGATCGTTCGTGACCTCGCGCTCTCGTTGTCTGATGTCATGTATCCAAGTATGCTGCTGCGTTGCACAGTGCCATTGTGCCCGGGAGTGACCACTCGTGAAACCATGTCACGTCGGCACTCTCTGCGACGACTGCTGTAGTATCAATAGTTTCTTGCATTTTGACAGCTCAAACAAGGTCAGACAGGGTGATTAAGAGACGTCGAGCAGGGCTACACCACTTGCTTTGGATTGCCTCATCTCTCGTCACCATAGCATGCTATGATCCATGCTGTCTAAATGCACAGTCTTTTGTTAGCGTGGAGGCGTGAGGATAGAAGCCTCTTGCCTCGGCGATCCCCTTTGATGGCACTGCAATATCAAATATCACTTTGCATTTCGACAGCACATCGATCGATGTATGCTATCTAGCGTCGAGATACTCAAATAATCGGACGAAACACTTGGTTACCCACAGGAAGTCAAGAAACTGAGAGAAACTGGATGCCATAATTCAGGCAAAGGATATATGATTCCCTGTTATCTACCACCGAACGAACAAACAACAATCTATATAGAAGCCTTCCTGTTCAAAACACCAGCCATGATTTCTACTCCGCGGCCGGCGTTGGTGGTACTTCTCGAGCATCTACAAACTCGACTGCTGGGCTTGGCTCGTCGAAATCTGTGACATCGTTTGAAGGTGGTAGTTCTAGAGACGCTTGGACTGGCTTGGTGTTTTCCGTCGTGGCATCGAGGGCGTTTTGAGCAGCATCGCTGGTCTCAGCAGTAGTGGCGGCTTCCTCCCCTCCTTTGTCGGTTGCCTCTTCCGGTGCTTCGTCGATAGCTTCTGTTATGGTCGCAGTCTCTGTAGCTGCTTCAGCCGCGACTTCGGTATCGGCTGCGGTATTTTCAACTTCAGTCGCAGCAGCGGCAGCCTTAGCAGCAGCGTCAGCAGCTCTTTTCGCCGCTCTATCGCGTTCTCGCTGTTGCAACAGCTCAAAGTTCTCCTTCCTACTCCTCTCATCTTTGAGTTTGCGCAAACGTTCTGCCTCTTCCACGCCACCACTCTTCTTGAGCTTCCCTTCTTCAACGAAGCTGCTGAGTTCTTTCTGGAATTCGCCGTCCCGCCTTTCTTCCAACTCGCGTTGTCGTGCTTTCTCAGCACGCTCGATGGCTTCTAATCGAGACTCGTGATTTGGTTGCAGGGCGCGCACCTCACCGAGAACACCGGTACGAGCTTTCTGAGGATCGCCTCCACGCTCAAGAGCCACTGGATTAAGTGTGCGGGAAGAAGAGCGAGGTGTGTTTTGGAGATTCTGCTGTCTTGTCGCTTGCTCAACGAGAGCAAACGTCTCTGCCGCCTTTTCGAGGTCGTCTTCCAGATCGATACAAAGCTCCTCTTGCATGGTAAGCAAGTCTCTGTCTTCACAAACAACTTGCAGCTCTTTCTCCCAAATCTTGGTCCAGATGGGTTTCTCACGCTTGAGGAACTCTTGCAACTTCTTGAGTCCAGATGTCGCGGTGGAGATGTCTTTGCTGACAACATCGAGTTGACGGGGTAGAGGGCGAACACCGCGCTGAACAACGTCTTTACGAAGGTCTTCCACAGTGTCTTGCAAGTCATCTACTTGTGTTACAAGCTTCTCGCTATCGTCCGACAGCGATTTCTTTCCGCCATTGACATAAGTGCGCCCGGAGCCAGCAGACATAGAAGGCACGCGCGTCTTGTCCGCGGTAGACTTGACTGTGGCAGCTTTGGTTCGGATGGACGACATGGAAGCATTGATATCGTCAACAAATGACGTATATGTCTGGCGAACAACGGCAAGCTCGCGGCGAAGTGACTGGACTTCCGTGAGCTGTGCTGGAGTGCCTTTCGAAGATGCAGTTTGGAGAGGCGGAGGTGTTGCGTTTTGCGTCTGAGCGCGTGGAGCTGCGATGACCATAGCGGCCATCTCCTTTGCGGCATCTTGTTGTCGTTCAGACACCCTGTGTATGGCAGATTGCTGATCATCCACAGCTGCTTTTAGGCCTTCAATCATGCTCTTGATACCTCCAATACTGTCGTCAAAGTGCTTTTTGACCTCGTCGAGTTGTTCGACGTTCAGCACAAGAACAGAGCGATCCTTGATATCAGCCAGATCTTCCAGCTCGTGACGTACGCCTGAGACGGGGTCCTGCAAGTAGATTTCGGGAAGGTCATTGCCGTTGTTGTGCGTGTTCCAAGCGAATTTCTCGATGAAAGCAAGCTGAAGCCTAGCGATTGATAGGTCACCACCATCAGGCAAGACAAACTTCTTGATCTTGCTCTTGTATTGAAGGAAGAGGGTCAATTCCTTACCAGGCTGTGGTGAGGACTCGGGAACGAATTGTTGTTGGGTGGAAGCCTTCTCGGTAGTGGACGGGGGAGTGGTTTGCCGCTGGATTCTAGACTTGTGGCGCTGCAACTCACCACCGGCCGATGACTCGGATGGCAGATCAAGGATGGTTTCTGGGACGGGTCCGTTGACAGTGGCACCCATGTCAGCCTCTATCGGCGACTGTTGTGTCGGGAAAGGATATGCTCCCAATTTGTCTTCGGGGGTCTTTGGCATGGGACTAGCACTTTCCAAGTCCACGTCGGACTGTGACTCGACGACATTGGTATTAAGCTGCTCTGCAGCCCTCTGCCCTTCAGTCCGTTCTCTCCTACTAGGTGAGCCTTGAGCAATCTTCTGAGCCGATTTCTGCCTGTTCTGAAGATAACTTCGAGTGCGGACGGCTTTCATGGACTCGCGCGTATCTTGACCTCTGTTCGGAATCGGACTATTCTGGGCTGATGGTATCATGGGCACACCGTTGCTGGAACCCAGATGCTTTGAGATCTGATAGGCGGAGAAACGCCTCGAGGCTCTTCTCTCCAATTCTCCGCCGCGTTGCAAAGCAGCCAGGGCATCTTGCTGTTTCGGAGGCGGAGGTGGAGGAGGGGGCGGCAGATTGTGTTCGGTATAGGTTGGTCGTGGAGACTCCTGTTGATAGGCTACGGGAGCAGGCTCGTTTCCGTATTGCGGTGGTGGCTGTGCAGGCATGGTGTCTTCCTGGGGATAGGGAGCAATGACGGGCATGTTCTGCAAGGCGTTGCTCGACATGGACGAGGCATCGGAGCTTGACGTGTCGCGACTCTGGTCTCGCGCGTGATGTGCTGAGGCAACAGGCGTGAAGCTTTCTTTTCTGGGAGACGACCTCCCGCCTAGCATCGAGGCGGAGCGCGGAGGCAGATCATGGCCGGCGGGCTCGTTGGCGACTCTCTGCGACTGGGACCGGCTGGCAGACTGGCGAGCGAGCAGGTCGTCGGCCGCGGATTCGGCAGCGCTGGCCTGCCTCGCGGACTGGCTGCCACTGCTGGTGCGTTGGCGCAAACGCTGCTGCTTCTTCTTAAGGCCGTGCAGAAGGTTGATGATGATGTCGCGGATGCGGGGCAGGAAGCGGTCGAGACTCTGTTGGCTGGCTTCCTGGCTGAGCGTCTCCTCGAGGATGCCGCGAAGAAGGTCGGGCACGGGGCCAAGGTCCTGTGTGTCGACACCTATGCTGTTGAAGGCGCGGCAGGCTATGTTGAACTCGTAGCCCAGGCGCACATAGACGTCCGAGACCTCGCTCTCGCTGGCTGCGTTGCGGGACCATTGTGTCAGTGTCTCGAGCAGTTGCTTTGTCGCGACGAGCAGGTGTGTGACGCTCTTCTCAATCGTCGACAGCTGTTGTGGCTGCGACGATTGTCTTGTCGACGATCGGACGGCCGAAGACCGCGAGCCAGAGCTGCTCCTGACACTCGGGTCTTCAGAGGCCATGATGACGGAACAAGTGCTCAGACGGGCAACGGGTGCTGCTGCGAGAGTCGGCGCGTCAAGGGGCTGTACGGACAAGGCCAAGGGCAGGGGGATGCCTCGTGTGGCGCCTCAGGACCGACAGATCAAGCAATATAGCTGCGCGATAACGCCAGATACAACGCGACGTGATCGAAACGTGCTGCTTTGAACAAATCACCCCAAGCAGAGTACAACAACTTGGGTTTTGTCTGATACCATTTTCGTGCAGCTCGTGATGCTTGCTCAAGGTCTCCACCTTCTCGCCCAACCCTCGACTCGTCTCCCCACGAGTGTGGACCCGCCTTGATCGGCTTATATTACAATTCATCAATAGGTAGTTGAAGGCCTGCCTACTTTGATTCATGTCTGCTCCTCGTTGGTCGGCGTGTCTTTTCCTGCTAAAAAACATATATCTTGCTCAGCGGTCCACAGCGGCTCGTCGTTCCTCGGTGCTGCAAGACTGCCTTTGATCTTCACGTGAAATGCGGAAGTCCTCACTGGCGATACAAGCTGCCTTCCTCTCTTTGCCACTTCGATCTACCGAACGCCATTGCTACCCGCTCTGTCTTCGACCAACTTGCCTTGTTACTTGTCCAGGTATTGACAGCATTGCCGATTACAAAAGCTGGTGATAGCCTCTCCAATAAAGTTGGCGCGCACTGGTCAGCCCTATTTCGGATCGTCTTCCGAGCGCTCGCCAAGCTCCCCCATCGCAGTCGAGTGAAACACGACATCTACCCAGCTGTAGTCTGTCCTTAATCAGCCAACCACTTGTCGGGCTATTCGCCGACCTGTTACTTGACCTCACTCCGCTGCTGCACCAGACCAGCACGCGATCCCACGAGTGACGACTACGTTATCAGGCATTCGGTTGTTCTGGTTGCGCGTGTGAGAGCTCGACCCTCCAAGGACAAAGTCCCCTGTCCGTCCCCTGATCCCAAGACCATGTCGCCTCAACCCTCCGTCATGAACGGTGCCTCCAGATCTCCGGCTCTTCAGGGAAACAAAGTTCTTCCGAAACAGCAATTGAAGACAAACTCGGCGGGAAAGAGTCTGGATGGTGCTCGTAAGCAGGCCGCGAGTCCGGTGGATGCCGCTGCGAGGTACGTCGACATGCGACACTATACCGATCATCTACAGTCTCTAACCTGTCTTGATCAGGAAATCTCCTGCTCCCAAGGCTTGGTCTCAAGGCACAAATCCCATCACCCAACGCTTCAATGCTGCCTCTCCCGCTGTCAATGGCCTCTCGAATGGTGCGACCAAGAACGCTTCGTTCAAGCCCCAGCAAGACACCGGTACATCGAAGAAGCAGGCTTCGGAGAAGTTCGCTTTCCTTATCGCAAACTATACCGTAGGCGCCCATCTCGTGGCAGATCCCGCATAAACAGCTAACCTCAGCACAGGGTCTGGAAGTTGCTCTGTGCCTCAAGAATGGTGACAAGTTCAGCGGTATCTTCTCTGCCGACTCAATCACCTCTTCTGATTCTCGCGTCATTTTGAAATACACCAGAAGGGCAACTCAGCATGTCAACGGCGCGACTGATCAATCTAACGATTACGTGGGCGAGGGTGAACACCACGTCAAGACATTCGGTTTCCAAGATGTTCTGGACCTCTCGGTCAGCAACCTGTACCTGTCGGCTCCCGAAGCAAAAGCCCAGCAGCCCAACGCTCCTTCCTTCCGTACCGACGTCGAAATCTCGGGCAACCTCAACATTCGTGAGCGTGAGCTTCAGCCTTGGCAGCCGAGCGCAGACACGGCTATCGACATGTCGCTCGAAGACTCTACCCGTGCAGGAGAATGGGATCAATTTGCTGCGAACGAGGCCCTTTACAATGTCAGAAGCGACTATGACGAGAATCTATACACGACCGCCATCAACAGATCTGACCCGGATTACAAACGCAAAGCTGCCGAGGCCGAGAGAATCGCTCGTGAGATTGAACGTAGCGCTCCCGTGAACTCTCATGTCGCAGAGGAACGTCGTATGAATGCCGAGAAGGATGGCGGCCTTGACGAGGAAGAAAGGTGAGCCGAGCTGACCTCTGCCCTTCTCCTTGACCAAGGACTAACCCATTCCACAGATACAGCGGTGTTCGTCGTGAAACCAACATCACCTCGCTTCTGAAGCAGGGCGCACCCAACGCTTATGTACCCCCATCCCGCAGGCCCATCACCAGCCAACCCACTGTTCCCGGTGCTCCGTTTGACCCGGCCATTGTCTCGGTCGCCCGTCCTGGTCCATCCACGGCCACAAACTCCGACAGTCAGGCTGCTTTGTCCACGCAGCAAGAGCAGAAGTCGCAGGATGAGGCAAAGGCAGCCACTACTTCAAAAGAGGCTCCGGCGGCGGCACCATCATCGACTTCAGTATCTGCTTTGCCTACTGCGACCTCGTCTAGAGAAGCATCGACCACCGACGCCAAGCCCGCTGCTTCTGCAGCCACGCCTGCCACGAGGTCTATTCCCTCAATCAACGCTGGCAAAGGTGCTACCGAGGGTGTTGAACGCAAGGTCTTGGACTCCTTTAAGCAGTTCTCAAACGCCGAAAAGATGCGCGTACAACAGCACCAGCGTGTCTCCCAGGAACGCCAGCGCGCAAGTGCTCGCCAGGAGAAGTCGGTCAAACTCAACGATCTCAAGAAGTTTGCCGAGAACTTTAAGCTCTACTCACGTGTGCCTGAAGATCTTGTTCCCATCCTCGCCAAGACAAAGGAGAAGCAAAACTTGATCGTCACAAAGGCTGAGCTGCAAGCTCGTGAAAAGGAGTCGAAGGTCACCTCTGCCGAAGCTAGTCCTGCTCCGGCCGCGCCTGTCAAGCCAGATGGCACTACGACCGAGGCCAGCAAGACGCAGGCTACAGGCCAAGCAGCGAGACGACCCGATGCTTCGAATGAGCCCAGTTCTCCTCTGAGTCAAAGACAACGCTTGGCTCAGAACACGCGTCAACCTCAACCGATGCCTCCGCGTGGGCCTGGAGTACCGCACGGTATCCCAGCCAGGCCGTCTCAGCAGTACAGAGCACCTATGGCCAACATGCAGGCTCCCACTCCTATCCCTCCACCAGAAATCCGTTCCCCTCCCACCGGACCTGCCTCTCGTGAGGTCACTAGTCCTTCAGCTGCCTCGGCTAGGCTCAACGTCAAAGCTATGGAATTCAGACCAAATCCATCGGCGAGCGCTTTCACCCCAACATCACCAACCAAGGCGATCCCTCAGCCTGCTGAGCGTCCTAGCATTTCGGCTGCGCCATCGCCGGCCAAGTTCTTCTCTCGAAAGAGTGAGAAGCCGCTGTCTGAACGCACTCCCCTGAAGGATGCCTTCAACCCAGTCAAGTACATGCTCGAGACCACTGCCGCCGAGAACAAAACCGAGACTTTTGCTTCCAACGGAGGCATCCCACAAGCGTACCGTACCCCACCAACATGGGAAGTCGCTGATGCCAACAAGGACAAGACATACCGTGACATGTTTACACGGAGTCCAGTGGCCACTATCCCACCTATGCACACTCCCACTAACAGTGTCATGGCACACTCTCACCAACTTCCTCCGCATCTACAGAATGGTCCCCAAGGTCAAACTCCGCGTTTCTATCCTCCTCAACCTCATCACCCTGGTCAACACTTTGACGAACATCGTATGCAGTATGGCTCAAACACACCATCCGTCCAGCCGTCCCCTCGCCTACCTCCTGTAATGGCCTATGGCCCACAGATGCACCCTCAGATGCAGCACTTCCCAGCAGGTATGCCACCTTATGGTGTGATGCGACCTCAACCATTTGGCAGTCCACAGGGTCCGCCTATGGGTGGTCACATGATGGTCCAACAATCATCAAACGGACCTTTCATGAATGGATCAATGGCTCAGCAGGTACCAATGTATGCCTCACCCGTCCCTGGTCATGCGCAACCCCACTTCCCGGGCCATCCCGCACCTCAAGCCGGTCCCGGGTTCGGCCGCGGACATCCCATGAGTCACCAGGGCTCCCAACAAGGACACCCCGGACAAATGTATATGCAAATGCCGCCTTCTGGACCCATGATGATGCAGCAGCATCTCGGACAGAGTAAGTTGGGAATACGACACCTGACGCGAACTATATCGACTAACATATTCACAGTGCAGTCGATGAGGAACTTCGCTCAGGGACAATATCCAGGTGGACCTCAAGGTCAGCACGGCTACCCTATGCAGCACCGCGCCATGTCGAACCAGAGTTACAACCACAATCAGATGACGCCTCGTCAACACCATGCTGCTCCTCAGCAAGGCCCAAGCCCTAGTATGCCACCAATGCATCCTGCTGGCCAAGGAGATGAGGGCAAATGAGTCAGGATCGAAGTTGCCATCTCACAATGGCACTAACAGCTGTCTGATATGATGTGACCATGCCTCAGGAGAGACAAGATCTAGTATCTGCCAATTTCTCCTACAGCGCCAGAGACCACATAGGTCATGAGGTCGGCTAGTCACATGGTCTGACTGCGATGTCTGGCATCAGTTACAGAACAATCTCGTCCGGCACAAATGTTGACTGAGACTGTATAGTTGATAACTAAGGCCAAGGAAGAAGGAGTTGGCGCGGAGAAGACATGTGTCAATACAGAAGCGAGCTTGTTGTAGTTTGCTCCAGCTTCAGTATTGACAAGACCAGAAAATGAGTGACGAGATTATTGGGGTGGATAGCTAGTAGAATATCACTATGAATGTATAACGCGAAGATCAGTCAATGATGCTTGAACATAAACCACCAATGGTACTTTCGCGCTCCCCCTCTTCTGCTGCAGCTGCTCCTCTTGGTCAACGTGAAGCTTGTCATGGCTCGGGAAAGTTCCAAGTATAGCGCATGGCCAGGAGGTAGATCGATCACAAGCCGACCGGCCGCGAAGTCCGGCCCTCGGCTTTTGGCGGCGTTCGACTTGAACCCTTACCTTTGACTCCTTGACGAATGGTCACTGTCCATCGAGCATCTCTTCTTCCTAAATTCTCTGGATTATTACTGGACAGCATGCGTGATGTAAACAACGACGAATCTCAGCAGCCGCTGATAGTGGATGGGAGCGAAGACAACGCCATCAGTCGTCCCGAGGTCACCGGGCGAGATGCGCATCGGCTCATTTGGCTATTGACTTTGAGTGCAGGTCTTAGTGGGTTACTATTTGGTTACGAGTAAGCTTCGTTGAAGACTTTGTGACTTCCCCTGAATCGTCACTAACTCTTGCAGTACTGGTGTGATAAGTTCTACACTGGTTTCGATACACGAAGATCTTGGACGACCGCTATCGACTTTGGACCTCTCAGCAATTACGAGCAGCACATCTCTACTGGCTCTGATCGCATCACCTCTGGCCGGACACTTTGCTGATACTCTGGGCCGTCGTCCTGTCATTGTAGCGGCATGTGGATTGTTCATCTTTGGCGCTCTGTTTCAATCTGCTGCAACCAACGTGTGGACTATGGTGCTTGGTCGTGCTGTTGTTGGTGCTGCTGTGGGAGCAGCTAGCGCAGTTGTACCGCTGTATATCGCAGAGATTGCGCCAGCAGATCGAAGGGGCCAACTTGTATCAGTACAAAGTCTCTTCATCACAGGCGGTCAGGTTGTTGCATATGTTGTTGGCTGGGCAGTCATGGGTCGCTGGAGATGGTCCGTTGGTTTTGGAGCTGCTCCAGCTCTCATTCAGGCTGCCCTACTCATCGGTTTGCCTGAGTCGCCCCGCTGGCTTGTGCTGAAAGGCCGAGATGATGAGGCTGCTATAGTATTCGCCCGCCTCGGTCATGATGACTGCGACCAAATCGTGGCCGATGTGAGACAAGAGGTCAAAGAGGAACAACTCAGTGCCAGTGGAAGTATGTTCAATGAGCTCATCACTGTACCTGCCAACCGCCGTGCTCTGATCATCGCGGCCGGACTTCAAGCTTTGCAACAGCTATCAGGCTTCAACTCATTGATGTATTTCAGTGCCACCATATTCGCTCTTGTCGGATTCAAGTCACCAATCGGGACATCTCTCAGCATTTCCGTGTCTAATTTCGTCTTCACGCTGCTGGCCTTTGCGATTATCGACAGAGTGGGGCGTCGTCGGATTCTTCTCTACTCGATACCATTCATGATTATTGGACTCGCCAGCTGTGCTCTTGCGTTCACGCATATAGATGCTTCACCTGCGAGCGCAGTAGCGCCATTTCCAGACACTACTTCTCATGGTCCAAGCGCCTGGTCACTGGTCCTCTTGTTCTCCTTGATTTTCTATGTTGCCGCATACGCCAGTGGACTAGGCTGCGTACCGTGGCAGCAAAGTGAATTGTTTGGTATCTCTGTGAGAAGCATGGGCTCTGGTCTGGCGACAGCGACAAACTGGGCAAGCAACTTTATCGTGGGAGCGACTTTCCTGCCAATGATGCATATATTGGGACCGAGCGCAACTTTCCTTGTTTATGTTCTTGTATGCTTGATCGGCTACATCTGGGTATGGCGCTGTTATCCAGAGACGATGGGACTCGAGCTTGAGCAGGTGAAGAAACTACTGGAGAATGGCTGGGGTGTCAAACCAAGCGAACGCCCGTCAGACTTGGACAGCTAAATATACAATGTAAAGATAGCGATACCTGGAAGCGAGGCAATGCAGATTGAACCGCAGTTCTCATTTGTCGATTCGGACTGCTATGCGCCCCACGCTCCAAGGACCAAGCGAATCGATACCTTGGTCCCGCCTCGCCAATGTCCAGAAACAGAGACCACAAAACCGGCAGTGGCATACCAGACTAGCTATATCCAGCTAAATGTCAGATCGCTCCTTCTATTCCAGGCGAGAAGTTCTCGGAAATGCTACAGCAGCATATACTGCTTCTCGATGCTCTTGCGCGACGGACATGAGATAATCTCTGTTGGGCCACAGGGACATAGATTCTAGGTCTCTGGCCCTGATTCGAGGCGGTTTCCTAGAAGCGAAAGATTTCTTCATATGACTTGTTGGAATTTTTGGTTGTGCGCTTTATTGGCAGCATAATCCTATCTGTTTCGAGGTGGATATAGACAAATGAGAGACACGAGGGCGATAGACGTCTCTATCATCATAAAGACGGGAAATTTCATTCTGTGTAACCCTAATGTCTTTGTCTATATCCCTTTAGATTTCGGACATTTATGTAATCATACTGATTTTCGCCCTAGAGGTTCTGATGCTTGATTTTCATTTAGATAGGCGAGTTTTTTTTTACTGTATGTGTGACCATGCTAAATTTTGCTCTAGACTAGCACTAACACTAAACTAACAATGTCATCAAGGTTGGTACGGAGCGCAGCGGCTAAAAGCCTCGATGACCTTTATTCTCGATGTTGTCCGAATCCGGCACCAGTCGCATATCCGAGATCATGCATAAAGACTAACGCTGACTCGACCACGAATTAGTCCTTTGACGAATTGTGGATCGACATGATTCTCCTAGGCACATTAGCAAGAAGCATGATGCTCTGCACCAGTTTCTTAGCGGCTTTAAAACTGATTAGGTAGTGTGAAGAGATTCATTGACATCTATCGAGACAGTAAAATCGTTTGTTACTTTCGCAGAAGCTTTGGAGGAGAGGTTGAGCCGTGCAAATGCACAGTAATATGGGCTCCGTGGCCTTAATTAATAGAGATGATGTCTGACCCATATCCGGTATACATAGTCCCTAAGTAGTAAAAACCTGTGTATCGTGATAGCTGGGCGGTAGTAGAACGTCCTATTTAGAAGAGATGGAAGACCCCTTTAGAAAACAAAATCTAGAACAAGGAGGGGGTATGCATATTTAAAAAGAAGTAAGACAATCAAGGACTCTTGCCTATAGATCCGAAAGCAGTTGCTCACTGTAAACAACAGTTTCCCATACGCACGTCGTACTCGTTCTAATGTGACAGAATGACTTCTCGGCGAACTAGGTCGCGCCTAGTAAACATAGAAAGTCTGAACCTCATCCTCGGACTGTCTGAGTTTTGCATTACGACGTTTCATAATGATCTTGACGATCCAAGCAACAGCAGCTGTGCCAGCAGAGAAAGCAGCACTTGAAAACATGGCGGGTTGATACTGGGGGGCATCGTTCTTGTCCCTGGTTAACGTCAGTATAGCTACACAAACAGTAAAAGAGAGAGGGGGAAAAAACCAAAGGTAAGGCGACCATACGAATGAACAATTCATTACAGTAGTGACGATAGAGATGGCTGCTGCCTTCTTTTCTTTGCTTTGTCCGCAGGTGCCTGGAAGAGAATGAGTATTTTGGGTGAAAAGGTGGATTTTGATGGGCACTTACTTCCGACCCAGCCGAGGATCAGGGAGTTGACAGCATAGGTGCCGATCGTGAAGACAATCATAGAGAAGTAGCGAACTCCTGTGTTGAATGTAACAGCACCCACGATAAATCCAATAATAGCCACTGACTTGGAAGCAGTAATATGCCAAGTTCGCTCATTCATCTTTCCAGAGGACCAGGAGACGAGTAACGTGGACGCACCGGCGATCAGATAAGGTGGACAGGTCAACACGAGAGTGATGGTCTCCCCGAAGCCTAGAGTCTGAACGACAGTCGGGAACTAGTCATCACATCAGTGGTGTTATTAGGTATAATTGTGCTGACGCTTACGAAGTTCTTGAAGCCATTGGCAGCTAAGTGGAGGTGAGCCATGAGAGCAAAAAGCCAGACAACAGGGTCAACGGCAGCCTGCTTCAGACCGTTCCAGACACTGGTATCTCCTGATCTCTCAACAGTGTCAATCTCAATACGGTTGTGGGCGAGCTGTCTTTCCTCCGGAGTGAGCCATCTGGTGGTCAGAGGGAAATCTGGAAGGCAGAAGGCTCCGATGATAGCGATGACGAAGGTGACTGCACCTTGCAGGATGAACAACCATTGCCATCCGGCCAGTCCAGCAGAGCCATCCATACCATGGAAGACACCTGCGGCGATGAGACCTGCGAAGGCTGTGGCCAGGATATTACCAGTATAGAGAATGGCAATGCGTGTGGCGATTTCCTTGCGAGTGTAGAAGATAGTGAGGATGTATACAGCTCCAGGGTAGTAGGGGGCTTCCGTGACACCAAGGAAGAATCGAACTAGAAGCAGGCCGACGAAGTCGTGGCAGACAGCTGTCAAACCCGAGACGATAGCCCACAAAGCCATACAGCACCCCATGTAGTAAGATGGTTTGAGACGTGTGAGAAGCATGTTAGAAGGAATCTGACCTAACAAGTATCCAACAAAGAGGATGCTGACACAGGTGAGATATTCTGTTTATGGTCAGTGGTTTCCGTGGGTTTGAGGAGAAAGCTGAACCCTGTTACTTACGGGTCGGGGTCAAATTGAGATCCTCTTCGAGAGTGTTGATACGAGCCAGAGCGATGGCATTGCGATCGAGGTAGTTGAGCCAATACATCGACCACCTAACAAATGGAAATGGTCAGAAGCCGTGGTTCTATGATTTTATGGTATTCGACTCACAACATGGGCATTATCCAGCGATCTAGTTTTTTGACAAGCTTGATCTCGGCCGGATCGGTTTTAGCTGCCACACCAGAGTAGTCTTTTTTGGTCTGCGGCTTCTCGAGGTCATCTGTGATGTCCTCGACCATCATCACGGATGGCTTTTCGGCGAGGTCTTTCTGCATGACGGGAAGATTTCCTGAGGGTAATGATTGAAGATGGCTCGAACTCGGACTTGTTCAGAGAAAAGACAGGCTTCAGACAGGAGTTTATATATCTCAATAAACTCATAGAGAGCACAGTCCTGGCCCAGGTTCTTGCCACGGATCTGGCCTTCAGCCTCCATACTACCCCGTCTGCTATCCCCAGTCCCCATACTATTGCTCCACAACAACGGGCATGCGGGGATGCAGCGAGATCGTCCGTATGCTCCCGATGTCAAGGATATCCAAGGCGGCCAAGGGTGATGGCAAAGGTAGGCATAAGCGGCACTGAGTCAAGATTGCGATGACGGAAACAAGGTACCATTGGCATACTGAAACCTACGTTGAGAGGGGAAGCCAGACGTACTACAGCCAGAGGTCAAAAACAAATTGACCAAGAACTTGGCCTCTTGGATTGTATCTTAAGTGTTGCAAAGACGCTTTTTTGGCAGATTGATATCCGGCGAGTTCTCGTTTGCCCAGGTTGGACATTGTCGTGAGGCTGACTTCTGGGGAGGTTAAACTCTGGTGTACGCGACTTGGAAGTGCGGCCTTCCCACCGACGGGTCAATGTGGCTTCGGCAGCTTTGTCCAGTATCTAGTGCACCAAGACTATACGGTCCACAAGAATTCGTCTTTTGGTGTTTTCTTTTTTATTTGCCATAAGTCAACAATGGACATAGAGGCCGACAAGGTGAATGAACATCACCACCCATGTCAGGATCGCCGAGAAGGCCGAAGTTGGAATTGACGAAGTGGGCGATGTCTGAGTAAATTCGGGTTGGCCAAGGTGTATACAAGACGAGGCTTGCATTGGACCGTTGACCTTGAGCCGAGGACAACTATTTCATTCTTCTCGCGCCGTGCGAGACAGATACTTTCACGCTCATAGCTGTCCCAAAGCACGATAATTTCTCGAGTCGCAGCAACGTCACCGAGAAATACCTTCCAATTGACTCCCTACACCGGTGTTGTTGATTTAAGATATTACCGTGCTTTGCTACTGCTCGTCGTTGCTCTGCTTCGACCAGGTTGGAAGAGTGGGGGAGTGTCAAAGTCACGTGAAGCTACGGGTTGGCAGTGGAGAGGCTGAGTACTTGGCGCTGTCGGCGTCGGCCGAATTAGGTTGTGGGAGACAGCATGGAAATGGTCATCATCTTATCACGATAGGTTGTGTGTGGCACGCAATGTTGCTCGCGTATTGCACCATGACGCTGGACGCATATTGTAGACCTGTGGTATCTGATGTGATCCTGGCGGACTTGTATATATCGAAGAGATGAAAAAGGCACCTGCCATGACAGAGTCACGGAAACATGGACGAGCAAAGTTTCCCCATATTCGGAGAAGATGGCGCGGCCTTTGGATCCAGACACTCCAACTCTGATTCTTGACAACATGTGCACCCAGTCGATGTCCTCGACGCGACCATCTACTCTACTCCGTACACTCAGATCAGCCCAATAACGCGCCCGGACGGTATCAGAAACAATCAGGATGAGCGAGCCAACACAACAGCAAAAAGCGAATCTAGCCCGTATCAGGTACGACTTGATCGAATGAGCCGATAGAGCGTGCACAGAGAGGCTAACCGTATGCAGGGACAACCAGCGAAGGCGAGTTGGAGAAGATGGAAGAAGACAGAGAAGAATACTGACAGGACTCAAGGTCCCGCGCTCGCCGAAAGGAATACTTGCAAGAGCTTGAGACCAAATACCGATCTTGCGAGGCGGTCGGGGCAGAGGCATCAGCCGAGATACAAGCAGCAGCACGAAAGGTGCTGGATGAGAACAAGCGGTTGCGCCGACTGTTGCGACAGCAAGGCTTCAGCGATGCAGACATCGACGGTCCTGAGCACGACGAGTTTGCTTCGTCCCCTTTGGCCGCCGAGATGTTAGACGTCATGCTGGTCACACGCAAACCATGCAGACCGTCTTCGGGCTCAGGCTGTGGTGACAACCAAGTGTGCAAGACCGAGGATGAAGACGATGATGATGACATGGACTCGAGGCGACAGAGCGTCATCTCAGCACATACCGCCGCCCCGGGACATGTCGCTCCTCGGCAACAGAAACAGCAACACCAGCGACCCATTGCTCTCGCTCCTGCTCCTGCTCCTGCTCCTGCTCCTGCTCCTGCTCCTGCTTCTGCTCCTGCTCCTGTCATCGCGCCGCTGCCGAAACAGCTATCTCACCAACCCATGGCACAGCAACGACAGCCACAACATGTTTCGATGCACCACCAACAACAGCAACAACATGACCCGCTTCAGAACGAGCCGCACATGCAATTTCAAGGCCAGCTGTCTCAGTATCAGCAGGTCCAGTCTCAACAACAGCAACCCCAATTCTTCATGTCACCACCCTCGCATATTCTGGCAACTCCCGTACCTCAGCCAAATGCACAAACATCACCTGGAGCGTTTGTCCAAGATTATCCCCTATATGCGCCGCAGCCCTTTGGCTATGGAGTCCCACAATCCCAACTGCTTGACTGGGATATGGCGGCTGTCGAAGGCATCCCACAGACTGGGAACTATACGACTCCTGGGCATTACCCTTCCCCCACGCCTGGCTTCTCGAACGCAATGTCATACACATCGCCTACGCAAACATCAATCTCCGGATACCACGGACAAGACAATACTTCTTCGTGCTTCACGGCGGCTGATGCCATTCGTACTTTGCATGTTGGAGCAGGTGCCGAAGTCGAGACGGCACTCGGATGCCGTGACAATAGCAAAGACTGCCGTGTTGACAACGCAACGGTTTTTGATCTCATGGACCATTACTCTGGCGTCCAGAGTCAACAAGGTGGCATGTAACATGGGAAAAGAAGCACGAACAATTAACGACAGCAACGACCACACATACATTCAGACACTGTACATATCATGCGATTCTGTCAAAGCCAGCAAAGTAGAAGGGGGGTTCACAAATAATGTATATCTCAAGAAGAAACCCGTGCAAAGACAGAGACGTTTGCTTGAGTAGTATCGCGTGGAAGTGAGCGGCACATGTGCGTGGGTACAGATCGTGCAGTGTGTTTGCCTACCGTAGTAGAGCCTTGGGCATCTTTCACATGCAAGTGCGGCCGGAAGGCGGAAGAGCGCACAGACCGCGTGACTGTTGCCTCACAACGGACTCGTCTCACCAAGAGAGAGACTGCGCTCTAAACTTATCGCATACCATCTTCTTGACCATTTCCGTCACCATCACAATCTCAGCACAACAACCGCAGCCATGTCGGAACGTAAGGTGCTCACCAAGTACTTCCCACCGGACTTCGATCCGTCGAAGATGGTGAGGACGCGCAAAACGAACACAGGTCCGCAATTAGTAAGTCTGAGCAATCATGAGCTTGCCACGTACAAAACTAACTTATATACTCAGCAAACCGTACGTCTGATGGCACCGTATTCCATGAAGTGTACCGCCTGCGGCGAGTTCATCTACAAGGGCAGGAAGTGAGTTTTGAACCATGTCACTCCTCCACGCAGACTTGCTAACAATCACCTAGGTTCAACGCGCGCAAGGAGACAACCGACGAAAAATACTATGCCATCACAATCTATCGCTTCTACATCAAGTGTACAAGATGCTCTCAGGAAATCACTTTCAAGACGGACCCCAAGAATATGGATTACGAGGCAGAGAAAGGCGCCAAACGGAACTTCGAACCCTGGAGAGAGGCCAAGTTGGCAGAAGAGACCGAGGAGGAAAGACTGGATAGATTGGAGCGCGAAGAGGCCGAACGCGATGCTATGAAGGAACTGGAAACAAAGACTCTGGACGCCAAAACCGAGATGCAGATTGCCGACGCTCTAGATGAGATCCGTACTCGCAATGCTAGAAACGAACGTACAGCAAAAGATGGAGCAGAGGTGACTGTGGTGGACAAGGTCGACGATGAAAGGGAAAGACAAGAAGCAGAAGATGCCGAAGCAGCAAGGCAGGCCTTTCTTGCAGGCACGGGCGAGAAGGTCAGAAGACTGGTCGAGGACCCTGAGGAAGAAGGTTCTGGTATCGCTTCTGGACCGGCTACCACTACTACTACAAGTACAAGTGTCTCCATGGGTCCTCCACCAGTTCCAACCTTTGCACGCAAACTCAAAAAGAAGACGGACTTCAGCGCAAAACTGGGTATCAAAAAGAAATCACTGGTCTGAATCACGACGACGATGCCGCCTGCTCCGTCCAGATCCCGATGCGGACCGAACCGATCCCTCGCCATGCTCGCTTGTCTGACTCTGATAATCCATCGCCGCCCTCATGTCTTCCTGCATTCTGCGGCCTGTCTCTTCCGGGCTTTCGTCATTACCTCTCACCCGCCTGACTGTACGATAACTCTTACGACCTTTTGACGAATCTGACTTTCTTTCATTCACGTCGTTGTCGTAGTTCTCTCTTCTGCCCACTGCTTTGTCGTTGGTGTAGTTGAATCTCTCATTTGCGCTGCGTTTTGATGTGGCGTTGCTGAGAGTCTCAGAAGCTGTGTCGGTCTTGGTCGCATCAATGGGAGATATGTTGCTCGATCCGTAAGCTGAATCTCGGAACTTTGTGCTGGGATCGAAGCGTAATCGACTGAGTCCTGGTGCGGTATGATGCTGAAGGTTGTTCGTCAAGGGGGGACCGGTCACGGGAACAGTCAATTGTGATAGACCTTGAACTGCCCGACGTGCATCTCTGCTCCTGGACGATGTCGACCGACTGTTTGTCCCTGAAGATGACGGAATGGCTTCTCTAGTCGTGAACACTGCACCAGCGTTTGGTCCTTGTGGAAGTGTGGGATAGTTGGGTGATGGCACGAGGTTTGGAAGCGTTGGTGGTGGCGGCGGTGGGGATCTTCTGCTTGACTGATACCCAATCGCAGGTGGTGGCATGGGAGCCTCAGGCATCATCTCTCCTGATCTCCGACCCTCTCCCCCATCACGCCTTCTGCGAGTTTCGCCGTCATCCAGTCTACGGAGACTGAATTTGGGAGACTTGAACCATCCCGGGAACCTCACAACGATATCACCGGAGTATCGTCGCTCCTGTCTTGGCTGTTCGCGTCGTGGAGCAGTATTTTGGTGCAGCACTACCTCATTTTGCGTCGAAGAAGGTGGTAGTACCAGCCGCGAATTTCTGGGCACACGTTCTCTGCTCTCCTCTGTAATCGTGTTGTTGCATAGTTGATCGTTGGTTGAGTTGTGGCAGTAGAATGGGGTCGAAACGAGGTCCGAATGGCCGTCCGGATGGACAGTAGTCACTCTCTTGATCAAACACATGGTTGCTGCTTGGTTTGGACTGCTTGAATGAATTTGCTAGGTCCTCTGTCTAGTCGATGCGCCGATAGGTCCGGCACCAAGGATTATAAGATGCACAGTTGATATACCGTTAGCAGGCAGTATACACTCCTATGGGATACAGAAATGTCTAAAGGAGAACGACGTCCAGTGCCTTGGTACGTAGTATCTAAAAGTGTGATCCGGCAGTGAGGTGGTGAAGCAAAGGCAAGATCAAAGTGTCGAATATTAGAATCCAAAACAATGATGTGCAACTGAAAGGGTCTCGTGTTGTATGGCCGTGTGTCAGAGGTGCAAAGAAATGTCTCAGAAGAAGTATGCCCACGCGGATCAGGCACAAGCGAGTCAAAGATGTTTCAGTTGGGTTCAGTCAAGAGATGAAAGAAAGGCAGAGCAAAAGGTAGAGAAAGCAACAAACGGATGCAGATCAAGGAGCTTTGACGCTGTCTTGAATGCAATGATCCGCCGTGTGCTTTCTGCGTAAATATGTCATAAAGTACTATTCTAGTGGCTGTGGTTGATCGGAGGAAGGGTAAGGCTGAGCGTGAGGCAGCTACTTCTGCTTCAGCCTCTCCACCAACTTGCGCAGCCACGGACACCGATATACAGGGATCCACACATACTCGCATTACTCTCTGCGGTGACTCGGTCTTGATCATGTATCTATGTCGACCAAATTGAGTTCACGAGCTCTGACATTCCGTCGTGTCTGTCAGCTTCAGACCCAGTCTCGTGGTGAACGTGACTTCGCGAAACGGTAGGAGCTGCAGACTGTGTTGGTTGTTGCCTGGCCGGCCGAAGAGTACGCCAGTCGCTTGTCCTTTTTGCTGTATCTTCCAGCATCTACAATTCGTTACCCGACTGGTCTGCAGCAGGTAGTCGCGTCATTTGCACTCTCCAGAGAAACGAGTGGTCGTGGCCGTGGTCTCTCAAGATCTCCAAAAACCCGATTGTTCGGTCCACACCTTCACGCAACACGCGCATGCGCCATCTGCGAGAGACCGAGCACCTATCCTGATGACGATCATTTTTATGTACCGTTTCTGCTCGCTGCCATCGTCGTCTGCACTTCTGTTTTACTACTCCCAACACCACCACATTTTCAACACCGTTGCGAAAGAGGGCGGCAAGTCCCAAGGTACCGCCAGGCAACCTTGGATGCAGTCACGGAAATCCGGTTATTTGACAATCGGGTCGATAATGTGGCTTGTAGATGACATGAGGCAGGAACAAGAAGCATTTGCACACACCAAGAATTTGGTAGAGAAGGTCGTGACAAAAATGATCGGGCTCATTGTCCGTCGCGTGGCTGTGGTGGGGACAAGATGATCGTCCCGAGAGCTTCTTGCTGGTTGCCGCAACCCTCGTCTCCATTGCAAGAACACAAAAGAATCATCCTTGCCTTTTGAAGCTTTTGCTGTTTGAACATGCACATTTCGCCAACTGGCCGTCTCGATGACCTGTCTAGATTCGCGGTGCGCATATGTGATCTGCAGGAGGTACAGATCGCAAACAACGCGCAGAGCAACGCTGCGTGCAAATGATGCTTATGTCAGAAGCCTGAGGCTGTGCTATTGTAGGTATTCTTCCGTGATTAAACAAGGATATAGTGCTCCACATTCTGGTTGAAGGATTCAAGTAGCCTCTCCGATACCAACACAGCCTCGTCTTTCAGCTGTCGTTTAGCGACGTGTAGAGAATGGTGTCGGCCTTGTTGCCTTGCAAAAGTGTCGGTGGACTGAACAACCTGTTTTTGACGCAAGCGATGCAAGCAGATAAGCGAGGTACCCGGGCTTCCTGCATGTTGCATGCGCTCTGGTGTGTGGCTGAACATCGGATTGCTGCTCCTCGTAAGCCACCTGTGGCTGTTGACTTTCATGAGATTGGGAAACTCGATGGATTGTTGGTCTCTATCTTCCACCGCATCAAACGGTACGGGAGCTGTGGTATAAAATTGGTCGAGAAATACATCTCTGAATAGACCTCAAAGGCTTTGCCCAGCCAATATATACACACATCGTTCTCAAACGCCAGGCTACTCACAACGCCGATATTCCAGCCCATAATCAACGCCAAATGCTCTGTTGCGCCACATATTTATCATCATCTTGAGACAGTCGTTAACAAGGCATAATTCGTGTGTTCAAAGTCGTAATCATGCTCCGATAGCGGCCTCGGGTAACAGCCTGGGAGGTAGTCGCATGATGAAGCCCTCGCTGAGGCGTCTCCTGACGGAGAGACCTTGACGAGCGGTGCTCTGGAGCAACCACATTGAACGCTGCAAATCTTCTGGTCTCAAGAAAAGGTCAAAGTTGAGCAAATAACAGAAACTGATCTCGAGCTTTCTAAGCTCATTTGTGCTTATGCCGCCCAGACGGGCGATACGCTCCTGTGTCCACTTGTTGTCTTCCAATGACTTGCTAGCTATCCGGATTGCGGCAAGTGCTAAGCGGTGTACGGTGCGAGGGGTGGCCGGTACCATGGTCTCGACAACGCATAGGCGATGTATGTATGAGGCGGCGGCTAAATAGACGCCAGGCGAATGTGGGCTGAATTTGTGTATACGCAGAAGGTAGTCGGTAATTGAAAACGGCGGAGCAGCCTTGAGGAAGAAGCGTCGCGACACGGCTGCGAGCTGGAGGGCGTTGGCTTCGGCTGGGTCTGGTGCGGGCGAGTAATCGGCTGGCGGAGCAATGGGTTCGTCGCGTTTGGCCTCGGGAGCGCCGATGTGATGGACAGGCACGCAGTGATGTGGAGCGAGAGTTGGTGAGCCTTGCAACTCGGGCGTATGAGCGGGTGGTGTGGTGGAGTCGGGAGAGGGCGGATCCGACGAGGCTTCAGGAATGGTTGCGGGAGGGTGGAACATTTGTTGTCTTTGGTATACAGGCGTCGTACACACGACATCACCAGTAATGTTGGACAGGGATTGCAGTGCTTGGGCCAGCATCTGCACGGCGGCGACAGCAGAAACCGAGTAGAGATCCCAGTCCTCGTCCTTGAGTATCAGAGGCTCGTTGGTTTGCTCCATATCGACGTGGTAATCATGCGGAAGGCGTCCGCTATCTTGATGTGGATTCGGCTTGGGTGGCGCCAGTGTCGAGTCCATGTTTGCAGATATGACAGGAAATCAACGAGGGAAGGCAACTCAGAACCCGGCTCGATAGGAAAGGGAAAATCACAATACAGCGTAGTACTGCCGAGGAGTGGTCGGAGATTTGTTTGGCGATTCAAGAACGGCACGGATGCCTCTGACTCGGTGCAATTATCTTGGTCGGGAAGCAAGCCGAAAGTTGCTTGCAATTCGCATGTGTTTACAAAAGATGAGCAAGAAGGCTGCTGGGCTACAGGCAATAATAACAAGGGTCAACGACCTGCTGGATGATAGCGGGGCATCATGGCGTGTCTAGGTATTCATCCCAAGTCCATGCGCCTAATAACCTTCTTGTCTCCGACTCCGTCCGTACCCAAGCTATGTTTCACTCTCCCCTATCATCGCAAGCACCGTTTCATCCTCGTTTCTTTTCGACCTCTGCTTTTTCTTGCTCTACATACTTTATCTCTTCCTTGCTCAGACCGCGTCAATATTGAATCAGCAATTCGTCATTCATAACATCATTCTCACGCCCACCGGCATGAAAGTCCCTTGAGCCGTTCCTGCAGCTATTTGATTGGTCGCGAACAAGTTTAGCCGTGCAGCTTTAATTCGGAGCTGTTCGAAACGTGATAGCTTTCATCTGTCTACCCAACCGTTGCCTTCCTCCACACCCCGACACCATCTAATTCAGTACACATAAGGAAACAGTTTTTGGGGTACCTTCTGTTTGACCTCCTCCCAATGCCGTCCGTACTGCGCCTAGATTAGCTGATGTTCGTGAAACCAAATCGATCAAAGTAGTCACCTTCTTGGAAAGGTACATCTCCATCAAGGGTATGGCTCTCTGAGAGAAGTCGCCAGCGAGAAACACGAAAACACCCATCCCTAATGGAAGTCCTGCGCAAACGGTACTGTAGCCTGCCCTCCACAGTGTATAGCCACCGTAGTTGATGTTGCGCGCAAGCCCGAAAAGTCCCTCGGTACAAAGCTTGCCCTTGTTGGCTGGATCCTGCTTGAAACGCTTGCGTTGTACCTCACACCACCACTCTGTGCAGAGGCCGAGTCCATACAGTGCAGCTCCGAACGCCACGCTTGAGCGAGACGTGAACAACTCGCCCCAGGTATCAGCAATCATTGGTCGGTTGGAAGTCATTGCCCAGAGCGAAAGCAGAGTGTTAAGTGTGTTCAAGAAGGTGTTGTAGGCGGCAATCATGCTCGAGAAGCCTGGCTCGAATTTACTGTCAGACACTCTCAGGCACCAGTAGATCTGCTTAGCGGCACTGCCGATAGCGAGACCAAACACAAGGGTGTGGTATGGTGATAGGCCAATCGAAGTTGCTGGCGATGTGACTGCATTTGAGATAGTTGTACCACCTAGCTTGCGCACGATGTTCAGCCCCAACTCGGACGAGAGTAAATAGTACTGCAGTGGCAGATCGGAGAGTCGCAAGATGGTGAACAGCGCATTTCCTGCCTCGCTCACGCCCTTCTTTCGCGTCTCCGCAAACCATGCAGGCAGGTCTTGCTGTGAGTTGCCCATTTCGATGTCCTTGGTCGGAAGTCTACGTCAGTCGCAGTGGGTACCACAGGCTCAACGGTCATATGTGAAGATCGAGGTATTTGGGTATTGTATATCGAGAAAGTAGTGAGGAGAGTTCGGACTTGACTGATGAGCGGCTCTTCTGACGTAGACGTGCGGGGACAGGCTCGTCATCAAATGGTGTGGATTGAGCACCAACACAATCGGATCCAAGACGCAACAGCATCTTGAGGTTTCATACCAGAAAAAGACCTCGAAACAAGGACGTCGTCGCACAACACCTCAGTCTAGTACTTCGGTTCAAATTTGTCAAGTCACGAGGCGCTAGGCAGATGGAATTCTTCTTGACAACTAGAACGGCCAAACATCGCGTGTGAGCGTTACGCGTCTGTAGTGATTTTGCAGAGCTGCGACCCCAAACTTCATTTCGTCCTACGGTATCTATCTAACGCGAGCCCATCAAGAATCATCAGAGACTATCTAGCTCATAGACAAGAGCTCTCCCTCCAGCGCTCTTCTCTCCCGCTCAGTAGTCTCCACCATGGCCGCGTTAACCTCGCGTTGCACAAGGGACGTTGGAGCTTTGTCATGGACCGCACGCATTCTCTAGGCTTTGCTGTATCTTGCAGCGGCGTTGCGTTCAACGGTTTTGAGGCCACCGTCTCCCTCCAAATTTGCGTCTGCCGCGCTTGCTGCCCGTCGAGGGTCCGGCGCTCAAGTCGACCACATTCAGTGTGTCTATGAACGTGAACTTGGGATCCGGGCGGACATTGAGATCCAGCCAACCCTTGTACACACTCGCAGCCATGATTCTGCATTCACGAGGAGCAGCGGGACATAGGAGGTCCAGCAAGTCACGCATCATCTTCAGGCCATTGTGCTGCGCGAATCCTTCTGTCTTGCTTCTGCGGGCCTCAACCGACTGCTTGATGAGGCTGTCAGACAAGATCTGCGTGGTCAACGGGCGCTTGCGGCCAAGGCCGAGCCTGTAGGCAGTGTTGGCTGTCTCTTCGTCAGGCCATATGCCGGGGTCACGATAGTTGGCCCATTCGAGGGGAAGCAGTCGCTCGATGCGTGTACCCTCGGGATCTGCAACAACTAGCCACTTCTTGACCAAGTGACGAGGAGGTGCGGCGTCTGCACCTTCGAAGGTGAAGTTTCTCGTGGCCATGTCAACTCCCTTTTGTTGAAGAGCCTGGAACGGGAAATTGCCGTGCTGAATGACCGTCCGCATCAACAGTTCGAAGTGATCCGCAAAATCATTTGCCGAGGCGACATTCTTTGGGACTGTGATGGTCGCAGCCATTTCCCTGACCTTGAAGAGATCAGAGATGATCACGTCGGCCACGTGGTCATCAAACCATCCAGGTGTAGCATCCAGTTCGTCGAGTCGGGCCCGATTCATGCCGCTGAACACCATTTTGCTGTCGTCTTTGAGCTTGAATCTGTACTGGAAGAGCTCGTTGTTCCTCATCTGGTCGAACTGCGGGCACTCGACGATCGGAAGCCATTTCTCGGTGATTTGACGGGGTGGATAGCATTCAAAGTACTCGCAAGCGGATGCGAACACTCTGCATTCCACAACCGTCTTGTCGTGGCGATGGACATAGATTGCCAACGAGGGGAACGCGGTGTCAAGCATGGCCTCGACCCGAATCTTCACGCCATCTTGGGGTTCACTGCCGTAATTGGCTCCCCAAAAGATGTTATTCATCCTTCCGCCGCTGTCTGGAAGACTGAGGCTGAGGAAGGCGTAGTGCTTGCTGGACTTCTTGCCAGCGGCAAAGTGATCGAAGTACTTGAGGTCCTGGCCGCGGTAGTCCTCAGTCAATTCCCAGGGCAGGACGTTGTAAGCTGGATCAGTCTCCTTGAACTTGAATGCTGCCGGCATCTGCTTGACAGTCTTGTACTTGAAACTTCGTTGAGATGGCTCCAGACCAGCAAGGTCTGCGTCTCCGAAGGCAGTTTCCCTCCGGTATTTCGCAAGGATTGGGTTGAGCAATGCAAACTGCGTCGCTGTGTCGTCGTCGGAGTCGTAGTTGATCTCCTCGGGAAGGTCTCTTTCGTCTGGCTCTTCCCAATTGCAAAGCTTGCGGTCCAGTTCGGGGAACGGAGCAAAGCCATTCTCAGCCTCTCTCTGCGAGACGGCTGCTATTGCTGTCTGAAAAGACATGCTGTTCCAATGTAGAGCAAAGCCTTCTTGGCTTGGCGTTCTTCGAAGTAGTGCAGTTTATTGTTTGCGCTGTGCGCGAAAGGTTGGTAGACTGCGTTTGTGCGCAGTGTGATTTGTTGTTGATTGTATAAAGAAGAATTCGCAGCGGCGACGAGTATACCTACTCTATGCTATGCGCGCTCGCAGAAAACGCCAAGGCTCTCCGAATCGTGCGGTTTCAATGAACGAACGCCAGGAGTCTCGATAGTGAAGAACCAGAGCAAATCTAGCAACAACTTAAGTAGGCTCTTTGAAACAACTCTTAGGGCTTAAGGGAATCACTACATGATAAGTTCCTTGATCCAATACATTAAGAATCACTATGTAGCACTAATTAAGCGCCTCGAAAGCCAACTTAAGAAGCTCTAAATTACTAAGGCAGTTGAAGCCGCTGGCAACTCAAAGCCCCCTGGCCGACGTTATCTAACACGAGCCCTTCAACAACCATCAGAGACTGACAACGATCTTTCTCGCACTGACACCCTTCTTAGCGACCTCGAAAGCCTGTTCGATCACCTCGAGACCCTTTCCAACTACTTGTGGCTCCGGAGCTGGCACGAATGATCTCTCGGAGAGCGCGACGGGCAAGAACTTTTCGAACATCTCGAATCCGAGCTTGTTCACCATCAGTTCCGTTGACCACACAAACTTGTATTTGACACCCTTGGAAAGACCCTTGAACTTCCATCCTACGAAGCTGGATCCCATCCTATACATGATTGCGAGCATGTTTGTTGGGAACTCTTTCATCGGGATGTCATGACTGGCTTGAGCCACGAACTTCTTGCCCTTTGTCTTGCTGAGAACGTCGATGCACGCACTCAGAGATCCGACACCGATTGCGTATGCGCCAGCAGATATCCTATTCTTGTCGTTCATGGCAGTTACAATGTCGTGGACTGCGGTCGGACTGTTGTAGTCATATACTTCTGCAGCCCCCAAGCTTTTGAGGTATGCATGGTTTCTGGGTGATGCTGTCGATATGACCTCGTATCCTGCTGCTACTGCGAGCTGTATGGCATTGCATCTGTATACTTGTCAGTGGAGTGTCGGATCTGATGCTCATGATTGTGCCTACCCAACACTTGTGCTACCACCCCAAATCAGTACAGTCTGCCCAGTGGGTCTTTGTGATTTCGGTGCTGTAGGAAGCTGGAGTCCAAGAAAATCCTCGAGGAATAATCCACAAGCAGCGGTCGCCAATCCGAGAGGTAAGACAGACGCTGATTCGAAGGACATCCAGTCGGGTATCTTGGTTATGAGATTTGACCTCAAAACGGTGTACTCTTGAAAAGCACCTTCGCTGGCCTTGTTGGAACGCTTGTCAAAGCTGACTGCTAAACCAAGGACGCGAGCTCCAGGCTTTACAGCAGTCACGCCCGACCCGACTTCAACGATCGTGCCGGCGCAATCAGTGCCGAAAATGAAGGGTAGTTTGGCTTGTGGAGCAAACAGGCTGACAACTTTCGGTAGGAGGAAATCGACTGGGTTGATAGCTACTGCTGCATTCTTTATGACCACTTCATCATGTCCAGGTGAGGTGTAAGGCGCCTCCTTGACTTCGAGAGGTTTCCCTTGGGCGACTATCCAGGCAGCGTGATTGGTAGGCATAATGTATGATTTCGTCCAGACTCTTTACTATGATGGGTCATATTGTTGATTGGGAGTCGGTCACTACTTAATCAAGTCCTCGAGCATTCCGGTTGCCTCACGCATACCAGAGTTGCACCGCGCCGCGCATGAATCCGGTAACATGTGCGAATTATTTGGGAAGTCGTATTGTAGATTGTCCTTAGTGGAGTAACTTGACTTTCTACGTCACCACTCGGATTGGATTCCGAGAAATGTGAGACGGTCGGGATCATAATTACCCCGGCTAGCAAATTAGGCCTGACCTTCCCTCATCACCACTAACATTGGTCGACGGGAGAGGATAAGCTCTGTTTGGCAAATCTTCTTTGTCTAGGCGTCACAATCTTGTCTCCGAATGCCCTGCTGCGTGCCTACCTCTGTTTGTCTCTATCTCGACGAGGACCGATGTTGCGAGGATGACCCTGTTTCGAGCGACCACCAAGGTTTGAGCGCTTATAGATTCGATCACAAAGATAAGTGTCCTTACTTGCACAGAAAATCAACTAAAAGATTCTAGCTGTGGCTGTACTGTAAAATCTGAGCTGGATTATACGATGCGGGACATAGCATGAGCTTAGAATGTGAGTTCTACATGTGCCTCGAATCAAGTCATTCTCGTGACAAAGAGATGTCGACAACAAGTGCGCAAAATCTCTTTCAGAAGTGGGCTCTTTGTCACCTCCTGTTCTTGTATTTCTTGACGGTCCGAATTGAGTCTTTGTCTACTTCGTGGGCCTCATTATCCTGCCCTTGAAAGACCAAGACTTCAACCAACTGGCTTTGTTTCTGTCAGTGGAAGGCTTCTGCAAAATATGAATGGTTGATAGCTATATAACGACCTCCCGATGCTCTCAAACAGCTACTTATCCCTCAGTATCTTCCTTCTCAACCTACAAACTACAAACATCGACAGAGCCATCTCAAACGATCTCGTGCTAAGTACAACCCTACACCAACTTAGTCAAACCAGCTCACCTTTCTTTAAGGTTACCGAAGAAAGTATAAAAGTGCGCGTTGACGCCGATCCATCAGGGTAGATAGCCTCGGTCAGCCGCAGCATAAATTCGACCGCACCCGCGGAGCACACTTCCGATCGCATCAGCACAAAATATGACCGGGTATGAAGAACAGACGGTCGCAGATTTGCGAAAAGAGCTTGAGAAACGTGAGATTCCGAGCACGGGTCTCAATCGAAAGCAACAAATCATAGAAAAACTGGAGGAGGATGATGCTCAGAAGAGACAAAAGAAGTCCAAGATTGGAGATGATAAAGATGAAGTGAGAGGCGAAAAAGTGGGTCGCGATTCTCGTCTTGTTCTTCGGAGTTGAAGATACTGACATGACCAGTCGACTGGCAGCTCTGGAAGCAAAGACGACCAACAGAGCGTTCCTAGCAAGCGACCAGCTGAAGACGTCGAATCTAAAGATGTCAAGAAGACAAAAATAGAGAGCTCCGAAGACAAGCCAAAGGAAGGAAAGCCCAGACTCACCACTCCTGACATTGAATTCGACTACGACCGGTCCAAATTGCGTGACCCTCGTCTTACACCCGGTCGAGTAAGGCGACCACAATACACAGATATGGAATTCCCGGAAGATCTGAAGAAGAAATTTGAGACCGAATACGAGATTCCAAAGCCTGAGAAGCCTCCAGGGCGCCTCAATGCCTTTCAAAAGAATGCCCTCTACTGCGAGGAAGCGAAGATGAACCCGTTGGCTTTCTCTCATGACAAACAGATCATGGAAGGAAAGGGGCCTGATGGCTCGCCGACATACGACCAAGCCGGCTTCGAGATTGACTATGAGAAATAAATCAACGGTACGAGCCGGACTTACAACAAAAAGTCAATGATACGCAATATGGATAAAGCAGTAGACAAGGCGAAGAGTGAGAAAGAGCAGATGTTCGACTTGTTCTTCCTGCCGAACGAGAAGCCTGACGAGAACAGAGCGATGTGGGTCAAGGACTATATCAAAGATCAGGTATCGAAAGATCTGGACGTCCCGTGGCATCAGGTCAAGCCAGAACATCTCAAGCAGTGGAGAGAGAAAGGATTCGAAAGGGTAGCGTTCAAAGACTGGTGGAAAGATCCTACCGAGGAAGAGCAAAAGAGGATGAAGAAAATGACGATGGGTAGCGTTTTCAGGAAGGACCTCTAGCTGATGGTCATGTTGTTACATCGAGAGTTTTCCACACCACATTTTCCAGTCCTCGACACTCTTCGTCACCGTAGTCGCCTGATCTGATATAGTCAGGCTGACTTTCCTTGCATCTCGAAAATGATCCTCCTATATCTCGTGATTGGAGTTGCACTTTGTCCTTTGACCGACAGAATAACATGGTAAGTCTGACAGCCAGTCTGCGGACAAGCAAGCGCGTCACTTGGCATCATGGTCTGAATGGTCGAGCAAGCCTGATTCAAGCATGTAAAGTTGAGCTGGGGGATCTGTGCGTTTGCGTTGTATTGATTGCTGGCCGTGACGTCCTTGTAGTGCATCCAGTCGAACGTTAGCGTGGAGCTCGAGTTACTATCCGGATCAATGGTGGCCGAAGCATCCAAGACAACGCTTTGTTCTGGCTGAACGATCAACGAATACGGGTTGGTGCCTGTAGTTTCGTTGAGACTGATTTTAGGTGGATGTGTGGCAGAGCTGTAGTTGGATGAAAGAGACCACTGCACACGAGCACTCATCTCATTCTGGTACGCACTACGCCACCTCCAAATGGTAGCCTTGTTCGAGACCAAAGTATTTCCGCTGATTCCCACTACTCTGTCAATCGTGTCCGCGTAATGCTTCGAAGTACCAGATATGTCAGATAGAATGTATCTGCCACCCCAGCCACCATATTCGGGACGAGAAGGTTCGTTGAGACCATTCGGAATGACTGAGAGTAACGACGGGCTATCGCCTTCCATGATGTAGGCTCTGTCGGGATACTTTGCTCCTAGTGGACCAAGCTGGAAGTTGTTACGGATGTAGGTATCGTCGACAAGAGTCGAATCAGGACCGCCGGCATCGAAAGCATACAAGAGATCGCCACTTATGCCCGTCCATGCAGCATTGTTGTACATGTTGAACCCATGTATAGAAGCAATGTATGGGATCTGAGGAAAGTTCTTGCGAATCCATGGACCAGCATCATCCTGATCAGAAATAGAGTATACATGAAGTCGACCGACAAAGATATTAGTATTTTCTTGCGAACTCGTACGATTGACGTAGTTCAGAGCCTCCGCAAGGACATTTGCACCGCCCCACAGTAGGACATGCAGTGTCTCGTTCGAGTTGGCAGTAGCCGAGATCAGTAGCTCTGCACCAGTTGAGAGCGTAGCGTTGTCCAAGGCGGCAAGACCGTAGACGGAATGTCCGGCTTTGACTACCGAACGGATACTGCTGGCACTTGGAAACCTACTCTCACTATGAGTATTGAGATTCGAGGTCACATTCTCGTATGCGTTGACAACGTCCAAGATATGCTCAGGATATGTAGTGTCGTTGAGCCAGTAAGAAGTTGTCGTCGAGATGCCTTGGATTGACAGAATATCCGAATGGAGTAACAGCCGAACCTACGAGAAAATATTCAGTGCCGTACTTCGTGGTCAGAGTGAAATGTCGCACATACCAAAGACATTTGATCATCCGGTTCATTGGAAATATCTGTGACAACGAAGATACGAGGGTAGGATGTGGAAGTACTCGAAGTGGAGACATTGGATGGAACAGAAGCGGCCCGAGCGCAGAGGCATAGCAAGCCCGTCGATATGAAATGAAGAGAAAGCCTCATACTTACAATTGTTATTGTCTGAAGATTTCCCTGCAGAGCACAGCTCAGCTATTATACTCAATGCTATTTCTTTTCACCGCTCCATCGAGTCCCGGCTCCAACGAAGATCTGCCTGCATTGAATGCCGGCTCCAAAGTCGCCCTCTTCAGTGACGTGATGACACATTTGTGAGATGTTACCCTGTCTGATCAACGTAGTATCCTTGGTATGAAAGATCGACTGGAGTAGGGCTTGCTTCACCGACCCCCGCACCTGATCGGGAAGGTGTAGCGCCGCTGTGGGGTGCTTGAACGATGCCAGCGCTACCCCGGGGTCCGTACAAGGTCAGTCTTCTTTGATGTCTCTTTTCAGCACCACTACGTAGGCAACATCACTGGCCATTACGGTCGATCCTCATGGCACTACAACAGACTGGTGTTGAGCAGGACTCCACGCTCCATAGGAGAGACGAACTATTGAGCTTCACATTGATTGGATGGCACCTACAAAAGTCAATCAGGCGTGTTCTGACCAAGGGATGCCGCTCAATTCAACGACCACATGTCACTTTGTTAGGTGCCACCTCGGAGCTCTTGTCAAGGTTGTCTTTTGTTCTGTTGGACTTTTTATGATGAGCTAGAAATGAACGATAAAAGAGAGCGACTCAAAAGCGAAACAAGACTGACCAGCAGTCCATGCTCAAACATACCCGCCCTCAAGTGGAGCATACTGCGTACCACGAAAAACGCCTGACACCAACGCTTGTAACAATCATAAAATGCAGTGCACTCTCACAAACTCGAGCCAGACAAAGCTCGGATCCGACGAGATATCATTTGCAGGATGGGTAGAGTGTCCTAGTCTCCCCCATCATGTACATGTCGCTCAGCCTCTCTCACCGCACGTTCAAGGAATGTGTTTGTGCGTCTCGCGGCTTGGTCGGGAAAGAGTGTAGATCCGCTGGGTGAGGTAGAGCGTGAGCGAGGAGGAGTATCATCGGTGTTACGAGTCTGCCCAATACGATGCGTGCGACGAGCAGACTCGCGCTGTGTGTTGCCGAAGTATCGCATAGTTGATGCCGCAACTTGACGAGAACGCTCGCGGATATCCGAGTTGAATTGAGAAGGACGTCGGGTAGGAGCATCTTGATTGGTGTCGTCGTCGTTGTGGTCATTACTGCCTCCCTCATCTTCCTGGCTTGCATTACTGTGATGGCGTATCCACAAAGTGTCTTCGGGTGCCATACGGCGGATGAGTTGTATTTGAGCTCTGCCTTCGGCAGTCTGCATGGCAAAGTCGTACAGCAGAGATTCGACAGCGCGACGGTCTTGGTTGCGAGAGCGATCGTCATCAGCCGACGGGCCGTGGGTGGTCGAGCTAGAGTCATCTGAAAATACGTCGGCCAAGGCGTCCACTTGAGAATCAGCACGGCGGAACGCGGCCGAGGCACCATCTGAGGCAAAGCTGGAATGTGTGGAAGGTAGCGAGTCGTCAGGGGTGATGGTAGAGCCGATGACGTGCCAGGCTTCTGCTATTGGAGAAGGACTACGATTGCGGTCACCCAGACCATCATCAGGAGAGACTGGGCGGTGGGCGAAGCTCAGGGGATGTGGAGATTGTTGTGAAGGGCGCAACAGGACGATGCGAGAAGAAGCGGTCGGCTCTGGTGTATCCAGGGGAGGGGTCGGGAGGCTTGACGAGACGGCATTGCGAGACTGTGGGCGATCGCGCTCAAGGGGTGGAGGCAGAAAGCTGCTTGGTCCAGAGCGTCGTTGACTCGAGTCGGAGGTTTGTTCAGACGAGTTGTCGTCGCCGAGATAGTAGGCCAAGTCAAAGTGACGTTCGCTCGAAGCCACGCGTTGACGAGGAGCGTCAGGCACTGATGGTGGTTGGCCGATGCGATGGAGACTGGTCGTCGGACGAGAGGCGCGAAGACGACGGATGGGTGAGCGTGATGCCGCGGTACTGTCGTTCTTGACTCGAGATATCGCTGCCGGGCTGCTGGTGCCGCTTCGTGTTTCCTCGGGGTCGCGCCATACTCTGGTAGCCGTGTGTTAGCCATCTGCTTTGTAGATCATCATGCTTGACGAGGCAGTCGCGGGACTCGATCATCATGCACAACTTGCTCCACAGGACAGGCATGATCAACTCTGGAGCCTACCTGCAAGCAGGAGCTGTCTGGACGTGTCTGGCATCAAATAGGCACGAGCTCGAGAATGGCAAGCGCGTCGCGTCGCCCTCTCTGAAGCCTTGACACACTTACGGAAGACCCATGATGATATTCAACCTAGTCGCAAACTTTGCGCGATTTAAATGAGATATCCTGCGGCGGTATAGAGATGATATGGTCTAGTTCGCAACGTGATGCATCAAATGTTTGTGAGCAGCTCCGTCTCACTCTCCGCATTTCGCAGCCTCGGGCGCTAATTAACCTGTCCCTACTCTCTAGACTCTCGTGTCTCCACATTCTCGGCACTTGGTCAAAGCTTTCAGGGGTCCATTTTGACGTTCGATAACTAATCTTTCTAAATGTTCTTGAAAGCAGAAAGCCCAACTGTTGCTTTGCCATTACTGTCAACCAGCAGATTGTCCTCGCAGCTTGATCCTAGACCTGCGTTACCCAAGAACGCAGGCTCCCAATAGTAAAGACCTGCGCCGCCCTTGACACCTGCGACAATCTTACCAACTGCTTCGATCCATTCCTCCTGTCCAGCCGAAGAAAAAGGAATATATGTAGCATCCGATGGGAACTTGTATGCAGGCTTACTGCACTTGGCTGGCCAGTTGGTCTCGGCAACTACCATCTGTTTGCCATATGTAGATGCAAGTTGCTCGAGTGAGTACTGCAAGCTACCCAGGTAAGCTTTCTCGTCGTAAAAAGGATAGTATGACACCCCGATCATGTCAAAGTCGCTCGTCTTCAAAGGTCCTTGACCGAGGACTGTCTTGTACCACCACAGCTGAGTGCCCGAGTCCCAGCCGTTATCAAGGTGGACCATGATCTGAGGCTTCTTCGAGAGCTTGGAGTCCTTGATGCCAGATGAAGCAGAATGGAGAATGTCTGCAATGTTATAGTAAGAACTCGTCCCGCCCAGGGGCCAGAGGAGGCCAGCTCTGATCTCGTTTCCAATCGACACGATGGCTGGACTAATACCCTCTGCTGCGTAACGATTGCATACTGCCAGGGTGTAGTTGTATACTGTATACTTGAGGTTACCGATGGTGCTGTCGTCCCATTTCGATGGCGTAGTCTGATGTGACGGGTCTGCCCATGTGTCCGAGTAGTGAAGATCAAGGTAGACGCTCATGCCCTGATTAACAACGCGCTTGGATAGTTTAACATTGTAGTCGAGGTTGTAGTTGCCATCTGCAGGATTGACCCAGACTCTTTGACGAACAGAGTTTGCTCCTGACTGCTTGAGAATGGCTAACGAGGTTGGATCAGCGAGGGAGTTCTTTTGCATTGCTTTGAAACCTGCAACGTACATTCAAGAGGCTGGGTGACTCCAGCAGTCGTTTTGAAGGTCTTTCCTTGATTCTCCAACATAATGAGAGAGCTGATATCGGCTCCCTTGTATGTGAGTGCGCCATAAGCGACGTTTGACAGAAGTAATACCGCTGAGACAAGTGCTGACCGCAACATGATGTTGGTGTGGATGGAAAATAGTAGAGTTAAAGAAGCAAGAAAACAGAATAGCAGCACGAAGGCGAAGGGGGCATCTTATAGCTTTCTCACTGCATGCTATAGGGCATGCTCTATGGCCACATGATTCTCTTAATTTAACAAAGCGTTCTTGAAACAGACGGCTAAGTCGTCGCCTATATAGGTACTCAGCCTCTAAGCAACACATCAAGGTTTACTCCACTTTCATGCTGTCCCGGGTTTTCATAGAGCAAGCGTCTCTGCATCCACAATCCAGCAGATGCTGCACCCGAGATAAAATCTGACATGAACTTGGTGCATACGGCAACCGGTGGGCGAGAAGGAGACCGCATATCTCTAGTATGCACGAAACACGACAGTCGAGAAGGTGCAGGGTAATATCCAGGCCAGTCTGTTGCTCATTGGTGGAAGTGCAGCATGCGGCTTGTCGATCCGGGGTATAACGTTTCATGGCTTGACATCGCTTGCAGCACTTCTTCTCTAGCTCGTGGATCGTCTCATATAAAAGATTCAAGATGAGTCTCGGCGGATGCAACACGTCATAGCTAGTCACCGTCATGTTCACAATCAAGCACAGCAACTGAAGCAGTGATTTGCGGGTATCAAGACATTAATTCGTTCTAAGTGGTATATGTACAAAAAAGCCCACTACTGGTAGAGAATTTTCACACTCGTTGTGTTCAACCCTACTCCACTATCTTTACGGCTACCTTACCGAAATGACGTTGATCCCATTGGTACTGGTAAGCCTCCTTGAGCTGGTCGAGAGTGAAGACCTTCTCGTCAATAACGGGCTTGATGTTGTTGGTCTCGATGGCGGCGTTCATCTCCTCAAATTGTTGTCTGCTGCCGACATAGAGACCACGGACGGTACAAATGTTGACAAGAGCATCGAGAAGAGTGGGCTGCTTGTCATTGGTACCTCCGATGAAGCCAATGACGGAAATGACACCCTCGAGGCAGATAGCCTTGAGAGACTGCTGGAGGGTGTTGGGACCACCGACCTCGATGATGTGGTTGACACCGACACCACCAGTGATCTTCTTGGCGGTCTCGCCCCAGTTGGGGTCCTCGCGGTAGTTTATAACGTGGTCGGCACCGAGAGCCTTGAGCTTCTCACCCTTCTCATTGCTAGAAGTGGTGGCGATGACACGAGCACCAGCAGCCTTGGCGAACTGGACGGCGAAGATAGAGACACCACCAGTACCCTGGGTGAGAACCCAGTTGCCCGGAGTCAATCTCTTACCCTCGAGACCGTAAAGACCATTCCAGGCAGTCAGGCCAGCACATGTGAGCGAAGCACCCTCGATGAAGTTGAGGTTGCTAGGGAGGGGAACAAGACCCTGCTCGTTGTAGACACCGTACTGCTGGAGAGTGCCATCGATAACACCACCAGTTCCAGTGGCGATGGAGTAGTTGTCAAGAGGACCAGCGATGTGACCCTGGTTGAATTGAGTGACGACCTTGTCGCCAGTCTTGAAACGGTGAACGTTCTTGCCAACAGCTTCGACAACACCAGCACCATCAGATCCTGGAACAACGTTGTCCTCTTGAGGGAATGGGTATCCGCCAGCAGCAATGATCAGATCGCGGTAGTTCAACGAGGCTCCGTGGACTATTTTCAGAAGTCAGTATGTAGTCAGATAAACATCAGAAAGTCTTCAAAACTTACACTTGACGAGAACATCGTTATCGCCAACCTGAGGTACGGGGGCTTCTGTGTTGAATTTCAGGTTTTCGAAGGATCCAGTACCCTGGACTCTCCACTGCTTTTGGGTTGTAGGGGCCATTGTGATGTGTGTTTTGATATTATCGAAAGGAAGAAGTAGCAATTGAAACAAGAGGTGAAAGCTTGGTGATAAAAGGCAACTGGTAGGTACGTCGACGACCTTTATATATCATTCGACATCATGATCATTCTCACGTGAAGAAAACATGACGTTCATAGCTTTGCGTGGGGTGGAAGCATCAAAGCTTCTAGAACCGAGACTGGTTTGTAATCGCCGCTCCAAATTCGGAGGACTTGGTGAGGCCTTGCTTACGAGTACAAAGACAGTCGATCTCAATCGTCTTCTGGTGTTGCAAATCAGACTGCCACATTGATGTTCAAGCACTTGTTCGTCTTGATGCATATACGACCAAGCATAGCTTGAAGTGCAACAGTATCGACGCGGATTCGAGTAGACGTCGAGCAATCGAGAAGCAACTTTAACCGATCCCGATCTATCGCACTTCTCGACCAACTTACCTCTACTCTCGAATGGTCGCTAGAATAGAGTATCAGCAAGAGGACGCCTGTCCGGTTACGGGATGCGCGTTACGGGATGCGCCGAGATACCAAGCGTTTGAAAATGTTCTTCGATTTCTAAGCATAACGAGCATCTTCTCGAAATTCGGCGATACAAGCAAGGATATGATGAGGCCTAGCAAATTTCCTCAGACATTGGTCATAGCTTTCATCGCTCCGAATCGCCAACAACAACAACAACAACAACAACAACAACAACAACAACAGCTCATGTCCAGCTACCATCGATGGCCATACTCACCTTCTTCAAGATCTTGTCACCGCCGAACAGAGCTCCAAATCTTTTGAGCCTCTCAGTTTTACCCATCATCACAAACCCGGGCAGGCCGTAGCTTCGTTCATCTGAACAGGGCGGTACGACATCGGGCATCCTGAGCTTGATCAAGACCACTTGGGCCGCAAACGCGTCCATACCTGCCTTTCTCAGGAACAGCTCCCATGTGGTCTCTTCTTGCAACAATTGAATTGTCGGATCGTCCAGGCCAAACCTAACCATACTGGCGACGATCCATGTCACCAAGGCTGACTCGCTTCCAGGAATGTACAAAACCTGTATACCATGACTTTGTGCTGCGCAAAAGTTGATGAGGGACACAAGTTCGCCGGAACTGCGGCCGTCCAATGGACGCTGTTGGTTCCCGCCCCAGTCGTGTTGCACCATGATGATGAGACGTTCGTAACGACGCCCAAGTTGCACTATACGTTCACGGACACCATTACGAGTGACTTGACCTGGTAAGCTCTTCTGTACAAGCTTCTGCAGTGAGGTCAGCATGAGTCCATGTCCTGGTGCCAGAATGATGTCCGCTTCATCGGCTTCTGATGTCTGGGAAGATATGCCTCCGAAATTACGAGCCGAATTGAAATCGCGCTCGATGTAGTTGGGCGAAGGTAATAGATGCTCTATCCCTTTGATCAGATCTCTTCTTGCGAACATGGTCGATGAGAGAACAAAATTTCGATGAGGTATGGGTGTAGGTAGATGTGGTACATGCATTGCTGCTGAGCTCGCTTTCTCTTCAACTTGGACACCTTTTTCGGCGACATTGATCACCTCACAATCTTGAGCTTTAGTTTGCAGTCTCGAGGCTTTCTTCGCGTCTGAAAGTCTCCCCTGTTTGCCGGTATGGGTTTTCATGAAGCGGTTGAGAGAATTGGTTATCGAGAATCCAGTGTTCAGCAGAGGCTGAGGAAGTCTCGCGCCCATATTGGGCTGCGAGATTTCTGACGCTTGACTTGCATTGAATTCCAGCGCGGATAAAAGGGATTGCTGTGACTGGAGGTTGGCCGCAAGCTTGCGATGCTCTGTGTGGGGTCTGTCCTCAACTAGAGGCCCGTCACTTACCAGATCGACTTTCTCGACAGCAGCTGACATTTCTACAACCTCAATTTGGTCGTCATCGTCTTCGCAGGCGTCCAATACTCTAAGGCCATCTGGTTTCCATCCAGATGTTGTGTTATGCGCCTCCTCAGACCTGAAGTCGTCCAAGTACCCACAGTGGATCTCCTCTTCCGGTAAGTCACGGAGTTGCATGTCGAACGGCTTCCAGCGGGACATGGCTCTGTCAACTCTGTCGATGGCTGGCCATACTGCACTTGATTTGACCATCTCTCGTTCCAGCATTTGGATTAGCTGTCTTTGGGCGTCGAGCTCTGTCTTGCAGCCTAGATGCTTACGAGCGAACACCTCCCATGGTGGCAGAGGATCAATCTGATCGATGGTGGGAACTTCTGCTCTCAGCATCGAGTCCGCTTGCGTGAGCTGTTCACTATTGATGGCAAGTTTTGCGGACTCTGCACCAGGCTTGATGACCTGCTCGATGAAGTTGCGCATTCGATCTTTACCGTTTGATTCTTCCGATGAGAACGGCTTGGCATACTCTGGTATGGTAGTGCACAGCTGATCCGAGAATGTGACGATCTTCAACTTCTTCGTTGGAGATGAGGACTGTGTCAGAGGAGTTAGAGGTACCTCCACTTTATAGTCGTCAGGATGCTTGCGTTTTAACGACGAGCTTGAGTAGGGCTCGCGGAAAGCATTTTCGTCGAAATCTGAGATGTCCGAAAGAGCTTCTAGGGAGAAGCCGTCGTCTGTATCCATGAACGCTTCAATTCTGGTGATCTCTGCCATAACAGGATCTACTGGACTGGTTGCCAACTGTATACGGCTGACAGGAGAATCTGGAATATCAAATTGGAATGGTGAGGAGCAAGGCAGAAGCGGCGACGAATGCCTTGCAGCCGCATACTGTTCTCGAATCTGTTCTTGTTAGAGTTGATTATCTTAGGAACGGGTGGGTAGCTTACCTTTGGACGTGGTGGCATACCAATGTCATCTTGCTCGGGTTTCTCAGGGATGGAGACGCATTGCTGTAAGAAGATTGTGTCACTTCTCTCAAGCTGCAGCTTCTCTTGCTTAATCTGTTCAAGTAGTTCTTCCGGCAAGTCGGGACTAGGCCATTGAAGTTGTGCTTCTTCACCACTTTGCCACAGCGCCTCAGATGGTATCTTCTGCAGTCCCGTGTGCTGTCCTAAACGTCGTGCGCGCATGAACCGGCGCTGCTCAAGTTCTGGGTCTGTCGGCAAGAGTTGCTGCTCGACCTTGAATTCGACAGACTTGTTCGGTCGTCGCGTAATCTCAATGACAAGGGGGACCTCCGGCGAAGCGATTTGCATGAGAAATGATGCGCTTTGACGGTCAATGATCCATTTCTCGTCCAGATCGACCTCACTTGGAAGGTCAAAGTCCGGGAGTTGATCGAAGTCCAGATGAAATGTCTCCCAGGCTAGGATAGACTGCAGAATTTGGGACGACAAAGGGTAGATAGACTTGTAGTCTCTGGACAGGCCGTAATATCTGGCGTAATCGATCAGAGAGACATCGCCATCTTCAGCATCAGAGTTGTCACTGAGCTCGTTCATAGTGACGTCTATGTTGGCTCCCACAATTTTTCTTAGGTCTGGAACAATATTTGGGAAAGCAGAAAGATAAGAAGAATCACAGGTTGGTACGAGGCCTGTTTGTACAAAGTGCATCGTGACTCGTGGCTGCTGAAAAGGGAAAGCACGATTGTCAATGGTGCGGATCACGACCTAGTCGTTCTTCCCCAAATTGGATCATGGAGGACGCGAATCGGAAGGAAGACATTGCTCAAACTTGGTACCTTCTCTTCACGAACATCGGGTGATGCGTGGAGGTGAATGTTGACATATCAGCTCCATATGCATACTACAGCAGACGTCTTGCACGAATTTATCTTCAGTCAACCAAGGATCGGGTCATGAGTCTTCTTCTGAACAGGCTATAGTGAGGATAACAGTAAAAGACAAAACAGGATGGGGTATGGCTATGGAAAGGCCGCAAACGCAAGACAGAACGACATTATGACCGCTTCATAGGGCAACATCATCAAACTCGGTCGGCGCTTTCGTAGAGGACACCTCCTCATGCGGTATGCCAATGGCCTTGAGGTTATTCACTTTTGGAGACTCTGTGGGCTTTTCCCCTGCTTCTGAAGTGGTCTCGGGTAATGTAGAAGCCTCTTCAGCGGGAGCGGGGGCCTCCCCGACGGTCTCTTCGATCGCAGACTCTTCAGGTTGCTGCTCTTCTGCATTGCTTGGAAGGTTTCGGAAAGGAAGATCGGAAATAGGAGCAGACTTCTGTTCGGGTTCGGACGAGGTCTCTTCCTTCGGAGGTGTGGGGGGAGCAGTGTCGACAGAGTCGTCTTTGGGCGGTGGAGCGGGAACGGGCGAAGGCTCGGATGTAGGTATCTCAGGGCGCTTTGTCTGTTCTGGAGTAGGTGGTGTGTGCTCGATGCGGGGACTGGAGAGGGGCGGGTGGACTCTGAGCTGTTGTTGCTGAAGCTGAAGATGTTGTTGCGAGGGTTGTGATTGCGTCGAGGGTCGTCGAGGATCTTGTTGGACGTTGGGCGAAGGCAAGGGTTGGCTACTAGGACCAATGTTTCGCAGCTTTGGGTCGGCATCGAGGTAGTAGGCGCGGACGCCGACTATGCGTCCTTCGCGTTCGCAGCCTTTGAGCCAGTCGGGGACAACGACAGGAACATTCATGTCACCAGCCTTCTCCCATGCTTGGCCACGCCCTTCTGTGCAGACAAAGTGGGTCGTGTCGATGCGCAGTGTGTCAATCATCTTTGCGCCGATGCGATCCACGGTGGCCTGGAGGTCGTCACGCAGTTGTTGAGGCATGATGCCTGGAGTGATTGTGATACCAGTCAGATCAGTCATCTTGTGAGTACGGACGGTCAGGCGTTCACTGGTGTATGTGCCGGCCGAAGTGCGCAAGACGAGGTGGAAGGTGTATTCGCTATCGACAGCCAGACCAGAGATCTTTGTGCTCAGCTTATCACGAGGGATGTTGCCAGCCTTGCTGCCGTTGCGGTACAGGCTCAGACTACGGAGTTCAGCAGTCGCGAGCTGTACAGGATCCCATTCGAGCACGACCGAAGTCTGAGTGGCATTGCGACAACGAAGGACGGGTGCGCATGGCGAGTGGATGCCGAAGGTTGAGTAGATGTCTTCTTGCAGCGCCTCGAATTTCTGGAACGCCGTCTCTTCCGCTCCCTCATTGCGCGCTACGTTGATGTCGACAATTGAGCCGGATGTGATGTCGGCGGGCAGCAAGATGGACGGGAACTCAATCTATCTTGCACATTAGTGACCCCTTTCGACTACGAGACGTGTATGCGTGCATACCAATCGCTTGTCTTCGGTGAGCAGGACTGCCACCCCGGCATCGACCTTGCCTACAGTCAGTGACACGAGCATCTTTGGCTAAGTTCGATGTCGTCGACTGCTTGCTGTATGCACACAATATGTCCCGTGTTGATGTCTCGCTGGCCTTGAGCTGGAGAAACATCTTGGCGCGTCTCTTTGCGCGTCGTCATCCGCTAGTTACTCTCCCACTCGACTCTGCTTTTCTATTTTACCCAGACTAATGCCTTTTTCTGCACAAAGAACGAGCAAGCTCATCGTGCTCTCTTACAGAGTGCCTTCCTTGTACACCCTCGAGGCACAAACATGTACCTGCATGATCATCCTTCAAAGGTCCTAAGCGGCAGATATGCCCTTTCGAGTTGAACGCGAACTCCCCGCGGTTCCGTTTAGGCAAGGACGGCCGTTGACCCAAGAAGTGGTACCATTAACTTTCCATCTCGTCATGTGCCCAGTCGACTGCACAGCCATGCACCCGCGTAGTTCTAGAAGCCATGGCGTCTTTTGAAATATCTCTACTCTCGAGGCTAATCCAATCTACATCCTCTATCCTTCAGACCAAGTATATTCAATTTACGCTGCTTTGCATACGACCACTAACCACCGGGCACCAAATACTTGCCTCTTGCGACTCTGACACTTGATCACCATTCTCTGACTGACGCACGCAACACCATACGCTGTCCGGACCACCGTCACCATGAGCAACACCCTCGCGCAGGACCATCTCCGCATCTTTCTAGATGGCGAGACAGGCCATGCATCAGAACAGTCCACACAACACTACAGGCCTGGCCAGACGATTAGAGGCGTAGCAAGCTATTCCCCCTCGACAGAGGTGAAGGTGGAGGCCATGATTATCATTTTCAAAGCAACCCTCTACATTGAACTTGCCGAGAGTGGTCAGGCTTCTTATGGCTGCATCCGCTCGCACAACCAAAACCTCTTCCGCTATGAGACACTCCTACTCAAAGGTCCGCATAAAGTGTCTCCCAAACCCCACGAATGGCCTTTTGAATTCGAGCTGCCGGAGAAAGTCAAGCTGCCTTTTGTGGCTGACATGCAACCAGTACCGCCGACATGGAGGGTCTTACAGGTCGCAAGGGTTGTATATTCGTTGAAGCTGTGTGTGAATCCCAATCGTTCGACAAGGACTATGGAGATCGAACGCGGCATAAACGTTTGGCCCTACGATCACATGGAACTACCTACTCCGGCACCAGAGACCCAACAACTGCTGGATCCGACACAAAAGCCTTCCTGGCTTACACGACGAAGATCGTCCACGATAAGTTTGACACAACTCACGCGGCGACGCTCTTCCACCGTAGGCAACACAACCACACCACAGAACTTCAATCTCAACGTATCGATGCCTGTATCCCTTGGCGCGTGGCAACGCTTCAATATCCAACTCGTCTGCAATGGAACCTCGGACTTGCCATTTGTCCTTCAGACCTGCGAACTCGTCCTGAAAGCTCAAATCTCGTCAACCAACGTTTCAACATCTGCTCTTCCAATCTGCAAACTAAAACTTCTAGGCAGAGGCTTGGAGATCCCCACTGATGGCTCCTACATTACTGTAAAGCGCAACATGATGCTAGTGGACATGACCCGCGGCGACGCAACCATGCTAGTCCCCAATTTCTCAATCGGATTCTTCAAGCTAGCGTATGTCCTGGATGTTTGTGTGCAATTGTTGGATGCAAAAACACAAGAAGTTTTGGAGCGCAGGGCGGAGTTGCCGTTTATGGTTTTACCTGGTGGCTTGGAAGAGGAAGGGAGCGACGAAGATGCGCCGCCGGGATTTCATGATGTCGTCAGTCCGCCGGGATATGAAGAAGAGAGTGTTTGGGGTAATGAGTTTAGGACACCGGCGTATACTGTCACTGCATGAGCTGGAAAATATTGGGTAGCGGCTCGTGGGTGGAAAGCATCAGAGGCAGCATCACAAGTTTCGGTAATAACGATACGACTTCACAGTTCTCTTCGTATCTCTACGTGGTTCTATGCTCTACGGACCGGCCATTGGCATAATGACCATGCGCTCGCAGATGACAACAACTCTCAATCTTCTCCCGTCGTTCTTGCTGCTAGTACAACCCTGACCATGGGTTCACCATGATCGAGATCTCGATCAAAAGACTACGCAGGCACATTATTGATACCCGGTTATCAACTAAAGCCTCATGGTACTGTGTGACGTGAATTTTCTTGTGCAAAGGCCAGACAGTGACACATATCGACAGGACAAAGCGAATCTGTATAATTTAGATCTTGAGACTCAAGCTTGCAGATACTTGGTCACACATGCACGACGAAGATGTTGTGCATCGTGTGCTTTAGGAGGCACAAGCAGCTTCGCAGAACAAAGCGACAATGGGCGCTTGCGAGTATAATCAGCAGAGCTATATGGTCTGAAGGCTGAAGGTGGTGCGGTCATGAGGTCCACAGCCCATGAGCCCGATCCTCTTTCATTGACCACTCTAAAGCCCAAAAGACACCAGTCAAACATGATTGACACATGGATATCACAGAAGTGTCGCACACAAAGATGAGGCTATGAGGCTATGATGTTGGGTGGGAGACACAATATTCAAAACAAGACTATCAAAAAAGTGATATGACAGAAAAAAGGACATGTCAAGAAAAGAGGAAAAAGGGGGAATCCATGGAAGCAGAAAAAAGGACATGCAATGAGAAAAGAAACAACACTCTGAACACAATTCGAAACAAGAAAACAAGATTAGAGAAAACAAAAAGCAGAGCACACAGAGAAAAAGCTTTGGCACTCATTCCTGCCACTCGCCCATTCTCCCTCTCCACATGACAACATAAGAAAATTATGGAAGATGCAAAAGGGATCGCTTGCGGTCGTATTTTCCATGTCATCAACACAAGCTCCTTTCTTCAGTGTCGGCGCGTTCGTCGTTGGTCGTCGATCGTTGTTGATTATAAGGAAAAAGGGCAAAAATCGTTCTCGTGACCCCAGCGTCACTGACGCTCTGGAAGGGCCAAAGATATAATGCAAAGACAACCAAAAGAGAGCAGAGATCAGGACGCTCGTTAAACATGAACAGATGATGCCGAATCGCCAAGTGCTAGTTCAATATGCGTGGAAGGGAAAGCAAATCTCAACCTCCGTGAGCACTCTGCACAACAAGCATCATCTTGTCATTCTGTTGGATTGCGTCTTCCAAGGTATCATCATTTATAAGCGGCGTGTAGTCGCCACTTCGTTCGTTGCGGACTTCGATGTCGAGTTCTGTTTCCTCGGAGCGCGGGTCTGACTCGCCGTATTCCAGTCTGCGTCTTTCCAGAATCTTTCGGTACAGGTCATCGAAATTGAAAGCGCCACGTGGAGGTAGTCGCAGCACGACACAAGTCTCACGATCAAACCATACCTTCACTTTCAATGCTCCACCACTTGTTGCTGCTGAGGATGTTGTTGCAGTAGACATGGCAGTGGTTTGACGGGCAAGAGGCGGTGCGGCAGTGTGAGTGGTGTGTACAGTGGCATCGGTGTATTGAGAGGGTGTTCGGTAGTGGCCTGGAGGTGCGCGCATGGACCCGGCTCCAACAGATGACTGCTGACGCTGGTGCGCAGCGAAGGACTGTGCGCTAGTAGACTGACGTGCGGAGTTGGTCGAAGGGGCATACTGGCCTGATGCGTGGGAAGCAGTTGAGTAGCGGTCGGTCTTTGACTCTGCCGCGGCACGGCTATGCTCGTTAAGATCGACAACGTTGGGATCTATCTCGTAATCACCAGGATGAGGACTGAAGAAGCCACGGACTAGCGTGCTGTTGACGACGTGCGAACCAAGGCGCAACAGCTTATATAAATACTCGTCAAGATTGTCCCGACGGCCCTCAGTGATGCGGTCTGTCACGAATTGTACAGGACCAGGCATAAGCGGGAGAGTACGCGGCTGACCTGTATTGCCAGCTTCATCCGGAAAGGCCTTGATGAGGTTGATCTGCAGCTCATAAAAGTCCTCGTAGATGCGCGTGAGATCCCAATGAGAGCCGTCGGCCAGTGTCGCCTCGACAATGAAGTGGAATTTCTCGTCCAGGTACATGTAACGCGGGACCGAAGCGCGTAACGGCGCAAGTGGGTATTGCGAATGCGCCTGCGACGTGGTGCGCCGCGACACCGTCGACATGTTGCGCGAGTGTGCGCCGTTGTTGAGACTCATGCGATCCATGCCCGACTGCAGACCTGCCATTGATGACTGGGACGCGGCTTGCATGTTGCCGATCTGGCCTAACGGAATGCTGGTGTTCTTGTAGTCTGCTGCCATCTTCTTCCACTCTTCCACCCTCGGTATACCGGCTCTTGCTATGGCCTCCGCTGAGTCGATCGTCTTTCCGCTCGTGAGGTCCTTGATCTCGACGAAGGATACCGGGATAAGGCCTGGCCCACCTAGTCGCGTGATTGGCTTTGCGACAAACCATTCTGGGTTTGACTGCGCAATAACAATGATGGCTTCTCCTTCGTGAGCCTCGAGTTCGTCGGGACGTTCGGCTTTGAAGTCGTATGCGACAATACCGTAGACGGGGGCGCCGCCGGATCTGCCCATCGAGGACTTGCTCATTCTTGAGGGGTCGTGCGACGACTTGTCAGCATAACCACTGTCGTGATGCGTGCTAGGCGTCGACGTGGTGCTGTCGCGCACAGTCTTGCCGACCTGTTCGAAGTAGCTCACAGGCACCAAGCCGCGCGAGTTGTGGAGCGGATTGCAGGCCTCGTACCACTCGGTGTCGTCTTCGCGCCCGGTTACGTGGAGAAAGTCGCCAGAAGCAAAGGATAGGAAGCGGACCGAGGGGTTGTCGTTAGGAGCGTCCCAGTCGTACAAGGCCTTGATGACCTTCTTGGGAGGGATAATGGCCGTGGGGTCTTTCTCAGGAATCGAAAGAGAGTGATTATGCGACGAGGCGCGCCCGCTGCTACGTCTGAATTTGACCATGGTTTCGGGGTTTAGATTGCTAGCTTGTTTCGCTTCTTGGCCCGTCAATTGCGAGCAGGGAAGTGACACGCCCGAGCGAATGTTTTAATGAGAGAGAGGAAGAAGATCGAACAGCGAACCGCAGAGTTCGACTCTGTGCCACTGTGCTAGAGAGCCTCTCTTCAAAAGCCAAACGGTCAACGAACGCGATGCGATGGCTGTACTGGTTGCGATTTGACTTTGCCCTAGTAAACTGTCGTCGTTCAGCGTGCAGCTTTGTCGCGACGCGTGATTCAAGGGGTATTGTGCTCGTAAAGGGCGATGCGCGATTGCTATATGGAGTAGATAAATAGGGAGACGGGCTCCTTTCAAGTGACGGAGATCTGAGCACCAACCTTGGTGGCTGTATCTTGTCTGATTGAGGGTGCTGCAGGGCTCTTGGACTTTCCCCGTGCAGGTGGGGTCAAGTTATCTCGCGCTTGCGATTAATCGGGCATGGACTAATTGTCGTACTACACGCTTCCATAAACAGCTTCAGTAGGTATGGTGGTCGATTTTGACAGCAGAATCCAGTCTTGTCCCGAGTGACAGCTTGAGAAAGACTCGCGCCGGATCCGGCTTCTCATTCATTGTGCCTTCCTCTTTAGAAACCGCTCATGTGGCATCCGAAACGGCTGTGACGTATTGGTATATGTTCTTAGTGGCTCTCTCTACAGTACAGCATGTCTTGGACTCATATACGGGTATGGCGCATACGAAGCATTATACTGCATCTTCACTGGTTAGGCGGATCCCGAGCGCTGATCATTGAATCAGCACGCGCGGTCACAGCCAGTACAAAGGCGCGATTGCTTATGCCAACTTTCAAAGACAATTGTTAATTACTAACTTAATGGTACTCGAGTACTAACGCAGGGAATAAAAAGACTATGTGTCAGAAAGGAATTGGTGCGACAATTGAGGCTGCACTTCAACGTGCATGCATTCTGCGTGCGGCTGCGCCAAACACGAGACATAAATGAAAGCTGTAAGGATTTCCCAGCGATCGCTTGCCGTTGGGCTCTGCTATCCGGATGTTAAAATCCCAGATGCTGGATCATCCAAGTTCAAGCCAATCGATCTGCATGAGGCTTGCAACTGCCAAAAAGTGCCGGGTCTGTTCCTCTATCGATTGATTCCTCGTGTTTCTCAGCGTTTAAGAACATGGTCGAATGTATCTACTACGAGATGTGCATCCATGTGAGGACCAGGCTGGCACCGGATTTTCTGGATCGAAATGTCCACCGAGCCAGGATAGTCGAAAATATGACCTTGTAGCAAGGTTGTATTTATATGTCCGACATGAAACATTTAGCAAGGACGAGCTCGTACAACAGGGAGCTACGAACTCCGTTGTTGTCTGTTGTCCTACCCACTTGTGCTACTTGGGACCACTCAGATCTGGCCCTTGATGTCGACGCGATAACCACTGTTCTTGATTGCCTCAAAGATTGGACTTGCTTTTTGACAAGAGAGTTGAGCACCATCTGGCTTCTCATCGAGGCAGTCTTGGGCACCACTGTCGCAAAGATACTGCGCGCATTGCTCGTCACTGGCAAATGCTAGCTCTTCCGTCAAGAAAGAGATCTTGACGCCGGGACGATAACTAGAAAGCAGTCAGTATTCGATAGAGAGCGCGGGGATAGAGTGATGCAAACGTACACTTTGCAAACGGCAGATAGAGCATTCACCCTCTCTCGGTTGACGAACATGTCCATGAGGTAGGCACCCATGTTTGGCGATTCATTGAACAACCTAAAGAATTTGTGATAGTTGCCAGTGGCCAGAGATGCTCGCACTGCCAGAGCATGCTTCACTGCGGGGTACTGTTTGTCTGCTGAGGTTAAATCTGCCAAAACGTCGTTCATGGTTTGGCGGTTACAGGTATAGATAGTGTAAAGAATGCGATAGGCCAAAAATTCACCAGGGGATCCACGCAACCTCATCTTGTACAGAGTACGAAGCTGAGTCTGACACTGATTATACTCACCCAGGTCCCCCTTTTCCAGGGCTATACGTGCGTGAGCCTCATACACACGGACGGTGAAGTCATTCTTGATGTGCTGGACTGTGAGGTCCTGCCTCAAAGATTTGAACTGATCGCAAATGTACCCATAGTTGTGATCATCTTTCCACTTCTTGATAAGAAGATCGAGAGTTTGCTGGAGTATGTGAAGGGGACGGACAGTTTCGGGTTTGGGAGGAGCGGTGAGGCGAAAGTAGTTTTTCTCGAGCGTTTGACAAGTGCCGACACAAGGACCATCGTCGGCGTCGGGCATGGGAGAGTCGTCACGAGGAGAAGAGAGAGAAGGAGAATTGAGAGCTTGGTCGCCGAGCGCGAAACGCTGCCTACGTTTCTCGAGATCGCTCAACTTACTGGGTGGGGCAGTGGCACGGAACTGGTCGGCCTTTTTCTGGCGCTTGTCGGGACTGGGGTTGGTGATGCGATCGGCAAGGGAGAGATTCTTCACTCTCCAAGGGGGGATATGTGACGAGTCGGCGCCGGAGTCCATGTCCATGGATTTCCGCTTCTTCGTGGCGCTCATGAGAGCTGCCTTTTCCTTTGCTCGCTCGACGCGGAGAAGTGCTCGCGGCAGCGGATGGCTGGGCCAGTCGATGACAGCGAGGAGGTTTGATTCGGCAGCTTGAGTAATGACGGACTTTAGTTTGGCGGCGACGGCGGTGGGATCAATATCGTCGGAGTCGTTTGCTTTGTCGGCGAAGGCGCGTTGGACGTATTCGCGTACAGGCTGAGGCCACTCGATCTTAACGGGAGCAGCTTGTGGCTGGACTGGCGATTCGGTCGCTTGAGCAGGACGGGTTAGTGTTCGACGAGCAGTGACTGCTGTGAATGCCGGCGAGCCTAGAACGCATCTGTCAGTAAAACTTGGTAGACGCAGGTTGCAAGTCTTCATACCGGTCTGCCACGGAGCTGTTGTCATGTTGGATGATCACACTGCTTGCTGGGTAACAAAGAATCACAACGAGACTGCGCAGTCAAAAAGAGAGGGATGTCTGGTCTTTGTGCGAGGAGAAAGCGGTCGGCGACGCGCACCAGAAGGGACGGAGGGAAAGAGTGACCCGACACTACGCCAAGACCCCCAACTATGCGGTCACCGATAACCAACCCAAATGCTGTCCACGTGCTCATTTCGTGTTATACCATACATACTACAGAGTTTGATTGAGAATCTTCGACTTCTCGAGCTTGTCTCTGAGATATTGCTACTCACTGTCATTATTGTTCATGCTTTGATCCCGAGACACTCCTACCTACTAGCCCCACACTCGAGAGGTCTACGGATAACTGCATTGCTGGATGTTTCTTCGTCAACTCGACCTGACGACTGCTCTTCGTCCGTCCTTGCTCCCCGATGAAACTCTTCTCTTCGTTCAAGACTCTGTAGGTCTATATGAGGGGAAATACAAGATCCCCAACTACCAGAACGGGCACGCATATTTGACCTCACATCGCGTGTGCTATGTCGACAATCAAGAACCACGGAAGTATTCCATTTCCATCGATCTCAAAGATGTCGATCGACCAGAGTTCTACGCTGGGTTCCTCAAGTCATCAGCAAAGGTCACCGTATACCCTAAAGCTCCAAAACACAATGCCTTGGCCATCAGAAGTCCCAAGCCTGGTTATCCAAGCTCAGCAAGCTCATTAGGGTCGACACCGCCGAGTCGATATACCACTCCAGGACGCACTTCTGCGCCTTCTCCCGCACCAGTCAGGGATCCGAATGCCACCTGGATATGTCCCATCTGTTCGTTCTCGAATCCTGTGCCGTCGAACTTCGATCCAAGCACTGCAAATGATCGAACACCATTACCGCCATGTCTAGCTTGTGGTATTAAGCCACCACTGGTACACGTCGTGAAAGCAGCAATTGCTTCTCTGTCAAACCGTCCAAGTGGCTCAGTCTCTGCATCTACTTCAACACCAACTGCAAATACACCATTGTCTTCTTCGCCGCAAGCATCGCAACCCATGGATGTACCCTTGAACCAGTGTCCGCGCTGCACATTCTCCAATCATCCATCTCTGAGTAGCTGCGAGATTTGTGGAGCCAAACTCTCAAGTACGGGAAACAGACGCTCTCAAATCATCGAAAGTGCCATTCAACGTCCAGAATCACCAGGCCCAACGCTCCCGTCTGCTGTACTAGGCGAAACCACCCCGGAAAGTGTGAAACTCTCCTTTCGCGCTGGAGGTGACAAGATCTTCTACGAGCGATTAAAAGGTGCTCTGGTCCAACGAAAATGGCTCCTCCAAAACGCACCACCAATACCAAGATCTCATACGGGCGAACCGAGCCAAACATCAACATATTCAGCAACAGATGGCTATACTCCCACACCGCCGCCTCCGAAAGTGGTTGGTATAGCAGGACTAGAGCGACGAGGAGCAGAGTTGCGCAAAAACAACGAATTTGTCATTGGCAGTGCCTTTGAAGACCTCGAAGCTCTCATGACATCAGCAAAAGAAGTTATCGCCATGGCCGAAAGATTCAGATCTCAAAACAGCAATGGCGACACTGAAAACGATGCGAACGCAGAAGCAGCCTCCTTGCTGCTAGACATGGGTCTCGTAACAACAAAAGATATGCTCTCGGGTAGTGGTGCTGATCGCACATATATTGCAGAGCTATCTCGAAACTTGGCCGAATTCCTCACTGACGACAAAAGAGGTGTGTTGAGAAGGGAAGGTGGCATCATGTCCCTCGTCGACCTCTGGGCTGTGTTTAACCGCACACGTAATGGTATTGAATTAGTCTCCCCCATGGACTTTGAGAGAGCAGCTACGATGTGGGACACCCTACGTTTACCCATTCGCCTACGTCGCTTCAGAAGTGGTCTTCTCGTCGTTCAAGGCCGTGATCGCACTGACGACAAAACCGTCGCTAGTATCTTATCCTGGCTCAAGGACCTCCACTCCATTCCTCCATCCATGTCGAACACCTCTGAACATGGTGCTGTCACGGGCCCATCAGTGACTTGGGACTGGCAACAGTTTGGTCGTGGCGTAACAGCACAAGAGACGGCAGAAAGGTTCGGCTGGAGTGTCGGTGTTGCCACAGAAGAGCTTGAGATGGCAGAGGAGAGAGGAGCCCTGTGTCGAGAACAAGGACTTGATGGCGTCAGATTTTGGGAAAACTTCTTTGCCGACATTCCGGTCAAGGTGCCCAAGACGAAGACGGCTTCGCAGTTGGAGCAACTCGAACTGGAGAAGAGGTTGAGGGAGAGTGGGTTGTTATAGAATCATAGTTCACACGGAAACCTAGCATCACGGCAACAACTACCACGCAAAGTTCCATAATTACATGATTAACACGAGTGGTGAGTGACTTAGTTATGTATGTCAACTACTGATTGAATCGACAGGATACTGATAGACATAAGAGAGAGACTGTAAGGGCATGGATCGGAAAATCTCGGATCATCGCGTGGATCGCATGACATGCTTCTCAGGCCGTGAGAGCTCTCCAGTGACACCAATAACATACGTGGTTACTGCTGTCCCTGCAGCCACACTCAAGAGCCAAACAGTTCGGCGACGCCAGCGTCCGCGCTTATCTTTGCGGTATCTCCCATCGCCAATGTGTCGGCGACTGAAGTTTGAAGCTCGTCCAGCATCAGACGTATAATATGTCAGATCTTCGAGATCTGTGCGATCCTTGGAAGGAACAGTGAATGGTGGACTGACTCTGTCCGGTTGGTTGAGGATATACTCTCCGGGAACAACAGGATCATAATTGGCGAAGCCCGTTGGAGAAGCGAATCGTGTAGTGATGGGTTCAACTGGAGCACGCTTGCTTCTGACAGTCCCATCGATAGGGTTGACGGCGCTATCAAGACAAGAAGAATCCTTCTGCGCTTTTCGCAGAATCAAGAAATCTTTTTCCGCATGGATCACATGGTAACCTTGGACCTGCAGAGATGCGAGATTTGGTATGAAACGAGCAGTATGAGCTAGCTGTGCGACAGCCTGAGGTAGTGATATGGGAGTCTCGGAGTCCGAGAAATTGGTAGGTGTGGTAGTGATTGAGACAGCATCTTTGCTGGAGTCGTAGGCGATTATCTTATAGAGAGCGGGTCGAGCCCAAACAACGTTCGGTAAGGATTCAGGTGCTAAGGATGCACCTTCAGAAATGCTCTCTGGCAACTCTGGTATTGATGTTTGTTTTGCTGTGGTTGCAGCCTTTGGACACGAGACGCTTGGTTCAACAGGGGTTGAAATCCTTTTATCGGGCGTTCGTCCAAAGCCCGTGATATGCTGTCTGAGTTCTCTAACGTCTGCCTTTGGGGAATCTTCAGAAAACGTGCTTCTGGAAGTCTGCTTATACCACATATCGCTGGTAGCGAACTTACCCACAGTTGGAGATAGATCTCCCTCACCCGGCATGTCCTTCAAGTCCACTTCGGGGATACCCGATTCGACCTTGGTCTCTCTTTCGAAAGGTTCTTCCATGCCGATGGGTGCACGCGAGTAGCCATCTTCGTGATATGAAGCTTCTTCCATCTGAATTACAGTCAGTAATCAGCACAAGAAGTGCAAACGAGCTTACTGACCCGCTTGATGTCTTCTTCGAGCGAACGGCTCGTGTCTAGTTTCTCCTGATGAAACATCATCTGGAGACCCATTGGCATTGTTGAGTAGCCATCCTCAAAAGCAGGCTCACGGGCGTTGATCTCACTTTCCAGACTTTGACGTTTTCCGAGCATTGTGTTCTTCTTCTCCTCGCCGAAAGCAGTCTCCAAGCCAACAGGAGAACGGGAGTAACCGTCATCATGTGCCTGGGCCTGCACTTCGCGATTCACTTCTTCTTCCAGACTCTTCGTCTTGTGATTTTCGGTGTCCTTGGTCTCATTACGAAAGTGGGTTTCCATACCGAACGGCGCGAGGTCACTTTCAGTCGCGGACATAGATGGCTGCTGCCGAGCTTGTATTTCCTGCTCAAGGGATCTGACAGTACCTCTCGCAACATCTTCCTGTTCTCGTCTCCAGAGTGTCTGCATCCCGCCTAGGTTAACTAAGATATCGTCTTTGAGACTGCGAGCCTGAATGTGGTCGTGGAGCTCATGCTCGATATCCTTGAACGGGGTCTCAGTCGTCTCCTTCTCAAAGTTGGTCTGCAAACCGGTGGGCACAGTCGAACAGGCATCGTGCGACTCTCTCACGGCTAGATCGGATGCCATATGCTCGAGTTCACGCTCGAGCCTCTCAGGGGAACCTTGTTGCTCTCGCTTATACATGGCCTCAAGACCGATCGACTTTTTGGCGACTCGATCCGTGTGATCTGATTTGCCATGTGCAGCGTCGGTCTTGCCGATCTCGGTCTCTAAAGACTCACGTTTGCCTGTGTTGGTCTCCTGCTGCTCTTGCCTAAAGAGCGTCTCGAGACCTTGGGGTGACGGCGAATAACCGTCATCAAGCGGAAGAGGAGTGGTGTTCATAGCGGCCAGTTCCTGCTCCAGAGAAGACATGTGGCTGGTGCCACGGGCATGCTGTTCTTTTGCAAAGAGTGTTTCCATGCCGCTAGGAGCTACACTATGGTCGTCATGGATCTCCTGGGTGGGTGTCTTGTTAAGAGCAGCCATCTCTTGCTCCAAGGGATCCATCTTGCCATGTCTACACGCCTCCTTTTCGTGCTCAAAGTTAGTCTCAAGTCCTTTAGGTTTGTTGTCCCAGCCATGTTCGAAAACGGCGGGTCTCTCAACCGCAACGACGTGGTCTGGCCTCGTCATCTGTTGATGAGTCTGACGTTCCAGAATCTGTATCTGCTCACGCAAGGCGTCTAGATGTCTGCGGGTGGCATTCAGTTCGTCACGCTCGGTTTCGTATGTCTGCTCAAAGTCCTCTGTGAAGGAAGCATTCATTGTTGGAGTGTTCGCCGCGGCTCTGTCATCCTTTGGCAATTGTGACACGACTGTGGGCTTGTGATGAACTTGGTTAATACTCTGATCATCCTGGCCGTCTCGCGTCGGAATGATAGCAGGAATCATTCTTCCCGAAATAGGGTCGTAGATGGTATTGCTTGTTGTAGTGGTCTTGGAGTCCCACGAAGTACATGAAGCCTCTACAGATGGGTTCAGTCCAGGATTGTGCGACGCATGGAGTTTTACCGAGGAGAACTGTGTAAAACGACCGCTTTTTCCTGAGGCAGCATCCGTGTCTTGATACAAGAAATCAGGCGTGTTGAACTTCCTGAAGTGCTTCTGACGTTTGCCAGACGCCGACTCGTTATGATTCGACGGGACTTGTGCTTGAGCATCTTGTACGACTCGACTCCTCTTTTGTTTGTTCCAGTGGCTGGCATGTCGGGTCGTAGAAGGGTAGATGATGGCGTTGTTCAGAAGCGGTAAAGGGTAGGCGCGAAGCTTGAGGCCTTGCGCCTGGCGGAGGAATGGCATGCTTGTCGACAGTCTAGATAGTCAGAATGAATCCTCTTCGATGATGAATGCAGACATGAAAGTGATGGAAGCGACTCACCACAAGTGCTTTCTGCCTCGAGTGCCTTGGTCGACGACGATAAAGTACCTGTGTGGAAGCGGAGGAGCAGATCTTAACTCCGGTATACTCGAACTATATTTGCTGCGGTGATTCTGATGCGAGATTGGACAAGACCTGATGGATTATTGCTGGAAGTACAGATCTTTCAAGGCAGGCGTCTCGAGAAGTAAGATTCAAAGAAGGAGCAAACTGGTTGGGAAAGAGGTGGATGGAGCAAGTAACGCATCTGCTTTGAGGAGGCACGAGACAGTACCCCGCCTATGACGATCAACGCTCCCGAAACTCCGCATCCTCCAACACTCCGAAAGAAGGGTCAACAACAAGGTAGAATTCAAAATATCATTTTTTTGCTGTATGAAACGCCTGATCTAGCTCCAATTCTTTCCCAGGGAGGTATGTACAGGCAAAAGAGAGGCCGTTTCCTTACGGCTCGTCTGTCAAAACCTTGGTGGCCTGGGTTTCGCCTTCTGCTACTGGAATGGCTTCGATTCCATCAGCGGTGATCTGAACGGCGCCAGCTCTGACTAGAGCCTGCTGCAGATCGTCAAGCAAATCGCCCACATCCTCAATACCAATGCACAGACGAATAATGTCTTCAGGCAGAGCACGCTCCTTTCGGGTAGCGGGGTCAATACTGGCATGGCTCATGCGGCAAGGCATGCTGATCAAGCTGTTCACGCAGCCGAATGATACCGAGATGGCGAAGATCTTGGCAGCAGCCACAATTCTCTCAGAGATGGTGGTAGATCCTGTCTCGAAAGCAAGGACGGCACCTGCGCCGCGTGCTTGAGACCAGTGAAGGTCGTACTGGGGATGCGACTTCAGGCCGGGATAGCGGACCTTGAAGCCATTGCTCTCGAGGTATCTGGCAATAGCCATGGCATTGGCCTGCTGCTTTTCCATGCGAACAGCCAATGTCTTGATACCACGAAGGAGCAGCCATGAGTCGAAAGGACTAAGGCCGCAACCTGAAGCATTTATGGGGAAGTAAAGCCTGTCACCCAACTCAGGGCTGTTAGTGGCCATTACGCCAGCCATGACATCGTGGTGACCAGACAGGTATTTGGTGCCGCTCTCGTACACAACATCGGCACCCAGGTCAAGGGGGTTCTGAAGGTAAGGAGAGAGCATGGTGTTGTCGACGATGACGAGCGACGAAGGGTTTGCCTTGTGGGCGAGCGCGGAGAGGGTAGGAATGTCAACGACCTTCATGAGAGGGTTCGTGGGCGACTCGAGAAGGACCATGGCGGTCTTTTCAGACAGGACGGCCGCGACTGCGTCGGGGTTGGTGGTGTCAACATGGCGAACAATGATGCCACCGTGGGTGGAGAGGTATTTGAGAAGACGGTTGGAGCCGCCGTAGAGGTCGTCGCCAGTGACGACTTCATCGCCGGGATGAAGCAGGCGAGTGATAACGTCAAGGCAGGCCATGCCCGACGACACGACCAGCGCGCGGTGGGCGTTCATGATCTTGGCCAAGTGGCGCTCAAGATGGGTGCGGGTAGGGTTTCCCGAACGAGTGTAGTCATATTCGTTGCCCTCACCTTTGAAGGTTGCGGACTGGTAGATGGGGACGCTGCTGGCATTGTACTGGTCGTTTGACTCGGTGTACACAAGCTCAGTTGCGAGGGAATACTTGTTCTTGCCATTGCTAGGGCTGGAAGGAGTAGGCGATGGAGGGAGGTTGTGACCATCCATGTCCAATCTTTTATTGGCTGGGACGGTGGTGGAAGAGGACGACATTTTGATTCGAGTCGCGGTTTTTGAAGCAGGACCAGCCACCTGTTTGCTGTTGGGTAACTAAAGGGTTGTGGGAGATGTCGGATACGGTATAGTAAGTAATAGCAGGAAGCGCGACTTCAATTGAACGATAATTGAGACTTTCAAGCGTGTATGAGTTGTGAGAAAGGGACGCAAGTACTGTATCTGAGGCACGAACGGTCAGTCATTCCAAGCGGCGACGGCTGGGCAGGCGGGAAGTGACGACCCTTGCGTGCTTCCGATGTCGGTGCAACTGAGTAACTACCGCTTTTGTTGCCCGGAAGTTCTTTCCGCCTTTGTCGTATCTAACCACTTGTAGAGGTGCATCAATAACCTCCTTAGGTTCTATGACCACACAAGACATATCAGCATAGACATACATATGCCGACCTACACCAGACAGTGTTGCAATCTTCTTATGGTCTAGGTGCAGAAGGTGCTCTTGCCCAAAGGACCCGGTCTGCCCCTACGTCACACTTGCCCTAAATACTCGGCGATGGCTGAACCGAGCCCTGAGAATTTATGGAGCATTCTTCAATCCTTATCAGCATCGCAGAACTAGAATAATGGACGAAAACTGCTGAGGCATCCTCTGCTGCTTGACCATGGCTTGGTAGATTCTGTAATTTCTGTAGGATTATCCAGGGCATCTACTTCGCCCTACCAGACTCCACAAGCCGTAAAGTGTCATGCTGCGTCTCAACTGACCACGTGTGAGAGGGCTCTCATCAGAGCGAGAGGATAGAAGAGAAGTCATCGTGCATTTCCTACAGGAGACTTGACCGCTTCACTCTCTTACCTGTAATCCATCTGCAGCCTCTCGCTAAAGGTCTTTGCCCGGCGCCCCAAAGCCTCGATGGTATTAACGTGGAACAAGACAAATCTAGGTTGCATGGTGATTTTGAGCATCAGAGGCGTGGTCGTCGAGATATTGAAAGCAAGATTTGCCATTTGAAGTCAATGGGCTTCATAAACTTCGATCGAAGTAAATTGTACCGCAATTTTGGACAGCTTTTCGCAAGGTGCTGAAGAGTCCTTTTACAGCTCCTACACACGTTTTAGAATGTCTACGTGGCAGCGACGAACACACACACACACAAGACAACACTTCTGTGTGCCTGAAAGGTCATGTCTGGGAATCGAGCAGTACAACCACTAACTGTGAACATCGGTTATCTGTAGTGTCTACTTGGGGTCCATATAAGCAATTTGTTTTGAGCAATGACACCAGCTCTTGTTTGAGAGTCAACAGAGCTTCCATCACAAATCCGTCGTACTGCCTCCTGATCGTGACACTCGCCTCTCGCATATCTTTCCTTACTCTTTCTCCAGCATTCTAGCTTTACCGAGCATGAACTTCAAGTCGACTGTTGGTCAGAGAAGACCAGGTAGCCGCCTTGTGAGATGCAGGTCAGGTCGCCTTGGTTCAATAGTCCGTGAGGATCAACGAAGGGATGGACCTGTGCGCTTCCGCCGCTACCACTACCAGCCAGATTTGACACGCGCATGACCACGTACACTCTGCTAGGAACATCATCGCCCTGGATGCGGTAGTCTTTTGCCTAGGAAAAATCAGTAAACGCTTTTGATTGCCTCGGGTTTGTCAACTTACCATATCAATCTGATTCTGGCTCATGTGGAAAGGTTCATGATGCGGGCCATAGGTAGCCTTGACTTCGATGGAGTACGTGATGGCATTTTTGCCTTTCTTGTCCATCCACTCCTTGGGCTGATCACAGCCCCTCTCGACAAGCCAGTCTGTAAGACGACCACTGAGATCCCGGATTGTGAAGTCGGCGAACTGACTATCGTCTCCATCGAATGCTTGGTCAGTGTATTTGGTACTAGCGTGGCTGGTCCACATCTCGTCCGTGAAGTAGAGGCCCAATAGGTTCTTGAGAAATGCGTACACCTTCCACAACGTTAGCTTACGAATCGATACACTGAGATCAACAGCCCAAATTACCTTCATCTCACCCTGTTCACCGATTCTGATTACCTGCGGGTCTTCCAGAACAACCTCCGAGGCATTGCACTGTTTGCGATATTCAGACGCCTGAGTCCGTTGAAAGGCGTCAATACAAGGCTCGCTGTCCTCGCTGTTAATATTGTTGATGTCTACATCAGACACGGCAATTCTGCTGCCGAAGTTACCGGCCCTCATCTGACGACCTGGACCTGGACCTGGGCCTGGACCTGAACCAGAGCTAAAATGTTTCTTGGAAGGGCCGACGTGAGCGTACAAGGGGTCTGAGTGCTTATCCCAGTCTTCTCCATATCCTTCAAGCTCCATATCATCGCCATCGGAGCTAGGTCCTCGTTCGAGGGGAACTCTGCCACCCCTGGCGCGAGGAGCAGTAACAGGCTTTGCCTTCCGTGCAGGCTTCACATTGATGCCAAGATTTCTGAGGACTGCTAGCGAAGACATGTCGCTGTCATCGGAGATCGATGAGTCATTATCTGTGACCATCTCCGGAGGACTCTGCTCAGAGACCTGACGCCTGGAACTTATGGTGGCTCCTGCAGGTTGAATAACGACGTTTTGGGTCAACTTTCGCAGTTCAAGCTTGTCGAATATGACACCATGCTCCTCCAGCATGTCCTCAATCTGCTGCGTGGAAGGCATGGACAGTATACCAAGCACAATCTCCTTAGGCACCTTATCAAGCTTACATAGCATGACAAGCTTCTCTGAGAGCTCGTACCAGTTCAGTGTATGCTCCTCGAGGTCTTTCACAGGTACAAAAACTCGCTGATCTTTGCCCATCATGATATTGGCTGGCAAAGGTCTGCCACGTACCTCCTGGTTGTCTAGACGTATCGAGCGATGGACTTTGATTGATTGAACAGCCCAGATCTCAACACTCTCGAGAAGTGGCTTCATCATGTAGTTATCAGCAGGATTTGTTAGACACAGGAGATAGTGTGCCTTCACTTGAAACTGCCTAGTGTGAATAACGTCAAGGACGGCTTGTTCCTTGCCCTCAACCACTTCTTCCTTGTTCACCTTCTCGGACAAATGTCTGGCCCAGATGCCCATCTTGTCAAGAAGTGGTTCCAACTTCTTCTGCTCGGCAAGTGTGAAATCAAGGAGTGGGATGATGCCGCTGAAGGACATGGTCAGGTTTCGACCATCGGGGATGAACCACCTCGGATCGTTGCCCGACATGAGAACACGCTGTTTCTGCATATCAACAACAGGGAAGATTTTGCAGTTGTCTAGAGCCTTCAGATCATAAGTCAGGCGGGGACTGATTCTGCTGCTGAGTTCGAGCAACAGCTCCTTGATGTGAATGATAGATGACATGTTGTTGTCATGCGAAACAAGCTCGTTCACAAAATCTCCAATACCTGCATCTTGCAGATTGAGAATATTCTTGAAGAGTGACTGCACGGGTCCGTAGATATGTGCGATAGGACATACTCTGCGCAGACATAGAGGAGCTTCCCAGACGCATGTCCGAAGATGCACCCAGCTACCAGTGTCGGGCAAGAAGATCAAAGGGTGGTCTCTGAAAGCAGCACGCGCATGGTCTCTCGCTACCAGGCTCGGGTCACAGAACATGCTTATGTCTCTGTACAGCTTGATCATGGTCATCTTGTCTGGCTTGATACCTGTCTCGGGAAATCTCATCAACAACCTGAGGCAGAAGTTCAAGTCACGATGAGTGATGACTCTGAAAGTCGAGAGTTTTAGCCATTCTGTGTTCTGTTCGTCCTCGATGTCGAGAAAATGAAATCCCATATGCTGAATCGTGGTAACAGCAGAGCGCAGAGTAGGAAGAATAGTGTCACTTAGTCTTGCCCTTTTGCCGTCGGTGCAATCTACAGACAAAGACGCAATCTTGTTGCGAACTTCTTCGCTTGGAATTCTCACATCACCGAGCTTGGGGGCTTGGTTCAGATGGTAGTCGTCCCAATTCTGCCTAATGCCTGCGAGCCATTGTCTGCTCGGCAGGTTGTTAACGAGCCACTCAAACTCGGTGGAAAGACCTTTGTTTGTCTTGTTGGACAGTCGAGGGATATCGTGAACACCCAAGCACTCCCGCAACCAAGCCAGCCATTTAGCACGTAGCTCTACGTTTCCTTGATAGACGTCCATGTACTTTGAGTGGATGAAACGAGCTACTGTCAAATTTGCTGGGAAGATTTGACTCACTGCCAGCTTGTATGGACTGTCCATGTGGAGCTCGATGCCACGGAATTGCTCACCTCTTGAGTCGGCAAGCCAGAGGGTCGTACTCAGATTTTGCGCTAACCTTGAGGCAGATGGCAGGCTGAAAACATACTGCGCATGAGACAGTAGCAGATCGATGTCAGCGTTCGCAATCGATTCTTTGTGTTGCTTGATTATGCCCCTAAGGACGTCTTCGTAATCGAGGTCTTGGGCGCCGGCATGACGTAGGAAGCTTCTTCGCTCTTCGTTGCGAGAAGCGTTGTGCTCGACGATGGACAGCGACACACCTTTCGGAATGACGATGTTGGCATCAGAACGTGGCAAATAGAAGGCCGTAGATGCGGTTGATCTGTTGGCTACCCTCGAATAAGATGGCTTGTTACGGCTTTTGGCATTGATCCATGAGCCGTCGTCAAGAGGGACGATAGGTAAGATCAGGAGATCGTCGAGGTTGAATTGCTTCTGCTCCGCCATAAGGACTGTAGATACCTTTCCGTGCCATTCGTGGGGCTTTTTGCGATACTCTTCAGCCTGCTTTGAGACATAGGTCTTGAGCATTTCGAAAAATTTCTTGCCGTCCAGAGCCTGGGTGACTAGCGAGGAAACATGAGTTGTGTCGTAATTGGTCGAGAGATATCGATCATTCAAGGGAGTCAGTAGGGGCGCTCCTTCCGTATCCTTGTATCGATCAGGCACCAGCATCATCACTTTAGGCTTAGCAAGCTCACCAGACCGCGATTCCAAGATTTTGACATCTTTGACACGGGTCAAGAAGTTGTCCTTCATCTTGTCGAAGAATCTGTGAGCGACTTGCTTTTCTGGAAGGTAAGCAGGCCAGGCATATTTCAGGTGAGTGTCGTTAAGTCGCTGGAAGGCCTGAATAAGCGCGTGGACCGTGTGGTCTTGGAGACGACGGTTCCATGGCTGGGATTCGTCAACGCCTTGTCGACTAGCGACTAGCAAAAAGTCTGCCTGAACGAGGAAAGGAAGGCCGGAAGAACAAACGGGCAGGAAGGCGTATGCATCTTGCTTGACGATGAGAGGTCGTTGCTGGTCGTCGATGGGGAATGCCAGCTTGATCGATGTCTCTGTGACACCTTGTCTTTGTTCGGTAGAGGGCATCTCACGAGCGGTGTAATCAGAAAGCAGATAACGCGACCGCTTTGACCTTGTACCCTTGCTTCTGGTGGTAGTGACGATTTGAAGATCGTCGTTGAGGGGTGTGAGTGGCCGGGAATCGTGAGACATGACTATCTCGTCAAAAGTGTCTCCAGAGTCATCGAGTCGGACAACTCGAATGCGGGTGAGACGTCGCAAGAACATGAAGGATGATGGCTCGAGGACTTTGGTCAACTGGTCTTTGACCACATCACGGTCCTCCTGCTTCTCGATCTTCAAACATATCATCGTGTTCATCTGGAGCTGGGGTGGAAATTCTGGAAACTTTGCCCAGACCGGATCAACCATGCCTAGAGGTGTACTCTTGTCGAACATGAACGAAAAGTTGTTGGACTTGATCCAAACCTTCTCCGCGACTTTGAAGACAGACTTGAAGCCGATGCCCTTCTCACCAATACAGCTTTTCTTACCCTCTTTCAAGAGGGTCTTGGTGCTCTGGTTCATATCACAGATGGCGCTCACGTTTGCCTTGGAGAAGCCCTGCTCATTACAGGCAAATAACAGAAGACCGTCGGATCGATAGGCGAGGGTGGCTTGAGGCTGTTCTCCGTCCGTGTATACGTTGTCGTCGGCGTTCTGGATGAGCTCAAAGAGGAAATGGCTGGGTTCGCTGTACAGCTGTGCGGACAGGCTTGATCATGTCAGTTTGTTGTCGGAGGATGAAGGTAGGGGTGACGCTCACAGTTTCAACATCGACTCATATCCTCTGCGAAGAAATTTCTCGCTTTCGTTGCGCGCATCTGCGCCATGGTTGTTGCGAATATCCTTAATGTGCGCCTGACACTCTTCAACTGACAGAGTATCCGCCATGTTGTGAATTGAGTGATGTGGAAAGGGAGAGCACTAAAAAAGGTCCGTGGAGAAATGCGGCCAGATGGTTGTGCGAAATGAGAGCCGAAGTGCGAGTCGTCACCTTGCAGAGAAAGAGAGCTCGACAGTGAATGTCCCAGATGTTGAACAAGACACAACGAGATGATGTCTGGAGGATGTGTTGTCTATGGTTGAAGTGACGGGGGGAAGCAAACGCAGAAAGTTTTAACACCGTGTTTGGTCAAACACGCCTTCCGTTTGCTTCCAGGAAGATGGACCCATGTTTGATGAGTGTGTGCCGTATCGTCTCGATGGTCTCGATCAATGCATCAGCGTCACTTGCATCGTAGATACCTACTGAATGAAACCAACCTCTTATTCCATCGCAGTGCTCATATGACTCTTCGACCAGTACTTCACCTGTTATTATTTGGTAGATAGGTGTTTGTCCTCAGAACGTATGTCTATGTTCAATTACACGATGACAAACGGCAGGTCTCCTTCGAGGCAGTGCGGTCGCTCTCACCAGGTCTGTTGGCAGACAAGTTCACAGCCGCAGAGGTGTCCGTACTATAGGCCAACTATGTATCATCTAACGAGCTGCTTCTCGTGAATGCATGAGACACATGGCTAGTTGATGCATCAGCGTGGAGTGAAGTTGAAGTTCGGGGAGAAGGTCGCTGGCCGGAGGTCAGCTTGGCATTGTGGTCAGAGCTCAGTTATTTGGAGATGGCCGGTGAAATAACTAATCAAGAGTACTCCTCGTCCCAGTCGCATACCACAAACGACCACAACCATGGGATCCATGTACGAAGCTCCTCGCAACGCTGGCACTCTATGTAGGTTGCTATATACCGACTCAAGAGACAGCTACTGACTACCTCAATCATGCAGTTCTCGGCGGAACGAAGATAAGCGGATCAGACGTAAGAGAGCAATGCGTACAAGCAACGCAGGCCATATCAAATGTGGTGCGGTCGTCTTTCGGACCCAGTGGACTGGACAAGATGATGGTGGACGACATTGGTGATGTGACTGTAACCAACGACGGCGCAACCATCCTCTCCCTACTCGACATCTCTCACCCGGCTGGCAAGATTCTGGTAGACCTGGCACAACAACAAGACAAGGAGGTTGGAGATGGAACGACGTCAGTAGTCCTCATCGCTTCGGAGCTGCTTCGCCGCGCAAACGAGTTGATGAAGATGCGCATTCACCCTACAACCATCATCACTGGATACCGCCTGGCCCTGCGTGAGGCTGTTCGTTACATGAGCGAGAACATTGCCACCAAGGTCGACACTCTTGGCCGCGAGTCGCTTATATCCATCGCAAAGACCAGCATGAGCAGCAAGATCATCGGAGGTGATTCAGACTTCTTCGCCAACATGGTTGTGGATGCCATGCAGAGCGTCAAGTCGGTCAACAGCCGCGGCGATGTCAAGTACCCCGTCAAGGCTGTCAACGTCCTCAAGGCTCACGGAAAGAGTGCTCTGGAGAGTGTTTTGGTCAAGGGATACGCCCTCAACTGCACCGTGGCCAGTCAAGCCATGAACACCCGTGTCGTTGACGCAAAGATTGCCTGTCTCGACATGAACCTGCAGAAGGAGCGCATGAAGTTGGGAGTACACATCACTATCGACGACCCGGCACAACTCGAGAAGATTCGTGAACGCGAGGCTGGTATTGTCCTTGAGCGTGTCGACATGATTCTGAAGTCGGGCGCCAACGTCATCTTCACCACAAAGGGCATCGACGACATGTGCTTGAAGTCCTTCATCGAGAAGGGTGCCATGGCCGTTCGTCGCTGCAAGAAGGAGGATCTCCGCCGTATCGCGAAGGCCACCGGTGCCACTCTGGTCAGCTCTTTGTCCGACTTGAACGGTGACGAGAAGTTCGATGCCAGCAACCTTGGTCACGCCGAGGAGGTTGTCCAGGAGCGCATCTCAGACGACGAGTGCATCCTTGTCAAGGGAACCAAGGTCCACACTTCTGCTTCCATCATCCTCCGCGGTGCCAACGAGTACTCGCTCGACGAGATGGAGCGCTCCGTCCACGATTCGCTCTCTGCCGTCAAGCGTACCCTTGAAAGTGGCCGTATTGTCCCCGGTGGTGGTGCCGTCGAGACTGCCCTGCACATCTACCTCGAAGAGTGGGCTACCTCGGTTGTATGTTCAGTGTCTCTCCACTCCCCAATTTTCTGCTAACTCGTACTCACAGGGCTCGCGTGAGCAACTCGCCATCGGTGCATTCGCCGCTTCCCTCCTCATCATCCCCACCACCCTTGCAGTCAACGCCGCAAAAGACAGCTCTGAGCTCGTCGCTCAACTCCGCAGTCGTCATGCCCTCTCACAACGCCTCTCCGCCTCCGAGGGCGGCAGCGGTGACGCTCACACAGCGGCCACCGCGCAACCCGCAACCGAGGACGAGAAGTCCCTGGCCAAGAAGAAGAACTACAAGAACTACGGTCTGGACCTCACAAAGGGTCGTGTTGTTGACAGCTTGAAGATGGGTGTCTTGGAGCCCGCCATGAGCAAGGTCAAGCAGCTGAAGAGTGCTGTCGAGGCTTGCGTGGCTATTATGAGAATCGACACAATGATCAAGCTCGACCCTGAGAACCAGGGTGGTGATGATGGTCACGGTCATTAAGGAAAGTAAAAAGCATGTGTAAAAACACCACAGATTTCCAGAGTTTTCTGCGAAGCATTGAATGAAAAGATACCAATAGACGTTTTTGTCGTACCTTGTATGCGAAAGAGTCAACTATGTCAGAGAAGCAGAGTCTTGATGCGAAGCATGTTTGAAAGCAATGGTGTTGGCTTGAGTTCTCTATGAAGCTGAAGACTGGTCATGTAAGATGACTCTTACCATCCACCACCAATAGTACTAGCAAGTCCAGCCACTCTTTCCACATCAGTAGTCGTCTTGCCGACATCACTCTCGACCTTGCGGTAAGATGTATACACCAACTTATCCGTCGACACGCCTGTAAGCTCAGACCAATGTGAGAATATATCCTTGATCTTGGAATGTGAAATGCCACCGACCACCGAACCATCCTCCGCATCTTCCATTTCGACATCGCCATTAGCAGAAGACTTGGCCGTTGTGTTTATAGATGAAGCTTCTACATCTTCAACGCCTTCATCTTCTGTGTCTGAAGCACTCGGCGACCCAGAGTCCGAGGATGAGAAGTATGCTTCGTCAACTTTTTGTAACCACTCCTTCTGTTGAGGTGCAACTTGTTGATCGCCGCCATTCTCTATGCCACTACCTCGTAGTGCTCCGACATCACCGACCTTGATTTGACCACCGCCATTCGTGCAGCCACCAGGACATGCCATAACTTCTACGTAGGCATAGTCACTCATGTTCTGACCACCTGCTGACCCCGCTGCAGCACCGGGCTTACGTGCACCGGCAAGTCTACTCGCTGCTCCGGGCATTCGCGATGCTCGTGCAGGTTTCAGTCTTCGGACCAAGTTCTGGATATTGCGGAAGCCGTAGTAGCGAGCAGTCCTCAGAATGGCTGCATCCTCCGAGTCTACCAATGTGTACTCGACAACATCAGCGTTGCGACCTCGTTGGATGGTGATCTGGCTGCCTGGGTGCTGTGCGCGGTATGTCTCCAACACATGCCAGAGGTATCCACCACTGGTACCAGCTTCTCTTGAGCCATTTGCAGTGGACCTAGAAGGGAAGAGGAAGCGGTCGAGTTTCGGGTCGGGAAATGGTGTACGTTGCTGACTTGATAGCGGCTTTTGTGATAGTTGAGGGAAGGAGATGTCGCGACTTTCGGCAAGCATGAGTAGCTCGCGAGCCGTGATTACACAATCGACATCGCGGATACCCTTACGTTCGGTATCAACGCCATCTGGAGACCAGTGTATATCCGTCAACTCTTCTCTTGATGCTTCCAGCTTCTTGTCGAAACATGGCATGATAGCCATGTGCCATACATTCTCCGGGTTGATTCCATATGTCCTTGCCAGTACACTCTTGACCAAGGTGCCGGTCAAGGCTTGTGGCGACTTCAGTCGTGACATGTGTGGGAGTGCGTGAGGGTGTGTCTTTTCGGCGTAGCAGATCCAGCCAGGGCATGCAGATGTCAGGATGGGCTTTTTTGGCTTCTCGGCTCGTGATGCACTGGAGTCGGATGTGTGCTGAGATTCCATGACTTCGTCAGCTGCAGCGACCAAAGCAGCCTGGCGCATAGCATTCGTGTCAATGATCCAAGCGAAGCCACTGTTGTTTGCGCCGCCCGATCGCAGACCAGCTGGACCAGAGAGGAGTTGCTGAATCATATTTGTAGCGGCAGTCTCGGAGACTCGATATGTTGCGGCGATACTGGCGCGAGTCTGAGGTGACACACTTGCGACAAAGACCTTGCCGTCCGACGGACCAGGCAGAGACTCGCCTTGAGCGGTCCAAGGCAAGCGTAGTTCGGGATATGCGTCGAGGGTGTTGAGAACTTCTTGATGTGATTGCAGACTGACGAGGACAGCCTCGGCGGATGTGACACAACCACTACAAGCGAGACAATCGGTCAAGGAAATACTGGCTGGTGGTGCTTCGGCGGCAGCGACCTTGTCTTCTGTTGTGACTTCGTAGGCATTCTCTTGCGCTTGTTGTTTAGGTAGCGTCTCGACGGGCTTGATACAGGCTACTCCAGGGGAAATGAAGTCATTGAGGTCATCGGCTGACAAGATGGCCGACATGTTTGAACTTTGCGCTTCTTTGTATGTGGCGGGGGTCGCGATGGCGGGGCGTTGAATTCCTGATTTATGCTAGACTGAGTTGTTGGAGACAATGCGCGGAAGACAATGCTGGGAAGAAGAGAAGACAGCGCTCAGAATAGCAGAAAAGAGTCACTCGACGAAACAAGTGGAGAAGGAACGTCGCGATAGGCAAAATACTCTGATGTTTGGTCAGCATTGAATAGGAAGTGGCACGCGAGTCCATCGCGACTTCTCCGCCGCCGGCGCCGGCGCCGGAACCCTGCCAAGACTTGCACCTTCCATCTTTCTTTGCCATCATCTCTAAACTCCATCACCGCCGTCACTACCTACCCAACCAACGTCACACATCGCACTCATGTCGCAACAACAGTCCGCCAACACTGGTTTCCAGATCACAAACCAAAACACCTTCGAGGACACCAACCGCAGCGTCAAGTACCTCTGCGGCGACTGTGATGCCGAAGTCTCCCTCAAGCGCGGTGACCCCATCCGTTGCAAGGAGTGCGGTTACCGTGTCTTGTACAAGCAGCGCACCAACCGGTATGTCTGCTCTCATACTCGGTCTGCGCGCAGCTCACTAATAACCATGACAGTATGATCCAGTTCGAGGCCCGCTAAACCTTCCACCGATTCACGCTACAAAATCTCTTCTTGCGACCAATCTCGACGTGATGCCTGATCGGCACAGCTCGCGGCGCAACGCATAACTGAAAGCTGACCGGTCCGTCTACATCCGCGTATTTCGCACTGGAATCCCTTTTACGGCCAGGTCACGATGAACCTTCAGCCCACTCCCACCATCCTGGCGTTTCTTTTTCCACTCGAGGCACAAAATATCATATTCACACAAGCGCGGCGTTCTATTGCGATCGGTACTCTGGATTTTTGATTGATGGGCGGAAGTGAAGAATGGGAAGAAAAGGGCAAGGAGACACTTTCATGACCAAGTTCAATACACGTACTGCTGAGAGAATCAATTTCAACGAGTTCAACATGAAAAGAGCATCACAATACTGAAGTGACCACGATCATAGAGGAATCTTAGCTGGTAACATGAGAAAGGATAACGAAACTATATGTACAATAACTGGTTTTGGTTATGTGAAAAGGGAAGGCCAACAGATACCGCCTCTTTCTCTTTCAGACTGATACAATGCAATCGCAGCTAAACAACAACACATACGCTATCGTCTGCGGTGACGGGTATATCGCGCCCAGACATGATGCAAAAGGAGAGTGCAAAAGAAAAGTGTAAACAAAGACAACTATGCTACGTCAATTTCAAGACAATTAAACAACAGACGACAAAAGAAATTTGTGCTCTTTTGATATGATTTTCCTCCTCTTCCTCATGCGATATGCAAATATCCTTTCGAGTCACCACTTACATTGCCTCGAGCTCACTAGCAAGGCTCCTGCCAACCAGTTCTTCGGGTGTCTGATCATGAGAATCTTGGACCTCGTCATCCATGTTGACAACTTCTTGCTCTTCCTCGTCATCAGCACCAATGCTGGTATCGATATCACCGAGCTGTGCATCTTCATCATAGCTTTGACGTCTGAAAACCATTGGGCTTTCTCCGCCTTGCTCATTGTGCGTTGTGTCAAAATAGGTCATCTGGGCCTCGCTGTCATCTTGCTGGGGAGCATGAGAGAAGCTGAGACTTGAACGCTGTGATCCACTTGGCTCATCGACAGGACCAGGAGTGCGGCGGAAGTTTGTAGAAGGAGGCGTCATAAGACCAGATAGGACGGACGGCGAAGGCAGGGGCGATGGTTTGGAAGGCGTCTGAGTACGGCCATTAGCCATACGAGCTGCAGCAGCGGACGATCTAGCAGTTGCTCTCGTGGCAGGAGCTTTGGGAGCTGCGGCGGGGCGAGAAGTCTCTCTGCTCTTGCGCCAATTGCCGAATGCTGCGGCAAGCGAGACTGCCTTGGGTGACGCGAAATTGGTCAAGTTGGCCAATGCTTGTCCAGTCAGAGACGGCCCGGCATTGATGAGTCGCTCCTTCTCTTGTTGCTCCATCTGGAGGTTGGCACGGATGCGGATTGCGAAATCCCTGACAGCATCACGGTCATAGTCTGACTTCGACAAGGTGTCAACCAACTGGTTAAGGTCCTCGTTGCGGACAGATAGAAGTTCGCGCAGCCAAGAGATCTCGACATCCTTCTCTTTGAGCTTGGAGGGTGCTGTGGTATCGACATTTGCAATCTCGCTCTGTAAGCGTTCGACACGAGTCTCACGTTCCTGAAGTTGCTCTTGCAACACCAGAATGGATTCGCGAAGGGCTTGAGGCGAGATCTTTTCCGGCTCCTCACGCGACGTGGATTTGGACATAGAAGTCGCTGCTGGGGCAGACTTGGCAGCCTGGGCAGCCGCTTGTGCTGCAGATCTAGCAACATTGAGGCGTTCTTCCAAATGAGCGACCTTGTCACGTAAGTGCAAGACTTGGTCATTCGACAGCTCAAGTCTGTCATTGAAGTGTACAGCCGATCGTTGCTTGTCCTCATACGCATTTGCAACACTTCTTTCATACTGCGACTTGAGATATCTGATCTCCTCTGCATGCTTCTCACGCAAATCGTTCAGAGCAGCACTGCTGGTCTCATTGACTTTGCGAAGAGCATCACGTCTGAGATCAGCTTCTTGCTCAAGCGAGCGCTCATGTCTCTCGCGAGCATCGTCCGACACCATCTTGATGTTGTCAATCTCATTCTTAGTAAGCATGATTTCATGCTCCAGACTAGCACGTGTGATATTGGCCTGACTTTCGGCTGCTTCGATGCTGGACTGCATGATCATCTGAGTGCGCTGAACCTCTGCCCTTCCAGACTCTCTAGCCTCATGCAGATCACGCTCTAGACGAGCGTTCAGGGTCTGTTCTGAAGTAAGATTATCCCTGAGACTTCTTAAAGTCTCTTCATGGAGGCAGGTAGATCTTTGGAGTTGTTCAAGCTGGATCTTGGTGGTGACAGCCTCGTGCACTTGGGTGCGCAAGCTCTGTATTTCCTCTTCAATGCTACGTCTGATGCTGACTTCGCCCTCGAGACGGGCTTGCTGGACAACATATCTCTTTTGCAACTCCTCGTTGCGGTTTTGCCAGATCGCCTTTTCGTTGGCCAATTGTTCGGCGGCTGAGATCATGCCATGGTGAATCTTGTCGAGTTTACTGCGCATGTTCTCGCGAATGCTGAGACCGTCCGCAATCTGATTTTTCAAATCAGACATGCTCTCATGAATATTAGCATTTTCACGAGCAGCAACTTCAGCTTCATGCTTCCACTTCTTGGCGTAAAGGCGAGACTCTTCAAGCTCGGCGACCAAACTCGTAACACTAGCCTTCAATGCTGTATTCTCTGCAGCAGCATCATCGGCGGTCTGCTGGACTTGCTTCACGAAAGCATGAGACTGTTCCAATTGGAGCATCAATTCTGCTGCGCTAGCCTTGATTGCAGTGGCTTCGATAGCTGCGTCATCGGCTGCTTGGCGTGCTTGTTTGCCAAAGGCTTGAGACTCTTCAAGCTGTGACAAGAGCTCGGCTGAGCTACTCTTGAGAGCTACGTTCTCAATAACGGCATTCTCGATCTGCTGATGAGCCAGTCTAATGGTCTCACGAGTTTCTTCGACTTGGGCGTTGAGGTCGAGAACACTGGCCTTGAGGGCTTCGTTCTGGCCGGTGACCTCGTCAACCTCGTTTCTCCACTTCATGCTGGAGAGGCGGTATTCTTCAATAGTAGATTCGAGTGCCGAGTTCTCTGCCTCAAAGTCTGATAACTGCTTGCGATCATGAGCATGAGTAACTTCGGCAGAATCCACCCGGATCTCAAGCTCCTCGCGTTGGTTTTCCAAAGAATGGATACGTTGCTCTTTGTCACCCACAGTCTTGCGGAGGAGGGATAGTTCCTCTTCAGCAAGACGAAGTAGTCGCCGAGTATCAGCCTCACGCTCTTCAATGTTACGACGCTGGTTCGCTTCCTCCAGTGCATCGGCAAGTGTCTTGTTTAATCTGTTGTTGAGTTCGGACACTTCACGTTTGTGTCTGTGGACGACTTCTGTATCCACCACAAGTGCACTCGGTGTCGTCAAAGTCTGACCCATGCGGTGCAACGACTCGTCAACGACATGTTTGACGTCATCGATGTCAAGATTAGCGGAAGCAATGCGAGCGATAGTGGTGTTCATGTCCATGAGGGCATTGTGGATCTCTGTGGCGGACGAGAAATGGGAGCCGTTCGCCTTCTGCGATGCCAAAGCCTCAAGTACGGCGGCCTTGATCTGGCTAACCTTCCTCTCTTGCGCACGCGACATTGTGCGGAACGGCTGTCTTTCGTCGACCGTTTCATCCTCATCGTCCGCATCACTATCGTCTACAGACATGGCGCGGGTTGTCACTGGCGCTGACTCGCGAGTCATGATAGTACTCACTGCACGATGAATCATCTGCAAGCTCTTTTCCAAGGGAGCCAAACGGTGATCGATGACACCACCAACGATTTGATCGACTCTATCATCGAAGAAATTGCTGCGGCTGCGCAGCTTACTTGCCTCGTCGACGGAGAGGTCATCAGACCATTCGCTCAGAGGTATCTCCTCACCACGGTTGAGGCGACTGATGCGAGCAGGACGTACTCTCACTTGCTCTCTCGAGAGTGATGGCAATGGAGATATTGAGCGATCCTTGTCATCCTGTCTAGGGCTGTGATGAATGACACTTGCATGAGGGCTTGCGACTTCGGAAGCGAACTCCTGTTGGAACTGGTCATAACCATCGTCGTCATTGAGCTGCTGCATCACAGCATCGATCTCGTCAAAGGTCGGCTCCGGGAATCGAGATCCCTCATTGATGTTATCGATAGGATAAGGCATATGCTTTTGTGGCTCTGGCGAAGGCGCGTAATCAAGATCTTCGACAGAGGCTTGTGTTTTCTCAGACGTACGTGAGAAAACGCGAGATGGGCTAAAGTCGGGCTTAGTTTTGTTCGGATCGGGACTGCGAAGAAGAGTTTCGAGTGGTTGATTGCTTGACATCGATCCTTGCGCCTTGAATTCGAAGGGTTTTGCGAGTGCTGATAATGAGCTCGAGTTCTTTTTGTGCCCTTGCCCACCATTGACGGTAGGTATCTCGGGTAGCGTCTCGGACGCTCGCGTCGAGGCAATGTCAGCCAACAATCTTGCAGTGTGCTTCTTATCACTTGTCGGCGTGGTTTTCTCAAGCTGAGCGGTCTTCTCGATTGCGCCAGACTGCGGTCCGTCCTGAGCATTGGACGACTCGTCTTTCTCGCCGCTCGTCGGGCCTTGAGTCACACGTTGATCACGAGATGCAGGACGCTCTGCAAACAGAGGCACATCGTTCCCGTCTTCCTGCCCAACTCTGGCTCTCTTTTGTCTGTCTTCGCTTTGCGCTGCACGACCATCTTCGTCCTCGGCCTCCGGCTCCTCCTTCACAGGTGAAGACTTCGGTTGTGTGATAGCCACAGCCTTAGACCTTCTCGCAGGTTTAGTGGCATCCAACATGTTTACATCGCCAAAGATGCTCGGAGCAGCGATCTGACTCTGAATCTCATGAACGACAGGTTGTTGGACCTGCGCAACAGGATTGAAGGGAAATGCTGAGGCAAAGTTGAAGTCAGATGAAGGCATCACACCGAAGGCTGCAGGTTGGAATGCGGCGGCCGCCATGTCCAGGTTACCACCAGAAGGAACTCTGATATTGTTTTGAACGGGAGGACCAAAATTCGACACCCCTGGAAGGCTAGGCAAGGTCGGTTGAAACGCAGAACCTGGCTGGAACTTGAATTCAGGCGCAGCCACACTGAGCCTAGACACATGTCCCTTGACCTTGTTTGTGGTCTTGTTTTGGGGAGCGCCTGTCAGCCCAATAGTCACAAGATCCTCCTTTTGAGGCTTTGCTGGGACATTTTCAAGGCTAGGCGAGTCATTGCGGCTAGCAAATCCGTTCGTGCTCTGAACAAGAGAGCTTCGCTTACCAGGAGGCACGTAAGTACCATTGCTAGAAGTATGACTGGCGAAACTGTTGTTCACCTCATCTTCTTCATCCTGCAGTTGACGTTCGAAAGACTTTTCTAAGTGGTAATCAGAGCCTTGTATTTCTCTCTCAAGAGCATCGCTAATGTTGCGATTGTGTCGCGGACTAGGATGGGCAAGCTCAACCTCCTTACGAGTCTGACGTCTTGGTGTAGCACCAGCAAAGTAGTCTTGCATCGGCTCTTCTTCATCTTCAGGAACCTCGGCAAGCGATGGGATTGTACGCATCGCAGCACCAGGGGTAAGCGTCGGAGTAATACTTCTCTGAGCCTGTGACTGAGGAGAGAAGCTTGAGTACACCGATTGATGTCTGAGATGAGCCTGTCCAGACCAATCACCAGACTGTGGATGAGGACTGCGAGCATATGGAGACGGCATACCGTATGGTGAGACAGGAGATTTTGCCGGTGGTCCTTCACTCTTCAGCCTTTCGAGTGCTGGCGAACCTCCTCTATGAAGCCCGTTCATGCTGAAGTTCGTCGAAGGCGAGAAAGCAGGCAGGCCATTAGGCTGGTTCTGCTGACCAGGAAATCCGAATGGCATTCCTGGCATACCGAACACCGAGTGTCTATGAGCATGACCTCTGGGATCGCCAGGCATAGAGAGAGGTGAAGCGACAGACGCCGAATAAGAGTGACCAGGGGTAGGGAAGTGTGCCAAAGAAGGCGTAGAGCGGTGCGATGCCCCGGCCATGGTCGAATGCATCAGGTTTGGAGAAACGGATTGGTAATGGCCAGAGGATTGACGAGACATGGGTGGAGGTTGAGCGGGGGCGAGATCGTCTCCCAAGCTCACACCCAGAGCGCGTAACTTTTGCTCCATCAGCTCGTCAACATAAGACTTCCAAGTCTGGGGGTTGGGCACGAAGACTTTGTAGTCCTTCTGTTGACGTTTGATGACATGCTCAGAATCATCGGGATATTGACCACTGCTCTGAGACGCAATCGAATCATGGTAGGCCCATGGTTGAAGATCGAATCCATTCACGTTGTAGCCCTCCTCTTCAAAACGCTTCAGACGCGTTTCTGTTTCAGTCTTGCTGAGTGGCTTATCGCCTCCATAAGCTTCAGGGGCCATGGAAGGCAATGCTATCCAGCAAGCCTTTCCTCTCCAAGCGAGTTTGGTCCTCGGTCGTGGCGGCGGTGTCGGTCGTTGCATGTCTGAATTGGGTGAAGGAAGTGGTGGTAATTGGTTGTTCTTGTTGGGACTGTTTCCCGTAGATCTAATATCCCCTGGTGGTGCAGGTGGTGGAGGGAGAGGTTTCTCCTTCTGAGGGGACAAAGCCCACTTTGAGGTGAATATTGACATGTCGGATCCGTCCAATTGACGCGTAAATTGCAAAAAGTCTTCCTGCTTCAAGGTTAAATTGCTCTCTCTAGATTTGTGACCTCTTTTGAAAGAGTCATGCGATACTGGTCTTTGTTGTCTGTCGAATAGAGGACTGGCCGACGTATTCTTGCGACGGTGCCGTCCAGAGAACCAGGTAAAAGGTATGGGTGTTTTGAAATCTTCTTCGTCTTCAGATCCTGAATTACTGTCGCCAGATTCGTCACTCAACCAATTTCCTCTTTCCGAGCGCCACTTTCCAGTGGTGTATTGCTGTACCCAATCCTCAGTCAGACGACGAGTAATGGTATGGCGAGACGGTCTTTGTGCTACGCTCTGTGTTGTGTCCTCTTGCTGGGCCAATCGTTCTGTTGTGATCGGACTCGCTATGTGATGCTGGATCGGAATGCGTGAAGGTAACAAATGGTCGAGACCGAAAGAAGGACCACTGAAGTCCCGTTCCTGAACAGCGACCCGAGATGGGACGAGGTGTTCGAGGTTAAAGGATGGACTCTCGCTCTCAGTATGTCGCGGCGAAGCGATTGGGGTACCTTGCGCACTAGGTCCACTAGGGTCTTGGGTAGGTCGAGTACAGGGCGAGCCCCAGCTAGCGGTATAGTAGACGGAGGGAGCCTCGGTGGTGGATTGAATCTCTTCAAGTACTGCGCGCGCAGAACCGGACGACGGTGTCTCAAAGATAAGCTTGGGAGCAAGAGCTAGAGGCTCGTCGGTCCCTAGTGCATGATGATGAGACCTGACTGGACTGTTGATGGGTGTGATAGCAAAGGTGCGTGCAGAAGACACTCGAGAAGTCGCCGTATCTAGACAGTCAGCATGTGAGGTCAAGACACCCCTCTTCGCCGGACACACCTTCTATGGTACCAGACAGCAATGAGCGATGAATACTCGCTCAATGCAGTCTTGCTACTAAGATGCTGAATGAAAGAAGTTGCCGACTCTGGGGGGCTTCTTGCTAAAGCCTTTGGCGGGTAAGGAAATTGCTCCGTATTACCCCTAGAATGGTGAAACTTGGGAAAACGACCGTTTAGTTGACAGGACAAAATCGAGCAGATATTGGTAGCTTCTAACAACTGCATACACCGCTACACTGTCAGTCAAATGCGTATTATAACAAAATCAACATGCCTGTAAGGAGTGTCGATCAACACGGGCCATTCAAGGAGTAAATTAAGGTTCCACTTCCAACGTGGCCGTGACCGTTGCTGCCTCCTCCTCCGAGAACCTTACTCTACTCTCGTATGCCTCCATCACGGGCCACTGATCGGTATGATATTGAAAAGAACAAAAAGTATTTCGAGTCTGAGGAAACAGTCCTCTGTAGATAATTGATGAGTTGACCTTATTCAACGACCCACCCAACGCTCCTTCCGCTTTCGAGAAAAAAATCCAATGTAAACGCTATCAAAAAAATCAAAGAATATGCAACTCGTTCAGGGCTTCATATCTAGGCCTTGAGTCTCCTCTCTTCACATCTCACACATACAGGATCTTGGTTGTTTCCTCTCAAGAAGTACCTGCCATCATCGAAGCCATCGCCACATTCCTAGCAATTCATTAGTGAAGCTCATCTGCGAGTGCTTACGTTTGACTTACTGTACAGCAGAAACAGTCAGCATGCCAGTCGGCACCCAACGCTTTGATAACGACGTCTGTGACGGGGCGCCTGCACTTGCGACATTTCGCGCTGTATCTGTTGGTATGACAGCCTACACACCACGCATATCCTTCCTTCTCGACAAACGGCGTAGTCGAATCAAAAGGCTATACAAGAGTCAGTCATGCTTCCAGGCTTGAAATCGGTTCTAGGCAGACTTACATCACCACATTGTGCACAGAAGAAATGACCAACGTGCCATTCTGCTCCACACGCAACAACTACCTCGCCTTCAATAGGTGTCTTGCAGCTCTTGCAACGCGGACTGAAGAATTCATGAAAGTCCAGTCCACAGAAGAATCGCAGTGACTCGTCACCATCCTGTTCTTCAAGTCTTCTTATATCTTCCTCGGTGACACCTGCAGGTATTTGCATTTCGAGACCTCGTTGCCGTTGGCGGATCCGAGCTAGGCGCTCGCCACGCTTCTTCTCCGGCTCCGGGTAGAATGCTACACATTCAAGATTGATACCACATTCATGACACTTGAAGCATGAAGGATGGAAACGCTCGCCCGCGGCACTCAGAATGCGCCCTGCTATGGGCAATGCACAATGGGCACACAGGGCTGTGTTCCGTCGCACGGAAGGTGTCATGTGAGGCTTGGATACTGTGGGAAATGGCGATGTCTTCGAGGGCACGGGAAGAGGACGAGCTGGTGCAGGCGTGGGAGTAGGGAGAGGGCGTTTAGAGAATGGCGAGGATGTCTTTGGTGGCGAAGACTGCGGGCGGTGTTGGAGAGGTGGTGGTCGGTCGTCCTTCGCACTGGATGGAGCATCAATGACGAATACAGGAGGCTTGATAGTACTCGAAGAGAGAGAAAGCCCAGGGATGTCCGGCTCCTCGGAGAGCGTTTTGGATGGACTCGCGATGGGATCGTCCGGGAGAACGATCATTGGAATATCAACACTTATCCTGGCAATCATGGGTGTGCTACCAGAAATACCGGTCGATCTTGCTTGTGGTTCATCAGGAAGGATAATTTTAGGAAGGGGAGGCGGGCCTTGCTGAGAATGAGGTAGCGAATAGCGCCTCTGTTTTCCACTCAAGGCTGCACTGGATGGAGCATTCTTTCCCACAGCCAGACACTCCGGAAGCGCTATCGACTTCTCCTCGACCAGCTGGATTTCCTTGGGCTTCCAGCCTGATTGGAAACTCACAATCGGCCTACCAGGGCTATCACTGACTGCTGTTGGTTGAGGTAAATTTGGACTTCTGTCTTTGCGCTTCATCGCTGTTGCAGAGCGGATGTCATCGCCGCGTACTTCTTTGCCGTCTTTGACTTTGGGACTGTCCTCGACAGCTCTTTCCGGGATGTCTTGGGGTGGGAGATTTGGTGAGGCGGGCGCCGATTCGTTGACAGTGTAGAAAGCATTTCGAGATTGCGAAGGTGGATTTCTTTGAATCTCGATCTTCTCATGTTTCTTCGCTGTGTATCCAGAAACAGAGACTTTCTCGGATATTTTCTCATGCTCTTTCTCATCATTCTTCTTGACTGAGTATCCGGAAGGAGATTCCTTCTTTTCGAATTTCTCTTGTGCCAATCTCACTCTAGCAAATGGGTTCCTACGAACGTGGCGAGGAACCTCTTCCGGCTTCGTCTCTACTTGTGTCGTTATAGCTGGCGCTTCCACGTCCCTGACTTCTTCCAATGGTTCGTCTGGCTCTTCGTAGATCTTGTCGGTCGGGTTCATGAATCCTGCCTTGACTTCTGAACTAGGTCGTCTTTTAGATCCGCTACTTACACGTCGTTTTGAGACTGCGACGTCATTGGCCACAGCGTTTGCGAGACCCTCATAGCTCTTGCCTTTCGATCGCGTGCTTCTTGATGCAGATAATGGTGTGGTGATCGTTGTAGGCTCCACAAAGGGATCTTCGGGAAGTTTCCTATTACCACGTTCATCCAGAGATGTGACCGGCGCATCACTTCCTGCCGAACGACTCGCAAATAGAGGTTGTACTTCGTTCTTATCCTTGCTCGTGCTTCGGAGATGGGCACGGTAGTCTTTACGGGCGGCTTTGGGGTCCACATCAGGATTTGTGTATGCAGAGGCGCGTTCCTTCTCCGGGTCGTGACCGGTGCGATGCTTCCAGACTAGCTCAGCGGCTTCGTCCTGTGCTGCTGCGTGTATGCGTTTTTCTTCTTCCAGGTTCAACTCTTCTAAGGCCTCATGTATTGGTTGCGAGGCTAAAGGTGACACCTTGCTGACATTGGAAAGACCGGGTTGCGCTACCAGAGGACGTCCGGTGTACTCGTCGCGGCTGATAGAATCAAGGCTCTTCTGGCGATTGTGTGTCGGAACTGATTTGTTAGTGGTGGCTAAGGTGGAGTCGTCGCTCGATGTTGGTCTTTGCGGCTGACGCTTGCTTGCGATTCTTGAAGGTGGAGGTGGTCTTGATCCGTTGAGTCTTGCGACACGGTTATTTCGGAGATCTTGTAGGTAAGTGGCTGAATTATCGTCGTGTAAGTTGTTGATCTTCTCATAGTCGGGAATAGAAGAAAGTCGTTGACATTGTCTAAGTGGTGAGGGTTTTCTTGGAGAGTGTGGTGTCTTGGGAGGAGAAAAATGAATGTGCTGACCCAGTTGTTGATTTGTATGGTTGTCAAGAGCCATGACGAGGCCAGAAGACAGGGATATGGAATTCGTCTTGGGTCAGCTTGTAGGACGGAAGACTGATGGCGGGCGCAGGTTGATTAAAAGAGATATATCAGAAGACAGAAAGAAGCGTTATCAAAACAGAGAAATCAATAGTGTAACGAGAGAAACGAGAGTATAACGACGTGGAGGTGAGGTATTCTCGAGCGAAGTACGAATGATAGGCATGACGGTTTATTTGCACTCCAACATAGCAACCAAAAAGCTTGGACCAATGTGGCTCAAGCACTACGATCCACGACCCTGCGTGCGGTCGGACAATCTTCAATGATGAAATTGAGTTGCCTGGAACTGACGATTCGTGAGCAGATGGTGCTTGGAAGACTCAGGCAGCCTGTGGAAAATATGTCATCTTCAGATGACATATGGAAGACGATGGTTGTGGCGTGCAGAGGTCTGCACCGCCGTTGTCCTGGAGAGAAGATGGTCGGATGAACCGTCCTCCCCGACAATCGATATGAGCTGGAGCTGGCCAGCCCTCGCACCGATCTTTCTGGTGAGGCAGACGAGATTGGGGCCAAATGTAGGTATATGAGCATGCGGTCAGTGTGTGAGTAGCGATCATTGTACTTTACATTGCCAATACGAAGGAGCAAGATAGGGGCTGCTGATCAAGTATTTGTTGTGCGCACGAATGAACAAATTCTAAACCACATCGAGAGCGATACTACAACAGAATTCTCGTGACATAATCAGAGTAGGCAAGCAGGACGTCAAGGCATGCACGTCAGATAAGTACGGTTGGCTCGACACGGCCAGTGTAATAAGCACACACGTGAAGAGGACAGTGAGTAAATCCATTGCGGAAAGAAGCTCAGGATAGTTTCAGTGGTGGAAGCGACGGAACGGTGAATGTAATCATCCATGACATACATAATGATGGCCGCATTTACGGCCTTTGAGAAGGGTCAAAGGTGCTCTAGTACAGACGAGCATAGCACGATTTGTGTGTGGCGGTAAAACAGAGGCAGGGTCGCGGTAGCTGTAAGGCTGAAGGGTTCTGCCGTTTTGTTGATGTTTGGTTTGGGCGCCAAGAAGTCGAGCCGGAGCGTGCTTTCCTCCTGCCTACCGCCTGCCTCCCCTTGATCCCTCCCTACGCCCATTGCCAACCGACAATCCCCTCGACCACCGTCACCGACCTTCCAGACCTCTTCATCGCCCATCCATCACAGTCAAGATGCGTGAGATTGTGTGTTCATCCCACTGTCACTTGCGCATACCAAGAGCGTTTATGCTAACGCGTTTCTCCCTTAGGTTCACCTCCAGACCGGCCAATGCGTATGCCTACCCTGAACTGAGCTCTGTTTGACTGCGAGAACAAGGCGTCTGATGTTTCTGAACAGGGTAACCAAGTCGGTGCCGCCTTCTGGCAGACCATCTCCGGCGAGCACGGCCTTGACGGTGCTGGTGTGTACGTTGACCCTCTCTGCGCATGCCCAAAGCAGTGTGACAGCTAGCTGACCGCCCAACAGCTACAACGGTACCTCCGATCTCCAGCTTGAGCGCATGAACGTCTACTTCAACGAGGTCAGTCCGATATCTTCGTCCTATCCTCGACCACCCCAATACTAATGCGCACCTTAGGCCTCCGGTAACAAGTATGTCCCCCGTGCCGTCCTCGTCGATCTGGAGCCTGGTACCATGGACGCCGTCCGTGCTGGTCCCTTCGGTCAGCTCTTCCGTCCCGACAACTTCGTCTTCGGCCAGTCCGGTGCTGGCAACAACTGGGCCAAGGGTCATTACACTGAGGGTGCCGAGCTCGTCGACCAGGTCTTGGATGTCGTCCGTCGCGAGGCCGAGAGCTGTGACTGCCTCCAGGGTTTCCAGATCACCCACTCCCTTGGTGGTGGTACTGGTGCCGGTATGGGAACGCTCCTGATCTCAAAGATCCGTGAGGAATTCCCCGACCGCATGATGGCCACCTTCTCCGTCATGCCCTCGCCCAAGGTCTCCGACACCGTCGTCGAACCTTACAACGCCACTCTCTCCGTTCACCAGCTGGTTGAGAACTCCGACGAGACCTTCTGTATCGACAACCAGGTTTGTCTTGACCCTGTCCCTCTCACCGCTCCATCCACTAACCTCACCAGGCTCTCTACGATATCTGCATGAGCACCCTCAAGCTCAACAACCCCTCCTACGGCGACCTGAACTACCTCGTCTCCGCCGTCATGTCCGGTGTCACCGTCTCGCTCCGTTTCCCCGGTCAGCTCAACTCCGACTTGCGCAAGCTTGCCGTCAACATGGTTCCCTTCCCTCGTCTCCACTTCTTCATGGTCGGTTTCGCTCCCCTGACCAGCCGTAACGCCCACTCTTTCCGCGCCGTCTCGGTCCCCGAGCTCACCCAGCAAATCTTCGACCCCAAGAACATGATGGCCGCCACCGACTTCCGCAACGGCCGCTACCTCACCTGCTCTGCCATTTTCCGTGGTAAGGTCTCCATGAAGGAGGTCGAGGACCAGATGCGCAACGTCCAGAACAAGAACTCCGCCTACTTTGTTGAGTGGATTCCCAACAACGTTCAGACCGCCCTCTGCTCCATCCCTCCCCGTGGCCTCAAGATGTCGTCTACCTTCGTCGGTAACTCGACCTCCATCCAGGAGCTGTTCAAGCGTATCGGTGACCAGTTCTCTGCCATGTTCCGTCGCAAGGCTTTCCTGCATTGGTACACTGGTGAGGGTATGGACGAGATGGAGTTCACTGAGGCTGAGTCCAACATGAACGATCTGGTCAGCGAGTACCAGCAGTACCAGGAGGCCTCGGTCTCTGAGGGTGAGGAGGAGTACGATGAGGAGGCTCCCATGGAGGCCGAGGAGTAAGATGTTGGCCAACCACGACCAACTTCTAATTTCGTATTCACGTTGTCCGAGAGGGGAAGCGATTGGATCCTCTTTTTCTACTCTTGTTCTTTTTTTCACGATAACCAAGTCAAATGTCCGAGCATTGGGCGCCCTAGCGAGTTTAAAAATGAAAGCCCTTGTCTTTTTGTAATTACCAAAAGCTGCTCTTTCCACCTGTTTGATCTGTTCTCATTTGCTGAAGTGACGCCCGGGCATGTTTAAGGACAACGATCGACGGCTGGAATGTAGCTAGGTGAGAGAACAGAAGCCATCTGATGCTTTCAATGCAAGCAGTGATATCCACCAATCAAGGACATTGAGACCAACATGCTATATTCAACAGTACGTGAACAGCATGCCGAGTTCAACACCACGCGGCATTTTGACCACCATACTCCTCCGCATGACCTCTTGTGAGACCTGGATTAGACTGGCAATCAACATCGGATACGAAATATACACTCAGAGCCATCCATCCAACAAGCTACAAGATCAACTTTTGACATTAGACCTATCAGATTTAAATCTCCTCGATCTCGACAAACCAGACATGAATGACATTGTAAGCTTATCATGTCGTAAAAACCTCGTCAAAGTGACTTTTCTGATCTCAACTAGCACACTGGGAGGTGGTAATACGAGTGAGCGGAAGGGGACACGCCATTGAAGATAAGACACCATTAGTCCAACGAAAGAACATGGAAATAAGCAGAGAGAAAGAATGATACAATGCTGACTGACTAAAGAGCTTGTGCAGAACAGATAGAATCTGATCTATGATATGCGAATGACATGAGTGAGACGAAAATGAACGAAGATGCTACACCAGGGTCATATATAGAAGAGATGCATAACTCCAACTACTACTGAATCGCTACGTCACAATGCCTCGCAGCAAAACACAGACCATGGATCAAAATGTGCAAGTAACAATAATGCTTTTGAGGGTATGCTAAAGAGAAAAGAAGGGGGGTATGTGTGAGAAGATCAGACGATGGAGTCAATTTGCAACAAGAGCAGAAAGTAGAGAAAGCAGAGAAACATATGAAAAACAGCAGAACTCGCAATGCTATGCAGAAAGAATGAAGGAGCAAAAATAAGCACTCATGTTTTCTTTTGCCCACGAACGTTTGTACGCCCGCTTTCCCAGTCTCTCCTCTCTCTCTCCTTTCCGAGTTTTTCGTTTATGCAGCAAAAACAGGAAGGAGACAAAGAATAAAAATGCCCGAATATGAAAACTCCTTGTTGTTTTTCCTGCATGCCGTCCATTTCGTTCACCGGACCCCCTCCCATCCTTTCGCAAAAGTCAAGAAAAAACTACTACTACTACAACAACAGATTGGTATTGAAAGAAAAAAGTGAGAAAGAGATCCTTAAAAAAGAAACCGGGCGGAGAGAAAGAGCCAGTGGAGACATCCTCTTGAGAAGCCCGCATTGAGCATAGGTACATGTGTGTCGTGTTTGATGGCGTCTGTTGTTTCCTCTAGAAGTCGAGACTTGTCGATTCCGTATAACGACGACAATAGGAAAGCGCGAGAATAGTGCATGTCTTCGTGGTTGTATCCGTTGGTCTGGGTATAATGGCAGCGAAAAAAGCAACAAGGACTGTTGTCAAATATTGGACAAGAAAGTAGGTATGGTAAGAATGGTCGATCAAGGGAGAAGTGCGGGCTGGTTCTGCTGCGAGGGGTCAACAACCTGATCTGAGAGGGCGAGCAGGAGTTGTGCCAGGCAACGCTTGGTGGCAGCATCGTCGCGCAGCACAGAAGAGAAGGTCGCATCGCGGAGAGGTTCGGGCAAGCATTGGCGAAGAGCCTCGCGGGCGCGGGCATTGTCGCTAAGACTAGCATGTCTGTTAGAAGTGAAGATGATAGAGGGGTTCCAAGGGCGATTTACCGAAGGAAGCATCTTACGACGTGCTTGAGCAAGCGCACCGTCTGCTGTTCGACGAGTTGGTTGACCATGTTGCTAAGGACGGTACCAACTGCGTAGAATCGCTCATAGGTCTGACAGATGTACTGCAGACCAAGATCGTCGAGCAGAATCTTCTGGACAATGAAGATGGCGACCGTCTTGCTGAGTTCGCTGCCTGTCTCCATGATACGAAGACAGAGGGGAATGATCTCAGTTGTTAGGAGGAAGTTGATGACCTCTGAGCTGTCATTCTTGACCAGGGCGCCAATCACACCAAGAGAAGTGAGGCGGAGGTATTCGAACGGCCTCGACTTGGAGGTCGTGTTGAGGAAGGGGTACAGGAAGAGCGGGATGTGAGCGCCGAGGAAGAGGCCACGGGTCTCACCATGCGAAGCCACACACTGGAGCAGAGCCAATGCGTTGCAGACACGGTTGGAGGCAGCTGCCGTGAGTTGAGAAGGGTTGAGCAGAGGGTAGACTGAGATGATCTCCTGTAGAAGCGAAGTCATGACGCCTGTTGCCGCGTTAGTAGTCCGAACACCCACGAGCCAACACAGGGGTACTCACCGAACGAGTGCCACAGAATTAGGGCCAGCTCGGGAACCTGTTCCCTCTTCTTACTCAGCTCAAGCAGAGCGCCTTCACGCGTCTGGGGGTTCATCATCTGGGCAATCCATTCGAGTACACGACGGTTTTCGTCGCTGACGGCGCCATCGCTCGACTGAAGCTGGTGCTCGTGCGTGGGCTGCATGCTCGCGGCTGAGGCTACGTTGTTGACAGCGATTCGGTTGTAGTGCTGTTGTTGCGCAGCTGCGGCAGCGGCGGCGGCTGCGGCAGCTTGTGCCTGAGCCTGAGCCTGAGCCTGCGCTTGTGCTTGAGCCTGAGCTTGTGCCTGGGCCTGCGCTTGAGCATGCTGCTGCTGCAACCCGTGGTGAGACTGTTGGTGGTGGTGAGATTGTTGCTGCTGCCATTCCTGCGGCGCGTAGTGCTGCTGGTGCTGGTTATGATGTTGATGCTGCTGGTGCTGCTGATGCTGATGCGCGAAGACGTGCTGTGAGGGCAGCATCTTGGCTGCGCGGGCGGTGAATGTAGACAGATTGATTGATTGGAAAGGTAGGTGCTTCGAAGGCGACAAGAGGAAGGAGCACGGGGGGCAAACAAGGAGATCGTCAGAGGGTCGGTTGTTACGGTCTGAGTGAGTGTCAGAGAGAGGAAGGCACCACGGCTTCCTCGACTCCTCGGCCCGCGAAGCTTATCTGATCTGTATCATGTGGTACGTGCGCGTACATGCATGCATGCCGCCGGTGTGCCTTTGCTTCACTGCATCTTCATCTTCTGTGCGTTTCCGTCGAGAACAATTGCAAGCAGATACCTGACAACCGAAGTGAACGAACAAGTCGTGATTGCATAGGTACGGTTGAAGCAGAAAGTGGTAGTTATGCTTCACATCTTCTGCCTCTTGGCTCCATATTCATGCTGCTCGAGCCATGAGACTCCTATAATTAAGTCCTTAAATCTGCTTCGTCTTTAATCCAAACACCTGCCTGCTTGCTAGAACGCCTAATATGCCGTCTTTTACTCGTACCTTCCATTACATCCTCCGCCGATCTCAATCCTTTCTACAGTTTCAGCTCGTTCAGAATGGTCTGCGCCATGTTCTTGTACTGCCAAGTACCACCATCCACCTTCTTGAACTGAATACCGTGCAAGCTCAACAGAGGAACCTTGACCACGAATATCTCAAACTTGAGAACCATGCCTTGTCCAAGATCGCTCTGCACGTGTGTCGATGTTTCACCAGCAGCTCGATTGTGCTGTTGTCCGCGGACCCTTCTCTCCTCGCCATCATCGTCTGAACTGTCGCTCGCAGTGTAGCTATTGTCACGTCTGAACCGCGGTGGTGTAGGTGTTGTGGGCTCGGCCGTACTTCCGCTGATCAAACCGCCAAAGCTAATCTTGCGTCTGTGGCTTCCAGGCCCGATTGCTGGCTCCTCTCTCGGTTTCTCCATGTCAATGCTAGGAGCATGTCTACAACTGAACCCGCCCTTGATCTCGCGATATTCGACACCGAGCTGTTTCAGAACTCTGATGATATCGGTACGAATCACGGCCAGAGGCTTCGAGCTGGTTGTTGATACACTGAATAAACCCTTCAGGTAAACAGGCTTGATGCCGTTCGGGCTCTCACTGGTGCTGTTAGCCGATCGAGCTGCCTCTACTTCTCGAAGGTCCTGGTCGGTCTCTTCTGGCACGTCCTCTGTACGATTATCCACTCTTCGAGCCCGACGTGCCTGGAAGCTTTCCTTGCGACCGTGGCCCATGGACTTTGTTCGTGAGGTGAGAGGCATTGTTCTGGGAGCCGAAGGTTCAGCATCTGAAGAAGCGTCTCCATACTGTCTATCAGCGCGTCTGGTGGGCTGTGGAGTGACTGCTGTTTGTCGAGCGGTCGACCCTTCTGAGACACCTCGGCGTGAGTTGTTGCGATTATGCTCAGCCGCACTGACACTGGTGGAGCGACCAAGACCGGTACGCTCGGCTGTTGGCGTAAGCAGCTCGGTCGGTTTTTCGACGACAGGTTCCGCCTGCAATCTATTCGCGCTTGTGTCTCGTTGCCTCCTCATGCTGAAGCTCTTTCGCGGAGTCGTATACGCGTCGTTTGTCGCTGCTGGAGCGGGTCTTTCAGGATCCTTGTGCCGTCTAGTACTCAATCTACGGAGTAGACCAACTGCGGCACTCTCCTTCTTGATTGGCGTGTGTTCGGGTGGAGGAAGGACAATTGCAGGAGATGGTACTGGAGGCACGCGGTTGGTCGACCTGGCCTTCTTCGCGTCTTCCTGCAGATCATCCTCGCCGTGCGTTCTAGCTCGTGGACGACTCCTGCCTCCTGTTGGCGCCTCTCCAGCCATCTCGTAGGTGGCGGTGTTTGTGTAAGCAGCTGCCGGTGGCTGGAGGTCTGGCAGCTGCAATGGCTTCTCTCCAGGCGAGCGCGGCATCGAGAGCGCGCCTGGGTTAGATTCCCTCTCTTCGCGCTCTATCTTCTCTTTGGCTAAGAAGTAAATCGAAAGCAGAGGGTTGTAGGCATTCAGAGGATCTGTGCCTAATTGGACGGCTTCCGAGGACGGTCCGGTAAGAGTGTCTCGACTTGTTGTAGACTTTCGTCTTTTGTAGAAGTCAAACATGCCTCCTTGCTTGTTTTGTGAATCCGAGACGCCTGACTGGTGACGGCGTTCCATCGCCACAACTGACTTCTGGTACTCTTCGGATTGTATAATCTTCGTAAGCTGCTGCTCAATGTATTCTGCCGTACCAAAGTCGAAACCGTCCATCTTCTGTAGCACTCGAGGATCCAGCGGTAGCTGTAGTGCCTTGCGAGGCGGCAGATAATTCTCCGGCGGACCACCAAATCCCTTCGTCATCCAGGGATGGACCATGATCTCGGCAAGGGTTGCTCGTTGTGTGGGATCAGTGACAAGCATGCGTGCAATCAAATTCTTGCATTCTAAAATTCAGGTTAGCACATTCGTACAGCTCGTGAGATGTGGTCTAATCGTACCTGCGCTCAGCCAAGGTGGATACTCGACTGCTCCTTTCTTGATCTTGGCATGCAATTGCGGCATGCTCTGGTCGTCGAATGGTACCTTTCCACAGACCAGGACGTACAAGACGATACCAAAACTCCAGACATCGACCTCCGGACCAGTATAAGCCTTTGCCTGCAAAAGCTCAGGGGCGGCGAAGTAAAGCGAGCCACAGAAGGTTTTTAGGAGGCTCTTGGGTGAGAAGGTGTTGCTCAAACCAAAGTCAATGATCTTGATATCTCCCGTCTTGCTGATGAGAATGTTCTCAATCTTGAGATCTCGATGTACGATGCTGTTGCGGTGACAGTAGTCGAGGGCACTTGCGATTTGACGTCCGAACTTACGCGCCTGCTTCTCCTTCAGACGGCCATGCGAAATGATGTAGTCGAGCATCTGGCCACCGTTGACATACTCAAATAGCATGTACCAATGGTAGTTGGTGCGGAGGACATCCCGCATACCGCAAATATAGGGGTGATCGACCAGGGTGACGATAGCGGCTTCACGGGCGGTACGCACTTCCTTTGAATGGTCTGCTCTTTCGCGGTCTTGGGCATTACGGTGCTCGTCGGTCGACTGGCGAGGGACGATCTTGACAGCAACCTGAGGGAGGGTTAGTATGCGTGAATGAAGATGGTTGGTAGGAGCGGAGGACGCACTTGTTCACCAGTCTCCTTATTGCGAGCCAGCTTCACTTTACCCATGCTGCCCGCACCGATGGTCTTTCCCAGATCCCAGTGACCAGTGGTTGCATCGATTGTTGTTCTTCGGCGAAGGTTTGTTCCTGCGGCTGGGGCAGCATGGGTGCCATTTGAAGCAGAAGAGGCCAAGTCTTGGGAATGATATCTCGACTGACTGGGCGGAGCGGTGTTTCTCGTCGAGTCTGAGCGTGTGGGCGCATCGGCGCGTTGGCGGGTCGCAGAAGATTGGTGTGCTACGTTTGATCGCTCATAGTCGTTCCTAGCAACGTTCGCGAGCTGACCAGCAGCAGCAGAGGCCGAGGCCGAGGCCGAGCGCGCGTGGGCATTCATCGTGTGCGTCTGAGACTGCGAAGGCTGTCGCGAGGGGGTCGTTTGAGGGCGATCTGTTATGATGGCAGCGGTCGACATGTTGAGAGGCAATAGCGAGTGTCGAGACGACTCGCGTTGTTGCGTTAGAGGTTCGTGTAGATCGGGATGAGCATCGGTCGCTCAGCTTGCTTTGTTGAGCCTGATGGTGGAGCTTGCGCTTTCCTGTCCTGTTCTGATAACAACGAGAGAAATGGCAGTCGCGCGGGAGTCGGCGACGAGCAGGCTCGGACTACGGAAAGGGGACTCAGTGACTGGGCATACCATCCAAGGTGTTTGCGGAGAACGTTGTGACACTGCCTAGCGCGTTCCAGCCACTTTTACTACAGACGGGTGGCTACGGACTATCGTGACTGGCTGAGCCTGACAAGGCCCGCTGAACTTGTAGATGTGACTTTCTTGACCTGAATCTGGCATTACCGTCACTGCTGTCGCATTCTGCTTATCTCAGGAGCAGCGCATTGTCGTCAGAGGTCAGTAATTGCTGTTGGCCATATTACCCACGAGTGTTGGTTACGCTTTAACGCGACCCACACTCTCCCGCTCCAGACTTTCAGATCGCCTGCCTCTCTCTTCCCACCGACTCACTCCGTAATTCCACCATAGCATCCATGCCGTGACGTAAGTACAGCGATCTCACCACTCGCAGAATCATCTTAGTGCTTGACACCATGCAAACAGAAACTGAAAATGTCATACAAGCGATCGAGAGACAACTTTGAGAGCGACCAACTTCCACCATTTGCGCTCTTCGGCACACCTCTTCCTCCTCTCGACTCCGACACTCGCGACGATGGCTCCTATGTCCCTGTCTGGAAGCAAGACGCCCGCGATGAGCAGGGTCGAAAGCGCTTTCACGGTGCTTTCACCGGAGGCTATAGCGCTGGCTACTTCAACACTGTAGGCTCAAAAGAAGGATGGGCTCCCGCAACCTTCACTTCCTCGCGTACCAACCGTCGCAAAGATGCCCACGCTGCCCGCCCTGAAGACTTCATGGATGACGAGGATCGCGCAGCCGCCGCAGAAGCACAGAAACTCCAGACTCAGGATGATTTCGCCGGCTTTGGTTCTACCAGCCAGGATCCTCTGCGTCGTGGCTTGATGAGCGATCTGCTCAGGCCAGTGGGTGAGACTATGGGCGTCAAGCTTCTGCAAAAGATGGGTTGGAGACAAGGCCAGGGCGTTGGGCCTAGGATCCGGAGGAAGGCACGCGGAGACGACATCATTGGCTCTTCGACAGGTGATGGAACACACCTCTTTGCCCCCGACAACTCCCGCATGGTGGCTTTCAGTCGGAAGAAAGATCGATTTGGCCTTGGTTACACTTCCGGAGAACGCTTGGACGATGTCAGGTCCGCCGCTGAGCCGGACGATGGAGGCGAAGACGCCTCTGAACCCTTCGATCAGCCCGTCAAGCCCAAGGTAAAGGCGAAGCGTTCTGGCTTTGGCGTTGGCGTCTTGAACGATACTGGCTCAGATGAAGAGGACCCTTACGACATCGGTCCAAAGATATCTTATAACCGCGTCATCGGAGGTGATCGAAAGAAGAAGAAAGGCGGTATTGTAGCAACTACCGCCAATCCTGCTCTCAAGGGACTGAAGCAGCCGACCTTTCTGTCCAAGAAACTGGGACAGGGAAACAACAACGGGTTCAGGAAGTGCCATGACGGCCGCCTTCCTCTCGATGGCTTTGTACTAGCTTCATCTCTTCTGTTGAACAAGCAGGAAAACAAGCACCCGCCTCCTAATGTTCCTGAAGGATGGGAGCCGAACCAGACTACCTCTGAAGCCACTAAATCATCCTCTCATCAGTCTACTGCCGATGCTGCTCGCGCTTCTACAATGGACCCGGCAAGAAGAGCAGCAGCACTCGGAGAAGAACAGCTTCCCGGAAAGTCCATATTCGACTTCATGAGTAAAGCGACACGCGACAAACTTGCCACAGCAACAGGTAGGTCGAATCTTCCTATGGCGCGAGGAGAGGCCGCACCTGAAGGATGGCAAAGATCCGAGGCCGACAAACAAAAGTCCTTGTGGGACCTAGTCCCAAAGATTGATGTCTCGGTCGCAGCCTCAGCACTGCAACGTGGGACAAGTGGCTGGATGCCATATGCGGAGGACGAAGCTAAACGCTCTCGCTATCGTTCATTCCTCGAGTCTTGCAGCGGCCAACGTGATGCATTACCTGATCGTGTCAAGGGCTCCACCATGGACGAATGGGCGAAGGAAATGCGAGAATTTGCACAAGCAGCAGAGGTCTTCAAACCTATATCAGGTCTGATGGCATCGCGGTTTACCAGCTCTTCATCGGCACCTCGCCTCGCCACAGACACGATTTCCTCAAGCTCCGAACAGCCGACCAAGCCTGATGATCCTGCTGAGGCCGCTGCGAAGATTGGCATGTTTGGTCCAATGACCCGTACTCGTATCCAATTCTATCCAACCCGCCTGCTCTGCAAGCGATTCAACGTAAAGGCTCCTGCCCATGCGGATCCAGGAAAGGGTCCCACAGGCAACGATAGTGTCGTCTTGGACAGTAGACTTGATGTCGTCTCACAGGATAAGATGGATCAAATGATGCGCGAGACATGGTCCCGCCCAAAAGCTGCACCCGATGGAGGCAACGAGACATTGTTGTCCACACCTGCCGAACCTCAAGTCAGACCACAGGTGAATGTCGAGGTCAATGAAGCCATTGAAGCAGAAAGACCTGGTGATGCCGTGTTCAAAGCAATCTTTGGCAGTGATAGCGAAGACGATTAGTAGCCTTCTTGAAAGTGTCGCCAATGCAAATACCAACAATGATCCTTACGACTGAGGTCACATTACGATACACATGACATTCTGTCCCACACGAACAAGATAATTCTGGGTCTCCACAAGAAGGACATTATTCCCTCCATCTCGCCACCTAGATGACCCTGCTCAAATCATCGTGTTGCTCGAAATGCCGTCGACTCGGTTGAGAAAGCGGCTCATGACAACTCACACGACCAGACCGAGATGACCCTAGGCTGAGTAGCGAAAGCCGACCAACTTCATCGTTCCATATTCTTCCAGGACATTAGAGGAGCCATGAGTTTGAAGATGAGCTTCGCCTCGATGCTTCAGAGACACTTTGGAAAACACATCCGTAGGCTCATTGATATGAAAGTATAGACGAATATCGGACGTGCTTTCTTCGTGACAGAAACTTCTACCATGTGCGTGACATACACCAAGTCATATATACAGGTGCTGATCAATAAGGGGCGCCGAGCATAGTGGTAAGCTTCGGTGCAATATGTGAAATGGCATGAGCGACGAGCATTTCAGACCATCGGTTACTGATGCTCGTGCCTGTAACGAGTCCACGACACCGGCACCTGACGGCAATATCTAAGCAAGACACAATATAAAGCTCACGTAACTTTTCAAATCAAGCGGCCCTTTAACCGCCATGTCGGCTGGAAGGTAGAATATATTGGCGACGGTCGACTCTCGGCCTCAGCAACAGAAAGCGAGTGTTGAACACCGATGGCTCAATTGCGGTGCACCAAGCACGATGAAGCTCTGTGTGCGCTCTCAGCCTCTTTTTTTTTTCCCGAGCTACCTTTGTTTATGGTGGAGACATTGAGTCGGTGTAGATAGGCGGTATGTGATGGTGCCAAACCTCGTCGTATGCGGCAGAAAGCCCTCTGATGGGTCCCGCGAGGGCATGCTTGAACATGTGACCAAGAGCCGGAGTCAGACTTATGAACTTATTGGAGAATGTCGAACGATAGTCAGACAAGTTCCCGAGAGAGCCACGACGACAACGATGATACAGCAGTCTCCGAGGTTTAGTCTTCGTCTGCTCGCGTCGCCCCAGCAACCACAAGCCCCACACACACTCGCAAAGTACCATGAGGACCCAAGGCAACAAAGCAAAGAAAAATCTTTTGCTCCAAATATTGCCGTGTGTTCCTCTCGTACGTAGCAGAGAACAAGCGCGGATTAAAGTGGCGAGAAAAAGCTCCTCTTTTGACTGGGTAACAGATCAACAGCGTGTCTTGGGAAGGCTGGTGAGCCAGACTTCCAGGACTCCACCATCGTGGTTTTGACAATGTGGCTATTGTCTCGGACCACAGAGAAGACGAGGAACCCTCCCTGAATTGCCTAAACAAGCACGAGCGAGATCTGCTGTGAAGAAGCCGACGGACCTGGTGGCTGGTTCGAAGGATGATCTAACAACAAGAGACAATAACAATGTGCACATACACATAATGGCACACAAGCATCAAGGGTATCAAAGCGACACGAATCCTTCGTTCCATCTATATTCTGGAAGGCAAATCTAGAGGCGTGGTGGCAGACCCTGCTGCTGTAGATCCTCACAGAGCCGTAAACCTTGCCGGTATTGCTCTCGACGGTATGACTCTTGTCGACCATAGTTTTGGCTGTTAGTATGCCATCCTGGTGGAAATTGAAGCTCTTTTGGTGGACATGAAGACCCTGATTTCTGCACACAGAAGACCTGAGCAGCTTGATCTTGACTTTACAGTTCGTGCTTCTGGGTTTCCGTGTGGGAATGAGGTGTGACCTATTACAGCATGTAAATTGGAGCAAGCTCCGTGGATATTGTTTTGATCTCGCAAATCTCGCATGAGTATGCTTTAGAGTGAGCCTGTAGCGATATTGGCACTCAAAAGAACCGACTTCGCTATTCCAAGACTCAACATCCAAACACCAAGTCATTGGTAATAAGGTAATCTCATGCTTCATGTACTGGGATACGGCGACTGTCGCGGACAGATAGCTTGTTAGTCCGTCAAGTGCAGACCTGAAGCACAGTGCAATACGCGTCTGCTGTCGCACAAGCGACACTGCATGCTGCTCTTACTTGCAGATAGCCTCGTGGAGCATGTTACTCTGCGTCAAACACGTGGGAGATAAGGCTGGTCGGAAGTAATAAGCATAGATTGGCTGCTGTGCGACTGAGGCGAGGTTGTCGTCGCCAGGCATCGAAACATCCGGCCATGTCAATCATTTATTCTGCCATTCACGGCAAGACATGAACGCATGATTACCACACAGCCCCAGATACTCCGCGAAACAGAGATCTTGGTACACCATTGACGACTGTACGGTATCAACACGGACGAGGGACGGCACCCTTCGTCTCAGAATAATGGCAAATGACGACTTTGGTGTCGGGCTCGAGATTATTGCTTTTTGCAATGACAGGCAGGGGGCACAAGCTGTAGACCTGTTCCTGGCGATCCAAAACAAAGGAAGATCGACCATGTAAACACACACTCGCAAGAAATTTCCTGGCTGCTGCTACAACGATGACGTCCATTTTGCTTTCCTGCCTTGATCCTAACGAGCGGATCCAAATGCAGGTCGACAATGGTGAACGCGAAGTAGCTTTTGCTACCCGCGTGAGCAGCGCGAGTATCGCGCGTGCAGAGTCAGATGCAGAAATGTTTTTATGCAGGTCTATCCGCCAATCCCCGGCCACCAACACTGGTTTTGGGTGAAGATGGCGAATCATGTACGTGCAAAAAGCCCACCAATAGTGTCAATCTTCAGGTTGCAGCGGGGAGCCTGGAAACATTCGCGACAGGCAGATCAAGGGGACCAGCACACCAGATAAGCGCACGGCGGCAGCGAGCCTCTTCTCAACGCGCGTTCAACCCTTCGACCTGTCAACAGGTGGATGTTAGGTGAAAGGGTCCTTCTCCTGGCTCTCGGCTGAAGATCTCACGACGCGGGATTTGCTGTGACTGACTACAGTTTCGGCAGTGATGCCTCCGAAAAGTTAATACCGAACCAGCGACGACACGGTTGTGGGCCGATCGTAGGAGAATCCAATCGTCACCGCTTCTACGCTGCAGGGCTCTGTCGAGTAATTATAGGTCTCCATATGGAGGCGAACGGCTTTGTGTTCGCCGGTGCGTGGAACGACGCTATTCAACTCGAATGGAGTCTCGCATCCCATCAGGTCCTCTGGCGAGCTTGTATCGAGAATGACCGTCTTGAAGAGATCATACATGAAATAATCAAATGAAGTTCTGCAAACAATCAATCTTAGATGAAAGTCAAGTAAGCATGGGCCAAGCAAGTGCGGTGCCATCAGCAACAGGGCTTTGGACACATGCAGTGGACGTGATCACTTTGGGGAAGTCGTGCTGCCTGACTGTGCCTGCCACATTTATTGTTGTTTTGTTCAACAAGACCGTTTTCATAACTACCCTCTGCCCTCGTTGCTTCTTCGACCAAGTCAAGCACAGCTTTGTTTCAGACCCCAGCCACAAGGCGTGTTCGCTCTCGCCTTCGCTCTCCTTCCCATCAAAGGCAAGTTGCCTCGCACGGTTGCCGAGGGCACAGTCCATTATTATTTACTGACTCGGTTCTAGTCAAAACCTCTATCGAGTTCATCAAGCACTTCTGTCTCGCGACTGACGAGGCTCGCTTTCGCAAGCTGCATCTATCTCGCGTCTGTTGTTTCCCCTTCATAACAGTTCGCTCCAAGGAGGTCGCAGCCTGTGTCGGCTTCAGATTAGCCGAGCTTTCTCGACACAAGATTCAGGGGCGTCTAACAATAACCATTCACAAGCACCGTCTGTGCAGCTCTGCACACCGTGAGTCCGTGACTCGTTGGTCTAAGAACTGACCGTCCTTCCGTCTCACGGTCCCAGCCACTTTCCCGAGCTTTGCCAGGTCCAACTAGGGCGCCACGAAGAACGGCCCTGCGGCCTTGATCTACACACTACGCTAATTAGCGTGTATTCCGACTTGCCCATTGTCTTGGGCCTCTCACATCTTCCACCTTGACCACCTTGACGTTTCCTTTTCCCCTCCCAAATAACATCCCATCACGCTCATTAGTTGTATTTTCGCTCTTTTTCTTTTTCTTCGAGATTCAAACACTCTGACCGACCATCGACCAAACATTCGACCGCCCATCTCTTATACCCGTTACTCCCGCTACAATCTAATCCTAATACAACCGCGGCCTCCCCTCAAGACAACATTCAGCTCTTCAACGGCCTCCCGAGTCCTGATTGTCTTGCTTACCGTCCCAATACGTTGTTATCGTATGCCTAGACTTTGATCCTAGTGAAACCGGTATGCGTCCACCTCCATGATCGATGGGCGACCCGCCGTGTTGTGCAACAAAGACTGATGGTTTCTATCAAGAGTTTCCTCTCTTCCATACTCTGTGCTCTGCATTTAGATGCAGTAGAGTCTTCATCAAAGGCTTCCGGGTTCGAGCTTGATATCACCAAGCAAGCCCTCAATAAACATGACTGTAGCAATGGATAATTCATTCCGTGGCTGGTCCTCGAATGCTAACACTGGGGCCTTGTGCCTGGAGGACAAGTTTGAAGTCATCAAAGATATTGGCGACGGTAGTTTCGGAAGTGTCGTCCTCGCAAGGACAAGGAGCGCTGGCGCTCATCTCGTACGAAGAAACACTTTGGTACGTCGATCATCTCAAGTGTAAACGATTGAACTTCATCTAATCACAACTTTACAGGTTGCTGTCAAGACCATGAAGAAGACCTTCGAATCCTTCTCACAATGTATGGACCTCAGAGAGGTCATCTTTCTCAAGTCGATACCAGCTCACCCGCATCTTGTACCGGCTTATGATATCTTCCTCGACCCACTCAGCAAGAAGTTGCACATTGCCATGGAGAACATGGATGGCAACCTTTATCAATTGATGAAGACCCGCGATCACAAGCCCTTCGACGGTACTGTTGTTAAAAGCATCTTGTTCCAGATTCTTGGTGGCTTGGAACACATCCATGAGCACGGCTTCTTTCATCGCGACATCAAGCCGGAAAACATCCTCGTCTCTTCCTCAGCACCTGACACACAAAGCGCCTTCAAGCGATACTCATCATTGGTAACACCCCCTTCGACACCTCCAACATACACAATCAAACTTGCCGATTTCGGACTGGCAAGAGAAACCCACTCCATGGTCCCTTACACGACATATGTCTCGACTAGATGGTATCGTGCGCCTGAAGTACTCCTAAGGGCCGGTCAGTACTCAGCACCTGTAGACATTTGGGCTTTTGGTGCCATGGCTGTCGAGATTGCAACCTTGAAGCCTCTGTTCCCAGGTGGTAACGAGGTTGACCAAGTCTGGAGAGTCTGCGAGATCATGGGTAGCCCTGGTCTCTGGGTCAACAAGCATGGTCAAAAGCTGGGAGGTGGTGAGTGGAAGGATGGTGTGCGCCTGGCCGGCAAGCTCGGGTTCTCCTTCCCGAAGATGGCTCCTCATCCAATGGAGACTATTCTACAAGCGCCTCAATGGTCCGCAAGCTTCGCGCGTTTCATCACTTGGTGTTTAATGTGGGATCCGAACGTTCGACCAACTTCGACACAAGCCCTTCAACATGAGTACTTCGCCGATGCTGTCGATCCTGTAAGACCCAAGTCGTCCAACACCGCCAAGTTCCTCCGCAGCAAGAGCTCTACCTTGGGCAGCATCGAGAACTCGCCAGAATCTAACCAAGGCAGTATCTCACTCAAGAAATCTTCATGGTTCAGAAAGTCCATCAGTACCACCGACTTCACACCACCTTCTGACCAGCCCCCTCAAGGGCCTACTTCACATCCGTCCCCTGTGAACGCCAGAGGAGTGGAAGGTACAGGTTCGGTCAAACTTCGCCCCCCTTTCGCCAAGAGAGCGACATGGAACAGTGCAGTGCCGATACCTATTTTGCCATCGATTAAACCAGCATCACCAATTCATGATGCTGTCAATGCATGTGCTAAGACCGAAGCGGTAGAAAAGAAGAAGGTCTCAAGACAGCTATCTGTGAATTCGCATGGCAACCATTACGCAGAGTACCACCGCCAGGAAGCCGAGAAGGCACTCAATGGCTTGAGCGGCCTTACTTCACCTACTGGAAGTATCAGGGAGAGCTTCTTTTCGCATCTTCGCAAACGGGCTCGTAGATTCTCCGGTCGCAACCAGCTGCCGGGATCTCCAGGACCTGAGGAGCCCGAGTCAACAAGTGTGGGCTGTACTCCATGGGCATCAAGCAACCGTTCATCGCTGTCTGCAGAACCACCTGCCCGCGATTCCGCTACCGACACAGGATTTTCCGAACTCGACAAGGCTTTGGAAAGCGTTCGCTCTAGCCTCGACGCTCGCGGTTCAAACGCGCCAGCGAGACAAGTACAGCGCATGTCAAGCACACCTATCCTTAAGCGTCATCATTCGCTGTCCACTGTCGCAGACGGACGCACCTCGCCTGCACTTTCTGTCAACGCACAGACTACCAGCCGAACACGGCGGTCTGTAAGGCAATCGCTAAATCCTCGTCTAAGATACGAAACCCCTGATGAAGAGGAGGAACTGCTTGACGAGGCATTGACCAACGCGCGTCGGGCAGCAAGACACCTTGAGAAGCCTACGCCTACCCCAGCTAAGCCGTCCTCGGGCAAAGAGAACACCAGGCCTCCAATCACACACGTGACCTCGGATCCCGGCTATTCAGCTCCCTACTTGACACCCTCTCCATCCAAAGACAATAACATTGGATTTGGACAAACGGACATGACGCCAACAAAGTCCATGGTCATCACGCCACGGAGGCAACGCGATAGCCTGAATCCTCAATGGCCCACACCTCCATATGACGACCATGAGTGGGCTTCCTCGGCTGCAGCATCGATCCTCGCCGTGCAGACTGAAACTAAGTACAAATGACCTGCTGCCATGAGCTTGTCATTCCCATCGCCTTTGCTTTCGAGCTGATCGGCATTGTTTATCTCACTGTTTACATCTATCATACCCATCTGGCTTTCGCGTTGTACATACCGGATATGTGCTCGTCACAAACTGGAGTTCGATCATCACCATCATCTAGCTGTCAGCATTTCCTAGCGTCCTATTCGCATCTCGTTTTTCCTTGTTTTCGCTTTTCCTTTCGGCTACCAAGTTTCAGTTCCATACCCCGGTTCCGACAAAAAGGGCCACTGTTTTGTCGATCTTTGCTTGAGAAGGCATGAAGCCTTCTTTCAGCCATCAACCGCATATTGCACATACATGCATTGTCTTTCATCTCCTGTACAGCGGATTCACTTTTCTATATTCTGCACTTTCATTGCGCAGCGTGTTACCCTTTCGCCGGCGTAGACAGCGCGCCTTCACTTGCGAAGTTGCACAGAACTCTTCAGGCAACTTCAGTTTTCTTTTGTCATCAGTTTCAATCCAGTATTCGAGAGGTGGCAAGGTGTTTTGATGGCGTTCCCAACTGTACAGCTGTTGGGTGGAACAAGGACGGGAAAATGGGTTCCATGCACTTTTACCAACCACAGTACTTGTCTTTACATAGGCACTGGGATATACAAGGCTACCTCTTGCACTTCTGACCCAATCGAACACTCGCATTCACTTGTTAATCAACACTCACATTGTCCCAGTTTGTCCCTTTGATCTTGTCCTGCTGGTTTCTCTCTCAATTCAATAATGACAATAAATAAGAGCCACTTTGATGAGCCTGCATTTGTACGAGTCACGAATCTACTTCGATAGCTCAATATCGAGACAATAGCCTTAACCTTTGACCGCGATTGAATTTGCAAAACTCAGGAAACTTTTACACCGTTATCAAGCGGCCAGATCGCCTCAGCGGCCCGGGATCGGCAAACGGAGCAAGCGCCAAACTGACCACACTGACAATGTACCAGCGACACGTATTGCTGTGTCGACTGTCGACGAGGATATGCCTGGACGAACCCGAGATTTTACACATGATCCGTCACGTAGCTAAAAAAGATCGAGCATCGACTGGCGTGTATGTCGTGCATGCTAACGTGCAGTTACGACGCAAATCCCGCATGGCTAATGCAGGCCCGGCCTGGAAGGCTGCAGGAGATATCCTGCACCTCGAACGAGCGAGTAAGAACTGACATGAAAAGCCTCGGGGCCCGAATTTCCCATCTAGAACGAAGTAAATGCTCGCTCGCGCAGAACGCAAGCCGCACAGCCGTTGGCAGGAAGAGGGGCAGCGTCAGACGGCGCCGTCTCGGGCTCTCAGCTGTTTTCAGGATGCTGTCACCAACGCACTTGCAGTCGTAAGTCAGTCGCCGCTCCAACCCCTGCCTAAGCCGAGTAACGCCAGTGACTCGAATTCTCTTCTGCCTTGGAAGTCGTGGCCCGTCGTGGATTCCTTCTGATGCCGCCTCCACTTGAGAAGCTGAATTGGAAGGAAGTTCAAGACAACAAACGCCACGATTGTCATCGTACCAAATCGTGGTGCTGCGGCCCGCTGCCTTCAACCCTCTTTCCAATCTCTTTTCTCACCTCTCTGCGAAAGCACGTGTCTATTGAGCCGCGCTTCTCGAGCTCCGCGGAAAGTATCTAATTACCGGTACTCCTCCCATCAAGCCCTACTTCTGCCGGCGCTCGACGGTCTCTATCTCACCCAAGGTCTACGCTGGAAATTGCCCTGAGGCACTCTCGATTTTACCTACCCTCCCACTCGTGTCCAGGACAACAGATGTCGAGCCAGGGCAGTGCAGACGCCACGAACTACATGGCTGCAGTAGTGGTCCTTCCTCATGGAAATACTGCAGCCTGCGAGCACTACTATTGTTTGCAGTTCGCGTCGAAACCTCCACCTGGTCGCCGGGCCCGAGCCGCCCTGATCACAGCTCGAAAGTCCCGAGTAAGCAGCGACTCACAGCGAGCAGGATGGTTGCATCTTTTGAGCTTGCGGGAACAGCTCCGTACCAGCCTTCGAGTGCGGAGAAGATCAACCAAGATTCGGGAGGGTATGCATGCGAACACTGCCATTCCCGGCCCCCAGCAAAGGTCATGTCGACAACCAAGTATCACACAACGAATCCTCCCGGAAACTATTTGAACCTTCACTTGCCCTCATGCATAAACAAGCAAGGAGTCATGCTGTCCATCCTGTGGGAATGTCTAGTCGTGCTATGTCTAGCCACAACTCGACTCGGTCAAAGGATCAAGGACGAGAGCTGACACTGCTTTCAGGGCTCTCCCGGTTGCCATGTGCATCACTGATATGCCTTTTAAACAGCTTCTCGCCCCGATCTGCGTCCGAACTCTATAGACGATGGTGTGCTACTAGGTCTGGCGGATCAGTATCCTGATACGGCCTATATATCACTCCGGCATCCCAGAAGAGGCTCGGCATATGTGCCGAGTCATTGCTGACTTGGTATTTAATCTACAACCATTTCTGAAGTTAAGGTTGGCCCATCGTGTGATGAAGAGGCTACAGGAGCTGTCTGAGCCTCAACTTCCTATCTCGCCCGCATCACAACATATCTTTGTCTGCTTCGAGTAAAATCAGGGCTGCTCTTCGTATCACTGTCTCGGCTCGCGACGCTCACGATCGTCGTGTGACTCGTAAGTTTTTGACGATCGTGGGAGATCCCAATTTCTCAAATGCAAACGTACCAATTCATTCTTACTAGTGCTATTGAGTATTATGAGGAGTAGGTGAGCAAGACCGTCCTTTTGTACTGACGTGGATTACGCTGCCCTTCGTCATCTTTGATCTCTGTAATTGTCAACTGAACATTTGACCATAGACAAAACGTGTTGTTCACATTCTACACCTCGTTGTGCTAGCTGTTCAAGATGTTCAGTCGAGATAAATCCTTGACTTATCTTGCTGACCCTCATCAGAGACCCTCATCACAGACTTGAAGCGCTGACTTACACCAGATCAACTGATAATCCATCAACAAGCCTCGAGAAAGCGCAAGGGGTCCCACTGTCTTAAATGACTGGTACAAACCAAGTCAGATCCCTGTGGCAGGGTCACACGGACCACAAGACAGGGTTACCCTGTTCATATTCCATCTGGCGCCTGACAATATGTCACCAAATAAGAAGTTCCCAATGGGACAAAGTAGAGTATCCATGTAGGAAGCTGAGGCCTTGGAAGCCCTATAAAGTCTGTATAATCATTAAGTACGGACAGGATGAGTCTTGTCAGCAGTTGATTGTTGAAGACAGGGTCACCCATGCGCAACATCTCAATGCATCTGTCATTTCTAACGTATCTCAACCGCACAGTAGACGAATCGCGCGACAATTCGTTACCAGATTTTTGGTCTACTTTTGCGGCTTGGTGCAGCTAGCGCAATAACACATCGTGATCTGTCATAGGCGCACCCTTGATGTAGAACTCTGTGGGGGAAGTGTCACCCATGTGAATGCTCCCGGTCGCTAGAGGAAAGTTGTGCATAAAGTTGTAGGACGTCACGAGGTACTCCAAGGGCGTCAAAGCTGGAGTTCTTCCCGAGTATTTCGTAGAGGGCCGAATTGCTGTTGCTTCACATCCGTTCTCCGTACATCTAGCTCTGACCTCGATATAGACCAGATTGACTGTGCAATTACGCATCAGCACTGAATATGCTTGCGAGTCAGAACCGGAATACTGTGTGCCAAAGAGGACGTTTCGTGGGTTTTGCAGGCCAACATCATTCAGCGTTATCTGATTCTGGTCAAGGAAGATGCGTTAATGAACATAGATTTATTGTTCGGAGTCCGGATGAGCCCTGGTTGCTCCACGAACCGTGGATCCCTCCGAAACATATTTCACGCTGGAGATGGACAATCTATATCCAGATACGAATACTCGAAAGTGAGCTCCTGAAGCGGGCGCACCTCTCTGACGAGTCCGGCCAACGGTAAGCCAGAGAGGGAAGTGTAGTTATCTGCCGAGGTCGATCTCGGGATAGTCGACCATCCATCTGGAGACATTGAACCACCAACAGTACTCAAACGTGGGATCTTGATGTTGCCCCAGGTATCGACAGCGGAAGTCTTGACGGATGCCGGAGCAAGTAAGTTGGCGCTATACAGCGAGTTGATCGCCGCCAAAGGCGTTGCTGCGTCGCCAGTCATGAGTATATCGTTCGCGACTGCATGACAGTTCATGCCACCCGTCGGTAGATATAAGACTGGGTTCCCGACTTCAGTATGAGATGAAACAGTGATTTACAGGATGCGAAGAGATGCCTGACCACCAAGAGGCGAAAGGCACCAGAGCAGAAAGAGGTGGGCGCCAAACAGAGTGAAACGCCGTAGTAGTTAGGACTCTTGAAAGTACCCCATACAGTTTGACTTGCCAGTAGCAGTTCTAGAGCGCCAAGCTTCATACCTCGCTCAGCATTGTATCTGGCGACTGTCTTGAGAGATTTTCCAGCCACAGCCGCGAACATGATTAGGTATATGGAGGGGCCCTGATAAACACGTCAGCATTAAGCAATGCCAACTCGATGAAGAGATTGCAGGGTAGTCGGGCACAAATGACGATGGAAAAGCCGGGAAGTGCCTTGGCCTGGTACCTGGATCGGCCTGTTGCGACTCACTAGCATACGGCTTCCGTGAGATTGCCATTATCGATTTGATACTCATGAGTCACACAAAAGAAGAATAAGGGGATTTAGTGCGAAGTAGACACAGCTTACAAGACGTGTATGATCTTAACATTATGGCCAAGCCCATTTCTATTAGTCGATTTTCCGTCTAGCTTAGCAGCTAGTATAGCAAAGACTGAAGATGATAAGTGGCGCCTCGTAGAGCTCTTGGTTCAACGTACTGATGAATGCTATTGGCGCAAGAGTGATCAAGGCTTCACAAGAGTTGTAGAACAATGTCAACAGCGTCTTGTCTTCCGAGGCTCCTCTGGCCATCCTTTGACACGGCAATCTTCATCCAGGGTTCGGCGTATTGATATGGCACATGGTTTCGGATGACCCTCGAGAGAATTATATGATGGCAATGGTGGTTCAGTCCTTTGTTCAAGGTCCTGTGCGAAGAAATCAGACCAATGTCTACCGTCATTCATGTTGTCGAGCAGTTGTTAGGAAGACTAGCACTGTAGGACAAAGCTTTTGATAGAAATACTGTGCCAACCATAAAGAGGCCCACAGCCCGCGATTGATATGCTAAAAGTAGGTCGAAGTTAAGTTCGTCCCACGTCAAGCGCCAGATATGCAAGGTAGATCGCGAGGGGAAGAGGGAGGCAAGCGCCAGCGTCTGTATGTTCAGATCGCCCCCGGACGTGTTCAGAAAGGTGGTATAGTGATTTCAGGACGAGTAAGTTGCTTGCACTCTTCAGGCCAGCACTTCTGGTAGCCGTGAATATGTGCCACTTGACTTTCGAAGTATGCTGAAATAAAAGCCAGATGGTCATGGCTCGAGCGCTGTATGATCAAAGGCATACAGAGCAAGTCCTCTGAAAAATCTCGACGTGTTGCGACCCGGGCGACCTGGAACATAGAGGAACATTTTTGAGTGGGATGGCCGTGCTGTTGGCAAGACAGAGGACAATCTTCCCCAGCATCATGTTATTACACTATTCAGTCGAGGTGTAGATGCCAGTCTGTTGCTAGTCAGTCAGTCAGCTTGTCCCTTGCGTCGGCGCTTTGGTGAGACGTAGTGGAAGCCAATCACACATATGATCGTTGCTTCACCAAGATCTTAAGCGCCAGACGCTCATGTGTGCGTGCCACACGCTCTCGGAACGTTAAGGAGTCACCTTTCGCGCCTCCTTCCCATTGATGTGCAAGATGAGGAGTACCGAAAAAGTCGTACTGTACTGCCTCGCGAAATTTCGATATTGTCCTGCGAGCAGAGCCATCAACCAGTTCGTGTCCAGGTCTTCAAGTCACTCTGTCCTCGATAAACCGCATAGCCGCTAAGCGATCGCTCAAGCGAACCGTTGCTGCGAAATATTCAGCTTCCCGAAACGACATGCAATACATGTCGCTCTACGAGGGCAAACTTGAGTTGAGGGCACACGCTGTTTCTCCAACTCGCCAATCATCGGCTTACCACTTTTTCCGGATTCCTCACCTGCAGAGACATCGGTACACAGCATACTAGAACGCGCCCCTCACATGACCCGCCTGTGCAATGCAGAACTGCATGGTCCCGTGTTTTTGACTCGCATGGTGGAGTTGAAGTAACGACTGGCGAAAGACAAAAAACCTGCGACGAACTGGCGGCGGCTTGGACTTTCCCGGCGCGAGATGTCACAATCACTCATGGAAGCATGATACGAACTGCACGAAGCCACATTCGATTCTCTCGCCAATAGATGCGCTGGATAGCCTTCCATCGGTGGCACACTCTGTTCTCAAATCAGCAAAGAAGTTTTGCACAAGCGCCTTGACAGCGGTCTGGGGCAATCGATACATTAACGTGAAAGTTGACTGCGCCCAGATGGACGACACGTTTTCACCCTCGCTGCCGGAACCCACACCCCTGACGCTAATCAGCTTTAACCGAGTGACCTGACCAATGATCGCTGCTTCTGTGCACGATCACGAGCATGTGGCTTCCACGGAGGAACGGCCTTTAGACCTAGATGGACATAGCGCCAGGTACGCAGAAAAGGATCGCGACACGGACACAGCAGCCCGTAACCATGGACGCAGGCTATGCTGGCAAATTGACCCGAGTCGTCGTAACGCGACAGAGACAGAGTACGGTACCTCGCCATGCCTTCACTCGACGCAGGCAATGCCTGCAGAATTTTCTTTATGCGAAGAGACTAGTATGCGACAGTGGAGAACACGACTGATGCAGATGGGTCGTCTGCCTTTGCTGAGCTGCAAGAGAAAGATCTAAGCACCCCACAACCCGGCCCAAAGAGAGACATGGCGTGTGTTATTGGATAGTTTCCAGGAGAAAGCTGCCGCTAAGTCAGGAACTGGTTGAGTTCGGGAGGGGAGGACCGTCTAGCGGCTTTGCATTGAGGATCCGATTGAACTCCACAGCAGTACTTTGGCACACTGTCGGCAAACACTACAAGAAGGCAGGTTGCGCTCTTCCTTTTCCTGGTTCACAGGCTTGAAGTCTTACGGTTGTATTCCACTCTCACTCTCATTTTTCCCCATTCGCTCCTTCCTCGTTCTAGGAACTAAGCATTCCTGTACACTCTTTCACTCTTTACTCACCACCCACGGTCTCAACCAACCCAGAGCTGCTAGCCAGTTCGTTCAGTCTTTCCAGCTACACAAGGAATTACACCAGCTTCACTCTTTCAAGCAAATTTTATCATCATTATCAAAATGAAGTCCTTCGGAATCATCGCTGCTTCCGCGCTCTTCGGAGCTATTGCCAATGCCGCGCCCCTTAACAAGCGCGACGTCGTCTGGGTCACCGAGATCGAGACTGATGTTGTCACCGTCCCCGTCACTATGACTGTCTGGGCTGGCGCTGAGGAGACTACCGTAGCTGCCGCTATCACTACCACTGAGAGCAGACACGGACACCAATTCTTCCACTCCAAGGCCCCCAAGGCTTCGACAACCTCAATTGTTGCTCCCGTCGCTCCTACCACCACCAGCTCTTCAGTCTATGTCGCTCCTACACCCTCAAGCACTTCAGTATACGTCGAGCCCACTCCTTCGACTACTTCGGTCTACATCGAGCCCACTCCCTCGACTACTGCCGTCTACGTTGCTCCTACCACTAGCAGCACCCCGGTCTATGTTGCTCCTACCACTTCTTCTGTCTACGTCGCACCCACCATCGAGACCACTTCGGCCTATGTTGCTCCCACCACTAGCACTACTAGCAGCGCTCCTGCCGCAGCCACTAGCTCCTCATCTTCCGGCTCTAGCAGCGGCATGGCTGCATCTGGAACCGAGTACACGGGAGATCTGACCTGGTACCAGGTTGGCTTGGGTTCTTGCGGAATCGACAGCACCTCTGATGAGGCCATTGTTGCCATCTCCCACACCATCTTCGACGACCCACAGTACGCCACTGCCAACCCTAACCTCAATCCCCTCTGCGGAAAGACCGTCAGCATCAAGGGCAAGGACGGATCAACCTACAAGGCCAAGGTTGTTGATCGTTGCGTTGGCTGTGCTGCGGCCGACCTCGATCTCAGCGAAGGCTTCTTCAACACCGTCACCTCCCACGGCGATGGCCGTGTTCCCGAGATGTCCTGGTCTTGGGAGTAAGGCATTCTCGAGAACCAGATTTCGGTGCCAATTTGCTCAGCACTTCAGCGAAGTTAAGCAGATTGATCATCATTCACTCATTTCGTATCTCTTTTTCGCTAGCGCCGCGAGTCCGGCGGCTTTGCATGATTACCACAAAAAACGAATTGGGCACAAAAGGAAAATGTGACAGGCAGTGCCTGACCATTGAGGGGACCGGATGGCGGCATATATTTCAATTCTTTTCTATCTGTCGATAGCTTTACTTCTCTTCTTGTCGTTATGTTCTTCGGGGATGCAGTTTGGAGACCTTTTGTCATGTTTACCAAAATGAAACGCTTGCACATCGATCAATAATGCTTCATCATGTACTGCCTATCGTGTACTTTAACGGCGCTCTTCCGTGCATTGGCATCGTCGGGGGACCTCGCCAGTTGTCGCAACGTTGTATTGGGGCCGATCCTACCCTACTGAGCGTCATGGACTCATGGTCTATTTTAGGAGTGCAATAAGGCCGGTCGCAAACGTCAGGGAACGGCAAAATTCCGATTGTGCTGTTTTCGCACAGTGATCACGAGGTGGCAGCAAAGATGTGATTTTGACCTTGATCTGGGTGTGTGTGAGAAGGCTGGATCAGACGATAGCCTGGGTCTCCGTTCGGGAAGGAGCAAAGTCAAAGAGATAGCTTAGCTTGGCAAGAGCGAACCTTTGCTTGACATGGCATAGAGCTGCTTCTTTCTTCGCATTGGCGTTCGTCGAATGAGATGGCTAATGCTGTGTGATCGCTTTGGAAGTTGGTAAGGATGACGCTGGTCCAGACGCAAAAACAGAGAGGGCCAGGCAGACCAGATCGTGACGTTTTGGTTGCCAGTCGGATTGAACGAGGCAGTACAGGAACAGGCGCACTCAACCTTAATTTGGCCAGGAAATGCAAGATGAAACCAAAAAGGGAGTGCCAGACATAACAAGACGCAGGCTTTGTTTGTCTAAATTGATGTCTCTACAGTAGCAAGTATCACAGACAGATAGAACAGTTGCAGAGGGGAGTAACATTGATCATCGCCTGGAATGTCAACGGTCGAGACGAAGACTAAGGAATACGAAACGCTGTGCCTCATTAGGTAGGGAAGGGACTCTTGGCTAAAGACACTCGCTCTGCCGCGCTGAGGAAGGGCTGAGGCCGAACGGACGTCTTCAACACACGCATACCTTCGACCTGCACCCGCCATTCACATTTCCAACCTCTACAAAGCTCCACTCTAATTCGACTTGATATTCATACTTCGCATCGCTCGTGCCACTTCCTGTGCATGATACCTCTCTCGTCTGCCGGTCAACAATGAGCAACTCGACTGGTTAGTCAGCCTTGCACACTGCTCTTCTTTGTCCGCGACTAACAATGAAATAGCTGCCATCACGACTCCGGCGTCGTCGTCGACCTTTCTTTCAAGCTCCGCCGAAGCGCCATCGTCTACCCAAAATGTCGTCCAATCGTCCGTCTCGTCCGCCATCGCTTCGTCAGTCTCGAGCGAGGTCTTCTCTTCGTCGCAAATGGGAAGCACTGTGACGGTGGAACCGTCTTCGACCAACGTAGTCACTTCGATCGTGTCAGCCTCTTCACAGCCCCCTTCGACCCAGCTCATCACGTCGGTTGTGACCGAAAGCGCCTCAGGCCGCTCAACCAACGCTCCCATCACTGTCGTCGTCACCTCTGTATACACACCCTCAACCACGACTGCTGGCAGAGGCTCCTCTGCCTCCTCTTCAGCTACCGCCACCTCTTCATCAGCCGGTGCTCTAGCCAACGGCAGTTCCAACAAAGGATCGAACAACAGTGGCGGCCTTAGCACTGGAGGAAAGACTGCAATCGCTGTCGTGGTCCCTGTCGTAGTTGTCGCGCTTCTGGTACTCGCTGGACTGTTCTTCTGGAGAAAGCGCAAGCAAAGAAACAACGCAAAGGAGGAGCGCCGAAAGGAAGTCGAGGAGTACGGCTACAATCCTAACAACGACCCCACCTTGCCTGTCGTCGCTGCTGACGGATCTGAGATGGCCGAGGACGGCACCGGTGGTTACCGTGGCTGGGGCAACACTGGTATGTCAAACCGCAAGGCTTCAACCACCATTTCTGGTGGTCTCACTGCTGGTCAATTGAGCGATACTGGAAGTCAACCTGGCGGATTTGCGCCTGGCAGCCCGACCGGCAACAACTTCTCGGATGGCCACAGCGGCGATACTCTTATGAACCAACGCGAGACCTTCAGTAGCGATGATCTGGGTGCACTCGGCGCAGCGCCCGTTGCTGGTGCACACCGCAACAACAACGACATTCGCCGTGGCCCTTCCAATGCTTCTTCGTCTTACTCGGCCGGAAACCACAGTGAACGCTCGGATGCATCCGCCGGCGTGGGCCAAGCTGGACAAGCCTACTCGCCTACAGAGATGTACGGCGGCAGTCATGGTGGCTTCGGACAGCATGGGCCCTATGGCGACGGCTCTTACGGCGGCGGTGACAGTGGTATGCCGATTGTTCGCGATGTGAGCGCTAGAAGAAATACACGCATCGAGGCTGGCGGCAACTACCAGTCAGGAAACAGCGGTATCGCGCAGAATTTCTAATCTGTTTGCTGCATTCCCAACTATCTTTTGATTCTTTACGAATTCCTTTTTGTCACTTCAGCCAGCGCCTTTGACCATCACCTTACGGGATTCTGATCACCTCCGCTTTCCCTCCCTATTCTTCTTTGTCATCTGATCTTCCTTGATTTCACGGTACAGCGCAGGTTCGGTGTCCATACAAATTGTCTCATGTTTCCTATCTCTCTGCTTCTTACTCTCTTCTGGAGGAATGCCGCCATTATAATCGTACTTTGTTACTGCCATTGATTTTGAGGGAGGTTACAGTGGAGGAGGCAATGCTGTTGTAGTGATGAAACTGCAAGCGCTCTGGAAGATGAGGGAGAGCAAGACTTGATTGATTCCACAAGTCGTCCAGGGATTTACATATTTGAACCATATCTATCGTATTCTGCAATCAAGAAGTATTCCTCGAGCATGAAATGTCGTAAGCCACTCGTGAGTCCCCCCGTATGCGAAGGCAGGCACATGACGTTTTTGAGAAGTGATACGCGACTCCCTTGACGATTCGCGTCGCCCACGACACGCGAGACACGACCTTTTTGGCAGCAATCAAATAACTTTTCCCAATCACTGTTCCGAGACTTGTATCGCCCGTACAAGAAACACCACGACATGGAAGCCATTCATGTGGCCTTTGGCCACGATACAGCGCTATGCGATCGCATCCTCGCTGCAGCAAGTAGGTCCACTCAACGTCGCCGGCGCATTGCAAGATACGACCGTTGACTCTAAGGTAGAAGAAAACCGCGATCAGATGCAGCTATTTGTCGACATAGCCAAGTACATGTCCCAGTACATGTCAGGAAAGAGAGCGCCGGACGAAGACACTACACCAGCCCCCGACGCAAAGAAGAGAAAGACACAAGCCAGCAATGCCTCGACTGCCTCTGCTGTCGCATCGCCAGCGCCCGCTCTCAATCTGACGACAACTCTCAACCAGAAGGATGTCACCAACGTCTTATTCTCAGTGCCGGAGACGAGTTTCGCCGTGCCCCAAAGGAAGAAGATGACGGTCCAACTGGCAGCAGACCCGCAGAGACTCGAAGAAGGAGCCCTTAGAGTTGTGCACGAGGGATCTGGCATCAATCTAGCAGTGCCGTTCAGCAGAATTGGTAGGCCACACCCGAGGTAGTCAAGCAAGAGTTGGCGAACACAAGGCTAACAGTCAATCGCAGAGCAAGTCTTCTGTTTACCAGTGCCCGAGAAGGCCACTCGACAGTGGAACTTTGTCATTTTCGCCAATCAGACTCTCGACCTTAAGACGGGAGACCGAGCCATGGAGGCCGAACAGATCGTCTGGACTATGCCTGAGACTGCTCCTGTCAACGTCAAGGCTGCCAGTGGCTTTGAGCCGCTCGACGTCGACACATATGTCACCAGCACTATGAGATCGCTGAGTGCCTGCATGCTTGGCCATGGAAAGAGCGTCATCATCCCTAACGAACAAGAGTTTGCGAGCGCGATACCCCAAAGCCATAGAAAGGGAGAGGCTGCATATCACGTCAAGGCTCACAAGGGCAGCAAAGATGGTAAGACACCGCTGATCCAGTAACTGTGCACCTTTGCTAACATGTATAGGCTATCTATTCTTCCTCTCTGTCGGCATTGTCTGGGCCTTCAAGAAGCCCCTGGCACTCTTCACTTTCGAGAACATCGAATCAATCTCATACACTTCTGTCCTACAACGCACCTTCAACATTGTCATAACCACCATGCCGGATCCAATCACCGGAGACAAGCAAGACATTGAGTTTTCCATGCTCGATCAAGCAGATTTCGCCGGTATCGATACCTACGTCAAGCGCCACGATCTCAACGACGCATCAATGGCAGCAGACCGTCGCGCCAAAAAGCTCAACATCAACCCAAAGCCAAAGACCGAAGCCACAGATGGCGACACCACTGGCACAGCAGCTGCAGAAGACGATGACGATGAAATGACCGAGTTGCAAAAAGCAGAACAAGCACTTCAAGACCAAGAAGACGAGGAAGAAGAAGACTACGATCCTGGCTCGGAAGGCGAGAGTGAAGGCTCTGGTTCAGATTCTGAGGGTGAAGAAGGCGGTGGTAAAGGAGGAGGTGACGATGATGAGGAGGTAGAAGAATTCGATGACGAGGACGAGGAGTAGGATCCATTTTTTGAGTCCATTTACAGAGGTGATGGACCGAATACGAGATGTGGGGAGTGTCAGTATTACATGAGCCCACTGAGATGACCTGGCTGGCTCTATGGACTAGGAGCCTGGGTATTGCTGTTGCTCTGTTCTCACTGCTCAGTCACAATTGCTACGAGACTGACGTTTCTCTGATTAACGTGTCCTTCTCCTCTTTCTTCTGGTAACGACTGTGGAATGTCTTACTCCAAGTCATCTCTCGAAGCCTAACTGAGGTGGAAGAAAGTCCATTTCTGTAATACAGTATACAAAGAATCGAAGAAGCCAGGAAACCGATCAAGAAGCCCCTTTTATATGCAACCACGACATTTCCCCATTCCGTCATGCCAGCAATCAACAAGTCTGCGCACCCCCTTCCCCCTTGACCATCTTGGCCCCAGCAAGCAACACACTAATCCCCATGACAACACACCCAAAAGCAATACAAACGTACGCCGCATAAGTCTCCCACGTCCTCCTCTGCGTAAGCTTTACGTAACACAATGGCGGTAAAATATATGCCAGAGCACAAGCACTAGTAGCGCCAACAAGCTCAAATACAATACCCAGATCGCAGGTGAGTAGACTTAATCCCATGGCGGAGATTACGAGGGCGGTGGTGAGGATGAGGTGACGGTTTGGGTCAAAGGGTTCGTGGGAAAAGTAGTAGAGGTTCATTACTTCGCGGCAGACAAAGGCTTCGAGGGGGAGGGTTGTGAGCATGTTCAGACCGAAGCAGCTGGGGGTGTGTGTTAGTTGTGCTTGGCTTGAGGATAGGGATGAAGAGGCTCACAGTCTGGCAATATTGACGAGCATGTTGTTTGTGGGAAAGTTGTTGAGGACGTTGCCTTGGGTGAGGCTTCCAAAGTTTAGATAACCAGAGAGGGCCATGGCGAGACAGGCAAGCATCGAAATGCTGGTTGAATAGTGAGTGACCTTGGCAAAGCGATCCATAGTCGGCTTTTGGAGAGATCCATAAATGAGTAAGCTATTATGGTCTGGTAGAGCGAGTTAGTAAGACACTGGATTTGGGTGATCGGGATGAGCATACGGCAAACGAATGCTGTCACGAGTTAGCGAATTGACCATGAAGCAGCAGAGATAGACAGGTACCGAAAGATATAACGCCAATAGCTTGGAAGACACCATTGTTGATGATCAGTGATCCCTTGATCGGGCCCTTCATCTCAGCAGGAACACTTGGACCTTGCGTGATGACGGTAATGACGATTATGAGCATACTGAACAGAGCTAGCGAACTGGCTTTGGCGAGCTGCATATTCATCAGTAACGTAACATGCACCGAGGGAGAAGACCGGCCGACCTTCGAAATGTCTCTGTACAAAGAGAAGGGATATGATATACCCATGATGAAGACGACTATTACGAATTTCCTATCGGTGAGAAGCCAGAGGAAGTGGCTGTCTTCCAGAGAAGGAAAGAGAGCCGACATGACGTGAGGTATTGTGTCTCCTACAATGATACAAAAGGCAATCATGCCACCAAAGGCACTACGAGAATCAGCATATTGCACACATGGCGGAAATATTGGATGAGAATTACAAGGCCCATTGAGCGATGGAAATGGCAACAAGACCGGATTTGCCATAGCAATGCTCGACTGTTGCCTGGAAGGAGTTTGTGCCGCTAAGCTTTGAGTTTGTGACAATCAGACGAATGGTCCAATCAACAGTGATGGTCAGGACGATTAGCAGGACGACACCAGTAAGCAGACCGGCTTGGCGGAGAGCATACGGTTGACCGATGATTCCGGCACCACTATGAAAGAGTGATTAGGCTATGCACGAGAGAGGTGGCTAGGTGTGGATAAAGTGGCTCACATGATACTGTTGGCCATGTTCATGAAAGCGCTAGACATGGAGCTTTTTGGGCGCGCACTCTCCAGCAGGTCATCGGGGTTGAAGTCGGACTCTGCGACGGTGACGGAAGGAGCCTCGATGTTGGTCAGGAGCGGAGCGCGTTGACCGGCATTGTGCCTCCTGCTGCTCCAGTTGTCTGCGGTCAAGTAATCCTCCTCTTCCATCAAGTCATGGTCGTGGTGACTAGCATTGTCAAGGCTGCCCCGGACGGAGTCCTCGACGTCGAAGTGGACACGATTCGTTGTTCGGGGAGTGCCAGCTGGACGTGGCTGAGCAAACGAGGACTGTCTTCTGGGAAGAAAGGCGCCTGGACGCGGTGATTGTGATTGCGAGTGCGAATGCGACTTGTTCGCGGTGTCGACTACAATGTCGCTGTCGGGAGAGGCGTCCCGCGGGGATTCGTCGTAGGAGAGCAGCTGCTGCTGTTCATAGTGCTCGTCTTGGGCGAAGTGGCCGTGGCCTGATGCGGTGCTCGGATTCTCACTAGCCATGACATTGCGCTGTGCTAAAGTCGATCTTCAATCCATCTTTGCCCCAAGCCTTCTATTCGAGCTTGATGCCGCTGTTTTGTTGTCCTCCAACCCGCATCTACGTAAGCTCGTCACTCCTTTATCCGCTTTCGGCACAGCCCCAGCCGACTCCCTAGCACCAGCCAAGCCCGGAGTGCATGATCCATCCTCCATGCATTTCTGTCCATTCCTGACCACCCCCCTCCACTGACCGGTCCAGCCAGAGCAATATCTATCATCCTACATATCCATGCCACCTGCATCTTGCCGTCCTTCTCACGTCAGCCCATCAATCAAACAGTCCTTCTGACCAAGCTTATAAATATCATGTCAACCATGTCTTGCTCGACCATGTGCTTTTGTTAGTTCTGCACACTTCTCTGCACATCGAGAAATGCAAATGTCGTATCTCTTTCTTTCTCCTAGTGTCCTGGCACTTGGTGCCATGTTCATGACCCTAATCTATGTCCTGTATCGTGCCGTTCTACCCAAACCCATACCAGGAATACCATACAATAAGAAAGCCGCAAATTCAATATTTGGCGATGTACCCGAATGGCTGAGCTACATCAAGAAAAACAACGGCCAAGCTTTGAATTGGTGGCACCGAGAGATGGAAAAACACGATTCTCCCATCATCCAGCTGTTCCTGGATCCTTTCGGTCCCCCAGCAGTGGTTGTGGCCGACTTTCGTGAGGCGCAAGATGTCCTCCTCCGGAGACACAAGGAATTCGATCGCAGCACCATCTTTGAAAACATCTTCAGCGGCACTATGCCACATCACCACATTTGGCAGAAGACGGGCGATATCGTCAGGACGCAAAAACGTCTCCTAGCTGATACCATGATGCCAGCCTTTCTCCATGAGGTTTGTCAGGTGACTATGTTTGCTAGCTCGGTATACTGCTGACTTACAGTCAAGGTTGCGGCTCCTCGTATTCACGAAGCGATGATGGATCTTGTGCGACTCTGGGATCTGAAAGCACGTCTCGCAAAGGGCCACCCCTTTGAAGCTCATGAAGACATAGCACATACTACCCTCGACGCCATTTGGGTAGTAACTCTAGGCTCCTCTGCTAAAACCATCGAGAGCCAGGCGAACATGTTAGAGAGCATACCAGACTTGAGCCTACCGGGCAGCAAGGACAAAGCGATCAGGTTCCCTCAGGCACCTCATCCACCAGCATTCGATGCCATCCTGACATTGACGAGCTCCATGGAGCCGCTGATTAGCTCACCATTCCCCAAGATCCACCACTGGTTCTTGCGGCAAAGCAAATCATACAGAGATGCCAAGCGATATAAAGATCAGGAGATAGACAACATGATCAAGATGGCTGTCCACAAATTCGCCAACAGTCAGACTGTCGCTCTTGAGAAACAAGGGAAAGATCGATCTGCCATTGACCACATGATCAGACGCGAACTTTTGGCATCCAGGAAAGAAGGCAGAGAACCTCAGTGAGTCCGAGCAATCATGGCGAGAATCGTGAGACTGATGCACCGTCAGATATGACACACCTGCGGCAAAAGACGAACTCTTTGGCTTCCTGATCGCTGGTCACGATACGACTTCTACAACAGTAGCCTGGGCTGTGAAACTTTTGAGTGACAATCGACCAGCACAGGACAAGCTACGTGAGGTATTACGCTCGACGTACGCTAATGCGACTGCTGAGAAGAGACAACCCACTGCCGCAGAGGTCACAACCTTGCATGATCCCTACATAGATGCAACGCTGGAAGAACTCCTGCGTTGCGGCGGGACTGCATCTGTTCTGAGCCGCGTCGCACTTATTGATAGCGATATCTTTGGTATCCGCATCCCCAAAGGAACTGATGTCAACTTCATGTCGTACTTTGGCTATGTCGCGCCGCCTGTCGGTACAGTAGACGAGGACAGACGCAGCACTAGCAGTCGGGCGTCAAAAGACAAGACTGGTGTCTGGGAGACATCTGATATCGAAGCCTTCAAGCCCGAGCGCTGGCTGAGAAGAATAGGCGAGACTGACGAGACTGAATTCGTGAAGAATGCAGGCCCAACGCTTCAATTTGGCGCCGGAGTACGTGGTTGCTTTGGTATGTCACATGCTTGGCTCACAGCCGACACTTTCTGACCATCCTCCAGGACGACGATTGGCATATATCGGGCTTCGTATGTTGGTGGTCTCCATCGTTTGGAACTTTGAGCTGCTGCCAGTTCCTGAAGAACTCGCCACTTACATGGCAGTCGACAGAATCACTCATCAACCTCAGAAGTGCTACATCCGCCTGAAGAAAGCAGACTGATAATGCAAGTCAGCATGGAATCTAAATAGCTCACCTCGAACAATACGGTTAGAAAGCATGTAGCTTTAACACGTGTTGTGTTTTTAGCGCGTACTTGCGCTGATAAACTGACGTGAGTCGTGAATAAGGTGATGGATGTATCACGACATCGATAGCCGAGCACCGAACCAGTTGCCCAGTACCCCTGCGTCAGATAACACGACGTATCTCTCGTACTGCAACGCAATAGCTGAAGCCTGTGGAAGATCTCACCCCAGCTGAGAGATCTGTCACATTTGCCGAAATGGAAAGCGGCTCAACGCTAATGACTCAGACCGTCGGACGAGACTCTTATCGCCGGGCCCATATTGGATATTACCATTTCAGCTTCTCTAGATCTACTAGAAGCCATTTACTGCAGGTCCATAATCGCGCGGTAGCACTAGGTCGATGGTCGGTTTGCTCGCGAGATCAAGACGTCTCGACTCAGTACCACTGCAGCGCTTGCCAGGAGAGAATTAGTGCTAGAAGGCGATGCCGGACGCCGTGACTGGTGGACGTCCTGCATGATGCCGCTCAAATCTTCCCCAGCATCGAGGAACGCTAGCGCTGTTTGGCATGCTCCCGATGATTGCATCTAAACAACAGAGATTTGAGAAACTTGCAACGCAAAGTCATGATTAGGAGATTCCCTACAATAGTAGTCCGTGTCTCGAGGAGGGCGGCTAGATAACGCGTGCAAAGTGTACGCCGTGTCGATTGGTGGCAGTCGGGAAGGACGATTGTAGATCAATGTTTTAACTCTCCAATAAGAAAAGAAACTATCGCCGGGCAGGGCTTGGGGCCCGGCGCATCGGCTGTCGTGTTGTCCTCTACGCAGCACCTTGCATCTCCCCTTTTCATCCCCAATAATCTCTCGTCCTTTGCGCGACGTTCTTTCTCCATCCCATCCTTTTCTCAACCGCCCATTTATCCTTCCGGCAGACTTGCTCTTGCTGGACGGCAGAAGGTACCAGCACTTTCCGTGGTAACCCGAACTCTCGCAAAGATTGGTTGTCGCACCTTCCCCCCGGATTTGTAACCGCAGCTGCCTTGCGTCAACATCACGCCTTCTTGACTCTGACTTCGACTTCTGTGTCGCTTTTCCACCAAACTTCCTTCTTGTCATTCCCTTGTGCACCAACCTTTTTTTTTTTTCCACGCCCCTCGCGCAACCTCTTGGACCAGTTTGCGACGGTTGTCTTTGCGCACTTCACTGTCGCGCATCGCCTCTTAATTCCGTATATTCCGGCGCAAAGCGATTTCCAAACGCGACATTCGCCTGTCCGCAGATGAACCACTGGGAAACGCTCCTTTGATTAATCCTTGAGGTCATGCAAAGCATCTTTCGTTTGCCATGGTGTACGGATTCCTCAGGCGACGAGAAGCCCGAAAAGGCCGTGTTTCCCAAGATGCGCCAACCACCTGGTGTCGAAATGTCTCTGCTCACCAAATTGAAGCGCAAACGTTCTGATAACCAGTCTTTCGAGTCGCTACCTGCTTTCGATCACCCGAAGCGCCTGAAGCTCTCTGACGTGGATGCTGATCTATCTGTGCCCGAGGAACGACAACGTGATGCACCCATCGACATTAAGACTTCGGATACCGAACTTCCCAGCTGTGCTAACGACGCATCTCAATACATGAAGAATGATTCGCCGCTCAAGTCGGACGTTTCATTTACAGCTTCCGGCGCAAAAACTACGGATTCTTCGTTTCCAATCTCTGCCAAGCCGACACAGCCTTTGGAGACTAATGACAGGCCAGAAGTTCTGGAAGCGACGAAAGAACCGCAGCTGCAAGACGTCCTCGAACATCAGTTTAATCTCGAAATCTTGCTCAAGCACCGTGAACTGCGTCTCATTGAGCAAGAGCTTGCCAAATGTCAGACCGCGCTCGAGCAGCTTCGAAGATGTGAGTTGATCCCATACCCTGGAGCCTCTGGACTGTCGGAGTCTCTCTCCTCTGGCACCGGACCTGCGATCAGACCTCAATCTGGATTCACTCAACCACAAGCTCCGTCACCATGGGGTGTAACAGATGGTCCATATACCAGACACTATGCGAGATGGCTTCTCAACGATCCAACCTTCGACTCTGTGCCATTCAGTCACGTCATGCCGGCGCTTGACAACTACGCGATGCAGCCTGAAGGTCGCTCGACACGCAACAGTGGTGCAACTGTTGTAAAGACTGGCAGATCTCGCTCTATGCGAGATTCTTTTGGCAATCTTAACCAAGCCTTGCCCAACTATCCCGCTCACGCACGTGGCAAACAGGGTCCTCTGGTCATAAGAAGACTAGCTGATAACCTTTTTGTCAAGTTGATATGTAACAACTGTCAACGAGGTGATTTCTCTAGTGTCCAAGGATTCTTGAACCACTGCCGTATAGCGCACAAGGTCGATTACAAGAGCCATGAAGCTGCTGCCCTGGACTGTGGAAAGCCACTTGAGGAGGATGAATCTCATTTGATCCCTCAAGGTGTCCCTGCGGCAGCACCCGGAGCGCCGAAACCACAGCAGGCGACTAAGCCCGTCGTACCGCAAGTTGTGGCTCCTCCACCGGCTGGCTTCGTTCATCCCTTGAACGCTCAGACTCTGCCGCGATTCACGTGGAAGCGACAGGCGGATGAGGCGAGAGCTTCAGCTTCTCAGCCGCGAACCCGCCGTCCGACTTTGAGCAAGCCCATCACCTCTTCTGCCGCAGCTTCTTTCCACGCGAAACCCTTGGTTGGATCAAGTTTCGCGCCGTATCTCTCTGCTCGTTTCGCAAAGCGTGGTCTGGGAGGAGACTTGCAGCATGCAACAACTCAGGCTCGCGAGAATGTCGATCTCGGCCCGGAGACCGTCGATGACGATCAAACTATGACGAGGCTCAGTGAGACACCCAAACCGGTTGGCACGTCAGGATTCAGTGTCAGCAGGCCTGTGGTTACTCCGGCAAACGACGAGTCGCAGAGTCGCAAGGGTTGGTGTTCGCCAGTCTCGCGTCCTCGGCCCGCACCAATCATGGCACGCCACGTTCCTGTTGGCATGATGGACTCGACACCCGACTTGTCGCCTCATGCCGTGGATAGCAACCCAGGACTCGTATCCGATCACGAAGACGACGATGCCCCTTCTGACCTGGACGATGTACGCTCGGAACGGCATCAATCCCCTAGCGCAATGAGCAGGCTCGGCGCCCTCAGGGACAGGACTTGTGGCGATGAGTTGGTCATGGATCTCGAAGTCGACGTTGACGACGAAGCTGAAGGACACAGTGTTCTGATAAGACCACGAAGCCTCGGTCTACAGATGCGATCGAGTGGTAGTCCCAGCAGGGCCAAATGAATTGTGGAAGCGTGATTCAATAGGATGGTATAAAACTAAAAAGTAAGGAGAGATGGCGGTGCATATTTATGTGGGCGGTTCCCGAGAGGGAGAGGAACATTGCAAGCTTATCGTTGTACGTTTATTGATGAAGAGAGATGGAGGACTTTTCGTTTCGTTAGAGTGTTCTTACTAGACATGAAATTGGACAAAAAGCTTTTGTTATCATTTGATGTTTATGTCTTTCTCTCTGCTGTGCTCGAGTGTGTGTTTATGTGAGCAGGATTGTGACCATTATCTCCCTAGCTTTGCTCGTTATTACCTTGTCGAGCAGATGAAGCTTTCGACCCAGCAATTTAGTATACTGTGAAAGACGACCGTTTCAATCAACCACCGCTGGCCTCGCGGTAGAAGCTGATACTTCTGTTGGCGCCCACTGTGACAAATGTCTCGTTTCTCGTCATCTGCGTCTTTGGCAACCACTTTACAGCCCATAGAGTCTTGTCGGATTCGGTCTGAGTAGCAACGCACTCGCGACGCTCGACACTCCAAACCTTTGCCTTGCCATCATAAGCACTACAACACAAGTCAGTCCAAGATGACCACACAAAGAGTAAAAGTTCTTCAAAAAGAAAAAAAAAACACATACCCGCTCAATAAATGTTCACCCGAAGAGCTCCAGTCCAAAGTCATGATCCAACTCTGGGAGCCAGTGAGATTGGCAACCTGCTCACCGTTCTTGACATCATACAAGGCAATGACTTTTGCATCACCTCCAGCAGCCAAAAACTTGCTAGCGGGTGAGAATGCAACAGTTCTCACAGGTTTAACAAGTCCTTGTAGGGAATGCGCCAATCTGCCAGTTGTGTTGTTGAAGAGATAGACAGCACCATTTGCGTGTCCTGATGCTGTGAATTCGCCGTCGGAGGAGAGAGCGACACTCATGCCAAAGCTTCCCTTTGTTTCGTAGGAGCGGAGGAGGGTTGCGTTGGAGTCGGTCAGGGTGTTTAGGTCCCAGACGTTTATGCGGCCGTCGAAGGTTGTGGCGGCGAGGAATTGGCCGTCTTCGCTGAGGGCTACTGCCCAGATTTCTCCGGCATTCTTGCCTTGGGATGCTTTTGTGTCGTCTGTTGGTGGTGTCTCTGTCAGTACTGCTGACTTGAGTGGGGAGGCGTGGGTGTATGGGAAGAGTGTTTTGCATACCTACTATTGAGCCCTTGGGTGTCCATCGAGAGGAGTCTTCGTCCAAGGCCCATACTTTGACTTCACCTCCGAATCCAGCTGACGCGGCGGTGTTGCCGTTTGCGCTCACGGCGATGTGGTGGGCACCGAGCTTGTGTGCATCTTGCAACGTTTGAATGAGCGGGTAAGGATTGTTTTCGTCATTCGTGGGATCGGTAGAGTAGACGTGTAGTGAGGATGAGCCAGAGGCGGTGATGAGGTGCTTGGAGGTGGCTGCGACGCTGTAGATGTCTGCCGGCGAGGCGTCTGGGATGCTATGGGTTTGTAGGTATTGTTTCGACTGGATGCGCGTATCAGCTGTCGTGTTCTGTGAGAGAGTGTATCAATTGACTTGCCATGATGTCTTGTGATTGTGCAAATCAGTAATTGTCAAGTCGGCGCGAAATGTTTCGAGCTTCAGAGCGATTATGACGTTGTGATGTGGGCGTCTTTGACGCGCTTTCACCAAAAATACTTGTCAAACTTCACATGAGAGACCAAAGTAAAGGATGAAATAGTAATACAATCAATTCGTGCCACGCGCCATGTCCCCGGCATCGTGTTGTCTTCTTTCCATATCCCAAGTATAAACACCCGAAAATGCCCATGTCCTTTTTACAAACGCCGTGTCCGCGACTATACAGGCATACACTCTTTCAACATGTCTCCTCACCCGTCCTCTTTACTTTCGGTCGACAACCTCGTTGGACGCATCGGTCTTGGACTCGTCGACTCTGCCCTCTTGTTCATCCTTGACGTACTTTCTCTGGTCCATTCTCTTCTTCTGGTCCTCCTTCTCCCACTCAGTCTTCTCTTTCTTGGGACTGAAGTCGTTGCTGAACCACTTCTTGATGCCTACAATCTGTCAGCAACGCGCCCTCTCAGCCAGACATAGTCAGCATATGCACGTACTCATAACACAATGAGGGCACAGGTAATGTGCACGCTTGACTCTTCCGCAGCCAGAGCACTTGTTGAGCGAAGTGACATCCTTGAGACCCTTGCCAGCCATCTGTCGGTGACGCTTCTTCATGTGTGATGTCTTCTTTTTCGGCACAGCCTTGAGGATGGACTCCCAGATATCCGTAACCAGGCTAGGAATGGGAATGACAATCGAGGGCAGTAGAGGGGCGGGCCATAATCGAGCGCCGAGAGGGAGGAAGCTCCTTGAGGGGCCAGCGGGGCGAAGAGAAGCTGAGGCGACAGCGAGGAAAGACTGGAGGAAGCCCGTCGAGGGCGCGGCGCGGAGCGACATTGTGGCGGCTATTGACAGATGGTCCGACTGTTAATTGCTGTCAAGGCGTGTCGCATCGACAACTTCTCAAATTCCCGCCGATGGAGCAGAAGCCGTGCCGAGAGAAGCACAGCGACAGTCTCAAAAGTACGCGCACAAATCGAGCTGCAAGAGCGGACGGAAGCTCAGCCGAGGGCTTCGCAGTTGTGGGGGGCCGTGCCCATCGCAGCTTCCCCTTTCGCTACCACGGACAGACCCTGTGCCCCAGACTCGTCCTATTGTATACCATTCGTGTTCTTTTCAAACTCAATCGCCACTCCATCTCCGGCGCCATCATCTCTCCGACCGTCTTTACCTTGCAGTACACCTCCACCCCGTCACTCGCTCCCACCTCATCCACAATGGCCGCCGCAGCCGCGCCCTCGCAGCAGGCATCGTCCATCTTCCCCAAGAGCCACGTCGGTTTCGACAGCATCACGCAGCAGATTGAGAAGAAGCTGCTCAAGCGCGGTTTCCAATTCAATGTCATCTGCGTTGGTCAGACCGGTCTGGGCAAGTCGACTCTCATCAACACCATCTTCGCCTCGCACCTGATCGACTCAAAGGGTCGTTTCACCCCCGACGAGCAGGGCCGCTCCACCACTGAGATCCACCCCGTCACTCACGTCATTGAGGAGAACGGTGTCCGTCTGCGCTTGAACATTGTCGACACTCCCGGATACGGCGACCTGGTCAACAACGACAGATGCTGGGACCCCATTGTCAAGTACATCAAGGACCAACACTCGGCATACCTGCGCAAGGAGCTCACCGCCCAGCGCGACCGCTACATCCAAGACACTCGCATCCACTGCTGCCTGTACTTCATCCAGCCCACTGGTCACGCCCTCAAGCCTATCGACATAGTTGTTCTGAAGAAGTTGAGCGAGATTGTCAACGTTGTTCCCGTCATTGCAAAGGCCGACGCCTTGACTCTGGAAGAGCGTCAGCAGTTCAAGGACAGAATCAGAGACGAGTTTGCCTTCCACAACATCCGCCTCTACCCTTACGACAACGACGAGTACGACCACGAGGAGACTGCCGTCAACCAGCAGATCAAGGTAACACTCGCCATCACGCATCAAAGAGAATGCCCTCGTCTAACACACCCACTAGAACCTCATTCCTTTCGCCGTTATTGGCAGCGACAAGACCCTCAACATCAACGGCCGCACCGTTCGCGGTAGACAAAACAAGTGGGGAGTCATCAATGTCGAGGATGAGAACCACTGCGAGTTCATCTACCTCCGCAACTTCCTCACCCAGACACACTTGCAAGACTTGATCGAGACCACCAGCCAGATCCACTACGAATCATTCAGAGCCAAGCAATTGCTTGCCCTCAAGGAGAGCAGTGCCGCCGGTCCCCATGGGGGTAGCAGGTGAGTTCCCTTATACATTCTTCTTTCCAAGCGCTCTCATTGACTCCAACGCTAGACCCATCAGCCCAAGCGCCGACCGCGAGCTCAGCCGTAACAGCAACAGAATGACCATGAACGGATACAACTAGACGGACGCACACACACACAACAGAACAAGGTGTTTGACAGAGGGAACTGTAGGCCGGCCGATAATCCAGGTCTCTCGGGAAGCGCTTGATTGAGATACCATCTTCTGTTTTTGTTTTAGCATCTCTTTCCACCCTCTTTCTCTTCCTCAAAAGCAATTCCCCAGGCCATCTTCTACTATGGGGGTTAGTGAACAGTAATTGTACAACCTGTTAAAACTGCTCTATTCTGCCTTGCCATTGTGCTGGTTGGTGAACTACTTGAACACTGAATCATGAAATTGATGCCAAGACTTTGAAGTCTAGACCAACATCGACCTCGAGCTCTCTTGAATGTCGATAATCAATAATTCTCGACTTACATCATCCTACATGCTTTTCCATCGGTGTTGGACGCACCGCATCTCTGCCGTACCAGCCGGCATCCGCGTCCGCTGCTACAGCTCACCCAGCAACCATGGCATAAACCTCGATCAACCAGTCCAATCCTACATCTCCCGGAGTTCGGACCCATATATCAATCTCTCAATCGAGCACTACCTACTCCAAAAATCACACCCAGAATCCTGCATCCTATTCCTCTACGTCAATCGACCCAGCGTGATAATCGGACGCAATCAAAACCCATGGCTGGAAGTAAATCTTGGACTTTTGAAAGCTGCACAATCCGACTCTGCAGAAGATGGGAACAAAACCCCTGCACTTGAGAATGTTGATTTGGTCAGAAGACGTAGTGGAGGTGGCACGGTATTCCACGATGCAGGCAATGTGAATTGGACTGTTATTTCTCCGTCTGCGGCGTTTACACGGGATAAACACGCTGCAATGGTTACGAGAGCTCTTCGCTCTTGTGGTATTTTTCGATCGAGGGTCAATGAACGACATGATATTGTACTGGATCAAGGGAGTTCTGAGCATACTGGTGTCTGGGGTTCCGGGGATGATTCGCACTCGACACCATGGCAGAGTGAGAGGATTCGTCCGTTGAAGGTTTCGGGGTCGGCGTATAAACTTACGAGGGCGAGGGCTTTGCATCATGGGACTGCTTTGTTGAAGAGTCCGAATTTGGAGATTATACCCAAGTACTTGAGGAGTCCGGCGAAGAAATACATCAAAGGGAGGAGTGTGGATAGCGTTAGTTCTCCGGTGGGAAATATTGGGTTGGGTAATGAGGAGCTTATTGAGAATGTACAGAGGGAGTTTGGGGAGTTGTATGAGGATGTTGGAAAGGCTGTTGATTTGGGAGATGAGTGTCTTGAGATTGAAGAGGTCAAGAAGGGACATGCTGAATTGACGGTTTGTGCTGACTTTACTGATTGGTTGAGGACGGGAGCTAACAGGATTACAGAGTCTGGATTGGACGTATATGCAAACACCACAATTCACCTTTTCTGATCTACCTCTTGAGAAAGAGCAAAAGGAAGGAGAGATTGACTACTCTGATGCCAAGGTAGGCACTGACAATCATTGTCTCTACTCAGAGAAAGTAACTAACAACACTACAGTTTCGCTTGGACGTCCGCTATGGAGCTGTGACTGGATGCCAACTCAAGACAGATGGCGTGACTCCTCAACAAAGCGAACGACTCACTCAGCTTCTGGAAAAGAAGAACTTGCACGAGATCGATGACTGGGAAGGTTTGTTCAAGGAAGCTGGATCAAAGTCGAGGGAGGCTGTGGACATGGCAAATTGGGTGCAGAGCATGCTTAGCAGACCTTCAAGTTGAGCTTCAGCGTGTCAATGAGCTGCTGGGACTTCTTCCCCTTTACTGGCTTTGCGATTGTAGTTTCCTCAGGAGATAGACGTCTTCCACTTGACGAAGACCAGTATTGCGCCGTCGATCGAGGAAGGTGGACCCAGTCTGATTAAGGGGAAACTTTTGTTATTCTTTCCAAATCCGGTATCATGTCAAGCTACCGTCTGAGCAATCTAAGCTGCAGACTCGTTCTTCTCGACTAGTTCGCCAACGCCAGCCTGGCGGCCGACCTTGACCTTCTTCAACAGCTCCTCAGCCTCCTTGTTCTTCCCCAATGATCCGACATCATCACCCTCGTCTGCACCGACACTGGCCTCCTCTTCTCTGAACTCTTCATCGTCCCAGTCGCCAGGCTTGGGCTTCAGATGGTCAAGCACCATCTTCATGCCATAAGCATCTTCACCATCGGCGTAGTATTTGGCTTCTGTGCCGTCGACTTTGAAGCCCAGGGTATCGCGGTAGAGGGCGAGTGCTGCCTTGTTGGATACACGGACGTGTAATGAGACGTATTTGGCACCGTAGGTCTCTGCCATTGCCCGTTCTGTTTGCACCCCAGACTTGTCAGTTGTGTTGTTGCAATAGAGAGTTTGATCATGTGGACGTCTTCCAAACATACGACTTTGTCTCATCAGCTTCTCTGCAAGTCCCAGTCTTCTATGCGTGCGCATCACACTGAGAGAGGTTATGTGACCGTGCGGAACACCATCACTGGGTTCCTCCTCCATCTTTGCGAGAACATAGCCGACGATCTTTGGCGGGTCATAGGGTGTCTTTTGCGGGCGCGATACCTGGAAAGAAGAGAGGCGAGAAATGAGTAATTGTTTTTCTTTGCTTTTCTTTGAAAGGTCTGGTTCAACCGGAAGGGCGACACACATCGACGGCGACATAGCTGAGTTGCGGCCAGCTCATGGCATGGTACATGTAATATTTGCAAAAGTAGTTTTCGGGCAGGTTGGTGATGTTGGTCTGCTGGACATGCGGAATGTCGCTGGATTGGAGTACCCGGATATCCATGTTTGCGGTTCTATGTGGTGGTGGTTGTTGTCTTGCTGGGAACAAGCTCAATGCTCTGTATTCATCTTCGGCGACAGCGAGGCCGTCGTCACTCTTTCTGATGGACGCCAAGTACTTTGGCGGGGGAGCGTTGATCCATTCCGATTGGCCACGGAGTTACCATCGGGCGTAAGTCATGGTATAGGAAAGTGCGACCTCCTTCCCTTTTGTCACCAATATATCCGAGACAACACGAGTTTCAATGATGGAGCAAATAGTCTTGTTACACCGCTATTAAAAGCGCTGGTTTATGCTGCAACCTGCCAGGCGATGGAAAGACACTCTGCTGTACTTCGCTCTAAGCAATAGGTTCTGGATGATTGAGAAAGCATGACCACTCTATGAGTGTGTAGTATGCCCTGCTTCTCTACTCCTCCTTAGTCTTTTCTTCGACCGCGCCCTTGGTCTCGTCTCCAGTATGAACCTCAACCTCTTCCCCATCCTCATCACCGACCTCAGCATCAGCCTCAGCCTCAGTCTCTTGAGCAGGAGCAAGAGAAGGGTGCTTCTCCTTGTTGTGTTTGTTGAAGTCGCTGGCCCTGGAGAATGATTTGCTGCATCTCTGACACTTGTGGAACCCCTTATCTGAGACGTGGTTGATGAAGTGAATACTCCAGCGAGTGGTGAGAGTTTTCTCGTAGGTGCAACCAGGCCAGCGACATTGTTCGATGCGTTCGGCGCCCCTGAGACCAGCGGTGTGGGTCATGAGATGATCCTGTGCTGAACATCAGTAAACTGGACCGGAGTTTTGAGGTGGATGTGGAAGGCGCGTGTATGGGAGGAAGTCGCTACTGACCCGGAGCTCGATGGAAGTAGAGAAGATCTCTTGACAACCAGGCCACTTGCAAACCTCGACATGTTCGTCGCTGATTGTGTCTTCGTCAGACTCGTGACCTGCGATCTTCTGCAAAATGTGGTTGAGGGCCTGCTCGGCCTGGGCTGCAGTCTCGATGCCAGTCTTCGCGGCGACTTCATCAAAGTCGATCTGGACTGGAGTCAGCATTGCAGTTGTATCGGTTGTGGTGACATTGTTCACCTCCTTGTAGCGCTCGATTAAGGAGAGGAGCATGTGTCTCTGCTCATGGGAGACTGTGTCGTCGGCCATCTTGTGTGGTGTCGCGCCGTTGATGAAGAAGACGGAGTGTGCTTGTGATGGTGATCAACTTTTTGTATCAACAGCCAGCCGAGCCACGAGAGCGCTGATGGCGAAAGCGACAAAATAATCTTGCTTCACTGTCGCGGCAGCCATTGTTGATCGATCTCGAGTTGGGTTGATCGGTGACGTGATCGAAGTCCTAGTACTGCTGCACACTATGCTCGAGTCCCTTGCTAAGGCAAGCTGTACGATCATACTTGAGCATCTACAGAGTATCATCATCTGTCAGATGGCTCAACATAGAACCGCATCAAGGTATGTGCAATCGAGTCCTTCCTCAGCAAGGATCTATACAGACCGGACATGTTCTCAGAGACGGGATTTCTTGCTAGAAGAACAACCAGTTTATGAACCGAATATCACAGAACACTCTTCCAGCCAAGATGACTGGAACATGACCAAACGCGGCACACATCTACGGTTGATCGTCTTGCTTCGATGCCTAATAAGCTGCTATGCTTAGGAACTATAGAACATAAAGTACGAACTCTTGACTACTCAGCTCTGATGTGATGGTTTGGGCTTTACCAGGGAATGCGAAGAAATCTAGTAGCAGCTCTTCATGTTGCTTCTTTCTGGTGTGTGATGGCTTTCGCTCTGAGGAGCTTACGATAGTACAGTGCCGAGATGATCTAATTCTACTGATCTACTATCAGCTATCTGATATATATCACCTACTGAGGAAGACGATAATTTTCAGCTTAGCTATACGAGTAAGTTGGGCTCGTGCTTGAAGATAACAGAAAGGAGGACTATCAATCAGACGGCTCGAGGCAAGTTTTGCTTTGACACAGCTGTTGTTGGTAACGTGGTGTCTCTAGAGCTACTGGCTGTCATAGTTTACTTGGAATATATGTCCTGCTCACCTGGCAGAACGATCAAGTCTAGATATGGGTTAGAATCTACTTGGAATAGAGGGCTTCTTGTGATCACCTGAAGCTGGAAAAGTGTATCGAAGCCGTCTATGGTCCTGAGCCTCCAAGACTGTCTATTACGACTTGCCTACCGAGTAGCCAAACTTATGGCCAAATTGCAGAGGTATGTGAGAGGACGTTGAGCCGCGCGAACTGATAGTGTCTTCGTAATATCAAAGTTGCCCCTGACACGGTGTTGATGGCTGTCAAATCCCAGCCTCCAACCACACTTCCCATCAAGCTGCAGCAATGCACAAGAGAATTCGAACATCGTGAATTGTCCAAGAGAGCCTTCACCGTCGCTCACTTCAACTTTCACTCGACATTCACTCGTCCACCGGTCTGTGCTCCCACTCGGCGCGCGTAGCCCCCTCGACCAATATTACTTTTCCACTCTGCGCGCTCTTCCTCTTCCTCCTCTGCACGTTTATCATACAATACCATATTGTCGCTCATACTCGCAATCCCCTTTCTTGATCAAGAGCATCATCTTCAACTTCTCATCACCATCAAGATGTCTTTCGCTTTTACCTTCACTGCCTCTGTGGCCTCCCCTGTTCTCTCTGCTACCTCTGTGGCCACCACCGTCTATGCCACCCCACACACAACCAATGGCCTCTCTTACGATGCCATGGACATCGACGCGATCATCTCGCCTCAAGGCACCAAGCGCAACATCGACGACCTCTACGAGGACGTCTACTCATCGGAGTCGGCGCCATTGTCACTACTGTCGCCATCGCCGACCAAGTAGATGCAGCTGTCATCTCTGTGCCGTTGATCCAGGACGCCATCGCCGTTCCTGTGTCGGTCGCTCAGCACTCACCTTCAGAAGACATGGACACCAACCTGCCATCAACCCCTATAGCGTCACCCTCTGGAAGCTCCGCGTCGACGCCATCGTCTGCAATATCAAGAAGCCCCTGGTCAGGAAAATCCACCACCACAGCCTATTCCTCGCCCCCTACCACACCTCTCTTTGACCTCCCCCTCAGGTCAAAGACCTCATCCCCTGTCAGAGCACCTACCAAATCGACCATGTCAGCCCCTCCTGAGACTCCAACAAAGCGTCCTCCTGGTCTGGGTACCAATATGTTGACGCTCGTCCCGAAGAGCGCTTTTCAATCACTCGACATGATTGGAGAATTGAAGAAGATGGAAGTGGAGATCCGCCTGTCAAGGAGCATCGCAAATGCCAAGCGCCACACTGCCGCCATAGCCAAGCAGGAGGCCACAAAGCCCAAGGGCATTTTCAAGCAGAAGCCCAAACCCAGAGTCGCGCGCCGTGCACCTCGACCACCACCAAAGATTGCGAATTGCTGCCCCTTTGAGGAGGAGAGCAATGATGAAGACAAGGTGATGTGACGCGACGCGGCCACCGGAGCATGAGAAGTATGAAGAAGACGAAGAAACGCCAGCCGATGAATCACGAAAGCAACACGTCAAAACAAAAGACCAAAAACAATCACAAAACACAAAACGTCAAAAACAAAGCAAAACGCCAACACCAAAAACACGTCAAAACAAAAGGCGACAAAATGATTATGAGATTCAATACGACGAGGCGAGTTTGAACAGCACAAGACGCGTACGAGAAGGTGATGCGGCGTATGAGACAACGAGTCCACGACGAGAAGGAAAGCAATGATTGATGAAGAGAAGGAAATTGGCGACTGATGGAGAGAAGGAACACAACGATTGATGACATGATACCCATGGGGATTGGTGAGAAAGAGGAAGGCGCTGGACGTCTGATCATTGATTTTTTCTTGGGGTTTGGGAGTCTTGTAAAAGTTCTTTCTGTCTTGCATGAGGCTTTTTCTGTTTCTTTTCTTGTCCATGGGACGATTTCACAAGGTGGAATGGTATGAAAGTGGGAGGTATGAATGGATGGACGCACCTGCTACTTCTGCCTATCGCTGTTTTTCTCTGACGCATGGGATGGATGCAGCTTTTCTTCTGTACCTCAATCAGAAGGCACGCATCATAATCAAATCAATATTAACTGATCATCATGATTCTGGTGACGTGATGAAGAAAAGGAGAGTTGGAGTCTTCGTTCCTGCTTCCCTGGCTTACCATCATGCCAAGCGACGGCGTTAACCGACCTTACTATTGTCCACTCTCTCACCAACCAGTCTGTCTCTTCTCAAATTTGATTATGCATTTATACAGCTCCAATTTACCTTCATCCTGTAGATGAGATAGCGGGCATCAGCAAAGACATACAGCACGTCTACGAACACGCTGCTCCCGTGCCGTATCTCACAGAAGCTGTCAAAGGAGGTATAATCTTGATCGTATACAGAGAAAACACAAGCACGATTTAGGAAGCGAGCATTACCTATCATCCTCGTCATCGACCGGATAAGTGTACGTGTCCAACGACTTGGCCGATGCTGAGATTCAGACACCGCTGCAACGTTGACGGCCATCTGGGAAGTCCTGCCGTTTGTCATGACACCCATGACGATGAGTTCATGGAGCCGGATGCTGGACTGGAAAGAATATCTACGGAGAGGGGGTGTGGCGTTCATGCAAGTCTCCTTCAGTTTGCTTGGTCGTATATGTACAAAGAGCCGCTTGGTATGGGCCAATAGCCGTCATCTAATGTTACAATGTTCTGGGTTTCTCCAGCCTCGGGGAGCCCATAATTTAGGCCTCAGCAGCGCTGGCCTTTGCTTCCATGGGTGTGGCGACGAATGGATCACTATTGGTGGCATTGAGCAAATCAACCACCTTGCCATCTGTCGTCTCTAGACTCCACTCTGTGGTCTCGAACTGCATGTCTTGTCAGCCTTTCATCCTCTCATCTTGCTTTGTAAGCTCCGTCAAACTCACAATTCCCATCCTCGTCTTTCTGTGACTCTTGAATCTCATCTTGGCCTCTTGCCTCGTTCCCTTGACCCAGTATTCAACATCAATCTTTCCATGCAATTGGTTGATCTCTCCCGCAATAATGGGGAACTTGCTGGCAAAGTAAACCTCGTCCCCGAGAATCTCTCGCGCCAGAGCATTTGTTCGCAACGAGTACATTGTGCTTGTGACGACGGACGAGTTTTGCTTTTGGTAGTTGAAGATGACAAGAGTGGAGGCGGCCATGGCGGCGAGGAACAAAGGACCAGTGATCATCCATGATTTGCTGGGAGTCATGTCGGGGAGGGCGCGGTCGGCGCGGCGCTCCATCAGAGGACCCGAGTTTGGTTTCGGTGCGGCGATGAGGGTGCGGCGGGATGTGAGGGTGGTGGCATTGTTGCGCCTGACGAGGGCCTCAAAGGGCTTACGGAGCGGTAGTCGTGGCGGCATTGTGAGTATGTGTGGTATGTTTCTCGATTGTTGACTCGTCTTGCGCAAGTGAGGGTCTGATGATTGATGGATTGATGGACAATTGGTATACAGCCGGCGATTCTCCGGAAAAGTAGTTGATGCACGTCATTCGCAGCGCAGCGCGTCTCCCGCGTTTTGGTCTTTGGAGGGGCTCATTTTGAGAAAGTCAAACATTACGCCTGGTCGCAACTGCCCCAAAATCACCACAACAATGGCGGCCCGTCTACGCAAAACATTCCGCTACCCGGCCGACAATGCTGGCAGCGACGACAGCGATCGTGAGGAACTGGACGAGCAAGAGCAGGAGACAATCATCGAAGATCTGGCAAAGCGGGACTTGGACAATACCATCTTCTACCGCCGCGCTTTCGTCGCTCTTCCTGCTATTGCAGCCCTGGCCTATATTCCTGTTCTCTTCTCTGCAGACGCTTTCAGGCATGTCTTGCTTGCTTTGCTGTCTCTGACCGCTCTGGCAGGCACGGTCTACATTATGCTCTACGTCCCTTCTGCGCCTGCCGCTGTGGACAGCTCGCGCTTGTCTGCTGCCATGATTGACAGCAGGGGCCCGTTGGACGTCGCTTTGCCTTGGTTGAACGCCGCCCTGAGCGCTGTGCTTGCTCTGACAGGTGTACTGGCGTGGAGGAGAGATCTGTTCAACGAAGCCTGGCGCGCCTTTTTGCCTGGTGGTACGTTCACCATGTCCATCCGTCTTCTCTACTGCCTGCTGACCCCATCCTCTCAGCAATCTTCCTTGTCACCATGTACGCCCGCTCCCAACTAGTGCCGCTCGATGTCGCCAGCTTGGAACGTCTGAAGTATAATTACAAAGGTGCTTGATTCTTTTCTATCGCCTTTTGCCGAAACTCAATTATCCCGTCATGAATCGTCGTGCAATCTTCTTATGATGACCTTCCTCCTTTTGCGCTTTCAACCAGACCGCCGCCTTTATCTTGTCACGCCTTCCGCCATGCCTCCCATATCTATAGCCTGTCTTTACATATCGATGCTTTCGTGGAATCGAAGCACTGCGTTGTTGTCGAGATAGCCGTCCACCTCGTCTGGCAGTGCATCGAACGATGCTCGTGCAACTTGTTCCTGTGTCGTTGAATTGGTCACGTCTGCGATCAGTACCAAGCCGGCCGTCTTGACCGATTCGATCAGTGCAGGCACCAGTCCCTGCGCTTGTAGTCAGTACGTGTTTGTCTTGCCCATGCGCTCGTCACTTACCAGCAACCTTGAGCTGCACATCAGTCCCATGAAGTTGTTGCTCTGTGCAATTCTCACTGCTTCCTTGACAGAGGTCGTCGTGCGCCCGCTGCTGTACACGGGCCACTCTGCTTCTTCTGCCATTGCTTGTTCGATGCCCAGGTCGTTGCACAGAAGCACAGGATCTGCGGGGCGCATTAGCTAGGCTCACCATGATATTTATGGTGATACACTTACAGTTGGGTTGCTTCCAATTGAGCGCCGTGCAAATGTCGGCGTTGTACGACGAGAACACGATTGATCGGATGAAGCCCTCGTTAGCTCCGCGGAGTCTGCTCGCATGATCGAAGACCTCCTTCAAAGAGGCATCGACAAACTCGTTAATGTTGCCCGTTGGGCCAAGCTGTAGGAGCTCCTCTTCGGCCTTTGTAGGAAAGAGCATGTGTACATCAAGATGCATTTGCGGAGGCAGAATCTCAAGGACATCGTGCAGTGACGTCCAAGAGGTTGCAAGTCCCTTTGCCAGAAGATCCGGCGACGAGTGTAGCAGTGTTCTCAGGCTTTCCGGTCCTTTGCCGTTTGCCTTGCCGATCGCGGCGAATTGCTCATAAGTCAGTCGGCTGATCAGATCGTTTCTCACACCATAAGAGGCAAGTGCCGAAGGGATGGCCCACGAAGGATATAGGACGGGTACACCATCCTTGGTTGCCTGCACGAAGATACGCATGTAGTCGCCGCTAAGACTCGAACCGGTGATGAGAGCGTTGGGCTGTGAGCTGATCTGGCTTGTCGCCTTCCAGTATGTAGCAAACTGCGTGATCTCCATGGGAATACCATGGAATGGTGTGACTACTTGATACTTGAAGCTGATGCGTCCAATGGCTCGAAGTCTAGGGTCAAAGAGTTCCAGATGCCAGTTTCCAGAGCTACTGTATCTGCTCGAGAACACAAGAGACGACGCCGCACCTCTGGCAATCACCTTGGATCCGAAGGTGGGGAAGATGTCGAAATCGATTGAGAACGTGTCGAGATTATCAATCTGGAAAGATATGACCTTGAACTCGTCCTGGATCGGCAATGGAATGTTGCGGGGAATAAGATCAGACGACTTGGATGATATCGTCAGTCTTGCAGCAGGGTATTTGTTGTCGCCGTAGAATTCGATAGCGTCAGAATCTTGCGAATCGAAACTGATGACGATGAATGTCTTCGTTGTGTCGAGGAAGTTGTGGCCGTAGCGTCTGAGAGGAATAATTGGTGGCGGCAAAGAGAGATCAGGAATTGCTTCCATGTCTGCACTCGCAGGGATCGGTGCGCTCGAGCTAAGGATCGATTGGAAAGTGGCAGGAGCAGGCGTTGGCTCTTCGCGAGCAATGCCTCTACCATGACCTGCTTTCTCTAGCAGACGCAGACAATCAAGGTGACCCTCCCATGCAGCGTAGTACATGGCAGAGAGGTCTTTCTCGTCCAACGCATCAACATCCACACCCAACTCAAGCAAAGACTGTAAGCAAGACAGGTGGCCTTCGCTTGCAGCATGGAAGAGCGGAGTCCACTGATAGAGCTTGTCTGGCTGGTCCAGGTTAGCTCCGTAGTTCTTCAACATCTCCAATATTTGTGGACTACGGCCGGATCTGGGAACCAGATGTTGTGGGTAGAGACCTTCAGCATCCGGCAAAATCTGTGGATGATACTGGAGAAGCAGGTCCACAATCGCGACCGATCCATATTGACACGCCAGGTTGATTGGGATATGGTCGGCTTCACCACTTGGATCTACACGAGCGCCCAGCTCCAATACTGCTTGCACCGCGGCAAAGCGAGCATGCACAATGCCGTGAATGAGGGGTGTGAAGTTGTCCAGATCCTTGTAGTCGACACTTTCCGCGACAGGCGCAGCATTTGGCGACGTGCTCTCTATGCCTTGCATCGACTGAGCCGAGTCGTACTTCACCAGATCCTTGACGACTTCCACATGACCGCGCATGCAAGCATAGTGTAGCGGAATACGTCCATAAATATCTGTCGCTGTGGTATTTGCTCCTCGCTCCAGGACCATGGTCAAAGTGTGTAGTCTTCCTGAGATAGCGAGTTCGTGCAAACAAGTGCGTTCGTTAATCTCATCCACGTAGTCCAGGCTGACCAGATCCGTCTCCAACAAGGTCTTTTGCATCTCGAGCGGTGCGTCATTGACGGTGCTAAGAAAGATACGATTGATGCGCTCTCTTGCTTCATCAGTCGATCCAAGTCTTGTGATCCATTCTTTGATTAGTGTTTCATTGCCAGTGTTGACTGCCTGTTGCATCTGCATCTCTATGTCGTTGTCTTCTTGAGCACCTGCTTGCGGTCTTTGCTGTTGGTCACCGCTAGGGACATATTCGATCTTCTCACCTTCTGCCCAAGCTCCAAGCTCGAGCAAGCTGGAAGTGGCTTGATCGGACAAATCTCTAATTACATCCCGGTTGAAGCAAGGTTGGATCTCAACAGCTCTGGACAGATACAACTCTTTCGTACGTGACTTGGAAGTTTTGTCCCACTACATTCCCTAGTTAGCAATCAAGTACAACGGCGTTCAGGCAATCAAGTCGCACCTTCTTGAGAATTTTCGAGAAAGCTGTCTGGTTGATTTCGATGAATTGCTAGACTGGTCAGAAGATTTGTCTCGAATCGCCTTCAGTATAGCGAACCTGGAGCTTGTCGAGATCGCTGTTAAACAAGCGAAAGCCTTCATCAAGCGTGACAAAGACTGTGGAGAGCTTCGAAGCCGACAAGCCGCGTGCTTGTAACGACTTCTTTCGATCTGCCAGTGTCTTCAAACGTAACTTGAGCTGCAGAGCGCCATTAGCGAGGATCTCGAGGACATGACTGTTGATGACGTACCTCGGCTTCCTTCTGTAAGTAGAAGATGTTGACCTTTTCAAGCTCACGTTCCTGAACTCATGTCAGTCTATTGACATCGACATAGGTTGTTAACATCATACTAGTCGGAAGAAAAATGTAGCCTTGTTTGCCTGAAGCGACGCTTGTGAATCTGCAAGGCCGCTGCCAGAATTTGTGAGATCTTGCGCATGGATGACAGGTGTCGCACTGAGCTTCTTGATCAACTGGAGATGGTCAGTATGAGATAAGTATGGAGAGTGATGCGCAAAATACGACTGCGATTTACCTTTTTGAGAGCCTTGTAGTCGACAAAGCTGGCGGCATATTCTGGAATGTCCAGCTGCCTCTTTTGAATGTGTTTGCCGAACTTCCTGATGGTGAAATTGTCAGATCATGACAACACTTATACTAGGATGATCAGGGGTCTCTGATGGTAACGCACATCTTGGGCGGAAAGGATGCCTTGTTGGCGTTCTAGAATTGAGGCGCGGGGAGGCTGACGGAGAGCTCTGCTCAGCGTCGATGGGATGTGATTGGCAAACAAGCGACGCGAAGTATACTGAAGAGAGGCGGGCTTGACTCTTATTTGGACTTCGACCCTTATGACATATGGGTCCAGGCGAGATTGTTCGTGTTGCGGTCGGAAAGGGCGTCAGATGAGTCTCGCGTACACGTAGCAGCTTGCCGACGGCTGTTGAGAGGGGCCCTCGATAAGCATTGGCAGATGCCGTCAACCTAATAACCACTATGTGGATCGTTCTCGGATTCCCTGTGCTCACCACGTTCAGAGGTTGGAGAAAGCACAACTGCTGGAGAAAGCACGAAAGAGCCAATCAGGCAAGAGCGTTCGGTGCACGTGCAGAAATCTCCCTCCCTAAAGAAGCGGCCTCCGACTCTAGCTTCACGACTCGCCCGAGTATCATGCCTTTCCACAACTACACGAATTCACTGTCACTGTTTCTCAACGCCTGTTGCTGCTGAATGCGTGGTCGAAGCAGCATTTTGTTAGTCAAAGTCTGCCAGTGCATACGCCACATTGTCCGTATTCCTGTCTATCGGTATCACAACTAGGCCAGACCTATTCTATTGAGCATTGTTTCCATCTATTCATGTCAGCTAACCGTCTAGCTCGGTCTACTGTCGCGTGTCCACAAAAAATGTTCAGCCGATCTCATGTGCATGTCACTGCCCCACTACGTCTATGGCCTTCATAAGATCCACGTTTCCTGCTTCATTATTCATGTCGAGTCGCCGGGTTCTGCCTGAATACGCGGTTCACGGAGTCCCCAGCGAAGCCCCAGTGGAGTGGAGTTCCTATGGTTAGTATGAGGCTTGCCCTTGCAACGTCTGCTGTACCATTAAAACCACAAATTCTGCGTCCGTAAACCCCCGAGCTGTCCAGGGTTGACGACCTGAACAGACATATCACAACACGAGGCAGTCCACCGCCATTCTTGCATGTCGTGATTATTTTCAACACCCCATGGAAATCTGACACTCAAGACTGGCCATCAGCGCGAAAGAAGATCTTGGGTTTAACTTTGTGCTGTTTCGCAGTTTTGTCGGACCTTCCTTGGAGCTAGGCCTGTCAAAAGTCGCCCATCGCCCTTTCCCTGAAGCCAGAACAACACGTGCGAGTAGAAATTGGCCGTCCATGACTCTGATTTGGATCTCAATCCGATCTCTGATGAATTGATACCTACCGAGCGCCCCGCATCAATTTTACATCTCTTGCCCTTTTCCTTATTATTTCGCTTGGTCTCTCAGCACTCGTGTGCCGCCTATCATGCTCCTAGAATTCTACCAACCCCCAGCTTGCAAGCTCGACACCTACTATATTCTCGGAGAGATTGCTTAGAAAGCAAACGCTTTGGCCGATGTCCATCCTACTGTCGATTTGGACCTACTTCGCCAACTTGCCGATGGGGTAAGAAATGATCATGTCAGTTCCGAAGATGCGACCCGTGCTCTGTGTCAGGTTTTCGAGGACACTTTCGCCTTCGAAGTGCTCCATGGCCAACTCAATATAGACTTGAAAGCCAAAGTCTCGGCATTTCTCAGCGGCACACCAGCAGAGACAGTTGCAGCAGATGGTTTCGACCCAACTCCAGCACCACTTGGTCTCCACAGGCACCCTTTCAGTGGTCGAGTCCCCGATGCGCACAAAAAACATCGTCTTCTTGGAGGACGTGCTTATGCCAAGTTTGAACAGAAGATTGATTCGCTGGAACACCGTCCAGTGGTTTTCGAGGACCGCGATCAGACCATGATCATGGAGGTACGAGACACACAACAGCATTGTGCACTTGGCGGCCAGCTAATGTATCACACAGGTCTACGCCGACGTACCTTTCCTGAACTGGCAGCAGAACGTACAGACCCGACCAGCCTTGACCTTCGTCCCTTCGACCGTACTCGGCTTGCAAAACCTGGTCAAGGCATACCCTCACAAACGCATTCGATGCAGTGGCTACCGCCACACCAGATCTGATTTCTTCGCCGAGGAGAGAGACGTGCTCGTCTCATTTGTCAGTCTGCACCACGTCGCTAGTGTTCTACCGGAGATGATCAGCCTATTTTCTGGTCGGATCAATGACGCCGAGGTGTCGGGAGAACTGAGAAGCATCCATACGTTTCCTCCGAAAGCAGGTCAAGCGAACACACAGCGAGTCCGGGTTGGTGTGGCTGTGACTCCTGAAGAACTCCGCGAGTGGGCCATCAAGGACGGCTAGTCGCTTCCTGTAGATGTTACGGCAGACGAGTAAGAGATCTAAGCAAATCACAAACTCCGAGCCCGGCTGACATGTCCCAGGGTGACCACTGGTGGCATTCTTGGTTCAATGTGCCATGGCTCTGGCTTTGCACACAAGAGTATGAACGATTACATCAGGGTCGTCGAATACGTCGATGTCAACGGAGTCGTCCAATCAATCACAGAGCCTAGCGAGTTGCATGCTGCCTTGGGATGCTTTGGACTACTGGGTATTATCACACACGTCACTTACGAAGTCAAGAAAATGACATTCGCCGTCATGCGACCTCGTAAGGTGAAGACAATGCTTGCCATCCCACCTCCTGATCCTAGCCATGTTCCTGAAGCATTACTCGTCGAAACCAGCCCTGGAGAAATACAGCAGGCTATCACTGATTTCGAAAGGAGAGCCGGTCAAGATCACTATGCTGAGTGGTCCTGGTTTTCTTACCAGTCAGACGTTCTTGTCAACACATGGTCGACCGTCTCAGATGGTGAAGGCCAAGAAGATTACACAAGCCCTGCCCAAACATTCCTGCAATGGATAGCGGCGTAGATTACTGCGGTCATTGTCGGTACCGACTTCTATCCCGATATACCAGCCAGATGGCAATCACAAATACTGGCAATCGGAAACATGGCTGTCTTGTCACCATTGACCACTGATCCAAAAGATTTCGAGATCAAGACTAGTCTGCCGAACGCCCTGCACTTCCGACGTGGTCGTCACTATGCTCGTAGCCGAAACATGGAGCTTGAGCTACCGATACCACCCTCATCGACAGACAACAGCAAGCCTGACTGGATGACGGTAAGAAAGGCTTGGTGGGGCGCTGTCAACTTGGTGTACAGTTCGGCCAATTCGCCGATGCGGTTGGCGATGGACATGAGCATCACGGGAGACAGCGACATCATCATGGCGCCTCAACGTGGGAACAGCCATGGTACCGTGGCCCTTGAAATTGGCTCGGTCAAGGATGCTGTGACCGAAGATGAGTGGCAGGCTTTCTGCCAGAGTTTCGTGGACATGTTGACCGCCTTGGCTCCTGAAGGCAGACTTCGCCCGCATTGGGGGAAGGAGTGGGTGAAAGTGCGGTTCGGGGGCCTTCCGGCTCGCCAGTACATCAAGACGATGGCGTACAAAGACGAAATTCCACAATGTTTAGCGGTATTGGACAACATCGGAAAGCGACAAAAGTGGACAATGGAAGACCTCCACAAGAGATTCTCCAACAATTTGCTTGACGACATCTTCTTCTCTAACACTTCGGTCCAATCTTGACCCATGAGTAGAGCTCTCATTAGATAGCAAGCAAACTGTACCTCTCCATGACCGTCACCCTGTTCCCCCATCTTCGAGCACATTGCCAAGAAGTGGCTGATGCGCCCTGTGGCTGAAACGTGGCAATCAGTGCTGACCTCCACGGCCTGGCCGCCTGGGCTCCACATCGAGATGGACATCTATTACACCTTCAACAAATACATCACATTGCAAAATCGTTCTGCTCGTGCCAATCAATAACACTTGATACCTCACTCCCATCACTCGACTCGTACTTTCTGGAGTTCACACGTCGGACATAAAGGTCGCAAATTCTAGAACCGACTTTTCACACCCATACATCGCCACCATGCCAGGCGCAAAGCTGTGGGCAAAGATGATCGGATCGTATGCATTGCTCCATTATACCCTAAAATACATGAAGACACGAAGCTGACATAGTGCTCATCAGAGGTGCGCTCCTGTGTATCGGCGGTCCTTACCTGATCTACTACGTCACGCCGACAGAGGAGGAATTGTTCATGGTAGGTCCTTCAATGCCCGACGTCTTCGCCAATTTGAGCATCTCAACGCTTGCTGGCCACTACCTGGACTTAAAACATCCTAAATCAAAGAAGGCGTGACTAACAGGATTTGCCAATACAGAGATACAACCCTGAGTTGCAGAGACGATCGTTGGAGAACCGCAAGGAGAAGCAGGAGAACTTCAACGAGTGGGTTTCGCAGCTCAAGAAGCACTCGAAGAGTGATCTGCCCCGTAAGTTCATCTTTCTAATCGTACTACTCAATTGTGGCTTTTCTTTCACCAATCATCCAGCCCGTCCGGCTTCCTAAACAACATACATGTTATTTTCTTTCTAACACAACTACTTTCAGTTTGGACAGCCTGGGACAAGGAGTCTGCAGAGTACAAGGAAGCCGGCGCGGCTCGTCTGATTGAAGAGCGCAGAATTGCCGAGCAGGTCGCTCAAGCCAGAAGAGACGAGATCAAGAACTCTGCAGCTTGAGTTCGGCGCTAAAAAGACAGAGCGACAAAGATTGGAGCTGGGTTTTGATGGCCTTTGTACTTATAGATATCGCAGTTGAACATTTCGCATCTTATGATTGTTTTGACTTTCCTTTCCACGGGTGTGACATCTCAGCAGGCTATAAATTGGCACGACAAACTCAAAAAGATCACCTTAGATCACCACCCAGAAGGCAGACCGGACTGTTCAAAACAACAGAGTGGAACTGACCATGCAATCTTTCTGCTGACTGCCTGCACGGATCTTCGAATGACGTGTTGCCTTTGCTGCTCCAACGATTGGACTCGACTTTGTCTTTTGGCCCCAATCACTCGCTCTTGCCTACCTTGTCATCATTGGAATGTTGACTTCGTCTCGTGATTAGGCAATTGAATTCCCGAGCCGCCCACTCGTCACGCAGCAGTATAGTCTCTGTGCTCAGTCGCGCGTCGCGTCCAGCCAACACGTCGAGATAACAACCTTGTGCGCAACACTCACACATTCATGTCCGCTGTCACATAGCCAATTTTGCCGTAACCGACCATCGCGACGTTCTTTCGGTTTCCGATTTCCAGCCTAGCCGTGTCGCAATTCGCACCTACAGTCCTTAATAACGGTAATCTCATATCCACTGGAGGCACCCCCTCATCATGGCTATCTTGGACATTCTTCCTGGTGTAAAGGTCGAAATTATTATCGATGGCGAGGGAGGGAGTACGTCGATGCAGATGTGGACCCCGAACCTCGCACTGTAAGCAGATATGTTGAGGCTGTCACCGATGCCAACTTCTCTTTCAGAATCACGGTACCCATAAACTACAAACACAAGGGCGATTGCATCTCGGCTTCTTTCTTCGTTGATGGAGCATTCGCCGATAAGGTAAACACACACTGTTCTCGATGGGAGAGGAAAGAGCACCACATCAAATCAAGCACAATTCGCCTTGGAGATGGGACAGGCAGGAAATTAGAAGGGCTCGTTCTTCCACCGATCCCGTCTACCTACAGCTGAACGACGATATGAGGTCGACTCGCGAGCCGTAAGAATCAAGAAGGAAAGAGACAATGAGGCGCGGCAACAAGGTGAAAGCGAGAGAGTTGTTGTCACGCTAGACTGATGCAGTGGTGGAAGGCCAGAGAGCATGAGAAGATTGAGATTAAAGAGATGGCTACATCGCGAGATAAGGTAGGCAACGAGAGATTGCTCTCATTACGGCAAAGAAAGAGTATGACCTAATGGGTATTATTGCCCGGCTGATAACAAGAGGGTATACACAAAAGTATGACCAGTGTTACAGGCCGCTCTTCTCTGTCGTCGCCTCTCTTTCTCGTGTACTACGAATAAGAGGGTAGTACTCTCGTGATCAAACCTCGACCCCCCCAAAGGGATCAAGTCTACTTCTGAACAAACCTTTCGTCCTGCCCTCAGCCAATCAGCTGTCTCTCACTGTAGCACCAACACACGGATGGACATCGTACATCATGCTTCTATAGCCATGCGATGTGATGTTTAGATAACGGTGTGGCATCAATAGACGTTGTTTGTCATCCAAGTCACTTCCTGAGTGAGTAGATGCGATTTGAGAAAACAAAGTATGCTTTTTGTGTCGTTGAGTGACCTATAATTCTCTTAATGTATGGAAATCAGGGGTATGGGCACGTCGGTTTTGTATTTATACTGTTGATGATTCTTATGCTTCATGCGACCAGCGCCTTCTTTTGCTCCACAAGTCTGCCTTGTCCATGACCAGCGCCCTCTTTCATTCTGCGACTCTGTCTTGTCATACTTTTCCACAATTCCTACGCAACATTCTCCTTTGTCTGATGGTGTGGACCATGAAGATCTCCGCGTGTCCATCCAAAGATGGGTACTCAAGCACTTTTGGTCGAGGAAGCTCTTCAACCGATTTACACAACATCATCTGCAAGATCCTCTGCAGAAACCTTTTCCTCTGATGGGAACTTCTTCTTGGGCACCATCTTGGGCATGACAACTGGCTTTCCCTTCAAGCCAGATTTGCGCTGGTCAGTTGCCTTCTTGATAGCAAGCCAGTCGTCCGCGTACTCTTCAGGGCTACGTGTAGGAGGCTCCTCGTAATGTTCTTCAAACAAGATGGAGGCATGAGTGTTGTCGTTGATTCTTTGGGTGTTGACTCTGCGGATTTCTGCGTCTCTCAGTGTGTTTCTCTCGTCTCCACTCATTTCGAAGATCCATTCGTCTGAGGCCTTCAACGCTCTTAGAGCGTTGGCTTGGGCGACCGCATCCATTCTGAGGCGTTGCCTGTAGGTGTATGCTTTGTCGTTGATGATGACGACGGCTTCGGAGTCTGATGGAGGGGTTGGATGGCCATTACTGCCGGGAGGGCTGGAGCCACTTCCGGGAGAGAAGACTGGAGACTTTTTCTTGTATCCCATACTTGACGATTGATGGGAGTTAAGGTAGTGTGTGCTCTGAGATACACAGGGTCAGTATTGCTCCGCAACCAAGATCATCAAACAGTGTGGAGCAGACCTTGAGTTCGAGAGATTGGGTATGGCTTTTTTATTCCAAATAATCGTGTGATTTTCTCAGTCCAAGAGATCGTGAGTACGACGTTCTTGGTACAAGAGACCGTGTGATGGTCTCAAGTCAAGAGATCGTCTACAATGTTCTTAGTACAAGAGATCGTCTATGATGGTCTTCGTACAAGAGAACGTAGATAATACTCTCAGCCCAAGAGGTCGTGTACAATGTCCTTAGTCAAGAGATCGTTTGATTTCCTGAGGTCAAGAGACTGTGTGTGATGTTCTTAGTCCAAGAGATCGTGTGCGATGCTGTTAGTCAAAGAGATCGTATGATGTTGTAAGGTCAAGAGATCGTGTATGTTGTTCTGTTCTTGAAAGCCAATGGTTCAAAGGAGAGATCGTTAGGGTGACTCCGACTTGAAAAGTTGAAGCCTTTTAAGAAGAAAGTCTGGACGTGTTGGCAAGAATCTCGAGCATGTTGCAGTGTTCAGACGTATTGGCGAGAATCACTTGGGTGGGTTGCAGTGTTCAGACGTGTTGTAGTGTCGAGATTTGATTCCCGCATTGCAAGACACAGCACACAGCACACAGCCCGCAGCAGCTTCTGCGATACTGCAAGTTGATATTCTTCATGGAGCGTGGAAAAGTGACGACGCCGTATGAAATGCGAGAAGTAGAAGTGAATAATGCGACATGTGACGCCAAACTGATAAGAACTGTAATGACTTGCGACTTTGTCCTCCACGGGAATACAAAATGTTCCAGTTCGTACCTTCCCAAATGTCAAAACTCGGCGGAGAGGCTGTTTATGTGATGCTGGTTGTTGCTTTGAAACGACTAAGTCTGTATTTCAAGGTAGGCATCGACGCATATATATATTAGTAGATATACCATCACCGGGAGCCATTTGAAAAGCGAGCACAAAAAAGTGGATCGGTGTTATTATATCGTTCTGTGACGCTGTGTTCGTTTTCATCGGCACGATCTTAAGCACATTAATCGTCAAACACACTACGGTTGAAGAAGCGGAAAATCTGTCTTCCTGCTTCCTTTCCGATCAGTGCCGTCAGTTCGTCTTCATCCGCATTGGCAACCTCAGCCACGTTCTCATACTTGAGAATCAGATTGTTCAAGTTCTTTGGGTTGACTCCGGGTACAGCACGAAGCATATCCTGTGGTAGCTGGTTGAATGTCCTCTCTTGACCATCCATGTCGCTCTCCTCCAGACCAATATTTACAGCTTTTATCGGGTCAGGCTCTTCTTGTTGCTTTTTGAGTTCTTCAAAGATCTCAGCAGTTTGATATGGTGATGATGACCAGATGATGCGTAGACGTGGAAATGCTAAGGTTAGCAGGACAAGCTTCGATTGCAGGTCAGATGCTTGCAAAGAACCGGATCCCACGCCAGCTGATAGATCTGCGAAGGGCTCTAACGTGAAGGACTTTTGTGCATCAAACTCGATCAGGAGCATTGGGCTCTTGTAATGCTGTTGCATAGTTTCGGCCTGATGATAGAGACGACCATTTTGGAAAGACTGGATCAGATCCTTGATCGACTTTCTCTCGATACAGATCTCTGGCGTCAAGACGTAATCGCCAACGGTCAGAGTACATGGTACGATGACCATGTTCCTTCCATGTAGTAGCGATGGTAGAGACGAACGGAACTCTCGAACATCAATGACAACCCTAGGCGGCTCTGCGGTAGCCACAAGTCGACCACCACCTGCGATACGAGTATTGACTGTTCGCAAGAACGACTCCTGCGGGTCCAGCCCAGCAGGATCGTGCGTGAGGGTAACCGCCATCGAGCCACGTTCTCGGATCAGCTTGGTGAACGCATCTTTCTCTTTACGCACTGCACTCAGGTAGCGCTGCTCCTCGACGCTTCCGCCATAGTACATGAAGTAGACTCTAACATTGCGATTGGAGTGACTACTTCGATATACTTCAATACGTCGAATGAAGGCTGCATCGGGTTCGTACATGATGACGTATCTCGGTTTGGTCTCTTCGAGAATGTGTTCGTCCATATCACCGTCATAAGGATGGACCATCAATAAGTCCTTCATGTCGTAAAGTTCGTAAAAGTCGTCCATATCATCCAGAGGGTCAGCACCAATCTCGGCCTTCTGTTGAGCTTCGGCTTCAGTAGGCTCAAGTTCGGCCAGAAGACTCTGCACGTGCGACTCTTTATCTCCTGCAACATGTATACTGCCATTTGCTGTGCGTGTAGGGACAGAAGCGGCCGTTGAGCCACCTCGCATGCGGCGTCGTTTGTTAGACCCACCGCCCCTTCCGCCTCTACCAGCCTGGCCATGACGCTGGTCAGTCGTACCGTTGATGTTCTTCTGATTCTCCGCAAAGAGCGAATTGCTGACTCTGTTGAAGTCGCGCTTCCAAAGGAAGTAATTTCTGAGCTTCCGTCGCATCATAGCAGCACCAGATGGCCCTCTGGCATCAGCATCGTCAGGGTTGTCTGTGGCTGACGCCATGTCTGGGAGGACATTCATGCTCTGCAGATACTCACGGATCTGACGACAAGTCCCTTGATCACCACACATGATCAAAATACTGCCATTCGACTCGTCTTGGAAGGAGGGATTGAAGTACATATCACGCTCAATTTCTTCCAAGATCTCGGACAAGAGGTTCCATTTGGGCATCTCTTCGAGGATGGGGCGTAGAGAGTCAGGAACACCAGTCTTCGCGTTCATACTCTGACTATCCTTAATGTTACCAGTGTACACTCGACGCTTAGCGTTGTCAAAGATGACGTGAGCAGCATCCAAGAACAGCCAAGGAGATTGATTTTGACGATTCGAGCCAGGCGGAGGAGATGAGGCAGCCAAGACAGTGTCCAGATAGCGGAGAAAGCTTACAGCGTCGAATGTGAGAAGATAGTGCAGCATATTGCGCAACAATGCAAGGTCACGGACGATCTGACGGGTCCTGAAGTTGGTACGATGCCAGACGGGATCGAGTTGGCGGCGGACAATGGCGTCAAAATTGCGGTGCAAAGCACTGTCAAGGTTCCAGTCTTCCATGTCCAGGCCAGTGTTTCCCTTCTTCAATTCCGTAATGCTGACTTCGACACACTCCATGATGGCATTCTGGATGTCGCGCATACCGTCGGTCATGGGCACCTCGAGCTCGATGACTTCTGCTTTCCGACGACCTTCAAGAGACTTTGCGACGGTGACGTGGAAGCGAGGATATAAAGAGGGTCGTCTCAGGAAGAGGTTGCGCATCATGGTGGCCAGAGGAGCGAAGCCAGAAGCGAAGGGCTCCGGAGCATCCGAGAAAGCCTTGAGGAAGCCTTGCTTGTTCTTCTGACGGTATACGCGGACGATGAAAGCCTCCAGCGATGTTGCAGCGATGCGTTCTGAATGGAGGACCACGAGGCCGGTGATTTTGGCAGGGTCGAGATTCTCGGTCAAGAGATCGACTACCAGGATGCGCGAGGTGACGGAGAATATTCCTCCTTGCTTGTACATCTTCTCTCTCTGCCCAACATCTGTCAAGTCGGTGTTGACCAGACTCAGTCCACGGCATTTTGGCGAGGCGCTGATGGCCGCGTGCTCTGCCAGCGCTTCTCCAATCCATCCATTCTCTCGGTCGTCGGCCCCGACCACGACAATCAGGTTGTTCCCAGCAGCATCGTACGAGTGTAGGAGATTGGTGACAATGCGCAGCAGCCCAAGGCCACGCGCCATGATGATAAGCTCATCTTCTTCGCGGAGCTCTCGAAAAATGTCTTGCTGGAAGTCCTATACCCTTGTCAGCGCTGTGTCGTAAGCTGTATCGTGTAGAATTTTCATACCAGTGGTAATGAGAGCTTCACCGGCACTTCATTATTGTCCGACATGGAGTCGTTTGACCGCTGCATGTGAGGCGCGTATTCCGCTCTTGCACCTTTGAGCGCTTTGACCATACCCTACGTCACTATTGGTATGGCCAATGTGCTCGGATTTAAAGTGGTGACCACGACCTAAATTCCGTGGTTTATCGAACCCATCAATCAGACCTTCTCTTGCATGCCTTTTCTACTTCTACGATCGATAGGAGTCCTCGAAAGCGAGCAGTGTGGTTAGATGATGCCGTTGTATCGTGTTGTCATTATTGAGTTTCTCATTAATCGTTTCCGTGTGTGAACAGCCCTCTGTGTAATATGTCACCCTTGCCCAACTGCCAATTGTCTGCTGGAGTTTCAGTGGTAAGACGAACGTCCTCTTTTGTAGGTACCTCCTCCATAGCCACCACCTCTCTTGTATCCACCACCGGGGCTTCTGCCATAGCCGCTTGTGCTTCCACGGCTATAGCTGTTACCGCCTCCACGGCCTCTGCTACTGCCAGTTTGGCCTGTGCGACCTACACTCCACGACGTCCTAGAAGAGCTCTTGGCTTCCACAGGAGTTTTGGCTTTGATGGGAGTTGGAGTTACATCCAGTGGACCATGAACAGCTGATCTACGAGCTGCCTGGAATTCACGGAGCAAAGTCTGTGTCATAGTTAGTAAGGCCCATGCTGTTTGAGGTCGGGACAACTTACGCTAAACTCATGATCTGCCAGCGATTCGAACACCGGGCTCTTGTCCAGCTTCAACTGTGTAATTCTTGGACTTTTGATGCCGAACGCGACGCGTGCTAGAAGCCTAGGGTCGTCATGAGGACAAATAGCAAGAATTTTTCGGATTCCGTCAACGTTCAGCGGCGGAGCCGGCTTTGCTGGCAAACTTGGAGACTCTCCCCACGCGCAGTAAGTGCAATGTCCACAAGACTGCTTGTTGTCTGGAAGGCCCATGCCAAAGTGCTGAGCAAGGCCAAATGCAAAGCATCCTTCACCTGTGACGAGACCGATCATCTGGTCTATGCGACCGAGAGCGTCCTGCTCACGCTGGGCCATATCTGCGTGGAGATCATCAGCTAAAGTTTGCACATCCTCGTCGGCTGTAGGCAAGGGATTCAAAATTCGATAGCGATTTAAGACCCCAGACGTCTTCAACATGATGACTCCCGAGGCATTCCAACTGTCCAGTTTTCTAACGAGATCAGCACGTATGAGACCAGTTCTGGTAGCCGCATTCATGTCGAAGGTGAAGTTCTTGACGGCTTTGGTCGACATAGAGTATATTGCCCTAGCTTCTGGAGAGTGGTCACTAGATGCTGTTGTGTGATACCGGCCTTTGTCTTCGAACTGATAACTGGTGTACTCTGGTGTTATGGCGCGTAAGAGGCCGAATCTGAGTTCCAGCGCAGCAAACGTGACACCGAGCGGGCTGAGACGGATGTCATAGAGAGTGGATAGTTCGCGATGTGCCAGCTTAATAACCTCACCCTCCGTGTCCGGTATGCGGTCCCGCCCGAAGACATCTTTGAGAAACTGCAGTAGTGAATTGCGAGATGGAAGGTCGCCGAGCGCAAAGTTCTGCCTCAAGTAAATGTCCGAATGGCTGACGAACAAGATGCAGTAGGCCGGTTCTCCATCTCTACCTGCACGGCCAATCTGTTGACTGTATTCTTCTACTGTAGAAGCCAGGTCAAGATGGACTACACCTCTGATATCTGACTTATCGATGCCCATCCCGAAAGCAATCGTTGCGACAACGATGCGAATTTCGTCGGCCATAAAACTGTCCTGAACAGCCGCCTTTTCTTCGACTTTCATACCAGCATGGTAGAAAGCAGCATTGAATGAATGTTTGCGTAGCGTCTTGCATAGCTCTTCTGCTTGTTGCTGAAGAGTGACGTAGACTATGGCACTGCCGGGGTGCTCCCTAAGCCACTTGAACAATAGTGGAAGTTTTGCTTCCTGCGATTCCGTGGCAACCGACTCCAGTCTAAGGTTCGAGCGATATGGGCTTGTACGGAACTCATTGCGCTCCAGAATTCCGAACGCTGCTCGCACATCTTCAGCAACCTTTGGGGTGGCGGTCGCTGTCAGGCAGATCACTCTCTCCGCTTTCACTTCGGCGACGAAGCGACTTACGAGCAAGAAGGACGGTCTGAAAGAATGGCCCCATTCAGATATACAATGAGCTTCGTCAACTGCGACAAGACGAACGCCTCCAGGGACGTGTTTCATACTTGCAACGAAGGCCTCATTGCTCAACTTTTCGGGAGACACATATAGCAGACGAAGGCGGCCAGCATGAATATCGGCATGTATTCGTTGATGTTGCTCGTACGTCTTGGTTGAGTCCGAGCAATCAGCAGCGATGCCTCTCCTCTTCAAGGCATCAGTCTGGTCTTTCATGAGGGCAATTAGAGGTGAGACCACAATGGTAATACCGGCTCCATGTGGGCGTTCGTTCCCGCTCAGCTTGTCCATGAGCGGAAACGCAATGGCTGGAATCTGATAGCAGAGCGATTTGCCGGCTCCGGTGGGAAAGATAGCGAGCGAATTCTCGCTTCTCATAATTGACAGTATAGCCTTCTCTTGCTCACCGCGAAAGCCAGGGTAGCCGAATTTCTCACGAAGTAGACTCCGCACCAGAGCGATGTGTTCAGGCTTGTCAGTTGGAGGCTGGTCGGCGTCACGTCGTGCCTTTTGTGACGAGGTCCATATCTCTTCGATGCTAGGATCGTTGAGCACGTCATCTCCAGAGAAATCTTCCTCGTCGTCTTCCGGCAGAGGACGCTTCAATATTGGTGTCGGCGGGATGGCAAAGGATGACTCGGGTTTAAAAGAAGTGGACTGAGATTGTTGACTCGCACTGATCAGTGCATCGGCGTCAAGTTCATCGAAGAAGTCGTCAGAGCCGTATACTGAAGATTCGGCCTGGAGTGTGGCCGCTGAAGAATCGACGACAGGCTCCGTCTTGGAAGACGAGTCAGCGTTGCCCGCGTTGGCGTTGTCGATGTCATCTTGCTGGAGGCGAGCTACCAAGTGCTTCTTAAGCTTGATATCTTTATTTGAGAGACCACGATTTGACAGCTCTTCCCGGAGACCTGCCACCGTCAGGTGGTTGTAATTCATCTTGACTGACGCGTCGACGCGATGGATTCGAAGGGGTGCTCAGTACATGTTTAGACAGCCGGTGATGACCAGAAGGAGATTGAAATGAAAAGTGAGGCTGTCCCTTCGCCAGCAAACGGCAATAGCGTTCATTGCGATAAGTAGGTATGTCTGCGAGAGTTGTTCTCTCCACTTTCGACTCTGCTAGAAGCATGTGATTGTGGGGTAACTCCGCTGACGCCGCTCTTGGCGTCTCGCGCCTGGATTAGGAAGGAAGGATGTGGAGAAACACCGGGGACAGATTGTGAATGAATTCGAGTTTCGAAAGCTGCTTTTGTAATGTAGCAAAGACATGGCTTCCCACAAGCTACCGTAGCCTATATGCTCCGGCACAGTGATAGATTGTTTAAGATGCGCATCACTTTTCGACCGCTACCCCATCTGCCTATCTCTGACACCAGTCTTGATCCTTCCAAGAGTACTCGCTCTGGACCGCCAGCACCACGGATACTCCCTACTGCTCGGAGAGTAGGCATCATGTCCCTGCCATCTTTTACGAAAGACCGTGCTAGATCAGCCTCGAGCGGTTGGTCCAGTGCGATACTGATCGGGTGCACTTGTGTGTCTGAGAATCGGCGTTGTGTCGATGACCTTGTACTTATCACGTTCGTTGTGAATGCTCCATATGTCCATAGTGTCAACGTCGCGAGTAAGACTGCTGACGGCTCGTAGAAGCCGTTTGTGTGGAAAGCATGCAAGTGTCGCAGCAGTGCTCCAGCATGCAAGACTGCAAGTCGAGCTTTGCTCTCATCCTCGACGACCCATCTGCGTATCGCAGTGCGCAAACTTGCCATTTGCGCCACGTTGACGCTGGTGTCTTCCTTGGTCATTCCATAAGCCAGATCGCAAATTGTTTGAATGGGCGCGAACAGCACGATCCTTGCCAGGTGTAGGTGTAGTACAGTAGGATGCTCAATACCAGATGCTGCGTGGATCACGTTGTTAGCACTCCACTGTAGGATGTCCAACGACTCGCAGATTGAGTCCCTCCAAAGATTGTATGCAGAAATCTGGTGGAGTCGTAGCCGGGAGTGTATTTCGGCCTTCTCCATATCCCAACACTGGCGATACAGGCCGTGAAGCAACACTATGCGGCTAAATTCGCCCATTGTACTCTGTAAAGACTTTTCGTGCTGCAGCGAGTGCAAGGAAGACAAGAGAGTGATATTCGCTACTCAATTAGTCATGTGTAGAAACCGAGCACGTAGCTGCAACTTACAAGGTGAAAACTGAAAGATGTGATGCCAGTTCAATGCTGTTTTCGCTTCCCAGAGCACCTCTTGGCATGGCACGGGCATCCTTCCATCTTCTAAAGTGAGTCTCGGCTGTACTTGAAACTGATAAGCCCACATTGTATCGAGCATCTGTGGTTCGCGTTAGCACATCTACGATGAGATTCATGGTGCTACTCACCCAAATCGCATAACCAGTCCGCCGACAAGACTCAAGCTGGACCCATCGTTTCCAGAATTCGGCTTCTTGGCCCTCGGGGGCGTAGGTCGTAAAACCTGCCTCTGACATCTTCCACTCAAGCTGACAGAACGCAACCAAGTCCGTCAGAAACTCGCTATAAGCAGATTCTTGCCAGCTCTCCTCTCCACTATAGATCTGATTGATACACGCTAGCAGCTTCGCCTGGCACAGCGTGATGCGATCAATTGTCTCATGAGGATCCTGCGGATGTCAGTCATGGTAGAAGCTCGGATGGTCATGCCCAAAGTCCTACCAAAGCTGAGATTGATCTGCGCAGAAGCTCGTCAAAGCATAGGCAGTATTCTTCGGTCTGTTCAAATGTCGACATATGGCTTCCAATCGTTACAATGGCCAAGCTGAGTATCCAATGAGATGTGTCGAGATTCAGTGTCGGGTGATGCAGTATAGGCATCACCGGGTGGAATCGTTCTAGATAAAGCTTTACAAAAGCGTTCAACGTTTTGCGTGACGGAAAGCAACTTGAACCATATGGCGGTTGATATGCGGTCAAGCCTGTACAGACAGTTGTGAACGACTTGTAGATGGCGGTATATGTTTGCTCCGAAAGCATGTTAAAGCTGGCATAATCATCGTCTTGAAAAGCCGGCAACACATCACCGGAAAGTGGGAAATTGAATCGTCTTCTGCGACTTAGATAGCTAGTCGTCGGTGTGAATGACCGATGGAAAGACCCACGGAGCTCAGATCGGTCAATGAACTCTTCCTGGTGGCTGACAAGCACAAGGTTAGAACTGGGACTGTTTGAGCCCATGATAGCAGTTTTGGATCTCAAATTGGGCGTAAGCCGAGGTCTTCGTGTCAATTGATCCAGACTCGCGTGGCGATCCCTTGGAAATGGGGAGGTATACGGTATATCGAAAGAGGCTTCTGTTCCAGAATATGATCCTTCGAATGGCGACATGGCAGGTTGTTGCGCGCGAGCTTCTTGCAACGATATTGAGTGGATGTATGTTGGGAGCGATCCTTCAACATGATGGGTAGCTTGGGGTGCCATCTCTGAATGCGTGCTGAAGCCCCAAGTATCTGCAAGTGTGCCGACATTCTGCTCTGTGAAATGACCACCTTGGACAACGTGCGGTAGAGATTGTTCCAGCTGCCGAGGAAATGCAGCAGACTCGAGGACTGAAGAAGAAGCGTTGTCCGACGCTCCAGGGGTTGATCCAAAGTCGGAATGCGCGGAGGGAGAGTCCTGGACTTGTGAAGGGCTAGAAGCACTTGGATATACGCAATCGGTGCTCTTTGAAGTGCATCTTTCACAAGGCAAGGTACCATTACACCTGACCTTACTACTTGCGCACTCTTTGCAGGCTCGCGCTCCTTTGAGCTTCGACACACCAGGATCTTTTTGGTGTATCAACTCATGTCGTTGAAGTGTATCCCTAATATCAAGAATCAGTACAACTGGTCACTTTGCGGGAGAGTCAGTGTGACATACAGTCGATTAAATCCTTTATTGCAGGCTGCACATTTAAAAGAGCGAACCTCACCATGGCTATTAGCATGACGCCTCAAGTGCTCGATCCGGCCGAAGACTCGGTGGCATTGAGGGCATTGGAAATTCGCATCCTCTCGTCTTCGCTTCTTTCGGCTACCAGTAGAGCTCAAAGCCTCGTGTGCCTCTACCAATTCTTCTTTGTTGATATTGTCGTTCTCGAACATGTTCAAGCAGCAGGTCGATGCAGCTTGACGTTACCCAAAGCCACGGTTGTGAGACGTGTGCCGCAGTAACAATCCTCACATTGCAGTGGCGGGATGAGGAACCCGTGGCAGGGGCCGGGGTAGAAGACGTCTCGAGAGTGCATGATTACTATATTAATTAGCCGCTCGTCGTCTCTGCGAAACTGACGTGCGTGGTGGATGAAGCCTGCACGAAAGGCGATGGGGGAAAGTTCGGGTAATTCGAGATCGACCAGCCAAATCAGCCGTGCTTGCAAACCATCCTTCTCGCGGCGGCATCACAGGTCCAAAAGCACTTCTAGAAGACGTTTACATGGTACTACGAGTAGATCGGCCGAAGATATGAACCTAAATTACGAGCGCTCCCTGTTATTACCCAAGCCGATATATGCGAGCACACCATGTTTCTAGGTTTACTCTTACTTGACGATGACGGACTTCCTCCTCATCTTCGACGCTCTCTCGTCAGGATTTCATACCGGCTACCCTTTGAGTTTCGTCGTCTCTGTAATTCTTGGACATTCCTGGCGCGATTTGACACCACCGAGGTGGCCTGCATATCTAGACAGAGCCGCATGACAAAAATCCTTGTTGGCAAATATCTGACAGCCGTAAAGAGAGAACCAAGCACTTGCAGTGTCGTTGACTTACTGTAACTATGCTCGACATACATGTATCAGTCATGGACTGCCAGCTTCACCGACACTTTGTTCATGGTGAGCCTTCTGCCGAGGTTTTGTGAATGCACTCAAGAAAAGTTCTCTCTATACATGTGCCTCGTACTACGTAAAATCGAAAGCAGACTTCCTCCAGAAGAACGATCGACATAATGAAATGGAGTGGTATGGTATGGTACTCGTTCGAACACGACAAAGAATGCATGATGGCAACTGCACCCTCAAATTCTCAGTCACTGCATTCGTCGCAGAAGCAACACTCTTGACAAGTCTGAGACTGTATCCGTACTACAAATAGGTCTTTTGGGCATGGAAAATTAGCCTGTCGAAGGAGGCAGACGGCATCTGTCCGCACGTCGTAATCGAGTGAACGTCGGAGAGCAGGTATGGCCAGAGTATGTCGATGCCAGTCTGAGATAAACGAGAGCTCATTTGCATAGTAATTCAAACCCACAGTGATGCGTGAACTGATAACGAACTTCAGAGCAATTCTGGCCTTGATCGTCCAGAGAAGCATCTGCAGCGCTGACAACTTGTCGGTAGCTGGTTCGCCTGAGATGAGGCACATTCTTTCAAAGTCGTACAGTAGAATTCTTGCAAAATAATGCACCTTGCCACATCAAATCGTGTGGCGTAAGGTGGAACAGGCGATGGGACACCGATTCAGACATCTCCCTGCGCGGAAGAGGCGCAGTAGAGAGAAGAATCCAAGCCTCGACTGCAACGCCTGTCAGTGCTGTGTCACGACCAAACAAGACCGTCGCTACAACGGACCGATTGTCCTAGTCAAGATTCGATCGCTGGCATGTAGCGGTGCTCGAAAAGTAGGATCTGCAGGCAGCTGGACCTTCTCCTAAGAAGCGGTTATTGCTGTGTCGAGTAGTTGGGTGCGTGTGTGCTCGATAGCTTCAGTCCGTGCTTCGTCGATAGGCTGCGTGAGGGCTCGGCGCAGAAGTTGGTAGTCGACACAGTCACACCTAAAGGCACCGCTCTCGACCGAGGTATTCATGACGACGTAGAGATGGGTGGACCGTGGGCTCTTTGAGATAGGAATTGATGATAGATGTAAGGTACAGAGACCAGTTGGCCGCGGGCTGATGAGGCACGGAGGCTCGCGGAGTTAACGTCATGCGCGTCATGCGCGTCATAGTGACTTTAGCCTCAGACTCTACAATGAATAGAGAGACCACCTGCACTTTTGCATTGCTGCTTCCACACGTGTTTCTAATAACATAACTTGGACTTGAAGGAACATGTCGCCAAAATCATTAGATTTTCAGTGTGCTCTCGTCACAGGCGGTGCTGGAGGAATCGGACGAGCAATTGCCGAGTACTTCATCTCCCAGGGCAAGAAGGTCATCATCGTAGGCCGAACCGAATCCAAGTTGCAGTCGACTTGCAAGGAAATTGGCGCAGACTATTATGTACTGGATACTGGAGACATTAAAGCTATCCCGGATTTCATCCAGAAGATCACTAAGGACCACCCGGAGCTCGACTGTCTTGTCAACAACGCCGGAGTTCAGAGGCCTCTCAATGTCAATGACATGTCAGCCGAGCAGTTCCTCGAGAAAGGCGACAATGAGATCAACATCAACGTTCGTGGGCCTATGCACCTTGCTGTAGGCTTCCTGCCTCACTTCAAATCGAAGAAGTCAGCCGTCATCATGAACGTCTCGTCAGTACTTGGATTTATCCCGTTCAGCATCATCAACCCGGTATACAACGGTACCAAAGCATTCGTGCACTTCAACACGATGAACTTGAGATCCCAGCTGGAGCAGGTCGGATCCTCAATCAGGGTCATCGAAATAGCACCACCCTCTGTCGGCACCGACTTGCACAGAGAGAGAGAGGACCCAGACGATAACAAAAAGGAGAAGAACGCTAGTGCTCTATCTGTTGAAGAGTTCATGGAGGAGGTGAAGAGGGGATGGCAGGAGGATCGCGAGTGCATCGGCGCCGGGATGAGCCAGAAAGTGATAGACAGGTAAGCTCAGGCCGCATCTCTAACAGAATCTAACCAGCCCGTACTGACCCTTGTAAGATGGTACAACGAGTTCGGGCCGGATTACAAGAAAGCCGAAGGCAAGGCATGATCTTGTCAACGGACAATCGATTGTTTACCCGCTACGAGGGAACGGAAGGATCGGCGTTTCGAGCGCCAAGCTATCTGTTTCCGCGCCAACTCTCCACGCGAAACAAACAACATGGATGGTCGGTCTGTCTTTACAGCGCTAACATCATCAAAGACGGTGCGCCTAACACCAGAGTAATTTTAATTCACCATCTTCTGCTTCGTCATTTTGCAAGTTCTCTGACCGTTTCGATCTTCTGACCTTTGTACCCACAAGCGCCTAATCCCAGTATGCATACAGCTTGAGTGCTTGATTGGACGCAAGCACAGCTTCACACATTCCTCGCCTATCGCGCCAACGCTCATTACACGCTCCGCCAACATGGCTTCTCGCTATGGCGACTCGTCTGTCTATAGCGACAACGAGGGTACTCCTGGATCGCGCAATGCGTCGACAATGAGACTGCTCACGCACATCGACGAAAGTCCATTCGAAGAGTATGTCCAGCAACCTTCACAGCCCCAGCAATCGCTCCCAGTCGATTCCAAAGCAGAGCAAACCAGTCGCTCGAGATTCAGCGTGCCTAGAAAGCAACCGAAAGAGCGCGATGCTATTGAAGACCTGCTCGAAGAGGCACAAACGTCGCTGTCGACAAAGAAGAAAGACTTGAAGAACCACAACTTAACAAAGCCCTCTAGAGAAGCTGCCGAGGACATCCCTCCCATGCCCGCCACCTTCATCCCATACCATCCCTCCCGTCCGCCTTCACGAGCCGTCTCGATCGTCGACGGAGCTCCCAACCTTCCGCCTCCCTCAGACGCGCCGCCCTTCTACTTCGACCGACCATCGTCACGCGCCGACCACTCTCCCTCGCGCTCGTGGTCTCCAACCCGCATCTCGCTCGACTATACCGTACCACCCTCCTACAACGCTCCCTACGAACCTGCCGACATCAACGGGAGCCCAAGACCTGGCTCCCCATCTAGCAAATATGGTGGCAGCTCGAAAAGACCGCTCCCGCCGGCCCCGTTGTTTGCCGGTGTGCGTCCTAACTCTTCGGACGGCGACAAAGACCTCTCTGATATGACAGCCATACCGATAGATGGCGACGACGACCCCTTCACCGACGACGAGCGACCAGATCTACTCAAGACCGACTCGATTCTTTCCGACTCGACATACAATGAGGATGATTACGATGAGAAGGGCGACTATGCACCAGCACCTGACGGAAAGCAAGAACGTCGTGGTGCTCGGCCTGCTGTCATGTCCAGGAAAGAGGTCAAACTTATCAATGGCGAACTGATTCTCGAATGCAAAATTCCCACCATTTTGTATTCATTCTTGCCGCGTCGCGACGATATCGAGTTCACGCATATGCGTTACACGGCCGTCACATGCGATCCCAACGAGTTCGTCGAGCGTGGCTACAAGCTCCGTCAGCAAATCGGGAACACCACGCGTGAGACCGAGCTTCTCATCTGTGTCACCATGTACAACGAAAACGAACTCGACTTCACTCGTACCATGCACGGCGTTATGCGCAATGTGGCCCATTTCTGCAGCCGACAGAAGTCTAGAACATGGGGCAAGGATGGATGGAAGAAGGTAGTCATCTGCATCATCGCTGACGGCCGCAAAAAGGTCCATCCTCGAACTCTGGACGCTCTTGCTGCCATGGGAGTGTATCAGGACGGCATTGCAAAGAACTCGGTTAATCAGCGCGAAGTCACTGGACACGTCTACGAGTATACCACGCAGGTGTCTCTTGACCCGGACCTCAAGTTCAAAGGAGCTGAGAAGGGCATTGTACCTTGCCAGATGATTTTCTGCATGAAGGAGAAGAATGCAAAGAAACTCAACAGCCATCGTTGGTTCTTCAATGCATTTGGACAAGCTTTGAAACCAAATGTCTGCATTTTGCTAGATGTTGGTACACGACCTGGAGACACATCGCTATATCACCTTTGGAAAGCCTTCGACAACGATTCTAATGTCGCTGGTGCTGCTGGCGAGATCAAAGCTGGCAAAGGAAAGAATTGGCTTGGCCTCTTCAATCCGCTTGTGGCGTCTCAAAACTTCGAGTACAAGATGTCAAACATCCTGGACAAACCTCTCGAGTCTGTCTTCGGCTACATCACTGTCTTGCCGGGTGCGTTGAGTGCTTACCGCTTCCATGCCCTTCAAAACGATGAGACTGGGCATGGGCCTCTCAGTCAATACTTCAAGGGCGAGACCCTACACGGTCAAGATGCGGATGTTTTCACCGCCAACATGTACCTTGCTGAGGATCGTATTCTCTGTTGGGAACTGGTCGCCAAGCGCAACGAATCGTGGGTGTTAAAATACGTGAGGCAAGCCACTGGCGAGACCGATGTACCAGGTAAGCAGTCGCTCGAACGTCATTGCTGAGACTTGACTAACGATTGTAGACGCTGTCCCCGAGTTCATCTCCCAGCGCCGAAGATGGCTGAATGGTGCCTTCTTTGCTGCAGTCTATTCTCTTCTTCATTTCAAGCAAATCTGGACCACATCGCATTCCCCCATCCGCAAAGCTCTACTCCACGTCGAATTCATCTATCAGTTCATTCAACTCACATTTACCTGGTTCTCTCTCGGCAACTTCTATCTAACTTTCTACTTTGTCGCCGGTTCTCTTTCGGATCCAAAGATTGATCCTACCGGAGCAAAGGTCAATCTCTGCAAATATGTATTCACCGTACTACGCTATGCTTGCGTCCTGACCATCGCAATGAACTTCATCTTGAGTATGGGCAACCGACCCCAAGGATCAAAGAAGATGTTCCTCGGGTCGATGGTCGTTTACGGAATCGTCATGGCTTACACAACTTTTGCTTCGATTTGGATTGTGGTCAAGGAATTCAGTGGAGGCAATATGCAGATCGGCAACAACCTCTTCACGAATTTCATCGTCAGCACTCTCAGCACCATAGGACTCTACTTCCTGATGTCCTTCCTCTACATGGATCCTTGGCACATGTTCACCAGTTCTGCGCAGTACTTTGGCATGCTTCCCAGCTACATCTGTACCCTCCAGATATTCGCGTTCTGTAACGCCCATGATATCTCTTGGGGAACCAAGGGTGACAACACTGTCAGCACCGATCTGGGAGCTGCTAAGGCCTCCAAGGGTGGTACTGTCGAACTTGAGATGCCAAGTGAGCAGCTGGATATCGACAGTGGCTATGACACTGCTCTTCGCAATCTACGTGACCGCGTTGAAGTCATAGAACCACCTCCTAGCGCAGCACAACAGCAAGAAGATTACTACCGTGGTGTCAGAACGTACATGGTGACGATTTGGATGTCCACCAATGCTATTCTTGCCATGGCTGTCAGTGGAGCGTATGGTGAGACCGGTATTGCCAACAACGTCTATCTCAAGTTTATCTTGTGGGCCGTTGCTGTCTTGGCTCTGTTTCGTGCCATTGGCTCTTCGACTTTCCTCTTCATCAATGCTGTCCACTCCATCCTAGAAGGCAAGCTGAAGTTTAGCGATCGCAGCTCCACGGGTAGTAAGACTACCTCAAGAAGACGATACGGTTGGCGCAGTAAGATTCCGTCCTTCAGCTTCCTCAATGGCACCGGTACCTGGATTGGTGAAAAGGCTGGAAATGCTACTGTGGGGGTCAAGAGACTTTTCCACAAATGAATTGTACGACTTGCATCTTTGTCCCAAGATATGGGGACAGACGGATGATATATGGGCGTTAGTCTGAATTTCCTTTCTTTGTGTTAGAGAAACTGGTGGTCTCACGCCGTGACGCATGTATTATAACGACCGCACTTGAGTTCTTTTCCTTGTTATCCGCGAGCTTTGGGTCGTCTCATTGTACTGCGTGTCACTGTCTTGGCCCGTCGTCGTTGTACCTATATACGCTTGTACCGTGCCTTCCACATTGGCCAAGTCGGAGTACACAACACAAGATGTCTGCGATCGATCGACAAAAAGATTAGGCCGATCCAGATACTGCAGTGCGATGCTGTCCCCCGTCCTGATGCGATGATTTTTACACAGATCGCACGCGGGTCTGCAAAGCCATTTTGTCCAGCCACTTGATTGTGATGTCACATACCCAGCCCAGCGTGAACTCCCGTGCTTCGCAGCTTTCTGCTTCTGACTTCACGCCCTTCTCTCTTTTCCAAATGATATGCCTAACAACGCACAACTCGTGACCGCCGGAGATCCATGAACAGGAGAAAATCTCCTCTTGCCAGGACGCCTAGCAAGATCATCGCTTGCCGTCTGTCCGGTGGCCTTGGAGGCTTGGGCGCGGTCGTTTTCCCCTCGTTTCCGCGCGGGGTTGTCTAACAAAACACATCCAATCGCGTTGCGGTGCCTTGCCTATGGCCGAAAGCCTCTTGCTTCGTACCCCATGTATTGATGATCTCGATACAGAACAGCTATGGACTGGTTCATAGACCCAGTAACGCCGAGAGAGGCATATCACTTGCAGCTCATGTGCAAACTGAGCGAGTGACAAGGTAGGACAAGATCTCAGATCCGAGACTCGCGCGATATCGAATGAGGAGGCAAGTCAGAGGCTGTTAGTTTCTCACGATCAGAAACCACTGCTATGGTAACGACAGTTCCATTCTGCCACGCGACTCCAGACTCCCAAGGCCTCAACCCCGGATTGACCCTCCACGTCCTCAATTGCGGGGAAATTAGGTACACGCGCTATCAGCTAACCTTATTAGAGTCCTCTGGTACTCAGGTATCCGCATGCCCGGACTGCTCTCGAACCCGTAGAGTTGTATCTGGCACGTCTGTACTACATGCACGCTTCTGACATGGTGGTTACCGCACTGAGCATGTCAATTGCATACAATGGACACTGTGTCAGCCATCTCGCATGGTTGTCTGTACGAGCTCTTCAAGTCGAACGTGGCTTTTGTTACCAGGCGTACGCTTTACAACAAGCAAGCCAACCGCTCAACCGGAAGGAGGCATCCGGGGTAGCTTTCAGTGGCGTGCGGCTGGTCGATCACATCAAGTCCTGTACACATAGTCAGGAGATCATGGGCCGTTCGCGACCAGTACGGCGGGGTATGGCTCCTCTTCTGCTCTGATCGTCTTCACTTTAGTGGTTGTTGTGTTATCCGAGACGGGGTCTTCGGATGTGGTGCAGCCGCGCGTTGGATGCCGCATTGCAGAAGGTATATATGCAGGTTTCCTCTGTTGTGGCAGCGACCATCTCCCTCCTATTCTAGATCCGCATCCTCTATCCTTCCCAAGCATTATTACGAACACCGTCACGATGTCCAACGAGGCTAACTACAACACGACCAACAACCTTGATCACATGGCCAGTCCGCCAATGGAAAAGGATTTCAGTCACGGTAAAGCGGTATCTGAGAGTGCATCTGACTTCAAGCTGACAATTTACTAGATTATCATAATAACAACAGCATCGGAAACGATGTCGACAGCGAGACGGCACTGCAGAGAATTCGTACAGCTGGCAGCATCTCTATCTCCCCTGAACTGTTCGAAAAGCTCTATCTATCTCCTCAGAACAAGGTCGCTGGTGAATTGAGAAAGACATTCGGTAACCCCACACCACTGTACGTATCCCTATAGGTCTCACAAAGTCGCCACTAACATTCTCTACAGCGCTTTGGTCGGCTTTCTTCTCAGTTTGACGCCCCTGAGTTGTATGTTGATGGGCTGGCGAGGTGCTTCCAACACTGGTGCTTCCGATATCGGTGCTTACTTCTTCTTCGGTGGCCTGTTGATGATACTCGGTTCTATTGGAGAGGTAAGTGACGCTGATCTCTGAAACTATCGACCTGCATCCTAACAACTCCATAGTGGTTAATCGGCAACACATTTCCCTTCGTCGTCTTCGGCTCGTTTGGTGCCTTCTGGTTGACATTTGCTGCTACTCTTCAACCATTCTACAACGCATACGGTGCTTTCTCAACCGACGCTAATGCTCCCGGAGAAGGACTGGCGACTGTTGAATTCAACGCCAGTTTCGGTTCGTATCGGTAGTTGGCTATTTGCTCTTGACGTCTTACTGATGATGCAATTCTAGGCTTCTTCCTTGTCTTCATGGGCATGCTGTGTCTGTTGTACTTCATCTGTTCCCTACGAACCAACGTCGTCTTCGCCATGATCTTCTTCACTCTCGTTCTCGCCTTCGGTTGCCTGACTGGCGCTTACTGGAACCTCGCCATCGCCTACGGTAATCCTGCCACCTCAGCTGCTAGAGCCGCTCATGCTGCAACTGCTACGAGATGCCTGACCGCTGCTGGAGCCCTCACCTTTGTCACAGACATGTGTGGTTGGTGGATCTTCTTCGCCATTATGCTCGCATCTCTGGACTTCCCCTTCCAGCTTCCTGTCGGCGACCTCAGCACCTTGATCAAGGGCGCTACTGACAGAAAGAAGGCCAAGGAGGAGAAGGAGAGATACTCTGCATAGGCCCGCATCGTCAAAAGCTTTCGGTAATGTCACTTGGATGTGACGTTGACGATTGACCGTTGAGGATGGAACACGTTTAATGAGTACTGTATCGTAATGTTATGTATATTAGGTCTGTGGGTGTACCAAGCAGGTGCATCTACTTAGCTCGATCATGAATCTTCAATTCGAACCTTTTGCAACCATACTGTGACCTCCTTCCAATATATCTAATAATGTTTTGATGAGCATAGCCATGGCCTTGTTACAAGTCGGTCTTTCTGGTCTGCTGTTGGGAGGTACGTTGGGGGTCATGACACCATCGTTTACACATTCACAGCATGCTTAATCAGGACAGATGCTATTGTATCTCTCGATGTTTTCTGAACTGGAAAATTCGATGTTCGGTGCCAGTCAGCGTTCTCTGACTGGTTGCAATGACCCAGAAGACATTCGCTCCGGAATATAACCATGAGACGAGGCTGATAGGGTGACCCTGACTACAGTATCATCTCGTCTTCCAGACCACCAACGCCGAATCTACGTGTCTGAGATAACTTGCAGACCTCTGACTGTATCTATCTGATAATACCGTCATGCTTTGAGAAACCTGAAAGATCGTGGGTAACGTGGTGACGTTATATTCCATTTTGTTTATAAGGTTGATGTGAACGTGACTTCTTCATCACCCATCAAGGCACGCATCAAAACACACGGGAGTCACAGTTCTCGACTTGTTCCAAACACGCATTACAATACCGTTCACTGAAATCGAGAGCTAAGAAAATAGTCAACATGCGAAAAGAAGGCCACACAAGCCATGATTTTAGCGCTGCCGCCTGATGCCTCCATCACCCCCCAAACTGCTGTGAGATGTTCGCTTCGCGACTCAGAACGAGCGAGCGTATATGGCGATCGTACTCGTCGAAGAATTACCGCAAGCTCCTGGTACACTCCCTGGTAGACTGGCCCCGTTACACAAGTAGCAATTGTTCTAATCACATTGCGTCAGTGATCCGTCTCACCAGCTCGTTGACGACCAACATACCTCTCCAGCTTCTCCTGTAGTTCCACTCAATAATCCACTGTTGATGGTGACATAGTTGATGGCATTCCCACACCAGCAATCGGCACTCGCTGTACCCTGATTGACTGTCCCAAAGTAGACGAAGTTGAGGGTAAGGCATGTTGCACTGCAGCGGCTGTTGACCTGGCCAGTAAAAGATCCTTGGTATGAAGATAGTGCTCTGCCGGTGGTCACAGTGCTAGAGCCAGTTTGGACATAGCAGCTTAGGTAAGCGTAGAGTATACCAGTAGCAACAGGCCCAGCTGGTCTGTTAAAGAAATTAGTCATATAGCAGAGGAAGGCTGTATTTGGATGTCATCGTACCCTGAGGGTCCCTAGAAGTGAGTACCAGGGTTAGTCAAGTTCGAGAAATTCAAGTGTGATAGAGCCGCCGGCTTGGAAACACATCGGGGGACAATCATGAGGAGATGTGCTTTGAGTCTTCGCGACTGAAAGCGGACACTTACTTGAACACCTGTTGGTCCAGTACTGCCTGGCAACCCCTGCTAGATGTTAGGAATATGACATATCGATGAAGGTACGGCTTTGACTTTCCTGCGGTCCTATGAGACGGCGACAAATGTCAGCAAACAATAAGACAGAAAGTATGGGACCAAACTAACCTGTAGGTCCCTAGAACGAGAGAGAGAGTATGATCAGCATGATTCAGTCTCGCCGGAATGTCTGAGACGTACTGTAGCACCGGTTTGGCCGCTAACACCCTGGCTTCCCTGGATGCCCTGTATACCCTGACAGTAGTGTTAGAAGATATCTGGATGGTGAGGTTCATCATTCAAACTCACTTGAGGTCCTTTGACGCAAAATCGAGTATCAGCAAATGTCATAACTCCAGGAGTGGAGCAACTCACCAGTAGGTCCCTGGATTCCCTTAAAGAGCAGAATGAGTCAGCACGAACAGAAATGGAAAAGTGCGTGGATAGAAACTTACAGTACTACCTGGTTGGCCAGAAGCGCCGGAAGGTCCCTACTTAAGGTCAGACGACAGATCTGGTCGCGTGGATATTCAGCTTACGCTAGGCCCTATTATTGGTAATAAAAAGTCAGCCTGGATAACCATCACCGTTGGAATTCTAGTAAGAAAGCCACTGCTAAATTTCGGGTGCGAATAAGTCGTCACCAGAGGCGAGCCATTAAACAAGACTGTAGAACTTTATTCTGCGACTGGGATCGGAATGATCTGTTTTACTGTGAAATTTGCACTCACCCGAGGGACCGCTAGAACCAGCAAGACCACTTGGACCGCTCGGACCAATATTACCACTAGGACCACTAGGACCACTAGGACCACTAGGACCACTAGGACCACTAGGACCACTNACCACTAGGACCACTAGGACCACTAGGACCACTAGGACCACTAGGACCACTAGGACCACTGTATTGGTGTCAGACCGTCTGTATGCGATGGATAGCAGACTGTCGAGGCGTACCTTGGACCAGAACTTATAGCCAACGCAGCGCATGAAGACACCGAAAACAAAGAAAGTTGAATGAACATGCATCCAGAAGGCGCTGCATCTTGTTGATAGACCGCGTACACGGTGCCGTTACTTAGGGAGCAGAATTGTGCTTGTCCGTTGTAGAATTGTGAATTGAACCACGAAAGCTGACCATTGCTCGTGGCCGAGAATGAAGTCAAGATAGTTCCTGGTGTTAGTGTAGGGACGAATTGCGAATATGGTACTCCTGGACTGGTTGAATAGTAGTAGACGACATTGTTGATTGTCGCTGTCAATACACCATTCCGGATCGAATATATGGGAGCATTTGTACAGTCGTTCGTGACACTTCCGTTCGCGTTGACGTAGAACCCACTCTGTCGCTTCTGGTGTAACCTAGTGTCTGATCTTATGAAGAGAATGAAAGAGGAATCTGTTGCCGTTGGGGCTGTGTCGCTAGAGAGAGTAGACGTGGAAGCTGTGGAAAGAAGTGTCTTTGTCCAAGAGAGCGTGGTTATGAGATCGATCGATATTGGCGCCTCTGTAACAGTAATTGCTGCCTCGGTTTCGGCTAGGGGAAAGAAAGTGGTATTCGATTGCACAAAAGTATTGACCGAGACAGCCTGTTGGTACACAATGTTTTGACTGGCATAACGGTGTATGTTGCAGGCGTTTTGCGCTTCGACTAAGCATGGTAAAAGAGTGACGAGACAGGCGAGAGCTGTCACCGAGAAAAACTCAAGGGTGTAGTGAGCACACATCGTGATGAAAATTACAAAAATAGGCAAAGAAAATCGAAGTATACTCAATGATGCTGAAAGATACTATTTGGACCATATGAAGATGTAGGCTGTAAACTTCGGCCCGATACTTGTTGATCGCTAGTCGCTGAGGTGCCGGTCCTCACGGAAACCCGAGGAATGTGGTCAGCTCAAGCCGAGAATGAGGGCAGAAACAATACTCCAGGACAGCCGGACAAGACCCTAGACACATTCCGTGCAATGGGTGGTAGAGTAGTACTGTAATCTAGGGCAAGGCCAATTTATTATGTATCAGGGCTAAGTGAGAAAGGTCAACTGTCATGGGAACGCCAAACAACAAACAACATTGAGGCCTCCTCTTTAGCGTCTGACCCTGGCGGCAGCTCCTGCCTCGGATGAGCTACTGCCACCGCTCTCCTCGCCGGGAGGCGGGCCGGGGTAATAGAAGGCCGCAACCGCAATCAGCACATACACAAAGAAGCACAAGACTCCTTCAAGGTAGTTGGACTTGCCGTCCCGCAAAAATTGACCAACCACGAGTATAGCCAAGATGAGAACAACGGCCTCGAAGATCTCGAAATTGAGAGACATGTGTAATTTCTGGGGCACCGTCAGTAATCAGTCAATTCTTTGGAACGGAGAGACATACCAGTCCCCATCCAACAATGACTGCAAGAGGAGTGTTCAGTAAAGCGGTCTGGATCGACGCGCCCAGAATGTGGGAAAGCGCAAAGTTCATTTGGTTGTCCCAGGCTTCGTCGATTGCAGTTATATGCTCGGCAGCCTTTTCGACGAGAGGAATTAATATGAGACCGAGGAACGCATCAGAGATACCTCGATGCTCAACCATCCATTCAATATTCTGAACGAGGAAGACAGCCATCATCGAGACGAAGGTGATAGCAAGAGCTAGAGCAATGACGGACTCGGTAAGTGTAAGTTTAGCTTTAGCGAGATCACGGTGACGATCGGCATCTTGCTCCTCATCTTCCTCAAGGATGTCGTCGAATATTCCGTGGTGCGACTTCATTTGGAAGAAAGTGTACACTGCGAAAGCCAAAAGAAGAACGATTGCAGTGGCCCGGGAGATGCGGACAACGTCCAACTCCAGTTGTTCTTCTGTTAAATTCGTTCGATTAGCGAGCGCGTTTGAGTAAGTGACTGGGATGATGAGAGCGAAGCCAGCAACCAGCATAAGATTGCTTCCGGTGTCGCTGACAACATCGTGGAAGGACTGCTCATGTCGTCGCAGGCCTCCGAAGAAGAAGCAAAGACCCATACAGAGCAGTAAGTTTGCTAGAATACTACCAAGAATAGCTGCTTGTACGATAGGAATACCTTGCCTGCCATTGTTCTTCAGAAGCACTATGAAGAGAATCATCTCGACCAATGAGCCAAGCGTTGTTTCGAGGACGACACCCAATACAGTTGGGAGCTTTCTAGCCAGCTCTTGACCAGCAAAGCCGATGAGGTTTGCTGCTGGAACCATAGCGATATAAGACAGGATGAAGATCCAAAGATGTTCCTGCGGTCTGGCAAAATGCTAGCAGAACAATGTCGTTAAGAAATGAATCCGCTTGACAGTAAGGAGGCACTTACCAAAGCAATTGCAGCAGGAACGAATGGCCACAAGACATTGACCCACTTCGAAGCAGTGCACGAACTGCGCCAACAAATTTTGAGGAAGTGAAGAGGGTGGATACCACGCCTACCACTCTCGCCGTTGGGCTTGATGCCCTTGGTCACGGCGTGACCATTGGTGTTGTATTCTGGCAATCTGCCATCTTCGCGTCCTAGAGCTGGCTTCGGTTCATGATTGGATGGGCTTGTCGATTGTCGGCTTCCGCGACGGGGTTTGGGTCTTGTTGTCATGGCGCTTTATGGTGTGTGTTGTCTGTGACGGCTTCCGTAGATGTTCGTGGGCAGCAGGAGAGTGAAGGTGCTGCAGTGAGAATTTACTTGTGAAGAAAGTTAACCACAATTCGACGTGGCAATGGCAGAGAGACGTGAAGTAGGGAAAGAGTTGTTGTCGGGCATTCAGGTTTATGGAGTGGAGTAGCTGCGGCAGGACAGTTAAACTCACTGAAAGCGCCTCTCACGTCTCCAGCGCGCTTTCCTTGTTTCTAACAGCATACAAGTACTCTAAATTATCAGCCTCCCCCTAGGGGTCGATTCGCTGGTACATGCACGGCAGCACGATCGGCCAAGGCTTGTTTGTGGCTGTGTCAATCTGGACTCCGGACATCCCAACCTCCTTAAAGCGCACAGCAGGTAGTCTCCCTGTGTGCTGCAGCTACAGCAAATCTATTGGAGCAAGAGGTGAGACAAGGAAGACGCAAGTCAAATGCCTGCACGCCAACATTTGCTCGTCCATACAGCTTAGAAGAGACAAGCACTCTCTGGGCAGGTTTGCGACGCTTCGATCTTGGTATACATGCTTGGCGGTGACATCGTCCGGAAATTACTGGCTCGTTTTTGAGTTTTACTCTCATGATATTTTCCTTTTGTTTCCTGATCTAAAACTGCATGGCGTTGTCATCTTATGTCCGTTAGACGAGCTCCTCGGACGCGAGCACATGAGGGGTGAGGAGGTCATGTACTTGGGCATGTAGTCATGTTTCAAATAACGCCTCGATTTCATGAGCGCGTCCATGTCAAATGAGGTCACACATATAAACCTTCGCATGCCCGGTTTTGTGGGCATGAGGCTTGAACAACGTGCTGCAGTTCTCATACACCCAGATGCATTCTACGAGCCCGGCCTAGTCTTGATGAGGTTGTACGCATGCTTCCAATACAACTCGTTCAGCAAGGACGACATCCGCAGGTCTTCACCGAATATACACGTGTGGCGCCCTGTTTTGTTACCCTCGAACACTGTAGGCGTAGCGTATATTGAGATTCAGACCATGTCGCTCATTGTCCAGCAACGCTTTACGATGCTACGAAGTCTTGGGTCACTGGTCTTCGGATCTCGAATCATATCTTGTCTCCGCCATCGCACCGATTAGCCAGTAAAGCAAGTTACTCAAGGGTGGTAGTTTGCTTGATGTTCTGATTCCCAGTCTGACAGTCCAGTAACAACGTGAATCTGACCAGACAACGACTCAACCAGATAACACTTGTTGTTCGATTCGTGAGGTAAGCGCGATTCGATTCTTTCGCAGCCATCAGGCTACCTAGAGCAACGTCGCTATGACCGACCGTGCCACGCTGCAGGTTGTCACATACTTGGCCGGCCCAAAGTCCCTATATACCCAGGTGTACTCAAGCATATGAGCCAGGATCTTTTAAAAAGGCGCATGTTCCAGAGGAGTTTGTTTGATCTATCGATGGTGTCTAGATCTATCCTTCTTTGCAGATTCTCGTTTATCCCACTGCAGACCGGGATAATCGTCTTCGCTGGAACATCTTCACATGAATTCCATGGGTTTACTGCTTTCTCCGGTGGTACAGCGGGAATTGGCAAAGCTCGACTTGAATGATGATCGGATATCCGAACGGCTGGGTGCCAGATTCAAGCCATCCAGATGCATAGTTTCCCTGGGTGGGCTTATCGCACTTATCACCAGGAAGGGCAACGGTTTGACAGCCTCGGTGCGAGCACTCGCAGAAATCTGGCATTGCGAATGTCGCTACCGAAACACCACGACAGGACATTTGAAGGTGATGCATCGACGCCCTAAAACTTTCATCGGCACTACCGACCATGCTGCTTTGCAGTGTCAAAATAAAAGAGATGCACACCAAGAAACTCCGTTTAGCCATACGATTCTGGTTGCACAGATACTGCCAAGCTTGGGTACGCATGATGCGTTGAGTTATGCACACACCGCTACATCTTATGGCTCATCACATTTGAGAATCGCCACGAGAGGCATCGTCGAGTGTCGACCTGCCGCTTTTTGTGTGAGTTTGCGAGCGCTTGACACGTACGGCGAATACCGGGGAGATGGAGATCTTGGCGTTAGACGGCAGGAGGCATGGCGATCATCCTTGACCATTTCTGGTTGTGTTTACATATTGTGGACACGTTGTCTCTATTGATGTCCTACTGGAGCCGATGGAATCAGTTGGAAAAAATGAAAGATCAAATCAGAGATCACGGACGGATTGATAAGACTGGACGGATTGATAAGACTGCACGGATTGACAAGAGTGTACGCAATTGGAGTTTGCATGTCGAACATCATGGACCGATCACGGGAGGCAGAAGAACACAAATGCGCAAACAATTAATGTTTGTGCACGTCGCAGAAACACGGGATGGAATTTCTATGAGAGGGCTGAGTCGAAGCGATACCGTCGGTGGACCCTGCCTTAGCTTGGACCCTGACTCCTCACTGAATTTCAGCCAATCGGCACGGTCGCCGAGGTTTTATATCAATGCTCACCAGCTCTGGAAGTCTGGGCGTTCAACAAGACTGGATAAAGGAGATCTGTCGTGGAAGAAAAAGGGTCCATGTCGAAGTTCTTTTCTGTTCGAACTTTCTTGCATCAACACACTTAACGATATTGCTTGACTAGTCATTCATTTGAACTATCTTCCAGTCAACAATCATGGGTGTTCAAGGGGTCTCCGACACCAAGGCTGTCAGCACGTCAATTGACTCGTTGAGAGCTGCAATTCCCAAGCACTGCTTCCAGAAGTCGACATCGACTTCAATGAGCTACATTGTACGAGACATTGCTCTTGTCTGCACTGTGTTCTACATGGGCACACAAATCCAATACGCACCCACCTTCGCTTTGAGATGCGCCCTCTGGGCACTTTACAGTGTCTTCCAGGGATTCGTGTTTGTCGGCATCTGGATTCTGGCTCACGAGTGCGGCCACCAAGCCATGTTTGATAACGGCACCGTCAACGACACTTTCGGTCTTATCATGCACAGTTTCTTGGGTGTCCCATACTTCTCTTGGGTACGTTTTGCAGAGCAGGCCTATGAAAACCATTCAATGTGTTGTTCTGAATGTTGATGCTAACTTACCAAAAGAAATACAGCCATGCCAGACATCACAGATACACCAACCACATGGAGAAGGATACTGCTTTTGTGCCCGCCCAGAAGGATGGCAACCATCTCATGGCTAAGGTCCAGGACAAGGTCAAGCACGTTTTCCACATGACTGAGGATGCTCCCATCGTGAGCTTGATCTTCCTTATTGGACATCAACTGATCGGATGGCAAACTTACATGCTCTGCTATGCCTCTTCTGGCTACAAGAGTTTGGCACTTTCCAAGGACCCCCGCACTACTTCCAACCTCAGCCACTACTCACCCACATCTCCAATTTACCTTCCCTCTCAGCGTCTTGCCATTCTCGTTTCTGATCTTGGCCTTCTGGCTGTTGGTTACGGTCTTTACTATGCCACACAGGTCATGGGTCTGACCCAGGTGGCCCTGCTATACGGTCTTCCTTACCTCTGGGTTAACCACTGGCTGGTTGCCATCACTTACCTTCACCACAACCACGGTGACGCCGAACACTTTGAGCAAGGAACCTGGACTTTCGAGAAGGGCGCTCTGGCCACTGTCGACAGAGACTTTGGTTTCGTCGGCCGTGAGCTGTTCCACGGTATCATTGAATTCCACGTTGTCCACCACCTTTTCCCGTAAGTTTTGAACGTTTCGCTGTTTGTACAAGAGAGAAACTTATCAAAATCAACAGTCGCATTCCATTCTACCACGCTGAGGAGGCTACTGGTGCCATCCAGCCTATGCTTGGAAAGAAGTACATCCGCGACAACACCTCGTTCCTCAAGGCTCTTTGGAAGACCTTCACCAGCCATCACTACGTTGTAGAGCACGAGACAAAGCCCGGTGTTCTTGTCTGGGCCAAGTAGGCTCCCAAGTTTCCTGTTCGTTCACAAAAAATCGATTCCCTCGCGTCATAGAAGGGCAAAGTAGACAGGCTAGATTCATCTGGGACGAGACATTAGAAGCGGATCCAGTATCAAAATTATTCCAAGGCCACGTCTCTACCCATGCATGACCCGATAGATCTCGTTAGCCAGTTTTGGTTCCCGGCTCGGCCCAAGGAAGGAGCGCCCGAAAGCAATGACGCGTTGCTCATGGGTGGACACTTGCCTAGGTAGCCTGCTAATCGTGTAGGCTCAAAGTAAACAACACGACGTCTGTTCACACCACGTCGACCGATCCCACCTAGTATCAACTCGCCATGTTTGATTACGTCAGCTTCATCCTTTCTGCAACCTTTACACCTATCCTAGTCAATATCGCATTTCACCAACCGTACTCTTGGTTCCAGACCATCTCTCTCGCAGGAGTCCTCGCCGTCATATCCAGCATCTGTGCTTTGATCGATGCAATGTTCTTGCGACTCTTCTTTTCTAGTGATCTTCACAACCTTCCTACTGCAATACAAGGACCAGTCTGGAAAAGACTATTTCGGGAGCCAACAGGTGATCGCCTTTCTCAATTCATGCCTGAGGCTCCTACCAGTCAAATAATCCGGTACTTCGGTGTTCTCAACTCCGAGCGGTTGCTTCTCACGGACCCAAAGGATATCAAACAAGTCATGGATTCGCAAGCTTACGAGTTTGGTCGTTCGTATCTGATTCGCCGTCTACTTTCTCCAATCTTAGGGAAGAATAGCCTGGTGGTCAGCGATGGTGCGGATCACATGCGTTGCAGAAAAGACGTGGACCCGGACTTCTACTCCCAACATGTCGCCGAACTTTGCCCAGTGTTCTAGCAGAACGCGTGCTCACTTGTTGAGGCTATCACAGCACACAAAGGTAGCGCCGAACAGCAAGCATACGGCTCGGAAGATTCTGTCGAGATACTCAAATGGCTCGAGAAGACGACATTCCAGATTGTGTTCACAGCCTTCTTCGGCACGACGTCAACCAACGAACAAGGCCCACTTGAGGACCTTCTACAAGAATTCCGAGAAGCGTTTTCAATTTCGTCAGGACTATACGCGCAAGCGGAGATGGCATGGGAAACGATCCTCCCCTCGCATCTATTCTTCGGCCTCATTCCGTTGGATGACATAAGAAAGACAAGAAAATCTATGCAGATTATCAGGGCCTTTTGTCAGAGCCAGATTACACTGAGAAAATCCAAGAACACGCCCGAGTCTCGCATGCTACTAGATAAGAACATCCTGGATACGGTAATCAGGTCGGAGAATCTTAGTGACGAGGAGATACTGGAGATGTGTACAACCTTCCTAGCAACAGGCTACAAAACTGTATCGATTGCGGTCGCCTGGGCTATTTATCACCTTTCAATCAGACCTGGTGTGCAAGCTTTGTTACGTGCAGAAGTCCGCAAAAGCTTCCCGGCACCCGATCGGGCCGGCACACCATCTTTCAGACCCGATACACTACAAAGAATGCCCATCCTAACAGCTGTCTTCAACGAGACCTTGAGATTTTCTCCATTGGTACATCTGACATACCGCGAAGCGCGAACTGACATGATACTACCCGGTTCGAATCAGGTCATACCAGAAGGTACAATACTTGCGATCTCACCTTGGGCGATTCAAAGATCTCCGGTGTACTGGCGAGGTGGAGAACCTTCTATCGGATTTTCGAGCACCTCTCATACGGCGTGCCCAAGCCCACTCACATGGGACATCTCACGATGGTTATCAGACAAAAAGGGAGGAGCGAGGATGCAATGCTCGTTCATGCCCTTCGGGCGCGGACCGCGATGTTGTATTGCAGAGGATTTTGCTCGAGATGAGATGGCGGTCTTGCTTGCCGTGCTGGTCGCGAGGTTCGATTTTTCTTTTCGATCCAGTGGTCGTGATAGTAATCCAAAGCCCGAAGATCTGAGAACTTCGTTTGGTGTAGCAGCCAAGCCTGTGAGGCTGATGGTGAGAGCTCAGCCAGTATTTGGTTGGTGATGAGTTTCGATATTATCAATCGAGCATCTACTGTACCTGAGCAATTCGTTCGAGCCATGTCGATCAACACTCCACGAATATTCCTCACATCTCTTGGCCAGAGAAAAGTTGTTGTTGACGTCATACCTTCCGATATAACAGGCACGTCCCGACGTGTCCTCCTCTCCTTCTCACTCCCTCATACTGGAATTCCGTAAATCAGCTCAACTTGTGACACCAATTCACTGAGTGACTACGATGACATACTATGGGAGTGAAAAAATGGCGGAGCTCCGACAAGAGCTGAAGAACCATGGTCTGCTAAGTACTGGTCTTACGCGAAAGTCGCAGATTATAGAACATGAAAAGTATTGTGTCTTTTTACAGCTAGAAGGGACTAGGAGGCTGCAGCTGAAATGGTGGGTTCTTTCGGCTGTCAAAGTACTTCCCTGGGGTTTGCCCCTTCAATTCTCCTTTTTTCTTGATTAGTGCGATCACTTACATCGAACCCGAGGCGTACGTGTCTCCGGTTCTCAAAGACAGCAAGATCCTATACGCTGCCGTACGACCCTGAAAACACGCACAACAACGAGCGAAGGCCGAGCGTCGACACGAATAATTTCTTCGTCATCGACCCGGTCACGCTTTCGATCTCCGTACCGGGAGGTAGAAAAGAACGGCACACAAGCACACTTCTTAAGCTTGGTCATGGCTCTGACCAATAGGCCAGAACTCCTGCTTGTGGTTAAAGAAAGGGAAGGAATAGGCAAAGAAAGTTTTTGGTAGTGTTTGGGAAAGCAAACGACGAGTGGAACAGCACGGTTGATGAGTCTTTCATCATCGAATGCTGGTAAGTGGAGAGTTGTAAAAAGGCCAGAAAGGTGTCAAGGAAGCGGGGTGCTGAGCAACCTACCTCAGAACGCGCGAAGAGGACAAAGACCAACGACACGACATCTCAGGCTCAGAGACCTAGACTTACTACACCAGACCTCGAATTCGAGTACGATCAGACCCAACTACGCAATCCACGATCCACACCAGGCAGAATAGGAAAGCCACGATATGAAGAAGATGACATACCTCACGATCTGAAAGAATGCTTTGACAACGATTACTACGTACCAAAGCCGGAAAGCGGCATGTTGGATGAAGGATCAAAATCTGATCCGAGAGACGTGTTCCACAATATACACAGATGCATCGATAAGGGTCCGAATGGGTCACCAACTACCAACAATGCTGAATTCCAGATTTATTACAACAAGGCGGTGCAGTGGAGTAAGCCAAGAGCTCTTACAAGGAGAGAGATGATCGATGGCATGGATGGAGCAATCGACCAAGATCGTCCCGACCAAGAGCAGATGTTTAATGTCTTCTTCACTGAGGATTCGAGGCCTGGAAACAGTATAGAAGAGACAGACGTGGTCGACTACGTGAAAGATAAAGTCTCGAAAGATCTAGACATCCCATGGTACCAGATTGGTCCGAAGCAGCTGGAACAGTGGGAGGAGAAGGGCTTCAGAAAGGTCGTCTACAAAGATTGGTGGAAGGAGCCAACGGCGGAGCAACAGAGAAGGATCATGAAAATGCCGGGCGGTGCTGATTTGAGGAAACACCTTTAGATCAGAAGGACGAATGACAGTCGATGAGTGTGGCAGTGTCGAGGACAGAATATTGCTCGTCAAGTCCAAACGAGAAGCAGTAGTCCTAGAATTGTAGACTGTGTAGATGAGCCAATTACAAAAGTCCCTCGCCATCGCCAATTGGACCTGCCTGAGCAGAGAAAAGAGGCTGAGCCTGATGCATATACCACCCCATCCCCCACGTCACCAGCCCCAAATGACGCTCGGCACCCTCGGCAAAACAAGCTTCCTTCAAACAAGCCTCCACCCGCAAACCCTCCCCAAACCAGACCAACTAAATCTCCACAACCCAAGCAGAAAGAGGCTTTGTGATTCGAGAACCTCTCCATGGAAGGCGCGAAGGATGCAACTTTCCAATCCTTCCAATCTGGATACGGATAGACTTACCAACATCTTGATCTCGGCTGCGCCTTGCCGGATAGTCAGATGACACGATTCCTGGGAGCTACGGCCGATACCCTTATTCTCGAAGAAATATATATAGAACCATGACGAGCTCATCTTCCATACCACAATTCATATACAAGTCCCAATCGATACAAGACGGACCACCAAACTCAAACAACCAGCAAACCAATACCCAACACTTGTACACGCACAACAATGGCATCCCCCGGTAACAAGATCGAAGGCTGGAACCCCAACCCCTTCACCCACGCCCCAAACGCAAATGCCTCAAACACCTCCACAATGACTTCTCCACAAGCCCAAGCAGCACGAGAAAAAAGTGCAGCAGTCATGACAGCACTGAAAAAGGGTGAAAAGGGTGATGCAGATAGATTGATGGGAAGACAGGAAAACTATGATAGTTTGGTGCCTGGTGAGTTGGACTGGATACTACTGTGAGAAGCGGTGCTGACGATTCTTGACAGGTATTGCGGCACTCAAGAAGAAATTTTTGGGAAACAGGGAACAGAAGACAAAGGTTTAGATGGTGGCTGTTTGTGGTTTTGTTATGATGTCCTTGCTTCTAAATCGCTCTATACCTCAATCTATATTCATTATTTATTCATCAACAGATGAGTGGCATCTGATTGTGAGCAACGCTTCGTCCGCCCTCGAGTGGAAAGTGCAGATTCGTGCATGAGAAATGTGTTTGCTTCTTCTCAATTCGCCTGATAGCGAACATCGTAATTAAGTTGTTAATACCGCAGTAGATACAAATCCATTCATCTCGTTTTCATAGGTCACATGCCAATGTTCATGGACCACCGTTCTGTATTCGCTTCACCCATGAATCTATCAACATGGTCTGGTAGCTTCACAGCTACTCTGGTCACCTCCACCTCGCAGTTGCTCCCATACTTTCTCTCGCCGCCGCACCTGCGAGATCAAGCTTCCCGCTTACCGAACGTGGTAGGCCACTGCTGGAGGTTGATGCATTGCTGACACCGAGGCTACCATAAGAGGCAATCTGTTGCTGATAATGTTGTGCCAACAGGGCACCATTGCTAGCTCGTTTACTGCCAGCCATGGCTTGATTAAGCGGTGCCTGTGGTGATGGTGCGCTTGCAGCCGGCTGCGAATTTGGAGCTAAACTCTGTCGTCTGGCTCCACTCGCAGGCTTGACCACCGAGTTCAACACATTGTTAACATTGGAGGTTGGCGCAACCCCGTTACGGGCGGCTGCGCTCGGGGTGTCCGGTAAGGGGCGCGCGCGTGGAGCCGCTGTTGATGCTTGCGTCGAAATAGCCGGGATTGACGGATTTGTCGGGTGCGCGCGCTTGATTGGAGATTGTGAAGCTGTGGTGGTAGTGGAAGAGGCTGCTGAAGTCGCATTCCTTGTACGCGAACTAACGGGTCCAGCACGTCTGAAAGGCTCGTTGGTGATGAAGGGATGCAACACGGCTTGATCAGGACGAAGACGCTTCTCTGGGTCCCAGCGAAGACACTGAGTGAGGAAGTCCAAGAAAGCTTCGTCCTCACACTTGATGGCACCACCGAGAGTCTTGCTGCTAGGTCGTCTCCTTCGGCCCTTGCTCGATACAGTGACGCGCGGCTTGAGGGATGAGTCGAAGAAGAGTTTTCTCCTCGAGGCCTTCTCGATGATGTCCCGAGCAGGTGGGCCAAAGATTTCCATAATGCATGCAAGTTGCTCTTGTTCATTCTCACCAGGGAATATAGGGTATCCTGTGAAAAGTTCTGCCAGGATGCATCCGAAACTCCACATGTCAATCCCGAGGCCATAATCGCTTCCGAGGATGACTTCTGGTGAGCGATAGAAGCGGGACTGGATGTACGTATACACCTTCTCGTCTGCCTTGCAGGAACTTCCAAAGTCGATAACTCGAACATCTGCACGACGAGGGTCGCAAAGAAGTATGTTTTCGGGTTTGAGATCACAGTGGATGACCCGCTTGGATTGAAGCAGGCATAAACAGGCGAGTATCTGGCGTGCGAAACGTCGAATGAGCTGTATCGAGAAACCAGAGAAGTTGTGAGTCCGGATAAATTCGTAAAGATTGATGCTTAGAGAGGGTGAGGTGATACATAGGTGGTTTCGGAAGTAGAAGGACGATGTTATGGTGAGCGTCGCATTAGCCTCATCAGGATCCTAGTCTGTATTAGCGTTATGCTGATTTTTTGCTGAATCGTGTGACAAGCTTACCCATTCCTTGAGCTTTTGCAGGATATTGACCTCGACCAGAGCTTGCTGATGGAATCGCTTCTTATTGCGAATAATCTTGACAGCACAAAGAACGCCGAGCTTGTGGTCGATGCACCTCACAACCTGTCCAAAGCTTCCCTTTCCAAGTACATCTATGACTTCGTAGCGGTATCCTAGGTGATCACCCATGACAATGTTGTAGTCGCCTCTCTCATCGTCATAGCCAAAGTTTGTTGTGCCAGCCGCAGATATATCTCCAACATGTTTCTTTGCTTGTTTGGAGCCGCAAAACCAGACGCCATCTTTGTAGTCGATAATCTCTCCTTTTTCGTAAATGTTCAAAAGTCCTGCTGATGACTGAATGGTCTGCGCAGGTGTCATCCTCTCTTTTTGAGTGGCACGTTTACGCAACTCCTCAGTCTCGCGAGCAGCAACATCAATATCGCGCCTCTTTGTAGACAACCTTTTCATCTCATCGTTCGCTGCCATATCATCCTTGTCTAAATGCAGGGCATTGATAGTCCGAGGCTTAGGTTGGACGGGAGCATTTCTCGAGCCCAGAGTACGATTCATGCTGCCGAGGATCGACCAAGATGTGGAACGCTGACTCTGTGATGCTGGAAGTTGCGGTGCTGGAGCCGTATTGGCCGATGGTTGACGGATGGCAATGTTGCTGGGCATTGGGGGCTTAACAGCAGGAGCGGCCTCTTGATAAGGCATCTTGTTAGCAGAAGAGACAGACGGCTTACTCCTGTGACTCTCAAGTTTTGTACTGTCGAATGACGGACGGCCACTGCTAGATGTAGAGATGGGACTGTCGGTACTCCAGGTCGCCGAAGCAGGTATCTTGGGTGGAGGCATGTCGTCGTACTTTGTTTGCAGCTTGAGAGGCTCTGCATTCGAAGTACCCGTTGCTTTGGGCGGTGTCTTACGCCATCCCAAGCTCAACTTACGACGCAGACCTGAAGCAGCAGTGAGTGGCTGCTGTTCTTGGTCTTCTGTGGAAGATACTGTGTGAATGGAAGCAGTCTCCTTGATCGACTTGGATACAGCTCGTGGTCTCGGGCCCATTGGCTTCGAAGAATGTGATTCGGCATCGTGGTTTCCAAGGGTGAACTCGTCGGGCAATCTTGGTGGTTTGCTATACTTAGAGCTAGGCTTTGGTAGCGAGCCAGATGTAAAGGGAGTAATGGCTTGACGCTTTGCTGGAGAAGGAGGCGGTAGAAGCACGCCGTTATTCGGTTCTTCGTAACGAGGGACCCGCGCGCCAGGCTGGGTGCTATTGCTACGAGCGCTGAGCGGCACCGCAGGCTCGTCATCCTGGCGCCTATAGAAGGTGGCTTTGGACGCCGTCATGGGCGTACTAGGTGTTTTGGCAGCATTCCGTCTGAAGGGAGGCGTGGTGCCTCGGCCATCGACCTCTTGAGAGGGAGCAGGATAAGAGTTGATCCTAGCGGCAGTGGGAGTTGAAAGTGGTAGGAGATTAAGAGGAGGGAGGCGTAGAGGTTGTAGGGTCTTTTTATTGACGGCTGGCATTGATGGAGTCTCGGAATTGGCGCCGTTGGCAAGCGGTAGGGGTCTACGTTGCTGGTTCTGTCTGGGATCAGGAGTCGCCGAATTGTCCCCGCGTCGGGCAGGTATCGGTAGAGCGGAGCCCTCGGTATCGACGGTGCCAGTCAAAGGAGTCTTGAGACCGGAGAAGAATGGTATGTCGATCAAATCCTTTGGTGACTCGTAGGCTTTAGGTATAGCAGGTACAGGTGGAACCATCTCTTCATCTTCACGCCTTTCGGCAGCGCTATACAGATTACGGGTCTTTGGAGTCGGTAGCTTTGAGGTGGAAGCGCTCTGTCCAATCTTACCCTGACCAGCACTTGGTGCTCGGAGTGATTGGTAGCTCGACGTCCTCGATAAATTGAGAGTTGGAGGAGGTGCCATCCTATTTGATGTTTCCGGCGTTGCTCTGTTGGACAAGGGCGTCAAGGCAGGCCTACGCGGCGTAGCCGAGGGCGAGCGAGGCTGTATCAAGTCCTTGGACGGCGATGGAGGAGCCTGCTTGGTTGACATCCTACGAAGCCTACGAGCATCTGTCGGACTGATGGTTCTCCCTCCTAGGCCACTCATTCTACCTGACTTCCTCTTGTCTGATGGTGTATCGGTCCTTGGGGTCTTTGACCTGTTCGTGACTTTGACGTTGACGGAGCGGCGCTGCTCTGGGAGTGGGAGGTCGGTCAGGGTGGCGGATCGAGGCAGAGGCTGTAGCGACTTGGCCTTGGAGGAACGAGTAGGTGCGGCGAAGGATATGTCGGACGAGGAAGGTTGCGGCGTCGTGCCTTGAGGCTTGCGGGCATTTGTATTGAGCGAGGGAGTGCGGGAGACGTCAGACTGGACTTTCTTGTCAGGCTGTGGCGCCATGGGCTTGCGTGTTACACGAGCGGTGATTCCAGAGGCAGTAATTGCGGAAGCTCCAGGACCTGTCTGGCTTCCTCTGCGAGCGCGCACTGGCAAGACCGAGGTTGACGCTGAAGTCTGCAGCTGATTTGGAGGAGCGGCCGAGAGGTGGTTGAGATTGGGAACGGAGGCTTCTCGCTGAGTGATGGTCATGGGCTGAGGGCGTGAGTTTATTGAAGCTTTGATGCTCGCTGGCACGCCGGGATGTGGCCTGTTGTGCTGCTGGTATTGCTGCTGCTGCTGCTGCTGCTGCTGCTGCTGCTGCTGCTGCTGCTGCTGCCGCTTGGACCGGGGAGACTCGTACGAAGCAATGGTGGTCTGGAAGTCGTCGAAATTGATGGGCGGGAGGAAGTCAAACGAGGGCGGCGTGGGCGAGTTTGCATTTTCAGGCTCACCAAAGCTGAAGCGACTGTCTTTGGAACGGAGTTGCTGTACGGGTCGAGCAGAGAGCGGGCCCTGCAGGTGAGACTGGAAATGGCCTTGAGGCTGGGGTTTGTCGAAGTTGGGCTCGCTCGCACTGTTAGGGAGGAAGGAGCGACGGACAGCGTCCTTGGGCGCGTTGCTGTCGCTGACGATCCTGCTTTGCTTCAGTGCCAATCCTTTCATCATTGGCCAAACATCAAACCTCTTGCTCTTGTTCGGCGATTCGAACGGCCGCGGTCCCAGGAGTGGAGCCCTGTTCTCTTTCAGACCCGACTTGCGACGGTTGGCCAACGAGGCCGTCTTGGGATCGGCGGCTTGAAGTTGTTGTTGCTGCTGCTGCTGTTGTTGTGCACGACTGGCCGAGGCAGGGGCGGTGGGCTTGCGGAATGAAAGCGAGTCATTGTCGACGGCGAGCGAGGTGCGTTGGTATTTTGTCCTGGCACGACTCTCGGCTTAGAGGGGGATGGGTCAGTGTGTGCGTGCAGCTGCATGTTGTTATTGGAGAGGCTCACTCTCAGCGCCCGACTCCTCGGAATCCTTGTGACGGTTCTCCATGCCGTATCCCTCTCGAGTCTGCATCTGCATGTCGACCAATTACTGGAGTCCGTCGAGCATTTCTTTCGAAGCTAAATCCCTGGCCGATGGAATGGATGCTTCTTTTTCTGGTCCTCCTTGTTGTTTGTACTCGATCAAAAAATCATGGCCGGACTGTCGCTTGGCTGGTCGTCAATGGACGGAAAGGAGAGACGGATGGCTGGCCGTCTGATGGACAGGCTTCGGCGTGGTCGAAGGGGCTACAGACTCTGGCTAGTGGTGACGGGCATACGACTTGCTCTCTTTAGATTGTTGTTGCTCCTCGCTCGCCCAAAGCAGAATAGTCTTTCTTCGCTGAGGGTAGCGGTCACTGCGCTGCCCTGTTACTGTTGCCCCTCTGTTATTGGCCAAAGCAGCCCTGCAGCACAATAAGATTGTATGAAACGATTCATGCTTGCTTTTCAGAAAAGGTTCACATCATTCTCATAAAGCCAATTTGGGTTGGAATATTCATATACACATTCTCTATCTAATATTGACATGTCTGCATCTGTCCGATATATGTCTACCCGGCGGACACCTGAATGCATGGCCGGGTGTCCCTGAAAGACGAGATCGTCGGACGGGAAAGCTCGTGCATGCAGCAGGAGCGCGATGTTCAAACAAGCAGTCGAGCTTGTTCGTGACAGCCACACCCACAACCTTCGTGCCCACTGACGACATTGCGCTGTCTTTGCTTCTCCTTCTAGAACAACTTCTGCGACTTCCCTGCTTGCTGTGCCATAGTAGCCAGAACTCCTTCTTCGTCCATAAAGTGAGAAAAAGATGCCTCGCGATCCGCTCATCGCTCTCGTTGGCAAGCCGTCGTCTGGCAAGAGTACCACCTTGAACAGTTTGACCGATGCCACATCCAAAGTAGGTGCGCCATCAATTTTTTTCCTATCCTCTGATACCTCTTCTCTGTGCATTTCGTGTTGACCCGTCTCCAGGCAACTTCCCGTATGATCTCCTGTCGCCTATAACTCGTCCGTCGCATTCCTGATTGATTTTCAGTTTTACAACCATCGACCCAAATCGAGCCGTAGGATATCTCCAAATCCCGTGCGCATGCTCAAGACCTGGCGTTCCCAATGTCGGCGACAAACCACTCGTTGAAAGATGCAAACCGAACTATGGCGTCTGTAACGACGGAATCCGCTCGGTGCCCATTGAGTTGCTCGACGTAGCCGGTCTGGTACCAGGTGCGCACATGGGCAAGGGTCTTGGAAACCGCTTCTTGGACGACTTGAGACACGCCGACGCTCTCATTCACGTTGTCGACGTCAGTGGAACAACAGATGCCGAGGGCAAGGCTACGAGAGGCTACGATCCCAGCGTCGACATTGAGTGGCTGCGCTCTGAAATCGTTCGCTGGATTCAAGGCAACCTCATGCAAAAATGGTACGTCGAGGAACACAAGTCAGCCGTCGCAGCCTAGTTGCTGATTGATGTATAGGGGATCAGTCAAGAGAAGACACACGGCCATCAAAGGAAATGCTGTCGACACACTTCAAGGCCAATTTTCTGGTTACGGCTCCACAAAACAGATCATCGCTCGTACATTGGACAAGCTACAACTAAAAGAACCTTTGGAAGATTGGAGTGATGAGACGGTGGAGAAGGTGGTCAACGCCTTTGTGGACGAAAAGTTCCCCACAGTCATTGCTCTGAATAAGATCGATCACCCCGATGCCGATAAGAATGTCGCCAAAATCGCCAAACTCAACGACCCAAGCACACTTGTCCTCTGCTCAGCTATCAGCGAGGTGTTCTTGCGCCGCTTGGCCAAGCAGGGCTTCGTCAAGTACCAAGAAGGCAGCGAGTTTGTCGACACGAAAGAGGATCTCATCGAGAACGGCGAGCCTGACGGCGGTGGCCTGAAAGAGTTGGATGAAAAGTTACAGAAGTGAGTACACCGAGCTCACACGTAGTCGAGTTTGGCTAACAAGCTTTGCTAGTCGCATCGAGAACTTGCGCGACCTGGTGCTTTACCGATTCGGCAGTACCGGCGTGCATCAAGTCCTCACACGTGCGGCAGAGCTCCTCGGACTCACGCCGGTCTTCCCCGTCAGAAACATTGCAACATTCTCGTCTGGTGATGGACGTGAAGGCGGAGTGTTTAGAGATTGTGTCTTGGTCAAGAAGTGCGTATATCGAAGACTTGCTCGAGAGCATGGACTAACGCGTCTAACAGAAACTCGACTGTCGGAGATGTTTACCGCAAAATCATGGGAGATGCGCCATTAGCGTATGTGGAAACAGTAGGAGGGCAGAGAGTGGCTGAGGATGATCCTGTGGCGGTCGGAAAGAACGACATCTTGTCCTTCAAGGTTGGAAGAGGTTGAAAGGGCGCATAGCACATGACATGGTATACACCTATGGCACACATAAAAAGAGCCGTTGACAACAAGAATTTTGCCAAGATTTGCATGTGAAAGTGGTGAAGTCGGAGACTCGAAAGTGACGTCTGCCCAAACACGACACCGACCTCGGTCAGACTGCATGACTTTTGTCGTTTCAAAACATTCAACTAGACCGCAACTGAACAGGACGCAGAATTCATGACACTATGACGGACAACGAATGAACGGACTAGACCATGGACGAAACTGCAGGCTCCATCGCGAACCGCGACGAACCCATCCCTGTCATCCAGATCCCGCTCAACACCGACGAAAATGCGCCGCCAGAGACGGAACAGCAGAAGCTCGGAAGACGCGAAAGAATAAAGCAAGAAGCCGAAAAGCTCAAGGGCAAATTCCAAAACGTTTCGACACAATACAAGACGACGCAGGGTAGCATGCAGGAAAGGCTGTTCAACACACTGCTAGAACAAGTCTTTCCCGCAGAAGCAGATGATGATGGTACACCAAAGAAGGACCGTCGCTCGAGACAATATGTCGATAAACCGCAGTTCAGTCTGCCTGTCATGTCGGCCAATTTCCGTCGCTTCAACGCAAGGTCAGTATGTGCTGCACGTCTCGATCTAGAGCTAGCTGCTGACATGTCACCATTAGAATCGGAATCGTCTTTGTCTTTCAGAATCAAATGATACGCCTATTTACTTGGCGAGAACCAACTCACACCTTGTCCTTCCTGGCTGTATATACCCTTGTGTGCTTACAGCCCGCACTGGCTCCTGTCGTTCCGCTAGCAGCACTTCTATTTTTCGTCATGATACCCTCGTTCCTCACACGACACCCACCGCCTCCTGTCACCAATCCTTCCTCCTCGGTCGATGCTGCAGCCGCCGAGCAGTATGCGGCTTATGGCTACTCGGGTCCGGCTGTTGCTCCTGCTCAGCGTGTGAAGCCTGCTCCGGAGATGAGCAAGGACTTCTTTCGCAACATGCGCGACCTGCAGAACTGTATGGAGGATTTCAGCCGCGTCCATGATGGCGCTGTCGCTGTTGTTATGCCTTACACTGATTTCAGCAACGAGCGCTTGTCCTCGGCTGTCTTCCTTTGTCTCACTGCCCTCGTGAGCGTCGCCTTCTTGGCCGCACATCTCGTACCCTGGCGGGCGATACTGTTGATGTCCGGTTGGGCTGCTACGGCCGCAGGTCACCCTCGTGCTCAAGAGATTATCATCAATGCAGGTTCCTTGGCGCAACTCCAGCTCATATATGACCGCATATGCGTGGCTGGTAGCGAATGGGTTGAGTCTGACATTGTGCTAGACGAGCCTGCTGAGGTCCGGGAAGTCGAGATCTTCGAACTTCAGAGGTTGCAGAAGCACAGTCTAGGCGGCGATGAAGGTGCGGTACTTGAAGGAGAATGGGAGCCTTGGTTGTTTGCTCCGCAGCCATTCGCACCAACTTCCCCATCTAGAATCGCTGGAGCTCGTCCTGTGGGAACCCAATTCTTTGAAGACGTACAACCACCGACCGGCTGGCTATGGCGTGATAAAAAGTGGACGCTGGACTTGGGCTCCCGGGAATGGGTCGAAGAGCGATGCGTCTCTGCTGTGGAAATCGAGACGGAGGGTGAAAGATGGGTATATGATCTCGAGATACCCGACTCCAAGTCAAAATCAGCAACGCTTGCCCCACCGAAAAGCTGGGAGGAAGGGCCCAGTGTATCGAAGAAGGGCGAGTGGAGACGAAGGCGGTGGGTTCGTCTTGTCGAGCGCAAGATCGTCAAGGTCAGTCCTGAAGATTGAGGTACATTGTTGATGTTGCTACCTTTGCTATGGGGCTAAACTAAACTGTTACCCCTCGTAGGTGGTGGAAAGTCCTCCCAAGCCGACGCTTCTGAATGCCCTCGACCCTGGGATGCTCAACCCCGGAGCTGTGAATCCCACCTCGGTGTTCTGAGCTTCTGATCCAGTTGTAGCTCGTTGTTCCACTTGGGGCCAGGAGGGAAGTGATAGATGAGGATGTTCTGCGCTTTCTAATCGCTGCCGTAAACTCTCCTTACTTCATGAACAGGATTGTTCCTGATTCTACTCCTCCCTTCCTGTTGTGCGGGCCCTTCCTTGGACCCATTCTACGCGCCCAACCCTACCACATACATGCAACACTTGCTTCTGCCTTCCGACTACCGTTGTCCTGAGCTAGAAGTGACAGTAAGGAAATCGGGTCCTTTGTTTGGGTAACTATCCAATTTAAAAACACTGACTACACAATCTGGGCATAAAGCAAAGCAACACACTTGAACTTCTCGAGAAAAAAAAATTGAACTTTCCAAACAGAAGAAGTACAGATCTCAACGCAAGCCTCATAGCTTCCCTATGCTCGGTCTTTCTGGCTATCTGGCGAAATTGGCGAAATTGGCGAAATTGGCGACCTTCCGCGCCAGGTTGTTGACCCTCTCCCTGAGCCCTGCTTGCTCACTCTGCTGCACTGCGATATCGTCGGTCTGTTTGCGGATCTTTTCCTCCATATTTCTCTCATTGTTCCGTCGCATGTTTCTCTCCTTTTCCATCACCGTCTCCAAAACCCTCATTTTGTCACCAATGTCACCGTCGGGCAGACCCGACTCTCTCTTTTCGAGCTTGAGAATTCGTGATTCAAGCGCTTTCGTGGTTGGCTCCTGCGGATGCTTTTGCGATACTGGCATGGACTCTAGGGATGCTAGCCTGGTCTGGAGGTCCTGCAAGGTGGCTTCGAGCTGTTGGACTCGTTCTGTCTGACTTACGTTTGCCTTTGCGTTTGCTGTTGCCACAGTGGAGGACACACGACTCATGTCTTTAAAGATATTGTTGCCATAGTTTGCGCTTTGCTGGACTGGTATCTGTTCGCTGTTTTTGTGAGGGCCTTCTCCAAAGTCTAAGTTTGCGCCACGAATGGGGCGAACAGCGGAGCTTCTCTTCTTCTTCCTCTTAGAAGTGCTCTTACCAGGACGGAAACGGCTTTTGGCGCTGCTTGTGTCTGCTTGCACCTGTCCAGTTGGCTGGTGATGGTCATCGGTGCGCTCTGAAGCCACAGAAGCGCCGAGGTCGATATTATCACCCTCGTATACCACGTCGCCACTGTCGTGTACAGAGGGAAGGGTATAGACAGACCCGTCATTTGATCCCGCAGGTGTGTGGAACTCATGTTGATCGTCCTGAGCAGAAGACCGTTGTAGCTTTGTGCCGATCGACGCTCTAGTACGCTTTGCAGGTGGCTCCGTCCCTTCTCTGTTGTTGTCTTCGAGAGCACGTTTATGAGCATTCCAGCTGGGTCGGTACTGGTAATATGTCAGCTTAGCTCGCGATGCTTGAGATAAAGAATTTGTACACACCAGACGGTCTGTTTTCTTTGGAACACTGTGAGTAGCCTGGGAGCAAGATAAGTTCATACGGGAACAGAAAGCGCAACTTGCAGTGCTCTTGCTGTCTAGCATAGTCATACAGGCTCTATTGTTCTTCTCGCATAAGGTGCATCGAGGGTCGCGCTGCTCTCCATAATATAGAGCATCACGAAGTCTTGCTTCCTTAGGCTTTTTGCAATCCAGTCCTTGCCAATAGTAGGCGCCTCTCAGCTGCTTGTTATCGAAGTCTCCGGCAAACAGGGGTGGATGCAGTCTGAACACTTTAGCATTGTGAGGAACCGGTTCTTTGCCACCACGAGAATGTGTGACAGAAGGTAGTGGGGGCGGTGATTGCAAGTCACCGAGTTCGGGGGATGGATCCATGATTACGGCAGGCATCGGCTGTTGTATCTTCTAGTCGCTAGTAGCGTAAGAGGAAATTTGGATGGGAAAGGAGATTGACGTGAGGATGGGAAGGAAGAAGGACCTAGGAGTGAAGCTTCGAACTTTTATACTGGTCCGAAGAGGAGACGTTATCAGTCATTCTTCCACCCAATGGGCCCGATTACTGCCGCAAGGATGCGCCCATCTACAATCCGGTGACCAGAATGGGCCCACTCCCTTCGCGGTTGCCTCGTAACTTGCCGGGTGCAGGCTTCATGTGAGCAGATTCGCGAAACACTGATGGCTCAAATTGAGCAGTTCCGACCAGAAAAGGCAGACAAAAGTCAGGTGTTATCTACTCTTAGACAGACATTGCAAGGGTAAAGTAGGAAGGGCCGACAAAGAGAGGACCGGTATGAGGAAGGACCGGTCGACTTATAGGTCTCTTGCCTTCTCTCTCAAACAAACTCACGACGATTTCAGAGGAAATCAGAGTATAAAGGCTGTTCATCCTGAAAATTTCGCTTGACTTTTTCGTCGAAACCCCATTCCTTTTGAACCCCTTCCTCGTCCCTTCACCACCCCTGCCTCACCCTTTCTTTGTCCCATCTGATCTACACTAGATATGGTCCGAGACCAGAGACAGTCGATGTCTTCTAGACAACAACAGAATCAGGAGCTACCGCCTCTACCGGATCCCTCGAAGACACGCGATGCGCCTGCTTTGCCTAAAGGGAGGCTCTTTGTTGAACGAGCACATCCACCCCTGAGGTGGGGGGATTACAATGCTTACACTGCCACGTACTCCTGGCAAGAGCCGATAACCACTCACGGACAGGGCCCAAACACTCGACGCAAGAGATACCGGCTAGCTATGTACTATGGTATCGAGAACAGCCCCCGCTGCCGATCGTGCGAAGAGAAAGATCGCGCGTGTACGCAAAGTACTACCAGCAGGGCCAACGGTTGTACTTCATGTGGCTTTAGCAAGTATGCGTGCTCCTTGAAAGAAGACGATACCGATTATGAGGTATGTTATGTTCGCCCCTTCTCTCTCGGCATTCTAATGGATTACATGATCAGGATATCACGGGTGACTCTTCACCGGATCATGTGCAAGCTGAGGAGCAACACGTCCAGCCGTCGCCCGATGAGGGACCTAGCTTACGTCGTCCGACCTTCACATCCATCAACCGGGAGCCATCTCATATCCGAACGCGCGAGACTTCCGTTATCTCACGCTCAAGAAGTGCAAGTCCTCGAAGGACCGCTCCTGTAGCCAACATGCAGAACATGGCCCCTCGCCAGCGCGTAGTGATCGAGATACTAGAGTCCCCCCCCTTGTCTCCCCTTTCATCGCCCCCTTCTAGATCTTTGATGGCAAATGGAAAACAAATTGATCTGACTGCCGAGAGGAACCAGAACCGAGAGGACATTCTCCAAGATCGTGGGAATCTCTACAAGCTCGCTAAAGAGTTCCAACAGCTCAAAGACGAGTATGGTGCAGAGATCTACGAGCTCAGAGAAAGTGTCTCACAACTCAAAGATAAGCATGATGCAGAATTCCGCGAGCTCAGAGAAAGCATCTCTCAAACTGGTGGCCATATCAATCAGCTTATGGGCGGCTGCCGCGAACTCACAAGGCACATCTCCCAGCTAAGGGATCACATTCGCGAAACTGATGAGGGACTCCGCGCCACTAAGAGACACCTGAACCACTGTGTCACCGTGGCCTGGGGGCGACTACCACGACAAGCTTAAGATGTGGAAGGAGTTCAGGCGACTACGGCTTGGAGCAATCTGTCGTACAGCAAGAGGAATTCAGTTGGCATGATAGACCGAAAGATAGGATGGCAAACAACACGCAGTAAAGCCACCTTGATTGTATGCACAGTCCGAATCAATATTCAGAGTACTTCCACGGAAGTCCTCTGTCCATGACCATAGTCCCATCTCTGAAAATACTTCACGTCTTATATCTAGACTTCTGATGCGCATCGAAGCTCCTAGGAATGGATAAGACGACCTTATGAAGTTTATCCATGCAGCCTCATGTTCGCAATTGGGTTCAGGACAACCACGTGGCTGCGCTACAAACTCGTGGGTGACTGCGCAAATTGGAGCAGGAACTTGGAAGGGATGAGTCAAAGGGCATCATCCCATCTGTAGGACATCTCTGCTTCGTTTTCCTTCTCTCTTTGCAACAACAGGACTAAAGAAACTCACCACAAGATCTCATAATTTTCTACAACTGTGCACTGTCTATTCGAACCTGCTCCGAGTTCCTTCCCTCCTTACTCACCTCTTTCAATGGCTCAGAACTCTCCTGGATATACATCAAGCGAGGTCTCTGTACATGACTCTCCTCGCCCTGGTCCTGGACCTCGTCCCACTCCCATATCGCTACGCAACCGACCAGCAATGCCACGAAACGCCGTCATGAGCCGAGAGCACCCACCCTTATACGCTGGGGACTTCAACAACAACCTATCCAGTGACAAGTACTGGTGGGAGAAGTTAAGCCCAGACAAGCCCGAAGAGAAGCGTGTGCTCCTCGCAATGTACTATGGCGAAGAACGCCAACCTCGATGCAACGTTTGCGAGTTGCAAAATCGCGCTTGCATGTGGTTCCTCGGAGAAGAGGATCAAGCCAACAAGAGTTGTGTCAAGTGTCGTCGTGTGCATGCTACTTGCAAGACTGTAGGAAGTACAGATGTGAGTATCGATGAATCAGACGATCGTATCGGTAAGCAAAGCGAACTTCCACGCAAACGGAAAGCGATCGATCTTGGAGAGGCTGCAAAACGTCAGATACCCGACAAGCGAACCCGATCCTCCCTCAGGACAGACGAGAATAAAAAATCTACCTGTGAGGACGTTGAAGTAATCTCAGTCAAGACATTACTTCCCAGCAATCGACACATCAGGATCCGTGAATCAGCGGTCATGAACTCCTCTGTGACCCCTTCACGTTTAGGTTCAGAGTTGATTGACTCGGACTTCTCTCTTGACGAGAAAAGTCGATTCGGCACTCGCAAAGATCGGCCATTAGTCGTCGACCTTGATGATCCGCGTGATTCCAGCTGCACATTGGGCAGAGACATACGATGCTCGCAGGAAGCGAGTGACTCCCAGGTCCAGTCGCACGTCCAACAATCTCCTTCGCAAGACGCATTGCCCGGACTGGACCAAATCAAGAACGGACTTTACGCACTCATCGACCAGAGACACAAGACGGAGCTTGAGAGTCTCAAAGCACAAATAGTAGCTTTGCGTGTCGATTGCACGAACAAGGCTCCTGATGCGCATGATGTCGACTATGGTCAACAACTAAAGAGGATGCACATTGACCTCGAGACGGAGAGAGCCAGCAGACGGCGCCTAGAGGCCGAAAACTTGCGTCTCAAGAATAGGATGGCTCGGATCGAGGAAGGGCAGGAGACAAGCATGGATGACTTGCAAGACCAGATCAGGCAGTTGAGAGAGGACATGAATTCCAGACTTTAGATCGGCCCCTGTCGGCATGTTAACGTTGCATCGAGTCTAAGTGATGCGACAAGTGCTACAAAGGCAACAACTGCCATGATCGCAAGCATCACGACAGTAGGATCACAATAGCAACCAATTAGAAGAGCCTAGAGCGTAGTTATCATAAAAGTGGGTATCATTCATGTGTACGTACGGTCGCAATGGACAAGTCGAGTCATGACTCGAGAAAACAAAAGTCTATGGTATGAAAGAAACACAGTGCTCTTGCTGTGGAGATCGGGGGAAATGCTAGATCAAATGAAACAACGCTGTGCGGATGGGAGAGTATGTAAGCCAAATACAAGCGCCCAAAATTAGTAAACATCCCAGGACTTTGAAGATCGCTATGCAAGAAGAAGAATAAACATGAATCGAGAAAGGACATTAGTGACGTTTTGGCAGAAGAGCGCATGATGGAGAGCGAGAGGATCAGAACATCTCGTCTTCGCTAAAGCGGTAGCCGCCTCGTTCTTCGGCGGGCGTACGATGTGCTTCGTACGGAGTTGGTGGTTCACGGGTAGAATCGTAGTTGGGTGGAGTTTGACGCACAGAACTGCGAGGGATACTCCTGCGTCCACCGTCGACACCCCCACTTCGATGGCGGTAGCCATACTCGCTGTCTTCGCCAGAGTCGACGGAGAAGCGACTCTGAATGCGAGCGTCAGGCCTGTCAAAGGCGCGCAGGAATGAGGCAGGGGGAACAATGGTGGCAGGCGTAGAAAGAGCATTGTATGCTTCCTGACGAGAGGCACTGCGACCCCCGTCCGACTCTGCAGGGGTTCGAGGTCGCTGTGCATGGGGAAGCGATTGTGCTGTGTAGCTGCCCCAGCTCCCGCGTGAAAGTTGCAAACGGGTGACTTCATGCTGCAGGGTGCGGACTTGGTTCTCAAGAGTGCGGCGGGCGGAGCGTTCTTCGGATAGCATGTTGTAGAGAGCAGTGAAGGTGCCATTGGGCGTTGCAGCAGTGCTGCGCAAAGTCGGGGGTGCAAGATTGGATCGGTCGCCGTTTGTACTGCCATGACTGCTAGGACCCCACTCTCGTTCCATGATGTCGCCAGCATCTTCATAGCCTCGAGTTGGCGGATGCGAATCTACGAGGATGCTAGGCGGTCGTTGGCGATGTGATGAGCCGGGGGGCTCTGTCGGCGCGACAGCTGAAGGGCTAGAGAGGGTGATGTTAGACAGCGAGCGCTGGACGTCGATCAAGTGTGCCTCGAGTTTGGCAACACGAGACTCGAGATCAACAGGGGCATCGGGGACAGGGGTGGTCAGCGGACGACTGAAAGAACGGAGAGTCAACTGCGGAGATGGGCCTTTGGTGGGAGCTGACTGGCCGCGCGTGGACGGGAGCGAGACAGCGTCAGAACGTGGCACAGGCGGATGCGCGGAAAGAGGAGTCGGCACCGAAACAAAGTCGGGCTCCCGAACAAAGTGCTCTGGCACGTCGGGCACATCAGGTATGTCGGCCATGTCGGGCACGTCGGGCGCTTCGAAGTCCGAGTCAGTGGGCGGGTACTCGTAGGTGGGAGCCTTGCCGGTCGGACTGAGGAGGACGCTGGCGTAGCTCCGTCGCCAATACTCAATCTCGCCAGTGCGATCACGGAAAGGTTCAGCAGCCACCATGGCTTGCTTCAGATCGTTTGCACTGCGCGACCTCCTCTTGTCCATTCTTGACTTTGCGCCAGCTGGAACAGCGAGCCCCCTGTGTTTTTGCCCATCGACGTCGCCTGGTTGCAGCGTGTTCGACACGTCGAAGGCCTCGTTCGCCGTCATGATCAAGCTGGGCAGAGTAGCTCTGCGCTTCGGGTCATGATCGCGCGTGTAGAAAGGGTTGCCTAGATTCAGGGGCTTGAGGGCTGCGCTTTTGGGGAAATCGACAGCATTGTTGGGCGACGAGTGTGCGGGGTGGTGTTTGGGCTTGAAGGGCGCTTGTTGTAGCTGGAAAGGCGCGGAGAGAGGGCCGGCGAGCGGAGCGGACAGGGGCGCAGAGATGATGCGCTGCTGGATGGCGTCGGACGGGTTCGTGTGGATGGTCTGTGGTCGCTTGAAGTGGCCGGGATCCTGTGTCGCTGTCAGTGGTAGCCCGTGGCGAGTGCCGCTCGTACTCACGCTCTTGTGATAGCCATGTCGCGAGGCTTCGACGTGTGGCAGGGCAGGCACCTCCGGGATGTCGCCCTTGGACTTTCTCCCAAACAAGCGTCGCACAGCGTTCCGTATTGAGCCCCTTCTCTCGTTGCCTTCTATTGCCATCCCATTGCCATTGCCGATCGAGTATCTCGCTGACTTGTGTCTGCGACTTCTCGACGTTGTGTCGGTGCTACGTCTGCCATCTGCTTGTGGTCGTGCCTGTGGTAGTGGTGGTTGTGTTTGTTGTTGTTGTTGTGCTGCCGCCGTAACCAACGCGAAGTATTCGGCCGAAGGGCGGCCATTTGAGACATTGTCGACTCCTACTTCGGATCGCGCTGGTCGGATTGGCGGCGAGCGAGTTCGTGCTGTCGTTACTGATGCGTCCATGGATCCATGCAGCCAGCTGGTAGCTGACTTGATCTCTTCTGCTTTTCTGTTACGCTGGTGCTGTATATCCCAGCAAATCGTGGCCGTCAAAATGACTAGGTGCAAGAAGAGAGAGACTGGCGCAAATGCGTCTAACGAGTGACAAGGTTGCTAAAGGAGTGGACAAGTGGGGTGGCCACGAGAGAGGTCGCCCTTAGTATACACCAAGACTGCTAGAAGCTCCCTTCAGATAGCGCGCGCAGGACACTCGATAAGGGATACAGAGGAAGAAGAGTGCAAGCCACGACACGGCCACTTGGAGGGCGAGGAAGATGCTGCGTCCGACAGGGGCACTCCAGACTGCTCACATAGCAGGGACAGGACTTCTCTCCTGCAAAATGGGCATGTGCAAGAGGATATAGCCGGGAAGAGTCCGTTCCTCCAACCGTCAGCACTCAGCAGTGACTTGTCAAAGCAGGATCCGTCGACCGTAACCTGCTCGTTGCGGGGATCGCGCAGACGTGGCGTTTGCTTGCTCTTAGCCCAGCTAGCATCTGCATTAGTCGTCGTTGTAGTACTGTTTCAGCATCTCCCACCACATGGCAACGTTTTTGTGCCCTTTTGGCCTGTCCAACTTTGATTCGTTCTGCCTCTTTTCGGATCTCCGCCGTACCATGGTTTTATTGGTCGCACTCTATCCACACGACATCCCTCATCGCTATCATACTCTCAATACAAGTGAACACGCATCTCATGGCCGACCTTTGCATTTGGTCCATCAAACAAGGAGAAAAGGCTCTCCAACTTCACGACCACGCTAATCAAAGCCTATTTATAAGCACTGTCTACTTCGCAATGCCCTCGGATCTCTACCAGCCCTTTGACCAGCTATCGTTTATCAGCAATGGCGCAATTCCCATCATCGTCGCTTCGATAATACAATCGATTCGTATCTGCCCGTTCAGCTTGACCGTTGCGCCCTTGGGGGTCGTTGGCAGCGAAGATTTACTTGCTATAATGGGGTGCGGTCCATCTTTTTCGGCAACTGTTAATCTCCCGTCGCGCGTTTTTGCTGCCAAGTGATTGTCACTTCGACCATTCGGGTACATCTCACCTCCCGTCGCTGCTGATTTGGACCAGTGGAGACAGTCATTAGCTCACGGCCCATATCCTCCCATGATCCTGCCCTGCCGTGCCCTGCTCTCCAATCACCGCGTCAGCAAATCACAAGAATACTCGTGTCGAGTATCATGTGTTCAACGTGTCGAGTATAATCACACCATCTCGATCGCCTTTTGAAACCAGCACTGCCATCAGCTAGATTGGTCATGCGATCCAATGTCTGTGACACTGTCTGTCAGATAAGACAAGCCGGAGTGCCTTGCCGTACCAAACAATCTATCTATCACGCGTTACTCCTCGCGCAGCACATCGTCCAAATCCGGATAACGAAGGTCTGCATTCTCCTCCAGGAACTCCATCCAGCTCTTGAGAAATTTGCTGCCACTGTGAATACCGCAGAAGCGGCAAGTAGTTAGCTTCACACCTCCGATTTGTGCGCGGACACACACGCAGGGTACGTATGCAGGTACATCGCCTGCAAGGGCGGGATGACTTACCGACCGACCGTCTCGGAATCGCCGACAATACAGAGGTGTCTCTTGGGTCGAGTCATGGCGACTATAAGCAGACATTATCAGCGAAGCAAATCGTAATTTCATGTTGTCTCCTACCATTGAGTCTTCGCTTCTCGGCAAGGAAGCCCACCTCGTGCTCCGCGTTGCTGCGCACCAGGCTGACCACAACAGCCTCCTTCTCTCTGCCTTGGAAACCATCAATGCTTCCAAGTTCAATCCCGACGAATCTCTCCTTGAGTAGTTTTGAAAGAACGGAAAGCTGACCATTGTAAGGTGTCACAACAGCAATGTCTTCGGGCTTCACGCCAGCATCGACCAAGCTCTGAACATGCTTCTTTACGATTGCCGCTTCGAGTTCGTTGCTCTTGCTTTCACCAAGGAGACTGCTCTTTGACTTTGGTGCATCATCGTCGTCAGTCTTCTCATAAAACTCGCCACCTTGTGTATCCCAGAAAACCACAGGCTCGTTAGTGTCTTCCGTCTCCTCGACGTCGTAAGGCAGGTCTTTCAACAGTCTCGCCTTGACACTTTCCGCCGCCATGAGCTTCGACTCGTACAGCGCCGCTGAAGGGAAGGCGTTAATTTTCTCATGCATACGGTACTGTATGGTCAGCATGCGCTTGATGTCGTCCCCGTAAAGCTCAAGCGTGCGATCGAAAAGTGTCGTCTCCAGTTTAAAATCATCTTGAGTCGTCATGGGCTTGGTCTTGGTCGACTTTGAGTTCAGGCTCTTGATGGTGGGCGGTAGTTGCAGGTGATCTCCAGCCAAAATCAACTTGCTGGCACCACTCGTCAGAAGAGGTACCCAGCATTGCGCTTCCAAAGCCTGACTGGCTTCGTCAACGACGACAATGTCGAAGTGTTGGTTCTTCAGATGAAACCCACCTGCTCCGTGCAGAGTGGCAAGGACAACTTTGCTCTCTCGGACAAGACTGTCGACACATTTGGCCTCACGCTGGCGGTATTCTTTGCGAAGCTCCTTGATCTCGCCGTAGATTGCCTTTCGTTCTCTGCCATTTCTCGTCTTGCGTATACTCGCTTGTTTGTCGTCCATCTCGGTGCGAATATCCTTGACCAAGGCGGCGGCGTCGCTCGTACGTGTCAAGATATCGAGACTGTGATTGAGCACTCCTGGCAGTAGACGAGCTGGATGACCGAGTCTGACCATGGGCACTTTGTGTGGTGCCAGTCTCTCGACAATATTGTCGACTGAAATGTTGCTCGGTCCACAGACCAAGAGTCGGAGATTTTGCTTGAGACATTGGCGAATCAACTCAATCAGTGTATGCGTCTTTCCTGTTCCTGGAGGGCCGTGAATCAAGGCAACTTCGGAAGAGGCAAGGGCAAACTTGATGGCCTCTTTCTGCGAGTCGTTCAGAGAAGGGTCCATCCATTCCAGGTCTGTTGCCATATCTCTGGGCTGGACAGAGACTGTCGAGGACTGGCCGAATAGGACACGCATAAGTGTGGAGTGCTCGCTCTCTGGCATTTTCAACAACTTGTTCATAGTCTGGTTCATCCTTGATTACAGAGTCAGTTTTGGGCAACTGAATGCATCGAAGAAAAGTGCGATACCTCTTGTATGTGACATCGTTTGCGAGCTTAACACTACATAGAAACACAAAACATCAGCCAACAGCGCTCTTGCTAGAATCTGACGTGCATAGTTCACGCACAGCCACAGTTTCCCGCCAGGTATATCAACCTCGTCCTTGTCCAGAGCGACAACGATGATTTCTCTTAGCACCTTGACAACGACGCCCTGTATTCGTTTCTGCTCCATATCCTGACGCTCTTTCTTCTTCTCTGCACCCTTGGGTTGCTCAGAGACGCCAACGATATCACCGACGCGCAGTCCATGCTCAGGCAGTTCGGTGTCGGCGCCAGCGATCGCAGGATCCAGTGAAAGCTCGACCAGAGACTTACCGCCCAGACCAGTGCGTTGGGCGCTGACGGAAAGATTCAGTACGGCTAGACCAGCGCGGGCGAGAGTGGACGGAGCATGGGTGGCAGTAAGCAGGGCGGTTTCTTCCAGTTCGGCATTGAGTTCTGCGGCCAGTAGCTGAAGCTGCTTGTCGGCAAAGTTGGACACATGGATTGGCGCCATTTTTGTGTCGTTTTGGTGATGGAGATGTGGATTGTTGGACGGTCATGTTTCGCACTTTCACATGAAAACGCATACGTCAGAGTTGGAGGCTTATCGATAAGGAAATGGCTTGTCGCAAGTGTCGATGCGAGGGATGGTCAGCATGTCGTCGTCATAGAATACATAGCACAATGCGAACTTCAAAGGTCTCGAAAGAGACTGCCCGAGTGGTAGATGCTCTATCATCGAGAGGATCCAATGGCAGCGCGCCTAGGCGTAGTCTGCGCAACTTCGTCCATGCAACAGAAGTGAATTACGCCCAGGACGACGCGAGTTCGGATCTGTCTGAGCTTGCCTCGGATGCTTCTCTATCGAGTGCCTCTCCATCGCCTCCTCCTTCTTCGTCTGGAAAACGCAAGCGTGCCGTCAAGACCGAAGTGCTCTCCTCAAATCCCTCAGCCGCCAACCGCAAGTCCAACTTGCCCAAGAAAGCAAAGCGACAACCCGCCAAACGCATCAAGGGCGAATCTGGCAATGTCGCGACCGTCGAGCCTCCGCCCAATTGGGAGCAGATGTACAGTATAACTGCTGAGATGCGCAAGAAGGTCGTTGCTCCGGTCGACACCATGGGATGCGAGTCGCTGGCCGAGGAGAGCCGCTCTCCAATCGACCGACGTTTGCAGACATTGGTTGCTCTAATGTTGAGCTCACAAACAAAAGACACCGTCAACGCTGTTGCCATGAAGAATCTGCAAGACAACCTCGAAGGAGGCTTCAATCTTGCTGCATTGCTCACAGTCGAGCCTGAACGACTCAATGAGCTGATTGCAAAAGTTGGCTTCCACAACAACAAGACGAAGTACATCAAAGCAACCGCTGAGATACTACGAGATCGCTTTGATGGCGACATCCCGGATACGATAGAGGGTCTGGTCTCACTACCTGGAGTTGGCCCCAAGATGGCGTATTTGACCATGTCTGCTGCATGGGGTCGCGATGAGGGCATCGGTGTCGACGTACATGTCCACCGCATCACCAATCTCTGGGGCTGGCATAAGACCCGCAACCCTGAGGAGACTCGAGCGGAACTTGAGAGCTGGCTTCCGAGAGAGAAGTGGCATGATATCAATCACTTGCTTGTCGGCTTCGGGCAAACCATCTGCTTGCCCGTCGGTCGCAAGTGCAACAATTGCGTCCTGGCTACCGAAGGACTGTGTCCGAGTGCTGTCATAAAGAAAGAGGTGACAAAGAGGGTGAAGAAGGTCAAGGATGAGGGTGAGGTCAAGACAGAGATCGATGCGATTATCAAAGAAGAGAAGGCCGATGAAGACGCTCCTCCGCTTGATGTTCCACTTGCTGGTGCAGGTACTGTGCCGGACATTGAGGGGACTGGCGCAGGCATCAAAAGGGAAGAGGCATGATCCGCCGATCACATTCCTTGTATATGTATGTATGATGCTACGATGTCAATACTGATGCAGTGTTGTACACATAATCTTTTCCACACCTCTGCAACATGAACAACATCTATATGGCTGGTTGATGTTCCTCTGGGATACGTCGTTCTGCCAAACAAGCCACCCCTCTTATTCGAGCAGCACTCCGGGAGGCACCAGAACAGCAGAGCAAAACACCGGAGCTCGGATCTCAGAGGGATGAACAACAGGTGAAGCCCAAACATGCAAAAATGATCCTGGCAATGGGCGGAATCGAACCGCCGTCGGGTCGGCGTTGCTGGACTTTAACCTCCACAACGACACATGCTACCACTACACCACATCACCTTAGCTTGTAAGGGTTGAATCCGGTTGGCCAGATTCAGGATCTTGGTGGCGAAGCGGCTCGTTTTCGATATGACTCATCCATAATGCATCATGATAGCAGTTGCGATGTCCATCACTGCCATGTCGGCCTACACCTCTACAAATCTGCCCCTGAAGGGAATTGGTTCAGAAACTTCTTCGGAGACTCCGTCATATGTACATGTAGAAGTTTCCAAAGTGTTGTATCCATTGTCAGGTTTGATAGCAACATGACCCAATCTGTGGGCGATAAAATGCCGAAGCAACAGTACTTGCAAAATTTCATGTATTGCGAGTATCTCCCATGCAGAAGAGGCTATCTGACCTCTCCGAATATCAAAAGCGTACTGTCAGTATGACCCGAGCATTTTGACCATTGAGGGGCGTATTGTGAGTGCTTAACCGTGATGGCGATGTCGCAACCAGGGTGTTATGCTCAACCAATCCGACTTGGAGGAGCAAATCCAAAGCAAGCTTGGCACCTCGATGGGTGTTATCGACCCAAAAAAACACTATCTTGATAACGAAACACTACTAGAAGGATGTGTCTTGAATACTGGATATCTTCCAGTGGTCAGTGCCGATGGAGTGGCCCCCGGCAGTATTGGTAGTGAAGCTCAGTGCCTGCTAAAATGCGAGACGCCATGTCGTGTGCACAGCATTATTATCAAGTGTCTGTCAAGAGTGGTGTCATGAATCTGACAGCAAGTACCGACATTCAGCAATAGAATACGCGTTAAAGAGACCGAAGAAGGTGGACAAGTGTATGTATGGTCTATTTTACAAGCTATAGACCTAGCCATAGCGACAAACGCACGTTGTATTATAGCTTTGGTTTCGTATACTATCGTGAATTCGTGATCGTGTAATGTGCTGACCCATGGCAAAAACACCGCAGAGCCTATGATCAGATGGGAGCATACGGACTTCTGTAGACGTCCAGCGGGGACGCATTCATTGCCATGACATGAGCATCAGGATCTGCGTACAGACTGTGGTATACAGCAGCGTTGTGATATGCCGAAGCAAGGGAAGGGTCAAGGACGTGCATGTGGTGTGGTTGCAGCTGAGAGTGATGATGCGCATGTTGCGAGACGGGTACGGTCAAGTCCTGCCACGGATCCAGAAGGTGGGCATCGGCAGGCAGCTCGGTGAGATGGTCCATTGAAGCATCATGTGTGACATGGAGAGGAAGGGGAGACTGAAGTGTCAAAGAGAGATCGGGCTCTTTCTGGGCGATGAGCTTGTTGACGGCGCGACGGCGGGGGGCGGCGGAAGAGGTGGAAGTTGTGGTGCGTGTACGGACAGGTCGCTGACCGGTGGCAATGCCGGCACGGGCAATAGCGCGTGAGATGGTCGACATGGATACAGTCAATTGTAGTTCTTTCTGCAGATGACGGCGCATCTCGTCGAGCTCCATGTCCGGTTTGGCAGCGAGTAGGCCCTGCAGGAACTTGTCGACTCCTTCACTCATGGCACGCGGCCTGCCCAGCGTCTTTGTCTGTACACGACCCACAGTGCCGTGCTTCTTGAACTTTGCAATCTTGAGATAGACATTTGTACGCGACACGTCGGGCACGGCGGCGCGAATGGCCATGGCCGACTTGCCCTCGCTCACCATGCGCTCTATGGTCGCATTGTCCTCGTCGGTGACCATCGTCTACATGGTCAAGGTCAGTACGTGTCTGTCTGCAGTACAGGGATGCAAGCTTCCATGTAGCATGGATACAGGATGCGCTTACCGACCTCGTTTGGTTTATGATAAAACTTGTGGGATTTTTGCCGTGTGTCCCATCCTTTTTGCTTGGTCCGCTTCGCTATGTGCTGGGGAAGCGAATTCAAAGCTCGCCAGCACACTCCAGCTTTGCGTCCATCATCACAATGTGCTTCGTATGATTTGGGTGATACCGCATTGCATCCCATGCTGTAACATGCATACATGCCTCTCATCTAACCTGTTGTCTTCTCACCCGTCCTCGTCGCATCACTCAATTGTCACCATGTCTCCTGGATATTCACTCAATTCCAGTTCCGACGTTCTAGGACCGACTTCTGTTCTCAGACATTTGCACTGCGCTCACTGTGAACCCTCGCAGCTGTCGCAAGAGAGCAGCTCAGACAGCGATACCTGACAGTATTACGCTGCTTCTTCGCGCCATGTACTCCTCCAATATGAATGCACAGCCGGTACACTCGCCAACGGTTTCAGGGACGTCGTCTTCCACACGGTACTGCGGGACGACGGCTGATTGCCTGATTACGGTTTCGCAATCAGTGCAAGGTGCCCTCCTTGCCCCCTCCGACGTCATACGTCCTTGCGTTTTGTCACCGAGCATAACAAGACTCCGCCAAGGCATCATGGCTGATACTCGATTGCTGCACGTTAGGTACATGTGCAAGACATGCTGTTGTCCAGAGGGTCGAAGCCCTCGCTGAGAATGCGAGCCTGTACTCGGATGTCTTAGTCATGGCGAGACAGAGACAGGGTGACAAGAAACCGCCTCCTGAACCCACGTCAGAGGTATCGACTCTGAACGATCAAGGTTCTAGCTGACATTTTTCCTGCTAGCGAATGCAGAGTTTCACAAACGTTTTGCCAATACATACGTCTTCTTCAGACCCGGGCGCAATACACTGAATCATGAAGCCGGGCTACCGAAAACAACAGAGGTTACGAGGTATCTGCCCTAGTCGCAGCAACGCGCACACGTAATGATCCTGGCTGGTGGATCTGTCGCGGACCTGCAAGTTGCAACACAGACAGGGCGGATACCTGGCGCATATAGAGATCATCGCTAATTGTTTGGCAACAAATATATAGGCGGGCATCTCGCTCACGGACGCCCTTTTCTAGAAGCAAAACCGAAGAAAAGGGAGCCAGCTTGGCGGGGTTTCTCTTTCCGAAATTGGGCTGGCCGTTGAACCTTGCGACCACATGCACACAACCCAGCCCTTTTCAATTTCAACGTATGCGTGACAGTTCGATAATCGAGAACGATGTACACGATAGCAGGTATTGTGAGGCTGGCGGATGGCAACTTGTCCATGAGACAGCAGATGCAAACGTCTCGTGCCACGCCGAAAGCGTGCATCCGTGATGGATAGAGGGCCCAATCCTTTCATCAGAGCATCCCGCAATCGAACCCGCACGGTTGGCGTTCATGATGGTCCCGGCTTTTGGGTTAATTATTGCCATGCTCCTAATGACTCCTGGGCACGTTGTGTCTGTGTCAGATCAAAGGGTATTTTGCATCTAGTTGCTAGGCTCTATTTCCTGCATAGACGTTTCGTCCGGTCGTCTCTTTAATCGAAGGGGCCGCAAACATTAACATTCCAATCCCCTCTTGCCCTGCTTGCTCGCTTTTCCTTATACCACCCATCCCACCTTCCTCTTCTCTCGACCACCCCGCGTTTCGGCTTGCCTTCGACTCTCCTTTTGCTCGACGACCCAGCCATCCGGTTCCGCTCAAGTCTTTGTAGTCGCCGCTCCCATCACCACCTTTCAACGACCACGACATCATCCGCTTGCGGCCTCTGCAGTAAAATCAATACCGCCATTAGTGCTGTAACTGCCGTGTTGAACAACTCGAACATACCCATAAATAATATCAGAACTTTGGCTGGATCCATACGCTCCAGTAATACCATAACAACAATCATCGGCAGAAACAGGACACCGCCTTTGCAGACAAGTGAGTGCTGCCATCGAGTCCATTTCCTCTAGCCAATGGGCGTCGCCGTAGGAATATCCAAAGCTGATTTCACTCTGCTCAAGATCTTGATCATTCACCACGTCGTCACCGAGGCTTCGTCCAGCTTTACTTTCCACAACTTCTCTACCACCTTCTCCTTCCAAGATCTCTAACCTTTTTAACCCCACCCACTCATACCACACCGTCTCGCTGCAATGGAAGGCAACGGTGGTAGATCCGGTAGAAGAAACGATTCTATCAGCAGTATCATGTCTCTGGGTGCTGACAACAACTCATCATCATGGACCGACGATAACAACAGCAACGACACACCTGCCACTCAGAGATCTTCACGTGCAGAGAACACCCAGATGCACGAGCTCGATCATGAGACATCCGTCCACATGATTTCACAATTCTCTCCAGAGGATGCTTCATATACCGATGCCTCGAGCAACATCGACACTGAATCAGACATTGACATGCTGGATCCTTCTGAACTCCGCCACCACATCCTTGAGCTGCTCGACGAACTCCCCGCGACCTGCGCAATCGACTTCGCTACTCCATACCAGAGAGCCGCCATGCTTCCTCCTGTCACGCAAGACTCACTCTGTGAGTTGGATGTTGGTCGCATAATCAACAACCCCAAGCTCCGTCACGATGTCAACTTTGATCGCGAACTCCACTTCAGACCCAACCTCGATGGCTCCAGAGGCAAGTTGAAGTTGAAGTCAGCTGACGAGTACTGGAAGGCCTTGTTGGCCGAGCTGGTGATCTACAAAGCAGTCGGCGAACGTCTCAGGGAGTGCAAAAGCGCAGACGAACTCGAGTACTACACTTTCATGATCAAGACCAACCAGATGAGACTTCCCGGAGTTTTCAGCACAATCTACGAGATCCTCAAGACTCTTGTGCCTGACCGTGACCAAGCCATCGTCGCAGAGAGACTCGATGTCGACATGATTATGCAGCAAATTTGCAAGGGCGTCTTCAATCTTCTGGACTTGGCTCAGTGGCTGGCTTCCATCCTGAAGGCTCACTGCGCCCCTATGAGAGACGAGTGGATCGACTCGATGCTTGAGCAGACCACCAGAGGCGTCAACCAAGAAGATCAGAACGCTATCGTGACCGGACTCAGACAGACTCTCGCCATTCTCGAGGCCATGAAGCTGGACGTCGCCAACCATCAAATCAGACATCTTCGCAGCTTGCTCATCGACGACACTGTCAACTTCCAGCAGAAGTACCACCTCCACAAGATCGCCGCCAATCGCTTCAAGCTTGAAAGTGCTCGCTCTTGGTTCAAGCAAGAAGAGTCTCTCTTCAGCAACCGTGCCCTTGGACTCGCGCCTCTGGAGATCTTCTCTTCGGCCGTCCTCCGCTCCCTGCTTTCGCAAGATCCCTCTTCTCGTTTCCCCGAAACCTTCCACCTGGACGCTGAACGCCTGCGCATCCTTCGCAGCGATCTCCACAGCTTGGTTCAGATGGACATGTGCTGCAACGCCTTCGACATCCTCATCAAGGACAAGATCGATGACAACACTCGTCTTGCTGCCAGAAAGTCTCTACAGGCCAACATCGCCGACATAATCGGCGAGTCACGCCTCTACTTGGAGAACCTCGAGAATATCTCGGCCCAGATCGTCCGCCTCGTTCTCCAGCTCGAAGGTGCCACTGCAGCCTTCGACTCCGACATGATGAGTATCGTCGAGCACCACCTTCGCGCAGAATTGCCCTTCTCCTCTTCGGCTTTTGGTGTTAAGCTCGAGGAACTCTTCAGTGCCCAGTTCCCCAGGCTCCGCAACGCTATCAACTCCAGCACCAGACACAATCTTCTGGCTCTCCATGACGCCATGCTACCTCCTACTCAGCCTGCTGGCAAGTGTGTCTCTCAGAAGGTCATCAGCGAGCCCCCCATGGACGAGGTCCTCAAGCGTGTCACTCATCTCGCTGTTCTCCATTGGCATGTCTGGGCGGCAATTGTCTACGATGTCCAGGGCGAAGGATGCTTGCAACCTCTGAGCTCGGCTGGCAACGAACCAGACACTTCCGAGATGAATGCCAACGCCACCTCGTCTAGCCCCTTGGCCTTGAGCCCCGAGATGAAGAGCCAGAGCGGTAGTTTCACTCAGCCCTCTGGTCCCTCCATCACCAACAGTCGTTCTCAGAAGTAGACTGACAACCATTTGTCGGTCCTTCGATCATCTTCAGCTTTGTAACAACATTACCCAGTTAATCTTTCGGCTCTTTATTGTTTCCCACCACACAGCGCTAGTCTACAACAGCAGCTTCCATCCTCTCCGTCAAAGGAAGTAAAAGAAGCAGTTGCTGTCGGACATGCTCAACATGTGTGGTTTTCTGCAGATACCCCTTTGTTTTTATTTCATTTTTCCCTTTGTTCTCTTCACATTATCATGAAGCAGTTCAGCAAGGCGCTGGCGGAGTTAATTGAGGCAAATGAGCGTTCGTCTATTTTCGGAATGCCGGAATCCGTGTTATTAGCAAAGCAGTCAGTTATTGTTCGTTGTAAATAATCAAACCTTTATCCATGTTCTATCAATATTCAAGTGGGTTCGCTTCAATGCATGTGCGTCTGACATACACATCCGTTCTTAATGAGCAGAGAAGAGCGACAACGAGCTGTAGCACGTTATATCTTGTATCGAACTGCCTTACTCAGGGAGTCGTTGAAGCGATTTATCTCGGCGCCATTGCTCCAGATTCGGAAATCTCGTGCGGTAAGACAGCTACAAGTAGGCCTTTCTTTTGTACACGGGGAGGTTCTGCGTCTGACACAACCAGATGCGTATCGACTGCCAATCAACCACGTCATTTTGCTTCGAAAGTATGGACTACAGTACGCAAATCAGAGCCATGTACTCTATCACCGACCTTTTCTGAAATAAATTTGAGCCTCAGGCGAAGAGATGTCAAATACATTAACCCCACGAGCAAGAGAAGCTTGATCGTGAGACTAGCCTGTCCTGGCCAAGTTACTTGCTGCCGACTAGCCGAAAGCGGGCCAAACGTGGGGGGAGGTTCAACAAGATGATATCATTGACGAAGTTTTGATGATGCTATATGCATATCCTCATGCTTACGTAGGACGGGACAGCGGCACTGATTTGTGGTGTTATGGCGGCTGAGATGACGGTACGAACTTACAGAGTGCCGCAGCTTCCGCCAAGTTCAGGTTTATAATTGATTGTTGACGATCAACAATCTTTCTTCTGATCTCCGCTGTGTTTTGCATCAAAGCATCGAGTCAATCATGGATACAAAGAACCCCAACAAGGAGTTCAGATCTACTCCTGAGTATGCCGAGTACCAGAGAGAAAACTTCTGGGCTGACAACGAGGGGAAGATTCCTCCTTTTAACACTCGTAAGCGGAATGCAACTACTGCAGCGCAGATTAGATACTAAATTACATAGACCCCGACAAGCTCGAGGAGCGAGCAAAAGAGAAGCTCTCGGAGGGTGGCTGGTACTACGCCTCTTCCAACGCAGGCTACTCGACAACACATCTTGCCAATCGCCAGGCCTTTTATCGTCATCGCATCATTCCTCGCATGCTGGTCGACACCAACAGGCGCGACACTACTTGGGAGATCTGGGGACACAAAACCAGCGCACCCATCGGATTCTCTCCAGTCGGTATCAACAAGATCTATCATCCTCTTGGAGAGCTTCCTGTCGCGAAAATCGCAAAGGAACTCAACCTGCCTTATTGTTTGAGCACTGCTGGCTCGCAGCCCATAGAGGATGTTGGTGCTGCTAACGGAGAGGGTCCTCGTTTCTTCCAGCTGTACATGCCTCACGATGATGAGTTGACGATCTCCTTATTGCGGAGAGCTATAGACTCTGGCTTTACTGCTTGCATCCTGACTGTCGAGTATGTGTTCCGACATTGCTGACTCGCGAGACCAACTAACACCCTCCAGTACATGGCAGCTCGGCTGGAGACACGACGACGTCGCAAATAGCAACTATGCTTTCTATCACGGAATCGGTCACGACTTGGGCCTATCGGATCCAGTGTTCCAGAAGAGAATGGCAGAAAGTGGCATCGACCCACAGAAAGAGCCTAACAGAGCGGGTGCTAAATGGATCGATAACGTCTGGCATGGAAGAGCACACAGTTGGGAGAAGATGCCTTGGCTCATCAAGACGTGGAAGGAGATGAGCGGCGGCAAGCCTTTCGCCATCAAGGGTATTCAGAGCGTGGCTGATGCCAGAAAGTGCGTTGAGATTGGCTGTGATGGCATCGTCGTCAGTAATCACGCTGGTAGACAAGTCGACGGCGCTGTTGCCAGTCTCGATGCCTTGGAGCAGATCGCTGATGGTATGTCCACGATCTAAGCGTAAAGGAATGCAGCTGCTAATGCTATCGCTTCTAGCTGTTGGTGACAAGATCTACATCATGTTCGACTCGGGCGTTCGTGGAGCTTCGGATGTATTCAAGGCTCTTGCACTGGGAGCCAAGTTTGTGTTTGTCGGCAGGCTATGGATTTGGGGATTGAGCATCATGGGCGAGCATGGCGTGAGGCATGTCATGAAGTCGCTTTTGGCAGACTTTGATATCCTGTTGAACGTTGCCGGCTACCAGAATGTCGGACAGATACAAGGTAACCGCGAGGCGATCGAGTCGTTGCCAAAGGTTTACTCTCTGATCCAGGAGAGAGCTAAGCTGTGAGGAGCTACGAGGATAGTGATTTGATGGACATTACGAACAGCACAATGATCAAATCATAGTAGAATCACAACGTTGCTGCTTAGGAGAGCTTGAATTTGTTTTGTTCGCTCAAAAGTGATGTTGTGTTATGAAGGAAGAAGGTATCCTCGAACTTTCATTTGTTTGATGAGTTGTTGTTGATCCGTGCGCCCAGAGATTCATGTTCAGCTTGTGCAACAACCATCCCATCATCTACCAACCATACACAATTTTCGAAGCGGGCAATCAAATATGGATGAATCTCATGACCACGAGACTATTACGTACGACACGTTCACGCAATTGCTCAAGTCATACAAAGACCTTGTTCCGAGCAAGTTAGACGAGCTGGAAGAGCACCGACTCGAGACCATACCTAAAGCACTATCGGAAAGGACCGACGACGCGCATCTCAAAAAGAGTGAAGTGCAAACCTTAGTGGACTGGAAGCTGTACGTTGAAGCGTTGAGAGTCCCACTTCCTTGCACACACTGATGCTTCCTCGAATCCTTCAGCGGTCATGGCACTTTCAGACCTTCTCTGCGCAAGCTTGTCGAATCAAATTCAGATGAGACGGTGGAGCAGTGTACGCGAGAAGCGTTCGAGACTTACGACAAGGACAGCGATCAGTGGGACAAGGCGGTGGCAATGTTGGCCAAAGGCCTCCGTGGCGTAGGGCCCGCGACGGCCTCGCTCCTGCTCAACACTTACGACCCTGAGAGAGTGCCGTTCTTTTCCGACGAACTGTTCCGATGGGTAATGTTCTCCGGGGGCAAAGGTAATGGCTGGGACAGGAAGATCAAGTATTCGGCGAAGGAATACCAAGAGCTGTACAAACGGGTGGAGTTGTTACGAGAGAAATTGTCCAAAGATGGCGAGAAGACGATCACGTCAATTCAAGTGGAAATGGCAGCGTACGTGCTCGGGCGGCAACAGACCGAGGGAGCAAAGAGAAGGAGGATTGGTGAAGAAGACGAAGAAGAAACCAAAACGGAAGCAGAAGAAGACAAGACCAACAAGAGGAAACGAAGAAAGACATAGAGATTTTGTACCATCGGTATAGCATTGATCATCAGCATGATGTCGTACACATGCAGCTCATGAAGCCCCTCCAAGGGTCCGAGGGGTCATCGGTTCGAGTTGAGACTGTCGAGGCATATCTCATACTCGAGTGTTGTAGGGCTGAGCACGCCATACTGACTGACATTACAGAAATTTTGGCTGTCGAGTACGCTTCTCATCTGCATGCAAGCCACCGTTCCTCACCAATGACACTGATCTTCATGAAAAGTGATCAAAAGTCGAAGCACTTGAGGCTTGGTCACCTACTAGTGTTTGTTATATCAATATGTAGTTCCAGTTTACCCGAAGTAAGTGCATGGGCAGTCGTCTCGGAGGTGCAAACGAGGGCGGATAACATTGCCCACTTGGTCAAAGTCTCGCGGATATTTATTATTAAGCATGAGCGTGGGCTTTGAAAGCAGCAGTAAGCCGAGGGAGGGCGGGGTGCACAAAAAGGTTCCCGCAACCTAATCTGGACTAGTTGACGGAGAGTATTAGTAGAGGAGCACAATGCTAAGCTTGTAGATGAGATGAGAGGAATCATGACAAAGCAGACAAGCAATAGGACAAGCAGAAGGAAATATGAAATGGATTGATCATAAGCGGGACGAGGTGGACAAAGGGGATTGACACAACGATGATGCTAAGATGCGCACTGGTGTGGGCGGATCAAAGCGGAGGGAGGAGCGAATCGAGGGCTGTTTCAATGCACGTGCCAAGTGGGCCGGCAGGTCGAAAGTGCCCCCCAACGATTGCAAGTCAGGCAGTCGCACTTCCAATTCGTCCGACTTTCTGCTCCTGCCTCGCTCCCTAAAAGCACGCAAGCATCCCACGACCCTCTGCTACGCCCAGCGATCCTCGAATACGACCTATACACCCCGCCCCCGCCTCTCTTGAGTTTTTAAACAAATACCAGCGCCGCCGCGCGCCTGCCGCCCATTTCCGCCCGTAATGTCGACCTACAACGGACGTCGCGCACCTAACGTGTCGCAATACATCGCCAACCTGAACACGGTGCCTTCTGCCGCCGACCTGGCCGCCCAGCAGGAACTCGGTATCTTCGATGATGACCTGGCCATGTTCACCAGCACTCAATTCTTCGACTTCGATGGAGACATGCCCGCTTTCAATGACATGCCTCAGCAGCAGCAGTCCCCCGCCAACCTGCAGCCCGACATGCACAAGCCCCTCGACTTTGGAAACAGTAAGCGTTTCCCTTGGCACCTCGTCCTACCTCGTTAGCTAATCCACTGCAGCCAACAACTTCCAATTCCCCGACTTCAACTTCCAGCAGCAGTCGCGTCCCCGCACCCTGCCGCCCTCTCCGCCAAACGGCCTTGCCATCGCTCCTTCGCCCTCTACCCGTCTGGACTTTTCTGCTCAGCATGCTCCCCACATGGTCCAACCCCAGGCTGCTTTCTCTCACGCATCTCCCCAAGTAGGCGAGAAGCGCAAGTCGACTGTTGCCGCCATGTCGTCGCCCGACGATCTCGAGGACGAGTCCCGTATGGCCGCCGAGGAGGACAAGCGTCGCCGCAACACTGCTGCTAGTGCCCGTTTCCGTGTCAAGAAGAAGCAACGTGAGCAGGCTCTCGAGAAGACCGCCAAGGACATGTCCGACAAGGTCCAGCTTCTCGAGGCTCGTGTCAACCAACTCGAGATGGAAAACAAGTGGCTCAAGGGCCTTATTACCGAGAAGAATCTCAAGGGTCCCAACGCCAAGTCAGAAACCACAGAAATCAAGGCCCCCGAGACAATAATCGACTCGTCCAAGAAGGGTGTTGGCACCGAGCAAGGGGCGGACCAGGCTGTCGAGGCTTGATTACGATCATGCCAACACGTCTCCGCCGGCCTCAAATTTAAAATGTTCTTATTGCTTTACACACCATCTGATTTTTGAACACATGGGTTACATGTCTAGTCGAGTGGATTATTTTGGTTGAGATTATTATATACATGCCAAGTGCTAAATGCATTTACTTGTTCACATTTACAAGCGTGCTGACAGCTTCGATCTCTTCGTTGGACTCCACTTGGCATATGGATGATCCGCTGTAGTAGGCACCAGGTGATCCACATCCAAGCTGTTGATGAGACCAGGATGCACTTGCGAGAGATCGGTGATGCCCATCAACTTCATGGTGGTCTCCAACTCATCTTTGAGGACTGTTGGTGTTCGTCAGCGTCGGCTACTGTGTATGTGATCAGGAAGATGGACTTACTGTCTACCATGTGGTCCACTCCCTCGGCGCCATAGTTGACCGAGTACAAGAAAGGTCTTCCCAGCCCAACCGCCTTGGCACCTAAGCAAAGACACTTCAAGATGTCAGTGCCTCTTCGGATGCCACCATCGACATACACCTCCAATTGGTCGAAGATCTCAGGATACCTGCGTTGGCACTCGAGCAGTATCATCACGGATGGTGGCGAGGTGTCCAGACTCCTGCCGCCGTGGTTACTAAGCACGATACCGTCGACTCCCGCCTCGGCAGCCATCTTTGCATCGTCGGCACTCATGATACCCTTGAGCACAACCTTGCCGTCCCAGCATCGACGTAGCCATTGCATGTCATCCCAGCTCAGACTGCTGTCGATGTAACTGCCCATGATTCTACCCAGACCTCCGCCCTTCTTGTCGTTGACGGCTTGAGCACCTGTCATGGGTGCGTTGGTGCTGGCGTCTGCTGAAACCCTCTCGTCGGCCTCTCGCTTGCCAGGAACTGGTGCGTCGACTGTGACGAAGACGGCTGAGCAACCCGCGGCGCGGACTTTTTTGAGCAGAGCTTCTGATTGTTTGCGGTCCTTGTTTACGTAGAGTTGGAAGAAGAAGGGCTGGCCTTTTGGTACGGATGAGACGACCTCATTGATGGGATATGAGGCATTGCTGGAAACCTGTAGTTGCACGTTAGCATACTTTTCATGGCAAATCCCAAATCCAAAACTTACGCAGTATGGCACATTCTCCTTGCTGAGGCCTCTTGCAATTCCCTTCTCGCCATCCGGATGTACCAATTTAACCAACGCAGCCGGATGCACCATAAACGGCACACCAACCTTGTGACCGAGAATTGTAGTTGTAGTATCAATCTTACTGACGTTTCTCAAGATGCGGGGTCTGAACCAGATACGGCTAAAGAAGCTGCGGTTTCGCTCGTAGGTATAGCAGTCTGTAGCCGCTGAACTGTAGAATGCCCATGTCTTCTTGGCCAATGTGTTTCTTGCCACTTCTTCGAAATCGTCGCAGTTGATGATGCTGTGGAGAGGTGGTTTCTCGTAGGGTTGGACGGAAGTCAGTTTCTCGTAGCTGTCTCCTCTGTCGACTCCGCCTTTGATGGTAGCATTGGTTTTTGCAGACATGATTGTAAATATGATATTGGAATTATTAGGTCAAGAAGACAAAGCCCGACGACTAGAAGAGAGTCTTTATATTCTTTCCATGTTTTTGGAGAGCATTGCCGACATGGTCGGCTATTGACTCTCGCAGAGAAACCCGATAATGGGTTTGCCCCACAATCTTTGCCCTCGGGGCAATTCACCCCAGAAATATCAAGGTCATTCGGGCATGTACTTCCGAAAGCAACATGTCGTTCGAGTACTCGAGTAGATTAGCCGATCTATGCAACAAATCTAGTGGTGTATATCTAGCATCTATTTCTCACCGAGTCCGAACATCTTGATTGAGTTGTTCCAGGCGGCCTCACATACCTCCTCGACTGAGATCCCCTTGATGTTGGCAATGGCATAGGCCACGTTTGGGATGGTGCAAGGCTCATTTCTGCCCTTGACCATGTTGTCCGCTGTCCATTTCTCTTTCTTGACGGCCTTGGGAAGCTGGGGTGCGTCCTTCAAGTACTTGGCTGAAGCGTGAGAAGGTCGCATCTCGCACCAAGGACCGTCCGTCTCGATCTGTAGTCGCTCCAGTGGAACTTCCTTGACCACCTGGACATTCTCCTCCGTCTTCAGACTGCACCCATTAATGCCGACATCGAAACCCATGTCGACAATGTTCTTCATCTCTTCAAGTGTTCCCGTGAAACTGTGTACACATCCTCTTTTCGGCAACTCGTCAAGTCTCTCCTTCAAAATGGCTTCAAAGTCTTCTGCTGCCGCACGCGAGTGCAGGAATAGTGGTAGTTGTACCTCGACGGCAATGTCGAGTTGTTTTCGGAAGTACTTGATCTGGGTCTCCTTGTCGGCGTAGTGTAGACGATCGTAGTCGAGGCCGAACTCGCCGTATGCTGCTGCGGTGCCGGCAGCCTTCGTCTTGATGGCGAGATCGCGGAGAGCGGATAGCAATGCGTCGGGTCCATCTGCGTACTTGTCGAAAGTCATGGCGGAGCAAGGGTGAACGCCTACAGTAGCGTAGCACAGTCCAGCTGTTGACGAGTAAGCAACCATGCTCAGACATCAGGCATTAATCTTGACGCACGATACTGCTCAGACAAGTCAATGGCCTTCTGAGACTCCTCAAGATCAGAGCCTGTGACCATGAGCTTTCGACAGCCAGCTCCCAGAGCACGCTGGATAATTTGTGGTAGGTCGTCGTCATGTGCCTTCTTGCCATGGTAGACACCCGTGAAAATAGGATCACTCAGATTGATGCCAATCTACAAAGACTCAGCATTCGTCTTTCGGGCTCGGATGATTTCGACTGCGAACCAACATCGGCAAATTTCAAGGATGCTGCTTGCTTGTCCTCGTGTTGCACCGGAACAGCACTCAGGCCAGCGGTGAGCGGATCGGGTCCTGCTGTTGTTGACATGGCGGGAAATCTGTGATAGGACTTTGGGAATGTGCGGGCTCTGGGTACTGTTAGGAATATCCTAGATGTTCTCCAGCACTGCATACGAGCGAGTTGTTTGTGGTCGAGAGTCGCCTCGAGCAAAAATTGTCAAAAGCCGACGAGTGATGACGTCGCCTAGACTGATCTAGCAGTCACTCTTCCGCAGTCACTTGAGTCGATGTTGATTCAGAAGGGCAGGTAAGAATGCGAGTCGAGTACAAGCTCTGCCATGAGATACTTGATATCGCATTACCTTCGAAATTCGCCCGAGTGTCAATTATACCACTTGGTGAAGGAACTCGAGTCTTAGTTTCGTGCCCCGATGGCTTCTGCGCGGCAACGTACAACTCTTCCTTCCTAGTCAACGTCCACGAAGAAGACCATCTTCGAGATATAATATCAACTTCACCCTGATGATTCCGCAAAGACTGTCTTGAACCAACATCCGGTGGTACAATTTCACGTCCAGGAGTAATTATTTCGCTGCTTCCCCTTTTCCAATAGCATTGGAGCAAAACGGGCAACAACATAAAATGCCGCCAATGCAGAAGCAGCACATTCAATCATTTTCAAATGCCAATGTCCTGTACTTCTTGTTTGCGTTTCGAATATGCAATGCGCTCCTTATCCGTACCTTCTTCCAACCGGATGAATACTTCCAGTCCTTGGAGCCTGCATGGGACATAGCCTTTGGACGTTCCAGTGGTGCATGGATAACCTGGGTACAGCTGTCTCGCCAACGTTGGGAAACGAAACAGAATCACTGACAAGGCCATTCAGGAATGGCGAGAGCGACTGAGGTCTTCGCTACACCCCTTTCTCTTCGCAGCTGTCTATCGTGTGACGGCATTTGTTGCCCAGTCTCTGAACCTGGAAGCCACGACCAAGGCAGAACTATTTCTAGCAACTCCAAAAGTGTCACAGGCGTGCTTCGCAGCAACTACTGACTACTTCATCTGGAAATTGGCCACAAAGGCTCACGGCAAGAATTCGCAGGCTTCTTCGGCCGCGGTAAGTCTTGCCTTTCTTGATGATCGGTCAGCTGTACTAATGTCACGTCCTAGCTTTTCCTTACTGTCTTCAGTCCGTGGCAATGGTTCTGCTCGACGAGGACGCTTTCTAACTCTCTGGAGACTACATTGACTACAGTCGCTCTTTGGCTCTGGCCTCTGCGCAATGATCCAAAAAAGCCGGGTTCCAATGCCAGGAGGTAAGATGTACTGAAATAATTCTAGAGCCCAACAATTGACAGTAGCATAGCCTCCGAGCAGCGCTTGGGCTGGCTGCTACAGCCACAGTGTTGAGACCGACAAATGCGATCATCTGGATTGTCATGGCATTGTATACAGCAGCACCTGGTGCAGACATCAATCCAACACGAGCACTTTGGACACTTGCTGTGGAGTGTCGAGAAGCTGTGATTTCAGGGTGAGTGGTGTCATGTTCCTCCTTCTATCTATACTAACGATTTCTGCAGTCTCTCAGTGATTGCCATCTCACTCGCCTCCGATCGTCTCCACTACGGAGACTGGACGTTCCCCCCCCTTCGTTTTATCCACTTCAACGTGGTACAATCTCTTGCCGTGTTCTATGGTCGGAACCGACCCGACTACTACCTGACAGAGGGACTACCCTTGCTTCTGACCACAACATTACCATTTGCGGCTTGGGGCTGTTGGGTCGCCTTCTCGAATGCTACATATAGCGCAGACTGTCAGAAAGTCACACGGCCGCTAGCGATCTCAGCCTTTGTGTTTGTCACAGTCATGAGTCTGATTGCTCATAAGGAAGTCAGATTCATCTATCCTCTGCTGCCAGGACTACTGGTTTTGGCAGCAGGTCCCTTCGCGCAGTTTTTCTCGCCACTGCCCTTTCCCAGAACTGTTCTGAAGAAAACGCTTCTTGGCTCCTTTGTCGCTGTCAACATGACTCTGGCCTTTTACATCAGCCAAGTTCATCAGAGAGGTGTCATCGACGTACTGCATCATCTTCGACGCCAGCATGAGCTTGGAGGAGCATCCGATACCACGGTCATGTTCATGATGCCTTGTCACAGCACCCCATGGAGAAGTCACTTGGTACACCCGAATATTGACGCTCGAGCATTGACATGCGAACCTCCACTTGATGTTCCCGTTGAGGCACGAGCATCCTACATGGATGAGGCGGATCAGTTCTATGCAGACCCGATCGTTTGGATGCACGAAAATATGGAAGACAAGACATCATTGAGGGCACGAACTTTGGACGCACAGATCGATATACACCAAGAACGAGCACAGTGGCCTGAATATTTGGTTTTCTTTGAACAATTGGAGCCTACCATGACTGAGCTTTTGTCCAAGACTGCGTACGAAGAGTGCTGGAGAGGATTCAATACGCACTGGCATGACGATCACCGGCGCCATGGAGACGTTTTGGTCTGGTGTCTGAGCAAGGATAAGTAGAATATTTACATGGTCGACCCAAAGTGGTGTGGAAAATGCTTTTTTGAGTATTCGTTTCGTCTTAGCTAGAATCTTTGTTACGAGAGATTGATGTCGTCTACACGATAATGGTCCGCGACAATCCTGTACAGATAGCTGGGTGCATGGCCTCCACTGCAGAGATAATTAGCAACCAATCGCGTGTGTATGTGATGAAAAGAAACTTACAGGTTGGTGATGTAGAGGTCCACAAGGTCGGCACTGACATAGTCGTAGATGGGGTTGGTGACATCGACGTTCTCGACAAAATCGCCTTCTTGGAAATCGATAACCTTGCCCGGGTCACCGTACTCGACCAGCTCTTCCATGTCGAATGGATACACAGGGCTGAGCTTGTACACACCACTGACCACGACAACAGGGGTTTGGTGCACCTTGGCGGCTTGTGCGATGGTCAGGGCACCAGTAGCTGCAATCAGACCTCCGTTTGCGAGAACGGTATGCGGGGCGAGAATGACCTTGTTGACACGAGACATGAGAGCAAAGACAGCAGAGTCTGGGATCATGATGACTTGGATGCCCATGGAGATCAGCGGCTTCCATCGCTCATCAGCCTCTTCATCGTCATCATCGCCCTTCTTGCCACCAGTCAGAATCGTGGCATGTGTGTCAACGTGATCATTAGGATATGCTTCGGCGTGAATAACAGTAAACTTTCGCTTGCGAGCAGCTGCAATCAGAAACTTCTGTACCGTCTGCGAAGATGTGTGAGTGAGGATAATCTCGTTGGCGTGAATGTGCTCGAGCGCAGAAGCGGCGATTTGATCATCCACGATTTCCAATTCATCGACGAGCTCCTTGATGCCGTCAATGACTTCGGCCTTGACGTCCATTTTGGTTTGCGAAGTCTCTGCGATGCTTCCCAAGCGGAAACCATTCTTTGAGACTGGAGACTGAGCACCTGTTGGTGGTGTTGCTATCGGAGAGGGCTCATCAGGATGTGAGAGAAGACCGAACAGCGAAGTTCCCTGAGGACCTGTAGCATAGGATGTGTGAGTGCTGAGAAGAGGGGGTCTATGAACACCGGTGGCATCGGCAAAGTCAAGCGAAGAAAGGCTCTCCTGCCCCAAATTTGTAGCGCTTGGCGCAGAAACGCCGTGATTTAGCGGACTGAAAGCTGAAATGTGAGAGTTCAAGGCCGGCCTGTGCAAAGAGTCGTTGTGTGATGAATGATGAGGCTCGTCACTGTGTTCGGCTTCGCTAAGAGCACCAGCATCCAAACCGGTCTCCTCGACTTCGCGGATCAAACCAAGAACACGACGCACAATATTGCCGACTGCCATCTCACGAGGCTGGGCAGCAATCAAACGCTGACCGACTTTGCGTACGCGCTCGATCAGAGAAGCAGCATCTCTGGCCCTGGAAGCAGCCACAATGCGAAGCAATAGCTGAGTAGTTGCGATGGCACATGGTCTAGAGTTTCTGATTTGACGTCTTTTCAAAAGCCTTTTGATATTGTCAGACGGGGTGCGATCATATTGTGATAATTTTGATACTGAAAACATACGAGATGAATTGTTCAATCGAATTCTCAACGTCGGCGTGTTTGAGAGACTTCAAGAAAGAAGACAGGCCTGGGGCGGCCGCCACAGCGGTTGCCATGTTGTTTATTCCAAAAGGTCGCTGTCGCAAGAATTTGCTTGATGTGATGACTCAGATGTCCAGTATGGCAGGATAGCGTTTCCTCTGGTTTGTTCCTTTGGGAACAGCACTCAAAATGAGTTGCAGAGTCGATATGCAGGGTTGTAATATTGACGGAGCCAAAGGTCCAGTCCAAAGTTCGATAATTATCCAAACGATAAAATGAGTCGAATGTCGGATGGCAGAGAGCGCCAAGAGGTGTAATTGAAAACGCTCGGGCCCCAGACTTTCTCGAACGCGAGAAACGCGTCAGAACACGGACGTCTGGTGGGGACTCTTGACAATTGTTTGGAGGGGTATCGGTATACATGCATTGGACATGGCGCTACCGCTGAAGCCAGGCCTGACGCCAGGCGAGGTGGCCTTTCTGTGCGAGATGGAAACGGTGATGGTGATACCACGTCAGCGCCTCGAGTCTCTCGAGTTGCTAGGAGTCAGTGTTTCGCAGAGAGGCGTCCGTCATAGGCTCATGTACTGATTGATGGTCACCAGGGTCCCACTAAAGCCCTCACACCTCCCTTTCCCACACCACTTCCTCTATGGCTCGCTCTACTACTCAAACGCCAACGTCGCGCAAACATCCTGCCTCCACCGTGGCTCAATCCCGAGGCTCTGTCCGCTATCCTCGACACCGAGGTCGATCATGAAGACCTGTTCTCTCCTCCACCTCCGCTGCCTCCTTCCAAGACGTTACCCTCGGATCAATATCTGGATCAGACAGCACTGGAAATGTCGGCTCCTTTTCTACCTTCGAGCACTTCGAGTGCGGCACCAGATGCCTTGCCATACCACTGGTTGGAGCTCAGCCATATGCTCCTTTCACATGCGTCCGATGACTTTGAAGAACCCGATACCGTCAGACGTCTGCTACGTGACCTCAAAGAAGTTCGCATGGCCAAGCTGAGGAAGGGTGTCCGTGTTCTGGACGCAGGTGCTGGTGTTCAGATGAATGGTGTAGGCGCTCTAGAAATCGCCGAATCAAGGTCCTTTATCGTCGGTGTCGTCGACGGTCTAAGGTATCCTACGCTCATCTCACTTCTCCCTCTGGCGCATGCTAACCACAAAACAGAAAGATCGGTGCTTCGAGAGAACAGACGCGAAAAGAAAGAGACGCCGAGGATGCCGAGAATGGCTATGCGGCGAGTTCAATCGACGACCAAGACGACGACATGTTATGATAAGATACCACATATTGCACTTTCCATTTTTTGTTTGATTGCTTGATTGCTTGATTGCTTAATATTGCTCTGCTCATTGCGTACCGCCTTGTCTATGATTGCTCTATCTGTTTAACGAAGGACCTGCCACTGTATTGGCAGCTCAGGATAGCCGATATTCTTGAGCCTCTTCCCTCACTCACTGTTTGCTTCTGGGTCAGTCCGCCATGCAGATCAACTGATGTAATGATAAGAAGAACCTCCTCATCCAATGCCGTCGTCATGAACATGAAATTTGGTAATCGCAGGCCCAGCCCTCAATCCGAAAAAGAAAAAAAACTCCTCTATAGACGCCATCGCTTGCAAAGGAAACTATTAAAACAAAGCTTCTTCATCTCAACTTCGAGAAGCCGATCGTATCGCACAACATAATTCAATCGCTCTCATCATGACTGCGTATCTTCTTCATTGTATTGTTGCTGCCACTCCGTGAGGACTTCTTGGACAAGGCCGAAGATCCGGTGCCTCGTCGTGAGTGACGAGGAAAGTACGACGTGCTACTGACTCCGAGTCCTCGTCCACCACTAGGTGTGAACGGCGCCGAGCGTCGCCGCACCATCTGGAGACCGCCGTCATCATCGGATGAATCTTCGTAATCGTCTTCGTCGCTCTCAATGGCGTTGTCGCCCGAGTATCCGTCGTCCTCAAGCACAGGGACACAGGGCGTGAACGGTGTCTCCAAGGGATCGAGGAGCTCACCTCGGTCATCCGCAGCCTTTTCTTGCGGGGCTTCGGAATCGATTGTGGTAAATGAGGGAATCGAGGGATTTGAACACGACATCGGCGTGTTGGGCGGGAACCGGTCCTCCGAAGAGCTCGGTGTCATCAGAGGCTGAACACCCGAAGCACGACTTGTTGGACTAGTAGCCTGGGACCCATGTACATATGCACTGCGTCGACGTGCGTCAGCTCTCGATCCGCCAATCACTAACTCATCGTCATCATCGTCATCGTCATCGTCTTCATCGTCGTCGTCGTCTTTGTATTCAATTCCAAAATCGTCATCAGGACTGGGGGGACATGTATCGGGAACCTCCGTCCTCGCTCGACTTGGGGCCACCCTTGTCTCGTCACTAGATTCCCGAGTGCTACGACGTAGCCACTCGTCTTCGGCTCTGCGGAAGTCGTACTCCGAGGATTCGTTGGGGAGTCGATCGGAGTGATCAGGATCCCATGCCGAGTCTGAATCTAGACGCCGACGTGCCTCAAAAGACGAGGTGGACACTTGCCGTGAGAGAGTCGTGCTTGGACGAATTGCTGTATCCCTTCGCTCTGGCGCTGCTCTCGATTGAGACCGCGAAATCATAGGGCTTGAAGAGATACTGATTGCCGGGCTGATATTTTTCAGAACATCTGGAAGGTCCAGGAGGCCCGATGCTTGCGTGTTACTAACAGCAACACTAGGGTCGGCATGTGCATCGCTCGATTCAGAAGGCGCCCTACTGGTCGATCTTTCCAGCCCGTCCGCGCCTCGACCTGCGGTGCTTCTGTCTCGGACACTCTTCAGGATCCTTCGACCAGCGCCACTCAGAAGACCACCAATGTTGGTCACCGTTGAATCGAACGAGGACGAACCTAGCCCGGGAGATGTAGGCGGTGATTCAGGGGTCGTCTGTTTGTTTAAGATGTCGGCTGGCTTGATTGTTCGTACAGAGGTGGTCGTGGACATGATAGATCTTGATCTGTCACCCTGGCTCGGATAATCAGTAGCTCCGTTTGGCGTGCTCGAGCGCGAGAAGTAGGCATCCCGATTTGGAGCTTGCTCTGGGCTGACAGTGACGCTTTGCGCCAGAGGATGTTCCATCTCCCGAGAAGCTTTGAGAGCAGAGAAGATACTCTCATCCCCTCGTAAGCTGTTCCTTCGACCCTCTTGGCTGACTGCACTGCTCGACGAGCTCGTCGACAAGGGATGAGATCCGGACATCGATGGCGTTCGCGTCTTCGTCGAACTCGCACGGCCTAGGCCGCTCATCAGACCACCTATCGTCTTCTTCACGCCCGAACGGATTCTTTCAACTAGCTTGACAGGCACGACAGCATCTTGGAGTTCCTCCTTGGAAACTTGGATTTTCTTGCCATGAGACTGTCTCGAAGGGTCTGTCTCGTCAAGCCAAAGTGGCTTGTTGGAGATGTCTTGAACCACCCAGGGATGATGCCGAACTTCTTCCAAGGTGATGCGCTTTAAAGGATCCTTCTGCAACAGCCTGCGGAATAGGTCCAGAAGCAGGTCATCCAACTCTTCGTATGCAAGATCGTATTCAGACCTCTTGCCCGAAGCAGCTGGTGGGAAGTATCGTCCATGAGAGGATGGGCGTGACTTCGGACGTGGATCAACCGGTCTTAGACGTCTCCTAGGTACATAGATTTCCTCATCGGCAATGCGTCTCATGACGACAAACTCATTGTCGACGAATGGCGTACGACCGAACAGCATGCAGAAAAGAGTGATACCCAGGGCCCATACGTCGATAGCGGGGCCAACAGGAGGGGTCTCTGTGATCCCGTCTGTGTAACACAGCTCTGGCGCGTAGAAGGCTGCAGTACCTACAGTCTTTGCGAGCTCCTTGGCTTCATCGAAATCTTGCATGTCAGATTCTGAGAGGTTCTCTGGGACCTGGTCATCATTGATTGGACGACCAAGATATGAGACGCCAAAGTCTGAAATCTTCGTTCGGTGGTCAGCAGTCTGCAAGAGATTGGGAGGCTTGATATCCCGATGAATGATGCCTTGATAATGCAGATACTGTAAGCCCAAAACAGTGTCCCTAAAAGCTACACGAGCAGCGTTCATAGACATGCAAGGGACGAATTGCAGGTCAGGGTGCAAGTCGGCGTCAAGTATCTCTGCTCCAGAAGCATCCCAGAACTTCCGTTCCTCTGGATGTCGAAGATCCTGAGCGCCGAATGAACGCACGCTACTGGCTAGACTAGGTGCACGGGCTGCTTCTTTGTCGGCCAGTTCTTCTTCGTAAGAACCATACATGGTTCCCTCTAGAAGCTTCACCGGGCTAGTTTCTTGCCAGAAGGTCTGATGATTAGCTGGATTGACAGGGGTACCCGGATCAGCTCCGTCACTGTCGCCGACAGAGAACTGCGCTAGCACAGCAGTGAGTTGACGACTATCCACTCCTCCTTGATCTGCGCTCTTCTCAGTGGTCGATGTTGAAACTCTCGAGGCGTGGTCTGCATCTGAATCGTCTTCGTCGGTGTCACCACCGAATTCGAAACTCCATCCGGCTCCGGAGCCTCCGGCCATCCTTTGCCTGCGTAACTTCCTCAGAGTACGTCTTTGCTGCTTGAGGCGCCGCGTCTTGGCCTCGTCGAGAATCGCGCGATCTTCAGCTTCAGCTTCCTCATCGTCAAAAACGCCACGCGATTCTCGGATATAGCGGCGGCATTCGACCAAGGCAACCTCCTTAGGGGCGCTTGCACGCCACACAATCTCACCGAGCTCGACACGTTCCAGCACGATGTATACCTTCTTGCGAGCAGGGTCATCAATCACCTCTAGCAGGGCGACAATGTTCGGATGTCGAGCCTTCTTCAAAATGGCAACCTCTTTCTTGACTTTGTCTTCGGCGTTGCCTAGCTTGCCAAGTCGACGCTTCTTCGAGTAACGCTCTACAATCTTGATCGCAACATACTCGTTCGTGGCCAGATTGCGACCAAGCTTAACTTTGCCATGTGTGCCTCTACCGAGTTCGTCAATGATCTCATAGTTGTTGATCAGTTTTCTTCCTGAGATGGGATCGATATCGACATCGGCAATGTGTGTTTCTTTTGGAGCTTGGCGATGGGTAAAGTGCAAAAATGGACTCGCGTAGAACCCGTGTTCATCAGGACCCAGATTAGACTGCTCTGCTGGTATGCTGGGCGTGAATAAGCCTGGAGTTGCAGCAGGGGTGTTGTCGGCCGACCTAGCACCGGTCTTGTGTAAGGCGTTTATGGCTTGACGGAAGTCACTGGGCTGAGCGGGATGGTGAGTTTTGGTGCGCAAAGTGGGCGGAAGATGCGGTGGTGGATATCGTTGCTGCTGTAGTGCGGAGAAGGCCTGGTTAGGATATTTTGGCCGGGTGTAGAGGGGAGATGTCGCAGTGCTCGATGATCCATGGCCCGAATCGGAAGCCTTGACGGTGACTGTGCTCAGATTGCTTTCAACGCTAGCGACCGAGGCATGCGATAGATCCCTTTGGACGACAGGTCTGTCAGGCGTATCTGGACAGGTTGTTGTCCGCCGCAGACTGGGAGAGATGGCGATTGCAGCAGCGGCGGGAGAGAGAAGCGAGTTTGGACGAGCGGCGGTAGGCTTCAGAGCAAAGTAGCCGTCTTCGGAAGAGCGTTGGGAGTCGTCGCGAGCAGGTGTCGGGGTGACGGCGAGGGAAGGAAGTTCGGATCGAGGAGTATTGTCATTATCATCCTGCTGTTCGGTGGGGCTCGGCGTGTTCTGGTCCATGACCTTGTATCGGACGCGCTTGGCCAGCGACTGTATATCTACGGCCGACGTGGCAGAGGGAGAGCGACGGGCGATCCAAGACTGCGCGCTTGCTGGGCCGAACTTTTCGGACGAGTCGCTGAAGACTGGAGGGGCTACCAGATCATGTCGAAGTCAGTCGTGTGAGCCGTTCGGCGAGCCTTTGCTACGGAGAAGCATATAGCGACGTGAGGTATGGTGTGGTGACGTGGGTGCAGACTCGACAAGAGGTCAGATGGTGCAAGGTGATCGCGTGCGTGAGCTTCAGGCCATGATAACAAAAGTTCGCAGAATTCAGAAGGCATGCGGCGGGAGGGCAGTTGGTGGTGGGCGCGCCTGCCCAAAATGACGATTGAAGTGGTCCGAACTTCGCTCTGACCGTTGAGCTCCGGCCTCCAACACCAGCCCAATCCAATCGCCGACTCTGCTCGACAGAACCAGAGCCTTGACTAGCGCCCAGAGAGTCCATGCGCCTCCGATCTGAGGACCGTTCCACCCACAAGACATGTTCTTTGGCTCTCGTTATCTCTTTCTTGCAATCTTTCGGGAACTGGCATCCTGTCTCTGTCTCAGATGTCGTTTCTCCTACCCGCCCCTCAAGCCTGTTTCGCAGTCGTGACCACTCTCTACATTTGTCCTTGCCAAGCCCACGCTTGTTCCTTCCGAATCTGCAGGGCTCCTTCTTACCTTGAGGCTGCTGGAAACAGTACACAATCTCGCATTGCATTGGTTCGGTACCATTCCCCAGGTACCGTTGAATTCATGCCGTGTGTCGCTTGAAAGGCTGCCACTCTGATCCTCCGCTCAGTCTGTGCTCTATTCTGTGCTTAACGAGGAGTCGAGGACATACGAAGATTAGGTATTTGGCTTTGGTGGCAGCCCAACACGCACACGACCTCGGTTTTCATTGGCTTCTCGCTTGTGGCTGTGGACGAGAGGGCCGACCCTTAACGCTGATCAATGCATCGACGTCGTAAGGTACCGCTGCTGCATGTGCAAGCTGCGGTTGAACTTTTGGTTGGCCCTTTCTCTTCTCGCTTTCCATCCCTTTCGTCGAGCACCATTGTTCCCTGCCTCTGCTCATCCTCTACGAAGCCTCAACCTGGGTTTGAGGGTGAGTTGTTGGGAGGGCGAATGCCTGAGACTGGAGCAAGGCGTCATCCTTGCTTTGGCAATGAAAATTAACTATCACTTGTGTGATACTCACGTTGCTAAGCCGATCCGTATGCTCCCACTTTGCTCTTGACGGCTCGCAGTGACGGTCGGGCATACAAGAGACAGTAACGCTAGTATACTGAGGCAATTGACACTTATTCGTCCCGTGTATAAAGGTACATTAGTGCACTGACGACTTCCCACCTGCTCTCTGCTGCAGCCTTGAAGACAAGTACTCAGTAGCTTTCGAGCATTCACGAGGCGACTCCGCCTCGCATGGCTTTTCGAGACACTCCTCGCCACATTCAGACACATCGTCCTTACAAACGTAATCACAACTGGTGTGCAGCCTGGGATATTGAGCGAGCGCACGGGCTCTATATCGAGTGGTGGGTTGGGGATGCTGCAGATGCAATATATTAACCCACACACCTTTCACATGCAGCGCGGGGTAGTCAGACGAGCCACAAGTGCGGAGAAATACTTGAGAGTTGGTAAACACTTTTCTATTCGTGATTAATTGAAGTAGGTAACTGCTGGTATCTTCCACGATCGTCGAGCCGTCCAGCTCGCTCGGTTTGTGATGGCACGGTCTGCCCGATGCCAGGTGACTCGACATCCTCTGCTGGTCTATTCAATGACGGCGGGTCGCGAAAAATTCAAGCCTCAGAGAGTCGATCTTCAGAACACATCACATACCAGGAGGTGGTGGAACCTAGCTACGATGTCAGCCTGATGGTCTCAATATCGTCGGCATCGCAGAACCTACAGAGTTGTATCCGCCGCTTGCTCCTGGAGGTGGAGGCGGAGCTTGGTCGTCTGCTGGAGGTGGGGGAGGGGCTTCAGACGAGGGAGGCGGAGGAGCCGCGCCGTTGTCGTAGGCAGGTGTTTGGTCTGCGCCCGGGACACCGCCCTGCTGCTGCTGGTAATACTGCCAGTACATTCTTGTGTAGGCTTCGTATCCTCCGTATGCGGCGTACGGGTCCTGTCCGTTCTGTTGGTAGTACTGCGCGTAGGCTTGGGCATAGTCAGGTGTAGCTGCAGCGCCTGGACTCATGGCAGCAGCGGCAGCTCCGCTGTGAGCGGCTGCCGGTGAAGCAGCACCGCCGTAACCACCGCCGTAGCCTCCTCCATAACCTGCGTCTCTACCGCCGTCTCTTCCGCCACCATAGCCGCCGCCGCCGCCGCCGTAGCTGCTATTGCGTTCACGGTCTCCGCCGTAGCCGCCACGGTGTCCACGATCACCATAGTCATCGCCACCACCGCCTCTACCACCACGAGGGCCGCGTTCTTTGAACTGTTCGTATTGGGTACGAACATTGGCCAAGAGATCAAGACAGAGATCTTTGGCACGGATGACCTCGTTTGGATCAGGGCCGCTGCAACAGGTCAGTATTAACACGAAGAGTGTTCGCAAGCACAAACTCACGCTACGTGCAGGTACATGGATTCGTCGCTCTCATGTCCAGTGTCGTGCTCCATGAAACCAGAGCCACGGCCTTTGATTTGAACACGGCATCGAGTCTCCTGCTGGATGTGTTTGACATATGAGCCACCCTGACCTACGACCTGGGCGCGGAGGTTGAAGCCAGGGATAGGCTCGAGGTCCACGGGAATCTTCTCTTCGGGCCATTTGCGCTATGGATGTCAGGGCACTATACGTATGGTCTTGACTCGGTGGCAACTCACACGACCCATAGAATCCCTCTCGACCTGTTCTGGCTCTCTGCGACGGAAACGTCTCTCATCTACGAGGTTAGGTAAGTCCTGCTTCATAAGCTCATCGATCTCAGCAACGGCCTTTTCGAGACCGTCTCTAGATGTACTGGTAACGTGAAGATAGAGCGGGGGGTTCTACGTCTGGTCAATCACATGGAGTAGGTCAGAGATTAGCCATGAACTCACGGCAGCGGTGGCCATGGCCTTGTCGGGGTAGTAGCTTCCTCTGGTGGTGACATCTTTAGGACAAATAAGCCTTGTGATCAAATCGTCAGTGTATAAGGATGGTGCATACCGGCGCCGGTCTTTTCTTTAATCTAGATGTCACACACTTGAGGTCAGCATTTGCAAAGCGGGGATGCCGAGAGGCTATTGGGCTAGAAGTGAGCAATCTGGAGATTCAAATGGTCTCAACCAAAACAAGCAAGCTTTGGAGAACAGGGCAAGATTTGAAGTGACTGCAGCATCAGTTGGGCTTGACGGTGATAATTTACCATTTTTTGGGTAGAGCCCTTGGTCAGGGTGTAGCGATTACGCAGATCGTTGACTTCGATGTCGCGAATGGAATCACCATCTTGAGTGTAGATTTCAGCGTTCAAGCCTGCGGCGGGCGACTGGGCTCCATTCGCGCCAGGGCTTTCGGTCTGCACAGGATGGGTCAGCGCTGAGGTCGCATGCGAGTCGGACAGGGTATTGTGTCGGCGTACGGAGCGGATTGGCGGAACGTCGACATGTTGGATGCCTTTGCGAGCCTGGATCGAGGCATTGATTTTGGCGGCGGCAGCAGCAGCTGCGGCGGCAGGGTCTTTTGGAGCAGGGCTGTTTGTGCCAGAGACGGGACTACGAGTACGTTGGCGAGGCTCCGAGTTTCTGTTCCTAGGCGAGCGCGAGCGACGGTCGAAGCGAGAGGGGCGCGCGTCAGACTCGGTCTGATCAAAACGAGAGCGCTTGCGAGGTTCGTCAGACATGGCTGGCTATAGGGACCCGGTTGGTATGCGACGGGGTAGAAATGTTTGCGCGTGTTCGTAGCGAGTAGTCGACGCCGCGAGAGTCTTTGGCCTTGGAATATTTTGGGAATCCGCCGACGCGACTAAGGCCTGGTTAACTCCGGGCGTCGCATCTGGTCCGTGCGTTCGTCGCCGGTGTCGCGCGACGAGCTTCAGCATTTTGTTCCAGCTATCACCAACCATCTTGCACTTGACTCACTCTTGTGTAAGCCGCTCGTCAAGTCAAGTCGCTCTCACAATGGCGTCCAAACGCATCTGGACCGCCGTGTCGATTGATTCGCTGGCACCTCGCTGTCGTCTTCCCACACAACGTTCATTCGCTCTCTCCGCGTCCCGAAACTCGTCGTCGACTTCGGCCATCGCATACAAGGCTCTGCACCGTCGCACATCGCCCCTTCCCCAGGCCCCGACCGCTGCCTCCGTTTCGCCCGCCGCTGCCGTCTCTAGCATCCTCTACGAGACCCCGCTTCCCTCTCAAGCCCCTCCCAAGCGCCATGTCCTCAACTGTCTGGTCCAGAACGAGCCTGGTGTGCTTTCGCGCGTCTCTGGTATCCTGGCCGCCCGCGGCTTCAACATTGACTCGCTGGTAGTCTGTAACACCGAGGTTGCTGACCTGTCTCGCATGACCATTGTGCTGCAAGGCCAGGACGGCGTCATCGAGCAGGCCCGTCGTCAGCTCGAGGACTTGGTGCCTGTCTGGGCTGTCCTTGACTACACGGCTGCTCCTCTTGTTCAGCGTGAACTCCTCCTGGCCAAGGTCAGCATCCTCGGTCCCGAGTACTTCGAAGAGCTCCTGGCCCACCACAGGGAGATGACGGATGCTGAGGCTCAGGCCCAGGCTGCTGGCCTCACTCCTGAAGAGCTCGAAGCCAATGCCCGCGCACACGAAGAAGCTCTGAGACGTGATTTCCACCCCAGTCGCCTTGCTGCCAGTGAAGCTCTGAGACACAAGCACAAGCATCTCGAGACCATCACTTATCTCACTCACCAATTCGGCGGCAAGGTCCTCGATATCTCAACGAACAACTGCATCGTAGAAGTTTCAGCCAAGCCCCATAGAATCGACTCTTTCATGAACCTTATTGCGCCTTTCGGTATTCTCGAGAGTGCCAGAACTGGTAATTTGCATTCTGTCCCGGCTCTCAATACTAGACTAACAATGACTCAGGACTCATGGCCTTGCCCAGATCGCCTCTTCACGGTCCCAGCGAAGATATGGAGAAGGAAGCTGAGGACGTCGTCGACGCCAGCACTCTGCCTCCTGGTTAAAGCAATGTAGAATTCCTTGCAGCTTACACAAGCCCCTTTGCTTCTGACCACATACGACTATACGAGACTTGCCTTCTACTACCTCTGCAGGCTTCCCTTCTATCAACTAGTTTTCACTTTTTCCATGCTTTACACAATCTTGCCCTTATTCACAACAAAGCTTTCTAGCGCGGCTGTACTGCGAGTTAGCATCGTGACGTTCTCCTTCGTGTGTTGTGACTTACAGATGGCAGCCCACAGACGGTTCTCTGCTTCTTGGAACACCAAACTCTTTGGGCTGTAAAAGACTTCATCGCTGACCTCTTCGGCATGTCTGGGTAGGCAGTGCATGAACTGCCAGCCCTCCTTGGCACCTCCACGCTTAGCAAGCTCAGGTGTGATCTGGAAGCCCTCGAATGCCTTCAGGCGAGCAATCTTCTCTGCCTCTTGACCCATGGAGATCCAAGTATCCGTGACAAGGATATCTGCGTTCTTCACGGCCTCTTCGGGGACGGTTGTCTCGATGAGCGAGCCGGGCTTGGGAGAAGTTTTTGCAGCGTCTTGGATGATTTGACGCATGGAGGCAGGAATCTCGTAGCCCTTTGGAGTGGCAACGGCGATATCGACCCCCAACTTCATAGCACCGATAGCCAAGTCAAAGAGCACATTGTTTGCGTCACCAACCCATGCAATCTTCAAGCCTTCGAGACCCAGTCCTTGCGCATTGGCAGAATTGGTAGAAGGGAAGGCTTCGTGGATAGTCAAGAAGTCGGCAATGGTTTGCAGTGGGTGATATAGATCACTCAGGGCATTGATAACGGGGACGGATGAGTGCTTGGCCAGATTGGCAACATCATCGTGGCCATTGACACGAGCGACAATGCATGAGACCATGGATGAGATGACAACCGAAGTGTCATAGAGGGACTCATTGACACCAAGCTGGATGTCGTCTTTGCCCAGGAACATGGGGTGGCCGCCCATGAGTGCAACTGCACCCTCAGTGGAGACGCGAGTGCGAGTGGAACGCTTGCTGAAGGTCAAAGCTACAGTCTTGCCAAACAGAGAGCCCTGAAGAGATGCAGGAACTTGTCCAGACTTAACAGCGGTCTTGTGAGAAGCAGCATTGCGAACAAGGGTGGTGAGTTCGGCTGGGGTCAAGTCGGAAATGGACATAAGATGGCGAGGAGCAAAAGGTGAGGTCACCGGCTGAGCAGGTGAGGAAGCATAGCCACGGATTGAAGTCAGCACAGGCTTGCGGAGGCCCTGAGCTCGTTGGACAGCTCGTAGGATAGTCATTGTTGCTTGTGATAACAGTTTGGAGAGAATTGAGTCACCGACAACGGAAGGATAGTATAGCGAGCGGATAGTTATCGATTAGAATGTGGGGAAGCGTGCTTGAAAGCGTGCGCGGACGCGTCGGCTCGCCTGCTTTAGCCTTTGACTTGACGTTTCCGTCGACTCTCTCTCCACTCCACTTCCGTCCGCCTCTCGACCTCGCTCTCTCCCTTTCTCTCTCTTCTATCCCCTCCTTACGACTGTGATGCGCATCTAGCTAGCACACTTTATACACCGGCGCATAGCGCTGAATCTAACATCGATTTCCCATCAAACCTTCGCACACCACCCATACCCGCCCAACCATGCCTGACACCACTTCCCAACCGTCGTCACGACCGCACTCAGTCCACTCAGTCCATTCATCAAGCTCGCGTCGCTCTGCACCTCGCAACAACAATGACGAGAACACTCCATTGCTCTTTACAAACGATAACGACCATAATGTCGAAGCACAAGATCAAGCGGAGCCATCAGCCGAATCGGCATCTCAGTCACACTCACCTGCTGTCGCCCGCTTACTACACCTGTTCCAACCCAAATCTCAGAACCCTCCAAGATGGTCCAGTCTGTTGGCTCTACTGTTCCTCTGCATACTTGCCGTCCTTATCATGGTCCTGGGATTCCTAGCGCCCTCCAAGGTCCAAGAGTATGCTGTTGAAGCCGCCACTTTCGAGCCTACGAGCTTGTCCATACATTCTTTCACCGCTACAGGTGTCACAGCCAGGATACAAGGTGATTTCTCGATGCGTGCAGACAAAGTCAAGGACGATTCTGTGCGCCGCTTTGGTCGCTTCGGTACCTGGATTGCCAGAAAGGTCGAGACTGGCCAGTCGTCGGTTCAGGTCACTCTTCCGGATTATAAGGATGCACTTCTCGGCACGGCCCAAGTACCGTCAATCGTAGCGGATATACGCAACGGCCATACCACTCACATTGACTTCCTGACCGAGCTGTCTCCTGGTAACACTGACGCCATTAGGCGTCTTGCGAAAGACTACCTTGATGGGAAACTCCAAGAACTGCGTGTGTCTGCCGAGGCTTCGGTGCCCGTCAAATCAGGTCTGATCAACCTGGGTAGGCAGACTGTTTCTCGTGCCATGGCTTTTGGAAACGACAGAATCCCAACTCTGCCAGAGTACAAGATTCACAAGCTCAACTTCCACGAGATCGAATTACCAGACCTCCAGCGCGCTATGGTCGCTGATGTTGCTGTTGAGCTCGCTAATGACTACCCCTTGGACTTTACTATCCCTCCTCTGGGTTTCGCTATCCTCGTCGATAATTGCCAGTCATCGCAACCCTTGATTCAGCTGGCGGATGCTACTACACCAAGCCTTTCTGTCCGACCGAAGGAGAACGTTAATGTCAGCGTATCTGGTCTCGTTAGTCGTTTGCCCCAGGCCTTTACCCAAGCTTGTCCTGGCTCACACGAGTCCCCTCTGGATATCCTACTTGGTGGCTATATCCGTGGTAACGACACTACCGTATATGTACGGGGCTCAGACTCCCCCTCCCTGGACACTCCAAAGTGGATCACAGACCTCATGTCAGACATAACAGTGCCAGTCCCTTTCCCTGGTCACACTTTCGGACACTTGATCAGAAACTTCACCATGGCCGATGTACACTTCGGGCTGCCCGACCCCTTCTCCGAGCCCAACAGTCCGGAAGCACAACCTAGGATCTCCGCTGTCATCAAGGCTCTGGTTGCTCTTCCTGAAGAAATGAACTTCAACATAAGCGTGGGCCGCGTGAGAGCAAATGCTGATGTGTTTTACCATGGCGCCAAACTTGGGTATCTTGATTTGAGCAAGTGGCAGAAGGCAAACTCGACTCGTATTGACTCGGCCAAGGACGAAGGTCCTCTTCTAGCGGTACAGTCGGCGATCGAAAACGCACCTCTGACCGTGACGGACGACGACGTATTTACTGATGTGCTGAACGCACTTCTCTTCGGTGGCAAGGGAGTTGAGCTTGGAATCAAGGCGGACGTGGACGTGGAGATGGAGACAGCACTCGGCCAACTGGCTGTGAGGAAGATTCCTGCTGAAGGCTCAGTGCCTGTCAAACGTTCGTGATCGATTCCTGCGTCGTTCGAGCAGCCGAGAATGAAGTAGCTAATATGCGGCCCCTTGTAGCCATCAAACGAGGCGGTATTGGCTCATTCACGCCGAAAATCGGCGACCTACAAATACTGGATACTGGCAAGACCTCTTTGACCTTGACCGCGTCGGTGAATTTCACCAACCCCACAGAATATAGCGCGACGGTCCCCTTCGTCGACATACAGATTTTGACCAACGGCACACTACTCGGACATGCTACAGCCAAGGATGTGACAGTTGTACCCGGCTTCAATACCAACATTCTTGTGACGGCCGTATGGGACCCTAAGACGATGGGTGGCGAGGGAGCTCACCGGGTGGGCGTCGAGTTCCTGTCTCAATACATCTCCGGTTTGTGACTCAATATGTGTGTACCCGCAATTGTTAATGAGATATTCCAGGCTTCAATACGACGCTTACACTGCGTACCCACGAGGGGACCATACCGGCACAGCCAGCTCTTGGCCGTGCGTTATCCAAATTTGCCGTTGATCTCCCAACACCCAATCTGAGAGGTGGAGGCGGAGGCGGCGAGGCAGAGAAGCACTTCATCCAGGACGCAACAGTCAGTTGGTTGAACGCAGACGGTGTGATCACAGCTAACATCATCTCAGATGCATCTTATCACAAGCACTGCAAATTTCGTGCTGCTTTCGCCGTTGAAGACGTCGACTATATACGTCACGTACATCAACGCGACAGCATTTTACCATGAAGATGCAGTTGGACATATCGTCTATGATCTGCCGTTCGCCGTGCCACCCGGCTCGTCAACGTCGCCGCGTTTGCCGGTAAATTTTGGATCTCTCGGATACGACGAGGTTAAAGGGGCATTGGGTGGATCGCTCAAAATGGCAGCGAAAGCAACGGTCGGTGTGCGTCTGGGCAGGTGGGAGGAACGAATATGGTACCAGGGAGAGGGCATAGGTGCAAAGATCAGATTGTAAATTATGCAGATAGCCCTCGGTACATGATGTTTAGTCAAGATGGTCGAAAGGGTATCCCCGGATTGACATGTGATGCGGGGGTGAGTGACGGGGGGACGCCGTCAAGGGTCTCTTGACTTGTGTTTCAACATGAACCCGACCACGGACGAGTGGAAGTTGCAAGCACCACTTATCGAAGACGTCGAGGTAACATGGAGGTAAGGAGGTCGGATTGGACGAGACAGACCAACAGAAGTCTGACGAGTGTGTACAGTCACAAATGAACAATCGCAAACGCACGTCGCGCCGGTCGCACACCAACCTCGCCAATCTGAGACTGGCCCCTCTGTCACGAGATAACAGCCCTGTAGATGGCCGCATGAATCCTCTCACGTCACCGCACACATCCTATATCGAAGGCAAGTCGGCGCCTACCACGCCGAGCATCCTTGGCCGCAGCTCCAGTCGACGCCGGCTAGGGGGTGCTGGTCTGAGTCGGAAACTCTCCATATACGATGCCGAGTATGCCCCGGTGCAAGTCACAACACAAGGGGTGCCCAAAAGCGCTCTGCGACCGGACGCAGGAGATCATGTCATGCCAAAGGCGAAGAGCGAGGCTGCTTTGCACCCTCGGCCCACTCGCTCGGGTCTGCCAAAATTACGCACGCCTCTTCTCCATCCCAATACTGCCATACTTGCTGTCAAGCCTCACGACAAGCAAAACGACGACGACTGGTTCACTCGCGCTGGTCTAGCCACGACATCAATGCTACGAGAGTCTAAGGGACAGTCATGGCTGGCGTCACGCCATTCTTCAACATCATTACAACTCGTGCAATCCTCGGACGACGACGAAGAAGAAGCTCTGGCTAGTAAGAGTGCCGTCTCTCTACAACGTCTCCACTTTGCCGACGACGAGTTCAGTCCCGAGACACCGCGTGCCACCAGTAGATGGGGCAGTAGATTTGGCAGTCGCGCTGCCAGTGCTCGCAATAGTCGACGTGGAAGCAGAGCAAATCTGGAGTCGTCGGATCTCCTTCGTGATCCTGCCGATTACTTTGGTAGTGCTGTCTTGGAACCAGAGATCTCTATCAGACCTGACTTTGTCGACCCGCGAGACAATTCAGATGATGAAGATCCTGAGCAAGAGGTTGCTAGACTGGCTAGAGAGGCCTCGTTTGGCTTTGGTCCGCTCATAGACCGACTAGTCGGTTGGACTTTGTTCGATGTCACAGAAGACAGGGAGGCTACTGATGTCGAGACTGAGACAGAGGATGAAACTCCGACTATACACGACAGAGTGGTACATGCACCAGTGCGACCTCTGTCGCCTCCTCGACCTAGACAGCTGGTCGCTGGAGCGGATCGGCAAAGTAATCACGAAGAAGGCGGTTGGCAAGATGCGGCGTGGTTGCTCGGCGTTGCCTCCAAGGTTTTGCTTTGACGATGAAGATCGTAACTTGATCAATGACTGACGAATGTACTAATTATGCACTCACACTACCTTCTTTTCCCTCGCTTTCAGGTCTCTGCTCCACCCTCAATCTCAACCCCTGCGATTCGCCCTTCCAGGAACTCCTTTGCCATGTCTGCGAAAGACATCCATTCGACTCCTCCATGCTTGTTGATGTAGTTGATGATACTAGAACACATCAGTGGTGATGCTCGTACTCGGTTCAAAGGGGACGTACCGTTCATGCATCTTGATGACCTGTGGCTTTCCACTGACTTGCGGATGTATGGACATTGGAAAGATGAAGCTGTCATATTCTTCATATGCAAAGTCGAATTGCTCGAGCCATAATTTCTCCAGCTCGTGCGTACTGACGAATCCATGCTACATGCAGCTGTCAGTCTCGCATACGTGTTGCATGGTGGATGGGAACAAAATACCGTTCCAGCTCTTCCCGGCATGGGTTGCAAAGGCGGCCCTGTATCACGTCAGCTACATCGTCCTTGCCCTCCTTGAAGCTCGACCTACAATCATCCACGTGCCAGTTCGCAGGAATCTCGACAATCTTGCTAGGTTTGAGCCTTGTCATTGGCGACATCCATGTCGCGGCTTCGTTTGCCAGATTGGTTTCCACCCACTGATGACTGGAGTCTGGTGCGAAGTATGGTTGCAGATCATGATGCATAAAGCTATGATCGTAGACTATGCCGAATTCTTCGAGTAAAGGCATCAGCTCTTTACTTGTATCCCAGGCTGGAGCTGTGTAGCCTTGAGGTTTCTTCCCAGTAAACGTAGTCAGCACTTCGATGGACTTTTGGAGCACATCTCTTTGTTGCGAGGCTGATAGGCCGGAGATATGTTCGTGGGTGTAGCCATGAAGGCCGCTTGTGTGTTCAATTAGCGTACTTGATTTTGACTGCCTGAATCAACTCACATCTCATGGCCTGCATCTCTGACTTTGGTCAATTGCTTTGGAAACGATTCGACGGTGTGGGCGGGTGTACTTTGGTATGTATCATATCAGCCAGGGTCATCTCGATTACGAACCTGTTTTGGAAAACCCACAAGAAAGTTGCTTTTATATCATGTTTCTCAAACAGCTTGAGTAGTCTGTCAAGACCAACGGTGGCTCCAAAAATGCCTCGAGACACGTTGGTACCATTTTGTACGCTGCCGTCTTTGGTATTGATCCTGATGGATCAAGTAAGCTTGTGTTTTCTGAAGCCTCGATTCAAGGATGACTCACCAACCGGCTACAGCATCGACGTCGACTATCGTACATCAATCGACCCGTATCTGGTAGGGAATCGGAAATGACTCGGTACACTCACCGCCATAGCCGACCAAGACTCTCTTCTTGCCCATGCTGGTGGTACGTGACAATGTGGTTCGGCTAAATGACGTCTACGAAAGATATACAATACGAGGACTTGGCGATGCGAGTGCTTATACACTCAAATCCAGTTTGAATTCAGCTGCTATATACTGTGCTATAAAGAGGGGTCGCAGTCCAGGTAGGACCGGGCAAAATAGCTTCCTCTTTTGGCTCGCCTATCACTTCGACCCCGCCTCTAACCATACCCTTGCCCGAGACTGCCTCCTACCAAGCATTTATCGGCAATCTATCCAAACATACATAAACAGAATCGTGTCTGAGAGATCTCAAGCACAGATTGTCATTATGCTTCAAATCACATGCAAAGGCTCGCCATACGAGGTGGGTACAGTATGACGAATGTCAACTCTGCTCGGTATACTGAACTACGGTATAGATAGGATATCAACATGGCCAACAAGCGAAGAACCAAATTCAAGGCAGCATAAACTTCTACACCAATCTCTTTCAGCAAAACGTCAAACTGTCATGGCCGAAAGTTCAAGAGACAGCCATGGAATTCGAGCCTGTGATCAAGAAGAACTGGCCTGCGTATCTAGAGGAGATGAGAGGTATATCGAATCGAACACGAAGAACGGACAGATTTTGACTGACACAACGACAAGGCATAGCAGAAGGAGCCGGCAAAACACTCGCCGATATCATAGCCCTAAACGTACGCACAGAGATAAACTTTGGTCTCTTCAGCGACGGCTGCACCGCTCTATCCTGGTTCCACAAAGACTCTAGTATCCTTGCTCAAAACTGGGATGTAAGAATTTCCCCTCTCTCTCTCTCTCTCTCTCTCTCTCTCTCTCTCTCTCTCTTTTACTCTCACCTTTAATCATGACTAACACATTACAAATTCCAGTGGATGACAGAACAAAAACAAAACCTCATCCTCCTCACCATCGAACAACCCTCCAAACCCGTCATAAAAATGGTAACAGAAGCAGGTCTCATCGGTAAAATCGGCATGAATTCCGCAGGTGTAGGAGTATGTCTAAACGCCATTCGAGCAAAAGGCATGTCAGCCACTCGTATGCCCTGTCACCTCGGTTTACGCCTAGTACTAGAAAGCACCTCCTGCGCTGACGCCGTGGCATCTTTGGAAAAATACGGTATAGCATCATCCTGCCACATGTTGATTGCAGATGCAAGAGGTAGTGTAGGATTGGAGTGGAGCTATGCAGATTTGCAAAAGTTGGAGGTTAATCAAAGGGGGCAGGTGTTTCATTCTAATCATTATCTTGTTCCTCATCCGGGGGTGACGGATACGGTTTGGTTGGAGGATAGCAAATTTAGGATCAAGAGGATTCGGGAGATTTGTGATGAGTTGGGGGATGAGCCGACGATGGGAGAGGTTCAAGCACTTTTCAAGGATGAGAAGAATTATCCTTATGCTATTTGCCGGGCGGAGGAGGAAGGTAACCATTCGGGTACGCTGTTTAACATCGTCATGGATCTGAAAGCGGGAAAGGCTTCGGTGATATTGGGAAGACCGTCGACTCCAGAGGGGCTGTATGAGATAGAATTCTAGTGTATGACTATGCATATTGAGCTACTCTGGAGACGGAATTGAGCGACCGACAACGAAGAGCATAAGTTCGAGCTAGCTGATGATGATGATAGTAACGTCAGTGTGGAGATCAGGACGAGCCTACGGCCCTTCTAGAATTCAAAGCAGGACTCAAGCACTCTGCTCAAGTATGAAGTCATGCCACAACTTCGTGTAGCCCTTGTGTGCGGCAACACTGTCCTTTGCCTCTTGATCGAGGTCCTCGTACGCTTTTTCGCTTTCTCTCTTGATCAATCTGCGAAGACTCTCGACCTCAATATTGGTGTGAGCTGACGGACTGTAGCGACCTTCTACAGTCTCGAGACCAAACTGCGACGGGAAAGTGGGCTCATGGAGAATCTCAGCGCCCGTCTCTGCAATAGCTTGGCAAACATCATTCCATTCCTTCCAGAGAGTCTCGAGATCCTTCTTCTTGTCCTGAAGTATCTGTTCAAATTTTGTGACCGTGTCGCCGATGGGGATTGTTTCCTTGCGAATGACCACACCCTTGGTGTCCTTGAAGTTGATACGGACCAGCTCATCAGCCAGTGGAGTAGAGAGCTTATTGGCGGCTTCGATGGCACCCGCAATACGTGTGCTCAGTCCGTCCGGTGCGAGCGTGGTTTGCTCCAGCTTTTGGATAAGGTCGTCATAGGCAAGCGCTATCATCTGTTCGCTGGCTTCGCTGACATGACTTCTGTAGTTGTTGAGCACCTCTGAGCTTGTGTCAGCGTTCATTCATGGGTGTCACGAGTCGCAAGTGACATACCATTGGACTCATCGGCGAGAGTATATCTTTTCCTTGGTGGAGGAGATGACGAGAGTTCACGGCGAAGAAGGCTCTTGCCCAAACCAGATCTTTTATCTCTGAGGGAGTCTCTGACGCGCTTGCGGATTCGATGGGGACCGGTCTTGAAGATGGAATTGGTCGTGACATATTTCTTTTCTTTCTTGTCTTTCTTGTCCTTCTTGTCCTTCTTGTCTTCGGAGAAGTGGGTAGCCTTCTTGTGGACGGATGTGGAAGTTTGACCACGGCGATTTGTGGCTGCTGTCATGATCGCGGTTATCGTGATGGTTGTACGGGTAGGTCAGAGCACGGTAGCGAGCGAAATTCATTTGGTCGGTTTAGGCAAGGTTAGGTAGAAGTTACGCTTGACAGTCGCACCTTCCTATTTGAAGTCAAAAGATTCACGCGCAACAAGGCAGACAGGAAGGCAAAGATGAGCACTGCTAATTAGTGTACAGGCTGATGATACAGACCTCTTAAGAGATAGGGTTATTTACATTGCCACTGGCAGTTTACTCTGCTGGGACCAAAACATCCTTCTCCTCGAGCAACTTGGCCAATGAGCCATCCTGGTGCATTGACATCAGGATATCGGTTCCACCAACAAACTCCTTGTCGACGTAGAGTTGAGGAATGGTGGGCCACTCTGAGTATTCCTTGATGCCTGTGTCCTACGAGTCAGCATGCGGCCACAGATGGGGTAGAGCTTCGTGACCAACCTGATCTGAGCTCCTCGTCCTCGAGAACGTTGAAAGCAGTGAACTTGGCCGGGTTGACACCCTGCAGGCCGAGGATCTGGATGCTTGCTCTTGAAAAACCGCACTGAGGCATCTCGGGGGTGCCCTTCATGAACAGGACGACGGGAGCTGACTCAACAGCCTTGTCGATGGCCTGTCTAGTCTCTTGCGACAAGAAACGCGTCTGCAGAGAAGCGAATCGGGAAGAGAGCAGAGGGTTGTGGCGAGGGCGGAAAGCGGTGCGGAAGACCTGTAGCACGACGTATGAGCATGGGAATATAGAGTGAGCGTGTGCGACATACCGCTGATGCTGCTGATCTGGCTGCCATTGTTATTTGTGACTGATGTGAATAGTCAATGAGGTCAACTTTGCGACTGTCGCAGCGAGACTCTCCACTCGGCAGCCAATGACGCAGAATCATTTCAAAGCATCACTCCCGCCATGACTCGGTAAACACTCCCGAACTCCGACCATCAACTGTAGAAACATTTCTTTCTAGGAGCATCATCAACATGTCAAAACAACCAACGACATTACGTGCGTCTGATCATCATATTGACGGTCGGCCTCATGTTTTGCTGGCATGCACTGGTTCAGTCGCTACAATCAAGATACCTCTGATTATTGAAGCTCTTTCCCACCATGACATATCGATGCGATTGATACTATCCTCCTCGGCCAGTCAATTTCTCCAAGGACAATCCGCAGAACAGCCTTCTGTATCTTCACTCCTCAAGATACCCAACCTTGAGGCTGTTTACACAGACGAGGATGAGTGGTCTCAACCATGGACTCGCGGTGCAGACATTCTGCACATCGAGCTCAGACGCTGGGCAGACATAATGATAATAGCTCCTCTTTCTGCTAATTCAATGGCGAAAATGGTCGCTGGCATGGCGGACAGCTTAGTCATGTCTGTGGTACGTGCTTGGGATACTACTGCTATACTGGATGCTCGACGGCCAAATCTACCATCATCACTACGTACATCAACAGGGAAGAAGCCCTTGTTGGTTGCTCCAGCCATGAACACTGCCATGTGGGCACATCCTGTCACGGAGAAGCAAGCTGCTGTACTAGAGCAAGAATGGGGTATAGATTCTGGAGGTTGGATCCGACTCATCAGACCTGTTGAGAAAGAACTGGCTTGTGGTGACACAGGAGCAGGTGCCATGCGCGAGTGGAAAGACATTCTTGCCATCGTCCGGCAATACCTGGATGTAGAAGCTTCTGGTACCACCGCAGCTATCAAACGATAAAATCACAAACAACACAAGCATCTCCAAGATCATAGACCGCAGACCGTGAAGTTTTTACTTTTTTGGATTGGATCATTTCTTCTAGCCTTCGCCTCTACGGAATGCAATGCCGGTTTCGATGCCGCTAACCCACACCATCACTGCCGTGACTCTGATTTCCAGTGAGAAGAAAAAGACAGCCGTCATCATAACAACTCAACTCCAGCTTTTAGTAGATTGAGAGATGCCCCTTTTGCGCTAGTATTGAACAAAGAAAGAGTTTAAAGTAAACATGAAAGGGCGTGTGGTTTTCGAGGATGAACTTAAGACGTTGTGGGTATGAACGTTTAGGCCTCGGTGGTGGAGCGGTTTTGCTGGCGGCGGTCCTGGTTGTTGTTATTGTTGTTGTTGCCGCGTTTTTGGTTCTGGTTGCCCTTCTGGCCGGACTCTTGGGTGGTGCTTGTCTCAGTGCCCATGGTAAGAGCAGCAGTAGCGAGACGGTTTGACAGGTCGATTTGTGTGCGGATGGTGTTGGCAAGGTAGGAGACGAGAAGAACATCCTGGATGTGGTTGTTGCTGTGGAAATGTGGTTAGCGAATGACAAATGAGAGACGAGTAGAAGAAACACATACAAGTCGCGCTCGATGTCCTGTGCATCGACCTTGGGGGCCAGAGACAGAGTGTTCATGAGGAATTGACCCAAAGCAGAGCTTGGCTCGGCCTCCTCGTCCAAGACCTCGCTCACGTAGTTGGAGACACGCTCAATCATCTCGAGAACCTGCTCGATGGCGCGCTCCAGTGACTCAATGTCGGTCTGCAGCATCTGCGAACGGTCTTCTCTGTCCTTTGCTCCTGCTACCAGCTCGAGACCGCTGCGCTCAGCCTCTCCATACTTGATCTCGTGGGGAACGGGGATGAACAAGCAGCTGTCGGCAGCGCGCTCGGCGGTGACTCCGACGGGGGCAGAGATGTAGGTCTTGGCCTCGATGTCCTTTCCGGGCACGGTGGAGACGGTCAAGTGGATGGCGGGGTGGGGCCAGGTGCCGTCGCCTTGCTGGCCGTAGAAGTTCTGGATGAGGGCGGAGAAGGTGTTGAGGTCGGAAGAGGTGGCGTACCAGCCGAGGAGGACCTCCTTGGGGTTTGCGCGAAGGTGGAGCTGCAGCATCTGCTTCTGGTAGTCCATGTCTACCTCGACCTGCTCCTGGGTCTCTGTGTGGGGCACGGCGTAGCAGTTGCGGATCTCGACTTCTGTGCCATCTTCTGAGCGAACACCCAAAAGAGTGCCGATAACACGTTCCTGGTCCTGGGGTCTGCGGAGCGAGTGGTCGAGGATAGCGAAAATGGCCTGGGGCTGGACGCTGACGTTCAGGGGAGCGGTCGAGGGCTGGGTGCCGATTTGAACGGGGCCCAGAGGGCGGGCAAGGTGGAGGAATGAGTCTTGGGCCATGATTGCGTTTGCGATATGAGCTTGCCGTCGTCTAACTCGAGCACCCTGTCGTTGTGGGAAAAGGCTGAACTTTTCGGACGCTCGGCTTTTCCCGCCAAGTCGCGACACGCTGAACGGCGATCGGACTTAACAAATGAGTCCTCGAACTTTTTTTGAAACACTAAAATTTATTCTCACAGCTCACAATGGCGCCCTTCAGAGGAAGAGGTGATTCAAGAGGTGGTTCAAGAGGTGGTCCAAGAGGTGGTTCAAGAGGCGGCGCAAGAGGCGGCGCAAGAGGAGGAAGTCGAGGTGGCTTTGCTGGACGTGGTGGCAGCAGCTTTGGTGGTCGCGGTGGTTCAAGAGGTGGTCCACGAGGTGGCGGAAGAGGAGCATTCGATCGTGGTCGTGGAGGAAGAGGAGGCCGAGGTGGAAGAGGAGGAAACAGATTTGGAAGGAGCGAGTTCCGCACGAGCAGAATCGACGAACCTGAGAACCAGCCTTTGATCCACAGCGACGACGAGAGCGAAGCCGACGACGAATCTATGGACGACCAGGATGCCCGATCCCTTGGAAGCGACGACGAAGACGCAGCCAGCTCCAAAACCCGCGCATACAACGCCCTACTCCAATCCTTCCAACAAGAGGCAGACGAGCCCCGTCGTAAACGCAGAAAGATCGAGGAGGCCCCTCAGGATGAGAGTGATGACGAGGAAGAGAGCGAAGCTTCAGACGACGATTCGGACGATGCCTCCGACGTTTCGCGAAGTCAAGAAGATCTTCAACATGACGAACAAGCAGAGGAGGACGACGGTAGCGACGTTGAAGTGGAACAAGAAGAGCTCGTTGATGACGAGGATGAGGATCCGACTGATCCTTTTGACCAACACTTCGCCAACCCGGATAACAATGACCTTACAAAACGCTTAAAGTCCATCACAGACAACCAGTGGCATTCGGAAAAGCTCAAGGTACTCAAGGACGGCAGTCTTACCATCACGCTCCCCGAAAATGCGGCTCCATCATCACGCAAGCCGCTTAAATCCGTCTCGCAACTCAACCTAAAACAACGTATCGGCGAACCGGCAGCGAAGCACATTGGTACCTTCAGCGAGCTGGGCCAGGCAATCGCTCCCTCACTATACGCCTACCAGGATGTGCTATGTGGTGCCAGGACGGTGGATAATGCTTCTGAGCTCAGGCACATGGCTGCCCTGCATGCTCTCAACCATGTCTACAAGGGACGCGATCGTGTGCTGAAGAACAACTCTCGTTTGACAGCAGCAGAGGCTGATGCTGACCTTGAACTGCGTGACCAAGGCTTCACACGACCCAAGGTTCTCGTCCTGCTGGAAACCCGTAGTGCAGCCGCCAAATACATTGACGCGCTGATTGCTCTTTGCGAGCCTGAACAGCAAGAGAACAAGAAGCGTTTCGAAGACGGCTTCGTACTAGACGAGTTGAAGTTTGGAGCTGAAGACGACACACACCCTGCTGACTTCCTCGAGCTGTTCGAGGGAAACGACGACAATGACTTCCGTTTAGGCATCAAGTTCACCCGCAAGACCATCAAGTTCTTCTCCCAATTTTACGCTTCCGACATCATCCTTGCTTCTCCCCTCGGTCTACGTCGTATCATCGAGCATACCGACCCCAAGAAGGCCGACAGTGATTACCTCTCCTCGATCGAAATTTGCATCGTCGACCAAGCAGACGCAATGCTCATGCAAAACTGGGACCACGTAGACTTTGTCTTCCAACATCTCAATCTCCAACCCAAAGATGCACATGGCTGCGACTTCAGTCGTGTGCGAAACTACTACCTCGACGGCCAAGCAAAACACCTTCGCCAAACCATCATCTTCTCGGCATATGTAGCCCCTGAGCTCAACCGCCTCTACAATGCACACATGCTCAACATTGCCGGAAAAGCCAAGCTCGCACCCTTCTACCCAGGCGTAATCGGCGACATTGATCTCGAAGGCATGAAACAGACATTTTCTCGGTACGACTCCGCCTCACCTCCCGTCGACCCAGACGCCCGCTTCAAGTACTTCAACACAGCCGTCCTACCTTCCCTGCTTCGTGTACCGAAACCCGCAGAAGGTGGTCCTGGCATCTTGCTTTTCATCCCCTCATATCTCGATTTTGTACGTGTGAGGAATTATTTTGCCAACTCGAATGAGACGCAACATATCTCGTTCGGCGCCATCAGCGAATATACACCAGTACCCGATCAACGACGTGCACGCAGTCATTTCCTCTCCGGCCGCCACACTGTACTGCTCTACACTGGCCGCGCACACCACTTCCACAGACTGAGGCTTAAGGGTGTAAGAAGGGTAGTCTTCTACTCACTGCCCGAGAATCCTATCTTTTACACCGAAGTGGTCAGGGGCTTTTTGGGCACCATGGTTGCTGAAGGTAGATTAGATCCTACTGAAGCTGCTGTCAGGACCATTTTTTCGAAATGGGATGGCTTGAAATTGGAGCGTGTTGTGGGAAGTAAGCGTGTTGGCGCCATGTTGAGGGATAAAGGTGGTGATACCTTTGACTTTGTATGATGAAACGATGATTGAGAATAAGAGTTGAAATAGAACATCACTATTACCCATACTTCTTCGCTACTCTCAGTAGTATTCTCGGTGTTCCTTTCTATCATGTCGCTTTCCCCAAACGTCCGTGGGTAGCTTCCATCCCTTCCCTTGTGACGTCCTATCCCGCTTGCCACGAGTAAGATTGAGTAAATAACCACCATCCCACATCTCCGAGATAGGCAGCCGTGGATTCCGGTGACCTTCTACTTATGTAAGCAAGTCTCTCATCTCTTCCATAAATACCTCTCTTCCATCGCAGCCATTCTTCTTTCTTTCATCCTACTTTCTCTCCCGCAATTCCCTAATATTCTCTCTCGCCCCATTGCTTCTACTGGTCTGAAGACTGGTGGGTGAAGGGGAAATATTATTTTGGCTTCATCTATTCTGGCAATGGGTGATGAGTTGATTCAGTTGGCTGGTTCGTGTGTTCTAGGATAGTTTGTCTGTAGGAATGCACAGCACCTCTTTCACTTTGTGGCATTCAAGTCACAATGTCACCATAAAACAGACGTATGACATGAATGTTGGTTTCGATTACATGGCTGCAGTCCACTATATTTACCTTGCCGAACATTCAAGCTTGCTTTTCTCTCCGTTCCTACTCCCAGCCCGAGCCATATTGCGCGTCCACAAGATGGAGTTCCAAGGCGATATGCTAGGCATGTTTCCATACCATCCTCACTTTTTCCTTTGGCTTTGGCCTTGGCTTTCAGCTTTCGCAACCAAGTCGCTTTTGTTGTCCATGACTAGGCATCTGTTGCCGTCCTCGTTATGGCTTATTTGCTTTTTTGTGCTCTGATGTGTTCCATGATAATAAAAATTGAGTTGTGTGTGTAAAGTTGTCTTTTTTGGTGCTTGTCATTGTTCTTGACTTGAGTTGATCAATGTTACTCGACTCCATTTGACCGCGGTGGTCTTTGATGCGAGGCAGACGAGCTCATCGTTTGATCTCGGACTCATGACAAGCGCTGACGACAATTTATACACTGGGAAGAAACGTCAGTGTTGAACTCGAGTGGAACAGGTAGGCGTGTCTTACCAAGATGAAAGATGGGGTGATGCCGGAGTACCCTGCAAAACAATGATTGAAGATGAGTGAAGTTTGGAGTTTGATGTATCACCAACGCTACCGCGCTAGGTGAGGGTTGAGAGGCACAGGTCTATAGGAACACAGCGGTGAGCTTGACCTGCGTGGTCTCAAGCTACCTCTCGTTGACAGTGATGTTTCATCGATACGCAAGAGCACAATCGCTCTTATGCAGTCGATCCATTTGCTTGGTGTGTTGACGTCTAGGCCTGGTCGCTGATGACAAGATGTGCACTGCGACGGAATGTTAGTGGTGGGCATGTATGACAGTGCCAGGTACGTCTTACCAGAGTGAGATAATGAGTGATGCAGGGATACCCTACAAAACAGTGTTGAAGAGGTAACCGACGAAAGATTCGACGGCACATGATCAGGCAATCGACTCGATCAGGGGTCGAGATGCCATGGCAGAAAGTTTAGATGACCAACGCTGCCGCGCTAGATTTGTGTTGAAGGAGCACCCACCAAGAATTGAAGATGCGGTGGTTGAAAAGCATGTGTCTCTAAGAACATATCGGTGAGCATGATCTGCGAGGTCTTGAGCTGCCTCTCGTTGACAGTGATTTTTTATCAACATTCAAGAGCACAATCGCTTTTGTGCAGCTGCATAGTATTTTGACGCGCTGGATTTGTTTGGAAAAAGCACCCACACAAGAATTGAAGATGCGGTGGTTGAAAAGCATGTGTCTCTAAGAACATATCGGTGAGCATGACCTGAGTGGTCTCGAGCTGCCTTTCCTTGACATTACTGTTTGGCCGAAGCGCGAGAACACAGTCGCTTCTATGCAGTCGGTTAACCTGCATGGCCAATCGACATCTGAGAAACAGTCAGTGATTACCTCTGTAGAGGGATATGTTTGAGACTTACCAGGGTGAGTCGACAGCGATACAAGAGATTGATCTTGTTTTGTCTTCCTGCGCGCAGAAGAAGGCGGCGAGTCTTGTCCAATGTTGCCAGAACTTGTCTGGACTTTTTCTGTAAATTAACTTAAACGGAACCACACGAATGGTTCCAAGTGAGGTCCCTTGAGTGAACAACGACCGCCCACTGCATTTGACGTACAATAGTAGACATAACGTCGTAGTGTTTGAGAAGACACCTACAGATGTCGATCGATAACGAAATGACCAATATCTTCAGTATGCGTTAGTGACTTGTAGTGGGTGGACAGTGTGGTACTCACCAAAAAGCATGCCCAGATGGACAGTCTAGCATTGCTTGCACCCTGCAATGCCGTAAAGGTACATTTCAATGTAGTGCAAGACCTAGAAGAAGTCAGCAAAGTGTACAACACTCAGAAAAAGATCAACATACCTCAACGGTCCCGCTTGAGCTCTCTTAGCTCTTGCTTCCTCCATGTCATGGGACAATGAAGGAGATTTGTTTCAATGTAGTGCAGAACCTACCCCAAGTCAGAAAGTTGTTAGAAAAGGCGAGAGTAAAGATCAACATACCTCTACGGTCCCACGTGAAAACTTTCCTAAACGCTATTGAAGGCGCGTAGGCCCAGGATAGTGCCCGACCCTTTACAGACTGCGTGGCGCATCGTCTCGGCAAGACATGCCAGTGACAGCCTGTCATTCGTAGGGCGACACTGTTTGAAGTCCAAGAGGTATGAGGGGGTAATGAAGTAGTAGAGACCTTGACAAGCAAGAATTTACCAGAAGTTGATGTGTGTGGTGTGAAACAAAGCAGATGTTAGAGTAACGCAAGGACGCACGCGAGCACAGGCCCAACGACAACAACCACAGGCGCGCATGAAGTGAAGTGAAGTGCAGTGAAGTGAAGTGGAGAAAAGTGAGGGAGGTTGCTTCCATATGTACAAAGATTATTCTTACTACTTACACTTCGAGTTTGATCATACGCTCAGCGCATGTACTCCATCGACGACTTCGTTTGTGCTGTCGGCCTTATCATCTACATGAGTCTCCGTCTTCTGTGCCTCATGTTGAGCTGCTTCCTGCTGCTTCTGATTATCCTGCTTCACTGCTTGTTGGCTCTGAACGTTGCTCCTCCAAGCACCCGAGCTAACGTTGTCAAGTTTGATTTTGCCAAAATGACGTTGCGTCACCTCATCGGCCTCGAAGCCTTCATCTCGCATCCGCACAAATGTCTGTACTGCCTCTTCCGACCTGCCCAATTTTACATATCCACCGAGCAAAGAGTTCCATGTGACTTCGTTCGGTGTGATTTCCCGCTGGCGCATGTACGTGAGCACCTGTTCCGCCAGCTCCATCTTGCCATGTTTGGCGAATCCGTGTAGGAAGATTGACCAGGACCTTACAGTCGGCTTTGCTCGTGGCAAGTCGTTTGGCAGAGGTTTTTGCATGTCGCGGATGACTTCGGCGGCATACGGTAGACCGGCCGGCTCTTGGACGAAGGCCAGTAAGAATGAGTTTGTGACGTGATCGTTCTTGGCCAGAGTCACGTAGGGTTTTATACAATGCTCAGAGAGATTGAGCCATCTTCTGTACATGTCGTATATGTGACGCAGGTTGTTGCTATTCGACTGGATGCTGTGGCGAACGTATGCTCCAATCATGATTCCCAAAACGGGTAAAGTAGGCTTCATCCTGCCCAAGGATGTGTTTTCGTGAGTTTTTGACAACACTCCGAGGTTGATCAGATCGGAGGCATCAAACAGCTGGGTGTAAGCTTCCGAAATGGTGGAGAAAGCATTTTCCGGGTCGACTCGGAAATGGTGCAAGGCTAGACAATGGATGATCTCGGTCGCGACAACATGGAGATGTCGTACCTCGACATTGGCGATCGCTTGGCGGATTGTGGTATTCAGAGTATCCGAGTCCTCGATGGTAGTTTTGCAGCCCTTGAGGAGGATAGCGTGAGTGTACCTGTCAGCTCGTAAATTGTTGTCGACGAGAGAGTTGTAAATACTGAAAGCTGTCTTGAGATCATCGGCTTCCACAGCGTTAAGCATGACTATGTTACAGAGTTGGACATTGAGCTGAACTCCGATGTCAGACAGATTCTGGACCAGGCGGAGACTGACACGAAGACCATCAGGCTGCTTGGCGGCCTTTCGAAGAATGGTAGCACAGCAACTCTCAAACTGCTGAGATCTAACATCGGCTCCATCCGAGACAGCATCGAGAAGACTATCCAGTGCTTGATCGAAGCGATCGTGGTGAGCCAGATATGTGGAGAAGTGTAGACGCGTGTTCCAATGTAGGGTCGTCCCACTCACGGCGACAGTAGAGAAGAGTTCTAGGACTTCCTCCTCGGAGCAGTACTGCAAGAATTTACGAAAGGTATTACCGGTTATTTGAAGTGGGGAAGTGCCTGGGCGCTCCATTACGGTGCAAATGACGCGAACAAGACGCTTGCGAGTGTCGTCCGACAGAGCATTCTTGTGGAAATGACCAACAACAAAGCTCAAGGAATCGGCAATGTATGCAGCTGGCATGTACGGAGCAACATGTGTAAGTTCCAACAGGCGAATTGTATCGTCGGCAGAGTTGGCCAGTGTCCAGAGCAAAGCATGCATCCACTTCCTGCGCCATTGCTCACCAAGCAGTTTCGCCAGCTCTTCTTGGTCCTTGAACTGTTTGGCATTGAGTATCTGAGTGGCCCACTTCCTCGAATGATAGTTGAGATTGGGAGTTGTTCTCGGAGTGTAGTCGTCTTTCAGACGGGTGTCATGACGGGCGTTCAGTTTGGCAAAATGGTGGTTCCAGTACAGAGTGTTGCCATCAGCAGAAAAGACCAGTTCTTCTTTATCTTCCTTCTCGACGTTTTGCTCCCGGGGTTTCCGGCGTACGGGTCTGCCTAACGTGGACCATTTGGTCCTGACAGTAGAGTCCTGCTTAGCGACAGTCCAGCGAGACTTGACAATAGCTAGAGATGTAGACCATCGCTGATAGTAGGCCTTTTGAACCTCTGTACGGCGTAGAGTGCGCTTCTTCGGGACAGAGGCTTCCGGGTCCGCCTTCTGGGAGACTTCTGGGGCCTTGTTCCCATCCTTCACGTGCTCGTGCTGATAAAACTCATTTCCCTCTAAAGGAGCAATGGCACTCTCGTACCATTGCTGAGCCAGGAGGCTCCGAGCACTTTCGTATTTCGGCGGAGTCGACCTGGTCTGTCTCGGGTTCGATCTGGTCTGTCTCGCACGTTCACAGCGAATGGTCGAGAAGGACTTGGTCTGAGAGATCGAGGAGGAATGCGGCACGGATGTCGGCCATGGCTGAAAAAGTCGTGGTGCTAGGAAGGGCAGGGCGAGTTGCTCAGCTTCGGCCACAAGCTTGACGTGTCGGGCGGCGCATCGTGGCATAGGCGGGCATCGACGGGGCAAAGGCTTGTGAGTGCTGGATGTTGGTACAATACTCGTAATATAATCCACAAAGACCCCCGAACTTCCACGCCGCCATCCCCGACTTTTTGGTGTTTGATCTGTTTGCTCGAATTCACCACGCTCAAGCAACTTTGCGATGACTTCCATCGACAGCAATCACCTAACACCAATCTCGTCCGACTACAAACCACATCTTTCAGCCCTAGTCATCATGTCTGGGAACCTGTCCAACGCCGCCGAGGACCGCAAAGCCCGTCTGGCCGCTCTCAAATCCCTCAAGCGCAAACAACCTTCAGAACCTACAGATGCCAATGACAACACTCTCGCACCAGAAGACCCCACTCAGCAGCTCGAAGACGTCTCTTCAATCATCCTTTCAGGTCGTAACTATGATGCCACAACACGCGCCCCAAAACTCGGCTTCGAAAATGATCCCTCAGCACAAGGCGACACTCTAGAAAAGAAAGCTCAAGAGTTGGCAGAAGCAACAAAAAAGCAGGCAGCTCTAGAGGAAGCTCAAGACAAACCTCTGGATCTGTTCAAGCTGCAGCCCAAGAAGCCCAATTGGGACTTGAAGCGTGATCTGGACCGCAAGCTGCATGTTTTAAATCTTCGCACCGACAATGCTATTGCGAAGTTGGTGCGTCAAAGGATCGCTGCGACACAGGCTGAGAAGAGAAAGGCCAGCGGTGTGACAAACAACGAGGGGGAAGCCGTCGGCATGGAAGGCGCAGAGCTGCTCGAAGCCACCAATCTGAGGGAGAAGGAGGATGTAGAGGAGGCAAGGAGGGAAGAGGAAGCTCAAGCCGACCTCTTGGATGGCAGCTGACCAGTCAATCCATGTCACTTGTCACCAAACACATCGCCTTCTGTCGTCGCCTGGTCACATATCACGACTGACCACTGCTCACCTCCTAGACATGCTACGGCAAAGAAGTCTCACTAAATTATCAGGAGAGGCTTGCAGACACGCCCGGCTAGTGCACTGCTATCTTATTGGCAGTGGCCTACTTATATACGGATGTTAATTACTTAGATAATTACAGAGAACAACAAGGTCATCCTTTTCTCATCCAGCTTCGTACAACTGCCTGGAATTGTCCTGCAGTCCCCAAAAAAAACTTCGCAACAACGATGGTGGTATCCTAAAAATTCACGGCAAAGCAAAAAGCAATACGCCCGCTCCCCGAAATGACAACAAGCGTGAGAGCGACTCAAAACTTGTACACAGCTTGAAATGAGACCAAGGAAAAGTGAAAAAACTACAAGGAAAGAAAGGGAAAGAAAAGATAAGAAAACGAGAGAGGCGCAACCGACTTAGCCGAATGCCCAAGCTAGCAGGGTACTTGCTGCTGCGACATCTACAACCAAAGTGCCAATGACCAAAGTTGCGATTGGCCAGCGGGGCGTGCCTCTGCTGAACACGGCCCCAACCCCCGACACGGCAAAGGCGAGACTTGAAGCCACTGCCAGAATGACTCCTGCATCAACCTCCGAAGCCAGCTTCCTCTTGCCTGTAGCTACTAATATGTAGCCGATACAGAGCAAGAGGACAGATGCGACTAGGCATGTTGCAGCGAGTTGTGGCACCCAATCAGATTGTTGTTGTATCTGAGTATCGTATGGAGCCACGTGGTTGGTAGAATGACCAAGGGTGCCGTAGGATCGACGTTGGGTGCGCCTTGGTGTTGCAGTCTCCTCGTCAGAAGAGGTGAGCGTGTCGTCGGGCTCGCCAGTACTGCCATGACCGAGCAGGGACTCCTGGTCAGACACTTTCTTAGGAGACCAGAGACTGCGGATACGGCGCCAAGCCTTGGTAGCAGATGACACCTCGTTAGGATCGATGTACAAGACGTAGGCGCCCTCGTCATCAGAGTCAGACGGGTTGTCGAACTCATTCCAGTATTGTTGCTTTGGCAAGGCGCTGCCAGCTCTCTCGTATGCCGACTTGCGCTTCTTGCGGAAAGCGCTGAGCGGAGGAGTCTGGAGTTGATCGGGAATCTTGATTCTGACGGGCGAGTGATCTTCTACGGCGGTCAGGTCACCAGTGTGCTCACCAACTGATCCGTTAGAGGTCGACATTTGAGGCGTAGTAGATTGCGAGCCGTAGCTAGAATCGTTGTTATAAGCTCTGCGTCGGCTCGCTGCTGTAGGAACTTTGCGAATGTCTTTTTGCATCAAAGGTACCCAGAAAGGCGGAACCACATTCTCAGGTTGACAGCAGTACCACACTGCGTGATATTCCAGCGAGAAGCCACGCACGCGTTCAACGAGGTGACTTTGATCCAAGACCCTGAGAAGTGTGCTGTTCTTGAAGCCTTCTTGTCGAACGCGGAGGACGGCAAAGGGGAACTCGGGGTCCAGGTTGTGTGAAAATGTATCTTCGAGGGTAGTGGTCAAAAGCTCGGCTTTTCTCATACGAATGCCTTTGTCTAGAGTGGCGAGAATGAACCCGCTCGAATCAGTAGCGGTTTCTGCAAAGCGAGTTCTGTTCGAAGCAATGGTAGTGAGAGGCTTGATGGCCTCATGTTGGCCAACCCAAGCGCGTATCCTTTCAACAGCGTCGGTGGCCTTGTCCCCAGGAGTCGTCTTGAGTAGGGATGTAGTGGATGGTTCGAGAATGGCGGAGATGTTCTTACGCTTGATCGAGACTGTTTGGATCTCCTGGCTGTTAAGGCGTGCCGTCACAACAGCGTCGTATCCTTTTGCCCATCTTGCGTGAACAGCAGCTTCCTGAAGCAAGCCACTCGCCTTCTCTTCGCGTTGCTCAAATGTGGACGAGCTTTGGTGAGCAACAAAACTTTCTAGGTCATCGGCAACGATAACGGTTGTATCGGCCTCTGCAGCGATGCTGCTCCTTCTGACCATTGAAGATGTGATACTGTTGTGACGAGACAGAGCGGGCGAAGATGTGCTTGGAGATTGTATGCGAGTCGTTGCGAATGAGCGAGCATGTTGCAATAACAGTATCTGCAGTTCCACAATGTTGTCAGGGTGGACCCAATACACAGCATTCTTGCCATCGCGTCCGAGTGGTAGTGTGGAGAAGTATGAGTCGAATTCAACCGGCGATTGTCTATCGATAATTGAGCGGAGTTGTGTTGATCCACCTTGGACTTCGGCTGGCTCCTCACGCTTGCGTGACGTCCCGCTTATGTGTTCGTGATACAATGTTCGTAGGACCGAGAGTGTTTCTTCGTACTCGGTGTACAGCGGATCCATATCGATGTTTGTGAAGCTGTTAGGGTCGCCGAGAACGTGTCTATTGAATTCGGTCTCGAGTTCCAGGGAACCGGTCCACTTCTTGTGCTTCTTCAACAGCTTGCGGAAGGCCGTCTGCTGGGCCTTTGAGAAGCGAGAAAGGCATTGCAACTCGTCCCCAGCTCTGCCAAGAACGTCAGTAGTGTATTGCGTGCTTGATTGAACAGGGAGGCTCACTTGAGAATATCCCCCTCGAGTCTTCCATATTTCTCGAGGCGCTTGGCGGGAATGCGGCCATTGACGGTAGGTCTGGACGTCAGGGACGTGGTCTGCTTGCGAAGGTGGTCTGGCGCCGTCAATTTATGCTGTCGTAAATTGCAGTCTGTAGCTTTATCACTCACCCAGCCGCCTTTCGATTTCGCCTGTCTTGCTTCTTACGAACAGGCTGATTCTCTGGTGCTGTTGTTGCAAGATGCCAAAGAGGTTATCCTCGAGTTCTTTGCCTCGCACGTCGACAGCTCCAGGAATTGAGATGCTGTTTCCGTTTCCCGCGGTGGTGTTCTCCTTGATGTAGTGCTTCACATCGTCGTAGTCGATGTTGTCTGTCGGGTCAGTGAGTGCAAGATGCGATTGAGACTGTAGTTGCTCACGATGCGCCCATGCAGGGATTGAGTGCTGGCGAAGAGTCGCGCCATACTTCATAATGACGACCGAAGCAAAGCAGCGGGGTGGAGATCCGTGAGATTGACGTTGACGACGGACTGCGGAGTAAACAAGCAGCGAGACAACAAAGCGACTGTGTCAATCACGGCGAGGTCAAGTGTTTGGAAGAGGCGCAACCGGCGGGACAATGGATAGCTTTTGGATACGGATAAATGCGAGTAAGAGAGGCTCTGGGGTTTGTATGGATACGAAGTGCAGGGAATTGCTTTTGAGGGTCCTGGTTGTCGCTGACGATGAATTGGCAAGACGCTAAGGCCTCCTCTTGGATCCGCGCAAAAACGGGGCGCCACAGACAACTGCTGCTCCACAATGAACAGCTCACCAACGTTAGGAAAGAGCTCGCGTGCTCCCCCAATTGTGCTCTCCCAATTCAACCAACGTGTTCTAGAGTAGCATCCACCTGGCGCATCAGAGAATTCTCTGCTCCTTGATGATGTGAATGTCACTGCTCCACACTGCTGACCTCCATCTCGGGCTCTGTAACCCGGTTCGTGCTTAGCTTTTTAGGCATCGCCGAGCCGACCGAGGTCAGTTGCGTTGTCAAACAGGCTGTTGAACTGTTGAGCTAATGATTTCTGTGTCGCCGCAAGAAGCCAAAACAAGGTATCAGGATCAAGGTTGACAAACGTCTGTTTTCCGGGTTCCTTTCCACGCAGATGGATGGCATGGCATGGCAGGTCTTCCAAGGCTCAACTCACAGGGAAGCCGGATAGATGCATCATGCAGCGGGGCTATGAATTAGTGGCAGCCATCGCATCCTTGCTGTGATTGCCAGGATATTGGTCTCGAGCATAGTGACATTTCTTTGTTTAATTTATTGCTTACCGCATCTTCGGCTCGAACGAGTGAAGGAGGATTGGGAACCTGAACGAGAGACTCTACTCGAGTTTGGAAGTCATGATCTCGCACAAAACAAGCTTAGACAGCGTCGAGATTTGTTCTTAAGGCCCAGATCCTTGGGGCAGTTCTTCGCGACTGCCGCGAAGGAACATGTGGCTTGCGTCCTGCCCTGAACCTTGCATGTAGTGCGGACTGAGCGATCCTACAAATCGGCACGATCGTCGCGACATGATCTCACGTTTTCTTCCTTCATAGCGGCGCAGTGAACATTATAAAAGGTCGTTGACAAACTACATAAAGAGACGGCGTTCCTTGAGCAAGCAGCTCCAATGATGTTCCCCATGCCCATGTCAAAGCCCCCCGCAAGTGTTCTGACCTGCTCACAGACCTCTTGGGAGCGGTTCACGGTCAGTTCGGCTATTTGGTCTGCAGTGGAGCAGACGAAGTATCTGAGCACAACTGGGTTGGCTCCGACACATCCCCCATGTCATCGAGGCAACCAATGACTCAGCACAAGCAACAAAACGTAAAACAAACATGGAATTTCTGGGGGCAGTCCGCGAAGTTGCACGACTTTAATCTGTTCCAGTATCAACAATGAACCTTTCGCATACAGGACGAGTGACTTCGACCTTGCAGCACAAAAGAAGATCCCCGTTCTCACCCGACGTCCCGAAAGGCTTGCAGAGATGTGCAGTACGATCCGTATCGAAAGCCTATGACGGTCGCATGGAACTTCGCAAACTATTCGGAGCTGACAGAGACACCCAGAGTGGATAGATATATCGCTGGCCGACCAAGCAGAAGACAGGTCTCAAGCACGTGCCGAATTCCATGTCGTGTGCACACTTACCGTGTTCAAGGGTTTCCATGCGGCGGCCCCACTGTACGCCGTCCGCGGTCCACGGTGCTTGTTTGATCTAGGACTAGAATCAGGCGGATAGAATGCGTAGTTCATGCATCTGAATTCTCATTGGTCTCGTTGCAATTAATGTGCTATGTAGCCAGAAGAGTCGCAAACCGACACATAGCCCCACTGGCTGGTCTCTTCCAAGTGGAGGACGAAGGGTGTGCGATTCAGGCGATGGACCACACCAGTGAGACGTAATTCGACATGGCTTCGCGTACGCCCTAAGGCGTGGGGCGGATGGATGGTCATTAGTGTACTTCGTCTCGAGGTGTCTGTTTGCGTATTGTTGCATACTGACCCTGGATGGTCGCAAGGAAAGCAGCAATAGCACTAGGACGTGCCGTCTCAAAATGGGGCCTTTCAAATTTTCAACTTCCACGCTCGTGACTTGTGGTTGTCCTTGCTGGTGGACTCGGGCATAAGGTGATAAGACCCTCATCTGTTCATGCCTTGCGTCAAGGCAACCCTTTTGCTGAACGGACTCAGAGACCTAGGGCGCTCCCCACTTCCAGGCACATCCTTCATCTCGCGGTCCTGGTCTCGAGCGTTATTGTTGTGGTTGTGGTTGTAATCGGCCCGCACATCGTTATGATGTCCCAACATGGATTGACCATCGTATTCTAGTCTTCGGATGGGGGCGTCTGTGACAGTAATTTTGTGGTCGGAAGCGGACCGCATCCGTCTCTCTGAATTTGCAGATCTGCCTCTCCTTCGTCCACGTTCCGAAGGACTTCTTGAGTTTCTGCGCATGCGAGTGTTACGGCCTTGGATGTCGTGAGATTGTATTTGATCGGAAGCCGAGCTCGAAGGGCGACCTCGTTTATCTCCAGCACCTTCTGTAGCTGAAGCTGCTTGATCCTGTCTTGCGTCATGCCTGTTTCTCGAGCGATCCGGAGAGGGAGAGCGAGTTGAAATGGTCGAGACGGAATCTGATGAGAATGACGATACGGAGCGTGTGCGCTTGCGCGAAGGTCTATGGTCGTCCATGTTGTCTAGCGAACGTTTGTGCGACCTCTCTTTGGCAGGCACATGGGCTGTGCTTGACTTCCTGCATCGAGTCAGATGGCGGAAACAAGAATCTCGTGGGAGTGAACATCATACTCTTGGTCGGTAGGTGTCGGCGCAATATTCGTGAGCTTTGGCTTCAGCTTTGGATTCAGAAGCTGTTGACTGCGACTGGGACGCGAGATGTACGGTCTTTCTTGGGCTTGCGCCTTGCAGTCGTAGCTGTAGTGACCTATGCGCGTGTGAGAAGATGGGACTGATGTGAAAGCGTCAAACGCAGAGCATGCGCTCACCCTTCTTCAAACACTTCTGGCAAACGGTGGTTGCAGATGCCCTATTGGATGACGATGCGCCTCCGACGAAACCCGGCCTGCTGTAGCGATTCATGGCGCGCAAATGGATGGAAGCCTATCGATGTGGTCGTAGCAGGGCGTCAAGAGTGATGCGACAAGCGAATATCCGTGTGGTTGGTAGAGCGACAGTGAGGGAACCACGCAGTCATTATTTTGCTAAAGCGCAGATGTAAGCCAAGACAGGGTCGAGGTTATGAAGTCCAGGGTCGCGCTTGCCGACTTGGTAGAATCATGGCTTTTTGGGACGGCGTGAGCTAGCAGACCTACTCCGAGTGGTCACGCGGATGCAGCGAACAATTCAGCGATGTGTAGATCTTTGGAGAGAGTCGCATTGTGATCGGCTCTCGGTGTTTTCTATTTCTAAGAGCTAATATTATTCGTTCTGTCTCTGTACTCAGGGTGCAGAAGCGTGAAAGGAAGGCGTGCTTGGCAAGAGAAACGGGCTTCGTGCTTGGCTTTGGTTTGCGAGCGATTTGGTCTCTTTAGCCTTGGACGACGGTGCACCCTTTCTGCTCTCTTCAACCACAAGAGTCGCAATCCCGGGCGACAACACCCCAGTACTGCGCTCGTCGGCGCTGTTTCGGATTCGCCGTACTGCTCTGCGCTCTCTGCGCATCTCGGTCTGCCAGGTGCAAATACCCCAGCGCCTGTCTTTGTTGTGTCCTGGAAAAAAAGCCGTGTCAAACAACCTCTTCCTTCATGTCGACCTACCACCATGCCAGCATCCCTGCCTCTACTCTTGACCATTTTCCTTGAGCCTCCGGTTTCCTGAGATTTACTGCATAGAAACTCTGCTTCTCTTTCATCCTCTTGTTCTCCGTGGAGAAGAAAGTCATCCGTCCGCAACCAATTTGCACTCCTCCATTACTTCGACAAAGCTCGCACTATTTGGAGACATTATGGACGCTCTTTCCACCGACCAGTCCCTAGCGAGACGGACTTTTGCCAACGCGCATCTTCCTGCTCAGAGCCACAGCTTTCCTTCAGCTGACCATCAACAGCTGGCTACTTCTGGAGACGCACAACCTCTCCAGCATGATGACGCCAGCAATCAGATCAACCTGCCGTCTCGCAACGACGCAACAGTCTCACCCGCTATACCAAGAAAACTTATTCCTTCTCCCTCAAATGAGTCTCCGAAGGCCCCTTCGATAGATGGACTCGAAACGACGCCTGTCTTAACCACGCAAATTCTGTCCGCTGCGTCCGACGAGAGCAATACTCAGCTGTCATCCTCGGATGCTTCGGCCAAACCACCCAGCCTCGACGGGAAGAGTGTGGCCTCTGTCACCACGTTCGCCATGGACGAGAAAGAGTCGCTGAGACCGGACGATAGTGCCAGTGTGTTGGCTATCGAGGACGACGACAGTTATTCACCTTCAGGTTCTGCAGCCGTCGGATCACGACTGGGCTCAGAGACAGGCGCTCGTGCTTTCCGTGATCAGCTGCTAGAGATCACATCCAGAGGACCTGCGCTGCGACAGTCTGGGCCCACATCGAGGCCTGATTCTACTACCAACGCGCCTATCGGAACTCTCTATGTGCCGCCTCCTACTGGCAGTACGACTTTGTCCGGCTATGTCCAACCGCCTCTCAATGCTGACAGACCCGAAGACGTCTCCCCTGATTCCAAGCTCATAGAAGCTCTCGGTAATCCCAGGGACAGAATCTGGGTGCTCAAATTGGAACAAGACATCATTGACTTTGTCAAGGATCCTACGTACGTTGGCATGAACATGTGAGACGAGCATCAAACTGACTCTTTTCCAGTGAACATTCTCTAGACTTGCCTCAATGCAATTCTTTCTACCGGATGCTTGCTCATAAATTGGCCGACTATTACATCTTGGGTCATGCTGTCGATGGTTCCATCTCAGCTGTTCGTCTGTACAAAACTCCTAACTGTCGAATTGCCCCACCCCTGACTGCTATTGCCATGACGCCGACCACCACTAACACACCGCCTCCCGCTGCGCCTCAAATGAAGATCCTGCGCCGTGGTGGCGATGCACCTCTGAATGGTCTTTCCAAATCGAATTCGGATGGGGGTGATAGTGGTGACTCGGACAAGAACAAACCTTTGACTCGTGAGCAACGTGAGCAGAGGTATGAATTGGCCCGCTTGCGCATCCTGGGCTCGGCAAAGCCTACAGAAGATATGTCGCTTGTTAAGGAGAAGGACGAATCCCGCTCCAGCTCTGCTGCTGGAAAGAAGAAGCCCAAGAAGCAACGTAGTAACAGTGACGACGACTTTGAGGCCAGGTCTGCCTACAGCACCTTTGTGACACCGCAGAATGGCGCCCCTGACGGCGGGAACATGGTCTACTACCCCGCATTCCCCGGAGGTGCTCAAGGTGCCCCTGGCATGTACAACGGAGCTCCCACAGCTTCAGCACCGCAGAACTCATATCATGCTGTCTACGGTCCCATGACGTCCTCTCCGGCCGCTCCTTATCCTTGGTTGCAACAAGGCTACTCTGGTTACGATCCTAACCATCAGAGCCAGCACAACGTCAATGATCTCTCCGCGGACTTTCAAGCTATGTCCTTCCAGACACAGACCGGACCTACCTCTCCGCCCTCCGTTGGTCCCTATGGTTACGGTGGTCCTCATAGTCAGCAGCAACAGCAACAGCAGTATTCGTCATGGCCTCAGATGGTACCAAATCAATCGGGCTACCCGGGAAGTCCCAACTATGGTGGACAATTTGCCAGCAGACCACCGTCTTCTGCGAGTCACGTATCAGCAACGCATGGCTACTCCTATGGCGTGCCAATGAACCAAATGCAGATGTCAGATGCCTATATGGGATACCCGAACCAGGCAATGGCCGGCGCTTTCAATCGTGGCAACTTCAATCCGCAGAGCCAGGCTTTCGTCCCTGGTTACCAGCCTCACTATGGCGCATCTATGGTATCTCACAACAACATGGGCTTCAACTCGGCTTATCCTGGGTCGCAAGCACTTCAACGTCAGAACTCTAGCCAGTCACAGGCGTCTTCGTATGGTGGACAAAGCGCTGGACAGAACAATAGCAGACCGCCTCACCCGCTGCCGCAACCTGTCTTCTCTCCTCATGTCCCTATGCCCTTCCAGAACTCGCAGAGACAGGTAAATACGCCATCTCGTCCTGGTACCAATCCAGCTTCAGACAATGCCAACAGCGCCCCGAGTTCGATTGCCAAATGGGGCACGCCAGCCTCATTGCCTGCCAAGCCCCCTCCACCCGCAGCCACCAATTCATTCGACATGAACAGAATGCCACATGCGCAGCAGAACGGCGCACCTTACTCGCCTGGGGCCTCGGGAAGACTTCCTGGTATTGGAGCACAGGGATTCCATGCTTTGCCTTCAATGGTCACTCTGCGTAATGGTCAGAACTCCAGGAGCGGACAATGATCCGGCATGGCATACCAGAAGAGGTACACAACGAGTGTCTTTTTGCTTTCGGTCGAAGAGAAAGGGGCTTCATACAGATTTTCTGTTACGCCAGTGCGGATAAAGGAGTTGGTTCTTTCTCACTTTTAAAAATAGAGCATTATTTGGAGTTTTTTTGGTTTGTGCTTGAGCACTCGAATGCGAGTTGCTTCTTTTCGGTGTTTTTGAGAAGCTCGACTATGATGCCAGGAGATAGCTGGGAAGAGGTGAGGGATTATCGCTTAGCTAGTAAACCAATATAGCGCTTTGTTCCTTGTCTTGTGCACGAGAGTTTCTCTGTTTGACTGATCGTGGATGATGAGTGGATGTGTTGCATCATCCAATGCGTCCCTCGTGCAGATCGTGAGTTGTGATATACCCTCGTCCGCACGTTCCGACCAACTCAAGTCCTCTCCACACCCGCGACAGCAGTCCTTCTGCTGGCGTCAATGCTTGTGCCCACCAGTCACGGCCTATTGTCGCGATGCTGTGTTGCGAATTTCGAGCTACCAACGACACTCGGGTCACGAACGAGACTCTTCGATTGCTGACGCTCGTAGCTAACCAAGAAAGCTGTGTCTGGTCCAGGAAGGCAGGCACGAGATATCGAGGCTTGACGATACGAAGCACGGGATGAGGAGCCAGTGGTCAAGAGTCGTGGGGTCCGTAACTGTACATGGTAGGTACGAGAGGGATAGGTGTAATTTGAGTTGATGCACAATGAGGAACTTGATATGAACTCAAGACGAGAGTGCATCTATTGTTTTTGATGTCATGGCGACCTGGTGTTCTTCGTCGTCCGCGAAGAGGACCTCGGGTCAGTGGATGGATGGTTTGGAGAAGAGACAGACAGGCGGTTGGATCAGGAGATTGTCTGGCGCATCTAACCCGCTGTTGAGCATGCTCAATGATCAAGGCTCGCCAGTAATTGATCTCAGCCAGTAGTCGATACAGATGAGGAAGTGGCATAGCGTATATCGTCCCTCGGCGAGCCACATCAATACACCAAGAAGCACCCCAGCGCAAAAACAGCAAAGTGACAAACAATCTATGCGTAAAACGAACCTCCTTCACTTCGATAACACATACTATAGTTCCACAAACTCACCACATCAGCAGGAAGATCGGAAGTGTAGCCCAATGGGCTACCCTTCAGCAACTTTCCCAAAAACCTCTCCAAATCCGAGTATAAATAGAATCCAGGGGCGTGAGTTCGACTCTCGCCTTGGTTGGTCGCGTTGACAGATTTGGTCGAAAAGATGTTTTCCGGTCTTTGACTGGTTTTTTGCTCGAGAGTAGTGCTTTTGTTTTGGCGCGGTGATTTGCGGATGTTGACTGCTGTTGTACTTATCAGTGATACTCATCAGTGCTAGTTGCTATTTCCTTTCAATGTGTTAGTAGCTCTTCCACATGCGGTCGAGTGTCAATGATAGAAACGCGCCAGGTTCACGAGCAGCGGATAGGCTTGGGGTGGTGATTCATTTGTTCGTTTGTTTGTCCTTCCTGGCTTCTCCTGGCCATGGCTCTCTGTGCTATCAAGTCGTGTGTCGCGTTTCCGACAAGGGGTATCTGTCCATCTCTTCTTGTTCGTCTCTTCCTGTCCGCGCATTGCTACCCCTGACGCTTGTTCATGTGCCCTGGCACCATGGCTGTCCTCACCCAAGCTCTTCTATACATGACCACGTCTTCCGTAGCGGTTCGGCTCTTGATCCAACCGCCCTCCATGTTCGGTTGCTCGAGGCATCTTCTTCTCAGCTTCATCAACAGCACTGCCCAGCCCCTTGCTAAAGACACTGCTGACCTTGTCTTCCGCACTCTTCCTCCATTGCTCCCAGTTGAAATGTTGAATGTTTCTCACGGCACCTTCCAGCTCGGTGTTCCAGCGGTACTTCAGACGATCTGCAAGTCCAGGGACAACATGACGGGCAGTGTGCGGAGGCTCCCGAGGTTGAGGATCTGTGATGTTTCGCAAGACATTTGATTGTTGGCGTAGTAGGTGAGATTGGTATAGACGGTTTCGCTCGTGGAGGTTCAATGAGATGTAGAAGAGAGAGGTCGTCAGGGCAATGCCGCCAAACTGTATGCTGTTAGGATAGGAAGATTGAAGATTGGAAGAGACTGCTTACGAAACCAGCCGTGAAGCCCATGTCGATTCTGATTTGGTTGGAAAGATTGTGTAAGAGCGAGTGGAGTTCCGGTGGAAGGAGCGATTGGGAAATTGTCGAGGACGCGATTGTTGACTGATTGCGGGCAGTCGGAGGTGAGACGATTCAAGATTCGAGATGCATGAAGCTTCCTGGGGAAGGCGCAACCTTTTGCTCTTGGCGCATTCTACCGTCCATCTTCAATCACACATCGACGATCGACTGACCACTGAATCACCACGCATTACCTTGTACCGACTGTCGACTCTGGACTTCTCTCCTTGGACGACGTTTACCTCCTTCAAAGCGACCCCTTCTCCGACTCGCTCATCGCGCCACTCCGGCAGGAAACAGGCATAGAGAAAAAACATGGCCGGCGGACTCCAGAAGTACAGGCATTTGTCGCGCAGCAGCTCGCACCGTCAAGCTCTCCTCAGAAACCTCGTCACATCGCTGTTCAAGAACGAGACGATATCCACAACATGGCCCAAGGCTCAGGAAGCCCAACGATTGGCTGAGAAGTTGATTACTCTGGGCAAGAGGAACACGGATGCCAGCAAGAGAAAGGCTCTCTCCATCTTCTATGTATGTCGCCCCATACCGTCTCTCTGTCTCTCGCCTTCTCGTCCATCTCCTGCTTTATCCCACTCCTCTCGGGCCCTTGCTAACAGAACCCTCCTACAGGAACCCCACTCTCTTATCCCAAAACTCTTCGGTCCTCTACGCGAACGCTTCCTCAACCGTCCTGGTGGCTACACCCGTGTGCTACGCGTCGAGCCCCTCAAGGAAGATCAAGCACCCTCTGCCATTCTCGAACTCGTCGACGGCCCCAAGGACATGAGATTTGCCATGACCGCCCGCACCATCTCCCGCCTGCGCCGCGAAGGCAAGCCCATCAACGACATGACCGCCGGTAACATCGCCAAGGTCACTCGTTTCCGTCCCGAGGGTGAGAAGGAGCTGGAAGACATGGTCGCCAAGTTTGACAATCTCGAGGCTCAGGGCGAACATGGCTTTGAGAAGGTCTACAAGCAGAGGGTCTACCACGTTCCCAAAGCCTCGAGATAGATGCTGTTTGTTGACTGTACTGTTGCATCTTTCTGTACATTTTACTTCATTGGGATGGCGTTTAGGATCGGAAACTACGACTGGGTTGAGAAGGAACTTGTACAATCTGTATCAACATAAGACTATATTCATGCCATTCTAGCTCTCCTCTCGGTATTCGCACTTGCTTGCTGCCGGTAGTCTGTCAGCATGGATTTCGTAAACAAGGTTTGAGAGGTCCTTTGCTGACATCGATAAAACTTGATCCATTTCACGAGGTCAGGGTCATGCCCTTTACGACCTCTGTGGACCATCTTCGAGCATTATTTAGCTCTGCAGTAGCACGATCAACCGTTCTATTATCTACAATTCACTATACATAGTCTGTTTAGTTGATCTAGTGTTCCTGGCGTGGTGCTTTCATGTTGGCTATCAGGAAATCAATTTTGGTTTTCATGGTTGAGTTCCTCTATACTATAATCCATTACCATACAAATTCTAGAGGACATCACCTTCTGACCGCACGTTGCATCCTTCCTCAAGACCCAGTCCTTAAACCAGTCATCTCAACGAAAAAAAGATCAATCTTCGCATCAGCCCGAGGTAGTGCAATACGAGCGACACAATGGCCAGAGAGCAAAAAAAAAGCCCTCCAACCCAATGTTCCAAAAACTAACTTTAGCACTTTGCATTCCCACATGTGTAACCCAACCCAATACATGTAGAAAACAAGCAACTAGGCGAAAAGTCTTGCCAGCAGCGGCCTATACTGGAATAGGGGTGTTCTTTCAAGAGCTTTTCTTTTCTTTTCTCTTCTGTCGTTTGAAAGTTTGAGAAATCCTTCGTCTCCCCTTTGTTACGACCTTTGGCCCTCGATTTTGTTGCCCACTGCGAAGGATTTCGTTGGAAGCCGCGGATGGAAGGAAGAGGTGAAGGGAGGGGGAGGGGAGGGAGGTTTTTTGTAGAGGTGCGGATTGGTATGACGCATAGTACACGTGGAAGAGCTTGGGAGCCTTGCGCCTTCCTTTCTTGTCGTATACCATTCAGGGCCGTGTCGTCTGTGCGGGTATGGTCTAGGGTGAGAAGGGACGTCGTGTCGCGTATCATTTGTGGTTGTGTCATATGCTTCAGGGGTGGTTGGAGTCTTGTCACATAGCATATCTGGCCGTGTCGCATGCTCCAGGGGCGTTAGAATTTATACCGCATACCATATGTGGTTGTGTGGCATGCTTCCGGAGTGCTCGACGTCTTGTCGTATACCATTCGTGGTTGCGTCGCATGCTTCAGGGGCATTAGACGTCGCGTCACTTACTGCTCAAGGTCTTGTCGCATACTCATGATGTTTGGCCGCTGGTGTCATGTCGAAAGTCACTTGTCGCATTGTGTTTCGATGATGAACGAACACCTTCTTTCTTCTTCAAGACCCAGTCAAAGACCAAATCATGATGAAAAACAGGAGTCGATCATCAGCTTGCGGAAGTGCAGTACAAGCGACAATCTCATACATCAGCTTGCGGGAAGTGTAAGGCAAGTGATGAGTTTCGCCAGAAGAGATGACCCCTTTGACAGGATCAGAGCTCCTCCGACCGAAGGGTTGTTTCCAACAGTGCTTTCAAGCGTGTGGGCACAAGAAAGCGTCTGTAATCGTGTAGCGAGAGAGTCTGTTCTGCCAAGGCCACAAGCAGTGTAGAGCTCTCTCTAGCCAGGTCAGCTTGCTTGCGCATACACTTTAGGCCCACGACAGAGTTGTAGTACCCCATGGCCGAAGGAGTCGTCGGATAGCCGATTTTGATTTTGTGTTTGCCGACCTCTTCCACGAACACGTGGACGCCCACATTGAAGGCCTAAGCCTTCCAGTTGCTTAGTGTGTATGAAGAAAGAAAAGAAAGAAGGAGAGGGGATTCGAAGCTGGAAGATGTTTTTATACCCTCAAGCCATGTGGGAGCTGCTGACTACACATCCGACCGCCTTCACCAATCGGCCGGTTCGTCCTTGATAATGACAATCTCTTGCTCTTCGCCGTCTTCGGTCTTGACAATGACATCGCCGTATCTTTTTCCTCGTCCGGGTCCAATCTCATTGGCGAAAACCACTGTTTCTATTCCGGCAGGAGTTCTTTCATCCTCAGGACCCCAAGGCAGCGCATCAATATCAATCTCCCTGTTCAACAATGACTTGAGAATAACTTCCGCACCTGCTTTACTCATGACAGAATTCATCTCTTTGCATTGTTCGGAGCAACAACACTCGAGACATCCTTCGTCGCAGTGACATGCGCCAACTCTCTCGCAGGCCTGAACGAGTAAGCGATCGATAAACTCGAAAGCTTTGGTACTGATGCCAGAGCCAGCAGCACCGCCTTTCGCATCGTAAAAGGTCAGACGTGCCGGTCGCTTGCGGCTCGTTTCTTTTGCTGCAAACTCTTTGATCGCATTTTTGCATTCAGTCTTGACATCGCCGGGCATGCTGATGACAAAGTTGGGCATGAGCGACAGCAAAGCGTGTTCGGCTGCGTGGATCGCTCCTGCCATATTCAACCGCCTCGACTCAAGGATTGACAGCGCGCGGCGTGGCACATCGAGCCACATGCCTTTGCTAAAGATCGTGATGGGTGGGTTGTCAACCTCCACCGCATCAAGAATGCGACGTTTCGCGTCCACCTTGAAGAAGCCAAAGACCACTTGTGTAATCCTGATAGTTCCGTAGTATGCTCGCGAGAGAGATTTTGAAATCTTGCGTATCGCTTCTGTTTCGATGGGGTCGATATCTGTAAAGTCACGCTGTTGTGTCGTCCACTCAACTCGTACAAACTCTACTCGTGCCATCATTCTATCTGTCGACATCTCCTTGACCAAGTATTTGTTACCTTGATGCAAGTAAATGCCTCCCTCGTAGATTGTGAAGAATGCGCGAGAGGCCTCAAGCTCTTCAAGCACGACATTGCGCCCATGTGTGATGTCGACAATAGCAAAGTGGTCTTCCTCAGTATCGCGGATTGCTACAAAAGTTGAAGGACGAGGAAGGAAACGATCAGCTGTGTGGAAGAATCCAAGATCGTCCTTTCTCATCCTGTTTTCTGCAATGTCCGTCAAGAGTTTGCCAAAGTAGATTTCGTCCTCCTTTGGCTGGATTGGCATCTCATTAGCCGCACACTGTGCATGTCCCTCAAGTACGAGCATGTTCTCCAGATCGACCTGCAACTGGCAATTGGGCTTGGTGAAGATCTCATCCGGGTTCTGCATGTAATGTTGATCAGTCGGGAAGGCATCTCCGACAAGTATAGAGATCGAGTCTTTGTTCCTGCGACCAGCTCTGCCACTTTGTTGACGAAGATTGGCGATAGTGTACGGGAAACCGCAGGTCATGACAGCATCAAGTGAACCGATATCAATCCCTAACTCCAGCGCGCTGGTTGCCACGATACCAACGAGCTTACCGTCAAACATCTCCTTCTCGATCTTTCGTCGATCTTGAGGAGCATAACCACCTCGGTAGGACATGACTCTCGCCATGACCTCCTGTTTATCCAAGAAGGCCAACTCGTTCTTGACAGCTCCGATCAAAGCCTCACACTGCTTCCTCACTCTGCAGAAAGCAATGACACGTACACCCCGTAAGATGAGTTGGCAGAACAACTTTGCCGCTTCAGCCATAGCATCACCTCTTCCAGATGTCGGATCTGCTGGATCCTTGAATGGCGTGTTCCAACACAAGAACTCTTTTCTACCAGAAGGCGAACCGTCAAAGTCTGTGAGTCTGACCTGTTCTACACCAAAGATGGTCTTCATGTGCTCTTCTGGGTTTGCAACAGTTGCAGAACAGGAAATGAACTTGATATGCCGATTTCCAACAGCAGCACATATTCTACGCAGACGTCGCATGATCAAGGCTACATGAGCTCCGAACAGACCATTGTAAACGTGAAGTTCATCGACAACCACGAAGCGCAGGTTCTGCAAAAATGTCCTCCAAGCTTCCTCTTGTGGCAGGATGGTAATATGCAACATATCTGGATTCGTGAAGATGATGCTGCCTTCGTCTCGGATGAGGTTACGATCGCACATTTGTGTGTCGCCATCGAAAGTCTCGACTATCAGATCTTGTAGTCCATCCATGTATTGTAACAGATCTTTTAGACTGCGCCGTTGATCCTGCGCCAAAGCCTTTGTAGGGAAGATGTACATGGCTCTGGCCTGCTTGTTCTTTTCCAGCTCGTGTAGCACGGGTATCTGGTATATCAAGGACTTTCCAGAACTTGTCGACGTTGACACAATGACATTGTGACCTTCGTATAAATTGTTGATGGCCTCTGCTTGATGTGAGTATAGTTGTGTGATACCACGAGTATTGTAAAGCGCGTTGACAAGAGTTTGTGACAACTGGAAGTTCAGATCACCATATATGGCTGGCTGAGGATCGAAGACACGGTGACCATCTGGCACTATCTGGCCAGTATACCACTCCAGAGTCTTGATCTCGGAGACTATTTCGGGAATAGTCTTGCGCTCATCAGGTATCGATCTTGGTAGTAGCGCTCTGTGCTTCTCCGGAGTGGGCGTGTTTCCTCTGCTCTCAGAAGGCGCGGGTATGTTCAAATTATGTTCAATATCCAGCTTCTCGACAGGGTTCACACCCTCTGCGTCACATTCATTCAGCCAGGCATTGACTGCAGAGGTAAACTTGCTGTTTCTCTTCTCGATCAAGTTCATCATCTGCTTTTGACTGTAGACGGGCATCTTGAGATCTTCATCTTTCAACTTCCGCGTCGCTTTCGTAGGCTCTCCAGTCTTGCTGTGCTGTACCTGACGCTTCAAATCTCCATCAACATATTCAAAGAGCAGTACTTCTTTGTTTCCCTTCTCTTGCTTGTCTTCGGTTGGCTCTGATGCCATGTAACCTTCGAATCGTTTGTTCTTCGAGTTCTCCTGCTCGCCCATGAGATTGACTTGCAGCAGATCCTCGTCGATGTAGGCGAAGTTGATGGACCGTGGTATGAGAGCCTTAATCTTGGCGACATCTTGTACGGACAACTCGCGGCCAATGTGAGATTCTACAGTCGTTCTTATTGTCTCGAAGGTGGTAGCCAGGTGCTTGCGCGTGCAGCAGAAGGTATAGACTAGGTTGAGGGCTCGGTGAACTTGACCCAACTTTGTAAATTCCTCGGGCCATGGTATCGTAGTCTCTACCATTGAGGATCCTTTTCTAGACAGGCTGGGCGCCGTGCTTTTGCCCTTTGGTGTCCGTCGCGGTTTCTTGCCTCCATCTTGTGTTTTGGTCGGTACTGTTGTGGTGCTCGCAATCGAGTCTTGAGTGCCTGCAGGCTCGGCCTCTACTTGCACTTCTTCATCCTGGCTCTTTCTCTTCCTCTTCCGAACCACTTTATTCGACACGGTTGCGGCTTGCAATTTGGGCATTGTTGATGCGGTTGGACGCGAAACCCGATGACGTAGCCGAGATCTTTCGGCGAAATATGTGCTAAACGTAGGATATCAATTTCAGTAGGACTGGCTATGCCAGGCTGATTCAGCTATTCCTGGCCATGCGTATAAGGATCATCGGGTCGAAGTGGCGGAGTTGTAAAACATGTGGATAACAAGGAAGTAGGCACAAAGACGAGCGAGGGTAGGAGGTAGAATCCATGACGCCGCCGCAACTGTTCTTAGTCAAGGAGTACTCGAGAATGGCAACTGCAATTAAGAAAAAAAAAGACGATTCACAGACAGACGACGACAGGCGTGAGAATTACTATTCTTTGAATCTTGATCTCGATTTTGATTTTGGACTTGATTTTCTATGCTCAGGTCATGGCCTTTGTACTCGCTCTTAAGACAGAATCCGCCCATCCAACTTCTGTACCAACGTTGCTGGCTGCTGCATCAATGCGGAGCATGCCGTGGACTTTACGTATTGATTTGACCACTGCTGTTGAGGATCGTCTTTTACATCTGCTTCTGCAAATCTGCAATGTGATCCCAGAGCTCGATAGCGAATTGTGGTCTCAGCTGTTTGACCACGTTAGTATAAGAATCATATAGCAGTAGCCGGACAGAGTACTCGTACCTTTATCTGAAGGAACTCTAGCTCCGGCTTGTTGTCCAAGGAGCCCATGAAACTCATGAAACTGCCTGTAGGCTTGTTGCCTTGCACATCACCAAACTTGAGACTCTTGTGTATGGGCGTGTTGAGGATGACGCGGTGTGAGCCGTCTGCACGCATGACAAGTCTGGCTTTCAACGTCGAGTCCTCGTCTTCGGGCTTGGGCTCGGTCACATTGAGGCGAAGAACACCCAGTCCGCGCTCCTTCCATTCCTTCTTTTCCACAAAATTATACAGCTTGGCGCGGCACGTATATTCGGTAGTCTCGTCTTCTTCACCAGTCTCGACTGTCCGTTGTTAGCAACTGGCAATGACAGCTGTGCGAAAAAGATGATTCTTACTGTCTTGTGCATAGAAGCGAGTGTCCTTCTTATCCTCGTCGACGATGAGCTTCGGGCTCTTAACTCCAGCGTCGCTGTCATCCTCGTCTCCAGACTGGTTCTCCTCGTCGTCAGGGGCGCCAAATGCCGTGATCGCTGTCTTTGTGCTTGATCCAATGATACCAGGAGTACCGCTGCTGGCAAAGCTGGTCAATCTTGCTCCACTGAGACTTCCAAAACCGCCGCTTGAGCCGAAACCCCCACTGGATCCATTACCAAGCTTGCCAAAGCCTGAAGCCCCGGACCCAAAGCCTGAAGATCCAGCAGCAGCGAAAGGCGATGCTCCAGATGAAAGACCGCCAAAAGCACTTGTTTTCAGTGCTGGCTTTGCGCCATCCTCGCCAGGTGCAGGGGTGCTACCTGGGCTAGCAAAACTTGATAGAGTTTTAGTCTGGCCTAGTGCGCCGAATGCCGATGTGGAAGAACCAGCGAGTGCACCGAAAGCGGAAGAGGCGAACGCACTAGTAGCAGCTTGAGATTGTTCCGTGGGAGACTTCATGGTGGCCAGAGAAGCAAATGGCGAGGATGCAGAAGTGTTTGCAAATCCGCTCCCTGCCGGGATTTTGATGCTGGGCTGTGTCTCTTGTGTTTCCTCTTTACCAGTCTTTTCCTCAGATTCGATGGTCACCTTGGCGTCTGATGGTGTTGCTGAGGTAGCGTCGGTGCTGCTCTTGTCATCAACTCTGCTGCGCTTCGTCTTCGGACTTTCGTCAGACTTGGTAGGGGCGTCGGAAACGGTCGCAGAGGTAGTCGAGATGGCCAGCTCAGAAGCTTTGGGTGCGTCTACAGGAGCTGGTTCGTCGTCTCTCTCAAGTTCACTAGACTTGCGCTTGGCTGATTGTTCAACGACCTTTTCCTCGGGCGAGTTTTCCCTTGATCTCTTGTTCTTGCGAGCCTGTCTGCTCTTATGTGCGGGTTCTTCCTCTACGCTCTCGACGTCTTCGTGACTCCGCTTTCGCTGCAATTTGGCACGCGCCTTTTCAGGCTCGGGCTCTGCGGTTGCGGTCGCATCGGCTGGCGGCTTTGCGCTTTTGATGGAAGCATTTCTCAGTCTTTCTCTAAGAGGTCTCTCGCCCCCCTCGGTGTCGGAGTTGTGTAATTCCTTTGGCGGCGTGGAGGACATTTTGGTGGTGGTGGTGGTGGTGGCTATGCTGGTGGGGGAAGATGAGTGAGAATGGACGGCCGAGGTCGCGAGCGCAAGGAGCTGCCGGCCGGAGCAGGTTCGAAAGCAGCTTGCGCGTTTGAAGGTGGTGGAAGCGACGTAGCAAAGGAGTTTGCAAAAGCAGTCTGGACTGAGCAGGTTCAGCAAGCGGTCGACGCGGGCTCGATCGGATGGAGCAGCTCAATGCACTCTCGGTGTCGGTGGGTCTGCGTGTCTTGTCCGAGGACCGAATTGAGAATCGCCAGAGACACAATTGTGCGCGTGGAAATGATGCTGAATAGTAGCGAAACTCGTGTATAATCGTCTCTAATGCCAATGTATAGCAAGACGGTAAGGCTTACAATGCTTGTGCCGCCGTATGTCTTCACGTTCGACGGTCGCGCATCTCAAGCTAGGCCGAAAACAGCCATCATTGTCTTTCTCATTGTCTTTCTCATTGTCTTTCTCTTGCCTCGTTCTCAATCCTTTAAAGACAACTTCCTACTCTAGTATCTTATCAACAAAGAGCTGAATCACATTCAGCCTACCGCGTCTCGATTCGTGATGTTGGAGTACATGGTTGAAGAATTGGCTACGTAGCGATTGCTTCTGCCCGTCTGCTATCCAGACATCTAGCCTTAACTGATGAAACACAAGCATCCCAAGCCAACGTAGAAGACGAGGAGAGGAAAGACTGCAATACCCACACGATTCTTGACGACACCAGAGCCACCAAGGATACTAACACCTGCTGCCAGTGACCATGCGACCAGCACAATGTACACGGGAATTCTGGCAATCATAGGAAGACCAAATGCACTAAGCAGGGATGCGATGACGAGTGGGAATAGTGTGTATCCGATGACACACACTGACTGGAAAAACGAGCTGTCACATATGTTAGCAAGGAAGAGATTCCGGCTCAGAAATATCGTCTTACATGCTGCCTCCTAGAAGCTTGATCTGAAGTGTAACGATAGCCTCTCCGATCCAGACGGTAGCGAAGACTCCAGAGAAGACGGCCGACTTCTGTTTGTCCTGTGCGCCGCGAGAGAGGAGGAAGCTGAGGAGTAAGCAGAAGACAAGAGGACCCCTATGCAAGTGTTAGCTCTTAGACGGCATGTCGGATTCCCAGGACCACGCGTACCAGAGGTCCCAATCCCTCAAACCTTCGCTCATACCACTCTGCAGAACAGTGTCGGCATCTGGCCATCTGCCAACCAGTCCGTTCATGCCACCACCGCTCAGACCTTCACCTTCAGCCCTCTCCGCACCACCCATGCCACCACCACGTTGCAGCATACCACCCAAGAGGTACTTTGGGTATAGCACTTGACGCATCTTTTCCCAGACAGCGAGCAAGTCTCGCGATAGTGTTTCCCAAACGCTCTCATCGATGGTGTTCTGAGGTGCTCTGCGATCCTCGCCGCCGATTGTGTTGTTCAAGTATGATTGGGTGTTTTGAGCGCGAGCTGACGGTTGTTGAATGTTGCCAGTCAATGGTGCTCTATCGGAAGTCGAGGCGAGAGGATCTTCCAGGTCCATAGCAGCTTCTTGGGGTTAGCATGAGCGTCTATTCCGTATTTGCGAACGATCAAATACCGTCATCTGGGTCGATAAGATCGTCCTCAAGGGGGTCTTGATCGTAGTGCTCATAGGGGTTCGCCGAAGTCGTTGCGCTGGGCATCATGGCGGCCATTCTGTGTTCGATTATGCGTGCGATGCTCAAGGTCGAGTAGTAGTAGTAATCGACGGGAATGTCAGTCGGCGGAAGCCTTGCGCAAATGTTTAGTCCCCTGGATTGGGAAGCTGCCAGCTCTCAGCACCGGACACGGACACGGACACGAACGCGTGTAAGCGCCGATCTTCCGGTGGTGTCATTCACATGCAAATGTTGCTTTAACAATGGGACAGTGCAATGCAATCATGAACGTCTGACTGACCATGACCTGTGGTATTGCTACACGGTATTGGCCATCAGCGCGCCTATTCCACCGTCTGTCATGTTTCACATCTGGGTATACTCATGAATGATATCGCTCGTCATAGCTGCCGAGTTCAGCTCCAACGAGAGGCTAATCCGGCTGAATCGAAAGCCAACATGTTCATGCTCTCTATGAGTAGCCCTTGTCCATCTTCCACCACGCTCCCGGACATGATGCTTGTCATTGCTTCAGCTGCTCGAGGCAGAGTCTGTTATGGCACTGACCCATAGTTCGCTTGCTGGAGAAATTGGGCCCCGCAATCACTTTGCGGAGGATTTGAATGACGGAAGACGCGGGTAAATGCAAGGTGGGCTGGCTCCAAGGCCCTGTTGTTAGGGTTGTCTGTGAGGAAAGTTAACTTCAATTGATTTTCTCTCGGATCTCTTTCGTCTTCTTTCCTTCTTGTTTCTCGAACACACCTCCTACTCAGCACACCATGCCTGACGCGATTCTGGACGACATCTCTCACAGACGCTTCAACCCACTGAGGGGAAGCTGGATTCTGGTCTCACCCCACCGTACCAAGAGACCATGGCAGTGAGAGGCAGCTTTTCATACACACAGGTGGCTCAATACTTACAAGAAGCTAGAGGACAGCAAGAAGGTGCTTCCAAGACTACGCTGCCTGACTATGATCCTGCCGTACGCATCGCTCCATACACGTGCTCCACCTTCAGCCACTGAAAGCAAGATAATAGTGCTACCTCTGCCCTGGAAACAAGCGTGCTGCTGGGGATTCCAATCCAAAATACGAGAGCACCTATGTCTTCGTCAACGACTACAGTGCTGTCAAGGAAGAGCAAGCCGAGTATGAGCAGCCAGCCAACGATGGCAGTAAGCTTTAGCACAAACTTCCACTAAGACTTGATACTGACTCCAAGAAGGTCTTGCCAACACTCTGTTGCGGGCAGAGTCGGTGACCGGCAAATGCTATGTCATTACCTTCGCACCCACTCACAACCTGACACTCGCAGACCTTCAGCCTTCTCAGATTCTCCCTGTCATCAACACCTGGACTCAGATCTACACCACTCACTTGTCACCCAAGTCAATCCTTGCCGAAGTTGCGAAACCAACCACTCTTGCTCCCCACGGCCAAGACCTTGCTGCACCGAACGCTCAGTACCGCTACATGCAGATCTTCGAGAACAAGGGTGCTGCAATGGGGTGCTCCAATCCGCACCCCCACGGTCAAGTCTGGTGCACCACCGGTACACCAGAAGAGCCCGCGCTCGAACTGGAAAGCCTACAAAAGTATCGCAAGGAGCACGGTGGATCACACATGCTGGTTGATTATGCCAACCTTGAGTCTGAAAAGAAGGAGAGAGTCGTGTTCGAGAACGATTCATTTATTGCTGTATGCCCCTGGTGGGCTACATGGCCGTTCGAGATAATGATTATCGCCCGCACCCACAAGCGCGCCTTGGTCGACTTCAACGACAAAGATAGAGGAGACTTGGCCGAAGCCATGGCAGAAGTCACAAGGCGTTACGACAACCTGTTCGAGACCCAATTCCCTTACAGTAAGTCAAAGAGAGCATCCATGATTTCCATAGAAGCTAACATAAAATAAGGCATGGGTCTTCATCAAGCACCTCTTGAAGGCACTCCCGAGGAGATCGAGGCCAGCCACTTCCACATGCACTTCTATCCTCCCCTCCTGCGCAGCGCGACTGTACGAAAGTTCCTGGTTGGATACGAGATGATGGCAGAGCCTCAACGTGACATCACTCCTGAGCAGGCCGCAGCAAGGCTTAGAAACTGCGGCGGAGAGCTTTACCGTAACAAGCTGAACTGATTGTAATATACCCAATGCTTGGATGAGGTTGGAAACTCTATAGAAAACAAAGCGCTCTTGATCATCGTTGCATTCGTTACCTCTCCTCCACTGCTGCACTCCATACCTCTTTTGTCCACGACTTGCGTCGTCGATGTTTGCTTCATGCCTTGACATAATAGTTCCACTGGGAGTACATCCAGATCATAGAGGTGGTCGCGACAATGGCAGGTCCGGCGAGACCCTTTCCCCATCTGGTGGAACCAAATACCAGCCACTCTGACATGAAATGCGCGAATGCGACAATATATGTCCAAAACGCCAGCTCGTACATGGGCTTAGAGTTGATGTTGTACGCAGCGTAGAGACGAACGATAGCAGTGATGGCGGTCCAGGTACCGAAGGTGCGAGCCGAGAGGGGTGTGACGGGCGACGGGTTGGGAACGGTGCTAGCAGGCACGCCAGCTGGTACAGATCTGGTGCCGCAGTAGACCTTCTGTGTTGGACCGAGCGACAAGTAGGCTTGAATGCTGTTACCGAGCGATACTATGGAGATCTGCTCCTGGTTAGGAGGATGGCTGGCTGACGAAATGTGGTATACGGACGAAGAAGATCCATTTCGGCAATAGACCGTCAGCTGGAGGTAGATATTCAAGTAGCGAGTTCATATCAAGGTAATTTATCTGCGCAGACAGAATTTGACAGCAAGAAGTTGTTCGGGCAAGTTGTAAGCAATCAACAATTCTAGAGCTTGAAATTGGATCCCTCAGACCCTGGCTGCCGAGACGCCCGAGCCAGAGGTCGAAGCGCCAAACCGATTTCTGAGCCCGACCAGACAGCTTTCTATACCGATAACATCAATACAGTTCAGGCTCAAAAATGGTTGTACATATCGAGGATCCCTGGAAGGAGTCGGTCACCGCTCTATTCGCGGGCATTGGCCTTCTCTACATCTCTCTGAAGATTTTCAGCTTCTGGAGATTGATTGCCAGTCTGTTCATCTTGCCTGGTACTTCTGTATGTATGCAATATCGCTGCAGGATGAATCATCTCTGACAATTGCAGCTCTCCAAATTCGGTCGTAAAGGAAGCTGGGCTGTTGTGACCGGCGCCTCCGATGGTATTGGTAAGGAGTATGCCTTACAGCTCGCAGCCAAAGGCTTCAACATCGTTCTGGTATCTCGTACACAGTCGAAGCTTGAGACTTTGGCCTCCGAGATCCAATCCAAGTACACATCTGTTCAGACCAAGACTCTCGCTATGGATTTCTCTCAGAACCTGGACTCTGATTTTTCAGCTCTGAAGGCCCTGGTATCTGACCTTGAAGTTTCTATCCTGATCAACAATGTCGGTCTCAGTCACGAGATGCCTGTTCCCTTCATCCAGACTCCTGAGAAGGAACTCAAGGACATCATCACCGTCAACTGTGTGGGTACCCTCCGCGTTACCCAGATCGTTGCACCCGGCATGGTGCAGCGCCGTCGTGGTCTCATCCTCACCATGGCCTCCTTCGGCGGTATACTCCCTACTCCCCTCTTGGCCACGTACTCCGGTAGCAAAGCTTTCCTTCAGCAATGGAGCAGTGCCCTGGGCGCTGAACTCAAGCCTCACGGAGTTCACGTTCAGCTTGTACAATCTTACCTGGTCACTTCAGCCATGTCCAAGATCAAGCGCGCCAGTGCCACGATCCCCAACCCTAAGCAATTCGTGAGAGCCGCCTTGGGCAAGATTGGTCGCTCCGGCGGTGCTCAAGGTATTGCGTATACCAGCACTCCTTACTGGAGCCACGGCATTATGCACTGGGCTCTTGGCGCTTACACTGGTACCATGAACTCGATTGTCCTCGACCAAAACAAGACTATGCACGAGAGTATCCGTAAGCGTGCCCTCAGAAAATTGGAGAGAGACGGCAAGAAGGGTCAGTAGACGGACAGCATATGTGTATATCACGCACCCTCCAATCAAGGCTTGCTTCAAGACCTGCAACACCTTGACTTGTCAACAGGACAAAGATCACCAAGCAGAAGCTTTGCATGAATAAATAAATAAATAATCACAGCGTAAATCTAGAATGATTCGCCGCTTACTGCACTGCACTTCCCTGCATTGGATAGGTAGCGATACACCTCAGGTACCATAAGGAACAGAGGCGGCTCGGAGTAAGATGCCGTTCTCTGCAGTCAAAGTGAAATACCATGTTCGCCACGTTTCAGGTCTGATTGTGGTCTCAGTACAGCGTCCAGACTCATAGCACGATGGTAAGGCCATCATGAGCATGGGGATGTGTGCATTGTCATGCCTTGACTCAAAAATGACAGTTCTCTGTCAAAACGATCGGCTGGAGTTTCTGGGTTCACGGCTAAGTACGTCACCCACGCGTTTGCTCTCGTTCCCTGGCACGAGCTTTCCCCACCCTCGGCGATCTTCGCGCGGTTTGCAACGGGCAGCAGCCTCCTCACCTTCCTGCTCACTCTGTTTCCTGTCTGCACCTTGGAAGAACAACAGCAGAGAAGCAACAACCTCTTTCAGATTCTAACTCAAAATTTCCAGCATGACTGAAAACAACACCTCCGAGGGAGTCGCACAGACTCTCCAGACAGCGCACGAACGCGTTCATTCAGGTTAGTCTCGTGATGGCTCATGGCTCATGGCTCATGGCACAGCAGCACAAGATCTAACAGACACAGTTAATCCCTTCATGGACCGCGAGTCGTACCCAACTGGAAGCCTCAGAAGCTACAAGATCCTGACGGCCGTCTCATGGCTCCTGCTTGTCGTCACCAGCATCTACTACACCTTCAATGCGCCCACCGAGGGCAAGCACCACAGAGGCACCATCTGGCACCAGAACTCGCACCACCACACTCCCTTTGCCCTCAACTCAATCATCACCTCTATCTACATGATTGTGCTGTTCATCCTCCAGATCGGCTACTGCTGGCACTTGTACTCGGAGAATGAGGTCTACGTCAAGGCTGCCGCCGATGTTGGCTCGCACTTCATCTTCAACAACTTGCTGTGGTTCGGCTTCATCCACCTCTGGTGCCGCAGCCACTTCTGGCTTGCTGAGATGCTCATCATCATCAACTTCTTCAACCTCTCTGCCCTTTACTTCAAGCATTCGAGGACTCCTAGATTCATCCACATCCCTGTTGTTTCCGGTCCTCTGGCCCTCAACTATGTCCTGCTCTTCACCGTCGGTGCTGCAGCTGTCAACGCTCACTCTCTTCCCGCCAGAATCTTGGCCAACATCATGATCTGGTCCATCATGGGCTACGGCTTCTTCTTCCTGGTCGCATACAAGGATTACACCATGGGTTTCAACCTGAGCGTTCTCAGCGCATGTAAGTCAAGTCTGTCGGGTCCATTTCATGCAATGCCTCTAATTCGGTGTCTAGCTCTCGGTGTCGCTCAGTTCCTGACCCACGTCATCGCTTTCCAGTGGATCTTCGCCTTCGCTATCATGGGTGTTCTGTTCGTCCTTTCCGTCCTGGTTGGCTTCCCCGGTCTCATTGGTCAAGACCCCTTCAAGCGCGGTGCTGTTGTCGACGAGGACAGAGAGAGACAGCCTCTGCTTCAGGAAGAGTAAATCTTTTCGAAACTCGGCTTGCATTCATGCTTGTTTGGAGCAACGGGACAGACAAGAGACGAATGTTGTATATCGATTGGACATGGCTGACTCTCTTCTCTCGCAATCATGTCAGACGTTGGTTGATGCTACATAGAAAAATCATTGAACTCATTGGTCGCTCACAATTTCGCTCACAATTTCGCCCTGCCAGCAGGTCGTACGACAGCATAAGCAGCCCTCAGAAAAACATTGAGCATCGCTCCACCTCAAGAGATCACGCCAACATTCGAGTCATTGCTGCCAGGCAATCTGAACGCCCTTGACCCCTGCCGGCAGGACAACAGCTCCCATGTAACCACCCTTTCCCTGCTCCTTGAGCATGACTCCTCTTGTCGTATCGTCATCTTCTGAAGCATCTGACCGCCGGCGTATATCGGTTCCGCATAACGAATTCCCCTTTCTTTGTGCCGATCGTTCGGGCGTAAAGGCTTCAACAATGTGTTCCGAGCCGTCGTCGTCATCGTTCAGAAGAGTGCCCTTCTGCTCCAGCAGTTCGAGACATCTAGAGCATATCGAGGAGAGCAAGGGGACAGTTCTTTCGTATCCGCGTTGACAGGCGCCTCGTTCATTTGGTAGTAGGCGTGAAGGGTTCCTAGGGCAGAACTCGTGAATCGGCATGCTCGCGTGTCCACACCGATGAATTGATGTTTCGATGCGACACATGGCTGTTTTATCGAGACGCTATTCGATCATGTATATGAGTGTTAAAAATGGAAGACGGGTTGCTTTTTTCTCTCTCTCTCTCTCTATCTCTCTCTCTCTCTCGCAAAGAGTCAGCAGTAACATCAGACAGGGTTAAATACCCTCTTGAGCCAGAGATCATCTTCACGGTTCCTCGGCCCGTAGTCAACAGCATTGTGCTACAAAAGGTCACCTGCATTGGCATACTATATCGACTTCTCAAGATTGTGCCACGGCTCGTCTCTCTCGGCAGTCGAAGAATCTTGATAGAGATGTTACTTGACGAACAAGATCCGGAGCGAGAACTGCCGATGGTGGTTTGACATGTGGCACCTACACGTCTTATTCCCTGTCGAGATGCTCATCAACACTTGTGGATGGAAGGATGAGGGATCGTGCGTTGGCTTCATTATGCCATTTGGGACTTTGCACATGAGCTTAGTAGCCTAGGTCTTGAGAGCGATTGGCTAATGGTATTCGAGAGAGTCGCGATCCTTGAAGTTGACTTGCCTTTGGTATCTAGCATACTGACTGGTGGTTGGATAGAGGGTTCGATACCAAGAAGAGCGCAGGGAGCCGGTGATTTTATAATTCGCCAAACTGGCTTCCCATTTTCGGTAATTCCGAAAGGTCTCTGGGGCTTGCGACGAATGACTCGAAGTGATTCTGTGTTAACGCCTTGTTCCTGCAAAGGGGTGTTGCCATATGCCTACCCCGCTCTCCAGTAACGAGACCCATGCGGTGGTGTCGCACGAGAGCCAGGGCCTGTCGAGTAGCGCTGATGGTCTCCTCTACCTTGGCTTCTCAATCTATTGTGTGGCAACTGTGAGAGGCGAGTCAGATCTCATATTGACGAGGATGAGGGAGGTGCAGGTGTGATTGAGAAGAGGGTGATCAGATGTAGTGCGGACGCCCTGCCACCAAGTACTAAAGCCCGCGGTTCTCGACAAACACGAATTCGGGCTGTTGTCGCTATGGCTAGTGCATTTTATACTCTCCGTCCAACATCAACTCCGATGCAAAACCTACGCCAACCTAGTGAGGCAGATGGGTCGATTCGTGCAATCATTTGATGGTAGCGATGGTCCATCGCGCCTTCTCTTCATCGACCGCTGTACGAGGCGAGTGACCAGCACGTCCTGGTACATCTAGCACAATAGTGAGCAGGTATCCATGAATCAGCTGTTCAGCTTCTAGTCGCATGCCGTGCCCTGGCATCTCCACAGAGAACAGCTCGTGATCTGGTATCCAAGGCTCACCTGTGGATAATGGTAGGCGCAACATCAAGATGCAATATCCACAGTGGCGGACAGTCTCCGATAGTTTCAAGGGCATCTTCCAACATAACCGATGGCACGGCCTGGATGTAACTAATCTGGGCCGTCTAGACAGGTTCGGTTACTACCCAAGCCAGTTCAAAGCCTTGGAGGGACCCTTGAAGACGCACTACCTTGACCTAGAGCTGAGAACAGGTGAAGGTCTTCTGGTTAAAATACCAGGGTTATCTGGATGTCGCTGGTAGCCCTGGTAAAGATTACATGATCGGCAAGGAAGGATCCAAGCCACATCTCCATGCGGCTGACAGTACAATACCCACGTCCCGGAGCCCTGGAGGGCCAGACTATCTTTCGGAGTTCTTCAACCTTAAAATGACATCGATACCACGCTTGGCTCTGACGCCTCATCGTAGGTTAGTGATGTCGCTGCTTACTCACTCGCTATACGAGGGACCGCAAAGTACATTTCTATGGTTATAAATAGTGCTTCGGGATCCGCAGGTACAACGCTATTCATACCTGCTGAGGCTAGATCACTGTCCACTGTACCCTGGGTCTGGAAAATATCCAGCATGCTCTAAGATGGATCCAATATTGGCTGTGGCAAGCCTTTAGCCTTCATGTATAGTTTCTCCGGAGACATATATTAAAGGTCGCACATTCTTTTTGCTACAGGACCTTAGTGTCGTTCAATTCTCCTTCTAGCTTTCGTTCCTCTCACACAGACCATAATGCATCTCTCTTTGGTGGCGCATCTTCTGACTTTCGTCACCCTGAACCTCAATGCACATGTTCAAGCATGGCCGGCGATGGCGCAAACTGGAGCGGCGTTATCCCGCCGTCTAGCTCAAGCAGCAGACACCAACGTTGATACCAACGTTGACAATGATATCGCAAGGGTCGGCCTAGGCGATGTCAAGAATGGCGGTACCACTCCTGTTGGCACAAGTGTATACAACATCCTCATGGGGACGGAGCCTGGTGATTCAGCTGTGGCTGGTTACAAGCCACCTGGTATCGTCGGAACCAAGGCATGCAAGGCTGACACATGCTGCGTGTGGTGGTGGATATCACAGGCCATGACCCTCGCCTTCACTGGACCCACCGGCCGTTGCAACAGTTTCGCTCGCGCAGCCATTCGTCTGGGTTTCCACGATGCAGGATCATGGTCAAGTTCTCTTGCAGCCAATGGTCAAGACTTTGGAGGTGCAGATGGAAGCATTATCCTTTCGGGTTCGGAGATCAACAGAGGAGGTTCGTGTTTAACCATCCAGACAAGCCTCTACAAGCACTAACATTGAGTCTGACAGACAATAACGGCCTGCAAGCCATCGCAAATCAAGCTCTTCTCTGGTCTAAAGTATTCAATGTCGGTGTTGCCGACATCATCCAGTTCGCAGCTGTGCATGCAGTAGTCACATGTCCCCTAGGACCTCGCACACGAGTGTTTGTTGGCCGCAAGGATAGCAAGCAAGCCGCGCCCGAGAACTTGATGCCTTCTGCTTCGATGAGCGCAGACCAGATCATTAGCCTTTTCGAAGACAAGACCATCCAGCCCCATGATCTTGCGGCTCTCCTCGGTGCACACAGTACCAGCCAGCAGTTTGTGACGGACAAAACAAAAGCTGGCTTCAGTCAAGATTCAACACCTGGAGTCTGGGATGTGAACTTCTACAACGAGACTATACAACCGGGCACGAATAGTAAAGTTTTCAAGTTCCAGAGCGACCTTGTGACTGCAAATGATTCGAGAGTAAGCGACGAGTGGCATGCTTTCATCGGAGACCAAAGCCATTGGAATGGAGTAAGTTTCTTGGTCATCACAGTATTGAAATCAAGTACTGACGATATTCCCAGGACTTTGCTTCTGCTTATGTCAGACTGAGCATGCTTGGTGTCAACAATATCAACAACCTGACAGAATGCACAAAAGTATTGCCCGCTGAAAAGAAGACGTTTGCAGGGGCATCGACACCAGGCCTTCTCGGTAAATTACGATGACAGTTTCGTCGCATCTCCCACCATTTATTGCGATACCCAAAATAAAGCTAGACACCCGGTTACTTAATCAACAACATTCTGAATAAATCCTCCTACATTGTCCACAATCCTTTGCACTGGGTGTTGACATGCAAATTTGTCGAATGCGATTATCTTTGCCCTGGTTCTAATCCAATGACGCTCTCAAAAAATACGACTTGAATGTGGTTTCCTATGCCCTGCGGGTGCTCCACGGATGACTGGTGGCACAGTTCTAGATCTGGCTATGAACAAAATAGGACGAGTACAAGGGTATGCTGCAGGTCAGCATCCAGATCAAGGTGAGTTGGCCGCCACTGGCCACTCACGAGCGATGCCTGTGGTCAGCAAGTATACTTGTGCCTCGTACAGAACATCTACATGTGACAATACATATCAGCCAAGCCCATGCACAGCTCGAACAAGTTATGGCATGGACCGTATGGGGAAAGAAGTAGATGTCCGAAAGTTTAAAGATGTCAAGGTTCAAACCCCCCGCATCCAAACGTGCACCTTAACGTCCCGAATCCGGCGCCTTGGAGAAAACCTATGTACGCCACATCGGTCTTTCCCTTCCTTTGCAAACAAAGTTCCCGGACATCGGGTCTTTTCGAGCCCTATGCTTCACCATAATCCAGTTTGGAGCTCTACACAGAGGATCGTAGGTCGTCTCCACCAGCTAGCTGTTCCGCGAGTGCACGATCAGCTCCAATACGCGAGAAAATAGACCTTGATTCCCAGTCTAGACTTCATGGAGGATACGCAGTAAGCATTGGTACCTTGGAGCTGGGAAAAGCTTCCCTAGAGACCAGGGTGAATCGACCTCTTGGAGCGCCATCGACCACCTACAGAGATTTGATGCCTGGATACTATCCGAGCTTTACCACAGTGCTTGTATCAGAGTTTGGTAAGAACGAGAAGCGCTTGCGAACCAGCTTGCCCTCTCACCACACGGGACAGACGACCTTTGTGAATAGCCTTGATGTAGCTACCATTTGGCTATACGCAGCATCCGAGAAGGACGCAATCACTGGGAAACCGGTTGTCCTCGCAGCTCGGTCCCTCCGTCGAGTGGCTTGGGACTTGTAGCTACTTCGGAGGTCCAGACAGTATGGTCAGCGAGAGTACTGCATCCGGACATGTGTTGTATCTGGGAAATGCACTTACAACATGCTCAACTGCATATAAGATAAGTTGTCCACGCACCTTGTGTCACTGATCAACAACAACTCAATACACTTCATACTCTCGCTTTCCATCTGCAATCTCTCGTTCGTCACGTCTTGACCAAGAGCAAATCAATATGATCTCAAATCTTGCTTCTTTGCTGCTGGTCAGCAGTCTCGGCTTGGTAGATGCCTTCTCGATGCCAGAGGCAGCCTCATCATTCACCTCTCTACTCGCATCTTCTCTCAACAACGCTATACCTAACACGCTAGCGGCTCGTAAAGCTGGATCGAGCGGATCAGGTGGAGGTGGATCAGGTGGCTGCCCAGCTATCTGGACAACTATCTCTTCTGACCTCACTGCATCTTTCCTTGGATCGGATGGCCAATGTACCGACCTTGCTAGAGCCGCAATCCGATTTGCATTCCATGATGCTGGTGAGTGACTGAAACATTGCAGCGAAAGTTAGACATGTGCTCACCGATCTACTTCAGGACCATACTCATCAAAGACGACTTTCTATGCTCCTGCCGCTGGCGGCGCAGATGGTTCTCTGCTATTGAACCCTGATGAGATTAACAGACCTGAAAACGGCGGTCTCGGCGACTACTACAATTGGTTGACGAACAAGTACAATACGTACAACCAACAAGCCAAAGTTGGTGCTGCGGACCTGATCCAATTTGCCGGCTCACACGCTGTTATCACATGTCCCGGTGGACCGAAGATCAAGACTGTCGTTGGCAGAACGGACAGTTCGACCATCGCACCTGACGGCTTCCTTCCTGCCGGATTTGGTCCCAACTCGTCCCATGACGTCCTATTCCAACTCTTCCTCGACAAAGGCTTCAGCGCCAGAGATCTTGCAGCTTTGATCGGTGCACACTCCACTAGCAAAGCCTTCACTCAACAAGCCAATGGTATCCCTGTAGGCGGTCCACAGGACAGTACTCCTGGAAAGTGGGACATCGACTTCTACGCTCAGACCCTCAAGCAGCAGACTGGTGTCTACCGCTTCCAAGCCGATATCAACCTGTCCAATGCTTCAACCACCGTAGGAAAGGAGTTCAAGGGTTTCGTCGGAAACCAAGGCAAATGGACCAGCTCATTCGCCGATGCCATGCAACGCTTGAGTGTTTTGGGTATTCCTTCTTCGGCTCAAAACAGCTTCATTGATTGCACCAACGCATTACCCAAGGGTACATCGTCCAAGAGGGACATTCGTGCTGCTCCTATCAACAATCGTGCACGATAGCGAGTTCGATCGTCTGCATTGGAGGAGTTGGCGGTTAGCTTTTGTCTGTTTATTACTTCTTGAAAATTCGGTATTTTGCAATTCAACGCAACTGCTATTGCGAGAATTCCACTGTCACCTAACGTCCACTGAATGTATGACGTCTTAAAGTTCTTGACACTGTTCGAAATTCGGGTAACCTCTGCAATAAATTTGGCTGGTAGAATAAGGTAGCATCATCTGGCGATCACCCAAGGCGACCCTGGTCCGGAGATTTGTGCTGAAGTTGTGCAAAGTTATCGAAACCGTAGCTCGGCTGGGGTGACACTACGACTACACATCGAGGCTGCTGTTGCCTTTCTTAGTCCCACTTTCTTCGTACGAGAGACGCTATACAGACTCTGCTCCTTCTCATTATCTATAGGTGTCCACTGCCACTCTTCCTGCCGTGCATCATCCTTGAATTACTCTGGCGAGGCTCAGCCGATAGTAGACGATCATCGCGCGACCAAACACATCATCATTTTATTCCATCTCTAACAGACACAAGCATGTCGGACTCGGGAGTTTCAGTTTCACAAAAGGTGTTTGGTCTTACAACCCAACAAGATAAGTTGTTGGCCACGACAGCTTTGATCTCGACAATTGCGCTAGCTTCTCTCGACTTCAAAACAGGCGGACAGATGTTAGGCGGAAAGCAAACTGCACTAAAGCAACCATCTCCACAACGAGTGTCGACGACATTACCAAAGTCACCTTACCTCGTGGAGGCGGCTTCCAGGTCCTCTATACGCAGTGTTACGTCAACAGCGTTCTTCTACCTCGCGTATAAGGACTATCAAGCTGCAGAGCTTCGTGCCGGGAATTTGGAGGGAGTAAAGAGCTCATCCTGGAGATGGAAGGCATGGGTTTTCTGCGGCGCAGTGGGTGTCGTGGTGCAATCATTGGGTCCATTTCCGAGCGTTATTTGGGACAGGGTCTACAGCCCGGACATTGGTATCAAGGGCCAGGTTGCGAGATTGGGAAAATTGACTATGACAAAAGGGGGTATTCTCATGGCCACGGTACCGTTCTGTATGAGCGCCTGGAACTCCATGTGAGGTGGTGCTGGGTTGTATTGCTCATGTAAGGCGCGACGTTGTCACTCCTCCTTTTTCCGTATCATGAAGGTGAGTACAACTATGCTTCTCCTTGAAGGTGTCGCAGCAGGAAACTGACTCTCGGAAATCTGTCGATCATGAGGACTTTTGTTCTGATTCGGTGTGGATATGCTAGACGTTGGTCGGTATTTCGACAAGAGAAGCATGGGAAGAGGTAGTCGAGAGAGCAGTCGAGAAGTCGAGAAGCAAGTAAGGAATAGTCGAGAAGCAAAGAAAGAAGCAGTCGAGAAGCAAATTAAGAAGTAGTCAAGAAGCAGAGAATGAAGTAGTTGAGAAGCAAAAGTAAAAGTGCCCGAATCGCAAATGATAACCTACACACACCAAGCGAATCCGCTTCTGAACAGACCTATCGACAAAAAAGACATGGGACTTTCGCCGGAGGACTTTAGTACAACGTCGAGGGTGCTTCCATGATAGGAAGCCAATTTAATGCTGACCGCGTGGTTACAGCTAAGCATAACCAGCCGATTAAATCAAATTCGAGTAGTCATGGACTTTGTGGCGATGACGGGATAGGGGCAGACTTGATGGGTCGTATACAAGGATGTTTTGTGCGTATTGCTCGAAACAAAATGATCAGGAAGGTGCGGATGTGGCGAGATAGCGACAAAAATGGTCTCTACCGATTTATCACACAGAGGGACGGAGCTTCTCTTGCAGCTGTCGACCAGTTACATCTCGCACTGAATGAGAAATGCATGATAGGTAACCATGCCAACAAATTTGAAGTGGCTTCAATACACATTACTTTACTAGATATGCTCATCAACGTTACTCATACAATTGATACCAGGAAACCTCATCTTATGATTTCCGGCCGATACCGTTCATATCATGGTTGACCTCCCAATCTTCCATGATCGCATGTCCTCGCGCCATGGGTTGTCGAACTCGTCGACCTCGTTCTGACCAGGTTTAGTTTTGCGTTTGGCAGACTCCATCTCGAACTTCATGGCTTGTTGATGCAGACTACTTCGACCTCCAAAGGCACCTTGCTTTCCCAGATTGGCACCCGTGTTAGAAGAGGTATCTTTGGACCAGCCATCAAAACCTTTACGCCTGTCAGAATGCGCACTCTCTTTGCTCACATTGCGCTGATGGCCAGCGAGAGGACTTTTCGAGCGTGGCGATCTGGTGAAGTTGTCTGTCGGTGTTAAATTGGCCGAGCGAGACTTGTCTTCATCACTGCCAGGGTTGGGACGAGAACCGTGTTGAACATGGTCGAGATGCGAGCCCCAACCATCGCCTCCGGCAAATATGTCTTTGATACAATCGTCGGCTCTCAGTTCCTAAATCGTGTAAGCTGTAGGTACTAGATAGCGCAACAAAGTTGACCTACCCCTGGTTGGGCGACCCAAGATGCAGCTAGCGTCCGACGGTACATGTCTTGTAGCTCGCCGTTCTCGCGACTTTTGTTTGACAATGAAGGCATGTTGCTGCCTTCTTCTGTTGCTTCAGCGACTTCCTGAGACATGATACCGGCAATACCACCAAAAACTGGAGCAGTACGTAACGGAGGACTGATCAGGTGGTTAGATGAATGATGCAAGGAGTTGCCGATAGACGTACGCATAGTAATTCCGATCACCTTCGAGATGCCTGAGATGAAGAGACACCTTCAAAGTACTGTTGATTTTGCTGTCCTGCATCAGGTGACGTCTGGTAACGCCCTCGTCCGAATCATGCACATGATCATTGGTATCGACATATTCGGCCAGGTTGAGCTTGATATTTCCCAAAGTAATGCGCTCCCCTTTGCCAGCGCTCGAATATTCTTGGATGATTTCGAGATGGATCCATAACTCTTGCAACATCTGGTCCTTGCCAATGACGAGGCGCACATCAGTCTGTTTGTCGTAACCAAAGACAACCTTGTGATCCTTGATGTTGCATTTTGACGTGCGGCCGCGATGTTCAGCAGTGCTCGACGAAGGGAGGTGCCATTTGACGAAGCATGTACCGGAAACGAGGGGAACGTTGTTCAGGTCGTATATCTTGAGCTTGAAGTCGAAGCGCGGCTATGTCGGGATGGCATCAACGAGAGAGCACAGGTCATGCACACTTTGAGAATTGACGTACACGACGAGCCTTGGGGACTGTGAAGGTCAGCGTTTGGGCCCTGAGGGCGGCTGCCATTGCGCTTGTCTGGCCTTACCAAAGGTCTGCATCTACGTGGTGGAGACGGTCAAGAGGGTTGAAGTAGAGTCTGCTGGATACGACGGCTTGCGGGATATTCGACCATGGAGATAGGGAATTTGTGAGATAATGGTCCAGAGTACGGAAGACGCGGCAACAACTACAGTACCCGCATGTGAAGATGACGACGATCCTTTGGCGGACTTAAGACCGGCGTTTGCTGCCAAGATCAAGGCCAAAGATCTGACTTTCTGAACTTTTGAAACCAATCGCATGCTCCATTCTGCATGACCTTCTGATGTTGCGGCCGTTGTCTGCTAGAGACGCGTCGACATGTCTACGATGCAATCTACGTCTCGTGCTCCGCCAAATCCATCAACGCCGAAATCAGTCCTCGGACCAGTCGCCTCATCTGACCCTGGACTCCACCGTGCAAGCGCCTACGCCTGAGCAGAAGTCGATCCAGAACGAACAATCCGGTCTTCTTTCGATTGTCCGTACACATGGCAACCACGGTAGGATCCGCGGGAGGAAAGGTGGCCAGAGACGTGTCGAGTCGTCCGAGCCTTTGTCTATCGACAGCTTGGGCCGATCTTCAGATGTCATCGTTCTGCGTGACTTGCACGAGCCCCAGCCAGCGAAAAAGTCACTCCTGGACTATCAGAACATGCAAGAAGAGGGCACTCTCGAGCCCAAGCCTCGTGCTTTGACTTCCAGGGATATCCAGGAAATGGCTGGTGGCAGAGCAATTCGACCAGCCCTCGCCGAAGTATTCGAGTCGATAGACGCTCTCAGGCCTGAAGAGGGTGTTTACATCGTCACTAGGTCCGAGTATGACGCCAAGTTCACTGCCATAGCCAAGGCCTATAACATGACCCAGCTCAGAGGCTATGTTTATCAGTATACTCGCCCCGAACGGAAGCGAGGAACTGCCCTCAAATCAAGCAAGCGTAATAGCACTGCGGTTCGTCAGAACAACGTAGACTCTACTGAGATCAGTAGCTCTGGGGAAGAGTTACAAACCCTTACGCGAACCGCCTGGCACCCCGGGGACACTCCTATCGAGAAGCGATTGCCTGTGCACCTCTCCACCGTACATACGGCCCGCAAGATGAACAACAAGGAATATGTGATAGACTTTATATTGCGCGACATTTGGTCACTCGGAATCGAGGAAGAAGAAGCAGCTCTGGGCGAATTAGAGTTTATCTTGTCACCTATGCAATTTGGCCTATTGCTCACCAAAAATTCGGAAACGCTGCGACCCCTGCTTGACAGCTCTAAATACTACAAGAACTCTCGCTTCCAGTTGCACCAAGCCGATCGTGTCATCCGAATCATAGGTCCAAAAGCTGAGGCTGAGGCCATTGCACACGTCTTGGCTGAGGCTTATGCTCCTGCTAGAAGCGCAGACATGGACCTCAAGAGCTTCCACACCGCTATGCATAGTTATCCTACCGGCTTCAAATTACACGATGTACTCACTCTTCAACGCCTGAACAATATTATGGAGTTGACAAGGACCTACATCAGCTACGACTCCGACGCTCGGCGACTTCGTATTGCCAGCTTCGTTGATACCGCTATCAATGACGCCCATCGCTTAATTGTCGCTCTGTTACCCATGGACATGCGCAGAAAGGTCATAGATCTTTATGACATGCGCAGCACCGACGAGTACCGTCTAGAGCCCATATCAACCATGAAGCATCTGCCTTCTCGTCATAAACACCGCCTACTTGGTCGATGGGTCACTATCTCGACCAAAATTCCAAGCCCCGACGAACAATTCCCCACTCAACCTAACCAAGGAGCCGAGATTCTCGACAGCGGAGGCGCTTCAGACGCCACCACCGTGCCTCTATACAGTCCGATTGTTGCGAAAGCTCTCGATCTTATGGAAAGTCACTTTGAGAAACAAGCTGTATCACCCTCACCCAAATATAGTAGTTGGCCGTCACAGGATGAATACGGCAGCTGGAATGCGCGCATTGGCCAGTCACTACACGACGTCCAAGTCGCAACCTCCTATCCTGGTGCTTCTGCTTTGCATCCAGATGTGAGCAAAGAGCATACTCGTCACCGCGAGTCTACCTTTGCACCCTACTTGCCAGGCCTCGTTGGCCTCTTGGCTTGTGGGCGGCCGCCCGCTTACAAAGGGGTCAATCCTATACCGCGGGAAGGAACACAGCTTATAGCTCATCTGGTTCCATCGCCCTTCGAAGGCTTGGGCTGTCTTGCCAGCACTGCCCTCCCCAGGATTCAGTTACGCTTCAACATTCACGATTCCGATCCAACACACGATCTAGAGGACTTTGAACATAGCATTATGCCAACTCCACTTCCAAATGGCAAGTGGATTGCTTTCTCTCACATGCGTCTCAACATTGCCACTGATGTCGTGTCAATGCATTTGCCGACACAACCTGCTGATATCATCCTCGAGCGTGAGAGGGTTCTCATTTCCAAGTATGTGACCCGCGATGCACGTATCAGGTCATTCGTCAAAGCAGTGCAGACCAGCATGGCGAGCGATACTGTCCTGCGTGCTCCCCCAGCACTTAAAATTAACGTACCGGCACACGTCGTTGTCACACAGCTCCCGAACAACAAGTCTCTCAAAACACGTAAACCTGAGCGTTCGAACCCCGGGCATGGTCCTACTGTCCCTACGAAGTACCTGTTCGCCGGCTTCGAGTATCGCGAATGGAACTCTTTTGCTCACTCATCAGTCGAGCCACATTGTAATGTAATGGCTGAAACCTTCGAGGCGGGTGTAGCTGGTGGACGTCGCGTCGAGGTTACCGTGCGGCCGAAGTACAAGTTATTCAACAACGTGCAAGATCGGGCCATGCTGAGAAAGCTCATCGGCGCTTCAGTCAAAGTGCTCAAAATTCTGGGGACGCCTTCGATTGGAAATTTGGACTCCCCTACTACGACCATTCCCAAGGCGAAGGAAGAGGAAACCTTTGAACCGTCCAAGCTGAAACCTAGAAAGGAAAATGATGCGCGTGGAAAACCCGCCTCTAAGGAGAAGAAGAAGACTTCTGCGACCACAGCAGAGATGGCGCAAGGCTCGAACATCGCCGACCTCGAAAAGCTTCGACCCGAAGAAGTCGCAAGCGACGAGAAGCAGCTTGAGCTTGAGCTTGAGCTAGATACCGACCAGCGCCCTCGCATAGAGGAAGCAGCATTAGGCGAACCACCTCGTCTGCAGAACAGCACGCCCGATAGCGCTGACGAGCAAATTGAATCCGGTATCAAGCCAGCTTCGAGAGCAGACAACGAGGCTCTGGAAAACGCCATTTCTAAATCAGAGATCGAAGTCCAAGCCCTTGACGTACTGGTCCCTGCTGAGCGTGTTGTCGAGCCTGTTACACAAGAGATCCCGAGCACGTCAGAACCCGCCCCAAGCACAAGCAGAGACACAGCGAGTGAGCAAACAATCGCACAAGAGGTCGCAGAAGACAAAGACACGACGAGTGAGCAAGCTTCTGCGCAAGAGAGCCAAGAAGACAGGACCGAGGAAGAAAAGGCACCAGAAGAAGAACCCTTGAGCGTCAGGCTAAGACGCCTGATGGGTGGTGCTTAGATGCGCGTCTGACTCTCATCGCTCAAACCACATCAAAAGCATTTCGGGAGCTCTACCACCTTGTAAGACTATACATATAAATTTTGTAACACTAGACTATTGAATTAACTCGTCACCTTTCCGAATGCCATTGATTCTCGAGGCAGTGTGAAATTTTGAACAGCTTATTATGATTTTTTGGTGCTATATATCAGGCGATACATATCCTAATATGTGTCGCCGTCCGCTTGCACACCGTGTTATGTAGAATGTGGTTGGAAAAGCATAGTCTGTAAGCTACAATAACCTTGCTTTTGATCAGTAGAGGGGGCCGTTTCTATCCGAATCGAGATTGGACCTGATGAGCAAGAATAGCATCGAGAGCTACCCAGTCCAAGCTAGTGTATCGGAATGCGAGTTATGTAGCGAGGAGATCAGCAGTGCGATCATTGAATTCTCAAACGCTTATAAGTGGGAGAGGCAGTATCGTCGGAAGCAGCATTCTAAACAGCACTGACACGCGGTCTCTTGCGACCACCGCCAATGGTAGTCTCCGTCCTCTGAGTTCTCTTCTCCTGGGCATCAAGCACCAAGCTGAGCACGTCGAAACCGAATTGAGGGAACTCGAGACACATGCTGCGGAACTCTCTCTCGGCCTCGTGACGCAGGACGTGGGATCTGGTGGCCCAGAAGGCGGCGACGGGCTTGCGGATGCTCTCGTCTGTGGTGGCGGTGTGGCCGTAGACGTAGCGTGCGTATTCGATCTCGCCGCGGGCGGTGCTGTTTGTGAGGTGGATCTTCTTGTGGGCGAGGGTTGCGAGGGCGGGGACACCGAAGCGCTGGGCCAGTGTGTAGACGCGGGCGTGGCGCAAGAGAGCCATACCCTCGGAGTCTGGTACGGGAATATCGGGGTCGGTCTCGAGGGAGGAGTTGTTGAGGGTGGGGAAGTAGTCGTTCTTGTAGAGGAACTCGAGGAAGCAGGCGGTCGCAGTCAGGTCCTCATCAGCGAGGTCGATGCGACGGGTCTCGCCCTCACCCAGGGCAAAGATCTTCTCCTCAAGGTAGGGGCTCTGCTCCAACAGGCGCTGGTGTGCGTGCAGAACGGTAATATCCTCGCCTTGGCCAACGGCCAACTCGACGATGGGAGATTTGAGGTAGCTGTCGCATTCGATCAGTGACTGTTTGCAACGCGACCCATGGCGCGATTCTACTCTAGAAAAGTGACGCGAGTAGGGAGCTCAGGCTCAATGTTCTCGAGACCGGTGGGCTCGTCTTGCTGCTCGGTGCTGGGAGCAGCGCTGTTCTCGGGCTGGGTGCTCTCATCCTGGCCACCCATGTCGACATCCTGGCTCTGGGTAGGCGCAGGAGTGTTGTTTTCGCTGACATCAATGACAACCTCGGATTCGGCCATTGCGACAATTTTATAGTATGTGTAGTGCTCAGACGGTGCTGTCGTCAAGTATGAAACGCGTCAATTGTACGCGCAGTGTTGGGAATTACGCGTCATAGATGCTATGGGGAGCAAGGCTGGAGATCGGCGACAAGAGCGAGAGTGATTTGACGGCAAGGCAGATGAAGTGAGTGGATCGACTGAAGTCGACGAGCTGGAGACGAAGCAAAAGACCGGACGGACTCGCGTTCCATTCGTTCTGGAGCTTGGACCTCGCTACACCCCGTCCAAGCTCATACCGCCTCTAAGGAGAGACCGTTTCTAAGCATACATACACGATTTGCAGCACTATTCATACCATACATCTACATGTAAAGGCTCGAGTCCTTGAAGCTCTCGCCAGTACTAGCAATCGGCTTCTCTACCCGTATCGCCCTCGCCCACAGAAACCAGTCCTCGAGAGGAATAAATACATAAAACACCTTGTTGCTCACGAACGCCGACAATACGTATATCGCCGCGATCAAAGCGTCAAGGAAGTAATGATTTGCTGTCGCCACAATGGCAGTCAAAATCATCGTCGGATACCCAACTCCCAGGACAAGATACCAGACCTTCCATGCTATTGACTTGCGCACCTCTCCGTACTCTGGCTTTCTACGCGGGATTCCGGAATGGTAGATCAGAGTGCAACCAATGGCAAAGGCATACGCGAAATGTACACTTGGCATGGCTGCGAGACTATTCACGAACTTGCCGCTCATCCAGACCGATTGTGCATCGTCATGCCTGACAGTGTCCAAAAACCCGTACTCTTTTTGCAGCAGTCGAGGGGGCATGCAGGGATATACGACGTACGTCGTGAAGGCCATGAAGTTAGTCAAGTTCATGGTTCGACGTACTGTTGCGAACGTTGAATGTGATGGTGCAACATAATAGTACCATGCGATGAAGCCTACTGTTCCAGGTACGTGTATATATGCGTATACTTTGTTCAAAGCAGTCAAAGCGTCCTGATGGTCGTGCATGAACCACTGTTGTATGTCCAGCTCACGAGAAAATATATGGCTGAGAAGTCCATGCTGCTCGAAATCTAGGATGGCAAGCCCATGGCTCTCAGCTACTGTCCAAATCCCTCGCCCCGCAAACAGCTTTTGCGACAAAATTGCCGTCATACGATAAAACGCATAGTTGATGACCCAGTAGAACATCTCGACCAAGAAGGGGAATCTTTGCAGCACGCGACTGTGGAGGTTGTTCTTGAATCGAGCGGTGTTGGGCGTCTTGACGCTGAGGCAGAGCAATGTTCGTATCTTGGGCAGATGCTTTGTCGTGCTTAGAGTCTCTTGCGCATCGTGCTCGTTGCATGCGTCGTGATCCAAGAGCTCATCTGATGAGCAAGCAGTATCGTCGCCGTCCAAAGCTGACTTGTATACACCAGACCTTCCTTTGAACACCCGGTTCCCCCTCTTTCTTGTCACGAACATGGCCCCGAAAATAATGGTCATAACCATCTGCAAGAATCAACGTCAGCGTGTTCTTCTCCCTCAAGGAGAGCGTGTTCGTACCAATGGCTCAGCCCAGCCAGGTAGCTTCCACGCTGGTTTACTATTCCGTTGTGGTTCTTCCGCTATCGTCGTGTTCTCGAGCATGGCGAATATAGTCGACGCGGGCGACTAATGGAACAGCGAATGTGATGAGCAGTAGGTATGGAGTTTGACACTTCTGCAGAACATTTGTGTGTAGCGAGTTGATCTCCGAGTGTCCTATGCAAGGAGTTAATCCGATCCAGGGCGACGGCTGCCAGTAAGATGACCGCAAACAGTCTGAAAGAATTCTAGAGACAGGGATGCTATGAAACACAGGAGGTCGAGAATGAAAGGCTGACTGTTAGTTTCACTCACGAAGCTTGATGGCATTGTTTCCGTTCTTTCCCAAGCGAGAGATGATTTTGAGCACAATTGCTTCGCACCTAACTTTGTTTGAACTTTCCGCGTCATCGCGATGGATACAGTGTCATTCTTCAACTTGAGACACGTGTCGCAAATGATGATTGGGAAGGTACATGATCTCCCCTGTGGTCGTCGGAGCAATTCTCTTTGGCTCTACTCTCGTCGAGTTCGTTGGTATGGTGGGATCTCGATCGGAACTCGACATCCAGGAACCGAGTTACAGTCAATCATGCCGCATACCTATTAGTATTTGATCAAGGACTTAAGCGTTGATTGATATGGAATAGATTCCGCAAAGCAGATTCATAGTCCTCGAGGTTGGAGGTTTATCAGGATGCTCTTACCGATCTACACTCGTCAAAACCTTCCGAATCTACACCTTGGCAGGCACTCAAAAACGGCTCCACAGCTAAGCGCCAGCCCCGCCTGAACTCAATCACTATCACAGCTTCTCTGTACGCGCTTCAGCAAACATTACACCCTCAGTGTCTCGTCCACGAAATACCTTGTTCCATCTTTGCGCGAGATTTGCCTGTTCTCAAAGTGTACCGCTCCCGGAGCAAGTATGTATCATTTGTTCATCGTCTCTTCAAGTGGGCTCGAAGCAGCCGGCTGCAAAGTCTCGACAGCTTCCGCAATGCCCATCTTTCGTTACGTCAAATTGATCTTCTTTTTTGTAGCTTCAAATCTCGTCGAGAAGATTAGCACGGTCTCATATGTTCCGACTACTACTCGACAAAATGGCAAGCCTTTTGACAAGTACTAAGTTTCTCAAAGGTGTGATTTATTGAGCCCCGAAGTTTACGATGGACGTTCCTGGTGCCGCACTCGAGGCCTTATCTATTGTACACCATACCGATCGAAACGCCAGCTATACCATAGAGACAATCGATCGGGATGACAAACACAGCGACCAAATGAGCCAATCGGTCTGGATGGTCGTTGGCAAGGATTGTGATGTGGAGCCTGAGAGACTAGAGAGCGGTCTGGAGGTTAGCCATCACATTCGGTAAGACATCCAGAGCTGACCACAACACTTCGTCCAGAACAGAGTCGACGTTAACGACCCGACATCTGAAAATCACGAGATGACGCTACGCCCAGGAACATCAAGCCTGGCTCAATCTAGTAGCCTTGGAGATGCATCAGAAAAGACCGAATCATCCTCAGACTCGGAAGATTTGGTGAGTAGCACAACTGTTCTCACAAACTTCGGTAGCACTCAACGCTGGCTTGAGTCAGTCCCTCGATTCATATTCTACTTGCCCTTGAGAAACTTTCTATCGCACACTATTGACTGATTCTACGCGGAAAAGACAACCCCCACCTCGAACAAGTCGAAGAAGAAGCGATCGACCAGACAGGCTGGTAGTTCTTCGAAGTTCAAAGACGACTGGCCTATACACCATCCAGAATTCGCATTCTACGACGCATGAACACGTGAGAACTCTCCTGATTACACAAAGAGGATCGACCAAGCAGACTTTCTTTCCAAAAGTTGTCGTGTTTGCGATCAGCGTAAGAGAAGCCGTACGCGGTGTCGAAATGGCTGCGATGTTGTCCCTAGGTCTAACCTTAGCACTAGACAATGCCCGTGTGGAAGATATGTGATCCCGGGCAAGAGGTGCACATGTGACATGGTTATGAACTGAAATCATCATATTGGATTTGTACTGCTGTAAAGGTATCTCTGCGGATGCTGCTACAACATATTGATAGGATCGGGCTCAGAAGCAACCTCCTCCGTGTCTGCTGTATATAGCCAAGAATTACAAACATCATATTTGACATCCATCAACACTACATTCACAAGACTATCGCCACACTGTCTGATCCCCGAACTCATATTGACGATATGAACTGCTCTCTTCCTCCAGAAGAAGTATCTCCACCAATCTCTCCACATTGGCTCATGATCCTCACCTCCTGATCGACCACAGGAACATGCTCGCAACATGAGTTGCATTCAACAAGTCCCAGATTGATGTTTTAGTGTGGTTGGTTTGAGGTGCTGGATTTGCACGATTGGTGTGACGCGGTCCTACCTTATGAATGGAAGTGAGAGAAAGAGTTTTTGGGGTTTTTTCCCGGCTGGAGGGTCTTGTGATGTTCCGTGATAGGTTTCAATGCACATCGTATCTCATGTTCATGTTTATCTTGGTTGTGTATTGCTCAATCCGAGCGCAGAAAACTTTTATTAATCTTGGAACATCTTGATGTAGAAGTGTTCTCCTGATTTGATCACCTTCATCTCCTCGCCCACTCTTATCTCTTCACTACCCTTGGAATCCTTGAGTAGCGGCACCATCTGCATGCCTAGCACTGGATGGGCACCAGCACCCTTGTCGACGTGTCCGCGCACTTGTTTGAGTGTCTTGTAAGGCTCGACGCGATCTTTGATACCAGTCAAAGGATCAACGTTGGGAAGATCACAGCGTGTGGTTCGGCAGCTGACGTGGTAATCGAGGTTTCCCGAGCGGATAATTTTCCAGTCGTCTTCGGCGAAGGGTGGGATGCCAGTCACTGAACAATTGTTAGCGAGCGGTTCTGGTAGACGAGAAGTATGGCGATGGCTCACGGTAAATGTTGGCGCGGAAGCGCATGGCATCGAGGTGAGGAGTTGGGAGATTCTTCACTGTTTTTGAAACCTTTTGTACAGAGGCAAGGCCCATAATCGACAAGGGGTACTGAAGACGATGTCAGTGTTTGTGCATCGGCCTTCGTGTCCAATGTGACTTACAGCATCAGCAAAGCCCACACCAGGTTGGTAACCCGCCTCTTCTATCCTGGGTGCGTTCCTAAACACTTGACGATGGTTGAGAGGATCCGCTTTGAACAGAGCCAGAGGGTTAGAGACACCAAGGAAGTATTTCAACTTGGCCAAAGTCTCTAGTGGAATCTCGGATGTGATGTTGATGGCGTTGGGTGAGTCCTTCCAGATTTTCATGACTTCTTTGTGGTACTTGGTCGAGCGATTCTCGTCAGGGGCGATGGGAAGCTTGAACGTAAGCCGTGGCTCTGCTCTGATATCGCGCTGAGCAAGCTTCACTTTGAGGAGCGAAAATGCAGTCCTCAAGCCATCCATATCCCAAGACCATTCAGGTGTGAAAGGGAACGAACAGACGACACAACCCTGCGACTTGACCCATTCTGCTTCAGGGGAATAGGTTGATGACGAAGTGTCTGGTATCCATACTTGAGTATCGACCTGGCTCAATCGAGGTACATTGCGTTGAGTGATGAACTTCCAGTTGTGAAGCCATTTGGTGCTGACATTAAGATCACCCTCCTCTTTCTCTGTCTCCTCTGTTTTTAGCTGGGCGAAGCAGAACTGACGATCATATCTCAGACCAGTCAGAATGACATCGTTGTGATCGATCTCAACAGGCTTGCATGATTTGACGGGGTATATGAACAGGGCCTTGATTCTGCATGTGGCCGATGAGTCCAAGTTCTCTCCATTGTACTCTGGTGAATACTGGTCGGACATGTTACTCCTTCCGATGAGCCCAATGCGGCGACATCCTGGAACGATCGAGTCTGCATCATGTTCCTTGCGGACTTTGTTGCTGAGAAGGACGAGTGAAGCAATGGATGCTGTGAGGATAATGATTAGGGCAGAAACGTTACTATGCAAGATGCTGTCCATTGTGTCGGGTTAAGCGAGCGAAATGGTGAAATAAACGTCCAGCAGATGCAAGAAGAAGGACAGACAGATCAAGCAGTGAAAGCAGAAAGACGAGGCAAGGAAAACAGCAGCATGGTAGAAGAGAGACAGCGGAAAGGAAGCAAAAGCGACTACTCTCAGGATCTTCAGGTACAGAAAGGAGTGTTGTACTATTTGAGTCCAGAAGACTGGGGCTCTGAGCTGAAGCAAGTCATATGGAGCGGCCCGCAATGGGGCTTCGGCGAGTCCGATGGTGGTTTGGCCACCCATCGCGAAGCACTATTCTAAAACAGCATTTATCAAGGTAGATCTGTGGACGACGACACGATGGATCAGATCGAAAGAGTGAAATGGTGTGTAAGATCAGCGGAATAAAGGCTTGGCTTCAGGAAGTGCATTTGGTAAAGTTAGCTATCTCCGGCAAGAAGTCGATGTTGGCAGGGTCGAAGTCATGTGAAGAGGGTGAATGTTTTCAGGCGCGCGTTCTTACCAGACGGGGACGCCGAGCCGCAATCGATAGGGACCGGTGGTGGGTGGACGCCGAATGTCTTCGCGGTGATGTTTCCCGGCGCAGATGATTGGACATGACCGCAAATAGCTTTTACATGTCCAAACAGCTTTATCTCCTCCAGGCCAGTGGCTGTTGACGGCGCGACTAAACATGTCCGAATCTGCCATGCCGCCGGCGTCGTCGAGCACGTCGCGAATGCCGCCAACCTCGTCGCGTAGGTCGCGTGTGCGCCAAACCCTTGTATACAAAGTCTGACTCGTTGTCAGATCGCCTTCCTACCGTCTCGGCCTCTGAAGCACTGCTTGGTCTCCAGTCGCGCGGTCCTCGGTCTATATCCACCGGCCTCGAGCAACTCAACGCCATCCTCAGCGCCACCAATGCCGGACTTGGGCGTGGTAAAATCACCGAGATTTGGGGGCCGTCGGGCTCAGGCAAGACTTCTCTTGCGTACGTTCGACGTCCAATTCCACGCGATATGTGTGCTTATGGGTAGAAAGACTTCAAACGGCAACACATGCCCTGGGCAATGGGACTTCGGTGGTCTGGATAGGTGCGTCTTCTTTTGTCATGGCCTTTGTGCTCTATATGCGCCTGCTAACATGGTCACAGACGCGACGACGGCCTTTGCAAAATGCAGGCTGACCCACTTCCTTGCCGCGAAGTTACCTGAGAACGAAGCCGACCAGCACGAGGAGCAAACACTCAGTCGCTTTCATGCCTATTCGACTCCTACCGTCGCCCATCTATTAGCTCTTACCCTCCATCCACCACAAACATTCCCGCCGCCAGGGACCTCCCTAATGGTTATAGACAACTTACACGCCATCTTCGAAGTATCCTACCCTCGCAACCGCGCAAACACTTTTTCGAGTCACAAGACAGAAGCTGCCAGATGGGCTGCCGGCCGTCGCTATGGTATCATGGGCACTCTCATGTCTGCTCTGAAGAAGCTGGCCGCACTGAACGACATGGCTATTGTTGTGACTACCGGATGTGCCACGCGCGTCCGTCCTGGCAGCGGCTTGGGAGCCGTCTTGGTGCCTGGTATGGGAGGCGCCGAATGGGAAGCTGGCATATCCAACAGACTTGTCATGCTTAGGGACTTTAAGTTGGGAAGCTGGGCACAACAACAGCAGGACTCCGAGAGTGCGAGATACATTGGGCTACAAAAAAATAACGGTGTTGCTTTTTCCGACGAAGGAGAGACTGGGCAGGTGGTCGCCTTCACCATGAGCAAGGAAGGCCTCAGGGATGTCGTCAACAAGAGCAGCACTGCAGACGCTCCCGTCGTGACACTTGCCGCGTCATCTCCTTCCAAGAGCCGTAAGCGCCCACACGCCGACACTGTTGATGGCACTGCAGAGGGCCGTGACGAATACGGCTGGTTCAATAGAGACGAGGTAGACGCAGAAGGCTTCGTGGACGATGCAGCTCTGCTCGAGGACGAGGAGGCCGCTGCGATTGCCGTGCCGGGAGAAGACCAACCTGCCGCTATCGTCATTGACGATTGAGCAGCATCACAACATCCGTCCGGCAGATGGCGTTGAACTGCTTCTGGTCGCGGCAGAAGACAACCGTGTCATCTAGATGTCGGACATTTATCCACACCCGCTGGAATATACCGGATAAACTCGCGCAACCCCTTTGCTCTGCAGGAAGAAACTCCGGCTACAAAGCCACATACCAACAACACACCCCCCACGCCGGCGCACTCCGATCCACCATCACATCTACATTCTTGATTACGCATGTTCTATTCTCAGCCTCGTCGCGCATCAGGATAAACAAGGAGTACGAAAGCCTCCGTCGAGACAAAAGGTCACCAGGTTACTCATCTTTGGCATGTGAAAAGGGAGACAGCCTTTTGTTGATTTGGCGTGGTATCTGCATGTGATGAAGGGGGCTGCATGTGCAACAAAGACATGCAATGCAGAAGAACCGGCCCGGTGCAGCCACATATGATCGCTCACTGGGCTGTGCATATTGATTGGAAACATGCATGGGGTGTGGAGAAAGAAGAAGAAGTTGGAACAAGATGTGTTGGTGGCTGTGGTTGGAGATACACACCGGCCCGCACAATACACACGCACAACAGACACAGATAGAGATACATGAAGCATCGACGAGACAAGAAGCCGCACTCTCTTTGGCCACGTGCCTTGTGTTATTGGGCCAGATGACTTGCATGATCTTTGCCCTCCACCTCCACGTCTGATGTTCTTGTGATCTGTTCTATTGTTATTCTGCAGTATCCTATCAACAAGCAACATCTAGGGCTGAGGAGGGAGTCAAACAACCCCCGAGCAGCCCCGTGGAACGCGTGTCTTGCTCGTATCGCGCGCATGTGAAACATCAGCTCTTAAGTACTTTCAACTTCGAGGCCTCTGTTTGCAAGAAACTATTGGCTCGAAGAAGAAGGCGGTCAAACAGAGGCAACCACAATCACCACCTGCACTCCTTGGAGCATGCATAGCCTCAATGTAGTTGTTCAATAGCACGATCCCATAGCGCGATCCCACAGCCCAACAGTAGTCATCGAATAGCATGAATGCAGACTCGGAGGTAGGTCGTTGCGCTTAGGTAAGTGGAGATGAGGAGGATCCCAAACGAAACCCGTTCTCTCGTGCCTCGGACCATTAACATGATGTACAAAACAAGGTGCAAGCCCCGGCCGACAATCACACCAAGGGGAGAACTTGAGGCTCTGCTAAGAAGGGTGTGTGCGCCCAGTCAAACTCGCGGGGGGAAGGGGAAACAAAGCAAGATTCGGTGTGCCACTCCTTCCCACGCGGGCGCATAAGGCTGCTGCGGAGTAAGTGGACAAGTACCGATGTCTCTTTCTGGCGCGGAGAGAAGAAAGAGGAGAGGTCTACTTTTGCCTTTTGGTTCGACGCCATCATCCTGGGGAAATCGAGGGCTGGAGGGAAGAGACATGTGGCTTGGGCGGGTAGAAGCGGCCCCAGACAAACCCCAGAACCAAGACCGGGGCGTGGAAGGATGGAGGAATGAGGACCTAGGTACAAAAAAATCATGTACCTCGCCTCGTACCGCGGTCAACGTACACGTACCTGCCTGAGATTTTCACACACATGTAATTATGTCAACTTTTGGGCTACGCCGGCAATCGGTGTGAGAGATGGTAGCCATGATCTCGTCGCCCATTCGTCCGGTGACCCTTCCGCCTATCTTTTACGGCAGATAGTGGCAATATATCACGTAGTGGTGACGATGATCTGGCTGCCTGTATGTTGTCGGCCTCAAGATGGGCGACCCCCACGGTTTTGCACGATCTAGATTTCTGATCTGATTTTGTCCATTTCCCCGACGAGGTTTGTGCTTGAACGCCGTGAGGCCATCGATCGGGAATATTGCGTCGTTCAATACTGATGACGTAGCTGGGTAGATGTGCGCTTTTCGACGGGAAAACAAGGATGCGACACGATCTTCGGGGGTTCACCGTCCATAGCGATGTTGGCAGGGGATCGTCTGTCATGTACTTTGAGTTTGTCTACCGTCGTGATGCCAAGTGGAGCCGACGGGGCAGGAAGTTTCGTTGGGAATGCCCAGTCCAAGAAAGAGCACACGTTGCGACGCCCATTCTTGTCGCGGTGAAGGTGGAGAGTAGTCTTGCACCGGTAGCTGTGGCCAGTTGGTAGTCAGCGCTGTTGCGATCTCTTGACACTGAAGTCTACCGTCCTTATCGCTTCCACAACCAGAGAACTATATCGCGGGTGACTACGGCCGTGAAGAGCAATATCGCGGGTTCTCATGCCCATTTCTGAGCAACAAGAAAGAGTCGGGAAAAGCGGTTGCTAGTCTCTTGACTTCTCGACAGCGTAGGATGAAGCTTTCTGTCTAGTCGCCCTGTCGTGCGCATGACAAGAGGTTGAGGTTGTCTTTGTTTCCCCGCGATCCCCGCAACAAAGGAACCTGGAGAGACTTTCGATCGGGAAGCTGAAGACCGTCTTCCTCAATTCGGGATGCCGGTTACCCCGACTGGGGACGAGCATGGAGGATTTTCTGTACCTGCAAGCCACGCCCGCATTGAATAGGAAGGTGGCTTGGGCAGAAACAATGGTGAAAGGCAGGTGGCCAGGAAATGGTCCTTCCTTCAAGCATTCGTGTGCCAAAACGACCAGCGAGATAGGCGCCTGACGATCGATATCTAAACAAGTTTTTCTCTGCGTGCATTGCGAAAACGTAGTCCCGAGTTTGGCCGAAGACAGTGCACGCTTTTGGCAGGCCTTGCGACGGTGCGTTCGTACGAAATAGTTGCCCTAGTTGATCACGAAAGGAGAGTGTGGATCACTATATTGACATGTTGCGAGATGTCATGACACACAACGTCTGATAAAGCAGATACACACGGAGAAAAGAGCAAAGCTCACTAGACAAGCGTTCGTTGCGTTGGAAAGAGGAGACATGCAGTGGCCAGAGCGACCTGCCTACGTCGATCAGGGGGGTCTAATTCATGCTTGATGCGGGCATCTCGAGTCTCATGGCGTGACTTCGGAGGAAGGACGATCATGTCGGGGTAATCTGCAGCAAGTCTGATGCACAGTAAAGGGCGTTTGTGTAGCCAACGATGACTCAACTCGTGAGGTCGATTGGTCGGAAGGGTGTGCGCAGCTTCGAAATGAGAGACGACGATCCCGTAAGCCCACTCGGCGCTCAGTCGCCCTTCCGTACGCAAGAAACTCGAACAGACTTCCCACTGCGCCGACTGCTAAGAGCTGAGACGCTCGTTCTGCATCACCGAGCGCTCCTATGAGGGCCCGTGGGGAGGCTTAGGGGACGCTGGGGCATGCATGTGGACTGATTGTGGATAAGAAATCTGGAGAACAACACGTACTTCTGCTGCACTGACACGCACGATGCTTTGTTGCGGAGACATTGTGGAGCTGATGTTGTGGAGCAACGAATCAACGGCTGAGTTTTCGAGTCGGTTTTGTTCGATGGTATTGATAAAGTTGTGATTTGCGAAGCAGAGAGTGAGTCTGTTTCGAAAGGTTGATTTAAGGGGAGAGCAAGAAAGCGTCTATGTAGCGAAAGGAGCCATCAGACCTCATTCGGCCGAATTAGTTGTAGAGCAAAAGACAAGCCGCTAAAATCGCAAAAGAGACGAAAGTGATTGGGGTTTTTGAAAGCAATAACAAAACAATTGGCAATCTTTTCGATCGCAGGTATCCTCTTGAGCCACAAACCCGGCAAGGGATCCTTCAGTGAACAACCCTCGCACTTTCCCACTCAATGATTCCAGGGAACCGACTCCGGTCCAGTCTATAGGGTAGTGAAAACGCCGTGCCTAAACGAAGAAGAAGAGAGACTCCGAAAATGATGACAGAACACCCAGACCATGATATCGTGCCATAGCCATAAAGCCCAACGCCGAGACAATGATTTCAAACAAACGGATTTCGAAGCGTGCTTTAATTTGAATTGTCGCCAGCTATGCTACCAGTGGTGCTAGACTGGCCGCTGCTGAAGCCATTAGGGTTGTTGAGGAGATCGTTGACTTTGACGGCGGAAGGGTGCATGGGAATGGGCAACTTTCGTTGGGCTCCATCTTCGCGTTCCATGATCTCACTGATGCGAAGGCCGCTGTGGTGCGTCGGAATGTACGGCTGTTGACCGTCAGCGGACGGCTCAACAGGGGCAAGGGCCGGAGGCGGTTGGTGCTGGAGGGAAAGGTGGTGGAGTGTAGGGAGTTGCACACCATTGTGGAAGTACTGCGGACGGAGCCGAGGAGAATGAGAGGGAGTAGCCAAAGGAGTGTGGTCAGGAGTCGGTGAAGTTGACTCGTGCGAGAACGAAGGAGATGGTGGTGCGGTTGATTGGGGAGATCCAGGGCGCGACTTCTTGGTCATGCGGTGAGAGTAAGGGTCGTCATCCTCGTGCGAATGCGAGCGCGACATGGGCTGAGAAGTGGGATTGGAGCTGTAGTGGTAAGCCGAGAGCGAGGGAAGACGACCGGTTGAGTATGGGTGATGGCTGTAAGGGTGGGTGCCATATGTGTGTCTGTTGGCAAGACCCATGTGGTGCGAAGGCAGCGAGTTCTCACGCTCGACCTGCGAGGCGGCGGTGGCCAGAAGGTTAATGTCCATGGGGTGGTTGAGACCAGCAGGGCTAAGATCGCCGCTCACGTTGCGCGTCAAGTATGAGCCAGGGTTACTTGTGTAGGCGCTGGCATAAGAATGAGGAGGAGACACGTTTGGTGAAGAGAGCTGAGATGAAGGCGCCGAGTGGGACAAGCTGCTCATCTTGGGGGGAGGAGGCATCATGTGGTTCATTTGCTGCATGACCTGGTGCTGAGCCTGGTCCATGATGCCGGCCTGGGCGGCGGCGGCAGCGGCGGCGGCTGCAGCAGCGGCGGCGGCGTGTTGCTTGTTGCCGCGTCTCGAGTTGGGGTTGTTGTGGATGCGCGAGTGACGGGTCAGTTCATCAGAACGGCTGAAGCGCTTTGTGCAGCCCGGGAACTGGCAGGCGTGCGGCTTCTCGCCGGTGTGAGTGCGGATGTGACGCGTCTGGTGCTCAAGACGGTGGAAAGCCTTGTCGCACAGAGGACACTTGTAAGGACGGGGCAGGTCAGGGCGCACGTCCTGTTGCGAGGTTTGGGTAGTCTGCTCCTGGGTGGGCATCTGGGAGGCCATGGCGGGCACCGTGGCAGCAGCGGCCATGGAGGGATGAGACTGAACACCGGCGTCGACGTATGTCGAGGGGGCGCTGTGGTGCGATGGGGGAGTGGCCGAAGAGTTGTCTGGATTCAAGAGGCTGGAGAAATCCACACCGGACGAAGTGCGCTGCATTGACGACGTGAAGACGAAAAATCTGGAGAATAGGCGGGAGGGGAGAGGGCGGGAGAAGTGGTTAAATAGCGAGAGGGTGACGCAGACGAAGGGAAAAGGCGTGGGGGTGAGCTCCAACTTTGACTGAAAATGGGCGCAACGAAAAGATCCACCGGCCGCCAAGCCACAGCCTTCGTCGCGCCCGACGTTAGTCACTAGCGCATTGTGCTGCTGGCCCAGGGCCGACAAGCTGGCGAGGACATGCCGTCGGAACGACACGGCTCTAGATAGCGCAAGGTCTCTCTTCGGTCCCCGAAACCAAAACCACCTCGCCCGCTTGTGCCCATCTGTCCGTTTTGTGCATTGCACAGGCCCGCCCACCACCGCCCTTAACAGCCATGATCCCACCAGATCTCCTGCCTCCCCAGAGATCGTGCTTCTGTCGTCGTTTGTTGTCTTCCAAACCTCGTCTATTTTGCGGAGCTCCCGCCCGGTGATCGCAGTAACAAGAGTTTTTTTTAAGTTTCCTGTGGCATGTGTTGGGATATCAGCGTGCTTGACCGCGATCGAGCTCACACATCCTCCTCTGTGCTGCGATTATGACGATGTCGCACGGTTATCTCCCCCAAGCGCTGGCCCTTTGCGTTGCCTCTCCTTGCATCTTTGTATCTTTTTGTCTCTGCGCTACACCTGACACGGGCGTGCACGGGAAATGAAATTGTGGGGACCCACATACAAGAGTTTTCGAATACTCATGGAAGCGCCCCCAGAGGTAGGCCCGAAATAGCAGTGCGCCCTTGGCCTGTTGTCGTGTTTGTGCTTTACAACAGCCAAAGCGGCAGCAAAGCCCGGCTTCATCGAGATATTGAGACGCCAGACGCGATGTCCATTTCGCCGTGTTCTTGCCGAGTGCACTCTGATGTCTGAAGCCGGCATTACGAAACATGGAGCTTGGTGTCGGCTCTCTTACTTCGGCGCTCATCGAGGCCTTTGCAATCCCCATTTCTCGTTTGCGACGTATCCGGCCGCTCGCTTCTTCCACACCATTCTCCACCTCCTGTCTATGGGCTCTATTTCTCCGTTGGCGCTCGAAACAGTCGCTTGACGAGCTTCATGGCGGATGATTTCTTCCTTCTTATCTTTGCCCTATCTGCCTTCCACACCTGGAATGGCAAGCAGGGCTCACAGCCTGCATTCTCATTGGTCATTATCCGAGCATTTATCCGCCGATGGCTGTAGGTGTCTTCCCTGAATGCACTCCCGAAAGGGCCCAGAGACGTCCCGGGCCCAGAGACGTCCCCAGATCCTGGCACGTGAAACAACTCTGGAGATGACCACGTCCGGGGGAGCAAAACGTATTGCTCTATGCCGTCTAGGACCATAATCAAGCACATCCGTGCCTATTCGATATGCGCAGCTCTCAACAACGAAATGAAGGGCCGTGATCATAGCGTGCGTACTACCTTTGCCGCCCAATTTATTGCGCGTTGAGTGTTCCTCTTCCAAATCAGACACGGGTCAAGTGGAGGAGTCGAACGACCTACCTCACGTCAGGCGGGTAATTGCGCTCCACACCTCATGATCATCGCGATCACTATTGTCGCGAACTTGCGCGGCCATCCATCTGTCTCCTTCTGCCGATAAGAACTTCATCATTGTGATCATTCCCAAGGCTGGAACGCGAACGGGGTAATCCACCCCGCCATTGCGTGGGGAGACGATTTCTTGACCCCTTGGAGGAATCTGGGGGATTGGTTTAGGCTCGATCAATGGACGCCCCTTCCAAGCGCCGTGCAGTCGAATTGCCTCCTTTGCACAAACATCCAGTCTTGTAAAATGAAAACGTAAGACTTTGACCAATCGCTCGACCTCTCAACAAGCGTCAATCACGCCATTATCTGCGTCTGAATCGCTGACCCCTCTCGCACGTATCGCACAAAGCTCGTCTGATTTCGCCCACCGCGATCCTCGCATCACACACCTTATCAAGAAACTGACTTTCATAGCATCTCATAGATCCGGGGCACAACAGTCGGTTCTCCACGCCAAGGCAGCCATAATCTGGAGGCTGCAAGCCACATTTGCACATCCTCCACTTCTCTACCACTGCGACGGGTCAGTGCAGCATTCCCGTGAGGTTGCGGCAAAGACTTTCGGCGCTCGAAGAACTTCACTTCCCCAGGGTTCTAGAAGATCACATAATTTCAGAGGCGTTGAACGTTCGTCTATATCACGAAGGGCTTCCGGCGCATACCAGTGTTGCGAGAATAGATCTCGGTCCTCGACCAACGCTCCATGTCTATCCAATGCCTTGCGCAGGACTGAGGGATGGCCCAGACTTACAGGCCCACCGGACCTACGAGTCATCTTCGGCCTCTGCGTCTGGCTGCAAACCCCAACATCCTCCCTAGAATTCTGGGTGCTGCCCGACGGCAGTTGACCCGCTTACAGACTCTCCATGTAGCACACGTTGCGGAGGTCCAAACGAGAAGAATTGTCATCGGGTACGATCGGGCTTACTGTGCGGCAGATGAGAGTGGTGCGAGGCTCCACACGATAATATGAGATTATCAGTCGCAACGCCTAGATCCGCCCCTGCCATCGGAGGAACGCTCGAAGCAAATTCCGAATCCCTGAAACGTTGGCTACAGCCATGGCTTACGAGCACAAGACTTTGCCAACACGTGGCTATGAGCCCCCGGAGCCAAACGCGAAAGGATTTGATGCAGGTCCCAACTCCAGGAATTGATTTTTGCTGTCTCTCCACAAATATTTAGAGCCACCAACAAACACACAAGTATCTAATGGTTTTTCGTCATTTGCACACTGTTTAGTCAACGTCTATCGCAAGTACCCCAACGCTTGATGAGTGCGAAGAAAAAGTCATCTGTTATCTTCTTGGCAGTAGAATTTGCTCTTTCTCACCGGATACAGTATGGCGTCCGAAACATTGCCGCACAACCATCCCCAACACATTTCATGGAGAGACGAGCGTTCGCAAAGAAAAATCTTTTGCTGCTTGCCTTCTCACGGCGGATTCACGGCGCGTCACGCCATGCTTTCACCGTCGTCATCTCAATAGGAGTCTCGAGTTATGTCCAGGCCCATCGAAACATTTGCTAGTCAGCGACACGGTAGCCTAGTTTTGCTAAGCATGCTCGGCGAGTTGAGCAAAGCGAGGAGTGAGCACTGGCTTTCACCGCTCTTGGCCCGCCATGAACAGCCCTGTGCCCGGAGTTTTCTCTGAGATTCTCGCTCGCAAAGCATTCGCCGGCCCGATTCTGAGTGAAATACAAGCCGAAGCCAGTCTTTGTAATCCCACCCATATATATATGTTATGAAATCACAGACGCAATGCTTCGTACGCTTTAAGCTCAACACAATCTCGTTAACCGAGCCTGTCAACGAGAGTGGAGTAGACAAGGTGATGATGATGGCGGAAGGAAATCATCATATCACCACATCTTGAATAATACGTCCCCATCTTGTTCCTGCAGCTCATTACGTCGATGCCGTGTGGAGACCCCACCACGACCACTGCCACGCGTTTCCAAGATCAGAACCAAGCCTCGCCCACACGTGCAAAGCCACCACAATCTGAAAGGAAGCGCTTTGCGACTGCGCACTCCGTAGCAAGAGAAAACGGGGCGCATCTGGACCTTGTGTCATGGCCTCCATTCAACATCACAAGTGGGTTGGTCTACAGACCCAGCATGCCCCGACCAATAGCATACCGCTAAGCACATATCACAACATGCTTTCTTGGTCCGCTGTCATGATCAGGAAACCGTCTGTCTACTTTCATGTGATTGTCCCATTGATGCTCAAGACTTAGCAGTACGGGAAGATTTTCGCCGAGATGCGTCAGAGCAGTTTGAGCTCCTGCCCAACGAAATCCCACAGCATGCACACGAATCGTACTCGCAAAGCTCAACTACTGTTGGGAAATTTATGCGGATGCCTTGCGTCCTTTTCGGACCATGATTGCGTGCTTAGACCTTCTACGATGGTTTCGAGCAGATACGCCAGACGAGCACAAGAACACGCCATACGACGACGCTCAGTCTAATGCAAGATACGAGCATCCCCACAAAAGGGTGCTGGGGAGGCTGCGGGAAGCAATCTGGAGACGACGACGTTTACTCAAGTGCGGATGACTCTCAAATCGTCAGTCGAGTATGAGGACTCGTGGTGTGGGCCTCTTTTGCCTATCATCCACGGTTCCGGCGGGTCAATCAGCCTGGTCATAACGAAGAGAGAATGCTAATTTCGCAGGTCGGAAAAATCGGCTCTGTCGTGTAGCTGCTGAACGTCCAAACCGGCTTACCGTTCGTGGCGTTCCCCAATATTCTGTGGTCGGGACTCTGGAGCTGTGGTTCCTTGCAGGCAGATGGTTAAATATACCAGCATTTGTGTGCATCAGACGACCTTGGAGAGCCTGAGTGCACACCACAATCAAGCAATTTTAATAAGCGTCATCGATGGCAATGATAACGAGTCCCAGGGGAACACATGATAATCTGCGAGGACGGCGCCACATCCCAACACGATGCTGAAGATATTGGCAAATCGCTGTGACTTTGCGCCCACGTGCATCCGGAGATCTTTGAGACCACTTGTCCCCGCTCATATGTCGCGTTCTCCCTTTTTAGATTGTGACCGAACACGTCGCTGAAAGACGAAGGTGGGGTTTGCCACTGCCACATATCCGGGGAGGAGGATATCGCTCCATCTACCAGTCAAGTTTCTTTTCCAACTGACATAGGGCTTCAAAACCACTCACCCATCAGATAATGCGCTCAACCTCGCAACAGTAAATTGCTCGTTGGATTACATCGGAGTTGTCGCATTAGGCCTTTGCGTGGTGTGCTCTGGAATGTTCGCTTATCTTTACCTATCGATGTGGTCTTGACATGCCCTGAGTGGAGCCTCTCTGCTCGTTCAGACCTCAACGCAGATAAGACACCTGGTACAGCGGTCGGCGCAGACCGCTTCCTTCAGTCTTCTTGTCATGCACAAGCGCATCATAGGTGATGGGCGTTATTCAACATTGCTCAATTATGGCGACCTCTTCGAAGTTCGATTTATGATGGAGTCGACGTGCCATTAACTTCATCTGCTGTGTTGGCCTCTCTTGGTTCTTTTGTCACCGGAGGTATACTCGGCAAGTACAGTGCACTGCTCGCGACAGATCAATGCCGACCAGGTAGGTCACATTCGACTCAGTTCAGCGCGGGCATGTATTCGTATCAATAGCAGGCAGTTTGTGACCTGTTGGCACGACACTCTTGGTTCATCTCGACAAAGGTGCTGTCGAGAATCAACTCAAGCGACCACTAAGCAATGATGACTCCATGCCAAATTGCCTCAAAGCACCTCTCATGTCTGAAACCCCGTTCGAGTATTTCTTCTCAGCTTTACACATTTTCATCTCTTACATCCTCTTGCCCAAATCAACGAGAATCAAATCTCTGTACACATCGATCGAGAAGATGATACCATCACAACAAACCACTACTGCGATGTCCGACGATGCTTGGAACATGGCGACCTCAATCGAGGAAGGGGTCGAAGCTGAATACCTCCTCGCAAAGGACGAATCCTTCCTCATCACAAGAACGGACAAGAAGACGGATGGAAATTCCATGCAGAGCAGTCTGCGTACAGGTAAGCTCAAGTATCTGCTAGTCTGTTGAATAAGTATCCCGTCTTAGACATCAGAAGAGCCTGGCTAACTGCGTTTTCGTGTTAAGACCACGTCAAACGCCGCAACATCGCCATCACCGCCTGCGTAGGTAGTCTGATATTCGTCCTGCTGCTAGGTTTTGGTGTTGGTATGGTGGCTGCATAGAGCTCGGATACTGGCTCCAACTCGTGAGGTGATTGACCACACCTAAGTGGTCAGGGTCATACAACCAACAGCTAAATATGCCAACATGTGTGATTCGGCATCACACATGATGCGCTCTATGTATACTCCTAGGACGTATAACTACGATATGATAGGATTTGCTCTGACCATTTGAACTTGGCTTATGTCCAGTGCATCGTTGAAGACTAATGTATACTCGGCTGATTAGAGACGTACGATCTATCCAGATATTCAAACACAATGCATTGCGCGAAAGCCATGACTACATCAGAGGTATGGTGGTAGAACACGAAATAGATGTGTATACAACGCACTAATTCTAGAACAACAGCATCGATGAGTTCAACATAGTAATATTACTTGATGCCGCACCAGAGCATATGTTCGCTCGATTAGCCAGTTTAGGCCCTGCGGCTGTGCATTAACAAAGAACAATTAGACAAGGGATTGCTATACTTGTCGCGGCTCCCGTCGGTGACCTCAATTTTAGAGAAGAAGAAGTCACTGTGAGAGACGTCGCCATTAAAGACATAGTGATGAGCGCCTGTGCTATCCGCCATGGTGCCCTTAACGTCAAGGACAGAGACGCCAAAGATAGCGACGCCATCGCTAGTCTCGCCAGTCGGGGTGCCATCAAGATGGTCTTGTTGGATCATAAGGCCACTCTTGTCAGAATTGTCTATGATGATGTTCTTATACAGAATTTTGAGAGCTTCGCTAGTCCCACGCCCGTTTGACTTGATGCGGCAACCTTTATAGTTATCGACGATGACAGAGCTCTAGAAGGATATGTCACTGATGATATTGCTAGATGTGCCGCCGCTGGAGACCATAGAGACCATAGAGAGGATTGTGACCGCCAGAGCTAAACACATCGTTAGCCAGAATCTCTAATTGAGGAATCCTAGCTACGCCTCACTAACAGCTACGCCTTGTAACCAGCGCTGCAGAAAAGCGCGACATCGGCGAGAAAGACGGCGGGTTACCTACAAGGACAGATTGCTTCATGCTCTCCCGAATGAATCATGTCAATTAGGAAAACACTGTGCATCTTGACAGCCTACAAATTCCCAGATAGCTGTGAGCGAGAGAAGGCCGGAGATGCTCGAGATACAGAATGTAGAATCTACTGCTATGTCGAGATCGCCGGACGTATGTCTCGCACGGCATGACCGGCATTCTCGCCAGCACGTCGGACTTACCGAGCTCAGACTTGGAGTAAATGAAAGCTCCAGTGGGCTCCATAGCTTGTCGGGTCGTGAATGACATTTAGGTACCTTCGTCTATTCGTTTGCCGTGCAACAAATGTAGATAGAGCGGCCCAGCGTATCATGACACATTACGTGCACTGCTTTTGGGGTGAGTTGACGTCGAAGAGCGAAGCAACAAGTCGCCTCTCGGGCTCTGTGATCAAAGGTACAATCCAGTGGGAGCGCAGATGCCCTTGGAACTTGTGCTGCGGCCGGCAACACGTAAGACGGATGTGTAGTACAGAGTGAGCTCTATTGATCCTATGCATGCTCTGCTCTATAAACGAGCCTCGGCCATGTCTCTATTGGCGATGGTGTGCGCACTGCGTTGGCACACAAGATGGCTGAGACGATGTGCTGTCGCCAGATTTCGTCTGACAACTGCGAAGATTCGATGCTCTTTGTACTTTCTAGAGCATGCTTGGCATAGGTTATGCGAGTCACCAAGAGCCCAACCCCGGGAAAGATGGAAGTCCTTCCAACTGGTTCCTCAAGGACCAATCGCAGTAGACCGAAGCTCTCCATCCCGTTAGAAGGCTGTCACTTCGATTTGTCGGTTGCTAGATGGTTAGTGGCCCCGACGAATCAGCCAGTGGAAAACAGATACAATACGACGTACTTCCAACCAGAGCTGGTGTCTTGCTGTTCATGAGCCAGGGCAGGATTGTAAGACAGCCTTGGACCTGATAAGCTGTGAATAAGTTGCTATTGCCAAGAGGCTCGGAAGATGTACTCATCCAACAATCTGGTGACTAAGACCCAAAACAAATCGAGGCAGAGCTGAGAAAGTGCTTCAAATCGAGCAGCTTCGCCAGAGCTCTGTAAGCTCCTTCCGTCGATAAAGTCGATAGGTCGTATCAATAGTTGCCGATTGATTGCAGAGGCCAAGCATATGGAATTTTGTGTTTATTTCAGTGGCACATGCATATGCATACCCCTCCTCAACTGGAGAATCTGCCAAAACATGCAGCCCCTAGTGCATATGGTGTGAGGCACTATCGATATCGTCTTGAAACTGTGCATGCTTTACCGAGCGCCAGAGTCGGACTGTTAGTTTCCAGAGCAATAGAAAGATGCGCGAATGCGAGTGGCCAAAGGTCATGTGGAGACGGGGGGTGACCGTGACCGTCTAGGAGCCCTGCATTGTTCCCAACAAGAGGTTGCCTTTAGTACATTACCGGTGGGGCAACTTGAAAGACTGTTGTGCGCAACACTGGTCTCGCTCCCACGGCTTGTGGGAATCAAGTGCAAGATCAGTCTTGAGCATGACACCAGTTTGCGAATCGTTGCATGAGCAAACCTGATACCTGGTGTTTGAAAAACGCATTGCAATCCGCAGGGCGTGACAGAGGCACATGACGCGCTTTGGAAGAAGAAATGCAGCAGTCGCGGGAGGTCGCGCGACGGCAACGCGCGACTTCAATCCAGAGCGACGGCTTCTCGTGGTTGCAGAAATATCGACGCTTTCGAACACGCCCGAGCATCGGAGCGTGTGCGGAAGCAGAATGTGCAGCTGCAGAACTCCTGTTAGTGGCGGTGTGGAGTGTACTTGATTGGGTCATGTCTCGATTGTCGCACTCGCCGAGGTTGCGCGCAGCGGTCAAGGTGTGATCGATGCGTGATGGCTACCACAAGAGCCAGCCCATGTGCTTAGAAGAGCCATCGTCTTTTGTCGGTTCGCGAGGTTGACATCTATTTGGTGCCTGCTGGTCTGGTCTTCATTCTATATGGTCGCGATTGTGATTCGCTCTTGGAGCTCTGCTATTCCCACCGGCTCAACACTACCCTCCTCTGCCATCGTTACCTAGCATCTCTTCCCGTGATAATAAACGTTACCTGCTCTTTCACTGTGGTGTTTTTTTCCTCCAAACTCCCACACCGCCCTCCTTGTACCATGCATCACCATCAGACCGATCTTGAGAGTTTGCATAGTCGCGACTCAACCTGCTCAAACAGTAATTCTGGAAGCAGCTACCAGTCTCGTCAGTCTCACAGCACACAAGGTACTCAATATTCTGGGCCATCGTCGAGACCACCCTTTGAGCACTACAAGACGTGTGAGGGGAGGCTAGAAGGCTCGCGCTACGAATACTGCCATCAGGTCGAGGACCCGAGGACCTCTACGGAGACTTACGCTTCAACTGTGCCCTCAGAAGTCGACGAGGATGAGGACTCTTTGGTATTCGACGGCTCTTGTCCCTTACCTCGACCCGAGGCATACGGAAACAGCGCCGTTCCATCCACTCCGTCAGATTTCGCCGAATTGTTTCCATCGGAACGTCTTTTGTCGATAAGACACGATGACGCTACGCCAGACGGTAACATGAATCTGCGAATTGACACAGTGTATGAGGATTCGCGTCGCAGCCCAGTCGACGTCACTCTGTTTCACCTTCGCATGCACGACTTAAAAGCTAGGCAGTTCTCCTTAAGGAGATATTGCCGGGAATCCGGTCGGGAAGTCTGTCATTCTACACGAAAGTGTCAGAAGAGTGGTGTCGAGCGACGAATGAGAATCCACAGAACTCTCAGCAACGCATTTGCATCTCTTCGCTCGATAGCAGACCATAAAGCCTCTCGTCCGTCTGCGTCCGAAAGACTCAAGAGGTCGGATTCTGGTCACGAATCACTCCAGTCAGGGAAAAGTATCGATCTCAACCAGCAAGCTTCCGTACCACCTGGAGTCGGCATCAGAGGTTGCGTGTCAATCCCTACCAATATCATCAAGCTTGAATTCTCGAATTATGCGCAAGTAGAGATAGAGCGCTGTGGTTCGAAGAGCAGTAAAAGGTATGAATTTGAGTATTGGGGTGTGCATTATGCCTGGCGGCGTATCGTAGATCGTATCGGTGCAAAGCAGATATCCTTCTGCTTGTTCCGCAACAACGAGGACCGCCTCTTAGCCCGGATTCTACCCATTCCCATGAGTGGTATGCAGCAGCGCGAAGAGCTCTCTAAGGGGGGCTGGGTTCCGCCGTGCACGATGGATATTATCGATGGAGAGATCATCCAAAACCATAGCGAAATCTCAGAGTAAGTTGGAATCGTGGCGACACAAGCTCACCTCCTTACTGACCACCTCTAGTGTCGTGGTTGCCGCAGGTCTGATAGCTTTGGTGGATGACTGTATCGAGCGTCGATTTCATGTCAGACCTGCTCGAGGCGTTTTCAATCACACGGCAAAGTTCAGATTAGACATGGACCATGTGGGCTCCAAACGTCCAGGCGACGAACACGCCAATCGACCTTCAACTACGAGTTCAACCGCAAATCACCGTTCAACACCGCTTCGCAAAGGGACTTGCGATATGTGACGACTGCACGATATCACGAGTCCGCTCTTCCAGCACTGCTGTTCAGCAGAGGCTTTGCTACATTCGAAGACACTCATCATTTTTGACTCGTCTTTTGCATCTCGGTCTCTTCGTAATTTGCTCTTCTCCCTACCTCACATCCACGCACGAAACCGGGAAACTCGCGGATGCACGATGGCAACTGGCATCCTGTAGTAGGCTGCGCCAGTATTACACAAGGTATTCTGATTCTTCTCAAAATGTTTGCAGTGCTTTGCGATGCGTCGTTTATGAAAAGTCGATATTCCAGACAAAGAGGAATGCCTATCACCACGCTCGGATGATTCAATGCCACTATCAAAGATGAACATAAAGATAGAAATACATGAACGACAAATGACTCACGAACAATCATGACATTGAAAAGAATGGTCGCACGAATCCTGTTCTTCACCGCTCCGTACGTCTTGGGAGTGACCGGGGATCCAAAAATGTGATACAGATCTTCTGTGTCTTATCACGCAGGTACCCGCTGGCATCCGGCATTTGCGATGCACGCCGATGTCATGAAGGTGACTTCTCATTTTCTTTGGAGCCATGATTTGAAACTCAGGCTTGTGGGCGGTCAATCTTTCTCGGATCCAGTGGTAGGGCTCAACAGTCCTTCATTTGAAATCTGCTTCACACCATACGGGTTTCCCAGCATGCCTTGCCGGAAGTGTGATACTTTTGGACATCTTCTGGATGCCTCCAGCTGGATTTGACGCATCGCGGTAGAGCTGCCGAATGCAAGCCATGTCGATTTGCGAAGCAAACGACTGACCAATTGTGGAGTTACCTAGAGTGCTACCACTCTGTCGGGTCTATATGCTCAGTAGATGGCTCGTGGGCCGGCGCTATGTGTTCCCACCATCTTGCTATCGGAGGCAGATCATAACACTAAATGAAACCTGGATATTACATCCGCCCGGAACGGCCCTATGAGTAGCCTAGCGGAATGACAGTGCGGTTTCGAAAGGTGCTTTCGACGGCTGTTATGCTACTTGCCTTGTTTGCGAGCACACGAAATGCATGATGATAGGTACCTATCGCTTTACCAGGCCTGAGATCTGCCAAGTACAACTTGAAGTATGATTCCGGTTTGCGGCCTAGGATTGGGAAATCGAGAAGTTGACATGTCGAGACACGGATTCAACGATGCGGCGTGGTATAAGAACTCGTCATTCGAAGCCTTAGTTCGTCAAATCATCCTTCGCTTCAGCTCTTCGTTCGTCTCTGTCAGAGTCTGTCAGATCCCAGCAATCAACACCACCACTTATACAACCTTTTACTATCATCAGCAAAATCTTGTCCTATCCAACAATGGCTTCCATGACTGCCTCAAGACTCCACACCGCCTCCACTCCAGCCCACTCTACTGTGTGGCAGAACAAGCTCATGAGTTAGCTCAGACCCACGATCCGAACCTTATATATCACAGCACGCTGACGAACTTGGTAGATGAATGTAGACGTCGCGGTTTCCGTGCTCCCAACTTCCAGGAATGCTCTGACAGACGCGGTATGCCTTCGATAGCGAGATTAGTGGTGCCTTCGAACTAACGCCCTGCAGGTGGTCGTACTGCCTGGTCTAGTGTAGTTGAAGTTGACGGTTGCAAGCACCAGGCTCGCTTCTGGTACGACGGCGACTGGGTCAACAACGCTCGTGAAGACGCAGCAGAGGTCGCCCTTCAACGTATGGGAGTGGTCCCTTCCCCTCCCGGCCCTCACGCACGCCTTTTCGGCTCCATCAGCGTGTAGGAAGGTCAATCGTCCTCCTGCCACCACTAGCATATGGAGTCTCTCTTTTCCTATCGTTCTTGGGTATTGTTTTGAGGAGTCACAAGGGGTTTATGAGTGGGGCAGCATCTCTTCCGATCGGGTCAATTCTTCATGAAGGCGCGCATTGGGACCAGAGCTAAAGACAGTCGAGCTACATCAGCAGCATGGCGAATAGGCGTTGTCTTTTACAGACGGGAAGAACCTAGACAGACACTCTTGGGATCTTATCAGTCAAATTCTGCATCTTAACTCACTGTATCGAAAACAACGATGACCTTCTGATTCCATTCCCACAAGCTCTTCGTCAAACACATACAGGAACTGCTTCAAGTGGACTGTCCAGTTGATCAGACGCTGTGGACAGCATGTGGCCGAAATGTCAAAAATGCCGGCAAGCTTGGCCGAAAGAGAGCGATTGCGGAGGTGGACGTGGAGGTGGGAGCACGGACTTTCCCTTTTTCGCCGATAGGATTCTTTTCTTATCAGCGCGCGAAACCTCTCACGAAATCACATCGAGCAATAGGACGCATCCCATATCTCTTCGGTGAAAGAATATTCTCGCACGGCTCCGGCCTCTTCACAAGCCATGCATAGCCTATCTCCTGGGCACTGCTTTGAGGAACAGCGTTTTTGTGAGATCTGCCGGGCTCAATTGATCGAGTAATCGATCAACGTAAGTGGTCGTCGCCGACAACCGAACCGTTGGTCCTACCCTACATGTGCATCTTCATGATACATCGAAATATTCTCTTGGCCTCGATCGCATACCTTATCTTTTCAATCTTATATAATTATTGAACATCCCAGCTACCAAGGAGGCTCTACTTTCTTCCCAAAGCACGACAGATAGCATCCTCGTTTTCCTGTTTGCCTGAACGATTGTCCGCTTATACCTTATGAGATTCCAATTCAATATCGCACACGACTGGAGATCAGACCAACATAAGTGTTGAATCGCGAAAATTCTTTGCCTATCGAATTCAACACACGAGTAAAGCTTCGGACACGACATTATTGCCAGAATGTCCAACTTCAAGGATGACAGTCCGGATACTATTGGTGCCGAGACCACGCCAAAGCGATCTTTCTCGGAGAAAGGCCGTCGTTTAGTCAAAGCCTTCACCACTAAGGAAGGTCTTGTAGGAGACTACGACTATGGATTCCTGTTCAAGCCTCAGCTACCGTTCATGAAGAGAGCACGACGAGCGGGCCCGTTCTTCGGTCTCAACGATAAGATGCCAGTGTTCCTTGCCCTGCTTCTAGGTTTCCAACATGCGCTTGCCATGCTTGCAGGCATCATTACACCTCCGATCATTCTCTCGGGCAGTGCCAACCTCATTCAAGCAGATCAGCAGTATCTGGTATCGGCATGTCTCATTATGAGTGGTATCCTAAGCATCATTCAGATTTCGCGATTTCACATCTGGAAGTCACCTTATTACCTCGGCACTGGTTTGATCTCAGTTGTTGGAACATCCTTTGCAACCATCCCTGTTGCAACAGGTGCATTCTCTCAGATGTATGCTACTGGCTTCTGTCCGTCAGACGCAAATGGCAATCCTCTACCTTGTCCCGATGGATACGGCGCTTTGATCGCAACGTCTTGCGTCTGTGCACTTCTCGAGATCTTTATGTCGTTCACTCCACCAAAGATCCTGAAGAAGATATTTCCACCCATTGTTACTGGACCCACTGTCATGCTGATTGGTGTATCACTGATCAGCTCTGGTTTCGAGAACTGGGCTGGAGGCAGTGGCAGCTGCCAATCTCGCCCTGAGACTGGCTTCTATAGCCTTTGTCCTAACATCAATGCTCCTAGGCCACTTCCTTGGGGAAGTGCCGAATTTGTGGGACTCGGGTTCCTTGTCTTCGTTACTATCATTTTCACCGAGCGGTTTGGCAGCCCGATTATGAAGTCGTGTGCTGTTGTCGTCGGTCTTCTAGTTGGCTGTATCGTCGCTGCTGCATGCGGCTACTTCGACCGTAGCGGTATCGACGCTGCACCTGTCGCCAATTTCATCTGGGTCCGCACGTTCAAGCTCCAAGTTTATGGCCCGCTTGTCTTACCACTACTAACAGTATACATCGTCTTGGCTATGGAGGCTATTGGCGACATCACGGCATCGTGTGATGTTTCTCGCCTTCAGGTCGACGGGCCTATGTTCAACAGTCGTATCCAAGGCGGTGTTCTTGCAGATGGCTTGAACGGCCTTATTGCAGGTCTTTGCACTTTGACGTAAGTGATCGTTCTTCTTTTCACATATAGCCCTATCTCTCAAGCTGACCGAATCACAGACCGATGAGTGTGTTCGCACAAAACAACGGAATCATTGGTGTGTAGCTCCCCCTTGTGTTCTCCAGATGTTGCGCTAACGTGATATCAGCTTTGACCCGATGTGCCAATCGCAAGGCTGGCTACGCAGCTTGCTTCTGGTTGCTGATAATGGGAATATTCAGCAAGTTTGCCGCTGCGCTGGTAGCTATTCCCTCAGCCGTACTTGGTGGCATGACGACTTTCTTGTTCGCGTCAGTTGCCACCAGCGGTATCCGCATCATTTCGACCATACCTTTCACCCGCCGTAACCGCTTCATCCTGGCCGCAGCATTGGCTCCTGGTTTCGGTGCCATTCTCGTCCCTACGTAAGTCTGGGTTTTGCAATTTATACCTACAACGACTGATGAAATATACAGGTGGTTCAGCTATGTTTTCACATACTCAGGCAGCAACCAAGCCTTGCAGGGCTTTTTTAATGCCATTGTGTTGGTGATGGAGGAAGGTTTTGCCCTTGCCGCTTTCATTGCTCTGATACTCAACTTGATGTTGCCTGAAGAGATGGAGGACGAAGAAATACCCGAGCTGACTGCCAACACCATCGATGCACCAGCCGACGAGGAGGAGTGGCGTCACATCAGAAGGGAAGATGAGAGCGAGAAAATCGCACCCGTCAAGGCTTGAGACGGAATACCATATCGGATAGATTGAGTGTACAATTTCCGTGTTTATGATAGAACGATCGAAGACACACAAACGTTTGGATAGAAGTCGTGGTAGGAAAAGCTTGCTTCATTGTCATACTTCAGACTCGATTTTGTGATCAGAAACAAGATGAATGACGACTGGGACAAATTGTTGAAATTGGGCAAGAATTCACTTGCGAACAAATCTTTGAGCCGGCAGAGATGCGATTGCGAGTCAAGTGCGTGACGCGACCCTGACAGCCGGAGCTTGCCGTCGATCCGCAACCCTGTTGGCTATCTCGGCGCGACAGCACGGTCGCGTTCCTGCATACACGACGCCATAGTTTAACTCCCTACACCCTGCAGGTACGGTGCACTTTATCGCCATTCCGATAGCCTCAGCATGACCGCAGACACACGATCTGAGACCCAAAATGGCATCTAATCGCGGCGAGGCTTCGTCCATGAAGCAGCCGGCGAATACTGAAGATCTGATGGCACTTGCCAAGTCAGCGCTTGCGGAGACGGAGGAGAAGCAACTCGCCGCTCTAGATGGTGGTGCGCAACTGCCTTTTGGTTATGGCTCACAGCCCGGCGACACTCTCGATCTAAGCGACAAGGGTGTGCGAGTGTTGCCCACCGAACTAATCAATCTGATTAGAGATCGTGTGGAAAGGTAGAATTTGGACTTCTCTCGTTCTACCGCAAACATTCTACTAACGCTATACAAGGCTGTCGCTTGGACACAACAGACTTACTGAGATACCTGCGGACCTCATCTTTTGTTCAAATCTGCTTTATCTAAACCTTCGACACAACAAGCTCAATGCGTTTCCGGAGCCGGTATGGAGATATACATCGCGGCAATTTTGCATCAATCTAACAGTGGCAAGGTCTTCCATCTACGAAAACTTCAGATCCTGGACCTTAGCCACAACAACATCGCCTCGGTTCCGGATGATGTCGGACTCATGTACTCGCTGATGTTCTTGGCCATTGAGTCGAACCAAATCAAACGTTTGCCTCTCTGCATGGGTGAGATGTCGCGGTTGCAGAAGCTGAAGGTTGGATCCAAGTCGATGGAGTTTCCTCCACCGGAAGTGTTCGTTCCCAACCCCCTCGGCACGTCACCAGGTGGACCTCCGGTAGAGGAAGCTCGTCAGATTTGCTCGCAAGTCAAACTGTTTCTTCGTGAATACAAACAACGCGAAATTCTCGGCCGGGAGACGCCAGACTTGAGGTAACAGCTTTCCATCTGAGAGAGCCTACAAAGCCGAGTTGACACGTATCGCAGCGAGACCAGCTTGGAGACTCCACGTCCTCCCAAGAGGTCAATTTCGGGCAGGTTTCCTGTGCGACCGAGCATGAGTGGCATCGATGGACTTGACAATCTGAGGTCGGGAGATGGACATGGACATGGCTTGAAGCCGCCACCGCCAATTCCGCAAAGGTCGCGTGCCAGAGACTCACTGATCAATCCTCCGATCGGCCGCCGATTCGATCGTCCAGGTATTGGACCCCTTGCTGCAGAAGGTGAGAACGGCAGAAGTCGTAGCGAGACTGTGTCCTCCACTGGCACGCGATCCAAACGACTTGGGTACGTTCCGCGCAAGATCTCTGGCAGTTCGACTACAACAGTGACAGACACTGGTACGCTCAAGGCGCACCATTACAGGGGCACTTCAAGCTTGAGTCTCGCTGGTCATAGCGGCAACGAGTCCTCCTCCGGAGCTGTCAGTCCTATGGAACCTTCCAACCGCATGCCAGTCGCTCGCCGCCGCCTATCCAGTTTGCCGGAAGATCGCCGAGTATCGAGACCAACTAGCATGACAGTCAAACTTGCAACCAGAATCGTGTTCGCCCTGTTTCAATTGAATGGTCCCATCGGCGATGCGGTGCGAATCATTAAGAGTGGAACGCCCAGAAAGACAACGATGGAGAGAGTCTTCTTCGAAGCAAGTGCGAATCTGGAAGAGCTTGACAGACGGTTGAGTCAAGTATCGGCTGGCACCGGAGAGAGCAGAGCATCCGAGAACGACCCCTGGATTCAGGCCATTCGTAGAAAGTGCGCCCACGTCCTTCACAGCTACGCCGCACTGGCTGCAGAGCTCCGTCTTCATGCCCGCAAAATTGCACTGCGCGGCGAAGGCATGTACATTAGAAGTCTCATGCTTCATATCTATGGCGCTTTGCTTGAGATTCGCAATACTCTGACTTTCCAGGCGACAGAGGTCAAAGTACCATCAAGAAGCGGTCGCGGGTCCGTGGCAACTATCAGCCGATCCAGTACACCGACTCAGCCTAAGCCGATCGCACCGAAGAAGAGGCTCAGAGGTGCAACCATTTTACAGCCTTCACGATTGACAACGCCTGGAACAGCCCCACCACCGGTTCCTCTCAGCACAAGTCGGACCAACACTATGACAAGCATGAGCGCCGTCACGCCACGATCTGGCGAGTCTTTCTCCTCTGCCTCTGGTCTTCCACGATCTGGTGCATTGCAACCGCCGGTCGAGGAGAGCGAAGAGCAGCGCCAGTTCGAATCAATATTCTTGAAGCTTCAACACGCATGCGATCTTGCTGCCCAAACTCTGCCGAGTTGTCGGGTTGATTTCTACAGCCGAAAGGAATCGGCCAAACGATCAATGCAAGCAACAATATCGCGTCTCTGGACGATCGCTCTGTCCAAGTGTGACGTTGCGATTCACGCTCTAGAGTCGATGAGCAACCGGCTGTCGAAAGTGAAGCTCAAAGATCCTAATTTGCGCACTCAGAGAGATTTCTGGCAACTATGCGATAAGTTTGTGAGAGTAAGTCGTTGCAATCAACCATATTCAGATTGATTACAATCACTAACAAGAGCTACAGACATGGCTGGATCTCGCTCTTGAGATCAAGAACATCGGAGGTCAAGGCTACGACACTGACTCCGTGAAGGTGATCATGCGACCAGTACAGAAGGCAGTCAAGGAAGTCAGCATTGCTGTCAACGGGTCGCAGCTGTACCAAGCAGCACTTCGGTCGAACTCGGTGTCTGGGTACGTGACGCCAGTACCCGCAACGCCTCTGAGTGCAGCACTTGGACCAGCAGCACTGGCGACAGTCCCTTTGACACCAAGCTCAACAGTCTTGCCGTCCGAGTACATTGCATCAGGTCTGCAAAGCGCGGCTGAGAGGCAGTCGGACGCGCCTAGTCTACGCAGTTACCCACGTGGAAGAGGAGCATGAGAGGTTACGGGAAGGTCGTGTATTTTAAGAGGGCAAAAGATGGAGGAATTAAGCGAATGATACCATGGGAAAGACGGAACAACACAGATGCATTTCAGGGCGAATATGGTGAAAGCGGCATTGAGGTTGGGCGGAGTACATTCTTTTGGCATTATACTGTAAGATATATGGGGACGACTAGCATAACACGATCGATACCGAGGCGATATTGAGGCTGAGACCTCAAGACATGGCAGCAAAGACGGTGCTCTGCATATAGACAGCCAAAGCAGGAGAACATCGAGTTAAACAACATTGGCAACGTACATGCACGGAAGAAGCAATTCTGCGCAACAAGACCCAGGGTTTCGTGAGATTTTTTTGCTTGAGCCGGTCCATTTTTGAATGGCGAACCTTCGGACTATAGAAAAGGCGAGCAGAAAAAAGCCGCGCGGGCGAACCGACGAGAAGCAGCAGAGAAGTGCATGTTCCTCCGGAGCCGTAAACTGTTCCCAAAGCCTGACCGATCACACCACACTTGAAGATACACCAGACGATTTTTGAAGAGGTGGAGTAGGGGACGAGACGCTTAGTCGAAGAGACCGAAGCCCATGTCGTCGTCAGACTCCTCCTTCTCCTCGGCCTTCTCCTCAGCGGGGGCGTCCTCGGCAGCGGCACCACCGGCGGCAGCACCACCAGCGGCGGGGGCGGCGGCACCAGAGCCGGAGCCGACGTTCAGGAGAAGCTCCTTGACGTCCTTGCCCTCAAGAGCCTGTAGTCGCAGAAAGTCAGAAATTGTTATTAATTTTTCGCGATTGCTCCAAGAGTGAATGCGCCGTGTATGCGCTTCGATTGTAGAGTGTCGAGAGGGAGTGAATCGTACCTTGGCGAAGAGCTGAGTCCAGATGGGCTCAACCTCGAGCTTGGCAGCAGAGATGAGGGTGTTAAGCTTGTCGGCCTGTGTGATGTCGTGTTAGCTCGCTGGGATAGGTAGCGAAATTGATGTCAGTGGAGGAGTCGCGTACGGTGATCTCAATACCGTCATCGGCCAGGATGAGGGCAGCGTAGGAGGAAGCAAGCTCGGCGGTGGACATTTTGATGGTTGTAGGAAAGAGATGCCTTTCTGTTTTCTTAAAGGGTAACAGACGGACTTCTTCTCGTTGCGGTTGACGACGAATTGGAATCGGGGCTGCAAGAGAAAAGTGTGCGATGAATTTGGCGAGTGTGCGCACGGGCCATTTTGCGTCTTGGCGGCGTCTCTGTTCGGCCAATCATGCTCGCATGGCCCGCCGGACGTCAAAGGACGCCGGACCCCGCTGTCTCCGTACGTCACAGTCGTGAGAGCGAATGAAGGACGGATAGACACCGCCGCTCCAGACATTACCGAATCACACACTCGCATACCACATCTCGACGCCGTATCCTCCGCACAGAGACCGGCAACCCCAAGCTAGCATACAGAATGACCGACTCGCCTTTTGTGCGCCACCCGCTCGACCCCAAGGAACAACCCATCCTCGACCGCCTGCTTGGCCTGCGTGACCAGCTCTCGGTTCTCAAGAGCGACCGCACCTCGTACATTCGCACTCAGGATGTCTTGGACCTTTATCAGCGATTGATCGGAGAGGTCGAGCAGCTCAACGAAGTGCGCACCGACAAGCGCAGCGAACAAAACAGAGTCGACACTGTGCTGGACGACTGCTTCCAGCTCGTCTCCCTCTTCTTCCTTACCATCGGCCGCAATCAAGAAGCTCCTGCTGTCTATTCCGCTGTATCTACCGTCAAGGTAAGTCGCCCCTTAATCTGCTCTGGCTCTTTTACCTACTCATCCCGCCTGTGCAGCGCCTCCTGGATCACCTCAAGGAAGCCGGCTTCTACCTACCCCAAGATCTCGAATCCATTGAGCACAATCTACAAAAATGGCGCTCGTCGGTCGAGCGTGGCAAGGATGTACACAGCGATTCTCTCATGACGCTGCTCGAAGCCCGCATCGACGTCTGCTACCAAACCCTCAAGGAGCTCCAAGGTTCCCTGTCCCGCCTCGACCCTCAACTCATGGGATACTATGAGAAGCTCGTCTCGATTCTTCGCTCACTCTCGGCTTGTAACACACGGTCAAAGTTCCCCGTCAACGAGGTTCAAGAGCTCGAGGAGCAGCTCAAACAAATCCAAGCAGAATTGAAGGATGCTGGCGTATCACACGAAGGAAGGACAGCCGAGGAGGCCTATGCCGAACGCTTGCAACAAGTGCACATCGACGAGAACCACATCGAGGAGGGTGACAAGGTCGTGTCGTTCCTGCTAGCCCGATGTCTGCTCTGGCTTGAAATCATTCAGAAAAAGTTGGTTGCGACAAGCCGATATACACCCAGAACCTTGGCTGACTTGTCGACAGGAATGGCAAGATTGACGACCGATTCCGTGATACATACGATAAGCTCGTCAAATTGCGCAACACTCTCGACAACATGAATCTCACCCAAGCCTGGTCATTGCGCGAGACTGATCTGTACAGCTATCAACGACAACTCGATCGCATCGACGAGTCTCGTGTTGATGGAAACTTTCTTGATACTGAAGGCAGACCTGCCGATCTCCATTCCCAGAGGGTAACTATGCTTGTCCCTTTTCTTTGTCGTATTGCGCTGACCACTAACCCGTCCAGACGCTGCTCTACCTCCTTCGCAAGAGCTACTCGTTCATCTACCGCTACATAGTCTCGTCAGAACCTGTATCTGAGGCCCTACTGCCTATATACAACCAGCTTCTCACCTTGAAGCGCTGTCTGTTGGAGGTCAAGCGCTCAGGCGGCGTTGACTCCCCTCGCGAACTGTACCCGTATAGCATGAAGGTCAGTCTCACCAGACGCGTCGGCATATCTCATCACAATACTGACTACTATACAGCTCAACTCGATAGACAATATGAAGAAGGACGGTAAATTCATGGTCGGTGATGACATTCCCGAAGGTCAGGGCAGTGTCACATCACTATTAGCCGAATGCTTCGACATTGCCTACGACCTCAGAAACGAGGCCGAGGAGCGTAAAGACGCTGCCGACTTGGCTGAAGAGCCAGCAGACGATGCTGAAGCAAAGGAGTAGAATGCTCGAGATGGCAGCAATGTACTTTATGTGTGACCATGAGAGATATCCTCGTCGTGTACTTTTTTGTTTCCTGCAAGGCGTCAGGGGCTTTGGGGGGAGTATGGGTCTTTGGCAAACACTTTTGGGGGTTTAATCACAACTTCTGATGGGAGGCAAGGTGATGGGACAGGGCAGAGGCATTTCTGGGCAATGACAATAGGAGGGAACACGCAACTCTCTTGATCTTATCTTTGCATCTCACGTGTGTGTCATGACTACCAAGCTTTGTGTTTGTGACAATCTCGAGGTGCCAGGGCTATCGCGTTCTCTTCGCCTGATATCGCTGCTTCCTGTCTATAAGAACTGCTTCCGATCGTATCTTGTCAATCTCGCCTTCCTTCTCGCCTTCCTTCTCGCCTTGCAAGCCGCATCAATTACTACTTCCCCATTGCATAAACCCTGTCGCCCCAACCTTGACACCACCTCAAATCATTTCCCCTCCTCATCCTCCCCCTCAATCTCAATACCCCCCAAAACCCCCAACCCATCCCCCTCATCCTCCTCGATCTCTTTATCCGCATCTTCAAACCACAACCTATCACCATAAGAAATACACAATTCCTCCCCTTCCTCCACATCTCTAAGCGTTTTATACACCACAACCCCCGCATTGAGATTTCTTTCCCAACCCACATTTTGTGCATTTGTAGAGTGGTTGAACATGCTGCCTAGACCTAGGATGACGGCTTGTGTTGTTATTTGTCTTCCTGTGGAAGGGTCGAGGAGGGGCCAATTACTGGGAGCGGCTGTGAGAAAGAGTAGGAGAGTGGGAAGAGTAGGAGGAGAGAATGGGGGGGGGGGGGGGGACGTACTAGGTGTAGTGGAATAGGTCGGTTTTTTCTATGTGTTGTTTGTTTTCTGTGGGATCTAGGACTAGGACTGGACAGGTTTCTAGTATGCTGTGGGCTGGTATCCGGGCTGCTGCAAAGACTCCTCTGCCTTTGTCTTATGGTCAGTATGAGAAGAAGACATTAGGGATGCTGACCGAAACCATGTGCGGTTGTAAGAAAGTCTGATGTTGGTAAAAGCACAACAGCAGGCCGATGTGTCTCGAACATATTCTTTCTCGCTTGAACATTGGTCCCATCTCTTTTTACTCGCAGATTGCTTGACAGATAGACAAGAAATACAAGACATACCTTTCGGTGTATCCAACACTAATTTTAGATCCCGATGCCGAGTCAACGGAAGTGTTCCCTCAGGACCTTCTGTCCTTGTATCGCTCATATTTGAAGAAATAGAAATTGTCCAAAGTATCGATGAATTTGGTTGAGAGAGTAGATGTATAGTCAATGTATGAACAAGATGAAAATCGGTGTATAAGGAAGGTTGCACTAGTTTGGATATGGTGGTTGGTTCTTCTTCAACTCGGAGATCAACCAAAAAGAGAAGAAAAAAGGTGTGAGATTCGCACCCGCCAGGGTTGCCTGGATGGCCAAGTTTTCTGATCTTGCGACAACGACACATGCTATTCTAATACGGCTGTGATCTTAAAGGTAAATGAGTACGAGGTGATTGGAGTCGAGACAGCTGCACGAGTGGCTAAAGGTTCATGGTGCCGGTTTCACAAGTACTACAAATCATCTGCATCTTTTTCGATGTCTGATCCATACCACCGTCAACGTAAGTGAACCCTGCTATAAGAGCTACACCTCCGATGACCGGTCTTTAGGTGCGAAAGCATTTTGACACTAGGCACAGGTTGGCAAAGAGATTTCAGAGAGGAGATTGATCGTTCATATACTTTTGTGGTATAACAAAGTCAAGGGCATTCGTATCCGCTCATACCCAATGACCAGTTCATGTGTTCCCTCGCTGGTAAAAAGACACAAGGGAAGATGATGTGATAGAAACAAGAAAGAAAAGTCGCTCAAATAAACAGAATCTAAAAGTACAAACATCACATTAGGCCGTAATGAACAAGCCTCAAATCCCACCACATCGGAATGAGAAACTCCGTTGTTTTTTGATGAATCCCACATGCCTTTCCTTTTCCTCGAAAAGCGATTTTACACAAAAAGTACAGCGATGATAAGACAGGCGCGAGACTCGTCTGGGAGAGAGGACTTCGCGTAGAGAACTGGTCGTATTTATGTCGACCAGGTGGTTGGAAGAGAGGAAATAGTATACAGAGAAGTCGGGGGTATCAGGAGGTCGAAGCTGACGCTTCGGATCCAAAGGTGCGAGAAGACAGAGATGAGAGATTATAGAACCTCACATTTAAGGCTTCTGCTCACCCTCACCACCCTGCTTCTGCTCACCCTCGCTGGACTGGTCCTTGTTCTCAGCGCGAGCGCGGTGCATCTTGTCGAAGAGAGTAAGGGAGGCGGACTGAAGCTCATCGGTCTTGGCCTTGAGGTCCTCAGCGGAGGCGGTACCCTCACCAGTCTGGTTTTGGGCAACAAACTCGCGGAGGCTGGCGATCTTCTCCTTGATCTGCTCGGCCTCAGCCTTGTCGAGACGGTCCTCGAACTCTTTGAGGGCCTTCTCGGTGTCGTTGAGAACACTGTCGGCCTTGTTGGCAGCCTCGATGGCAGACTTGCGCTCCTTGTCGGCGGCACCGTATTTCTCGGCGTCGTTGACCATGGACTCGATCTCAGAGTCGCTCAAACCAGAGCCGGAAGCAATGGTGATAGACTGGTCCTTACCAGTGGACTTGTCGGAAGCGTGAACGTGAACGATTGAGTCAGCGTCAATGTCGAAAGTGACCTCAATCTGGGGGACACCACGGTGAGCGGGAGGGATACCGACAAGCTGGAAGTTTCCGAGAAGCTTGTTGTCACGGACGAGCTCACGCTCACCCTGGTAGACCTTGATCTCGACAGCAGACTGGAAGTCAGCAGCGGTGGAGAAGACCTGGGACTTCTTGGTGGGGATAGTGGTGTTGCGGTTGATCAGACGGGTGAAGACACCACCGAGGGTCTCGATACCGAGAGAAAGAGGGGTGACATCGAGAAGGAGGACGTCAGTGACCTCACCAGAGAGAACGGCACCCTGGATAGCGGCACCAATGGCGACAGCCTCATCGGGGTTGACGGACTTGGCGGGGTCACGGCCGAAGATGTTCTTGACCGAGGTGGTGACCTTGGGCATACGGGTCATACCACCAACGAGGATGACCTCCTGGATGTCCTTGGCCTGCATGTTGGCGTCCTTGAGGGCCTTGCGGACGGGCTCAACGGTGCGGTCGATCAGGGGACCGACGAGCTTCTCGAGCTCGGCACGGGTCATCTTGCTGTTGATGTGCTTGGGGCCCGAGGCGTCGGCGGTGATGAAGGGAAGGTTGATGTCGGTCTGCTGGGCAGAAGAAAGCTCAATCTTGGCCTTCTCGGCAGCCTCACGGATACGCTGGATGGCCATGCGGTCACCGGAAAGGTCAATGCCCTGCTCGTTCTTGAACTGCTGGACGAGGTGACGGACAAGGGTGATATCGAAGTCCTCACCACCGAGGTGGGTGTCACCGTTGGTCGACTTGACCTCGAAGACACCGCTCTGGATCTCGAGGATAGAAACATCGAAGGTGCCACCACCAAGATCGTAGACGGCAATGACGCGGTCGCTCTCCTTCTCGAGACCGTAGGCAAGGGCAGCAGCGGTGGGCTCGTTGACGACACGGAGGACGTTAAGACCAGAGATCTGACCGGCATCCTTGGTGGCCTGTCTCTGCTGGTCGTTGAAGTAGGCGGGAACAGTGACGACGGCGTTCTTGCAGTTCTTGCCAAGGAAAGCCTCGGCGGTTTCCTTCATCTTTCCGAGAACGAAACCACCGATCTGGGAGGGCGAGTACTTCTGGCCCTGAGCCTCGAGCCAGGCGTCGCCGTTGGTGTGCTGGACAATCTTGTAGGGGACCTGGGCCAAGTCACGCTGGACCTCAGCGTCCTTGAACTTGCGACCGATCAAACGCTTAGTGGCGAAGAGGGTGTTCTCGGGGTTGACGACGGCCTGACGCTTAGCGGCGATACCGACGAGACGCTCGCCCTCCTTTGTGAAACCGACGATTGAGGGAGTGGTTCTGGCACCCTCGCTGTTCTCGATGATTCTGGGAGCGGAGCCCTCCATGACGGCGACGGCCGAGTTAGTGGTACCAAGATCGATACCGATGACCTGGCCCTTGACCTTTTCCTCACCGCCATCGGCGTATCCCCTTCTGAGGGTAGAGGCGATGGGGGATCTGAAAGCCGACGAGCGGACTGAAGGGGTGGCGCGGAGCTGGAAAGATGTCAGTGAAGCTCTTGGAGCTGTTGCAGCTGTCGCATGTGCACTTACGCCTCTGGCGAGTCTTTGTGACAGCATTGTGTTTAGATTATAGCAGAAAACCAGAACGCGACAAGAGAAAATGGGGTATCAAGAGCAACAAACGAAACTTGCTCTCTGGCGGGGATGGGTGATGGGGATGGCGAGGTTAATAACTGATGGAGCAGCAGGAGGAAGTCATGGCGTCGTCGCTCGAGGAATTTTGTCCTTAGCGTCGAATCCCCGGTCCCGGCATCCTCCGCCACGCCATCGAACATGCTGGAATCAAGTCTCGACATCGTGCGCCACGGACGACTACCGACCATGCAACTGTGCTTGCTCCGACTGGTGCCCGTTTGCCTCTGCCAGTGCTTCTTGTCCGCCTCATCTTGACTCATACCAGCCATCTCGCCATGTTCGATTGCTCGATATTGCCTTTGGCGAGCTTCGTCCGATCAGCTTCGCTTGCCTCGGCTGACGTACTTGTTATTCGGACCCGTCAATCAGATCTGGCATCGCACTCTAACACGCAGCACTCTGCCATCTTTTGGCTAGAAATTTGTCATATCAATTGGCTTTGTAAAACGAGAGTCGCAGAGGACAGAGCAGCATGCTATCAAGCGGCAGCATCCTGTACGCCTGCAATGCATTAGTCCCTGATGCTATTACTATAATGCTCCATTGGGCCATGTGCCCGATTCAATCCCAATACGCCGTAGATTGTAACCCTGTTCGTGTCTATTCATTATTTCATTTCCACTGCAGGAAACATCATTCTCAGCTTGACCTGTAGGTCAATCTCGAATATGCCTTCCTCACACGCAGCCCACAGTCTCCGACCGTCGTGGCTGATGGCTAGGCCTGCCGTTCTAACTCCTATGGTAGCTTCACGACCTGATCTGCGCAGCAGCATCTCGTAGCCATCATGGAAAGCTGTAGGACGAGTTGATGTGAAGCCTCGGAGCGAGGTAAGTGTGTCATACAAGCTCTGTGCTGCATCTGTTCCACTTTCAAACTCACGTCTGAGCCCGCGAAGGCGCTCGCGCTGCGAAGCCATTCGGCGAAATTGGTCCGTACGCACCATAGCCTCTCGCTCGCGTGACTGTCGAGTACTGGCGTCTATTGATCGTGATGATTCAAAAAGAGGTCCCCGTGCTAGACTCATTGCGTTGGAGATCGTACGCCATGGATTGTCCTCGTCAGTATCGGTGCTGGTTGTTGCGGCTCTCGTTGCATGTGGCGGTATGGTCGCAGCTGTGCTCGTCAGAGTGGGAACTCCTCCTGCGCCAGAACGACGAATGGCAGTTCCGCGATCGGTGTTGGTTCCAGAAGCAGTCTCGCGCTCTCTATCACGAAGCAGTAGGTATTCTTGTATCGAATGAAGAGGTGGCAATGTGTTGTCGAGTATAGTGCGCTGTCTCTCGCGGGTCTCTGTCGAGTCGCGCTGTGATGTTCGTGATAGTTCCGGGAAAGCTGCATAGGGGTCGTTGTGGTTGACTAGAACATCGCTGAATGGGCGAGGTGTTTCGGTAGATCGAGAGATTGCCGAAGAGCGACTGTCGGTGTGGCCACTGAAAAGGCTGGCACTAGTGTAGTTGATTGAGCGAGGAACGCTGCCCTGCGTACGAGCTTCTTCGCGTTGTCTAGTCGTACGAAGTGCTTCAAGAATCTGTTGTTCCTGAGCTGTGAGACCTCGAGGGTCGTCTGTAGGTGTGGCTGTTGTATCACGCGAGGTCGGAAACATCGCACGAGCACGATCCAGGCTTTGGTATCGTTCACGTTCCCTGGCTTGGAGAAATTCGGTAGCAAAGTTGCCCTGTTCAGCAGGATCTCGTGCCTCGCGGTAGCGGTTCAAGATTTCCTGCTGCAGATCGTCGAAACGATCACCCTCGACCGCGTCTTCGGCCACAATCTCCTCAAGCTCGATCTTCTTCAACCCCTCTTCATCCAGCTTTAGCTCTATCACCTGCTTGGTCTTCAACCCCGTACGTAGGTCGCCAATGCAAATTCGACCTTGGTCCTCGGCCCAGATCAGGAGATCCCAAGGCTCAGGCGAGAAGAGCATGGATCTGACAGCACCTGGGTGGAGAGCAGCGACAATGTTGGGTCTTGTTGATGGGATGGTTGCGATAATAGCGTCTTCTGCATCCTCGGCAGCGCATTGCGCAAACATAACCATATCAAAGACGGTGATGTATCCGCCTTCCGAGCCCAAAGCTGCAAGGCTACCGTTGGGCGACCACGCGGTAGTAAAGTAGCCAGGCTGGGCTGTCGGGTCACCTGCGCGAAGATGGACAATGTTTGCTAGATCCCAGGTAACGTTGCTCATGTTCAGGCGGTTGTGAGGTTTTGGGATTTGTGGAGGAGATTGTGATAGAGTCCTTGTGAAGAAGAAGGCCTGATTTGAATCGCCGACAGCAACGAGAGTAGTCCCATCTGGAGAGATTGAAGCATGGTTCATTGGAAAAGGCAGATCCAAAACAACTGTCTCCAGAGCCTGAGGCAGTGAGTAGACACGCACAGTCTTGTCATTGTTGGTCAGCACGGCGACGACATCGTAGAGGTGGCTCTCCTCGTCGTGGATCTGGTGGATGGATATGGAGTTGACAATCTCTTCGCCTATTCGTTCAAGCTTAACGTTGGCAGCTCTGGGCGAGCCTCTCTGTGGTTGCCAATAGTCGAATGGCAGCGGCGCGTCCACGTCGACGGAGCGGATGGGCGACGAGCCCTCGAGCTTGATTGCGGCAAAATGACCATCTTCTTCACCTCCAATACAAATCCAGCCAAAGCCAGAGGCGGTACATCGTGCCTCGAAGGGCAGGGTGGCAATGTATTTGCGTTTTCGAGAGACGGTGTTTAGGAAGTAGACTTCGTTTCCGCTTGCGTAGTAGATGGCGTCCTTGTCAGGCGATGAAATGTAGTGTCGTAATTGCCAGTGTCTAACACAACCCTATCAGATCCAAATCTTGCATGTATGCTTCACACCCACTCACGATACAGGGATCTTTGCTGGGTAGAAGGTCTTCTCGGGGTATGCCAGGCGATCGGTATCAGGATATCTACGCACCAGTCAGCTTCGGAGCGTGGGACATCCTGTAGATGGTCGCGGATCACTGACGGTATGCTGTCGATGGCCATGCTGTTACTTTGTCGATGTCAAAGAAAGAGACGAGAATTTAGGAATCATAGGTAGGCAAGCATCATTCGACTTGGTCGATTCCAGCTTCCACTCACTTGGCCATGACAATGGAAAGACGCGGGGCTTTGATGACGCACGTCCAACTTTCACAAAACACCTTCCTTCTCACATGCTTCACCTCCGCATGACCTACTGATCACTTCACTCGCCCGGGACAGCATCCGCCGTCTTGAAAATGCTACTTTGCGTGGTATCACTCTTCAAAACTCCATGCAAAAGATTCGGCGAGGTTCACGACACCGCCTCGCGAGAGTCCCAGTCATCGATAACGACGTACTAACGAATGCCCGGGCATCAAACGATGGGCATGATCGTTCTTGAAAGTCTGTGGCTTCGCCTTTGTCTACTTGGATCTTTACACTCACATGCAAGTACACTACGCAACTCGAAGCCTCAATATTGAAATAAAACGGCTCAACTGTTTCCAGGAGCTTGTCGAATTCATGAATCCATGCTACTAACGCCTATTTGCCTGATATCGGGTAACATGCTGATCAAACAAAAGTCCTCCCAAATTGTCCCAGTCCGGAACACCAATGCCATAATTCAATGCTGCGTATCTCGTGGCGGTGAACGCCTCATCCAGCGACTTCCCGGGCAATCAAAGACGTTCTAGTCCTTTGCGACTACGGACGGCTCGTTGTTCGGATAGTCAGGCTTGAACTTTCTTGACGACCTGCTCAACCGCAGAGAAGAGAACGTGGTTGGGCTCGAGGCCAGTGATCTTCTCGGTGGCTTCGCTGGAAGAGTTCTCCTTGAGGATCTTGGCCAGTTCGAAGGACTCATCATCACCTTCGACGTTCTGGAAGCGGAGACACATCTCAATGCCACCAAGGAGGGCGTCGTACTTGGCTCCCATCTCAGCAAGATGAGCAGCGGGGCCAATGAAACGCTCGTTGCGTGACAGTTTGCGAAGAGGAGCACGGCCAACACGCTCGACGTTGTCCTTCAGGACAGGGTTCGAGATGCGCTTGATGATCTTCTCAACGTACTCGTTCTGGTCCTCCTCGGTGATCTCGTGCTTGTTGACAATAAGGTGAGCAGTCTCCTTCAATGTGTTTCGTACAATCTCGTTCAACTCCTTGTCTTGCAACACCTCGTGAACGTACTCCTTGCCGCGGTTGTAACCGAAGTAAGCAGCAGTGGCGTGACCAGTGTTGACAGTGAAGAGCTTGCGCTCGATGAAAGGGCAAAGGTCATCAACGAAGTGGACACCCTCAATTGCTGGAGGGTCCGAGGGCAGGAAAGGCTCACTTTCAACACACCACTCGTAAAACTTCTCGATCTTGACGTTCAGGCCAGCACCCTCATCCTGCATGGGGACGATGCGGTCAATAGCGCTGTTGGCGAAACGAGCCTTCTCCTTGAGATTTGACTTCGTCGAGTCCGAGAGCTTCTCCTCGATAAACTTGCGAAGGGTGTCGGTGGCTCCAATGGCGTTCTCGCAGGCGATGACGGCCATCGGTGACTCCTTTTCGCGCTTCTCGATACCCTTGGCAATGACAGGAGCGATGAACTTGAGGATGTTGGGACCGACAGCGCAGGTGACAACGTCAGCAGTCGCGATCTCGTCGATGACATCCTGCTCGTGGGTCTTGCTGTTGATAGCGCGGAAGTTGTCGATTGTCTTTGACTTGGTCTCTGATGTGCCGACTTCTGTTACGGTGTATGACTTGTTCTGTTGCAGGGAGTTGATAATGGCGTCCATGACATCGACGAAGACGACTTCATATCCGGACTTGTGCAAGAATTCGGCGACGAAACCGCGACCGATGTTACCGCCACCAAAGTGGATTGCCTTCATGTTGGACATTTTGTATGTTGATATGGGAGAAGGGGACGAAGAAGCTGCGAGTCGATGTTAGCTGGCTCCTGGTTGGATATGGCTCTCCGGCGGCTCGAGGACAAAGAAAGCTTTGTTGGAAAGCATCGTCGACGATGACGACAGTGATGATCCATGAGTGCGTCAGGAATAAGGTTTGTTAACTTACCTTTATAATGCGGCTGTATGGCTGTAAGGCTGTATGAGGGTTGGTGGTGATAGGCTTCAGTCCTGTAGGCATAAGGTCAGCACTGTGGTGGGGTATCGCGGAGCAGTGGGGGGGGCATATAACACGAACCTAAGCTGTGTATTGGCTTTGACGAAGAGAGTATTGGAGGAGAGCGAGAAAGTTTTTTGCTATAAGGGAGGTATGGGAAATATGGAAAAGGTCGAGGGATAGCATACTATTTAACACTTTGAGACAGGATAATGCCTCGTTGCTCTAAATACTGGCAAGCGCCCACCCGCACCTTTCCTGATGCCCCCCGCACTTGCCAGCGTATGACGGCAGCGAAGTCGTCACTCCTGTTTTGGTTGTCTGCCCAGTCTGACGATGAGGCTGGAGGGGCCGTGCTCGAGGCACTTGTCACCACGGCGGGCGCTCGCGGAAAATCACATGCTAACCAGATCGAGCGGTTATCACGCCGCGGTTTGGCAGGCCCGATCGTGGGTGACCACCACACTTTGCGGCATGTGTCGCGGTAAGATCTTGTGCCTCTCTATTACACGTGTTCCACGACATGCGATAATTGAATATGCAAAAGGAACGCTGATGACTATTACGTATTATTCTGCTACTACTTGAGCTCTGCAAGCAAATCATTAGACTGTGCTATCAAAACGTTCCGTGGTTTGGGTATCTCTGTTTTTCCGTTTCGCTCCTTCGATCCCCGATTGCCTGTTCCTGATTATCCGTCGACCCGAGGTCCAAAACCCGAACCCTATGTGACGCAACTATACGCGAATCGACAGGAGACCGCGCTGACTTTTCCCAACAAGAGACGACGGTTTCTGTATCTTGTACAGGTACAGCCGCGGCCAAGACTGTGCGAATCAGCGAATGATTGCGATCAGCTCATTAGGCATGTATGGCCTGCTGAACATGAGGGTATGTCGCAACCATCTTTGCATAGAGCTCAGGATGTTCAGTTATCATCACTTGCGGATCGAAGGCAGCGGCTACAAAGATGGTATCGATGCCACTGCTGATCGGGGTCGTGAAGATGTTGGCGATTTGCAGGCCAATCAAGAACGCAAATGCGACCACAACGGGTGTATACTCGCCGTTACTGTTGTATGCAGGCGATGTGAAGATCAGGTACAGATAGGCCAAAAGGGCGCACAGGTAAGCGATGGCCGTAGCACCTTGAGTCAGTACGGGTCCAATCAAGCACTGTAGTCACATTTATCAGCGCACAGCCCACAAGACTACTAGTCGGATAAAGTCTTACCTCGTTGACCAGTGCATCAATTCCGCGGTCTTTGATCAGACTAGTTGTGATTGTTGTCAGCCGAGCACCGCCCCGTATAGATTAGTTACTTACGTCCAAGTGGCCTTGGCAGCGGGGATGTAGCCCTTTCCATAGAGCGCGATATAACTGAAAGCGTATCTCTGTTGTTTCGTGAGCTGTCTGGAACTTTCGAATAATTGCGCATCGGGTGTTGTTTCCACTTACGTTGATGAACTGAACAGCCCAGTCCAAGATACCGATGAGACATTGGAGGACACAGAGCGCAATGTTAGCAACGAAGTTTCCAGAATTTGCTTCTTGCTGTCGCGCAATACTGCATGCTTGTCTGAGCATGTTGATGATTGCGACGACCAAGCTCCCAAGACTTATACTTCCGAAGCTGTAGGTCAAAGAACGACGGGCAGCCCCACGGGTAATGTTCTTGGGAGGGTTGTTAGAGCAGAAGTACCACGAGCCATAGACTCCTGAGATGATGACATGAATCGTGTTCTTCAGGAACTCGGAGATCCAATACATCGCGAACGTGATGAAGACGAGCAGACCAATAACTTTGGCACTCGAACAGCCACCGGCGCCTGTGGAGCATGCGGGATTTGCACCTGGTTCGTACTTCACATACACTGCAACCAACGTGACCGAGAACCATGCGCCGAGGGCAGTCGCAAGCACACCACCGACGAGCGACACAATGTAGACGTGTCCGAACTTCTTGGAGACATCGATGCTAATATGTGTTAGCATCCGACACTTTTCTCAATCGAACGATGAGAGAGACTCAGTAAGCATACCTTGTTTGCAGCATGACAACGCTGAAGGGGATTCTTGGGATCCATGAGATGAAGCAGACGACTGTGAAGATCGAGAAGATGAGGAAGACGATTCCACCCGAATAGTACTTTCTTGACAACATGTAGATGGCTGTTGCGAAACCTGCGATAATGTGGATGATGCCAGTAATCCAGATAAATTGCTGCTACACGTCAGCATACGACTTCGAGCAATGTGCCTCAAGTACTGGTGTCTATAACGTATGAGCAGAATTAAGAAATTCTTCCCAGATCTCTGCCGCATATCGCACGGCGCATGTTTCCAAGAGGTTGATCGCACAGGAACATTTCATACCTTGGTAAAAGCACGAGCTAACCAGATGTAGGCATAGCTGAGAACCATGGCCATTGCCAGGCAGAAGACGAAGAGGACGATCGTGTTGGTATCAAGACCAAAATCGTTTTTACTGTCGTAGATACCGCCGCCATTGAATCCCTTGGTTGCAGCTGATATGCTGGGTCAGCGTCTTGCCGATCGAAATTGTTTTGGCGCATTGCGCATCACATACCATAACCTTGAAGAGCAATACCAGACACAACAACATATCCAGCAGCAACAGCGAGGAAGAGAAGACCGGCCCACCAATCGTTCCACTTAGGCTTATCTATCTTGAAAGCCTGTTCGAAGGTGGGCTTGTTGTCGTAGCCATTCATCTCAGGACGAGGGTTGAAGTTTTGACCATAATTGGGAGGAGGCTGCGAGTAACCCTGGCCGTTCTGGTACGGCTCCTGGTAGTTCTGCTGTTGAAAGTTCTGCTGCTGGTAGTGCTGTTGACCGTTCTGGTTGTAGGCCTGCTGAGGTTGCATAGGATAGTCCTTCTGGCGATCGCCATCCGGCATCTGATAGTAGCTGTTTGCTTCACCGCCGGCCATGGTAAAAGCGGTTTTGTCGAAGGTTCGGCAGAGAAATGGGTTTGCGCAAAGCAAGAAATGAGGTTGCGACAAGAAGTGAATGTTTTTGTATTCCTTTGCTAGCTCACAGAAACGCCAGAAACGCCAGAAACGCGGGTCAAAGCTTGGTTTGGTGACGTCCAATAAAGTCACCAAGAACACCAAGCGCTCGAAACAGCGAGGTGATCGTCGCAGCAAGGAACGGCTGATATCTGCTTAGTCTGCAACTGGCATGTAGACATGTACATACGCACGCAAGCAAATTCATGTATGTTTCTGCCCTCGATCTTTTTCATCTTTGTTGGCCCTGAGCTCTTCTAGGCCTGGCTGTACGGGCTGAAAGCTCAAAGGCGTTTGCGCCATGCATATTTAAGATTAGAGATTAGCTCATATCGGCGAGGCTGATCTTCATCACGCGAAGCAACAACCAAACTCCTTCCAAGGAGCATTCAGCTATGGTGCTCCAAGTCATATACCTGCGAAGCAGCACAAGTGTCGCGAAAGACACATGGACGAAGAAAGTCCTTCATGTCAACACGGTAGGAGGCTGATGATATGATTTTCACGGGACTCAAGCCGAAAGCATATGTGCGCATAGGCCATATCACAGTCCCATCACAGATATTCACCATGTAGAAGTCCACGACGAGGTCCAACATGCTAGAAACCACATACACGACAGAGCAGACTCTCTGAGGTCTATGTTGAATTTTGATGAGCTACATACATGCTCGTGTTGTTCAATTGTAGCTTGAGTGGGCTGTACATAGCGTATTAACATGGTACAGGGTCATACTAACGGCGAGCCGACATGATCATTTGAGGCTTCTTAAGCCATGCCTACAAGACCACGGATGATATTTACCAACGGAGGGACGCTGGTAAACGCCACTAGAATTGTGCCCAACAATCCCATACTCAAACTCGAAAAAGCCGCTGCTCGAGGATCTGTGGTCAGTAGTAGTGCTGTCGCTACTGCAGAAGAATTAGCGCCCAGAGTAATGCCGCGCGTAATGTAATCATCTGAGCAGTGTGTCAGCTAAAGTGATCCGAAAGACTTGACTTTGCAGCAGATAATTACCTTTCGGAATTCTCAGTATGTTCAGTCCTACTGGCCCAACAATGACTCCAGCAATACCACTGAAGATGCACAATGGCGCAATAGTGAATGGATCACCACCCAAGTTCTTTGTAGCTGGTGTCGCAAGCGCGAGCGTCAGACTTCGAGATGCAAAGGCGAGACCGCGCGGCGCAGAAATCCCAATGTGATAACAGAATACCGGATATGCGAACAGTGATCCGATGGCGACGACCACATTGGGTATGATGATAGTCATGAACCGAGCCTTGAGCTCGTTCCGATATCTGTACATGGGAAGGCTCAGAGCCACGATGCTGACGTCTAGAACGCTGCCAAACATATCGCCCGCTCCTGGTGGTTCCAAACCTTGTTCGTTATCCCACAGCTGTGTATACTTTGTGTTTGTTGTATATGCTCTCAACCCATCTTTGAGGGTGTCTCGACGGATCAGTGCAAGGACCCAGATACCGAGAATCGTTAATGCTGAAGAGATGAGCACAGGATGCAGATACGTCTTGTACCTAGGTGGCAGGCGCAAAGCGGCGAAATAGAAAACGACATTGAGAGACAGCTGAACCGGCATAGCGTAACCAGCTCCATAGTAGATGGGAATGCCGACAAAGAAGAATGACGCTCCATAAGTCAGCATGTCGAAGTTCACACTCACAAAAGCAGCCCAACGCTGAGCTCGGGTCAGAGGTGCAGTGTTGTGTCGGACTGAGGCGGTGACTCTAGAGTTTACTGATGTGTTGTCGGCAACAGGGGGCCCGCCCGTACCTGTAACAGAGTCGGGATTTTTGGCTCTGGAGGGCGCCTGTATATCAGCGAGTCCATTCGGAGGAGAGGGCGTTGACGAGTCGTTCGGGCCAGCCTGGTTTGAAAGCGACTGGATAGAGGGCACTTCACTGGCATTTGATTCATGCCTCGTCTGCGTCAACGGGATATTGTCGTCCTGGTGCCCAAGTTCTTCAGCTCGCTCTGTCATGGCACGTTTGGATGTGCCGAGGAGGAGCTGAAGACCTCGAACCATGTATGCTGTGAAAGCGAAAACCACAACATATCCAATGACTGCATGAAGTCAGAGATGTCTTACACAGAGGGCCCTGGGAGTACTGACCGAAGACGGCTACGATCTTAGCGACCTCAATGCCGCTTATCGAGGGACTAAGAGGTAATGTGACGAATGCGGGGCAGAAGAAGATATTGATGTATCTCAGAGCAAATCCGCACTGCTGTATATGAGAACTAGGGAACTGGAACATCTTTCGGATGGTACGCTTACCGGAATCTCAATCACGTTGACTATCTGCTTAGTCCTTTTGTCACCAAGCATACCTTGGAAAGCGACCAAAATCAGAAACAGGCCTATCATACAGGCCACAGAAGCCGGGAATGACACAGAGCTCAAAGAGATCAGAGAGTGGACACCAAAGCAGACTGCGAGAATACAGGTCAGACCAAAAGGCACATAGAGCCAAGCTGTTACGGCGCGTTCCCAAGAAGATTTTGCGACCTTGGACCAGGGTCAGCAACGGAAAGAAGTCGAGCATTGCGGCGCCGTGGTAGCTTACAAGCGCTGCAGCCTGTCCAGCATCATCGACAAGAGCTGTAAGCTGTTTGAAGTTCATAGCTCGAGAATCCGCAATCACAATTATAGCAGGAACCCATCTGGAGTGCACAGGTTTAAAAGGTTACGACGCCGATGACTGCGAAGGCCGCTGTCGGATCATGACGGGGAGCGCTGCCGGCTCTTGCACCACGGACGTTCCACTCTCGGTAGCCCTTGCGATATGGCAGAAGGAAGGCGACTAGATAAGACTTTTGTATACTTCGGAACGGTCTGTCTATTTGTAGCAGCAAGGATCGAGAAGTATCAGGCTCAGTAAAGAATAGGAGCAAAGTTAGAGCAAGTTGGCTGGAAAGTCGCAGGCGGCGTTAGACCCTTTCACGCAGGGGCCCAAGACTCTCCAGTCAACTAACTGCCTTTGACACTTGCTCTCCCACAACAGAGCCCCTTGTGTGATTTCTCCCTGTTGTTCACGTCACCATGGCGCTTGCTACCAAGACCGAATCGCAGAAGATATTCGAGAAGCTGAAGCAGAAGCAAGCCAACAAGGTAAGCAGTGTGCCGGCAAAGACTCCACGTGTGCCACAATATTGACGGCATACAGATCTGCTTCGATTGCGGCGCCAAAAATCCCACCTGGTCGTCAGTTCCCTTTGGCATCTATCTCTGTCTGGACTGTTCGGCACATCACAGAAACCTCGGCGTGCACATCTCCTTCGTCCGCTCCACCAACCTCGACAGTGCGTAACCCGACCCTCCACACAGCCCCACTCATACTAACACCACTCGGCCAGTCTGGCAATGGGAGCAGCTTCGTACCTTCAAGGTCGGCGGTAATGAATCGGCCACAAAGTACTTTCAGAGTCATGGCGGATCCGCCGCTCTAGCCAGCAAGGATCCCAAGACGAAATACACCTCCAACGCCGCCAACAAATACAAGGAAGAGCTGACACGGAGGTGTCAGGCTGATGCTAAGCTGTAAGGAGCTTGTAGCATACGTTGTGCGGCACGAGTTGACAGATACCAGATACCCCGAAGAGGTTGTCATTGTCGACCTCGCCGACGATGCCGGCGCAAGCGGCACAAGCACCCCTGCAGCTGATGATGACGACTTCTTCTCATCCTGGGACAAGCCGACTATCAAGCGTCCCAGCAACCCGCCATCCCGTACTGGCACACCAGGCATCAATCGCACCAACTCTCCCTTCCTCAATACCCCGGCGAACGGAGCAGCGCGACCAAAGTCTCCCCTGACCGCCGACGCTGCAGCTGCTGCGCCTGCCACTGCTCGTGCAATTCCCGCATCAGCAGCTCGTAAGACAGCTACGGGTGGCGCTGCGCCCCGTAAGGCTAATATCCTGGGCGCAAAGAAGAAGCTTGGAGCAAAGAAGGTTGACCCGGCCGCTCTTGATTTCGACGCAGCGGAGCGTAAGGCTCGTGAGGAAGCTGAGAGGATCGCCAAACTGGGTTATGACCCCGAAGCAGAAGCCGCTCCCGCAGAGGCCAAGATCGCGTCTGCACAACCAGATTCAAACTCGAGCATAGCGAGTCCGCAGCCTGTGAACCCTCGATCTGGTGCTGATTTCGGCGCAACTGGAAAAGCCAAAGAGAAGGAACAAGTTGATATGGAGAAACTGGGCATGAGTGTTCGCAAGCTTGGATTTGGTCAGGTCGGCGGTGGAGCTCCCGCCGCCGCAGCGCCCAAGAAGATGGGCTTCGGCTCGACTACGAGGGCAACAGAAGGTAAGAACTCACACGAATGGATACAATCGACCAAGCTTATATTGTGCCTTAGACGATTCAGAGAAGTACGCTCGCCAGAAGTTTGGAACACAAAAGGGCATTTCATCAGACGAATTCTTTGGCAGAGGCACTTTCGACTCGAATTCTCAACAGGAAGCCAAGTCTCGTCTGCAAGGCTTCGAAGGTGCCCAGTCAATCTCATCGAATGCCTACTTCGGACGACCCGAGGATGAGATGCCCGAAGGTGAATACGGAGACATTGAGACGGCAGCCAAGGACTTTGTGCGCAAACTTGGTATCACTGCAGGAGATGATCTCGAAAACCTCACCAGTCTACTAGGAGAAGGCTCTACCAAATTGCAAGGTAAGACATCCGAATTCTATGTTTGATTCAAACAGCGACTAATCGAAGCGGCAGGTGCGATCAGAAACTACCTCAACGGATAGTCCTGATACAATACCGAGAAGAAGGTGATGAATGAGGATAGCACGTAGGAAGAGAGGCACCAAGTTAGCACTTAGGTATCAGATGAAGAATGAAGCGAGTCCATTACCACACTCTAAAAATGGTCAACCTCTGCTAGCCAATGATAGTGATGCAAAACAGTGAATGAGCTGTGAAATGATAATGTTAGTCTATTCGAGCAGACGAACAGAGAAGGGATATGTGCGATGATGTGAAAGACATGGTAAATGTTTGTTTGTAGAACAGTACCCAAGTCTATTAGCCGGCAGAGCAGAGCCGAAGCATGGCGGAGAAGGGTCTGAGCGGGCCGGTTGCGTCATGCTTCCTTCCTCTTTGGAAAATCATTCGCGGCGCAACACGGGCAGAGTGGACATGTTGATCACGACCGACCAACCATGCACTTGACCTCGCCGACGACGTCTGTACAACTTTCGACACCTTGAATCATCTATCATACGCCATGCCTCCGAAAGGATCACGCGTCGTGCACCACGACAACGACTCGAGATCCGACGGCTCGAGTTCAAAGACCAACAACATAGCAAAGAACAAGCGGCCGAATGGCACGAGCAACCTCAGGGATGCAAAGAACGTGAGCGACACGACTGCTGCACAGAACACGACGTCTAGCAATGGAGTGAGTGCTCTCTCAGGCCTCAGCTGCTGTGCCGCGACACGGTGACTAACCTCACGGCGCAGTTCACATGGGGGCAAGAAGATCTGTCTCTACTACAGCAGTACCGCGCCGCACATCGCATGGACACACCATCAGCCTTCAACTCGATACGTAACCAGTTCCTTCTGAGTAATCCTGGCATCGGCAGACAGTCTCCCACCATGGCAAGACGCAAGACAAAGAAAAAGGTGCCCAAAGAACAACTCGCCATGGCAGTGAGGAAGAACTTCAACGACGCTGCCGTCAATGAGATAGACGTCATGGTCGATCTGCTTTACAAAGTCCGCAATCAGGGTACGTCCAATGATAAGTGCTGCATGTGCGCATCCAATGCTGACGCAAATGCTTCCTAGACAAGGCCTTCCGACTTCGATCAGCGCCCACCAAGAACAGCAAGTGAAGAAAGACATGGCGCATCAGACAGCATATGGGAGGAAAACGGCGTCCATTGGGTATACCACACATGACAGAGTGAGTGAACATGGCCAGGCGGCATCATCGTCATCGTCCTCGGGAGTTTGGGAGTCAATTTCTTTTGCTTGTGTAGTAGGTCAAGGGCAAGATAGCGGGACAACAGTAAGTAGTGGTTGCATGTTGACAGCCCTAGCGCGAATACCCAATCATCAATTCTCTGTTTAGACACGATATGAGGCATGTGGATACTTGTGCTTCCCAATGTTTGGCTTGCTGATGTGGATCGAGCTGTAGCAGAAGGGCCCTTTCAGGCAAGGTAGCCTGCACACAAAGTGTCAAGAAGAAAAGTCGGTCGAAGGATTAATCAGACAGCTTCTTGATGTTTGCAAAAGAAAACACAGGCCATCAGGGTTCCCGGTCATAGCGGTGGATGGGATTCTGCAAACATCTCGAAGCTTCCAAGTTTCGGTTTCGGCATCTTCGCTCGCTGCTGACCCGCATGCCAAGGCGACTTGACATGTAGCAAAAGTTTCCCAGCCCTCGACAGACCAGACGGCCAGCACTCGCTGCATTATCCTGCCTCTGTCAATCTCTTCACCACCTCTCGCGCATCGACGCTCGCTCTCCACTACCCCCCTCTCACAAAAGCACAGCCCTGCGCAATCGCCATGAGTCTGGTCGGTCCAGCCTTGCTCCCAAAGGCGGCCAATCCGCTCCGCATCCTCGCCGCATCTAGGCCGACTTGCCAAATCTACCCCGAACGACCGCAGCCTACTGTCCAGTCTAGAGGCTTATACTCTGCTCCGTCACACACCTCTGCTCGTCATGCACCTCGTCAACCTACTCAAGCTCGGGTGAGATTTACAACAAACTTCCACTTGCGATCACTATATACTAACATGTCTCGACTCACAGACATTCCATGCCACCGCTGCGACACTAGCCAAGGACCCGTATGCTACTCTCGGTGTAAACAAATCTGCCTCTACAGGTGAAATCAAGAAGGCCTATTACGGACTGGCCAAGAAATACCACCCTGACACCAACAAGGATGCTGGTGCCAAGGAGAAGTTCGCTGAAGCTCAGGCCGCATATGAGACTCTCTCCGACCCAAAGAAGAAGGAAGCATTTGACACTTACGGCTCGGCTGCCTTCGACCAGAATGGCGGTTTCAATCCGGGAGCCGGCCAAGGAGGCAATCCATTCGCAGGTGGCGGCTTTGGTGGATTCGGAGGCTTCGGTGGTGCTAGTGGTGGAGGTGCTCAGGGCTTTGGAGACATCAACTTCGAAGATCTCTTCAGTGCCTTCGGTGGCGGAAGTGCAAGAAGAGGTCGTGCAAGACCCTCACCATTCCAAGAAGAAATATTGGTCGGCGAGAACATCGAGGTTCAAACAAACATCTCCTTCCTGGACGCAGCAAAGGGCATCACCAAGGACATTCACATCAACCCATTGGTCAAGTGTAAGACTTGCGAAGGAAACGGCTTGAAAAAGGGCCACTCGAGGACAAATTGCGCCAGCTGTGATGGAACTGGTACGAGGGTACATTTCATGCAGGGAGGCTTCCAGATGGCAAGCACTTGCGGAGCGTGTGGTGGTCAAGGAAAGACCATGCCCAAGAACGGCGCTTGCGGAAGCTGCAAGGGCGAGGGTGCGCTCCGTGAGAAGAGAACCGTATCAGTCGACATTCCAGGAGGTATCGAAGATGGCATGAGAATGCGTGTATCACAAGAGGGAGACTTCCCGCCGACAGGCCAGGCTGCCAACCCCAAAGCAAGAACATCGAATGGCGATCTATACGTCTTTGTACGAGTGGCACCGGACCCAAAGTTCAGCCGTAATGGATCAGACGTGCTCTACACAGCATCAATACCACTCACGACGGCCATTCTTGGAGGAGAGATACCCATTCCAACCCTGGATGGAGAAGTCAAAGTCAAGGTCGCGACCGGTACGGCAACTGGCGACCGCATCACGCTCTCTGGAATGGGCATGAGAAAACTAAACAGCCGACGTGGTAACAATGGAGATCTCAGAGTCGAGTACAAGGTGCAGATGCCCAAGTATCTCAGTGTCAACCAGAGGACGATCGTCGAGATGCTCGCCGATGAAATGGGCGACAAGAATGCCAAGCGCGTGATGAACCTTGGAAAGATGGCGGAAGATGCCAAAAAGGATGCGACGACGAGCGAGGAAGATTCACACAAGAATGAGGGATTCCTCAAGTCTGCATGGCATAGGCTTACACACCAGCACGACAAGGACAAGGAAGACGCTAGCAAGCAGGAGGCAGACGACAAGAAGAAGAACGGAACGAGTTGAAGGGGATGAGGGGACGGATTGTAAGACAAGTTGTACATTATTGTATATTATAGCGACCTTGTTGGAATATTGGAGCAAGAGCGATAGTCCTGCTGGAATGTGACTTGGGCCGCAAGGATGGAAATGCATGATGTGTATAGACGAAATGATTATAGACTCTCCTCTTCATGAGTGATGTGGGACAATATATGTTGAAGTGGTTGGGTATGATCAGGGTATGGCAGATGTGTCAGATTGATGTTCGCGCGGGAAGCTTGGAGGCGGGATGATGACGATCGGGCACTTGTCGTGATCGAGGCGTGTTTCTTGTGATCGATTAGCCATGCAGCTGCATCTCTTGCACACTCGAGTACATAATTGGGCCGTTTGACCTCTGTCGATTGCACAGGCAAGGAAGCGAAGTACAAAAAGGCAGGAGCCAGCAGCGAACATCTGGCAACGGCAACAACAGCAGCAGCAACAACAACAACGGCAAGAGCGATCGACGACCCCACCCGCGTGGCCATGCTATAGCGGCCAGCTCCAGGCACCCAAGACAAGCACCACGACATGATGCAGACACCGATGCTGTCATGCCCGCTCAAGGCAACAAACGAGATAGACTGGATTGCTCCGCTCAAGCAATATATCCGCAACACCTATGGCGACGACCCCGAGCGATACGCCGACGAATGCGCCGCGCTCAACCGGCTGCGCCAGGACATGCGAGGTGCCGGCAAGGACAGTGCCGCTGGACGCGATCTACTCTACCGCTACTATGGGCAGCTGGAGCTGTTGGATCTGCGCTTCCCCGTCGACGAGAACCACATCAAGATCTCCTTTACCTGGTCCGTCAAACTACAAGCCTCTCCCCAACCTATCTCTCTACCTTACTGACCCCACCGCCCCCGCAGGTTCGATGCATTCACCCACAAACCCACTGCTCAGTACTCGCTCGCCTACGAAAAGGCCTCCATCATCTTCAACATCTCCGCCGTCCTCTCCTGCCATGCCGCCCTTCAGGATCGCAATCAGGAGACGATGCTCAAAGTTGCCTACCACTCGTTCCAGGCTTCGGCCGGCATGTTCACATACATCAACGAGAACTTTCTGCATGCTCCCTCGACCGACCTGAGCAGAGATACCGTCAAGACACTCATTGCCATCATGTTGGCTCAAGGCCAGGAAGTCTTCCTCGAGAAGCAAATGGTCGATGGCAAGAAGGCCGGTCTCATGGCCAAGCTTGCTAGTCAAGCTGCCTTTCTGTACACTCAGGCTCTGGAGGGCGTACAAGAGAATGTCGCCAAGGCCATCTTCGAGCGTGTCTGGCTGCTCGTTGTACAATTCAAGACCCACTACATGACCTCGCTTGCCCACTACTACCAGGCTCTCGCAGATGACGACGCAAACTCCCACGGTATTGCCATCTCTCGTCTAGAGATTGCCATGACACTCGCTCGAGAGGCCACTAAAGTCGCAAATTCTTTCCCCTCATCTATTCCTGCCGCTTCAAATCTGGCTGGAGACACTGCATCGATCCTCGCAAACATGGCCAAGACCCATTTGGCTGCATGCGACGAAAAGCTGCAGCAGTTCAACAAGGACAACGACTTTATCTACCATCAACCAACTCCCCCCGAGGCTGCACTTCCAGCAATTCCCAAGCTTCCTGCTGCTAAACCAATTCCTGTGAGCGAGCTGTACCAGGGCCAAGACATTCACCGCATTGTTGGTCCAGATATCTTTCAGAAAATTGTTCCCATGGCTGTCACAGAGTCTGCTAGTATGTACGACGAAGAGAAGGCTAAGCTCGTCCGCGCAGAGAGCGAACGCGTAGAAATCGCAAACGACGAGATGGCTGCTTCCCTGGATTACCTCAAGCTGCCGAATAGTCTAAATATTCTCAAGGGAGGATTGGATCAAGACATGGCTGTCGACTCGGACTTCCGCAAATGGTGTGAGGACTTTGTGGGCCACGCCCCTTTCGCCGATGCCTTCGAGCAACTCAACTCTAGCAAAGCTAGTATTCATGGTACTCTTGATCAGTGTCAGAAGATTTTGGACATGGAAGAAAGTGTTTGTGAAAAGATGAGAAACAAGTATGGTGCTGAGTGGACTCAACAACCTAGCTCTCGCCTCACCTCGACCCTGCGAAGCGACATCCGCAACTACCGTGGCGCCGTCGAAGAGGCGAGCATGAGCGACGTGCAGCTTTACAGCACTTTCAGACAGCACGAGTCGGACATGGAGGAGATGCGCTCAGCGGGCGAGACCGACGAGGCTGATGTACTTTATCAACGAGCTATGATCAAGGTTGGCGCCGCGAGAAAAACAGGCGCTGAGCGTCCAGCGGCGGAAGGAAATCTGATTGATGATATTGAAGATGATGACAAGGCGAGCGTGTCTGAACAGATCGCCGCTGTTGAGGACCTGCTGAAGAAGTTGACATTGATCAAGAGAGAGCGTGAGAAGGTTCTCAAAGACTTGAAGGAAAAGGTTTGTACACCGGTGACTTGCGAGTTTGGCGACACGCTAACCATGGGACCAGGTTCACAACGACGACATCTCGAGCGTGTTGATCTTGAACAAGAAGGCAATGTCGCAGGAAAATCAACTCTTCAAAACCGAGCTTGAGAAATTCCGACCCCATCAACAACGTCTATTGCAAGCTCAACACAAGCAGCATAGCTTGATGAAGGAGTTGACTCGTACCTACAGTGATCTGTTATCTGACAAGCGAGTGCGTCAAGAGCAGAACAAGTACGAGGCCTTCTCGCGCCAACGTAGCACGGTGATGTCAAAGTACAAGAAGGTACACCAAGCACTCATGGATTTGCGCGCAGGCCTTGAGCGTGCCAGGAACTTTTACTCAGAGATGAAAGATACCGTCGACAGCCTGTATAAGAATGTTGATGGCTTTGTTGGTAACCGCAAGGCGGAGGGAAGTCAACTTCTCAACCAGATTGAGAGTGGCAAGACCGCCTCGGGAGCCAGTGGCGCAGATCGCGAACAGCAGCGTCTTAAGGAAATGATGGATCGCATGTCTATGAACCCTTCATCATCGCCGCATCAACAGCAGCAACCGCAGCCTCCCGCAAGACCATTGCAACAACAACAGCATTCTTATAACAACTACAACCCAGCAGCCTCACCACCCGTCACCCCAGGCTATGGCATGCAACCCACCCCCTCGCCATACATGCACCAACAAAATTATGGCCAACAGCAACCTCAACATCAACAGCCTCAGCAGCAAACCTACCAACAGCAACAGCAGCCCCAGCAACCTCAAAGCTATAGTTACAACCCGACCTCTTATGGTATGCCAAACTCGCCGCCCGCAGCCCAACCGCAATACTTTTCTCCGCCACCAAATCAGAATCAGAACCATAACCAGTATGGCCAGCCTCATGCTCAGATGGGCCAACAGCAGAATATGCTGCCTCATGGTTATGTGCCTCCACCTCCACCACCTGGTCCTCCGCCCCACCAGCAGCAGCAGGGATATGGTCAACAGCCTCATCAAGGTTACGGTCAACAGCAACAGCAGCAACAGCAACAAGGGCAAGCAGATCCTTGGGCAGGGCTTGGCGCTTGGAAATGAGGTGAGGTTGTCATGATGCGAAGAACGGGAGTGGATTCAGATGGGGAATGACGGGAGCTGAAACAGAGTGAAGCTTGAACTGTATACATCGAGACGCAATATCAAAAAAGCCTGTTCCAGAGAAACCATTAAACTTCCAGTCACCCTTGCCATGATACGCGGAAACATACTCCTTTGTTTTTTGGTATTCGCATGCGAAACATCATCATCATCACCATCATCACCATCAACTACCACATTATCGTCTTCATTATTATCGTCCTCATCATTATCGTCCTTATCATCAATCTTGCTATGGACATAAGCGACGGTCTGGAGAAGATGCGAGCGATTGAAGGAGAGACGAATGTTATCCATCGTCAAATATCCCATCTGAAGCTTAGATTGAAAAATCTATTTACATGACAAAAAAAAAAGCTCAAGAATGTTCAATAATGAGAGATCGACATGGTGTACGAAGAGTAAAATTGGAAGGTAAGGGAGACAGACGCCAGCGCCACTCCCCCATGTAGATTTGCGAAAACTGAACAGTTCGTGATTTGAGAGCCTGCGATGTACGAGCTTGTTCGTCCAAGTGCTCATATATCGATACAAACTTGCCCCTTCTTCACATGAAGAATTGCCGGAGAATGTCAGTCTGGAGAACGATATCCGAGCCCAGGAATCCCGCTTCGAGTTTATCATCCTGAGCCCACGCCCAGTGTAAAAGCTGTGTAGTGCGTAAAATAGTACCAGGACCCGCTCTAGGAGCACAAGAAACAATTGCACTGGTGAAGGTGGTTTGATCAGCTGGTGTGACAGCCCCGATACCCAATAGGAATATTGGCCAGAGGAGAAGTGCAGAAGCACCTTGGAGAAGATTCAGTTGTTGAAAGACTTTGTGACTTTGTCTGGAGATGGCGACGAGATCTGGATCAAAAGGGCCGTTGTTTGGGTTTAGCAGCTTATGTGATAGGAATAGGCAGCCGTAATACCAAGCTTTGGCCGAGAGAAGGTTCTTCATCATAAAAGTGTCTGCGGTGCCGGAAACGACGTCGAAGAGATCTTCCGGTGCTTCCACAGGTGCTCGCCAGTTCATGATTCTTGTTGATAAAGAGATTGCATCGATTAGGTCTCTTCCTTGCAAGGGTAGTCTATCCCTCAGCCAGCATAGTTTGAACGCAATATCGAAGAGAGGAGCACACATGCCTACCCAGGGACACTTACGCCATGTGCGAATCATATCTCGTCGAGGACTTCCGGGTAGACACATGGCTTCGAAGAGTTTCTCGATGTGGTCGTAAGGTAAGGAGGTAAAAGGTTGAAAGAGTCTATTGTGGACTGTGCGGAAGGAGTAGGCTTCGAGGACTAGGAGCTCGTGCATTGAAGATGGGGGTCTGTTCATCATGCTTGCGCGGACCAGATTGTGGGCGCCGTTGAGATGTGCTACTCTCATGTGTGCGGGATCATCGGCTCTAGGGCTCATGGACTGAATTGACATGAGTTAGTGCTCAGACTCGTACAAGATGTGTGGAAATGTCGTACCTCGAAAGTATGCAGCAATAGGGTTGTGGCGACTTTCCATTCTGGGGATGTCAGGCCAGTCACGCTCAAGGCAGTGGCGAGCCCTTGGACTGCTTGCTGATAATGGATAAGCGCTCTTCGAATACCATCTGGTCGTGCTCTTGTCACAAAAGCAGTGCCGCAGCACAACCATGCATGCATGAGTGCTGAGTTCTGTATGCATAATGGCAGACATAGAGACGAAGCCGATTCGTCGAGACTTCCATTGTCCGGCGATATGATGGCATTGTCGAAAGTTGTCGTGATTTGAATCAATTGACTTGATGTCAATTTCCTGTATACGTCAGTGAACATGCTCTGTATATAGACAACTTAATAATAGACAAGCACATACGGTGTCACCTTTTTGACACCCTCGGGAAGCCTGACAGTGATGGCATTCTCTATGTTATCCTGTGGTGACGGCGGTCTCCAGACGTCTTCCCTCGTATTTGAGATCGATTTACCGCGATGACTGATCGGTTCCTTGTCTCGAAGTACCAATGTCGTCTCGGATGGAGAATCAGGGTCTCTCAGCAGAGGCACAGGATTCTGGCCAACATTGAAGTCCGGAACAGGCTGAGGTCTATCATCTTGAGTAACCAACGGCGCCGCATGTGCAGGCCACTCGCAGACAACATTGCCGATACTCTTTCGACAACGAACACAGAAAGGCTTTGCCAAATCACACTTCTTCTTCTTTCTTCGACCTGTAACCGTCAGTGTCAATGCTGTAGATCATTGCCAGCACACATCACGACGAGGGCCCCGCAATTGAGAATCTGATCCGAACAGGCCCGTGGAGTTTGTGACAAAAGGGAAGGCAAAGCACATACACGGTAGACAACCCAGATCCGTACGCGTCCGCTTTGGCTTGATGTCCGCCGCAACCAATCCGCCGGAAGACAGCTCGAAATTAGCAAACATGACACGCTCCCTGACTGTTCAGATCGGGCGCATTGCGGACTGAGGTTCGCCGATATCCAGGATGGTGGGTGCGGATGGGGGGAAAAGGCTAGCGGGGCGGCATGCTCGATCAAGATAAGTGCTGCCAAGATCTCTATACACCTGCGGAGGGAAGTCCGTGGAATCATAGATACATCTTGAACATATGACTGGTTGCTGGGATGGCCTTTGTGAAGGAATGTATTCATCAAGGTACCATCGAGGCAAAGTAATTGTTGATTCCACAGCAAGCACGACGCTTTGACGAGAAATGATTAACCACCAAGGTTAAACAATGAAAAGTTTCATGGCATCAAAGTTAAACGCTTTGTTGAGCTATTCTTACCTCGATACGACGTGTCGTATCACAGCTGTTACCTTTGCATTAGGGCTTATCTTCATCTGAAGAAGTGCCGACATTATCATGTACCATACGGGTGTCAATCATAGTGTCTGATCACATGAAAATCAGTGGGCATACAATTTGATCCTACGAGCTGTATGAGATGATTACCAGTAAGTCGCGCTGTGCTGGACGAAGACAAGTAGCAAGAAATAATGCTCAATGCAACACTTTTGATATCCCTTTACAGCAAATCGTCGATACCACGCTCCGAATCCTTCTTGATCAGATCAACCATACCCTACGGAGTATCAGTATGTCGCGCAGGTCACTTGCATAGAACAATGTACTCACATCGGGGAAAATGGGCTTTCCGTTCTTGTCAAGAACATAGCGGAAGGGCATCTCGGTGCTCTCGTGCTCGTCAACCTTGATTTCTGGGTTGTCGACGTACTTGATGTCCTCGAGCGCGATGCGATCTTGGACCACAATTCTAGTGGTTCGCACTGCTGTGTCTGTAGTCATTTGCACGGGCCCCAAACGGCGTCCTTGGTAGCCCTTCTTTCGGAGCTCGGAGGTACGATCTATCGATGGAATTAACATCAAAACTTTGCGTCCAATCTCAGAGCACACAAACCTCTTGGAGGGTCATCTCCGAGGATACCGCCAAACAGGAAAATGTCAAAGTTGTCACCGTCCTCAGGGCTGAGTTCCTTGGTCGCTGCAGGGTCGAGAAGACAGACGCGATCCTTCTTGTCTGCGTAGATCTCCTCGATACCGCGGTGCTCAACATTCAACTCGGAGACGGCTTTGAGAGATTCGGGTAATTGCAGTTCACGAGGAACAGATGTGAGGTAGAATGAAGATCCCGTAGCTGCGGTTTCCCTAGCAATGCACTTGTACTCGAGAGCAGACCATTGCTCGAGCTCAGGGTCGAGATGCTCGACGATAAAAGTCTTGTTACCGGACATTTTCTATCGCTGATTAGGATTGCCATTGGGTCAGTTTACGTGTCTGAAAACTGATGGAGACTTACGATTCGAAGGTCGGATGCTAGAATTTGCGATTGAGTAAGTACAAAGGATTGGATAAAGAGAGGATATCACTGGTGTAGTGATATTATGAACAATAACTTGGTAAGTGCAGAAGGTTATGGTCAGGACGATTGCGCTTGTGATTTTTCAAAAATTTGGTCTCGAAACCGGGACTGACGTGGAGAATGGTCAAGCATCGTGGGGAAGTACCAATCGAACGCAAGATATATGCTATCCGAAGCCACGATTTATACCAGCCTATCAGATGCGTTGACGACCGAGCGTGTGTCGGACGCTGAAAGCCCTTTGCTCTTTATCTAGTCTTTCAGAATGGGAGCTTGTAGCATCAAGGTGCTGAGCTCTAATACTTGAGCAAGGCACTACGAGCTACGTGCAACATGGTCATCCCAATCATGGGAACATAGCTCATGCCATAAATGCAGAGCGCTTGAGTCAGGGATTAAGCCATAAGGAGTCAAGTAGTCGAGGATGAGCGAGTGCTGCGTGACTCTGCACGAACAAGGGAAAGATCAGAGGAAGTTTAAAGGGCCTCAGGCTGCTGGGCAGACGTTGTGGAAAGGGACAGAAGACGGTGACACAAGCTCGGGAGCTCCTCGTACGTACCGTACCCCTCTTCCAATTGCACTGCTCTCATCAGACAAACTGAACCTCGTGAATTTCAACTTTCCAATATTCAAAAGTCGCTCCATCAATTGCGTGCCAAGCACGAGCTCAAAGCTTCCACCAAGCAACAAACGCGAAACCCACGAAACGCAAGCGGCGGCATCAAACGTGCGTCAGAGTGCTTCGTCATACGTTCCACACGACGCCTTTCGACCGAGCAATTGACATTGCGCAGCAGCGAGCCAGCAAGAAATATCGACGGCATAGCGAACAACGAAAGCAGCTCTACCACGTCTCTTTGTCCCGAAGCCTTCCACCCCAGCTTTGACAGAGCCGTGCTGAGTCAAGCAACGACATCACCCTGGTGAACAAAGCCCAAAGCTATTCCACCCACTGCCTCTCCGAGAGTGTCGGCTTCTTTTGCTCCTCCGCCGACTGCACTCCATTCTCCCGGAGAACACAGCTCGTGCACAACACGATTTGCGATACTGTTCTTCCTGGCGAAGACTCGTATCCCTCTCAATCACCTGCTATCGCAGAGCAAAAAGGTCAAGCACCTTGCGACAAGCCCGCCATCATGAACCCCCACCAGAACAACAAGGTCGACATCAATGTGAGATCCTAACACACCCTTGTACCCGTCATGAGACTTACCACTCATCATTCCTTCAAAGGCCATGTCCCCCGATGAGCAGCGACTGTTCCGCATGTACGGCAAGCTGCCCGACAAGAAGAACTTGCTCCAGAACAAGCTCAAGGTACTTAGACAACCCAACCTCAGCATCCTCCTCTTACATTCTCTGACCACACACGCGCGACACCATAGGGCCAAGAGCGCAAATACTTCGACAGCGGCGACTACGCCCTCAGCAAAGCCGGCAAAGCAGGCGACGTAGGCGTCACCAGCATCGGCGTCGAACACCCCTCACCAGACACCATCCCCCACCTCTCCTCATCACCAAACACCCAGACCCCTGGAAACCCCAACGGCAACCCTGGTCTCAACCTGCAGCCCACCCAGAGCCACCAATCTTATGTCTCGGGCAGTCCTGTCAAGGAAGGCAGTATCCTGCAGAGAGGCATGAGTGTTGATGACCAGGACGGCGAGATCAAGAGTGCTATGGAGAAGCGTGCTCAGGCTTCTTCGTCCAACCTTTCACCTTCATCCGAGAGCGACGCTGTGCCTATTCGTCAATAGAAGAAGTCGAGGTTTCTTTTGATCCAGGGCACTTGTTGGAGGAATGAGGATCGCTTGACTCGGAGGGAACCTGGTGGATGACAAACGAACCGATTAGGACGACAGAGTCAAAGGTCAAGGTCAAGGTCAAGGGTCAAGGATAGGCGTTGGACTGGCGAGCGGCGTGCAGGAGTTGTTCTCTTTTTCTTGTTGTCTGTCTGTTTTTTGTGATTTCCATATCTCACCCCTTTTGATTGTCTCGTTGGACACATGAGGCGGTGCCTAAACTACCCACACAGCCTTTTTTTGTTTCATCTGTACGTTTATGCCATGTTCTTCTTTCTCCTTGTTTCCACTCGATTCCTGGCTCGACCCTTCTCGTGCATCTACCTTGCCATGAACAATGAACTGTCTTTCTTTGATGAATAGTTGATTATACAGAATAGTCGAATATTGGGCAGGATGGTCAAACGTTGGTTGCTCATGGTTCGTGAAATGATAATACAGTTTGATGGCATCCCAGAGAAAAAAGAAATATAACTACATGAAGGATCCCCTTGTACATCCAAATGCTACACTCATGGGTGGACCAAAGCACCTCCCTGGGCCTGTTGACCTCTCTTGCTACCAGGCACACTAGGCTCAACCTCATCCAGAGCAGCATTGACATCATCAGCCTCAACGTCCAGAGGAGCATCCTGATCACGAGCATTGGCCGAAGAGCCATTGAGCTGCTTGATTGCAAGAATCTCCTTGGCGGCCCACTCGCGCCATTCCTCGTACTTTTGGTCCTCGAGCTTCATACCGATATCCAAGGGCGAAGGACCAAACTCGGCACCAGTCCAGAGGGCCTCTTCGCGGGCGACACGGCGTTCGATCTCCTGTGCGTGACGGATCTCGTAGAACTCTTTACGGGCCTTGTCGTAGGCACCTAGCTTTGTGTAGGCGGGGTATGTGTCTGGCTCTGGGGTTGGGAGGTCGCCGCTGAGAATGGCGGATTTGTTGATTTTTAGGAGGGTCGCGAGGTGGTCGAGGAGAGCAGGCACGTCTGCTGAGGCGTTGCGGGAGTAGGAGAAGGAAATGGGTAGAGCGTCAAAGGCTTCTTCGGCAAATGGCTTGACGGCAACTTGAGAGCCGAGGGCAATGTCGATGTTGTAGGTCTTGCCGATGGCTGCGAGGTCGGTGTTTCGTAGCGTTTGAGCGACGCTCTCGCTGTGTCGAATGTTTGCTTTGAAAGAGCGCTTGTTGATGAGCGAAGTGTCAACACCTTGTTCAGCAAGGAATCGGTATGAGTGCTTAGAAGCATCCTTGAGGTTGTAAGGAGTTTTGGGGTGCCAGGTCAGGTAGAGCTGGACAGGCATGCGGACATCGTCTGCCATCTTGGACAGGTCTTCTTTCAACGGCAATCTGCTGGTGCTCAATTCGATTCGGTAGTCTTTCATGAAGAGAGGCACAACTTCGTCCTCAAAGGCCTCTGAGAGAAGATATTCTAGCAGTCGTGGGCTGGCCTCGAAGTCGAGTTCGTGACGAACCTGGCACATGAGCCACGCTTGTCTTTGTACAACGCTGCAAAGTGTCAGTGCTGATTTGAAAAGGATGCGAGCAAGTGTGCACACCTCTCTCCGTCGACTTGTTTTGTAGGTTGCTCCAGCTGGCTCCAATCGAACTTTTGGTAGTCCTTGCCGTCATGTTCGAGAACCTGTCTAGGCCTCGCCAATTCCCACGGGTGGTCGCCGAAGAAGTCGAGTCTGAGTTGGTCCTCTTCGTAGCGAAGCTTGACGGGTTGAAACAGCTTGCTGGCCTTTCTGCCCTTGCGCTGGGCGGGTTGCAATGGCGGACGCACCAGACGTTCTGACGGCGGTAGATTGCCGATGACCGTGTACCACGGCGGAGGAGGTTGCGGGCTGGTTGCGTTTCTTGAGCCTTGGACCTGAAGCAGACGTGTTGCAGCCTGGTGCACGCGCTGAGGCGCAAAGTTGTATCGACCCATGGCGGCGGTCTTGTCCTGGCGGCTCACTCGATTCTTTAGTTCAAATGGAGAATCATGTCGGCGCGCGGGAGTGATGTGGCTTGGCGCGGCCGGAGGAGCGGCTCCAGCCAATCAGCGGGCTGCAGATGCGCAGTCGGTAATGCTGAAAGTCGGACTTTTTGGTTTCGCCCAAGTGCTCGCCAGACCGACCGCTGCCTTGTCCAGGGCCGTCATGTACTGAGACCAATGCCCAGGGAAAGCGCATTGCTCGTGTGACACAATGCTCGCCGCTTCATGTCCCTCCTTGGCTCCTTCTCCCGCAACCAGAGCGGCTCCTCTCTGCACAAGAAGCCGACACCAGCCTCCATCATGACAGCTCTGTGTCCTCGCCGCAATCACCTGTCCAGCCACCTCGACCACGACAGACCCCACGTCCGCCATCGACGAGACCTCCACATCCTCTCCCGCCGGGCCCCACAACACTCTCTGATCCCCAAGTCTGCCGAGTCCCTTTTTCTCGAAGCTCTCGCACACGCGAGCTTGTGCCGGGAACATGCTCGCCAATTCTCAAACATCCATCGACCTTCTCATCCGACGCCCCCTGAGCACTCCTCTTCCTCCTCCTCCTCCTCCTCCTCCTCCTCCTCATCATTCTCCTCCTCCCGCTCTGCACGCTTCACCACACAGTCCTCGAGAAACAAGCCTCCTCAATCCTCCGCTGTCGAGCTCGTACCAGATGAGGCTCACTCTCCAGCACCCATCTATATCCCCCGCGAAGAGCTACGCTCTATAGTCGATCAATACGATTTCGCTGGCTATCAGGAAGACCCTCCTCCGGAAACAGACTACCATCACGAGCCTCAGCCAGACGACAGTGTCGCCTTCTCTTTCCAAATACCAGAAAGAGAACCCCTGATCGCTCCCGATCTTCTCGACCAGCAAGTCATTGACCACTTCAACTTCATCATACAAGACAAGCACACCCCGAACCAGAATCTCTACGAAGCTTATCGGGCGATACCGCACCCACGCCCTCTACATCTTCAGAACCAACGTATCCGCCAACTCATGCATCGCCTGAGTGTTGTTGAATACAAAGATGAACAGACTATGCATTGTTATCTCTCTGTGGTTGACGACATGTCTGCTGCAGATCTACCCATGACGAGAGCAGAGTGGAATAGTGCCATGAGTTTCGCCAGTCGCCATCTCCGCAAAGTCGGTGATATACAGGTCGAGACTGCCACTCAAATCTGGTTACGCATGGAGAAAGAAGCCGGGATTGCAAGCAATGCTGTAACGTTTAGCATCCTGTTCGACGTCGCCACAAAAGCTGGCAAATTCGCCCTTGCCGACATTATAGTCAGGGAGATGATGCAGAGAAACATCGAGCCCAGCCGCCATTTCCGAACCAACAAGATCTATTTTTACGGCCTGAAACGCGACGGTGCCGCCGTTAGAAAAGCATACCAAGAATTAGTCGACGCTGGCGAGGTCGTTGATACACTGGTTCTGAACTGTGTGATCGCGAGTTTGATCAATGCTGGCGAGGCCTCCGCCGCTGAGTACATTTTCGAGAAAATGAAAATCCTTGGCTTAGGTAATGCCATGGCTACAAAGATTCAAGGGTGGAAAGCCCAACGTCAGCTGGGAAAGGTCCTAGATCGGGTTGGAAGAGCTCTTCGCGAGCAACCCGAGCGACGTGGCGTCGTGCAAAACGTCACTCCGATACAACCTAACTTGCATACATATCGCCTTTTGATCAAATACCACGCTCACGAGTCTGGCAACATAGATCGTATCACGGACTTGCTCGATGAAATGGAACAGAACGCCATCCGTATACATGGATCCATTTTCTACCAGATCATACGCGGCTTCAGCATTCATGGCGGCATCCGATACTCTTCCTGGAACAAGAAAAAACTTGACAGCTTTTGGGAGGTCTTTTGTCGATTCGTCGAGAGAGACGGAGAGACGGAGCAGAAGCACAGTGATTGGTTGTACGAGGAAGACAGAGGCTGCTATTTTAGTGTCTCCATGGTCAAAATCGTCCTCCTTGCCTACATTAAGGTCACTGGCCCAGACAACACCAGAGAGGTGTGGGAGGAGATTAAAGAGATCTGGAAGCCGAATGAGCACGACGAGCAAGCTGTGAGCTCAGGGATAGAATACGCGCTGGCCAGAGTGTAGCCTTCAGAAGCGTTGTAACATTACATATAACCTTTCATGTATAAACGAATTTAGGGATCAAGGAACTTTTGAAACAACAAATCATAGAGCGTTTACCCTCCCACTTTTTCTACAGGAAGAAGACCCGATGTGATCGTCTCCACCCTACTCGGTCATGGCCACTTGGTTTCAATGAATCATCTTGATGGATGATGTATAAAAAAGTGTCCGTGCCCCAACGCGTAACTCTCAGGTTGCTCTTGCTTGATTGTCTTCCTGATCCGTTGATTTGACCCTCTCTACTTCTCTGCTCGATAATTGGAGAGACTCAAGGATTCTGTGACGCGTCAAAAGCTGCGAGTAGTCTACTCAACGAGGATGCCGCGGCCGTCAAATCCATTAATGTTGCCTGTTCTGCCGTCCGGTTGAAGCCTGGAAGTAACCATCAATTGCCTCCCAAATTTATCTCAATTTCGTCTGAATCACCAACCACCAAAACAATGCCTATGCAAAGACAACGCAGCAAGCCCGATCTTGAGTTCACGCTTCGCCAGGTTTTTGGAAAGCCTTCATTCAGGTGAGCGTGTCCCTCAAGATCTGCCTTTTGTGACAAAAGCTGACCGTACTTCCCCCACAGGCCTGTACAGCGCGAAGTCATTGAGACTGCTCTTGACGGCAATGATGTTTTCCTCCAAGCTGCCACCTCATTTGGCAAAAGTCTATGCTTTCAGCTACCAGCATGCATCGACATTGGGAGTAAGCAAAATACAAGTCGGCTGGGCGAGACTCAACTCTAACATATCGTAGTCACCATAGTCGTATCACCTCTCCTTGCCCTCATGGTCAGCTCCAACCATCATTCCATTGCGGTATCGATCTAACAAAATTGTAGAATAATCAGGTCGCTGCTTTACGCAGGGCAAACATTCGGGTCGCTACTATCAATAGCACCGTCTCCAAGTCCGACCGTGATGCCACCATGGCCGATCTCAAAACCGGTCACCCCCTCACCAGACTTCTCTATGTCACCCCCGAATTCTGTGCCATGGACCATTTCCGCCGGGTCTTGCGCATAGTCCATGCACAGAAGGAACTTTCTCGGATTGCCATCGATGAGGCGCATTGTATCTCTGAATGGGGTCACGATTTCCGACCCAGCTTCAAGGAACTCGACTTCTTCAAGCGAGAGTTCCCAGATGTACCCATGATATGCTGTACCGCGACGGCTACACAGAGAGTGCGCGACGACATCATCGCAACACTGCATCTCGACAAGCGCAGGCTGAAGCACTTCACCATGACCACTAGCCGCCCGAATCTACACTACGAGGTTCGGTATAAGTCTGACGAGGAAGACCACTATGACGATTTTCTGGCGTGGATCAAAGCAGCACATGCTCGACGCAAGAGTCCAGAACGAGCCGCGGAACTGGCAGCACGAAACGAACGACCCACGAATGTCCCTGGTATCATCTACACATTATACCGCCGAGATTGTGAGCTAATAGCCGAGCGATTAACCAGCGACGGCATTGGTGCGAAGCCCTACCACGCCGGTCTCACAAACGATCAGAAAGACGACCATCTTTCTGGTTGGGTAGCCAATCAAGATGGCTACGATGTCATTGTCGCAACCACGGCGTTTGGCATGGGCATTGACAAAGAAAACGTTCGCTTCGTCGTACATTGGCAGATCTCAAAATCTTTCGAAGGATACTATCAAGAAGCCGGACGCGCAGGAAGAGACGGCAAAGCCTCCGTCTGTATAGTGTACTACTCACGCGAAGACCGCGACCGTGGTGCGAACCAGCTGGCCAGAGCACAGGAGCAGAAAATGAGAACCGAGATGAACAAAGGACGCAACAATCCCGAGTACGACAACATGAATACACATCCCGACAGCAATGGCCGAGCCAACTCGCTGCTGTTCCTCACGAAATACTGTGAGGCGACTGGTACTTGCAGACACAAGATGGTGGCTGAATATTTTGGAGACAAGACCGATGTGTCTTGTGTATATGCTTGCGATCATTGTAAAGATCAGAAGGGCTTGGAGATGAGGAAGAACAGTGGTTTGGCGAGTGAGGAGTGGTGCTTGACACAGAGGCAGTCATACTCTTATGACGAGTACGACTAGGAGCGTCGGTCGTAATGGAGGATAGGTTGGAATGTTCCAACAGAGGCAGCGTAAGCGAAGCGTGTGGAAACTTTTCTCGCCATGTTCTCGAGACACGAGTGCGATCGCTCATCTCCATGTGCACTTGTTAACACGATTTACTAATGGTCGTTCATCAAGCATGAGGCAGAGCCTCACCACTTCGTATAGAGACGCAATATTAGAAGCTAATTGTATTCGAAGCAATCCTCGATCGGCTACCGAGAACGCTGAACGAGACCGCTGATGCGATTGAAACATCCCGTCGCAACATAGTAGAGGTGATCTGGAGGAACAGTTATACTGGAAGAGGTGACGAAGGAGAGGTGGTGCTGAGCTTGCGGACATAAGATATAGTGTGGGAACAAAGGTTCAAGTGACAAGTGAGCCGACTGAAGTAAAGTGACGGGCCATAGGCTGATGATGGGCCGCTTGACATATAAGAGCAACCAAAGCAGCTATGACACTGAACGAGAGAGACGGAGCAGACAACCGAGAGATAGTCCACTGTGAAGCAAAATACCATAGAAGTGAACCCTGTACGACATTACAGTCGACCATTCCTTGCTCAACTCAGACTCCCACAAAATCTCCACAGCGTTACGAACTGCCTTCTCAGAACCATCTCTCTTGACGACCATGTGCCTTTGTACAGCTCGCCAGAAACGCGGCACATGCTTCTAAAGCCTGTCAGTCGCGTCTCCGTCGGTAGCTGCTTGGTACGGAAAAAGACTCTGCCTTTGTACAGCTCATTAAGTGGGGTGTATCATATCACCATGGGGGACACTTCACCAAGGAATAGATTTGGGAAATATCCATCACATCCTCAATCTACCATGCGTCCTCTGGGGAAGATCATATAGGGTCTGTCAGGTCCTGATTTTCGGCCCACGTTTTCTCGATGTTGGTAATCATGGAGCGATAGACAACTTCCTTGCGTTTACAATGGCGACAATCGAGGCGTCGGGGCCAGATCTTAGGAACCGTGGACCAGGCCTGCAGACCAAAAGATCAGCGGTTAGCGGTCTTGTACACTACCTGTTAGACTCCCTTAAGTCGGTAACCGGCGAACTGCCATGTGGCAAGCTGTCAGCGAGAGTGGTAGGCTTACCGGAAGTCTACTAGCATTGCTCGATTGGGCGAGGATTTGAGCACAATCCAGTGGGCGAGAGATGCTCTCTAGCGACCAACGCTCTGGTATTTGGCTGCTCAGCCATAAATAAAGACATTGTAGAGGTGGGTGTGCCTAGAGACATATGCACGTATGTTCATAGCCTTTGGGAGGCCCAAGTGCTTCCGTAATGATTGGAAGAATTGGGGGATCTGGATTTATAGCAGTTTTCTTGGTATGGAAGTAAGGACGTTCCGCTCCCTTGCATGATTGAAGACGCTCCCGCCTTGCGGTCAGTCCCAGGGTTTTTGCAAGCGAGAGCGACCATCAAAGTGACGGCCTCGGCTTGGCAAGTGCATACAAAATACATCTCGACGCAAACAAAGACAAACTAGCGACACGACCATTTAACACATCGCAAGCATGCCTAAGCCCAGACGCAACTTGCAGGCCACGGCCGAGGAGACCATGACACCTCCCCAGACTCTTAGCGAAACACAATGCGTCGCTCGAGTGCAACAAGCCGCTGGAAACAACCTCTACCGCGTCGAATTGCCAGACACCAAGGCGCTGTTGGTGGAACTGCCTGCCCGCTTCCGCTCAACTATTTGGATCAAAAGAGGCGGCTTTGTGCTCGTCGACACGGGTGCTATGACGGAGCGCGAGAACAAGTTGGACGGCGAGGTCATCAATGTGGTCAGAAACGAAAAGGAATGGCGCAAGCAGAAGTACTGGTGTGTCATGTCGCGTGCTTGAATCTCGTCCCAGCTGCTGATGCATACACAGGCCCAAAGAATTCGTCCAACGAGTCTCATACGCTGATGCCGACGACTCGGATGAGGAAGAGTCCAACGTTGGAAAGATGCCGCCCTCCGACTCCGAAGACGAATGATCTACCTTGGCTATCGACTGCCGACAACCTCAACGACACTATTCTACATGCTGATGCTTTCCTGCCAGTCCGCCTGCCATCTCTCGTCTCGTTCCATACCACACGCCGACCACTGTCGCCCCAAGTACTTGTACAACAACCATCGAGCTGAAGTTGGTGCTGGGGAAGACATTCCAAGCGTACTCTTGTGCCCCCCACAGAGCATATTGCAAGGCTGGATGGTAACCCGCCCGCCAAAGAAGAGCTGGCGTGGCCCACACAATCCAGGAGTAGAATTGGTAGTGGAGAGACCTTGCGCACAGCATGCCGATGGCATTGGCCGAGAGAATCGTTATCAAGATGAATCTTGGTGTTACTCTCGCCGACATCTGCGCTTGCTTCGCCTCCGATGGAGGGCTGAAGATTGACATGATGACTCCGGGGATGCTCTGTTTCGAAGGCTTCAGCCATCTAGTTGTAGCAAAAAGGACAAGCAGAGAGACATGAGCAGCCAGCAAACTTAATGCAAATCGCTTGGAGAGGAATGTTTCCTCTCCTACGAATCGCCAGTTCACTGTCCACTTGAAGAAGAACTGTCTTGTAAACTCAAATGCGCGTGAGAGGTAGCCGTGAGGATTGTGCAGAGTGAATGGTAGCGAGAGGAGAACCTGCATCCGGTCAGTAAGAAGCCGCGAGTAGCTGTAATGTAACCTCACCTGTATCAATGCAATCACTGAAGCATGGACAATTGCATTACCTACACCGACTGCCTGCAGAAGCACGACTCCAACTGCAGGTAATGCGAGCAATAGACTCATCTTGACCCCAAGACCAATCGAATAGATCGCCGATCCTACCATCCACCATCGCTTCTGGTAGCAGTAGATGGCCACAAAGAAGAAGAATATGGCAAAGCAGTCATTGAATAAACGCAACGTAAAGATCGAGTGCATACGTTTGGACAGGATGAGCATGGGAAAGACGTAGGGTGGTATCTGTCATCAGTCAGTCATCATAGCCCAAACCTTGATGGCAGTCATACGGACCTTTGCGTTACGGTAGCATGCCATGACCACAGCAAGCGTCATGAGGTAAAGTATCCCAAAGATTATTTGTGCAAACGGGATGTCGGTTCCTTGATCGGTGACCCGATATAGAATTTGGTAGATGTAAACATGAGCCGCTGGGTAGACCAAAGGCCCGGTGCCTCCCTGGATCTTGGTATAGTCACGCTCTCCAGCCAGGTATTGTGTGACTTGTTCGACATAAGCAGTCCAGTCAATCTCGGTATCTATTTTCGAATGGTTAGAATTGGGCTATCGTTGTTTGCTGTCGGGATCTCATACATGGTACTTTCCACACAATCAATGCCGTAAGCCCTGCATCAGCTAGCAGCAGCAATGGGCATATCCATCTGGTATGCCACGGGTCCTTGGCAATATTCAAACACTTCTGGAAGAGATCCATGACTAGTAACGAATGTGTCCGTAGTGACGGCACCCCACCGTTAAACTTGAGTCTAGGATTTTCAGCTGGAGCCTCAGCTGAAGTATGCTCCTGTACGTACCGACACCACGTGGTCGTTGTCGTCGTGGTCCTGGAAAAGGAGATGTTTGTCGAGCTAGAGTTGCGACCCGCGGGGCTGATCCTCTCCGCATTTTCATCTCATTTCGCAGCTTCCTTCTGGACATCCAACATTCTTCCACAGCTGGCAGCTACACGTTCCTCGTGGTCCAGTGTCATTGCCCAAGATGATCGGCAACGCATCTCGAACGCAAGGAACGATCCTGTAGAGCTATACAATATACCAAGGGCGCAACGTGGCTGTCCCGGCTACCAGGACACTCTGAGCATGTCATGCAGGTGGCTGGCTGGAAGCAAACTGATCGAACAATCTGTGCAGCCCTACCGATCGCCAAGGTACGCCATAAAGATAATTTGCGGACGGTTATAGCTGCACCTATGCCCCAAACAGTACAAGACTCAAAAGCACTTCGCAAAACTCTCCTCTGTGAGGTTAAGCTTGCAAATAAAGACTGTTTGCGATCACAGATGGTCGTTCGAAAGCAAGTATAACCGCGGCATCGAGATTCTATAGCTATAATTCTGTGGTCATGATTCGGACGCCATGCCACCATCGCAGCTTGCGGCGGGTAAGCAGGTAAGGTACCTCGATATGATGGCTGTTTGCTCTAGCTGTGCTTGAGCATAACGACCGCGCAAGGTTTCTGATACCGACCTATGTCTCAATTTGGACCTCATCTCGAGAGGCAGTCCTGTGCATTGTCCTCTATATCAGCTCTCTTCTGCCCTCTGCTCCCTCGCACCTTCGAGGTGTGACAGACATATCCATCATCTCTAGACATGAACACTGTCCAGGACACCGTCAACATCAACATGCCCGAGACGCCTCCGTCTTCGCCCAATTTATCTTCCAGGACGGCGCTCATCTCCAGACCTCCTACTTGGAGACTCTCAAGTCTTGAAAGCATTCTGGAATACAAAGAAGCTGTCGGCCAAGAAAAGAAGGCTGCTTCGTCGATCACGTCGAGCGAGATCAGTCCATCTGAGCAAGCTACCGCCAATGTCTCACAGCGTCGACGTTTCCGGTCCACTGCTGCCGAAGTAGCATTCTGCTTCTCCATGGCATTGACCCAATTACTTGCAGTAAGAACATACAAACCACTTTGACCATAACAGATTGATACTGACGAGAGCAGGAGTACATGATCACTGGCTTTGCAGTCATACTTCCAACATTACTGTCACGCTTCTCGAACGAAACAACGTCTGACTTCTGGCCTGCCACTATTCTGTCACTCGTGCTATGCGCCGCTCTATGCTCAACAGCTCGTCTCTCCGATATGTACGGCGGCTACCCTGTCTTCATGCTTGCCGTACTCTGGTTCTGTATCTGGTGTGTGGTCGCTGGCTTCAGTACATCACTCGTTCTTCTCGACGTCTGTCGAGCCATGCAAGGCTTGGCTATCGCTGCATACACACCAAGTAGCTTCGCCTTGTTTGGCTGCATCTATCCAACTGGTCCTCGCAGAAACACGGTGTTGGGTATATACGGAGCGAGCTCTCCTCTCGGCTTCTTTGCTGGCATCTACGTCTCTGCTGCACTCCCAGCCGATCAGTGGAGCTGGTACTTCTGGATTGCAGCAATCGTTGCTTTAGTGGCTTTGGTCGCTGCTTATCTCTCAGTACCATCAGACCGTGCTGATAGGTCAGCGCTCAAGCAGACTATGGACTGGAACGGTGCTGTTACTATCACATCTGGTCTCATCCTCGTCGCATACGCACTCGCCGCTAGTGCCAGCACGCCGCATGCCTGGCAGACTGCGGGTATCTTGGCTCCTTTCATCATCGGTCTTGCATGCCTGGCATGTGCTGTCTACATCGAGCTCAAGCTGGCAGTGTGCCCACTCTTACCACGCGCATTCTTCTCACCCAAGTCTGTCAAACCACTTATGATAGCATGTATCTTCTTCTATGGTAGCTTCGGCACATGGCTCTTTACTACCACCAATCATCTACGCCTTGCTTACGGTGTTACTGGACTTCGATTGGCAGCCTGGTTCGCGCCAATGGCTGTTGGTGGCTTCCTCTGCGCCGTGGGCGGTAGCAGTATCCTGCACATCACCTCGCCAAACTTTGTCCTGTTCGTCTCAGGTGTAGCTTGGGTGGCAGCTCCCCTCCTTTTGGCATTCGGAGATGCATCGATGGGCTACTGGCCCTTTGTCTTTCCAGCCATGGCATGTTCAACACTAGGCATTGACATGACATATACCATTGCCAATGTCGTGCTTTCGAGTGTTTCGCCGCTGCAATGGCAAGGTCTCGCAGGAGCAGTCAACAGCACAACAGTCAACCTCGGGATTGCCTTCTCATTGGCCATCACTCAAATCATCCAGACCAGGTCAGAAGGCGGTGATCCGAGACTAGAGGATCAACTTCGGGGTCATCGCAATTGCTTCTTATTCGCGGCAGCGAGTGCAGCCATTGGGTTGGCAGTCGCAGTCGTAGCAATCAGAATTCCGCGTGAAGTCGTGAGATCAGAGGAAAAGGATGACGAGTCTCACGGCGCGAGCGAAGAAGTGTCAGTAGATGATCGCTCGAGGCGGTGGTCAAGTCAGGACCAATTTGATGTTTGAACCTTGTAGAAAGTCAAAAGTTGGTTTGGAGCATTTACGAACAGTATAGTCTTGCATGGTAGCATATTGTAAGAGCGATCTGGATGAACATGTATTATGATATTTATCTTCCCAGACCTTGACCCGCTGCATTTTCGAAATTGTTAAACGGTCTCTCAAGTTGTGTAGCTGACTCTTCCGCTGGAAAACGCCAGCATAAAAGCTCTGCTCCTCCCATAAACCGCCAAACTAAACACGTCTCGGCAGTGACTTCGACCTCTACCAATATCAGCGCGACGCTATCACATCTGGAGCGCTTCAAAGTTTGAACATTGCAAAATCGGCAGTGTCGATGTCCATGCATGTGCGAGGAAGGCACCACGCCGGTGAACCTTTTTCCTCGAAGCATGATCTCCGTCGGCGATGTCGATGCTGCTCATCCTTGGATCAGGTCATGGTAGATACAGGGGAGTGCAAGAAGGATTGACCTGCATAGGTACTCAGTGGGGTGGTGATAGCGGTGAAATCGATAGAGGTATGGGTTGACGTACCCGAGCAGCTTCAGGAGCCGAGGTAAGTCCGACGGTTATGGAATACACGCCTTCCCTTCCATCTTTTCTTCTCTGTCACGTAGCTGTCGCAAGGCATGAATTTTATTTTGATAAAGTGTAAATATTACAGGAGCGTGACCGGGCATATTGGAACTCCGCGAAAAGTGCCATGAATCGATTCCCTCAGACCGGAGCAAGAGCTATCCGCTCGTATTCGTGATACGGATACGCGTACACGAGGGTGAAACACGAGGCTGGATTGACGTACCAAACCTTGTGCAGGTGGTTGATGATTCAACCCCTTGTGGAATCATGGGTATGACCGGATGCTAAAAGAGGTCAGATTTTTCGAACGTTGATAGCCCGAGCGTAAGTACGACGTATAACTGGTAGGAGACACCTCTCGATTCTTGACTCCTATCATCGTTTTTGCTCGACAAATCATCATGTCGACTGACACTGAGAGAAGAGAAAGAGCAGAAGCTCGAGCTAGACAACGGCGAGCTCACAAGAAGTCGAGAAACGGCTGCAGCCAATGCAAGAAGCGGCATATCAAAGTACGCGTATTGCAATTGTAGTGTGCTGGCCGTATCGCTAACTTGGCAAGTGTGATGAGAAGCAGCCGGCATGTTCGGGCTGCGTGGTTGCTGGGCTTGACTGTCCATTTGCATCGGACCTTACTACTTTACATGGCACCGTCCAAGCGAGTCCAGCTACAAGTAGCAATGTATCCACGATCTCTCGGCAGAGTCCTCTGATCACTGCAGCATTGAGTCCTTCAACGCTAGGGCGCTTCAACTCAGGAATCGATTCAGCAGATCGCTTTGAAGATGTGGATGTCAACATGGTCCACCTACAGCTATTCAGCCATTTCATGAGCGACACGAGCCGGACATTCATCAAGACGGATAGCTCGTTGGAGGTCTACCAGAGAAATCTGCGAGAATGCGTCTTCAGCCAGCGATATCTCATGCATGAGGTCCTGTCGCTAGCAGCACTGCACATGAGCCTTCAGTCGGCTAGCCAAAGTGCTGAACAAGGCAAGTGCTACCAACACTTAGCAACCACCTTACAGTCCAAGGCCTTGGCTGGCTTCAACGAGGCTGTGCAAGAGATCAACGACACAAATTGCTTGACTCTCCTACTCTTCTCTCATATGCTGGGCGTCCACTCCTTCTGCGAAGTCTTCATCTCACAAGACGAATCCTTCAGCAACTTCCTGACCCGCCTTCTTCAGGCAATCCACCTACTTCGCGGTATCAATGCAGTAATTCAACCATGGTGGCACGTCCTATCCACCACCGACATGGTACAACTAATGCGCGAAGGCGAAGCCCACCGCATCGCCACAGAATCCCTCGAAACCACCGTACCACACCTGCACAACTTGATCGCCACAGCAGACATCAGTGAAACCAGTCTCTGCATTTATCGAGAAGCCCTTCGTCGATTAGATGCAGCTCTTCATGGGTCAGAACTTCGAGATGACATCAATATTGTGTTTGCATGGCTGGTCACCTCGCCGAAAGAGTATACAGATCTTTTGGCTGAGCGCAGACCAGAGGCCTTGGTGTTGTTGGCTTATTATGCTCTGGTCTTGCATAGACGACGCAGTTCGTGGCTTATTGGGACGGCTGGGCAGAGGATGTATGGATGGATACGTAATTACCTGGGCGAGAGATGGGTGGATTGGCTACCCTCAGCAAACTTGTTCGATACCACTCAAGACACTTGAAGCAAACTCTGAGTACTCACTAGTCTGCTCGTCATCATCTTGTATGTGGCATCCTGGATACTACAATCGATCTGAAGATCAAGGGAGAGACTTTGGGAAATGTTTTGGATTCATGCGAACTCATCTAGCACACTGGTATATCGTTATTTTGTGTGTTTTTGTGGTCCAAAAAACTACATTTATCGGACGGTGGCGTTAGCAAGAGACTTGACGGTGCAGACACCAGACTTGGTCTTGAGCTGTCTAACACCGCTGTCGCCCTTCTCGGCAAGCTGAGAAACAGCCGAGACCTCAAAAGCAACCTCGAGGTTGTCAGTAGTGGTGAAACCAGGCTGGAAAGCCTCCCAAATCTTCTTCTTGGGGTTGAGAACGGCCTCGGGCTCGCCCTCGTAGCCGTCGAAGTAGACGCGGTCGCCAGCGACAGCACCCTCGGGAACGTTGACAAGCTCGACGGGGCCACCGTGGTGGTCCTCCTCGCCCTCTTTCACGCGTGGCGAGGCAGCCAGAACCATGGCGCATGACTTGACGCCGCGCATGGTGACGGGCTTGAGGTTGCAGACAGTGACGATCTTGCGACCCTGCATCTCCTCGAGAGGAACGAGGCCGTTGAGGCCGGAGCAGACAGTACGGCAGGTCTGGCCCTCGTACTCGGAGGTGTTGTCGGTTCCGGGGGCGTCACCAACATTGATGGTGGAGACGTACAAGCTGTCGGCGTTGGGGTGACGCTCAGCTTTGAGAATGTGGCCGATGCGGAGGTCGATAAGAGCAGGGGTGAAAGGCTTCTCAGGTACGGCGGGAGCCTTGGGCTGCTTGGGCGCCTTCTCCTTCTTTGCCTTCTTCTCGGTCTTCTTGCTCACACCAGGAACCTCAGCTCCAACGGCGTCAGCAACCTTCTCGCCGGCGGACTTGGCCTGGTCCTTGACCTTCTCAGCCTGCTCGGTGGCCTTCTCGGCGACCGACTTCTGCTGAGCCTCGGGGGCAGCGGCTGAAGTGACGGTTGCACCAGCCTTGGCAGCACTGGTTGCACCCTGAGCGGCCAATTCCTTCTCCTTCTTCTTGCGCTCCTTCTCGGCCTTCAAGTCAATGGGCTTGATCTTGAAGACGACGTTGTCCTGGTCAATCTTGACCTTCTCGGAGTCGTCAACCTTCAGACCGAAGAGGGGAGAGTTCTGGACGAAGTCGGCGTGACGGACAATGTGGTGGTAGCCCTGCTCGCCGGTACGCTGCTCGTCAGACCATGAAGCAATGACGGGAGCGACACGTGCGTAGAGGGCAATGTCGGCGACCGAAGGCTTGGAGCCGAGGAGAGTTGTGCGGGTGCTGAGGTGAGTGTTAAGCGAAGAAAGGCGCTCAGCGGTCTTAGCGGCGTCCTCGGTGGACGAGGCAATGTGCGATGAAGTGATGAGCCACTGCTCGATCTCGGTCTTCTCGTTGGTCGAGTACTGAACGTGAAATTGTCAGAGTTGTCCTGTCATTTAATCCATGTAAAGTTACACACCTCGGCCTTGGGGAAGAGCGAAGACGAGAGCTTGATCATGTCACCCTCAAGCTCGGGGGTCTGAGGGTAGGCCTTCTGCAGAAGCGCTCTGGACTTGTCGTCGAGGGAAGCCATGTTGCGCACGTGTGTGATTCTTGAGATGATTTGGAGCTTTGGTGTGTATCTCTGTAGAGGTGAAAGTCTGACCGATGTGCGTAGAGCTCGAACGAGCTGTCTTGAGAAATGTATTGACTTCAGATTGACGGTGATGACTGCTTGCTAAAATTCCGCCGCGTCCAAACTCTCCATCATCGCCGACCCCGCCATCGGAAACACCCGACTTTCGTCCGTCATCTGTCAATCAATTGGTTCGGGCAACAAACACACACATCGCTGGAAGCCTCGATCTGGTAGGGCTTCTGTACCTGCAAATATGCACAGTATGGTTTGTATCATCTGCACTATCCACTGATTAACCCCAAGTGCCACCGCCTCCTCTGCCTTGCTTCTTCTGGGCACTCAGTCTCCAGTCATCCTCACCAGCAAATCTATTATGGAGAGGCTGAATTCTTTCCGCTCGCTTTCTCTTACTCAGTCCTCCTTCTTTGCCAGCTACCTTGAAGAATGTTGGCGCCGCCTCCACAAGCCATTTCGGCTCAATCACAGTAACGTTGTGCATGTACTCCTTGGTCGTCTCTACCAAACTGTGATAGATGACATGCTCAGCTGCTTTGCGGTTCAAAGCCGATGAAGGATGCATGTATACAGGCGTTCCTTCGATAAGCGTCTTGTAACCTTCTTGAGGATCTTTGCGAGCCGAGTTTCTGAAGAAGCCACTGCAAAGTGCTTGTCGGACGCGTGTTGTATCGCGACCGCAACTCACCACTCGTAAACGAAGACGGTCGAGAATCTGTACCAATTGCTTGCGTACATCCTCTGCTCTCTTCATGCTACGCGGCTGGATGAAGTTCTCAAAGCACCAAGGATCGCTCATCTTGCTCTGCTTCCATGCATTGTACACGTTAAGCAGAGTCAAGTGATCGCCTGAAGCATCGTGGAACTTGGCCTTCTTCTTGTCTGCTTGGTCTTGCTTGTCCTTTGGTCTGTGGAATACAGTCTGTACTGCCGAGATCATGGCTACGATGGACAAGACTTCGTCAGAGCAACCCAAGTCAACAGACATGATTGTAGTCTTGGCAAGAGTAGGCTCCATGGGGAAGTCAGCCATACGTCTGCCGAGACGTGTAAGAAGTCCTTCGTCGTCAAGAGCTGACAATGCATACAGCTCTTCGAGTGCTGTCAACATGGTATTCGTTGGTGGTGGGTCCATGAAGTCAAAGTGTAGCAAGTCGTTGATACCCATAGCCTTCAGCGTCAAAATCGTGCTGGCAAGATTCTGACGTTGGATCTCAGGGATAGTGGTTGGCAACATTTCGGATTGATAAGCAGCTTCAGTATACAAGCGGAAGCATTTTCCAGGCCCTGTTCTGCCAGCTCGTCCGGCACGCTGACGTGCTTGAGCTTGTGAGATGGGCGTGACCTGAAGACGATCCATACCAAGTCTAGCATCGTACGCGCTCTGCTTTACGAAGCCAGGATCCACGACAAAGTAGATTCCGTCAATGGTGATGGATGTCTCGGCGATATTCGTGGCGATGACGACTTTTCTTGTGCCTACTGGTGCAGGCTCGAAAATCTTACTGGCAATTTCGCTGGGCAAGGCACCGTAAATAGGTAAGATCATGAGCTCTGGTACGCTCGGACCTAGCGCCTTCATGCGCTCGTACAGAATCTCGCAAGACGTGTCAATCTCTTCTTTACCAGTCAAGAAAAGAAGAATGTCACCGGGAGGCTCAGTCAGATGGATCTGCATGACTGTTGTGAGTGCAGCATCGAGGTAGTCAGATTCTGGCTCGCGCGAGTACATGATCTCGACCGGGAATGTACGACCGGGGATAGTAAGAATGGGGCATTGGTTGAAGTACTCGGAGAACTTTGCTGCGTCCAAAGTGGCTGATGTGACTATCAGCTTCATGTCGGGTCGCTTTTTCAAAGTCTTCTTGAGCAGACTGAACAAAACATCGGTTGCAATGGTACGCTCGTGAGCCTCGTCAAGCATAATCACGGAATATCTGTTGAGTTCAGGGTCCAGAAGAATCTCACGCTGCATAATACCGTCCGTCATGTACTTGATCTTGGTACTGCTTGATGTTTTGTCCTCGAAACGGATGGTGTAACCAACTTCTTCTCCCAGACGGCATCCAACTTCTTCAGATACACGTTGAGCGACTGACATTGCAGCGACACGACGGGGTTGTGTGCAGCCGATCACGCCTGAGTTTGCGTAGCCTTCCTCGGCAAGGTACTGAGTCAGTTGAGTAGTCTTTCCAGATCCAGTATCTCCGACGACAATCAGAAGTTGGTAATTTGCAACGGCCTCCAAGAACTGTTTGCGGAAAAGGAAAGCGGGTAGACTTTCACGTTGATCTTTGATAGACATGTCGGTACGTTTTCCAAACGATTGGGCCTTACTATGCGAGGCGATACGCTTCCACTCGGGAACTTCTCCATCGTTCTGCCGAGCTTGACGCAGATCGCTTGCGAACTGTCGTTGCTCGGGATTCGCCATAGGGTCATTCCACTGCGCTTGCAAATCAACCCCTGAGTTCTCTTTGGCAGCCTTGTCCCTCGACTCTTGCTGTTTCATATCTCGTCGCTCCTTCGCAAGTACGTCTCCAGCAATGGCTGCTCTGTTCATAGATCCGTCCGGTGCCTTGACGACTCGAATGGGCGAAAGCTCCAAAGACTGCTTGGTTTGACCGGCCAAGAATGGTGGCTCCTCTTCTCTGACCTCGATATCAACATCCTCCTCTTCTTCGATTTCCTCGCCTCTGAGTGCCGCGTTGTAGTCTTCATCGATGTCAGGATATTCTTGAGCCGATACTGCACCAGAAGCAATCAACTGCTTGATCTCCCAGCGCTCTGGCGATGTCATTCTCTTTCTGTTGCGTCTTTGATTCTGAATACCCTCGATGACGGGTACATTTGAGGCCATAGGATCTTCTCCATTCATGCCCATTGCGTTCGCTCCAGTGGCAGCGCCAATACGCTTGTGGGGAGCGAAATCCTGTCCAGTGACCTGATCGACCTCGGCCATGGAAAGACTGATGCGATTATCCTGAACCTTCATGACTTTCACCTTGACTTCCTGATTGCGAGATACCAGATCCGAGGGATGATTGACCTTGCCCTCGGCCATAGCAGAAATGTGAACCAGACCATCAACCTTGCCTCTGACTCCATAGAGATTCACGAAGACACCAAAGTCTTTGACGCCTGTAACTCTGCCATCGTAAATCTTGTAGAGAACTGGAGCGTCGTCCATTTCAGGCGTGGGTGCGCGTCTGTGTCGGTCTCCGCCAGGACTCCTTTGTCGGTGCCGGCTCTTGCGGTCGGCATCTTGGTCGGGCTTGCGCCACGTACGAGTTCTTCCGAATTCGTCCTCGAAAACGTAGTCGTCGTGTCGTTGTTCCGGTGAGCGTGATCGTCTGCGCGACTTCTTGTTCTGGCGTGAGTCGTAGTCGTTTTCGGCGACCGGACTCACACTGCGTTTGCGAGGTGCACTAGCCTGTGTCTTGGGCTTACTCGCTAGACCTTCTAGCAGAGCGAATGTATCATCCATGGCGTCCAGCTTGGAGTCCTCCTCTTGCAAGTCGTCTTGCTCAAAGGCAACATCCTTGTCCGGGATCACCAGGCCCTTGAACACCCTGGTCTTCCTGTCTCTTTCGCCATCAAGATCCCGTTCGTCCTCTTCATCCGTATGCGCTTGTTTCTTGGCCTTTGACTTGTACTTTGGGTGCATGGTCAACACCAGTCGATCGATAGCAGTAGCGAGCGTCGAGGAAAAGTCGAAATCTGCCAATTTCGTCTTGAAATCATCAAGATCCTTGCATTGCTCATGTTGAGCGATCACGAATTCGGCGATGGTTTTGTCGCTGATGCCCATGTGGTTCTGGATCTCGGAAGCGACCTTCGAGACGAGCGATAGATGCTCGAGCGCTTCGAGATCATCCATACTGGGCGGCTTGATATAGTCGGTAGTTTCCAGACAGAGGCTGGCAAGGCCTTTTGGAGTGAGTAGATTCAGGTGGCAGTCATGTCAATTGCATACAAAAAGTTGAACGCGCCTGTGACGATGCGCAATGCGGCGACATGGTCTTGGCAGAACTTCGGCATTGCGGCCTATCCACGCTGGAGGCAAGCATCCTGATCACCTGTCGCAACACACAGCAAGCAGTTTGCTACAACTCGAAATCGCCCTCTAAAATCTTGTCTTGACTCTCACCGGATGAACTTACATTCGTACCGATATCATGCATCACTACGGCCATATACCTCACGATCGTTGTCTGGCGAGCGATCTACAATCCTGTCAAGGATCTTGGGGGCCAGGCGCACTCGTCATTGAATCGAAGCTATAGCAACCTCTCAGCTTTAATGCTGGACACGGCGAGATACGACCACGTAGAACATTATAAATCTCATGCCGCCTCTTGAGAAGGGGTTCTTGCCGTTCTGGACCCATTAGCACCTGTTGTCCAAGTTTATTCATCACATGAGCAGTGTCTTTCTCAATCTCTATATTGTTAAAGCACATATCACTATGCACGTACGGCCACAGTCAGCTGAAAACTGGGCATCCCGTCCGCTCTGCCATACATAAGCAGTTGAACGGCAGATTAGTACTACGGTGGGTGACCACGTGGGAATCCCTGCTGCTGTACGTTTTGTTTTGCTTTCAGTATGCTCTGTGCATTCGTTTTGCTCGGGAACTCATAGTGAGCAAGATAGTAGAGAAGTCGTTTATGATTGTAGATGGTAGACCGTGAGACTGGACCAAGGCTTGCTCGCACTCTATGACCAACGTCAGACGGGTAAGAATGGAGGAGCAGCTGCGTATTACCTGGTCATGGAAACTGCTTTCATCGTTCCTGCCAAATCCAACTCAGTTCATGCTCTGTAGGTCCTCCGTGCCTTTCGAGAAATGCTCGTCTCACAATGCATGAAAGTCAACCTTCAACATCTGTCATATCCGTGACCATAGGAAGGAGGAGGCCGAACACAAAAGAGAGACGAGATCAAGAAGATAGGTTTCGGGAAGGAACCATCATTCCTCACGATGAAGCATACAGTCGGAGCGCAAACAACGATAACACCATCACCAGCATCGTCAGACACCTGAGTGGTGACAAAGAGTATCTTGGACGAACATATCAAGGGAAGATTAGACATTCAAGTCATACCAACCACTATCCTTCGACCAAAACATGCAAAAAACCTGAGTCTTGAAGGCTCTTGGGAAAACCCCTCAACTTCCAAAGTCCTTGATCTTTGTCACCAGATGAGCGGACTATCTGGTAGGTGCTGTTCACCATTTACGACATACACGGCGGACCTGGTGTTAAGTGTTTTATTACCGTAATCTACTGTGTGTAACCGCTTGCGCCACACAGAAGATCGATGTGAGAGTTGTGGTTTTGGGAGTTATAAGCTTAAATTGGAAGTGAATGAGGTTGAGGGTTCGATTCAGACGATAACTTGAGACAATTGTTTTGCACTTGCTTTAGGATATTCGTGAAAGTTTCGGACTGCTATTACGCATGATTCTGGACTGGTCATCGTGTTCCATGATGATCGAGTATGAGATCGATGTCCTGGCATCACAATTCACGGATTTATGCTCAGTTATACTTCGAGCACTCGCCTGTGTGTCGAGCAGTATCACCAGATGAGGTCAATCACGAGACACAATTGAGAAGTAAAGAGCATATGTTATGCGTGTCTGCAAATATGTGCACAACCCAGGATATCAAAACAAGCAAATCATAACTCATTCCAAGACCAACCAGTCATCTGCGAAGACCATCTCATCTCCTCTCCTCTCTAATCTCTTCAACCGTCTCGACACCAAACTTCTCTGCGTTAGCATGTCTAGCATCCATAACTCCCATTATATCTCCGCCTCTCTCCACATGGTTTTGACCTCCAAATAGAGTGTCGATCTCCTCCAAGGTCACGTTCTTGGTCTCGGGGATGCAGAACCAAACGAAGACAGCCAACAAGATGTTGATACCAGCAAACATGTAGAAAGCGTAGAACCCACAGTTGTTGAGGAAAGTAGGGAAGAATTGCTGCACGATCAAGTTTGCGACATTCTGGGTCTGGGAAGCCATGCCGACTGCTTGTGCGCGAACGTTCATGGAGAAGATTTCCGATGTCCAGATCCATACTGTAGCTCCCCATGACGGCTTGTAAAAGAAGGCAAACAGGAAGAGGAGGAATACTACTGATATGCCCACGGGCTCTGATTTTGTGTTTCCGCCGGGTGTTTCGGTGACGACGGCTGCGACAATGATCATACAGACTGCCATACCGATGGCACCGACAATGAGGAGGAACTTTCTGCCGAAGCGGTCGACTGTCCAAGTTGCGTTCATCGTGAAGAAGATTGCAAAAGTGGCGTTGAGGGCGTTGATGAGGGCGATGGTGGAGTCGCTGGCGAAGACCTTCTTGTAGATGATTGTACTGTAAGTGTTGAGGGTACCTTGTCCCGTGATCTGTTGACCGGCGTTGAGAACGAAAGCAAGCAACAGACGCTTGCGAACGGAAGGGTCTTTCCAGAGGGCAGAATAGGAGCTTGAGATTGCTTCCTTCTCAAACTCGAGTGCTTCCTTGATCATGAGAATCTCGTCATCGACTTCTTGCTCGGTGTCGCGGACTTTCATCAATGATCTTTTGGCCTTTGTGCCATCATCACCGTGTTGCAAATACCAACGGGGCGTCTCCGGAATAAAGAATACTTGAGAGAGGATAAGGACAGGCATGAGGAGTTGGAAGACTGTGACCATTCTCCAGTCCCACTCGCCGAGTTCAGCTCTGTGCTTTGAGCATGCAAAGTTGACCCAGTAGGCGATGAAAGAACCGACACTGTAGAACATCTGCCAGAATGACATGATCTTTCCGCGAATCTCGGAAGGAGCGAGTTCTCCAATGTAGATGGGTCCAGCAGTCAGAGCGAGACCTTGTCCCAGACCGACGACGACACGGCCGACTATGTAGCAAGCGAGGTTGTGGCGGGGAGTAAAGGTCTGGATGAAGGTGGCGATGATGACGAGAAGGGCACCGGAAGCCATACCGACACGACGACCGAAGTAATCAGCAATGGGTCCGCCCATGAACCAACCCGCGACGATAGCTCCAACGGTGTAGGCAGTGTTGATGGCACCGATTGTTTGGAGACTCTATTTGGAGGATTAGCTTTCAGCGTTCCATGTTTTGATAGTATCAGACCTACAGGCTTGTCAAAGTAGGCAACCCAGTGCTTCGATCCTTGGACGGCATTGAAGACCGATGCATCATAACCGTAAAGAACCATGCATGATGCTGCTACAAGCGAGATGTACCAATTGTACGCACGAGTCTTGCTCATGCTGAAGTTGCCCATGTTGGCGGTGGTCCTTCCTCCTGGAAGATCGTGTAATGAGAGGGAATATGAAGATGGCCAGGCTCGGTCAAGATATGGTCCAAAGAAGAGATCGTATTCGAAGAGGGCCCTCTAGTCGAAGATGAGATATGCTGTCCCTATCGTACACAAGAAACGAGATACAACCAGATGAGAAAGCAGGGGAAGCCATGTTAAATATTGCAGATCCAATCTCTGTCTGTCAGCCCTCACCAATGGAACAATATGCCCCCGTATCTCTTCCCCCACGCCACACAGACCGCGATATGGGGTCGATGATCAAGCCATGCTCGTTCCGGAAGTCAAAGGTTGGCCCATCTGGGGTCCCCGGGCCTTGCTCTGATCGGTCTCCGCCTGGCATGTCGTTGTTTCGCTTGTTCCATGAACGGAAGATATATTCGACATGGAAGTGCATTTTTCCACCAATCACCGGCGTCTCCGTTAGAGGACCAGGCCACATGTGCACCGCTGCGAGGAAGCCCAGCCGGTCGCGCCGGGAGGCGCTATTGGAATCTGTCCTGCAGATGACTAGATTACGAAGTATGCTGGTTGTGTGACTTTCATTCTGCCATACTCTTTGTGTTCGCGGTGCGATTGTGAAGATGTTGTTTCGTGGAAGGACAACATTTGAGTTTCCTTGGTGGCTTGGTTATTGCCGGCGTCTAACTGCAACCGAAGTTTGGGTACAAAAAGGACTCTCGCTAGGGGCTCTTTTTGAGACCAACCTCACGTGGAACATGCCACCCAGTACAGTATCTCTCTGGGCAGGCGCTCTTCGAATTAGGGCATGGTTCAGATGTGTGGCCGCAAACTGTTCGACCACTGCCCGTAATCAAAGACGAGAAGTCTGGACGTCGAAAAAATCCCCCCACCGCACCGCACAAGCCCTCCTCTCTCCACGGGGCCCCTCGACGGATCCACCCTTGAAGAAGCAGGATCAATCACGCGAATCATCCAATCTGACAAGCGAACCTTTCTTGCTCCAAGATCTCTGTGGAAAATTGTCAAAAGGCTGACGGGGAAATCGATTCCATGACTTTAAAAGTCTATCACAGGACGTTCGTTGTGAGTACTGAGGTACCACTGGATTTAGCATCTTCGTTCAAGCTCCGCCAATGATCAGAGGCGACTCTTGATCGCGAACACTAGCTCTGCTTATGAGCCGAGTGCTTGGCTGGTATTTCTTCCTGCTCTCGGTCTTGCTTGGCTGTCAGCCATGTCCTCAACGTAAACCGGACGACGAGCATTCAGCCGGATTGCATGATCAGACAGAGGACGAAGATAGCGGAAACTTGCGAAAAGCCTTCTGCTTGACTGCATATCAGATATTAGGTATATTTGCAAAGCTTCTCCTGACATGTCAGGAACCACCATCTTTGGCTGCGTTGAAGCAATCTGGTTTTAGTGCCGAATTAAGACGCTCAACACTACTTCTTCCTCCAAGCATCGGAGCTCTCTTAACGACCAGCCAATCAGACTGACAATCAGATTCTCTCCATGCGCGGTTTCTTGAAACTCGTAGCTGCCTCGGAGAACGAAGTTTTCCGGACTCGCAGCGATGTCGCAGGAATACGTCGTTTCAGTGACTCCATGGGCTCATTCATTGCTTTGAGACATGATTGTGCCTGTTCAAGGCTCGTCGTTGCTTCACGCTAATCATGAGAGAGAGCGATTATGATAGAATTATCACACGGGGAAGGCACATGATTGGTAGAATGTATCAGCGCGATGAATAGTTTGGTCGAGTTGACAGACTCTTAGCGACTGCAGTCTGATTTTAGTATTACAATAATTCGTTAGCGAAACGGTGCATCCTAACAGACACCGGGGTATCACATTTCTACGTTCTCCTTTGCACGACCGATCAACACCTGATCAGTCTACCTGTTCAGAAGAATCATGAACATGCATGTTCTTCAGCCCTTCCGTCACTGAACCCGGTCCGTCTGCCATAGGCTTCTTCTTTTTAACGGGTCGCTTCTTCCTAACACCCATGCTGAGCGGTGCCTCTTTGATCCAGCGACAAATGGCTTCGGCCCTGTCCGATGAGATAGGATATTCTTTGCCGTCATCTTGTGCCCAGCGCTTATGGAGAGCGCGAGTGTCATCGCCATTGTTCAACGGCCCACTCAGCCCTTCTTCATCCTCCATAGCTCTTCGTTCGCGAGCTCTGACTGCCTTGTCAAAGGTCTCTTGATCCACCACACGCTCATCACCCATGGCGTCAAGAATTGCCTCATCCTTGATACGCTCACGTTTTCGTTCTTCTGTTTCTCTGTTGTGCTTGTTTCTCATAGTTAAAGCGCCCGCAGATATACTTCCATCTTGCGCTCCCGCTGTGGCATCTTGTTCTGGTTGGTTGCCGAGAGGAGCCGGTCGGCAGAGCTTTTGCCACGGCTGTGATAGGCCGATCCAATTGTTTGCACGTCGTAAGACCTCGATCCAATCAGATCGTGCTGGAGAGCGGGCAGCCTGGAAAATCGGGTAGCCATCTGCGAGACGAGCAAGCCGAGCAGCGTTGTGAGCATGTCTCAGAAGCTCAGTGGGCGACGTTTGGAGAAGAGTGTGCGCTAACAATAAAGAATGCAGAGCATCAGTGAGTAGAGGATGATATGTTACTGCCTCGCGAGTACTGATCGAAAATGGGCTCTTGTTTGTTGACATGCCTTCCAGAGCAGGAAATACAGGGAGGTCGGGTATGGGTTTCTCTGCAAAAAGAGCCGAAGACTGGTGTACTTTGTGATGAGGCATGCGAGGCCACCCGTCCGCATCCCACTCCAAGCTAGAATTCGAGGCTCGCGTGGATTGGCGAGATGTAGAGTCTACTGTGGGAGTGCTTCTCCCTGAGGAAGAGTGACTGCCCCATTCTATTAAGCGATTGCGTTGGATGGTTGCCTGTTTGTTGCCATTGGCCACATCGTTGATTCTGCGGGTAATCTCTTCGACAATTTCCACAGGTAGACCAGGAGTGTAATCGAGATAGCCCAAGAAGGCCAGATAGTCCTTGAGAGCTTTCTTCGCATTGGTCTTGACAACTTTTCGCGCATTTAGTCTGGTCTGGTGAGAATCTCGTTCTCGTGCTGTTGAAGGGATTCTATCACCGTTCTCGTCCTTGGGTCTTGCTTCTTTCAGACCGTCTAGAGCAGCATGTATATTCTGGCAGGCGATACTGAGGTAGACCCCGGCTCGATTGAACAAGATTTGTTGCTCCAAACTGCTCGGGTGGTCTTCGTCCTTCAGTCGTGGTACATGCCGCCAATCTCTACCATTTCTGTTCCAACGTTCTTGCTCTTCCTTATAGTGCTTTGCTAGTACTAGTTGGTCGGATCCAGACGTGTGCATCGCCTTGAGCTTCTGTGCAATCCTTAGTCCAAATGTTAAGTCACTGGCGGCTCCTTCGAATTGGCCCTTGAATATCTGGACGAGCGCGCGAGTGCGCAGTGGGGCGCCCTGCTGTTCCCAAGGCAGGTTCAAGATGACGTCGTCGAGCGATCCGAGAGGTGTGTACTGCTCAACCTTTCTGGAAGGAATTTTCTCGTGGAAGAAATGAACGTACTTGGCCTCAGTGTCTGTCTGATCGCGCCGTAAAACATGTTGTGCAACTTCCTCGAGCGAAGATGTGGATTGCATTGTCGCAACGCTGGCTGCGACCTCGTCTAATGCATATGCCTTGGACAAAAGCCGTGCAGCTTTCTGCCTTATCTTGTAGATGCGTTCCTTGCTCATTTTGGGTGCTTGTGGCCCGCCCTGGCCGAATGGATCCAAGAAGTTCAGCGAGCCATTCATGCCCGTTGTTGACATCCCATTGGAAGCGCGAACGGCATCATCGGATGCCTCGTCTACTGCACGTCGAATCTTGACGATGTCGTAGAAGACGGCTGGATCGATCAGCCTCGGTGCTGGTTGCGTATAGTTCTGGTGAGCGAGTGATTCTAATATCTCCGGAGGTAATTGTAGCCATGGGCCATGGAAGGATGAAATGTATCGCCAGTGCCTGAATGCCACCAGTTAGCCATGAACACCGCGGAGTTGATGTTGAAGCAAAGGTGCATGATTAACAAGGAAACAAACAAGACAGCACCTACTCACTTGTTGCGGCAGATGATCAACGAAGATGTTGAAGATGCGCCTGCTGCAGCATCACGCTGCGCATTTGGCGCATTCGCACCTTTCTTGTTTGCCATAACGATGCCGTGAATGAATAAGCGTTAGGTCATCGTGTCGATGGTTGTGATACTTTGCGCAAAAAGTTATGCGACAACACTCGAGTCGAAGAACTACGGCTTCACCCGCCAAGGTTGACCTCCGACTCGACAGAAAGAGCCCCCTTGCATGGGAAGGAAGGAAGCATACATCATCGCATTGATCACGACCATCATGTCTTGTCACGTTTACTTCAAAGTAGAAGGAGCCCTTTGAACGAGTCATATGGATGTAACCACAACAAAAGATAAACAACACACGTCACAGGGACAAGAAAAGATCGTCATGGGGAACATGTAAGCTGGAGTACCTCGAAGCTGCGCACCCCCAGAAGCTGCGCAGCTGCGCAGCTGTATACCGCTTATTCTGATCAATTTATACAACGATACGTAGTTATAATTGAAATTCAACAAGGCATGCCTCGTAGCTCTGGTTTAGAAGGTCATTCGAGGCCTGTTCGGCATCAAAAACAATCGCTCTCGCAGCTGCTTAAGCCTCAAGCAATTGAGCAGCCTTACGAGCCTTCATAATAACTTCTATGTTTACAAACTTGGTATTTGGGTTGACTGGCACCTTCTTGCGTTTCTTGATTGATAGGGCCTCAATTTGAGCCGCTTGTTACTTAGTTTTATGCTCGAGATTAGCGTTACGTGTGTTGAGAAGATCAAGCGCGAAGCCTGCCTTTTTGTAGGCATGAAATAAGGCCTCCCTCTAGCTATTAAATTGCCGAATAAATTAAGTGTTGTAGTGAACTTAACGTAAACTTTTTAGTGTAGTAAAAACAGCTAGATTAATTGGTTGTAGTGGTGGTGTTTTAGCTCGTGGTTTTGAGGCTGGTACTTGTGATGAATTTAGGCCTTTTTAAGGGTTATAAGGTATAAGACCTGCTGATTTCTAGCTAGTAAGTAATAGGCGAGGTTTGAATGTCTCCTGACGAGCTAAATTATAGCAGGTTAAAAAGCGTTGCTTTTTAACAGGTGAGGCATCATCTAGCGAAGCTAAAGCTGCAATTTAGGACCGGTATCTTGATTTTAAAGGTGCAAAAACACCTAAATCCAAGGGTTGTAGGACGTGAGAAGCATGAGCTGGTAGAAACAATAGATATATCTGGTTTTGCTTACAAAACCAGAGGAAATCAATCGCTGTATGGCTGCCATGGCCATCTAGTATAAGTAGACGCCAGGTACCAGTATTAGGCCGAGTTTCTAGCTTAAATATGGTTTGTAACCAATGTAGACTATAAGCATTAGTTGTCTAGCCATTTTTAGATGTAGCATACTGATAATCAGGTGTATTGACTGGAAACCAAGTGCTCTGTGGCGCTGCTCCCTTGAAAATCACGAGGGGTCGAATAAATCCACCGGTACCTGACATAGTTTCAATAATCGAGACCCATTCGCGATCTTCAGGGGATTTAACGTACGCACGGCGTTGTAAGGCATCTCCGATGACTGTTGAATTGACACAGACTCCGAGGGCAATGCCATGTTCATCTATATTCTATGTATTACATAGCTAGATGTTATATTGCCGAACCACCTCTTGAAATAACTGATAAAACTTACGGATCAGATCTGGATGCGTGCTATTGATACGGGCTGCCTTAATAGGCCTTCTAATAACAGATCTGATGCGTGGATGGCCTTGTATAAATTTGGTGAGCCACTTCTTCCTAAGAGGCCGAAAATCCCCGTTAAGCTGGAGAATTCGACTAGCCATCTTACGAGCACGAGCGTGAGAAGGAGGGAACCCTTAAGCCCCTTGTTCAAGTATCTAGTTAACTAGGAAGGCCCCTTGTTACGAAGTCAGTCGCTGTTCGTAGGCGTGAGCGACACGTCGATTTGTGATTCTATTGATACGTGAACGGAGGGTTGATTCAGCGACAACGTGCGCGCGCGCGGTCGCTCGGATGGACGGAAACTCGTTGTTGTTATATGAATCGATCGCGCATTGAATCTTCTGCTCGTACGCAGCTATGTTGACGTTAAATTGATTGAGTTGTTATGGTATTGAGCGAAGTGGTTGATAAATAAGAGCGACGCGAAACGCGCAGCTTCTAGGGGTGCGCAGCTTCGAGGTACCCCAGCTTAGGACTGAATTGACTCGATCATCTATGAATACGACAAGTCACTTGGGATCCTACGTTGCTCATCTTGGTTTCCGCTCGAATGGCGTACTCATCTTCAGCACCAACGTAAAGGTGTGAGCAAATCGCTGAAGTGATTTTTTACACAGGTTGACTCCTGCTCGACGCCCGTCACCAGACTATTGCATTAGCGGTCATCTTCGACAAGTGTCCGTGTCCGCTTGCAGTCGGTGCGTGTCATGTCTCATCAACGCTCTACCGCGGACTCTTTGGAGAGTCGACGCCTGGTGTATCGAGGTTGGAAATTCTTATGAATTCTTGACTAGCGTATACCTTGACCAAGTTAAACTGAAGGGAAGCGGACAGCAAGAAACTGTCAACGCTACTTCTGTGTCTGGTCACCCGGTAGGGACTGCTGTTCGTAATTTGCGTAATCAGAAAGGCCAAATTCCCAAAGCTCGTCGTGTCAAAGGTTATGGTAGCCCATGCGAGCTTCGGTTCAGCGTGGCCACTAAACTGAGAATCTGAAGTGGACGAGCCAACCTCGCGATCTCGACGCAATGTAAATCTTGAGAGGACAAGGCAGCCTGCCACAGATGTTCCCAGTGCTTCAACGTGAGTGAAACGTCTCCCACAAGGCCACTGAGCAAGTCGCGCATGTCCTTTGAGCCTTCCGTCGGAAGAGGAGCTGCAGGTGACCGACCTGTGTCCATCGACTTGAGTCCTGCTAGCCGACTAATCTTTTTGGCAATGAAGCCGATCCGTTGTGTTTTATGTCTGGTACTGGAGACTCGTAAACCGACTGGATGTCTCCGGTCGGAAGAAAGATAAGTTGTTCCTCAGTGGCTCATTGACTTCGTGTGGTCCGCAAGAAGGGTCCTCCGAGAAGTTGTTGAGTTCCGGGTGCGCGTCGATCTCTCCCGGATCCTGTGCGCAGAGACAGGGTCAACGATTCCTAGCAACTGTAAAGTTGCAATCGTAATTGGCGAGACTTTCTCAAGCGGATGTCAATCCGGTGATAGTCATCTACCAGCATTCACCTCGAGCGCCGGGCAACGGACAGAGCACGCTTGACCGTGCCTCGGACGGCCTTCGATGATTTCGGGACTGACGCCCGCGTCCCCCATCAACAAGAGCGCGAAGGTGTGAGTCAAGACTCAGCACCTCGTGCATCAGTAAGACAGGATGACGGGCGTGAAGTAAAGAGCAGGGCGTCGTGGAGGGACGCGTCGGGTTATGTATCCCCACTTGAGCACAGACCTTACCAGCCTTCCGGCCTTCCAGCCTCCGACTGCAACTCTGTCACTTCTCGACCTTCGACCAAGAATAAAACATTCAAGTGATAGCAGCGAAGCATGATTCCTGACCTTCGACTGCCGGTGAAGAAAAGAGCATACATCTTCAAATTCGAAGAGTTCCAGTTAAGGAAGATGGTAGAAGCACTAGTGGACTTATTTCACGAAAGTACTCGAGTAACTGTGTTGCACTTTCTTATCTGTAAACGTATTGCGAAGGCCTGCCCACATATCTCTGCAACCTCAATAGCATGTGATTACTATCATAATGAACTATAACCTGCTTGTCAATGTTCACTTGGTGGTCGTGTGAGACGAAGCATTTGCAGATGCCAGAGGTGATGGGCAAGCACAGACCCGCATCGGGACTGCCAAGACCCACAGAACTCGCTTGCCTGGCTTTCTGAATTTTGGCCTTTCTTCGCGACTCCAGTTTGAGAAGCGACGACCAGCGACGACGACAACTTCCCTTCGACACCTGTCAATCCAGTTATTTCGCCAAAATGAAGTACATTCACTCGAAGGAGACTCTCACCATTCCCGACGGTGGTACGTTTGCGCTTGCGAAGGAACCCCTCTGCGTCTTTTGAGATAGAAGAGAGCGAGAGGAAGGATACATGAAAGAGCGCTTTGGACTGACTCCCACGCAGTCAAGGTCGACATCAAGACCAGACATGTCACCGTCACTGGCCCCCGTGGTGTCCTCGAGAAGTCGCTCCAGCACTTGGCTGTCTCCTTCTCCCACCCCGAGAAGAACATCATCGACATTGAGATGCACCACGGTGCCCGCAAGAACGTCGCCGCTCTCCGCACCGTCCGCACCCTCATCTACAACATGATCGTTGGTGTCACCAAGGGCTTCAAGTACAAGATGCGCTACGTCTACGCCCATTTCCCCATCAACGTCAACATCGAGAAGAACAACGAGACCGACCGCGTCGAGGTTGAGATCAGAAACTTCTTGGGCGAGAAGCTCGTCCGCCGCGTCGTCATGGCCGACGGTGTCGAGGTTGAGGCTTCCAAGAACGTCAAGGATGAGCTGCAGCTCTCCGGTAACGACCTCGAGAAGGTCTCGCAATCCGCCGCCGACATCCAGCAGATCTGCAGAGTCCGTAACAAGGATATCAGAAAGGTGCGCCCACCTCCATGCGCATGCTCCACGCCTGCAGCATCGCCTCACCATTCCCCGGAATACACCTGGCTAACATATACTACAGTTCTTGGACGGTCTCTACGTTTCGGAGCGTGGCAACATCGTCGACGACCTTTAAGCGACTTGTTTCATCAACTTTGGCGAAAGACGGATCAGGGGACTTTGCTGCACTATGGGCTGCGTAGCGCTTCAATGAAAACGGGCAAATTTTTCGCGGACCAAAATTTCATTAACGACTTCAAAAAGAAAGACTCCTTGTCCTGTTCACTGAACGTCTCTATACCCGCCGACTCGAGCGCCCAGCAGTGCTTTGAATTATTTCGTACTTGTTCGATACCGAAACTACGCCTTATAAACACCACAGTCTCTGGTCGATACACAGCAGCAGACGCTCGCTTTGCGTCTGATGTAGTCCCCTATACACGGTGTTTCAAAAAGCAACTGATACCCTAACCCAATTTTCCATCCCCTGTCCTGATGACATCTGCCGAATAATGTGCCTCCCATGCTGAATTAAGAAATAAGAAATTCTGTCGAATGACGTCGAATAAACATAAGAAGGTGCTTCTGCCTTTATTTTGTAGGCAATGTGAAGACTCAGCTTCTGAAGTCGACGGCAGCCTTTGGGGTTGCCTTTGAGACTTCCATAATGCGCTTGCCTCCCAGCTCCTTGATCTGTGACACCAGCTTGTCATCTTCGTGCAGACTTGCGATATCGTCACCACCTCCAATGCTCTTGCCGTTGATCAGAACATTGGGAACTGTGCGTCTTCCTGTAGTCTTCAGGAGCGCTGCCTGCAACTGAGGTCCCAAGGGATTAAGGTCGAGCTCCTCGACATATGGCGCGGGGACAATGTTGTATTGCTCAAGCAGGATAGCCTTGGCCTTCTTCGAGTAAGGACAATAGCTCTTGGAGAAGATGATGACTGTAGGTCAATTGTCAGTGTTTGTGTGCACAACTCTTATGGTCTTTCACGTACTCGGGCTTTTCTTCAAGATGGCGTTCAGCTCGGTCTCGACCTTGTGTTGTTCCTCGGACTCGCCGTCGTCTGCAGCTTGTGTAGGTTGTGCTCCGGTGTTTCCGACCTTCGCCACGCCGTCGTCTTTCAGGCCTTTCTCTCCCTTGATCATCTTCCTTCCGGCAACACTCTTCTCGCCAGCGTCGACAATTCCATGAACAGCATCCTTGACACCTTCCTTGACCGTATCGGCGACTTTTTGTGCCTTCTCGGCGGCGGCCTCGGGGTCAACAGCGAATGGCTTTTGGTCCTTGCCAACCTTCTGACCAGGTACAGCGGCAAGGTCAGGATCGCGGATGTTGGCGGCTTCCTTCTCCTTCTCGGCGGCTTCGTGGACTTGCTGGATCTTTTGGTGGTTCTCTAGGTCAAGCGCTTCTTGATGCTTTGCATCAAGCGCAGATGCTGTGTTGGTATAGAAAGGGCTCGATCGCGTAGATGAGCCTGCTGAAGAAAGATAGAGGAAACTGAGGACGGCCAGAGCTGCCAGTAGGGCAAAGACCTTGACTCGGCGTTGTGAAGGCATGGTCGGGAGTTTAGGTTGATAAAGCACTTGGATGCTGTACTAGTTAGATGACAAAAGAGAAGCACTCGATGATTGGAGTGAGATGATGGTCGGCGACAAAGTCCTCGAGTACAGAAAGAGGAGGAACAGTGGGCTGCTGTCTGCGTCTAACCGTCGCAATGTCGTGCAACCGGCCGCCAGCTTCGAGTCGCCGAGGCGACCCCCTGATTTCCATTGGACCCCTCTCCACTCGCTTTTTGGACTTGCTACAAGCTGGAAGCAACTCCTCTTCTCCTTGAACCTACATTCGACCTCGTAACATTGTCCTAGGCCCATACTTCAGGGTGAGCGCTTCGTGTCGGCAGATACTTGTATCGACAGTAGGAGTTCGGTGCAGAATTGCTTGGACCCTTTGTCGATCGACAGCGCGTGTTTCCGAAGCCTTCACCCCTCTTCAACCACTCTGCACGCGCAATGGTGCTGACCTGCTTCATGTACACCGCTCGATTCGACACGTTATGAGTCTTCCCACCGGCCGCGGCTGACATGTGCTCGTACGCCCCGCCGATTACTATCCGCACGTCTCTGTTTTGTAAATCATTTTACTTATGCTGGTCATCCATCCCGAAGTTTTGTAGCATGCGCGATTTATATGCCTCCTATCGTCTCCCCGCGACCATCCATCGCACTGCCACCACCACCACTGCGGTATTTTCCTGCTACCACTATCACGATGCTGCATCCGCCTCGCACTGCCTACTCGGTAATCTTGCTGTGCGTCACACGTGTTGATGATCTCGCCCGACTCGACTATCTACCGTCATGGCAGACGGCGGGTTGGGAACATCCTTAGCTTAAGTAGGTGATTGAGCTGCATTCCTTGCTTTCATTGTTGTCTTTGCCCCTCTCTTGCTTTGTGAAACCTCCATCTTCGGACCCCACTCAATGAGCGAGAACTGTCACGTACATTTCGACGACAAGACTTTGCAAAGAGAAGGGACGAAGGAGTCCATGGGTTCGCGCAAGAAGTCTGTTGCTGAGAAAGAGGCCGAAATCGAGTCGGTCTGGTCAGATGAGCCGTATGGTCTAGAGGAGCGCGACTTCAAGAAGAAGCAGGTTCGTGATAGACGTGAGCATGAGTGTCGCGAAACATACTGACCAACGCAGACCTTCAAAGGATGGACTCTATTATAGTAATGACTATGACATGCGCCTGATCACACGCTTACTGACATGTCTCCGTCAGTCTTGCCTATCAATCAACTGGAGTGATATACGGTGATATTGGAACCTCTCCTCTTTATGTCTACTCGTCGACATTCAGCTCTGAGCCCTCAAGAGATGACCTTCTCGGCGCATTGTCGCTCATCATCTGGTCGTTGACTTTAATCGTTACCCTCAAATATGTGTTGATTGTCCTGGCCGCCGATGACGAAGGAGAAGGAGGTACCTTTGCGATATGTAAGCACACGTACCTACTCCCACAAACACAACCTTACTTACACTATCGTCAGACACTCTGCTATCTCGCTTTGTAAGTTCACCATGACTGAGACGGTAGCTCGGAGCCTGATCGATCGCCCAGAGCGATATCATGAAGCGAGATCCACGAACATACCACGCCATCAAGATGGAAAGGTACCCGAATGCCGAGCTGCCCAGACAGAGCCGTAGCATTAGAAACTGGCTAGAGAAGAGCAAAGTTGCTCATGCTATCCTGAAGATCCTCGCAGTCTTTGGTGTCAGTCTGATCATCGCCGACGGGATTCTCACGCCCGCACAATCGGTACTTGGAGCTATTCAAGGCTTGAAAGTCGTCGATGATAGTATCGGTAGCTCAACCATCATTGGTGTCAGCTGTGCCATTCTCGTCTTGCTGTTTGCCTTGCAACCACTCGGGATCCAAAAACTGGCAAGTTGCTTTGCTCCAATCGTCATCCTTTGGCTGTTGTTCAATGCATCGTTTGGTATCTACGTAGGTCTTGCTCGTCTCCAGACAAAGTGCTTTATCTGACATGTGCGACAGAATCTAGTCATGCATGACTGGACGGTTCTGAAGGCCTTTTCTCCCTCATTTGCAGGTCTGTACTTTATGCGTCTGAGAAGAGAAGGATGGCTGTCGCTTGGCGGTATCTTGCTTTGCTTCACAGGTGTCGAGGCTCTTTTCGCCGATCTTGGTGCCTTCAGCAAGCGGTAAGTGCATTCTTGCTTCACGGAAGCCTCATATCTGACAAGTCACAGTGCTATCCAGATCTCATGGCTCTGCCTCACCTTCCCCTGCCTACTCCTAGCATATATCGGACAAGCAGCTTACATCTCACGCACTCCCTCGGCGTACGCAAACCCGTTCTTCGAAACTGTGCCTCCTGGCATGTTCTACCCGTCGCTTGTTCTCTCGATTCTTGCTGCCGTTGTTGCCTCCCAGGCTCTTATCACCAGTACCTTCCAATTACTCATTCAGCTCATGCATTCGTCATACTTCCCACAGATCAAAGCGACATACACCAGCACCAAGTTTCACGGACAAGTATATATTCCTCTTGCGAATTGGATCATGATGATTGGCACTGTGGTAGTTACAGCCGTCTACAGCAACGTAAGCACACACAGAGCGGCCCAGACAGAGACAGAACAGCTGACACATCAAGTAGACGACCAAACTCGGCCACGCATACGGCGTCTGCGTCATCCTTGTCACCTTCATCACCACCAACCTCGTCACTCTCGTCGCTCTGATTGTCTGGAAGACAAACCCCTTCCTCGTCTTTGCTGTCTGGCTCCCTCTCGTCACCCTCGACGGCCTCTTCCTCTCATCAGCTCTCACCAAAGTCCCCGATGGAGCATGGTTCACCCTCCTCCTTGCTATTCTTCTCGCCTCTTTCTTCAGTCTATGGCGCTACGGCAAAGAAAAGCAATGGACCACCGAAGCCAAAACTCAAGCCCAACTCTCCGAGCTCGTGGCATACTCGTCCAACAATCTCTCCTCCTCAACCGCAACCCCTGAAGCCTCGGCAAGAAAACACTTCCACCTTTCATGGCGACACGGTGGTGGCGAGTTGACAGAGACAAAAGGCATGGGCATCTTCTTCGACAAATCCGGCACCGACATCCACGTCCCCCAGGTCTACGAGCACTTCATCACGAAATTCGAAGCCCAGATGCAGGTAGTGGTGTTCTTGCACTTGCGAGCGCTATCTGAACCACATGTGCACGAAGAAGAAAGATACACCATCGCCCGTACACCTCTACCAAATGTCTACCGCATGACTATTAGATATGGATACGTGGATAGGGTAGTGACACCAGATCTAGGTCATTTGGTCTACGAGCAAGTCAGAATGGCCATTGTACGTGGTACCGTGGTACAAAGACCAAAAACCGCCGTCCCAGAGACTGTAATGCAAGGAGCACGAAACACTCTCGGCGATGGAGATTTAGACCCCCACACCTCCACCATTACCACTTTCGGCCCCGACGTCGAAGTCAGTGGTAGTGATGGCAATGGAGCCACTTCAGGCGCCACCGCTCTCATAACTTCTCGTCGCCTTTTAGCTCTTGACAATGCATTCAAAACTCAAACATTGTATTTGGTTGGCAAACAGCAATTGAGGGTTTTTGAAGACACGACAAAGGTGAAGAAGGCATTACTTGCAGCATTTTTGTTTGTCAGGGAGAACACGAGGGCAAAGGTTGCACAGCTCAATGTGCCGGTGGAGAAACTCGTCGAGGTGGGCTTTGTCGGTGAGATTTGAGGTGATGGGGTTGTGCATGGTTTGGTGGTTGATGAAGTCATGATGAGGGAATGATACATAGAAGTTGCATGTCGGGAGCAGTATGATTGAATGAATACATGTTCCGCAAAAGAGGCAGTGGCAACTGTATCGTGTCTCCCGCTGCTTGATTTGCTACTTGGAAAGCTCGAGTGTCTTGATGGCAAGGCGCGAGAGGCTCATCTCGGTGGGCGATAATATCAACATCAGCTTTCGACCCATCAACGACGGCACTGTGATCAAACTTGGTTTACACGCAATCAAGTGGCGCGACTGTGAGTAGAAAGTACGCGTGAGTTTTTGCATACGAGCATAGCTGATCATGTTGATCCTATTCTAGACGCCGTTATGCTGCTGTACACATCACGACTTTCGATGTCTCGGACGTACAAGAAGCTCTAAGAGAGGTTCTCGTACTTCTCCATGCCTGGAATGATAGGTTGAGCAAACTCGGCAACAAGAGTTTCGGGCTCGAAGTCAGTGTCGTCCATTTCCTCCTCGCGACCGGTTTCCATGCTTGAGCCACCGGCATCACCAACAGAAGTGACGTAGTTGGCCATGTTGCTGTTCTCCATCTTCGAAGCGTCATTGGTGAAGGTGTAGAGGCTGGATCTGGCAACAGGATGAGCGCCAGCACCAGCAGCAGTAGCAGCGTAGTCCACGTTCTGGTTGACGAAGGGATCGTTGTCGCCGTAGTCGTAGACGAAGCCACCGGAGGCGGGGACATTCTGGTAGTCGGAAACAGATGGGACGAAGAAGGGTTCGTGGCTACCGGGAATGTGGCCAGGAAAGTCGCCGAGGTCGGACATCATGTCATCAGGCATGCTGGACTGCTGGAAAGCGTGGGTGCCATCGAGTTGAGCTCCCATGCTGGCGAACCTAGGGGGTCCGGCATGTTCAGGACTGGCGCCGGCAACAGTGTCGGTGTGAGTGACAGCATGGACTTTGCTGTCAAGATCCATCTTGACGTCGACGAAAGGGTCATGTTTAGTCTTGGCGTTAGGGTCGACCATGGACTCAGTGTGCTACAACCGGTGTCAACGTCAATCTGGGAAGAGTGTTGACATTGCACCTACCTCGTCGTTGGTAGACTCAAGCTTGATCTCGGACTCCTCGGTGCCGTACTTGCCGTACTTGATGCCGAACTGACGACAATGCTTCTCAAGAGCAATTCTCTTGTCACCAATCTCCTTCTCCTTATCATCAATCTCCTTCAAGCTAGTGTCGGTGGACTTCTTCTTGAGCTTGAGGACCTCATCCTGGAGCATCTTGATCTGTTGGAAAAATGGTCAACAAGGTGGTCATGCAGAAGACCAAGGCACGAGATGGGCATTGCATTGATGCATGGTCTCAATCCAAGCAAAGTTTGGTCGGGAGACTCAGGAAGTTCTTGCTCGTCGAGGACCCGGGGCGCGTCTTCGATGGTACCAGAGAGTGTGTGCTGGCTGACGAAGATCTCACTTACTTGAATGTCATAGCTGCAGGCTGTGATGTCGTGAGGCTTGAGGCCACCAGAGATGGTAGCATTGGTAGCCATGATGGAGAATGCTTCGCGTTTGTTGGATAAGCGAAGTCACGTGTTATAAGAGAAGAAAGCAGAAGGCTCAGAGACTGAGACTGGAGAACAGGTGATTGTTGCCGAGTGAATGTTGGCGGAGATTGCTGCTCGAATGTCCTGTGGATTCACCTAGCTCGCTTTTCGCTTTCTACTCTTCACTTGGCTGAACACCGTGTTACTAGTCCTACAAGGACGCTTGAGACATTCACGAAGATCCACAGAATGTCCAACATCTCTGCAAGTGTTGTGTTGTGTTGGGTTGGATATCCTCGTGTCTTACCGTTGACGGAAGTGCATGTGTTGCATCGTTTCGTCCTCATACCCTAGTAGTACAAATAAGACGTTACTTCTCCACAGCATCTAGCATGTGGATCAACAGGCAAAGAGAGACACCTCGCGCTGTTCCAACGAAAAGAGTATGATAATGCAGAGGAATCTGATTCACCTTGTAAGGCATGAGTCAAGTGGTCAGTCAATCAGTCGTAGGCAGATGGGTGATGCGAGAGTGTGTTACGATATTAGATGAGAATTACCCACCTTACAATATGATTTCATGTATACCTTCCTTTGTCCTAGACGAATTTGCCATCTTTCCTCCACGTCGGTCAACGCGTGAAGCTGTTGCAAAGCACAGTGCTTTTCGTAAACTGAAGCGATGTCTACAAAGACACGTAATCTCTGTGACGCTCTCCACGCGCCTCCTTGATCTAGGAAATTACTGTGCCTTTTTGACAGCTCATTATCGCGTTATGTCTTCGTAGTGGAGAGTGCAAGTGACAGCATGACGGAAAGGGTTTCCTTGGCTTCCCAATCGAGATCATTGATAAGATAAGATCTTCTGAAGGCAGGGTCATACCTCTAGCATCCTTTTCCGACATTGAACTCTCTATACCACGATGGACATCGCAGTTGTCATTCTGATTAAGATATCATTTGATTCTTACTGTACATTCTGCAGGTTCCAGATGGTCTTTGATTCATATTAGATTGTTGTGGCTTTAAAGTTCGCAAATTTGCATTTTGCGTTTTCCTCGTCCAGGATTTGGAGGAGGATGTGTGCACTAAGTCACTTCGAGATCCAAAACACGAATCAGGGTTCTGTCGGGTTCAAGATCGGAGTACAAAACGAATGGCAGAAACGAGAGACTATGCGTAGAACAGGGTCATCTTCATACTTTCGTAAATAGCCAACGTTATCAATATCCATAGCCGTCATCGCCGACATAAGTGCCTGCTCTGCTACCTCCAACATCCAAGCCCAAGCCCTCAGCTAACTTCTTGCTCAAAGCCATCTTCAAGAACAGTTCTCGCGCCAGACTTCTGGTCATCTTGATAAACACTTCTGAACCAACTCTTCCAGCACCCACAGCCCGTTGTAGACACCACAGCGCTTCTCGGATTGCTGCTTCATCAGCCTGCAGGTTCCAGAGTTGCGTAGAAGCAACGGTGGGAGCGACGAGGACATGATCGATTGGTGGCTGTGGTGTAGATTTGCTGTCGGCGATGACGCGATCGCAGTCGGAGAGGGCTTGGTGAAGGATACGTTCGTTTGTTGTGAGTGTATTGTCCAGAGCTGTCAACTGCGAGAGCTCGATGTTCAGTGTTGAGTGTGCATCTTGCAAAGCGATAGATTGGGCGCGTAGAGGAGCCAGAGCAGAAGTATTCTGATTTACTTTCTGGTGGATTTGAGCGACGAGAGATTGAGATAGGAGGTGTAAAAGATGGTCCTTTTCTGGGTTAGGAGGGATGGGAGGAGCTGGACCTGATGAGGCTGTTGTCGATATGCTGACATCGAAGGGATCACTGAGGAGGTCCTGAGCAGGGGCGGATTTGACAGGGGCTGGTTGTTGATGGGGATTGTGTTGTGTCGGATAGTGCTGAGCAGACATGTTCGGAGGCATCTGTTGGAATTGTTGTGGAGGAGGTTGTTGGTATTGTTGTGGATGTGGTTGGTGGGAAGCTGAACGTATGGGTATTGGGTGCTGTTGGTATTGCTGTGGTGGTGGCAGGGGGGGAGGCTGAGTATATCGTTGGGTAGGAGTATGCGCGTTTGGCGTCAAGGGCGAAGGCGGCGTCTGTCTATAGTTCTGCTGCATCTGTTGTGGTAAGGGAGGAGCTCTCGAGTATCGCTGAGCCTGCGGCGCCTCGAAGGCGCTCCCCGGTCGCGAGTGCGGTGACTGACTTTGGCGTTCGTGCGGTAGAGGCGGCAAAGGCGGCCCATCGTTTCGACTTGTTCCAGGAGTGGCAGAATGGCCTTGCTCGCCAGGCTTGGGTGGTCGAGGCGGAGGTCCTCCTGCCGACATGTCTGCAGCATGAGATTGTGTCGGACGAGAGTGCTCTTTTGGAGGAGGTGGCGGTCGCTGCATGGGTGACTGAAGCTGTTGAACGGGTTTCGCAACAACGGGAGGTTCTCTGGCAAAGACATCTTGAAGGATGCGTAAGAAGTCGACGAGGTTCGGGCGTTGATTGACGGCCCAATCGCGCAGATACGGGTGGTAGACTCGCCCGTCCACGCCGACATGCTGCCCAGGACGGATAGCCATACCATCACCAGGGAGTACGAAGACGATGATTCCCTCGGGATCCGCGGGATATGCATGCGGTAGCCATATCGTCACGGGAAACCTGTAGACGGTACCGCGAAACTTGACCGGGAGCGTGCCCGAAAGGCGCAGCAACAGTGCTGGCCGTCCAGTGTTGTATGTGTACACTTCGGTTCGAGGTGATAGTGAGGGATATGCCGAGAGGGCGGCGACACTGTCGCTATAGGCACGTTGGGCATCATGGTATTCCTACTCTCCCTGTCAGTCGTCTGCCCATTGAGGCGTAGGGGGTTGAAGCCATTGTACACTCAGGAGCACACTGTACAGCCATTGCAGCACCTGATCAGGCAATCCTGCCATATTGTACAGATCAGCGACTTGTCTGTTCTCCCCACAAATCTATACCTTCGTATTGCGACGTGCGCTTGTTGACTGCACGCGACGGACAGCTACGCCCGCCGAACTCTTCGTCATCGCGGGGCACTCGCGACCGCCGAGCACAAGCCCAGACCGCTCGGCTCCCGGCTGCTTCAACTCACGCCTCCAGACCTTCTTTCGACGTCTCCTGTCCCTTTTCTCCTAGTCCATATTGATATGTGTGACTATTTATTATACAGATGGCCAGTGTGGTAAGCCTGCAGACAACTGCCCGCGACCGTGATCGAGCCGTGAGCATCATGAAGTCTGGCTGCTCGTCCAACGACTGCTACGCTTCAGCCCGCCAACTGTCGCGGCCTTCTGTGCCAACACACAGCGGTGCACGAGACAACATGTAAGTTCGGCGCGATTGATGCAAACAAACATGTAGGTATCAAGAGCGATCTTCATTCTCCAGTCATGCCTTTTTCCATGCTTTCTTTCGGCCATTCTTCCGCGCTTTTTGACATACATCTACAGCCTACCAGCTGCCTCATGCCTCAAGAGTCGATGCAGATCCAGGACCATGTTTCACAGTCTCGCGGAGTGCAGCCACTCAATACCTATCACCAATACCAAGCGCAAATGATCACAAGCTACACCATTCTCAGCCCGATTAACATGTTGCATGCTCGGATGCTGTACCTGCTTCAGATCGTCGCCCACTGCACCGATCGCATGGATACACTGTACGACTCAGACTCTTCGTCTTGACAGACGATCTACGGACAGACATCAGGGTTCGCCAGCAAGATTCACCACATCTCGTAGCTCAATCGTGGATAGAGATCGTCAGTCAATCTCACAACCCCATATACCTTTTATCTATGGGGTAAGTAAGCTAAGTCGCAAGTTCAAAACTGGAACGGATCTCTCTTCAACGCAGTAGGCAGGAGGGTACTCCATCTGGAGGAATTGGCAAAGCCTGATGACCCGCAATACATTTGAGCGTCACTACAACCGGATAAAGTACTTGATTCTTCCTGTGGTTCTTCCAGAGCGCCGCGGAGGTTGTCCTACCACTCGATCCTCTCTCCTAGCACAAACATCGTTGAACTAGATCTGAACATGCTGGGGTTCTCACCGAGGACACACCGATTACACCATCTCCAGGTCATACGTAGACGCCTAGGGTTGCCGTGCCCCTCTGCCTGATCGGGACAGTGTGCCGGCAGCTGTGGAGTCGTGGGGCGCGGGGCGACTGGGGGCTCCGCAAGAGATCCCAGACGACCTCACCGCGCCAGTGAGCTACGTAGTATGTTCTCGGATGTTTTATCGGCAAAGTCGGTATGTGCCTCATCCGGGAATCTCTTACATACCGCTCATTAAAATACCAGCGGAGGATGCGACAGCGGTCCGCCCTTACCTCTTGTCAACTTGGCGGTGTCTCCATCAATTTCTAGGCGGTTTCAAGGCATCAATCTGTACCGACATTATGCCCTAACACCGACATAGTGTCTGGTCGCGAACCACAAAGGGGTGCGTCCATGAGTAAGCTGCTGTCCAACTCGATGCACCTGCAATCATGTGTGCCTGCACTGTTCACAAGTCCGGTTCAACAACCGACGTTTGCCGATCGCTATCAGCACGAGCAAGCAGACTCTGAAGTTCACTCTTTCTCGAAACGAAACAGAACCTGCCACAGCCGATGATCCTTTGCAGCACGGATGACTTACTAGAGAGAACAGTTTGTGACAGTTCGAGCAAGTATAATACACCTCCACATGCTCCGCGTTGATGCCATGTGCTGTGGCAGAAAAGTGTGCTAGACGATCAGTCGGCCTTTACCATTTGTCTTTGCAAGGACGTTGCCGATCTCAAACCATCGCAGCATCGCTCGCGAAAACCGATCCTTCACCCTGGTTCAGGGCGTTATCTTGCAATTCAATACGACTTCTGGCTCCAGTTTTTTCTCGGAAAGAACTCCCACCAGTGACAGTCGACCGTAACCGAAGAGATTGCCAATCCGTTGCATTTTGTTAGCCTCGGCCGAGCGCACACCGACGACCAACATCTCGTCCCGATGCCGAATCGTGCTGCAATGCTGCCCACGGAGCTTGACTAAGAAATGTGAAGCGCTTGCTGCTAAAGTGCATCTGAGATCTATCCTTGAAACCATAGACACGCCACCGACGCAATTCGTTCTATTATGCTTGACTCAAGCGCGTGCCATCAAAGCTTTCACCCGCCATCGACAGGAGCTTATTTACGGTACAAAAGAGCGGTATGTGACATCATGCTCCGGAAAATCCTCTTACCAACTTGGCTTTTTACAGTCTTTTACAAACCTTGGGAGAAAATTCGTATTAGCACACAGACTCGCTGTTCGTTAGCCAACAGTAAGATTCAACCTGTCTATTGTTGTGTCGTGCCAAGTCGTTAGAAAAACGCCATGTGCTCATTGCCAAGCACTAATCCAGAGCTCGCGACTCTTGCGTCGGCGAAGCTCTCTCTCAACGACGTCTTATTCCCTTGAAGATCTTTTCCCGACATGTTTCACGGTGGATTCAACCTCTCGGCGGACTGGTTGCGAAAATGACTGTGGGCCCTTATGACCCACCATCCACATTCTCTCCGCAACGGCTGTTTTGTCCGTCATCGATGCTGCGTGTGCTGTGTTTGGGTGCTTGAGTTTTCCGAGTCGATGTCGTAGATATATAACTGGGTCCCTCCCCATGGTAGGCCCTCCACAGCTCCGCAAGCATTGCTTTTTATCCCGGATCCCTTTGAGACGATCTGTTTTCGTGTACTGCTTGACAACACCGGAAAGATGACTGTTTCAACAAACTCAGAAGGTGTTCCCACCTACTGGGGTACCTCTGGTAGAGGTCTCCAGATGCTCATTACCGCCGTCGCTACTACCGATTTCCTGCTCTTTGGTTATGATCAGGGCGTCATGTCTGGTATCATCGAATCTGACGTTTTCCTCGAGGAGTTCCCTGAAGCTGGCTGGGGCAGTAACTGGCAAGGCTTCATTGTCTCAATCTACGCTGTCGGCTGTCTATTCGGTGCTATCTTCATTCTCACGCTTGGCGACAAACTCGGTCGCCGCAAGTCTATCTACATTGGTGCTACGGTCATGATCATCGGTGTCGTTATTCAGGTTGCCTGTATTGGCACGAGCTCAGGAAGTACCGCACAATTCATCATTGGACGTTTCATCACTGGTGTAAGTTTTGTCGAAACACATTCTATCGCTTCCGCCACTGACTTTTCCTTAGCTCGGAAACGGTATCAACACATCGACAATCCCTACTTACCAAGCCGAGTGCTCCAAAGCCCACAACAGAGGCAAGGTCATCTGCATTGAGGGTGGCAACGTCGCTATCGGCACGCTCATCGCTTACTGGATCGACTACGGATGCAGCTATGGTCCTAAGGACCTCGTATGGCGCTTCCCTATCGCTTTCCAGTGTGTGTTCGCCCTGATCGTCCTCGGCCTTACTACAAGACTTCCCGAATCTCCCAGATGGTTACTCTCGCACGATCGACAAGATGAAGCTGCGGTCGTCCTAGCATCGCTGCAAGGTAAGCCTGTCGATGATGCCGACGTCAAGCTTGAGAGCGGTATCATCCTCGACTCCATCAAGGCTGCTGGCGGCTTCGGCGAGTCCACTCCTTTCTCCGCCCTTCTCACTGGTGGCAAGACCCAGCATCTTCGTCGCATGTTGCTCGGTGCCGGTTCCCAATTCATGCAGCAACTCTCTGGTTGCAACGCTGTCATCTACTACTTCCCTGTTCTGTTCCGCGACTCCATTGGTACATCGAAGAACTTGTCGCTTTTGCTCGGTGGAATCAACATGGTTGTCTACTCTATCTTCGCCACAACCTCCTGGTTCCTCGTTGAGCGTGTTGGGCGCCGCAAGCTTTTCCTTTACGGCACTGTCGGTCAATGTCTGTCCATGGTCTTGGTCTTCGCTTGTCTGATCCCTGGTGATGCCCAATCTGCCAAGGGTGCTGCTGTTGGTCTCTTCACCTACATCGCATTCTTCGGTGCCACCTGGTTGCCTCTGCCCTGGTTGTACCCCGCCGAGATCAACCCTCTCAAGACTCGTGCAAAGGCCAACGCTACCTCCACCGTTTCCAACTGGGCATGGAACTTCTTCATTGTCATGATCACCCCCGTTCTCATCGAAAGCATTGGTTGGGGTACTTACCTCTTCTTCGCTGCCCTCAACGCCCTCTTCTTCCCCGTCATCTACTTCTTCTACCCTGAGACCAGCGGACGTTCTCTCGAAGAGATTGATCTCATCTTTGCCAAGGGTTACCTCGAGAAGATGTCCTACGTTACCGCCGCCAAGGAGCTTCCTCACCTTACCGGTCCCGAGATCGATGCAAAGGCCCGCGAGTACGGCTTCCAGTCTTCCGACGACGAGGCTGGCCAGCTCAAGGACGCTCGCTTCGGCGAGAAGGAGGACGAGATGGCTTACAACGGCGGTGGCCAGATGGCCTAAGCAGATCGAGAGGCACCTACGACTCTCCTTCTCCACTTTTTAATGACCCTTGTGTGTTTTTAACGACCACTAGATGCGCAACATAGAGAAGCCTGGCAGCTTCTGCTTTTGGTTTGTTTGTGCAAAACCCATAGAGATACCACTTTTTGCCTTTTTTTACATTTGTTTATTAGAGATAGACTCTTACATATGATACCACGCACAGAATGCATAGAACTGCTATTTTACCATCATCTTTCCATCTTTCCATCCATACCAGTAGTACCTTTCTGGTGTGTTTATCGATTTACATCATTTAGCTATCTCCACTATGACTTTATTTCGAGCATGCTACCAATACAGCGATCGCGCAAATGTCACAGTGACGAGGTGGGCTGGCAAATCCCAAAGCCAAAGAGTCAAAAAGCACCCGTCGTCAAGAAAAGTCTCCGATCCAATCAAAGCCCACCCGGTCTTCTACCCGTGTCCGCCCTTTGCTGCTCCGAGCTCAAAACCAGCAACCACCCGGGAAAGCATGTGTGCATGCAAGGTACACATGACACATTTTTCTCAGCAGGGGTGTGAGATCGAAATCGAGGGCGATTACAAAAACAACGATTGATTGCTCTTCAAAGCGCTTTCGATGTGTAAGAACACGACCTTTGCTCAGAGTTTTCTTCGATAGTCAGCAGCACTTGGAGTTTGCCATCAATGTGTTGGTTACGATCTGAATAGATGCAGATGATGATGCCATCAAAAACATTCTGCAAGGTCGCCGACATGATCCCTCTTCACCGCTTTCATCACCGCCTTCATGTGCAAAAAACTCCACAATCTCCACCCTCATCCTCTCCGCGACAAGACACGGGAGAATGACCGAAGCCCTGCTGCCTGATATGATGTGCATTTGAAGCTCCTTTCATCCTATCGGTCCTTTTCTCTCTTTGCTCGATCCCAATGTCTTGGCTTTTGTCGGAGCTTCGAAAGACTTCATCTCCTGAGTCTTCGTGTTGTAGGTCAACGGTGCGTTGCTATTACTTTGCTTAACGTCGGTGGTTCTTCGAGACTTTTCTTGTGCGGTGGGTGTTGCTGAGTGAGGATGCCGTTTGGCAGTAGGTCGAAGTCAATACTTCGGTTCCTTCTGGTTTATGGATTGTTCAATCGACCATGAGTCCTCACGCTTTCTGTTCCAAAATGTATCAACTTTGAGCTGAATGTCTACTTAGTCGGGCGACTGCAAGAGCTGAAAGACATTGCACTGATAAGTGTGCGAAGCGTCAGTCCAAGTAGGAGCAAACAGCCCGAACGATTGCCTTGAACAACACATCATAAAGTCTGCAGCGATGTCTCTGGTACAAATCAAGTCACAATGGACGTGTAGCTATGCTCACTCTGCGTTGCGTTACCTTTTCGATCTGCCCGCACAAACACAAGTGAGAGCACCAGACAGACGTTAGCGGGGCTGTCGTCTCAGAAGTCTTGGTCGATTGTGCACACAGTAGAATTCTCATTGAGGGTTGTCTATCCCGACTGTGAATTGTGAGTGAACATTGACGCGTCTTTTTCCGGTATCTCACTCCAGTCTTCTCACCACATCATCTCTTCTCTGAGCTTGTCGCCAACAACACTTCCTGCCCCCCATATCTCTCGCTTCCTCCAACCTTTGCCTTCCACAACACTACTTTACCAACAATACATCAAGGCATTCTGCTAGCGTGTCGTGCAACCTAACTCCGCCACGATGTCCTACGCACTCTATAACGAGAATCGCCGTTCCTCAATCCTGAGCATGCTAGAACGCATCGAGAAAGGCAACTCAAAGATCCTCGCTATGATGGACAGAGAGATCCACTACGACATTATTACCAATATCATGCCGGTATATGACATGAGCTGCTTCAGCGCCATCATGGGCTTGTGCCATGCTGATTGGGAAGAGACCGAGGTGAATACGCGCCAAACGGACACTCAATCACAATTGCTTGCGTAGTGAATCGGCACGGTCGCCTTCTGGTCGCACACGCCTATGTTCTAGAGCGTTCCGCCGCAGCTGTCCTCAACCCCGAAGCCGTCGACAACATTGACAAGGAGCTTCGTGGACTTCTGCTGTCTCTTCTAAACGAAAAGCAAGAGGCTTTCGTGTCACCTCCAGGCATGGTGAGAGTCTTCCCAAAGCCAAAGAACGCAAACGTCCCTGATGGCATGTTTGTTGGTGCCGTTGGTGATCTCACCGATATGAGACAGACCTGCCGAGACCTTGGCTATGTCCACAAGATTGCCGAGTTTGACACTTATCCTGAAAGAGTCATGGATTACACTTCTTTGAGAAAGGCCTGGGAAGTCAGAGCGCGCAAACTGGTATGCTTTTTCCCATCATCGAAGAGTGTGACATACACGAATACTGACTATGAGAAGATCGACCTGGGCTTACTTGGTCGCCGCAATCTCAACGTCGAGTCTTTTGCCAAAGAGTTCTCCCCTTTCTACACTGCTAGGCCCGGTGAGATCGATAATCTCGCCTTTATGACTACCCGTAACACTGTGCCTATCACCAACAATGAAGATGATGACTACAGCTCTGAGGCCATAGAAAGCGACGAGCAGAGTAACGGCAGTGACGCGATCCACAGCGCCGCCAAAATCACCCAGCAGGATTCTGAAAAGCCCACCGAAGCCGAGATCGAATGCAAGAAAGCCAAGAATCGCAAAAAGAACCAAAACAGAAAGGCCAACAAAAAGGCTCAAAAGCCTCAGCCGCAGCAGCAGCAAGAATCCTCCATCAATGAATCCGACACCGACACATTCATGGCCAACCTTATGAAGAGCTATAATCTTTCTTCTAGCCAGACTGCGGAGGACGAAACCGAGCTGATTCCCAGTATCAAGTACTGGGACATTAACGTGTTCGTTCCCAAGTCCGCTGGTAAAAGCAAACAGGCCAAAGACTCTGATGATGAGGCAAAGTAAGTCGACAGATGATCTGAGTCATTTCCACGCAACTGAGGAATTGGCAGCTAACGGACATATCAACCTGACGTCAGTAGCACGAGAGAGGAAGGAGAGAACAAAGCACAGTGAACAAGAGACGTGCAGGAACAAGCAGGACTTGAAGCCGAAAGAAGAGAACATAGTAACTGGTTCGAAAGCACCAGATCATACAGACACACCCACAACAGTCAAGAGCAATCAAACTACAGGACATTTTATCTCATGACAAACCTTCGGAAAAGCATCGTCTGGGGGAAAAAAATTGCAAGGCCCAGTCTGATTCTCCCCGTGTGTGCAGAATACTGCCACACAATCTCTCTCCTCAATGATCGAATTAGGGTAACGACGAGCTGTAGAAAGGCACAGTCACGTTGTATGTCGTCGAATCTAGCACAGGGAGTCGATGACACGAAATATCCCGACGACATCGCTCCAGGTTAAGCACGTATAGTGCCTTATGGCAGCAACTGCATGAGTGACAGTCATTCGCACACGAGGAGGGATGTATATCACGATCAACCAAGAATCTGCTCACAATCATATCACAACTACTTGCCAAAAATTCCGTGGAAAAAAAATCAGTGAATAAACATAAATTCTATTAACTATATACAATAAAAAACCCCAGCGATCATCAAGACCACTCTCTGCATTTGCGTCAAATATTTCAAGAACAAAAGAAAAAAAGATTGTACCACTTCCCACCACTACCTAAGCACTGCTGGTAGAAGTGGGCAGCGAGACAGTAATAGAAGCCTCACTCAAATAGCTAGAGATCACACTTTGAACTTCGGAAACAAAGAGACTGGTAGCACTAGGCTGAAGAGTAGCGCCGTATCCAGTAGGAGTGGAGAAGGAAGAGAATGAAGGCATAGAGATGGACTGCGCTGCCAGAGCGCTGCTGAAGCGAGATTCGACAGAGGAAATTATGCTCGAGACGTATCTGTCGTTGACGGCAAAGGTGCCGTTGCTGTTGGAGAATTGAGGGGTTGGAGTGGGGGAAGCCTCGACGGAAGACGTGGATGATGAGGTGGTGCTGCTGGGAGTAGGCTCGATCGACGAGCTGGTAGAAATTACAGAAGAGCTGGTGGAAGACTCGATCAACGAGCTTGATGTTGAAGACTCGGTCAACGAGCTGGATGCTGAAGACTCAATAGAGCTTAAGGAGGGGAGAGCTAAAGAGCTAGAGGTAGAGACAAAGGAGCTGGTGGGCTCGACAGAAGATGATGTCGAGACGCTGGAAATTGAAGACGACGAGCTGGAGTGGCTCGAGGATGAGCTCAAAAATGAGGAAGCAACGATCGAGCTGCTCGAAGTGGAAGATGCTGATGCCGAAGTGGACGAGAAAGCCGAGGAGCTCGAAGTGGATGGGACAGCTGAAGAGCTGGTGCTGAGAGAGCTGGAAGATACAGCGGATGAAGAAGATACACGAGATGATGCAGACGACGAAGGAGTGCTGGATATGGCCTTCGATGATGAAGGCGACTTTTGTGCAGTGATCTGGGAGACGACTGCAGAGATCTTGGAGGCAAGCTTAGACGAGACCTTGGACTCGACGCTTGAGATCTTGGACTGGATGCTGGAGACCTTTGCAGGGATCTTGGTGGTAGCAGGAATGGGAACAGCCTTTGCCGAGGAGGAGCTAGACTTGGAGCTGGAGGTGGAGGATGAAACCTTCTTCACAGAACTAGAAACCTTAGATGAAGAGGATGGGGCCTTTGAGATGCTGCTGGAGGAAGACTTCTTCGCAGAAGAAGTGACCTTGGAGGAGGATGATGATGAGGTCTTCTTGGCCGAGCTTGAAGCGGGGGTCTTTTTGACTGAAGACGATGACTTGATGGAACTCTTACTCGTCGAGGAGCTCTTCTTGGTAGAGGAGGTTGTCTTTGCGCTTGTCTTGCTTGACGATGATTTGCCCATGGAGGAGGTGGCCAAGAACTCAGGTAGAACGATAACAACACCACCAACACGAGTGGTAGATGCGATCAACATGTTACCGGCAGGCGCGCGCTCGAAGAGTTCAACAACGTCAACAGAGTCAACTTCTATCTGCTTGACATTGCGAGGAGCAGCCACAGCTGTACCAGCGAGCAGGGAGACAAGAGCCACCTGACTGATAGGAGCTTCAAAGCGCATTGTGGGTGATATCGAGGGGGATTAACGATTAAAGTAATGGGAATTAGTGTAATCAAGTGAATGAGATAGAACGAGGAGATGGCACTCAAGGCGTGGCGAGTAGAAGACGTGCTGAGTTGCTGCTGAGATCAGAGGAACAGAGCAGGATATCCATGTTATATCTTCAGCTCGAGGATAGCTCATTCCATCAAGGGTCTACATGACTGCAGTGGTGCAAGCCGACACCGTTACCAGATCGATAGACAAAGTAAACGACCAACGTTTACGGCTCTCATTCAGGATTCGGTACTTGGTATAGCTCGTTTCGAGTGTGGTTCTGGCCAGACTTGGGAGAAAGCAGGCTTCTCCACACAATGTAGCTGGAGAAAATGTACTTTTGTGACGGCGAGGCTTCCTATCAGTAAAACCGTTATGTTGATAGAGGCGTTGGTTGAACCAACGGCTTCGGCTGTGAGGCTTCGCGTGGCAGCATTATTTGGCGAGGAGGCACTGCTTGAGGACGAGATGCAAAGGCTGTCTAATTTTGTAGTATCAATTAGACAATTCGTGTTCTGTCCAATATACTTGTCCATGGTTGAGCTCAGCTACTACAGGTTTCAACGTGCGCGGAGCTTGGTCGACGACGTATTCACCCTTGACGAGAAAGAAACCCAATCGCTTACTTACCCGTCCATCCATGTGCGAGCATGCGAAATGTAGGAGTCATACGTATAACGTGTATGCAAGTCGACATGAGCGAGATAGGTATCCAGAAAATGGCTTGGGCTGCGATGTTGAGACATGCAACGGTTGAACTTGCTCTCGCTGAAGGTCTCGACCAGCAGTCACTCCGGGATAACACAAAACTTATGGGGAACTCGCGGACGTCACAGTTGCTTGAAAATACAAGTGCGTTCCATATGGTCGATGCTTCTCGCTCTTTTCAAATCGAAATTGTGGATGTTGTCCACTCTGTGTGGCTACCGACAATCTATCCCAAGCCACAGACATCGCAATGGACGCAACACGGGTTTGAAAGATATGGTGAGTATTAATTTGTCGATATGGTGAGGATGCTAGTTGCTCATCTCTTCTTCGACTTTGTGTTGTTCCCCCACAGAGCCTGCAGTTTCGATTCTGCCTTCTTCTCTTTCTTGTCGAAAGGTCCGTTGTAGAAGTCCCAGAGAACACGTTTTGAATCTGCCAGCTGTTAGATCATCATGTCGCGAACAGAGCAATAACCAGCCACTTACATGCGTGATCGGGTGCGAACTCAATACCATCGGCGTCCTTCTTTTTGGCCAAGTTGACAGCCTCTGTGAGTAGAGCCATACCCTCGCCCTTGCCACGGTATCGCAGTCTTACTGCCCAGCCTCTGATCTCGGCTCTCCACTTGCGCTTCTTGCCTTTTGTCTCTCCGTCGACCCAACCCACAATTATCGTTCCAATAATCTCTTCGCCGAACTTCGTCACAAGAACATCGGCGTCGTCGAGCAAGCTGATGTGTACTTCTTCGGCGATGGTGATGTATGGGTTGGTAAAGCGACGGACGGTGACCATGGCAGCCATCAGGAGACCAGCCGAGGTTGTGAACAGGATACCAATGTCAGAGCGTGTCTTGAAGAGGTAGTTGCTGACTACTGCTAGGAAGGCGAGGAAAGCAGCCAGGTTGTATGGGTTGTACATCAAGATACGATTCGCGGTTTGGCGCATCTGTGCAATGCCATCTGCTACCAACTTCAATGCAGCCAACTTTTCCTCTTCGGTCTCTGCGAGATATGTCTTCAGATCTGGCACGCCTGCAAGAGGGCTTTCGGGTACGTCCGATGTGCTGTCAATTGCGTTCTGCAAGGGCGAGGGCGGGCCAATTGACGAGGCACTTGCCCTCATACTCGGCGGTGTTGACATTGGTGAGGGTGGAGGCGACACGCCCAGGTGGATATTGGTTCGAAGGGAAGTGAAGAATGCTATGGAGGACGAAACATCAGTCTTAAGGACAATTTGGGGAAAAGCCCAAGACGTTGAAAATAACAACAGTCTCGACGGATTGAGCTTTATGCATACCAGCAGAAGTTCTAAATCCCGGAATCTTGTCTCCTACGGTGAACGATTGCGGGTTAGTATATGTAAAGTCGCAACTATCGTCTAATTCGACACGAAAAGATCCTTTCCAGGAGTCCTTGACAGCAAGAGAGGGCGAGGGAGAAGGCGTAGAAACGTCGACGAGCTGGAGCTCTCTTCTTAAAGTTTCCAGACAAACGCGGTGCCTCTGGCGGGGCACCATTTTCGCATCTCTTCTCTCGTTGGCTCTTCTGCTGTTGCAAGAGCACGTGGGCTGTTACTCAAATCAAAATTTTCTGTCTATGGACCTCTCACGGGCCTTGAGACGACTGTCTTTCTTCAGAGGAGCCTTCGTCCTTACAACAACGTGCGAGGAGCTGTTCTTATGACTGGCTGACTGGTCACGCCAAGACGTTCGAGAGCAAAGATAGCGGCCGATAGCGTGATCCTATCCCACAACTCCCACCGTGCTAAGATTTTGTGGAGGTTGTTGGTATCGTGATTTCTCGACACACTGATTGGTTGTGTCCAAAGATTGCTGGAGGAACGCTTCGGGCGGACGAGCATCTACCGAGACTTATCGTCGAACGCATGCGATACTGCAAGCAGCCGCATGCAGTGACAAGACAACCCAGATAGATATGCACGCACATTAGCATGGCATAGATAAGTCAGTGGGAGCTCTATGGCCAAAGCCAGAACGTACGACGACTATTGATATCTTCTGTCATTCTGTCACGATAACACGCAATTGGCGAAAGTGGTTGGTCGAATGAGATTTCATGCACACAAAAGAAACAATGGCAGCCTGTGGGCAAGAATTTGTAAAGTATTAACTACCTGTCTCATCCAATTCGTCTCAATCGTTGATTGTCTGTCGCTTGCGCCGGAACATCTCGCCTTTAGTAGCAAAAAACCCAAACGCCTCATGTGCCCTTCATGTTCAACTGTACTCTAGTGCCTTGTTCCGCAGACCGTAAACTCGAATCAATTCTTCAGACCAGCTCAAGTCGTGGCAGGAAGATTAGGAGAATTCTACTTCTTTGGTGGTGCTTGAGCGCTACCGCCTGGTTCAAGAACGTGGGTGTGACCAGGCGCGTGATAGCACTCACCGCCCTCTTCCTGTCTGCACACATACGCGTTCTGAACCCAAGGGTCGGCAAGAATCTCATCCATGGTTGCACGACGGCGCGGGTCAAGCTCAAGCATACGACCAATAATGTGTCTGGTATCGCGTGGTAGCAGTCTAAGCAAACGTAACGGACCCTTGATCTGTTGACTTGCTTGGTCTCCCTGGGTGACTGAGCCGCCGTTCTCTGTCTTCGAGGCTCCGTTACTGACAGATTGCCTGGACTGAGCAAGGAGCTGATCTTGATTATGATCCGGAGGTGAGACGAAGAGCCTGTAGGAGTTGTCGGAAATCCTTGGCGCCTTCCAAGGGAATCTGCGCAAGCACATGCAACAGAAAATAATGGCGATCGACCAGATATCGGCGGGTTGCGGGTCGTATCGCGAGTTATCGTAGACCTCAGGAGCGAGGTAGGGATCTGAGCCGACAACACCTAATAAAACGTTAGCTTGATGCTGAGCAAAGAAGACCCGAGCAACATACCTGTGGAGAGTACAATGTCGTTCTCGAAGGGGTATCTGAACACTACAGCACTGCCGAAATCGATAATCTTCATGATGCCGTGGTCGTTAACCACAACATTGTCAAGCTTGAGGTCACGGTGTGCAAGGCCCATGCTGTGCAAATACAGAACACCGCTGAGGATTTGCAAAGTGCAGCAAGTGATTTCATCGCGAGACATCTTGCCAGTCATGACAATTGCGAAAAGGTCGTAAGGAGCGTACTCCATGACCTCGAACCAACTGCCTTTCTCATGAATAATATCAATCGTTTCAATAATGTTGCCATGATGGAGAGTTGAACCAATGCAGAATTCAGCAGTAACCTTCTTGTTGTACTCTCTTTCGCTCTCGTACGTATGTCGAGCTCGGAACTGCTTAACGGCAAAAGTCTTGCCATCGGCGGTTCTCTTCATCAGTCTGACAGATCCGCCAGCTCCAGAGCCAAGGACTCTGCCGAACTTGCCATACTTGGAAGCCAGTCCATGGTCATCGGCGAACGGCAGACTCTGGGATTGGCTGGTCGGTGTCGAACTGCCGGTTCTAACGGGCGAGTTGGCACGGCTCTTGTCTTTCTTTTCGCCAATCTTGAAGAAGCGCTTCAGGCTGACCTTGGAAGCAGACTTGTCCTTGTCCTTGATAGTGTCATCATGGTGATGGTCATGCTTCTTGCCGCCGAAGAAGCTCGTTCTCTTGTCCGAGTCGCCGGGTGGCTTGAGGCTCGCCGAGCTCGAGGTATTTACAGTTGCTGGGAGCGAGACCAGCGAGGTACCAGAAGTGCTGTGTCCCTTGCGAGGGTCTCTGTTTCCAAAGCGGAAGCGAGCGTCGATGGAATCTACGTTACGGGTAGGAGGGGCTCTCTTGCTACGAGCATATGGATCGTCCTTGTCGCCCTGGGGCCATGGCTTTGTATACGTTGCCGATGGTGTGACAGTTCCTGAGCCGGTCGGGGTGCTTGCTCCCGACGCATTGGGGCTATGGTCACGGGAAGGTGGCATGGAGTCACTAGTAGGGCCGAGGGAGAACCTGGGCTGTTGCTTGGGATGCGCGGATACACCAGTCTCGTCGGACGAGGGGACTCGCGAGCCAGGCTGAGGTGAAGCGGACATTTGAGGAGTAACAACATCCGCTGCTGCTCTTGCTTTGGCCAAGTGGGAAACGGAGGCAGCTGTGCTGGCTGCAGGCTTGCCCTCGCGAGAGCGGGACGCCGACGGGGTAAGGGGCGGGGAGTGGAAGGTAGAGGCAGGAGGAGATGGGCGAGGAGAGGGATGTGCGGAACCGGCATGCATGACAGGTCGTCTGTGAGATTGACCCGAGGGCACCTGTTCGGCGCGTGTCAGTAGTGAAGTCGGAGTTGTACGAGGCACGTTGAGTGGAGACATACTCTGGATACTGGCTGGGAACCGGGCAGCGAGACGGGCTCGAACGAGTAGTGCTCCATGCGCTTTGATTGCAAGCCATTTTGGAGCGTCGTCTTGAGTTGTCTCAGTTCCTCTTCGGCCTCGGGCGTCAGGTTCTCCCTCTGTCCATCGTGACCGGTGAGAGAGCGCACGGGTGAGAGGTTTGGTTCGGGTTCGATCTCCTGGTTCTGCGTACTAAAGCGAACAGAGTGATCGCCCTGCGAGGGCGAGCCTGTTCCGCGCTGTGAAGACATGGTGCGAGCAGTCGTGACGCGGTGCTGCTTCAGCAAAGCGGTGACGTTTCAGTCGCAGAGGCCGTGTCCTCTAGGGTCGACGGCGAGAGTGGGGTTAAGAATAGGCAGTGGTGCTTGTGGATTGTCGTGACAGTCCCTATAGACTCGGACAGGAGAATGATGCGTGTATGCGAGAAGACGCGGGCTGATGCTGCTGTTGCTGGCTGCTTGACTAACGAAACGCCGCTTTAGATCAAACGGGTCCACACGGGGTCGCTCTAGTCGGTAAATGCACGTTCAAGCAGGTCCGAGCGATGATGTATAGATACTGGGTTGTCGCAAAAGCTGTATGCGAACATGTATAGATCAATGCCTTGTCGACCGGTGTAGTGGTGCGTGAGGAGAAGGAGGGCGATGATCAGGCCGAACGAAAGCTACCATCTTGTTCACGTCATAATTTGACTCAGTAGGCCGCCAACGGCCAAGGCAAAATTTTAGCAGTTTCTTCTTCAACCTCTAGCAGGCAAGAGAAACCGTTCGGCAGGATACGGGTTTGGTTTCTTGGGTGAGTGAACGCCAATGTATCCAACAAGCAACCATGAAGAAAATTTCTGCCATCCAATCTCATTAGCTGAGGTGGTGCAAGAATACAGAGCGCAGAGAGGTGCCTGCCCCTCGTTTCCACTCTCACATCCTGGACGAGCCTTGATCGCAGACCCTACAAGGCTTGGCCGAGGCATCGGTGCTGAACAGAGATCTCTGATCCCGGCACGACATCAAGCATGCGCCCACCCGCCATTGGCGCCGGTGCTTGTGCAAGAGGCTCTGGATTCGTGGCTTGCACGCAGCACCCAGCACCCAGCACGCCTCACTGGTTGAGACCCTGCGCGAACACATCATACCTGCATGTGATGCTCAAGCACCAGCTGACTGAAGAAATGCCCATGGATTTGCAAGGCAATTGACCATGCAATCCCTAGTCAGCTAGGGCTGATCTTTGCTACAACGCCCCGCCTTTGACTGCTAATGAGCTCAATCAAATACTGCTCTGCGAGCTCGACTGTCATGTATCTAATGAATTTGCTGGAGCCTTGTACGTGGCACGGCAAAATCTTGGAAGTTATCTGTAAGGACTGCGAAGAGCAGAGAGCAATGGCCGTGCCTTCGAGTGTGAGGTTGCAAGTGGATTACGAGTCGCCCAGTCAAGCTGTGGCGCGGCCTTCGAGCTCATAAGACCCGGATGGATTCGATCTACGCACGTTTCGCGAATACGCGTAACTCGACACACCTTGGTGGAAGTGCCTTCGGATGGGAAACGTAGATAGCATCAGTATACAGGAGTAGTGTTTAGGCAGCTTCTAGAAAAAACAACGGCAAAATCAGCATCCGAGAAACAACAAGTATTCTCGCCATGCAATCTCTCTCACCCCACGTCATTCGCAAATTGGGCTGTAGCCCAGTCCGCAAATAATCTTGTGATAAACCGCCGAGGAGCAGAGAGCTATTCCTCTCCTTCAACAACCACAAAAATCCAGCAGCATCAAGTCACGTAGCATCACGTCAGCAACCTCACATACGCATAGTCTTTGATCAGTTGCCGTCGCTATAACCATACACCTACCGCCAAGATGATGAATTGGGCGAAACAACAGTAAGCTGCACTGCAACGAGCACTGCACCACCACCACTAACCGCGACCCAGGCTGGCCAACGTCGCCGGCACCCAGGAGCCCATCTATGGACCCTCGGCCATCCAGCCCGTCAGCGAGCAGGCAAAAACCACACCCTACACGGAACTCACCAGAAACGACATGAAGTGGATCACTATCGATTCGACCTGCGTTGAGACTCAGACCTGGTACTTCATGACTGACAGTGGTCACATCTGCATGGTCCAGGTCATCTATAGCAACGTTGCGTGAGTTTACACCTGTGGTCCAGCGCTTACACCATCTGACAAGTCTTAGCGGAATCAAAATCACCACCCAGTTCAACACAAAGATCTTCTACAGCGACGGCAAGACTCCCAACCTGTGGTCGTCCGACGCTCTTGAGAACCACAGCTTCGACGAAGGCAAATTCAACTTCCGCGCAAAGGGATGCTCGACCGAGCTGAACGAGGAGGGCAACAGCTACCACATCAAGTCAAACACAAACAAGCAGAGCATCGTCGACCTCACCTTTACCCAGACCGCTCCCGGTTTCGTCGTCGGCAACAACGGTACGTCGAACTTCGGTACCGACCCTAAGAAGCCCTGGGGTTCAATGAGACACGCCTTCTGGCCTCGTTGCCAGGTCGAGGGTAACATCATCACTCCTGCTGGTCCTCTTGACGTCAAGGGTAGAGGTTTCTTCGTCCACGCTCTCCAGGGCATGAAGCCCCACCACGCTGGTAAGTGTGCCCAACTGACACACTCCTTGAGCTCATACTGACTGTCGCAGCTGCCAAGTGGAACTTCGTCAACTACCAATCCCCCTCATACTCCGCCGTCATGATGGAGTACACCACCCCTCCCTCATACGGTTCAACTGTCGTCAACGTCGGTGGCATCGCCACCGATGGCAAGATCCTCTGCGCAGGTTCCTCAAATAGCGCAGCCCACAGCGAGATCAAGGGCGACCCCGAGAACAACTGGCCTGAACCTGGTGCCGTTTCCTTCTCATGGAACGGCACTGACGCCAACGGTCAGGCTGTCGTGGCTCTTGTCGAGGGTTCTCTCGGTGAGAGACTCGACCGTGTCGACGTCATGGCTGAGGTTCCCAAGTTCGTCAAGCAGATTGTCGCTGGAGCCGCCGGTACCAAGCCCTACATCTACCAAGTAAGTTCCTGACAGCATTTTCCCCTCGAGGAAACATCACTAATTCACCATGCAGTACGGTCCCAAGCTTCCCATCAAGATCAAGATTGGTGGTGAAGAGAAGACCGAGGAGGGTTCCCTCTTCACCGAGGCCACCTTCATTTCATGATTCTGAATGCTTGCATGTATCGATTACCAATTGCCAAAGGGGGTTTTTCTAGGATGGTCCGGGAGTATATTCTCGTTGGGATAATTATCATTGTAATAATACGCTTGGAGGAGCGTACGTAAATACCAGTTTAACTCAACACAGACAAATACTTGTGTCTATGCGTTAATGACCAGATTCTCGTAATGCACAATCAATTCGCCCTTCTCAGTAGCCGGTCTTGCTGCAGACACTCCGACCTTGAGTTCTGCGTCTTTGGGCAAAGCGTTCCACCACGTGATTTCTCTCATAGGATGGCGCTCGCCATCGTCGCCAATCAAGTAAACCCATAGATGATCATGCTCAACAATCATCTCAATAGTAGCAGATACCTTGTCAGCCGCAACAACCGGGTGTAAACTCCAATCTGACCAAATATCTGTCGCCACAACGCTGACACGAGGCTTTCCGTTCAGCATCTCAACTCCGGTCTTGACCCATTTGTTCTGCTTGGAGTTGGGGATGTCGATGATCATGCAAAGACCGCCTTGATCGTAGAGTACAGTCCAAGGTCCGGAAACTGTGACTTTTGCTGATTTGAAGTCCGAGGCACGGATTGTGCGGTAGATGTGAGGTGTATCTGTTCGGTCTGTTGATGGAGGGATGCGCCAGAGGTCTGTGTTGTCGGGGCATCTCAAGTCGAAAGGCTTGCTGACATCCGGAATGGGATGGTCATAGTGTGCTGATTTGAAGGAGTCGGTCATGATGTCTGATTGGCAGATTGGCAGATTATTTCCGGTTCAGATGGATGATGTGAATGACCAGGTACAAAGACAGCCTTTAAGTACTTGGTATCAGTCAGGCCTGGCCACGTCTTGGTTTTGTGGTTGAAGCTCTTGGAGCTTGACTGCTTGGAAAGCTTGGGAAAGTCGGGCCGTCGGACCGGTGGTTTCCTCTCCACGTTTCTCCATGTGCTCATGCTCCTTCTGTTTGGAGGAAGACGGTCTCCGGATCCCGGACCGAAGTGCTTTCGCGCTTGAGACTTCCTTTTTCGGGACTGCAAAAGATACTGCTACATCATGACGCCTCTTGCACGATTAGAAGATGCCAACTTCTCATTCTTCGTTTCCACCTGCCAGGTGAAGCCTGGATGCCTGGTGTCAAGATTTCTTGATACACCTTCATCTACTTGCTCGGAGTATTGATTGCGATAGTCGAGCACTCATCATGTCAACTTCACGGCGGAACAATCATCAAGGCTCCTCAACAGCCGTCATGGAGCTCGAGCCTGTTCATTCTCCGATACAAGCATCTGAGAAACACTTCCCAGCAGAGTCAGGCCGAAGACTCGGTCCAGATGACTTCGACGATGATCTTGATCGGGATGACCAGAACGAGACTCTGCCCTCTCCCACAGTTGCCTCTCATGAAGTTCTCGAGAAATGGAACACACCGCGACCGAACATGTACCGGACATTTGCTGCCTGCTGGGGTTTTGCGATCATGGGGATGAACGATGCGACTTACGGAGCCATCATCCCATATGTAGGCCTGCCTGACTGCAAGTCCTCCTATTCGTTCACGAGTTAACAATCAAAAGCTAGAAATACACTACGACCTTTCGTATACTATCGTCTCCCTGATTTTCCTCAGTCCTCTCATTGGATACAACTTGTCGGCCTTGCTGAACAACAGTATCCACCTCAAATTTGGACAGAGAGGCGTGGCCTTCATCGGGCCAATATGTCACCTATTGGCATATATTGTCATCGCAGTACATCCTCCATATCCTGTACTAGTTGTAGTCTTCGCGATTGCCGGCTTCGGAAACGGCTTGGAAGATGCAGCTTGGAACGCGTGGATGGGTGCAATGGCGAATGCTAACGAAGTGCTTGGTTTCCTTCACGGAGTGTATGGTCTTGGAGCTACTATCGCTCCCCTGATTGCCACTTCGCTGATCACAAAAGCTAATAAGCCCTGGTGGACTTGGTACTACTTTATGGTATGACAAATACTCAGGACAATCCATCTTACATTGCTAACGTTGGCTGTAGATTGGTTTTGCAGCCCTCGAGGTTGCCACGAGTCTGTGGGCTTTCTGGGGACAAACTGGAGAGGCGTTCCGCCTTGCTCATCCTAGAACTACAGACCAAAAAGGCAATCGAATGAAGGAGGCCTTGCTCACCATGCCTAGCGCTCGAGTCACATGGCTATGTGCCTTGTTCCTGCTAGGCTATGTTGGCATCGAAGTCGCACTCGGCGGTTGGATTACTACCTTCATGCTTCGAGAACGTAACGGCAGTGCATTCGCCTCTGGAATGACAGCGACTGGCTTCTGGCTAGGTGTCACTGTTGGGAGACTGATATTAGGCTTCGTCACGCCACGTATTGGTGAGAAGTTGTCCATCGCCATTTACCTTCCGATAGCCACTGGGCTAGAACTACTCTTCTGGCTCGTCCCACAGTTCTACGTCTCAGCTGTAGCAGTCGCGTTGCAAGGCTTCTTCCTAGGTCCACTGTTCCCTGCCGCTGTTGTTGCCACGACCAAGCTATTGCCCAAGCATCTACACGTTTCAGGCATCGGGTTTGCAGCAGCGTTTGGTGGATCGGGAGCTGCGATTTTTCCCTTTGTCACTGGTGTGATTGCACAGTCGAAGGGTGTACAGGTTCTTCAACCGATCATTCTGGCGCTTTTGGTGGTCATTTGGCTATTCTGGATATCGCTTCCGAGGATTGAGAAGAAGAGAGACTGAAGTGTACTCAATCGCATAGGCACAGTAAACAGACTGGTCGTCATGTCGTTTATCTCACCGAGCCATGGGGGCGGATGCGGACATTCTTTATGCTTGACTACTACCCGATGCCAGGCGTGTCATGGATCGTGGTCATGATGTGGTCGTGATATATAACATATGTATGAACCATACAGCGATAGGCTGAGAAGCCGAACCCTCTATAGCATCCGAAGTATTGATAAGAGCCTGTTCATCAACATCGCCATATTCATCATCTTCTTCTCCGTCCTCATCGTGACCGTCTTTGCACGCAGCCGAATTCTTGAAGTGTTCAATTATCTCATCGAACCCATCAAAAACACAATACCCCTTTCTCTCCTTATCAAACGCCTCCATGATGGAAAAGTCCTCCTCCGACATCGCCACCTTCCTTACCTCCTCCTGCGACATAGTAGCAAGAACAGACCAAAAGGATTCCACCAACTGATCATTACAGCCAACATGTTTCCGAACCTCTGCGCCAAGTCTATCACCCCCTACAGCTACAATACCACCAATCTCACACAACGCAACAATGGCATTGACTCTTGACTCTTGATGACTCTGCTCTTTGATCGCATTCACGATCTTCGCGATTTCCTTGTTTACAAGCTCGGTGGCATCCCATGCTTTATTGTATTGTTTTGCATCCGACAGTTTTTCCCATTTCACATTGATTACATGATGTACTTGATCGACATTCTTCTCAAACTCTTGCACTGTGGCATTTTCTTTTGCGAGTTTTCTCTGGGCTGCTTGTATTTTTTTTCCGTTCTTTTTGCACAGCGACGAAATCTAGCGCTTGGGTCGTGTTGGAATGAGATGTGTAGATGTGATCGTGGCTGATTGCGGATTGAATGAGTAGGTTTCTTAGCGAGGTTTCGTCAAGTTTTGTGACCATGGTGATGATTGACAGGGTTTCTGCGGGTGTTCTTTGGGGGTAGGGGACGAGAGCGAGGTTGGAGAAGCTGGGAGGTTGGGAGATTGTGTGGGTGTGGCCGAAGGGGAGGTGATTTTGATATTGCATGGGTGGGTCGATGCGTTGGCGTTTGTTGCTCGTTGCGGCTGCCATTGTCGAGGATTATGCGGTTGTGGGTACTAGTCGATCTAGAGATCGGAGACGAGAAATCGGAAGAGATGCAATGAAATGCAAAGACTGGTGGTTAACAGAACAGGACATATGAAGCTGATAACAGACTATTCAGGATGGTCTATTATGGTATGTTGGGAATTGGCAGGACGAATACAGAAGTGCTTGCGAAAGCATCTATGGCTGGAACTTTCTGGGGAGACGCGTCGCGCGTGTCTTTCGTATAGACTCTAGACGGTTGCTGAGCTCACCACCCTGTCTACATATTTGGAATACCTTCGACTGTGTTCTGTCGTTCACTCGTAGGCTGGAATGTCCTTAAAGAGAGCCTTTACATCCTTATCGATATACCAGACTCCTCTTGAGGTGTCCTGCTAGCGACGTTCGTCAAGTAGACTGATCTGGCAGGTTCGGCTTTGATGCTTACCACTTCGTCACATGCGTCGCTGTAAAAACATGCCCGCATCTCCGCCTAAGATGTCTTCGACACGATTGTTGTCTAGACAACTTTTCGGTCACTCAGAATCAGAGAATACTTCGTGTAGTATTCATGTCTATCTGTCCTTGCTCTTGTCCCAGCAGCAGACAGCATACTGATGGTTCGGATCTGCGGAAGTTCATGCTCGTGGAGAAGATGGCGAGATATCTCCGACCCCACAAGATAGCAGAATCTGGGGCGTCGCCGGCTTCGGGGCAGAACTTACTTCGTCATGCCGAGGTCTTACCCTCTCGATACAGTATCGGCAGAAGCAGGAGTTGACGTAGGTGACTTTTGTTCTTCCATCTTGATATTTGCCGCTGATTTCTGTATCTCAATCAGTCTCTTATGCTATACTCTAGTGGTTTCTGTATATATCGATTGTCATCAATATGTCCGAAAGATTGCCTCACGATTTGAACTGCTTGACCATCTCCGAGCTGCAGAAGCATGCTGCGGTTATGATGGACAAGCAGACTCGTGATTACTATAACGAGGTTAGTATAGCAAATATAGAGCTTGGAGATGAAGCAAAGCTAAGTCGACTCTAGGGTTCTGATTCTGGCAGCACACTTCAAGAGAACTTGGACGCTTATGCCAAATATCGCATTCGACCCAGAGTCCTGCGAGATGTATCAAAAATTGATACCAGCGTAAACATCTTTGGACATAAGAATGCCATCCCGTTGGGAGTGGCACCGACAGCGATGCAAAGGCTTGCTCACTCCGACGGAGAGTTGGCAACGGCAAGAGCCTGCAAAAAGATGGGCATTGCGATGGGACTTTCTTCTTTTGCGACCACCACACTAGAAGATGTTGCCGAAGCGAATGGCGAAAACCCGCACGTGCTACAATTGTACCTCTTTGAGGAGCGCGACCATAGTGTCAAGCTGCTGAAGAGAGCAAAGGAAGCCGGCTACAAGGCCGTGTTCCTCACTGTCGACACACCTATCCTGGGCCGCCGCAATCTCGAGATTAGAAATCAGTTCAAGTTGCCAGCGCATCTCAAGATCCCCAACTTCGAGGAACAAGGAGACAAGAAGCCAGAGGCTGAGGCCGAACAGAGAGGCCAAGGCAAGACTCGAAGAGGCAGCGAAGCTGGATATACCGACAGTGAGGGCAAGAGAGTGGTACCGACTGGACCCATCACATTCCACTCGCACGCAGCAAACCCAACACTTTCCTGGGAGCGGGATATCGAGTGGTTAAAGAAGGAGTGTGGCAACGAGATGCAGGTTTGGGTCAAGGGTATCGCTACTGCAGAGGATGCTTTGCTGGCAGTCCATCACGGCGTTGATGGTATCGTTGTGTCCAACCACGGCGGACGACAGCTGAGTAAGTATGTCACTCGTATAATCAGAGACGATGTGCTAACTGATATTTGCAGACGGCGCATTGGCAACGCTGGACGCACTTCCCGAAGTAGTGGCAGCAGTACAGGGCAAGATTCCCGTACATGTCGACGGTGGTATTCGACACGGCACAGACGTCTTCAAGGCATTGGCACTCGGAGCCGACTTTGTCTGGATCGGCAGACCAGTGCTTTGGGGACTGGCATACAAGGGACAGGAAGGAGTTGAGCTGTGTTTGCGCCTGCTCTCGGACGAAATCAGGCTTGCCATGGGTCTCGCTGGTGTTACAAAGGTCGACGAGATCTCGAAGGAGTATTTGGTCAAGATTGACAAGAGTGGATTTGTTGCAAGACTGTAGACGGTTGTCTTTGTAAACATTGTATATAGTCTTTACGTGATGCAATTATTGTACAAAGCCGAAGGTGCAACAAGCGCGAAGCTTCGTTCAAGAATGAGAAGGAGCGACTTGAAGCTCGACACGTCAAGCTCCCAAAAAGTGCATTCTGCATTATTTTACCATTTTCTTGCGACACTCTATACATACCACACCCATCTCCATTCCCACCCAGACAGAAATAACTCGACCGAAGCCGATCGCAGCTCTTCCCCGTTTGCAGGCGCATCGACGCGCATAACCCACCTCGACCATGCCGGTGCCCGCGCGCAGTCGCCCAATAAAGAAAGATCACTTCTCTCAAACCTTCAAAGCCCAAAGACCCGTCCTCTTCAGCGAAAATGCGCGACCGAGCACTATTCCTCCACACATCCGCCATCTAGCCTGGTCGTCGACGGGTGCCGCTCTGGCCACAACCGCCGGCTCAAAAGTCCGTATCTGGAACCCCGATCGTCCGAATGTTAAGAGCAGTCAGGAGTTGGTGGGTCATGTCGGAAGTGTAGAGAAGATTGTCTGGAACCCTGTACGCGAGGGTGAGGTCGCGACCACGGGAAGCGACGGCACCGTGAAGCTCTGGGATGTACGTGTAGGACCTGGTGCGCACAACAAGGCTGTGCCTGTGAAAGAGATTGCTTTGGGAGACGGTGGTCTGTTCCTGGCATGGAGTCCCACTGGTCAACATCTGGTGGCTGGACGTAGGGACGATGTCATTGTGCCCATCGATGTGCGTATGGGAGCTATGGCCAATACTGAAGACTGGATCATGCAAGAGGGTCGCAAACTGGGTAGTGCCCAGACAAATCAGATGGCCTTCTCAAACTCTGGTCGTGAGGTCTTTGCTACAACTGGCGATGGTACCGTCAAGGTATTAGACTGGCCGAGCATGGTAAGCATCTTCTCACACATCGACGAAACACAAGACTAACGGATTGTCGCAGACACTTCTACACACCCTCAATGCTCACACCAGTGCCGCCTACAGTGTCCAACATAGTCCTAACGGAGACTTTGTGGCCGTTGGCGGCGGTGACTCTCTCGTCACCCTCTGGGACACGACAGACTGGGTTTGCAAGCACACTATATCGAACATGGCTGGTGGTATCCACTGTCTCTCCTTCAGCTTCGATGGCACATACATCTGCGGTGCTCACGGCATGGACAAGGACGGTGACAAGGGCATCCACGTTGCTTGTGCTCAGACCGGCGAGACTGTGCATACCTTCGAGACCGCCAACATTATCAATGTCCTCGCATGGCATCCACTGAGATACTGGTTGGCTTATGCTGGTGATACCGGCGGTGTCAGAGTCATTGGTCTGGGAGGAAATCTTTGATTGGTCTCATCTCAAAAGCTTTTTGTAACAAGAGTCCCACGAATCTGCTTTCTGGACCTAGCGAGGCGTTAATCTGGTATATACCCACTGCGATCAAACGTTGCTTTCTCTGCTTTCCCAGACCACTCGATCATACTGGTCGTTCGCTTTCGTCCTCCGAATCTGACGGCTCACCAACGTCTGGGAGCTAGTCGGGATCCGTCTTTTGTTGTCAGCTTCGATGATGCGGAACGCTTAAATAAATAAGACTGTGCCTTTGGGCAGGTCTTTGTCGCAGGGCGCGTCTCCGCCGGGGATAATAGTGCTTGTGCAGTATTCAGCGGAGGGAAGATGGGATGAAATGACCGAAGTGGATGACCAGAGCATATCTATCAGACAGCAATTACCAGGAAGTGAGTCCGAATGCCTGTTATTTCGATTTGCAATGGAAAGCCGCAACGAAGCCATCCGACATGTCTTTGTCACATTGAAGGACTGCTCTAGGAAGACCTCATGTCTGAATGCAAAATCATCAGGCAGGAAGAAGTCATCTTCCGATGAAGGCTTTCGTACACATGGATAATACTCTTGTTCATGCAGCTGGATGAATTCAACGTCCGGTCTTATCGTACACGTCGAAGATGTTGTTGTGCTTACACCGTAGCTGAGCCTGTGTACCTACAACCTAGTTTGGGGAGGCATGACCGTTGATGATGTGTGCGCAAGAGTAGATAGCTAAAGGGAGAGCAAGGGTGGACAGCTGCCTTCCACGATCTCGGGATCTGCCGAACGTGTTCTCCCCAACTCAACGCAACTTGCGGCTCAACTCAAATCGCGTCTCTTGCATGGACATACCGAAATCATATCGTCCGTTACCTAATGGAGCAGATCAGTGAGGATCAATCTCAGCCTCAAAAAGCACCAAGACTGGTGCCACCTCCGGTTCTGGGCAAGAAACTGTCAAAGCCACAACGGAGTCTGCAATATCATATGATGGAACAAAAGATCTCCAGTGCTGTCACTGATTACAAGGCTGGCAAATATGCGAGCTTGGCTGAAGCTGGCAGAGCTCATGAAATTACCGAAAGGGCTGGATATTTTCGACTTCGTGCTCGTGCAGCTGGTAGAGCGTCCAAATCTGACCGACTTAAAAACGGAAGCCAACGTCTCAGTCCAGAGCAGGAGATCACACTCTGTCAATATGTTGGCGGGCTAGGAGACAATCGTACGCTTCACCGCAAGATTGGCGAGAAGGCTTACAGCATGTTATGCGAAGAGCTTACCTCAGATGATCCACCGCCGCGACCTCTTGGGAAGCAATGGCCCGCACGGTTCTTGGAACGCAACCCAGGTATCATGGCAAGTCGTCAAAAGCCTCCTACCTCACCAATGTACGGAGAGATAAGCGACGAAATAGCTTCGCCTATACCTAGAGAGGAAGTTCGTTCGATGGAGATGACCAATGAAGAGCCGCACTTCCTTCTCGATTGCCAAAGGTTCCTCGACCGACCCACTGAGGCCGATGTGACGCCCAGCCAGATCTCAACTACCCACACAGCCCCTGCAGAATCTCAAAACGTCTTGATCATCGCAAGTGGAACGGATAGTATCGACAGAGTTGCAGCCTCGCCGACGGCAACCCCTCCAGATCGGCCATCAATGGGATGCTCCGCAACGAACTCCTTCTTTTCATCCATCAAGAGTAGCCTTGCTGAACAAAAAATGACCTTCTCGAGCCGTCCGACTTGATGGTCCCTGAAATCCACAAGCGAACATCGCCGCGTTATGTCACCCTGCAAAACAGCCACAACACCAGAATCTACTTTAGTTGTGTTTGACGTGCACAACTTACCACGCTTGCGAAGAAGGACCTTCAATCTACCCGCCTTCGCTAAATGACCAAGACGAAAATATTGGGCATGAGCAGCTGTGCTGAAACGTCATAGCCACAATTGCACACATGTGTGGTCGTCTAACGAGCCAGGTCTTACGGCTAATGTGGATTCCGCTGGCCTGAAAGAGCAGTTGCGGTGTTTATTGACACGGTGATTGTTCAGGCGTTTTCCCCCTTCCGCTACCACTCTCTTGTTGTGGACTTTGCTGCGCCTCGAAGGAACACAAGCAATGAGGGATTTTTGGCAGTAAAGGAAAATCTTGACATTCAGAAACGTCAAACTCACCGCAGATTCCGCACAAAGCAATTTGTGATGTATGCATTTCCTACCACTCGGAGCGATGTCCAGTTACTCAGTACACCATTGCGCCACCTGTACGACACGCTGCAGCCATGCAAGATGAATGTTTACATCTCTGGAGAGATTTACTATAAGCTCAGCCAAGCATTTTGGCGAACTAACCAGCGTCTTGGCAAGGCTTGTCTTACAAAAATGTGGTTGGGGATTGGGGAAACAATCACAAAACACTTTCTTTGCCAGCTCGCAAATATGGCCTTCATTCGTCACCGCTGATACGAGGCGAGATGTATGCAGGGGAAAGTTTTATTGTTCTCCGTACCCGGCCGTCAATATTTGAATACTGAAATGCCCGGCGAATTGGGGATTGGTCGATCAGAAAATAACGCAAGCTGCACAACGGTAGAGGCATGTGAGATTGGTGGAGATCCAGAATGCTCGAAGGCTCGTAAATCCCTCACGGCAGTCCTTACCAACGTGGCGTCGCAAGCATTGCAACCACGACAACAGGAGAAACACACTCGTAATGGATCTGAAGCATCTTTTCTGGTCCGCGCGGCGCGGTACGGTACGTCTTGCTCTCTCAGGTCAGCACTCCTTCAATTTACATTACCAAACGTTGCATCTGGATACGATTGAGACTATGGCTTTGATTGTCTTTTTTTTCCCGAGCCCGTGAGCATCTGGCGAATGACCTTTGTATCATATTATCCTCTTTCTCATACAAAATATTTTCCTTGTCCCATATATAATATCATCTCTGCTTGTTCTCTCCTTTCAATCAACCACAACACACACACAAGTCTCTCGAGATGTCCTCATCATTCGATCAGGAGTCGTCCATTGAGAAGGGAGAGATGGAGAGGGTCATCACCACGAATGAACGCTCCCGAATCACCTTCGAGCCCGAGGACCGTCTTGAACGTCGTCGTCGTCACAGTCGACAGCGATCACAGAGTCGCGACTCTATCAGCAGTATCAGATCGCGAGCACAATCGACTTCTGCTGCTGCCGGCCTTCCAATTGAGTTTCGCACCCTTTCCTTCCAGGTTGCCCATTCACAAACTATCAACGATGTCGTCTCAGAATCAAAATGGAGACGCAAGGCAGCCCCCAAGACCAAGAAGACCAAGACACCATTCAAGAAGACACCGAAGGCAGAAGACAAGCGACAGAACGATGCAGAGCACTTTGAGAAGTTGGACTTCCACATTCTCGATGCCGACTCAGTGATCCACGGGCTTCAATCATCCTCCACGCTGGGTTTGACAGCCGAATATGCTTCCACTCGCCTCGCGACTGATGGAAAGAACATGCTTCCTCGCAGGCGACAGAATTATGCTAAGAAGTTGTTCGAATACGTATTCGGCGGCTTCTGTAGCGTGCTCTGGGTCGGTGTAATTATCTTCTTCATCTGTTGGTATGTGTCTTCGAGTCGCATTACAAACACCCATACTGACCGTCTTGCACAGGAAACCGTTAGGAAATCCTGACCCTCAAGCATACAACTTGGGTCTTGCTATCCTGGTCCTCATCGTTATCTTCCTCCAAGCATGCTTCTCCGCCTTCCAAGATTGGTCCACCGGCCGTACAATGAATGCCATCTTGGACCTGCTACCAGCTGACGCGCTCGTTATTCGCGCCGGTCAAACTACAAAGGTGCCTTCGACCGATCTCGTTGTCGGTGACATTGTCAAGATCAGCATCGGTAACAAAGTTCCTGCCGATGTTCGTCTGTTGGCAACTTCGGGAGATGTTCGCTTCGACAGATCAATGCTTACAGGAGAATCTGATGAGATTGAGGGCGCTGTCGAGTCTACTGACAAGAACTTCCTCGAGAGTCGCAACATCGGCCTCATGGGCACTATGGTCACCAACGGCTCTGCTACTGGTATTGTCGTCTTGACTGGAAAGGACACCTGTATGGGTCGCATCTCCAGTGCTATGGCTGGTGCCAAAGAGAAGCCAACTCTTATCCAACTTGAGATCAACCGCTTCGTCAAGATCATCGTCTGCCTGACAGTCGTCCTCGCCTTGGCCATTCTTTTGACATGGGTTGGTTGGTTGCGTCGCGACCATCCAGCTTACATGAGCACAGTAGCAATGCTCAATAATGTCATGGGATGTGTGGTTGCTTTCATTCCAGAAGGTATGCCTGTCGCGGTGGCCTTGACTCTCATGATGGTCGCTCGTCGCATGAAGAGCAGCAACATCCTGCCCAAGGGCCTTTCGACTGTCGAAACATTGGGCTGCGTGAACGTCATCTGTTCTGACAAGACCGGAACCTTGACTGAGAACAAGATGGTCGTCACCAGTGTTGGCTTCGTCGATGAGCAGCTCACCGTTACTGAAGCCCTCTCAAAGATGGAGACTGGTGACAACACAGTTCTCACCGAGCTCCACCGTGCCGCCGCACTGTGTAACGACGCTACCTTCGATCCTTTGTCTATGGAACTTCCTGTACTGGACCGTGAAGTTCAAGGCAACGCCACCGATGGAGCTGTATTGAAATTCGCAGAAGTCGCTCATGCTGACTCAACCAAGAGCCTACCTGACGCCCACCCGCGCAAATATCAGATTCCCTTCAACAGCAAGAACAAGTGGATGCTTACTCTTCACGACGAAGTCGATGAGAACTACGAGTCTGCTCCCGAGAAGACCAAGTATCTCGTCTACGTTAAGGGCGCCCCCGACAAGCTTCTCCCCTTCGCAACTTCTTACTGGTCTGCTAAGAACAGCTCTGTGTTACCTCTTGATGCTGCAGCCAAAGCACAGTTCAGCGCTCTCCAGGAACGTCTTTCTCGCAATGCTGAACGTGTTATTCTCCTTTGCCAACGTCACTACAGTCCTGTGGAGGCTCTCGGCACCAACGCTTTCGGAGACGAGATTCTGGAAAACGGTATCGCCGATCTGACCATCATTGGTGTCCTTGGTATAACCGATCCTCCTCGCAAGGAGACCGCCCCTACTGTCGCCTCGTGCCGTCGCGCTGGTGCGCGTTTCTTCATGGTCACTGGTGACTTCGGATTGACTGGTGCTGCTATCGCTCGTAATGTCGGTATCTTCACCCACAGCGGCGAGCCTGACACCTACGAAACAATCGCCGAAGGCCACACTTTTGTCAATGACTCCGAAAAGGGTGCCCGTGTCAACAACAGTCTCTTGCTCGAAGGCCCATCCATCAACAAGCTCACCGACGAGGACTGGGACATTGTCTGTAGCTATGAGGAGATCGTCTTCGCCCGCACTACACCTGAGCAGAAGTTGCGCATCGTCAACGAACTCAAGGACCGCGACAATGTTGTTGCAGTCACTGGTGACGGCGTCAACGATGCACCTGCTCTTAAGGCTGCTGATGTCGGTATCGCCATCGCTGCTGGCTCTGACGTTGCGCTCGAGGCTTCCGACTTGGTACTCCTTGACAAATTCGATTCCATCGTCGAGGCCATCCGCTTGGGTCGCCTGGTCTTCCAAAACTTGCAGAAGAGCATCATCTTCCTGCTTCCAGCAGGCTCCTTCAGCGAGATCTGGCCCGTCATGCTTAACGTCTTCTTCGGTGTGCCTCTCCCACTCTCTTCCTTCCTCATGATCATCATCTGTGTCTTTACCGATCTTTTCCTCAGTATGTCCTTGGTCATGGAAAAGGAAGAATTTGATCTCCTCGAGCTGCCCCCTAGAAACCACAAGAAGGATCACCTGATTAACATGAAGATTTACGGACAAGCATACCTCTTCATCGGTGTTATGGAGACTATCTGCGCTCACGCAATGTTCTTCCTCTACTACTGGCGTCACGCCAGAATCCCCATCAGCGACCTCTTCTTCGCTTTCGAGGGTTACTCTGAAGGTTTCCATGGATACACTCAAGCCGAGCTCACGCACTTCAACACTGTCGGTCAAGGTGTCTACTTTGTCACTCTGGTGTTCCTGCAGATGGGTAACTTGCTCAGTGTACGCAGTAAGCGCATGTCCATCCTCCAAGCCGACCCCTTCCGTGCCGAGCGCCGTAACCCATGGCTCTTGGCTGGTATGGTCGTTTCCTTTGCTATTGCAATTTTCGTCACCATGGTCCCTGGTATCCAGACAATCTTTGGTACTGCCACTGTACCCCTCGAGTTCTGGTTGATCCCTATTCCTCTTGCTTTGGGCATTTTGATCATGGATGAGATTAGAAAGGTGTTGGTTAGATCTTTCCCCAACGGTGTGCTGGCAAAGATCGCATGGTAGAGCTTCGGTGTTCTAGTCGGAATGACGATTTTATGAATATTGTATATATCAACAGCTGTTTGATATGCAAACAGCTACTACTGTACTGTACATAACAAAATATGCTTAACGTTCTTCACGATCGAAGCTGACTTAAGGCACAATGATTTTCACAAGTCGCAGCGATGTCTCCGGGGATGAGTTCGAAGAGAAGATGGAGATGCTCGTAGCCGCAGCCACATCAAGACTCCATTGTTCTATTAGATCCAAGTCTCTACTCTTCCCACTTCGTGATTTCAAACCAAAAGTAAAAAATATGTCCGGGGCGAGAGCTTCTGAGCTTTTACTGATGCCGAAAGAAATGTTGATGCGGAGAGGTGAGTAGGTGGCGAAAGTGCGGCGCCAGAGGCAGAGACGAGGGCTTGGGTGACGTTCCCAGGATTTATTGTGGGTAGTCGTAGAGAATAAGCGGCTTCATCGGAGATTTTTGTGGTGTTGATGGTTGGAGTTGGCAGGATGGATATGGTGGAGGTGAGTCGTTGGTTGAAATCATGGTTATGAAGCCACAGTGTTGATGTCTTTGCAAAGAGAAGAGGTTGTTAGTATAACAATGCACAGGAAGATATTCATTCCGTTGCAAAGAGTGAGTCATGGTTGGTCAACCACGTCGCAGGCAGGTGCTGATGCGGTCAATCAAGCGACTTCTTTCCGACGAGTGACGCGACAATGAATCCCGAAGGCAGGTGTATCGTATATCGTGGTCGTCGATGGTGGATGGATGCGATACGCTGGATCAGCTGCGGGCGTACATACCACACCCGCCACAACAGATAATCTTTCGCAAATCGCTAGACCATACAAATATGTATAGAACCAAACTCGTCTGTACTATGCATAATCCACCCGCTCCCAATGACCATAACCTCATCAAACACCATGATTGCAATGCAGAGAGCACAAGCCATCTAACTCAAATCGAACCCAGCACCAGAATTAACAGCATAAAGCAATTTATCCCTCAAGGCCTCCTTACTTCTAAACCTCGGTAACTTCAGCAGATTAACACAAGTACTCGCTGTTGGGAACCTGTGTTCATCATCCCCCGAATCTCTAATCGTGAACCTCGGGTTCAGCGAGCCAAAACCAAGTAACGGAGCTCTAGGTGTGGAGGTGACGAATTTCAACACTTTACGACGCTCGATATCGGGAAGGTCGAGCATGAGTTGCCAGAAGAGTTGGACGGACGGGTGTTCTTGGCCGTCATCGCCGATTACGTAGACACCACTGTATTGTGTGTTTGCGCGGAGGTCGGGAATGTTGATGCTGGAGGCCGCGCCACCGACAAGAGTTTGAAGTTCTTTTTGGTTGAACATGTTGAGCCAGCTTGGTTGGATTATGCTGGAGAGACCGGTGAGGAAGGCGTCTGTCTGGAGCTTCGATTGTCGGGACAGACGATAGCGGGCTACATGTGATATATATAGCAAGCGATTCTCTCTTGTGACAAGGATGTTCGCACCGTTAGGTATAAGCTCGAATTCGACAGTTTTGGTTTGTCCGTTGGGTAGTGGGATAGTGTCGTTGATGGCAAAGTATGTTCCCCATTCCCCGACCTCGCCAGGGTGATGTTTGAGGGTCTGCAATCCCTGATAGAGCTCCTCGTCAAGATCGCGCAGATCGTTGATTGAGGCTCTGTAGCCAGACTCTTTGGATGCAGCACCTCGTCCACCGAAAAGTGCCCACTTGGTTAGGAAGAAGCTGGCGAAGTTGATGTCGATAAGGATACCTTCGTATAGACACTTGCCAACAACACGACCCAGGAACTCGTATCGATTCAAGAGATCCTTCATCGACTCTCGATATTCTTCAGTATCATTAGTGTATCCTTCTTGGCGCAGCATCTCTTTGTGAGCTTCGACGCTGGTCGGGTCAGGATATAGCGAATGTTGGCTGTTCTCCATAAACAGACCCTTCTCAGGGTTGAAGGCTTCCGAGGTGATGCTAGTCAAGAACTCTTTTGTGACACCTCCACCGTCAATTCCAGCTTCTTGCAGACCGAATTCGTCCAAGAACGTGATTTGAATTGGCTCCTTGAGACCATCGCCAAGACTGTAGAACTGACTGAAAGCATCCTCAAACTCATTCTTGCGACGAATACTTGCATGGTGACGCCCAAGTGACTCATGTCCACCACCTATCGGTCCAAACACAGTCAGGTGGCGCCAAATATCTGGATCAGTATGTCCACCTCTCCGGGTCATCATATCCAGACGGACAAATTCGCGGAAGATCTGAACTCTTGTTTCGAATGGAATCATGAAGGGCATGTTCTGCAGGATTTCCAATCGAGGCGCGACTGACTGTAGATAACGAGCCCTGCTGATTTCTCGGGTGTTGCGTAGGTGGTTCTTCTGTGATTGATTGATAGAAACGAGAGCAGTCTCGTCCCAGTCGGAGTCGGGATCATTGGCATTGCCATCTTCTTCAGCCTGCAGTTGCAACTGCTGTCGTCGTTCATCTTCCCCAACAACAGCTTGTATGAAGTTGGTCATGTCGAGGCGAGATGTCATCAACCAGTGTTCCTTAGGTAAGAAGTTTCTTCTCGAATCTCGCTCGTATACAGACCTCAGCAGGCCAGTGACCAGACTCTTCACATACTCAAGACTCATCCCGACGGTACCTGCGACTGATATCGTTTGAGGGCGAGCTTCAGCTTTCGATTCTGTAGCAGTTGACGTGCCGCCGAAATGGCGACTTAGATTCGCCGGGCTCAAAAGCTCAAGGCTGGGTTCAAATGACTCGGATATCTCCTGTGAATTGAAGTACATGGAGAACCCCAAATTCTTCAAGAAGACGGTCAAATCTTTCAGATCTTCAATAGGGAGGGCACTGTTACTGTCTCGTGTACTTGGGCCAGATTTTGCTCCGAGAAACTCTTCGTCGTCCATGATCTTGAGAACGAAGGTGAAGAGTTCAAGAAAAACAAGAACGACGCGCCACTCTGAACTTCTCCTCGAGCTTTCTTCGTCGTATCGAGCGGGTTTCCACGCTGAAATCGAAGCCTTTGGCGCCTTTAACAGCTCCACCGCGGCTCGCGGATCTCTGTAGATGTTTGTGAAGATGGAAGTTGAGCGCATGCCCTTCCAGAAATAAGCAATGGCAGGAACGGTATCGTCTCGATATGCTTGGTCGGTTGGACCGAGATACAGCCACATGCGTATATCGTCAGCACGCAAGGGAAAGATACGCAGGAGTATTAGGGCGTAACTGGCCAATACTTGCGAATCTGACGAGTCGTCCAGCACAGAAGTTTCGGATGAGGCAAGTGGCCTTGGTACGAGAGATCTGATGGCATCTTTGTCCACTAGACGCGAGAATTGGTCCCTCAGAAATTTGTTCAGGTGCACCCGGGCGGGGTTTTTTGCGAGAACGAGCCGGTCATAATCTTTGTTGGTCATGTCGAGAGCAGGAGCTTCTGGAGCAATAGCTTCGGCCAGTGAGGAAAGAAGGCGTGCGACTACAGGCACGTAGGATGAGGCACGCAGGCCCTCTGGCATAAGATATATGAACTGGCTAAGTAGCCATAGGCGACGTCTTGTGTCCAATGTCGCGGTCAACGAGACATTGGATATTGCCTGTGTGAGGTGGGCGAAGTTCAGCGTGGGAGTGAGATGATCGAGTGAGATGGTGTCTAGCGGGGTTGTGAGATAGGCGGCAGCGAAGCCTTCGTAAGCAGCGGGGAGATGTGAGGTGAGAGGGGCTGCCACAGCCTGTTGGATGTTTGGAAGTGAAGAGTGATCCAGCTTCGATAGAGTTGTGTAGTAGTCGAAGGAGATGCGAGATGTCTCCTGGGGGGTCGTGGTGGCTAAGAAGGTCAAGACGGCGAGCAGGTCGTTGACCCGATGAGGCTTTGTTTGTGTCAAGGCATCCAAACAAGCCTTCTCCAGGCGCAGGTAGTGTTGCAAAGTAGCCGTGTCCAGGGAGTGATCCGAGACGAGGGAGATGAGGCGTTGGATGTCACCGTCGTTGGAGGGCGAGAAGAACAGCAGGAGAGTGTTTAGTCGTTGAACGGCGTCGACGTGGGTCGTATCTACAGCGTCCCACTGTTTGCGCCAGCCATCTCTTGTCTTTCGCCGAGCATTGTGGCCCCTCCAAACTCTTTGCACCGTCTTAGCGGCATTCAGCTCTTGTCGTTGCTTCTGTCGGGCTTGTCGGTCTTGATGTGCGTTCTGCACAGCGCTCTGTGGACCGCCCAGCGGGTTGTTGGCGGCGAAAGGGTTTGTGTTTTTGCCCGAGAGGTTGACTTGCCGTGGGCGGCGTGATGCTCCCGTGAACGACTGATACATGGCTGCTCCTGGAGTTGATGGTAGGAGTAGATTCGGAGGACTTCGAGACAGGGACAGCGATTACTGATTATTTCCAAGCTGGCAGCTCGGCGCAGAACATTCTCGAAGGAAGGTGTAAATAGAGCCTAGTTTTTGGAAAGGTGATGGTTGAAACAACACATCGAGACCCCGTCGCCGCCAAACAGCTACTTGGATTATCAATGTACAACGAAGACGTCACTTGACATGACTCGCGCCACTACCAACTGCACAATACACTTTACAACGCCGACCTCTTCCGTCCATATCCTCTCTATCACTGTCCCCTTGCGATTCTTATAACGCGACGTGAATGCATGAGTGCAACACACCTTCCTCGTAGAAGAGCAGCCGCGTTTGAGCCCCCTGCTGATAGGCCGCTCCTTCCCGCTTGCTTGGGCAATCTTGCTTCACAAGCAGCGCCAAGCTGTCGCACACCACAGCGCCAGATGGCCTAGAAGCCGGCCTCGTGACCGTCTGATCGCTATCATATGCTTCCACTATCTATATAACTAGCATACCTCCGCCATGGCAGATCGCCCTCCGTTCACCTCTCGTCCGTCCATCGAGGATGCAGAGTCTGAGATGGCTCCTCTCCATCCCGCCTCAACTCATGACTTGGAGGTGACCGAATCTCAGGGACAACTCATCGATGCGACTGGTCATGCCCGAATTTACAAGCGACGTTTCTTTGGTCTTTTCCAGCTCGTTCTGCTCAATATCATTATCAGCTGGGATGTGTGTCTTCATCTGCTCACCTGAATGACCTTGGACTTCTGCTGACCCTGTCAAAAAGTGGTTGACTTTCTCGGCCGTATCATCAACTGCCGCTCAATTCTTTCAAGTTTCAGAGAGCGCCATCAATTGGCTCAGTACTGGATTTTTGTTTGCATTCGTTGCTGTCACTCCGTTCGTCATCCTCCCAGTTCAGGTCTCAAATTGTATTTAAGGACGGAACTAAGACCTGTCTAGATGCACCATCTGGGCACTGCATAGAGGTCCGAAGACATCAATCGTGATTTCAGCGCTGCTGTTATTTGCAGGCAACTGGATTCGATATGCTGGGACACGCGTCGGTCGTTTCGGTGTAGTGATCTTTGGCCAAATCATCATTGGATTCGCCCAGCCCTTTGTGCTGGCAGCACCAACCCGATATAGTGATCTTTGGTTCACTGGAAAGGGCCGTGTCTCCGCTACGGCTATAGCGTCTCTGGCCAATCCTCTCGGCGGCGCACTTGGCCAGCTCATTGGTCCTCTATGGGTGACCAAGCCAGAAGACGTACCGGACATGGTGCTGTACACAGCCATCATTGTAAGTGAACCAGCTTCTAGAAGCGCGGAGGACCATGCTGTGATTTCGGTCATATCGCGGCAATGACTTCTTTTTGCTGCGTGTGCTGACCACTTGCAGTCCTGCGTGGCATGCTTGCCATCATTCTTCATTCCCTCCAAGCCACCAACAGCGCCGTCGGTCAACGGAGACAACGAGAAGTTGACTGTCTCCGAGTCTATTCAATCTTTGAAACGAAACAAGCCGTTCTTCCTGATTCTTACCGCGTTCGGTGTGTATGTCGGATTCTTCAACGCCGTGTCCAGTCTCATCAATCAAATCTTCGAGCCGTACGGCTTCTCAGAGACCGAAGCTGGCATTGCAGGCGCCCTCCTTATTGTGGTCGGTCTTGTTGCTTCGGCGGTTGTTTCACCATTAGTCGACCGAACGAAGCAATACCTACTGACAATAAAATTGCTGGTACCACTTATCGCGATTGGGTACCTACTGCTCATATTTGTGCCGGAGACACGTACGGTCATCGGCCCATACGTCGTCTGCGCCTTGCTGGGAGCGGCTTCATTCTCGCTACTTCCGTGTGCGCTTGAGTACTTGGTCGAAATCACATATCCGGCTAGTCCAGAAGTCAGCAGTACCATATGTTGGGCTGGAGGACAATTGCTCGGAGCTATATTTATCATTATCATGGATGCTTTGAAAGGAGGTGTCTCTGGCGAGCCCGAGGCTACTATGAAACGAGCTCTGATCTTTCAAGCTGTGGTCAGCTGGCTGGCCGTACCTTGCGTTTTCGCATTGAATTTGTTAGACAAAAGCAGTATTGGTCTACGGCGGCATGGGGCTGAGACCACTACAGAGGAACATGGCTAAAAGACAGAGGCTTTATCATCTTCTGTTAGATATTTGTCTATAGAGACAGTACTCCTCGGACATACTGAAGTAGTCCATGCAATATTATTGGCACACCTTCTTCGCATTGTTCAAAGCAGGGCAACGAAGAGCTGTGGAAAGGCACAGTCATATCTCTTATGATGAGCCTAATGCAAAGAGACGTTGACACGAAGTATCTCGATGACATTGCTTTAGATCCAGAGAAGTTCGTGCCTTGAGACAGCTACTCGCACGCGGGGACGGAGTTAGTCAGATACAGAGAGATAAGTGAGGCAAGTCTTGCCGAGTCTCAGTCAAGCTTTCACATGCCTCCGCCAAAGCCTCGAAGAGTCGAAGCTCTCCCCCCGTCCTCCATCGTCGCGGCGCGTTGCGACACGAGAACCCCGAAAAAACACAACACACCAAACGCGCCTAACAACCACCTTATACCGCGCCTCGCCCCACCACGCAAAATCACAACAATAATATTCTTGCGACCACACCGACCCGCAATACTTCCTCCGTTAATGGCGCAACCTCAATTTCCCACGCGACCCTTTCCAGGTCTGGGTCGCGCATCGACAGTAGGACAACAACAGCAACAGCAGCAACAACAACCGCCGAGCCAAAGCGCATATCAACCACCAAATTACGGCGGTCCGTCGAATACATACAACTCTGGCGTCGGCAATGCAGGACCAGGACAACGAGAAGTGATAGCGCGACAAGAGCGCGAAAGAGCAGAACGCGAACGTCTAGAACGAGAGCGACGAGAAGCCGAAGAACGAGCAGGAGCACTAGACGCATTGAGCGAAGAGCAAAGAGAAGAGATTAACGAAGCTGTGAGTTATCTTCGCACCTCCTCTCCATAACCCCCTTCCCCATATCACTGACATCAAGTCTGCCAAACCAGTTCTCCCTCTTCGATTTAGACAAAGACAATCACATTGACTACCACGAACTAAAAGTCGCCCTAAAAGCCCTCGGCTTCGACCTCCCGAAATCAGATATCCTCTCCTTACTCCAAACCCATGGTATCCCTGCCTCCTCCACCACTGCGCCTACCCAAGCGCCACAAAAGCCTTCCTTTTCAGGCCCTTCCCGTCTTGTTCTCCCTCATGCCGCTTTCGTCTCCATAGCAGCTTCCCGCATCCTGGCCAGAGACCCCAGAGATGAGATTTTGCGTGCCTTTGAGCTTTTCGACGCAGAGGGGAAGGGGAATATCAATTTGATGGATTTGAGACGGGTGGCTAGAGAATTGGGGGAGGGGTTGCAGGAGGAGGAGTTGGTGGCTATGATTGAGGAGTTTGATCTTGATGGTGATGGGGCTATCAGTAGAGATGAGTTTGTGGGGATCTGTTTGGGTTGATTGTCACCGAGAGAGAAAGAGGATACTTGGAGGTGCAAAGAGATGGCGGAGGTTGGGTGGGTTGGGTTTTCATTTCTTGGATCTCGCACCTTTTGTTCTGTTCGCAGCGTTGGCGTTTTATGGCTGGGCCTTTTTTGTCTTCTGGCGCTGTCAAGAAGAAGAGCTTCGTTCTTGCGTCGTTTTGTACTTTTTGCAGAGAGCTTGGTTCGAAAGCATGCCTGTTTTTTGTACAAGATCATTTAAAAGCTTGGGTATCCACAATGCATAGCAACACTTCGTTCTGTGCCAAAGTCACCATCATTCATCTCACACCTTTGTCAAGGAGGAGAATTGTTGGAAACCGAGGACGAGTTATTGTGATATTCAACTATCCCAATGGAGAAAAGTGACAGACCGGCTCAGGAAGATCACATTTCCTAGCATGAGATCTTCCACTCATCCATAAATATTGTTCAAGTTTTTCGAGTGCAGCTTCACCCCTTCCAAACTGGTCTTCTTGACCCTTGTCGTGACCGTGTTAGCGTTCTCATCCTGGCTCAAGATCACAAACTACTTGTCCTTTTCCGCGAGTACGAAGCGTCGTTCCACTTCCATGACTTTCATTTCGTCGCCTTCGAAGCTGAGACGGACGTAATCGCCACGCTCGGTGCCTAGGTCTTTGGAGCGCCAGTTTGCGCTTACTTCTGCTTTGTAGAATGTCGTTGTATCCTGGCTTTGGCATTAGTGATCTCTGTAGTGCAGATGGTGGAGTGGAATGAGAAGAGGTCTTACTGGATACTGGGCTAACACGTTACGGCCTTTGTTCAAGTCTGCGAGACCTTTGTTCTCGGTTGGTATGGGCATGAGATGTGCGACGCTGGCTCGATAGGGTGGTGGAAGTTCGCCGCCAGGAACCGGATCTGGGTCTGCGTCTTGTATTTCGTAGCGCCGTTGTTTGCCTTCGCCAATGACATTTGTGACACGGCATAGTATGCCTTCACCTTCTTGAGTGCGACCTTTGTTGCGGTAGAAGACGTGAGCTCCAAGACTGAGTTGTAGTCTGCTGGTTCTGGGCTCATTCGCTGCGTTATCTGTAGTCAGTTAGATGTGGTGAAAAACAGAAAAATTGGAAAGAGAAAGAGATCATACCTTCGACACTGGATGCCACACTCTCGGCTCCATCTTCAAGCTTCACGCTCACTTCCCTCGTGCTGGTGACACTTCTCTCTCGATTCCTCTCTCGACTCTTTCCCTCGACGGCTAGTCTATCCGTAGCTTGCCTTTGCCCTGGCCGCGGACTCCCTACGTGACTTGCCTCATCATCCACATCCATGCTCCCTGCTTTCCTCTTCATAGTCGCATTACGGCCTTTTGAATTGCTGTGCGAGCGAGAGTTTACCAGTGATTCTTCAGAGGCTTCACGCAGTCCGGCAAGAATCTTGATGCTATCGAGAAGAGACATGTCGTCAGAGTTGCCATCTATAATGTGACTGACTTCTTCGCTGATTTTGACATTTTCGCGGTAGAGAGATTCTAGCCGTTCATCGAGAGCCATGTCGGAGAGTTTGTCTGCGCCTGTGGTGATGGGTGAACATGTTAGTGTGCTTTACTTCGTGATAACAGATGAAATGGTCATGCGAATCTAACTCTCTCTTGGAAAAGTTTCTGATGCATCCAGTCCTCATGATCACAGTATTCGAAACAGTGTGCACCTACTTATGAGAGTAGCCTGCTGCTTTTCCACATCCATGATTTCAGCACCGATAGCTGCGGATCGTGCCTATTTTGATCAAATTTCATCAGTATTGCGGTCTCAACTGTCAACCCCTCTCACATCTTTGGAAGCTTGGATTTGTAGATGCCATTTCGATTCTTTCGTGATACATGTTCAACTTGGGGAGGGCAGGGCAGAGCAAGGTCAAAGAGAAAGAAGATGAGAGAACTAGACGTACCTCCATACTATCGATTTGTTTCACACGGTCTGTAATCGTATTCCACAGCCTGCGCTCTTCATCCGCATCTTGATTCAAGCTTGCCCTCGGTTGGCGATTCCGTGATGACATAGTAGACGCGTGTGACTTTAGGTAGTAGGGGGCTGGCTGTATGACTTTCAACCAGGAGATATTCGCGTCGTTGATTTTGAGAGGTGTCTGTCCAGGAAACGAGTGCAGGTGATCGAGATGTGCGGTTAAATTAGTATTACGAGAAGTGGTATAATATCTAGAAGGATCAAGGGTCGCGCGTTCCGGGAAGGAGGGAGTGGCCGGGTGTTAGGATCTGACCAATCAGCGAGCGTTGTGTTTGAGCTTATTGTGACCAACGGCGATGACGATCTTTCACTCAAGCGATAAATACTCCTTCAATTTGCACAAGTCGCATCCTATTGTCGATTCCGCAATTGCTTAGAAAGTTCTTGAGTCGTGTACGCTGGAAGCTCCCGAGGTCGATGCCATGTGCTCTCTTTGCAGTGATCGCCCTTGACTACCAGGTAGGTGGTTCTCCGCAAACTCGCTACTAATTGTTACGCGTATCTGCATACCGAGACACGAATGTTCGAGAAACAAAGCAAGTTTCCCCAGACTCGTCTATCCGTCTTATAAGAAAACGTTCGTTTCGTCTCAAAAGATGACCGTGTCCTTGATCATCTAGATCCTTGACCAATCCTAGCACGGAGAAGACACGGCAAGCAAATCGTATAACAATATACAAGTGGGTCTCAAGCAGTATCACAATGTATCATTTCAAGCCTCCCGAGGTCCTAGGGACGACCTGAATCGGTCCCTCCTTGAGAAGGAACAAAGAAAAAGCTCCCGATTCAAAGGCCAAACCATTCCTCGTTACCAACAAAGAAGCTACAAGTTTACCCCCAAGAGGGAGCACGATACATCGATCTTCTTCTTCTATCTATTTCACACCATCCCTCTTTAAAATTTCCGTACTCAGCAGATCTAGCCTTGTATACCCTCGCTCAATCAGGAGTACCGCTGTACTCTACCACATCACCCACCAGCAATGCTGCACCTCAAGCCCTCCCTCCTATCACTCCTCTTCTCTACCCTCCTCATCTCTCTCGCAACCTCCCATACCGTTGAAACAGACGCAACCACAGACGCAGGCATAGACGTAGACCTCAACAACAACCCAGCAATCGCATCAGCAGCCTCCGACTACATCCACGCAACCTCCGCAATCGCATCCATCTTCTCCTCCTTGACCGAAAACGGTGCTGCTGAAATGACTGACGTATCCTCCTTTGCAAGTTTCGTCTATGCGGCTGCAACTTCCGCCGTGGGTAGTATCTTCACAGAAGCCACAGTGAACGTGGGTAGTGTGGTTTCCGAGGCTGGCAGTGTGGTTAGTAGCGTAAACTCGGAGATTACAGGGGCAGTAGGGAGTTTTGTTAGTGAAGTTACTGCTACTGCTGTGCCTACAGAACTACCTACCAGTGCTGTGGTTACTTCGGCAAGATCTAGTGTGCCTTCGACAACGGTGTTGATGACGATGCCGACGGAAACAGGCACTACAGGACCAACCAGTGTGTCTGAAGGGAAACTGAGGAAAGCAAATGGCAGGGCAGATGGCATGTTATTCGCTGCCGTGTTCGCCGCTGTTGCTTTCTTCTAGGAACGAGACGCGATATATATTGCTGCCCGCTACCCTGTCTCCCATGGTACTCTAATCTGTCACGGCCGCCATGATGAACTGCAGGATAACTTCTGGAGAAGGAAAGGCTTCTGCGGGAGTGCAAACAGTCAATTGCTCTGCCCTGGTCGACTGCAGGCACTAAGAAACTACTGTGCATCATGAGAGTCCCCTAGGTCTCCAGATCACGACGCGGGAGATGCTAAAGTAATACAACCCGGGTGGCATGTGAGGGACTGAGGACGCCTGTCAAAGATTGTCGAGATCTGATTTCTTACATGATTGGACATCATAGACAGTGATGGATAGGTGACGGAGAAGGGAATCGTGAAATGACATTTGGTCTGTGGAGTTCTCTCAACAGTTTTGCTGTTCTCATTTCATTGCCTTGCATGTACCGCAATGAAAAGGACTTCCACACGGACATGCTTCTTCCTCTCTTTTCAAAGAAAAACAATAGAATTACAAAATCGGGTGTATGAGTAAAACGGTGGTTGTGACTGGGGGGTATAGAAGCTTCTCTCTGTGTGCAAATGGAAAATAGAGAGAAGCGCTTCGAGCAAAGTGCAGAGCTAAAACTCCGCAGCCCAGAAAGGGTAGAGAAGGAAAATAGGCATTTGGCCGGTCCGGAGTACTGGACCAAATGCCTGAAAAAGGGATGGAAAAGAGTATTCAGGGAGAAGAGGAAAATGGGATTCGGGAAAGAGAACAAGAAAATATGGTCTGGACTTCGATCTTTTCCATATCCTGATCGGTGAGTCGTCGCCGGGTGGAATCAAACGACCGTATTTCCTCCTTTTCTTGTCGCCGAGGTGATTAGACAACTGATTATGGCCGATAAAAGATATAGTTGAGATATACGGTAGAAGAGGGGTATTCGCGAGTTGGTGTGGGGTATCAAGTTGTAGGGATGTGTGAATGGCTGAGCCGGCGATAGCTGTGGCAGACAAATGGGGTGCTGTGGACGGTATAGATGCTTCATCTTTCTCTTGTGGGCGGGTTGGCTTATTTGGCGGGCACCTTGATGTGGCTGCTCAACCACGCGAGACCCTCAAAGATGCCTTCGCCAGTGGTAGCGCAACTGGGCTCGACCTTCCAGATGTGGTTCTTTGCGATAACGTTGAGGTTGAGTGCGTCGGAAACGTCCTTTGGTCGCATGGCTGTGAGGAGAGTGCAAGTCAGTCTATTGTACTTTCGCTCCACTCATTTGGTGATGTGCTTACATCCGTTGACATCTTGCTTGTTAGCAAAGACTAGCAGGAGGGCATCCTTCATTTCGCGGTCTTGAATGATGCGGGTCAATTCGGTGCGGGCCTCGTCCATGCGATCGCGGTCGTTGGAGTCGACGACGAAGATGAGGCCTTGGGTGCCCGAGAAGTAGTGTCGCCACAAGGGACGGATCTTGTCCTGACCGCCGACGTCCCAGACGTTGAACTTGGTGTTCTTATATGTGACGGTTTCGACGTTGAAGCCGACGGTAGGGATTGTTGTCACATCTTGGTCCAGCTTGAGTTTGTACAGAATGGCTAAGGGCACAGCGGGTCAGCGCATTTGCGCGTGGGAAGCGACAAACAATAGGGCACTCACTCGTCTTGCCAGCAGCGTCGAGACCCAGCATCAGCAGGCGCATTTCCTTGCTGCCGAAGATCTTGGCCATCATCTTAGATATTGAGCCACCCATTGTGATTGCTATGTGTCGTGACGTCTCGTGAAAGTTGGAGGTAGCGTCGTGCGCAGAGGGTTGATTGCAGGAGAGAAAACCGGTGGACGGGGTGGATCGAGGGATTGAGTCGATGGCGGGAAAACAGTCAAAGGTGAATTTTTGGAATTGGCCCAAGATGGGAATTGGAGAAACGTTATGAGGGTTTCAGAGATTAACGGCCGCGTGCTGAAACGGTCGCTGCTGCTTTGCCTGGGCGTTTGCGAAGCCTTTTTGCTCGTGCAAGTCGGAAGGAGAAGGACGGAAAGGAAAAGACTCTCTAGACAAGGGACAAGACGGCCCTGTATATTTCCAAATGACTCGCTCTCTGTCCAGGCAAAAGGTACGACCACTTGCACCACCAAGCCCCTTTCTCCCCTTCGAACCATCTCTTGAACAAGATGGGCGGCTTGCAATCTCCGGTGCTGAGAGAGCGAGTTGCGCACGGCTCACACGGAGACCCTGCATCCACATGGCCTTGCGCCCGCTTCACCATCAGACCTGCGACTGTCAATCACCAAAAGACAAACATAAACCATCCTCTCCGCGTGTTTCAGCTCTGCACCTACTCACCAGCGCTCTCGCTTATGAGAGGCTCAGTATAGTCACCTGCATCATGCCCTTGGTGGATATATCTACACAAAAGTCTATTGTCTCTATACAAGATTGCGTGGTGGGTCCCTGACTTCACGCTGAGAATGGCACCATTGTTTGCTGCCTTTCTTATGCCGAAGCATCGTATCAATGCCGTCTCTTCTTCCACACTCCGAGGACCGAATCTTCGTCCGCCTCGGGGAGTCCCATGTTCAGATCAAAGCATTCTCATAACACCTTCGAATGCCACCAAGGCCATTGCATTTGCGGGAAACGCTCTTAAGAAGCACGGAACAAAGCCTCTCCAGTAGCCTCGCCATCCGTTCTCTCTTCCGACCGCTCTCGCAGCATCTCGCCAACGAGGAAACTTTCGATTTGCCAAGTCATCCGTCATGATACGCTGCTTGATAACATCCGAAGGGTAACTCGTCAACCAGAAGACCTGCGCCGACAGTCCTCCAGCCCAGAAATTGATCGCCGGTGTAGACAACGCAGTGTTCTTTTTAAAGTACCTCGTGAAGAGATCATATGAGCCCCACCAGAAGAAGAAGAAGGTACGGAAAATCAATGTCGCCCCGAGTCCGTGATACAGTCCCCGTAATCCATGTTGGCGGAAGATCTGGCGTGAACAATCGATGGGACCAGAGTACAGACGTTTGGACTTGTCGGCTGAATACTGCACCTGCAGGCGCGCTTTGACGTGTTCCACAGGGGCCGCGATGAACGAGACTGTGCTTCCTGCCATGACTCCTGCGATTGCATGACCTATCGTCGGTAGCGTCCTGTCGGCGGGAACCGCGTACACGCCTGCTGCAGCTCTAGTCTCGTGCATTGGTTGGAAGACACGATCATTTAGGAGTTTCCGGTAGAAGGTCAAGCTTCCCAGCATCAAGCTGTCCATGAACATCCATCCTACCAGCGGAGGTGTCGCGCCCTTGTATAGTCCTTGTGGTCCTTCTTTTCTGAGTGTCTGCATCAAGCAGTCGAGCGGTCCGTTGAACTGTGACATGTTTGACGTCTGTAATCGGACTTTGATTGTGTCGAATGGGTGTCCCACTGTGATCTTGGTCAGTCGCTGCATGGTAGACTCGATCTAACGGACGATACCTGTGAGCTTGGCGACACCACTAAAGACTCCGGCGACGAAACCTTTGTAGTTGCCAGCTGATTGTGCCTTCTGAGGCAGCTCAGTCTGACCATCGTGGTGACTACGCGTCAAGGACGCCGCGTCCGTTGCAGGTGCTGCTGACATTTGAGTCGGTGTAGGAGAGTTGTTCAAGTCCTGGAAGCTGCGACTACTCCGGGTGTGAAATTGGACAGGCTGATTATATTTCGAACATGAACAACAAAAGATGGCCAAAAACAGAAAGATGTTTCCCTGCAACATAAATTTGGGCTCGCTGACGCGGAGATAGCGCGGACTTGTGCCTGGGGAAAGACGATGACGCGTGTGAAGCTTGTCGACTCTGGCCCTGCATCGATCGGCTAAAATGTTCTTGACTTCGGGCACAATCATATGTCGTTGACTGCCGCCCCGTGAGCAGAATACCAGCACACCCTCTCTTCACAATGATTAAAGTAGGGCAACGACAAGCTGTGGTAAGGCAAAGTCATATCTCGTATGCACAAATCTAGCGTAGAGAGTCGTTGACACGAAGTATCTCGATGACATCGATCTAGGTTAAGAGAGCGTAGTGCCTCGAGACAGCTTCAAGTGCGACAGCATGACGCACACTGGGAGGGTATGTTTTACGGGTAAAACTTGAGGTCTTGTGATGAGATGCGACGTTGGATGAGGGATGAGACGATTGTGAATGGTATAGAAGATCGGGTGGAGGAGCGGAACGAAGCGGAGTTCAAGCCGGGGCCAGGTGTCAGAGCTGATGGTCTGTGCCTTCGTCGGATCCAAATGTGGCCAGGCGTGCACGATCGCGACACCAACTCTAAAGCCATCGCGTTGTCGATTGGGTAATCATGTAGCCTCAACAATTTACTCGAGAGTCCATTTGTTTTCCTCTCATTCCAGTGTCTTATCCTTAGTATTCCACGCAACAACAAACACAGCAATGGCATCGGCATCGGCAACATCATCAGAAAGAGTGGTCGACTCGGCCAAGGTGTGGACAACACTCATCACAAACACCGACTACCTCTCGGGCTTGTTGACGCTCGACTACTCGCTGAAGGCCGCTGGCAGCAAGTACCCGCTTGTCGCTCTTTACACCGACACCTTCCCAGCCGAGGGCCATGCCGCTCTCAAGTCTCGCGGGATTCCCTCCAAGCGCATCCCCTACCTGCTGCCCACCATGTCCAAGGACTACAGCAACGACCCCCGCTTCTACGACTGCTGGAGCAAGCTCGCGCCCTTCGGCCTCACCGAGTACGAGCGTGTCGTCCAACTCGACAGCGACATGCTCGTCCTGAAGAACATGGACGAGCTGATGGACATTCCTCTCGACGGCCCCGAGCTTGCTGGCCGTGGTGACCGCGTCTTTGCTGCCAGTCACGCTTGTGTCTGCAACCCTCTGAAGAAGCCACACTACCCCAAGGACTGGGTCCCTGCAAATTGCGCTTTCACCACTCAACACGACAATCCCGACGAGGCTCAGAAGACTGGCGCCTCTCCTCTCGCCGGCCTCGCTATGCCCAACGGAGGTCTTCAGGTTGTCATCCCAGGCAAAGAAGTCTACGATCTCATCCAAGACGGTCTCCAGTCCTCCGTCACCGCATCTTACGAGTTCGCCGATCAGTCCATGCTCAGCGACCTCTTCCCCGGCCGATGGGTCGCTCTGCCATACATCTACAATGCTCTCAAGACTCTGCGCTGGAAGGGTGTACACGATGCTATCTGGAGAGACGACCAAGTAAAGAATGCCCACATCTTGCTCAGCCCCAAGCCCTGGGACGAGAAGGGCGATGACAAGGGCAAGAACGACGAAACGCACAAGTGGTGGTGGAACTACAACGATCGCCGCCAGGCAGACGAGAAGAGCAGAAACATTGATGATGGTTTCTGACCTATTCACCATCTGCATGCGACGACAAAAGTACCGACCTACAATCTTGGACGATGTTTGATACCCGATTGCTGATGATCATATACTATCATTTGGAAATACACATACTCATATTTACAATCCACCTGCGCCTTTGCAACTGATACCATTTTGCCAGTCCAACAACCACTCGAAACCGATACAGAACAACCTCCAGCCCGAAGATGCCCTACTCCATTCCTTGTGTTCGTTGCGGTGCACCTTTGAGCGGTAGCACTTCCGATTATCAAAGACACATGTCGTCTCATCAGGCTGGTCCTAACAAGGCTCCCACTCTGCCTTCTATCTCCACTCATCACAGCCCTTCACCTACTGAACGTGTTCTCGACGGGATTCACCACATCCCGCCTGCTGACCCTGCTACAGGCTCTATTCCCCACAGCTCTTATCATCCTACATCCATCGGCAATTCCCCAAACCCTTCAGCCAGCGGTTCGTCTACATTCTCCTCTCCGACTCATTTCCTCCGCAATGCGCCTTCCTTGACTCTCGTCAACGCTACTATTGATAGGCCTACTACTCGTGTTGCTGAAGCTCATTTTGCTCATGCTCGCGGACGTGCTGCTAACCGTGTTGCCAAAGTCCAAGCTGCTAGGGGTCATGCTCCACGCCCATGTGCTACTCGTGCTCGTTTGGCGAGGTCTCGTGCTCGTGCTGCTCTCAATCAACACCTCACGGCCCCGCCTCCTGGAACACCTAGACCTACTCCTCCAGCCACGTCTTCCCCTCTTGCAACAGCTGTACCCGCTGCTGTTCGCGCCAAGAACAAGAGAAAGAGAAGTGAGCCTGGTACTCGACCTAAGAATAAGCGCGCTTGTGGAGAATCTGCCTATGGTGATGGTAACGCTACTCCTAGCTTCGACATTGTGGCTTTTGCTGGTCCTGTTGATCAGTTCAACTCTCTCATCATTTGCAGCTCTCCACTCACTCCTTCTCTCGTCGATCAGTTGAATTCTCTCGAGATTTGATTGGCAGCACTGCTCTTAAGCACTGGATGCTTCTCCTGCTAAGCACTGGATGCTTCTCCTGCTAAGCACTGGATGCTTCTCCTGCTAAGCACTGGATGCTTCTCCTGCTAAGCACTGGATGCTTCTCCTGCTAAGCACTGGATGCTTCATCACTCCTCCTCCTCCTCCTCCTCCTCCTCCTCCTCCTCCTCCTAAGCACTGGATGCTTCAGTAAATTTCTGATACCCGAATTCCCTACTTCTGTCCAGCGTTCCTTCGTTTTTCAAGATTTCTGTTTTGAAATTTCGGAAAGGTCTGCTATCCCCAATCCTCTTTCTCTATCCTCAGGAGTTCTGCTTTGGTTGTAACTTTCTTCTGGGTTGTGTTTGGATCTCGTATCAAAACTAACAAAATGAAAAAAAACATGTTTGTTTCCTTGATAAAAAACGACAATTCCTCATTCCATTTTTATACGTGGTCACTTTTTCCCGCCCTTTTTTCTTCTTTTTGTGATTGTTGTGATTGTTTTTTGCGTAGTGATGTTGTGTATATGTTGTCTTGATTTTCGTGTTTGGGTTTTAAAAAATAAACATGTCTAAAGGTATACGATCTTTGTTGTGAACATTGTATCGTGTCGGAGGATTGAGAAAATGTATGCAGCTCTTTAAAGAATGATCACTGTAGATGGCAAATAACTGCTTTCCTATGACAGTGGAAAACATGGTGACTGCTTTTTGTAAATGACTATCCTGTCAATTTTCTAATCCTGGGTATCTCTTCAATGGCTGTAAGAAAGGTGCAGGTACTTCCAAACAATCTGGAAGAATCTACACCAGAGGTGACGACGATGATAATGTCGGATGCACTGTGTCCACGCGTTGCAAATTTCCTGATACGTGACATTAGGACGAGCGCTGAAATGTCATGAACCTAGCCATCTTTTCTGTTAGTGACTTGAAATATCGACCATGGGACGTAAAGCAACTGCATAGTATGTGAGTCTTTTGAGCAAATTGCCTTCGTTCGGGGCAACATCGAGGACAGCCTTGAGGATCTCGATATTCCTTGGCCTTCATTTCACCTGTGCTAACGAGCTCATGGTTCTATTGACATCAAGTGACTTGAATGATAGTGAGCGATAGGTTCTGGACCCTCCTTCAGCCCCTCTCTATCGATGAAAACACCACGATCTATGCTCGAAGGCCACAACTTCCCATCTACCGATTTCTAATTGCGACCAAACATAACCCTCAGCAGCCTCAGGTGTCGGGAATGTCACATTCAAGGAAAGAGCAATTGAACATGTCTGTGCATGCAAACTTGATAGATAGATTGCTCATACCTAAATCTCAAACAAAGAAGAAGAAAAACAAATGCAACATCATGAGCGTGTTTGTATGCCATCCTGGAAGAACAATCCCTTTTCCCGCTATGCTAAATGGTTTGGAAAAACAAAAGGTGGTACAGTTAAGGAGAGTCGTGATCGTTTAGAGTCGGAATGCAGAGAAACACAGACTAGGAAACCCCAGTCTCGCAGTAACATATGTACACAGCAACAAAGGCTGGCAGATCTTTTTCTTCGTACATTTCTTTCTTCGTAAAGTGGGATGGGTCGTGCGTCTTAGAGCATGTAGGCAAGACCGAGGGCGCCACCTACAACGGCAAGAGCGCCCATTTGTGCGCGGGATCCACTGGCAGCTCCGGACTGGAGGCTGGGGTCGCCAGAGGCAGTGGGGGTGCTGCCACGATCAGATGAGGCAGTAGCAGACTGTGCACCACCAACCACGGCAAGCGAGGTGATGGTAGCGGCTTGGCCGTTGGCGAGGGTGGTTGTCATCAGGACAAGCGAGCTGATTCTACCACCACCAGGAGTGTAGGTGGTAATGAAAGTCGAACCTCTGGCATCAGTGGTAGTGATGACGGCACCACGTGTAGCACCGGAGAGAACGACGCTGGCACCGGATTGATCGGTGGTGGTCACGACGTCTGACTGGCTTGTACGGCGAGTATTGCCACTAGCCTCAGGTGCATCAACCGAAGAGACAACATCACCATTACCGTCAACAGCAATGCTGGCAACGGCTGATGTTGTCGAGACGGTTGAGCCACGCGAGTTTGTGGTGAGAACGACAACACCAGGGAAGCGAGCAGAAGTGGTTACGGTAGCACCTCTGGAGTTTGTAGTGGTGTAAGTCTGCTCGACACTGACAGATGCAGACTGCTGGAAAGCCGAAGTGGTTTCGAGCACGGTGCTTCCCTGGCTGTTAGTGCTTGACACGACGACCGGGACAAGGACGCCAGACGCAGTCGTAGCCGGAGTGGACGAAGTAGAAGCAGCGATCTGACGGGTTGCAGTAGCTGAAGACTGGACGGTACTTCCCTCAGAGTTAGTGGTGGTGATGGGCACAACAGTAGGTTCGATGGAGCTGGCTGCAAAGCTTTCGGCGGAAGAAACAGCTGCAGAGCTCTGGGAGGATGCGGCGGATGACGATTGGGTCGAGGACGCTGCTGATGAGGATGCTACAACGGATGAGCTACGGCCAGGAGAAGAAACCGCGGAAGATGAAGCAGAAGAAACATCAGAGGCAGAGAACGAAGCAGAAGACTGTGCCGCGGAGGAGGACACGGCAACAGAAGAATCAGAGGTCTGCTGGGAGGAGGCAGAACTCTGGGCGGAAGAGGAGGCCTCGGAAGATGAGGGCTGCGAGGAAGAAACAACAGTCGAGCGGGAAGAAGCAGGTACAACAGTATCCGAGAGCGACGCAGAGGAAGCAGAAGCAGACGCAGAAGAAGCGAACGAGGGGTCAGCACTGCTCTCACCTCCTGTAGTGCTCGAAGGAGCCACGGACGATTCAATGGTCGAAGAAGGGGCCGAAGTTTCGGTGGTCAACGAGACCGAAGTCGTGCTGGCGTCGGTGACAATGACAGCATCGGTGCTGGTCGAGGACGCAGCTTCAGACGAGGTGGTAGATGGGACGGCGATAACAGTTGTGTTGTCGGCACTGTTGTCCTGTCTCTTACGCAACTCCGCTCGGACTGCAACATCGTGCTTTGCAATCTCGATGAGACGCGAAGCCAGCGATGGGTTGTCCTTGTGGATATGCTCCATTGCCCTGTGGTCTGCCTCGAAGACACCGGCTTGGTACTTTCCTCCAAGGTGTCCAGACAATGCGGCGTGAATCGACTCCTCGGGCAGGTGGCCTAGCAGCTGCTTGAATCCACCAACATCTGGTGTGTTCACTTGGTATTCTGCAAAGTCGGCCAGCGCAAGGCCAGTGACCTGGAGACCAGCAACCAGGAGGGACCGGATCGAAGGCATCGTGTCAAGATACAATGCCTTTGTGTGCTGTAGAGAGAAGCTTCACAACCTTATGGGGGGGAAACGCGTTAGAAGAGGAGTTGGACAAGTGAGACAAACTCGACGGATACGTACAGGATCAGCTACTGTGTATAGGCGAATGTGTGGCTGACTATATAGCTAGTCCAAAACAAGTAGGACTTGTCTGCTGACTGAGCCGTTTCTTCGTCTTGAAGCTGCTTGTTCAACGACTGTCGTTGCAACGGCGATAAGTAAGAATTGGTTAAAGACGCCTATGAGAAGCGAATGTGAGAAGATATGTCGACGAAGACGTGTGCTGCAGGCGCGGAAGGATATGAAGGACAAAAGTTCTTGGGACGGCACACGATGGAAGCCGTCGAACCTTGAATCCTGCTCGGATCGTGGCCGACGAAGCCTCGACGAACTTGGCACCTATGACGGTCACGATCGACGGCTGGCATGCGGTTTGAACGACTCCGCGCCAACCATTCATTGGGCAGTGCAACCCAAAAATAAAGCTGTTCTCTCACCATGTGCTGACTCCTCACTGTTCGCCACCCAGCTATACCACTCTCTAACAGTATATTTACATGAAGCATAGAGTCTGAGAATGATCGCAAAAGTCAGTCCACTCCACCAACGCGTACGCCTTTTTGGCTTGAGCACGGCTACCCGTCTATCCGTCGCCCAACGCATCCGCTGGACATGACGTTAGCCGCGTCGTTTTCCTGCCGTTCGTGCAGCAAGACTTGATCCACGTCGACTGACTCTGTAAGCACTGGCTTGCAGGCCGTCTGATCCTCCACACGAAACACGCGACAAAGGATCCAAGATTCCAAGCAAGCCTTCAAGCTTTCGATCACGTACATCAGTTGGGGTTGCTCGTGCCTTGGCCTGGATCATTGACTCTCAAATCTACTCCACTTGTACGTGATGGTTTCGCTGTTGCAAGTGGGGTCTTGTCTGCATTGCCTTGGTCCATTGTTCGATGGGCATGCTGACGCGAGTACGCTTACCTCGTAAACCCCGTAAGAGACGTCTCGATGGCCGCGATCCTGTGCTGTTCGCTTCTGATTCGTACACTCTTCCTGTTACTGAATGTACACCTTTCGTCCTTTCCCAGTCATCGAATTAATAGCTCCGAGGTCCGCGGGATTTCACTCTTGGTCGAGAATACACTCTTGGTGCTTCAAATGTACTCCGAGTACCTCTATGAATAGTCCACCTTGCATGCTGTGCCCTGCAAACTTAGAAAGCAAATCGCGCATTGTCGGCCTTTGATCCCGCAACGTGTTCAGCCATTCACAAGAAAACATAGGAAGTGGATGACAACAAAGTGCTTTATGCCATGGAAGGAACCTATGAAGACTGACTGAATTAAGTAGAAAGTGTAACAATTTTTGCGCGCCGCAGAGATGAAACAGCCTGTCCTCTGCGCCTCTTTCTTCTGTCCAAGTTGAGAAATCCTTCGCACCACGACGCCGTTTCTTGCTGACTTGCAAGTGATCTATTATGACCAGGAGTTTCCGCCGATTAGACACCCATCTCTCTCGTACAGAACAACCTAAGTTTGAGTACTTGAGTTAGGATCAAATCCTTGCGTCGGCTTCGATGTGGTGCCCTCAGCAAACACTGACTCAATATTTGCTGGTTGTTGGCCAGTTTGTGCTCGCACCTCGCTGACTGCCAAGGGAGTAGGGTAGGTAGCGATGTTGTCAGATTGTCCAGGCGACTGCGGATCAACAATCGCCAAAGGTGAGGCGCCATGCACGTTGGCAGTGCTTGTCTCTGGAATCGTCCGCTGTGCTATGGGGGATCGCTGTCTTGACAGTTCGAAGCTCTTCCCTCTACTTGCCGACGCATTAAGACTTTGTCTCGAGCTGTTGTTCTCCTCTTTCAGCACTTTGATGGGCGATCTCGCCCTTCTTTCTGCTTCGCGTTCCTTGCGCTCGTTCAGCTTGCTCCTTATCCAACTCATCGGGCCCTTCTTGTTATCACTGTCCGACAACACAGATTCGGGATCAGACATTACGTGACTGTCCTGCTGGAAGCTGAGTCGCGGCTGTCCACCACTTGAGCTACTGATAGTGGACTTGCTCTGATCTGCGCTGTTCATGGTACCAATATTTGAGTTGGTGCGAGCATGATCTTGACCCTCTCGCGTCTCTGCTTGTCTTGAAAACCTCCAGCGGCGCTTTCTCTCTGGTTTCTCAGAAGATGACTGAAACTGGTCAGGATGGTCCACATCAGAGGCATCAGTGACGTCCGTAGAATGGAAGGAGTGTGCCGGCGATACTGTAGGTCTGAGTGTAGCATCTGTTTCAGTACGCTGCGGGGTCATGAACCGAGGTGATGTCTGCGCTGTGGCATATGCAGAACGATCGTGGCCGTATTCATGAGCATTTTCCACAGGTCTTGAGTCGAAGCTTGGAGTGGGTGGAGAAGCGAAATAGTCGTTGAGTGTTTCTGGTTCATCTTGCAGCGAGTGGGCAGAGCTTTGGGCACTCGAGAGGGCACTTCCAGGTATACGCTTCTTCTGCAGCTTATTAGGCTTGCGACCATCTCTTCTTTCGCTATCACTGCCACCAGGCGAAGGCTTGAGGAAGTCCAAGATGGCACGAGAAGGGGTACCTGAAGGGGAACGCGCGGCGGGATTAGATCTACGATCGCCAGGCACACTCACGTTGAGAGGTGCCGTGCTGGACTGAGTGTACTCTCTCTGTAGGAGTCCCATCGTCTCAGTACCATAGGTAGCCAGAGGAGTTGTTGCCTCGCTAGAGGACGCCGAGATAATCTCCGGCGCAGAAGGCACGGGCAAGGCAGATTGGGAAATTGAAGGAGACACAGATGCGGGTCCTGGGAATGCCATGATCGGGATGGGAGCGATGGGCGTGCGATCCTCAGAAATGGTGCTGTCAACAGGTGAGGTGGTGTCGATCACAGTTGGGAGAGGACTATAACCAGAGCCAGAACCAGGGCTAGGAGTCGGTGGCTCGGAGCTCTTCTCACGACGGAAGTGTGGAGATGTACCCGACTTTGACGGAACAGTATTGCTACGGTGAACACCTCCAGAATTGGCAGGACTTCCGAGGGTGGGCGTAACATGGCCTTGGGGGTGGGCAGAGCGCTTGGAAGCTCTTGACGAAACCGAGACATTTCTACGAAGATTACCGAACAAGCGAACACTATCCGCACCGGCACTAGCGTTGGAGGATGAGCGGCCGAGAAGGGTCTTTGATCGTGCAGGGGTCAGAGGCGATCCAGGGATTTTGGGAGAGGGAGCGCCGCTTTGAACCTCCTTGACCGTCTTCTCGTCAGCAGCGGTGCCGTGCATTCCAATCAGGAAAGAGTCCTGGTTCTCAATGAGGAAGATCAAAACATCCTGACTGAGACGGTACTCGGGAGGAGCCATATCGTGTTGGGGATGCGACAGAAGGCCAGGCTGGAAGATGGCAGCAAGGTTGGGGGTGGTCATTTTGTTGAGGTCCGACTTGGAAGCGAAGACGGCAAGGAGGTCGAGGATGTACAACAGGAGCTGACGGTTCAGAGGAGGAAGTTCGGTGATGAGGCTTTGGTAGACACGAATGGCTTTGGTGGGGTCAAAGTGGCCGATGTTGGGAGCTTGCATATCCATGGAGCCGACGGCTTGCGCTTGGTGGTTCTTGAGCGGGTCGCGGAAACGTTCGTAAAACTCGAGAGGGATGATTGGTTCGGGCAACTGGTTGAAGTATCGGCGGAGGATGTTGGCGGCATCGTGGACGGTGTAGCCGCTCCAGTCGAGGCCCTTTCCGTAGCGGTCGGGAGAATCAAACGCGTTGCGCAGCTCCTTGATGCGCTTCTCGGAGCCACTCAGACGGAAGATGCCCTCCACATCGGTAGCTGTGTCTGCGATTAGCGCATTGTGCATGGTCTGGTGTCATGGGCTTGACGTACCCTTCTCTTTCAGATAGACGCCGCATTTGGCGACGACGATAGGGACGTAGCCGTAGATGTAGCTCTGGCCTTGTTCGTTGAACAGCGAGATGGCGACATTGGCGTAACGGATGCTGGTCTGGAGAGGGATGCCGAAGATGCCTTGGGGAGCTGCGCGACAAGCAACGGATTAGCATGTGGAGTGGACGGCGTGGGATTGCGCAAACAAGCGGGCACGCTCTTACCCTTCTCTTCTTGCACTCTCTGCGGCGTGGCTCGCTTGAAGTTCTTCCACCACGACGTCAGATCGCGCTTCGACTGGACGGCCTCGGCGGAGGAAGCACTCGTCGCCGGCGCGGATGGTGCTGCCAGGGTCGCGCCTGGATGCCCGCCGGACGGCATGCTCGGCGCTGGTGTTATTTATGCAGGCCCGCCGTCTTGCTGCTTGGGTAGCTCTGGCCGGGCTGAAATCAATAGCAACCGATGTGAATGTTCGCGGAGGTTATGGTTATGTATGTACAGGAGAGCAGAGACGAGCCAACGACGACGTCGAAGCACTGACTTGGCGGCACGCTGACTTCGGCCTGATTGAGACTGCACAAGGGCGGGCGTTGACAGGGGAGAGGTGCTTGCTTGCCTGCCTGCAATGCATACATGGACAAAACATCCGGCCACCACTAACAACCCTGGTCGCTACCTCGCCAGATCACCCAACTGCAATACACACAGTAATGACGCGCCCTAGCAAAAGCAGGTTTGTACCGGCTGAATTGCTTGTCGCCGACTTTATGAGTAGATTGACTATGCTTGGCGCGCCAGCCACCCATACCGCATCGCAGACGCCAGTCCCTCTGTTTGCAGCATTCTGGAGTAGTGCTGTCCAGACTGTGGAGTAGATGCGGAGCAGATGGCTGTGGTGGTCGGGGCCTTGGACACTATATACGACTTAATCTGCCTGCTGATGACGGCTGTGTTGATTGCACGAGAGCATCTGTTTATTTATAGTCCTCTTCAACGGCCATGCCATTGGATGCTGCGCCGCTATCGTGGAAGCTGTATGGCATCACCAAACTGCTGGTCCGAGTAGCGGAAATGTTACCTGACGCATCAAGGCCACGCGAGAATGAGGTCGGTCCATCTGCAAAACATCTCCTAACAATATGCAATTGTCTCGCAACTCACAGATGGTCATGTAAATAACAATTCGAGCGGTCAAGAAGGCGGGCTTGGGGGAGCTGCATGAAAGTCGGTCGTGACGCTCGGAAAGGTCCGCACGTGCATGCGGATTGAGCTTCCCGCCGTCGGTCTTGCAGCTTCGTGACCAAGAAAGACGGAAAGAATCATTGGCGCTCTGTATTAACGACACCACTTTTTTCTTAGACAACCTACCCAATACTCACAAATTTCCACAATGGACGGGTACGCGACGCTCACATGCGCTTTGCCAGGAATCGCCTCTGACTTGTAGCATAGTCTCAACCCCAACGAGCAGCGCGAACTCGCCATGCGCATGGAGAAGAAGCAGATGACACAGTTCATGAACGTATGATCTTATCTCCACCGACCTCGCGCCAACCTTGCCATCCGCTGAACTACTCCTGCAGATGTACAGCAACCTTGTCCAGCGTTGCTTCGAGCACTGCGTCGATGACTTCACCTCGGCCAAGCTCTCATCCAAGGAGGAGGGTTGCACCATGCGCTGCGTCGACAAGTTCATCAAGGGCTCTGAGCGTCTTGGGCAGAGATTCCAGGAGCAGAACGCCGCCATGGCTCAGTCTGGAAGCCTCATGCGATAAACCCGCCATCGCAACTTTCAACTCTTCTACAACATCGACACCACCCATCACCCATATCTCAGCCACGCCGACACTGCGTCCGAGCAGTCTGTACAAAATAGAATGAAGGATTACGAACTTGAGCTGCGGTCTCAGATGACTGCGAAGATCTACTATGCTGGGTGCCAGCGAGGACACACACAGTGGTCTTGAGATACATGCTTCCTGATATGTGAAAGCACCAGGAACTTCCTTCTGGACTACCCAAAGTCACGACGAGAATCAAAACATAAATTTCTACTCATGTTCATGCTCATGCTCGTGCTCGTGCTCGTGCTCGTGATGTGCTTCTCTCTGTTTCCCTTTCCCGTGGTGCACATTATGATGGTATTACTATAATGCCGTATACCAAGTGCAGAGGTTTTGTTCGCAATCTCCCTGTGATCGCGTGAAGTGAGTTGCAGCAATTGTGCCTCAAAATTGTTCTTGACATTATTTTTGTTACGTGTGTGACGGCGATGATGCAGTCGAAGCTTTGCTCTCCACACTTTTTGCCTACGAGAGATCAGACGCCTCTCAGGCACTCGCACACCACCATACAACATCATACAACCACAATGTCTGGAAACGCCCAAGGATTGTTGCAGCCTCAGATCTTTGAGAGCTTGCAAAGGAAGATTGACGAAGAGACCGAAGTGAGAGAGGTAAACCGAATCAAACGATTTTCTACAACCACAATGCTGTATTAACATGTGCCTCAGTCCATTCGCGAGATTGTGCAGACACTCGAGAAGCAGGGTCAACATCTTTCCATCTGGCTAAAACACCGTGTACTAATATGCATCAGATCGATCGACCCAGGCTGTCCTCTCCCGTGCACATTCGTCAAGTAACAACGAGCGTCAGTGCCACTCATTTACTGACGGTATGCATTTTTGCCTAACCTCTAGCCAGTTCCTGCGGTCGTTTCTTCTGCTCAAGAGTCTATCAACAAGGAAGTCGATTCTATTGCCAAGCTCTCTGCTGCTGCATCGAAGTATCCTTACTACAAGTACAATGGCATGTGGACAAGACATGTACAAGACGCTGTAAGTTTTGCATTTTTCTCGGAGAATCCTATCTCTTCCTTGTAGAAAAGATCTAACGACTTACAGTCTTTCTCAATTTTACTGTGCGGATTCCTCGGCGGCTTCTCCAACGTTGGATCGGGATCTCAGGATGGTCGCCTCTTGACCATCGAGGAGGTTGGCCAAATCATGAACAGTGAGAAGACCAGGGTCTTGCTCACAACGAGAAATCTAACCATGAAGTAGTCCCCGTCAACGTCAAGGACAGAGACGTCTTCCACCTGACCATTGAGGAATACCTCCAGTCATTGATCTCCTTGATTGACGAGCTGGTAAGTCAGATTGGAGTTGTGTCGAAGCGCGAGTATGCTGACGTATGGCCAGGCTCGTCTTGCTCGCAACAGCGTTACTCAGGGTGACTATTCGCGTCCCGTGCACATTGCGAAGTTCATCAAGGACGTCCATGCTGGATTCCAAATCTTGAATCTCAAGAACGACTCTCTTCGCAAGAGATCTGATGGTATCAAATACCGTGTCAAGGAGGTTGAGGATGTCGTCTATGATCTCAGCCTTAGAGGCCTCACTCCCAAGGAGTAAGTGACTTAACTATCAGCTGGCTATAGTGCGGACCTCCTGGACTGTGAAAATTCCTCATAGGGTCATGCACGCGAGACCCCAAAAGTTAGCCATATACTACCAACATTACAGTGTAGAGCCTCATTCCATCTGCTTCCAACTCTTTTTGCAACGGGAAAGTATGCACGCGCCTTCACAGCGGTTCCGTTGCCTGGCAAAATATCGCTGGACTCTTATCAAAGACCATCATCTACACGACCTATGAACTACACAATCTCGCAAATAATCAATTGTTGGTTCTTGATTGTGATAAACATGCCCATGTTTCAAAGTCCCTCGGTCAAATATGAGATCTTGCCAATTGGTTGTGATTGGCCTAATCTATGTCTTCTGTCAAGCCAAGTCTTTTCTATTTATGATCAGACCCTCCCGTATTCGGCTGAAGTGAAAGGAGATGCTATGACGAAGCCAAGCAACGATCATTGCTCGTCCGTTGTTCGTGCATGCTCGTGCTCTACTGACGCACGAGGCGAGGAAGAGATTGTGCCCTAGCATTCGAGTAAATGATCTCTGCGACAGGTAGGATCTTGCATCTGGAAGACTCTCTGTTCCATGCCACATGTGGCATTTTGTAACACCTCGTCCTCCAAATCTACCAGGCTACGCTCGGCTGTAAGGACATCCGTTTTTAGGGCCAGAGCGCAATAGAATCCGGGGCCGCCGTTCTCCAAGATCAGAGTTTCGTCGTCTTTTCGCCCAGCGACGTAGAAGCTCAGAGTCAAGTGGTGTGGCTCACTCGTATTAGGGGCGAGAGAGGGCAGCTTCTGGTTTCTTTCCTTCTTTCTGTTTCATATCCATACCCCTCACGGCCCTTGTTCATGGACCCATCTTTCGTTATCTCATAGGCACATTTGTAATAATCTTCTCTCCTGGCATCAACATTGGTAATAGCAATTTCACGAAACACGGCACATACACTACGCGCACCGCCGGTCATGCGCTTCCAGACCGCCGCGCTCAGCGCTCCTCTCCTTGAGTTCGCCGCATCTCAAGACTCCTCTGGCATGGCAAATTCGGGATTCCAAACAGAACGATTACAACGACGGGAAGAGAATACGACGACCATACCACTGCCCATCAATGTGGCACCATCGCAATACTGGGACGGTGCAGACGGACCATGGTACAGCTACGCATGTTGATTTACCAGAGGGACTCAGACTGATGGCGTGACAGGTCTTCGTTTCCCCTACAAATCGGCGCACCGGCGCAGAACATCCGAGCATTCATTTCGACGAACGGATACACAACATGGGCCAACAGTCCGAAAGATTCACTGTGTCAAGATAGTACGGAAACCTCATGCAAAGATGCGCGGGGAGGGTACTTTCTAACCAATGGATCTATAACCTGGGTTCCCAACTCAATCTTTGAACTTGGACTACAGAACGAGATGAATCTAGGATTAGACTCTAATGCCAACTATGGCTTCGATACTGTCACATTAGGATGGCAAGGTCAGGGTCTGCCTACAGTAAAGCACAGCACAATTGCAAGTATGGACACCTACGATTTCTGGGTCAACATCTTTGGTATCAACCCTTTGCCGGCCAACTTTACGACCTATACGGATCCTCAGCCGAGTTTCTTGACTCAGTTGAAGAGGAACAACACAATTCCGAGTTTGAGCTGGGGTTATACTGCTGGAAACCAATATCGTAAGTGGGTGAAGCCTTGCATGGCACAGGATGCTAACGATATTAGGCTTTTCTGGTGTTTATGGAAGTCTCGTCCTCGGTGGTTACGACCAGTCGAAGTTTGAGCCCACTAACATGACAATTCCCTTTGGTGCCGACATCTCGAGGGATCTTCTGGTTGGAGTTCAGTCCATCACAACCGGAAGCGCTGGATTGTCAAACTCATCTGACGCTTTCTACGCCATGATCGATTCGACAGTTCCTTACATGTACTTGCCAGAGTCTGTCTGCACAGCTTTCGAGAATGCATTTGGACTTGTATACGACGAATTCTACGATCTGTACCTGGTTAACGATACTTTGCATGACAGCCTGAAGGCTTTGAACAAGTCCATCACACTTACTCTAGGCCAGTCAACCTCGGGAGGACAAACTGTCGACATCACCTTGCCCTACGCAGCAATGGATCTGCAAATTTCATACCCTTACGTCGCCAACGCAACACGTTACTTCCCTCTCAAACGCGGTGCGAACAGTACTCAATACACTCTGGGTCGTGCCTTCTTGCAAGAAGCGTATGTTGTAGCAGACTACGAACGCCGCAACTTCACAGTCGCTCCTTGTGCCTGGGAACAGAACGCGGCAACTGAACTGCGAACAATTTTTTCTCCAGACAGTGGATTTACTCTAGACGATGGATCTGGCAAAAGCGGTATCAGTGGAGGTGCTATCGCCGGTATCGTGATTGGTGTTCTCGCAATCATCGCGATCCTTCTCGGAGCACTATGGTTCATGCGCCGCAAGAAGCAACAAAAGAAGAGCGCAGCCGTCGAACTGGAAGCCAAATCACTCGCCGCTGCACAAAGTTCTGAACCATCGTCGCCATTCAAGGAGGATCCTCATGCAGGCGTTAGCACACCTACTGGAGGCGAATTGGACGGCTCAAGGCAAGTCCACGAGATTGCTGGTGCGAGCAAGCCCAACGCAACCGAGATGGATGCACCATGGCGAGGCGAGCTGGATGCCTCTGGTAGCCATCATGAGTTCTACGGAAAGTTACCGCAAAACACCTTTGAGATGGAGGGCAACAACGAGCCCATCTTCGAGATGGATGCCACAGCGACGCAATTGCACGAATTGGAACCTGATACAAGGCGTCAAAGCTGGGATTCTGGTGATGATAGAGGTGATGAGAAGAGGTATCTGCAGATGCAAGGATACTGATTGTAGATTCTGATTTCTGTTTTTGTTCATGATTTGGCATATGATAGTTCGTATGGCGTTGATATGATGGAGGGCTGATGCTATGTATCGCGTTATATCAAGGGATGATTTTTGTGGATATGGGAAATGGGAATCTTGATGAGATATTGTAAATAAATAGCGTACCGAATGTACATGCTCACGTCAACAATTCCTTGAGTCCCTTGTAAGCAGCTGGTGAATCGACTCCACGAGTAGCTTAGTGTTGATGTTAGGACCTAGCATACCTAATACGTGATCACAGAGCAAGGTCACAGCGATAGAAGACGGTGAAGGGGATTGTTTTGCGGAAAAGGATGAATTGCTGGGATATCTAATACGACTTCCAATGCATCCATCACATAGATTCCCTCAAAAAAGGACGGAACTTTTCTTCAACCACTTGATATTTTCATAAAAAGCGAAAAGTTTACTCGTCATCCTCCTCCTCGTTCTCGCCAACGACGTTGTAGAAGCGGAGCTCGTAGACACCCTTGGAGGTGGAGACGACGCGGAGCCAGTCACGGAGCTGCTGCTTCTTGAGGAACTTCTTTGTCAGGTACTTGAGGTAGCGACCGGAGAACTCCTGGTGGGCAACGACCTCGATCTTGCCGTCGTTGAGGTTGGTGACGGTGATGCGCTCGCCGAGGTTTCCGGTGGTACCGTCAACCTTGATGCGGGACTGGAGGAAGGTGGTGAAGGCAGAAGGGTCGAAGATCTTGTCGTTGGTGGGCTGGGAAGCGTTGATGATGAACTGTGTCGGGCAGACGTAAGTATTTCATGCGCCAATGTGCAGTGGAATTGAACATGATGGCAATCATCAGTCAGAGTCAACATACCTTCTTGGTGACCTTCTGGGACTTCTTAGCACCCTTGGTGGCGGTGGGCTTCTACATTTTTCAAATCTCAGCCTACTGTCTTCTCATGCAAGAACAGCAAAGCGGTTTTGGATTTCAATCACATACGGTGGCAGCAACCATTTTGACGGTGTTGATTTGTCGTTGGGGGGTTGGAGGGACGAGGAGTTGTAGTGGGCGCAAAGAGATGAATATCCTACGCTTGAAGAAAGGAAGAAAAGCAGGACCCGTCGCTGGTGCGCTTTCACATATCGCTTTTTCGCGCCAGAGAGGGAAAATCGGGTCTGTGCGCCGGAGGAGGTTCGCTTAGCGGCTGATCCCGAACTTGGTATTCGACTTGATCTGTTGCCAGTCGACCACCAACGACCGGACGGTCATGATGGAATCTTTTCACAAACGCTGTCACTTCTCCAGCCTCATGTCAGCGGATACCTGGAGTTCGTTCGACATCTTCACGTCGAAATGTGCATGAAAACCCGAGACCTTGAAGCTTCACTCGTTACCTTACCAGTCTCCACCAGGGAGACCAGCGAAAGCACTTCATGCTGAACTTCGGCTCTCTCATCTTCAACATGCTTCCTCGTGGATTATCTATATTTCACGGGATACTACAGCCTAATGGCTCGACACCGCAAGCCACCTGGTCTTGGTAGCGAAGAGGACACCTCCTTAGTTTTCATTGCGTATCTGGCTCGGCGCCGGATCGTAAAGAAGACTACACGCCTCTTGCAACTCGCAACCTTCGCTGCTGATAAGATGCAAGTCATGGCACTCTGCGAGAACTCGAGAGTATCCAGCTCTGTTTAGTCCTGAGGGCTGTCGAGATGCAAGCAGTCCTCAACAGGTCTCACGAGTCACGTTCGAGAGCTCCGGATCATCGAGCCCTATCAACAGACGCACGAATTGCGCAGTTTCGTTTCTTCTTTTTCTTTTCGGATAACTTGGGGACAGTAAGCAGCGATGCTTTGGTACTTCCCGGCATACAACTACAATGGAGTAGTAAAGTCAGGCCCATGTGCTGGTTGCGTGGGGAAGAACTGGTTAAACTGTGGGTCAAACTTTGTGCAAAATGCTTGCGACTTCAATCGTCGCTTTTGGCTTCTGAAGCAGCTAACCAACCAATCAGCCAACAACCAGGACAGGGAGCAACAAGGTATTTTATATTAGCTACAATTTCTTCTGTCTCTTCAATGTTCATATCATAGGGGAGAATAAGGACTCCACGTACAGACTAGCTAAGTTTTCTTGGGGATGAGCAAAAAACATGTTTGGGCACCTCCACAACTTGAATCAGCTTCAAAGCAACATTCATACAAGACCTCCATACACACTGGCATCTGCTAGGCTCTTGGATACCTGATCGATCATACAAGTAATGATCAGGATGTGCAGAGCGATCTCTTGATATGTTAGTATAAGAAAGGCAGTAGAGCATATCCAATTGTTCCCCTCAAACAGGACTGGAACATGCTGAAACTGCCTCAAGAGAGCAGCGGCTGATAGGGCATGAGTACTTGTTCCAGCACAAGAATCACTGTAATACTGCTTCACTGGTCAGGAGTGAATCTGACCCTTGAGCTTGTGCCTCTCACTTCTCATTCTCACCTTTCACTTCCAATCCTCACATCTCACTTCCAATACTCCGGTCCTTCACCCTGACCTCCCAATGGAAGCTTCCGGCCATAGTGCACAGGCCTCGCTTATGTAAGCCACTCGTCCTCCGAGCCCTATATAACCCTCCTCCTCCTTGCAACCTCTGTTCGTAATCATACTTACCTTTTTGGGAGCACAGCGATCAAGCAGGCTGGCGCTCTGAAGAGACTTCGTGCATTGCACAGCGCGCAGAAGACTCTTCATGGATGTCCTTCGGGGCCTCTACCAGAGCAATTTTTGATATCAAACACCTTGTGTGTCTCTACCTTTTCATTGAATGATTGGCTTTTCTAGCTGGTCTTTGAAGAAGAGCTTGTTTGTTGTGATGCAGTTGACTGCTGTATCGTGCCGGATGAAATGAGTATCTGGCGTTTGTTATGACCCTTAAGTCGACGAAGCTTTACGCGTCCCCTACCTGCACATATTCCAAGCACCACACGGCTATCAAGTGATGAGCAGTGAGTGCTGTCTACTTGTCTGCTGGCCAACTGATCTACACATCCTATCTCTGTGTGGATAATCGTGATATCATGTGTATTCTGCGAGGCTGCGAGGCTGCGTTCAAGCCTCGATGGTGAGCGACGTCGATGGAGGTAATCCTCACCTATTCATGGTCTTGCTCTCTTCCACGTACGTTCTGTAGCCAGGTATCTATTCTGTAGCTAGTCATCTATCGTCTACTCAAGTTTAAAAGCCATCACACGCTGCCTCAAGCATCTATCTCATGTTGCTGTAGCGTCATCGCAGCAGTCGCGACCGAGCTGCCCGCCAAAGCATCCCCACACACCACCTTCGAACCTGGCATGCTTCACGCCAGCCATGCCGTCGTCAGAGTACACATCCGCAGGCGGTGGGCTCAAGCTCAAGGGCGCGAAAAATGCCGGCATAGAAAAAAAGCGCAAGAAGAAGTCGTCCAAGTCATCAGCAGCCGTCGCAGGCGCAGCTTCGTCCAAAGACACCACGCCCGCCAGAGACGCCGTCAACCCGGAGGACACGACAGATCTGGAGCAAAGAGAAAAGAACAAGGATCAAAGTCTCATTCCAGATGATGGAAAGACGGAATATGAGAGACGACATGAAGAGACAAGACGCAAACGCGTAAGTATTCTGATACTACAAGTGGTTCTGCACGGCTTGCTGATGAGAATACAGCTCGAGGAAAAGTTGATGCGCGAAGGTGTCAAGACTCACAAAGAGCGCGTTGAAGAGCTGAACAAATACCTCTCGACTCTGAGTGAGCACCACGACATGCCTCGCATCGGCCCTGGATAACACTGTTCTTGCGCCCGCTGGCTTCTTGCCCAGCTACTTCAAACCTCGGTCGACAATTTCATCATCGACCACGGCACGCCGATGCATCAACATTCTGTCGTTCATATCGCCTCGTCTCCACGCAATAGCTCGCATGTACGCTATCCAAGCACGCAGATGCGATCGCTCGCTCATCCCACCTGGGTAGCAGTAACCAACAATGTTCATTGGATGAATTGCGCAGGATTCGAGCTCCACTCCAGAGCAGCGCGAGAAAAATAACAGAAGAGTTGGAATACAATCATCACAGCATAGGCTGGACACCACACATCGAATATCTCCTATGAGCCTGCAATTCTATTCGTCATGTTCAAGACCACCCAGAGTCTTTGTCTATTCTCCATCCCTACAACATCTGCAAGTGTGATGAGACGCAAGAGTCACGAATCTCTCACTCCACAACTGTTCGACGTAGCAGTGCCTCGAAGACGTTTTCGCTCTGAGCGCGATGGATACCTTGCGTGACCTTTTCATTTTCTCAAATGTCGCAGCTCACCCAGTCAGCGAGCTCAGAAAGTGAAATCACAAACCGTAACATCCTTGTACGTGACTCCCCTCGTGGCATGGGATTAGTATCTAACTTGAAGAGGAAGTATGCAAAGAATGACAGTTTAGACATGTTCGGAAAACCAGGCAGGTGGGGAGACCCTGACGTCAGTGAGAAGTAGCACTCCATTCGAGAGACACAATTGAAGATGATCACGAAACACAGACGGATACTTCAAGAAGGATAGAGGCTTATTATTGTGAGTGTTCAGGGAGACTAATTCATCCATGTAACAATGGGGAAATCGCTCAGGTGTTGACATCAGCATGTCCAATTTTGCCCATCCATCTTCAAGCACAAATACCAAGAGACGCATGACTCTTTGCTTGCTCGTACAAACAGTCCACGTAGGTTTGAGGTTCTCTAGTCTGCACCGTTGCTGAAGCTCCTGCCGTGACTTGCGGAGTCCGATTGCGCAACTCCAGTCCAGACTTTGGAACACCCTCGATGACTGTATCCGTCGTTGCAAGGATACCACCCCATGGCTGAGAATGCCAGATTGTGGAGTCGATGGATCCTCTTCTTGCTTCCACATGTCCGCTTTCAAGCCAAGAGTCTTGTTTCAGTACACCACTATCGTCTGAACATGCCGAGCGCGTTCGGCTCATCTTCCGAGACCTGACGCGCTGCTCCTCCGAGCGAACAGATTCGTCGTGCTTTGTGAGCAGAGGTCCAAATTCAGCATGTACCTCTCTTCGGATCCGCCCATGATCGTTACACCCTGGATAGTAGTGCTGTCGCATCCTCATAAGATCCCAATTGGCGAGCGTAAGGCCAGCAGGGAGTTTGCGGGCTGGTTGGTGTATGTCCACCAATCTAGTGAAGCCAAACACCATCGTCATACCATCTCTCTGCGCTCTGGAAGCACCATAGCGCAAGGTGATGGGTTCTGCACAGAATGCAAGATCCATGAACCAACGTTCCCCCACTTTGGTAGCTAGTGAAGCTAATGCGGTGCGGAGCATGATGAAGAACGCCTTTTCTTCGTCGTCATCAAGGGTATTCCAGTTCTGCTCCTTCAGCTTGACATGCCAGATGAGCTTCTCGGCTGTCCAGCCATTGTATCGATTGAGCCACTCCAGCTGCTGTGAGTTCATGTTGTACGGAGAGACCTGGACATCTGGCAGCTCATCTTGTCTGTCTATCGGTACAAGCACCCGGAAGCTATCCCGTATGCGAGCAAGAGCAGCGAAGCAGACAAAGTAGGTACCTTGTTTCGGAGGAGAGGGCACGCTGATTCTGTATGCAAAATTCTGTATGCGCTGCATCTGTACGCCCAAGAGACCAATCGAAATCTGCATTGTGTTTGCGATAGCGCCTTCCACTCGGCATAACGGAGCGAATCTGAAGCCGTTCGAGGTATAATGATCCAGCTCAGGAGGTGACAGTCTGCGAGTGTAGAACAGTAGTTGACCTTTCTCAAAGATTGTCGAAGGTTGAGTACCGCCGTTATCCAGGGCCTTAATACCGTTCTGATACGCTGTCAAGAGACCCGTACCCAAGACCTGATCATAGAGAGGGCCAAGACCGTCCACAAGAGGGATCTGTAGTTGTTCAGCGAGATCTGCTGCGGCCACGCAATATCCTTCTCGAAACAAGACTGTTGAGTCGTGATAGCTCTCCTCATCGTAGACGCTATTCCGACTCGATGATACTGTGTTTGTTCCCGCGTAGAGAGTCGTCCTTTGGAGATGAGCTCGCATCTTAGGAATCAGGTCGACAATACTTGCCCAGTCATTACTCACTTTCCAGATCCAGAACCAGACAGGATGGTGTATACCAAAGTGATCATCGAATTTCTAGACAAGTCAGACCTGAAAAAGAGCATGATTGATGACCCCGACTTACTTGAAGCACAAAACGTTTGGCAATTCTTTGTGAAGGTAGGGTGCCCTCATTTGTAACCATGATATTACCATGTTCGTCGAAATAGGCGCTGAATGTGGTCAGTAAAGAGAAATCGATGGGTTAAAGATCTAAAGATACCATGCTAGCATCATATGCTGAGCTCTGTTCGCAAGGACTGAATTTCGGTATCGAACGTAGAAGAGGATGGCGAGACAAGATATGGAAGCCACAAAGCACTACTGACTGTTAGCTAGCCGATCAAACATAAGATAATTCCGATGCTTACCATGGTGGCTGCCACAATTACTGGGGTGTTTCTTGCATCAGGTTCTGCTTCTGACGGTATACTCTTGAGCTGATATTGGCAACCTACGGATGCTGTAAAGTGCATCCCACAGACTCCGACTGCAAGGAGAAGCGCGCAAATACAACGCTTCCAGCAAACACTGATCCACCTTTCTTTGAAATAGAAGAACAACGCAAGAGCAACTGTCGAGTCTCCGACAGCGATAATGCAAGCGGCAACGATGTAACGTCTCGGATAGATCAATGTGTAGTTTGATGCTCCAAGATTTCCAACATAGTGCATGGAAACGATGGAAAGTCCAGCCATCAATCCACATGCAACGTCGAGGAGTCTTCGTAGGACAAAAGAACATATGTTGATCTCCGCGATCTGGAAGGCCACCGTCAAACCGAGGATTGGTAGCACGCACGATAGACCAGTATACGCAGGACTGTAGACGAGCTGTAGTCGTCTCTCGCCATTTCCTAAAGCGATTGAACGATTTCCAATAAAGTGCATACACCAAATTCCGATAAGACCCATGCTCAGCGAACAAGCGAAAAGATGTACCCTGATCCGAGTCAGCATCTGGAGAAACCACAAGAGAGATGTAGCGCACCTGCTCATGAGTGACTTGCCTAAACGTTTCCGTTGAAGCAGTTCGATTGTCAACAAGGTACCACTAAGGCTGGCAAAAAATGATGCAACGATAAAGCCTGGCATGAAGTGCCACCTTACCATGTCGCCTGGCACGTAGCGAATGACATCGTCAACAGTTTCAGGGGATAAGGCCATTGGTTGCCTGTTGTCCAGAGCGATTATTCGTGGCGGCGACATCCAAGACTATGATAGATCGAAGGCGGGTAGACCAGGCGACATGAGCTCTGGACGAGCCCCGAGGTGAATGGTTGGATGTAAGTGACCGTGGTAGGCAAGTACCGGTACTTGCACGTCAATTGTGGTGGAGATTATATCCCCAAAGAATTATAGGCTTGTCAAAGTAACACTCTCAAGGGAGCGGACAACAATCGCAGTATGGTCGATGGAAATACTCGGTATCCAAAGGAACGTAGTGCAGCTTGGACACGTTCTTAGTATGTACAAGAGCAGCGGAAACGACGGTAGCTGGGAAAGCCGAAGATTATATCGTTCGCGCAAAATCCTATGTGCCCAGGATGAAGAATTGTGCGACAAAAAGGCGCACGGTAAGTAGGTAGGGATTGATGTCGGCGGCTTCGAACCATTTGAATATTTCAGAAGGCGTTCACACCACTAGTTATTGACCGGGATGGTGCATGACGACTTTGGCGACTGCATCCTAGCGAGCCAATTGGCAAGACAAACAGAGTGACTGCACATGGAAGGTGCGTCTGCGACAGAAATTCTCAACGCGAGGAACAGTTCCCTATGCTGTGCAACTCGACGAAACATGCTAATGAATATTGCGTGAATTAGCCACCAGATGCTCATCTGGTAAACTGCTCGATTCACAACACATGTCGCAGCGATATGTCAGCTATTCTGAGCGAATAAGTGTGAATGCTGCGACCATACAGTGTCTTCAAGAACTCTCTGGCTGGGCTTGCAAAGCTCTGGTTCGCGCCGGGTTTTGGCGCGAATGAAGGCCTTGCATCGAGTGGCCCAGATGGGAGACCAAGTTCGGGAAGTGGAAGCCACAAGATGCAACTTTCGATTGCGTACAGATGATCGGCATGACAAGGGCCCCACCTTCTGCCATTTTCGGGTGCTGCAACGCCTCGAATTTAGGACCGTCCATCGAGAATATAAATGTACTCAGGTGTCAAGACTTGAAGACAGATATGTCACAAACAGAGCGCGGCTCAACATGGCTCGTCCAGAGACTTCAAGACGTCTATCATACAATGATCGTACTTATACATACATGAGATGGCAGCTGCCAAAGAGACTATTGAGCCTCGTCTTCGTACCATCCGAGATAATGAGCGAGGTATTCTCCGGTAAGGCCAAGAGTGATGGCGCCGCCAGTCATCCAGCATCCACTTCTGAACCACCACCAGCAGTTCTTTACACTGCTCAATTGAACTCTCCAAATCATGTTCGCAGTGGTGAGCAGAGCACCTCCACAAGTGCCAATGTAGAAGATCGGACCAGCCCCAATAGCAGCCCCAGCGGCAGCCAGTAACGTAGCGTGGCTAACAGCGAGACCACTGAGAACTGCCTTTGTATTCTTCTCATGACGAAGAGCGATTGACTTGATGCCGGCCTTTGCGTCATCTTTGATGTCCTGATGCGCGTAGATCATATCGTATAGGATGGTCCAAGCAATATTCGAGGCATACAGACAAGCCGCAGCAGTGAGTGCATTGTGGTTTGACAAGAGATCAACGCCCAAAGCAGGGAACCCCATAATGGCACCCCAGGAGAAAGTGAGACCAAGCACGGCTTGAGGGTAGTTGGTGATGCGCTTAGCGAGTGGGTATGTTGATACCAGCAGCAAAGAGGGCGTGGCATAGAAAAAGCACTCGAACGGGAACTGTAAGAGCACAGCCAAGCCGGTCAAGAGTTGGCAACCGGTGTAAATGATTGCAGCCTCTGGAGAAATGGCGCCACGGGCAATGGGCCTAAGCCGAGTACGAGCGACTTTAGGATCCAAGTTGCGGTCCCACAGATCATTGATGGTACATCCTGCACCGCGCATGACGAGAGCACCTGTAGCAAAAAGAGCAGAGGTAGCCAGTACTGTCGAGGGCGCGGTGATGGGTGAAGCTAGCGGAGCAGCAAGGAGCGTGCTGAAGACACAGGGAAAAAGCAGATAGTAAGTGCCCACTGGCTTGTCGATGCGGATCAATTCGGCGTATGGCACAAACGAGGCAGGCAAGTAGGAGAGGAAGCCTGAGTTCGGAGGCTCGTAGCGGACAGGCGGCGGAGTATGGTCTATATTGGCTTCATGTTGAAGTATAGAGGCGCTGTGATCAGTCGACTTGGGCGTCAATGATGTGGTTGAGGAATACGCCGTCACATAGCGTGTGTTGTGGTTTAAGAGATTCTGTCGCCTTGATGCAGGGAGGCCAGAGCAACGAGTATACAGAGAAGAAATCGGTCGAGATAAACTTGGAGGGATGGCACGCCTGATGCCCACTTGGGAGACCATCCGGGAACACAACATGACTTTAACAGTAGGAGAGCAAGAAAAAACCGGGCACCTAGCTCAACATACAAAGTCAAAGATCGGTTGACCAGAGCAGCTGCACCTACTGAATGAGTCTAGATCTGACTGGGGAAAGAGAGTGGTCAGTACCCGCTGAGACACAGATGGAAGAAAAATGAGTGGTATACAAGCAGTGAAAGGAAAAGTGGATTTGGCAAAGAGTCGTGATAATCTCGATTGGGCTCGTGAGCCGTGCACGCGTCCTCCGGCCGGCTCGAGCTGCCCCGACGACGCGTCCGCTCGGCCTCGTCAAGTCACAGTCGCAGCTTCCGTTGCAACAAACACGTCAGAAGCTTTCGTCAACTTTCTTGTCAACCCTCTCGCCTCTTGTTGACTGGCCGCGACGTGCCTTTGCTCTGGCCAAAGACGGCGCATGTACTCCAGCACCACCCCGTAGTGTGCGCAGCACAAGACCGGCAAGATGCCCGCACAGCGGCCGCGCGCTGCCTTCGAGCCTATCGCGCCCGACTTCGACATCGGCGCCCTCATCGAATCCACACCAAAGTTCTCCTATGTCAACCGCATATCGATTGACCAGATCGATGAGCAAGTTGTCGCCGCTTTCGAGAAGCTCGTGCTCCTCCATGTCATCCAGGGCGGCAAGCCTCTGGTCGTCGACGGCTTTGAGAACCGCTTGGATCCATGGACCTTTTCTCCAAAATGGCTGAACGACAATGTTGGCTCCAAGAGCGAGTGGTACTGCGGCTTGTCACTAGTCTTCTTCCGCTGACACGTTGTGCAGTCGAGCATTCAAAGAACTTGTCGACCAAGGAGTCCCTACCCCTCACCATCGGCCACTATCTTAGGAACATGAACAAGCTGAGCAGCCAGTTCTTTGAGAACACGCGCAACTACAAGGACAAGAGTCGTCAAAGAATCTATCTCAAGGACATCGACTGTCCTCAGGTCTGGCACGACAAACTCCAAGACCTGATCCCGCCTTTCCTCTTCTACCTCAACGAGAGCACCGGAGATATCGGCGGCCCAGGCGCTAATCCCTACACTCTCGGTCCTGGCCGACGCCCTGCTCGCGGCATTGCAAGAGCTGGCGACCTGATGAGCTCTCTACCTCCGGAGATGCGCGCCGAGAACCTCATGTGCTACATCGGCCACGAGGGCACCTACACCCCTTCACATCGAGAAATGTGCGCCACAATGGGTCACAACATCATGGTAGAAGCTTCAAAGGACGTCGGCGAAGACGGCAAGCCTGAGAGGCCCGGCTCATCTGTTTGGTTCATGACCGAGTCCTCGGACCGTCATCTTGTTTCCGAGTACTGGCTCTCGACTCTCGGCCACGACATCGAGGTCGAGAACCACTTTGCCCAGATCTCCGCTTGGAAGAGAGCCCCTTTCAACGTCTATGTTGTCGAACAACGTCCCGGTGATTTCATCCTGATCCCACCGCTTGCTCCCCATCAGGTATGGAATAGAGGAACACGAACCATGAAAGTTGCTTGGAACAGGACCACTTACGAAACTCTGGACATGGCTATTGGAGAAGCTCTACCAAAAGCGAAGATTGTTTGCCGAGACGAGCAATACAAAACAAAGGCCATCATCTACTACACTCTGATGCTATATTCTAACAGACTAGCATTGGCAAGATCACAGTCCGACAAGCTTTCCGCCGATGCTTCTCGTCAGCTAATGGGCAGTCCAAAGATCAAGCAGCTGGTCAAGGATTTCAGACGCCTCCTTGGCTTGTTCTTGGATGTCCTGGTGTCTGAAATGTTTGACCCTGATGGTCCTCAAGAAAAGTGCGAGTTTTTGCCCTTTGATAGCAACGTCACATGCGCTTACTGCAGATGCAACATCTTCAACCGCTTCTTGACCTGCTCAAACTGCAAGGATGCACTCGGGCACGAGGAAGACGAACCCTACGATGTGTGCTTGGATTGCTACGCCATGGGCAGATCATGCGGCTGCATCTCCAATCTCAAATGGACCGAACAATTCAAGTGGAAAGAGCTGAGTGGTAAATATGACTCTTGGCGAAAATTGAGCATCGAGCTGGATGGTGGAAATGCCGCAAAGGCCCCTCCGCCGTTAATTGAAGCTCGAAGAAGCTTACCGCACAAGACGCTGGCCGAAGTCTGCAGAGAGCAACTCAAGCGTCGCCCATTCACTGACGTCGCCAAGCCAAAGCGAGAAGACGAACAGAGTGAGGAGGATATCATTGTCGACGACGAAGGCCGCGTCAAGAAGACGGTCAAAAAGAAGCCGAAAGCTTGGTACAAGACGCACAGCCCTTGCCATGTCTGTTGTAAGAGACATCCCAACTGGAAGTCCGCCAAGTGCACCACTTGCGACAAGTGGTGGTGTTACGGGTCCCTCTATAGAGGAGCCGACACAATGCCACTGACGGTCATGCAAGACCCCAATTGGTCGTGTCCTCACTGTAAGAATGCTTGCTTTGCAGGGGCGTGTCGCAAGGACCCCAAACAGCAGCCGCAAGATCCCAAAGGTACCATGCTCGGACACGACACAAGAAGAGTGGCCGATGCCAGGAGTGTAGAGTGCCTTGTGGACTTCTCGGTCTCTAACCTCAATTGGTTGAAGGACGACGACGAAGATGTTCAGGAGAGCAACCGCATCAAGAGAGCCCGAGAAGAGGCCAAGAAAGCAAGGGAAGCAGACCCCATGTTGGACGAGGACGATCATGAGGACCAAGAAGAGGAGGTCGACATTGAGCAAAGTCATATTCGCTTCGAAAACTCGCCCGATGATCTGATGATTGATCCTCAGCTCATGGGGAACACTGTGCAGACCACTCGATCGAAGGGCAAGTCTGCGGCCTCCCTCCTACCGCCGCCAGAAGCAATGCTGAAAGGTGCAAGACCGACCACGTCCTCTCCTTTGCTACGCAATGGTCACACAAACGATGCGCCGGAAGGATATGTGCCCGCTACAACCAGCGGCTTTGTGGCCCCCCAAGCCTCGATGTATCCGTACCCTGAGGTCGAAGACAATAGCTACGCCTACCCTGATCCTTATGGTGAAGACGAGGAAGAAGATGGATACCAACCCATCTCATCGCTGCTTTCTGGCCCCACGCGCCCTAACAAGCGCAACCAAGAGGCTTACGATAACGAAGATGATGAGATCAACATGGAAGGGACTCGCACCAAAAGACGCAGGATCTCCGGAGACCCAGCCTCTGCTTTCTTCAAATCCAGGAACGAGGCCACGAAGCAATTCGAAAAGGAGAAAGAGCGTAAAGCCTTGGACGAAGCCAAAAAGGCAGGAAGATTTATTGCGGCACAAGCTGCTCTTCGCGGCAAGAAGCGTGTTGTCCGGCTTCACATATCAGGACCACGTCTCGCACAATTACTCGCTCAACAAGCTGCGAAGTCCTTCCAGCCAGTCCTGGAAACTACGGACGTGGACCAGGAGGCCTCGCCGGAGAATGTACTGGTCAGATCGGACATTGCTCCCAAGGAGAAAGCCAAGAAAAAGGCAACCCAGCACCCAAACAGGATGAAAATCAGGGTTGAACGTGACGATGACTACAGCATGAGAAGTGATCGAGTGGCGCGTACTGAAAGGCGCAAACGTACAAACAATGCAGAATACGAAGAAGTTGATGTCGAATCAGATTTCAGCTCAGGGGAGAGTGAAGTGGACGGAGCGCACAGTGGTCGCCAGCGCCAGCAGAGGAATGGCAAGCGCAGGGTCTCATCATACATCCAAAACAAACATGTGGATGACCCAGACCTTCCTGATGAGCTACCGGAAAACTACAAAGACTCGAGAAGCAGGATGGAGGGAAAGTCATCGAGCAGGCCCGGACCCACCGCGCGCGTGCGTGCAGCAGCAGCGCCTAGCCACCCTAAAGCGATACCACAGCTGGACGGTACTGCAGATCATGACGACGACGCTTCTGAGTCTGACGATGAGATCCCAGCCAAGGTAGTGAGCGATGAGGAGGAGAACCGACTTGCAAAGCTGGAAGCCCTCAAGATGGTCGAGGAGGAAGCAGCGCGCGCCCCTCCACCGATGCACCGTTCGATCTTTGACAGAGGTAACGGAAAGAAGATCAGGATCGTCTCGAAATCTACAGGCACGTCTTGAGCCGTCAGCCGCTGAGGAAGAATGAATGTGGAGTTGCGCCGAACCACTAGATGAAAGTCTATCAAAAGGAAGTAGTGGTCTTGTAGATGGGATGAATGCGTTTAGCTGTGTATAATGGGAAATGACCGTCCCTCTAGCGAATATTGAACCTATTCATCAATCACGATATCGAAGATCACCATTAGTTTGCCCTGCGTCTTGTTTATATCCGTGGCGACCCGGCCGCACTCAACCGTATTTATGGCCAAGGCAGCCGACCCTGATCCTTTACGTGAGTCTGTACTACGTACCGACAGAAAGGTAGATTTTGTGCCAAGTCAAAAGTACGACATTTGGAGCTGGAGCCGTTGTACTGACCAACGCTGATCGTGTCAGATGGTTATAGGTCAAAGGAGTATTCGTATTAAACACTATTGCGCTCGGAGGAATAGGCATCGTAAGGTGTGACAGACCGTCGGCTATTGACTTTGCATGTATCACACTCTACTCTGGTATCTCTATTCTGCAGTGGCGCCATGCCATGCCATGGCCGAATTGCGGGTGCTGGAAGCCGTTCTTTCCATGACGGCTTGGATAATACATGTTGTTTACGATGTGACACTCTGCCCTCTAGAGAGATGAGGATCGATGATGACGAGTTCAAGAAGCGATCAAAAATCTCGGCTCCAGCATATGACTCGACAAGGACTCTCCGCTATATCAATCTAGACTCGATGCGAATTCTCCACATGCTCATCTGGTCAGTGCAACAAGAATAATGATGGTTAAGTCGCATGTTTTGTAAGCTCCATCCATGTATAAGGTTTGATCTCGCACTCTCTCTCTTCGTCGATCCAAACTCTTGTAGCAAAAAGGATATATGTGTATATGTAAGCAATAATGCAATCTCTTATGCTTTTTCGTATCATCGTATCATGCCACTGGTACAGAAGTATGCAAGGCTTGTCGCTCAGGGCATGTAAACTTACTGCAAGAATGAGTTGGTAGCTCGATGAAAATATACTTTTTTTGTCAAACAGTAGATCACACATGTCATGCCATATGTCGTCTTGAACTTCCTGCACTCCATCGTCTAACGTTTTGGAGACGGGAAACGCGCGCCCAGCCCTCGAGGGGCCAAGGCCGAGCGGTTGCGAGCGGAGACAGAATCCTTCGGTGATCTGATAGTGAACCTTGTTCTTGCCCCCGGGACGTCGCTAGGATATTGCTTGCTGTCCCCTCTTTTTCCACATCAGCAGGATGCGAGTCAGAAGGAGCGGCCCAGGGCAAGGTTTCGAACAAGGTTATGAGCCATACTGTTTCCAGAGAATGGTCGAGCAGAAAGTTGAATGCGGTATAGCGTGATGGACGTGGGATGACGGTATGCTCAGCAAAGAGAGTTTGGACAAAGTGTGTTCGTCGAGACCTTCCAAGGGCACACCACGAGACGGAGGAAACTTGACATGAGGTTGACGTGAGGTTGACTCGTGGATCGGGAAAAGTAGACGACGCGACTGCCGAAGCGGTTCGTCCCGTGCCAAACACGACCTTGCACTGCTGCACAAATGTGCTGTTCGACTCTTTGATGTGTGATGATGAACCCGATGGTCGATTTTGATCGCAAGGCCAAAATCTTTAATTTTCAGCCTCACGCAAATCGTGCCCTCCCCTTCTCCACCAGAATTGATTCGCCAGCGACCGCTCAGCGTCTCGTGAAGGGGCTTGGTAGGTCTCAACACCGCACCCGAATTTGGAGTTTGAGGCTGACGTGTAACAGTCGTCGAGACCTTTGTTTCCCAGCTCCCGAATCTGCTTTCTCGCCCGTCCTGTCTGCTTTAGGGAGAAACAGCAAAACGGCTGCCTAGTTCGAGGTCTCTATTCAATTCGCAACTCGAAACCTTCTTCACACTCCATATCGACAGAATCCAAGCCCCACTTGCGCTACCTGACTCTTGCAGTGGGGAGGTTTGTGGGACAACGACAGCTAAAACAGATCAAAAGATAAATAGAGAATAAAAAAACACCAAGGATGAGGAGGGGGAATTAGCTGGTCGCTGCTCCACTCCCTACGATAAACCCGGACCCGGCTTCTTGGTCCGTCTATATCCCCTTGTTCGAGTCGAATAAAACCTTGTTACATTTTGGCAGTCGCTGCTTCCTCGAGAGTTCGTTGGCAAAACACCCAGCGTATAATCTAAAAAGGCATTGGGAAATGTAAACAAGAAAAATTTCCTACACATGACTATTTCTTTTCTGTCTCCTTGACCGCGTGAGCAAGAGCCTGCAGCAAAACAACGGCTTTTTCTCACCGACACCATATGGTCATTCTCCTTTTGCTGTCATCTGATGTAGTTATTCTCGTGTCTCCGGTCTGCTCCATCGGTTGCAGTCTGCCCTGAATGCCCTGGAACTTGGCATGCCATACGACGTCTCCACCAACAGTGGCTAGGCAGGTGTCGTCGATGTTCGATGAGAGTGAGAGGGTGGGCACGAGTCAAGTAGTCACACTATCGGATGGCGTACCGGAAGGGGAGACCCACAGCCAGCTGCAGTTCTGGACCCCTACTACTGTCCTTTCTGGTAGCAAAAGGCGTTTTTCGATGAATCGACAGAGAGTTGGAGCTCAGGTGTGTGAATGAGAGAGGTTGCGGAAAGTGTGTTACATTGGAGTCTAGTCTTTAGAATGTCGGCTTGTCTATGGACTTCTTACTCTGAAAATCATGAGAAATGTACAGACGGTAGCGCCCTGCTTGCACATGCATACTCCGTGCCACGTGATGAAGGCGACCAGGCCATTCAAAGTCGGTGATACAAGGCACACACATAAGCGCCCAGGGGATTGTCCATGGCGTCTATCCCTTGTCGTGACTGTGAACCACCGATTGAGTATATTGCAGCCTTCCAAGCATCTAGCTATGTTGGCATTCGTGGACACTGGATCGTGCAAATGCATGCGCTCGTATCCTTTTGCATCGTTCCTGTCTTGCACCTGAGTGATGCGTGTGTTCAAGCGTCGCAGGTACCGCTGGTGGTCGGTCGACCAGCGATCAGAAATGACTAGTAGCCATCGTTGCCTCCATGTTTCGTGGACATGCGCAGAGGCGACCGAGTTCTGTGACCCCAGGCAGAACGCGTATCCTTCGAGAGGAGAGTCAAGCGCGCGAAGTCATCAGCTGAACACAGAGACCATGTCTGATAGAGATTGTCGAACATGTGCCGTGATAGTGGAGACCGAGCGAGATTTCTAGGAGCCGGATCAAGAACCAATTACAAGCCCGTATGCCTGATTATTGATCATGTATGCATGACGATCCTCGGTAAGGAGAGAGCCGCATTGGACCCGGGGAGTCATCTCGCGAAGGCCACCAATCGCAGTGTTCTGCTACTTTGTGCTGGGTTAGCAACCGTGTAGCAGACGTGCATAGCCATGCAAGGGCGTGACAAGCTTACAAGTACTCTGTAGGATTCAAACTTTGTCGAATCTACGAGGAGGCGTTGTCTTGATAGCTGGACCAGAAGCGAGCGATGGCCTTCTCAGCGACAGTCGAGTCGTGATAGCGACCAACGAAGTAGTTGAAGATAGCAAACTCGTCCTTGGAAAGAACATAGCTGTTTGGACGAGACTCGAGACGGTGCCAGACCTCTGCGAGCTGCTCCTCGAGGTACTTTGCAACATAGTGATCGAGGTCACCCTCCGTGTTGCGAGCAATGTCGAGAGCACGTTGAATGTCCAACGCACCGGAGTTGTCGAGGTCCATGGAGTCGCGCTGTGACATGGATGCAGTGGAGGAGGATGAAGAGTATTGACGAGTTCGGGCTCGAGGAGAAGTGTTCGAGGCGAACATGATTGGGGAGGGCAGGGAAGCAATTTGAATAGCCATGAGAGCGATGTGTCTTGGCAAATGAAGTGATAGTCAGGTAATAGGATAATTTTTCTTTCTTTGAGATTCTGGGTTGCGGTGGAAAGACTTACGACGTGAACGAATCAGGCTGGGTCGCGGCGTGGATATCTATATACGTAAGGCCTGAGCATCCCGTGCAGCCAATGTTTAGCCTAAGAAAAAGGGAGCGAGCCTTGTGACGCCCCTGTCATGGGAAAGTTGATGTTGGAGAACAAGCTTCGAATGGCCGCTGTTGTGAGTACCATAACGTGTTTTGGACTAGGGGCGCGTGCTGCGGCGGAAGGGGCGGCGATGCCGAGAAGTGTATGCTCCACCACCATGCTTTGCGGACAGGTACACCCAGATCAGGCATTGTAACGGTCTGATGGGCGAGCCTTGTCAGAGGCAGAGATCGAAGCAGATGACCCATCGACGGCCGATACCTGGTTGCACAGTGCACCATCACCTCGACGGCCGAAGTTGTAGAAGCGCGTTGATTCTTATTGCGTTGTTTCACTGCACGAATCCTCTTACGTCTGAACATTTAGGATTCCATCCAGAATGTCATCAGGATTTATTTGGGGACTCGACAGCAAGGGAAGTCTAATAGAGTGTGGGATAGCGAGTGGGGCATGAGATGAAACCGGCTCTTCAGCGCGAAGCGAGAGTCATAATAGTAAAAGTGATAGCCGTGCAGTCGACCGACGAGTCTGGTGGTCGTACAACGGGCATATGCAAAGGATTCGAGTCAAAGAATAAACCTACACACGAACAGTCACACCTTGAACCTTTCAAACTCTGTCTTGCTGAGCAAGCAACAAACGGCAACCACTTTGCACGCCTGGAGAGAGACCCACCGAACAGTGTTCAAACTTCTTCCCGAATCCACCATGACAGCGTGACAGACAGCAGCATGAACCCTGAGATTGTCACCAACGACCCTGATGTACGTCGAGATGTTGTGGGAGAGAAGCCACGCAAATCGAGCACCGTGTTTCTCGCATGTACCGAAGTATCAAGTCGACGCCTCAAGTCGAGATGGCGTTAGGCTCGCCTCCGAATGGACGCCTTGATTGGTGGAGAAACGCATCGCCACGACTTTAATCTGAACCTTTTTACCATTTTTGTTCAAGTACTCGGAAGCTTAAAGAGAGTGAAGTCGTGGCACCTCTCGGACATTCGGTCTTGGACGTGTACATGCACGTATTTGTGTACAGTTCAACAGCTTGCGGTCACGATCAACGGCTACACGCTCCAGGAATTAGATTGACCAATACCATTTTGGACAATCGGCTTGGACATCGATATGAGAGTGTGGACCCATTCGCTTGGTTCGGTTGTTGGCTGAATTGCTGGAGCAGTTGCTTCGGACCTGTTACCGTAGCGTGGGTTCGAGTGATGACAGCAGCAGGACTCAATTCTCGCGGCATGTCACCAGGTATAAACGATATCTGTGATCTGTGGAGCCCATAATCAACACGACGACATAGGGATGTTTAATCTGGATAGCCACGGCGTCCGGTCGGCCCCCGTTTGCCATGATAAGAGATGCTATCATTCGAACGAAGTATGGCGGCATGTGCAGAAGATATCAGATGTTCGGTGGATCTCGCGTCACGGCTAGAGCCACTTGATGGGTCTCGCTCTCACGGTATCTACAAAGGCCGACCCCTACGGACGTAAGGCCTTGGAGCTATTCTCTGTGAGGAAATTGCAGGAGCCAAAATCGCTTGCAAAAAGTATGACGCGGTCTGCCCTTGGTCGCAAACATCGGTCGCAGTGTTATACTCGAGTACAAGCTGGACTGGTGTTCTCCAAAGACCAACGTGACTTGAGTGTAGCAGACGATGTCTCCACGATCTCCATGGACTTAGCGGAGTGCTTGTGCTGCATTTCTGGAGTTGCAGTTCGGCACATGTGGCATTGATGGAGGGAGTCGGTCGAGGCCGAGGTGGGGGCTAGCGCAGGAAACCTTGATCGATTTTTCGACCCCTTCGGCATCGTCATGATTCAGTAGGCAACAGCTGAGCTTCGAACCACGTCCAGAATATTTGCGAAACGGCAATAGCATCTCATCGCAAGCTATCGTCAACATGATATTACAACATCTACAACGTCAGGTCGCTAGCAGATCTACCGGCCGCATCACCGCGCATCCTTACAAGGCCGCCCAGCAGATCTGGCGACCACAACAACGAGCTCAATTCCATAGAGTCTTCGCCCAAAAGACTGCCAACACCACAAGTACTTCTGCGTGGCGACAACTACTTTCGCGATTCCGCAATCCCAACTCGCGACGATGGAACAGTTCACGACCCAACCCCGATCCCACACCACAACTCGGTAGCCCCGTACCACAACTCTCTTTCTACCAGCGTTTCAAGCAGCTCGGCAAGGAGTACGGATGGGTCGTAACTGGTGTCTACTTTGGCCTCTCTGCCCTGGATCTTCCCTTTTGCTTCTTGGCTGTGAGAGGTCTCGGAACCGATCGGGTTGCTCGCTGGGAGCATGCCATTGTTGGCACAATCAAGGATGCCGTCAAGGCCGTGATGCCCGACATTGGTTCAAAAGCCGACGAGGTTGTAGAAGAGGTTGAGACTGCTGTTGGCAGTCCTGCTGCCAGAGAGGGTAACGTATGGGGCGTCCCAGAAGCAGAGGCGCGCAACAAGGAGGAAGCATGTATGTAAAATTCTCATGCTCCTGGTAGTTCTCGTTTGCTGACATACTTGCAGCACTATGGACACAATTCGTCCTCGCCTACGCTATTCACAAATCCTTCATCTTTATCCGAGTACCGCTCGCTGTAGCCATCACACCAAAAGTCGTCAAGATCCTGAGATCTTGGGGATGGCAAGTTGGAAAGAAGAAGCTTAGATCACTCAAGTCGACCAAGCCTTGAACAAGAGTTTTACATTCGCAAAGGGAGGAAAGAAAGAGCTACCACTACTGTAGAATCAACTGTACAAAAGGAAAGACGGAGACATGCTCTCTTTTAGGATATCAGGTTGCAAGAGGAGGCACGTCGTTGTATATTATTGGGAAAAGGACGAAACAACCGTCATTTGATCACTCATATCTTTTCCCCTGGTACTATCGTGCCTGCCAGTATTGTCAATTGAGGGCTTTTCACTGGCTGCTTGACAGAAAGCTGTGAGGAAGATAACCATTGAGCGTCTGGAACCTCGTTCAAAAAGCAGGAACAAACCCAGACACGAGACCAGAATGGTAGGAGCAAGAGGGTGACACCTGCTCCACGAACTCACCCCAACCAGGCATGACCAAACAAGATCTGCTCTTTTTCGCATCTCGAATCGGAAGCAAAGAGAGCAGACCTCTGACACACTGGCTCCAAAAAGTCCTTTGCTTTTTCTCACATTGACCAGTGGATGTGATATGTTTAGTAATCTCCTCGTCTCGACGTCCGATGGTTGACTACCGTATGCCTAGCAGAACTCATATTTCATTCTTGCAGAGATTGTGTGCTTGTCCTTTTAAGGACATGAAAGTCTATCATAATTTTATGTCCTTCTACATATTCTCGGATGACTACCGGTACAAGTCACGTCCTTTGGCGCTTTCCTCTGTCTCATCACATACCCTATAAGCATATTTCTAGCCTCTACTCTTGATGTATATATGTCCATGCTCAATGAGCGCGTCTGATCCTTCTTTGGATGCAACTTCCTTGTCAGATCATCATTGCCAATATTGACTGACTGATCGGGGCGTAGATATGTATGTATTGAGTGCCGTTTGGTCTTTCAGTCCGCTCGATCTCTGCAGAACCGACTAGGGTAGAGGTAATCGTGTTGAGTGATGGCATCTCGTTCGCAGACCAATGGAAGAGAGCTAGCCACGTGGGAAGCTTCTCCCCGATAGCAGTCCGACCTTTGGAATCAACCGACAATCCAAAAAAGGCCGACGCGGTAAGCTTTGGAAAGTCGGACGAATGGACACTTGGTGTAGTCATCTGTCCCAGCTCTTCTATAACTCTTAACCAGCCAATTCTAGCATTTGAAACCGCCAGATTCTTGATTCAATATCTCAGTCGTCAAAAGATTGTGGGCGCTAGTAGACAACATCTCTTCCTTTGCCTCTTTCTATTATCGATCTCTTGCTAAGTAAATTTTGGGCATCATCGTCATATTAAACCAGTCTTGCGAAAGAACTTTTTCTTTTGTAAATGTTTCTGTCTTTCTCCAGCCTTTCCTCTCGGTCTCGTCGCGTAAGGCTCTGATAGTAATAATAGTACGAAAAGGCAAAGCAAGATTGTGGAGATCAATAAGCAGAATAACCATGGTGTGCGCGTTCCCCTTTTGCTGTTCACTTCCCACTATGCGCCACGGGTTTTTCATGAGTCCACATGTCGACTTGATTCGTCCGTTGGTTGTATGGCTGATCAGAAGTCGTGTGGTATGATGAGATGATGGCACCTTGTAGCCGAGTCTCTTCTGCTACGACTTGACCGTCAGTAGTTTGCTCGATAGGAATGTGTGTTCATTAGTAGGGAGCGTATCCTCTGCCACGGCCGCCACGGTAACCTCCACGGTAACTATAACACATTAGAATTCATATGGCACGAAGAGGGATCATGGTATTTACCCGCCGCCACGAGGAGCGAATGGAGGTGCGCCTCCTCCGAAGCCGCCACGACCGCCGCCAAAGGGAGGGCCGCCGAAGCCAGCACCGCCACGACCGCGTCCACGGCCGCGGCCACCAGCAGCGGCAGCAGCGCCTCTGGCAAGGCCGGGGAGGTTAGTGCGCTTGGGAACGACCTGGTACAATTAACGAACGGCGCAAATTGCAGCGGCAGAACACCGTGACATACCTTCAGGTTGCGGCCTCTAAACACGCTCTCATTAAGGACGATGGCGTTGGCGACAAGACTGGGCTCCTGGAACTCGACGTAGGCATAACCCTTGGGGTGACCGGTGAACTTGTCAAGCAAGATGGTGACGCGGTTGATGGGGCCAACGCTGCCGAAGTGTGCCTGGATCTCCTCAGGCGATGCGCCGTAGTCGACATTGCCGACAAAGACGGAACGCGAGTCAATGTCCTCCTTGCTCTCGCGCAGACCGTCCTGTTGCTGGTCCAAGCTGGCCTGCATCTCGCGCAGCTTCTGTGCCTCTGCTTCCATCTCTTGCACGCGCTTCTTCATTGCCGCAATTTCCTCCTCATCGTTGGTCTCGTCGTCGACGACGGGCTGCTCCTCTTCGGGTCGCGGTGGGGCCTCGGTGTCCGACATGATTGAGTTGGAGGAGTGGAAGTGGCGAAAGGGGAAGAAGGTAGCTGCGTAAGGATTCAGCATCGTGAAGCTAGAGATCGACAAAGAATCGTGTTTAGGAGGGCGACTTACATTGATGGTGGGTGGAAAGTTCAAGAGGTGCGAGGCTTGCTTGTGAAAGCGAAAGCGAAAGTGTTGATCGTCACACAGATATATCCGTACAGAGGATTTCGATCACACGCGGAATAGGTAGCGAGCTACGGACGTGATGAATGAGACAGGTTGATGAATGCTCGAGTCAAAGTGAACGATGCAACATGTCCCAAGCCACTGTCAGTCGCGACTTCCTTGCCAAGCATCCTGGAGAAACCTTATTTTTACCAGGTACAGCCTCATGCCCTTTGTCCCTTCCTCATGACGGATGCAACTTGTATCCGAGACCTGTTGCACCTCAGTACTTTTAGCCGTATCCGAGGCCATTGATCCAGAGACATTCATAGAGAGTTAGAGACATCTTTTTGCATTTAGTCTCATCGTAAGCTCATTGTTCTTCATCATGCAACTCATGTCTTGACTGTACCAAATACGTTTGCAACGATACTGATGTACAAAGCTTGCAAGACTCATGGAAGACTCACAAAGACCTCTTCTGCACAACATATCGCCTGAGCGGCCAGGTTCAACATTCAATACCGCTCGCCTACACACCCGTCGTTACCTATGTTCCAAGTTTGGTCACTACACTATTCTGCTACTGGTATCTCTCGACTGTTCTTGCATCTTCATCGAATTCGTTGTCCAGATCTTCACCTGTGAGGGAAAGATCTCCGAACCAAAAGGTCATGTTGCTCAAGAAGCAACAAGCATTATTGGCCTGATCTTCTCGTGCCTTTTTATGCTAGAATTGGTAGCAAGCATATGGGCATTCAGCTTCCAGTAAGACAATCTCGAATGTACCTATGATTGTACCATACCACTGACTATGTCACAGATACTTCCGTTCAAAGTTCCACTGTTTCGACGCTACTGTCATTGTGGCCAGCTTCATCATCGATGTTCTCCTGCGCGGTCTTCTTGAAGAGGTCGCTTCACTGGTTATTATCCTACGTCTTTGGCGCGTTATCAAAATCATGGAAGAGCTGAGTGTTGGCGCTCAAGAGCAGACGGAAGCCCTACGAGAGAAAATTGAACTGCTTGAGCAAGAAAAGTCGCAAATGGAAGAGGAGTTGGTCAGATTCAGGTTACAGACTCCAGGGTCTCATGCTTGATATTCGTAAAAGATGACGATGTAAATGAAGAAGAGATCTTGGCTCTGCCCGGCTGGTCTGCCAGTCGCTGACACTCCATGACTCCTCGCTAAGTTGAAATGCCTCATGTTATCATGTTTCGTGATCCATTTGTTCCTCCTCTTTCAATATTTATGTTGATTTCACATGCCCATACGAGCATCACGGTTGTACGATCGCTCCGCTGGCCACAAGCTTCCCAGCATGGAGGGTTCGACACGATTGTATTCTTCTTCTTGGTTCGGTATCGGTACGACATCACGAATGATCCTCATTGGGTTGCCGGCGACGACTTTGCCAGGCTGGATGTTCTACGAGTTGATTAGCGGAAGCTAAGAAGGTGGCGGATGATCGGCTCGTAAACTCACACTGCTGACGACGGTACCAGGCTCGACAACGCATTCTCTTCCAATGATCACATTTGGCATGATCACGACGTCGCCACCAATAAAACAATCCTCCTCGATCATAATCTTGCCTCCACGCAACTTGCCGTCACTTCCGTTCCGCACTCTTGCGTCGAGCCTTGTGTCTGGTCCAAGTCCATAGAATTTAACGTTTGGGCCAACGATTGTGCCACGCCCAATGGTGATAGCGCAAGGGTCATACATGACACAGCCAGCCTGTATGACGACGTTGTCGGCGATATGTATGTTGTATCCGTACTCGCACTTGAATGGTGCTTCGATCAAAATCTTGGAACCAATAGTACCGATGGGATGGTTGCGCGAGTCTGCCTGGTGCAGCAGACGATCTGGCTGGAGGATCTGTCGAAATAGTCGCATGCGTCCGTCCATGTCGATATCGAAGGATGGCTTTGAGGCTTTGTTGTATCTCTCGATCGCTAGCCGACACCATGCTCGATCGCTCAAAAGTTCTGGATCAGTAAAGTGGCGGTAGTCTCTCCCGTTGAGCATGTTGTCTTTTTCGCTGGGACCAGAGGAATGATATACCCCTGGAGGCGGGTTCATGGCAAGACGAGTTGCCAATATTGCTCTAGGCGTGTCAAAGGCACTGCCCAAGCTGGTAGTCCCTGCGCCACTGCTGTGCGACAAGCTACCGCCGTTGGTCTCGGTCATAATGCTAGGCGCCGACATCCCAAATCGGGAGGATGAGGGAGGCGCGCGAGGCTTGTCAGGGTGGTTGGACCGAGAAAAGCGATCAGATGGGAAAGGTGATTCATGTTCTGGCGGCGCGATGGTCCGGGGCCCATTGTTTGGCGTGTAACGAATGTTGTCACTGAAAGGTTGAGGACGAGCATCGTAGGAGAAGCGTCGCTGTGCTTCAAGCCAGTGTTCAGCCGCAGCGCCTGGCGCCCTGCTAGAAATGTGAGATGTGACAACATGCCGAACACATAGACGACTTACGATTGTCGATGAGCAGGGAACGCATGCCCTTCGACCGATTTGGCTTGCAACGGAACTGTTTTGGATGGAAGCTTGACATTCAACTCGTGTTTGGGGCCATAGCCTTCGCATGGAAATCCTCCACGTGTACAATTCGTACATTGTGGTTTCGCTTCGTCACACTTCTTCTTGCGTCGGCGGCAAGTGCTAGAGACATAGATTTTAGTATAATTTTGGACAACTTCAGTGGTCTCACGTACTGGCAACCCGTCTTGGTCCTTTGCGAGAAGCGCCTTCTTTGGGCAGGCCCTTTCCGCCCACTGAGCGAGTCGTTCTGCATTTCTGATTCTTGTTCGCTCTGCATGTCAGCTTCCATCTGGGGACTGTCGCTTCCATCATGTTGATCGTGGCGAGTTTGAAGCATGTGCGAATCTCGTCGCATAGCATCTTCAAGTTGCATCTCTGTTTGGCCTGGGCTAAGTCGCTGCTGGCGCCAACTTGGCACTTGGTCTCTGCTTGTCGGAGTTAGTCGACGTTCGAGCTACCGAGAAGGAAATCTTACAGCGCATGCTGTGGTTCGCCTTCTTGAAGCTGCATCAGTGGTGGCAGACTCCGTGTGGGTGACCTCGTCTTGATCGGTTGCTGGAAGGTATCTTCGCGTTGAGGAGGCGGCGAGGCGAACTCGGGAGAAGTGTTAAAGGCTTCACCAGACCTTTTACGCTTTCCTGCGCGTGTGGATTGGTTCGCAGGAGAGCGGAAAGGCGGGTCTTCGTGAAATATCGGTCTGTTATCCTCGGAATCAACAAACAGAGGTTTCTGTTTCCGTTCTAATGGAGGTGCTTGTCCAGGAAGGGCTTGATGTTGATGAGGAATTACAAGGGCCGAAGGGTCTGGTCGAAACGAGGTGGTCTGAGAAGGGCTGGCAGCGCCCTTGTTGCCGTTGACGGTGGTGAACTTGACTGCTGCCGAGCTCTCTTCAGCCCCTCTGCCCATTCCAGAGTCTTCGGCTTCGAAAGATGGCTTGACGGCAGCCATGAACATTCAAAAGTAGTCTTGAAAAGTCTTGCACCTGACTGTATGTCTCTCGAGTCCCTTGACTCGTACTCGTACGGTAGGTCAAGACAGTTGTGTTCGCTTTGAAACGGACCCGCTAGTCCATGCGGTCGCCCAGTCTCTCGGGTCGAGTTGGTGTAGAATGGTCTTCAGATGGGACTGTTAGGGAACGAGGTCAGAAAGGCCTCGCGCGCGCGGAAGAATGGAAACAAAAACAAGAGAAGCGAGGGTATTGACTTTAGAGCGTATGCAGCGCCTGTCAGAGCCGGTCGCTTGCGGCTAAGAGACGTGTGACAGCAAATGCGCATGCACTCTGGAGAGCAAGTAAGCAAAACGAAATAGACGAACAAGCGGGAGAAGACAAGAAAAGCATCACAACGAGCATGCACGCAACGCGAACAGACAGCGATGGCTTGGCCAAATTGAACGAACAGAACAGCAAAGAGCAATAAGTTAGGTACCGCCTCTGCTTTTCGTGGAGCGCGGCTGCTTCCAAAATCACGCGAATCATAACCGCTCCGCTTGCAAGGGTCGTACGGCGCGTTTCGATAGGCCACTCGGACACTCAACTTCATGCAATTTTTACGCCTGCCGCTGCGAACAGGTAAGGGATACTCCAGTGTGTTTGATCCATCGGTAGCGCCTCGACGCTCCTAGTATAGCTGGCTTACGGCTCTTGCAGCGCAGTGGCCTGTCCTTCGTTATGTTCGAGGCGGCGGCCTGGGGATCTGTCATGCATAACTACCGAGCTCGCAAGCGCGCGCACTAGGAGGATTGATGCATAAGTACCCGCTTGAGACCCCCGCGCGTTACATCCACCAGAGCGCTGAGCGGCAGCTGCATCTTCCAGAGGTCAGGAAGAGTTGTACAATCGCAATCGTGGAAACACTCCGTTTTCGGGCGTATTCAAAGCGCTCTGTCTAGATGTCGGTATCCGGTCGTCGATGTGCGTCGGGTTGGTGTCGCGACGAGTAGAGCGGCTACAGCGCGAATGTCGCGAGGCTGTACTGTAGTGACTTTTGGACATGTCACTCATGAAGTGTAGTTCTATTTTGGATTTGATATCTCAGGCCAATCTCCAAGACCCGACAATGGTTCGTCATGCGCGGGCTCTAAGGCGGACCGTTGCGAGCGTACCAGACTTTGCTATGGCACGGTGAACTTTTCTTGTCCTCTAGACGCATCAAAAGATGGAGGCTTCCTCAATCGCATTGCAATTCAATCATGGCTCAACACACCATTCCCCTTCAATTTTGCCTATGGTTTCTCCTGACACATACCGTTGGCAAAGCGACGCGATCGGCTAGAGCTTACGTCCGAGAGTCGCATATTATGATCTGCTTGTGTCGCAAAAGTTGGCACAAGGGGGGTTGAGCTGAAGCTTGATCACTTCTGGCGACTGAGGCATTGCCATTTATTCTCGGACGACCCGACAGAGTGGTTTTCTATCAATGGATAGGCGATCACACGGTCACAGCCCTGCAACACTGACCGCGTGATGTGTCAAAGCGAAATGTGTTGCAGTATGCACTTAATTGCGGCAGGAGAAGGTAGCATGCCGTTCACGTGAGATACCACACTCACAGGAGGACTCATGACAAGCTTGAGACAGGAGGGGTATTTCCAGAAACACAATCGTCTTCCAGTCATTGTGCGATGTTAGTCCAAGGTAGCAGACACAGAAGCTCGCCCGTAAAAACTCTGTTCAATGACTCCCTCGACGATTTTGCTGGTGAAGTAGAGAACACGCATGTGGCTTCGGCTTTGGTTCTTCCAAGAATGGCTATGTGATGAGCAATTGTCGATGGCGGGTCACCAAACGTCCAAGAGTAACACCTGCTAACTCAAAAGAAGTGCCGAATGGCTCTGGAGCGGATGAGCACAACATAGACAGAGCGGGTGCACTGTAAAGGCACATTGATGTTTGCAATAAGATGTCGAGGACATGACCCTGGTTGTCTACGGACACAGGACTTTCGACGCTCGGACCACTCAAAAAGGCAAGCCCGATCAATCGTATACCAGAATATCAAAGTCCAAGATTCCATAGGTCCGTGTTTACACACCACACACCACACACAATGCCGCCATTCGCCTTTGCCTCGCCACTGGCGCTATCACAGCCGACTCTCCTCCCCCTCACCTTCACACGAACGATCAAGACGCTCAACCCGAAAATCAAGCCCTCAAGATTCAATGCCGGATTCGACCTGCCCGTACTGGGCGCCTCCAAGACGGCCGCCCTCGAGCGCAAGACATATACCCTACCCCCTCGCACCGGAGCTCTCGCAATCAAAAAGGGCATGACCGCCCTCTACGACCCCGAAACCGCAAAGCGCACACCTTGCACAGTCCTCCAACTCGACCGCGTCCAAGTCGTCTCACACAAGACCCGTCAAAAGCACGGCTACTGGGCCGTCCAGATTGGCGCCGGCGTCAAGGAGCCCAGGAATGTGACACGGCCTGAGAGAGGCCACTTTGCCGCCAACAAGGTCGGTCTTAGCCGCCACCTCCACGAGTTCCGCGTCAAGGATGAGGCTGGCTTGCCAGAGGTTGGCTCCGTCATCGGTGCGGATTGGTTCCAGGAGGGTCAGTTCATCGATGCAAAGGCGAATTGCAGGGGTATGGGTTTTGCTGGTGGTATGAAGAGATGGGGCTTCCACGGTCAACCTGCCAGTCACGGTCAGTCCTTGACTCACAGGACAATGGGTAGTTCCGGTGCCTCGCAGGGTAGTGGTAGCAGAGTCTTGCCTGGCAAGAAGATGGCCGGAAACATGGGTGGTCAGCAAGTCACTGTCCAGAACCTCCGTGTCCTGAAGGTTGATGCTGCCAATGGAATTGTCGTTGTGAATGGTGAGTTTCGTATCGTCTTTCGTTGCGTGTCGATTGCTAACATGGCTGCAGGATGTGTTGCTGGCCCCAAGGGTGCTCTCGTCAAGATCCAAGACGCTCTGAAGAAGCCGTGGCCTGAGGTTTCTGCCGCAGCAGCTGTGGATGCGGCTGCTGAGCCAGTCCAGGCTACTGCCTAAGACGACTTTTGCAAGATACCATTTTCAACAAGCACGATTTCTGGATGGCAAGGCGCACTGTAAATTATGTAACTCTATCAAAGGTTCAAGGGCTAGCATTCCCTACTCTTCTGCTACCATAAATCACCAGGCCGAACCCCAGTCATCTTCCTCTTCCTCCTTCGCCGCAGGCTTTGTTGGCTTACTAGGTATTGCCTTTGCTGCTGGCTTTGCTCTAGTCGTGACCGTTGCAGATGTTGTTCTAGATACGCTTGGCTTCGTTGCCGGAGCAGTTACCGGTTTACTCTTTGTGAGACCCTTGGGTAGAGGGTTCTTCGCTTTCGTCTTGGCCTGCGCTTGTGCGTTTAGCCATCCTTCAAAGTCGGGCTCGCCACCGTCGTCAAATGATACAATCGAGGCCTTGACAGGCGCGGCGTTTGGCGCACTGTCTGCAATCTCGCCCCACGCATCGGCAGCAGCATCATCGTCCATTGCACCCCAGTCATCGCCAAAGTCTTCCTGATCGACATCAGACAACGTAGGAGTAGCATTACGCAGACCGGATAAAACTCTGGGTACAGTCGGTGCAGATGGAGAAAATGTTGGAGTAGGGCGAGTGCGACCGGCAGCAAGGGACTCAGCAGCCGCTGAACTTTGATTCGCTGGTGGTGTGGATGATGATCGATCCGAGCCGAATGTGGCTGCAGCACTATTGGTGAGCTGCATTTCACCACTTGCTGTTGCCAACTTATTGGTAAAGGACGAGATTGCCCATCCAGCCCAACCTGATCCTGAGCCTCCTGGTTGCGGAGTGCTCATACGTGGTGCATTCGAGCCGGCGGCCTCTGGCGGTGGCAGCACGCTGTCTGGAAGGGTTTCGCCATACTTGCGAATACGTTGGAGATACATGTCCAATGTCTTGTTTGCTTGGTCTCGAACGATCCTGCTTTGTGTTAGCATATGGCAATGAACACAGAAACGCTGGCACCTACTTCTCTTTATCCACAAGAGATGGACAGATCGCTGGGAGCAGTTTGTTTGCACAATCATCTTCCGTAAACAGATCAGCCGTTGCTGACAAGGCCAGAAGCGCTGCATTGCGAGCGTGCACAAAGGGATCTCTGAGAGATCTTGAGAACGCAGCGACTAGAACTTTGGTGCGCGACTACGATACAGTTAGACAGTCCCTGAGACGAGTAGTGCAGTACTTACACTAGTGCCAAGGTTCTTCGCGATCTTCCCAAGACAGATGGTTGTGTTGGTTCGAATGCCTGGTTGCTCGTCATTGGCAGTCTTGGCTAGATATCTCAAAAGCTCGCCATTAATTATGCGATCTGATAATTTGGGGACAACTACCAAGACTGCCTTGACAGTCTGTTCCCTAACGAGTGGAGCTAGATCTGTGAAGCCGGTCACCTAAAGACGTGTTAGTGACTGGCTGACTCTATGTTTTTCCTTTCTCTCGAGAGTTTACCATCTGTGGATAGATGCCATTCGTGACAATCTTTTGGGGCATATGATCAATCATGTGAGGAAGGTTATCGAGAAGGCACACGCGCAGTGCGCGATCGGGACTACTAAAGAGCCTCACAACTACCGGCGTGATAGTCGCCTCATACTCTTCGTCGGAAAGCTTCTTTCCTATGCGCATGACAAGGGATAAGACCTTGGGACCTCCGCCACCAAATTCGAGTGATTTGAGCAATTCGGGCAGCACTTTGACTTTGAAGAAATCTTCCGGAAAGTCGTCTGCTTCCGCAACAGCCTCAAGTTCGCTAGTAAAGAGTCAGAAAAGGCCACTGAGCGTCAAGTCGATCACTCGAGTACACTTACCGAATGAAATCTTCGCGCTCTGTTTCAGTCTTCAAGCCCAGATTGTCGATACCATCAGTCAGCTGTATGAGCGGCGTGTCGAAGAAGGAACCAGATTTCCTTCCTTGCTCTACGAAATGAGCAACACTGAGTCTTGTCTTGGGATTGGCATGGGCCAAGCGCTTGTAAGAAGCGTGCATGTTGACAGGAATGCCTTTGGTTTGGCCGACCTGTTCACTCCCTGAGAAGCTGCCGTTGAAGACCTCGATGACAAGAATAGCGAAATCGTATGAGTCGACTGCAGACACGGGGTTGTTCTTGATGCTATCCCAGCCACCTTTGGCGACCTCTGGTGGGGCATAGCGTCCCGAATCGGGGGTGAGACTTCCGTATGTCTGTTGGCCAGAGTCAGTTTCTGGTGACTTTAGAGGCTTCGGTAGTACGAACGTAGATGACGGCTTCCTCTTCTTTCATAGAGCTCAAGACATCCAGGCCGCCAAGCTTCCATTCTCCACTCTCGGTAGTAAAGACCGACGAAGTACGGACGCATCCATGGACGGAAGTGGCTTCCTCGTTGATGAAGGCAAGCGTTTTCTGCGAGACGTTGTCAGCAGTTGACAAGGAGCACGAGATACGTGGTTGCTCACAGCAACATTGTGTAGTCCCCATTTGATGCTCTCCTCGGAGACAGCCTTCCTCTTTGTTTTCCAGCCCAGAGGGGTCACACGTTCAGTGGCGATATAGATGTAGGTGTCTGTCTGCCTTGTTGTCGGATAAGCGCAAGCCAAGCGAAGCGGATTTCGGGAGTGACTACCTCAACAGTGTCCAAGACCTTTATTACTCCAGGGTGTCGAAGGGTACGGAACTTGCGCAGTGCGTTCTTTGCGAGAGGGAGGCGGGACTTGTTCGCCGTCACGTCAAAGGAGAAGATGCTGCATCGAGAGCCGTCTTCCTATACTGATGTCAGAGAAGGAGACTGTAGAGAGGGACGTAACAAGTTACCCTCTTGGTGCCATTGTGGAGAGTCCAGATAGACTGGTCGATGTCGACTCTCTCTCCGAACGAATAGGGGAATGCGGGACCCTTGGAGATGGCGGATGCAACAGCCGACTTGAGAAAGTCCATGTGTGTTGATTACCCAGTCGTCAGAGTCGTGATGTCTTCTATCTTTGTTGTCATGTTGCTGCCACCGTCGCTTCCCTCATTGGTACTGCCTACCGCTTATCGATAAGCTCGGCCCACCTTCCCCGTCCCAGCCCATCAGCCTGCCACTTCTACACGTTTGATGCATCTCGTCGCCCGACGAAATCTGTCTCTTGATCACCCATGCGCGCGATGTGATGAGTCGCTGTATCTCGTATGCCACCCGGTTAGGCATCGAGTCGCCAAACACAGCCTTGTCCCAGGAAGTATGTTCAATCATTTCCCAGACACTCTTTCCTCACAAACACAAAGAATGATGATCACCATGGTAAAAGGTCATATTGCCTGGTACTGAGCCGAGTCTGACTGGACTGTATCTTTGCTGCGGTCAAACATGCTTGGAGTCTCGAACAGTCATGTCTCTGAGGACTCAAGCCTAAACAAGACCTGCTCCATAGCATGTGTTTGAAAGCAACGAGTATATCAACACATTCCGGCTTTGGAGTTGTTACGCATCTCATCTGGCCAACAACGAACGGCGCTGGCAGACAAATCAATATCAACCTCAAAGAGCTTGGCGCGGGAGCTTGTATTGTTTTGCATCCCTCAAGCTTTCACGGACCATCAGTGCAACTCGGTACCTTATAAGGGCGACATGATGTCTTAACAAAATTCACAAGAACTGACGCACAGCCATCCTGTCACTGTACTGTCACTTCTGAAAGTATTTTTCACTTGCTAATCCGCGACAGTCGCCGAAGCAGATCGGTCCTCGACAAGCAATGCAACCTTCTACACCGTCGGTCACATCGGCCACCATGCGGCCTCCACTCTCGAAGTCGTCTTTAGATGGCAGAAAGCACAAACTCTCTCCAAAGCGTGGTCAGACGCCTTCCGAACGGTCGTCGACAAGTTCGCGAAGCAAGCAAGACGCGTGCTTCATCTGTACTAAGCACTCTGCTTACGATACTACCAGTCTTGTCACCTGTTGTCACTGCAAGCGGAAGTACCACAGAGGCTGTTGCAAACCTGCAGTTCCAAGAACAACACCCCTTGATTGGACGTGCCATCTCTGCGAACCCAAGACCACAGATTCCATGCAGCCGGCCACAAAGAAGCGCAAGATTGCCAGTTCCTCCTCCTTTGCTGCCGCTGGTAGTGGCTTTGTAGAACGTCCGAATACTGGTCCTAGAGAGATCCCGGAATCACCTCAGGAGATGTCTGCTGTCACAATTGCAAAGTCGACGCATCCGCAACCACGCCAACGTTTTGGCCACCATCCAGCTCTCGAGCAAGAACAAAAGCTCGCCAATCCCTTTGAGCAGAATCGTTTCATCCAGCGTCCAAGAATCGATTTTTTGCCCTCAGAAAAAACTGGCCAAACGCCGGTTGAGCCCACGAAGCCTGCATCCAAAGTCGAGCCGAGAGGACAGCAACACCAAACACCAGATTCAATTTCGCGACCCGAATCCTCATCACAGACATCTAAGAAGAAGAAGACTAAATCGAAGAAGCACTCTGGAAAGTACGAAGATCTGATTGGTATGGCACTGCATGCGGCGCCAGACCATTGTTTGAACGTGGAAGAGGTCTGCAACTGGATCGCCCAAAATGTTCCCGGCTACAAATCCAAGGATGCAGGATGGAGAGATGGAGTTTGGGTCACGCTGGCAGTGACCAAAAACTTTGTGAAACAAGGAAACGGACCTTGGACGTTTGCCGTGGGCACCGGCGAGGAGTACAAGGCGCAGAATCAGTCAAAAGCTCTCCCGTCTACCGCCGGTCTCTCTTCACAGGACATACACCTCGACCGGGCCAAGCAAGGGGATGATCAGAGGGTAAGAAGCGCCGAGACCTGTGATCCAGCACATGGCCTTATAAAACATGACCCCGAAGCCCCGGCAATACAGAGTGGCCACGACTCCACGGAAAGGTTCGTTCGTGCAGACAGCGAGACCATCTCGACATTTCCCTCTACGATCGACGAGACGTTAGACATTATCGACCTCACCGTGGAAGACGACCAGCAAGCACGTCTGATGGCACCACCCAAGAGCTCAGTTGAGCTAGCTGCAGAACAGCCTGTCTCTATCACCCCTTCAACAGCAGACAAAGTAGCACAACGATCGGAGTCGCGGACGAGTTTTTCCGGTTTTGGCGAATCTACTTGGGCAACAAGGACAAGCCTTCCACCATATCGAAACTCGGAGACGCCATTGACTGATCACCTACTGGGCAATATCTCTACGGGAAAGATGACAGTCCTTTCTCGAACCGAAAAATGGAAAGCTGCCACCAGACATGTTAACAACCTGCTTAAGCCTCCTCTCAAGGCACCAGAGTCGACCAATGTAGCTCGTGAATTCACCCGAGGACCTTCTAGTGAGACTCCTAAACCAGTCATCACGAACTCCCGGGCTCTGTTTCTACCACCAGTCATTTCGCCCGCAAGGAGTAATTTCCGCCACGGCTCAAAACAGGCAGAGATCCCCATCGAGTCGGTGTCGCATAACTCTGACATGGAGATGCAAGGTGTCGAACCGCAGCACTCGACACTGAGATCTCCTGATGTTGCTGGACGGCCAAACACTGCTGATCTGCATAAAACAGCCCCAGTGGCCTCTGTGCAAGTCATGGCAACAGCCTCTAACCATTCAGAACAGCGCGATGAGCCAAATCTGTCCGGACCCGGTCACCTAAAGGACGCTCGAAAGTCGACTGAGGAAGTCACACTCGGTGATACGACACATGTTGTGCAATGTAAAGACCACATACCTCAAGGACCACTGCTCCAGAAGTCTCTTTCGGAGCGGCCGCTTCTTGAAGAGCTGCAGCTTAATCGCCCTGAACCACAGGAGCCCTCACCGCAGAGATCTCTTTCTGACGAGTCACTGCCAGATGCGCCCATAGAAGAACGACCGTCTCCAAAGTTATACGCGGACTGTGCTATCCAGACTGATTCTCCAGTGACTTCTGTTCTGGCACTAGCCAAGGTCTCACAGATCAGTCTCGAGCCACGAGCGCCCGTAGAAGTGGAGCCTATCACTGTGAAAACGACTGTAGACTCTACCACTCAGACTGACCGTGAGCTCCAAGTAGCGCTTCAGAATCAGGTGTCGCCACCAGAGGTACAAGCAACTGCAGGGGTGGAGGAAGCCGCTGCTCCATCATCTCCAACGACCAATGGTCACGATCCTGAAGTCGAATTTGACAAAGAACGCCTAGCCCTCTTGGAAGAAATGATGTACCCAACCAAACCATCCACACCACGATGGCCTACCCACCTCAAAGCCACTCTATCAAAACCATCCCCTTCGTCTCCTGCAGAAGCCTCTCTAGACGAGATCCGCGCCCGTCCAACCCGCAAACAGATATTCGGTAAAGTCGGATTATCACGTCTCGCCAACAACGATGCCATCACGCAACTCAATGCCATAAAACTAGGCTCCCAAAATATCGGAAATGTCAACATCCATAAAGGATACACTGAAGAGGAAGTGCAGGAAGAGAAACGACTGAATGAACCAGAAGGGTTTTACAACACGATGGAGGAGATGCTTAATATGCCTCCGACGGTTGTGCCGTTTATTCATGATCAGCAGTTGGCGTTTAGGGATTTTGCTCCGGTGAGTTTTGTGGTGAGAAAGTTGTGTTTAGGGGTGAATGTGCTGACTTTCCGTACAGAATGCTCAAGGCAAGGTTGGAAGACCGAGACAGATTTATAGGCTTGGACCTAATGCGAGATGATGAGGTTTGATCACGCGCGATCGATCGCTACTAGGCTTCGAGCTATCGATGGCATTGCTTTTAGTTACTAGCAAAATGGCTGTAAGGCAAGCAATTCCTTGTGGCATGCCTCGAATGAGAGGTGACATGATCACGAGAATCAAGAGGGCGTGGAACATGAGTTTTCATAACATATCTAAGTCATCCCAATCGTCTAGCTCAAGTATACCTTCTTCAAACAGCCTGGGAGATGTATCGTATACCAGACTGGTGACGAGACTTTGATCATCGTGAGCAGCCGGCTCATCATATGAGCAATCAAGCATGTCATCGTCAACTCGACCCCGATCTAACCCTGCATCTGTGAACAAATCTTCCCACTCGTCGCCATATCCGACCTCAAGCAAGTCTAGATCAACCGCTAAGTCGTCAGGCTCAAGACAAGCACTAGCTTGTGGGACGGAGAGAAGTTCGGGATCATTTGCAAAGTCCAAGATACTATCGATATCCTCCCCATGTGCAGGAGCCGGCAGTTTTGAATCACTGATTTTGATCGACTTGAGAGCCTTGCCAGCAGTCGGATCACGAAGACGACGCTGCATGAGTTGCCAGAGTCGGATACTGACAGCTTTTTGAATAATTGGCGGTTCGGGACACTGGTTGTTGATGACGGTAACACTTTCTTGTCGAGCCATCTCTTTTAGCTTCTCTCTCAGTGAAGTAGAGTGCGCTCGTCGCTGAACCGAGTGAGAGACGGCGTGGCTGATTGTTGGCAGAAAGACTGCTCGTGTAGCAAGAGCCTATATGGGTTCATCAGTATGAGCCTGAGCAAAACCGTTTCTCATTGAGTCTACCTCGATGTGGCCTAGGCTCCACATGGCAGGACATACGTAATCAAGATGTTTGAACGATGATCTCTCAGTGATCTTCATGCCCGAAAGTGCTTTCGGAGGCAGACTAGTGATTGCAAGTCGAAGTGCGGCATCTATCAGATCAACACAGTGTTTAGCATCGTCCGTTGAGGATGACACACAAGTCGCTTGAGCTTCGGGCAGTGTTGAACACTCGAGCAGCATAGCGTCCTTATTGATTGGTGGAGGTCGAGAGGGTGTTTGAATGTCAAACCTGAGGCGAACTTGGTCCAAAATCCAATGTGGCAGTCCATCTGGAGGTTTGAGGTGACTGATCGGGACGTCCTTACCCAGGCGATGGATCGAGGCCTTCTTGTTTGAAGAAGGCTGGGAGATAGAGGTCAATGACAAGACTATACGAAGCGAGGTATCTTGATGCGGCGAAGGTTCAATGGTCAAAGAAGGCTGAAGGCTCAGCTGATCCCATAGCTGTCTTGTTGTCAGTGACTTGTGTCGTTATAGTCATGAAGTCGACATGTGCAAGACCAAGTGCTATGTGCTACTGACCGCTGCACGTCGAAGCGTGTTGACAAGGCGTTGTTCTAAGATATCATAACTCGACGGAACAAATAACCAGACGAAGTCAAGAAGTAGCTGGACGCTGGTCGCAGGAGCTACCCATACACGACCAGATTCAATATTAGTGATTGACGGAGTATCGAGGAAGGAACAAGCAGCCAAAGTCGATATGGAGGCGCCGCTAGTCAGGGCAAGGTCGAGACCAGTTGATGGACTTGACAAACGCAGACTGCCCAGATCGAGATTTGTTGGCATTGTGAGTCATTCTATCCCGACAGGACATTGTTGGGATAGTTATACGGCATGATTGCAGAGTTGCCGAAGGGGATGATCGGGGAAAGTTGGGGCAGATTGTGATGTCAGCGGGGAGAATCGGGCCGTGTTTTGTGTGTACCCTCGGTGGAGTACCGCTCCTACCTTGTAGATATGAGCAACATGACGCTGTTTGGAAGGAGCAATGCAGCTTCCTCATCCGACTACACGCTCCAATGGCAGCAAAACGGTTGACCTCGACCTGCCTTCGCCGGCTACAACAGCAGACTAGACGATCTTTCTCGACGACGATACGGACACAAACAGACGGTGTCTTTCGAGCTCTCACGGAAAACAGAATCCAAACACCATGGATCGATGCACTACGAGAGAAGGAGCGTGGAGGCCATGACCCGACAAAAGCTTCGGGGAAATCAGAGACGCCTACTGATCGCGATCTCTCTCCGAAACGCATGAGCGACAGCTACCACAGCGTCGTCCTGCCTCTCGCTCGCGAACCCTGGCTTCTCGATACCTACGCCAACTCCAGTGGTCACATTCGTCTGGGAACCTTGTTCATGGATCTTGACGCCTTGAGTATGTCTGTTCTGACAGCTTATCCTCCATACTCGGACTAACGCATCCACAGGTGGTGTCATCGCGTACAAACATACCGGCGAAGGAGTCACAACCGTCACAGCTGCCTGCGATCGTATCGACATCAAGCACCCTCTGACCGAGATCTCGGACCTCGAGTACAGTGGCCGTGTCACATATGCTACAGGTCGCTCAAGTATGGAGATCTCGCTGCAAGTCGCAAAGGCGCCGAAAGAGGGAGAAAAGGTCAAGCCCGAGGATGTCCTGTTGACATGTCAATTCACAATGGTCTCGCTCGATCCCGGCACCAAGAAGCCTGTCAACATCCCTGCCATCACGCCCGAAACAGAAGAAGAGAAGGCCGCCTTTGCTCAGGGCGAGAAGAACAGCGCCCACCGCAAGCATCTCAAGAACCGCTCTTTGATCAAGCAGACTCCAAACGACGAGGAGTCTGATCTCATTCACGCAATGTGGCAGAAGCAGCTCCAATACCACGATCCAATGGATCCTGTACGCAAGCCCGACAACGTCTTCGAAATGGAGCAGACGCGTCTGTCGACTGCCGCCATCATGCAGCCCCAATACCGAAACAGACACCATTTTATGATCTTCGGTGGCTTCCTTCTCAAACAAACTTTCGAGCTCGCCTTCTGCGCTGCTGCTTCCTTCGCCCATTGCCGTCCTACCTTCGTCTCGCTCGACCCCTCGACCTTCCAGAACCCCGTTCCTGTTGGCAGCGTCCTATATCAGACAGCCACCATCGTCTACACAGATCCTCCAGTCGTATCAGGTCAGACTGACGAACCGTCTTCAGAGGGAGGAGGAAAATCACAAAAATACACGAGGATTCAAGTCAGGGTCGACACAAAGGTCCGTGACGTCGAGCACGGCACTGCAAAACCAACAGGCCAATTCAACTATACCTTCACCGTTGAACGCGACATCAAAGTCATGCCGAAATCATATTCGGAATTCATGATGTATATCGATGCACGCAGAAGAGCCATGAGGATAAGGGAGAGTGTTGAGCACGGCTCTAGCGACTCTGGCGCAAAAGATAGAGTGACTGAATAGCCTCGTCTGCCGAGAGACGGCCAGAATGTAATATAACCAGACATATGCAAGATCCTACGCCAAATCTATGATCCGCACAAATTTCTCATCCAATGCTTAACCTGGTTACCCAAAAATGCTCAAATCACAACTCCTAGGACAAACGCCAACATAGATGCAAAGGCCAGTTTCATCTCCTACTCCTCCAAATCCCACTCGAGTGTATAATCCTCAGAGCATTCATGACAGTAATAATCTATAAACCCAGTGCAAGTAGCAACATGTTCTTTACACATGTCTGTACAACCCACATTATTAGCATGTATGATTTTCAGAAAAAAGAAAAGAGTCACAGGAATGGGAGGGAATTGAATCTTACCTATTGACCAAGCATCACAGGAATAACTTGATAGGAAACGATTGGTACAGATTTCGATGGAGTCTTGCCAGATGTAGTAGGAGTGGTTGCAGCGGTACCATGAGTATGTGTATTCGCACATGTTCTGTACTTTGCTTGTGGCGAGGGGCGGATGGTGAGTGTAGCAGGAACTCCAACGGGTAGGAAGAGATTGGTGGAAACGAGAGACTAGTCTGGAGTCAGAGAGAGGGTGGAAGAAGGTATACCATACACTCACTTGGCAGAATTTAGACAAAGAGCTTTGGATCTTCAAAGTAAACATGACAAAGGAGAAAGATGAGTTAAAAGGAACAAAGAATATCCATCATGGGGGAGATAAGGTCTACTACTCTTTACAAACCATGACCCATCTCTTCTCACCGTCTGCTAACTTCAGCAGCTGACTTCTGACTCAGTCCATCAAGGTCATTCTCATCCTTTTCAATGTATACTTTTACCTATCAGTCAATAATCATATCCGGTGCTCCGACAAAATCAGCGGATCCCTGTATCTCCGATAACCCAATTCAAGGTTAGAGTGAGACAGAGCACATGGAGACAAAGACCCTTCTTGGTGGACCCTTGATTTTCTTGTCATTGATAGAAAAGGGTTCCAGACCTTCTTCCTCCTTTGTCAAAATGAATAACGCGAAACTCTTTGAGTTCTTCAGATATGTATCAGTACAGTCGACTCACACTACTGATTTTTTTTTTTTTTTTTTCTAAATCAGATGAGAAAGACGAAATGGACAGGTCGGTGGTGTTACATGTTCACATATTCAATAGTGTGCCTCTTTGCTGCCAGTCATCAAGGTTATTTCCATGCTTCGGAGATAAACGGCGTTTCAGTGTCTTATCAATTCTTATCGTGTACCTGCATTTGTACCTCTTGATTTCGTTATATAGATAGAGCCGTTTCGAGTCAGCATGTTGCGGCAATGTTCGGGAGGCAGATAACGATATTCGAGCGGTTGCGGGTATGATCGGTCGCTTTGAATGGTTTGAGACAGTGAATTTGGAGGTCACTGTCGAAGTGTCTGAACTCCATCATGCTCATAACAAAGAAGATGCATACTCTTACTCCCACTTCATCTTGGTTAAAGGTATGGGGTTTAGTCACACTGCAGTATTGTAGACTATTCTTGAACTTGTGCTGGATTGACAGTATCTGTTGTACAAGCGAAACACGACTGAATAACAAGAAACGCCTGAGCCAGTGGCTGATAACTCCTTCGCAACCACAGATATCTCTATCATCCAGACTGTACCTCAGTCCCAGTGTAATACACTCTGCATCACGTTATCCTCGTCCATGAGATGACATCCGGTTCTTGCATCCGCATATCCACTTCCTCTTTCCGTCTCACTTGGGAACTCAGATGCTATCTAGTCTCCGAGTAATCGTTGAGTGCCACACAGACCGCTCCTCTGTGATGCCCGTTGTACTGCCTAATTACCTGCTTCGAGCTCAATTCCCATAATCGCGCATAGTGATCGCTGCAAGCTGTGACCAAATAGGCGCTGTCGGCACTGAAAGCGCAATCCCAGACCCAGCGTTGGTGACCATCGAGTTCTTGCTCGAGCTCGAAGGCGTTGCTGTCTTTGTCACCTGGTGCGGCGGCCATGGCGTTGTGGCCTGTGAGATCGACGGACCAGATACGTGCTGTGTGGTCTGCAGAGCAAGTGGCGAGATGGCGAACATCTGGCGATAGCAGGACGCGTGTGATGTAAGTGTTGTGGGCGTTGAATTTTGTGACGGGCACGAGCGTCGTCACGTCCTTGGCTGTGATGATGCGCCAGACATAGACGGAGCCGATTTGACTGTTGCTGACAGCAGCGCAGAGGAGAGAGCCGTCAGAAGCGACAGTCACCGAAGCGACAGACTTGTCTTCTTCCGGTATCAGTTGATGAGAGCATTTGTTCTCCGCAAGGTCCCAGATTCTCACATTGCCGCCTCTATCGCAACTGATGAGCTCGCCTTGGTTCGGATGAATCACCACATCGTTGACGGGAACACCATGGCTATAGTTGCGCTGAACGTGACCAGTACGTGTGTCCCAAATCTTTACCGTGCCATCCTCCGAGCTAGTCACCATCCACTTACCCTCGCAGTGGAATGCCAGCCCAGTGATATTGTTAGTATGTCCCTCAAACGTCAAGACAGCAGCGGGATTGGTAGATTTGATGTCGTAGAGCTTCACGGTGTGATGACCAGCAGCAGCAAGGAAGCGCTTATCTGGAGATATGCACAAGCGATTCACCTGTGAATCCGGATGAGGAATGGTTCGACTGCATATACCAGAGAGTGCTTCCCAGAACCTGATTGACGAATCCGTGTCAGTCCTGACACTTCTGTGGCTTTATTCGAGACAACTCATGCTCCTATCGAGCTTTGGGAAAAAGAGGGTCCAGTGCGCCATGTGACAAAGAGATGGTGGAAGGCGTCTGCACACACTTACCTGATAGTATGGTCATAGCCAGCTGTGACTGGTCAGCTTCTTTCAATTCCCAGACATGTTGTGAGCAAATCATACCTGTACACAGAATGACACTCATCCTGGTGGCTAGACTTGTTTGTGATACGAGAAATGTGGTGGGGTCTCTCGCAATGAACACGCAGTGCGCGCGTGGTTATTATCGACTTTGAGGATCTGTAGCGATGAATTTCCTGATAAATAGATTATGTCGTAGTCTTCTGGAAGTCAGGACGCAGTTTCGATGTTATTGTGATGGCTGTGAATGTGATATGCAGACGGATGTTCTAGATGACAGAGGCAGGAACAGCAAAGCCTCCACGTCTTCGGCTGCTCGGCCGTTGCTTCCCGAAGGACAGGGTCGCTTTCTCACATCGCCATTGTACGCAATTGTTCAAACTCAAGTCTTTCTTCAACCTCATGATTGATCATCATATTATCATTTTACATGTGTCTAACCAAGTAATGATAGCCTGGAGAAGGTCTTGACTACCGGTGGCTCTCTTATGGCTTGGTTCGCCTCCATAGCGTCGAAGAATACGGCTTGACCACCAGCCATAGGCCTGCCAGCTTCATCCTCTCCATTGATCTCTCCCGAGTCGGGATTAGGTGGCTGTGTCGGCTTGACCTGGAACACTTCCGGAACGCAAGTCTTGCACAACTCTACAACCTCAGTCATGGCGTTCTCCACCGCAACAGCACGCTCTCTCATCGCCCTCCTCATGAGTCCCTCAACGAGTCGGGTTACCTCCTCGCTGACACTGTTTGTGCGCTCGATGAGACGACCGATTGAGTTGACAATGTACTCCTCCTCGTACACACTACCCTTTTTGCCTCTAGCACGCTTGCGCTCTTCACGTCGGCGGTTCTTCGACGTCTTGCGTGTCGCATTGGACGCAAGAGTGCCAGTACTGCGGTTTGTATATCTTGTCATGAAGGTGCCGGCTGAAGTCGTGGCTTCTGTGGGCGCGAGTGAAATGTTGTCCGGGATGTCTGGGCCATCTGCGGCAACCCCTCCAAAGAAGGCGAGAGGATCTTCCTCCTTCTTTTGTCTAAGCTCCCTGAGTCGTGGCACCTGGGCGTTGAGCTGAGTCTTCATTTCTGCGAGCAGCTCTGTCATTGTTGCAGAACCTTCCACAAGACCTGGGTCAACGACGGATGCGATCAGCTCTGCGCGTCGTCTCAGACCAACAACACGAATGGCTTCAGCATAGTAGTAACCCTTGCACAAGCATTTGAGAGCTCCTTCAATATCGTTCAAGTAATCCAAGTACACCGTGGCTGCATCAAAGTGCTCTTTCGACTCTGTAAGTGCCTCGGCGAATGCTTCACCTGCAGCCATGATTTCTTCCTCAGGCAGAGGGACGAGAGTGGCCGACGAAAGACACTCGCGCCACTCGTTTCCAGATCGGTAGGCTTCAAAGGCCAGGTTGTACTCGCCGAGATACTCGTACGCGATACCCGCCTCCTTGTAGCGATTTCGGCTGTTGAGATAGTCGGCATTGAGCTTCATAATCTCGTTCAGTCGCTGAGTCTGGTATCTATAGAGATGCATGGCGTCGCTGTAGAGCTCGTGTTTCGCCATGTATGTCTTGAACTCATCAAACTCGTCCATAGTAAACAGGTGACCAAGAGCCTTGCTGTGTTTCTTCAAGTCATGGTCGATAGTAAATTGTCTTCGGAGTGGCTGCATCTTGCCAAGACCTTGGACGTAAGGAAGGTACTCTCGAGGGTCCTTCTGTGACTGCTGAGCGATAAGTAGTGCGACATCCAGATCGTAGAGGCCGAGAGCATGGTCGTAAAGCTTGTTGACATCCGCAAGGAAACAGATATGTTCGACCGCGCGTTCTACCAAGTCGGATTGCTCTTCGCGCAGTTTCGCAATCAGAGTCAGGCCAGCGTCAAGATCAGGCGGTGACTTGCAAACGTGTGCTGTGATGATATTTTGAAGATGGGTTGAGGTTCGGTTGCGCAAGACGTCTAGGAAAGCATCACAGACTCTGTTAATTTTTGAGATCTGAGGTTCAGTGGTCGTCTGCTGTTCTTCACTCGGACTGTCACCATGCAGACCTAACTTCGGAGCATTGAGAGTCTCCTTGTACATGGTCTCTGCGACATCATCGTCCCTGGAATGTGTCAGTCTAGCTCATGTAACCCAATAACACAACACACCTTAGTTGCGAAAGGAACAGATCGATGTGTTCGGCTTTCTTCAGCTGCTTGCAGAACAACAAAACGTTGGCCATAAATTGCTGGGGTGCATAATCATGAAGAATGTTCATGTCAACTCTCTGCCCTCGACAAGCAAAGAAAGCTGTCTTGTAGTCCTTAGCACTAATGCTTCTACGAATACCAGCAAGGACCAGGGCACGGGGGTAGATGGTCTCCAGGTTGCCTCTCGGCATCTGAAGAACAAGAGAAAATGCTGTAGGCATGACAGCTACTAGTCTCGCACCACGCTCGATACTACGACAACGTTCGTCCTTTTCTGGCTCGTCCAGAGGGATCTCCAGTTCGCCTTGATGGAGATGGACAAACTTGAGCAGATGCTGAGTCGTAGTGAAGATAAGATGGGCAGGTGTAGTCAGGAAAGACGTGCAGTTGCGGATCTGCAGACACTCTGAAGCCTTCTCGTCTTCTGAAGACTTGCGGTAGCCAAACAAGGTTCCGCCAGCTGAGAGACCAAATACGATTGTCGTATCTTCATCCTTCCAGACCTCGGTTGAAGGACAGTGTACTGGAAATTTAGCGAGTAGCGATGAAGAACCAGTGGCAACAATCTCGTACACTCCACCATGTGCGTCCTCGTAACAGGTGCTTGAGAAATCTACGGCGGAGAACAAGGAGCCAGCGCCTGAGCTTAGCTCACTCATGTCGAAGGCACTGTCATCAGAGACCTTAAGCTCGACAAGACTATCAGCTTGACTGTTGGGCTCACCGCATAGCACTGTAATTCCGTCATCTCCCGAAAATGCAACCTGCCGCGGGATTTGCTCGGTCATCGGAACTTCACGAAGAAGTTTGGGATGTTGGAACGGTCTGACGCTGTAGTTGAGCTCGTATAACGAAACACCTTGCTGGTGCAGAATCGCAATATTAGTTGCCGAATGGTTCACGGCAACATCAATCGCATTTGCGCAGATTTCCAGCTCTGTAAAAGCCATAGGTGGGGGAACATTGGCTACCCTAAGCGGCGTGATCTTGAGGTTACGGCCGTCGATTACAGAGGTTAGGCCAAGGTCGTTAGGTGGTGTCGCCGAGCTTTTAGAAACTGCGAATACATATGAGAGCATCTGTAGAGACTCTGGTAACAACGTTAGCAGACTTTCTCCAAAGATGAATAGAATCTTAGCATACGATCGGAAGATGTCGAGAGGTTGAGTGCCTTTTCGGGGTGCCAAGCTGTGCGGACTGGGAGAGATTTTGAATCTGACGCAGCGTTTGTGAAGATCTCCTGCTTGAGGTAGTAGTGGTAATTGCCCATGGTCCATAGCTGTACTCTATCCTTGAAGGAAACAGCAAGAACCGTAGAGTCACTATTCCACGCAAGTGTAATGGCACTCGCCCAACTCTCCATATCTTCTGCTGAGAGGCGTAGAGAGAATTGACCGTGACGCAGGCCGTTTCTTTCGAAGAAGACTACATCAATTCGGTCGGATCGACGCTGAACACCAGCCATGAGATTTCCTGCAGGTCTCCAGCTCAAAGCACCCTCAAGTCCATCTACGGGCTCGCCCACGCTCTCAAGTACACCTTCTCGAGAGTAGACTCTGATCATTCGTCGTTTCTCATCCTGAATAGAGTTTACGGCCAGATAAGCACCATCACCACGCCAGCTGATAGTAGTCTGCATTTGATCCAGAGAGCTCAGTTGGCCTTCATCAACGTGCTCTGGTACTGTTGGATCCTTGAGAGCTTTTGCTCTCTTACCTTGGAACTGTGTCTCGCGTTTTCCCCATCCGACATTGACATGTGCAGAGACTTTGACATCTTCGGGAGATAGAGTGATGTTGGCGATACTCTCAAAATCACGGGTCATCAGAATCAAGGTATTTGCACGAGTGCTGATGGCGAGCAGCTCCTCGTCGGGCGACCATGCAGCTGCGGCGATACCTTCATCAACACCGCCAACGATTTCGATAAGATCCTCTCCAGGCAAAGGCTCCTCTCTGACAATTACAATGTCGCCACCAGCCAAGATCAAGCATATAGTCGCAGTGTCGGCAAAATATTGTAGCGATAATATACGGTCCACGGGAAGATCTGGCAAAGGGCTGGGAGCGTCCCATGAAGCAATCTGCTTTGCATCGTGACCAGAGAAGCAGTCCTTGGCTAGGCGTCTGAGTTCGATGACAGGGCTGGAAGATGATGGACCAAAGGCGGCGATGAGACCATCGGTAGCAGGATCCCAGGTGGTCGCTGTGGGCGGCAGAGAGTCGGTGGGAAACTCTACGACAGTATGCCTTGAATTCCTTAGGTTTCGCATGATTTTGATGTGTTATGTTTCGAGCATTATTGATTGAACAATTGATGGTCAGCGGCTTCAAAAAATTCTGGGAGCCGGGGCTAGCGCGCTTTTCTGCCGAGAGGTGCGAGATTCAAGCTCAGATGTCACGACAAAGTCAAGTGTGCAAGGCATGTAAAATAGTGAATTTCTTAGATGAAAGTCAAAGACGAGTTCTTGATTCATTCGCAATATTATATACATGCTAAGGACGGGCCAGCGTCTTGAGTAGCTTTGAAGCCAGGCCGATGTAGGTAATCCATGCAGCACGATACGTCTATTGGTTCTTGTTGAGTTGCCAGACTGTAGGATGGTAAGTACGGGAGCGATTGAGAGAGGTATGAGGGAGGCGATTGGTTTACCAGCGACACCGAATGGAAGGAAGAAGCCAGTGGCTGTGGACAGAGAGTTAGCATGAGGGTTAAGGTTGTGTTGTCCAGTGTTGTTCGAGCTCGGTACGCACCCATGAAGCCCCAGAATCTGAAAGCGAACATCTTGGTCAAGGGGTTGAAGGGCAAGTTGCTGCGAGGGCCCTCGGGGTAGTGGTAGGGACTGGCGAGCTGCATGCGGGTCGAGGAGAAGGCACGACGGGCGACGATCTGGTTGGCCACGGTGGGCATGCGCATGGCGGATCTGGACAGCATCTGAACAGCGGGGGTCAATTGAGTGATTGCCGAGTGATTCGAGCGAGCAAGCGTACGGTTCTGGAGTGTGTGGTGGTGGCGTGGAGATGCTGGAGATCGCAAGGTCGCTGTTACCCGACGACGACGACGCGGGTGCTCATCCCAGGCCCCGGCGAAAGTGCGGAAAGCGCGTCTAGCCAATCACCGCCCGTGCAGCTCTTGCCGCATCATCGCAATCCAAAGCTCGACTTTTTTCCCATCAGCTAAAAGTCGCAACAGCAGTCCATTGCTACTGTCGCCTCTGTTTGTGAGCCCATCATGGACGACCTGTTCGACGTCTTTGACGACTCCCCGTCCAATCAAAACCTCAACGTCGCAAAAGAAAAGCCGAGCAAGAAGCGCTCTGCCAACGGCGATGTCAAAACTCCAGAGCCCCCCACCGCATCCCAGGACACGCCCATTCCCGACGCGAACGACGAGGATCACGGCGTACCCGTGTCTGCCGACCCCGAGACCCCCGCCCCTGCTTCCGAGCCAAAGCGACAGAGACGCGACGAACCCGCCCCAGTCGTGACCGACTCGTTCGAGACCGAACAGTCCAGAGAGATCGCTGCCGCCGCCGGCCTGCAAGCTTCCAAGGAAGAAGCAAACGTCGTCCTCTCGCATCAAGTCCGCCATCAAGTCGCCCTCCCTCCGGACTACGATTACATCCCCATCTCCCAGCACAAGCCTCCGCCAAATGGTCCTGCCAAAACATACCCCTTCACCCTCGATCCTTTCCAACAGGTCTCGATTGCCAGTATTGAGAGAAACGAGAGTGTTTTGGTCTCGGCTCACACCAGTGCCGGAAAAACCGTCGTCGCCGAGTATGCTGTCGCCCAATGTCTGCGCGAGAATCAGAGAGTCATCTACACCAGTCCCATCAAGGCCTTGAGTAACCAAAAGTTCAGAGAATTCCAGGCCGAGTTTGGTGATGTCGGTCTTATGACCGGTGATGTTACCATTAACCCTACAGCCACCTGTCTCGTCATGACGACTGAGATTTTGCGCTCCATGCTGTACAGAGGTTCAGAGATCATGCGAGAAGTCGCCTGGGTCATCTTCGACGAAGTCCACTACCTCCGCGACAAATCTCGTGGTGTCGTCTGGGAAGAGACCATCATTCTCTTGCCCGACAAGGTCCACTACGTCTTCCTCTCCGCCACCATCCCCAACTCGATGCAGTTCGCCGAATGGATCACAAAGACTCACAACCAGCCCTGTCACGTTGTCTACACCGATTTCCGTCCCACTCCCCTCCAGCACTATCTATTCCCTGCCGGCGCAGAGGGTATTCATCTTGTCGTTGACGAGAAGGGTGCTTTCCGCGAGGAGAACTTCCAGAAGGCCATGGCCACCATCGCCGATAAGGCCGGCGATGATGGCTCAGATCCTCTGGCTAAACGTAAGGGCAAGGGAAACAACAAGAAGGTGAACAAGGGTGGCAGAAAGGAAGGTCCTTCCGACATTTACAAGATTGTCAAGATGATCATGATGAAGAACTACAACCCTGTCATTGTCTTCAGTTTCAGCAAGCGCGATTGCGAGAATTACGCCCTGCAGATGAGTCAGCTAGCTTTCAACGACGACAACGAAAAGGCGATGGTCAAGAAAGTCTTCGAGAGCGCCATCGAGATGCTCAGCCCAGAGGATCGCGAGTTGCCTCAGATTCAGCACTTGTTGCCTCTTTTGCGCAGAGGTATCGGTATCCATCACTCCGGTCTTCTCCCGATCCTCAAGGAGACCATCGAGATCCTCTTCCAGGAAGGTCTCATCAAGGTCTTGTTCGCTACCGAAACCTTCTCCATCGGTTTGAACATGCCTGCCAAGACTGTTGTCTTCACCAGTGTACGCAAGTTCGATGGTGTCGCTGAGCGCTGGGTTACTCCTTCCGAGTTCATTCAAATGTCTGGACGTGCCGGAAGAAGAGGTCTTGATGAACGTGGTATCGTCATCATGATGATTGACGAGAAGATGGACCCTGCTGTTGCAAAGGAAGTCGTTCGTGGTGAGCAAGACAAGCTGAACTCGGCTTTCTACCTTGGTTACAACATGATTCTCAACCTCATGCGTGTTGAGGGCATCTCGCCTGAGTTTATGCTTGAGAGATGTTTCTACCAGTTCCAAAACACAGCTAGCGTCGCAGGACTTGAGAAGCAACTGCTGGAGCTGGAGCAAGAGAGAAACCATATGAGCATCGAAGACGAGCCGACGATCAAGGATTACTACGACCTCCGCACCCAACTCAACAACTATGCGAAGGATATGCGCGATGTCGTGAACCACCCTCAACACTGCCTCCAGTTCCTTCAATCTGGCAGACTGGTCCGAATTAAGCATAACGATCACGACTTTGGGTGGGGCGCTGTTGTTAATTTCGCCAAGTGCCGTCCTCCCAAGGGCCAGCCAGTACAAGACCCACCCAATGCAAGCTCATATGTCGTGGACGTCTTGCTCCAGGTTGCAAGCGATGTGACTGTACCGGCTAACAAGAACAACGACGAGCTCCCCTCTGGCGTTCGTCCTCCTGTGGCAGGTGAGAAGGGTAAGATGGAAGTGGTTCCAGTTTTGCTCTCGACGGTCGATGCCATCGGCCATCTCAGAATTTTCTTGCCCACAGACCTACGATCGCCCGATCAGAGGAACAATGTGCGCAAGGGTCTGGAAGAAGTCAAGAGAAGATTCCCTGACGGTATTGCTATTCTCGATCCTGTTGAGAACATGGGAATTACCGATGAAGGATTCAAGAAGCTGCTTCGCGTAAGTTCTCTATCACTTCCGTTCTGCGGGTAATAACTGACCACGGCACAGAAAATCGAGATTCTCGAGTCAAGACTCCTCTCCAATCCGCTTCACAACTCACCGAGACTCGCAGACCTTCACACTCAGTACGAGCACAAGGTCCAGCTTGGTAACAAGATCAAGGATGTCAGAAAGCAGATCAACGATGCCATGTCAGTCTTGCAGATGGAGGAGCTCAAACACAGAAGGAGAGTCCTCCGCCGTCTGGGCTTCATCAGTGAAGCCGATGTGGTGCAGCTGAAAGCCCGTGTCGCTTGTGAGATCAGCACTGGTGACGAGCTGGTACTCAGCGAGTTGCTCTTCAACCGCTTCTTCAACGAGCTTACACCCGAACAATGTGCGGCGGCTCTGAGCTGCTTCATCTTTGAGGAGAAGAGTAACGAGACGCCATCATTGAAGGAGGAGCTTGCCAAGCCTTTCCGTGAGATCCAGGCACAGGCTCGTACTGTGGCCAAGATTTCGCAGGAGTGTAAGCTGCCCGTCAACGAAGATGAATACGTCGAAGGCTTCAAGTACCAGCTTATGGAGGTAGTTTACAAGTGGTGCAACGGAGCGACCTTTGCTGAGATTTGGTACGTTTCACAGCTTGATTTTCCAGATGCACACGCTAATTGTTTGACAGCAAAATGACCGATGTGTACGAAGGCAGTCTGATTCGTCTGTTTAGACGTCTCGAAGAGCTTCTGCGACAAATGGCACAAGCGTCCAAGGTTATGGGAAGTGAGGAGCTCGAGCAGAAGTTCGAGGTCGCGCTTACCAAGGTGAGACGTGACATTGTTGCAGCACAATCGCTGTACCTGTAAAGAGGTGGCATGGTTGCATAAGGACATGTATATTTGCAAAGGCGTTTTGGGCATGCGTTGGCGGACAAAGCACAGGGCGGCGGGCGTTTTCAATGAGCGGCAGCATATGATCGCAGATGAAAGAAGGGCATCTAGCGAGTATGCTTTTAATGCAGGAATTGACGGGCTGCGAGCATGTAGATAGGCACAAATGAATATGAGGCTCCATCATCACGAGTGCGAGATTTGTTCATGAAGATCAGGTGTTGTGAGTGGCTATGATGTCGGGGTCTTGAGACACATGATCAAATTGAGTCGTCTTGGTGACAGGCTGGACGTCCGAGCTTTCAAGGTCGTCGAGGCTCTTCCAGAATCTTTCAGCATCAACCAACACTCCACTCTGCTATCCTACGTATTTGTGTGGTACGTACAGGTAACAGCACCGCCTCTCCTGCCAGACCAACAATGTCCTCCATCTTCACGACTCCTTTGGCTCCACACCTCCTCGGAAAACGACCCTTCCCCTCGCGCTCAGGTATTATTTGCGTCATACCGCCTCTCCGATATCACGACATGCTAACATGAACAGCGACAGAGGGCTTCGGCAGCGATAGAATGTCCAGCCGCAAACGCAAGGCCAGCGAAGACGACGTCGATGACCGCATGTCGGCCTCACCTACGGCATCGCCATCTGTCACAGGTCGTCAACTCTTCCCCGCCTCACGATCTACCAAGAGAAGCCGTACCGTCGTCGCCGCTGGTCGTCCGCTTGACCTGCCTCGTCTTCTCGAAACTCTTTCTCCCGATGAAATGAGAAACCTCCTACAAAACATCTGCCATCAGAACCCTGCCATCGCCCATGAAGTCGTTACCATGGCTCCCCGCCCAAGCGTCGACTCCACTCTTTCAGTCCTGCAAAAGTACGAGACGACCTTCAAGGATTCCTTCCCCTTCGGCAACCGTCCCTCTTCCGACTACACATACAACAGAGTCCGTCAGCCCATGCTGCAGCTCATCGAAGCTCTCAAGGACTTCACTCCCCACTTCCTCCCTCCGAACGAGCCTCAACCCACCCTCTCTCTCCAATACCTCGACGCCGTCACACAAATCATCCACCGTCTACCCACATGGGATACGTTCCAACACAATCACGCAAAGTTCGAAGCATACGACGAGTTAGCTCAGGCTTGGGCTCTGGCCATTCGCGAGAGTGCAAAGAGAGGCGGTGGCTTCCACCTGCAATACGCCGGCTGGGACCAAAAGCTTCTCAAACACAACGAAGAGTCCGGTGGCAGGCTCCAAGATGCCGTCAGCGAGTTGCGTGCGAACGTTACATATCTGGGTGGTGCAACCGCTGCTGCTGCCCCTCCATCAAACCTCGACGAGCGTGCTGCCATCAGACAACAAATCCTGTCCGGCACTTATGGTCCCGACCTCTCTGTCGGCGTCGGCCGCTGGTAGAGCAGCTGCGGCCTTGATTTAACGAGCTTTCCAAGATACCCTGTGGGACACATCTGCCCTTCTTTTAACATTTTCCCTTTCACTCGTTTCATTTGTTTTCCCCCCATAGCGGCTGCATCCTATACCTCACTTGTCACTGGCAGCCATGATGATAGCATTGCGAGGCGTTTTTTTTTTGCAAAGTGGATTTCCGGCGCAAGGCAAGGTCAAGGTTACCTAGATAGAAACTTCCATGAGGGCTGTGCATAACACAAAAATGGTCCCTACAAAACGTAGCTAAAAAATTACAAACAACATTACCACATCACCACGTCCTCGGCTTGGGTTCTTACAATGGAAGCTAGGATCTATAGAAGGTCGAACTCGGCAGCTCGTCGTTACTTCCTCTTCCAATGTCACTCAACTCTAATTTAATTCAAACACGGCGTCTGGCGCCTTCTTCGCGTCTCGGCGTCGCGTCACCCCAGTGCTTGCTCACTTTGAACCTTTCCGTCACATCGAGTCATACTTCCTAGGTTCCACCAACGACATTATGGCCATCATCCCCGACGTTCCGTACGTCAAAGTAGATGTTGTGGTCGATGGACGCGCGCTTCCCGAGTATCTTGATGAGGACGACGAAGATTCCCTCTCGTACGATAGCACTATCAAATATGTCGAGTCAACAGCCGGCTCCAAATTCTGTGTGCGCACCAGTCTTGCTGGAATGGAGCTCGGAGACCTTGAGGGAGGCGATTGTGTCGTTGTGGACTATCTACTGGATGGCAAGCAAGTGGACTCCGTCGTCAAGAGGTTTCCTCTAATAAGACATCCTTCCTTTGACTTGCGTGGAGTTTGATACCGAGAGGGTGGATCAAGGAAGCAGAGAGATTTCATGTTTGCCGAACTCATCACAAGTAGGGCTACGTCACTCTCTTAGATTCAACTGACATCACATACAGTCGAGGACATGTCAAGTAGCAAGCCACGGCCGGAGCTTAAGGACTTGGGAACAATTACGGGTGAATTTCGTGTCGGCATCTCACAGAAGGAGGAGCACTATGAGAAACCATACCACGATACGTCGAACAAGCCCACGGTCGGCCATGAAAACGTCCATGAAAAACATCTCAAGGGTCAAGCGATATCGCAGCAGGCGAAGTACGCTTAGCCTCGAATTGCAACACACGTATCTTATTGCTAATACTGGCAGACCGGGAGATCCGTCTCGCATCCCTGAGCCCAATACTGTTCGTGTCAGGTACCTGAACGACTGTGAACCGTTTGCGACTTTCCAATTTCGATATCGTTCACGTAGTGAGTTCACCCACAGAGATGTACGATTGCACTACTGACTTTGACCTAGGGGTCCTCCAGATTCTTTGCCTCATTCCAAGAAGTCCAAGTCCAGTGCCGCTCGAGGATCGGCCAGAGGAGAGTCTCAGTAGAGAGGAGCTACTAGAACTTCTCCGCCGACAGAAGGTAGGTCAAATTAGCTTTTCGACTCACCAGACCCGAGAATTGACTTGCGTAGGCACGTCAAGAAGAGCAGATCACGATCAAGAGAGAGCTCAAGCGAGAGCGTGTTGACGACGATGAGAGTGATGATGAACTTGTCGTCGTATCCTCTCGACCACCCGCCTCAAAGGTGAAGACTTCGGTCAACGTGGACACTGGTGTCGAGACTATCGATCTGACAGATGATTGAAATGGGATGTACCATGGTTGGGCCACGCACACTTGCCGCCATCCACCCCCGACAGAAACACGGCGTTTGTTGTTTTACAGCATGACACCCCTGGTTGCGAAGACAGCAATAGCTTTTACAGATGATGCAGAATGCTGCTTTTCCATGAGAACAGTCGACAGACGTGAGTATAAACGGACTTTGCTTCATTGTTTTCTGCTCCAACAAATGAATCCTCTTACCAGAGTACAAGAATCGCGGTCATGGCGATTGGCTTTGGCCAGCAACGGTCTCGGCAAACTCTTGTGGACTGGAGTGTGTAGTTTAAGAGATGTAGAAAGAGCGAGGGACAAATCTGAGAAGACGTTCGGCGCGCTGGCGGCTTCTTTGGCAGGAGCATTCTTCTTCGTTGCTGCACTGATCAATAGACAGCTGTGACAATCTTGAAGAAAACACAATCGCGAGCTGAGATCTCTGTTCAGGGCTAACTTTCCGGCTTGCATCACTACCGCGTCACGGAACAAACGGATCTCAAGCTGGCTGGCTTCACTATAGAGTCGTGTCTCAACGAGCATTCACTGACCTTTGAACTTTCCGCAGATCGTTTCTCACATCTCACTCATCGACCCTTTTTCGCGGTCAATCACTCCCCTTCAACATCCCGCACCTTAACCACATTTGGTCTTGGTACAAATTAATCTTCGTGGTTGTTGCACAACTCTTTTTTTAACGCATCATACTCTGGCCGTCTTCTACTACCTGACACTACTTCTTGGACTGGACTCAGCCATCGTCACTTTCTCGCTTGACCATTGGCTCATGACATGAAGTATTCTTCAGGTCTTTGTGCAAATCCTACAACAGCACAGTTCACTCTGGTTATTTTCTGTTATCTCAACCTCCGTCTTGGATCGGATCACCGCCACCTTCTCGTCACCATCCCGCCCAATCCTCGTAGCTGCTGAAGGACTCATCCTTTGACATACAACACTTTGAACATCCTAAGTCTTAGACCGGACCGCTCTACTGCTCTATCGTTCTTCCATCATGGCTATTCTGGACACGCTTCCTGGACTGGAAGTCTCAGTTGTTGTGAACGGCCAAGATCTTCACGAATATCAGGACGCTCACGCAAGAGATGAAGAAGACACCGTTACCAAGTATATTGAGGTTGTTAGTGATGCATACTTTGCCATCAAGGTCACTACCGCAAGAAAACTCAAGCTGCCAGGCAATAATCTGTCCATTCACGTCACGATCGACGGCGTGTGGGTGTACGGAATTGATTTGAGTCGCATGGACAAAAATCGCTCTGGCCCGTACATGATCGATAGCGCGGTAGCTGGAAACAGCGTCGGGAAGCTGAAGTTCAGCAAGCTCAACATTGGTGCGTATGCTCGTACCCCGAGTTACACATTGTCTGACTGATCTAGTCGAGGAGAAAGGTGTGGGTCTGTCCCAAGATAAAAACAAGGTCCAGAAGCTGGGCTGCATCGAAGTTGTTGTCACCCACGAAAATAAGACAAAGACCAAGTCAAAACGTAAGGTGCGTCTTCCAGCACCAGTGGAAGATAGCGAAGACAACACAGACGACGAAGACCATGAAGACAACCAGAAAACAGTCTCTGAGAAAGACGTCAAGGGTCAAGGTGTCACTCATACTTACGGGTATGTGAGGAGAAACATCCGACTACATCACAGATACTGACCCCTACAGCTTGAGTGAAAAGGTCGACATCCCTCGTAGCAAGGGCGGCAAGTCTCACACCACCAAATACGTGGCGGTAATGGGAGCCAAGAATCCTGCAGGAACCTTCGGATTCCAATACAGAACGATGGGTTCGTTCCTCACTGTGACCTTTTGTATTTGTCCTAAACAACCACAGAATCCCTCAAAGCATTGATAATCGTTCCAAGAACGCCTTCGCCCACTCCTCTCGAAGATCGTCCCGAGGAACAACTCACCCACGAACAGACCATGGAACTGCTCCGTCGCTACAAGGTACGGCTTGTTATGTTCTCATATCTCGTTTACCAGGAAACTCTCGCTGGCGTCTCAACAGGCAAAGGAAGCCAGAAACATTGAGATCAAGAAAGAAATAGACAACGACGATTACAATTCCCGTGCCCACAAGAGAGTTCGTTCGACCATCACATCTACTTACCTGGAGCTCAATGACGATGAAACATTCATCGAGCTCTCTGCAGTCAACAAGGAAAAGAACATTCCCATTGTCGATCTGGATTGATCCCGCCACAGAGTCACTTCATCACCTATCGTCTACAACTATAAAACATACAAAAGCACGCGACACAAAGTTCGGGCAAGATACAAGCGTGAAAGACCTGCTAAGAACAGATTGAATCATGAGGGCAGGACATCTCATTACGAAGCTGAAAGACACAAGAAAAGTCGGACAGAGAGAGCAGACTTCGCAGCTTTGCATACATGACAATACATCATCCCGAAAGACAAGTCTATGTCCTAAACATATCACAATGCGTGTTTCTGCATCAATAGCGTGACTTGGACGACAAAAAGTTGGGACTCCTTTCACAGATCAGGGTGCTCCGCACAACCATAAAACATGGTCTTCTTTCGACTCATAGTTTTCTGAACACTTTACAAACTACAAGCTCAGACTAATCCATTGGCTCTTCGACAGGATAGAACAATGACAGAGGTATGTCGACTTCGGTCGCTACAACCTAGGATCTTGATTCTGCAGAGTTAGTTCATGTTGTCTGTTACACGGATGCATCCTGATTCGACAGTCGCGCCTGCATGCTAGTGGTGTAACTGTGTCAGCGAGAGAAGGCTCTGAATATAGAAGAAGTGCAGAATGTCTTCGAGAACATGAAATGATTGACTGAGAGGCATCAGAGAGACCACTCCAAGGTCCAAACCAACCCAACTCCGAACGCCGTGGAGAAAAAAGTAAGACGCCTTTTGGGAAGCGCAGCCATGATGTCAAGAGATGACCAAAAAGAGGAGCTAGACAGGCACACTCTGAAAACGCCTTCTCCATCACATTCCACCCCCTTAAAACCCCTCAAGTCAACTCCAAAAGCGTACTCTCCAACCAAGCCCCCGTACCCTCAAAAACCGCCAATCCGACATCCTCCCCCCAAACCCTTCCCTCCATCCTAGTCCCCTCAACCCTCTTCTTCCACCACTGCAACTCCAAAAAGTCATCCCTCTTATCAACCTCCCCATTACTTTCACAAAGAAACGGGATTTGAGGTGCTGAAAGATCAGCTCTTCTCCCGCCAGAGCAAAAATGCAAAGAGCAGAGTTCAAAGGCCAAAGCATCTGCAGCGGAAAAAGCTTCTCGGAGATGAGTAAGTGGGGAGCGGAAAGGGTTTCTTAGGCCAGTGGAGCGGATTGACGATGTGAGGGAGGTGGAGGAGAGGGTGAGGTAGTGGATTACACGATCTAGCATTTCGTAAACGGCGTGGAGGGCTAGAGATGTACTTGACCGAGGCCAGAGTGAGAGGTCTTGACTTTTCTTGATGTAGCGTAGGGATTCATGTAGGGCTTTTGCGATGGCGAGGATACTAGGGGGACATATCTGTGTTGAGGCTTCTGCGAGAGCTTTGCGGAGGAATGTTGATGCCGAGGTGATGATTTCTTTTGCGTTTGTGGGGCCGAGATCTGTGGTTGTGGGTGTGGTCGAGATGTTAATATCCATATAGGCTGGAGGGAGTGCTGGTGGAGTGTGTATTAGTAAAGGTGGAAGTAAAGTAAGATGCAGAGCTCACTTACCCTGACGATCGGTTGTGCATCTCAACACTTCGATCTCTTCATCGTGTGCCTGGCCCAATTCACGAAGATCTGCCAGATACGTCGCTTCGATGTGATCGCGCTCTCTCATGTCAGCCCGATGATCCCTCCCCATCTCAATCCAACTCTGCTGTAGATCAAGGATACGCGTACACTGCTCCTGAATTTCGAGACTCTTTTGATGGATAACACGATCTTTCAGTCGAAGTTCCCCCATCAACTGCTTGTTCTCTCGGTTCAGGTTCGCATTTACCGTTTCTTGCTTCTGCTGTTTCGCATGCTTTCCACGTCGTGTTTGTGCTGCTGCTCCGGCGTTGCAACAAAGTTGGACGTCGCTGATGATGCAGTAGCCGTTTGTCTCGAGTTCGTGAGCCTGTCGCTGTTCTTCTGTTGGACCTGGCTGGACCTGGCCGCTGACCTTGTGCTGCACAACCATGCCTGCAGTGCTGGCAGATGGTTGGTTGCCTTCACGTGTTTGAACACTCTCACGTGATTGGCGAGAGTTGTTGCAAGAGAATTGGCTAGAGACCTGATTCAGTTGCCCGAGGCAGGTGATGGCACTTACTGAGGCTGCAAGTGATTGTCAGACGCGAGTCTGCTGCGTGAGTTGTGAGTCTGAAAGCATCTTGCCGCTGGGTGTTGGCCAAGTATAAGCCAACTCGTTTCAAGGGTAGCACAACACTCGTCAGAATTTCGACAGCGCAGCCTCTACAGCGCAAAGGACGACGAATCCTTCATGGCGATACACTCGAATTAAAGCTTGGAACAAGACCATTCTTCCAAGCACATGCGACGGGCAAAGCATCAGAGCTGTTCAAGGAGTGGACGAAATCCAAGCCAGCGTATATTTCATGAAACAAAACGTGGTGCGTGCTCTTCACGTGCAACTGTGAATGAATGGGAAGAAATAAAAATGAAGAATCAGGATTTTGGAAAATAGGATTTTTTTCGAGTGCTGCTGTTATACAATGGGGAATCTCTTTAATGTGGTCGGTCGTGAGAGAGGTCATGGGCCTCTTGCAGCAGGAAATTATCATACGTACGAGGCTGGCTGGCTTAATGCATCTCGTGGCTGACCTGGGCATCCACTTCGTCTTGGAGGTGCTTGCCGGGACGGCCTCTACCCGTGTCGGCCGGGCTCTTCATGTCGGAACTTTCTTCTCCGCTGTCAGGGCTGTCGGGCCTACTGTCGCTAAGAGTTCTACGATTGCGCTGCATCTATGAAGAGGTTAGTCTGTGGATATGATCGAGAGATGTCTATAAAACTCACCCAGCTGCGAACACTGCCGAGAAGACCCATAGTGTAGCCGGCAGCAAAGTCACTGTTGCTGCCTCTTGAAGCGCCCTGGCGCAAGTTATAGCCAAGACGATCAGGAGTCGAGAGACCGCGGGCGGGACTGTTGGGTCTGCTGGGCTGCCAGAATTGTCGGAGGTCTCGGCCGAGCTCTTGACCAGTTGCAGTCCAGTTTGTGCGAATCGAGTCGCGCAGCTCGGCGACGTGACGCTTGATATCGAGCTCGTTCTTCTTCAACCACGATACGTTGAGCTCTTGGCGAGTGGTGCCGCGCTTGAGCTGACGCGCAATGTATTGTTCGTAGTCTCTAACAATTCTGCACGCACACAAGTCAGTATACTGTTTGTCGCAGTCATGGTTTGGCCTCTTGTTACTTTGTGATGATGCCAGTTGTGCTGACACCCTCGGTGCGCTGAGTCACCAGGAACATGCCCTTTTCCTTGACAGGCTTGTAGATGTCGTCGCCCTCGTCGGCGCCATAGGGGATGTCATCGTGAGCAACGTAGTCGATCTCGTGCTTCTCGAGGAATTCGACGTCCACAATCCAGGGGCAGTCTTCTATGACCTCGTCCACCCATTTGCAGTGTCTGACCGTCTCGGCGCGGTCCTTTCCACTGAGTACTGTAAGACCCTTGCGGCGGTGGGTCTCTGTGTCGCCGGTGACACCGACGAGGAGATGGACGTTGGGGAAAGCAGTCTTCGCTTGTTGAAGCTGACGCATGTGTCTGGGCTCTGTCAGAAACGTGTCTTGCAGCGGGAGTGCAGCAGGTTACATACCCCATGTGGAACAAGTCAAAGACACCGTCGGCGTAGATGCGTACGGGACGACCCTCTGGTGGAGGGTTGGTCTTGTAGCCAACGGGCTCGACCAAGCCGGCCTTGGGAGGAGCCTCCATCTTCATGGTGCCAGCTTCACCGTTGACACCGAGGTCCTGCTCTTCGTCTTCGTCGTCATGCTGGTCGGTGGGTTCTGAGCGAGATCGCTTGTTAGGTGGGTCTTCGTCAGAGTCTTGCGAAGCAGACTGCTTGACGCTCTGGGGGGTTTGTGCAGTCAAGGCTTCGCCGGACGCATCGTTGGACAAAGACTGGGTGAGATGGTTGTTGTTTCCAGCTGCGGCATTGGAGCCTGCGGTGCCAGCCCGCTTGCGTTTGGGAGCCATTGTGTCGCGGGATTGATTTGACAACTACTGGACTTGTCGGGTGAGATCGACAAGGAGTGCGCAAAGGGGAGAAGAGCGGCAGTGTGAACAGTCGGAGCTAAGTGACGAGCTGCCTCCGCAATCATCCTGAACGCCAGCCGACGAGGGCCGTGCCCGATGACGTCCGTGCCCGATGACGCCCGTGCGCATCCTCGAGAGCTGCATCCTGGAATGAAGTGACAGCAAGCAGGAGTGACGGTGAGACGTTCTGGAAATTACAGGTTTTCGTCGCGTACCGACACCAAGACTTCCTTTGCCGCTCATGCAGACATTATGACTTTTGATTGGCTCTTGTCTTATCAAATACTCCTTCCTCTCTCTCTCTCTCTACTCCTGCCGTCCTGTGTGCGCAATAACTCGAGTGGCCCTTTGGGCTGCCTTGGAAATCGGGAAAAAGCTTATATCGTCATGTCCATGTCCTGAATCATCCGTTGTTCTTGTCCATTGCTCATGCTGAATCAGCAACACCTCCCATCTTGGGCTCTGCAGGTGTTTGCGTCTCACCAGCACCCTGCTTGCCTTGTTCTTGTGATCCGTTCTTGCCATCATCTTGTCCCTTGCTAACTTGGCTGGCAAGGTCCTTCTCCTCGTCGTCGCTCTGGTCGAACATGTCCGTGTCGTTCTCGCCAGAATCTGTCATGATCTCGGTACCGTCGCCGAGAAGAATCACACGACCAGGGCCGCCACCGAGCATGCGCGAGCGGTGCTCCATGTCCATGTCGTACTCATCCGGGCTGTCGTTGCTGTCATAGCGGTGGTGCACACCAGGTCCCTTGAACTCGGCTGTACATAGCATTCATATTAGACAAGGGCTCATCACCGTCGAGTTTGCAATGATAGATGGGCTTGGTACGCAGACAAGAGTTGTCAAGCTCCCTTTTGAGATGGGTATCCGCAGGCATATAGCGCTAATAAACAAGGAAACTCGGAAAACAAGGGGCGCAACAGTATGCTATGAATGGACATGGGGGGCTGAAGGGGGAAAAGGTGTTTACGACTGACCGTACTCTGGGGGTGCGCAGGGTCCGTCACCGTTTGCGACTCTGTCCGCAATCATTTGGTACCACTCGTCCTTTGACTTGCCGTTGAGCAGAGCAACAACCGACATGGTCATGTTGTCACAGCCAACACCGCCGGTCTCGCTGTTGGAGGCCAGGCAGTTGTCCATCATGTTTTCACAGATGGCAGACAGCTCCTGCTTTGCTGCGATTCCGCGACGGACGAATTCGATGACGGCTTGCGAAGACTGGCAGTCCCAGATACCTGTGAACCAAAAGTTAGAAATGCCGTATGCTGTAGTGTATTGATACAATTGCTTACCATCACATGCAAGCACAACAAACTCATCATCGTCCGAAAGGTCGTGGATAGTCACGTCGGGGTAGGCGGTGACGATTTGCTGCTCTGGAGGCAGGTCGGCGCTCTTCTTGAACTCAAAGTCGCCAATGGCGCGGGAAAGGGCGAGGTTGCCGTTGACACGACCGAAGTCTACGAAACCGCCGGCAGCGCAGATTCTTGCCTTCTCGCCTGTTTTGATGTCAGCACTGTTCGCGACGAATAGGAATGTTGAAGACGCACCCTCATTCTGGGGCTTGTGGTCAAAGGAGAGAGGCTTTGCTCTGCCCTTTACACCAAGCACAGTTCTGGAGTCACCAGCGTTGCCCTAACCTGTCAGCAGAGCACAGTTCAGGTAGAGTTCATACAAACATACAACGTAGATCTTGTCGTGGGTGATGATACCGACGGTGGCGGTACATCCAGAGACTTCCTCCTCATATCTTGGGTCTAACGCGGAGTCAGCAATCGAACGGATTGACGAGCGCCTTTCAAGCGTGGGCGGACGAACCACTGAGAATGGCCCTGTCGATTGCGAGGAAACCGTCCTTGAGGGCCTGCTCAAAGTCCTTGTTCTTGAAGGCTTCCTGCTTTGCAACGATCTTGTGCAGATTTTCACCCGTGTAAATCGCGACTTTGTCTCCGCCATGACCGTCATAGACACCGAAAAAGCTGATGCGGACGTCGGATGCGGCGGGCTTCAGATCGTCGCCTTCGAGGGGTTGCAGGTCGAGGATGGTTGCGTGGGCGTCCTCCATGCTGATGCGCCATCCCTGCATGCATGAGATTCCGAAAGAAATGCGATCATCTTGTCCACTGCTCGAGTGCTAGAGGCGGCACGATGTGTTAGCAATCAGAAGTCGTGAGCGCAGAGGGGCAGCAGACGGGGGGCGTCTGTGTGAGATTGGAGGCAGGCAGGCGGGGAAAGGCAGGAGGTCTTGTGACGAGCGACACGTACCTTTTCGATGACGGGCTCGGAGAGGGTTTGACCCATGATGGATCGCGGAGGTCGAGGTTTGGCGGAGGAGGGCGGCTAGAAGGGTTCGGTGAAGCTGGAGGAAAGGTCGCTGGGAGTCCGAGGATAACTGGGATGTATAGCTGAGTGCGTGTGCCGTGTGGAGTAGGTTCTGTAAGCGGGGCCCAGCAGAACACGATAATTTTATGACGTGCGCCTTGAACAATAGGTGACAGGAGCTTCAGATGTTTGGTCTCTTACGCGTCTGACGGCAAAGAGATGGGTTCTGGGAGGTTTGTGGTGGCAGAGAGGAGGGAGGAGCGAACAAGAGGCCACTGGCTGGTGCGCGTTGAAGTCCTTGCCAGAACGCCAGAACGCCTGCCGCCATCGCATGACGTTTGCCCGCTGCTGATGGAAACACCCCACTCCGCAACAAAGAAACCACCTTGTCTATTCCTTCTGCGTGTCCTTCTTGCGATTCTGTATCTTATGCATCTTGCCTAACATTCTTGAGCATCTTGCGAGCTTCTCGCAACAACACTGGCCTTCTGTTCAGCTGTTCCGCGACACCTACTAATTGCGCTGCTTTCGGATAGCCGCCAACCGTTGCTATGAACCCCCTCTCGAACGAGACGCGAAACCTTAAGCCATCTAGACACGTTCAGCTACACATGCAAATTCGACATATGAATTGAGAAGCAATGCACATTCATACACCATAATGTCCACTAGCATTGGATTAGTATACACTCGCGTCCACGAGTATGACTGCTCTGGAGATCAGGTGATGTATGCAACATGTGATTTTGCGCCTGTCTAGAACAGATGGCCCATAGGAAATATCGGCACAGATCGTGCAGAGGCAGGCCATACAGAATGTGCTGTGGGGTATTCATCCAAGGCCAACAAACGCCATATGCTAACTCCAAAAACCAAAGACAAGATTAAGAGACATCTCATGCTCCAAGTTCGCTTGGCCTTCGCTCCCTACCTCCATCTATTCCAAAGTTGAATCTGCCCAATTCATCCGAGCTTGGATAAAACACCATTGGGGAGCTCCGGCGTCTGGGGCTGCGCGAAGGTATATCAGGCGTCGGACTCAAGTGCCTTTGATGATCCTGATAGGACCCATCGTAGGCATCTTGATCGTAGTCTTCGCTGCTTGCGAATGGATTCTGGTAGTATGGATGAGGATAGTCCTGGGCTACCGATCCAGCTAATGCTGCGAGTGACGGCTGACGGGCGGCATTGGCATGAGGCGAGTCAAGATTGCGGTAGCCTTCAGAGCTGTTCCGAGGAGGCCAGAAGCCGCTACTACGACGTCGTTGTGGCTCTTGCTCGATCGGGCTGACAGGACTGGCAGCCATAGCTTCAAAAGACTCGGGAGAGAATGGAGTAGGTGGGCGATCCTGCCTGTATGCAGGATGAGTGTCTTCTGAAGTAGAGATTCTCTGCAAGGATCCGCGATTTGATCGCTCTGCGGATAGCTCAGCAGGACTGTGGTCTTCTTCGTGCCTGTAGCCGCCATAGCCAAGATGCATGTCATCGTCGTCATTGGTCCAGTCTCTAGTAGTATAGACGCCATGGGCGGCCATTGGAGCTTGAAGCAATGGTGGTGCATCCGGATTGCCATACTTTTCCGCCTCGGCATCGTTACGCCAGGAGTAGACCTCGTTCTCTGAGGGACTCGAGAGTCTCCTCTTGAAGTAACTTCCCGTGTTCTTACGACGGCGGTGTAAGAACCAGATAAGGAACACACCCAAAGCGAGCGCAATTGACCCCAATACCACACCAAGAATGATGCCCAGTCGTCTGTCCCAGGGGTCCCGCATCTGCGGTTCGTGACTTGATGATGTGGAAGTTGCACTTGGGATTGTGCTAGACAGGGTGTCTGATGCTGCAGATGTCAAGACTGGTCTGGCGTTCTCGGTCGTCGAAGCGATGGCCGAAGAGGGACTCGTATCTGATATCGAGGCTGAGGTCGTGGTCGTGGTTGAGAGCGAGGACTCAGTAGCTGGAATAGTGTAGGTCTGAGAGCCAATGACCACGGTCGTCGGCCATGTCATTGAGGCAACATCGGTAACTGTTGTTGATGGATAGACGTTCTTGATCAAGGAGTCGGCCTGTGATAGAAGCGATTGGATTCCGTTCTGGACCTGACTTGTCTCTGCTGTGACTATAGCTTCCAGAGCATTGAGCAGACCGGCCGGCTGATCGTCTGCGGTTGCCAATCCTACGAGGAGAGCAACGGTCAGATTGACCTTCATCCTCATGCTTAATGCTTTACTTGAGAGGAGCCAAGAGCGTTGTGATCAATTGATGACAATGCGTATCTGAGACTCAAATCAAGCTGGAAGAGAGATCAATGCTTCAAGAGGGCGGGAGATGATGATTAAAGAAGGAAAAAGGGTAGTCATGATTGAAGGTAAATTATCAAAAGCAAGAACTTGAGGAAAGTCATTGAGCGTGCCGAAAGTACTCTTCCACATGGTTCGAACCTACAGTAAGAGCACGCCAATCATCCCGTGCTGTAGATGAGTGATGGCGAGGTACTTTGTGCACCGGAAATGCCAATCCATCTTGTTAGCGACGACCCAATAAGCGAGCACAGCAACCCTGCGAAGTTGCCCTGCCTCCCCAGATCCCAGCCACAGAAGAGGGGTAGCCGTGGCGCCATGGATGGCTCTCGAACAGCTGAGCCACACTGAAGCGCCACGGATCAGCATGACAAAGCCTGGAAGAGAACTCGCTGCGGCTCGCTCGAGAGGGCCCGCATCAAAAATCAAGTTCTTAAAGGCGCATGGAGTCACTGATCACCACATTGATGCCATTGTGCATAGATAGCGTCTACCACAATGTCACTGTCGCAATTTTGCCTTCGATAACGCCGGACTTGCTGGCCTCTTGATAACGATTTCGCCACGAGATAGGCGACGCGAATATTGACTGGCATATTCGGATATGGCTTCCTCGGGCTCCTATGCCCCTCGTGTAGCTCATTGGCGACAACCAATTACGGCATTGTGCCTGAGTTCATCTGAATCGTTGCCCAGGCATGTCTCGCACACTAGCCACCATCAAGAGGCTAAAGCTGTCGTTGCGTGAGCCACAATTCGATTATTGCTTTGACGGTGTAAAGCTGTGATCAAGTCTGGTACGATGGTGACTGCAGTTCATATCGCATCTTCAGTATTTATGCGTGTGTGGCATACCAAGCTGCTCCTGTTGATCGCCGAGTGGTCCCATTGCATCAGAATTATGTCCATGCCATACTGGATACTGATTGTTTGTTTGAGGTACCGAGCCATTGTACTGCGACTGATAGAATGCAGTACTTTGCTGGAATTCTGGAGGATAGGTCGGAGTGATGAGTGGTTGAAGATGTTGTTGTGGTCCCGAAGGGGGCATGACTGTGTCTGCGAGGGGTACGACAGAGTCGGTAAAGTTCCAAACAGGGCGGGCCGGTCCATTAGAGGAGTCCTGTCTCTTCCAAACCCTTTGATTCAAGGAGGAGAGAAGACTCTCGGAGTCGCGTTGAAAACGATCACGCCAGCTCATGTAGCCCCATCGTAATCCAAACAGGCCTAGACAGTCCGTCAAACGCTTGATACAGGTGATGCTCCGCATGAGGTTCTTCTGGAAGTCTCTAGGGGTATGGGGTGCTGGTGGTGGAGGCGCTGAATCGACTGGGACATGTGGCGGATCTGGGATGATGCCTGACAAGAGTCTATCCTCATTTCCTTGCAATACTTCAATGAACTGACGGCCAGTCATGTACACTCTCATGGCATCGTAGAAACTCAGAGGAGCAGTCTTGACACGTTCGTTCGCGTGAGAGGTCATCTTCTCGGCATATTGGATGCAATGCTCGAAGATCAGGCTCTGTGCAAAGGGAGCGACGAACGGCATCCGTGGTGAGGCGGCGAGGATATAGATGTATGAGTAGAGCAGATTAAGTTCGAAAAAGGTGCGAACCTGCGGACTCATGCTTAGAGACAATCCAGCGAACCAACTTCTCATGGCTTCACAGGAGCGCCAGATGGTTGGGTAAGGATCTGACAATGGTATTCGTCCTGACTGGAACAGCTCAGTGTACCAATCAGATTGTATCCGTCTCAGATTGAAAAGGTCAATAGCTGAACCGAAGCTTTTGAACAAGATATGATTCGAATCGTCTTTCGCGTCTGGCGAGACCAAAGTTTGTGCCACAGAGAAGGGCAACGCAACATTCGCGGAATCATCAGAGAACGAGAACGCCCTTGACTGAATTAAACTCGTTGTTCTGTCGAAACCATAGACGCACCAGAAGACTCGTCTTCGTAGCTCAAGTTTTGCTCTTGAGATAGAAGTACTTCGGGGAGGATCCTGGTGAAGTCCCAAATCAACCATAGCGCGTGAGGCCGCGCCTATAAGCCCCCAGCTGTCGAAATGGTGAGGGTCGATCATTGAGTACTCATGCAGCAGTAACATCGCCTGCACACTCGCAATGGATCCCGGGCGGAGGACGTGTTCAGCGTGGACCAACGCTGCTGAGACATGTCCAATCGCGGCCATATAGTTGCCGTCACCACGTTGCTCCATGCGCCCAGCGTGTGCAATCGCAAGTACTAGTCTGACGGAGAAGTGATCGAAGGGTGATGCTGTGAAGTTTCGCAAGTTCTCCGAGTTGTATACAGCATCAATTGACGCATAAAAGCTTGACTCTTCGAAGAATGGATACATGACGAAAAAATTCTCAAAATAGTGCCTGATGGTGATCATGGCTTCGTTCCTGGGCGGTAGTGGGGTCACAAATCCAGGTGGTAGAGAGTCCTTAGTGCAAGCAGAGAGCACCATGCGGGCATAAGACATGCTTGAGGTGAATCCATAGAAATCTCGCGCAGTCGCATTGACGGTGCTTCAAAAGTCAGCATGGAATAAGGCGAGCAGAGAATAATTACTGACAGATAGCCGAAATCAGAAACGAGGTCATCAATCTCTTGAGCCTCAAGCCTCTTCGAAGTTCTGTTTCCGCCTTCGGAAGGGACATGTCGCAGCACAGCACCATCATGGTTGTGATCGTGATCAGTCACAATAGAGGCTTTCCTATGTTGAGACTCTTGCAGCCTTCGCTCAAGCTTTTCTATCCTTGTTTCCAAGGTAGATACATAGCTTCGCTCTTTGCCTCTAGCGAACTGATCATTGGTACTGGAGCATTCAGCTTGTTTTCCTGATCTTTCGCAGGCGGTACATGCCTAATTTCGTTAGGATCAGATAAGTAGGCGCGAGTCAGTGCGAGCTTACAGGAAGTTTGCCGTCGCATTTGATTTTCGCAGACCTACATCGCGAGCAGGCCGCGACCGGACGACTAACTCTGAGTAAGGGAGTTTCGAAAACCATGGGGTCGAGATCTGAGATTGTGGCTTGAATGGCTTTTGCATATGGTCAGCTAAGATTTAAGGATGTGAAGCTGGAGCGACGGGATAAAGTCCGTATGGCGGTGCGCTGCGTGTAGTTCACGATTGACTTACGGACGAAAGAACCACACCCCGAAATCGGTAGATGGTGTCAAAAGCTATCGTCAAGGCTGGGGCCAAGAACGTTGATTATGAGATAATTGGGAGAAGAATGGCGGTGTTAGTGGGAACGATGAAATGCGGCTCTCTAGGACCCAGACCCCTCTTGTTCCTTTGGAGAAACAACCGAGGGCCCTAGAGTATTTGCCAAAGTTTGCGCAGTCGGCGCTGCTCGTTTATCTCTTCTGCTTCTGTAACAAATCAAATAGCGAAATTAAGACAAGGGCAGCGACACTTGAGCATTCTTGGCTAGGCTGGTCGAATCGGAGAGGGCTTGCCGGAAGATTGCAACGGCTTTTTCAAGCAATGGTGCTGAATTTGCAGCGGTTGCTTCGTCCGTCATCCGAAAAGTCGGGTAGTCAAGGGATGTCAAGGGATCAAGATGTTGGGTAAAAGAAGTGCCGGGAAGTGTGCGCGAAGTGGCGCGAAGTGTGACACTGGCATAAGATATTGAGCCGAGGCGCACAAGAACAAAAGACAGGGAGGCCGCAGGGGGTCTCTAAGGAGTAGGATCAAGTCGACCAAAGCAGCTGGACCCTTGCAAGCGATCGATAGTAGTGGCTCCCCGCAGAGCTGAAGTGGATCCAGAAGGGAAAGCGAATCTGCTTTGGCTGCTTGTGAGACAATCAAGCGTCGCTTTGTACAGACGGGCGGTTACGGTTTGCGGTATGAGGCGTACCAAGCCATCGATAAGCCCATTGTGACCCATTGTGAGAGAAAGTCTCTGAGCCTCTTTGGACGAGTTACAGGCTGCTTCCTGGCGCAGGATGCAAGCCCCAGCAGCAGGGCCAGCCAAGGGCAAAGGCAAAGGCAGCCCGGCAGCAGCAGCGAACGATGACAGCTCGTCGCGAGTCGCCCACACGTTGACGGCGTGCTCGCGGTGCCGACAGGTACGATAGAAGCTTGATAGCACAGCTTGCGACAAGTAGACTGAGAGTGCATAGCGCAAAACACGATGCGACCCTGGCCTACCACGCTGCGGACCCTGCGAACGGACAAACTCGGTGTGCGAGTACTGGGATCCGGCCAAAGGCAAGAACGTCAACCGCGACTATGTCATCTACCTGCAGAACAGAGTGCGACAACTCGAAGCGGAGCTGGAAAAGGGCGAGGACGACGAAGGACACAACGACCCGGAGGTCATGGTGCGCAGTGGTGCCGGCGTCAAACTGCAAGAGCACGACGAGACCAAATACCTGGGCCCCTCGAGCGGCACTCAGATCACGCGTCTCGTCATGCAGCTGGCCAAACACTTTACCCACTCAAAGTCCATCAAAGAGATTGTCAATGAGACAAAGGCCCGCCAAGTCAAGGCCCTCTATGCCGAAGAGGCCTCCAAGCCCACGTCCAAGATATATCCCCTGACCAGCGACGTCGCTGCAGAAGACCTCCCTGCTCGCAGCTTGACCGATCTCCTGATCCAACTCTACAATCTCAAGGTCCAGCCAATGTATCCTGCCCTGCACGAGCCTTCGTTTGCAAAAGATGTCGATGTTGTCTACAATGGTAGCCCGGATCCCTATCAGAACTACATCGTTCGCATGGTAGTCGCCATCAGTCTGCAAAAGATGGATACCCAATACGCCGGCCTGGCCGACAGCTACTATCTGGCTGCTCTGCAATATCTCAGCCCTGTCATTCGACCCATGAACCTGAAAACTCTGCAAGCTTTCGCCCTGATTGCAGAGTACTCGTTGCTTACGCCCACCCGAACTGCCATCTATTACGTTATGGGTCTTGCCGTCCGTCTCGCTCAATCTCTGGGCATCAACGAAGAGCGTACCATCACTCGCACGCAGTCTGGCGGCAAGGCCGATTGTCTGGAAATCGATATGCGCCGTCGCCTATTCTGGTGCACCTTTGTCATGGAGCTTGGCCTGTCGCATGCTCTAGGTCGTCCGTCCATACTCGCCACACACCAAGATCACATCGACGTCGAATTCTTCGAGGCAGTTAGCGACGAGTACATCACCCCCGACGGCATTTCTCCTGGTGCTCCCAGGCCGAGTCTCAAAAAGTGGATTGCCATACACTTCTTCAAGATGCGCATGCTCCAGCTTGAGATCCGAAGAAAGCTGTACCAGAAGAAAAGAGCTACTCCGAAAGACGACAAGGACATCTGGTTCCTCCAAATGCAGGCTAAACTCGAGTCATGGAGAGATGCAAGTCCGACCAAGGACGAAGGCAGTGGCCTCAACAAAGTCTGGTTCATCGGAAGATACAACACTATGGTTGTCTTCCTCTACAGACCATCGCCACAGGTGCCTAATCCATCCGTCTCTGCCGCCTTGAAGGTCTTTGAAGCTTGTCGCTACAACATCTACCTTCAGAGAGAACAGATCACTATGGGCAACGTTGATCTGACATGGATCTTTGTCCAAGCAATCTTCATGGCTATTAACAGCCTCTTGTGGTCGCTGTCATTTGCCGAGGTGCGCAAGCAGAATCCTAGACAGGACGTCCAGAAACATCTACATACTGCCATGGAAGCCATCAGACTTGGCTCGGAACGTTGGCCAGGTGTACTATCAGCTATTGAACTCTATCACGATCTAATCTCGGCAATCTTGAAAGCTTACGACAAAGATGGTGATATTCCACTCCAAGAAGCGACTCCTTCAGACACCGCTTCCCCTAGTGGGAATCCCTACTCACCAAATGCCAGTCACTCACTAGGCGCGAGCCCGGGAACGATCTCGACCGTCTCGGTAGCCACGCCGCCAGAAAGGATCGCTCCTTATAGCACGTTCCAGCGCACCAGTGTGGAGCATCCTCCTCCGATGCCTTATCAGCCATCTGATCACCATGTCATAACGCCTCCGATCTATCGAAATAACCAAGCTCAACAATCTATACCACGCATCAGTGAGCCCGATGTTTCACCTGATGCATACCAGACATTACAGGCCAACAACTCGTCCTCCTACTTCCAACCTCTTCCCGGCAACTTCTCAGAAATTTCCGGGTCCAACTGGAGCAGCCAATATAACTCTCCCGCTCAGAGAGGCGGCTCAGACACCTACAGTCCCTACGGTCCGTCTCCTTCCGGCAATGGCCTAGCACCGCCAGCCAACTCCTCATACTCATCCTCGTCGCCGCTATATGGACCTGGAGACCCCGCGCAACAGACCGCTGAGAACATGATGGCGAATCCTAGCTATTGGGGTCAAGACATGTCACAATTCGGCTCTGGACTTGACCATGCTCAACAGAGTGAGTTGATGCAGTCGCTAGAGACATCTGGGATGGAGGATATTCAGCATATGATTAGTAGCACGTTACGTGCATATGGGCAGCAAAGACCACAGAATGGTTGAAAGGACTATTCGTCGCGATGACTACGCATTACGACACGATGAATGGCTTGGACCGGGTCTACAGATCCGGCCCATCACAATTTGGTGACAAGGTTCGTCAGGGTCACAATACCTTGAATTGGAGTCCCTCTGCCCAGGGTCAGCGATGTACCGGCGTCCCGCAGGCCTCAAGCACTCTTGTCATTCACGGCCTTGAGCATTGGCCATTTGCAAGGGCGACGTCTGATCAATGTCCACGGACTTGTGTAATCTGAACCGCGCAAGCAAAGGCTTTGGAGAACTTGAGACAACAGACTTGGACAAACAACAACCAGAACATCATGCAATCAGCAACAGCAATAGTACAGCATTTAGCAACAGCACAAGTTCAGCATAGCATGGCACAGCATACAGAGCACTGGAGGAAGAACAACACAAGGATTGATCGATCCGTGGAGACATCTCTCGGACTCCCAGGACCTTTATACACTTCCAGATAGCAAGCTAAACATTATACATTGAACCATCATCCCACATGAAACATGCCTCCTATGAACCTTTGTACTCTAATTTTACAAGTTCGTTTCACATAATCTGATCCAAACAAAACTTGGAGGGGCAAGCTTGATTGAAATTGTAATAAAAGCTACCAACTAGATATCTGACCTGCAAACTCTATTTGGCAACTAGAAGCAAAAAAGAACGAGACCCGAGAGTGGTGTAGACAGCATTGATGAGGAAAAAGAGCAACATGAACCATTCCCAAAGGACAATGAAGCAATTGAAAGCAAAGACATGTCAAGAGCAACGACATTCCGAAGTCTGATCAAAGTACCATTCGTCTGATGCGAGACAAGATGACAAGTTGTGTGTGAGAGAGAGAGAAAAAGAGCTTGAGATAACATCAACCACATTAGAAAAAACGAAATCTCGCGGAAGTAGAAAAGGGGTAGTTGTAGATAGGAAAGGAATCACAACAAGATAACAGTGCGAAGCCGAAACAAAACATTGCAGAAGGAGCAAATATGTGTATCGCAAGTACAAGCCTCCCGGAGTGGTGATTGTGCGGAAACCTGAAAGCAAAGAGCCACGCATGTAGTAATCCATAACCATGTCTCGTCTCGTTCTCATTCGTCGATCGTGTGGTGTCGTTCTGCCCGATAATCATGTTTTATGCAGGCCAGTACTGGGTACTGATGGATACTGCCATATGAGTGTCCGGAACGCCTAATGAGTAGCCCTGGAGTCGGCAGTGATGTATGCTCTGATGCGCATGGCGCCATATAAAGCAAAAGGGCCAGATGTGCAAAGTCGAGCGGGCAACGCGCCAGAGAATAGACAGAAAAGCAAAATATCAATAGTCTTGGGGTATGGGGTATGCCGAAAGGAAACAAAAGCAAGTGATCAAGATGCTGTGAAGCATGTCGGGGCCACGCAAGGCAGCCCCTATCTATTCGGACGTATGCGTAGGACCATCCTGGTGGACCGAAGCTGGAGGTGTTTAGAGGTCGTTGATTGTGAACTCGTCTTCTTCCTTGAAGATCGGTTCGTCGGCAGAAGGCCAGTAGCCTTGCACAGGACTGATACCTCCACTGCCACTCTGGAAGCCGGGGCTGAGACTTTGTCCATAGTTGGACTGACCTTCCTGTCCGTGCAAGGGCTCGCCAGCAAGATTGGTGTGGCCTGGGACTCGGAGTCCTGAGCCATGGCCTCGGCTGTAATCCTGGAGGTTGCCGGTAGCAATGAGCTTCTGCATGAGCTCATGGACCTCAGTCTCCATGCGTCTTCCGTCGTCGGTCAAGGTGGCAGACCAATCGTCGCCTCGAGCACGGGCTCTTGCCTTGAGCTCTGCGTTCTCTTCGAGAGTGTGTTTCAAGTACCACAACAGATCTCTAGTCCATGCGACACTTCCATTGAGAATGTCACCCTTGTTTGGGCCCTTGTCCTTGTCATCCATGGGCAAGCCTGTTCCCACACTTGTGGTGGTAGCTCTTCTGCCGTTACCTCCAGCCAACAGGGACGTAGCTTGAGGGGGTGACATGCTGGTGGCGACGATGGAAGGGGAGAGCGGGGCATTTGTCTGGAGATGCTTTCGGACTCTCTCGTCCTCCAGTCTGTGCATTGGAACGAGGCTAGCGAGATCCTGGATGCGTTCATTGATGTTGTCCCGTCTTCTGCGCTCGACGAGGTTGTGAGATTCTCTTCTGCGCTTTCTCTTCGCCTCTTGGGTCTGGAAAGCCGGAGGATTCTCCATCTTTGCAGGCAACGACGATGCTATCTTGCCGTTGGCTCCTGCATTCGAAGACTTGAGCACCTCGGTGATCTGGGGATGCTGCTGGTGCTGCATCAAGGGGTTTGATGGGGAGCCGAAGGGTGACACATCCTGCCATGAGTGGGGATTCGATACGTTCTCCCAGTTATTGACACTCGAACTTTGTCTGTGTCCGACAATGGCCCGAGGCTGCTGGGCCATGGTTGTGGATGGGTACTCGGGATCACCCAAGTGCAGATTGGAGATGCCAGGAGTGTTTGGAGTGGCAGGCGAACGAGAGTCGGAGATCTTACGCTCCATCTGGTGGACTTGAGGGGCGTTCAAGCCGTTCATGTAGCCGCCTGTAGTTGGCACGCTGTACTGGGGGCGAAATTGGCCGTAGTTGAAGTCGTTGACGAAGGGAGACTGGATGGGAGCACCTTCGGGTGTCGAGGAGTAGAAGTTGTTGTTATTGTTGTTGAGGTGTTGCTGGCCCATGTTCATGGGCATGCTGCCTTGGCTGAGGAAGTGCTGGTTGATGTTACCGTTGTTGAACTGGGACTGATGCATGTTGGCGTGGTGGTGGCCATCATCCATGTTGATGCCATCGAGCAGCTCGTCGTCGGCGAGGCCAGAGTTTCCCATGTTGAAACTCGACGACATGTTCTGGGGGGCAAAGGCCGAGTTGAAGTTGGAGTTGCCCATGGCATGGTCGCCGTTGCCGTTCATGCCGTTTTGCATGTGGTGTGAGTTCATGTTGAAGGCCGAGGGCTGTTGGTATTGATGTGGTTGGAAGGAGAAGTCTGTGGGTTCGGACTTGATGTATGGAGAGCCAGCGCCGGCCATTTCGGGCTTGACTGCCAACGAATCGAACTCGAAGGGCTCGTCGAAGGTGAACTCTAGCGGCGAGTCGTGTTGTGGGTTGTGAGTGTCCTGATGCGTCTCAAAGGGTGGGAAGGTGGTCAATGATGTGGGAGCTAAACAAGCAGGAGCGTTAGCCGCACTTTCTTATTTCCGATTAAGCAACCAAAGTCCATGATCGTCACAAGCCTGGCCCGTGGGTCCGAGGCAGCAACGAGTATGTGACTGGGGGATGAGCAATACTCACGGACTATAGGCATCACTTTGGTGTGTAGTGATGATGTGTGTAGTTGGAAGCTGTGATGCCACGCTCAAGCAGAAACCAAAGAGCAGATGTCCGGAGGCGGGAAGTCTGCAGGCACAGGAAATGGTTTGCTTCAGCGGGCAAGAGATGTGGCGCGGGAAGCAGTTCGGTTGGTCGAGTCGCTCCAGTCAGATCTTGTCTCAGCGGTTGTGGAATGGTTAGCCGTGTCGCACAGCAGCTGTAACGATGTAGTGGTAGATGACGTCGCGGTTATCGGCTGTGAGATGTGTGGTCGAGGCGTCTGCAATTCTGTGGTGCGATAGGATTAGCATCAGGACAAGAGTGGATGAAGAAGCAGATGTGGACTGGGTTATATGGGCAGGACAGGCAGGGCAGGGCAGCAACAAGCGCATGAACGCATGACGAATGCCAGGGAAGCGGTTCGAGTCGGATCACCGACCCGACAGCGTGTCTACTGTCAGGGAGCAGAGCGGCTGCATACAAGCGCGACACAGGCGATACGGCCTGGCTGTCGAGCCATAAATAGGAAAAGGGCAAGGGGAGAGGTGCGACGGCACTCACCTGGCAGGCGTGTTTCGCTTGGTCTGCACGCAGGGCAGCAGACAATAGTGAGAACGCGACGGGCAGATGGCACAAGATTATTTGTTGCGCTCTTGGGTGTGGGCGCGAGAGAAGTATGGCGGGGTCAGAGCAGCGATGCGCCGTACGACTCAAATATGGGCGGACGTGGAGTATGACACTCGCAGCACGAGCAGGGAAGCGGCGGGCGGCGGGGTGCTTTTGCGCCGGAGGAAGATGCCAAGACAGTCCACAACCCAGTCCGAGTCAGCCGGTGTGGAATGTGTCAGAGAGAAACCCCCCGAGATATATTTCTCGAGGAAGGAGGGGTGGGTGCAATGAGTCGTCGCTGAGGGTGAGACGACGACGGTAGACGGAAGGTGGTGGAGAGGAAGGGGGAAGGAGCGAGGAAAGGGCGAAGGTGAGTCGAGTCAATTAGCACGACCCCGTCTTTGCTGTCGTTGCTTTCTCCAGACTTGGCCGTTTCAAGGCGGTCAGGGTGTCGAAGCTCAGTGTGGGATGGCGCCGGGCGAATTGCGGACAGGGCGTGGGTCGGCCAGGACGATCAGCGCGGAGAATAATCAAAATCAATGATGTTGATTTATTCTGATCGAGGTAGTGTGTAAAGTACGAGAGTCTGTACTGATACTGTGCTGCTGAGGCGGCGGCGGTGTGCAGGATGCGGTACCAGAGGACTTGTCTAGTAGCAGAGGCTATGGTCTAAGCGAGCACGAGCAGGTTCTCGAGCGACAGGATGATAATAAAGCTGACCAAAGGGGAGTGATTGTGTTGCGCCGTCGAGGGAAAGGCGGATGCCGTATACATATATACCCCCCGATCCGTCCAAACGCCTCTCTCACCCTGAGGCTCCGGCGTGTAAAGGAGGGCGACCGTGACGACTGCACTCGAGATACCGTCTCACGCTAGGGCACGACAGAGTGACTCGTGTGCAGGACATGATCCACATTGCCGGAGCGCCCTGCCTTGTATTTTTTGTAGATGCCCTTCGCAGACTAAAATCATGTATGTACAAACGGCGTCTGAGCGCGTCAAAACTTGCTGCTGAGCCACAGATAGCAGCGGCCACTCTTAGGCGGCCGCTGCTGGCCTGGCCTGGCGCACGCACACACACACACATACACACTCACCCTCCTGTGCTCTCTCGCACGCAGGCAGCTTCGTATCTACATGCCCGGTCGTTGCGACTTGCCCCAAGCTCAAACGGCGATAGTAACAAAGCAGCTGCAAGAGCAGCGATCCATCGATCCACGCCCCCGAGACAGACTCGTCAAGTATGCAATATAACATGCCTCTGCAAGTCGCGCTGACATGGTCTCGGGTCGGACGAAGAGACAAAGCGCCCTTGACACCGGAAAGACGAGGCCGGCGACGCCTCTCATTACGGTCGAGGGTAAGTGGACGTGCAAGTCTCGCAGCAGAGCCGGTCGAGGTTGTGGAGAAGAGCTCTAGAGCGATTAGCAAGGTGACGGGGTGCGCATAGACTCGCAGTAATAGCCAAGCATTTGCGCACTAGCTAGCTCGGGCCGGCGCTGGATTGGCTTGAGCGGCGTGCTTGCATGATTGGGAAGTCCGTGTGGGGGGCAGCTCTTGCTCGTCCTTTCCCAGTTTGAGGTCGAATGCCACGGATTGCGCGCGACCAAATCACAAGGAGCAAGTGCTTGTCCGGCGGTGCCTATTTCGACACAGAGAGTCACTTGGGCCATCTTCTCGCCGATCATCTGCACTCTGCACGCAATCCCGCGCTTGCAGTCCAGCAGAACGAAGCTCGTCCACTCGGCCCTCGACCAGGCAGCGTCGTCAGGACTGCAGCCTTTGACCACTTTTCTGCACCCTCCAAAACGCCTACACTATCCACCCACTCCCGTCCCAATCGGTAGTTGCGGAGCTCGTGCGTCTTCTGCTGCTGCTACTGCCACTGCCACTGCTGCTCCCGCTACTCTAACGATTACGCTCCCCAAGGACGCCCACGCGCTCTCCCGCTCCCTGCCGCACGCCCCTGCAGCAGTTAGGCTACGATACACCTCGACGTAACCTGTCCGTCGTGTCTTGTTTCTTCCTGATCTGTCCTCTGCTACACCCACCCCTCGTCTCTGGACCCAACGCTCGCCCTCGCCCTCGCTTTCGTCTGCGCCCGCTCCTTCGCCATGGCTTCTTCGTCCTTTCGTGACTCAATGAATTCGCTGGGCTGGAGCCGTAGAGAGCCCGCCGCTATACCTGCAACGACGTCCAACTCCTCCAATCCACTTCTTGGCAAGCTGCAGTCGCTCAATCCATTTGGACAAGGGGGCTATGTCAGACTGCCTCTGTACGAGAATGAGGGGCCAGGTGCTCCTCTGCCCGCCCGCACCCGACGCGAAGAGGAAGAAGGGTGGTTTGCGCGTACGTGCCTACATTTCTTCTGATATCATTACTTCCCTCCAGCATGGTCTGCATCGTATCATCCGGCGCACGAGGTTCTACGTAGCTTCGAGCCAATCTGCGCCCACTCGCGCTAGAAGCCTCTGGCAGGGAGCGCGAGTGACTATGCCAGAGTTCCTGCGTTTCCTCAGAGATGTCCTGCCATGGTTGCTTCGGACCGCTGACTTGATATTCCAGTTAGCCGTTGGGACCGCTTGCTCGTCTTTGGTGCCCTGAACCTCGCCGCGATCGCTTTATTTGTCGTATGTTTCACTCTGATGCCAGTCCTGACCCTGCGCCCCAGGAAATTTGCAATCCTGTAAGTCTGCTCTATCGGGGTGGTGTGCGACCAAATTGCCGCATCATCATCATCTTCATCATCACATCCTCTTTTTTCTTGTGCCCTCTCTCTCTGTCACATATCATCAAACCGCGCTATCGTCTTTTGATATGGCGTTTCCATGCAGCCACGCGCGGTGGGGTCGCCGAATGGTCGCCACCCCGCCCAGCTTCGAGGTCTGGTCATGCGGCTGCTCCCATGCCTTCCTTAGTTCCCGCTCCAGGGCACGAACAAGATTACTAGCGTCTCTCTTAATCTTTGCACCAGCCATACATTCCTCTTGTGTGGCCACCTTTATCTCGACTCCGCACTGTCACCCGATTTAGCTGCTTTCTCTGATCGCTCCAATTACCTCTCCTGCTCGCTCTTGCTTTACGGCCGCTACGGATAAGGCTAACAAATCACCAGATGGTCCATGGCTTCAGCTCTCTTCCTCACCTCCTGGGCCGTCATGATGGGCCCATACACATACAGTGAGTCTCGTTGCCTAATTCGTCGATCTCCCTAACGGCCGTACAGTCAAGCATCTGCTTTCGACCGAGCGTTTGCCCTTCACTGGAACCTATTTTGGATCCATCGCATTGACCTTGTACTTTGCTCTCGGTGTAAGTGAATTCATTCTCCGTTGTTTACTCTATTGGAAACCTCAAGTCATGCAGAAATACTGTGTACTTGTATACCCTCACTCTTGTTTTATTCGTCCCGTCCCTCTGTGACTCGATATTACAACGCAATGCAAGCCAGCTGACCACCCGTAGCTCCGCAGCACTCTTCTGACCTTGATATCTTCCATCATACAACTTGTCTGCCTGGTGTGGTATTTGGTAAGCTATTTCCCGATGGGCTCCACCGGCCTGCGCTTCGCCGCCAGGTTCGGAGGCAGCCGTATAACCGCTTGGATGAACGAGTAATCAGCAAATTCGTAAGATGTGGTGCATTTCCACCGAATATACAACGTCCAGCCAACCCCTCACCAATCGTTTTTACGTTTCTTACTGTATTGCCTCATGCATCGACATTGTGGCTTGACGGCTTTCGAGCACTCTAATGTACTCTTAGTCCGTATTCGTGTAAATGCGTGCTGCTCCTGGATCAGTGCCGCCGGCGAATGAACATCTTGAGGCTGGTGGGTGTTGTGCCGAGACACTCCGTTTTCCTGTTTGAGAGAGCACTGGGCAACGGTTGACGCACGCACTACTATCTTGACGCATCCACAATCCCTGTTATAGAAGCACCTGTATATCTCATTTCTCCATGGCGTTCGGCGAGCTGATGGCGCGCTGAAGAAGCGATGAGGGATCGACCTGGCGCAAAGTGATGACGCTATCCATAAACGCTTGATCACCATCAACACTCGGCCGCTGCTGACCGCCTCAGTAGCTGCATGAAGGTGGATTGCGTGGATACAAGCACGGGATATCTTTGGCAGCGGTTGTAACTCCGAAGGGGGCTTTGCCTTTCAACTGCAAGATTGACTTTGCGCCATCGTCGCGATCTCGTAGACAATTCTCCGTGCCCTTGCACGATCCCTGTAACAGGGTCTTCAGAGACTGAGAAGGACTGAGAGGCTTTCTAGACATCACGAATCAGTGCAGGAAACGTTCTACATCCTTACGCTGTTCGAAGCTCCTGACCTCGGTACGAAGATCCACAAAGATACCGGACATGCAACCAGTACAATTATTTGAGCTTCACCTAATCTTGCGATAGCGGGACTGCGCGGGCGGTCAGAGGGACAAAACGGCCGGAACCAAGATTTGGCAACTTCAAATTCGACCTCACATGTAGCATGCTCGGCGCATTCTATTATCGCGGTAGAGCAAGAGATGACACCTTGGGATACGATGCAGATTTCCGTAAACTATGTAGATTCTGTTGTATGATACAGCCATGCTTTCGGCAGATGATCTCGGCTTGATCCCCACATCATGCCCCACTACTCCGCCTTGATGCGACGGCAGTGGAGCTTTCGGGAGAGACAGTCCATTGAAAGCGCCGAGTATTTCTATCTCTTCGAAACTCCTTTCGTTCTCTTTCAATTGCGGTAACATAGATTACGTTTAATTCTATAACATGGCACTCGCAAACAAGAAGGTAGAGAAACTCGATCGTCCTGACGAGTACCAGAAGATATTCCAGTAGGCGTTTCACGCCGACCTCTACTTACATTATCACGCTGACCACCATCAAAGCTGGGCAGAGACGCAACAGAATGGTGCAGTGCCTTCATTTGCAACCCGCAAAAATGATCCTTACCAGGTGAGTGTCATTCGCTCAAGCAGGTCTCGGTGAAATTACTAACAAAGTCACAGTATCAAGCTGGATTCAACAATCAGTATGTCAAGACCCTGCATTGGCAAGATTTCTTCTTGTCCCGAATCATTGGCAGCGGGCGACCCCAGGTGGCTTTGTGATTGCATACAGACAGCCTGCAATGCACTGTGATGGAACGACTTGAAGGCGTGAAGCCCGGACATTCGGGTTCGGAGAATCACAGTCTGCATCTCAACAGTCCTCGAAAAGCTACTGCAAGGCGGTCATGTCTACTTCGATGGTTGGTGGCTGAAGCCTCAACTTCGATGTTTGCTGCAATCCCGATAGTCTGGGTTTCTACGTCCCTTGCTGCTCTGCCTTACAGCCGTGATCCATGGAAGCGCTTTACCATTGATTCGGATAAGCAAAGAAACCCTGTATTCGTCACCTCCATGGCCTTTACTGACGCAAGTCTTTGTGTAGTTTCGAGTCTGAGGCGGTGCCTGGCACCATTCCTCGTGGTCAAAACAGTCCGAGATGTGTGCGATTTGGCCTTTACGCAGAGCAGATGACTGCATCTGCTTTTGTTGCACCGAGACACTTAAACAAGAATGCTTGGCTCTACAGATCGAGACCAGCAGTCGCACACCAGGGGTTTGTACGTTTGTCTCAGCTTGAAACCACCATTCTTAGACCTTCCTTCTCCAAATCTGGGAAATACAGAAGTCTGACGCGGCCATACAGACCAACTTGCCTGACAACTCAAATACTGAGACCAACTTTTTGCCTATCAACCCGCGCGTCCATGTCTCGCCGACTCAACTTGCCTGGCTTCCTTTTGATATTGCCGAGACGAAGCATGATTTCGTCGAGGGGCTCTGTACCATTGCCGGGTCTGGCGATCCAACCTTGAGAGAGGGTCTGGCAACACATGTCTTCACAGCCAATGTCTCTATGGAGAACAAAGCATTTGTCAACTCTGATGGCGACTTTTTAATCGTGGCTCAGGAGGGTGCACTTGACATTCAGACCGAGTTTGGCAAACTATACGTTCAGCCAGGCGAGATTTGTGTCATTCAGCGTGGCCAACGTTTCAAGGTGAATGTCGAGGGTCCTACTAGAGGATACATCCTCGAGATTTGGGGTGCCAACTTTGAGCTGCCAGAACTTGGAGCAATCGGTGCCAACGGATTGGCCAATGCCAGAGATTTCCTGAGCCCGGTTGCGTATTACACGGTCACCAAAGATGACCCCTGGAAGATTGTGTACAAGCTTGGTGGCAAATTCTTTGAGAGCAAACAGAAACACTGCCCCTTTGATGTGGTCGCCTGGCATGGAAACTACGTGTATCTCTTCCTTTTCTCTCTGCAACTTTTACGGCCGAATCTAATGCATCTCTCAGGCCTTACAAATACGACTTGACCAAGTTCGTCAACATTGGAAGCATCAGTGTCGATCACATCGACCCGTCCATCTTCTGCGTCTTGACGGCACGCTCGCGCGACCCAGCAGCTCCTCTAGCCGACTTCCTTATCTTCTCACCTCGCTGGGATGTTGCCTCGAACACGTACCGCCCTCCATACTACCATCGTAATGTCGCTTCCGAGCTGATGGGTCTCATCTACGGCGAGTACGCGGGCCGTAGCGACGAGTTCCAACCTGGAGGTGTCAGTTTCGAATGCGGCATGGTCCCTCACGGCGTGGCGTATCAGGAGTTCAAGGCCGCTTCTGCACAGCCGCCTCCAGAGATGCGCATCTCGGAGGGTGCAGTAGCTTTCATGTTTGAGAGCTCCAGACCATTCACAATCACCGATTGGGCTATTAAAAGCGACAAGATTCACGAGCATGATCCGGCTATGTGGGATGACCTAGTCGACAACTTCTCGCAGCATAAGGATGAGGTTGATGAGATCTTGAAGAAAGCGGGGAAGCTGAGCTTGTAGGCGTATGTATTGTGCAGAGATCATGATTGGTCGCAATGCACTTTGTGGTAGACAGGTCATTTGCGTAGCTGCTTTTGCATGTGAAGATGTTCATTTTTCTTTTAGCTGTTACAAGCTCATATTCCCGGTGATGTATTCTGCTATGCGCTAGGCAGAGATGCGAAACAAGGTGGGTGACACTTTGATAGGTGCTCGTCTATTCGGCTCCAAAACCAGGTCTCTTACTAGCTGTGACAGGTTTTGCTTTCCCTTCGCAAGTTGCTCCTGCACACGTATCATGCATGATGGCGTTCGTCATCGCAGACGTCGATTTTCGTATCACACATACTCATTTTCAGGGTTCTGGCCATGTGACGAGGCGATCCAGAAGCGGCCGCCTGGTCAAGCCCTCATGTACAAGGCCATACATGAATTTTGACAGCCAATCATTCGGATACTGCGAACCGCACGAGTTTTCAGAGACACGGCAAGGCGGAACGCTGCAGACAGCCGATGTCAAAATTGCTGCTCATCTTATGGTCCGCGCTGCGGGTTGGCGCAGAACATGTTTCGGGAGCACGAACGCCGCTACGTGACTTCGGGCAGAGGCATCACTGGAATCAGCGGTTCAGTGCAGTGTATTGGTTCTCGCTTGGATCAATCGTCGTCGTCGTCTGATGAGTAGGCCGCGAGACCAAGAGCGGCAGCGGGTTTGGGGGATGCTGAAGCACGAACTGTCGCCGGTGCCTTGTTGACCTGGTCGGAAACGACCTCGTCCATGGCCGCAACGAGTGGTTGCACAGGTTTGGCCGACGCAGATTGGCTCGCAGGCGCAGGACCAGGACTCGGCGGTGACTGCTTCTTGTCGTCTGATACTGCTCCTGATGTTGCTCCTGCATCTTCAGTCATCTGTGCCATGGAAGAAGAGCTCTTGCGCAGCTTGATGCCTGCAATCGCTTCCTTCTCCCGGTTTCTTTTACGCTTGCGAGCATTGAATGCCCAGGTGTCGCTTTCAGATTGATTGCTCGCCTCAGGCGCAGCCTCGCGGGAAGCTTTCTCGGTATCTTCTTGCTGTCGCCTGAAGGCTTCAAGTTGCTCAGCAGTCTCCTTTCTTACAGCATCCTCCTTGGCTCTCGTCGTTTCCATGACGGTATCCAGAAACTCGACTTCATCTTGATCCAATGACCTGAATTGATTCTTGAGTTTAGCTGCCTGCAAGAGATTCGTCAGTGAGTGAAAAATCAAGATCAGGTGGTTTCGCCTACCTCTTCAAAGGCGTCCTGCTTCGCATCTACGAGTTGTCAGTGTCCCGTCCTGCAAGGATGCTATCTCTCATCAACGATCGCTGCTCAAGCACACACCTTTATTAGCCTGAAGCACCTCGTACAAGCTCTTTCCGCCGTGCTGTCTGCTTTCATCCTCCTTCTTCCGTCGCGCAGCTTCAATTTGTTCTTGTGCTTTCAGCCATTCATCATCGCGTTCGGTGGGTTTGTCCACAGTTCCTCCCGAGACAAAGCGCGACATGATCACCTCGAGTGTGAATGCAATGCACAATGCGACAGACCCTTGCGCTGAACAACAATCGTCTCGGTGTTTCTGCTTCGGCCAAAATATGAAGCTATGACGGTGTTTGCCAAGCAAAAGTAGGGTTTCAGCTCCTTCTGCAGAGCTTATCCGGCGGCTAAATCCCAATACAGTAGGTGGGCTATAGCGGGGTCGGTGATGTGGCCAGAGAGCGTGGAAGGTACACGCGGACGGAGGTGGATAGGCGTGGACACAGGCTGAAGTGTAGGATTCCTTCGCCGCATCATGTCCCGCCGGGAAGCACGAGATAGGTGGAGATAGGTGGGGATACGTTATTGGGATAGGTCTTAAAACATTTCTCGCACTTCGCTGTGACCTTTCCTCTTTCTCCTCACTACTACCAACTCTTTACAACTCACCAAAGACATCACAATCAACCGCAATCATGTCTAACGAATGGACCAAGAAGACCTTCACCCTCAACACCGTAGGTTGCGCTGCTCAATGCACAGAAGACAGAGATGAACTGACAAATTGCAGGGTGCTAAGATTCCCGCCGTCGGTCTCGGTACCTGGCAATCCAAGCCCAACGAGGTCCGCGAGGCCGTCAAGGCAGCTCTCCTTGCTGGCTACCGTCACATCGACACTGCTCTTGCCTACGGCAACGAGGCTGAGGTCGGTCTCGGTATCAAGGACTCTGGCGTTCCCCGTGAGGAGATCTGGATCACCACCAAGCTTGACAACCCCTGGCACAAGCGTGTCGAAGAGGGTATCACTTCTTCGCTCAAGGACCTCCAGACCGATTACGTTGACCTGTACTTGATGCACTGGCCTTCGTCCACCGACCCCGACGACCTCAAGAAGCACTACCCTGACTGGAACTTCGTCGACACCTGGTAAGAACTTCTGCTATTCGTACCGTCTTGAATCTCTACTTACCTCGGAACAGGAGAGAGCTTCAGAAACTGCCCGCATCTGGCCGCGTCAAGAACATTGGTGTCTCCAACTTCGCTATCAAGAACCTCGAGATTCTCCTCAAGGACGAGTCATGCAAGACTGTCCCCGCCGTCAACCAGGTCGAGCTCCACCCCAACAACCCCTCCCCCAAGCTCATCGACTACTGCAAGGAGAAAGGTATCCACTGCACTGCCTACTCCTGCCTCGGATCCACCAACTCCCCTCTCGCTCACGACGAGGCCCTGAAGAAGATTGCTGAGAGTAAGGGCAAGTCTACTGCTCAGGTCCTGTAAGTTCATCCTCACCCACTTACTATCGAGTCGCGATCTAACGGAGATGAACAGGCTCATGTGGGGTCTCCAGCGCGGTACCTCGGTCATCCCCAAGTCCGTCACCGCCTCAAGAATCGAGGGCAACTTCCAGCTTGATGGCTGGTCATTGACCGACGACGAGATGAAGACGCTCAGCAGCCGTCCCGACCGCTTCAAGGTCTGCGGTGATGCCTGGTTGCCCGTCAAGGTCTTCTTCGGTGACGACGAGTAAATCCCTGAGCTCGCTGGCGAGTCATGACTTTCAAAAATGTAGATACCTTAACGGCAGATGATACCATTCAAAATTGATTATACGTTCTTTTTTGCTACGAAACAAAATATTGTTTGTTTGCTCTTGTCAACAACGCAAACATAACTGGTGACGAGGTGGCGGCGTTTTCGTACGAGATTGCGTGGAGAGAGGCACGCGACCAGAACTTGGCGTGAAGGCGCAGCTCTTGAATGTCACAGAATGTCACCGGCGTTCGTTCTGTCTCTGTCGCCGCCGAGAAAACGGATTCAATCGTTTCCGTTATGTGTCGGCCTCATAATCTGCTTGTCCCAACCTTGCTGTCGCGTGAACGTATAATCAAAGCTTGCTGCTCCTAATCGTGGGCGCCTGCTGTTCTCCCTTACTTCAACTCTTCGTGTGCTGCTACACAAAACCACTGTTAGCAAACGAATTATTCTTTTCCTTTCTAGCTCGTCGTATCATAACAACACTTTTCTATTACGGTACGAAGATTTCCTCATACCGGCATGGCGATCGATATGCCGCCCGCCAAATTAATCATAGCCTACGCGCTCGATTGGATATTAATCATGTAGGTAGTATACAGCGTCTGTGTGTACCTTGTCTAATTCTTATCCTCAGTGCCATTGCCGCAGTAGGTGGCGGAATTTCTTACGTCAAACCATACCATCGGCCATTTTCACTTCTCGATCTTGCCATCAGCTTCCCATACGTCGATCATGATGAGGTCTCGACAGTGACTCTCGTCGTTGTTTCCTTGATTGTACCGGCTGTCATCATAGCCATTGTCACTGCTTTGTTCGTTCCAGCCTTCTCGCGCTCCAGTATCCGCGACCAACGTTATTGGAAGCGCAAACTATGGGAGTTCAACTCTGGTTGGATGGGTCTTGGGCTTAGCTTCGCACTCGCCTTCTTCATCACTACTGGAATTAAGAACTTGATTGGAAAACCACGACCAGATTTGCTGGCAAGATGTCAACCGGATCTGAACGATATCGCAGCACATGTTGTTGGTGGATATGGTCAGGATATCTCGCAAAGATGGACACTGGTCAGCTCGTCTATCTGCACGCAAACGAATCAGAAGCAATTGGATGAGGGTTTCCGCAGCTTCCTCAGCGGCCACTCGTCAATGTCTTGGTCTGGACTGCTCTACCTCTCACTTTGGTTGGCATCGAAGTTCAACATGCTGATCCCCTATCTTGGCCACAGTGCACCACCCAGACGCAACGACGAAGACGAGACCGAACAACAACCTAGGGATCGCGCCGCCGCCCCACCAGTCTTTGGCGCCATCATAGTATTGATTCCCATCTGCGTCGCCTTCTTCGTCTGCTCTACTCGCTACGTCGACTTCAAACACCAAGGCATTGATATCTTTTCTGGTAGCGTGTTGGGAATCATAACTGCATGGATCGGTTTCCGCTGGTACCATGGAAGCCTAACAAGGGGGCAGCCTTGGACGTGGAGTCCTAGATCCAAGGATCGTGCATTTGCTGTCTCCAGTGGGACACATGGCTGGATCGGTGACGGAGTCGACGGAGTCGCGATGAGGGAGAGGCCACAGAGGATGCAAAGAACTAGGGATATCGACATTGAGGCTGGTGGCTCTGGCGATCCCATTGTCAAATGAGGAGCAGGCGCTCATCATCATGTACGCTCGATCACCGAGACTCTTTCATATCCATTCCAAGTCTCCCGAAAACCATAAGTTAGATCGTGAGCTTTCAATCTAGGTAGCGAGCCAGTCGGACCTCTCCACGTGATCTCTTGTTGCGACGGTGTCCGGCGCGGGGGCATGGTCAGCCCCTACCTGTACCCCTTCTTGTCCGTCATGTCCTTGGTTCAAATCAGTCAGTGGCTGATTGTCTCTTTTTTCATTTACTACAGATGTAGTCTTATACTTCTTGCGACGAATTGATTGATAACCAGCTTCTACTGGCTGCTTGCCCGTTCTTCATTGCCAGATTAAATGGTATGGACTGTGCGTCTTATGGGGGGTCGTGTTGTCTTCAACTCCTATCCTCTAGAGCTTCAAGCTCCTTGTAGTCACCCACCTGGACATTGCTGACCGTATCACGGGAGTCTGCATATTTATCGTCGCATCTAGCAAGATGTAGAGAAAGCAAGAGAAGTCAAAACTTGCCAGTAACGTGGACAGTCTGCACAATGTCTTGTCGCCAGAAGCCAGTTTTGAGTCGGGAAAGTCCAGATATGTATGTCAACTACAATACGATTCAATAGGCCATGACACCACACAGGAAAGCACCAGGTGTCAGACCAGAGCCCTAGCCTCCATTCTGCCGAACTGGGATGAGATTTTCATCACAACGTCGCCGTCTACGTTGGTCATAAGTCAGGACCAGGGTTATCCCCACGGCAGAAAAGTGTTGGTCGTTATCTGCGGAACGTTGCCGCGGTATTTTCGCTTAGTACATTTCTGTAGTATTCGTTATGAACCTGTTAGTAGTTATCCCATCCCTGGAACACTTAACAAGCCTTTGCTCGAGAATGGGGTCTGGTAAGGACTACAGCGATGCATCACAACAGAATCTGGCCGGGGTTATCAGGCTTGGCAATTCCGATTAGTTGGATCGACTACCTCAATGTTAAGCATCAGCATTATGGGTCACGTAGATCAGATGATATCTGACAGGATCGAAAGCACATGTATCAAGTGTTCCTATCAATTTGATACCTGCGAGTCGGGAAAAGCAGCAATCATGTTAGCGGAGGTATCTAGTTCTTTAGGACCCTTGTCATACAGACGTTCAAGGCCCGAGGACGCAGTGTTAGACAGTTCAACCATGATCTTGTGTGATCGTTCAAGATGGAGTCCACCTGCGATTGAAGCAAAAGTAGTACATCACTGTGGATGGAGATGTCACTGCAAACGCGATCAGAAGTCGCGACGTGCCGCAGTCGCGTTTGCTCAGAACTCCACGCGGCACGAGCGTCGACTGACCCTGTTTATGTTAAGCTTTTTGCGCACATGCACGTGATATCGGGTGGCTTCGATTGGTGCGTCATTAGGGGCAATTTCGTTTTCGACCAGTGAAACTGCAAACTCACCACCCGAGTCCTCGAACGATGCGAGACTTGTGAACATTCTCTTCTCCCCAATCCATACAGCAGGAGTCCGTCAACATGTCCGAAGAACAAGAGATTCCGGAGGAGCAACAGGCTCAGGTTGTGTCCGAACATCTTCCTTCTGGTTACACTGCCGAATTTGGCGAGGCCACCGGCAACAACGATTCTGGGGTTGAGTCTTCTCTGAACCTCCAGGGTGGAGATATACACAGAGATATCTTCAAGCTCAATGCCAACCCCCGCCAGGCACTGCATCAAAGAGCCGCCACATTCTCTGCTCCTCGTGCGCGCAGAGAAAGCTGGGATTCTGAATTGACAGCTTCTCAAGCACGAGCTCCTGGCGCTTTCCGTCGTCAATACATGCAAAGACAGCATGCTTTCAGCAGTGCAACAATGCCCGTCACCAGGAATTTCGTCGAGTTTTTGAGCCTTTATGGAAGCTTCGCTGGTGAAGACCTCAACGAGTCCGACGACGAAGCAGTCGAGGACGAGTCAGATGAGGAAGAGGCTCCTGCAACCGAGAGAAGACCTCTGCTTGGTCGTCGCAAGTCATCTAGAGCAGCCGCCAAGGGTGATGCTGGCACAGTCAAGTCCTTCTTCACCCTCCTCAAGGCTTTCATCGGTACCGGCATCATGTTCCTCCCAAAGGCTTTCAACAATGGCGGTATCTTGTTCTCATCCATCACTCTGGTTTCGATCTCGGCCGTTTCAATGCTTGCTTTCCATCTATTACTCAAGTGCCGCAACCAGTATGGTGGTGGTTATGGTGATCTTGGTAAGGCCATCGCTGGAGACAAGATGAGGTCCCTCATCCTTGCCTCGATCACCATCTCACAAATCGGCTTCGTTTGTGCAGGTGTCGTCTTCGTGGCTGAGAATCTTCACTCATTCCTCTCTGCTGTGGTCAAGGGCGATATGCCTATCTCAGTTCGCGCATTGATCGCGATGCAGCTCATCGTTCTGGTACCTCTGTCCTTCATCCGTAACATCTCGAAGCTCGGCCCCGTCGCAATGTTGGCCGATGTATTCATCATGATCGGTCTCGGCTACATCTACTATTTTGATATCGCTACGATCGCTAAAGAAGGCATTCACCCCACCGTTCAGCTGTTCAACCCGGACCATTTCACATTGACCATTGGATCGGCTATCTTCACTTTTGAAGGCATCGGCCTCATTCTGCCAATTCAGTCTTCTATGAAGAAGCCCCAAAACTTTGAGTGGCTTCTAGCTGTGATTATGCTCATCATCACCGTCATTTTCACCTCAGTCGGCGCCTTGTGTTACGCCACTTTCGGAGACAACACGCAGATTGAGATCATCTCCAACTTCCCTCAAGACAGCAAACTTGTCAACGCCGTCCAGTTCTTGTACTCCATGGCCGTACTTTTCGGCAACCCAGTGCAGTTGTTCCCTGCTATGCGTATCATCGAGGGAAAGCTGTTCGGTCACCTGTCCGGGAAGAAGGACGCGCTCACCAAATGGAAGAAGAACGCTTTCCGAACTTTCCTGACTGGTGTCTGTATTGCCATTGCTATCGCAGGCGCCGGCAACCTGGACAGATTTGTCGCTTTGATTGGCTCCTTTGCATGTGTACCTCTGGTGTACATTTACCCTCCTCTTCTGCACTACAAGGGATGTGCACAGACTCGTCTCGCGAAGGCTGGTGATATTATCTTCATGTCGATCGGCCTTGGTATGATGGTATACACGACTGGTGTCACGCTGGTCAACAGTTTTTAGGAAAATGTAGCACGAAGTGCGCACTGTAACCAGTAATCAGGGCTGATTTTGTACAATACTTGGAACGTTAACGACACACGATCACTTACATCGCCTGTAAAAAGAACAGCCCCTTGTGTGGGGCCAGGAAAGCAAAATATTATCATTTTTCAGGAAACAAGTACTGCCGAAATGTTCAACATTCTTCATCATATGCTGCAACTGTCATATGCGCGTAGGGCTATCTGATTGGCAGTAAACAAGGTCGAGCAGAGGGTCATCGACGTACTTGATGGCCCGAGCTCAGGAGCATCATCTGCGTGGGTCCTTGCGTGCTCTTGCCCAATCGACTAGTTTAACAATCTGCAGGGTAGGAAGGAAGCAACGAATGGAAAATGCTGAATCCATCGAGCTCGATTTGTGCTTGAGAATGTCGTGCTCGTTTCAACAAACTAAATTTTACCTCTCAACCAGGATATGCCAGAAACATCAGTCATGATGAAGTCAACTATAAAACACAAGTCGCGGACCTGCATAAGGAGAAAAACTCTTTGTTCGAGAACAGTTATAACATGGCATCTAACAAGTTGGAATCCTTCTACAGGTCTTGTCTCTTCCAGATCATCATCGTTGGTCTGGTCGGGTTTTGTGAGCCTGGTATATGGACAGCTCTAAACAATCTTGGTGCAGGTGGCAATGCCAGCGTAAGTTCAATAATCTTATTTCGGCTTGTTGTAGTATTCGGCTTACCATGTAGATAATAGGCCACCCTCAATAACGCGGCCAATGCATTGACCTACGGTCTCATGTCAATAGGCTGTGCACTTTGCGGAGGTGTCTCGAACTACATTACTCCAAAATGGACACTCGTGCTCGGAGCCGCTTTCTATACACCTTATGCAGCTGGTCTCTACTGCAACAACAGATTCGGCAATGAGTGGTTTTTGCTCTTAGGAGCCGGCCTGTGTGGTGTTGGTGCGTCGCTGTTGTGGGCAAGCGAAGCAGCTATAGCTGTGGGCTACCCTGAGGAAGCAAAGAGAGGAAAGTGAGTTTTAATGTGTTTTTCAAACAATGAGGAGCGTAGAACTGACATGGATCCAGATATGTGGGTATATGGATGGGCATCCGTCAGCTGGGACCGCTCGTCGGTGGAGCTATCTCCCTAGCCATCAACATCAACACAGCCCATACAGGGAAGGTCAGCTACAAGACATACCAAGGTCTCATCGCCATCTCATCTCTAGGTGCTCCATTTGCTTTGCTCTTGTCGCAACCTCGCAAGGTCATCAGAAGTGATGGAACACCAGTTCCTTATATGCGCACCACAAACGTCTCCATCGAGGCTCGCGGGATCTTGAAGTTGTTGAAGACTCCTTACCTCGTACTGCTCTACCCCATCTTCCTTGCTGGGCAGTTCGGTACGACCTATCAGGGAAACTACCTTACAAGTATGCTGTCAACATGCTAGATTGAGGAAAATCAACGCTAACAAATAACAGACAACTTCACCGTTCGCTCCCGAGCCCTGGCATCATTCCTCAGCGCAGTCGTCGGTCTTACAGCCAACCTCCTCACAGGTGCACTCTTGGACTTAAAACTCACGGCGACCATCAAGTCTCGAGCGGTATACTTAGGCATCGCTCTTGTCGTCACTGCAGCCTGGATATGGAACGCCATCGTTGAAGTCGACATTTCCAAGAGCTCTACCGGACCTGATCTCGATCTAGACGATGGCGCATTCTTCAACTCTGCCTTTGCCGTATACATCCTGTTCAAGTTCTTCTACGAAGCGATGCAGACATATATTTACTGGCTACTCGGTGCGAAGAAGGGTACGCAAAAGAATGGAGAAGTGTCGCGCATGACCGGTATCATGCGCTCGTGGGAGTCCATCGGCTCAGCAATTGCATACGGCATCGGTGCTTCGAGCGTCTCGAACCGCAACCAGATGATCATTGCCTTTGCACTGTGGTTATTCACGATTCCGCCGACTTTGATGGTGGTCTTCGGAAGATGGGACCTTACAGCGGATACTGACGAGAAGGTCGACTATACAGAAGACGAGCAAAGCGAGACGAGTGGTAGTGATGCGGAAGCCACTGTTGGCGTTACGGAAGAGCCAAAAGCATAGAGGTTGTAAGTCCGTAAGTATTAACAAATAGAACATTCGACCAACATTGATGTTCTCTCATGTCAAGATTTTCTCCGGCAGTACGGTTCCCGATTATCTTGGCCACTATAGCGTGGCTTGGTGCGATAAGATGACTGCATATCAATATCGAGGATCTGCATAGCCTCAAAGAAGCGAATCCTTCGAAGTCCGTAGACGTGGCCGCTACATAGTCAGCGATGCGCCGCCATGAATATGTACCCTAGACTCTCGACCATATGTCAAGATGCCGATTGAATCGATTTTATCGCTCGACGGAAGCTACGGGTCAGCAATACTAGCCTTGATCTTTGGAGCCGGCCTTTTGCTCGTAGGCTACCGCGCCTTGTTCCATCCTCTAGCGCAATTCCCTGGCCCTCGGCTCGCTGCCATTTCTGGTCTGTGGCAAATTTGGCATTATGCTATCGGAGACTGGTCCGAAGTCATTCTTGAACTGCACCAAAAATATGGCAAAATTGTCCGGCTGGCACCGAATGAGCTGTCGATCGTCGACGAGGCAGCTATGAAGGCACTCTATGGCCATGGTACCACTGCTATCAAAGGTTGTTGGTACTCTGGATTCCAGCCTCCCCAAGCAGCACCGAATATCTTGGCCACACGAGATCCGAAAGTCCATGCTTTAGTCCGTCGCAGAATAGCTCCTGCTTTCAAGATGACTGCCGTACTTCGACTTGAGAGCTCTATGCAAGATTGCCTGGATAGACTCTGGCAAAAGCTTGGGAAGTCTGCGTCGGAAGGCGTGACCGTAGATATGTGCCATGCTATTGATACTCTGACCTGGGACATCATGGGCCAGCTGTGTTACGGAGAACCTCTGGGGTCAATCGTTGGCGCCGATAACATGAATCTCCAAGGCATTCTGAACAGTCTGATGACGGTCTCCACGGTTCTAGGACTTATGTGGGGCCAACTTTTCTGGGTTGATAACCCGGTGACTCGCATCCTTGGGATCAAGAACCCTATCGAGGAGTTTTTCAATTGGTCGTCGGCGAAGGTTCGAGAGCATGAGGATGCTGATCGCAGTAATGTCCAGCCTGACATGGTTGATCACTTTCTCGCTTACAGAGACTCTGAAGGGAACTCGCCATCTCATCTTCAAGTTGTCGACGGTGCTTTCGCGGTCACGTAAGTTTGTTATGAGGTGTGCTATGGTTTCGAGGCAACATGCTTACTGAGAGAAATAGAGGTGCGGGAGCAGATACTGTGGCGATCGCGATGCGCTCAGCTCTATATTATTTGAGCTCCAACCCAGCAGTTCTCCGAAAACTGCAGATAGAAGTTGACCAAGTGGATATTGGCGGATCAATCTCCTACAAACAGACTCAACAGCTTCAGTACCTAAAGGCGGTCGTCAGAGAAAGTCTGAGAATGTACCCCTCTATACCAGCTCAGCTGCCTCGAGTCGTGCCTGCAGGTGGCCTGTCTGTTGCCGAGCACAGTATTCCTTCGGGAACGGTAGTAGGCATCAGCAGTCTGGCCCAGAACAGGGACACGGCAGTTTTTGGACAAGATGCCAGTGTGTTCAACCCGGAGCGATGGCTGGGTGCAGAGTCCGAGGCGCGATCGCTGGAAGCTGCTCTGTTCAACTTTGGAGGCATAGGACCGCGATCCTGTCCAGGTAGAGATCTTGCTATGGTAGGTCAGCCCCGCATGTTTCATCCTCATACTGACCACCGCAGATCGAGTTGTACAAGTTCGTTGCTCAGATGGTACAAAAGTTCGAATTTGAGCTGGACGACAAGGAGCGGCCATTTTCAGCAAAGACCTACTTTTTCGTCCTACAATCTGACATGCGCATGAAGCTCGCTCGTCGAGAGAGACGCGCCAAAGCTCAGGCCAATTGAGTGGCCTCAGTGGTTGCAAGGAAAGTTGATCATGTTGGAGGACAGCCTCTATTGTTATTTTCTTAAAAGCAGGTGTTGATGGATTCTCCTCCCCAACACAGCCAGGGATAAGACGAGGGCCTTCTCCAAAGTGGGGGTGGGGTAAATTTGAGCGACCCCAAAGGTGCCGATCTCGGATGTGCTGCGTCGGCAGGTCCGACCCTGCCTATCTACCCCATCGGCCAGAAGCCGTAGATCATTGTAGCATCCTCCTTTAAATGCCTTTCGACATGTGTTGTTCTCTGCTTGATTGCTCAAACACTATCTCACATCAACATGTCCATCATATCGCTCGCAGAGGGTAGTTTGTAAGATATCCAGGCCCCTTTCTGGATATGTAGCAATCAGTCTAACGTGTTAGACCTACGGTTTCCAAGGAAGAGTTACATGCTGCCGCGAAAGGAAGAGGCTTCTCAATTCCGGTTGGCAGTCAAGATGAGACAGACTTCCTGCTGTTGCAGAACAGCTTCGATGCTGTCGCTTCTGCTGTAGCTGCTCTGCCTGAATACATCGATCCAAGAGTTGAGCCGACGCCAGTCGAAGGCGGGCCGCGGAAATGGAGTAGACCGAGCCAAGGTGATAATCCTTTGAATGCTTGGTCGCACAAGGTGGCTGTCTCTGTTCTCATCAATATTGTGCGACCACTAACAGTCTTGTCAGACACACCTCAAGGCTTCTGCTCCAACAAGCAAAGCACTGTCTGGGAAGACTCTTGCCATGAAGGATAACGTCAGCGTTGCTGGAGCTCCTCTACGTCTTGGTACTGCTCCAGAACTATTCAAAGGCGGTAAATATGCTATCAGCGAAATCGATGCAACAGTAGTCAAACGCATTCTCGAAGCCTCTGGAACCATTTCTGGAACAGCAGTATGCGAAAACTTTAGTCTATTCCCCACATCTGTATCAGCAGACAGTGGCCCAGTACATAATGCTTGGGCGACTGGATACATGACAGGAGGCAGTAGTTCAGGCTGTGCTTCAGTAATCTCGGCCAAAGACGTCAGAGAGCGTAGCGAGAAGATTGGATTGACGTTCAAGACTAACGCACTAGAGGAAGAAGGTGTTGACATGGCGATTGGCGGTGATCAAGGAGGCTCAATTCGCGCGCCAGCATCTTTTGGCGGCTTTTATGGTCTGAAACCCACGACGGGATTAGTTCCCTACACTGGAATAGTCTCCATCTTGCCGATGATCGATTCGACAGGACCTATGGCAAGATCTATTGAGGACATTGCACTTCTACTTGGTGTCATTGCAGGCTACGATGGCATCGACCCTCGTCAGACCCCGGAGACGCCTCTTCGTCAAGCTGTGCCAGATTACACCGCGCTCCTCGCCGAGTGGCAAGCAGCCAAGAGGGAAGCCGGCGAATGGACTGCATCGTCAGCGGCAAAGGGGCTCCGGATCGGCATCCTCAAAGAAGCCTGGGAGATCGCCGGCCTGAATACCGACGTAGCCGCGATCGTCAGGGCTGCAGCGGAGAGATTTGGTAAGCTCGGAGCGGAAGTCCACGAGGTTTCGGTGCCACTACATTTGCAAGGACCGTCGATTTGGACGGTTGCAGGTCGCGAGGCTATTCCACGATTCTTCGAGAACAGGGCTTCTGACCTTCTTTCTCACCCCCTGCCAGGGCTGGAACCGAACCCGACAAACCAGATGTTCTACGACAAGTTGGTCTACAAGAACCCGGCTGTCATCAATGTCGTGCTCAACGCCGAGCACATGGAGACTAAATTTGGACCTTCGCTTACTCGCAAGGCTCACATGCTCGTTCATCAGCTGCGTGCTGAGTATGACAAGGTGTTCGAGAAGGTGGACATTTTGATCACACCGACTACGCCTACAGTTGCAGGAAAGCACTGCAACTATACTAGTGTTATGGAGATTGCACAAAAAGCTGTGGGTGTAACGCTGAACACTTCGCCTTTCAACTGCTCTGGACACCCCGGAATGTCGATGCCATGTGGTTGGTCGGAGACCGCGGATGGAGAAGGTAAGCTGCCGGTCGGTATGCAGCTCGTAGCCAAGAGGTGGCATGAGATGGACATATTGAAGGCTGCTTCTGCTTGGGAGGTGCTGGGCAAAGGAATGGACTCGTGAACAGAAGTGTAAGATTAAGACGTAACTTCATTATATGTAACGCCCGGGTACTAGTTGCAGTGATGATAGCCATCTTCAGTCCCCATGCTTCGCTTTGGTAAAACAATTTCTCATCCATACGTGTATGGCAGAGGTGCAGGTTCCGGTGTCGACTGCACCGAGCCTTGAAATCATCTAGTCCCAGTCACCAGCACCAAGCTCGACAGGTCTACCATTTCTCATAGCATCCATGATCTCGTCAATGTTCCATGGCTCATAGCGGTAGCCAGGGGGATAGTTGGGAGGTACACGCTCATCGTCTTCGTGTCTGATACCCTTCTTCATACCATCGACAATATTTTCATAGTTCGAGTGCATGTAGTGCTCGGGGTCGTGGCTCCAGACCCACTTAGGGAGCTTGGGAGCGGCCATGCGAGGGTTGAGCTTGACTTTTTCCCAGTCAGTGTCTTGCAAGAGCTCTGCGTTACTGAAGCCAAGCTTCTGTGCGCAAGAGTTGCGGATGAATCTACAATGAATGTTAGATTATTCACTCAGAACGAAGAAGTATGTACTTGTTACTTACCGAACTCTGACATGAGCACGTATACCCTCATCAATCTTGTCCTTACCAGCAAGTTGCAGGCAAGAGGCGATGGTGACGGCGTCCTCGATGGCCTGGGTGGCTCCATTACCGGACGCAGGCAAGAAAGAGTGAGCAGCGTCACCAATCTGGACGACGCGAGCACCAGGTGACAACCAAGTCGGCTGAGGATTTCTCCACAGAAGCTCGAAGTTGATGATGGTATTGGGTGGTGTGCACTTCACAAGTCTCTTGAAGATAGGAGCCCACTTGTTGGGTCCAGGGACCTTGTCCATGCCCTCGAGGACCTCTTCATAATCAATGGTGTTGCTCCAAGACTCGGCTTCACTACCAGTCGCGTCGTGGTTCATGATCCAGATCATGGTGTCGGGGCGGGTCAGGGTCAAGGCGTAAGTGCCAGGACCGAGCCACGTGCGAACGATGGGGTTCTCACCGTTGATGAGAGAGAAGAACTCCTTGACTTCAGGATCCTTGTCAAGATGCTCGATGGGGAAAGCGGCTCTCCACATGGCTCTGCCAGAAGAGACAGCTCTAACCTGACCACCAACAAGCTTCTGAGACTTGGAACCAACACCATCAGCAGCAATGACAACGTCGGCCTCGTACTTCTTGCCATCATCACAGAGAACGCCGGCCTTGTTGTTTTCAATGTCCTCGTAGTAGTCGACGACACGGCGGCCGAATTCGACCTTGACACCGAGAGATTCGACCTGGTTGACGAACATCTTGTAGACAAGGGGGCGCATTTGAAAAGTGCCTGGAGGAGTACCAGGGTCGAGGCCCTGAGCCTTCAGACGATCAGCGACCTTAAGGGGCTTGATCATCTGTTGACCAGAGTGCTGGAAGGTCTCAATCCAGGCATCGTGAAGACCGATTGAGTCGTATTCCTTCTTCATCTCGGGCCAATGATTGAAGAATCTGGTAGCACTGAGACCCATGAAGTACATGTCTCCAGCTGTGTTGATTGTTTCATTACGCTCAAGGACTCTGACATTGTGACCCTTGCGAATGCACTCGAGGGCAGCAGTCAAACCTGCAAGACCGGTGCCGACAATGAGGACGTCGATACCGGACGGGGGGTAGGAGCCCAAAGGCTTCTGCTCCATCTTGGTCGTCATGTTGATGACTGTTCGGAGAATTGATACTGGTGGAACGAAAGAAGATGCATCTTTCTAGCAGGAACTACCCACGTTTTTGTGTAGTTGTTGCTCGCACTCAGAAATGCCCGACGCTCGCCATGCAGGCACGAGATTGTCGCAAGTCGGTGGTTTGGTCATGCCGGAGCAGCAGGACAAAGATTTCGGGTCTCCAAAAGAGTCCGGCGGAAGAGATTCATGACGAGCATGATAGACATGATCAGCGCCCATACATGCCTTGCTAGTGCTGCTGCTGCCCATGACGGCGACATCTGGCTTTGCGACCGGGGAGAAAAGTCACCCAAGCGTCCAAGCTGCCACCCCAAACGCCTCGAGCCACCCCCGCTCAAGATTTCGCTGGGCATGCACATCCCTTGCACTGACAAGGTTCGTGCACCGGCGCGGGCCGAGCATGAATTGAAGACGTCGTTTTGTCCAGGAGCACTGCTCATCGCTGCTCTTCACAGCCTGCACACCATCATTCACCTCCGAGATAGCGCCCGCCAGTCACACGTTCCTGATCGTCGTAACGCTGGCTCGAGTTCATTGAATCGATCTCGGACGCGCGACTTACCACAGTGCGAAGCATCATACCACAACTTCCATTCCGGACCCGGTACCTTGACCTCCGTCACACTGCTTCGCCCACGAAAACGCGGTGTAAGGCAGCTACTGTTGATTCTGTATTGTGCAACCCACACATGCGTCTCATGAGACAACATGTCTCGATCTTGGTGTACCTTCGAGTGGCCCTGCTTGGCTTTAGATAACCGAGCAGATTGAGTTGTGCCGCACGCCAGTAGTCACTTGTTCGCTGCGGGTAGAGCCTGCGTAGCGTCGGTATCCTAGCTAAGCTCCTCATCGCGAGCAGCGTTCCTTGGCTAGTCGCCAGCCTTGCAGTTTATTTCCCAAGGCCTATCTTTTGGTATGTGTCAACGTCGCATCATGCAGTAGGGCAAAACCTGCTCATCTATCCCAACCAATTGGCTCTCGTATCTACCGTCGTTACATGAGGATCTCATCAGCATATTGCGATAGACTTCGGGAATCTGACCAAGATGTTGGTGAGCACTGGGAAACCAGTCTTTATAATATCTTTGTTTGTATCCGAATCCTACACGGCTATGTTGACTTCTGTCAGCAACGAGGCCGATGGTCGTTACGATTGATGGGACCCGCCTTACGATCTTGTGGTGGGTATGTGCTTGCTCAAGAGCGAGCAGACCTCATGAATCATCGTGCAGCGACGATTCTTGGGCTTGCATGCCCACACCCAAAGCCCCCGTTAGAACGTTTCCGAGGTGTCTGATCGTAGATCGACCCATCATTGCCACATGAGCTTTAGACTTGAGCATATTGTCATGCTCACGGCACGTCTGAGGCTCGAGAATCTATGTTTCCTTGAGATAACACCTCTGCCCTCCCACGCTCTGCACTCCTTCTCTTTCTCTCCTCTCTGTACATCAAAATGCAGCCCCTCACGTTAGCTGTCATTGGAATTGCCCTTGTGGCCTTTGTGGCCATCTCTATCCTGAATAATGTGCGGCGTCCCAAGAAGGCAGAGGCAGACCACCAATTGCCCGGGCCCAAATTATTGCCAATCATTGGACGCATTCACGATATGCCTATCCAGAAGATGTGGATCAAGTTCAAGGAGTTTGCAGACATCCATGGCCCCATCTACTATACAGAGATGCTTGGCACAAGTTTCATCATTGTGTCTGATGAGAAGATCGCCGAAGAACTTCTTGTCAAGAAGGCCAAGTACAACTCAGACAGACCTGCCGTACCCTCGCTCTTTGACTCCAAGAGTACTCATGGATCGATGGAATACCTCCCCCTTATGGGAAAGAACCGTAAGAGACTGTCCCCTCGTTCAATCCCATCAACATGCTAACACACTTGTAGAATATTGGGCTAGACAACGTCGCTTCACTCACGGCTACCTGACGCAAGCAACTAATGCTGGCTACTATGGTGTCATGCAACACGAAGTCAAGAGATGGATGTTCCGTCTTTTGGAGAACCCTGACGCCTTCAACTATACTCTCGAGGATATGGCTTCCAAGATCATGTGTACATTGAACTGGGATGACCCAAGCTTGAGTGAATATTGTATCGGTAGTGCTTGGGGTCTGCTTACACAGATGTCTCCCGCTGGCCCCATCACCAACATCCTCACACCTCTCTGGCGGTTACCCGAAATCATCAATCCTTGGAAGAGAGCCGAACACAAGCGTCATGACGAGCAACAACGCTGGTGGATGGAAAATCTTGTTCGTGTCAAGACCAACATGAAGGCAGGCACTGCTCGTTGGAGTTTCACCAAGCAGTTCCTTGAAACAGAAAAGACCAACAACCTTTCCGGCGACTACGAAGCATCCTCGGTTCTGGGTATGCTCGCACTGGTTGGTATCTTTACCGTTGCTGGTCCTCTCAATTACTTCCTCGTTGCCATGGTCCACCACCCCGAGTGGCTTAAGAAGGTTCAAAAGGAAATTGACGAACAACTCGAAGGACGTATGCCGAGCATCGAAGACTTTCCCAAGCTTCCTACCCTCCGCGCATGTATCAAGGAATCTATGCGCTGGCGTCCAAACGTCCCCACTGGTGTTGCACACGAGGCCGAGCAAGACGACTACTACCGCGGTTACTTCATCCCAAAGGGCGTTCGCATCTTGCCTCTCGACTAGTAAGTTCAAGCCGTCCGCTTTATGCATATTTACATACTGACATGTTATCCCTAGCGCATTCCTCTTGAACCCAGTCAAGTATCCCGACCCAGAGAGCTATCGCCCAGAACGCTGGCTTGAGGCCGGCTGGCCAACTTTCCAAGAGCCATTGACACAACATCCCAACATCAAGGGCATGACATCCTTTGGCTTCGGTCAAAGGCAGTGTCTCGGCATGTCATTGACGCAGGACGAGCTCATTGTGGCTTGTGGTGCGCTAGCGTGGGCGTACAACCTCAAGCGCAAGGTTGACCCTTCCACCGGCCGAGAGATCGAGGTGCCTACCGACAAGTGCAACTCTCTCCTCATCGTCAAGCCGGATCCATTCGAGATGGCCTTTGAGCCTCGCAGCGAGGCCCGCAAGGCAGACGTCATTCGCGAGTGGAAGATGTCCGAAGCTAAGGATCTCGAGGAGCGGGCTGCGTTTGCTAGGGCCGCAGCGCTTGGGCAGACGCAAAAGTTTGACGACATCATCATCTAAACAACATGTCCGACTCGATATATCCGGATCATCACTCGAGTTATTATTACGGTGAGGCAAGCGGTCGTGATGCCATTTCTTGGCCCAGGCGGCGCCGTAATCGTGCTTTTGTTTTGTCTTTCTTGCCTTTTTTGTTCCTTGCTTCTTATTTGTTTCTAGCTACCCCTTTATGTGCTTGTTCGCTCCCAGCAGCCTTGCTTTTGTTGGTTCATCATATGAGCCAAGACTTTTCCCAGGACGAGATAGATATCAACGTATCTGTTCATTCACACAAACTCTTTGTTCTGTCTGGATATGCATACGAAATGTACCAAACGCTGGTCGTACGGCCGCAATCTCATTGTCTCCGGAGTGATGGGCAATTAAATGCAGGCAACCGTGTGGTTGGAAGGAAGAGGTGAGATTGGAAGATCAGGTAGGGATCGGCCCCTGTCAATCAACAAGGCGCATGTCCGCCCGGCTGGTTGAGCAAGTCTTGACGACATATTTTTCTGGGGTAGATATAAAATAACAGGCAAGATCGACGCGCCACCTCGTCTCAAGATTTCGGAGTTCAAGGCGGAGAGCCGATGCAGGGTTAGTTAGCATCAAAAGTATATGCAAGGCAGTCGCTGCAAGGATTTGGGTTGGGTGTTGGGCAATGTGTTTCAATAAGGTCGAACGTCATGCAAATGATGTGATTTGTTTATGGGACTTGTGCGTCAGAGTGTACAGCTGACCCTGTGGTCGTTCTGCACAGGAATTAATCTTGGGTAAGGATTACGATGTTGGCTATTGATGGTTCATGCAGTGTGAAAGTGCAGGGCGAGATCGCCATGTTTGTTCTTGCTTGGCTGTATATACGTATCTCTGAGAGACATTCAGAATCTACAAGACGATAACTTGACTTGATCCATGGCCACGAGACATGCATGCAAGCATGACTGTAGATCTGGAACAATATGTTATGCGAAGAGAATGTGTGATGCTCGCTTGGAAAGTCGTCTCACCAACACGGCACAGCCGGTAGACAAGGCAACAAGTATCGTGACAATCGGGCATTACATGTATGGTAAGCATTGGCATACAGATGAGAGGGCTATCTCAGCCTTAGCAGGTCCTTTCTTCCCGTGAAGAAGAGGACGGCGGCGCCAGCCAAGGCAACCGGAACAGTGGTGGATGCAACCCAGCCGAGTGTAGAGAGGAAGCTTCCCCCGTGCGAGTCGAAGTTCTTGGGCTTGACTTTGTTGCGCATCTCCATGGCCTTTGCGCTGTCGACAAACTCTCTGATTTGGATGATCTTGGAGCCGTCCGGAGTGAAGCGTAAGAGCATTATGCACTCATTCTTCCATTGACCAATGTCGGGCTTGTTCAGCTGACCGTCCATGATTGCGTGAATGACTACGGCGTTGTTGTCTTCGTCCTCGTATACGTTTTGCGGGACCATGGCAAACGTGGTGAATATGGATGTGATGCCTTGGGCATGGCCTCTGAATTCTTCTTTGGAGCGGGGCGGCATGCCCAGCGACTCGGGCAGAGCTTGATGTGTGCACTTCTCGTCCAGGTGATCGAGGATGGCATCCGGTGAGAGGGAGCCATAAGCGTCAAGCAGCGAGTAGGCTGTCTTGAGTCGTGTTGATCGCTTATCGGCCGCCATCGTGTACTCGTAATAATCAGAGATTTTCTGTAAAGGCCGCTTCGAAGATATGTACTCGAGTATGGCAGTGGCTATCCTGTCAGGGGAGGTCGACCATGTTCAGGGAGCACCAGTACGACTTGATTTCAGCCAGATAAGTGACACCTACTATTTACCCAATCCAGGATCATCGCTTAATTCTCCGAAGCGCTGCATCTTGCACTACGACTGTCTTGTAGCACACGTCTCGCACGCTGCTTGCAAGGAACGAGTTGGGGACCCGATGATCGTCGTCAAGCTTGGTTCTCGGCGTCGGAGGAAATCAACACGCGCCCGTCGGAATCTGCATCCACCATCCAACCCTCTGCCTCAAGTCCGTTCAATCGAGGGATGATGATGACCTTGTTGAACTTGACCTTGAGCTTGCAGCAAGCATGTGACAAGGGCACTGTAGCCATGTCCTTCACCGGAGTCGCCGTTTCTGCCTCCTTCTCTGCATTCGAATCTCTTGCTACCTAACTATACACACTATCCATCGACTACCAATATGTCTCGCGTTCTTCTCATCACAGGAGCTACTGGTAAGCAGGGTGGCTCTGTCATCGATGCTCTGCTTGACCTTCCCAACGCCTCCGACTTCACCATCTTGGCTGTGACCAGAGACTCCAACAGTGGCAGCGCAAAAAAGCTCGCCGACAGAGCATCAAACATCAAGCTCGTTCAGGGAAACCTTGACGACGTTCCCGCTCTCTTCCAAGCCGCCAGCAAAGTCGCCCAGCAGCCAATCTGGGGCGTCTATTCCGTGCAGATCTCGATGGGCAAGGGTGTGACCTTCGAGGGCGAAGTCAAACAAGGTACCGACCTTATCGATGAGAGTGTCAAGAATGGTGTCAAGCACTTTGTCTACAGCAGCGTCGAGCGTGGTGGTGACGAGCAGAGCTGGGACAATGCAACTCCTATTCCTCATTTTCAGACCAAACAGCTGATCGAGATCCACCTACGCGATAAGGCACAAGGCATGGGCTGGACCATCTTGAGACCCGTCGCCTTCATGGACAACCTGCAACCAGGGTTCCCTACCAAGGTCTTCTTGACTGCGCTTCACAATCACCTTGGCGACACCAAGCCTCTCCAATGGGTCGCTACCGCGGACATTGGCTTCTTCGCAGCACAGGCCTTTATCTACCCTGAGGAATGGAACCACAAAGCCCGCGGTCTGGCTGGCGATGAACTCACCTTCCCTCAAATTTCCAAGGCTTTCGAGGACGCAACCGGCTCTCCTGCAGGAACCACCTTCTGGGGCCTTGGTTCTGTTTTGACTTACATGGTCACTGAGCTGGGCCATATGATCGGTTGGTTCGCATCTGATGGTTACAAAGCCGACATTTCCGACCTGCGCTCGATCCACCCTCAGATGTTGGACATGAAGACCTGGTTGAAGAAGAAGAGCGCCTTCACAACCAAATAGATTGTCCACGAGTCCCAACATCATCTGATCATTTCTTAGTTCATTCTGGGCGCAGCCTCAGTACGAGGGGACTTGTTTGTTTTCGGTTGGTCGCAAGTCGTTGGCGTTGTTTTGGGACGGTTCATCGCAACGGGCGCGGGAACAAGCAGGCAAAATACCAATCCGGCATTCTTCAACCACTCACAATTTCCGTTTCCCACCTGCTCTCTCCTGTGGAATGCTCGCTTGCATGGTCTAGCTCTTTTGGACTCCGCGCTACAGAGCGCTACTGGTAAGCTTAAAACCAAGGCTTGAATCTCCGCGCTCTCCGCACAGGAGCACGGCCATTTGCGCATCTTCCGTCGTAATAGCTCGGCCTTGATTGGCCAGAATGTTCAAAACATTGGTATTTGGCTTCATGACCGTTTGCAGAAATTTCCCGCACCATGCGCCGCTGTGCCTGATTCGTTCACGATCTCCCAGATCGACGTTGTGCACGCAGGGACACTGTCAAGTCATGGAGATTATCTCTGACTCGATCTCAACACAGCCTCACAACATTGACACTCATCGATGACTTGAGGTATGGGAATCCACAGAGAGAACATGAAGAACAGCGAATATGTGCTGAGGGTAATGTAAGGAAGGACAGTGTAAGAACAAATGAACCCCTGTGTCGATATAGCAACAGTTGAAGGAACGAACGGCTTCAGTGGTTTCATGAAAACAGAAGGTCGGTCGCTCTCCCGCATGTCATTCCTGTTCTTTAATTCATGCGCCATTGACGTTGGTGTGTCTTATTTCCCCGACCAAGGGGAAGCTCCAGATTTGGAATGACCCATGGCGGACCACAGACAACTCGAGGAATGCGAAACCACATAAGCTCGAGACAATCCGTCTTTATTCCTTGCTCTTCTCTCTCATCCACGTTCTTTCCACTCGTCGACCACACACACACAAATCACTTTCACTATGCGTCCCTCCACTTTCGTTGCCGGCCTTGCTGCCGTTGCTGCTCCTGCTCTTGCCCAGAACATGTCCATCTGTGACAAGTACACCACTGCTCTCCTCAAGGAGAACACTGGTGCCAACCAGTTGACCCTGTTGACTCTCCTTGTCAACACTGTTGTCATTGGTAACTACACTACACCCAACATGAACGCCGTCCCCGGTATTCTTGCCAAGGGTAACTACATGGGCACCGAGGTCAACCTCCTCCCCTACTTCAACGGTGGTCTCGCCTCCTCCAACCGTGGTGGTGCCTCTGGTGTTGCCATCAACTTCCTCGACGACGGTGGTGCCGCTCCTCTTATGAAGAACCTGCCTTCCACCGGCACTTCATCCAACCAGTACAAGCTGATGACCCACTTGTACCAGTACTTCGGTGCTCTCCTTGGCTGCTCTGCCACTGGCTTCCCCAGCTACGCTGGCTTCGGCTCCCAAGCCGCTGTCCACAGATTCATGGACCTCTCTGCTGCAGAGGTCGGCTACTTCATCCAGCAAGTTGCCCTCGCCGCCTCTTCGTTCGGCGTCTCCCAGGACGACATTGCTGTTGTCGGCAAGGCCCTTAACACCATCTTCAACGTCCGCTGCGCTCCCCCCACTGTTGTCATCCCTGCTCAGGGTGCTCAGCTCCAGAGCATCTGCCAGGACGAGACCTGCCTTCTCGCCCCCATGGCCACCTGCGCCGCCTACCCTGCCACCATGAAGCCCGCCAAGGCCAACGACACCATGGCCGCCGGTGGTGCCGCCAACTCCACCAAGACTGGTGCTCCCGCTGCCACTTCTTCCAAGCCTGCTGCCTTCTCTGGTGCCGCCGTCAAGATCGGTGCCGGTGCCGCTGGTCTCTTGGCCGCCGCCGTCCTCGCTCTGTAAAAGAGTTGTGTGATAAGGAAGAATGTGTATGACGCGCCGACGAAGCTTTATCATTTCGTATCTCTCTATTGTCCCAATTTCAATTTGCAAGATACCACGGAAGGTCAATGTACTACTAGTACTTTAATCCATAATCCAACCTTTAAACATTTACATCATCTCTCTTCTCTATACCAAAGTGACTTTCTGATCAGGCACTCCATGTCTCCTTCTATTGCGATGATTTCTCTGACTGTGTGACGCTTGTGTCCAACTCACACGATGTGCGTTCACAGAGCCTTACCGAGACGGCTGCTTGTTGATCTGGTCTTGTCACTCTTGTGTACTCTATCGACGATGATCGCACGCAGAAAGTGCGATTTGCGAGATACACGGAATGTTTCCTCCTCATTGCGACCGACCGCATCGTCTTTGTGAGTTAGACCCGTGGCGCATGCACTTGTACTGTGAAGGTGCACAATATCTTTCGCTATGGTGTCGAGCGAAGCTGGAATACAAGCATAACACTTGGCTTTTCCAGCTTACTCGAGTACATGCTCTCCTATACAAAACCCACGGTGCATCATCGCAGCTTGCATCATCAAATACACGTTTGGAGAAGCGGGATTTCATCCAAAAAATCGCAACAAGGTTGTCTGTTGCAATAGCGACGTAGGCTACGGTCGCCAAGCGTCGCTCTCCGCCCTCCAATCGCGACTTCCCAGACTTGTTTCTGCCTTGCATCAAACCTCAAAGTTCTGTGACCACTCCATGCGGACGATTTAACTCTGATGCGCTTCTACATCCAGAAATTAGTCCTTCAACATGCACGTCAAGCCACGTATGGTTTTGATACCCTCCCACCTGAACTTTTACAGAACATGTTCAACCATCTCTTGGAGATGACGGGTCCCTCTTCGCTGATGTTCAAGTCAACAAAGCCTGCTACGATAGCTGTATCGGCATGTTTTGGTGCAAATTCAAGCAGTCAAGGTTGGTACAACGAATGGGCCATGAACGTCTACAGTTCCATGCCAGTATGGTCTGAGCCAGGGATGTTGATGACGATCCTTCATGGGAGTTGTTCGATGGCCTCGACTTCCCTCTGCTCAGAGTGGTGACCATCTCGGGCGGTGCTCTCTCGGTGATGCAGCTTCGCGCCTACCTACAGCGTCTGTACATACAACGGTAGGTTGATTGCGAGCTCGACACGTCAAGGTTTGACATGGTAGCGACCTGTTGCACGCAGCGACTTGGAGAGTTGAACTTGGATTACCCTTACATGCAAGGCATCACATCTGGTCAGTCTACTGCATTGCTTCAGAGATTCCTGTCTTCGGCTGTGTTGCGTAGCAGAGGAAGCCATGGACAGTGTGTACGAATGGATAGGAACTGCGTTCGCTCGATTGGAGAAAATATTGATCCTCGGGACGGAAGACCGCCCTGCTTTAGAGAACCCTAAGCCTTACGGTGACTTTTTACAGCATCCCTCTGTTAATATGGCTGTTCGGGTGCCCTGACTGAGGTAGACCTTGTGCTCAAGCATATGTCGCCTGGTGAATCTGGTTCGACTCGATCTCAAGTTCAGCAAAGAGGGAGAGTTTATGCTTCGAGATTTTGAGCGTCTGGCGAAGCTGTCAGAATTGCAGAAGTTTCACACGGATCGGGGTGCATAGTCCTACATCGATCCATGGAATGCATCATACCAGACTCCTTGGCTGAGTGACGAGCATTTTCGGTCGCTGTTCTCCAAACTTCGATACCTCCGAGACCTTCGGCCCCCTTTCGAGAGCTCCGGTCTCACAGGCCATGCTTTGCAAGCCCTCGCAAGTAGCTGCCCAAAACTTGAGGTGTGTGAGCTTCTATGGAAGCACCATTCGCTTACTTGGACGAACCTTCAAGCACCTCTTTTTCCCGGCCTGGAGAAGCTATACCTTGGTAGTGTCACTCCTGATGACTGCGACAAGCCAAACTTCTCGAGCGTAGATATCTTGCTGCGGAGACTATTCCCTGGTATCAGAGAATTTGGCGTGAAGTGCGGCGGCACTACAAGGAAATTCAGGCGAGGCTCATAGATTCTAGCATACTTAAAAAGCTGGGAATCACAATTGGAGTTCTCGAGCAGGCCTGCGTCTAAGCTTGATCGACATCACTATTGCGATATCTTATGGCTAGAAAAAATATCTTAGGGATGTTATTTCCCGTTCTTTGGTAGTTCGAGTTCGCTCGGAACTGAATGTCACATGAATTGCCCAATCTAAAGATCCCTTGTCGAGTGAGGCAGTACAGACAGCGAACTATAGGAATATAGGACATGCGTTTCAATACACGACTGGGGCATATACGAGGGGCCAAGGAAGATCTATGAGCCGCGCGGGTTATGGACAGAGTAGGAGACGTCGAGACTAGTACTTGGTGGGCGAGATTTTCCAAGAGTGACGAGTAAATACTAAATAGGTGCCGTCCAGGCATGAGGCATCACTACAAGAGATTAAAGCCGGAGGTCGTCGTGCTGAACGCTGTCCTGCTGTGGACTTGCACGGCGCCTTGCTTTCGCTCTTGGTCGCATCAAACGGTCAATCCAGGATGGACGTTCGATTGTGTTGAGCAAATCTAGTGTTCGATTCCGGCGTGATGTGTCCCTCGCTCATTGGTTCCAAGTCTCACGGCAGAGAACCCAAGCATCTATGTAAGCTCGATGAGAACCGATATCTCGGCAGTCAAGGACTCATCCGAGAACACCATGAGACCGACTGGCGCAGCCCGTGGCAGACGCATTCGACGTGTGATGGTTGGCTGCCTGCAGTAGGCACGTTCATGATGGTATCAGGTAGGGGCGGACGGGGACACGCTCAGGGACCGAGATGATCCAGCTCTGGGGCTCCACGATGAAACCGTAGTCGCTGTCTTCTCGATACCTTTTCTTGCCTGACCACGAGCCCAAAAGTTGATATCGGGTCCAGTGCATCGCTCTGAGTCGACGTGGCGTTCTGTCCACGGACATTCGCTACTGTTTCTTTCCTGCTCATCTCCGTGTCGACCAACCCGCTTGTGGTAGACTCTGATGTTCCCATCCATTGACCAGCTCCTTTCCAAACGGCAGCTGCGACTCTCGATCCATAGTCGTAGTAGCTTCCTCCTTCCGGATCAATGCTCACGTCGTCATAATTAGGAGCTGTGAACAAAAGTCTGGTTGTAAGGCCGTAAAGGACAGTAGTCGCAATGATAAAGGCGACGAAGAGGATAGCTCTTCTTGCCAGTCCGTCGTATTTCATGCTGGTTGATTTTCTTTGATGCTCCTTCTTAGACACCAGAACGAAGGCAATGGGAAAGCTTTTTCTGGGCTCGAGATCGGACCTACCTCATATTTCACTCATCTACTTTATATAAGCAGCCTCACTGGCCGGTGATTGAACATTCTAAAATCCGTCTTTAGGGGACAGGCAAGACATTTAGCGCAGTTAAAAGTAGAAGAATGCGAGATTGCGAAAAGGACAACGGCTAGTATTATGCAGAGTTGTGCTGCGTCGTTGCACAACTCTGCATAATAGCCTTTCCCCCAGAAGTGGCGCGAGCGTGCAAGATGACGTCGATGACGCTCGCTATTGATTCGATATATCCCATTCACGACCATCTGCCTTTTGCCATCTCTCTCACATCAACAAATGAACACAAGACACATTTTTCGAATCACTCAATCACAAATACGCATTACACGCAGAAACATGTCGGACAAGACCCAGCAACCCTCTCTCATTGGCGGCCATGCCCAATACGTAAAGGGCGCAGCAGAGGTACCTTGCACCCCTCTCTCTCTCTCTCTCCTTACTCGATTTTCCCACAGTGTCAAAAAGTCTAATACAAACCACAGGGCGTCATTGGTAGTGTCACCGGCAACACAGCATGGCAGCAAAGTGCCGAGACCGACAAGCAAGGCGGCATCGACGCCATGAAGGCCGCATCCGCAAACCGCGATCCCGCCACCGATGGCTACGGCAAGGTTGAGGAAGTCGCTGGAAAGCTGTCCGGCTGTGAGGGCATGGAGAAGGAGGGTGCTCAGTCTAAGAAGGAGTAAGATTTGATGCGAGTAAAGAGGGAGCAAGACACTTTGTGAGACGGTACTGTTTGAAATGAGGATGAAGTTACGAAATCAAAGATATGTTGATCGAGCTCTGCGACGTCTTGTGTGTGTGTGTGTGGATGGTATTGAGATGGATGTCTTGCTGATGATATTCGTCCTGACGTCTTTTCCTGTTCGGTACAAGTAGAGAGAGGTCAAACTTGTACATGAACCGCAGCTCTTTGTGGAACATCCTCCGATTGTAGCGACTCGATCTCGATACGCACCAAAGCTACTAGCTACGTTCATCCTGAGCCGGTTCTGATTCCAACAAGCAAGCTACCACTACCACCGACTCAAGACCCTTGGCCTTGAAACCCTCCGCAACACATTTAACCAAATACCTCAATATTTGCTCATCACTCATCCCCATTTCCGAGTGGAAGCCGCCGCAGCGACACGTAGAATAAACTCGACCACTTTGCCGAGAAACAGCTCCACATCTAACGACCAAGCCTTTCCTATCTTTAGCCTCTTCAAACTTCTTTACTTTGTCCAATATCCCATCCAAGCGAGGAGACCAGAATCCTGTACCATACGCCGTTTGTTCAGGATTCGTGGCCAGGGAACGGGATTGTCTATAGTCGGTTCTGAGAATTGGGAGAGTGGTGACTATCTTGCGGTAATAGTATATTTCTCTCGTGAGGCTCGGGCTTATCTTTAGTAGCGCTTGTACACCTTTTACAAAGTAATCGTGCTCTTCTTCTAGAGCGTAGTCGTAGATTTTGTTCCGTATCTCCAAAGGCAGGGTCAAGAATCCGGTCGCCATGGTAGAGTTTAGTAGCTGAAGCGGCGCTCGAGTATTACCAAAATCTTTGGAAGATGCAGCAAGGTGACTATGGAGGTGCAAGATCATTTGGCAAAGGAAAAAGTATCAAGAAAACGGATGCCATAGTACAGTGAGTCAGCGTTGGAGAATATGTGAGTCAATTATGGGCTGCCACGTGGGATGCAAGCCAGTCGGTCCCCTGAGTCCCTGTGTATAGCGCCGATATTCAATCGAAATGCTGCTCGTCTCGCATCGTGTTGCCGGCACCCGGTATAGTTGTCAAGCAGCGCGAGAAAGCTGCAGATCGACGACCCTGCTATATCAGCTTTTCTCTCCCCATTGGATGAGTAACGAGTAGTAGCTGTGAGAACACATAGTCCTATCAAGGATCCTGGACTACACTTCGATAGTAGTGGTTCGACAGGCTCCTTTTCCCACACAAGAGCATTCGGCCAGAAGCTCAAGGTACACCCAAGAGAAACCACTTGCGCCAACTCAACTCTGAGAGACCGTCGTAAGCAACTCCACTCGCCTTCAGAGACTCGACCTCGCCAAGCGTGAAGCTGATCGGAGACAGCTCAACTCCCACCACAAGTTTGCGATCAGTGGAGAAAAAACAGTATGAGGTATGTCTGACAAGTGTCACACCTACTCGTTTCAGAAAACCGCCTTCGACAATTCCACTCACAAACATGCTTCTACAAGACCTAGCATCCCTAAGCGACCAACAGTCAAAAGCTCGGGTATCGTACGGATACAACAGGGGGTTAATGAGAAAGGGCAGATTAGGAGGCTGAAAACCAAGCTTTCTGGGATGCGTTTCAGGAGGCTGATTTGAGGAAGCATGGACCTTTTGCATTATCGACGCATGTGATTGTGGATACTGGGTGTTTTCTGGAAGAATAGGGGTGGGAAGTAGAGGTGTGAGATGGCGAATAGGGTCAAGAAAGAGGTGTTGAGGGGCGGTCTGTTTCATGTTTTGGCCTCGAGGCTTGGTGGTGGGGTGGAGCGTATGTTGGGGTTAGTGGATGTGGTGACCGACCTGACAGTAGCAGCGAGTGTTTAGCAGAGCACATGTTCAACAATCGATTGTCCAGCATGTACGCGTGCATGGTAGAGGATAGACGTATGTTCGCACGTCACTCGAATTGCGCAATAAGGGCGAAACACAGGTGACGAGCGAATAAAGTGTTTCGAATAGACTTGTTTTGACTCGTCCTAATGTGTCAAATCTAGGTCTTGATCATCTATGAAGCGGCGGAAATGCTCATGTGCCTTGGAAAGGCGAAACCAAAGAAGCAGCGGGAACCCAATGCTGCAACACCGCCCATGCCCAGAAAACGCCAGTATATACATGTCAGCCTAGGAGCAAATGTGGCTTGACGGGAATCATTGAAAGAAACAGATGGATCGAGTAGTCGTATCAGATACCAAGTGCGAGCTTGGCTCTCTCGTATGCAAAGAAACTTGTGGCGACCATGGGTATGATTTTGATGTAGCCGACGCCTAGGCCGACGAAGAAGCCTTTGAAGCCAGTGTCGCGGTAGATGCGTCCGGCAACCTCCATCATGCCTAGACGATGGCCGTCACCAACAACACCGCCAACCTGCATGCGTCTTCGCACGACCTCTAGCGGGTAAGACACGGTCTGCGAGACGAAACCAGCAAAGCCGCCAGTGCCTAGTTCAGCCCACCATGTGAGCGGCACGGGCTTGTTGGGGTCGCGCCTGATGGAAGAGTCGGATTGGGGGAGTGTAGTGTATTTTGCTAAGCTTGGTTTTCGCATAAAGTCGCCGGCTGTGTCGTGGGTAAGGAATGAGCAGCCGGCGTATGGGAGCATACCCCAGAGTGTGGGTGTGAAGCCTCTGAAGAAGTTGACCATGCCCGAGGCAGGCGTCGCTTTGTTGAGGGCAGCAGAAGTTGCCGAGATGGACGAGGTTGCGGCGCGGGTGAGCGAGGAAGTGTCGACCTGCTGCGGACCTGAGCGTACGGGCGGAGGCTGCTCGTGGTAGATGGTCTTGCAGATTTCTCTCAGGCTAGTTTTGTGTTGTGTTTTGGTCTCAAAGGCCAATCGCACGCGAATGACTTCTAGTGGGTAGGTGAAGCAGACGGAGATGGTACCAGCCAAGCTGCCGCTGAGTAGACGGCGGAGGGGCGTCTCTTTATCTTTGTTGGGGATGATTTTGGCGCGGATCTGCTCGTAGGCGAGAAATTTGATACCGGCGTAGGGGAAGATGCGGAGCAAGGTTGCTGAGTGGCCACGGAAGAGGCCTCGCGTGCCCTCGTTCGCTTGGATGTCACGCATGGCTCGGAAGAAGCCAAACCATGAACCCGTGTATTTTGCATATTGGGGACTCGATGCTTGGAAGAGGATCTTGACGCGGTCTAGCGGGCCTACCACTGTCTTTGCCTGTGTCGTGTGTCAGTCCTGTCTGGAGTCTGTCGGCGGGGGAGAAGTGTGAGGCTATGACGTACGGCGCATCCAGCTATACCGCCGGCCAAGCCGCTGCGCATGACATAGTCCCAGCTCTGCTTGCTGACCGGCGCCTTTATCTGCGGCGCCGAGGACGAGGGTATCATGAGTCGAGAGTCTTGGGTGAGGTCCGGCGCATGGTTGCCGCTGATGGCGAGGCTCGCGGGCATCAATACAAAAGGCTTCGTGCGTTGTCCTGTGGGGTGCTGCCAGGCATTCGGGAACAGCCGGTGCAAGTCTCTCTCTGCTCTCGAGTGAATCAGGCGCAGACGCGTCGAGTCGAAGTGATGGTAGGCGTAGGTAGGATAATAGGTCGTCGACACGTCTAGTTGGAAAACATGTTTGTCCCGAGTGTGGAGGACGGAGCGCCGCTGACCATTCCCGCTGTGCCCGCTGTGCCCGCATTCTGGGCCGAGGTCTTTGCCATTGTCGGCTTTGTGGACCGGCCGAGACTGTTTCCACCTCTCGAGTCTCATCACCACCGGAACGACGACAACGACTACGTCTGGCCGTGCCTATCTATTCTGCAGCCAGGTCTACATACTTCCAGGCTCGATTGTTCATCGGTCCTTCATTAGTCGGTTGCGTCTCGACATTGAGTCATCCTGGGTAGAATCACTGCTTGGTCTTCCAAGTGGTGTGGTTTTCTTGCTGCTCCGTACCTACCATTTCACGTCCGACTCTTTAACTCCAGGCCCGTTTCGACACACGACGCGAGAGATTCTGGTAAGAATGCCATCTTCGACCAGTGACGTGTCAGACAAGCAGTCCAACACTTCTACTCTGTCTCAGAGCCCATCACAAACGTCGTCAAGCATTCTGTTTTCAACAGACAGGGTCGCCCTCATTGATATACCAACTTCCATCGCCGATGCCCAGCAATCTTGTCCTTGCGTTCCAACCTCATCTCTAATATCATGCAATCCTCTTACCTCTCCGTACCCCAACCATGAACCAAAATCTGAAGCTGCGCGCGACAAGCTGCGCCAGAAGATGGCAACCGAGAACGACAACTTATACGCCGATCTGATCTCTTCTGCCCTGGCCCTCGTCCGCAAAAGCTACACCGGCCCTTGGTTTCTTCCGCGTACTGTCGTCTCGCAGGACGACCAGCCTCTATCAAAGAAGCGTAAAGTCGGTGACACGTCGTCCGATATCGAGTCAGTCAGGGATGACTTGTTGCACCAGCTCTCCTCAAATCCACAGTCCTGCTCCTTTAACTGGAGAGACATGAAAGACCAGCAGCGTGCGAGTGAACCCCTGCCTGAAACTTCCCTCTGGCCGAAGTACCTTCACAACCCATCGAATGTTGCTCGTATCCTTGAGATCGCACCGACTCCCCTGCGAGCTCCTGCCAGCTTCTACATTCCGCCAGGAGCCGCGTTCTATCTCGGCGATTGCTCTGCTTCGCGCTCCTTCCACATGGCCGTCAAGGACGTTGCTGAGCAACTTGAGACTTCTCGATCATTTGACGTAATTGTGATGGATCCTCCTTGGCCTAACGCTTCCGTCAGGCGCACTGAGAAATCGGGAAGGTCAGCCTATCAAGTCTCCCCCACAGTATGGGATGTTAGGCAATTGATCTTCGAGATGGACATTGATGTTCTCCTGGCCAACCAAGGTGTGATTGCCATTTGGATCACCAACAAACCAGCGGTGCGAGAACTTGTACTTGGCGAGGACGGCCTATTCGACAGCTGGGACGTGCAGCTAGAAGAAGAATGGTTGTGGATCAAGACAACAGCCGATGGTGAGCCTGTCTCGTCTCTGGACGCTCTTTGGAGGAAACCGTATGAAGTCCTCCTTGTCGGGCGGAAATATGACCCAAGAGGCAGTGATCAACACGTCAAGTTAACCGACCATTCCAAGGTTGAGCGAAAGGTGATCGTCGGTCTTGCTGATCTGCATTCAAGGAAGCCATGCTTGAAATCGCTGTTTGAACGCTTCGCGATCTGCCCCACGTCGACATCAACAAAACAACGTGTTCTCGAGTGCTTTCCGAGGTATCTCGTGAGTGGTTGGTGGTCGTGGGGCAACCAGGTCCTCAAATTCAATCATACCGACTGTTGGCAATCTAAGACTTAGATCTAGCCAAGCGTCATCGTCATACTCCGTATCGTTTCTAAAAGCATCATTCCCGTAGACGGATATGGATCACGACACGAGCATACGAGCTTCCTTCCCGAGTCGACTTTCTTCAATTACCTTCTCGCCTGTTGAGCATTCTCGCCAAGTCTCAAATTTTACTAGCTACCCTAGTCCAAGCTCCGGCATGGGTCCGACTTCTCAGGATGCGCAGAGTTACATTGGATGTGCTCAACATCCATCGCTCCACGTGAATGGTGGTAATGCTCTAGCTATCTGCTGGCCTATCGCAAATCCAACGCTTGCATCGCATCATAAGTCCACTTCCCTATCTCGTACATACGTGCACGCAAACTCAAGCTATTACCACATCGTCATCTCCTTTCGAATGCACGCGCTTGACACCAAAATACCAGTGGCTGTCGAATATATCATACTTCTATCGAAGTGCTGGTATGCTGATCCAGTAGGGGTCTGCCATCGAGGAAATGTCGTCAATCTACGTCGTGATATATTTTTGCGGCCCGCGAGCCGTAATAGGCTCAACAGATAGTGTCCAGACAGGCGGCATGATGGCATTTGGTGATATTTCGAGCATCAAATTCTGCGGAGGTATCCACAAGAACGTGGACCCTATGACGACACTCGCCATTTCCATGTGAAGTCTCGAAAAATCCTCGGGTTTGTCTTAGTCCGACGAGGTCCCGTCACGAGTAAGGTGGAGCTTGGCCGACTTAGCCCGTTGATCCCAACCTCTCAAGCAATGCCATTTCCCTGCATCTTCCGACAGGCATGACGATGCCGCCCAGCCGGATGTAGGAGCTGGACGACCAGCCCTGAACTCCACCATTGTCTGATATTGCCCAACAGGAGATTGCACGTCAAGGCGTCGTATCAAGCAACATGTGTTACAGGAGCGCAAGGGTAGCAACCAGCTTGAAACGCGAGTCAGAAACACAACAAATCGCGCCTTCATGCTTCGAGTTTTCGACTTTGACATGTGAAGTTTCATGGAGCAAAAGATCGCGACTTGAGTGGTCTCTCCGAAACGCGCTGGACCCTTTCTCCTGCAGCGGCGCAGCACATGCTACGCCCTATCTTTTCCTGCAAAATTTTAGACATGGTCGCGCTCTTTTACCTTGTTGCGGAAATAGGCAAGCCGAACACGTAGCCGAACTGGTGCGCTAGCCGCATGTGGGTCAAGCGCATCAATATTCCTGGCCTCGTGCGGCCAACAGTGCTGACACCAGCTTATTCGGTGCTCACACCGCTGAGCCGTCTATGACTCTTCACGACCGAGGAAGGCCCACCAAGCATCTCGGGACGATAGATCGAAATATATGCTGGCGGTCGCAGCGTCCTCCTAGCGCTTTTTGACAGTGCGGAGACTTCAGCCAATACGTAGCTGTTTTGTTTGCCGGGCACCTTAACTAATAACGTTAATCTACCGTGTCATGCCCTCAGAACTACAAGAAGGCCAGAGCACCCCCCCACCTAGTTTCTGGAACAAGCCCAAACAACTTGACATCTTCTTCGCATACCGTCTGGATTACGGAATAAGCAGTGCTTTGCAGCAGCCTCTCACCTCATCTCTCCACCTCCATCAACACTTCAACTCGTCCGATCTACATGTATAAAGCTGGCTGCCCTGCACTGCACAATGTCGACCTCTACTACCTCTTCCGCAAGACCTACTTCTCCTAGTTGCTCATCGAACCCGACCCAGCCGATCCAGATTGGTTTCTCTTCCAGGTCGTCCACCATGACCAGACCTCGCAACACAAGCGATGCTTCCATTCTCTCTGGCAGCCCATCTCCCAACGGACCTGCTGCCTTCCCTTCTTGGAAACTGGCTCGCCCTCAGCTTGCCCAGGGCCCTGCCAGCTCTTACTTCACCGACGAGGATTTGTTTGGTGACGACGACGTGGCCTATCTCAACGAGGCTCCTGAGCCACCCAGAACCGCCGAACAATGGATGATTTCCAGGGGCGGTATGCCTATGGCTGCAAATGCCAGCATGGTCACCCTCGACAGCAGCTGCGAGAGCTACAACAGCTTCGGATTCAGCAACGGTTACACTCCTAGCAAGCCCATCATGATGAAGAAGTAGACATCATCTTGATGATCAGCTCGCCCCTAACGACCCTTACTCTTTCTTGTGGAGACTGGAACATTCCCGACTTCAATCACCTCTTTCTGGTCAAAGATTATCATCATCTCTTTTGGCTGTCCACTCGTTTAAGCCCGTCCGTCAGATATAGGCTGGACCATCCGCGCGGGCCTTCATGTGCTGGCGACACGTCTTTTTGTGTCGCAGCTAAGAATCAAGGCCCGAACAGAGTGCCACGGATCACTCTGCACTCGCTTTGCATCGTTTTCATTCCAACCCATTTTCTTGTCTGTTGATCCTTCTTGGAATTTCCTGCGTCATGCATGGTCGGAGCATTGCGAAATCCCACGCGACGGAAATCATCTTTTCATTACCTTTTCACTTGATACCCCTTGGCGAGACAGCCAATTTTGAGATATCCCCCTTTTTTCCTTTGATGTATCTAGATAGCCTTTTGGCAGGAAGACCCTGCAGAGGACGACGGCATGTTTATCAGCATAAGCCCTACTGCGATAGGCAGAGTGGCAGCGGAATTGTTGCGCAGTCATATGCAATCACTTTGAAGTGGGGCGCTTACTGCGCGAATCCCATTTGCTCCCAACTTCCTATCGTCTGTCACCTGCCTCGAGTCACTTTCTACTTCTGCCGGAATGCCTTTACAAGGAAATTGATCAGCTTCGGTCGCCAGCTGGCGTCGTTTCTCCCCTCTCATTGTGGCAGCGGTACAACATGCATGCCATGACTCGGGACAAAATGAACGCTTCATCTCCACGTCCTGCAAAATGTATGCAGGCACTGTGTAAATTCTGGTCTCATGCGTCTTTCGTTGGTTCTACAACCGCAAGACCAAATGACACGAAACTCGGCAACATTTATTCATCACATGTGCTGGAATCGCGGTGAGTAAAACGCGCTCGTGACGCCCTATCGCATGGCCAAGTACGACGAGGAAAACGTGATCTGTGAACGCTGCGGCGACAACGCAAGGGACGTCGAGGTCGTCGAACCACGAATACCTGTAAATTGGTACTGACCTTACTATTCGATAGCATGTCGCTTGGATGTATAACGGTGATGGGTCCTGGCCCAATTATCGATATCTATTGCTTCGGACTAGTAGGATGCACAAGCTTGAGGTTGAGATGCGTGTTGGGCACGTTCTAGCGGGGGCTTCCTGGGCCAATCACTTGACCCAACCCTCTCTTCTTCTCTCTGCATCTTGATACCCATGCCTTCGACCTGTTCGTGCGTAAACTCCCCGCCCAGTAATGGCAATCGTGGCCAGCCGTCTGCGCATGGGAATATTCTTCCTCGGAGCTCTAGTTCGCTCGTCTGTACTCGCCTGCCAGCGGGCACAGTATTGTATCCTCTCTGCAAACCGATAGGTCCCCTACCCAAGCCGTCAATAATGTCTAGGCGCTCTGCACCCCGATCGCTTCCCGAACAGGTGGCTCATCACCAGAGGCACATATTGCGCCAGCCGACACGCATGGCTTTGGGTATACGCGCCCGCGTCTGATTTGCCAACTTGTAACATGAGTTCGCCTCTGTTGTCTTGTCTCCTTCTCTCTCTCTCTCTCTCTCTCTCTATTTTTTCCTCTTGCAGTCTATACCAAGGTCTGCTGCAAGAACAAATATTTCGCACTCTTCAAATTCAAGGACTGGGTGCTTGCATGTCCGACCTGCAGGCCATCCTGGTCGGCCATTGACACAGACAACTTTTACAGTGACACAAACCATCGCTTGAGGACATTTCTGCCTGTTCACTGTTCCACGCGGTGTGACTGCATCTGCTTGGCACAAGCTTTCGGTACGTCGATCTCGCGCAACGTTACAGCAGAAATACACAGCATCCCACATCTTGTTTTCTCGAATGCTATTCTGGTATCTGGATTCTTGCACAGAAAGACTCGGCCCAATCCTCGACCGCTTGATTTGCTGCTTTGGAGTCAGTTCTGAAAGACCATTGTTCTGATTCTCCTAGATATTGATCAGCGATGTCGACTGGTCGGCCCTCTGGTCAAAGGTCACACTCTGCTGTGCGAAGACAAGTAGCTATCAAGTCTACTCTTCCTCAAGCCCTGTTTCCACCTGACCCTGACGCCGAATTTCAACCTTGTGCCGCGACTGCCTCGTTTTTTCTCTACGCACAGCGGAACATTGTCCTATGTCTACATCACGACACATTGGCAATAGAGCGACGATTTGACAAACATCAAGAAGACGTCCTATGGATCTGTGCAGACACGGTCAGCGAAAGAGGTGCGGGACGTTTGGCTGTTAGTTACGACACAGGGCATACCGCGATCGTCTGGGATATCTCGACAGGAGATGAAATCGCTCGCTTCGCAGCATATGAACACATCAGAGTGGCCGCGTGGATGAAGGATGGAAATATTGCTTTCGGTAAGACTTTTGAGTCTTGAAGCCGAAGAATGACATTAATAGAGCTTCAGGAAACGCCCAAGGCAACGTAATCCTGTTTGAGCCTTCTACGTCTGAGCATATCTCAGCTCGTACTATTTACGACCCGATAACAGCAATAGCTCCAGCAGCTGATTCGCGTACCTTTGCAATTGGGTCGGTCTTCGTTCGTCTAGCAGATGTTTCCTATACTGACAGTCGTAGTTTCCTTAATGGCTCAATTCTAGTCGCAACTTTACAACCGCTGTTTACAATTGTGCATAGCCTGACGACATCGAAAGCTCCTTCTCGGATCGCAGGACTCTCCTGGCACGGTTCTTCTTCCCGTCAAAAGTCTGATATGCTCGCTACACAAACCGCAGATGGCGACCTCAGAGTCTGGAGTATACCTAAACTAGCTGCCCCTGGAGAAACACCTAACATTATCCGAATTCTGAGCCGGTTAGAGGGCAGGAGTGTTGGACCTTGCTGGTTTACTTGGTCAAAGAACGGCCGCATTATTCAGCACGCGGATGGGTAAGAACCAGTCCCGAAACACTTGGAGACCTTCGCTGACACAATGCTCTTCCAGGGAGACGCGTTCCTGGGACGTTCGTACTAAGAACGTGAGCTTCCAGCCTGTGCCAACTGTTGATGGCATCGCCGGTATTGCATGTTATGGTCCATCCTCGACACTGTTCACACTAGGACCAAATCATACTGTCCAACAATACGACGTCAATCCGAGCGATTTACCTATACAAGTCGCTAGTATTCAGCACGCTCCCGGCCCACTACCTCCGTCTCCACCCAATTCTATCGAAGAGCAGAAAAAGGAAGAGACAGGCAGAAAACAAGCCGCCGCGAGAGCGATCTCATTGCCCTTCGCCCATCTGGACGCAGACACAAGTGAAGGCGAGCTTGGCACCATGTCTCCACTCGAGAAGATTGCAAAAGAGATGGATTTGCTGGAAGAAGAAAAGCAGGATCGCCTTGGTGCCCTCAGTCCGACGTCAAGCAGGACTTCTTCAGTGAGCTCTAAGTCATCCGGTGGAGGCCGTAGGATACCATCATATCGTTATGACAAAGCACCGTCATCGCGAGCTTCTGAAGTCTCCTACAACGAGGGCACCGAATTTTCGTTTGGCTTGCCTTCGGCTCGGCCCCGTGAGAGCGTCTCTGTTCGCTCGGCCTCATCATTGCGTACCTCAGGTCTACGAAAAGAGATCCTGAGAAGTCCGGACGAAGCCCAGCAGATATCTCAGATGGACCTTTTCTCTCACACACGAGCAAGACTTCGGAATGTGCCATTCAGAACGCCTCATTATGGTCATGTTGCTCGTACGTCAGACATACTACGACGAGAGATGCTGAGTGTAGTGTTTGGCTGGAATGATGACATCGAGTCACTGGTACGCGACGAATGTGAGTCTTGCCTCAGTGAATCTTACCATACTTCAGTGAATCTAATTTATACAGTCATGAGACAAAAGCCAGGCTCAGCTAGTAGCGTACTTCTCTCAAAATGGCTTGGTGAATTTGGCGCAGACACGATGGCCGCCATGGTCGGTTCTGAGAACATGACTTCATCTGACTGGATGCTTCTCGCTCTAAGCTCCATGGGGCCGTCATCTGGTAAGCAGGTTGGTCAGGCGTTCGTACAGCGACTTCTGGAAAAGGGTGACGTACACCCCGCTGTCGCGGTCCTCCTTGGCTTCGGTGAACACGACGATGCTATTGAGGTTTATGTGTCGCGTGGCTACCATATGGAAGCAGTTCTTCTGACCTGTCTTACCATGCCCTCGGATTGGAAAAGACAGTCTTACCTTGTCCGCAAGTGGGGTGAGGTATCTATTATGCAAGGTCAACCAGAACTCGCTGTAAGATGCTTTTCGTGCACCAGCATTGAGACCTCAGACTCTTGGTCGTCTCCCCGAGCGCAAGACGCAGTTTTCTCTAGCCAGAGAGACCAAGGCATTAGCCCTTCTCCACTGAGCCCTCCGCTTTCGCCTCCTTTTGCTGTTGGCCCGAACCGGAACAATATCAGGAACGGGTCACTGAAGCTGATCACCACATTTGGTGATAAGGGAGCTCCGCTTGTCCTGCCGTCGGCGGACCAAAGGACGCCTATGACAGGTATGCTTGGTGTTGGAGTGACACCAATAGCCGAATCTGCAATCTCGCCGGGTGGCGCAGCACCCTGGCTGCGCTCTGGGAGCAGATTCGAAAGGGATCCATCATCCGCGAGGACTGCAACTCCTGGCGGATATGCAAGACGTCAGTTGACTTCTAGAAGCGGGACGTCACGCACAAGAGATGTGTCTCAAACTCCTTTGACGGCTCGCAGAGAGCTTTCAGGCCCAGCGCACATCGCAGAAAGCTTGGGAAGCACACGGTCTGGTCATAGTCGCAATTCTTCGTCCATCAGCTCGACTGGTATAGTTCAAAGTTCTGAGCAGCAACTACGACAATCCTCGAGAGCAGATCGTCTGCCATCACCAAGCAACGATGTCTTCGCGCGCTTGAAGAACGAGACACGGATACGAAACGGCTCACGGGAAAGAGCCAACAGCGATTTACAGGTGCAGGTTTTTGACACAATTTACCTGGCTCCACTGGCGTCTCAAAACACAGTGGCTCCAATTGTACAACTGGATGCATTCACTGCTTCTCGACAGAACCAGGATGATGAAGGTGTGATTGGTATGCCTGATTATCGTGGAAGACCGGCCAAGCGATACATCAATCCTCCCAGAAGATCCCCGTCATCACCAGTTCCAATGTCTCCCGACGAGGTCATGGCCAGCAGAGCGATGGCTGCAGCCGCGACTATTGATGAGTCTTATTATAGACAGCCAGAATCGCAGGCCAAGACTTCCAATGCTGGTCGTGCCTCAAGGACAGACAACCGAGGACTGAGCAGACAAAGAGACCACAGCCAAGCGAACCACCGAGCGGTTGTCAGTGGCCGTGACACAAGTGAGTCTCGTACACCACAGAGTATGTTTGCTAGTTCGTCTTCAGTTCCTGCGCATGCTCCAAACGACTCCGACTTCGCGAGGAGCGAGTTTCGACAGCAGTTACATGTCAATAGGAGCAGAGCAGCTTCTATCAAAGATGACCTGCCAAGCCGAAAACAGACTAACGAAATCTCCACTCTTCCTCGAAATAGCCTCGAGGAAGACAGCTCCGCTTCTGAGAATCCGGACGAAGGCGTTGTGCGACGCAGGGACCTTCAGAGTTTGACCAAGAAGCAACTGGCTGCCAGGGAGCTCGAGGACAGGCGCGCGTCCTTGGCGAGACGGCCGTCTGCACCGGCGATACCATTGCCAAGTGACGTCAAAACACCTCCGAAGAGGCCGTTCATGGCTCCTAGACATCATACTGAGCTTGGAGATACTCCCAGCTCGTTCATGCCTCCGTATTCTGGTGGTCAGGTCACACGTAGCCATACGGCTGATCCAGAATCCCAAAGTCGTTTTCCGCCTGCGAAAAACACTGGTGCATCCAATCCAACAGCATCGATCGGATTACCAGCCACTCCCAGGGCCATGAGACATCCAAGATACATGTCTGTCGACCCCAAAGAACGCGAAAAATTGCCTGCTGTTCCTCAGGTGCCCCAGACGCCTCCTCAGCTTTCGTCTATCACCTTCCAACAAGCTTCGCCTTCTCCGAGGTCTACAGATAACGACCAGATCGCACCTCTTTTGCCCTCAACTGTGTTCGGGCAGTTGGCACCTCAGTCTCCACCAAGATCTTCCTCGGCACCGCCAGAGATGGGCCTAGATGGCACGCCTTGGCATTACAACACAGTACTACCGCACTCATCCAGACGTGGTTCCATAACTAAGGGGAGTCATGCTCGTAAAGTTACACCTACAGAGAACAACTTCCAGCTCCAGCAAGGCCCTTCATCAAATAGACCTAGTATTGACCAGACTTTGCATGACGCTCAGATTGTCATTGTGGAAGACTCTGAGTTGATGTTGCCAGAACTCCAGCACCTTGCAGGCCCTCCACCTCCACCTCCAGCCCCGCTGATGACAAGTACCCGGGGTAGTGGTCTTGGTGTTATCAACATAGCCATTGGCGAAGAGGAGCCCATGATTATTGATGTTTTACCGACCATTGACAGAGCCGGTGCACTGACAGCTCCTCCACTAAACAACTCTGCGCAAGGTCAACTGCAAGTCAACGCTCAACGACGTGGTCGAGGAAGTATCAGCGAGGGTTTCAATTCGCGCTTGCGAAGTGTGACCGAGCGTATGCGTAACAACAGCAAATCGCGAACCAAATCACCGCCAATCGACTCCTACGCGACATCGCCTTACGAAACGGTGCTCCCAAGTATGTTTTCCAGATATCAAACACATACCGACAACAATCCGGCTCGTACGAAGTCGCCATACGATACTTCTTCAGTCGCACCTAGTGCGGCAGCTTCTGAAGCCTCGCTCTCATTGCAAAACACAATGCCTCCGCCACCACCGCCTCCTCCGACAGCTCCTGATGTGTCTGAGGAGCAGAAAGACATAACGGACAGATCTAGCCAGGGCTATCCTCACCCTCGTGAAGTCAAAGCAAATATCTCGGCTGAGACACTCCTCTCATCAGGAGTTTACGAGCCCAGCAACATGTTTTAGCCATACTTTGCTAATCTTCTTTTCTTTCATCTTCTTGGGACTAATTCTGCCTATTCGTCTATCGTTTCGCATATACCACTGCGCATATGTTTCCCTCGCATTTCCTACATATGTCATATACTCGTACGACTTAGTGTCCGCTGGATGGAAGCATTTCGGTGTTTGGGAAGGGAAAGAAAAGAAAGACGTACAAATTGTATTCATCTCTATCCAGCCTAGAATGTATATCAAGGAATCAATCACGATAGGAAACTGATGAAAACGTTATACAAGTGCAAATATTGACTTCGTTCTAGGTAGATAGTCGCAGCTTTCAATGAGAGTCACCGATGTTCAAGGCAGGGTCGCGGCTTCTGTCTTGGTGATTGAATTCACTCGCCGAATATATGATCTGTCACAGAGCCCGATGTATCTGCACAAACCATTTTGTTTCCGGCCTTCATTCAATTGGTGTCTGCGGTGTTGCATACTGCGCAGGAACCAATCGTGATGAGGTTCATCAGTGCTCATCAAGCTCCCCAGCCACCCCAACGTCACCAGCGTCATGATTTTGCCCAACCTCCCACCTTCTCTTCGTCCCGATTACGACAAGACTATCTTTTATACACAAGCAAGCTTTCTCCGTACGTGATCACTTCTATGCAGAGATCAAGTACTCTGCGAGCTATAGCCTAAAATTGCATGCGGGGCACCATGCAGTCAAACTCTGAATGGATTCCACCAGTAATCGCCAGAAGAGAAGGCACCTTTTGTCACAGCTTCGCAACAACCATTGTCGTCTGACGGAGATGTCCATATCAGGCCCGGAGTTGGAGCCTCCGTTCGGCTTCTTTTCAACAACGCCCTCCTTTCTTCGATGATGCTATACCGAAGATCGTCTCTACATCTTGAACCCCGCTTAGGGTTTTGAATAGTATTTGGTGGTTGTCTTTCTCTTGAAGTTTGCTCCATGTTACCACTTTCCTGTTTAAATTTTTTCGTCAAAACATTGCTCATCGAAATGCGTCTGTCTAGTCTTATATCCTATGCACTTGCACCACTTCTCACTTCTGCCACCATTCTTCAGAATGGCCAGGTCCGAGACGTAGTTTTTCCTGACACGAGCATAGCATCTGTAGCCGGCGGCTCGAATTGGACTTCATTCCCTCCTAATGCAACTGGACTTTCATACAAGGGTCGTTGGGATTACAAGTACATATCTTGGTGGTCAGCTCCAGGTCTCAAATTTGGCTTCACTGGCGACAAAGTAGCCATCAGCTTTGGCCAATACACTTCTCAAGGTGTACTGATCGCATACCGTTTCGCTGGTCAAGACTGGTTATTCACGAATGTGACTGCAAACTCGACACATCAGCTCATTGATGCATCGACTGTTGGCTTCAATCTTACGACTCAGGCTCAGAGACCACAGACATTCGAGCTTCGGGTCACAAACTATGCTTATGGTGTTCAAATCGCTGGCATACACCTTAGCAATCACGGCAAGCTCGTCAATATACCCGACTATTCCAAAAAGATTGAGATTATCGGCGATAGTCTGTCAGCAGGTCAATACGGTACTTATGAGGGAATCTCAAGTTATGCCTGGGGTCTAGCCGAAGGTCTCGGAAATGTCGAGTTTGATATCACAGCCTATCCTGGAATCTGTCTTGTGGACCAAAACTGTTGGGGCAATGCTCATGGACAGACTTACCAATGGTTCAGAGCTTCAGACACCTCCCATCGCTCCGAGGTCATCTATGGCGATAATCCGCCACTTTGGAACTTCGAGCATCACCAACAATCCGATATTGTGGTCATCAATCTTGGTACCAACGACAACAATACTCACAACAATGTCACCAACGAGAAGTACTTGAGCAGTTACATTGACTTTGTGGGCCAAGTTCACGACAAGTATCCTAGAGCTCAGATCATCCTGATTGCACTCTGGAATGGATTCGACCAAGTCGGCAATACATGGAAACAAGGCGGTGCTTTTATCGACGAGATACAGCAGGTGTATGCTCATTACAAGCATGCCGGATATGTGCACTATTTCAATACTACTGGCATATTGCAGCATAACGACATCGTGAGTAGTAATGCTTCGAGATCAACGGAATACGGCACTTATCACAGAGCAGGGACCGCAATACCATCCTACTGATGTGGGACATGTCAAGCTTGCAAGTCATCTGATGCAATATATCAAGTTGAAGTTTGACTGGGTTTTTGGAGCCACTGGACCCGAGGTACAAGCAGACACGCTTTACTGGAACGATGGTATGGTTGGAACCTGTCAAGAGGACGATCGAGCAATGCTAACAGTGTCCCAGAGCCAAATTACTAAGCGCCCTTGCTTCTCTAGATCATGGGTTCTTGAGTCGACATCGATCTGATGATTAGCACTTACTATCCAACAGCCTGAAATCGACCATACTGGTAGTCACATTTGTACAGAAGAGTGCCAAGACCAGCAGGGTATCTGACTTATGAAACAATCTACCTTTATATACCGCTCAATCTCCCAATTTCCCTGTAGAAGTTCTGAGCCTATCAGATCCTTTCTTTGGGACCCTGCTACGGCGGTGAGCATCCTATTGTGCGGAGATTTGATCTACTTGGTTCTTCTGATTCCACTCAAACGTCAAACAGGGGTCACTTTTTTGTTCATGAGAGCCATGGTTCGAATCTCTGGATGGTTTTTGTTTTTGTTTTTGGCCTTATTCTCGTTCTTGGACATGCTTTCCGAGCCTTGTGGCACCCTTTGAAACATAGTTAGGAGTGTGATGGCTCTGGATCTGACGCACTACCCAAGGCATCTTGTCCTGATATGCACACCTCGCTGTTTACAGATAAGACGCAAGACTGGGAATAGACCTACCAAGATTCGCGCAAGACTCGGTCGATCCTGCTACCAGTACAGACAAAAAGACGTATTGGCGACTGCCACAATCTTGTCGAGCGAGTTGGTCATGGAATACCGACACCAACACATCCACGAGCAAGAGAGAGAGAAAGACAAAGGCCCGATATACCTAACAACCGCCACGTCGCAACCCCTCTCCCAATCTCTCCCCCCCCACCGATTACCAGAAAACAAACATCTTTGCGCACGTAAACCCAGAGAACTGCCGAACAAGATACGTATGATGATGTGTTTTGTAGATAAGACTAATACAGAAACCCAATGGCTCCAAAAGGATTCCCGGACTTCTAAATGTCCAAGCATAGGGTTTTGTCGGTGGCTTGCACGACCATACTGCTTCAGGCATGTTGATGCGGCGGGGGGGTTTGCTGATTGTGCCTCTCTCCGCAATTTTTGGGCTTTTTCGTTTCCAGGGTTTTCCCACGTTCGTTATCAAGGGTATTGCATCAGCTGGGCAGGAACGTTGCTTCTGCAGGAAGCGGGGGGGGGGATTCTGCTGCCTCCGCCATGCTAATGCTGCGTGTGTTGTTCTTTTTGTGTGACACAGCATGAGAAGAGTCTAGAAATGAGAGTGGACAGAATAAAGGTATGCAGGCTCGGAAGAGAGATACCGAATCATGCATGCAGAGTGGGCGTTTCATAGTTGAGCGGATGGTGAGACGTCCGGAGGAAGCGATGATGGAAAGCCAAAAGCTCCTCGTGATAGCGCGGGCGACTCCGCAGTAGGATGCGTGGCCTGGCCTCTGAAGAGAACGTGGGGGGGGTGAAGCTAGCTATTTGTGGTCGTATCTGAGTTGCTCTATCTGTGCATGAATCGATGAGGTGAGGCGAGGAGCAGAGGAACGTAATGTGTAGGTATATAACGGCACTCGGCCTCCGGGTCTGGTCTCCCCTTTGCTTCATCTGCTTCCTTCACACAACTAGCATCGTTCCATCAACGCCATACACATACACTTACTGCATCCAATACCTTCCGACTCGACCACCCTTTCCCACCAACAAAGCATCTTAGCTTTCCTTCAAGCCTCGCAAGGCACACCGGCTACAGCCCAGATATTGATGTCGTTTTTCGTTGCCATCAACAAGAACACCGGACGTACCTTCATCCCCCTCAGTAATCACAGCAGCAGTACCAACAAACCAAATAATCAATCATGGAGGGCGTCAAACACCAAAAGACAACCTACGCCCTCAAAGGCAATAAGCCAGCCATGATTGGTAATGTTGGAGGTCATCAGAAAAATACAATCAACAAGCCCGCTACTGCTGCTGCAGTTGCTGAAGGAGATGGGGTCCGTCGGGTTACTCTGGCCGAGTACAAGCAGGCTGCTCAGTGTCTGGCTGAAGCCTTTGCCGATGACGATGTCGCTAAATACTTCACCGAAGTCCCTGATCGTGCTCATTGGACCGAGAAGCAGAAGTGGGACCTTCACGTGAGTATTCTGGAGTACATCACGTACGCCCATATCCTGAAAGGCTTGGTGCTTGCTGCAGGTCCAGACTACGGATGTGTCGCCTTATGGTATGTTCTGATTCCATGATACAGCGATGAATATTGTTGTTGTTGGTGAGGCTGACAGCGAGACAGGATGCTCCCAGGTCAGAATATGGACGATTATTTGACCATACTGCGTAGTGGAATGTGGAGACTGTGGTACAAGCTCTCGGCCGAAGGCAAGACTCGCTTCTTCGACGAGTTCTTCCCTCTGCTTCATGACACCAAGCACGAGGTCATGGGAGTGCGCGATGATGAGTCGTACTATCTCGTATACATCGGCACCAAGCCCGCAGCCCGTGGCAAGGGGCACGCGCGCAAATGTATCGAATATGTGACCAAGAGCGCAGATGCCGAGGGTAGAGCTTGCTACCTCGAAAGTAGCAATGCCGCCAATCCGGCGATCTACCGCAAGTATGGCTTCGAGACCATTAAGACCATCCACCTCAAGCGTGCTGAGAAGGTGGTGGATCTTGACATCATGGTCCGCGAGCCCCAGCCTGGAAAGAACCAGTCCTCGTTGAGCCTTGAGAAGGTCGACAGCCTGGTTTCAAACGCCTCGTCCGTAACTCGTCCAGTTTCTGTCTCCATGAAACTGGGAGGCGAGAAGGAGGCAATTGCCAGCATATCTGTCATCTGATGGTAGTTGTGACGTGTGCTTTTGTTTCCGTTGTGTTTCGTGTTTTTGAGTTCCAACCCTCGTCGCTCGTTGTATTGTCTTAATTGCTGCAGTCTGACCCCTTTTCAATCTCTCACTGCTTCCTCTTAGCACGCTTTTTCTTAGCTAAGTTATACAGTTGTTGCACAGCCCGTCTCACTCTCCTATTCGCGTGAGTGCTTCTTGTCAGCCACACACATCTTGACGCAAAACTTAAAACATGAGTAAAGGATGCAATAGTGGTATCGTACAGAAGCGAAATTAACATCATGTCGTGCCGCCTTGGTATCATTGTAAACTCCGGAGATGCTGCCTTTATGGAAGAATAATGCAGTTCGGCTGGAAGCAAGACATGACCTCTACAAGAAATAGTCCCTCACCGGATCTGAGCCAGCGTTGTTGTGCTGGTTTTGTTGTTCGATGCGGTGGACTTCGTTTTCGGGAGCAGCATCGAAGACGTTCCATTTCCTCTCTCCAGTCGGGCTAACCTCGAGGACACTGGCCTTGTTTCCACATCGATAGCAGTAGTTGGGAGCACTCCAGACAGTTGACAACCTGTCGTCGAACATGACCATGTAACCTTCATTACAGAGTTGATGGGCACGAAGAATGTGTGTCATGGAGTTGACCTCGAGGAACTTCTTGACGACTTGGGCACCAAATGTATAACCAGCTCCTCTTGGACTCAGCGAGAACTCGTCGCGGTCGGCGTCCGGGTCGCTCCAGACCAAGTCGGCCATGGGACCTTCGTGCGGAATCTCTCTGAAGCGGTCGATGATCTTGATCTGATCGATGCTATGGATGCTGGGCGACAGACCACCGTGGACGCAGAAGATTTTGTCGTCGATGACGCAAGACAGGGAGAGGTAGTCGAACATGTCGGTGAAGTGGTGCCAGACAGCGGCGTTGCCGTATTTGCGGCTACATTCAGTGTAGAAGCCGTAGGATTGTGTCACACCTCGGGACTCGTGGTTGCCGCGGATCAGGTGAACGCGTTGAGGGTAGCGGAGTTTGAGACAGACCAGGAGAGAGATGGTCTCGACACTGAAGAGGCCGCGATCAACGTAGTCGCCTGTGCATGGTCAGAGAGGTGGCGGTAAGCGGTCGCGTGCGCAATCGACATACCGAGGAAGAGGTAGTTTGTGTCTGGACATGGCCCGCTGATCTTGAATATCTCGAGAAGGTCAAAGAACTGGCCGTGGATGTCTCCAACGACGGTGACTGGAGCTTGGATGTGCACGACGTTGCTCTCCTTCATGAGCATCTCTTTCGTCTTTGCGCATATCGCCTCGATGACGGATTCGGCAAGCAGTTCCTTTTGGTAGAGTCTCGATATGCACTCGTCAAGATCGATGCTGGCTTGCAGGTGTCAGCTCTTGCCATGTGGTGCTCGGTCGTAGTGGCTGTGTCCTACAGGGGAGTCCAGGCATGTTTGCGGCGGTTGCGCTCGCAAGCAGGTGCGATGCGTGCGGTTATGAAGAGCTTAAGGGGACGGGTAAGGCGATAGTAGTGCCTTTGTAAATTCAACACTTTTACACATGGTCGAGGATGAACACAGGGTGTAGGATGCGTCTATCAGAAAGACATGACGACGTCGGCGGCGAGCGTCTTCTAGATGCTGCTGCTGCTGCTGCTGCTGTTTCCACCTCGACCTGCCTTCTTCCCCGAGCTCGCCGCACCGCCAAATCTGAATTTCTGAACGGCTTGCCCGCTGCTTCACGTGACGTAACCTTGTTTGAGCGTTATGATTGGCCCGTCGGCCAATTTACCATTGTAAATAATCTTACACCTTGCTTTCATCTCCTGCTGCCACGACAATCAACTACATCCAGGTAGAGGGTAGGTGACGAGACGCTCCGTTGGCAGTGCTGTCTCTGGATCCCTAACAAACAGCGACTCTCCAAATTCTGCCACAAACCTGCACCTTGCCATCTTCGTCTGTGCGTGCACGCCCGACTTGATTCGTCTCCTTCCCCGTCAAACGACTGGCTCAAGTTGTGGAATATCCCTTGCAACTCTTTCTTCACTGTCCTTTCTGCTTGACCCTCTCTCATCTGCCTATGGCATCTTGATAGTTCATGTTCGGATACCCCCTTCCAAATCTTCTCTTCTCTTCTTTCCCCAGACCATCAAACTTTTTGACCCAAGAGCAAGCAAACATTGTCCGTCATGTATCCTGCGCCCGCTGCTCAAGCTCAAGCTCAAGCTCCCTACCGGCAGCCCTATCAAAATGGTTTTGCTCAACCTCAGTATCCTGCGGCCGCTGGATATGCTCAGCCGCCGTATCAAACCGCTGCTACTCCAGTGCCATGTGGGGCTCAGCAATATCAACAACCGTACGCTGTTCTACCACAAAATGGGTAAGACCGTCTTTCACGGCCACTTCTTGTTCTCCTTTTCCAGCTTTGCAGTTCTGATTTCGTCTCAGACCACCCCTGAAAAAGCAAAAAGGCAATCCAGTCATCACTCGCTATCCTCCACCACCTGGGTATAAACAGCAGCAGACATACACTGCGGCTCCCTACACGGCACCAGTCTATGCTCCACAACCTTCGCAACCTCAGTCAGCTTATTCTCAGTCGGCGTATCAAGGCTACCAGCAAACACCCACCACGGCCTATCCTCCAACGACGGCCTACCCCACACAACCAATATATGACCCGAACCAAGCTTACCAGCAGCCACCTTATCAACCTCTGCAATCTTCTCAGCCGTATGCTGGAGCTCCAACCCATCCATACTCTGCACCTGTACCTGCGTATCCACCCCAAGAGCACACTGGATACTATGATGTGAACGGTGCATACATAGCCGCGCCTCCTGCACATCCGGTGCCGTATGGGGATGCTTCGAACTATCCACCCCCGCTAGTGGAGGATGGATATGCTGCATCGCATATACGACACCCCAGTCTTGACTTTGGCTTGGACTTCGACCTTGAGAGTGAAGCTGGTGTCCCGGCCGAGGAAGTTATACCAGAACTGAGCCTTGGTCTGGTTACATGGCACCCAGCCATACCTACCAGCAAGCCTTTGCCGTCGGTCTATGAGGAAGCTGACGCAGCATGGACGGAGTCAGCCAAGACAACTAGAGACTTGCACATAAGTGTTACGTCCGAGTTTTTCCCTGATGACATGTCGGTCGATATCAGGCTAAGCGTAAGAGACACGGACGAGTGGGAAAAGGTCAAGGATGACATCATCTTCATTGAGTTCGGCAAGACATCAGTAACTGTTCCGCTTCTTACAGTCATTGCAAATCGCAATCGTCCAGATCCTGTTGCGGAGCAGATACAACCAGTTGCTCAAGATCATGTCTCGACAACTGCGTCGCCCCATCCCTCGCAGATTCAGCAATCTACCTGCGGAGCAGAAGACGACCAGTCTGATGGCGATCAAGCCATGGACATGAGTGATGATGAGGACGAACCCGTCAAGCCTGTCGCACAGCCCATCATCCGACCTCTTGTTCATCCTTTGCCACCTCCGGTAGCCAAAGTGGCTCCTCCCGTGAAGCAGGTTACTATCCTCGACACCCTTGAGCTAGCACTTGGACCAAAATCGCCTCGTAAGAACGATAGACAGCCACCCAGAGCCAACTCTCGATACTCGAGATCGCGATCGCCTGAAAAACGCAGCAGACAGGGCTCGCAGCAATCGAAAGCCAAGCCCGCTCCACTACCCAAGGATTCGGCCCAAGAAAACATTCTCGCATTGCTCGGAGTCGAAGGTTCTCCCAAAATGGTTTACCCCACTCCACCTCCTGCTCTCGGACTGCCGGTTCCTCCTGGCACTCGGTATGCGCAGCATTTCCAGTCCGAAAAGACTGAGCTGACACGTCGTAGCAAGAAGATCACACCTCCTGGAGGCGTTGTGCACTCCAATCAACGCTTCGCGTATGGTCCTCAATTCCCTCCGCCTCCGCCACCTCGCGAGAGCCGTTCACCATCCTTCGACCCCTGGCGTGCACATGACCCCACAAGTCCCAAATCCACTACCTCTCAGCACACGGCTGCTGGCTCGGATTTTCACCCCGATGAAATCATGGTTGACATGGATGCTACCCCCAAAGCCAAGGCACCGACTGCGTCTGAAAAGTCGGGCAGTGGCAGAAAACGTGCATACGACGAAGTGGTGGCCGCGGAAGGCCGCCGCAGGCAGGAGCAGGACGACGACACCCCCCGAGCGCGGCGCATACGGCAAAGTAGACAAGACGTCTACAGGTATGATGGAATTCGAAGCTTGACCTTGTTGACACGTTGCTGACTGCATCTAGTCGCTACCGCCGGTAAGCGTTTACCACGCCTGGGCGTGCATGAGCAGCCCTTGGTACAAGTCTTTGTGCTACGCCCTTCTTTTCTTTCTTGCTCATCTTTTACTTTGTTCCCTTTGGCCCATGTCCTTATAAACTACGAGAGCTGTTGCTAGGTTTAGTGTGTATGCTGTAACACACCAGGGTGCTGCCTTCAAACTTGCGCGGACGGTCGGCACGAGAAGCCAAATCTGTCTCACCACTGAAGAAAGAGCAGACTACGGTAACACTTTCTCTTCTTCTTCACGCTTCGATTTTCTCTTCTTGATTTCTTCTTCCTCGACCAAGAGAACAAAAACCAGTTTCTTTATACGGTACCTAACTAGTTTTTATTACGAACTCCACCTCAATTCTTTCAGTCTTCCAGAAAAACAATATTTGATCTTTTCTTTCGGGTGCCAATGGCGCTCTTATGCTCAAGGTGCAGAAAACATCGAGGATCATCACAACCTAGCTTTGACGATGATGAGAAGAGAGAGAGAGCCTCTCGGTAGTGGTGTCGACGCCGTCAGAGACACAATCATTGCGCATGGTGGCTACGACTGCTTCGCCGTTCTATTCAGAAAGCATGACTTGCATCACACTTGGCTTAGACCGCTAAAGAGAATCCCATCGTCCATGACCAGAACGAAGGGCAAAATCATTTGCATATCAAAGGGGAGCAAAGAACCAGTGACTATTTATTTCGACTACTTATTCCTTTCGCTCGGCGATGTGCTTTTTCGCAAACCATTTAGCCACAAGCGCAAAAAAGTGTTCCAATCGCTACATCACACCGAGACTTTTACAAGACTCCGATTTGCTTCTGCAAAGATGTCGCTGGGCCAATCCTGAAAAAGCCACGTCGGCCGAGCGAAAGGGATATCGTCCAGAAGACAAAAACATCTACGACTTGTTTCACTTCTCGAATAATGAAGATCAATATTAGTCTTCTATCATCTCGTGATATGTTACTTCATCCTAGAAAAACACACCTTTTTTGAGAAAAACTTTTGATTTCGAAATCAGAACAAAAGAAACGAGTAAAAGATCGGGCAGTGAACTTGGACTTTTACAAAAACAATGATTCTCATATCGTGGAGAACTTTATTCACCATTGCCAGATACCATATATCCCCCCATTGTCATGAAGGAGAGGAGTGGAAACAGAAAAGAAAAAACGTCACCATCTCGCACGCTAGATGATGTTTTCAAAGGAAAAAAGACCAAGAAACTGTCATTGTACAAAAATATGTAAAAGCCCACTTCATAAACCAATCAAAAAACACCATTTTAATCAAAGAGCAAATTCAAATAAGAGCTCGCCTTCATGCAATCAAGAGGGCTTTTTTCCCCCTATAAAGACGCGACTGTAGTGATGTGGCAAAAAAGGCCAATGGCCAAATATTTCATGCATATATTTACGAGTGGGGTATCTTTTCTTTATGCTTCGCTCGCGTCTTATCCAACAAGCCTTCTTTGCTCGTTTCCATCATCACTATCACTTTCCTCTTCTTCTGATGAACTCTGCTCGTCGTCATCGTCGTCCTCCTCATCTGTTTCTTCCTCTTCTTCATCCGTTTCTTCCTCGGAGTCTTCCTCGGAGTCTTCAGTGTCTTCCTCAGAATCATCCTCCTCCTCATCCAACCAATCATCCAATGTCTTTTCCTTTGCCGGAGCCCCTGACTTTGACTTTGACTTGTAAACAACAGGCGCAGAGCCTTTGAGGGCATCATCCAACATTCTCCCTGCAGGTACACTCGACCCACCAGATCTGTATTCAGTTCTAGCTTCTACCTCATCGTTTCTGAGCTTGGCATCTGGTTCTTCTCCTTCTTTAACCCAGTCAGGGAGAGATGTGTAGCCATTGAGCCCATTGACACCACTTTCTTCTCCGATGACTAGACTTGCACTGCCGAGGACGTAGTTCTTGCGACTTTCGCTGGGGCTGGGGGCTTGAGGGACGGGTTTTGGTGCAAGGAGGAGGAGAGATGCTAGTTCGGTGCTTGAAGGTACGGCGAGTAGAGCACGGAACATGCGAGCGCGATCGCGGAGGTCGTAGGATGGCGTGTATCGAGCGAGAAGGAGGGTGTGGTGATACAACAGCGATATCGGATGTGACTTGTCTTCTTTTGAGTCGAGATTTGATGTCTTCTCGTCGTTGTACGATTCGTCTCTGAAGCCTGCGCCGTCTTCTTCCTCATCAGGGGCGAGAATGGTTGAGCTGGATTGACGTTCCAGGGCAGGCGGGCCATCCTTCTTCTTGTTTGCATTTTCGGCGTTCAACCAATGCAGGTATACCTTCGCCGCCAGGAGCACAATCTGCTGTCTGACAAGATCGTGCTCGTCAGGATATCCACGTACAAGAATGCGCAAGACGTCCGGTGCGATGCTCTGATCGGGAGAATAACCGGCAAACTCGCCAACTAACCACACGATACTTGCTCGTGCAGCCGGGCTGGTCAATGTGTCAAGGTTCTTGGCTAAACGAATAACAGTTTTAGTATGCGAGAGCGGATCGCGCTGAATCATGTGACGGATAACTTCTAAAGCCTCGGCCACGAGATGTTGATCAGGGCTGTGGACCTGACGGAGTAGTAGGCGCAAACAGCGCGAGCCAGTAGTGGCGTCCGAGTTGTGGGCACAACGACCGATGGCTCGTACCGACTCACGAACGAGAGCAGGGTCGTGTCCTTGAGAGAAGTGCTCCAGTTCGGTGAGGATGAGACCTTGCACATCAGTGGCGCAGTGAGGGAAAACAAGAGTTAGAACTTCGAGCTTGAGGCGCCACGTCTGCTCGCCTTCGCCAGATCGGAGGAGGAAGTGTCTGAAGTGAGGTACAAAGTGCTGCGGGTAGAGAAGACAGATCTGAACGATATTGTGGAGGCCAATCTGGTTGATGTCGGGAGGGCCGCGAAGAAGCGCCGTCAGGGGTCCAATTGCGTGGTGCAAGTAGTGATTGGGAGCAAGATAAAGATAGGCTCTTGTCACTGCAACGACGACGGCCGAGGTACGAGATTGTAAGAGTGGTAAGGCAGCGGTGAGAAGCAGATCGAGATCGGGGTCCAGCACTTCCAGGTCCTCGTACTCGATCTCTTGTTCGTCAGCATCGTCATCGTCGTAGAAGCCCTTTTGCTTTTCGGCTTGGGTGTTTGCTTTGCGGACACGACGGGTCCTTCTTGGGAAGCAGCTTCTTGCATATACAGTCATCAAGTGCAAGGTAGAGACCTGCCCCCATTCGTCCATGTCGACCAGCTTCTTGACCAGGCTTCGGTAGTGGGGGTGTATCAAGTCCAGACGCTCCGGACAGATCTGAGTGAAAGCAGCAACTGCGGCACCAGCCACAAAGTACTGTTTGTCGCCGAGGAGGGTATCGAGGTAGTCGGTGAGCTGAGGAAGAGTCGAGGGATCCAGCTTGACACACTTGACGCATGCGAAAGCGGCGGCCTTGCGAACAATGGGACTCATGTCGGCTGTCCCCTTCTTGATGGCGAGCGAGACAATCTGGCTGATGAGCGGGATACGAACACCAGCCATGGTCTTTAGAGCCATGGCGCGGACTCTGGGACTCGTGTCGGACAGCGACTTTTGAATGGTGTTGATTGACAACAAAGCGGTATCCGGGTCGGCCTCGGCATGGTGAAGAAGGTACGAGTAGACGAGCGGGCGTGTCGACGAAGTCGGATGGGACAGAGTCTTGAGGACCGAGGGGAAGAAGGGAAGTGTTTGCGACAGGGGAGCCGTGTATTGCATCTGTTCATTGGACGAGGTTAGTCGAGCCTTCGTGCTTCTTTCCAGCCAGTGCTGACCTCGATGACGCGACGCAAGCCCTCGAGCACCTCTCGTTCGTTCCTGCTGTCCAGCAACTTCTTTATTTGTGCTGGAGGCATCTGCTTGATCGACCTCCGTCCGGCTCCTGCATCTCGAGCCGCCTCGAGTGTGAGGTCGCGTGCTAGCGTCAGTCAGCCTGCAGTCTTGATCGCAGTATACGTCGGCACCGATACCTGTCTCCAGCATGCCCGAGATACGCGAAATCGACTCCATGTTTGCTGTGCTTTGTCGAGGCGCAATTGTGCAGTCACCATGGTCCAGCTTGAATGTTTGGCGGGGGTGCAACTTCCGCATCCACGCACGTCACCGCCCACCTTGCCGCTCCCGTCTTGATCCTCCTCCGACCCTGTCCCACCCTTTGTTCATTCGAACTGAAGTGTCAACCTGTCTTTGCAATCCGATACTACTGTTGCGCCGACACTCTGATGTCTTTGGAACGAAGCTCAGTCGCATGACCAATCTCACATGCCATCCAATACATTGCAGACCTCGAGACCGATCATACTCGAGCCGTGTCAAGCCCACCATGTTCTTCAATTTTGCATGCGCCACCCTGCGTCCAACAAACATCTAATCGTCTGCTCACCCCGCGATGGTTTCTTGCAAAACCTTCTTTTTGAAATCCGACAAGAAAGTCAAATCGACAACAATACAGCACTGGACTTGCTTGCCCCAACACTAACCAATCTACACACTTCACGCAATGTTCAAATCACTTTTTGCTCAGATCTCACCAACCTCCGAGCCTACCTTTCGACTTTGACTTATTCCTTTCGGCAGGAGGACGGTGAAACAATGTCAACAGACATGGGACCACGTGCTCAGTCGCTTCTGATGGTCATGAATCCGGTCCGAGTCCATCAACATACCCTATCCTATTCTGCTCAGGGCTTCAACCGAACTTTTGCTTCCATCGTGGATACCGCGCATTGTCTAGGTCGACATCTCATCATGGTCGAATGCAGCCATCCTGAAGACGAGTACGAGACTGGTGCTCGAGAGGATGAAGACATGCTCGATGGAAACCATCCGGCTCTGAACCCTTGGGACCAAGACGTGTCAATGTTGAACATCACCACAAAGACTTTCGGTGCTGGTGAACGAGGCTGGGTGGGCAGGACCGTGAATATTAGACGGATTGCTCAGCGGTGGTTTGCGTTCCGGAAGCTGGAGCATGTAAAACTGTCATGAATAGTGATTAAGGATAAAGCGTTTCGAGGTTAGGATGAGAAATAAATCTAGATCGATGTCATGGTATTGGAAAAGGAAGAAAATGTACAGAGGTGTCCGCCGTGTGCTCTACTTGGTACGGATATGCTTCAGCTTCTTTGGGCTGTGCATGAAGTTGTTGGCGTAAGCCTTGGGGGTGATTTTGCGCTCGTTGGGTTCCTGGACAAAGTATTCGTAACCTTGCTTGTTGGCAAAGTTGATGGCATCGTCCTTTGACTTGAAGCTGAGATGAGTGCCCTGCATGTAGTCGGCAGATGATTGCCAGCCCATCAGAGGGTTCTCCCAGCGGTGGCCCTTGCTGAGAACATCCCAATCCATGCGCCAATGGTGAGCATTCCAGTCTCCGGATTGAGTCGCAGTCTTAGTGGGACGGAAGATGCTAGAACACAGGGTGTGAGTATGACAAGCTCAGACAAGTAGCGATTGACGAGCGTGGACGAACCGGACGGTGCGGGCCTGAAGATCGCTAGGAGCGCCAGAGAGGACGGCAGCAGCGACAGTCTCGGTGGGCTCGCTGCCATCCATGACGCGCTTGGGGACGGGAGAGAAGGATCTATCGTGTCATGATAAGCCTACGATGGCTCATGGGCAGTTGTATAGCGCGATGCTCACGAGGTTCTGTAGTCGACGGCAGCACCGTAGTTGGGTGCGTGGCTAGGGGTACTTTGGACAGCGGGCTCGCTTCCCTTGGTCTCTCCCTTGGTCAAGTGGACGGGCGCAGGAGGCTCATCGCGGGATTGAATCTTGTCGATCTCGGCGGAGTTGGGAGCTTTGAAGGTCTGGTTACTGGCGAGGCGGACAGTGCGGGGCGCGAAGGCGGGTCTGGATGTGATGGCGAACAGCCTCGAGGCTGCTGTCCTGTTGAGGGGCGACATTGTGCGGAGATGGATGAATGGCAATGGCGTCTTGTCGCTGTATACGCGATGCTCTCATAGTAGGTCAGCAACCTCGAGGGCGTTGCCGGAGTGCAGCCGCGAGTCTTGGCGGCGATGGGGAGGCCTTCGCAACGCCATGTCAAAGCCCATAGCACAGCACTAGAAGTCAAACTTGTCGCAACCATGGTCTCTACGCTCATCCCTCCCAAGGTGCGTCTGCTTACGACACTGCTGCTGACTGCATCTCATACTGACTGCTTCCAGATTGCCTCGCCTTCGGTACGTTGACCTCCGCCATCCGCAAATTCTATACCACGCCGCATCTACAACCCGACTTCGGCCGCCCGCGCAACCCAAATCATCCCATCATGCTGGAGAAAGAGCCATGAGAATCAGGCTGACACACTCGACCAACAGGGCATTGGTGCCTCCGCCGACGCCGCCCGCATGCAGCGTGTCGTCTCGTTCTACGAGAGACTCCCTCGCGGTCCCGCTCCCGAGCACAAGCCCTCCGGCCTCCTCCAGAGATACCAGCACCGCTACTTCAACGGCAAGAACCCTTCGGCCATGCGTACGACTCTCCCCACTTTGATGTCTATGCTCTGGACAGCAGCTAACCCTGTCGACTACAGCTCTGGTTCACGTTGTTGGCGCCATGATCCTCCTCGGTTACGCCCAGAACTACTACTTCCACTTGCGTACGTCTCCTCCTGGACTGGACTGCCATATGGCTCTAGCTAATCGGCGGCGCAACAGGTCACCACAAGAACAACGCCCACTAAACGGGGCAAGCGAGCGGAAAAGGGTAGCATGCAGGACGGCGTGGGAGTCAAAAGTCGAATCCTCAGTCCTTGTAATTATACAGCATAAATCCGAGAGCGTAGTAACTGGACCCAATCTCTGTGTCTTCGTGAAATGGTAGCGTGTCCGACGTTGCATGCATCCAATACACCTAGCAATACCGGCTTCGTGCACGGGCCTCTTTGACAGTGAAACCGGCAACCCGTCGTTGATGTATTGTCTTGTCCAAATGTGATTCGGTCAGTTCTGGCAAGGCATAGCCCCAGACACAGGCTTCTGACCCAATCTTGTTTGTTCGACAAGTCAGCAGCAACCAGGAGACACGCATTGCAACCTTCCTATCGGGCTGACAGTCGGCGTGAGCACCGACAAGCGCCAGCATCATAGCGACACACTTGTAACGCCCGCGAACACGAGACACCTTTACCCGCCAACTTGCTACAAGAGGGCGCGCAACTTGCCCACGATCTCTGCACCGCACCCTTCGACACAGCCGAGACTGTTATGGCCGAGCTGAGCCCCCATCATGTGGTGATCAACGACAAGTCGGTGGACGAGTCAAAGTCCACTGACGTTAATGCATCCCACCAAGAGCCCTCGAACGCCGCTCAAGGCTTACTCCAACAATCCACCACACAACAACTGCCGCCGCCGCCCCAACTAGATGCCTCCCCACTAGACTCGATCTCTTCACAAGAACATGCGCAACCGAACGGTACAGTCAACAGAGAAATCGACAATGCGACTCCCGACCAACATGGCTCAGACACAGACTCCAGCCGTCCCGATGGCTCAAAGGTCGCCCGCTCTGGCTCAGCTACCGTCAAGAAGCCTCTGTCATTCAAGCCCGTTTCTATCACAAAGTCCTTCCTTGCAAAGACGGCTACCACACCAGGCAACACCCCTCCGCCTGTCAAGATCGCCGAAAAGCGTGCGCTGATCAGACCCTTGCTCCATAATCTCATGCTGACTCCCTGAAAGCATCTCCCCAACTGGCCACCCTGCAACTGAACGCGAAGCCTCGTCTGATTGCAAAAACCGGCAGCAGTGGATTGCGCGACGTTCCTCATGCTCGTCCAGGTGACGGCGCAAGCACCCCGAATGGTAGGACTGTGTGGAACAAGAACCAGCGTTAGTACTACTCGCATCAGCGCCTGCTCGCATGCTAACAAGCAAACAGCCGCTCCGCCTGTCCCAGCCAAGCACTATACCGACGAGGAACTCAAGCAAAAGTACGGAATCCACCTGGCCACACGTTTGGAATCAGAGGAAGCGACCGAGCAAAAGGCGAAATGGGCCGACATTGATGAGGACGAGGAAGAATGGACTCCCGAGACTGTTGAATGGATGGACGGAACCAAGACCACAATCAGTCATACAGAAGCTGCCATTCCTCAACCACAGGAGAAGCCTGTGGAGAAGCTGCAAGAGGAACTGCCTCCGACTACGACATCCGCTTCCTCTGCTCCTTCTACTGCTCCTGTCAAGCCTGTAATGACTGCGCTGAAGCGTACGAATGTGGCCCCACAGTCGCGCACCATTCTGAGACCTGGAGCTGCACAGCAGGCAAAACAAATCGGCGCTGATGGAAAGGCTACTCCCGACAGCAAGTCGCCCATGTTGAAGAACTCGGCAACCGCACCCGTCAAATCCCCTTGGGCGCCTCTCCCTCCTGTAGAAAAGGCTTCCCCAATCACCGTCAATCCGCCTCCAGCTTCCCAGGCTCCTCCCAGGTTCTCACACAGAGATAATCACGGCTTCGATGCCATGGCTCAACCGCCACCTACGCGTGAGATGGCTACGGATACATTCGATCGATCTTGGAAGGATGGCGAGAGATCGAATAGAGAACTTTTCAACTCGCAGTCAGGCCGTTACGAGCCTGCCCCCGAGCACCGTAGAGGATCACGTCAGCAAGACCAACACCATAGACAACCAGCAGTCTTACAGAGGCCGACCCCTGGATCTGGTAGTGCAGAACCTTCGGCTGCTTTCCAAGCTCGTACGAGTTCTCAGACAGATGCGAGCCCATGGGGTCGCAGAAGAGGCTCTAGCATCAGCGGCAATATGCTTCGCGACAGACGCATGTCCAGCTCTAGCAAGGTGTTCGATCCATCTGAGCCTTCGCCCGAGGCTGCTCCTGAAGCAAACGTAGAAGCACAGCCTTCAGCAGAAGCCTCTGAACAACCTAGTCATCAGACTGATGGCCCTGCGCCCAGTGCCTTGTCCATTACTGAGGAGCGCGAGAAACAGAAGAAGCTCATGCAAGAAAAGCGTGAAGCAGCAATTCGACGCAGACAGGAGGAAGAAGCACGTGAGGAGGCCGAGAGAAGAGAAAGGATCAGAAAGAAGATGGAAGCATTGGGTATGCCACTCGAGAAGACTCCCTCGCAAGAACCCTCTGAGAAGGTCGAATCGAAGCAGCCCGAGGCGCCAAAGCAAACAGACGCGCCTTCCGCATCTGCTACGAGTGCTTCGCCGGAGAAACCCCCCGCCGTCGAGCCTGCTTCACTTGAGAAGGAGCCATCGAGCACAGAAGCGCACGTGTCGCCGCCGGTCAAGCAGCTTTCACCTCGAAAGGAAAAGGTCGCCGAGCCTTCACTTCCCTTCACTCAAAACTCGACTCCCATCACTCGCCCTGCGCACAAAACTCTCTCATCGCCTCAACTGCCTGGCCTTCAACAACTTTCTCCCAACGGCCCGACGCGCAGTTCTTATCAACAATCAACCTTACAAGGCATGAACTCGTCATTCTCGTCGCCAGGCGACCAAAACGCGCAACCTGCGCGCTTGTCGTCAATCTCTGGCGGCGACGCCTTCACCGCTACACCCTGGGGCAATGCTAGCATGACCTCGCATACAGCTCCTGCCCTCTGGGGTCCTCCACCTACCAACAACAGACACATAGGAAACGGCACCTTTGATGCGGGTTATTCGAGCATTTCTCCCAACTCGCGTGCTCAATCCCAGAACGCACCATTCACCGCACCTTTCGGCCGCCCTTACTCGTCTCGCGTCTCGCCCAAGGCATTCGGCCAACAAGCATCTGCGCAGCCTGGCTCCATGGACCAGCAATATAACTCCTTGTCCACTCTCGAGCCGCGTCTTCCTGAGCCCATTGGTGCTGCCGCACTTGCTGGCACGTCGCCTCTACCCGAGCCTGCACGCCTTGCCTATCCTGCTCCTATCGCTCCTCCACAGAAGGCCGCCCCCCGTCAGCAGACTCTGCGTGACACTTCCGCGTGGACCAACTTCTCGAACAATGCCCAGACGGCCAGAGAAGATGCGCAGACGGCGGCACGCCTCGAGAACGAGAGAGCCAAGCCCTCAATGCCACGACAGTCTCATCATGCCCAAACAGGCTGGACCGTGACAGAGACTTTCAAACAGACACATCCTGGTGAGAACCGTTGGCTCGAAGGCGAGACTCCTACTCGATCTGTAGCAAAGACTCAAGAGATTGCGCGAGGTACCATTCATGGCCCTCACAGAGCTGGCGCAATTGGCGCTGCACGCCTGGGTCCTCACAGGAACAATCAGGCCGCACAGGCTCCTCGCCCATCCATCGCCCAACAGTCGATGCACCACCCTCCACCATCTAGCGGCGAACAGTTGCACATGGGTGGCGAAGGGATAGTCCGCCTTCCCACCGGGCCTTCTTCTTTCTCCAGACCCGCTTACGGTAGCCCTGGCAATACCACCACCGGCGTAAAATTGCCTCCTCTCTCTGCGTATGCTAGCAACGCCCAGCTTTCACCCCTACCAGTCCAGCCTTCGACACCCGGCTTGCCTCCACAACAGTCGAGATTCTTCCCCTCAGCCCTCTACGGTGGCTCTCCACCTCCAGAAGAGGCTGATCACCCGGTCTATGGTGGTGATTCCAAGCACCCTCACGTCAACTTGCCGACGCCCAAGCCCAAGGTCAAGCTGCCTCCCGCTGCTGTCGTAGAGCGTGAGCAATTGAGCCCGACCACCATGTCTCGTAGTGTGCATCCTTACACTGTTGGTGCGAGACCTCTCGTCCAGACTTCGGACTGGCAGGCCAGGTTTAATGGACTGTTCGGCAAGGCTCAAGTCATGACCACGACCCCTCCATCTCCTCCCAAGACGCCTCCAAAGGCGCAAGCTCCCGCCCCTGCCGTCGCATCTGTGTCTAGGACATCCTCAGATTCTGTCATCGCCGAGAGCGCAACTACTGTTTCCCTGCCACGCTCAAACTCTCCCGTGTCGACTTACACAAAGATTGTCTCCAAGCCTGGTGTCGATGATATCTTCGATGGAGAACTTAGTTTCGGCTCCACTCCTAGAGTCTTCTTGCCTCGCGGCGTCACATATCCTGAAGCACCCGCTACTGCTTCCACACCTGTGCGAGCAAACTCGAGGTTCCACAAACCCGTCGACTCTCAATCGAAGCGCATCCTCTTCTTCCCCGACAGCACAAAGCACGATATCACAGTCAACATCAAGCTTCCACTGCCTTGGTTTGTCACCAGGAAGGTGACCTTGGAGTGCAAGAACCCAGCCGCCCAGAGTCGCAAGAACTCCAACAGGCCCAATAACAAAAACAAGCGATACGAGTCAAGCAACGCTGTCACTGAGACGCCCGACACCGCGGTCCCTGCCGCTACCGGAGCAGTACCTGGCAAGCCTCATAACATCACTGTTGCAGCTGAGAAAGGCACGAAGACCCCGCTGACCGAGAACACTGTCGCTTCAAACTCAAACACAGAGAATGTCGCTTCCAAGAAGACCGTGTGGGCCAAAGTACCCAAGGTACCCCGTGGTCGCGGCCGCGGCTCATACAGAGCACAAGCTTAGATCACACGAATGTCCAACTGGCCCTCATGGTGCTATTTAACCACTGGAGTCATATCTCAGGCGCAACATGGCGCTGTCTGACTATTCGTCTTTTGCGATTTCCTCTTCTTATTACACCCCTTTTCAGCCGCGATGGTGTTATGTCTCTACACCTTTACCCTCTATCTTGGGTCCAACAGCGCGATTGTGGCTTTCACTTGCTAGGATGCAGGATCATGAATGGTATTACTGCAGGCGGGTGAGAGCGCAGATGCATCTGTCGCACAGATTTTTTCTTCTTTTTTGGTAATGCCTCGCAAACAAATGAGTAGTGGACTATAACATCCGAACATGACTTGCTTTTGCCAACAAAACAAATGAAATGATCATTATTGAGATGAAATTGTTGTGCAAAGATAATTAATTTTGATATGTGACTTTTCTGTATGAAGAAAATGCTCCGGCGACGGAAAAGCAATTTGCTTGTGCTGGATTTCCGAAACATTGACATGAGCATATCACGGAGCAGTTCGGGCGGGTTTGATCACCATCGAGTTGAACATCACCTCGTTCTTCCAGGTCATCTCTGAACATCGCCGACAACGCAAATGAGCAGCGTGCGATAAGGCGTGCGAACGATGGCGAGTCAGAATACAATGACATGACAGTGCTTGTCCGAGGAAACACATTGGAGACCTTTCATTTGCACAAAAGTCGAGTGCGTGTAAGTAATCGCGATCAATTCTTGAAGGCAGACTGCAACACCATCCTATACTTGTACAATGGTCGAATATTTCATGTAAGTGGCGGATGTGCTATGCAGTATTGGTGCCGACTACAAAGCACTGCCGGGTGGTGAAAACGGGAAGTACGATGATTAAGTGCCATGACAGAGCAAAGACGAATAGACATGTCGATACTCGAGCATTTACTTATGTCGACTCGCCTTGTCGTCGAGGGTCATTAGGAGGCTCTATGAAGAGTTCGTCAATGTCTCACAGAACAGGCCAAGCTGAGTCCGGCCCGGGGACTCTCGGTCCACTTTTGCGCTAGCCAACGTGCGCCGTCAACGAGGCTTTCAATAATCCTACACTTTCGATTGCCTACCTTGCCATGATTCGCCTTCTTGACAAACATCTGTGTCTTCCATTCTCTACACACGATACGGGCTCGTGAGAAACTGTCCTCGGATTCCTGGCTGGCCACATCACGCTCCTGGTCTGATACCTCACCCACGACGTCATGCAGTGTGGTCCAAGGAGACTCTCAGCATAGACACGATACTTTTCTTATCAAATGCATCCACTCTCGCAGGTGCGATGGACGATATCAATCCTGATCATCGCACTCCTTTTCTCATCCTCGGTTCTTGCAGACTCGGAATCGATTCCGTACGACAGATACGAAGTCTATTCGCGTCAAAATACGAGAGCAGCCGAGAATAACGAAGGCTCGGCAGTTGATGGAGGCGGCAAACAAGTGGCTTCTACGATAATCGAAATATCTACCAAGGTCGTGTTGACTTCCTCGCCGACCGTGACGCCTTCAATAAATCATCGGTATCATAAACATGGAACTGATTCAGAAATGCTGAGTGCTAGAGAGCTCTCGGCGAATTCTTCTACGCCTACTGCGTCCAATCCGGAGGCATTATCTTGCTACAATGCATACTCGAGTTGGCGACAAGGTTCTATAACCTGGGCTGAAAGTGCCTTGAACGGGACAACATGGCAAACGACGACCACCACTAGTACCATCATACAGACGATACAGACAGTGGCCACCGTGTATCCTACTGGCAGCCTCTCAACATACAAGCTTTGTGATGGTTCTCCACGCGTAGACTTTGAGCCTTTGACCCTCACGTCCAGCTATACTTCGACCTCGGAGTACGAGGCTTATGTCCCCGTAGGCCAGCCCACATATTCTGTTACACAGCCATGCAAGGCGTCCTCGGACGAGTGCGAGTATCTTTACTACAGTAGCGGCCTGTCATGGAACGACATAACGCTCATGGCGCTCTGTGGCAGCCCGGCCCATCTTGGACAGGTGAGACATATTTGGGCCTTCGGTCATTCATTCCGCATTGCTGACTATTTTCTAGCCGTGTCTGATTATGGGAGGTCCTGTCGAGCTGGGCTATTTCCCAGTCACTACTGCTGGTAACAACAAATGTGCTGCAAACGGATCTACTATTACCAATACAGCGGGTCCTACCGCTGTTGAAGCATTTGGAACCACACTTAGTTCGGGTTCCGTTTACTTGTCTTTCAAGACTCTCTATGCCTTTCAAGAAGGATTTGGTAGAAGGATTGGGCCGGCCTTCACTGATTTTATCTTACCTCTTCCATCGAGTGCTGTCTCGACGCAATGCGGAGGGTGGTTTTCCGCCGCTGGACCAGGCACGCCTCTCAATTATGCCGATCTGAACTTCCCTTGGCCCGCCAGCGCGTATAACTGTATAAATCGCTGCAGTACAGATTTGACCTGGACTCAGAGCAACGGAACAGCCATATCATGGACACCACCACCTCAATGCTCTACAATCTGGTCAGACCTGAATCCGGTGCTTGCTATGCCCACCGAGGTTCGCGATCTGGTGCCTGCTTGGTCAACATGCAGTCTTTGGGATGCCGCTCTCCCCAACTTTGTCTTTGACCCGCCTCGTGCCTTGCGCGCTGCTACGACGATCGTCTCGCCAACACTGGCATGGCAAACCTCGCATTCCACTACCCCTGCATCTCCAGCTGCAACATCATATACCGCTTTGCCGGAAACTATATCGTCCAAGCCTCCACCAACCACGTCGACCTATTCTGCAGCTTCACCTAAATCGTCTGGATCTTTGTCAGACTCGTCCGCATCATCGAGCGAACCAGCCAGCTCAATACCTTCTGCCATAGTGCAAACAACAAGAGGCATTGGTTACACAGCCATAAACATTGAATTCAATGTCGACGGCCGCACCTTCACAGCCTCAGCAGGCAACAATGCCTTTTCCATTGCAGGCCAAACCATCTCGGTCGGCGGACCTGCTCAAGTAATCGAGGGAGAAACATTCAGTCTAGCTTTGTCGGGATTCGTGGTCAATGCTACGACTACTATACCTTTCACTTCTAGACAATCACCGAGTACGACGAGTGCGGCGGAGGTGTCGATGCAGCAATCGCATACTGCTGGGAAGGCATCTTCTAGCTCTTCTTCGGGTGGGTCGATAGTTGTGGTTTCTTGGGCGGGCATTATTCTGGTGTCTCTGGTTGGTATGATTGTACTTTGATCTCTCATAATGCATTTTCTGTTTTCTTTTCACATAGATACCATGGTTTGGCGCAAGGGGGTCTTATATCTGGTACAATCTTCTGTATAGTTCTGCGTTATAGATCAAGATTACAACTTAGGCCATATCATCTCCAAGGTCACTCAATTCTCTGTTTGGCTCTGTGGCTTCATGTGCACCAAACACACCGGCTCCGACAAAGAGAACTGAAAGCATATTGTGTTTTGGAGAAATTGGCCAGGAGAAGTACAAGTAACAAGATACACGGGCTTCGTTCGAATTTTCGAGGCTCTTATACTTTGATGGATAGAAAGGTTCTATATTGACTCATCACAGCTCCCGGCTTGTCGTTGGTAATGTGGCCTACACGTACTATCGGCAGATCTGCAGTCACGTCACTTATGTGTGTGGTGCAAACTTCTACAGCACCCACCTTGCACCTGAGACACCGACTCCCTCAGCCGGTCTATCTCTGGGTGCTCTTGACTATGCTCATGATGTAAAGCATTTCACCTGGTGGTAGAAGAGAAGGACAAAAATTGTCAGGTGGAAACATATTAGGGCGGAGATAGGCGCAATAATCTCCACATGAACTCGAACGTCTGGCCTGTGCACGCGCTCTCCACAGATGTATCGTCATTGATATTGGCACGAGAGCCTCGAGTCCCATGCAACTTCTTTCTTTGTTACATCCATACCATAATTTGTCTTGTTTCCGAATTTTGGGAGCCAGAAGCCTCGATTGCCTGATCAAAACTCCTGCCCAAAAGGAACTTTGTCTGTCAAACATTCTACGACCTGCTCTACTTGCCACTGCGACCCTCTGTCGCAACTGGCGATCAAACACATTCGCGCTTCTTCAATTCCAGAAGACAAGCAAAACCTGCTTAAATATGGCACCTAGAAGAACACGCGCCAGCGCTGCTGCTGACATCCAAGTCGAGTCCGGCGAAAAAGTCTCGAGTCCTTCAGCTGCACCTGCTGCTAAACGTCAGCCTCGCAAACAGGCTGCTGCTAAATCACCCGAAGTCAAGGACGAAGCTGATGTCGATACGTCAGCAAAGCCTGCTGCTTCAAAGCCTACGCGAAAGCGTAAGGCTGCTGCTGTCACCAAGGAAGAATCACCAGTCTTTGGTGATGAACTTCCACACAATCTTGGCTCTTTGCCTACCCCGGAGACTGACGATGTCGATGAAGCCAAAGAGGCTTCTCCTCCCAAGAAGAAAGCTAAGCGTGTCTCAAAAGCTAAGCAGGTGAAGGCTGATCCGGAAGAAGTCGATCAACTTGCAAAGAAAGCTGCGCAAGTTGCCTCGCCGGATGCAGAAGTGAAGTCTGAGGTCAAGCAGGAAGCCGACTCTGCTGACATCAAGACCGAGGTAAAGCCCAAGAAGAAGGCTACCAAGGGCAAGGCTTACAAACTTACTCCCGGTGAAACACCTTACCCTGACTATGCTCACCCTACCACGGAGGAGTGCTACGAAGTCGAGCGCATCCTCGCCAAGAAGCACGGCAAGGTCACAGCACCAAAGACAATCCCATTGCCATCGCTGGAAGTTACTGGCTGCGGTGAGGTTCCTTCGGTCTTGGACGCTTTGATCAGAACCAGACTCTCTGCTGCCACTACCGGCAAGAACTCTTCAAATGCTTTTAAGGGTCTCGTTAAGACCTTTGGCACCCTCAAGGAAGGTGTGGGCAAAGGCAGTGTTGACTGGAACAAGGTTCGCCTTGCATCTCAGCCCGAAGTCTTCGAGTCCATCAAAAGCGGAGGCTTAGCCAACAACAAGAGCAAAGACATCAAAGCCATTCTGGATATGGTCTATGAGGAGAACCAAACACGCTGCGCTGCCCTGAAGAAAGAAATGGAGACCAAGTCTGAGGGTCCCGCTGGCTCGGAGAACGAACCTGTCAAGGAAAAGAACACTGAAATCGAACGTGCCGAGTCTGGTGTCTTGTCTCTCGATCATCTTCATCTGCTCTCCAACGAAGAAGCTTTCGACCGTATGGTCAAGTTCCCTGGCATCGGCCCCAAAACCGCATCTTGCGTTCTGCTCTTCTGTCTGCAACGCCCGTCATTCGCCGTCGACACTCACGTCTTCCGTCTCTGCCAATACCTCGGCTGGGTACCGAAAGAAGTTCAAAAAGGTCAACCCCCCGTCGGTCGCGAAACCACCTTCGCCCACTGCGAAGCACGCGTCCCTGATGACCTCAAATACCCTCTCCATCAACTTCTCATCAAGCACGGCAAGGAGTGCCCGAGATGTCGAGCTGCTACCAGCACTGGTAGCGAACGCTGGGAAGAAGGCTGCCCTATCGAGCACCTGGTCTCACGTCATGGTGCCAAGAAGGGTGAAGTCTCACCAGCCGGCAAGGCCGCTCCAAAGGGCAAGAGAGCCGCCGCTGCCAAGAAAGGCAAGGGGAAGAAGGTCGTCGACAGTGACAGCGAAGAGGCCGAGAGCAGTGGTCTCAGCGATGCTGACAGTGACGTGTCACCTGCTGTAAAGGTCGCTCCGAAGCCCAAGAGAGCCGCTGCTGCCAAAAAGGGCATGGGAAAGAAGAAGGTTGAAAGCGACAACGAGGAAGTCGAGAGTGATGATCTCAGCGATGTTGCGAGCGATGCTGAGAGCGATGACGACTACGAGTAAGGCTTTGAGGATTTCCACAACTCTTGCTCGCAGCAATGGGATTTTGCTGTTGCTGGCTCAGGGTAGCCATGATGGACTACTGGCTCGATGGTGTTTGTCCATGAAGAAATGTCACATTATACGAATGATTTGTGTGTGTATGTTGCTGTTTGATCGATATTGGGGGCAAAAGGAGTCTTGCTATTTCATCTGGGAGGTTTTTCCTTTTCAGCGGGTTCTGATGACGACTTTGCATGAAATTAGCTGTCATGCTTATACGAATGTATGCTATTAGCTTGTAATGATGAATCAAGACGATTATGCTGTTCAAACTTCTTTGCTTCGTGATGGTGAAATGGGCCTGTCCATTTTGTCGAATATTGCCTAACATCGATAGTCGAGTGATGTAGAGCAGTCTTTGTGCTAGCCATCTCCTCCAGCCAGGTCAATGTTTTTGAAAGTTTATTCATTCTTTATCATTATGAATTCGTGTATGTCTCATTCTTTTACAAGTTTTCAATCATTGTAGTTGCCTACACCACTGCAATCCTTGTTTCCAGCGGGTAACCCATACTTTGCATCCAACTCTTCCTCTTGCGACTTTCCATCCGCAGAGTAATAGGGCTTTTCGGCTTGTGTGGCCACTCTGACGGCATGTCTTCTGTGAGGGGCAAAGCCATAAGTCGCCGAGTGATTCTGTTTACATCTTAAAGTCAGTGAATGCACATAAGAAGAAGAGAAAAGAGGGGAGGGAGCAAAAGGGGGGTGGTAACAACACATACACAAATTCTGTTGTCCCAGAATGCTACATCATCCTTGGCCCACTCAAACGAAACGTGTATCTCGTTTGTGGTAGCGATGACTTCGTTCAGGTAGTTGATCAAAAAGTCACTTTCCAATTTCGGCACACCGATGATTTTGGTGACGAAGCCTGGGTTGAAGAAGAGAGATTTCCAGCCTGTGACAGGGTTGACGCGTATTAAGGGGTGGATGGTGGTGACAGGGCTGCGGCGAACGGGACGATTTCCACGGATGGAGTCGGCGGCTTGCATGTCCGCTGAGTGTAGGGCTGAGAGGGAGGAGAGGTATGTTTGCATGGCTGGAGACAGGGCGTCATAGGCGGCGTATTGAGAGGACCAGAGAGTGTTACCACCGCCACCTTGAGGAGGTCCAGAAAGCAGTTTTAGACTTGTGTAGGAAGGGGGTTGGATCTCGTAGGTGACCTTGTTTCGCATGTCAGTATTCCTTCCTCATCCTTGCAAAGAGCTTTCTGATATTGGAGAAGAGGAAGTGGTACCTACATCACTATGCCACAAGAAACTTGGCGAAAAGATGGCGTTTCTCGCTCCCCTTGCCCCTTCTGCGAAAACGACATGTACATCCTCCAACCCTTCCTGCTTGGGCACAGAAGTAGTAGCATGCCTATGCAATTGTCCAAAGTACTTTCCCAACTCCCTCTGTTTCTGAATGTCAAAGTTCTTTTGGTTTCTAAAGAACACCACGCCTCTTGTAGCTATCAAGCGGGCGATGTCGTTTTTTTGTGCATCTGTCAGGTTTGCCAAGTCGATACCGGAGACTTCAGTGCCGATTCTGGGATTGTAGTCGCGGATTGATGTGGCGGAGGAGAGGAGGTTGTGGAAGGTGGGGGAGCCGAGAATGCCTTTGTCGTGGTAGGGGATTTCTTGTAGGGGTTCCCATTTTACGTCTGGAAAGCTTGGGAGGAGGTGTTCGTAGGGGTAGTTTTCGTGGGTTTCTGCTACCGTTCGACCGGGCTCGTAGTTGAGGGCATTTGTGATTGGAGTCTTGAGTGATGACTTGATCTCCGTTGTCTCGGGACTCGCCGAAGCTGTCTGCTCTTGAAGATATGGTGCCATTGTCGCGCTCAAGATACAAGGACAGAAAAAAAAACATATACGAAGCAAAAGCTAGAGTGAGGAAACAGATAACCTACAGCTAGTGGAAATGAGACTATATACCTACCTTCCCTCACCTATGACTCTAACAACAACGCAATCATCAAGGTGCATTGTCCTCTCCATGAATTGCGTGATGGCCCCAGGATATGATGAGAGTCCGTGAGTCCACCGCCAGAATGGCCAAAGCCGCCAAAACATACAACGATCGGCTCCGCAAGACATGCACAGATTGGGGTAAAATGTACCTACCTTGCCGGGAATCTCGATGCCAGGTGTCGAAAAAGGCTTCTTCCATGCAGACAATGACAGAAGATGATAGAAGTTGAGATCGCGTGCTTGACTGGAAAGACCGTGCGGCCGTTGATACTGGCGGAGACTGCCATCAAACAATCCATCTCGTAGGCATAAGTGCGCCTAGAACGCAAAGTGGCTTAACAATCATAGGTCTGAGCTCGATATACATTCCACTGACAGTTGATGGTCCATCTCAGAGAGTCGACTCGAAGATCGAAAGAAGGAGGTGCGAACCGGGTGGACATGGTCGTTGCTTCTTGGAAATCTGGGGTTGGCGCGAATGGTGCGAAACACATGAGCGATTGCACAATTCGCCCTGGAAATGGCGTCTCTTTGATCGCGTCTCAAGTCTCGAATCTTGCCTTTCTTATCGTGGTTGATCACGTGTATGAGGCACGTGTCTGGTTTCATAATGACTATCTGATCACGATAGGCGTGGCACTTGATCTGACAGGTGCTTGACGTCAACCCAAACGAAGAGCTGCTCAATAAGCTCCTCCTCTTGCATTTCTAAGACTGCTTAGAATCTGACAGATCTTCTACCTCCGTATCCGACACTTTCTCGGGGATCGTTGCTGATTTTGCCGAGTATCAGCTCATTAACGCCCTCTCTGCAGGAGCCGACCAGACCTGCGGCACCCAGAATACCACTCTCGAAGCCGCGAAGAGTTTCTGCCAACTCCCGTACATTATCCGCACTGTTGCCAGCACGGCCACCTGCCCTTTGAGCAGCAAGTTGATGTGCTTGGTGTACGGTACTTCCTTCCACAACACGAAGATGGGCTTCGATCTCAGCGAGGTGAGAGGTGTATGTGTCGAGGGTCTTTTGCATGACTTCGGCCTGCTTGCCAAAGTAGCCAACCAGATCAATGTCGTACTCGTCGTCGGTAGATGAAGGTCTACTGCTTCTTCCGTAGTGATATTGTTGAGGGAGTTGCAAGTTCTCGGCCATGCGCGCAACCCTGATAAGGTCGCTAGCGTCTCTCTGGACCAGTTCCTTTGCATTCTCGATAGCTGCTCCGTCATTCTCAAGGGCAAGCTCGACCGTCTCGATCTTGTTCTGGATGAGGTCGACGTCGGGCTTGATGCTCTCGACATCTGCGGCGTGGCGACCAATCATACCCTCGCATTGTGTAGCAAACGACTCTTGTTGTCTAATGAAGGCGTCGATGGACTCGATTGATTTCTTGAGGTCGTCGTGCAGGTCACTGAAGCGCGTAGTCGGACGTAGGTTTGACATGTCGATCTTGACACCGGGTTGCGTGCTGTTTTGGGTGTTGTTCTGGCCCATTGTGAGGGTTCCAGCTAGAGGTCTGGTAGTTGAGTTGCCGAGAGGATTTAGAAGCGACGATCCGAAGTTGTTGTTGTTGTTTGATTGTTGGGCGGCGCTGCCTCCACTAAACGTGATGTGTTAGGAGACGGTGTGATTCGAAACATGTAGAGGGCAAACGTACAACATACTCAAGCCGGTGTTCGTGGCACCGAACATAGTAGGCTTGTTCTGGGGTTGAGACTGGTTGCTAGATTGTCCAAACATGCCGCCGGTATTCGTTGTGTTATTGTTGTTGGCGGTTACACCTCCAAAGAGACCTCCTGATTGTTGTTGCTGTGGTTGTGTGCTCGAGGCAGTAGCTGAGTTGTTTCCAAAGAGACTGAGGGTGGGTTTTGCAGGTTGAGCAGTGTTGTTGGCGGCTCCAAAGAGACCACCCGACTGCTGAGGTTGTGATGTCGGAGCAGCAGAGCCGAAGAGGCCGCCAGATTGCTGTGGTTGAGAGGAAGCTGCAGGTGCGGCGCCAAACAGGCCGGTAGTGCTCGGCTGGGACTGCTGTGTGTTGGAGGCAGCGGTGTTGCCGCTGTTTGAGGAAGGGACAATCGTCAGCGCGCCTGGGATGAAGGTGATGGCCGATCGACGCATGTTTAGGTATCGTTTACGTACAACAGGGAGTTTGCAGCACCAGTATTCAGACTTAATGAATTAGATCTGCCGAAAGCCATGGTTGCGCGCAGTGAAGTGATGTGTGGTTATGTGCAGTGAAGAAAAACTGAGGTTGTTCGCTAGATGCTTGGTGGAAGTGCGCGTATGATTCGATGCAGGTCGCCGGTTCCAGATGGCTTCAAGGATGTGACGGAAGTGGAGATAAATATACAATCACACAATCGAGTTGTTTGTACACGCGCAGACACACGAGTTGGCGTGCTTCTGTTAACTTTGTTAAAGACCTCCGAGCTCGGGCCAGCGCCAGCGATCGTGAGCTTCGACTTGCGACAAATCGCCCATCTCGACAATACAAGATACAGGACACTCAAATCATCATCATGGAAGAAGAAGACGACGATTTCTACACGCAGAACGGCGATGCGCCTGTCAAGAATGAGCAGCCGACGAACCAAGACGATCCCAATGAGCAACCCGACATCGACTTGGACGATGAGGAAGAGGAAGACGACGACGACAGTGATGATGACAGCGACATTGACATTATCACCGAGCACAAGGATGGTGCTGCTCCAGAGCCTCCGTGAGTTTGCGCAAATCTCCATATACCACACTCCTTCCTGACCGACTCATCAGACAAGCTCGTCCCTTCCGTGGCATTAAGCCTGAAGCTCCTGCGCGAACCGCTTCGATCGATACAGTCCCCACCCAACAGAATCAACAAACTCCTACTGTCAAGACGGAATCCCCGGCTCAAAACAAAAGGCTCGTCTCGCTGAAAGACGGCTCCAAATACCCGGAAGTCCGCACTTCCTCAATAGACGTCAACGCAACTCCTTCCTGGGATCCTGCTGGAAAGCTCATTACAGAGGTCGACATTGACGCCGATTTGGCTGAACACACAAAACCCTGGCGCTTACCTGGTACCGATCAGACAGACTTCTTCAACTATGGCTTCGACGAGTTCACCTGGACTCAGTACTGCTTGCGACACCAAAACATGACTTCGACCATCAACAACCAAAAGGCAGAGACCAAGCAGTTCGAGATGATGTTGACTGGAGGAGGCATGCCTGGTCAAGCTGCACCTGCTGGTCCTCAAGCTGCTCCGCCTGGCGGTCCTATGGGAATGGGAATGCCTGGTATGGGTATGCCCGGCATGCCTGACATGAACCCCGATAACATGGCCGCATTTGCTAGCGTCCTGCAGAACCAAGGTATTGATCCTAGTCAGCTTGACTTCAACACGTTTATGCAACACTATCAGCAAGCCTCTATGGGTGGCGGTGGTCAGGGTGGTTACGGCGGTCAGTCAATGCAGCCTCAACAATCAAATCAAGGATATGGAGGTCAACAACATCAGTCTTTCCAACAGCAAGGTAACCAAGGCTTCCGCGGAGGTACACCACAGCCAGGTCAGCAAGGCCCTCAAGCCCAGGGTCAAGGCTTTGATGGTTACAGCCAGCAACAGATTGCCATGATGCAGGGACAAGGAGGAATACCATCTGGTCCCTCCGGAGGTGGTGGTCGCGGCCGTGGTAGAGGTCGCGGGAGATGGCAATAGGATGCCACTCGACGAAAACATGCATGAAAAGGCGTTTGGGACTTGATACCAATATCTAAGAGGTGGTTTGAGCATTGATAACGACTATTAGCAACCGAGGTTGTGGGATAGGCAGAATATTCATAACGTTTTTGAGCACTCGTTGTCCGTGGCAGCATTCCTGGTTCCAGGAACCGTCCACCTTTTCATAAAGTGCGAAAGGAGACCGGGATCGTCCTGCGTCCGAGTTGGAATCGACCGTGACGATACGAAAGGACTTGTTCATTAGAAATCAATGGACAAGGTGTAAACCCTTTCGATCTCCACTTGTTGTAGTGCTGCCTTTGGGTTTCTATGAAGCATTGTTGCCAATACATACACAGACGTATATAGCTCGCTCAACATGAGCAAGAGCGTTAAATCAAGCTTAAGTGACGATCTATATGCCATTTACTACAGGATGGAAAACATATGAAAAGCCCTCCGTCAAAGGCGAGCTCCATTATTGCATGCTATTCTTGTATCAGGGTCATCCCCTCCACATCTGCTCAGGAACCGCCGCGGAAGCTTGGAGCTCTCTCTAAATTAAGCGGCTCGGCTACAGATCACTCGACGTCACGCGGAGATGCTTTCCTGAGATCGATCGAACAACTGGATTATTGACCAAGCCACCAATACAGGTGCTCACTTGACATAAACAAGGCTATCCTGCATCGACGTCTGCTGTAACTCCCGCACAAGATGTTGACAGGAAGATGGCACCTGCGGCTTGCAACCCCGCAATGTTCAGGTACAAAGATGATTGTTTCTCGATCGACTCGAGCCTCATTCGGCCCTGATTGGCTTCTCGGCCTCGAGACTGCTTTCAAAGCGGAGCGGGAACGGTTCCGAATGCTATTGATGATGACACATCTAGATCATGATGTGGGGTCAGGTGTTTACAAGGCAAGAACGACGCGAAAGTGAGACTTTCCCATCTGCTTATATACCCTCGGCATATCCGTCTCTCTGAGCACGCAAGATTGCGCCATTCATCGTTTCAACACTACCACACAGTTATGGACACCAGTACAGCACCAAAGATCATTGACATTCGTCAAGATGGCGGAGGTCTAACGCCACTAGTCCCTGAGATCCGGGAGGGCCTCAATGCGAGAGAAGGACAAGAAAAGAAGCTGCCAACACTGCTGCTATACAGCGAAGATGGCTTGAAGCTCTTCGAGAAGATCACATACCTAGAAGAGTACTATCCAACGGGTCAGGAGATTCAGGTTCTAGAAGCATACGCCGATCGCATTGCCGACCGTATTGCCCTCGAGTCCAACTCTATGCTAGTAGAACTGGGTAGCGGGTTGGTGCCCTAAATATGCTGCATGCCGCGATCAGGTCATTGACCGTACTGCAGTAATCTCCGAAAAGTCCGTATCCTTCTCGACGCTCTGGATCGCAAAGGCAAGGATGTGTCCTACTACGCCTTGGACGTCTCAGAAGTAGAGCTCGAACGTACGTTGGCCGAAGTCCCTCAAGGCACATTTAAGCATGTACAATGCCATGGACTGCTTGGTACATACGACGAAGGTCTAGATTGGTTGAAGAAGCCCGAGAATGCGCATCGATCAAAGACGGTCCTTTCCCTAGGCTCGAGCATCGGAAACTTCTCTAGGGACGAGGCTGCAAAGTTTCTTTCACAGTTCTCAGAGACCTTAGACCCTAATGACACCTTACTGTTGGGTATTGATGCATGCACAGATGCTGACAAAGTATATCACGCCTACAACGATCGTGAAGGTTTGACACATGAGTTTATCCTCTGTGGTCTGAAGCAGGCGAATAGACTTCTTGGCTACGACGCTTTCGACACCAAAATGTGGGAGGTTATTGGTCGCTATAACAAGGAAACTGACCGACACGAAGCCTTCGTCTCCCCTAAGAAAGATGTAACCATCGAGGGCGCTCTAATTCGTGCCGGAGAGCAGGTCAGGATTGAGGAGAGCTACAAGTATAATTCAGTCCAGAGTGAGCGACTTTGGTCCGACGCTGGCTTGACGGAGGGTGCTAAATGGACCAACACTGACGGTGACTATGGTGAGTCATGCAACAATATCGATGTCATTTAACATAAAACAAAGACTTACAGTTTGTAGCATTGCACTTGCTCAACAAGCCCAAAGTTCAGTATCCTCTAGTCGCCGAGAAGTACGCGGCTCAACCTGTACCTTCGCTCGAAGAATGGGATCAGCTTTGGGCTGCTTGGGATGCTGTCACTTTGGAGATGATCCCGGAAGAAGATCTTCTTGAGAAGCCTATCAAGCTTCGCAATGCCTGCATCTTCTATCTCGGCCACATACCCACTTTCATGGACATCCACCTGACGCGCGCGACTCATGGCAAGCCTACGGAGCCCAGCTCCTATACCAGCATCTTTGAGCGAGGAATTGATCCCGATGTTGATGATCCGGAGCAATGTCACGCACACAGCGAGATTCCAGACTCGTGGCCACCAGCAACAGAGATTCTCGACTTCCAATCAAAAGTGCGAATCAGGGTCAAGAAGTTGTACGCTACGGGGCAGGCAGTCAAAGATCGCGCCGTCTCGAGAGCAATGTGGCTATCTTACGAGCATGAAATTATGCATCTCGAGACCCTGCTTTACATGCTGATACAGAGTGAAAAGACCATGGCACCACCCACGACCGTCATGCCTGACTTTGAAGCTCTGGCTGTCCAAGCAAGACAACGAGCTGTCGAGAACCAATGGTTCGACATTCCAGCACAGAAAGTTGAGATTGGTATCGAGGATCCCGATGACAACTCTGGTCCCGAGCACTTCTTCGGATGGGACAATGAGAAGCCGAAACGTACAGTCCACGTACCAGCCTTTAAGGCCAAGGGAAGACCCATCACCAATGGAGAATTTGCCAAGTATCTGGAGGAGAACCACCTCGACACTCTTCCTGCGTCTTGGCATACTCTTTCTCACACTCGAGGCACAGAAACCAACGGTCACACGAGTGGCATCTCGTCATCTTTCCTCCAAGGTAAAGCAGTCCGCACAGTGTACGGACCAATATCTCTGAAGCTAGCACTCGATTGGCCAGTGTGCGCATCGTATGATGAGCTCAGAGGATGCGCTCGCTGGATGGGCGGCCGAATCCCATCTATGGAAGAAGCCAGAAGTATATACCGTCATGTTGACGAAGCAAAGACTCTCCAAGCTCACGAGTCGCTTGGAGCCAACATTCCCGCTGTGAACGCGTCAGTATGACTATGACATTCATCTGAAACTTGACTGATACCGCTACAGGCACCTTGTCAATGACGGTGTAGAGGAATCACCACCATCCAAGGCCTTGTCATCAAGCTCTACTGGTCCAAACCCGAACGATCTGTTCGTGGACCTGCTAGGAGCTAATGTGGGCTTCCGACACTGGCATCCCATGCCTGTTTCACAGCACGGAAACAAGCTTGCCGGTCAATCGGAGATGGGTGGTGTATGGGAATGGACCAGTAGCGTGCTGGACAAACAAGAAGGCTTTGAGGCCATGCCCCTCTACCCGGGTTACACAGGTGAGGTTCTTGGTATCTCCATGCTAAGTCCGTTATTGACGCGTGCGACAGCCGACTTCTTCGATGGCAAGCACAACATTGTGCTTGGTGGATCGTGGGCTACACATCCACGAATTGCAGGGCGTAAGAGCTTGTAAGTCGAATCATAGTGCTCGAGCCTGACCATTGTTCTAACCATCCTCAGTGTCAATTGGTACCAAAGAAACTATCCTTTTGTATGGGCGGGTGCCCGCATTGTGAAGGATGCATGAGCGGGATGCTGCCTGATCCCTGGAGAGTGTCCAAGCTGTAGGTGCAAGGTATTCTCTTTTGTCTGTGGAGCATGTTTCTATTGTGGAATAACCGTATGAGCAATGTGTATGCGTTTCCTGCTGCCTAGACTTACCACTCGCGATAATGACTTCGGTGTGCTTCTCCTCCCTGCGTTTGTCGTAGGCATTTGCTACATCCCACCGCATCACCAAATCACACCTACCCTCACAAACGGTCGATTCACCGAATTTGTGACCGGAATTTTGAGCTTGAGAAATCTTCCTGCCGCCCGCGCAGTCAACAACTCTGTTGTTGTTTGACCTCTTCTTAACTTGAGCAGTCTTGTACATTCCACTCATCTTTATTTGTCGATTCGCTTTGAAGAGATCGTTTTGCCAGAGCATTCTACTCTTGACTGTTGCTCGTCTTTTGGCAACTCGCTATCTTTGGCATCAGAGATCTTTGCTGCAGCAGTACACCTCGTTGAGACTACGCACAGTCTGCGCGGTTGACTCGTCATCAGAGATCCTTATTGACACACTAGCACAGTATACCTTCTGAACTTGACAAGATGATCAAGGAACTTCTGCGTTGGGAGGACAGTCCTGGTCTTGGTAAGCCGAGCCTTTGCGATGATTTTGTGTGTGGCAGTTACTGATCATTTGCAGAGCATCACTGTCCCAAATGTCAGACCCCACTCAACAATCCCAGAGCTAAACACACTTGCTACTTCAAGCATGTCGAGATCTGTCCGCTGTTCCATCAGCACTTCTTCATGATTGGTGAGTCGTTGTTTTCTCTGCTCGCACTCACTCGGAGCTACATCTTCTTTCCTCTTTTGAGTTCCAAGATCTTCCACGAGCAGTGGGCCGCGATGGAGAATCGCAAGGCTAACCTTTTGCTCACAGGCCAGGCTCACAACTGTGATACCTGCCGCCGAAACAACAGTGCACACGATCAGCGTCACAGACAGATAGCCATGCTACTTCGTCAACTGACCCAACTTCAGCAAGAAAACGGTATCGAGCCCGGCAACTACCCAACTTCCCCCTTCTCGTCCACTTTGTCGCCCACTGGAGAAAGAGGCTCCGTTTCCGGGCCCGCCGACACCGACCCAGAAACCACTCCAAAGCTCAAGAAGCGCGAGCGCAAAAAGGCAAAGAAGCGCATCAAAGCCCTCAGAGGTGGAGATGCCCTCACAACAGCTGAAGTGGCCGCTATAGCCACAGCTCTACACCCTGCGCCCCGCAACGACAGTGTGATCTCTACCTCGTCAACCTCGACCTCCACCACAGAACTCAGCAACCAGAGTACCGTCGATGAAGACTCTGCCACCACACCCTCCACCCCAACCTCCCCCACATCTCCAATCTCCAAAAACCCATCCTTCACCACCCTCATGAATGTCAATAAATCCTTCCACCCAGACGTGGACGGAAAACTAAATTCCACACGCATGGCCCTGCAGACACAACTTCTCTCCGTACTGCACGAAAACTCCTTACCCCTGGATGCGAGTGTGGAGAATGCGCTTCGTGCACTTGGAATCTCCGAGTCTGATCACAAGACCCCAAAGCCTGTTGCTGAGTGTGTTGCAAAGATCAAGGAGGCGGTTAGGGAGGATATCTTTTGTGCCGAGTGTGATGAGAAGAAGTTTCGCTTGAGGGAGGCGGCCTGGTATCGGTTTGTTAATAGGAGCGTGTTGGCGTTGAGGGAGGGGGAGTGAGTGGTGCGGTTTTGTTCGCTGCAGAGGTGGTCTTTGGTCAGATGGTTACTGGTCTGAGGAAGCCTGCTTTGTGGATGGCTCGGCTCGGCTTGGCTTGGCTCTTCGTTTCCTGTCTTTGGTTCGATTTGGTTTGTTCTTTCGCTGGGCTTGGTGCCCTTCTTTTTTTTTTGTTTCGTTTCGTTTGGGCTTTTGGAGTCGACGCTCCTCCTTGGGTTCGTTGATGGTCGACCAGTCGTTCTGACAACAGGTCGGTCTCGACTTGCATTTGATAGTCGGCCTGTCGCTCCTGCCCAGTATTGCAGTGGAGCACTTCGGAGCTTTGCATTAGCATTTTCGACGTGGTCGTGGGGAGATGCATGATAAGGAGTTGGAGCAAAGCATTGGAGCTGTTACATTATAGATCATTGGCCATAGCGGTCACCGTTTTCGGGCCACTGTTTTCGGGTCACATAGTCATGACAGAGATTGTTGTTCTTCACTTTCTACCTCCTTCCAAGTACATCACTCGCGTGACAGCAGTACGGCACAAATTTGTCGTCATTGAGAGATGATCATGGCCGCCTCATGCAACTTCCTCAGGCTTTCTCACCACAAGTAGATACCTAGGCATCTTGTATACATGTTCGTCGCTTCCTCGTCATTATACACGAGTTTGCAAGACAGTGACGATACTTTTCTTCATCTTCGATTACACTATCATATCTCCGATTACACGATCATCAATGCCCGAACGATCTCGTCCTAGTCCTTCGAGGGCCATTCTTCGACGATCCCCCGTGTTCATGCTGTGCCGTATCTCTCAATCTCCCCGACTGCTTCGCCTCGACAATACTCCCACGCCTATGCAGGATAGTACTGTTACCCACAGGCTGCAGCATACGGAAACCAGTCTCCTTTGTGACTTCCTGTTCAAACGTGAGTGGCATGACCAAACCGAAAATCTCTTCACCTCCAACAGCTATGTTTTCATCACAGGCACATCCACAACCTGCTTCGCATTCTGGCTTTTCGTCTTCTGGAAGTGATTCGAGGAGGGTGGCGAGACAGGAGATGTGAGCGGCGTGTCCGCATACAGGACATACTTTGTAGAGACCTGCGATGGGTTGGTAGCAGATGGTGCAAGAAAGTAAGTGGGAGCGCCCGCCGCATTTGGCGCATTTGTGGTCTGCACGACGGTCTGGTATGTCGACTTCGCCACAAGACATGCAGCATCGGACAACTTGTGGACCTAAACAATCTAGCTTGTCTTCGTCTTCTTCGGCCTCTCCCAACGTAAGAGTGGATTGTGAACCATGGTCTCTTGACCTAGTACGTGCGAGAACGTTTGAAAGCAGACCGTCGAGTTTGTCAACTTCATTCTGCTGCATCTGGAACCCCCAGGCACCTAGCATATTTGCATACACAGCACGATAAACTGCAAACTTGATGGACTGGTTGGGATCCAAGAACGCGATATTCGAGCGTCCCTCATCGTCGAAGAGATCCTGATTCTTGAGACTGATCTTGACGCGAGACTGTGGTGGCAGCGACTCGTCATCCTCTGTAGTAGAACCATCATAGTCGTCACCAAACCCTTGAGACATGAAGCTCCTACGAATTGTCGAGTCGCTTCGGTTGAATGGTCGACTCTTGTTCCAGTTGATGCCCGCCTGCGAAGGTATTGATGACGAGAGCTCCTCCCCACTGTTACGATTGCGAACAGGGGGAGAGCTAGCAAGTTGGAACGGTCGAGCCAAGACGGAAGCAGCGAAAGAACTTGTCGCACTTGGTATGGAGGTACGGTGGTGTTCTGGTGATGTTGAGAGGCTGGGTGCAGCACTAGACCGGTGTGTACTGGTCCTTGATAACGGCATGGGAGGTGTGTTGCCAGTGTATAAGGGAGTGACTGGCTCGCTTGCAACTATACTTTGTTCTCGAAGATCCTGTGAGGACACTCCTGTCGAGGCAAGTCCTGCCCCTGACCTTCTGTTCTTGTTCGATAGATCGGAGATAGAGATTATGGGCTCATAATACCCAAAAGCAGTCTCCTTGTCGGGGAAGTAATCAAAGAGTTGGGCGGCGCAAGTCATCGATTGTGGGAGATCCTGGATCGTTAGCTTATGAGTCAGTTATACGCGGTAGTCGACGCATCATACCTCGTAGGTCGGACGTTGATCATCGGGTGACAAGGACTGAGCGAATATACAAGAAAGCATACCGAGCATCTGAACATCCGCCAGGTTCTCAAAGTGAGTAAATCTGCGTAGAAAGGGTCAGCGAAATAGTTCCACAAACAGGTGACAGCAATGACACTAACAGTGTGTCGATGAGCCAAGACCCGGCAAACGGATGACTACCCCATTTTATCAGAGCTGTTTCGTGTGGATTAAGCACAGCTTCTGGCTCGTCAAACGACAGGTCTAATCCACTATCGTTTCTTTGATACGACATAAGCGACCGACGTGCTAGAACACGAATATCTGTCTCTTGTCTGGGCATCGAAAGCATGATCAGAGGAACCTTTCTAGCCAATACCAGGCCAACAAACTCCCATATGTCAGCCAATTCAGGAAAGCCGTTTGATGAGGCAGCTTGGGCGTTGTGCGAGCAGACTGTCTCTCCATCACCATAGACGAGATACTCTGACGCAAGTTTTCGCTTCGAGGGCAACAAGCCATCTGCATCGATGATCTTGACTCGAATCTTGTTTCTAGCACCGGTACCTCTCTTGTTGAGCCCATTACTTGTTGGTATCGAACCTTCGGTGGAATGTGTTCTGAGTCCCTTCAGGCGTGGGAAGCGTAACGACCCACCATGCCAGGCAGATGGTGGTTGGAATCTGCGAAGGAACATTTCTGGCTCATCAGAACCCGAAGATGAGCTAGAAGACGAGAACTCAGAACTGTCATCTGAGTCTTCCACCTCAAAAGCGTCAGCACTAGGCTTGCTCTTACTCTTTGACTCTGTCTGGCCTGAATGTAACCTTCCGAAACCTTCGAAGATTTCTCTACTTCCGCGATTGCGATTTCTATCGTCGATCGCAAACTTCTGGAGAATCGAACGCGGCTCTTCCTTTGGCGGCATGAAACAGATCAGTTGTCCATTCGGAGCCCACAGAGCTCCACATGTTCTGGGAAGAGGCACGTTGGCATTTGTGCTGAAGATGCCGGATCCTACACTGCCCTCCATGCCCAGAGTTTGTGATTCGCTACCACCAAAATCGCCGAGCAAGCCGTCTTCTTCATCACTGGAGCTCTCTGCTTCTTCACCAGGTGCAATCACATCGTTGCCACCAAGCCCAAGCCAGCTGATGCTTTCCTGCAAATCTCTTTCGCCCGTCAAATAGGACAAGAAACCTTCAATACATCCTCGACGATGTATCAAGTATCCAGTGGCAATCTTGCGTAGGTTACCCTCGAGCTCTGCAATTTTTTCCTCTGACAAGGCAGATGCTTTGTCGAGGTGGAACCACGGGACAGATTTCTCGGGGTAATCTACTGGGAAGTCCATGCAGAGCTGCATGAATGCTAGCTTCTCTTCGGCCGCCCATGGACCGTTGAGTGATATCTTCACATGTCTGTTCGACACATCTGCCTCTTCAACCGTGACTCGTGTAAATTTCTCACCCACGTGAATAATCTCATCGCTGAGAGTTTCACGCACAGCATGAGTGTCCGGATTGTGTAGATCGGCGATGATCGAGAGTTCTCTTGTACCCTGTCTATCCGGGGAGCTTGGTTTGCGCTTGCCGAATTTGACACCCTTCATCCATGAGATGAGGCCGTTGTCTTGCTGTCGGACATTTCGAGTTTCGATGCCCGAGTAGGTCATCATCTGGCCACTATCGGCCCAACCACCTGCGATTGGGATAGGCACTTTGTTCATTCCAGGACTGGTACCAGGATGTACTATTGTATTGCCGTGTGTGGTACTATCGGCCGCTGTCGCAGGATGGACAGGCCGATCTCTGAACGACTTGTAAGGTGCACCAATTCTAGTGAGTTGCACCGGCTTGTCCATGAGCATACCCTTGTGAAATCCGATGGATTGCAGCTGCTTGTCGCCCATGCGATGTAAGATGAGTTCGCGATCAGCTCCCCATGACACCAGTTGGAAGTCACGACCATCCGAGTATTCGTCGATATTACCACGCCCTCGCCACAAGAACTCCTTGACCTGTTCTTCATGTCCAGTGAAGCGATAGTTGGGCTCGGTGAGAGCCGGTGTATTGGTCACATTCGATGGCCGGCAGTCGTACATGTGCAGATCATGATCTCCTCTTTGTGGCATAGCTAATACTCCATTACCAAATGGGGTATGTCGAGCTCGCCATACCGGGAAAGGGGTATTAATGACACGCTCAGGTTCTACTTCGGAATACTCGTAGTCCCAGACCTTGATAGTCCGGTCGAGTGAGCAAGTGACAATCTTGGTTTCTTCAGTGCGACTCCAGTCGATTCCATAAATCTTTGTCTGATGAGCCTCGATCGTTTTAAGGGGCAATGCGCCTTTGCGATCATCCCAAATATGTAGATACTTGTCGTGTGAAGAAGCAACAATATGAGGGTTGCGGCGATTCCACTTGACTTGAGTGGCACCAGCGAACCAGTCGGAGAAACTGATTACAGGTCTTGCAGACACGCGCAGATCCCAACAATGTACAAAAGCGTCAACTGCACAAGTAGCAAGTAAGTCCGGTTGCAAAGGAGAGAAATTGATGTCGGTGATAGCTCTCGAGTGAGCGTGCAACGTGTGCTCTATAGGGGCTTGGAGACTAGCGAGCTCAAGATTCCAGACTAAGGCTCTTTGATTCGAAGTACTAACGACCCAGTAATATCGTGAAGCAAACGGAGACCACTGTACATCCGCCGGGGTCCATGGGGTCTGGTGGCGCAAGTGACGCGGAGGAGAGAATGGCGAGTCGAGATCGATGATATGCAGGCCTTGCTGTGATGCCAGAACGACGTCTCTACCTCCTGGTGAGATGGAAGCAGAACCTACAGCCTGGCCGACATGGATACGCAGATCCTTGTCAAAGGTGGGACTGTCAAAGATGGAAGAGTCTTTTCCACTCCTTGCGGTTATATTTGATGACATTGTGGAAGACATGGCTGGTCAGGTTGGGATTGGTCCTCAGCCGGGATCTTCGAGGCGCCAGACGATGTGGGATACAGATTGCAGCGCTAACATTGTCACACTGGACACAGTGATTCCTCAATCCGAGCAGCGAGACACATGTTGCCGATATCAGTTGCATAGATATTCAATAAGAGTAGCAGGTGCCAAGGAGGGCATAATCGCGAGACGCGATGACAAGGCACGTGATGAAACGTCCGAGCTTCTAGATTGGAATGGATTGGAATGGATTGGGCTGGAGAGGGCGATAGCGGGGTGCGGGCGGCCTTCTTTCACATCATCGTCGTCACTGTTGACCTGTTTCATACAATTCAGCTTCATTTTTGGTAGTCCAAGGCTTCGCCAACCACTCCATACAGCACACATAGCTTCGTCGAGCCGATCAACCCGCTCAACATGGCCCTTCCCAAGCGTATTATCAAGGAGACCGAGCGTCTTATGGCCGAGCCGTATGTCTAGCCATCCCAGGACAAGTCAGCCATGCCCTGACAAGTCGAAATAGCGTTCCTGGAATCGAAGCCATTCCCCACGAGGACAACTTGCGCTACTTTGACGTCAAGATCCACGGCCCCTCGCAATCTCCATATGAAGGTATGCATGTGCGACCACAGCCTTGCGCCTGGCCGACTCAACCTCTTCTGACACATCCCGCAGGCGGAATCTTCAAGCTCGAGCTGTTCCTGCCCGACGACTACCCCATGACCCCTCCCAAGATCCGCTTCCTCACAAAGATCTACCACCCCAACATCGACCGTCTTGGCAGAATCTGTCTGGATGTCCTGAAGAGTGTGTCCATCTATCGACCCTTGTCCATCCATAAAGACTGATAACCATAGGCAACTGGTCACCTGCCCTGCAAATCCGTACCATTCTGCTCTCCATCCAAGCTCTGCTCGGTGCACCCAACCCCGACGATCCTCTCGCCAACGATGTTGCCCAAAGATGGAAAGAGGACCAGAACGCTGCTATCCAGACCGCCAGAGAATGGACCCAGCAATACGCCAAGCCTTGAAAGTAGGTTACTGCGAGTCATGAGGGCTTCCAAATTTCCGTTTCCTTAGATGAATAGCGTTGCATGGGTTCCTGCCAACATAGTGTGGCCTTACAAGAGCATGGGAGGCGTTGGACAGGTGTTTTTCGTTCTATCCTCAATTACACCTTGTGTTCTCTTGATACTTCATGTCTTTGGCCAATCACATCTCTTACAGCGCCCCAACTGCAATGCTATCGGAATGCAAGGTGTTTTTGTAATCACCAAGTATGTCATCGGGAGCATCTATCAGACGCTTGTCCAGAGCTCTCCAGAACACTCGTTGGCCATAGGCATTTCCCGTATATTGGTAGTATGAGACTGACCGTGCCTGGTAGCAGAGAAAGATGTAGCAGCAAGCAGTACAGCACGGTACCAGGTCTCCACAAGGGGCCGCATGAATGGGCGCGGAATGTTGGTCTGGCAGCCTTCCGCTTGGCTCAAAGCGCGTGCCAGATACGCTTATGTGTTGATGGTCATGAGATGTCCTGAGACCAGAGGTGCTGTGGCTAAGAGCAGCAAAGGGGCTCTCTGGACAATGAAACTTTTGCCAGCGCGTGATAGACATCCACCTCAAGACGGAGATCAAGAGCCACCAGAAGCCGTTCTACGCGTGCTGTCCTGGAGACTCAACGCTCACCGCCGGCCGGCTTCTTCCATGGTATAGCCGTTGACGTGGCTGGGTGGAGCGCGTGAGCCAGCTGCACCAGTATCCACCAACCCAAGCAAATGTAAGTAGTGCAACTTTGTATCAGATCGTTACTGATTCTCGCAGATGCGTTTCTGGCCCAAAGACCACCCCGATGAGATAGAAATCGGTGATGGCACTGACTATCCTCCACCATTCAGGCCTGAGAATGCACCTGGCGCTTACGTCCCACCGGCGCAGATCACCAAAGAACAATCAACGAGCTCAAGAGATGGTAACAAGATCGTACGTACTCTGTCCGCTACCATAGTTCGGCAATCAGGTTGGCTGTTCCTCTTTGTGACGTATCGTGGTGTCGTCGTTCCTACGATCTGTTGTTACCGTTATTGTATTGACACAGAGGCTGACACTCGCGAAGAAGCGTAGAGGTTGGTTGAAGAGGACGTTAGGTCTGGGAAATGTTACATCTCCACCTCCACCGCCGGGCTCGCACGATCCTCAAGCAGAGGCACTGCAGAAGCTGAAACTGGAGGCTAAAAAGGCTCCTAAAGTCAAGCCCTCGGGACGCTTCTTTGACAACCAAGGCAAAGAGATCTCCGGAGAGCCTGCACTGTGTCGTGCAGTAGCCACGCCCAAGTCTGATCAGAGTAGCACTGCGTCTCGTCCGGCTAGAGCAGAACCAAGAACGATGCACTGGACAGCTGCACTAGGAGTCGGTGGGCCCGGTGCTGGCTTTAACTCTCCCAATCCATCAGGCACGCCTGGTGAGGCCGGTCGCCGCCGTGGTGCTGGAACCAGAGGTGGCTATCAAAGAGGTGGATGATGCTCAGATGTGTTTATGAAGGCGCCGTCGTGCGGAATGACTTACGCACGAAAGCCACATGCTTTCAGAGCGTCGTCTCCGTGCTGGAGAATCTAGTGCTGTCGGTAGTGGAGAGAGTTGCGTTATGCTGGTCTTCAGAGACTTGTCTTCACGGATCCGAGAGTGGTTAGCAGCGTCAACCGCCGAGACGACATCATTACGACAGCACCACCTCTAAAGCTCTCACTATTGCGCGCCGAACAACAACAACTTGTCTGTTCCATTACCACCCTTCCTCTTCCATCATCGCCAGCATGTTCAAGATCGGTCCAGACAGCTCGAGCAGCTCTGCATTGTCCAGTAGAGCTGCATCTCTCAGCGACGAGTCCGAATGGGTCCCAGGCCCCGGAACTAATGACGACGAGACCGAGGGCCCTCCTGAAGTCCCTCCTAAATTCACACCCAGCAGAACTACGCCTTACATCAGAACTCCCCAGAGATCGATGTCTCAGGGATTAGGTGATCTCAAGTCCTTCTGGTCTGACACCAGCGAGGAATCAATGACCGCTCGCAAAGTTACGCCTGTCAGAAACAATCCTCGCAAGGTCACACCTCGCAGATCTGCGTCCCAGAGACACAGAGCCGAAGTCGATCATGTCGACACGCCTTCCAGATCTCGAGCGTTCCAGAGATACGGCATGACCAGCAACGATGCGCGCGCTGAAGTCGCAAACCTTCTGTTCTCCGAATCAGACTATGCATCAGATGATGGAGCCATGTACTCTGTCCGCGAGGAAGATTCTGAACTCAAGCGCCTTATCAGCGAGGAAGACTCTGATCCCGTACACTCTATCAGCGAGGAGTCATCTATCGAAGAGGCTCTTCTCCCTCCTCCTCTCATCAACATGAAGCACTACTGCCGCGAGCCTAAGATGTGGCAATATGGTCCACGCCCCACGCTCGCGTACGACATCAGCAAGGTCGATCCGTTGAGTCTGGGCACCATTCCCGTTCGCCCTCTCCCCCCCGTAAGTTTGCTGATCCGGTTGTTTGCGCATCGACTGTTGACAGACAACTTTTAGCTTGCCATCCATGCAGACTTCCAGACTCACCGTGAGAACTGGGGTCTGCCTCTGCTCAGAATGCGCTGCCCCAACGATTCACACCGTCACCCCCACCACTGCTACGATTGGCATGCTCAGAAGCTCAACTGTCTTGAAGAGCATGAGGGCGATTGCCAACTCTGTGGAGGTTCTTGCTGCTCTGTCAAGGCCTACACCAGGCTCCTCGCCGAAGACCCCCGCCCCAATCCTATCATCCCTCCCAAGTACCGCGTGATGTATCAAAACGACATCGACAGAGTTGAAGCTATCAAGCCTTTGGCTACTGACCCCTGGGAGAGAATGCTAAAGTGCAGCGACTGTTACCGTCATGTCTGCCCTGACTGCGCCGGCCGCTGCATGAAGTCTGATTGTCTTCGTGTCATCTGCAAGTCTTGTGGTGCTCCTAACCCTTGGATCCACTGCCAGTGCGACGGAGCTCCTAAGGGCCAGATCAAGATCAGTTATCTGGACTGAGTTCTTTGCTACATCCTCCGCCATGATGACGAGATTGACTGCAGTGTTTGCTGCTAACAAAGAAGCTATGGAACGGCGCGGAACATGAGAGGTGCAGCTGCCGCAAACAGGCACAGAGGATGGTGAAAAGACCGCCTTGCTCACAAAGACACGACGAATTGCTCTTCGCTCAAGGACAGAACTATGTAACACTATTGCTGAGTACAAGGACTGATGGAGGATCGCTGGCCAAGATGAGCTGTTGCTCATTCACTTTCTTTACTGTAGCTATAACTCAAATAAAACTCTGCATACCGTCCATGATTGTCTCAAATTCGTCGTCGATTTCCCGGGGGCTCAACACCGTCACGCTTCTCCAGTAGTGTTGTAGAGTAATGAGAGGGCTGTAAGATGCATGAATACATCTCCCACGGTAGGGATCTCGACCAAGAGACAGCAGGACGACCTTTCTCGGCAAAGATTTCTTAATCACCAACGAACATCGTATAGCAACAAGAAGGCTTCAAAAAGGCATGGTCAAATTCGACCTTGAAAGAGCCCTGAGACAGACATGATGAGATGGCCCTTCTCTTCGCAGGTTGCTCCTTCTGTCAAAAGCATTGTGCCTCACGACGGCTAAAGCTTGGCTTCGTTCAGGAAGCCGTCTTGGTCCGGATGAGTCAAAATGTTTCGTGCCTTCCTATAACACTGTTTATATCACGGCAGCAACGATAGATTGGAATGGCTGGTTAATGCAGCGAGGTCGGCGGCCGGCCAATAAAGTCGGCAGAGATTAACCCGGCAAGCCCGCCTTTCTGCCCGAGCGCGCATCATATATTTCCCCACGCGACCACTTTCCGCAGGTGATAAGCAAGAAACAAATCATCCCTTGTGGTGCTACGACGAGGATCACCTGGGAAAGGTCAGAACAAGAGGAGGGACACTTGACGATAAGCCATCCGGTCAGAATTCTCGCAACCGTCACATGCAGAACGACAAGAGCATCCACTTCACCACGACGCGCCGACCTCTAGGAAGCAATGAGTACGGCTGCCGGTCCCGGCGCATCCTCAGATGTCAAGTCTGAAATCATGCCGACCCCGACAACGACTACAACAAATACATGGAACACGCATAACCTGGGTCTCCGCCTTGCCGCTGATGTAGCATCCGCCGCATCAGCAGCTGCCCTTGTCGCTCCCGTCATCACCGCAATTGACAAGGCCATCATCGAGAATGCGTCTGGCAGACAAACCCTCGGCCGCTCGTTGCGAGACTCGTTTGCGACACTCGCCCTCCGTCCACACCATTTTCTCTTCTCCAAGCCTTTCGCCTTGATCTTTGCTTTGTATGGAGGAACGTACATCACCGCGAACATCCTCGACACTTCTGCAAGCACCATGAAGGCGAAGCCTGCGTCGACTACAACGTCTGGGCCTGCCAAATTCCTCGCAACCTCTTCTGCAAATTTGAGCTTGTGTCTGTACAAGGATAGCAAGTTTGCAAAGTTGTTTGGCGCTGCTACATCGAGTCCTAGACCAATCCCTGGACCGAGTTATGCTCTCTTCGCCGTCAGAGATTGCTTGACTGTTTTTGCTTCCTTCAACGTACCGCCATTATTAGCGCCCATGCTGCCAATGTCGGAGGGTATGCAAAAGCATGTATCTGCGGTTTCTGCTGCCCAGTTCTTGGCTCCCGCTGCTGTGCAACTGATCTCTACACCGTTGCATTTGCTGGGCCTGGATCTGTATAACAGAGAAGGCAGTTTGGGAGCGAGAGAACGTATGATCAAGGTTAGAAAGGATTGGTTGAAGAGTTCTTTTGCTAGAATGGCTAGAATTGTGCCTGCATTTGGTGTGGGTGGTGTTGTCAACACTAACGTCAGAGCGAACTTGATGAAGAAGTTGGAGTAGGTGCTTTTACCAGCCTTCTCTCTTTGTCTGTTTGCTCTTTGCCTGCTTTGCTATGATCTGACGGCCGGCAATGCTTTGCTTTCGGGGTCTTTGCTTGCCTTTATCCGTTGTCACATCTTGATTTTGTTGTTCTGGTCTTTCGGGCTTCAGATCTGCGAGCGTTGTTTTGTCCCTTTTGCGGATGGCGTTGGGGTTTTATTATAATGGGACTCTCTTGATACTAGACTATACAATGTAATGAATGTACGCTTGCCGTTTGCTCATTTGTCTACTACTGTGTACAGTCTCAAAGCCTCTGATGATGCAATGCTAAATGTATCTTTTTAAGAGTGCTGTATTGACCAAGACGCAAGTGCAGTGACACGAGAGCCAGATCCCGTGTATGAGCAAAAGTATCCAATAGCACAACGCCTCGCCACGATTGTCCCTTTCAAAATCAACACTCTTTAATCAAAGGCAGCTAAAGCAGTAGCAACACAATAGTCCCCATCATGTGAGATGGAAATCTTGACAATCTGACCCTCCATCTTCGAGAAAGCATCAGCCTTCCTCTCCGCTTCAACCATTCTGTTATACTCTGCCTCCAACGCCGCTAGACGACATCTATCCCGTCGTTCTGACACTGGCGTCTTGACGATCCTCGGTCCTTTGTTCGACGTACATGTCAAAGCTTCCTGAAAAGCATTGAAATCCAATTTGCCATCTTTGTCCAAGATTCGCGGTATCGGTGTTGGTGTCGGTGTCGGTGCGGATTCTGGTGTCGATGTGGATGATCTAACATCTTTCGCAGAGTCCCCATCTTTTACACTTTCCCTATCAATTCTATCCCTCACCCTCCACTTCTGCACAAGATTCGCATAAATCTCTTTGGCAGATTGATACTCCACTTCCCTCCCAACAACCCCATCAATCACAATCCCAAAAGGTGCATTGGTCTTTCCATCCCGTCGAATCTCAATCTCCCTCAACATCAGCCTCCTCTTTCCCGCAAATGCCTTCACCACAGCTTCTTTGGCTGCCCATCTTCCTCCTAGATATACAGCTGCAGATTCCGCTGTTTTCTGATCCCAGGATAAAGAGGCGGTAGAGCTGAGTTGGGAGGATGGTGTAAAGCGTCGCCAAAAGACTCGTTGTTCAGAGGGTAATAGTGTCTTGTCGAAGAGTTTTAGGAGGTCTCGTGTGCTGTTGGTAGGGTTGTGGGCGGAAAAGTATTTGTTGAAGCGGGGGTGGTGGCATATATCTGTGCCTATACTCAAGGCTTGGGGAAAGGGGCGTGGTGGCATGATGTTTGGGGGAGAGTTTTCTGTATGTATGCTTCCTTTTTTCCCCCTTCAAATTGATTTCCCTTTGGGTTTTTCTGCTTGATTGGTTCTTGGGAATTGGTCCCTGAGTGGTTGATGAGTCTACCAGAGTCCGGTCTGCTGTCGAAAGAAAGTATTTAGCAGATGTGTCGACCAGTCTTCTTTTGCAGGCTGAGATTGACATGTATTCTCAATGAAATCACTAATAATCAAAGCCTAGTTGAAGGTGTTTTCGGAAAGAATTGGACAAAGTTGTTCTATGGAGTTATGAGCATTTTCAAGACGCCGTTTGAAGTTTGAGGTTGGCTCGTTTCGTCGGCTTTCCAGCATCCGGGTAGCGCCGATCTGTCGACATTTATCAATCACAAACTGAGACGGACAGGTCATCAACAAGAGGACAAGATATATGTACATTAGACAGAAGAATGATTGTTCTATATCATTACTACTCTAGAAGCTCAACAAGTCGCCGTTGCCGTTTCCCACAGTAGGCTGATAGACTTGCTGTGGCTGGTTCTGGTTCACGACAAACATGGTCTGAGCTCCTTCTCCGGTTACTGGTGATGCGTAGCCATCATCATTCAAGCCCATGTTGGCCATCTGTTGAGATCCGATGGTGGAGAAGTACACATCCGCTGCATCGACCGCTGAGGCAAGGTCGCCGTTAGAGTTGCCATTCTGTCGTTGTTGTGCACCAGCCATCGAAGTCATCTCCGTCCAATGCTTTTGCGCATCCAACATGGCTTGGTGGCTAGGTAGTCTGTGCTTCTGCAATGCAGGACTTTCTGGGATGACTCGTGGACGAGCAGAGCGGAAAACGGATTTGATGGGCTTCAGGTAGATGGTTGCGAGAGAGCCTACCACCAAGCACATTTCTTGCAAGGTGAACGGGTCCAGCTTTTCTGTTTCTGCAGTAATCGGAGGCTTCTCGCCCATGACAACCTGCTTCGCGGCTACAGGATCCGAGGAGAGCAATCGCCAATACATGTAGCCTCGGTCACGGAGATCTGGATTGTCTGTCTCCTCGGTAGCCCACTTCAAGACCTTCGGTACCAGATCCTGTCCCTTCTTAGGCCTTTGAATAAACAGCTTGACCGTCGCTGTCAAAAGTGCCAACTGCACCTCGTGCGGCTCGTCTGCGAATGTATACAAAAAGTCGTCCAAGAGAACATCACTGTTGTCAATTCTGTCGGCGTATTGTCCAATGATCCAGATCATAGCAGCCTTTGCTTCGGGCTCGTCCAGGGAATCGAGGTTCTCACATAGCGTGCTGATAATCGATTCGTATTGGTTGGGGTATTTGCGGAAAATGTTGCGAATGACTACCGTCGCTTCTTGCACGATATACGAAACCTTGGTCGCAACAAGCTCCAAGAGTGTGTTGATGCAGAGTCGCGCAGCTGGTTCGATCTTAATGGCCAGCTTTCCAATAGCGCGGACAGACTTTCGAACGAAGTGAATATCAATCTCAGTTGCGTACTCCCTGAGTTCAGCCAACACTTCCTTGATGTTGTCCTGAGTCGCGAGCATGAAAATGAGCTCGAGCTTCGTAACCTTGACGTAGATGGGGTCGTTGTACTTGCAAAAGAAAACACGGATGTCGTTCTTCAGAATGTCGGGTCTTCTTTGCAAGATCAGGAGAGCGTTTCGCAATGCCAGATATTGGATCTCGTGGCCTTTTGAGAGTAGTGTTACAAGCGGCGGTGAGAGCTTGTTCATTAGTGCTGTGATTACTTTTTCGTCTGCGATGTAGTTCATGAGGTAGAGAATAAGGCGAATACATCCCAGGACGACTGCGGAGTTTGTATGAGAAAGGCGAGGAGTAATGCGCTCGGCCAACATTGAAGCCTGGCCCGAGTCTTGAGGGACGAAATTCATAAGAGCTTCAAGAATATAAGTTTGGTTCCATTCGGACGTTTCTGCCAGGATAGATGCAATTTTGGAAGCACTGTTGTAGTCAATGGTGAGTTTGATGGATTCGCTCCTCTCCCAGATGTCGGTCAAAGATGCCAGAGCGCTGGAGACTACAGTAGGGTTCTCATCTCTCAGCATGTTGTTCAATCCAGTGATCAGGTCCGAGTTTTCCACCAGAGTCTTGTCGTGATCGTACAGTTTGGCCACACAGAAGCAGGCGGTCTTGCGCACGTATGGGTCCGAGTCCCGTAGTAGGTGTTTCGTAGGTGTGACGGCAGCTTCAACGTATTCGCGAACGTGAATGTATGACATTGTTCGCAGAGCGAGGGCTCGCACCAAAGGGTTGGTGTCTTCCATGTCCTGCAATGTGTTAGCAGAGAGCTGGGAGCAAAGCGAGATGCGACAGACTTGAACAAGATGAGGCAGAGCCTTGAGAGCGATCTCGGGCTTTATCCTGGCGTAGTGGACAAGGTATAGGAAGCACATCTTCTTGATCTCCAGACTTGCGAGACCCATGACTTGAATAACATCAGGGAACAGGGCAATCATGTCGTTGTTGCTCATAGTCATGTTGGCGACAATCTTCTTGAGAGCAATCTTCTTCCCAAGATGGCCCTTGTCTTTCTTGCCTCCAGTGGCCTGCAGCTCTTGTCGCAGTTCGGCGACTTTGCCCTGTGGATTGCGAAACGCTGGTAAGCCATAGTCGTACAAGAATATAGGAGCGAACATGGCGGAGTTTGTCGGAGAGGTTGGACCACTCACCCTAGCAAAGAGTTTCGCATCTTGATTTCCCGCACTCATTGTGAATCTGTGATAGCAGGGAGGTCTTGTAGACCAATCCCGAGCGTTCGTTGACGTGCCCCTCTTCTTGGTGTCACTTCAGTTCCGTGTCGCGTGACGGCGTGGTGTGCGCACCAGTGACTTCGATGGTCGTCGGGGGAAAAGAGCGTGTGGCGGACGGGGAACGGGCGGTTTACTCTTGTGAACATCCAGGTAAATTGGAAGGTGCTCAGCCAGAGTCGATGGTCAGGGAGTCGCGATCCTGGGGAAGCGGGCGGGAAGTGCTCCTGCTCCTGCTCCTGCTCCTGCTCCTGCCGAACTTGGCCCTGCTCAAGCATCGAGCAGGCAGTTGCATCTTCGCACCACATCTCGACAGATATTTACTGTTTCAAAAACTACCGCAAACATGGCTGTCCCTCTCCCGCCGCAATGGGTTGTCGACCTGAACGCTCCCCCAACCGCCAAACCAAAGACGTCGAGCATTCCCGACCCGCCAGGCTACACTGCGCCAACCACCGTCTCGAACAGCAAGGTCCGAATGTCTACTCTTCTCTGCCATCTGCGCAACTGACACATTGTAGTCAAAGTCATCAAAGAATGCCGTCGCCCAGACCTCCGCTCGCAAAGCTCCTAGTACTGAAGAGATGGATACTTTGAAGCTCAAGAAGGCTTGGGAGGTGGCTATCGCTCCAGCCAAGCAGTTGCCCATGAACGCTTTCGGCATGTACATGTCTGGCAACAGTCTCCAGATCTTCAGTATCATGATGGTCTTCATGTTGTTCAAGGGCCCCATCCAAGCCCTCATCAACATCCAGAACGTCTTTGCTCGTTTCGAGACCGAAGGCACCCGCGATCGCCTGATCATGGTCAAGCTTGCTTACGTCGCATGCAACTTTCTGGCTCTGGCCCTTGGTATCTGGAAAGTCAATGGCATGGGTCTGTTGCCGTATGTTCTCATCCTTCTCCAGAGCACGTCTACTTCTGCTAACACTGTACCAGAACCACCCGATCTGACTGGCTCGCTTGGGAAACTGCTAGGGAGCCTATTGCAAGAGCCTACCCAAGTTCTTTATTATGATCTATACAAGTGGTTCAAATATCCAAGACTAAAATTACAAATCAAGATTCCTATATCCTGCCGATTATATCCTGCCAGTACATGCTTCGTACTGGACTTTAGCCAGCTAGCTGTGATGAAGAAGAGTATATGTTATGTACAGATCTTGGTCGAGATGGTGTCACGTCGCGTTTACTATAGCTCCTTCTCTTTGGCGGCAACAACCTTGGACTCTATTTGCGACAGAGCTGATCTACCAGTCTCAGGACGACCGTGGACAGCTTCTTCTCCACCGATGGCTGAGCAGGCCTTGTGGAAGACCCACTCGACGGCCGTCTCTACCGGCTCATCGAACATGAAGGGGAGAGCAGGGACAGCGGCAAGGCCCAACTATGATGACATGTCAGGAATTGTAAGTCGCAGAATGATGTAGATCAAATACTTACACCGATGGGGCCCCAGGTGCGGAGCTTGACATTCTTATTGTCTTTCAGAGCTTTGCCGGCGTACTTTACGATTGAGTGAATGGTAAAGGCTGGCAGACCCATACTAGCAACACCTTGGAAGATTGCTCTCTGGACCATGACAGTTCTGTAGTCCTCAATGAGGGGAACCTTTCCAGGAGTAGTTTGGGCCACGGCGGTACTAGTGGCATTGGATGCAAGCTGAGAAGTGACAGTCTTGCTGTCCGTTGCAGCACCAGTAGCGTCGGTGTAGGTCTCTGGGTTCAGCACATGCTGGTTGCGAATGTAGGCCTTGTAGCCTTCGTGGGAGACATCGCCAATGAGGTATGCCCAAGAGACACCGTAGGCACCCTTGACCAAGTAAGGGTGCGCAATCGGTCTGAAGCTCTCGCCAATATCGCTGGTGTATGCAACGTAACGATGAGCCGACATCAGAATTGTACGGACTCTCGAAGCGTAAGCAGCGTAACGGACGGAGCTCTCGGTCGACTCTTGGGCATGTCCCTCATACATGGTCTCCCACAGCTTCTCTTCATTGTCCAGAGTATCTTGCAGGGCGGCTGGCAGTCTCTTGCGAGGCAGAGGTTTTGAGAAGTCGGGTCTGGGTTCGGAGCGCTCGCGAGGCACATCGTTGAAGTCGAGGATCTTGCTGTTATCTTTCTTGTCGTCGGACATGGCGGCGGTATTGGGATTTTCGTTCGAGTTGCAGGCGAGAGAGAAGGGATTTGCGCAGATGGATCTTGGAGGCATGCGATGAATATATCTGCCTTGATTACCCTCGAGACACTCACGCGATGACCTCGAATTACCTCGGCGGTACGTCACTCTTGAGCAGAATTTATGCACGAGGGAGCCAGAGTTGTGAAATAATTAGACAGCGCAATCGAGAGTGTCGGAGCGGCTTCTCCCGGGGTTCCGCCGTTCGTCGCAGCTCTCAACTCGTCCTCGCAGCGACAGTGACAGCGCCTATACCGCATCTTCCTCTCCCGCTCAACCCCATCAATTCTTCTACCGTCAAAATGGTCGTTATGTACAACATCATGGGCCGCCAGGTCGGCTCCCACCACGTATGCGCACTCTTCGACAAGACTCCCGAATGCCGCGACCTCAGATGATTGACAAAACTACCAACAGCTCGCCCTCGGTATCCTGACCTCCCTCTTTGCCGGTATTGGTTATGCCTCAAGCGGTGGTGCCAAGAAGGTCACTGGCTCGACTCCCCCTATCAACGCTTCATCCAAGGACGAGGCCGACTTCATTCAGTACGTCGCCTCTTTTTCTCTATTGCCTGGGTCAGAAAGAGCAAGGAACATCGGTCGGATGAGACACGAAAGACCAGAACACAAGCATCGATCAGAAACGCCGAAACAAATGCTGACAAGGCGTTCCCGCAAACAGGCAGTTCCTCAAGGAGAGCGAGAAGAAGGAAGCCAAGCACTAGATTCTGGAAGCCAGCAAAGCAATATATCCTCCGATCAGACAGAAAAGCTATGGGAATTACGAGTCAAAGCCATCTCGTGTGTATATATACTCTACACTGATGTCCCTCCCCGCAACTGCGACGAACTGGCGTGGGGGATGTCTTTTGAATTGATGAAACCCGCCGATTCAAAATTATTCTAGTGCCCTTCCTACCTTGCGTGTATTGATCGCCACTCTTCGATAGCGATAAAGACCAGTAGACAAATTCGCCAAAGGCTGATCGCTTCGAGAGTAAGGTTACACGAATGTGAATCACGTCTTTGCTTCGAGCCCCCGTCTTGTCTCGCAAGCTCTTGTGCTTTTCATCATACCAATGCGTGATCTCATTGTATACACACCAGAAGACCCCCGTAAATATCTGTAGGGTTCACTCGCATATCACCCACTCTCACTCGTATATCTAATTCTGATATTCGCACGTCAAAGGTGTGGTTGTCAGGAGGACCTTGTCCAACGTTCCATGATAGCTTTTTGCCAGGACCACATACCATCATAAGAGACGGTTGCCATACTGATGTGAACTACCTCGATACCAGCCTGTTTGCGCAAGGAGTCGCGTTCGGGAAGAATTCTTAAAACAGCCGAGCTTCTGCAATGGTAGGAGTCTGTCAGATGTCTGGCCACGTGAAGCCTGTTTCTCGTCGAAGACTCAAGCTGCAGGCCATGACTCGAGCCTCACTCCAACATGCTTCCCGTCGCGACCCGTCACAAGTGTTTCGAGGAGCGAATCTCTGACCTCTAAGTTCCTACATGCGCAGTCGAGTTTTGGAGCATGCCAGCCGAGGCACTGTGTATGTCGTCTTGGTTAGGGCAAGGAATACTGGATGTATATGCCTCAGCCGAGGGTCTAGGAAAACACTATGCTTGGAAATAGAAGATACAAGCTTAGCGATGCTCTCTGAACTGCAAATTTGGCTCAGGTAGAACGCGACGGTGACGCATCCACTCGCGATTTGTGGGCCTGAACGACCATTTTCGAAAAAGAACATGAAGATCCTGATTTTTCGAGATTCTAGTGTTACACGTTGGAGATCAGCTCTAGTCTCTACCTTCCATCATGCAAGCATCATGTTCGTGGCCAATGGCGGATGTACATATGATGACTACGAGTTTCGATCATAGTGATTCTCACCGTGTACTTCGTCCGATGCTTCTACCGTAGGCCGAGGACAACTTTAGGGCTCAGGTCGACAAAATCCTGTTCTCGCGGTCCATGTTGGCTTCGGGATGCATACCTTTCAGAAAGCAGCAAGGCTACGCTCTGAATCGTGCTTGATCATCCTCTCGCCCGAGGAGACTTTGAAGAAAAAGATACCGAGGGATCGACCATGTTGTAAACGATCAATTTCTAACGGGCGGGTGGACTGAGGTTGGACATTTTGAGGTTCAGGTGCATAATCGACAGCATCTCAAACGATCAGGCCCACGATGTCCACTCGTGAACAGGATGCACTGATCCTGACGTTGAAGATTTGACTTTCTTTTGACGTCCACTGAAGATCTCCACAACCTCGCTCGTGGAACTTCCGCTACATGGAACAATAGCGTGGGATGAGTTGGGGTATGACTGTTCTTGTCAACAGCTTTGATGTTACTGCTAGCTAGAAGGATGATCATCCGCATCTGGCTGAAATACGATCATTCGGCGAGCAATAGCGTTGTGAGTAGGCTACAAACTGACCGGGAGAGCACCGCGGCTGTTTGAGGTTGATGGTTGAAACATGCCAAGCCGAACTTTACTCCAACTTCAATCCTCATTCCACAATCGCTCATGCCATTTTCACCCGACAAACTCTCTGCTGATTGTTTCAACAATGACTCGCATCTCGTGTCGGTCCAGATCTCCTCTTTGGGACTTCTTTTGAGATTCGAAGCGACGGTCAAGGTACCGTTAGTAGGGCAGCAAGTCCTGACGAACCGAGTCCCGAGCAAAGCAGTTCCCTGAAACTCGGAATATATTTGCTGCGAGGCAGATCAATCGTCCTAGTCGACCGAGTATGGAAGGTCTCAAAATAGACATTCCTATACGGCCGTCTGCATACTGAGTCGAGGTTTGGGACGTTGATTGAGATTGATTGATTTGCACTAGTCGAGTAGAAATCTACGCAGAAAGCCGTGCGGATGGCGTTATCGACCTTTTCCAGCTGCGAAGTACCATGCTCATGTCATAGCCGTCTTCAAGTTTCAGCCAACTACAGCTCCACAGCCGTAACACCAGTCTCCGTGGCGTTGCTGCTAACAGTCCGTTCATGTTTGAGATGTCCAAACAAGCCTCGGTGTTGAACCTTGTAACCTTGATGCCATAGTCACAAACCACGGGGCAGAGTCGTTCTCTCAGATGTGCTCAACCACGGAATGGTATAAGTATCTACTGGTTTTCCTACATTGAATCGATTCATCCAGCATCTCAGTTTCTTCTTCTCTTTCCTGGTTCAACTGTTCAAGCCGGTCTCGACAGTTTCTTTGCTCAATCGTTTTTGGCTTGTTTCTCTGCACTTATAAATCTTCCAATCGTTTTCAAAACACCCACAACACTCCGACAATATGAGATACTCGCTTACCACTGCAGCTTTGGCTTTCGCCATCTGCTCTATCGCTGCTCCTGTCGCTCACGGCGGTAACGACTACGGCTCTCTGTCTGGTACAGGGGCCTCGGATGTATCTGCCAATGCTGGAAACTACGGCTCCGCCCAAGTATCCCCTTCAGGCTCTGCTGGAATCGGTGCAAACGTCGGCGGTTCTGGTGTGGATGCATCGGTAGGCGGCAAGGGTGCTGCAGGTCTGGACGCATCCGCAAATCTGGGTGGCCAAGGAGGACTTGGAGCATCTGGTCACGCTGGTCTGAGTGGCGACCACTCTGGCCATGCTGGTCTTGGTGCATCTCTCGGCGGCAAGGGTTCGGGCCTCCTTGGAGGTGTTGCCGGCTTGATGCACGGCCACGAGGGTGGTGTCTCTGTTGGTCTTGGAGGTAAGGGATACGGTGGAGCTGGAGGAAGTGCATCTCCATCAATTGGTGCCGGAATCGGCGGTACTTTGCCTTCGGTTGGCGCCAGCATCGGAGGTGATACTTCGGTCTCGCCCGCAATTGGAGCCAGTGTAGGAGCTGGAGGTTCGGCAGCTCCTTCCGTTGGAGCCACTATTGGAGGTGCATCGCCTTCTGTAGGAGTCGGGCTTGGTGGTTACGCCGCTCCTTCAGGGTCGGCTTCTCTAGGCGGCCTTGCATCCGGAGGTTTGGGCGCAGGACTTGGAGGTGCAGGTGGCCTTCTCGGTGGTCTTGGTCTGGGCGGAAGTGGTAGCGGCAGCGGTGGCCTCAATCTGGGAGGCAGCGGCCTTGGAGGTATTGGAGCGGGTCTGGGACTCGGCGGAGCCGGCGGACTTTCTGGATCCGGCTCAGTAGATGCCAACGGCTCTGGAGATGCTTCCGGCAGTGCTGGTGGCGACACAGCTGTTGATGCCTCAGGAAGCAGCCCCAGTTCGTCCGACTCCGGAGCGGCTCCATCTTACGGTGGCGACACCTCATCTTCTCCCGATACCAGCACCCCATCGGACACGGAGACCGATGCAGCATCTGCATCTCCCGATACTCCCTCCCCTTCTTACGACTCTGGCGATTCTTCACCGAGTGAAAGCGCTCCGTCGGACACAGAGACCGATGCCGCATCTGGATCCCCTGATGACTCCGCACCAGCTCCCTCTGAGTCCTCATCTGCCCCTTCTGACAGCTCATCCCCCAGTGACAGTGCATCTGCACCGACTTACGGCGAGGACAGCTCTGTTGAAGACGCAAGCGGTTCGGCAGCTGCACCTATGTACGGCTCAGCACCTAGCGAGTCTGCACCCAGCGAGTCCGCAGTCGATGCTACTGCCGCTACTCCTACTGAGGCCCCTACTGCCCCCGAGGCCTCGACCCCTGCCCTTCCTTTGAGCACTGCCGCCTCCGGTAGTACTTACAAGTCATACATCAAGAAGCGTCAAGATTTGAGCTCTCTCATGGGTGGCTCTTCGGGCGGTCTTGGTGGTCTTGGTGGTCTTGGTGGACTTTCTGGTGGCAGTGGTCTCGGTGGCCTCTCTAGCTTGGGAGGTGGTAGTTCCGGCGGACTCTCAGGTCTTTCGGGCCTATCTGGCCTTTCTGGCCTCTCAGGCGGTGGTTTGAGCGGGCTCGGATCAGGCACTGGTTCAGCTTCAGCAGCATCCACTGGCTCGGCATCCACAACTGGTGGATCGGGGTTTGATCTTTCAAGCCTTGGTGGTGCTTTCGGTAGCGGCTTGAAGAAGCGTCAGTTCGGTGGACTCGGTAGCTTCGGCGGTTCGTCAGGTTTGTCCGGCCTCAGCGGGTTGTCGGGTGGATCGTCTGGTCTTACGTCTGGCTCTTCGGGTCTCGGTGGCTTGACAGGCGGGTCATCCGGCTCCGGTTTCGATCTCTCATCGCTAATGGGAGGATTAGGCTCCTCTGGAAGCTCCGATTCTTCTTCTACCGCCACTACTACTGACAGCTCGTCTGGCTTCGGCTCGTTGGGCTCGCTCGGTTCGTTCACTGGATCTGCTGGCGGTGCCACTCCTAGCAACGATGTCACTGGTAACACTGGATGCAAGAAGGTCACATTCATTTTCGCTCGCGGGTATGTATAGCCAACATTATTACCAGCTGTACAAAGACTAATCCGATCGATAGTACCACCGAAATGGGCACTCTCGGCTCCGTCGTTGGCCCTGGCCTTGCTTCAGACCTGATCAAGGATACTGGCTCTTGTGCCGTCCAGGGTGTCGACTACCCTGCCGATGCCGCCGGCAACGCCAACATGGGTGCCTCCGGTGGCCCTAAGATGGCCGCTCTCGCCGAACAAGCCCTCAAGCAATGCCCCGACACCAAGGTCATCCTCGGCGGCTACTCTCAAGGTGCCATGGTCGTCCACAACGCCCTCGGCTCTCTCGATGGCTCCAAGATCGCTGCCGTCACCGCTTTCGGCGACCCCATGAACGGCCAGACCTTCAAGGGTGTCGACGACAGCAAGGTCGTCCGCTACTGCGGTTCCTCCGACTTCGTCTGCGACTTGTCTGGAAAGACTCAGGGTACCGGCTCTCACATCTCCTACGGCTCCAACTTGGCCGAGGCTGCGTCTCGTCTTGCCCAGATTGTTGGTGTCAAGGCTTGAACCTCTCACTCTCCCCCTCTCCCTCACACCTCCAATGGAAAGACCGCTTCCGCACTTTTCTTATATCGTCACCCTTTTCGTGTTTCCAAACCAAAGTGCTTGGTTTAGTCACTCCTTTAGCGTTCTCAGTACGCAACACACTTGCACAACACGCATGTACTAGTAGATTGTAAGGATATTTCCTTCTTGGGATATAGTCTAAACTACCCGTAGCTTTGTATCTCTATTACAGCAATCGAAATCCACATTCCGTTATTTGGATAATTTGCTTTCATGCGAATGATCTTTTGTAACCTTTACTATGTATTCTCATGAATCATACTGCCAAGCACCGTGATCGTCCCCCTCAACATCGCCCGCCAGCAAACTAACCATCGTACAAGCATTTTCCCCCGTATATCCATTCTGCTTGACCGCTCCCTCCTCATCTCTATACTCTGCCCAAATCCTCCAAACTTTATACTCTGCATCCACACTACACAGCCAGAAATCAAAGAATTTGGCCATTTGATTTGCCGGCGAGATGTCGAAACCTGTGACCTGCGAGCCTAGGGGTATAGCGGCAGAGTGGGGGAGTGTGTAGGTCAAAAGGCCCTCGGGGGAAATGTAGACTTGTTGGCCGCCGGGGACTTCGGTGTTGAGGTGGAGTAAGCCGGAGGTGGATGTGAAGGTTGTGGTGTTTCCGGGAGGGCAGTCGGGGATGTCAGAGGGGCAGGAGGTGGAGGGGGGTTTTCCGATGTAAAAGGAGCCGTTGGAGGCTTGGATGGGGCCATTCAGGGGGCTGTTGCTGAAGGAGATGTCGAGGGTGAATGCTTTCGTGGCATCGTGACGGGCTTGGAGGGGTGCTGCGAGGGTTGAGGAGGCAGTGGCCAGGAGGGCGATTGCTTTGGTGAATCTCATGGTGGTTGTGGATTGTTTGTGTCTTTGTTAGGTGATGCTTGTGTGATGCAGGGTATCTCTAAAAGTATTGCAATGGAAAGAGGAAGTCTTCCATAGGCTGTTGCTCCTACCTTATGTATCCCTGCCTCTTTCCCTTGACAGGACGATTGACGAGCATGCTCCAATCTACCTCTGCTTATTTTAAGTCAACTAGATATGCAGATCCGGGCAAGAGCGGTTGAGAGGTCATCTATCGCACATCCACATGTCGTCTCATATGTCGAATGATCATCCATGGATAGTGGGCAGGTGATGGATGCAGCACCGAGACGTTGCAGTTCTTGCCGATCCACAGACCGCCCAGAAAGCTTTGGTCCTAGAATAGAAACACCACCTCATGTTCGTGCTACCTTTCGTGACTCCAACTTGTATGAAAAAGCCATGGTTACGGCCATAGCTCCTCCCCGTGTGCGAAATACTGTCACACTTAAGGACTGCCTCAAAGCACAGTGCTTTCTCAACTTGCAATAATGTCATCGAGGAGGTGAAGAAGAATGAGGGGAAAGAGTGGGACAGTGACAGAGAAGGTGCTCGGGGCTGGCTGGGGAGAGCTTGTGCCTGGGCATGACGGCATCGCAGGACCCCTTTGATCTTCTTCAGACGGCATGCTGGACAAGTCAAGGGCATATCATCCGATGGTCGAGTTGTTCTATTTGTTGGGGGAATCCAATCTTGAGAGAGGGAAAGCGTCCTGGAAGATGCGGATAAAGAGACGGTAGATTGGCGTGATCTCAGATGCAATGTGGAGAAGTAGATCTCGAGTACGTCATGACAGGCAGCTCGATCAGATATTATCCAACACCCAAGCTCCCATCCAATGAAGCCTCTCTCCCTTTCACCCAATCCGACAAACACCGTCACAATAGCTTCACGAACAATCCCCCGTCTCTCCCTCCTCAGCCGTCAAGCGATCCGCACAATGGCCACCACATCCTCGGTAAACAGCCCCCAACCGGCACCCTGGAAGCAAGCCTTCCTCGCCGACCTCGACAAGATGGACTCTCCCGAATTCGTCTTTTCCTCCCTCACACCCGCTCCCAAGAACTCTCCTACACCCTACCTTCCCCGCGCACGCTACTGCATCTTTCGCGGTTTCTGGGCCGAGCTGCCCGAGAACAAGCACAACAATGCTCCCATGAACCCTCGTGTCTTTGAGTCCGAGATGCCTACTTTTACCTCTGACGCCAGGATGTTCAAGGTTGCTCAGCTGTTTGCATCAGGAAGCGGACATGCCGAGAAGGAGGAGCAGATGCAGGGAAGTGGTGGTGGTGGTCCTTGCGAGGCCGTCTACTGGATCAAGGAGACTGGCACACAGTGGAGATTGAAGGGCGAGGCTTTCGTCGTCGGTCCTGACATCGAGGGTGACAGTGAGCAGAGCAAGGAGAGCAGTGGAGTCAGAACAGTCAAGAGCGAGTTGGGCAGCCGCATGAGAATTGTGGACGAGGGCAAGCAAGGAGACTGGTCGTGGAACAAGGAGCTCACTGGCCACTTTGGCAACAACTCGCCTGGACTGAGAGGTTTGTTTTGCTCTTTCCTTCTCTCTCACACTTTTGCACTTTATGCTAACATTGCAACGCAGGTTCCTTCAAGGCACCCCCACCCGGCCGTCTCACCTCCGAGCCCTACGACGACAAGAATCTCGAACTCGGCTCAAAGGTCGAGCATCTCGATGACCCTGTTGCAAGAAAGAACTTCAGAGTCGTCGTCATCAAGCCCGAGGAGGTTGAGCAGCTCAACATCAGCGACCCTACCAAGGCTCGCAGACACACCTACATCTACCAAGCTGACGGTACCTGGAAGCACGAGGAGCGCTGGCCTTGAATGCTCTCTTGATTCCCATCATGAGACAATGTCACTTGCATATGAAAGAATCTAATGAAGATGAAATATAATTCGTAATGGTTTAATCATGTCCATACCAAATCAATCAACCAATACGCCAGTAATCCAGAAGGGGTATATCAGAGAAAAACAGAAGACAGAAAACAGAAGACAGAAGACGGAAAAGCAGGAAAGAGAGACTCGAGTCAAAAAGTCTCAAACCAAGCTCTGCTCCATCTCTGTAATGTAGAGCTTGATGTGCGACTCCATCTTCAAGTACTCCTCCTTTGCACTCTGCACTTCAGAGTCAATGTTCTCCTTCAGATCCGCCATCTTCTTCTCCGTCTGCTCAATCCTAATCCGTCTTCTCTCCACCTCTTCACCTCTCTTACGTCGTTCTTCTCCCAATTCAGAGTGTGTCTGCTTCAGCGACTCCATGCGTCTCTTGGCTTCGTCGGCCTTTGTGCTCGCACCTTGTCGCAGTGTATTTGTACGGTCTTGGATGTTTGCGAGTTGTTTGCTGAGCATGCGCTCTTGACGCTCAATCTCGCGCACGTTGTTAGAGCGCTCCGAGAGGGCGTCGCGATGTTTGTTTGCGCGAGAGGCTTCTTCGTCTTCTTTTTTCAGCTCGCTTTGCAGATCCTCCAGGAGACGCGTGAGACCTGCGACATCGCCGTGGAGGAGGGTAAAGGTATCGGTGCTGGTCTGTAGCGCGCGTGTACGACGGTCGAGACGATCAATCTCGGACTTGTCGGCGGTGAGATTGGCGTTCAGGTCGCGGAGGGCGCTTTCGAGAGCTGCGGGGCTCTGCTGGGTGTAGGGACGTAGCTTGTCGGCTTCCTTTCTAACGTTTATAGCCTGTGTCTGCTTGTCCTCTAGTGTCTGCTTGAGCCTGCTTTGTTCCGATTTGACACGGTCCAGCTTCTCGGCCACCTTTTCCTGACCCTTTTTGAGCTCGAGGAGGCGGGCCTTGAGTTCGCTGTTCTTCTTTTCCTTGTCACGCATGGCTTGTTCGACATTCTTCCTGTTGCGCTGCATCTCCTGCAGCATCTCTTCTTTCTCTTGGTTGCTGTTGTACAGCTCTTCGATCTGAGCCTTTGTGCGCTCTGTGCTGTTGAAGTACTCATCGATGACCGACGTCTGCGACTCGCGGAATCGGATGAAGTTGATGACATAGGAGAAGATCTTGACCAGGCGCGGGTGGGTCGGCTTGTAAAGGTCCTGGAAAGTAAAGTCCTTGACACCACATTCGAGAAGAAGGCGGCGCAGCGTGACGAAGAAACCCATAAGATCGCGTGTGTCGGCTGTGAAGATCCTATCCGGGTCGTCGCCGCACAAGTCGTCTGCCGCAGCCTTCATGGCAGGCGCAACGACTTCGCGCGTCGTGTTCATCAACAGTTCGGCCAGCCATTCAAACACCTTTTGTATCTGCTGTGGATTGGGCTTCTGAAGGTCCTGGATGGTGAAGGGGATGCCAATGTCGCTGATACATCCCGCAATCTCGCGGTCGGGCTGTAAACACAAGACGGTCAGTATCACCATGTCATTGTCCCGGAGGTGAATGGAGACTCACCAGTGTCATGAAGGCGTCCTCATTGTCCTCTTTGCGAGCTCGAGGCTGACTCGCTGGTTGTTGCGAGCCTCGCGGCGCCATACTCATGCGTCCACTGTATGCCATGTTCGTTCGTCGGCTTGTGTTATGTCCTTGTTGTCGCAAAACTTGACTTGTCCGAAAGTCTTCAGCCCGATCATGTGGGGTAGTAAACAAACCCGTCGCACAGGCCAACTGATAAGCACGACAGGGTCAGCCCGCTTAACCATCATACTTGATCGAATCATTATTTGCAGCTTGGTCAAATCATCCGAGAATTAACACGATTGGGGAAATCTTCCACGACAAATACTTCTTCTCAGAGCAGTGACACATGTATAGATCCATGGACAACGACGTCAGTCATGATTTGGAGCAACGTAATTATAAATGTGAATAAATGTACTTCAACGACCGTGTCGTTCTACATAAGACTCTCGGGTATCAACAGGAGAAAAACATCATATCAACAAACACTGGCTCCACCTCACTTCTTCTCAGCCACAGGAGTGGTATCGTTGGGGGTAAGAGAGCCCTCACGAGTTTGAGGAACACCATGGGTGTAGTCTCTCTGACCTGACTGCATGACATCGATGCCAGCAGGGCTGAGGTCCCAGTGGTCCATCTCCTCGTCAAAGAACTGATCGAGATCGAGACCTCTGATCTCAGCCTCCTTGTCGACACGCAAGTGCATGCCAGGAATGTACTTGATGATCATGAGAAGAACGTAGCTGACAACAAACGAGTAGGCAGAGATGGCAGTAATCTCGGCAAACTGCTTGCCAACCTGAATACCGTTACCGTTGTATGCACCGGGAGCGAGTGTGACACCGTCAAGGGCAGAAATGGCTTGATTGGCAAAGATACCGGTCAAGAACGAACCCATCATACCACCAATACCGTGAAGCTTGAAGACGTAAAGACCATCGTCAATACGGAGCCATTCGTTGATATCCTGGAGGAGGGCGCAGACGACTGAAGTCAAGAAGCCGATGACTGCGGCCAACCAAGGGTTGACGTAACCAGCAGCAGGAGTGATACCGACAAGACCAGCAATAGCACCCTCGCAGGCACCAACAACAGAGAAGCGTCCCTTCTGACGGATGGCATCAACAATGACCCAACCAAGGATACCAGTGGAGGCAGCGACCTGGGTGTTGAAGGCAGCCATCATACCACGGACCGAGGCGTTGAGAGCACTACCACCGTTGAAGCCGAACCAACCAAAGACGATGAGGACGGTACCGACGAAGACGAGGGTAGAGTTGTGGGGCTTGTGGGCAGCATGGTGATCCTTGGATGTTCTCTTGCCAAGTGCCAAAGCGTAGGCCAGAGCAGCCCATCCACTTGCAATGTGGACGGGACCACCACCAGCGTAATCAAGCGAAGGAAGCTTGAAGAGCCAACCATTGGCGTTCCAGGTCCAGCAAGCGATGGGACAGTAGACGATAGTGCACCAGCAGAAAGCGAAGATGAGAGAAGGAAGGATGCGACCACGCTCGAAGGCACCACCAACGACGATCTGTACTGTGCAAGCAGCGAAGAGAAGCTCGTAAAGGCAGAAGACGATCTCGGGGAGCACAGCACTGCCAGGCGAGGGTGCAGCAGCAACATTTCTCAGACCAAAGTTGGCCATGTCTCCGATGAAGGGGCCAGCGGTGCGAGAAAAGGCAAGCGAATAGCCCCAGAACATCCATTGAAATGTGACGATCGCTCCGACAAGCATACTCTGGAAGAGCAACGAAAGACCACTCTTCTTGTGCGCGAGACCTCCATAGAGCAAACCGATACCAGGGATGATCAGGTATACGAGGAAAGCGCAGACCATGAGGTAGACATAGCTATGAATGGTCAGACAGGATGGCGACAAGGTATACTGGGTTATGCTTACTGAAATTCAAGACCTGCATATTGAGCATTGACATCAACCTCAAGAGGGTTGCCTCCAGCAGGCTGGGATGAGTTGAACTCGGGCTAAGGGTGAGATGTTAGTGGACATTCTGAAGCTTGATTGATCATAGACATACTGCTGTCGACATGGCGAAAGAACGAAAGAGATTTCTGCTGCTCTACAAGCAAGCAATTCGAGGGAAGCGCGAGAGGGAGAAATATATGAACCTGGGAAGGTGATATGCGAAGGCGGACCTGCAGGGTATTTCTACCTCATGCGACACCCCGTTACCGGTCAGCATCTCATCTATCCCACCATATTACACTTGCAGGGCATCCTTTATCTCTACGATTCATCCCGTGTTCCCATACTCTATTGCCCCATCACCCACACAATCCTTCTATCCTACTCTCATTCAGGCGCCAAGAGATAAGGAAACCAGATACAGAGCATGCATTTCAAAGAAAGCGTTTCGGCTCTCAGAGTCGATTCTTTGCAACGTCGCGGAATGTGGAACAATCAGGCTTAGTGTCCTTCACGGAGGCTTGAGGTTACCAACTTTCTACGGCGTGTTGTTCCCAGCACATGGCAAGGTTGGGTGTACAGGTGAGTTTCCCAGAGATAAGGATCCTTCCACGAGGCGCTCCCGAGGCGCGCTAGCGATGGATATAAGAAGCCGTTTCCAGGGCGGGTTGCAATGATTTGTTGACTAATTTCGTTCCGTACTCATTTTATCCCGGGCTTCAAGGCACCAAGGTTCGGTGACTCGGGTTGGACAAGATGTTGGTTTCCTTGTTGTCTTGTCAGCAGAGTTGAGAGGTTTGGCGCGAATCGGGATGTTGACTCGTCCAAGGAGTTTCGGCTTGCTTTGCCCAGCTTTGACAATCCGACGCGTCCGGGCAAGGGAGCCACCTCCAGCCCTGCACCAACTCACGCCAAAAATTGTCCAACATACATGTATCAGACACAAGAGACGGGGTTTAGGCGTGGTGTTGAACAAACCAGGCAAGATTTCCCACAGACAAGGATGCCAATGATTTGGCATGCTATGCTCAAGTAGTCAGGAGCACATTTGATCCAGCTCTTATGCAGTGTAATTGTGTTTATAGGGCCAGTGTCTGGGCATCACACTTCAAGCGAAACCCTCCGTACCTCGCTATGCCTTCGCGGCAGATCTTTGAGTAGCCTCGCCCAATTTTCACCTATAGTGAGTGGATTGTGGACAAATACAGCATCGATGGTGCAAGCGAGCTCGCCCAAGTGCAAAGAAGGCGGCCGCGAGAGTTGTCAAATCGAGCAAGTCTCCTGAGACAGGTAAAGCAGCTTGACATCGGCTTTCGAGATAGACCTCGCCTTGGAGGTTTGAAAACTCACCCCACGGAAAACGATGGTGGCTCGGTTGCAATACAGCTCCTGCAGGTGTCACAGAAGATCTCGGTGAAATATAAATGTGTCAACAAAATTGTATTCTGTTCTAGAGAAAGACACAATTCCACTCAAACTCCTTGACGTCTTACCCAGACGTGCCCAAGTGTATCTTCCTCCTTTGGAACGCCCGAGAAATGCAGAATGCAGACTTGTATCCGACTCTCATGGCTTGTTGTAGTAGTGAGCCATTTCCAGACCGGCACGCTTGAAGCCACACTTGACGTAAAAGCCTTCGTTGGCCTCTGAGCAGTCGAGGATGGTCTGTACACAGATTGTCAGCATACATTCTTGAAGTACATGCGCTCCAGATGCCCAACTCGTACCTTGTAACAGCCGACCTTTTCTGCAACATAATCCAGCGCTTGGATGATGCGAAGACCCAGCTTCTTGCCTTGCTGATCTTTTGCAACTGCGATGTCTTCGATATGACCAACCTGGCCTAGGCTATGGATACTGTTGTTTCTCCGTCAGCATCCGTGCTCCATATGGTTCTCCTCATACTGCCCTTGTGTGAGACTTACAATTTCTTCTCGACAATGAGCGCACCAGTGCCAACAATCTTGTCTTCACCATTCAAGATGACTAATGTGTGGTATCCGCCTGCACCTCTCCCTAGTGAGCCAGATGCCTGCATCTCTTCGAATCGTTCGTTGAATTCTTGTTCTGAAACATCACCGACGGTGGTAAGGACGGCGAGCACGTCTAGGAAGCCAGCATGGTAGTCGCTCTTCTTCAAGGGACGAATCGTGTAGCCTTCGGGTAAAGCAGCGGCGACTTCGGACGAGATCAGATCAGGCGAGAAGAGAGAGTCGGAAGACATGATGTGTATGGACTACGGCGATCGAGGGGTGATTAAATGTGCGGAAGCTCCAGCAAGAGCTGGCTTTTGTCGATGTCGGCGTCTGACAGGTGGCAGGACAATCCAGATGCCTTTCAGTGGGATTTGAAGCTTCCCTTGATTCAGTCTGAGCAGGCGTAGTTGCGACGAGAAGAAAGTGGGAGATGTTTTGGTGACATTTTGGGATACAAGTTTCCCCAGACAGCTTCAGCCGCCGCACGGCTGTTCCTGCAGAAGCCAAATTTAGATCAAGATTGAGTTACACCTTTATGAGCATTATTTGGTCGGGGAAGATGCTCTGCATGCTTCTTTAGACAGCACTAATATCTTGATTAAATGCCTTCGCTGATCTCCACTGATTGCATAGTCACTTCTGTTCAGGTTTCGAGGATGAAATTTATTGTCAGTCTGAACCATCAAGGTGCATTCGGAATAATAAACGTTGAGGATAGTGATTGTATGTAAACAGAACCTCCCTTCTAGGTACGAAGAACATTCACTATCTCCCGCGGGTTGTAAGAGTGCGGCGTCATATCGGTCGTCAGTCCGTTTGGAAACCCACTGTCTGATCAATCATCATGGCTCAGAGATTGTTCTGTCCAGGACCTCGTGGGTTGGCCGTTGCCGGCATACGGATACCCATGGCGCTGGGATCAACAGCTCGCCTCTTTGCCTCATCTATTCTGCCCTTCGATAGACTGATAGCCGGCACTATCCACTCTCCGCAGCTACAGCGCATACCCTGCCATGCATACTTTCCCACGTTGGCTTTGCATTTCTGGTTAGGGCACTCCAGTCTTCCCTCCACTTCTCCCTTTTCTAGCTCTGGTCGCATCCATGAGAGAGGATCCAGGAAGTAGTGTGTGCAAGAATGATCCGGTCCTCTTTGCGATTCGTGGACGATCAAGAATTGTGACGTTGCCAGATTGCGTCTGCAGAACATGTAAGTTTTCATGAATTCAAGGACCAGACAGATTAGGCTTACCTGCACTTTCGGCATCGCATAACAAAACCACCATCGTCCTTTGTTGCCGCATGCTCATCTTCGAAGCGGATCTTGTCTGCTTCCGGAGCTTGTCCACATGCGCGGCTCAATTCGACCTCTCGCTGGTACACCCATCGCTGATACGTTGGTGTATCTTCCACGTTCTCTGGTGTGTTCATCTCGTGGTAGAGTTCGAGTTGCTGCATGAATCCGTCATTGGGCTCGCAAAGTGGCCTACTTTGTCGTATCTGTTCCAGAGCCTCGGAAGGTGAGATGTGGTACTTTTGCATGAGGTACGCAATCACGCATGTAGCTGACCGTGATTTTCCCATTGCACAGTGAACAAGAACTGCACCTCCAGATGCAAGACCCTCTTCGATGAACCGAGTGGCCGCCGGGAAGTGTTCAAGCAGATTCTCATCGTCGACATCATCAACCTCGACAACCTTGTGCTTGTATCCCTCGAACAGCTTTTCGTCCAGTGGGAGCCTTAAAACGGACAGTACATGTGTGATGCCAGCCTCAGCAAGTTGGTCTTTGCGTCTTAGTGTGAAGAGACTGAGCGTCGAGTCAGTGAAACTTCCAAAAGTGCTTGCTTGCTCGTCGAGATTTCTGAGGGTTCACAACCTCACTCTTTTGAGTGCTACACGAGAAAAGAACTCGTCAAAGGATATCAAATTTTACGCACCCTCCGATATAGAGCTTGAGATCACCTGGTACTTTGTCGAGCAGAGACATGGTGTTTTCGCGAGATCGATCACAGTGTTGTTCGGTTCGGAGAGGATGAATAAATCTTGATGTTCTTCGAGTCCAAGCAATACAGGCCGCCGCCACGACAAGGTGGATGGTTAAGGTCACCGCATAAATCGCACATTTCGTCTTGGCAAGGCTGTATAATTATGCATATCAATCACGCACCGACTCCACTCGCCGATACCGCCGTTAAACATGCATGCTTGTGTCTTTTGAGCTTCGGAGCTTCCTCTTGTGCAGACTTCTTGCTCAACCTATCTGCAAACCCCCTTGGTCACTGCTTCTCAGGGGCGGCTCTCAATTCTTGAGTAGTGGCACAGTCGGTCTGGGCCAGCCAAACTGAAGATTTCTCGACGCCCACATGAACGATGTAAGCCATCGTACAAGCTTTGCCATCACGCTATGTGTCGGCTGAGGTGTGGTACTTGTAAGAAACTACTAGCATCTTTCACGAGGACATCGAGAACTCAACTCGTACCAGCCAGCGGAAGTTGTTGTTTTTGTGTTTTGCCGGACATATTAAGTGGCTTGACTGTCGAGTCCGTAGGGCATAAGGCGGGTTGGGAGCACTGGTAGAGACATGGCTCTGGGTCGAGCATAATACATGGGACTGTCACTAGCGCGAAGGTCCAAAAATTGAACATCGAGTAGATTTGCATGATCGCAAGGACGGTCATCTCACTATCAGAGGGGTAAGTGCTATCAACTACATGTCTACTTGTGACTAGCCACAGGCATATTCCGCGTGCATGCGCTCAGGCTTAAACAAAGACCAGGGACTTTTGCATGAATCGTGCCTCTTTGCATGTATCTTACGCCAAAACGTGGGGCATGGCAGGAGTAGGAGGCCAAGTGTGAACAGAGAACGGCCAAGTTGCATGCAGATGGGGCTTTGCTTTTAGGAGGCACATGTTAGGTTACGTACCGGTAAAAGCCATAGTACACAGTGCCAAGACGTAAGTTTAGAGGAGGGCCTTCTTTCCCTCCCGCGCTTGGACTATGCTGACCAGGACGGGCTGGAACAGTGGAAGGTCGAAGCCTTCTTCTCGCGAAGCAGATTGAACGGTGTGTGTGTGTGTGTGTGTGTGTGTGTGTGTGTGTGTACGGACGTATGGCTGGCGGGCTGGACGTCGCATGAGAACGGGTGAGTGCTGCGTGACACACGGCGGCAGCACACAAACAGCTCAGTGGACTTCTAGAAGGCATGGTAAGATGGTTGACAGCGGAGAGGATGGACAGCTGCGGTCTTGTGCAGAGACCCTGACAGACCCGAGTGGGGAGCAGGCATGTTCCAGACTGATCGTTTCCCAGCTAGAGACGGCGCTTTTGGGAGATCGGCAGAGCGGCGTGTCTGAATCTGCTGGCCGTGAATGTCGGAGGGTGACAAGGAGTAAGGAACAAGGATGCGGCGGAGAACAGCGTCTGCGTGTTTTTGCATAGGGCTGATGGGAGCGACGTGAATCAAGCACAAGCAGGAGGGCGAGCAGTGGCAGTCTGTGGACGATGGCCAGCTCGACTCCTTTCCTTAGCATCAGCTTACCCTAGTCTTAGTCTTCTGATCGTGTTTTGGCTTGTCGTGCCTGCCCCCCCTCGCTCTCAGTCTCTCTCTCGAACGGCACTTGTCAACGCCTACACGCCGGCTTGCCAAGTTGCAACGCTCTTTCCCAGCTGTGCGCGCTGCTCCACGATGGAAGGGACTCCTTCCATTCGCATCAACTCCCACGACCACCGCTACCGAAGTGCCCCGTCGCAGTCCCGATCAAGACATTCGCCGCAGCATTCACTGCATGCGCCGGCGTCGCCGATGTCCATCCCGCATGCCACACAGGACTACCCCTCGGTGCCACCGCCGCTGCCGCCGCCCACAAACGTGTACGATGACTTGACGCCCCAAGCCCAGCAGAAAGAATGGATGTTTTTCAACAAGGAATATGTCGATCAGCATTGGACCGATTTTGGCAAGGCCGCCACCGTCAGGCCCGGCTCGAGTCTGCTGGGCGGCAACAAGTCGCATCCTGCCATTGAAGCCAACGACCACCCACAACATGCTGAACCAGACGTCTCGAGAAGAGGCAGCTCAATGTCCACCGTCACTGCGCCGCATCACAACTCAGAGGCTATGATCGATCCTTGCGACAAAGAGGACTCCAAACTCTCGGGCTATAGGTGTGTTGCTCTGCCATTTTCTCCATCCCACCCTTGTCGCGTGTCAATTGCGATCCGAACGCGGTCCTACATGTCCATCTCGGACTCGAGTGGCCCGTCGTGGTGCCCATCAATGCTCAGCGACTTTGTTGATTATTGATGTGTTTACGGATTCAAGCCCGACCAACGCCTCGGCTCTTTTGAGACAAGGCCATTCGCCGTTACCAGCCAATTGCAAAGTACTGACACAACATGTCGCAGACTACAAAGTGAGCGTCAACTCGAACAGAGATCACTCAGTACGTCTTCGCAGGCGTACGATAGGAATCTGCTCTCCAAAATTGGCGGTCCGAATACACCGAATAGACTTTCCGTGTCAGGCGGGCCGGAAACCTCGGGAGCCGTGTCCCCTGGAGCTGAGCCAAGCGCTGAACACACAGCCAGGCATCTCTCTACCTCGTCGACATCTGAGAGGCGCCATCCTTCGGTCGACAGTTCTACCTTCAGGTGGTCTGTATCTAGTGCTGCTGCATCGCCCGGTCCATTCCGCAATCCCAACTTCAATCCGGAGAACAGCCGACCAACAGCACTGCGCCATTCGAGTTTTCAATTTGACGACGGCGCTCTGCATCGCGGCAGTTATGACCAGTCCATGTTCTTGCACGAAGACTTCAACGCTGAAGAGGGTCAGATGAAGGACCTAAACCTTAATGATCGCGGTGATGACTTTCAGCTTGCCACAAAACCAGGCATGAAGAGACGCGCCTCGTCTCCGCACAGAGAATCTTTTCGCGAAGATCGCTCTTCCATCAGTAGCGCCCCAGGCAGCAGTGATCTATACACCCGCCGCTCTTTACAACAATACCCTAATCGTAATCCGTCCATTTCAGCGTCGAGGTATGCCCCGAGCCATCAAGGTTCAATATCTTCTGCCTCGTCGTACAATCCTCGAAATGGCTCCTTGGCCTCATCCTATACCCTCTCTGTCTCTAGCAGCAATACAAGTTATGCCTCGGGACGCATCTCTCCTGGCATGATGTCGCCAGCCATGGTCGATCCAGAGTTGGGAGCCATGGGGTACATGAATGCCAAGCCACTGAACAACCCAAGTCCTGCCTCTCATCAGACCATGCCGCCCTTTACGCGCACGATGTCAGACACTCCAATTCACACAGTTCTGCAAACTCCCACTGAGAGTGCACCGCCGTCACGTCATAATAGCCTGCCTGGTGTACAAGGCATCTATATATGTGATTGCTGTCCTAAGAAGCCGAAGAAATTCACTAGCGAAGACGACTTAAGGTTAGTCGAACGTGCTCTCAAAATGGCATGTTTCCACCTACTAACATCACGTCATCAGGGCTCATCACATGGAAAAGCAATACTCGTGTCTTTACTGTCCAAACCGGTTCAAAAACAAAAACGAAGCGGAGCGACATCAAAATTCTCTACATCTCCGTCGTCATTCGTGGTCGTGTGCGGCACTTAACACTATCGAAACGGTCTTCCACACATCACCCACCACGAATGGAGCAACAGACATCTGCGGTTACTGCGGCGAAGAATTTCCAAATCCCGCAGACTGGAACCACCGTCGTGATCACATCCTCCAAACACACAAATTTGGCGAGTGCAATCAAGCAAAAAAGTTCTTCCGCGCAGATCACTTTCGCCAACATCTGAAGCACAGCCACGCAGGGACGAGCGGGAAATGGACCAATATGCTAGAAACGACATGCATGCGCGACGAACCACTACCACAACCAATGTCTATGGCGGGGAATATGCACAGTAATGGTCCGCCGACGATGTCTATGATGGGCATGGCGAATACAGCGGGACCGCCTATGGGCGGCAAACCAGATGTGATTACAGAAATGCCGCATGAAGCATGACACTGTATGATGACAGGACGAAACAAGACGGTGGAAACGAGATGCTCGTACACCAAGGAGGGACCTATCATCATTCGTCACAAACGCTATAGAATCACATGCATAGAGGTCAGCAATGACCGCAAACCACCGCCACCTTTGAGGGACCATGCGGAGATCATATAAGATAGCCCGCGATTGTTCCTCTGCTTAATGGCGACCCCCAACAATATATCATGACGATCGGAAGCATAGAGCTACTAGATCAAAAAGTAGATTTCCTTCCACACGGGGAGGAGAGGAAGCATTAATACAATGAGTTGGACAATTTTATCGGTCGACTTGTACTTTTTTTTAACAGACTGTTTGTTGCTCGTACGCTATACTAACGTGTCTTTCGGGCACTTCTCTGTAACCCTTGCAGAGAAGAAAGTCTAAAACAGAGGCTCCAGTATTTACAGAACGACCCATGTCAAACAAAGCCCGCATCACCCGTATCGGCAAAGCTTTGTTTGTCCGAAGTGGCTTGCGTCGAAAGCCCGAACGAACAATGGCCAGAAGAGCAAGAATCAAAGCGGTGGCTTACGCAAACCTCGTATCCCTGACCTTTCTCTTTCGTATTCATGCGCCAGCCAGTCTTTCAAGGAATAACGAGCTTGGCGAGCACAAAGAAGCAGGTTTTGTCGATTGAAAGTCCACCTCTTCAATTGGTGATTTTGAGACATGTGTGTCGAGCAGACATAAGCAGGAGATGACATGTGACATGTCATGCGGGAAAGGGACGTCTTGGTGTGACAAGATCAAGTGACGAGCTAAGCCTTGGACAAGGTGCCAAGATAGGCGTGAATGTCGTGATGTTGAAGATTTCGAAGGATGGATAGGCTTATTGGCGTACCACAGGGCTGGGTATCTGGTCAGATTCCGTGTGTTGCCAGGCATTCTGATAGATTTCTCCACCAAAAAAAAGCTGACAAGAAGGCTGAAATGGAGGAGGGCGAGTGCATCTTGTGTCTGATCTCAGCCCTAGTGCTTACACGGTCTTGGCAGATGGCGGTGACTGTGAAAAGGACACAGGGTGTGAGCGGGATGCAGTGGGATGCACACATGCTTTTAGGCAGGAGGCTCGCAGTGCGGTAGTCTCGATGGTGCTTAGTAGAGTAAGTAGCTGCAGGGAGCCGGTGGGTCGCGTGCAGCGCTTGAGGGCGGGCTGAGGTGGCGGTCAAAGGACACGGCGCGATTGCGTGTCTCATCAAGGGTTGCCGGAGGGGACCGAGGGGAACAGCTGAGGGTTGCGCATGCGTTCACGGGCGCGCTTTGCAGCTTCGGCGTTGCGCATCTTCTCCAGGCGCTGGTTGTAAAAGTGCTTCTGCAGCTGGAAGACTCGAGGGCCGTCGTCTACGCCAGACTTTGCCGTGGACGAGGCATCGGCTTTGTCAGTGAGGGCCTTGATCTTGTCGTCTCTCTCCTGCTCCTCCTTGTCCGGCTTCTTGTCCTCCTTGTCCTTGTCTTTGGCATCCTTGTCCCTGTCTTTGGACTTGTCCTTCTTTTGCTGCTTCTTCTTCATCTTTTCCTCGTACTCCTTCTTGACAGCCTCAATCTCACGATCCAGCTCTTCTTTCTTCTTTCTTTCGGCAATGGCTTTGGCTTCATCATCGGTCGGCAGGGCAAAGTTGCGGTCCTTGAGGTGCGAGGGGCAGATGTAGAAAAAGTCCTTGCTGTCGGGAGTGATCAAGACGCTGGACGAGGGCTTGTAGCAGACCATGCATCCCTTTGCCGCTGTCTCGGCGACCTTGCGGTGATGCCAAATATTCTCCATGCCTGCTACCGATGGTATTGTGCAAATGCTGTCCTGAGCTGTATGGAGACGCGAAAGGTGGAGAGAGCTGCACCACTGGCAGGGAAGTTGCGATGTCGGGCCGCTGATAAGCGCGATAAGGAAGGAGCGCCTATGACTGATATGCATGATGGGGATGATCTTTTTTCTCCCTGACTCGCATTATTGTCCTTTCCCTTGTGTTATCTTGCTTCTTCTATCTCTAGTCTAACCTGTACCTCATCTACCAATCCATTCATCTCTCAAACCATCACAAACATGGCAGGTGCTCCGAGTAGTGAAAAGCTTTGGGGAGGTCGCTTTACTGGTAAGCTTTAGCTCTACCTCAAGACACAGCAAGCCAGGTCAATTGACACGTATGCTAGGTGGACAGGACCCCTTGATGACAGCATACAACGAATCAATCTACTACGATCGTGCCTTCTACTCGCAAGACATTCGTGGCTCAATTGCCTGGGCCCGCGCAAACAAGAACAAGGGCATCTTGAACGACCAAGAGTTCGCCGAGATCGAGAGAGGTCTCAAGGAGGTGGAAGAAGAGTGGAGGTCGGGCAAGTTCAGCATCAAGCCTGGCGTTGATGAGGACATTCACACTGCCAACGAGCGTCGTTTGGGTGAAATCATTGGAAAGAACATTGCGGGCAAGCTTCACACTGGCCGTAGCAGAAACGAGCAGGTCGCTGTTGATATGCGCATGTGGCTGCGCGAGCAGCTTGAGAACATCGAGTCGTTCCTCATTGATCTGCTCAAGGTCACTGCTAACCGCGCAGAGCAAGAGATCGAGCATGTCATGCCTGGCTACACCCATCTTCAGCGCGCACAGCCCATCAGATGGTCACATTGGATGCTCTCATACGGTCTGGCGTTCGCCAACGACCTCGAGAGACTCCGTGAGGTCAAGCAGCGTGTGAATCGCAGCCCTTTGGGATGCGGTGCTTTGGCCGGAAACCCCTTTGGCATCGACCGTGATGCCATGGCCAAGGAGCTGGGCTTTGACACTCTCATCTACAACTCGATGGCCGGTGTAGCCGATCGTGACTTCGTTGTCGAGACTATGCAGTGGGGAAGCATGCTCATGCTTCACCTGAGTCGTTGGGCCGAAGATCTGATCCTCTACTCAAGCGCCGAGTTCAACTTCGTCAGACTTGCAGACGCCTACTCGACCGGCAGTTCGCTAATGCCGCAAAAGAAGAATCCCGACTCTCTCGAGCTAATTCGCGGAAAGTCTGGCAGAGCTTACGGTCAGATGGCAGGTCTCATGATGACGATCAAGGGTATCCCTTCGACCTACAACAAAGATCTGCAGGAGAGCGTTGAGCCTATGCTCGACCACGTCAAGACCGTTGGTGATAGCATTCAGATTGCCACTGGTGTTCTGTCCACATTGAACATCCAGCCCAAGAACATGTTGGCTAGCTTGTCACCCGATATGCTTGCCACCGACCTTGCAGACTACCTTGTCCGTAAGGGTGTGCCGTTCCGCGAGACCCACCACATCTCTGGCAGAGTGGTCGCCTTGGCCGAAGAGAAAAGCACTCCCATGGACAAGCTCTCGTACGAAGAATTGAAGGGTGTTGACTCGCGATTCGAGCAGGACATTCTTGAAGTCTTTGACTACCAAAAGAGTGTTGAGATGAGAAGCGCTTCGGGAGGTACCAGCAAGAGCTCGGTGCTGGAGCAGATCAAGGTCATCAAGCAGACCATTGAGAAGAAGTAGATCAAAAGTCATGTAAAGTTGTAGAAATAGACCAGTATAATTCTGTTGATGTATTGCTATGAGATGATCACACCAATTTCGATCTCAAGTGACCCTGTCCAACCCACAGCTCCGCTTTTGTGCTCTCAGACCTTGTGACACAACGACCACATATCGCTCATCTGACGTCTTCCAGTAACTCAATACTACACCATCATGTCGAAGCCAATCCTGGAGTTGATCGAGATGAACGAGGCAGGCATTGTCACAGCAACATACGTCCAAACGAGCACAGCCAAACGCGACGTTTCCAGGATCGACAGGATTGTAATCGTTCCTGATACCATCATCGCGCAACCAACCACTCACAGTCATTCAGGAGCCAGAGAGCACACAAAAATCACTCAAAGCACTACTAGATGTTTTTTTACCAGCCGGATATCCTCATTCCGTGAGCGAAGACTATTTACCGTATGTTGATTCATCGTATCAGGGTCATCTGCACAGCAACTGACCGGACGCCCGCAAACAGATACCAAATCTACGTACGAAGCACTGCGCAAATTACGACAAAACACGGATATCGACTGATCCGATGAGAATAGGATTCACTTCAAGCGTTCTCTAGCTCAATTGCCGGACTCCTTGCTTCAAGGGCAGTGCTCGAAGGTCCGTATATTTCCCCCTCTACAAGGCGGAGGCTCGCTCCGTCGCATGTGAAGACCTCTTGAGGACGTCATAATCGCTACGCACATTTTATTTGAGTAAACCGTGAGCACAGCGACAGGAACCAAAGGTTAATTGAACGATATAGGTGTTGGCGTGGGTGATGCTTCGGCATCCGCTACCAGTGCGCTCTTACTTTCAATCTTGCAAGAGTCTATGGGCAGGGCCGCAACGATATTGTTTGCTCATCGCCTCGGCACGTCTTTAGAGCCTGAGTGTAAAATGTACCGGTTGTTGGTATGGTCGTGCTCTGAGACCTTTTGCACGAGGTCTGCTCTCTACATGACTAATCTATATTTGTAGGCTGATGTTTTCAATGATGCCGCCATGGTACTCGACTGCTTGTCGCCAGCCTTTCCGAAACCAATGCGAGTCCTGATACTGGCGTCTAGCAGCATCCTGAGATCGCTATGCGGAGTTGCGGCCGGCAGCTCAAAAGCCAGTCTCAGTGCTCACTTTGCTCGCTGGGGAAATTTGGGAGAGCTCAATGCTGTAAGTTTCATCGAAGACTACAAATATATCGAGGTTTAAAACTCCCAAAACCGAAACAAGCCACCGACCCGAACTTGGCCATGGATTGCTGACCTTTGTTTGATTTTCTTCTAGAAAGATTCGAGTCAAGAAACTGTAATTTCTTTGATTGGAATGCTGGTTGGTTGTCTTGTGGTCAAGGCGGTCAATACGCCCTTGGCGACTTGGACGACGTTGCTGCTGCTGCTAGCGTTGCATCTTGCTACGAACTACATGGCGGTCAGGTCGGTGTGCATGCGCACGCTCAACCGTCAACGTGCAAACATAGTCTTTGCTTGCTTGCATAAGCATGATCGCGTGTTGAGCCCTGAGCAAGTCTCAGACAAGGAGAGAATATTCGAACGCGATGGAATATTGCGTGATGCAGACGACAAATGCTTGGGCTACTGCAGGATTGGAGTCCCCGCTTCTGAACTGTTGATGCACCTAGGAAAGACGGACAAGCTGACTAAAGCGACGAACCTTGCGGACGGCAGGCTACTGCAGCTATTGGGTCTTTTCGAGGAGGAGGGTTACGTGATCTATCTGGAACACGCGTCAAACATGGCCTGCATCTTGTTAAAGAAGGGCAGCAACACCGCGGTTCAGTTGAAGGCCTGGTACCATGTCCTACTTCTTGCGCGACTAGCCGGGCAGGGGTGCAAAGCTGAAGAGGCACCCATGGACATGGTTAAGAGCACACTTGTGGCTGTAAGGAAGGACTGGGATAAGGTCCAAGCAAGACTTGGTGAGGCCGGCTGGGATTTGGAGACGGCGGCGCTGGAGACGACTTCGGGCTCAAGGGTGTGCATCCAAAGGTGAGACGTAGGGGTCCTGTCTTCCTCCACGAAATGGTCAGTCGCCATCGGCGATCGTGGGAGATGGTGAGATACGAAAGCTTGTCTGTTGAATGAAGCACGTTCTCCAAGCGTGGACGACCACGGATCAGTAGTTGTCTTGGAGGCTTTGCGTGTCGGGTGACGAGTCAGTGCGAGACGTATGCCGAGCCAATCGCGCCAGCTAGATTGTCGTCAGAGCACAAGAGCACTCACTGCGCGCACAGAAGGAGCGGAAGCCGGATGAGATAAGAGAACCCACTTGGAATCATACTCCGACGAGGTCTGCGACACGAAGTTAAGCTTGGAGGCAGGCGCTTGATGAACATGCCTTGGAACATCTGCAAAGCCTCCCCTAGACCCTCTGACTCTGATGTACCAAGGTATTCGACTTCTAACTTCGCTCGGGCGCCTGTCAAAACAGATCGCGTTTTTTTCAGGGAACTTAGGAGTAAATTGCATGGTGCGAAGTAAAGGAGAATGACAAGCAAACGGCGCACCACGAAGAATGCGATGTTGCTCTGGATGTCAATTACTATACGCGCAAGTCTAGAGTCGTAGCGGACGAGCAATAAGATCGACACTCTACGCGCGTAATGGCAAGCAACAATGATGAAGAGGTTTTTCTCGCAAGAGGAAAAAGGACACATGGTAGGGATAAGAAGTTAGACATCGTGTGAGACAAGTTGTCGCCATCTTCCGCAACCGTTGGTTGTAATAATACTGTTAACTGGTCGCCACGCTGAGGTCCAATCAGCCGGGCTCCAGGAGAGAGTTTTTCTTGGTTGGCCTCAGTCGCGCAAACATGCAAGCAAATTCAACAAGAATCAGTTATTCCTACGTTGTCCGAGAAGTCAATGTTTGTGAAAGTGATTAATTTGCTGGTGAGAGGGACAAAGAAAAAACCCAAACTGCTGGGGGCCGACAGAAGCGCCGGTCGGGAGCGATGACGGAGATGGCTATCTCAGTGGCACAGAAACCAGAGCTTCGGCTCTTTGTACCCTTCTAGAAGACGCTTCGAAACTTGGGATTGTTTCGAGCAGCCCGACCAATGGCACACGCCTTTCTGCCAGAAAAGCCACGCCCAAGCACAAGGAAGCACGACGAAGATCCCTGATTGAATGCATGAACACAAGTACGGAGGATGGCAGCGTTGTGGGAGGATCGACATGATACATGCCCCCTTCTCTCATTCAGCACAACGTCTAAGGGTCTGTTTTAGTGCTCGAGCTTTGCGACGTCCACCAACCGTCCATACACAGGACGGACGGGAAGTCGAGTGATACGGACGTACAGAAGAAATCGAGGAGGCTCAGCCCTACTTTAGAAGAACGGTTACCGGAGAACAAGGAAATTGACGTAAAGAACGACAACAGAGTTCAAACAGCTCGCAGAGTGGCAGTCATGGGTTGCACCCTGTTCGCGAGTGCCGTTGCGCGGTGCGATGGTCCCGAAAGTGAATTGCGAAAGCCAGCGATCGGTGATTCAATGTAGGAATGTCTCAGTCTTTGGCAGGGTCAAACAAACAGAAGATTGAGACGACGTTCGGGGATCAAAGAAGGCAGGCCATAAGTGCAGTGCAGTGCAGTGCAGTGCAGTGCAGTGGAGTGCAGCATGGCGGACAAAGGAATGGATCACTGCGCCAACCCACGCAAAAGAAGCGTCAGGCAGGACGAAATCAGCAGCCAATACCCGTGCATGAAGGCGTTCGTTTAGTGGGTCGCGCGATACCGGAAGGAGCGTAGTATGTTCTTACCAGTTTCTAGCGTGGAAGGTGCTGAATCCGTTAGCGCCTGCCAAAGAGGGAGTACCTTCCTCCCGCGCCCTCGTTCTGCAAGAGCGCACCACATCACCTCACACACCCGTCCGGCCTCGTCTGTTCCTCCCTCTTTTCTCGATTTCACTCCGGTCCACTCGCTGCAAAACCCCGCCCACGGCTCGTCGATCACGCACCAAACACCTCGCCCAACTTCCAGTCGACATCGACAAGTCACTCACTCTTTCATATCACAAACGAACAAAGACGACTCGCTCGCTCTTTCCCCGGACTCACTCATTAACCCTCTTACGGCCGGCCCACTGGTTTTACTGAAAATCCACGCCATACTTTATCACCTGTCTCTCTGGTCGCAGCCTACTACACTCGACCCATTTGAATATTATCCATCTGCAGCCGCCCGTCACCAAGGAAATTCCCCTGTCAAATTCTAGGCCAGCCGTGCGACACGACGTGCATAAGCGTAACCACGACAGCCGACGTCAGACACGACAAGCAGCAACAGCTTTAGAAAGCGCGACAACACCTTGCTTCTGGTTCATGTTTCGCCTCTGACCCGCAGCAGCACAAGACAAGCCAGACACTCGTGGGAGATTGAGTCTTCCACCTCAATTCCCAAGCTGGCGCCTATATTTGAGCCCCAGCGTGCCTCTGTCGGTACCCTGACTACAGACTCGTCCCACAGCAACCCCGCTGCTGGACAACGCCGCAAGAGCAGCAACGGCTTTTGGGGCAGCGTGATGAGCTCGCGCAAGCCTTCGCATTTCCAAACAGACTCCGCCCATTCTGCCAAAATCGCCATCTACTCATCCACTGCCGACTGCGACGCCGACGACGAAGCCACAATGTCCTCAGAAGAGGCTTCACATCAACAGCGCCCGGCCAGTGTCCACATGGCAGCATCCGCTCCCGCATCCGTTCCCACATCGGCAACATCATCGACGCGGCCAATGTCCTCGGAATCAGCACCTTTCTGCCCGAGGAGGCCGAACCTGCGCGAAATACTCGCAAACACAGCACCTGCACCATGGACTCTCGCCGCCTTCATGGCATACCTATCCAACAACCACTGCCTGGAAACTCTAGAATTTACAATGGACGCCGGAAGGTACAAGAAGCACTTCCATAGAATGATGAACAAGGCTCCTGTCCCCGGCCAACCCACAGAACACGATGCCAACTACGTCAAGGAGCTATGGGTTCGTTTGATGGAGGCCTACATCCAGCCCAACGGTTCGCGTGAGGTCAATTTACCGTCACAAGTCCGCGACCCCATCCTCGGACACAAGCCCGCCAACACCCTCCCTCCGGAACCTTCAGTGCTCGAGCCTGCGGTGTCCAAGACCTATGAGTTGATGGAGGAGTCTGTCCTAGTTCCTTTCCTCAACAGCGTATACCCTCAATCACCTACGCCCGTCAGCCCCTACTACTCCAACAACTCTAACGAAAGCATGTCGACGCCCGTCGAAGAGAAGTCATCACGCTTCGGCCGCCGTAGTCGCCACTCGTCGAGAGGTAGCCCCCCTCCTCTCAGCGCCAGCTCTGTAGAGTTCTCCGCTTCTTCCTACTCACCTCCCTCCCTGAACAATCGCAAGTCCGCTCCTTCGGCACTCACCACCGCCCTCTCTCGTCACCGCTTCTCTACAAAGCTTAGCCCTACCAGCTCTGCTCCATCTCATTCTCTATCGGCCGCTCTTAGCAGCACAAGTAGTGCAAGTGATGCCATCTACTCCGGACCCGGACTCACCGACGACTCTGGTAGCAGCGGGTCGCCGATCAACGACTGCCCAATGACTCCACCTGTCACTCCACCAATGAGCGACATCAGTGGCAGCCCTAGAACGCATAGAGACAGCGGTGCCTGGAAGAAGTTGGGCCGCTTGAGTGGCTGGAAGCCATCACGAAAGAGAAGCCAGCCAGGCTTCGACCTCCACACCACATGAGCTCAATCGGGAGGATCTCTCTTATGAACCAGAGTCCATTCTGATGACAGTCATGTTAACGTTACGCAGCGAGTGCATCAAAATTTTTCAATCATGGTTAGGCGTCGGGGAGTTTTTAGAGACTACGGGGTACACGTACTCCTGTATTAGGACTTTTGGCATTTTTCTTAGTAACATGGGTTTTGTGGTTCTCATCGACGAAACGAATTCACGGATATGCAGCAAGGAGCTGGAGTCCAGACCACGGATTGGTCATGTACGAAGACAATAGCTATGGCTATTTTGCATTATTTACGTGCGACGCGCGAGCTCGACCTTACGAGGCAGCCAAAGAATTGTAACAATATTTCGTCTCCTTCAACCTGCATCGTCTCCTTTAAAATACATTGCCAGTGATGTCTAGAATGCCATGGACGCTGCCAGGCGCTGCAAGCGGCTAGCTAGCCTGGCTGGCGTAACGTAAAGCACCGCACCCGAAGGTGCTCTGTGTCGGACATGTTATTGCGGCCGACCGAGTGGCACAAGTAACACAACAGGCTGCAGCCCAAGCAAAATGCACTAAACCGTCTGTACGATGGAAGCCTTCCCGACATGAGGTGACTGGGATGGCAGGATTTCCATGTGCGGCTCGGCCTGCGCCTGCTGCTCGGGATGTGGTGATGAATTGGAGATCTGATGACATCACGTTCGGACATGGGTATGAGATAGTGTATGCTTGCGAATGGACATAGCGAGCCCTGATAGAGGGGCACACGCACGAGAGACATCTAGGAGAAGAAAATCTCTTTGGACTCCACTGGACCATAATGTCGACCGCTAACACTGCCTGCTCAACGCCGTAATGTTGCGGAATAGCGAAGTATACGAACTACCGGGCGACCTCCCACCAGTGGCCGAACTAGCAGGTGAATCTCTATCGGCCGAACTGCCTGGGAAGGACTCTTTGAACGAGACGCATGACGAGACCTCACAAGAATCGTATAACCATTCCATAACAACAACACCCTGTCGCAACGACTTGCTGCCCACGCCGTATTCAGCCTTCTCCACCATTTCGTCGAATCCTTCGCTGAAGCCTTCGGCTCTCAACTTTTCGCGACCACGTCCAGTAGAGGCCAACTCGTATAATTTTGGCTGCCAGGCTGGCCCAATTCTCGAGTACGATCCGAACAATCGTCCAATACTCTCCGAGTCTAGTCAAACGAACGACGACCCGGGTCATGAAAGCGAGGGTCCTATTGAAGACGAGAATGCCGATGGTCTCCGTACGCCTGCACCATCGTACATGACATATACAGACTCAAGAGATGATGACACACCTAGGCACAGTTTAGATGGAGCCAGTCTAGGAGGTGTCAGTATTGACGAGGCAGTACCACCCCCGATTAGGACATATGCCGATCTAAGACACATACAGTTATCGAGAGATAGCATTGATGGAGTCAGTATTGAAGAATCCACTCCACCTCCGACGCAGCCTCTCAAAGCATTCAGAGGCTTTAGTCATGACTTTAGCACCTTGAACATCTCAAGAGGTGATAGTATCTACGAGGATTTTCCCACTCCTCCTGACTTGAGATCGCCGAAGGAGAACTTCCGAAAAGCCTCACACGCCTTGCCGCTTAGTATCAGAGAGAGCGACGAGGACACTCTGGCGGCGTCAATTGTACAGGGCATCCATCCTCTCTCGCGTATGGACACCACGAGCTCGACCGCAAGTAGTTTCGATGAGGCTGCACCGCCCCCTGTGTCAACGCGGAGATATGCCCTTTCACACATGGATACCGACAGTTCAAGAGGTACCAAATCCTCCGACCAGACAAGGACCTCCAGAGTCGACAGTGTGGTTGATCCATCTGCTGCCGCCGCATCAAAAAGTGCTGTACGAGGAGATGTTCGGACGGAGCCTCGCGCGCCAAAAGTGCTCATTTACAAACCATACCTCGATTATGCCACAAGCCAATTGTCTGACTCAATACGCACCAGTACGACACAAGACGACAGCTGCAAAAGCCAAGCACCGTACGAGGATCGAAGGCATAGTCTGGCAGATAGCGAGTCGAGCTCAGTGTCTGACTTTGCCTTCGACGGTCAACTAGGCTGGAACCCTCGAGGTCAAAAAGCGTCCGAGAAACGCCAACAGCGTTGGACAGCACCCCTTGTCAATCCTCTGAAGTTGATGAACTCGAGATCTAAAGGCAAAGAGAAGCAGCAAACACCGTTGCCAACAATGGAAGAGAATCCACCACGACAAGGCTCGAACGCAAGCTCACACAACGGCCTTTCACCAACATCAAGCAAGGCTTCTACAGGTACGGGTAGTAGTACCTCTAGTAGACCGCCTATGATTCCCGCTCGCATTCCTCGCATCATCAAACGCACGTCTTTAGACCAAATGTCCGAGCACGTCAACCCATGGCAGGGCGAGAGCATGAGTGACCACGGCAGTGTATCCAGCCAGGAATGGACGAGTAGCGACGTCGATACCTCCAGCCTGAGCGTGGAGAAAATACACAAACTCAAGAAGAAAGGAATCAATCCTGCTTTGTACGTCGAGATGCAGAATGCACGCAAGGGCAAGAACAAATGGATTAGTCCTTTGCAGGGAAACTCTTTCATCTCTTGAGCGTCTTTGAGACCTCATGAATTCCAGTCACAGCTGCGGACAGTGATGCTGTCGGCGCCCTCCGCAGTCTCCGCACCAATTCAAGCGCTTTGACGGGATACTCGCTACACTCTGCTCACAAGGCGCTCTTTATACCATGGAAACCCTCCAAGCCCTGTAACGTGGTGATGACATGGCGCACGCATGGCACACTCGCCCACAGGAAGCTCGGATAAAATGACTCGCTCAATTTTGAATCGCGGCCATGTCCGACCGTTACACGTAGATCTTGGGTATACATGCGGCAGCGTGTTACACCGATCTATGACCGGTTTCTGCTCGAGCAGCACGCAGGGCAAGCTTTTCTCACGGTATGCAATTACCGTTGTATTGCGCAAAAAGAGGAACGAGAGCGAATTGTCGTTGCAACGGTTCTTTATCTGAATGTCTCGGGGCATGGCAACGGTTTTGTCTGCGATAAAGGATTCTGGACTTCCGCCATTGACGATGGTGGTGGGGGGATCTTGTCTGACAAGCGAGGGGAAGTGTTTGTCGTTTGGGGATAGAACAGAGACGGAGGCAGTCGTGGCGTAAAGAAGAAGCGAAAAGGTGTCAGATATTCTTCAGCTCTGCGAGCCGCGGCTTTCATGCCAAGTTGGTTTATAACCCGCAACGTTGTCTGAAGGATTAGTTCGGTACCTACTTTTGTTCTTTGCTTATACATGCTATGACGTGAGATAGGCTTTCTCTTCACTGCTTCATTTTTTGGGTAGGATCAAATACATTGGACTGTCCCGTGTCTTCTATCTCGACTATGCTTACGTGACACTTTCATCCCGAAAGCATCACCGTGTGCTTGGAGCATGCGGAAGATCGTCATGAGACTTGCTGTTTGTCGACGACGTTCTTCGCAGACCCTTGGTTCAAGAGTCAGCGAAGCGAATGCATGATTGATGCGGCGACTGGAAATGGCATCGTCGTGCATGGGATTTCCCATTTACCACATCCAGCTCAGTGCATTGCCACACGATAGCAGACCGAAACATGGCCATGGAAATAACAGCTTCTCCTACAAGGATACTAGCCACATTCATCCAGTCCAAGCTGATCACACGAAACGGTAGAGCTGAACAGAATAAGACATAGTAGAAGGAGCCGAGGTATACAGCTTTCCCAGAAGCAACGATCATCCTAGACAGATAAACGCAGAATAAATGACCAATTTTCGAGCACAAGAAAACGTAGAAAAGTGTTTTTAGCGATAGGGTGATCAATAGCATCTAATGTTTCGGCGATAGGTCGGTATACCTCTGGAAAGTGTATAAGAGTATGGTAAACGGTCTAACGTCCGATAAAGCTGGTTCGTACATATTCTGTATTTCAGAATAGGTCTCTTAGATAGAACACAGCGGTCTTCCAGTCGTTCGCATTCTGATTGGGCTGTGCAAAAACAGTGTCTGCTTGTACGTCGTGCTACAACAATACCAACAGAACTCAGAAGATACCAGAACGCCAAAACACCAAGAGGTCAGGCTGAATCAATAGATATGCGGTGACTGTCTTCCCTACACAAAAGTCACAATTACAAAAGCATCGACCAACTTTTGCAGTGCGATTGATGTCGGCGATTGTGTTGGAAGGAACGACGTGCATGATGTTGGATCGCCTGCCTTCAATTTCCGTGCAACGTACGCTCTTGCAGTGTTCATTTAGACGACGTGCACATACCGGTAACTTCCAGCTATCTCTTGCAACCAGACGAACAGTTCTCCATCATTGAGCTTGATGTTACTGACCCGTTTCTTTCGATATCATCACGATTCGAGGCCATGCGCGGTTAAGTACTACAAAGTCATCTAGGTATCTTGACGACTGTAGTACGAATCTTCAGCGATTGGTCATATCTCTCAGGTAAGGCGCTCACACAAATCGATCGGCGTGACAGACTCATCCAAATGCTCCCTACAACCAATCATCGGGCCAAGTTTTCCACTTCAATTGAGCTTTATCAAGCGCGCATGGTTTGTCATAATACCTCTCTTGTTAACCATGTCGTTTACTTTGATGCAAATACTCCCGTCTCCTCCGCCAACGAGATATTCCCATGGCCCAGGTCCCCCCTTGTAGTCTCAATTTGACTACCGAGGTCATTAATCGAGGCTCGACTGCGGTCATAAAGAGATACCGATCCAATGTTGTCATCAAATGTCCCAATCAACATGTTGAGCATGGGAAGATTAATTACATCGATGTTGAGAAACGGATACTCGACCGACTGGGGCCTCATCCTGGCATTATCAAGTAAGAATCGCCATCTACAGCTTTGATGAACCCCAGCTAACACAGTGGTGGTGTTTTCTAGGCTCTTTCCAAGATCCTGTAGGGTTGCTGTTCACCGAAGCGAATTGCGCCGACCTACAACGCTACTTGAATACTCATAACCAGTTGATCAGCGGCGATCTTCGACTCAAATGGCGCCTTCAGGCTGCTGAGGCTATTGCTCACATTCACAGCAAGGACGTCATCCATTCTGATCCACGCCCAGAGAATTGTCTACTGCACAGCTACAATGACAAGACCGAAGCATGTATATGATTGCAGGGTGTAGACCGCCCTTATCACTCTCGAGCTTGCTTTATTGCAAGTACTCACCGGCATAGCAAGTAAGGTGTCAAAAAGTACTATGCTTCCGATCATTAGAAGTGGAGTGACAAAGGTGCAATGATGTTCATAGTAAAAGAGAAACGCAAAACATACAGCAGCAGGGATTCCCACGTGGTCACCCACCGTAGTACTGATCTGCCGTTCAACTGCTTATGTATGGCAGAGCGGACGGGATGCCCAGTTTTCAGCTGACTGTGGCCGTATGTGCTTGTACCGAATGTGAGAATCATTATATTACTTAAAATTTTGGTCGCGTTTCCTCTGCATGGTGTAACCTGTCACACAGCACCGGGCGTGGTGCTCGCCAATCAAGGCTAACCGACACCACGGCGTATGGAACCACAGTGACGACCATAAAGTCATGGCTACAAGAATTAGTCATCTTTTTTAAAATTTCTTCCAATTTTCTGTCGAAGTTTGGCCAATTCGGAGAATCGCTGCGTCTTTTCACAGCTCCTTTCTGGCTGCGACCAACGAAGGAGAGTGGGGAGACTCGAGGTGCGCCTCGCATGGTTCCTCTCGATATCGACGTTTTCCCTTGGTGGCATGCCTGTCGGTGTGTTCCAACCATCCACAAATTCGATGGCGAGATCAACATCATAGCAGTCCTTCGGCACGGTAGCATTATGCAACCTGTATCCCGACTGCGTGACATTATTGACATCCTGAAGGTCACGACCCAGGCAACCTGCCGAGCGAGTCAGTACATCCCACCTTTCAAGATTAAGCAAGGAGACCTACCATGCCATTTCACAGTCTGACCATTAGAGGTTTTGTACTGTATCTTGCCAGCCTTATCATGATACACCCCGTGAGTACCCGGCACAACACCAGGCCCATCGGCCCCGTCGATCTCCGCTTATACCTCAGGTTCCTCCCAACTCAACGCAATCGACCTAAGACCCCTTGCATGCGCACAGTCCGAATCCGGAAATTCAAGTTGTGATGATGAGGTGTTGTAGATATCAGTGAAAGCTATTACGGAGCTTCCTCCATCATTTCGGGGGCCTGTGACCATTGATGCAGCCATCAAAGGTTGCCTACAGAACTTTCTTAAAAAGCGAAGGGCCAGTGAGGATGCAAGACCATGCGGTCCGCACGGTGTGGGACCGATATATCTTGCAGTCTTTGGAATCGCAAAGGAGGAGTTGAAGGATGACGAGTTCTTGAGTTGCTTGAGGCGGGCTGGACTTTCTCGACCAGAAGTACAGCCGTCACCATCGAGAACCGAGCAAAAGACCAAGAAAGGAGGCAAGAAAGGATGGCGGAAGGGCTGAGAGTTGATAAACGCACATTGGATGAGTGACTGTGTTGAGACGAGGTAGCTTCTTTTCCGCTGCTCAGTGACCTTATCTGTGCTAAATTGTCTGCGCTTCACTGATGTAAGAAGGTGATCTTGTTGGGCGCACCCTCCTCCAACTCGCAAACGCGACCGAAGTCACCAACTTCCCATCCTTTCAACATGACCCTTCTCTCAAAACTAGCCAAGGGGCAACTTTTTCCTGGACCATCGTCACAATCAGGGGTAGCCACCACTCCATCGTTGATCACGATACGGACATAGGGCTCATCGTGTGGCGGATCGCAGTAGATATGATTAGGATACAATGGAGCGTTTGAATGGCAGAACACCTGCGGACATACCATACGCTCAAAAACGACTCTACTACCCATGGGGATGAGTGACGATGTCTTCCAACTTCTGTCTTCTGGTGCATGATCCGTCGGTAGCTCTCCAGATATTGGAAATAGGTCCAGAGCAGATAGCAAATCAAGAACATTATTGTCATGCGCAAAGCTCAAAAACAGAGATCCATTTGATGTGCCAGCCGAGAGGAGATTGGTGGTAGCGTTCAGAAAAGGGAAGCCACGCGCTGCGCTGTACTTATTCCCAGGTCCGTGGCGGTAGTATTGCGAGAGATCCCTAGCGTACTCCAGATCCCGCCACTCATCGTGGGTAAAGACATTACACCAAGGACTGCTTCCTCGAACCATCAAATCAAAGCCGCAGAAACTTTCCATGGCACGGATATCGTGGAAATTCAGCTTCAGGCCCGGGTTCTGTTGACTTAGACGTTGTATAATAGCTGGCATAAAGAGCTTCATCCACTCTTCAGATGCATGAGGACCATCTGGCACCCCGTGATGGTTTTCGGGCTTCCGGGCTGCTTTGCAAGTTGAGCCTGTCGTCAAAGTATCGGCACCTCGTTTTGAAGATTCTGGTATGACGTGCAAGTTTGCAAGCTCGGGTTCCCAATTCAGGCCCCAGAAACCGCTGGCAAAGAATTTTGCAGTCTCGATCACGCGATGTGAGCCAGCGGCCCAGAAGTTGGTCTGATTGTGAGTAATCGCTGTAGTGCGGAGATCTGGGTAACGGGTTCGGAGGTCGACGCCTGCCTTAAAGGCACCGAGTGTACCAGCATATGGTCCTGTAGGGATGAGTTGGCCAGTATCTTGGGTATTGGGCATGAAGTAAGTCCAATTTTTGAAAAAGGCCAGGTCGCCCTCGAGGTCAAAGTCTAGTGTTCGAAGGTGGTTGTGGAGAGAGACCATACCTATATTTCTGTTAGAATGAGGTCTGCGATGTAGCATCTAATCAGTCCTTACGAGAATGCGTCCCTATTGTGGGATATCTTTCATGGTGTCTTGCCATCTACATAGCGGTTAGTATCGAAAGCACCAATACGAAAAACACTTGTTGGGAGGTTCGTACCATGTGGACCTGTTCAACCCTGCAGCCTTCAGGTGGACCGAATCCACCCTCGACGACTCCATCGACCTTGGGGATCCACGGACCATGACCCCCGAGGTGATGTAAGAGGTTCCAATTTCCCTGTGCCGTAACATTCGTGAACTGTGTGACATTCGCAATCGAGGTGATCGGGGAAGTCCAGTTACTCATGATTGCGTCCAGATAGTTCCGTGTTGAAGTTAGCCATGCTGGATTCTGCTGCAAGCGAAAATATATAGCAACTGCAAGAGCAGCAAGAGTCATAGGAAGCAACATCATCTTCTAGATTTCTCACAAAGACCTCGTAAAAACTCTTCCCGGTCTTGGTGATTCGATAAGCCTTGTTCGGTAGACCGCAGTGCCCTGTCTCATCTCATGAGTCACTCATGACTAGGTGTAGATTGTTCAGCAATCAATGAAGATATTATAGGTTGTGTATATTCTATCCTGACTGCCGCATAGAACACAGCGCGTTGAACACCAGGCCCACATTCAAGTGCACGGACCTCGACCTTGATGGTGGATCCCGTATCATAGCATACCCATAGCTCAAACGAGCAGTATTTCTTGTATTCGGCTTGAACATGAAGGGTGTTCCGATCCATCACAGAGGACAGGAAGCAAAGCGTGTCTACTACAACAATATCACTCTTGCTTGAGAATTTGAGCGTTTAAGCGTTCGATGGTAACAAAAACCGATTCGTCGATTCAATCGACTGTTCATAGAATAAGAAAAAAAAGGGAAACAAAGAAATGAACACTGAGATGTTCCTCATGCAAAAGTCATGTCAAACTCGATCACCAGTCGAAGTTCCTCAGTCAATGCCCAACCGTAATCGCCTGTCCACACAACCACCATCGCCCCAGGCCGTCCCATAATAGAGAGAAAGAAGAAAGCAAAAGAAAAAGAAGATGGAGAAGAAAAGGCATTGCATCTAGAAGATGGTGCCAAAGTCCTCGTCGACTTGAGGGAGAGGCTTGCGAGGGCTGGTGCGTTCGCCATTTTCGTCGACAGCAGGCTTTCGGTGTCTGTCGCATTGTTAGTATTAAGTCAGGAGTTCGTGCGTTTGAAGACTTACTTGAAAGTGAAGCCGACAAACAGGTTGCGGCCCATCTTTTCATCTCTCTCGGCCATCTCTTCGAGCGCCTTTTGCTTGTCCTTGACCTCCTTGTACTTGGCCATGTCCTTCTCACTCTCGAAGTCGTCGAAATAGCCTGCATCAGTCTCGCTGTCAAGCTCGGGGACGAAGGGAGCACGCTCTTCGCGCAGACGCTCCCAGCGAACTTCGGCAAAGTAGGCATGTGCCCGAATCTGCGACATACCACGCAGCCTCTGGTTCTTGCCGGAGATGAGGCGAGTAATGAGATCCCATGTGCGGCGCGACAAGAAGTAGTTTGGATCCTCGTATTCGGGCTTGCGTAGGACCGACGACCAGCGCTTGAGATTCTGCCATGTCTCGTCGACTGTAGCGCCCGCGAAAGGTGGGTAACCAGCAAGAGCCTCAAACAGCATGCAACCAAGAGACCAGTAGTCGACAGTAAAGTCGTACTCGTCGCCCTTGAGCACTTCGGGCGCCATGTAATCAGGACTTCCAACGATACTCTTTGCGTAGTTGATGTCACGCTCACGCAGACTGCGGTATCCATCTCTTCTCTCCTTGAGCGTGCGTTCCTCGATGGGCCTGCCAAAGGGGATGGCGTCGCGGGGCATGTTTCCGACCTCCTCGAGCTTGATGCGCATACTCTCGATCTTGGCTGGAGCCAGGAAACCAGCAGCTAGACCGAAGTCAGTGAGCTTGACGTGACCGGTGCTATCGATCAAGAAGTTCTCCGGCTTGAGATCGCGATGGATGTAGCCGAGTTGATGCAGAGCGTCGACGCAAAGGAACATTTCGGAGATGTAGAAACGGGCATGGCGGTTGTGCAGAACACCGGTGTTATTGAGAAGAGTGCGGAAATCACCGCCGGGGACGTACTCCATGGCAAGGTAGATGCTGGAGTCGTCTTGGAAGGCGTACAACAGACGTACCAGCCAGTCGCTCTTTGCACTTGTCAGGATATCACGCTCGGTCAAGATGTGGCGCACTTCATCAAGCTTGAACAGCAGCTTCTTGCTCATGACCTTCAAGGCACAGACTTCGCGTGTGTCCTTCTTTTGCGCCAGGTAAACCTGACCATAGCCACCCTGGCCGACCTGGGTGAGAATGGCAAAGTCGCCATGGTTGAGACGGGTGCGTCTCGCGCGGAGCTTTGCGCGTTCGCGGCCGAGGTACTGCTGCATATTCGATTGGTATTCGGCATTGGGCGTCTGTGGCGGTGGAGGATTGTGTGCGTGGAAGAGATCGGTGCGCTTTTGGCGGGTCGAGACGTAGTTAAGGAGGTCATAGTAATGATCGAGGAAGTCTGGACGGTCAGTGTCTGTTCACAAGATAGATGGGAGCGCACTTACAAAGCTGGGTGACATTGGCCAGACGCTTCACTGTCGGCTTCTGCAGCTTCTCGATCTCCTCTTGTGTCAGGCCGCCCGAGATGACGCTTCGTTGTCTGCTCAGGGGCTCGTCTTGCGGGCGGTACTGGCTTTGCCTAGAAGCAGCAGCCTGGCTGACGTGGTCTTGTTGCTGAGCGCCAGGACGAGTTGGCGGCGTGTTCTCCTTGTTGCCCTTGCGTGTGGGGCTGTGATCTTGGTTCCTGGGACTTTTCGAAGGAGAGCCCAGAGTGGGCAACAATTTCATGGCATTGGAAAAGACGTCGGGCAGATCGAAGGCGCCAGGGGGCATGCGATTCTTGCTGGGACTGCCCTGTGGCGTCTGGGCAGGCGAGATGAAGGCTTGCGCATTGTGGTTCTGGTATCGTGGAGAGGTGGGAGTCAGAGGCCGCTCGCCCAGGTCGCTGCCGCCGCGCGAATGCATCGGCGGGGGCATCGTGGGCATGTTGAGATGCAGGCTCTTGTCTGGAGACGCCATGCTAAATCTGTGCAAGAGTGTCTCGGAGCGCAAGGTTGGGTTGTGTATGATTGATTGCTCGAGATGCTTGATTGATTGCGGAAGAGGGGACATTCAAGCGTTGCTGCATCAACAAACTCCGTCTCCACGCATAAACAAAGCCTCCGCCAAACACCTACTTTTTGACATCACAATTAAACTTTCCCAGCTTGCCTTGTCTACCTAGTACCGGACCACATACATCTCAACCACGTCACATCACAACATCAGTCAGCATGGAACAACATTGTGAAATGACAGACGGCCCCGCCGGGTCGATTACTTGGTTTGCATCATCTGCCGAAGACTGTCTACATCATCAACGCAGCTTGACCTCAGCCTTGGATTAGGCCACGACGACTTTCGTGTGACCTCCCTGAAAGTCCTCGACAACGCCTTTCCACAGCTGCTTCAGGATGCTAGTCTGCTCTGCCACAGGAACCTGAGCAACCTTCTGAGTGACTGCTGCGATACGCTCTGCCATGCCGTGGAAGTCGATCGTCATAGCATTGTTGTCAGAAACTTCCGAAAAGTTGCTTATGATCTTGTCAGCTGCCACGCTGTTGATCTCTGCTTTCATGATCGTCTGTGAAGAGTGTCAGTTGACTGTTCTCGTCTTGACAGCTCCAAATACACGTACCCCATCGGCTGTCTCAAGACTGTGGGCGCCAACACGTGCAGGACTGAAGTTGGTGGGAACCAGAGGGACACGAACGGCGGATCCCTCAACATTGTCAGGATCGAAGTCGGGGAAGTAAGCAAAGTCGATGGTAGAGCTGTCGTTTACAGCTTTCAGAGCACGGCTAGTGTTGAAGTGACGCACTGCCTTGACCTCGTCCTTCTGCTCAGCATTGGGACGCTTGCTGGCATTGATAGCAGTGGTAAAGGCACGAGAGTGAGCCAGATCATCGGCAGAGATACGGCCCATGAGCTGTGTTCACATCAGTCTTGTGCAACATGGTATCATAGGTTGTGGGTGAAGCTCACATCGTGCATCGAGCCAGAGAAGTCCAGCTTGCGTCTCTTACACTCGGCTCTGAGGCCCGCAATATCACGTGGAAGATTCGAGACAGGACGCTCAGAAGTAAGCAATGCTGAAGGGAATGTAGCAGGGCCAGTCATGTGAAGCTGGCGACGGCTGCTGCCACCTGCCAAACGCCTCAAGGCGATAAATTGGTAAGCTCTGGGTGCGGACATGTTGACAGTGATTGAAAGACGTAGGTTGTTGAAAGGATCGATTGATCTGGTGTGAAGCTGTATGAGAAGCTACTAGGTGGATATGGATTTCAGGTTGAGGAAGAGAAAGAGCAGATGGAGGGGGAAGTCGCACAAGAAAAAGGCAGCTGGGGGTGATACAACTACGGGCTCTTGCATCAGGCAAGCACGAACGACCGAATCGTGCGACATTTTACCTCCACACCGCTGGCCTCACCAGCAGCAGTGAGCTGTGCCTGCGAATAGAATGGTAGAGAGCTTGTCAGCCCCAGATAAGCCTCAACACTCGGATCTACATTGCACAAATTAGGCTCTGGTACTCAAGCCCCCGGTTTCCCCGAAATCCATACCGGCCTTGGCTGTTCGATAACGTGATGCAGATGTGAGGTCCGAGGCGATAAGCTCTGTTTCGAGTGCCATATCACGTCTGGGACCTCATGCTACCTTGGAGTCATACACAAAAGCAACAAGAGATGTCTCTCGAATTGAAGCCATACAAAACCCGCCAAAAACTTCATGAATCAAAGGTCAGCATGGGCCCCCATACCAGGTGCCCCTACTCCGGCTTTCCGCGGGTTAGCGTGCATGGACCGTTCTCTCCGCATTATCCTTATCTGCTGATCTCCCTCCTGAATATCAGACCATTCTGGCCTGGTCGGTGGTACTTACTGCTGACCAAATTACCCGACTGTCAATCGTACTACTATTCCATTTCCTTACTAAGATTATCGTCTGCTCAGCAAAGAGCTCAACCTCTTCTGTTGTCGTAGCCTGGTGTTCTCCTTCACAACCCCTCCGGCCTTCTCATCGGACTTCTCTTGTGCCGAATTGCCCGGCGGCTCTCCACGCATTACCCGCCCTGGCATCGTGAAAACATTAAGCCCAAAGCAAACATTCCATGAGTCTCAACAATCGGACCGGGGAACATCTTTCTGTTGTTATCTCTGACGCAATCATGGTATCAGTCTGGAGTCGCGGTGTCCTCAACAATCGTGGTTCAACACATTCCGCTCTTGATCACCAAGGTGGGAAAACGTTATCAGTCTTCGTAACCGTCGTATAACTTTACTGCCTCCTTCTCTAGAAGCGATGTGTTCCTCCGGTACGGCCGTGAAAGGATTGTCTACCTAAGAAGGCTAGAGACCAATTGTTCCATCAATGAGATACAAAAAGTTTGGAACAAGACTATGGTACTGACCACGTATTGCTCATGGTCACAAAGATATATTGTCTGTGGTTGTTGGTCTTTGACTCTATATACCTTTTGCATACAAAGACCCCTTGTGTTTTCCAGTCGTTAAGTTCATATACATTCGTTATTGCAAAGGTAGAACAAGAATAAGAATAAGATAAGAAAACAAAACAAAACGAAAGTTCTCGCCAAGAACAAGCTCTCAGGCATCATGTAAAGTGCTGGTTCCAGAAGGGGTATGTGGCTGCATGGAGGTTTCTGGTAGGAACACGGCTAGTGGTGAGATTACGCTCAATTATATAGTTCCTCATCACGCTCGACTGTGGGTGTGAGAAGACCTCTAGAATCTCGCGCTGGCATGTCAAGTGTCGTTGCTCTTGTATGGAACGAGCTCAAATCTCCTGAAGTTGGTGTATTGGTGCGGCTGCCACTGAATGTGCCCGAGCGTGGTCTTACTGTTGGTGCGGGTACATCTGCGATCACCTCTCTTGTGCTGACATCGCCACCAATCTGTATTTCGTCCAAATTAGGCATCGGAGGAAGTGCTGAAGTCGGTATGGTCACTGATCTCCTCTTAGGTGTGCGAGAGCCAGACCTCGCCGGCGTAGCCATCGCAGTTTCATCCTCTGGCACATTTCTGTTCATATCGATGGGTGTTCCTGAGCGGTCATCGCGTGATGCAGAGAAGTCACGCGAAGACCAACTAGGTCGATGAAGACGGGCTCCACGTGGTAGGTTCGAGTAACTCTCACTTGTGCTTCTATGGCTCAGGCCACTAGCAGCACGACCACGGCGGATCGGAGTCTGAGATGACTCTCCATCCATGCCTGGTGTTTGTGACCTCATCGGGAGCGCAGAATATGATGTGTGGGGCGTCGACTCATGATCCAGCTCCCCTTCCTGGTTGAGCATTGCTAACTCAGCAACAAAGTCTGGGTCTTCGTCTTCAATTTTGGCCACGCGTCGCACCTGCGATACAGAGAAGTAAGGACCCTTGAGCTCTTGAGGTATAACCCTGATTGGCTCCGGTTTAGGTGGCCGAGGAACATCAGTGGCAGTGCGATCTAGATGTCTGAAATACCTTTCGCGGACATTCGCCAATCTTCTTGGTCGGAAGTCGTCGTGGTTACGGGTAAGCGACATGTAGGACGAGTATGCTCCGACGAGGATGGCTATCATAGTGACAATGACCAGTACTCCCTGTATGACTATGATGACGATCCCAATGACAGTCGTTGTAATGCGTTGCAGATTGAACGCGATGTTGAAGGCAGAGGACAGAGCCACGGTTGCGACTTTGCTGAAACCGAGGAGATATACGACCAGCATATTAAGACGTTGTCCTTCAAAAGGTCTGGCCCAGATGGTTAAACCGAAGAACAATATCTCCACGACCAAGAGACCGAACACCTGAGTCATCGGCTGACCAGAAGCACCCGCATAGAAACAAGCTCGGATAAACTCATACAGGGTCCACACAGCGAAATACCACCATCGAGTGCGGCGGAAGCGAGCAGAGAGCCAACCAAATTTCTTGACATACTCCTCATCATCATGAATCGAACTGTGATCTTCTTCAAGATGGGTTGCCTGTCGACGGAATGGAACTGAGGGCATTCTCATTGCGAGCTTCTTGATTCCGAGCCTCCTTAAAATCCTTGGAGACTGTCTGTCTTGGTCAGATGCAGGGAAGGATTCAGACTTGCGAGTTGTGCCCTGCGATGCAAGACCAGCGTAGATCGCATAGATGACACATGCCGGGATTCCAACGAAAAACAGAATAAAGACGATTGCTGCGACGGCTTTGACACCTCCAGAACTCTGGTAGGAGAATTGGAACATAGTCAGAAGCATCATCGTAAAAAAGGCGATGAACAAAGTTCGCAGCGCAACCAGGGCAGTATATCCGATCCAGTGTGTCCGGAAGTAGGTCAATCGCTCTTTCTTCAAGAGCCTGATGGCGACAAAGGCTTCTACAGCCCATTTCAGAGCGACGACCCCTGCAACAAGGATGACGAAGAGAATGAGCAACCACAAGAATCCGGTCATGAACGCATTGGAGACGCGGATATTTTCCTGGGCCAGGGTACCAGCAAATCCGGAATAATTACCAGGTAAAGGCAAGCCAGCCTGCACAGGTTGTCCGTACCACGTAAAACCAGTGGAGCTGTTAGCAAGCTCACGTCTGAAGAGATGGTCTTCGACAGAGTGTGAGGCAGCGTCACGTCCAAGCTCGACGGTATGGTCGCGCTGATAGATATCCCAAGCGACGTCTCTCTTCAAGGACAAAGCCCTTCTGTAGATCGAAGCGATGTCGAATCCACCTCCGACTCCATCTTGATTTGTCCCAGAACCAGCAGCACCGACGTGCGAAGTGTTGCCAATGTTGTTGCCAATGAGCTTGTCGATAGAGCGTTGCATTGAGCTAGTGTAGATCATACCACCTGACCAAGCAAAGTTGCTCCACCAAGCAACAAGAACGCTGGGCCAGTTCATAGAAAGAGCTCCAGTGAAGTAGACATGTTGGAAGACGGAGAAAACGACCATAACAGAGAGCGAATGAGCGTAATGCTTGCGCATAACACGTACACTGTCGCCATAGACCGCAGTCGCAAACGAAGCCATAAGAGCGATAAGGGTAAAAGCTCCAAGCACTGATCCCACAGACTTGGGTTGCGAGAAAGTGGCGCCATTGGTGACAACAGCTGAGTAACAGCCTATCTCGGCCTGAGTCGAGTTTGCAAAGATACGGAGGATGGCCTCGCCCTCAAAATCCGGGATGGAAAGCGCGATTGGAGGGATGGCAGCAACGTCGGATTGTGCAACAGGAATGATACCGTTGGCTTCGATAGGTATGCTCGCGTTGAGTGGGCATAGGCTTCACGGGGAATTAGCGACGCACAGATTTGATAAGCAGAAAGAAATGAGCACCTTTTAATGTTCGCGTTACACGGATCGAACGTCAGATCGAAACGACCTTCGCCATACGCATAGACGCCAATGTACACTGATTATGGTTAGCTAGGTCATCTCAACGATGGTAATGTTGGGCGCAACTCACTCATCAAGCTCTCATTAGCAATGGCCGTGTTGCCCGCTAAATGAAAGAGCACGGTCATGTTATCTTTGTAATAAGCGGCATCGAAGCGAGTGACATTGACAGCACTTGAGCCCTTGCAATCTCCAAATCGTCCGGTATAGAGCGAAGGTCGTCTGTCATCTGAGCATCGATTTAGCGAAGATTCTCCTGAGCATTATCTTCACACTGACCTGCCAAGTAGACGGTCTCACCAGCGGCATTTGTCGATGTTATATAGCGTGTTTCGCTGGCAGCTACGACAGACTGGATTGCAGCAAGCAGTGTGATGGCCAGAGCCAAGAATCGCGAAGCGACCATAACGAAGGTGATGAAAGTCGAACCAGTCGACAATGTGGAGAATCGGCTTGAGATAAAGGACAAGGGTCGCGGGCAGCGATCAAACGGGTGTAAGATCAGCCGTAGCGAAAGTAGCGAAGGTTGTGCCGAATAGCAGGAAAAGAGTCGGGCGTCAAGGTAGTATTCTGTTGGCCAACGTGGCTCCTATCTTGTATCAAAGGTGGCTGGTGAAGACAAAGACGTATTTCCGATACGGGGAGGCTGTCGAGTAGTGTGGTGGAGAATCAAGTCATGTTGGTCAAGCTCTCGAAAACCAGAGCTGAGGAGGTTGGGACAGGGCGGCAGAGAGTAGTTGTATTCGAAGAAGAGCGAAAGATGATGATTGAGCCAAGTAGCTTGGTGCAAGACAAAGCAGGAAGCAGCAAAATAGTGTGATATATTCGTGGAATGCTCAGCCGATAAAGCCGGGCCTTGTTGCTTGTCAAGGCCTGCTTCCTGTAGCGCCCGCCTTCTGCTTTGTACCCGAGTTGCTCTCGGATCTCCGGAGATCCCGTGCGTAATGATCTACTGGCGAGTTGCAGCAAGATACACCTTCCCTGTCCTGACGCGTCCTTGACAGGTCTTGCTTGCCGCCGAGCTTCTGCGACCATTCTCGTGTCTTTGCTCTTGCCATGGATAGTAGTTTGCACAACTCCAAAACGGTGCCGGGGAAGTCGCGAACCTAAAGCTCGCGATGTCAACATTTTTGTCTTGTCGCAACTGCCGCCAGTGACTTGGCGTAAAGTCAATGGGTCGACATGATCTTCCCCTTTGGAGCTGCCAGAGCTGGAGCCACCCCGCTTGCGGAGGCTGAGCTATCACTGTCGTCATACACGTTGAGGTAAGGTAGCTGCGATTCAGGTTTGTTGCTCTTGCTCTCTATTCCTGTCTCCTTACATCTCTACTTTGACCACACGATCACATTCAAACCAAACGACCTCCGAGCTCAAGTACCAGACCCTTAATACATACCACCAAATCAGCCAACATGCCTCACCACGACAAGGAAGAGAACACCACCAGCAGTGCGTGTGCATGCTTCATACGTCTCCACTTCCTCGCTGACAGTTCCTGGCAGACATCACCGACCAGGTTGCAAAGGAGTCTTCTGACTCAAACGCTTCAACCCACCCCATGCACCAGACCGAGCAGACTGCCACCAGCGGCGGCAAGGCCACTGCCCAGGATCACAGCGCCAACCCCGTAAGCCACTGTCATTACACGTTACACCAAGACCATGGCTAATGATTCTCTATCAGGGCCCAGTCATGGCCGAGGGTCTCGGCGAGCCTGCCAGCAAGGATGACCTCAAGAAGAGAGCCGCTGAGCTTAACAAGTAACGGACGCAATCACGACGATACGATTATGCCCACAGCATCGCATAGCATGATTACGATATGAAATCAGATCCCAGATTAAAGCCTCAAATTTCTTTCAGTAGTACATCGAAATGGTTCATGAACACAACATGTGACGTGTCTAGGGCGGAACCTCCTCACCCTTCCAGTCGAAGCACTTGCCTCTGTGGTCAAGAGTCCTGTCTACTACAACTTCGTACAGCTTCCCTGCCGAGAACTCGGGACTAAAGAGCTTGCCTTCCTTGACACCACCCCAGAACTCCTTGCTGAAGTCTGTCTTGACAGTGCCCGGGTGCAGGCTGATCGCCATAGCCTTTTCGCCAGACTGTGTACGCAAGTGGTTGTCAAAGGTCTTTGTGACCTGATTGACAGCGGCCTTGGATGCACGATATGAGTACCATCCTCCCAGCTGGTTGTCAGTGATACTGCCCACACGAGCAGACATGGTGGCCCAAACAGCTGTTTTAGGTAATGACGGATCCTGGGCAAGCTGTGTCGACTTCCGCGGCAAGAAAGGGCTAAAGTGTTTGAGCATCATCATGGGACCCAAAGTGTTTGTCCGGAAAGTCAAGAGAGCATCATCATAATCAATCTGCTGAGGAGACTTTTCGGGAAATAAGATGCCGGGAACAGCATAAGATAAATGCAAGTAGTGCTCCTTCTTGGGAAACAGGTCACTGCAAGCGGATGCGGCATCCTGAATCGTGGACTCGTCTGTGGAGTTGGCATTAGCGTGGAGAGTATAACAGATCGTCAAAAAGCAAGGTGCATACCAAGGACATCCAACTTCAAGATGTGAACTCGCTTTTCGTCGACATCATGCAAGCCATTGAGGATTTGTTCCTTGGCTTGATCCAAGTCCGTTCGTGCGGTAGTCACAATTGGCAGCTTCGTATTCTGGAGCAAATGGCGAGCAAGATGAAGACCAATGCCGCGGGATGCGGGACTGATCAAGGCCCAAGGTTGCATGGTGAGGTTGAGGGGGTCGGAGAGAAAAGGTACTAAGCCAGCCTGGCATCAGATGGCTGGCGGGAGATTCACGTTTGAAATGGCTTGGATCTTGGAAGAGGCGTTTAGAGTTTGGCAAGATGAGAAGGAAGATCCGGGGTCGTTTTGGAGGAGTCAATCATCGGTGACGCGCATCGAATTGAGCTTTTGCATTGCCAAGACAAGAATTTGTGCTTGCGAGTTTGGGCAAAGTGGAAACAGCGACGCAATTACTCCAAGTACATGATACACCAACAACAATGGCAACATCAACAGCTCCTTCAGCGCTCTCGTTCCCCCCGGCGACTTTTGCGAAAATCTCACCTGCACCCTACCTTCTCGCCCATCTTAGCCCGACATCCTCATCTGCTTCGCCGACACGCCCTAGTGGTCGTTCTCCGCAAGAATGTCGTTCGCCGTCCGTCAACACTGGCTCCCTCACACACGCCAATGGTAGCGCCGTCGTTAGACTGGGAGATAGCGCTGTGGTCTGCGGTGTACGCGCCGAGGTCCTGCGCACATCAGACATTCCCCACCCATACCGTGGCCCGGACGATAGCAGACGCGAGATTGAAGAGTTGGGCCTCCTGGTACCCAACATTGAACTCAGCACTGGTTGCTCACCTGGCTTCCTTCCTGGAAACGCTCCTGGTACTCTGGCACAGTCTCTTACGCAGAGACTGCTCTCGTTGCTACATTTGTCAAAACTGGTCGATGTCGAGGACCTGAAGGTCAAATACCAACCACCAGAGACTGAAGATGATATACCAGATGCACCACCTGAGTTACAAACAAAGGCATACTGGGTCCTCTACATCGATCTGCTGGTGATTAGTCTGGATGGAAACCCCTTCGACGCGGCATGGGGCGCTGTGCTAGCCGCCCTTTCCGACACAAAACTGCCCAAGGCATGGTGGGACGCCGACCGCGAGGCCGTCCTTTGCTCCGACCAACTTTCCGATGCCAAAGCCTTGACTCTCGGCAACATTCCCGCATCTCTGACTTTCGCCGTCTTCACCACCGCTGCACCCCAGAAAAGGCCCGAGGACGCGAAGAATTGGGTCCTGGCTGACCCGGATGGTTTCGAGGAAGAGCTTTGCAACGAGAGTATCACCATCGTGGCTACGGAGACGTCCATCTTGAGGATAGAGAAAAGAGGCGGCGGAGTTGTGGGCAGAGAAGGCATGAGAGAGCTTGTTGCCCACACTCAAAGTAGACTTGGAAACTGGAAGCAGGCGCTTAATCAGCAACAGAGATGAGCTTGCTAGTTGGGTATCGAAAATACGACATGAGATGATTGTCCAATCTACGAGGATGCAACCCGCGTCCAAACGGACAGGCCTACGATCACCGGACCACGGTGCTGTGTGCACTCTGAAGAACACCGGCGCTAGCAACGTCTCCAGAACTGCGACGAGAAACTCAAGCCTCTGCGGGTAGACACGATTTCGGAAGGAAGGCATGAGAAGAGTCACGATATAGTCAGTGAGAAGTTGTGGGGTCGTGAAGGTTCATTCAGAGGTATGTAGGTATCATAAGAACGCGAAAAAGCAAGACCGGTGCGAGCCTTCCGCCCGGTTCTTCATGTCTCACAGAGAGACAACGCCAATTTTATGCATTCGTCCAAGCCTCCATTTTACAGAGCGGCCATGCCAGCCAAGACACCCATGGCGCCGAGAGCGAAGCCAGCAAAGGTAGCCTGGGAAGCAGCGCCGGTGGAAGTACCAGAGCCGGTGGCGGCGGCGGCTGAAGTAGAGCCAGAAGGTGCAGCGCTAGTTGAAGCAGTGGCATCAGAAGACGTGCCGTTTGCGAATCCAGCGTTGGACAGAGCTGCGACACTGACACCAGTGCTGTTTTGGCAGTGCGAGCTGTAGTCTGCGGTGGACAGCTGGGTGGAGGTGAATGTGATGTCGGCACACTGTGCGAACATTGTCAGCAATTGTTTTGTCGCAAAAGACTGTCTGCATGACAGCTTACGTTGTAGAGACCACCGGAGGGATCGCCATTGGTAACGACCTGGATGGTAGCATTCATGCCGTCGGTAATGTTCAGGCCAGCGGGGAACTGCAGGGCGCCAGCACCAATACAGAAGTTCTGAGGGCCTCTTTCCTGGAAGGTGGGCAACAGAGTGATGTTGAAGTTGCTACCAGGGTCGTTGCCGAGAGCCATGAAGACTTCAACCTTGGCCGAGGTGTGACCCATGAGGAGTTGGATGGGTGCACCAGTGATGGGGAACTGAGTGCGGTTCGAGCTGACCGTGTTCTGCGAGCCGCAGGGGAACTGGCCGAGTTGATCCTCATCGAAACCTCTGGCAACAGGGTAGACGAGGTTGAAGTGAGCAGAGACGAGAGGCAGCAGGGCACCGAGCAGCAATTGGGTCTTCATCTTGATCGGGAATATGCGTGTGTGATGCGAAGTGCAGGAACTGGTGAGACGAGCGCAAAGAAGAAAGATGGCACAAAGGTAGAGAAAGTGATTTGAGAGTTTGTTTGGCTGGTGGCACGTTGAAGGTCACACAAGAGAGTTTATAGCTTCGTGCTTTCCTTACCTGACGGCTACTCCGCATCACAGCGAACGGAGAGCTCCAATAGCTCCCGACCCCCTTTGCCGTATTCCGAAAAGTCGAAACATTCCACACGCGAGACGGCTTTTGAGATAGACTCGTGGGCGGAAACTTGCTCAGGTTTGAGCAAGTTTAACGGTCTAGGTCCCGAGCCTCCAGACGCACGGATGAGCCACGGTATGCATGCGGTTAGTAACCCTAATCCTACATGTAATCATCCTATATTTTGATTACCAAGTCGTCCCCTCAGCTTACAAGATACAAACTCATTGTCCGTAGCTAGGGAGTAGGCTATTTCCCTAAATAGTAAGATGCGCCAAATGTATAGGGACAATCGGCCGTTTCGAGGCATCAATAGGCCACAAGCTACCACAGCATCCCCACCGAGTCTCATGCCCGGCCAATATGCCACAAGTGCTTACGGCTAGACAGGCACTATTCAAGGGTTAAGCAATTGTGATTTTGATCGTATACACATGATGGAGAGAGAATATTTTATCGACTTTTTGTTCAGTGATCAGCGCATGTTCTCGCTAGTGATGGTCCTCCACTGGTGAAGCATATCTTCCAATGGCCAATTCACCAACAAACAGACCTGCGAGAACGGAGAGGAAATACCCTACATTCAGCGTCATGACTGCCAGCATGCTAGAATAATTGTCAGTGGTGTTTTCGGACTTGATTGATTCGGCAGACTTACAGCAGGTATCCGAGGCCGGCTTGGACAGTGTATACACATGCTCTCGGCAGATCGGTGCTGATTCTCCAAGGGGTGGACTCCTTGCTCCTTGACTTGGCAGTGATAACGCGGACCTTCTCATCAATACCCCGAGATGTCAAGATGGCTTGTTGTTCAGCTTTCTCCTTGGTTGCTTCCGACTCGTCCGGGAACTGGTCACCCTCCTGCTCCCCTCTGACAATGACATAGCGACGCTTCATGGCCTTGTCATGGAAACGCTGTTCAAGCGTGTGCCTCCAAGCTTGCAACAGACGAGAGAGAATGGCCAAAACAATGAGGAAAATGCAGGTTCCAGCGTATGCGCCGGTAGACGTAGGGGTCCATGCTTTTGAGTAGAGGGGGGTGTTGTGTGCGGTGGTGAAGACCATAGACATGGAGCCCATGCCAGACATGCCAGACATTCCTGTCGAGGCGGCCGAAGTCGCACTTGACATTGCCATGGTGGATGAAGACATATGCGACATATCCATATTGGCAGGTGGGGGGCGTTGGAAAAAGAGGAGAGAGAAAGGTCGCACAACGAGGCTGCCTATAGAGATGGCCAAAGTTACAGGTAATGGGTCAAGGTCGACAGATGCGGACGATGGCCAGATGAACCTTAGTGGCCAAGTAGCGGGTCTGCGTAACTTGCAGGCGATGCACAACTGATGCAAGATACGAGCGGTGGGTGAGTGCGAAGGTGTAAATGTCAGTGTCAGTTGAGAAGTTATCGTCTGCGAAAGAGTGATCCAAATAATTCGGTGTTCGCAAACATGTTGGATTGATGCCACGCGTTAGTGATTGACGATGGTCTGGAAGTCGGAGTCTTGAGAGTCTTTGAGTTAATTAGAACCGGAAAGGGTTTAGTTTCGTGTAATAGCTTTCGGAGTTCAAACAGCCACAGCCGGGGATCTACAACGGAGACGAGATGCAGTGACAATGAACTCCACCACCTTGAGGTAGTTTGCGGTGCCATCTTATCCGCCATGCCTTGAAGCGTTCTCGCCATGCGTCGTGCCTTCCTTCGCATTATCCCACGATACGCCAATACCTGGTTCTGATCCTGATCTGACGACTCCGAACGCCGCATGCTGCCTTGCAGATAGCAGAACGCTCCTCGCCTGAATCCGACCTCGATCTCTACACACTCGATCGCCTAATCATGGACATGTCTATGGGCGGTATGGATATGTCAATGGGCAACATGTCCATGGGCAATGGCATCCCTAGCCTGTTCACCTTTGAAAGGATGTACTGGGCTGTCGTGGGCGCTACCATCGCTGCTTTCACTCTCGTCAATCTATACAGCTGGTTTCTGCGTCGCCAAAGGTAGTCGCATCTGTCGCATATCTTCTGTTTCATTCCGTACTTACACCACGCCAGGCTACGATCCACGAGCATGACTCCCGCTAGACCGAAGGCTTTCCCTTTCCTCGCCATGGCCACATGCACCGCTCTCGTTCGCGAACTCGCCAATGCATCGTTACCAGTCTTCGCCGTAAAGTCTCTAAGGCTACCCTCACCCACTCTCGGAAGGGCCGCTATCATTGGTGCAAACATAGTCGTGCTTCTAGTCATGTGTTTCTACAAACTGGACGTGAACGATCGATGGTCCTTTGAGAATATTGGATACAGAACTGGCTTCGTTACTCTTTGCCAACTACCTCTGCTCTTCCTCCTGGCAGGCAAGCGCAACATCATCGGAGCCCTCATCGGTTCGTCGTACGAGCGCATCAACTGGCTGCACCGCTGGGCATCACGATGCTTTCTTCTTACTGCTACAATCCATATGGGCTACTGGTTTGCAGACTGGGCTCCATACGACTACATCGGCACAAAAGTTCGGACTGATCCTATCACCAAGCATGGTGTCATCGCTTGGGCTATCTTGGTCTGGATTACCATCAGCTCAATGACGCCTATCCGAGGCTGGAGCTATGAGTTTTTCGTCGTCCAGCACGTTGTCTCTTTCGCCGTGTTCATTGGCTTCGTATATTTGCATATCCCAGCCGAGGTCAAGCACTGGGTGTGGATCTGTGTTGGCTTGTTCTTCTTCGACCGTGTCGTGCGAGCCTTCTACTACCTCTACAACAATTTGTCCATTCTGCACCCTGCCCAGCGGAAGGATGGCACGATGGGCAAGCTATGGGCCCTCAAAGCTGAGCTCACTGCTTTACCCAACAACACCACTCGAGTCACCATCAACAATCCTCCCATTTCCTGGCGTCCTGGTCAGCACGTCTTTCTGTCTGCTCACTCACTAGCTCCCATGCAAGCACATCCTTTCACTATCTCCTCACTTCCCAGCGATGGCAAGATGGAATTCTTGATTCAATCTCAGAAAGGCGGAACCCAAAAATTCTACCGACATGCCGAGAGGCTGGGCATGACTCTACCTCAGACGACCGGCGACCTCACAGGACATGACCTGACGAGCGTGGCTATCGAAGGCCCCTATGGCCGCATCCGCCCCTTGCAACAATTCGACAGTGTCGTGCTGCTTGCTGGCAGTTCTGGCGCAACGTTTACTATGCCTTTGCTACGCGATATCGTTTATTCATGGAAAGTAATGAGTGGTCAGAGCACGAGTCAACGTGAGAGGCCAGCAACCAGACACGTGAGATATGTTTGGATTGTCAAGTCTGGACCTCAATTAAGCTGGTTCTCTACTCAACTCAGCCAGGTCATGGACGATGTTACCCAGCTACAAAATCAAGGCCATGATATCAGTGTCGATATTAGCACTTACATCACGTGTGACGACGCTTTTACGACGGAGCAGAGGACCTTACTCGGCGCATGGAAGGCATACTCTACATCAACTTCAGCTAGACATGGCTCGGTGACGGAAATTCTCAGCTCTGCCGACGACGAGGTCTACAACGATTATAGCACTGAGAAAAAGTATGTCGCCAAAGACGAGAAGATCGAGGTGCAGGAGCTCGACCGTTACTCACTGTCGGAGAAAACTGAGCCTACTTCAAAACAATCTTGCGGACCCAATGGCACGTGTTGTTGTACCGCCACCATCGAAGACGAAGACGACGACGAAGCCATTAGACCCGCATGCAATTGCAATTGTGGAGCAGGCCCGTCACGAACAGACAGCTCGACATCGAGCAACCTGAACGAGAAGCCCAAACCAAAACAGCCACTTCTCCACCCTGCAATCTCGGTCTTTTCAGGTCGACCAGCTTGCAGGAATGTGATTCGCAAGACCGTGGAGCAGGCTTACGGCGAGAGCGCTGTGGTTGTGTGTGGGCCTCATGGCTTGGTCAACGATGTGCGAACAAGCGTCGTCTCGCTTAGTGACGAACGAGCGGTTCACAAGGGCACTGGTGCTCAAGGTATCTGGCTTTACACAGAGGCTTTTGGATACTGAGCAATTCGTGTATAAAGTAGCATCTTCTCATGTCAATATAGAAACGCCGTTATGACCTCCTTCATACAAGATAATTTCTCGTTCTACTGTGGACCAAAAGTGGGCAATCTAGAGACTCCAGATTAAGCAAGGATGCGATCGCGTACAAGGTTCTCAGGTCCCAAATCACTGTCATTTCAGGTGTACGTTTTGCGCCGCTTGTCGGAAGGACCAAACTTGTGTGGCGGCCATCCCTCAGTTTTCAAATCGCTGTATGTTGATCGACACCTTAGAACCGAGATCCGGATGCTTGCAGCATCAAGAAGAGCTCTGTTCCTCGTCCCCCTTAATTATTCCATTTCTTTACCTGTTATTGCGCTAACTGCACCAAGCCGCAGAAGTAGACCAAAAGTCTGGTAACGAGTTGTCGTGCAATTCGTCTACTGTGCAGTTGATATACGTTAGAAATGACACTCCTGTCGGCGTTGGTGTGGGTGAAACCCTGGTCTTGTCTCGACATCACTTCTTCTTAGTGCTAATGACAACTACATAAGTCTTCTAAGACATTGGCCTACTCTCTTTAAGCTGACACTGTCACTGTGCAATGTTCAGTAGGACATAGTGGTTCCTGCTGCTCTAGCAATAAATTCAATCAAGTAAATAAATCCTCTGACAAGTTTGGTGTGCAAACCAAGCTGCGGACCTGAGCTTTGTCAGTCGAAGTATTTTCATCGACCAATACTAAAATAGATACGTAGAAGATAAAAGCATATACTACCCACTTGATACGTACCTCTGGCATATAAGAATCGCGACAGAAGGCTGTTCGTTGATTGTAGCCTGCCCAATTAGGAAGCGTCGATGATGCTACGAATCCATACCAGTCAATGACGCGTTTACCAACCCCTTGGATATTAACATTTTGCGAAAAAGACTTCCTCGCTACATAATTGATAGCGCAACATATGTTCCCGACCTTGGACACAGATACCGTTTGTCGCGTCTGGGTTTGGTCTGTGACACAATGAAGCCCACGACAGCTGTGCCGCAAAACTGCATATTTGACTTCACTTCGAAATTGCATACGACTCATCCAGAGCACGCTCGTCGCGACTGAAAAACACACCATTCCAAGACTTTCCACGTGATCTGAATGGCTTGATAGTCATATCATGTATCGACCGCGGATCTCGCCTAGCACGACATTGGTCCGAGTGCTCATTCGCCTCTTCTCGGATCGCAGTAATCGCAAGGATGGCAATAAGACTTCGTTGTTCAAACGTGCTTTGACTGGCAAATTCAAAATCTCTTCCGTTAGAGATGCTGAAGCTTTCCTATCAACGACGCTGAAGCAGAGGGACAGCCCGATAGTTGTTGTCGAGGAGATACTGGCTAGTCGGAATGGCCTCAGATGTCTTCATGATGCCTTTGATATCGACGACTCGCCGGAGTGGTTTGACAATGGTCTTCAGCCTGTGTTATCGTGGCTGCAGTATCCGGCTCTGGAGTCGGCGAGCTGTGGATCCTATCTACAACGCACTTTGCAAGCTATAGTTGGGCCACCGGGATCGACGTTCTGGAAAACATATCCTTCTCATGTCAAGTATGAGCTTGTTGGTGAGAAGTCAAGGCAATGCTTTGCATGGGTGTTACTGCAGTTGCTTACGAACACACGCATCGTTCGACCTTTTGACATGATGATCGCTAGAGATCCTTTGGTACAGACTGTACTGGCAGAATCCACATCAAACAACACCCGGCATCTTGGAGAACGGATCCAAAGAGTCTGTGCCTTGCATCAGGTAGCAAAATCTCAGACAACCAGAGATGGCTTTCAGCCAAGACATGACAACGACTTTCAGAACTTCAGGGAGATCCGCATCTTCCCAACCACTGAGGAAGTGGCGTCTGATTACACATCTCGTCTTTGGCACGCAAAAGACGTGTTCGAGGAGAAAGATGCCGCCAAAAGACTTTACATGTACTTGCAACATCTCTTCCGACTATACAGACAGGACTGGCTAGAAGAGATACGAGAACAGATACGACTCGCGCTTGGAAAAAAGTCCGAAAGCGGTCGCTCCACAACGACTTTCCAGGTCAAGTTGACTGGAATCTCTTGTCGGGATACAGGAAGAAAACACGGACAACATCCTTGGTCGCTGAAGCTTGAATGTTCAGAACCTCTTTCTGAGCTCAGAGATCTCGATCCAGAGCAACGAAAGGCTTTTATCAAACATGACATTGACTTCATGCCTGACGGCGGTCTTGGATGTGTCATCGCGGATGGAAAACCGGTGGCTGTTGTTAAGATCCTCCGCGACGAGGCATTACTTGCCAAGTCAGTCATTTGTGTCCAGATCCCCAATGCTGAATTGGTTTCGCCAATCATGCTAGCTTTGATGAATGCTTCGAAGCTTGAGCTTGCTCTGCTCAATACAGCTGGCTATGCTTATGAACCGGTTCTTGGTCGACTTCAACACACCACTGAGGTACCTTTTGAGAATGAGCTGCTCTTCTGGGACACTGACAAGAAGGTCAAGAGTTCACAGTTTCTGGGAAATGCTGGCATTTCGAAGATCGTGAGGCACCTACAGGAGAAGCCGGAGGCCAATTTGCAAGTGGTCATGAAGATATTGACTCCCGTCAAACTGGACGCCTCGCAGGCGAACTCGTTACTTGCAAGTTTGAGGCAGGCATTCAGTCTTATACAAGGGCCCCCTGGTACTGGAAAGTCATTTATCGGAGCACTGGCAGCGAAGATCTTTCACGACTATGCAAAAGAGGACATTCTGATTGTTTGCCATACCAATCAAGCTTTGGATCAGTTCATCCAGGATATCCGGAAAGTTGGCGTTCCCGACTCTAGTATTGTCAGGTTGGGTGGGCAAGAGAGGACAGATCCTGTCAATCACCCGTTACTGCTCTCCTCGCTGAGAGTCGATAGTACCGTCCAGCGTGGACGGGACACCACGTCGTTTGTCAAAGATATCGAGCGCCAGGCGTTCAATGAAGCTGAACGTCTGGACGATCTATATCGCAATCTCACATCTCTTGACAGTCTCCGAGCATTGCTAGATGCTATTGCTATAAAACTTGACCCGAGATGGAGTCAAGCTTTCGAGATCAGCCTCGAGGTCGATGGCAGCACCCGTATTGTAGAGAGCGGTCAAATGGTCGACAAACACTACTTACTTCGACGATGGCTAGCCGGCGAAGATCCTGGCGTCTTTCCCGAAAAAGCAAAGTATGCAGATATATGGAACCTCTCGCTCCAACAGAGGAAAGAGCTGTCCAGTAAGTGGTGGTCCAAAATCAACCAGAATGGACTCAACGCCTTTATGGAAACAGCACAACATCATGACGACCTCCTCACTCAAGCTCGCAATGCAAATGGCCAGACGACCGAACAAATCATTCGTAGCAAGAGAATCATCGCCTGCACAACTTCTGGCGCAGCAAAATATCCACAGGTCCTGAATGAAGCCCCCGGCATTATCATCGTCGAGGAAGCCGGCCAGGTCCTTGAAAGCCACATCGTCACAGCCTTGAATCCAACAGCCAAACAACTCATCATGATAGGCGACCACAAGCAACTTCGCCCTTTTGTCAACTATAACTTGAGTGTTGAAAAGGGCGATGGCTATGATCTCAACCGCTCCATGTTCGAGCGTCTTGTGCTGAAAGGGTATCCGCATGAGGTTCTTGCTCAACAACATCGTATGAGGCCTGAAATTTCAGAGCTGATCAGGCAGCTTACGTATCCTGATCTCATCGACGCGCCCAAGACCGCAAATCGACCTGACGTTCGTGGCTTGATTGGCAATGTCATATTTGTCGACCATAACGAGCCTGAAGATGCGGTATCCGAAGACGCAGGGACAGTCAATTTTAAGGCATCGAAGCGAAACACTTTCGAGGCTGAGATGACCTTCCAGACTGTCAAGTATCTATTACAGCAGAACTACGATGCTGATAGTATTGTTGTCTTGACACCCTACCTCGGACAACTGAAGAAGTTGCATGAAGTGTTTGGAAAAGAGGTTGAGACCGTGTTGGGGAATATCGACGTTGCAAATATGGAAAGAAATGGCTTGATTGAAGATGCTTCAGAGCTCCAGACTGGTGTTGGCAAGAGTGTAATTGATGGTGCATCTGCTCAGTCAGCATCCAGCCTCACTACAGCGAAGGTTGCTTTGGCATCTTTGAGCAAGCTCGATAACGACTTCACTGATACTCCTACTACAATCGATGTAAGCACAGTCACGAACGAGACCTCGACTGCTACATCCAGATCTATAGGAAGACCAAAGATCAAGATCTCCACAATAGACAACTACCAGGGTCAAGAAAGCGATATAGTAGTTGCCTCTCTCACTCGTAGTAACACCTCAGGCGACATTGGCTTCCTATCCAGCCCTGAACGTCTCAACGTCCTCCTCTCCCGCGCAAGAAACACCCTCGTCCTCATCGGCAGCTCTTCAACCTTCAAAGCCACTTCCTCTGCCAAGGAGACCTGGACGAAATTCTTCACTCTACTTGAAGAAGGCGGACACTTGCACAAAGGCCTTCCTGTCCGATGCGAGAACCACCCCAGAAATACTGCGTTGTTGACCGCACCGGCAAATTTCGAGGAGAAGTGTCCAAACGGTGGATGTCGAGAACCTTGTGGTGTTGTGCTGAGGTGCGGTCATGAGTGTCCGAGTGTTTGCCATCATGTTGGTGACCACTCGACGGTAAAATGTCATGAGAGGATCGAGGAACTGTGTAATAGGGGGAGGCATGTTCAAAAATTCCAGTGTTGTGAGAGGTTGGAGGTTATCTCTAAGCCTTGTGACGAGTGTGTTGCCGAAGATGAGGCAGAGGAGAAAGAGACGCAGCTGGAGGAGGGTGAGAAGGAAGGGGAGAAAGGATCTTAGCTTCCAAGTTTTGTCATGAGAAAACGTGTGTTGCGGACAAGACGGAAAGTCGCAGTGTTGTGCGTGTTTCCGAGGGTAGGCAATCCCTAACACACTTTTGTGCCTTGGCTTGTCCGTTTGCTCGCACTTGTCCTGTTCGGAAAAGGTGTGGCAGGAGATCTGCGTGAAAGGAATGAGGTATCCTACCACAGGCAGTGGACGGGACTTGAAGAGAAGAATGGCATTGTCTCGCATCTAGCCTCTCTCGCTGAGATATGTCGGACCATCGAGCCATTGAGCCAGGTCCATCGATACAGGACGTGACCCCGTCTTCATAAAGTAGAGAAATATCGAGCCACTGCACTTTCCGTATGGAGTCCTGTCCTTTCCCGCTTCTGCTAGTTAAACAACAAAGTAATCAAATCAGCCCTCGGTCCTCTCCACTCTACTGGTGCTTCATAGCTTTTCAGCTCCATACGAATTCATGTATCAATTATAAATCATGGTCGTGGTTGCATCTTTGATACCAATTATGCTCAAGTTTTTATTCAATGTGTCAAAGAGATCTGTGATGATAAGCTAATTTGGTTTCCGATGCGTTTTTCGGCTCCCAGATCAATGTGCTTGATGGTGGTACTATCCTCGTATCTCTATCAACATCCTGTCAAATGCGCCGTTGACAAAAGTTGACGTTTATATCTGTTTGAGCTGCTTGAGCTATCTTCTCCAACTACCGAGTTCTAGTCCTTATGATGAGGTTTGAGAGTACTGGAATTAAAATATTTTGCATTGATTGGGATTTCGCTAGAGAAAAAAAGAGGGATAATACAAATATACATAGTAAGAGACAAGACAGAAAAATCGGATTTGCTATGAAGAAAAGACCAGCTTTGTTTGAGCCCATTTGTGTTTTATTCCTTTCGTTTTTATTAAGTATAGTGAAGAGAAACGACACAAGAGACTGGAAACGTTGGCTTTCGTGGAGAAGAAGAGGAAGAAGAAGATGAAGAAGGGGAAGGGGAAGCAGAAGACGTCGGGGGGGGGGGGGGGGGGCTGTCTGTCCTCCTCTTGCTTGTGCTCGCTCATTGTTCAGACGCCGGAGTAGAGGGATGACATCTGATACCACCACTCAAGCGCTGTCACTTCAGTGATGTGTATGCAGGAGCGCTCCATTATCGACGTGCGGGAGAGGTGAGATCATCCGAAAGATTGTGTTGCAAATTAAGGAAGATCGACAGAATCCAAGGACGGGTATGGAAAACCAAACACAAACAATCGTCTATTTGTTGTTGTTTCGTAGACCAAGAGTAAGACCGACAGCCAAACCAACAATGATGAGAATGATGACAACGATAAGCAGGCACCACCATTTCAGGCGGCGAGCACGGCGGGCGTGGGTAATACCCTTGTCAAGCTGCACATTACCGGCCTCGGTGTCCTTCTTAACGTTCTCGGTGTGTTGCTCGGCTTGCTGAATCATGGGTTCCTGAATGACGACAGCCTCGGCAAGATCCTCGAAGAGCTTGTTTAGCTCGATCAAAGTACGCTCAATCTGTTGGATATCATTGTGACGAGCACGCACAGCGCCGAGGACGGTGCTGGCAGTTGCCGAGCGGTTGCTCTTGAGCTAGAGACATAGTCAGTATACATGGCTTGAAAAGGTGATATTAAAGGACGTACTGCAGTTTGGAAGACACCCTCGTTGCCCCAATCGGCGTTGGAGGCTTCCTGAACCTCGGCATCGGTAGCCTCGGGGTTGACAATGCGGTATTGACGGGCGATTTGCTCACGGTATCGGCGCTCGTAACTGGCCTCCTCGTTGCGGTACTCCTCGAGCTGCTTCTTGAAGCTCGTCTTGAGCTGGCCGACCTGGCTGTTCTTAATGTTGTTGTTGCGTCCACTTCTGGCAGCGTCGGTCTCAAGGAACTTGATTTGGTCCTTGATTGAAGTGTTGAGAACCTGTGTCTGGGTGATGATGGACTCCAGGGCCTGGTTGGAGGAAGCGTCGGGACTGTTGAGAGTGCGCTGGTGAGCGGCGGCAATCTCGGAGATGTATTGGGTCAATTGACGGATGTCGGCCTTTGCTGCCTCAACGCGCGAGAGGAAGTCCTGGTTGCTGAGAACAGTAGGAGCGGCCTGTTGCATCGGGGGTTGCGATCCGGTAGCGTGGGCGCCAGGGACTCCAGTGTTGCTATACTGCGAGTCCTGAGTCACGGCCGAGAAGTTGGACTCACCCTGACGAGTGGGTGCTGGAGGCTGGAGCGGCTGTTGCTATAAAGAGTTAGTATATCGAGCCATGCGACACGTTCAACAAGACATACATCGCTGTACGACTGTCCGTAAGGGTTTGCTTGGCCGTAACCCTCGTTACCGTAAGGGTTGTCTCCCTCGCCGTAAGGGTTTCCGCCGTAGCCCGCATATTGGTTGTTGTTATTGGTGTTGTTGTAAGCCATGTTTGGGCGGTGGCGCAATTGATGCGCAAGGAATTATTAAGATGCTGGCGTAATGTTTGTATAGCGAGGAGCGGCCTTGACGACGAAAGAGTGAGATGGCGCTTCGACTCGACGACACGTGCAAAGGGCAAGCGGTGGGTATTAGGCAGGAGCGACGACGGTCGGTTCACAAAAGAAAGCACGCGACGGAATATTGATGTCGTCTGGGAAGGCGCGACGACGAGGGTGTAGAGGTGGAAAAATGGGTTGAACAGGCAGTCAAGGTTCGTGATTGTGCGCTTTGACTGGAGCGACGGATGCAGCGACGACTGGTGGTTGGCCAACGTCAGGTTTCCCAGGCACAGCCCAGGAGATCGTCCGCGAACGCCACGTTCAAATTTCCCGTAACCAGACACCAAAACATTCAACTCGACCACACCAGATATATTGTCTTTACAGCCTCTCGTTTGCTGCTTGTTCATCCATGTAGAGTGTTACGCTCGCTCTTGTACGAGGAGGTGATCGATCGAAACACAATGGCCAGTTCTCCTGCACCCAGCCCCTCATGAAACAACGGCGACCAACGTCCAAACAGGAGGAGCCTGTGCACCTCGCGCTCTCCTCTGAGTCCTCTCTCACTGTCATGTTCCTGGAGTTGCGGTGGCAATCTCGCCTTTGGCCTGTTTTACTTCTGTCACATATTGGGCGTAGTTCGTCATAGTCGCCGCCTGTGCCTCTCGTATCATCATCTCAATACAATGACGACTGTCGCTAAGAATACGGTATGGAGGTCTAGGCTGCCGCCCCCAGGTAACTCAATCGGCGCTCTAGTAAACATGACCATTCATTCGACACTGGGGAATCGACATCAAAATCCAAAAATTGAAAAAGACATCAGATGTTTGCGGGAATCTTCTATTGTGCCCTTTGCGAGGTCTTGCCCTTGTAGGACCTAAACTATTGTTGTACAAGAAAACTTGGGGAATCTCTGGAAAAATCCCATACCGGTATCCTGGTATCCTGGCATCATCGTTCGTGAGCCAACCAACGCCATACTAAAATCAAGTCCCATCATAAAACGCTCCGGAACCATTTCTCGTCCAGTCATAAACCCATAACGCACTGATCATGCATGCCTTGAATTTGCTTGAAGCGAAAACACTCGCATTACATGTCAAGGTCGTCAAAGTCTCTCATCATGCAAGCCATCTGTGCACGCTTTGCAGCCTCGGCAAGTAGGCTGAAATCTTGGAGGAAAGGTGATGTGTCGTTGAGACCGCTAGGTCTTTGCTCTTCGCTGAAGCTACCGCGGTGTTGTTGTTGTTGAGAGAACTGAGGCATTTGCTGGTAGTAGTTGTTCTCTTGGTTCATCGAAGGCGGTAATGAGAACTGAGATTGGCTTGAAGGCGACGACACAGGCGCGGCAGAGACCAAGGTAGGTGATTGACGAGAGCTCATGTTGGTCTGATCAGGGCTAGTGTTGATAGAAGCCAGAGATGAAAGGCTGGCTGAACTTGTAAAGTTGGATTGGTTGTATGATGCTTGAGGGTAGGCAGGTCTTTGCTGGGCATAGAAGTGTTGACTTGATTGAGAGTCCATTGTTTCGAGGGGAGATGCAAGACGACTGATAAGTTGGAGAAGGTTTGTGGAGGAATGTGGAGAAGAGAGCCAGGGGGAGGGCTGGACTTTATGAGCAGCAAAGAGTCGGCGATGACGACTGAAGAGAGGGTGTGTGGGATCGAAACGAGTCAAGTGAGGGTCGGCTGTCAGGGACCACTCTGTTCTCGGCCGACTTGGGAATAACGAGTCGTGTGTGTGCGAGGAAAATAAGCCGAGGGAAGATCTAGCGCTCAGAGGGCTGATGCAAAGGCCGGCTAAAGGCGAAGTGATTGGCAGAGGGCGGATGGAAGGACGGGCGAAATCCGCGTGATATGCGCACGCGAATCGTTGTCAGATCGGCGAGTGCGTGGGGAATCTGGGGATTGACGGGTGTAAAAGCAAAAAGGCTGATGTGCTAAGCCTCCCGATGGTGTGCTGATTGTGGTAGATGGCGGTGGTTACGGAGACAGCTGCTTGAATGGAGGAAAAAAGGACAGAGGGAAGCAGAGGGAAGAAATACCTACAGGACTCGTCAGATCTTGCTCGGCCCTGCAAACCATGGTGGATCGCCTCATCCCCCACATACAACCTCCAGCGATGACATGAACCCGCAGCAACCCGCACTCTTACTGCCGGCCCGACAATTGGCCCTGCCATGAGGCGATGGCCTCGCGCTATCTACAGAAACGGATTTCTGCCGAGGGGGAGAAATTGCGTCCGACCGAGAAAGGCCGGGGAAGGCGCGCGCTTGGTGCTCTTCCGACTCGGGGTAATTGCTCGGCATTGCGTAGCAAGCCAGTTCCAGCCGCAGAGAAGACCGAGTGGTCGGCGCTTCTCCAAACTCTTCAACTCCAAACACAACAGTCTGTGACAGACGCCGTCATGCATGTGAGTTGATCCTGGCGGCGAAGACATGGACAAACAAGAAACATGACTAGACGATCGGCCTGCCCATCAGTAAGGGGTGTCAGGCCCAGCTCTGTCACGAAGCAGAAGCATAAACCTAACCACAAGCCAGGCCGACTCGTGGACAACGGCCTAGAATCTAGTTTGACAGAAGTTTTGCCAGTCGCCAGTAAAAGGCTTTGGCGATCGCATTGATCAAAGACTCAAGGCTGCCATTGATTTCTTCGCCCACATCTTATCCACTTCATCCTGGTCACAACAAAGGCAGCTAGCTATTCCGGGCATATGGCCGTTTAGTTTCTGTAGTTTGCTCAAGCAAGACTCGCATAATAAGGGCTTCTCTCGGCGGTCAATACGCAGTTTCTCGATGCGGAGTACGAGCAGACGTTACAAGTCGAGAGTATTGTCAGTTGATCGTCCAAGACACACACACACACACACCACATGTCTGTACGATGTATGGCAAACCATATCATACTTATTGCACACACACTCTGCTCTCCTTGCCGCACATCGACAAGACCTGTTGGTTGATTACGACCATACACTTCAACAAGACGACGTTGTTCTCCAGTCTATATGCTTAATTGGACACGAGCATGCTCCTTCAGGCCGTATCTCAGAGATTGGTCTCCGACAGGCGAGGAGGAGGATTCGAATATGCTTCGTCTCCACTCGGCTAGTGGACAAGGGCAAGATCCCGACTGTGGGGTGACTGGGGGAAATTCACATCCCGTTTCTTTCTCGTGCAAAACTCCGTCAGAGAATTTTTGTATTCACCCTATCTCGAAGATCCATGCCCTCCGAGAGATGTGCGAGAGAAAGACACAGCCGATATCACAGCTGCCTATTGCCGCAGAATCACATGCTGCGCTCGGCAACAAACAAACCACCAAGTGTCCAAATCACAACAAAAACGAAAATGCCACGGTCGTTGGACAGCATTTCCTTTCGGCGTGCTCGGTCAAATATTCGTGCATAGTAAGAAAAGTCTTTACATCCCAACGATCAAATATCCCCAACCCCTTTTGCAAAGGAACAAACGCCTCCGTCATCTCGATACAAAGATAGATCCTTCGATGCCTCTTCGATGCAGCAAAACAGAGTTTACATGCACCTGGAGTAGATGTTGCAGCGGCATCTCACGGCTACGAGAGTACATTGTCGTCATTGGTATCTGGTTACGCAGGCCAAGGCAGGCGGCTTCCTATTTCGCATGGCCGCTTTGCTCTAAACTTCGCCCCGGGTTTGTAGATTGACGGATCGCGGATGGCAAGGTGCGATGAGATGTGGAGTGTGCTCCGAGAGTATGAACAGAAGTAAACAACAGGATCGAGACAGCAGGAAATTTGTCGGCCCGAGACTTTTTTTGATGCTCTGGCATACTAGTCACCACGAGCTCTCTACAATTAGTTGGGAGAGGACTGCAACCTCAGAGCCATTGAACTGCTCTGGAATCTCCCGAGGCTCCGAGCAGGCCACAATCGTCGCTGTGCTTCTCGTCGACTGCTTCAATCTGTAGACGAACTGTTCCTCCACATCCCGTATATCATGCTCGAGATAAGTTGATCGCGCGAGACGCCACGTTATGCCTACGACCATAGTTATATACCATATCATCACCACCTCCACTGTATCTCCTCCCAACCGACGAAACTCCTACCCTCTCGTGGTTCCCTTCTCACATCTCCGCCACCACATACGGCCACCGCGGTTACCGACACTTACACTCGGACCGACAACACCCCCCTCTTTCCACTGCCGAGAACGAGCGTCTCCAGCCCGACCTCCGAAACCTTTTCGTCTTGTCCCAAAAGCCGTTGTCTGCACAAATCACAGCTCTTGGCCAAACAATCATGTGAAAAGAACAGGTGAAAAAGCTCCGTCCACAACGGCAGAGAATTGCCACGGGAAAGTCACACGAGCGGCGAAAATGTGGAGAAGAGAGATCACGGTGGGATGTGGAGGAGAATGAGAAGGTTTTTTTTTTCGCGCTCGGGACGAGGTGCGAGGGCGGTTTCTAGAAGCTGGACATGACTCTGCGGCGAATGGACTTTGCTGGGCTAGGCACGTAGGTCGGACATCAGCTGCTTGGAGCAGGGAGCGAGGGGGTTACAAGTGTAGTGCGCGATGCGAGGGCGTGAGGTGTCGGGGGACTGTGGTCCGAGGGTGATGGTAGGTCGGTCGGCAGACCATACTCCGTTCCATATGTGTCTTAGCTGAATTTCTCTAACGGAAGATGGAATTGTGAAAGACACCCCCTTCTGAGTGGAAGGTCGTTTGCCATCGGGAAACGTCTCCTCACGAAATCCACCTCCTTTAAAGAAGCAGCAAGGACACAGGCAGGTATACAAGCTTCTACCAACTTTATCTCATGATACTCCTCCTGCAGAGACCATGACAGAGTCGATCTCCGTATGTCGGCTTTCTATAGATCTCAAAACAGCTATAGCTATAGTCATACATTCAACTCCTTAACCTGTCACTAGACGTAACGAATCCATGAGATGGTATAGTCAACAAAGCTGGAAACATCCTCGAAATTAAGATCATTTCTTCTATACCACCTCCCCCAGTGCAGGATACTATGATGACCACTCTCTTCTTGACAGGTCCAAGCAGGGAACCACGAGCTGTAAAAAGGCATAGTTCTATCTCGTATTGATGGACCTAGCGCAGAGAGTCAATGCCACGAAGTATCTCAATGATAGTGCTGCAAGGTAAAAAAAAAAGTAACGTGTCTCAATACAGCTTCAAACATGACGGGTTTTCGCATACAGGGAGGCTATATACTGTCCATCGTAGCAAGACTATAGACTACAAATGACAGTCCTTTCAACCATGAGATCGGAGTCTTGTTTCTGGTCTCCACTCGCATTCCTTCGAGAGCGATGACTTGCTAAAAGGACTTTAAGTAGTGTCCACCACCCTCTTGCTTCTCTCTTCCTCTCCCTCTGACATACACTTCATCCCTCGCCCCCAAAGAAGTTCAACGCTTGTTTCCACACTACCATGTCAGGCGGAGTTATGCTTCAACCACAGGAACCATCAATATAGTTTTTCGGAACAACCGGCGATCGAGTAGAAGTCTTGATCTTGGCAAGCATCTCCTACTATTCTGCAGGAGTGGTTGCATGTTCGTCCAGATCAGATTTGGCAGTGGGTGGAGAATCTTTCTTGTCAGTGGGCGGAGGATCCTTGTTGGGGGGATGCCTTCTGAGTTTATCGAGGAGGTCTGATGGAATTGGGATCGGAGACTTTGGACATGCACACTCGGACTTCTCGGGATGAGTGAAGCAGTCATCGGAGCAGTAGCCTGGTCGTGGGATCATGTCGTATTGAATTGCGGCGTCGAGACAGACGGCCCATCTTTCGACCACCGTAGCGTTCTGTATTATCTCATGGTTGTCGACTGGTGGATCAGCGGCGGCTTGACCGGTGCGAGAGTGAAGCTGTTGCGACGGAAGCGGGTCCATGTGATCAGCTACCTGAATGTTGTGCTGGCAACCGACAGTATCTGATACCTTATAGTCTGGACCTAGATCTGTGGGATCTGGGGTCCACGGACCATTGTGCTCCGCTCGAACGCTGAACTCAACATCGACTTTGCAAGAGCCAGGATGATCACGACAGAACTGTGAGTCGCAGTATGGGTGGTTGGGGTGCTTCTTGCACCAAGATCTGTTATGGTGCGGAGGAGGATCCTCTTCTTCCGGGTCTTGGTTTTCCGGATCCTGTATCTCTGGATCTTGCTTTGCCAAATCGACCTGAGCATGGAAATTGCTGAGATCCAGTATCTTTGTGTCGTCACGAACAGTTGATGCGCTCGTTTGATCGGCCGAGACGGCATACTCTCTATTTTCGTTTGGGAGATCCTGGATAGCCGCAGGTGAGGTAAGAGGTATTGCGGTCACGGAGTTGCCAAACAAGGCCACTAGAGCTACCGCGAGCAGAAATTTTGAGAGCATGGTAGGATTCAGGAGGAGCGCTCTATATTCCGAGAGAAGAAGAGAAGGAAGCAGATGCCGAAACAACTACTTATACTGCACCAAGAGCATACAGGTAGTTTCGAGACGAAAGTGCGACTAATTGAGCAAATTGAAACCTACTGTTCTACTGTGTCGTGCGATTGAGATGGTTTTGATAGGCTTAATGGATATGAGGTCCCATGAGCCTGTATAGCGAAGTGCAGATGCTGGCGACATTGCAAAACGAAGCACCGTTCGACTACTATCATGGCTCAGGTGCGCCGCAGTGTCAATGTGCAAGAAGAGAAATTAGTCGAGATTGAAGGCGAGGTGAGGTGGTGAGCTGAGGCCGAGGGGATTGGCCATGAACAGTTGCCCCGCTTGGAGCTTCCGCTTCCTGCAGGTGGTCAGCTGTGACGCGACGAAGCATCACCCCTTTATTTTTTTGAGCCCTTAGGCAGTTGTCTCCTTTGTCGCATTACCATCAGAAGACTCCCAAGATGCAAGTCCCATTGATTCGCCTGCAGTGCGGTAAGAGGGTGCCTAGGCAGACGGACATGAAGCTCGACTGACATGACGATTTGCAGGCTGCAACAGCTACGAGTGGGGTACGTCACTCTTGCAACAATCATGCCGAAAGATGCAGAATACTGATGGACGTGTGTAGGAAAGGTCGGCAAGGACTCTGCTGCCGCTCGTTTCGCCTCTGCCACTCCATCCGACTTTAGCATCGAGGAGGAGAAGCCCTACGCCGAACTATGGATGGGCACCCACCCCAGCAACCCCTCCAAGGACCTGCAAACCCAGCGCACCCTGCTCGACCTCGTCCAAGACAATGAAGCCTTGATGTCGAGCGAGATTTCGGAAAAGTACCAGAAGAAGCTGCCCTTCCTGTTCAAGGTGCTCTCTGTCAACAAGGCCTTGTCCATCCAGGCCCACCCCAACAAGAAGCTCGCTGCCAAGTTGCACGAGAAGGACTCCAAGAACTACCCGGATGACAACCACAAGCCCGAGATGGCTCTCGCCATTACTCCCTTCGATGGTCTCTGCGGCTTCCGTCCCCTCGCCGAGATTTCGCACTTCCTCGACAACGTCCCCAGCTTCAAGAGTCTGGTGGGAGAGGACGAGGCAAAGAAGTTCCAGGAGACTGTCAAGGGTCAGGAGACATCGGACGACGAGTCCAAGGCTTCGGAGAACAAGAAGGCCCTGCAAGCTGCCTTCCGCGGCTTGATGAAGAGCAAGCCCGAAGACATTGAGAAACACGCAAAAGATCTGATCCAACAAGCAAAGGACGAGGGTGACAAGTTTGCCGGAAACGGTGGCCCTTCAAACAGCGGCAAGGAACTCTCCGACTTGATGCTCAGACTCCAAGGCCAGTTCCCCGACGACATTGGTCTGTTTGTCACCTTCTTCCTCAACTACGTCAAGCTCGAGGTTGGCGAGGCCATGTTCCTCAAGGCCGACGACATCCACGCCTATCTCTCTGGAGGTGAGACTCTGTCATTTATGATGATATCAAACATCTGCTAACATCATCCAGACATCATCGAATGCATGGCCTCTTCTGACAACGTCGTCCGCGCCGGCTTCACCCCCAAGTTCAAGGACGTCGACACCCTTACCGACATGCTCACCTATTCCTACGCTCCCATCAGCGAGCAAAAGATGTCGCCTACCGACTACCACTTCGTCAAACTCAACACCACTGCGTACAGCTCCAGCTCGACCGCCACTCTCTACGACCCCCCGATCGAGGAGTTCAGCGTCGTCAAGACCGACCTCAACCAGTCTGGTGCCAAAGCCACTTTCGAGTCCATCGACGGCCCAAGCATCATCATCTGCACAAAGGGCTCTGGCAAGATCAGCGTCGGCCCCAGAGAGGAGGAGTTGAAGGAGGGATACGTCTTCTTTGTTGGTGCGACTGCCGAATGCGTCCTTGAGAGCTCTGGAGACGAGCCGCTGGTCACTTTCAAGGCCTTTTGCGAGTTGAACGGCAAGGAGAGCAAGATCTGAGTTTTGAACGTCGCATCATGAATATATGAGATGAGCATGCTAGCTATACATTTCTCCTAATTAACCTTACATTCCCAGCATTTCTGTCCGTCCATTCGCGTGTCTTGCTTGATTGACAGCAAGGAGCATGGCGTGTACGATGCTGTCAAATGACCTCTGACAGGCTAGTAGCTTCTGCTCATCGGATTACAATATCTCGTGCAGCGGAGTCGTTACCACGCACTTCCTGACGCAATTACTTTCACAAGTACAAATCTCCACAAGAGTATACTTTTAAAAGCAATGATTTACATACAAGTAACAAGCATGCGCATACCTCGAATCTGAACCAGAATAAGCCTAGGGCTGGCACCGGTTAATATATACAACCTCCCTGGTCGAAAAGCATCAAGTTCACACTCCTCCACCATGTCACAGCAAAATGGAGTCCACTGCGTAGGGTTCCGGCAAACGTCGACTGGCCATCTAGCGGGAGCTGTGCAAATGAGTGCCCAGACACCATAGCAAAGCACCTAGGTCAATAACTCTGTCATGTCTCCCACAAAAGGACGAAAGCCACGATGACCTTGCCGTACTGCGACAACCCCAGCCGCCTGTCTCGAGATCGCCAGAGAGCACAAAGATTCACTGACCTGGTGCTCCTCTCTATACTTGCTGTCACAGTCACACGTCAACATCTTCTTATTCAGAGTACCTTTACGACTCATTCTGATCTGTTTCCTGTAGATGCTGATTGGAAAAAACAGCTGATGATCAACACAAGTCGCCAACAACTGCTGTATGTGGTGTATACTAGCAGAGGATATGAAGCTTGACCAATGGCCCGTAGATGCCGTGTAAGTTGTTGTAAGCTATAATGGCGTGGTAGTAGTGCTAGATCAATGGATCAATCAGACCATTTATGATCCGTATAGATGTAAGCTTGATCTCCAAGGTCGAGTTCTTTGGCAAAGTGTCGTTACTTACCCGACACTGAAGATCATGCCACAAGTACTTCTGAAAGATGGATGATACTGTTACTTGTAAGCAGCTTTGGACCTATTCTTCAATAAGGCAGCTTTATGGTGGTGAAGCACTTGAGCTTGACGTGGTATACTTGTGCGTCTGTGACTGAGTATAACGGACAGAGAGGCAGGTCAGCAATTCCAGCACATCAAGTGTCTCCAAGGAGCATAGTCTCGAGGCGAGAGCCCGGTCAGACTACCAAATCTGGAGACACTGGCTAGGGTTAGTTCATATTCAAAGAGTCACTGACCTGATGACTTTATCCCCTTGTGTGCGGGAAGCACTATGCTTGGAGCTTGTATTTCTGACCCCAGGATGGGGAACATGCCGCGTTGTGTCTCGTTGGCGACATGGCAACGCTTCATGGTTTGTAGGCTATGTAGATCGTTGTGAAGGTTGAGCTCGCCTATACGCGAGATTTCAAGGACACCAATCTAAGATGAGCCTAATATCCGAGGTTGAGTCCATGGGCAGCGCACCTTTCTCTGCCTTGCACTTCGAAGCAGTAAGAGACTCTCTAGCACGAGGGAGTATGATAATGCTCAGGGCGGCCCTCGACTGGCGAGATCTGCTTGCGTCACAATAGTGAGAGACCCAGCAGAGATGATATGTTTGCAGGCCAGATGTTGTCGTCAAACGGGGACGTAAATGACATCGTGACTATCGATACACTTGTTGAGTCGGCCAGCCAGTCCGCTTAGATCACCGTGACGATAGGGTATGACGAACGGTATGTCGAGCACGATCGCCGTATGTTCATCAGTGTATAGTTGACGATGTCGACGGAGTCGTACTTCTTGTTCCTGCCAGCCGAGATGGTAGACCCCAAGGCTACTGTAACGACATGATGCTCGCGAAGGACGACGACAGCGGCGAAAAGGAGGCGGCTGGTCTGATACATCGTGTTAGCTATAGCCACTTTTGATTCGAGTACCTTTGAACATCTACTGACCTTCAACATATGCTTGTCAAGAAGTAGAGCGCACATGATCAATGATAGAAAGACACAGTTACAACTTGGTGAAAGACGTCGCACAAGGAAAATCTTACGTTGTGAGTCACGCTCCTGGGCTGGTGATCTTTCGATTTTTGCAGAAACTTACGCATATCTGCGGCTAGAACCGACATCTCACCACTCAAAACCATCGGATTGGACTGACTACTTGCTCGGGGATGGAATTAGGATGAAGTCTGGGATCTGATCAGCATTCTGACATGTAGTATGTGAAATGCACAATCATTGATGCTCAAGGCTGTACATGAATGTCTGTTGCTGGCTGGTCGTAGTCGTCCAGCCAAATTCCCTATGCTTTATAAAGCGGTCTATGCACAGCAGATTCTTGTGACCGTTCAAACAATGTAACAGATAGTTACTAGTAAGTTTGGATCGTAGCACAATTCGAGTCTGTTGAAAGACTGTTGAGTGTGTCCGGGCGTCGAGCACACAACTACGAAACGTGAGGCTTCGCCACAAGTGATATCATTACATCAGTATCGCTTCTGCATTTGGAGGCAGCGAAGAGTGAGGAACTACCAGTCAATCCACCGGACTTGCCTGTGTTTGGTCTTCTTTTGAGTGTAATGAATATATTGGCTGTCATCGACAAGTTCTTGTTCTATATATACTTCGTGACGATGGAGTGTTCTCCGCAGCCGTGCTTGCAGAGTCACAAGGAGATGATTTGAGATCTTGCTCGAAGCAACTTTGAACCAGTTTTTGGGTCATACTGCAGGCACCAGCTGTACATAAGGTAGCAAATACTCGCTCCTTACGTCTTTGGTCTTCAAACACTACTTTACCTACATCTTTCAAGACAAGGACTCCCAATATGCCAGTCATCCGAATCACCGCTGTGAAGATCTATCTACTCATCACCGCAACGATCAGTGCAGTTTGCTGTAAGATCTCTTACGATCTAGCTCTAACGACACTATTGGCCTTCTTGACACCTTTAGCTCTTTCCACGGTGTTAGCTTTCGATTTCGGGAGCCCGGTGAACGAAGCCCGCCACCGTCTTAGAAGCCGCAGGAGGATTGGCAGAAGTCCTGCGTCCACTCCGACAGCTGCCCATACAACACCGCACCTGCCGAGTACCGAACGACGATCGAGTGATGGTGAAATCACAGCCACGCCGCGCAGTACCACGACGACCGCCGATCGATCACCAGTTTTCATCCCACACCATCCCGATCCCACCATACAGGAGCGTTGCTGCGTCAGCAAGGAAACACACGAGTTTCAATGCTCAAGTCTCGACATGAACAGCCTACCTTCAGCGTTCAAGACCATGCTAGAGACTGTCCAACACATCTTGAGTTACGCATATATCGAAGATGCACTACAGAGCCTGGGAAACTTGGCTGATTTGGGTTCGTTGGTCGATGAAGGTAGACCGAAACCTCCGCGGCTCATGGCAATAGGTCTCGACTGGCATCCATCTTGCGTTCGCCCGTTCCTCAGAACCTTGCTTCAATTTGCTGGGTTGGATACCCGTGTCATATGTATCAAAGTGTCTGAACAGCAGGAGGATTCCGCTACAAGAGATGGAGAAGTCGACATCTTGCTCTGCTTGAAGGGTAGCCACTGGCGACCCAACGCAACACGCTGCACCACTTCTGACATAATCCCTATATGCCCACTTGTGGTCAGAGACGGTTCTCAGGATGACTTGATTGGTCGTCTCAGGGGATGGCTCACGGAGCATTTCGAGTGCCTCGAGGAAAACAGAATCGCCCAAGACAGCTGCAAGTGGCCAATTCCTTACTTCGTAGTGGATGGTAACTTGTGGAGTTTCGGGTTTGCAATCAGACATGGCAGCAGCATCGAACTGTACAATCAAATGGTTGGTAGCATGGGGTGGAACAATGGCGTCCAAAAGCTAGTTGTCGTCCTCCGCCATGTCATCCAGTCTACAGATACGCGTTACCGAGAGTGGTACTACGAACGCCCCTAACGAACAATCACACACAAGGTCAAAAAAGGTATTCGCTTTGGACTGAACCCGAGTGGAAGGATGACCGGGGACAACTCGGATGTCCGAGTAGGTGCGATGAGATAGATGCGTGCAGATGGCCGGGGCGGAATGATAGGTTCCCTCCTCCTTGGCATCTCACAGACGAAATACCAGTCATATAGTTAACGATCGTGTTCAAATTCCAGAAAAGCCACACGTGTAGAACGCACTAGACTGCTGTTGGAGAGAACCAGAATACTTCAACATTTGAGGGGTTGCCGAACCAGTAGGTATGTGGCTGGTGAGACTTTAGACACGCAGCAGCTCGTGGTCCAGGACATGGTCGTCCCGGGACCAGAGGAATGGCCGCCAGATGGCGCCAGGATATACTTGCGAGCGTCAAATCCGAGTCTTTGTCTTGGCTTTTGGTCGAATCCATATCGATTGGTGATGCTCACTTGTAGGATATGAATCATGTGGCCCGGGGACAACATCGATCGTGTGTCTTAGGCGCACAACCAAGAGCAATGTGTATTTATCCGTCAGATAAAAGCAAAGAGGTTGGAACGAACCGTAGACCTGACTTCCAGAGGCATAACATATATTCGAAGGCGGCCAAGGCGGTGGTCGGATCAATGAATCATCAATTGCCGAATCCAGCGTGATAGAGATGCGATGGCAGAAGCATATGTTGGTCTAAGGCATCTCTGAGTGAAACATCGGCACGACAGCGATGGAGTGATGTTCAAATAGGGTGAAGCACCAAAACTCAGATGTGCTCAGGACAATGTGTGACGACGCGAGGCGCGCGCAGTACATATCATGACGCGGCGGAAGCCAAGGTTGCCAAGCCTGGAGACCAGATGCGTCACAAAACCCCACTTTCCGGCCATGCACATCTCCTGTGGACTGGAAATGCCTCCGAGAGAATGAGCAGATTAACCGTCTAAGAAGTGACTCATAGCACTACATCTCAATGACCTCTCGACCATGATATATCATATCAAGAAGATGGAGTTACGTACGAGAGGACGTCACGAGCAGAAAGCAGAACGCGCCGTGAGCTTCGGGCGGGCTCGGGTTCCAGCCAGACACAAAGTCCGCGCGTCGAGCGCAGCTTTCTTCCCTTGACAGAACGATCCATCAGGGCACAACAATTGCCAAGCTGATAATTGACATCATGGGCCTGTCTTGTTGCGTAGGTCTGCTGCAAATCGATTCTCGAGCAGATTGTAGAAAGACGTGAAGGGTGTTATATAGAGCGAAGCTGTCACTGAGAATCGTACATCTAACAAGCACGAGTCTTTGCAAACAATACAAACCACATCAACAAATATGGGTCTCATTCACAAAATCGAAGAAAAGGTGCTTCACCACGGTGACAAGAACCATCAGCAGCACGGGTGTGTATTGAGTGTTCTCAACTACTTGTTCGTCTTTACTGATAGAGGCAAGTCCTCCTCCTCAGCAACAAGGCTATGGCCAACAGGGATATGGTCAACCTCAAGGCGGCTATGGAGGTGGCGGTATGGGAATGGGCGGCGGTCGTCAGGAGTTTGGCGCACATCATTCTGGTGGCAACTTCGGTGGACCCCAGCAGCAGGGTGGGCAATTTGGGCCTCAAGGCGGCATGGGCGGGCCCCAGGGCGGTATGGGAATGGGTGGTCGTGAAGGCCACCATGGCGGTCACCAAGGTGGAGGCATGGGAGGTGGTATGGGTGGACCCCAGGGTGGTATGGGCGGCCCTCCAGGAGGTATGGAAATGGGCGGTCGTGGAGGCCATGGCGGTCCCGGTGGTCCCGGTGGTCGTGGAGGTCCTGGTGGCTGGTAGGATGGCCACGGATCTAGGTCCACTGCTTGACACCAGAATGCTTCTCACGATTTCCACAAACTCAGCCTATGCATATAACGAACCAATGCAAATCTTGTTTCTGCTTGTATGTCGGGTGAAGCAGATCCGGGTGTAAGGTTCTGTGGCTCCTCGATTGGACCGCCATACTCTGCCTATGCCCATCTCATCTCGTATCCAAAGACAGTCCTACGTAACAGCTCATCCTAGGGCACTGAGTTTAGAATCAACCGATAGCCTTGAGAGGAGGCATACTTACACCAGGATCTTCTTCGAACATAACCTTGTCCATAACCTTCTCCAAAACCTTGTCGACAATGAATCCGTTTTCTCTAGCCAGATCGAAGAAAGCCAAATCCTTTTCCAGCAGCCATGGTCTGTATGGTGTGAAGAAGACTAGCGCAGTACCGTCCTTCTTCAGAGACTGCTGGACTGTTTGAAGAAGCTTTCCATGCTCGGAATGGTTAAACAACAGATCGGCCAAAATTAACACATCGAAACCGTCATCCGGCTTCACCTTTTCGATTAGAGTCGAGGTATCGGCGCCCCAAAGATATCCTTTTGCGACAATAGGTAACGATGGAGCACAAGTGTCGATGTTGTGAGACAGGTTGTCGATGAGGTCGGCATCAGGGTAATCTGTCACAACTACCTGCTTGGCGGAGAGGTGTGCCGAGATGAGAGAGGGAAGGCCAGCTCCAGCGCCTAGCTCCAGAACCGTTTTGGCCTTGACAAGTTGAGGGTTCGATTCGAAGTGCGAAGCGATCGTACGGCCGGCATTCCAAAGGAAATGGCCCTAGATTTGCTATCAGTCGAGGCTCGGGATGATTCAATACATCCAACATGACAGCGGCTATTTCGAAGCAACATTCAAGATGGTATTGGCACCAGTCTGAACGCCTGATCACACTGCATCTCTCTAGCACACGATGAGATTTGGTAGATGACCTATAAGCCTTCCCAGCTCCGGATGCGCATATGCTAATGGAGAAATTTCTTCATGCGTCATTTGTTGCGTTGCTGACATCCAATACTGATGTTGAGATGACACATGGAATGATTGGCCAGGGATGGTCCGGGGTCCCCAACAGACCACGAACATGAACGGATGATGATCAAGACAGAGACGAACTTACCCACAAAGCATTATGCCCGACCAGACGCAGGTTCAATTTCAAACCACTTGGCAGGGTGTATTCCACGAAGCTGGGCTGTTTTTCGGCCTCGTAAAATCCTTCAGGTTCCTCAAAGATACCCAATTCACCCTCGGAATCCGACATTTTGGCGTTGCGATAGGGCAATGATGTTTGAATTCTGAGTGATGATATCTCTTTGGTTGATGGGTTGGCCCGCCGGCACCAGCTCCGATCCCGCACGGACACTGAACGGAAACTTGGCGCTCTTTGGTGGAGCAGATCTTCGCTGGGGAAGTCTCACCAACTCTCTTGACACGACCTACCACCGCTACATCCAAGACATCACATCAGAGTCTGGTGGTTTGAACCTTGGGTCAAATCCCTCGAACGACTACCGTTAGAAGTCATCGGTCGAGAGCTGTGAATCTGTGACCACAAGTTTGTTGCTTACCACATTTTCCCTTTCGACTATCGTACATGAACTTTGGTTCGCTCCCACGTGTATCAATGAGCAAGCATGGCCGAAGAAGGAGCAACGCACAGTGAGTACTCAATTTCGTAAATCTCTCATCATAAATAGAACTTCATCCGCTCGGCTTTTTACTTTCCATCATCCTTCTCTTTACTTGATGTCCCCCGATCAACCACCCCTTTTGTCAAGCTTTTATATTCATCCAACGACACAACAGCTCAACATGCGACCAAAACCCACTACTAGACCCACTGCCAGGTCGGGAACAAACTCAAGAGCCTCAAATAACAATCAAGTAGGCAAGAACGGCCCGTCGAAGCCATCGTCCGACGACAAGCAAGACGACAACAAAGACGACAAAAAAGATGGCAAGAAAGACCTGATATCCATTGAGAATGAGGCAAATGGTAACATATACAAGTTTGCGTGGTGAGTGATCGTGTCTCATATCCCTGTCGTATTCTTCCGTCCAGCTTCACTGTTGCATAGTGTATGTGCAGACGCATACGCCTTTGGCCAATCGAGTGTTACGTCTCAGGTCGCATTGGAGTTGATTGCTAACATGTATCCCAGCTCAACGTGTATTGCCGGTCACCGAGCACCACTATGTGATCCGGTCAAGCATTCAAGAAAGGTTCTATACCGACGCCCGACTCCGGGAAGACCGCCGAGAAACTGTGGGCATGTATTGACCGGTAACTGCGACTGTCATGCACAGCGCAGCCTCTGTTGTGTCCTGACCGAAGCTCAATGGGTCTTTCTGGCGGACGGAGGTATCCCCAAGACCAAAATGTATCCCTCTTTCAAGGAGCTCGAGGCAGCAGAGAAGGAAAAAGCCCTCCTTGAAGCAGCCCACGCAGCATCTCAAGCCATGCCACCCCAGCCTCTCTTGTACGGACAAGGCAATCTACCATACCGACCAGTACCGGTACCCATGGGTGGCATGTGGCCTCAACAGATGCCTGTGTATCCCCAATACCAATACATACCACACCACGACCCCTACGCCGCTTATCAGCACGCTCCTCCAACAATGTTTGGGCACCAGCATTACCAACCATCCACGACCTGGACTGATAACAATGGTCAAGTCTATGGACAGATGAACGGCTCACAGAACCCCATTCTATACCCGCCACCACCACCGGAGCAGCACGCCCCTCAGATGATGTCGATGCCAGCGAACGCACACCCTGAGCAACAACCGCCCCAAGGCTTTAACGCATTCGGAAACGACCCGCAAGTGCTGGCGTTACGGCAATATTCGCTCGACATGAGCCAACAAGAGCAGCTTGCCGCACAGCCATCATCGAACCCAACTCTGTCCTGTTGTTCCAAATCACGACCTCCACCACCTCCTCAAGCTTATCCGGGAGCAGCGTCGTTGTTCAACCTGCCAGGCTCAATGCCCGATACTCAATTCCCTTGTGCAAGATGTGCATCCTTCGAGTGCCAGTGCATTACCTGTCCCGACGTTAGACAGGTCGCAAGTGGTGCTTGGGGACTTGGGTGTGGGCGAGGTGGGCATCGTGATAACATGGTCCCTCTCAAACAAGAAGTTCCGCTCTACCAAGAGCCTCAAGACAGCACTCAGGTGTACCAGGAGTTTCAACCGCCTTTGCAGGAATATACTCTTATGCAACCAGGTCAACAAAGCCAGTCTTCGCAGGAAATCCCCCAATACGCTGCCCCTCAGAATTTCGTCAATCCTCAGCCAGCTTTCGATGCTTTCGCCACGGATTTCCTCGACTCTGCACATCCGTCCTTCGTGAATGAGATGCACATGGACTTCACCTCCTTTCCCTCAGGCGTCCCTCAGAATATACCCACACACGTCCAGGACCCCATACCCGGTCACACTCGCATTGAAGAGCTGTCTGCTACGCCCGAGTCGAGTGCCAACGACACAATCGATCCTAGTCTGATTCTTGGGTGGAACGGACAGACATAGAGTGGGCTGATTCGTCGAACGTGTTGGTCGTGATGCACTGATGCATCAAATGTTCATACGCTCTCCTATTGTTTTGAAGCACGGTGTTGGAGGTGTTTTTGTGAAGCCGATGAGCTTCAACGGCCATCAGGACTATTTTCGAGTTTGGGGTATGCTGTTGTTTATTGTTTGTGTTCCTTCTCTTACCCTCGGTCTCTCCTCTACTGCGTCAAGTATCCACGTAAACCTTGAACAATATCCTCAAGCATCCTTCCACCTCATCCAGTCAGCTCTAGTAGTTTGTCGTAGATGACCAAGACTGTACTCTGCATCGACATCCACACATGCCCGTCTGATGATGCCCCTCTTGACGTCGACTCTGCTTATTCTAGTAAAAGCTTTTGGTCTGCCTAGCTTGACTTGACTAGCTTTGGGCTTCTCCACTGTAGTGAAATAACCTGGCGAAGCTAGATTGCCAGCATCGGACGTCCTCCGCCACTAGCGTAGCGTTGAAGACTGAGTGTCGGTTTCTTTGGTGGATGAAGCACGAGAGTCTCGCACCTGCCATCTAGATAATTTCTACTAAACCAAAGGCTTGGCCGTAACAGACAGGCAACGCGAAAGCGCCCCTCCCAACACAAGTCTCTCCGCACTCCTCTTACCGAACCTCCCGGCTGGCCTCAATTCTCCTGGTGATCAGGTTTAGCGCACTTATCTAGACCTCGAACTCAGCCTCTCTGGTTCAATTCAAAACATGATTTTCGTCGTGGTTCACAACGCGATGTGGCTTGATTCCGCATCGTGCAAGACGAAGTATAGCTCCATCGCTCCATCAGCTTAGTTATTGTCGCTCATCAAGTTCTCGCCATGACCAATGGCGAACCATGTTGACAGCGTCTGCTTTTTTGTTCTACGTTCTGACTGTTCGAAGTCTATTCCACAGCGTGTCTTCTTGCCCTATCAAGGTCGAGGGCATGCTTTGCATGCTGAACTTTGCAGTTGCATTTCGGAAGCAGGAACGACGCCCCATCTTTTGACTCTGGAAGTCCTTCATGGATCGAAACACCACGACTCTTGAGGTCAACAAGTCGATTGACACATCTAGCCTTGGAAATGATCCAGCACTCGAGTCCTGTAGGCTTAGCCTCGCAGGTGGGCCAGTCAGTCTCGATCTTGAGCGGACGTCTTCAACAAAGCCTGTTTCAGAAGGTGACCAGATATGCGGGCAACAAATTACTGTGTTGGGCCCTTGGAGGTCCACGACCTCCTAGTGTCCTTACTAGACCACGTCTGAACTCCGTGTCAATTCGAAAGAATCCCCACTGATTTTGTTGCTTCTTCAAGACACATATCGGACTTGGTGGACTAAACAGAACGTTTCAGAGTCAATTGCATGTTCGCTCACGATTTATGTTTACAAGTTCGTTCTGTCGATAAGATCTACGAGCACAACTAGAATCGTCAGCGGCCGCGCACCGGGTTGATTCGTCAAAGCGCTTCACACCTTGGATCGCGAAGATCAAAACCTCGAGGAGGTCATAACAACGGATCTTTACCCTTCAATGGCTTCCGCTCCACCTCACAGGCTTAGACTGTACCAAACATGCAATAGAGTCGACTGTCAAGTTGGCACTACGCGACTCCGAAACGCGCGCCTATAACCTTGTGTAGGGATCGACAGGAGAACTGGGAATGGCAATCCGATCGATGTGGTGGAAGGTCCGGTTCCACTTTCCCTGACTTCTTGTTGAGGCCTTGCAACATCACACCACCTCCACGCATACTTCTGTCACCCGGCTTTGATCTAAGCTACTCCCAGCTTCCTCAATGGGTTTCCCCTCTTCTTCCGTCACTCTGGGTATCCATAGCGTAGGGCGTCAACTCAATTCAGCGTGTGGACACCCTGCCCTTGTGGTTGTCTCGGTCATTCTGGATCGACAACTCTCGAGCTATGTACTGTTAATCTGACCGATTATACTCTATTGACATGTCTCTGTTTGACACACAGTACCACTTACTACTCTTGGTGATATCCACTTCGACATCATCTCCACAGATGTGCCACGGCAACAGACTGCCACTTCCCGCGGTCAGTGGGATCATGTCTTCTCACCCGACCAAGCTCTGAGGACTCAGCTCTACCCGTCTTGCAGGTAGGGATCAGGAAAGGTTTCTCCATCCTATGTCCATCGCCTTTTCCACACAAGGTCCACGCATGGTGCACAAGTCAACTACTGAGATCATGCTACGATACTTTTTTTTTGACAGAACATCGTCTTTGCTCAATGTCTCGGAGTCTGCATGCTCCTTTCAAGACCATTTCGACACCTAAATCTGTTGTCGCTACACAAATATCGGAATACTGACACGAATAATATCAACAGAAGAAGCGTCCCCCACTAACTGACTCATGAAAGCAAATCACCACGAGAGCGAGCACTCGAAGCGGTCATATATCCCAGACTTCCCCTGCCCTCACATGTTCCACGATCTCGATGTCTATACAACTTCGTAAGCCGCATACACATTCTCTCGGACCTGGTATCTGTCTTTTGCTCCGTCTCCATTTCCATTTCCTTCTTTGTGCCCTGTCAGTCATGTTCCAATGTTACAAGAGATTCAATCGATCGATTCCACAGTTGTATGTTTCAAGCATGAGTTTGACCCTGATCGCGACTACTACACTACAGAGTCTGAGACTTTACTGACCTGCAATTCATAGATGAGAGTTCAGATACGTCAACTTTTACTTATTCAAATGGAAAACTGCCAAGGGTACAACCCTGACTGTAATCTCCATACCATATATTGGACTTCTTGTCCGAAGGGGGTGGACATCTGCAACGTTGTTTGGGATCTTGAACAGCTCCGGAGGAGGTTGTGCACTATCTAAGGGTATGGTATCGTTCCTGAAGAGACGTGAGATAATGTGCATCACATCGTATCATGTCTTGTGGATGGGCAATGGGGTTATACTACTCTTGACTCTGGATAGAGGACCAAGAGCAGTGCCGATTTGGTAGACACGGCCCTGACACATTCACAAATCGTAAAAAGCCATGGCGTGCTTCCAGTTTGAATACATATCCACAAAAAAGGTGCCAAATCGTGTCACTCAATGTCCAACTTTCAACAATCACCTTTGAATCAGATAAGTTGCATTGCGGTAAGCGTGTGGAATTATTCAGTAGCTCCATATCTAAAAGAGCCCAATAATCCTCATTAATAGCGAATCTTTCGTCGTGAAAAACATCATCTGCCAGATGCAGTAGGGAGGAATCTATCTAAAGTTCCATTTCCTTGACCGAACCAGTGTTTGATCCATTCTATGACTCGAACATGGTGTTGCTGCTCTTGACGTTACGCGCGCTCTTGATGATAGACTTGACCACGGTTTCGACTTCATCCCAGTCGTCGGTGTCGAGCTTGGTCGGGTTGATGGAGAGCTCCTCGCAGATGGACTTGAACATTTCCCAGGAACGCTTGTCGTGAACGAGGGTGAGAGCGACGCCGACTTTGCCAAAACGACCAGTACGACCGACACGGTGCAGGAATGTTTCAGCGTCGGGCAAATAACCACGACCTGATGGAGCCGGCTTGTCGGGGATGTCATAGTTGATGACCATTGTAACAGTTTGAACGTCGATGCCGCGAGCGAGGACGTTGGTTGTGATGAGGACCTTGGCCTGGCCCTCGCGGAAGCGGTCGATGACCGAATCACGCTCAGTACCATCGAGGCCACCGGTAAGTGTGACGACGTGGTGACCTTCTGACTCCATGCGCTTGGAGAGCTCATCAGCGGTCTTGCGTTCACGGACGAAGATGATCGACGAGGCGATGGTCATAAGACCGTAGAACTTGACGAGTGCATCATATTTATCCGAGTGTTGGCTGACATCGAGGTACATCTGCTTGATGCCCTTGACGGTGAGGTTGGTGCGCTCCAGAGTGATGGCGTTGGCGTTGGGGGCGAAGAGCTCGGTGAAGGCGACGACCTCCTTAGGGAAAGTCGCAGAGAAGAGAACTGTCTGCACGTCCTTGGGCAGAAGCAGCTTGACGCGCTTACACTGGTCACCAAGACCCTGCTGATCAAGCATGTTGTCGGCCTCGTCGAGGACGAGCACCTTCATGCCGCGTGTGTTCAACTGCTTTCGGCGAGCGAGATCCATGACAGTGCCGGGGGTACCAACGACGACCTGGCCAGTGACTTGCTGACCGCGAGTAGATGGGTCGGGTACGGCCTGGTATGTGGTAAGACCTTCCATGAACCCACCCATGACCTGGACGACACCGAGGATTTGTCTGGCAAGCTCACGCGAGGGAGCGAGGACGAGGGCTTGGGGTTGCTGGAGTGTCAGGTCGAGACGAGACAGAATGTTCAGGACGAAGGCGGCCGTCTTGCCGGTACCGGATTGCGACTGGCCGATGAGGTTCTGAGGAGGGTTTTGGAGGAGGAGAGGCAGCGCGCGCTCTTGGATCTTTGACGGTCTGGTGAAGCTGAGGGCGCTGATTCCCTTTTGGAGTGAGTCGGGGAGGTTCAGGTCGCTGAACTGCTTGACCGAGTACAGAGGGTTGTTGGGGTCTCCTTGCAGGTCGTTCAGCTTGACGTTGACATCAAACTCGGGCTCAAGCAGCGACGAGCCCATCTGGAACTCTGATGCGCCATCGGTCTGGTCATCTGTGGGTGCTTGTTCGGTCGTGGTCTCTGCGGCAGGCTGTGCGGGTGCGGGTGCGGGTGCAGGTGTAGGGTTGGCCATCTCTTCGGCCTCCTCAGCCCAGTCGAGCTTCTCGTTGTTGTTGCTGTCAGGAAAAGTCATGCGATCGCCTAGGGACTTTGGTGCGTCGGACATGGCTGTGGTGGATGGAGAAGGAATACTGCGCGCGCACGTAGGTGGTAACGGATTGGAGGAAGGTGCGCAAAGGCCGTGGTGGAATGTTCTTTGGGAAGGCGCAAATAGTGAGTGCAGCTTCACTTACTTGCGCGCAACAAATCTCGAGTGACGTTTGGCTTGCCTAAACACAAACTAGTCCGACTTAGGCAATTACCATCTCCAAGATTCTTTATACAGGGACAAAGGTGCGGCCTCTCCCCACACTCGCCACAACATCACATCGCAAACGAGGACAAACGGCTCAAACGTCAAGTATCCTCATCATCATTGGGAGACGACGGCTTTTCAGCTCGTGGTAGACATCTGTTGCACAGCTCTAGGCCAAGCCTTGCTATAGTCACCAGCCTTTGTTCAGTAGTCGAGACTGTTGAGTTGTGAACGCTCCAGGACAGCAAGCTCCCCGCTGTAGGTAGTGATGCTTGATGCGGTGACAGACTGATTTCACAAGCTTGCTATAGGTACATATTCATGAAGGCGCGACTTGTCACAGATGCACGACCGGTTGAAAGGTCTGAGCATTCGCAATGCCGGGCCGGTGGGCATGCGACCGACTTCAGCCGCCGAGGGCTGGGGCTGGATTGATAGTAATACCCCGCCTTGGCAACAAGGCCACTCTCGGCCTTGGGCCGCCATCTGATTGCCAACAGTACAGCCCTGCCTGCGTGTCTTCTTCTCAAAGGCCTTTTGCATTGTTTGTGTGTCAAAAGCCGCTGTGGTCGGCGAACATCCCTGTCTCAGTCTGCCTCTTACCGTCTTGAGCCTGCATGGCCGAGATCGACATCGCGCCGCAGTTCGGCGCCGAGTTGAAGGTTGGTCGGATGCCGTTCCGTTGCATCATGCTGGAGTAGCACCGGACTGACATGAGAGTGTAGGATGGCTTCAAGCCTGTGAACGCCTGGGTCTTGGGTGGTATCTCATGGCTCGACGACATCCAAGCCTTCTACCGGGAACGCAGTGCCATAGAAAAGGAGTACAGCCAGAAACTCAATGCCCTCGCCAAAAAGTACTTTGACAAGAAGCTCCGCAAGCAGAGCAGTCTGAGTGTTGGAGACACCCCGACAGTCACTCCGGGTTCTTTGGAGAGGTACGCTTGACTCCCCCTTCCCGTTCGCCGAGGCTTCAATTCTGACGGCCACCTTATCTAGTGCTTCTATGACCACCTGGTCCACTCAGCTCACTACGTTAGAGAACCGCGCATCCGAACACGATCGCTTTGCTACCCAACTTATATCTCACCTCGCTGATCCTATCAAACACCTATCCACACGATGCGAGGATATTCGAAAACACCACGCCGATTACGCCGCCAAATTAGAGAAAGAGCGTGACAATACCTATGCCGATTTGCGGAAGACAAAGACAAAGTACGACAGCGTTTGCCAGGACGTTGAGAACCGCAGGAAGAAGATCGACAGCAGTTTCGACCATGGCAAGACCAAGGCTCAAACAGCCTACGTCCAGATACAGTCAGACATGCGCAACACAAAGAACACCTACCTCATTTCTATCAATGTCACCAACAAGCAGAAGGAAAGATACTACCATGAATACGTTCCCGACTTGCTGGACTCGCTACAAGACCTTTCGGAGACTCGAGTCGCCAAGTTGAACACTCTGTGGCTGCAAGCAGCCACCATCGAGACCCAAACTCTGTCACGTTCCACTCAGTTACTAGAGCATCTCTCAGCCGAGATCCCACGCAACAATCCCGTCCTCGATTCTATGATGTTTGTTCGTCACAATGCCTCCAACTGGCAAGATCCCGCCGATTTCACCTTCGAACCCTCACCAGTGTGGTTGGACGACGATGTTATGGCATCCGATGATCTCAGCAAAACCTTCTTGCGCAATATCATGATGAGGAGTAAGGGACAGTTGAACGAGCTGCGCAGAGAGTGCGACGCCAAACGCCGCGAAGTCGAGGGAGCAAAGCGAGTTCGTCAGGCCATCAGAGATGGCACAGATAAGCGTGATGAGGTCGAGGTTGTGCGGGCACAATTCAATCTGCAAGAGTCGTTGCATGAGTCTGAGAGGAAGAAGGTCAGCTGCGAAGTCGAAGTGAGCACTATTGCGACCGCTGTCGGTGATTTGAGTGTTGGTGCTCAGAATCACGCCTTCAAATCTCAGACCTTCAAGCTGCCCACGAACTGCGATCTATGTGGAGATCGCTTGTGGGGCCTATCAGCAAAGGGCTTTGACTGTGAAGACTGTGGATTCATCTGCCATAGCAAATGTCAGATGAAGGTACCCGCCAACTGCCCAGGTCCTTTGGACAAGGAGCAGAAGAAGAAGATCAAGGCCGAGCGACAGGCTGCAGCATCGGCTTCTACCCCTGCTGCAGCAAACCCTGCGGCACAGGGCTCCTCGGACTCTGTTAACGACATGCCACGTCTCAATCGAACCGACACTATGGGCAGCATGAACACACTTTCATCTGGCTATGCTGCAAGTGCGAACCGCAGTGTGTCTGGAACAAATGTTCGTCCACCCTCAAATTCAAATGATAGTGCCAACGACCTTGGGCGGTCGAACACTGCAAAGCGTAGAATTCTTGCACCACCGCCGGACCACTATGCAGGCAGCAACGGAGACTCGGCGAATGGCCAACCTCGTGGCAAGATGATGTATCCTTATCAAGCCAGTGGCGAAGGCGAGATTACCGTGGACGATGGGGCTGAAGTCACGATAGTCGAGCCAGACGGTAAGATGTCCTTTCGAAGATTCTCGACCTCATTGAATGCTAACAACGAATACAGATGGAGTTGGCTGGATGAAAGTGCGCACAAACTCTGGCGAAGGTCTTGTACCTGCTTCATATGTCGAAATGATGCCCTCCTCGCCCATCAGGTCACAGCCGACCCATCGCGCATCCATCACAAGTCTGGCAACCTCGATCGCTTCTTCTACTCCGTCGACGAAGAAGAAGGGCCCAGTCGTAGCTCCAAAGCGTGGTGCTAAGAAGCTGAAATACGTCGAGGCATTGTACACGTACGCAGCCAGTGGCGAAGGCGAGGCAAGCATGGACGAGGGAGAGAGGCTAGTTTTGATTGCACCAGATCAAGGTGATGGTTGGTGCGAAGTCGAGAGAGCAGGAGGTCAAGGCAAGGGTCTTGTACCAGCAGGGTGGGTCAAAGAGGTCTAGTCGACTGAAGGCTCACGCATTGTGGTCACTTGCGCATTGAGCGAGCGATAAGGCATGTGCATTGCTGTAGATGGAGTTGTATATCAAGGGGTAGCGTTTCTTTATCATTGGGAGCAGAGGGTTTCATTTTTATGGGTGCAGGTTGCCTCGCGGCTCCCCTACTCACGACACGCATCAGATATGTTTACAGCGAGTTGAAGAGCAGAACCCGTGCATGTATGTTTGAGATAAGGGTCGCAAGCATGTGCTTTTTCCATGTTGCTTACCTCGGACGTTGCGGGGTTGCGCAAGAGGAGACCGAGCAGCTGCCGATCACAACGACGCCCTGGATCCACTCTGGCGAGAGCACCTCATCCTTAATCTGGAGCACCTCAACGACCGAAAAATCTCCTCAGACATTTGCACCGACGACAGACGCCTCGTACAGGCGCACAGCGATGCAACCATTTGAGCTGACCGTGGAGCAAAATCAATATTCGTGGTATCGATTCGTGACCTAACTCGAGCTTGCGTCGACTTTGATCATTTCGACACTTGTTTGAACCCCAGCTTGTCCGCGTGGTCCACCGCCATTTCTTACAGCTTGACCACGGCTGGATATAAAGATAAATCAACGTCCGGCACTCATATTTATCAGGACCGGAGAACTCAATCACGACATCCGGATCACCGCCTAGGCCCTATCACGCCATCTGGGTAGCAACTTGAACCATACCCAGCCACCAAAACAAACGGTGGAAACCGTCATGCCTCTACCATGTTCACCTGCATCCACGTCCGAGAAGGGAGACAGCTCCAGGTCGGCAACGGAATACGACTCTGAAAGTGACCTCATCACACCGAGGCCGGGGCCAACCAACCCCTCCTTGCGCACCCATGCCAATTTGTCGACGCCTGTGCTGCCTTTTTCATCCTGGTCCAGCAGCCGTGACCATCGCTTCTATGACTTTACCAGTGAAAGTGAGGTTGAGCGGCCCAAGCGAGGTGTTTATCATAGCACTACCGCCAGCGAAGTCGAAGAGGGCCAATCCAAGCACGACGGTCTAAAGACTTCTACTCTGGAATCTGTTTCGACCGAGCCATCTGGAGATCAAAGTAAAGCTGTCAAGCCTGCTACACCTACTGGCGACACAAAAGACATCGGAGACCGTCTGGAAACCGAGGGTCACCCGTACAAACCATTCGCGAAGCCTGAAGGATCCGAAAGCTCAAAGAAGAAGAGTCCCCGATCAAGTCCTAGACCGAGTGCCGGAAGTCGCCAGAGATCCAGTCCAAAGACCAGTCCACGCCAAAGCCCCGAACGAAGTGCAAGACCCCATTCCAAGAACCTACCAAGACAGGCGTCCACCGGCTCCTTGACATCTGGCAAGGTCTCACCATCGCTCGAACCGCGCCGCAGTGTCACCTTCTGTTCTACGGTTTCCACTCGACCAGAAGGCTCTGACAGGGCATCGTCATTCATGTCGCGACGCAACAACTCCCATTCGGACCGGGCACGCGATGAAGCTGAGAGTAGTGCAGATGAGAACACGGCGATTGTCAGGCGTAGGACAGGAGTCGGCACATACGGAAGTACAGATCCGGAACATACTGTCGTGGCAGCTGGGTATGATGGTGCCGCAGAAGAGGGACTAGAGCGCGAGTTGAGTCCGATTGAGCGCAGGAGAAAGAGCGGTACATGTCAACGAACCGCGAGTACACGTGGAGGTAGAGACTCGAGGCAAGGTAGTGTTGGTACTGGGCAGGAGTCTGAGGACGAAGCAGAGAGAGAGCATTATTGGAGACAGCTGGTCGAGAAGTATGGCAGCGTTGAGCTCGAGAACAAGGGCAGTGTAGCCCGCGATCACCTTGCGCTGGGTAGGTTGGAGTTGTGTTGACATGCTGCAATGATATACTGACCGTGTTGGCAGAACGCACGTTTCTGGCGTGGCTGCGCACCTCCCTCTCGTTTGCATCAATCGGCATTGCCATCACACAACTATTCAGGTTGAACACGTCAATCTCAAGTGATGGCGGCTCAGATGGATCGGCATCGGCAGCGGCAGTCAACAGCATTGACAAGCAGAGGTTGCGACAATTGGGCAAACCACTAGGGGTCACCTTTCTCGGAGTGTGTAAGTTTTTACGACAGTCAGGCTTCAGTCGCCATCAGAAGACTAACGTAATCGACAGCAATTCTCATCCTTCTACTTGGCTTTCACCGATATTTCGAGAGCCAACACTACGTGATCCGGGGCAAATTCCCAGCATCAAGAGGTAGCATTATGATAGTTTCGTTTGTGGCGGGAGCGTTGATTGTGGCGAGTCTGGTGGTTGTATTTGCTGTCGCACCTTCTGCTTTCGAGACATAGTCGGGTCACTTGTCTACAGTAGATGGGTCGAGTATATACATGAACATAGTGCAGGTGTCGAGGTGTTTATCAGATGATGGCTGCCACGTGAGTTAGGATTGACGCAGATGAAACGGCGGGTTCTTGGAAGCTTCTGGCTCCCGACGCGGAGAGTGGTGAGCGTCATGTTGATGGGCGCAAGCGCCGAGGCCGATGACTCTCTCGCCTTTGCCGCCGTCAATACCATCGTTCATCATCGCTACCTGTATACACGCCATAATCCCTCACATTCCTCTCTCATCCACCCAGCAATCCCTTGAGCTGTAGCCGGTCTGATTGCCGACTGAGCAAGTCTCCTCCCCCGGCGCAATCATGGCCTCTCGCGGCGCCCAGGTACGAAGGCAACCACTCGCACTTGACCAACACGCCCACTAACCCTCGACTGTACAGATTGGCTTATGGCCGTCTGCCTCTGCTGCACTCAAACAACTGTCCCGGCGGTCCGCATCTTCGTCGACTGAATCCCTCGTGGCCAGTGGTAAGTCGTCAGCCATGTGCCATGCGCCTTCGCACTCCCGATACGGTATACTGACGTCCTCAGTATTACGCTCCCAGCCATACTCTTCATTCGCATCATCTCGCCCTTCGTTGTCCGTCCTCTCCCGTACGCCACTCTCGCAGGCGCAAACCGTCTTTCGTTACACTCGTGCTGCCAGCAGCGTCTCGCATAACCTGCTTGCTAGTCTGGAAAAGACGGCCAACAACAACCCCAACAGTGCTACCGCCCAAAATGCCTTCTACTCTGCCCTCATTCGCGCCGGTCACCACGATATCCTGGTCGAACGCTATGACAAGAACATCTACGCAACGAGCCCCTCGGTCGACCAGCTCTACTCCCGCGCCATAGAAAAAGTCGGTCAACAAGAAACTGGTTCTGGTGCCCACTCAGACGAGACTTCGCAGGCTGTCGGTCAGGCCGTCGCTGCCACTGGTCGCGGTGGTAACCTCTCCGTCTCACGCAAAGGCAGCGGTGCTAAGAAAGAACCCCTGTACGTTGTCGTTGACGAGTCTCTCGGCGCCACCGTCTTCAAGTGGGTCAAGTTCTTGATGATCTTTGGTGTCACTTGCTATCTGTCTCTGGTTGTTCTCACTCTTTTCATTGATGCTACTGGCGTCATTAAGAAGGTCGGCGGAGCCCAGGACAACCAGGCAAAACCTGAACTGCAAAAGACTCGCTTCTCTGATGTCCACGGCTGTGACGAGGCAAAGGAAGAACTCCAGGAACTCGTCGAATTCCTCAAAGCCCCTGACAAGTTCTCGACTCTCGGTGGAAAGCTGCCCAAGGGCGTCCTCCTTGTTGGCCCTCCCGGTACTGGTAAAACTCTCCTCGCCCGCGCTGTCGCTGGTGAGGCTGGCGTCCCCTTCTTCTACATGTCTGGTTCCGAGTTTGACGAGGTCTACGTCGGTGTTGGTGCCAAGCGCGTTCGCGATCTGTTCACACAAGCCCGTGGAAAGTCTCCCGCAATCATCTTCATTGACGAACTCGACGCAATAGGAAGCAAGCGTCACGAACGTGATGCAGCATACGCAAAACAGACCCTGAACCAACTTCTTACTGAACTCGACGGTTTCGACCAGGATACTGGTGTCATCATCATCGGCGCAACCAACTTCCCTCAATCGCTGGACAAGGCTTTGACTAGACCTGGTCGTTTCGATCGCAACGTTGTTGTCGGTCTTCCCGACGTGCGTGGCCGTATCAGCATCCTCAAGCACCATCTCAAGAGTATTCGCATTGACGGTGAAGTCGACGCATCCGTTTTGGCCCGTGGTACCCCCGGGTTCAGCGGTGCTGAACTTGAGAATATTGTTAACCAGGCTGCTGTTCGCGCATCCAAGAACAAGGCTAAGCGTGTGACTATGGACGATCTGACCTGGGCCAAGGACAAGGTGCTTATGGGTGCTGAACGCCGTTCTGCCGTCATTCAGCAAAAAGACAAGGTCATGACTGCTTACCACGAAGGTGGTCACGCTCTTGTAGCCATGCTCACAAAGGACACTACCCCTCTGTACAAAGCTACCATCATGCCCCGCGGTCACGCCCTCGGTCTTACTCAAATGCTTCCCGAACTTGACAAGGTTTCGGAGACCAGAGCCGAGATGATGGCACAGATTGACGTCTGCATGGGTGGCAAGGTTGCAGAGGAGCTCATCTACGGACCCGACAAGGTCACCACTGGTGCATCTTCCGACATTCAGTCGGCAACCCGCATTGCTCATATGATGGTCACGCAAGCCGGTATGTCAGAAAAGCTCGGCAACGTCGACCTCAACACCGACTACGCCCGCTTGTCATCCGAGACGAAACAAATGATCGAGAGCGAAGTACGAAGACTAGTAGAAGAAGGCCGTGAACGTGCCACAAAGCTTCTACTCGACAACCGCGAAGGACTCGAACGTCTAGCGAACGCACTAGTCGAATACGAGACCTTGAGCAAAGAAGAGATGGAAGCAGCGGTACGAGGAGAAAAGCTTTCTCCCAAGAAGCCGACGGCGGATCCAGATGTTCCTGTTAAGATGCCGGAAATTCCTCTTCCACCATCCTTTGGCGTGCCGCCTTCAATAGGAGGAAACCATGGCCCTGGTGGCGTACCCAGTCCACGACCCTCCCCCGGCGGCAATGAAGATGGACCTTCACCCTACCCAACAGGTCCTTAGGCATTAGACCCTTGGTATACAAGGACAGGCTTGACCACAACCCTCAGTCTCTCACTGTATCATTCCATACATGGCGGAATCTTTGCATGGCGTTTTCTTTCATTAAAGTTCTTTTACCTCGAGAGGGGCCTTGTTTGTTCCTCACATGTGGATGATATTCATGAATTGGAGGACGAACACTGGATTGACAGACTCGAGGAAGCAATGCTTCACGACTGTGTGTATTACTAGAGAAGCGAAGTATTGGCCAAAGTTGGGGAGCGCGTCATTCATGGATATATAAATTCTCTCATTTCCCAATTTTACGATCAATAAGAAAAGACAAAAAAAACAATTGGAATATTTCCTTGATCAAGGTTCTTGTGTTTCTCTCCTTTCTCAGATCCTTCACTTGACATGGTAGAGTGACATTGTGAATGTCGGGACGGGTCAACGAAGCGTAGAGACTTTCTCACCTTTCTTTACTTTTCTTGCCCTTCTCCATCAACCATGGGACTGGATCACAGCAACGTGGCATGGAACTTTTCCAGAATATATCAGTCAAGTCATTCAAGAAAAAGTTGACAACGTCCATGGAATTGGAAAGTCAAGAAGGGGGGGGGGACTACAACTCTCATCCCTTCTTTCCATCGCCCCCAATCAGCTTCTACTACCGTCCTTCAGCTCTCGCCAACAACTTATCATCCAACCCCACAGGTTCAAAGCCATCTTCCCTCTTTCTTTTTTGACTCCACACCATATCACCTCTGAAAAACACAACCACGCCGCCTTTTCCAGATACACTAGCAGTGATTCTGAAAAGCGGTGCGCCGGTCCCTGGATGAGCTTCTCGGAGAGGTAAAAGCGTGAGATCATTTTCTGCACACCATTCCTCTACGATATCTTTGAAGGAAAGCTCTGGTGCTTCTTCTTTGGGTGCGGGTTTGGCGTCGATGATGGTGGTGGTGGAAGTGACGAGAGGGCGAGAAGGTCCTGCGGCAGGTGCTGGGAGAGAAGAAAGAGAAAGACCTTGTTCTTGCAAAGTCAATGCATCATTGATGGTTGTCAATGCTCTGTCGAATTCTGCCTTTACTTCTGGCACTCTTTGCAAAAGCTCTGGAATAACGCTTTTCCACCAACTGTACCATGCGCCGATTTCTTCAAAACTCGCTTCTGGGCTAGTGAGCCATTGATGCAAAACCCCATGTAACTTTGGGAAAAATTCTGCCACCAACAGTCGTGCAAAAACAATCGGTGTAAAGAAGTTTTGCCACAAAAAGATGTTTTCGAGCGGTGTAATGTCCTGATCTGCTGGATCGATGTCAAAGTCTTGAGACAAATGTGCAGCAAGACGAGGGAGTAAATGGCGTAACAAAGTAGCTTCAAACTCTTGCTTTCCGAAAAACGACTTCCAAGCTTCCAGACCTGGTAAGAGGGAAGAAATATCGCAACTATCCAGTACACGCCGGAATTTCCTCTTTGCATCTACCAGTACTCCAGAAGAGGATTTGGGATCTAATTGATAGGATGGCAGGAGTGGTAACCAAGGGAACAACCAAGTGTGTGGTGCATCGTTACTAGAAGCTTTGTGGTGATGGCGTCGTTTTCGTGGGTTCCAGGATGATAGAGCATCAGAGAGTTTCGGTACGATTTGTTGATCCAAGAGATTGGAGTATACGAAAGCGGGGAGGAGAGGTTTCCAAGCCGTTACGACTGTGATTAACGAGGCAGCATCATGGACGTCCCAGCGTGTGACTGTTGACCTCATCTTCGGTAGCCAGATGCCATGGATAAGACTTTCGTATGGTGTAGTGGTTTTCTGCTTTCGGTATCGTCGTTGTTCGGGTTCAATGTCTGGGTTGTTGGATGCGAGTGCGTTTGATGTTCTCTCTAAGCCGAGGATGGGTTTCAGATGGGTGAGATGTTCGACTAGACGATAGGATGGCGTTTCCAGAGGGTCCCAGTCATCGAGGTCGGCTTTGAAAAGGGGTGTGATTGTAGCGACTGCTGCTTCCGACAGATTATAGCTATCAATGTCATGACGGAAGTCTTGTTGTAGTTTCTGCAGCTTCTCCATTGCCTGACCCCAATCGATGTTTGCGATGTTCAGAGCCTCGACTGCCGAGAGCATTTGTCGCATCTTTTCAATATCGTCGTCGGCTTGGCTGATTTCCATTTGCAAATGTCCTTGTTGCTCTTCAACCACGACTTTCCGCTCTTGCAAGCCATGCCATGCTTCGATAAAGGCTTCCAGTTCCAGTCTCTCGCGCTTGGCTATCTTGTCGGCTTCTGTCTCGGCAGGAACATGATTCGGCGTCATGAGTCCAGCAGTGCTCGTAAGCAGTCGCGTCGTACCACCAGTAGCATCAACGATACTGCCCAGCATAGCTTTCGGCAACTCCAATCCAGGCGCCGCAGCACGAACATCCTCCACAGTACGATACTTCGTCTTGCGTCTCCCACCCCCTGCCCCTCTCTCCTCCTTCTTCCTCTCACTCCTCCTCTTTCTAGCTTTTCTCTCCTCATCACTCGAGTCCTCATACTCCTCGCCTTTGGCTTCTGCTTTCCTCCTCTGCTCTGCTTTGTATTGTTCCGTCTTTTCCTTGACCGCACCCACACCAGCACCTTGTGGTCGTAGTTTGACTTCGATAGGGTTGACGATACCCTCGCCCTCTTTTCCGAGACCCTGGCCTTGCTTGTAGCCCATTTTAGCCATCATGCGCTCAGCAAAAGTCATCTTGCCAGCAGGTTTCGTAGCAGTTTCGTCCAGTTTGGCGCTCTTGCGGCTGTTGTTGTTGGCGCCGAATTCGCCTTTGCGCTTGAAGCTTGCGCGCTCCATCTTGACGGTCGTGTGAGCGTGTAGCTCTCGAAGACGACGCGATTGCGATGGTATGAGTGGCGCGACTAAGGCGATGATGTTGAGTGAGCGTGTCAAAAGATATTTGGTGCTTTGTCCGGTGAAGTCATCGTCAAAGCTTGGATCCTGCGACGGTCGACGGAACGAAGCTAACAACAACAATCTTCGATGCCGAGGCGTGCGCAATTGGTCTTTTTCTTTCTATTGAACATGTTTTGTTCTAAAATCTAAACAGGTAGCTACCATCTTCTATAGACATCTCTACGTAGTTGTACTGCTTAGACCATTACTATCAAATTCCTTTTAGGCGGTGCGCTAACCAAAAGTTTCCCTGCACTCTTTCCAGCTCTCCAGTAGAACATTTTAGCCACACATTTTTGTCAAACATGTTGCTTGAATAACCCAAATGGAAAAAATGCTCTAACAAAGACGCTTAACAAAAATAATCGACAGAAATGTAATTTCGATAATACTTAAACAGGACGGCTTAATTAATGTGTATAGATTAAAACTTTAACTAAGACATTTAAAAAGAATGTTTAACTAAGAATATCTGTTTAGAATTTTAAGGACTCAAAATGTTTAACCAAAAGTTGCATTCAAACAACTAGCTATGTCATTCTGACCTGGAAGTTCATCTTCTATATGCTGTACTTGCTTGTTATTTAGAATCAAGACAGCACTGTTCTTGGCTACACAGGCACCATATTGTATCGTGAAATCCCGGCCGATTGTCACATGTCATTCTCTACCCTCGTCAACACACCTTTTCAATATACTTGCACATCGAAGGATTCTGCATAGGGACGAAGCGATCGAGCAAATAAGCTTCTTCCCAGTTTACAGCTAATCTGCAATCGTCAAACTCGATAGGGTATCTCTAGACTTCTTTTCCCATATGAATGTCAAAGTCCATCTGTGCCTCACTGTCTGTCTTCACTATCTCACGTAACCACCATCGTAACGATTAACACAAGCAGACTCTGAATCCACCCGTGTATGACCCCAATTCCACTCGAGGCTCGTCCCGAACTGGGGCTGGGTGTCGCCGTTGCTGTAAAAACTCCAGTCATCGCTATGGTCGATGTGCTACCACTGCTGCTGCCGCTGTTGCTTGAACCGCGCGTAGAACTTGAGCTTGTCGGTGATCTGCTTGGAGAGACACCACTTTTGCTAGCCGTGGTAGTTCTGCTAGGTGCTTTCTTTGGGTCTGAATAGTAGATACCGTTGACGAAAAGTCCCGTGTCTCCCTTGTCATCCCTCATCTGTGCTGTTTCTTCGGACGAGCAGGAGTCTTGCATTGCTCTGAACCAACAAGTTGGGGCCGCTTGCTTAGATGGAGCGATGTTAGTATGTGTTGAGTTCTTGAGGCCAGATGAGCTAAAATTGGAAAGATTGATCGCTTCTCCAGTGCTAAGATCCGTGCCATCAATAACTCGAGTGAACACAGTGAATGCTGTCTCAGGTTGGTAATATGGTACCATATGGCCAGCGTCATAAATGCGGGCGAAAGACAAGTTGCCAAACTGGCGTACAGCACCTCCGACATAGGTCGTGTTAACAACGATATCAGCATAACCTGCACTGTTCCAGCCAGAGAGGTATGAAGAATCGTTTGACGGGTATTCGGGAAGCGCTGCAGCCACGGCGAATGAAGCAGCCTCACCGCCCATCCAATTGCACTAAATCATGTATTAGCACTCCCGCTCTGGTAAGAGGGTGGTTCATGGGCTGTCGAAATGCACATTCACTTCCGAATCGAAGCCGCTCGAGCGAGAGCAGTTGACGTCACGGCTCTCCGCAGCTGTTGCTTGATCCCTAGAAAAGACTATGCATTTGGACAGGGGCGCCAGACAGGACTCTGGTCTCGGGGATGCAACTTACGATATAATCAGCGTCGCCGTAAATAAGCGAAACGCGCACCCCGGCTCGAAGGAGGCTAGCAATGTCATCAATTTGACCACCCCGTACCGAATCACCAGTATTGTAGAAGGCCATTGATACTGCGTCGCTATGCTGAGTATAATTCACGCGAGATCCAATCGCCTTCTGTACCGACGCCGTGTTCAGATACTCCAGAAAAGCCCATGATGGATCTGGCGACGGATTCTTGACACGAATATCGTATACATCAAGGCCACTGTCAAGAAAAGGTCCCGTCAATCTGTTGCATGAGGTTGCTGCTGCTTGACAAGCATTATTGGCTTGGTCGCTATCTCCCTCGTTCTCCGGATCAGTTTGATTAGCGAGACGGCGGCAAGTCTCGATTTCGGTGCTGCACTGACTGTTGTATTCTGTAATCAAATTGAGCTCCTCGGTTTGCGAGATTGCTTGTATGCCGAAGGTATTGTTGTAACCCATAGCGGCGTAGTAATAGTCCTGAATCAACGAATCAATCATGCCATTCACGATTCCTAGAGATGTAAGCCTAATCTCTAAGGTCGAATTCGTGGGCAGAGTGCCGTTCGCTCGCTTTGCATTTTGCTCTTCAAAGTAGTTGGCAAAGGTCGGTCCATATATGCCACCATAGCTTTCGGCAAACAGGTTGATACCAGTTGTCGAGATGTGTGAGCTGTTTGGTTGAACACCTGGATTGTATTGGGGAAAGGCAGAAAGAAAGCCTTGGAGGAAATGCCACGCAGCCATAGCTGAGATGTCGGTGGTGTTGCTGGTGGCATCCGGGTTATTTGAACTAAATGTGCCATTGAGTTCGGTCCAGGCTGGTACCCATCCACCAGATAAGTTGAGGGAATGGAGTCTTTCAAGCATGACGTTGTAGGTCATATTCGTAAGTGTATCGTAAGAGAAACCGACCTGCGAACGTTAGTACCGGTCTTCGACAAGCAGAATAACACTGAGAGTTCGCCGGGCAGTTGGGAGCTTGCCGAGTGTGCTACGTTCATCGATTCGGGGGAGCGGTCCGTTGGAACGATCGCTTTGTGTATGGCATCATTTGTAAGATACGTACCTGAGTTGGCTGATCGATGTAAAGGATGTTCGAACTTCTGTCCCAGCCCCACATACGCGCTTGAGTGCCCCATGAACCATCCTTCATTTGAACGACTTCGCATGGTCCGTTCTCAGCAAACATGCCGATCATACTGCTACTTCCCGGTCCTCCATTGATCCAGATAGTCAGCGGAGCAGTCTCTGGGTTTTGTCGCGCTTCCGTAAACCAGAAGAAGGTGTTGATCGAGTAGTTCTGCTGTATTGGGGCGAGGGTGAACGGTGGGAGACCGATGTAACCAGTATACTGCTTTTGGGTATCGAAAGCCGTCATACACGTCTCAGATGAGGGCGTGTTATAGGAAATGGTGATGTTTTCATTGATGGGCGATTTCAGGACATTCGAATATTCGACCCGTGGGGGAAATTGTGCGAGAACGAGCAACGGAGCTGCCAGCAGGGAAGCAATAGAGTAATACATGGTCGACTATGTTACTTGTCAGTCGCATCTCCGAAGTCGATAGAGATCAAGAGAGGGCCTGGTAGAAGGCACAGTATAGTCTGCTTTGACGAGCTCATACATGAGACAGGGCAGTCGACAGGCTCTCGAGATGGATAGAGTGCTTTCCAAATAACACTGCGCCTTTCTACAGCCCTCTCCGCGACCTTGGAGTTGGGACTGAGATGGAACTGACTTACATGGATGATTGTTCTCGTAGAAACATCTGGATTGTTGCCCAATGCGAAGTTGGTGATCTCGCGCTTCTGCTCTTCGTCCTTTGCTGGAGGTCGGAAGGTATGACTACAGGCTCCGAGTCAGTCCATCCCGATACGATTTTCCGCAAGAATTCGCTTCGTCATTGGAACTCAAACGCGAATAGTTCATTGCGCATTATGTCAAATCGAACAAATCTCTGCATCCACAGCAGAGCGGCTCAGATGTAAGCCAGAAAAATGAAATCGCACTTACCAGGAACACAGCTTCAAAGCACAGCTCTGAAAACGCAAGTCGCAAAGATCAAAGGAGCGGAAGCGGCAGACAGCCTTACGTCGTCAATACGTCTGGTCACAAAATCGCGCCGGTGAACAATGTATACAACTGAGGGGAGAGCACTCGTAAGCTCAGTGACTAGAGCACTACAGTGTTTGTGCGCCCACAACTTGAAGTCAAGATGCTGGCGTCGACCTCAGCAGATCGGAGGAGTATTCTTGCTGCTGCGCCTCCCGAGAGTGCATCAGAGGACCCCTCCACCAAATTTCACTTTCAGCCGCCCATGCAAGGGACCGGGATCGGGCGTTTTCGTGAGAAACGCCCTTGGCAACGTAGATGAACATCTGACTCGATGATCTTTTCTCATTCAGAATATAAATCTCAATACTCGAGTACATTCGACCGATATGTTGAAATTATTATTCATTCTCTGATACGATGGCTAGTCAAACAACCTCCACCTTGAATGGCAAGAACTTTAGCCAGTAGATGATCTCACAGAGACAGCCGGATGCAATAAACACGAAAATACCAAAAGTCGTATCCCATTGTTCTTGATCGTGGTTCGTTGCAGTTTTGAGTCGCGTCCGTTATTTGCCATCAAGAGCAGTAGAGGAGCAGGAAAGACATGGTAAAGGTGAAAGCCGACAAAAAGACAACAGGTTGCCATCACATCCTAAAATCAAAACCGCAGAGGGGAATCTCTATAGACAGGAAACGAAGAACAGGAAATACAAAAAGGCAGATAACAAGGCTCGGAAAAGCTTTCGCTGTGCAGTGCAGTGCAGAAAGGACAAGGTCGTGTCGTGAGGCATGCCGGGAACGTGAGACGGCTTTGCATAGCGTGGCGTAAGTTTTGGGCCGTGAATTTGGTCATTGAGCGTTAGTTGTGCGTAGTGATTCGTTTCGGTGATCAATTTGCGCGAATGACAAGTCTGGCCAGGAACTTGTTCGACAGACAGTCGAAGTCGTTGCGGTCGAACTTGGCGTCCGATCTAGATCGGAGATATTTTTCTGTGATATCGTTAGCACGCAGGATTCGAGCCAACGTAGTTAAGAAAACTCACCATGCTTGGTGACATGTTGTTTCACTTCAGTCAAAGCCTCGCAGATGGCAGGGTCAGAGTTGAGAAGTTGGTGGTGGCTACGAGTGTCCCAGTCCATGAAGTTGGGCAACTTCTGGCTGATAGCTTGGAACAAGCCGACGATTACGCCAACAGGAGTGCTTTCCATGTCATTGCAGAATTGATTGACAGCTGTCTCATCAGGTGTACGGTAGTGTGCATCAAACTGCATCTCTTCCCATACGGCTAGCAGGATTGCTGCAAGCATGAAGATGGTTGGCCAGTTCTTGAGTTTCTCGCCACTGTACACAGAGGAGTACAATGCCGAGAGTTCTTCAAGAACATCCTTTTGAAGTTCTCTCCACATATCGGCCAAGGCAATCTTGACCTGGAAGTTGATCATGCCAGGAGCGATAGTCTTGCCACAGAACTTGCTGTCCTCATCTTCGATCTTGCCGACACCGGCTTCTTCCTCAGACAGACCCTCGATCATGGTGATGTGAAGGGTCAAGTTGTATGCAAGTACCAACTTGAGAGCTTTGCGAATCACTGGCGACTTCGACTTGACCCAGTAGTGGTAGGCAGTCTTGAGCATCTCAGTCAAGAAGGGTGTCCCTTCGAAGTAACCGTCGACAAACGACTCGAAGCCGTTGTCGAGATGACAATCGAGATAGTCCGAGAGACTCGAGGCTGAAACACCCTCCATACCAGTCGACAGCTTCGAGGTATGAGACTCGAACTGAATAGGATCGTTGATCTTCTCAGACCAGTCGATATTGAAGCAGCTGTCGTCACGAACGTAGACCTCGCGAACGTTGATTGGCAGCAGGTACCCATAGCCGTGCGTGATGTAGACGGTGCGCTCATTGGGGGAGAATCCCTTGATGTTGGCAGCAGATACACCGAGATTGACGTGACGTTCGTAGTCAGCCTTCCAGTCCTTCATGAAGAAGCCAATGTCCTTGATGTCGATTCGAGTGCAAGGGACTTGCCAAAGACGGGCATGAGAAGGACGACAACCACCGCAAGGATTGCCCTTGTCACAAGTCTTCTTGAGGAATTTGCAACGAAGACATGCGCGAAGTTTTCTGATCTCATGAGCTTGTTGACGCTGATCAGCACGCAGGGGGCCCTTTCTCTTGCCAACACGCTTCTCGGGTGCACCGTCTTTGCGAGCTGGAGGAGTGGCCTTCTTGATAGCCGACTTGGTAGTCTTGGCCAGAGCGTTAGTGGGAGTCTTTCGTTTTCTGACAGGAGGTGACACTGGGCTTGAAGCGTTGGAGGAGATTGTCGAAATTTGCACTGCTTGCGAAGTTGAGGGCCGTGTGCCATCTGCAGGACTTGCTAGCGGCGACGATGAGGTCGAGTGGGACGAGTAGTCATGCTCGTAATCAGAAGAGAAGTTTCTGGTGTGGTGCGATCTGTGCTGAACGTAGTCGCCAGCACTGAAACCATCTGAGACGGGTGAGAAAAGAGGGAAAGGAATCTCCTCATAGCTGCTTGACAACTGAACAGAGCTGGCATCGTCGTTGGAGGAATCTGATGCACTGCGGATATGCAAAGTCTGACTAGGATTGAAGATAGCGTTGTTGTTGGCTTCGACATATGAACCAAGAGAATGCCTCGAGATGGGGAAGTCAACAGCAGTCCAGCCATTGTCGCTACTCGACAAGGAACGAATTTCCAGATATGAACCAGTGGGAGAGTTGCTAGGCAGACTGGATTGAACGTTGGTGTTGGCGGCCATGCCCATCTGGAAAGCCAGAAGCTCGTTCTGATAATCGTTCAAAGGATAAGATAGAACATTCATGGACTCCATAGGACCAGCCATGGTCATGTATGCAGTCGAGTTCATGGCCATGTTGTTCTCGGCCGAGACAGGCATGTACTGAGGAGTAGCTTGGTGCATCGGCATGGCATATGAGGCGTCGTAGGTGCGGTCCAGGGTAGCATCCTGGCTAAAAGCCTGCTGGGCCGGGAACTGGAAGTGCCACTGGGGATCGAGAGCAGCAGCTTGGTTCATTTGTTGTTGTGTATAGCCGAGGTTCATGGCATTGGGCTGGACGGGCGCGGGTAGATTGTGGGACTCGTATGTCTTTTGATCATGTTGATTGACATTGTAATCGAGATGTTGCTTTTGGTCGATTTGATTCACATCATATTTGTAGTCGACATGTTGCGACACAGGCTGCTCGAGTTGATGCTGATGCTGGTGATGGTGATGTTGATGCTGATGTTGCGGCTGGAGGGACTGGTGGGCCATGGTCGGGTCCAGGGAGTCGAGGGTAAATGCCCACTGTTGTTGCGAAGCCAAGGAAGATGACGAGGAGTAAGAGTGGTTGTGGCGAGGATCGGTATAATCGCCATAAGCCAGAAGGTTATCGGCGTGGGTGAAATCGAGGTTGTACATGATGATTCTCGGTGCATACAGGCACGGATGCAGGCAATTTCGGACGAGGTAGGCTTTTAGTCGCACACACAACTAGTCGACGAAATGGCACGAGATAGGTCAGCAGCGATGTCTAGCTGACCGCCGCTCTTGTTACAAAAGGACAGCACGAGGGACCGTGGCATATAGGTATTAGCGAGGACGATGGTCCTGAAATGGCGGTGAGGCAGCATCGCTGGTAGCATGCGGGGCGGGGTCGAGCGACGCGCTAGCACTTTAGGTCATGCATGGACCAGATGGCTCCAGAGAAAGCGACGACCCGCAAGACTCCGTGTAGTGCGTGACATCCTGTCATCTCTGCATGCGATGTATCTGTTCCGCGCGATCTGAGAATTCTGACTTCTTCTTGTCGACTTCGAGAAATTTGCGGGCTGGGATCCCATCTGGTAGCTATGTTTCAGCCTCAGACAGGGAGAGAACCGTTGTCTACAACGTTGGCAGAACCCTGGAAGTCGGATGTTTAAGCTCGACGCTCAGGGAAGGCGCTTGGACGACCTTGCCAAGTCCGACAATGCAGAAAGGGAAGACCGACTCGCACACGAATCAAGTCCTCTCCACTCAACTCACCACTCTCGAGCCGCCGGGCACACCCAGCCTCTACTGCATCTTCCCGCATGCTTCGGCTCGCGGCTGAGAGTGCTCCTTCGATCAGCTTCATCCAGACCGGTCAAACGTGACCACAAAGGCTTGAAGTCTTGCTGCACCAAGTACGACTGACTTGCAATGTACAGTAGACTACTTCCTCGCTCGAGCGACCCACGTGAGTCCATTGACCATCATGCCTCTGTGTAACAACATTCCGTGGCTCCAGCGCTATCATGCCCTATTCACACGCAAGGCACTTGTAGCCGAGTCAGCCATTGGTCCTAGATAAACCCGAATGACACCAAAAATACGAAACCTCCACGAGCTGTGCACTGTTTTTGTTTCACTTCCTACTTTTTGCCTATGGACTGATCTCGGGTGCAACACTCTACAGCCCGCTTTTCAGATTGCCCATGTCCACATACGACCCTATCACCAAGTATTTCTCGAGGTAGAAGAACTCTGTGCACAGACAAATCTCGGTACTCTTGTCTCTTCAGTCTGCAAGACAGACGGCTCGGTCGATCTTTCATATGCAAGTTGCGTGTGCAGAAGGCTGGCCAGAGCTCATGCAGCCGGTCATTTTGACAGGGTCTCCATATTTCATCTCCGATCAAGTGCTGCACCCCATCGTCTACGCACGTACACATCTCGAACGGAGGCACAGGCTAGTATTCGACCGGATCACTTGGCCGTCAAAATCTTCTATCTGGTGGATAGGAGTCCATAATTCAACCCTTTTTGCCTGCTAGCACGTCTCGGCCAAATCCTATATCGACATTTTGGCCTGTCTTCCAGTCCACGTTCGGACGAGTCTTGACAAAAGACTCTCGATCCTGCCATCTCTTGAACCACTGTACTAGGCTTTGTCTTCCATCGCGCCATTCAATCCCAACAATGTCCAGAAAGGCTACACATGCTGCTACCGCACATTCAGCCGCTGACGCCGGTGCATCGTTAGCTGGCGGCTGAAGCGTACCACGACCAACTTCAAGTTCAAGTTGGTCAAGTCCCCGGATTATCTTCTCGTTTTGACCATCGATCCAGGCTTGATATGCGACGTTGTTCTCAGCACGGATCTTCTTCTCGTACAAGATGAGAACTTGCGCGTCCAACATGCCGTCGGCGCAACCGTGAAGAGTTCTCAATCGCCAATTGTGTCGTTTAGGGTCAGACCGCTTGTTCATCAAGGCTTCGTGTTCTAGAAAGTCGCAGATCACTTTCGAGTCATAAACGCCATCGCCGTTGTTGCCGAGGACCAGAGTCGGTAGTTTTGCCAGAGGGTTCGACTCGGCAACAGTGAGGACATCATCAGACCATCCCGGGTACTTGACTGGTGCAACGACAACAGTCTGAAGCTCAATTCGGTCTGCAGTGCCCAGTTCGAGAGCAAGCATGTACACCTTGCGTGAGTACGGAGATAGAGGATGGTAGAACAGCCGGTGAGGGCAATCTAGCGGTGGTTGAGCGTCCACCACGGTAACACCAGCTGGCAAATTTCTCCCCATTGCTTGAATACGAAAATTTCACCTAGGAAAGTGGACCAAAACGCCTTGAGCATTTCGAATGCAAACCTGGTTTGCTTTCAGCATTACAAGTTCGCCCACATCGCGGTGGTGCGAGGCCCAGTCTGTCGGGTAGACCTCAACCATCTCACCAATCTTTAGCCTGAGTGAGTCAGCGTAGCTCATGTCGTCTTGAAAAGCTCCAGCTGGTGCGGACGTGATCTTCTCGAAAACCTCTTTACCGCTCAGAGCTGGAGGTACGGAAGCCTTGACCTCGGCGTCCTGCAACGCTTTTCTGAAGAGATGAATCCAGGCATATGTTTTAGGAAACATCTTTTTGGAAAGAAAGTGTTCTGGGACTGCACCCTCCATCAGTGGGTTCGTCACGATCCACTGCGCGATGTAGACGGCATCGACATCTGCGATTGAGGGTACTGCACTGTCGAAAATCCAATCACGTCCATCTTCCAGGAGGTCCTCCAGCGTCTGAAACATGGCACGAATATAGTTGTACGATTCCGGCCTGTCTTTGATCATGTCCTCAATTCGGAAAGGTCTGCCCATTGCCTCGGATCTGTCGGCAAGGAATGCAGGGTTCTTGCCCAAAGCAGAACGCTCGTATGGTAAACAGCGCGTAGCATGCAAGAAGATTTGATCATGGTTCCAGTCTTGAAGCAATCTCTGGACAGCTTTTTGCGAAGCACTTAACGAGGCATTTGGAAGAGGGTATCTTTCTTGTAAGACTTGTAAGATCAATCTCGAATCACAATAGACATGGCGGCCGATGGCGAGCACTGGTATTCGACGATAAGAGATGCCCAGAGCTGCCAGGTCAGGTCGCGGCATTATCGGTGGTTGGATCTGTGAGCATCAGCATCTGATGTTGACTCTGGTCATAAACTTATAACTCACACATTCTGAGTACTTGATACCGGCCAACTTCAGGTACCTTGGTTGTGTCAGCAACTCTCTGAGAGGCAGGATATAATCTCAGCATACCACAATACCTTGTGCGAATAGATCGACTGGGCGTAATGGAAGAGTATGACCTCCTCGCCATTCTGAGTCATTATGGTGGCACTAGAAGACACTTTGTCATAGTGCAAGCGCTGGAATATACAATGAGAGATGCTGACTACCCTTCATCACTGACACGTCGTACATTCAAGGTTATGCCGGCTTATACATGATCGACAGTTGAACAATATCTCGGACTTGGCACATCCCGACGCATCGCTAATAAGCCACCAACAAGCACTCCACTAGTTCCCATCCAAGCATCTTCATATCACTCAATGCCCCACGGCCTGACCATCCATACCATTCTCGTATCCCCCACTTTCATGTTCAACATGTACATCCGGCCGAGGTCCTCCACCGCTTCCGCCAAGCCCCGCATCAGAAGCTAAAAAGATCGACATCACCTTACCGCGGCTCCACTCCGCTTGCTCCCATCTCTGCACGGTCTTCAGCAACTGTTCAATCCACTGACTTGCCGCTGCACGCGCACGATAACAAGACATCTGGTGATCCTGTTCGCACGGTGCACCTACCTCGGGAAACACGCCGGGCCTTTGACTGGTGGAGACTCTACATGCAGGGTATGAGGAAGCGACTTATTTAGGCAGGTGCCCAGGGGTAGACTCGGAGTATACTCAAGGGGAAGAATATGATTAATTGAGGTCTGGCGATTGCTGCAAGGTTTTCACTCAGAGGAAGGGATGGAAGACTGGTAACATGCGACCTTCGTCACTCGAGCTCCTTCTACACACGGAAATGGCTGATACCTATCGATATACTGAGCATATGTTGTGACGAGGCAGTCGAAATGCGTATTTAAGGCAGGCGCCTTAGTCATGAGAAGGTCTGTTTGAGACACTCTCATTGAGCATAACTCTCTCTCTCACACACAACTATGGTGCAATTCGGCAACTGTCTTTGATCCTGTGTAGCTAATACGAGAAGGCGCGGATTGAGCCAAGGTACCCGCGCTCATATCACAACGACCAGGCACATACACTGGTCTGATCTTTTGCATGGCCATCTACATCAGTTGCATCATATACAAAGCACCATCGCAAGGCACCATCACACCATAGCAAACAGTTCATGCGCGAAAGACAAAGAGAATCAATTGACATCTCTATATAGGGGTACGGCCTTGGGCCCACTTGCAGCGACGCAGGACCATCTGATCTATAAGTATGTCAGTCCACGAAGTCACCATAAACAGCAGGGGTATACTGACCTACTGCTTTGCTACTCTATACAAAAGGTATGGCTCAGTGGCCAGTGACCTTGCAGCACTTCAAAGCTACCTGGCCCTGCTCGATCATCAGTACTGGAGTTGTTCAAAGCCGCTTGTAGAGTCACTGACTTAGTGCTCGCGCACACAGGGCGCAGGCGCACCCACGATGGGAGCGCGAAGGGGACCTCCTCCCTGCGTCGCCTCGTGATGGAAGTCCTCAGGACCTCCCTGTACATGTCGCTTGTCAGTAAATCCTCCAGAGAGACACACGAAACGGAGATCTTACAACATCGAGGAGACGAGGGGGGGCCTCGTTGTCTTCGTCGTCGCCGAAGCGAGAGCAGGAGAGGAAGGAGCGGAGTCTCACCAGGAGATTTCTGATTGATGGCATGGTTTTTTGCCGTTGTGTTTGAAAAGAAGAGGGTACTAGAGGTGAGTGATAAGGGTGGTAAGTCGTCTTGCGGATTCTGCTTCCGGCCTGTGCTTGGATGAGTCGTCCTCTCGGCGGTCTATACCTCGTTCGATCGCGAACCGTGACTTGCGGCACGTCCCAGAAGTGAGAGACGACATCGGAGAACGGCCGCAAGAGTCGGCCGAGCGACTTGTCAGGTATCGCACCAGTTCCCCTCTGCGTGTTTGCTCGCGAGCTGTAGCTTGCGCCTGTTGCGCTCACCTGCATACACTCAAGGCTGCTGAACATGACATATCGAAGTATGAAGGCGACTACTTGGATGCTCGTAGTCTAGCCTCGAGTGTTATTCTGTTCAAGCCCTCCCCCGCTTCTCATCTATCACCACAGCTCGACCAGCTGCTGTAAAAAGGCACAGTACAATTGGCAACGGAACCCGCGGACGATGAGAGACAAGCTTCAATGGAGAACGAGAACGCTGATGCACAATCATTTACTGCTCAATCGAACTACGTATCAGGGAAACGACAAAAGCCACCGCTGATGCCCTGCCAGCAAGGCATCTACCACGGAATACCCGAAGGCGCCACATCCCAGGCAGTGGTATCCACACCCCAAGTCTTGGCCACTGCCTTTTTTCTATCATACAGAGCATCTCCATCAACAGTAACTTCCAACAACCTCTTGGTATCGATATCAAGCAACAATGCAGTCATCTCAAACGCCAAACTGGACTGCAGCTGACGAACTTTCGGGTGAAGCACTTCACTCACCATCTGGTGGCGTTATGAAGACGATGCGGCTTTGAGGACATTGATGCCGTAGATGAGGGCAGTGATGGCTGCTTTCTTCTCTGACTCGGACACTTCCTCATTCTCGTGCTTGCTGAGGACGATGTTTTTATCGGCGGCGCGATCGGCGATCATTTGATCGTAGTCCTCACGACTGAGCATGCTGGAGTTGAAGTCTATGACCTCGGCGAGAAGCTCCTCCCCAGGCTCGTCGGTCGATGAGATATCTTTCTGTTCGGCGAGCTTGGCCTTCCAGTACTGCACACGGTCGCTCATGAAAGCGACTGCTTTGTTCTGAGCAGCCAAGCGCAGCTCTTGAAGCTCGACTCTGGAAGTACTGTTCTCCTGGGAGGTAGGTTACTGCGCCATGACGCGTTTCTGCTCAGTTGTCTTTTGAGCAGATATCTTGGCAGGCTCAACATGATTGGCATCGTCGTCTAAATGACTGGACTTGTTGAAAGATGGAGCCACGAGTGACACCGGACACCTTGAGCTCAGGTATATGCTTGCTCCCGTCGATCTTGTTATCCGTAACGCTCATGCTGTTGATCACGAGGCTGCTGCTGCCGCCTGACTTCGTTTCGAGAGCATTATGGTACCCTGTGTCGAGTTGCAGTCATACGATCGTGCATGTCGAGGCAGCGGTCTTGACTGCCGTCAGAGTGTGCAGTGTCGGTTAGATGATCAGACATGCGGTTTTCAGATCCACTGCTCGAAGTAACTCCCTGGTCGTGTTCAGAGCTATCAGACATGTCAATGTTTGCTCAGAAACACCTTGGAGCAAACCCACCTCTCATCTTTGAACCATGGCTTGGACTTTGCAAATCTAGCATATTCCTCTTTGGAAAGAGCACAGCCAGGTGATTTACCGCATTCAACGACGAACTTGTCCCAAGCAATCTGGAAGGCCTTGCGCATATCTGATGTGAGATCGTTGTGCGTCGCATCCACACCGCCCGGAATGTCATTTTTTGTTGAAGTCGACATTCTGAACGATTTCTGTCTGCTTGATGATAGTTCGTGTATGAGAATTACTCTCTCGAAGAAAAATGGTTGAGATCGTTGATGTCGCAGCTGAGTGTTGGCTTTGCACACAGTCAAGACAATTTGCATGGACGGATAACCGACACACCAACACCAGGATTTATCCGCTGTTCGGAAGTGACAGAAGCGCACAGATTTCCCGGTCATTTCAGTCTCACAAATGTCTCTGATAGAGTAGCTGCTGATATTCAAGAGATGTGACTGACCCTAAAGAACATCAGAACATCCACACTTTTACTCCTCCAAACTCCTCTTGAAATTCTCCACCGCATCCCTGAATTTCTCATCTCTCTTGAAGCCCAGCTTCATAGCCTTGCTGACATCAAACCTGATAGGCCAAGAATCCAACATATCCTTGATCTCCTTGGTCGGCTCCTCCCTCGTCACCAACTCTACCGCTCCTTTCCCTCCCACATCCTCCAACGCCTCCAGCATCTCTTTGACACTCGCTGTGATACCAGGTAAATTGACCTGTCTAACATGACTAGGTAGACAATCTTTTTCCAATGTAAGCACATGCTTGAGATTCTCCACCAAGATCCTCGGTGAACACAACCAAGCCTCAAAGTCATCAGGACAAGGCAAAGTAGAAGGAAGACCTTGCAAGGGCTCTCTGAAAATGCCACTCATCCATGAAGAAGCAGCTTGAGTGGGTTTACCAGGCCTTACACTGATAGTCGGAAATCTGAGGGAAAAGCCATTAATGTAGCCTCTGCGTGTAAAGTCATTGATGGCATATTCAATCATTGTTTTTTGTGTTCCATAGCTACTCGACGGTGTTGGCAAGGTAGCCTCGCTCGGCCATTCCGGCAATGGGTTCCCATAAATAGCAGTACTAGACGCATAGACAACCTTGACACCCGGCGCCTTCTGCCTCAGTGTCTCCAGAAGATTCAAGGTCGAGTGCAAATTTACACGGTATCCGAGGTCAAAGTCTGCTTCTGAGCCTGCAGACATGATGCCGTGGAAAATGAAAATTGCGTCCAAAGAAGAAGGAATCACAGAGGCAGAATCACTGTACAAGTCGGCTTTTATACATGTTGCGTTTGGAGACTTGGAAGATGCCTTTGCGGGAATAGGAGGCTCGAAGATGTCGATCAGGAGGACTTGATGGTCGGCGAGGAGGAGATGTTCGGCGAGGAGTTGGCCTACAAAGCCTCCAGCTCCGGTAATGGCAATCTTCATTGTTGTGTCTGGTGATGAGTTTTGATGTTGTGGTGGGCTTGTCTCCCAAATGCCGGTAATGTATGAGCAAGGTTGTGGTGGAGATGTGTCGTGTTGTGAAGTCATTTCAACGATGCAGAGGGATAGTGGTTATATATGAGGCTCTCCCTCTTTGCATTTCGTAACATCCCCGGTTATGGTCGCTCTCCATTTAAAGGCGGGGTGGTGGGGCACAAGGAACATCGGCAAGAAGACCGAGAGTACGGCGGAACAATTCATCGCGAGAGACGGTCAAATGCCGATGACCAACGATAAACATTCCGCCGAAATCCTCCACACATCAATCCTCGCAACCCTGCAGGATGTTCAGGAGAAACTCTGACGTTCTGAAAAGGGTATGATTATTTCATAAAGTAGTCGCTAACAAGCTAAATGTGGAAACTGGTTCCAAGCAACATGTTCTCCCGTCGTTATTCAAGTCGCATAGATTCACGGTAGAATGGTAGGATTTACTTCTTGTACTTGTTGTGAATGTCGATGACCTTTTGCACCTCCTCGTACGAGCCCATGAAGATGCCGGACTTGTCGTGAATAGACTCGGGGATGATTTCGATCATACGGTCCATCTTGCTGTTAACTGCTTGACCGCCGGCTGTGGAATTGTGTTAGCATATGCCCAGTGATAGGATGATGTTGATGTTGCGTACCTTGTTCGAAGACCATGGCCATGGGAGCACACTCATACAGAATACGCAGCTTGCCCTTGGGAGACTTCTTATCCGCCGGGTAGGCAAAGATACCACCGTACAGAAGAGTTCTGTAGGCATCGGCAACCATGCTACCAATATATCTCGCACTGTAGGGCTTGCCACCCTCCTTCTCTGGCTTCTTGAGGGTATCGCACCACTCCTTGACGGGGTCTTCCCACCAGTACGAGTTACCCTCGTTGACTGAGTAGATTGAACGCTTACGGGGCATCTTCATATCGGGGTGGGTCAGGATGAATTCACCAAGGGCACTATCCATGGTGAAACCGTTGACCGGGCCATCCTTCATGGTCATGACGAGCTGTGCAGAGGCACCGTACATGGTGAAGCCGGCAGCAACCATGTCGGTACCAGGACGCAGAAGGTCCTCCTTTGTGCCCTTGGCGCCCTCGGCGAGCTTGTAGATACCGAAGATAGTGCCGACCGAAACACCGGCATCCAAGTTGGACGAACCGTCGATGGGGTCGCAGGCAACGGCATAGCGGGCTGTTGGGTGCTCGTCAAAGACAATGGGCTCATCCTCTTCCTCGGAAACCAAAATGCGCACGCGACCTGATGATCTCATGGCCGAGATGAAAATGTCGTTTCCGATAACATCGAGCTTCTTCTGGTCATCGCCGGTCGAGTTGGCCGAGCCAGCAAGACCCGAGAGGTTGATCAGCGAGGCACGGCGAATGTAGTAGGCGATTGACTTGAAGGCGAACTGGAGGGAGTGGCAGAGAAGGCTGTACAAGCAGTCAGTATGGAAACATGGCACAGCCGAGTCGACCAACATACGTGAAGTCACCGGTTGCCTCCTTGTGTTTTGTCTGCTCCTCTGTGAGGAATCTGGTAAGAGTGATGATCTCGGTGTTGATGGCTTCCGAGCCACCGGGGCCGGAGTGAGACTCGTTGTTCGAAGACATTGCTGAATCTGACTAAGGACTCTGTCGCGAGGATGCGAGAAGGTGGCTTCGAGGGGGATTACGAAGCTATGGCGGGGTGATGAGGGGTATCAATGGATGGTGGGACACAAAGAGTAAAGTAGCGAGGAGGAGGAGGAGGAGGAGAAGGAGAGAAGATTGAGACGGCGGCAATGACAAGCTAAAATGGAGTCTGACTGCTGCAGACTAGGTACCAAGCACTCGAGGATGAAGTGGGTAACGTCACAAGAGAAGTTGTTGGTCGGTGTTGCGGAGCTCAAAACGTCAGATGTGGAGAAGCAACAAGGGCGATCCTGCGGTTGACTCGGTCGCGATTTTCCAGTTTGTCTCTCTTTCCAATTGCTTGCTGTTGATAACATCTGGGCGCGGTAGTAAGACCCTGTCTATTTGTATGTCCTCCATTGCCGAGGTCAGACCCTCGGCGTAAGTGAAGATAACTCACGCGGACAAAATGTCGCTCATCGGGTCTGAGACGCGGTTGATGAGGGGCAGTCAAACAAGCCTGGGGATGTGTATTTCTCCGCGAAGCCTCCGACTTTGCCCGCATCATAGCTGCTCAATCCGCACCCAACTGAACGATCCCGATTCTTTGCCCGGGTAAAACCTCCATGCCATCTCCAAAGGAACGTCGGGTATGAACAATCGTCAACATGACATGTGAAAGGCGGCTAAAGCTCCTTACATATCATATCCAATTCTCCACGACTTCGCAATTCTGCACATCTCAATCTGAAAGACGATCAAGGTCAGAGTTGTGTAAACAATACGGGTCATCTTCTACCGAAGATATCAACCGGGTGAATTCATGAATATATACATCTTTGTTGGAGGACTACTCTCCTCTATGCTTTTCGTCTATGGGTCTATGGGCATTGAAACGTTACTGGGTGTTGAGGGAAGGCGCAAGGGCACTTGCCATTCTACAGCAAGATTGCGGCTCCGATCCAAGCACCTACTGCGGCCAAGGCGCCGGCGCGTGGAACAGCAGTGTTCATAACACCAGCACCTGTGCTCGAGGCCGATGCGCTCGAAGGTTCTACTAATGAGTTAGATGGGGCGCTTGAGGTAGATGAAGCGCGCGAGGCGGGTGAGGTGGAAGGAATGGGGGAGCCAGATGAGCCTGACGAGCCAGATGAGATCCTGGCAGATGTGCTGGTCCTGACCGACACACTGTACTCGGTTGACATACTGAACTCGGCTGACGCACTAGACTCGGCCGATGCACTCGTCGTAGAAGACGGCGTGGCTAAAAGAGATGTGCTGATTTCGGAGGACGTACTGGTTGTAGAGGATGTACCCGCCATGGTACCTGTGCTGCCCACGGCGGATGTGCTGGAGATGCCAGACACACTTGGTGGCCCAACACTGACTGTGGGTTCAAGTGTGCTCGTAGTGGTGGCTGGCTCGATTGCGACGTCGCCCTGGATCTGCAATCCTGGTGCTTGATCGATCAGAAGAGCCTGGGTGACTTCTAGGGCTGAGAGCTCCTGTCCGATGCCATACTTTCCATCGAACCCTGTGTACCATTTCTGGCCGCAAGTGACGCCATCACTGGGTCCTGAACAGGCATCTGCAGCTCTTTGAGCAGAAGTAGTCAGGAGAGGTTGAATGGCTGTTCTGGTGTAAGGAGCGACGACCATTGCTTTCGCAAGGAAGCGAGCCATGTAAGCTTTGAATGAAAACTGATCGGTGTTGCATGTGCTGTACGGTTCACAGGCTGCCTCGACCATGACATTGGATGCATTGTCAAAGGTTTGGAAGAATGACTGGTCGGCTTGCTCGATCAGTCCGGTCAGACGGGTCTCCCAGGTGGAACTGCCGTTGGTGTAGTTGTACAGCATTGCAGTGCCGTAGATGAAGATTCCCGGGTTGTAGGTCCACTGAAGCTGGTCTACGGTTTGGCAGTTGTTGGTTGCATCGGCACCATCATAGACACGGTAGCTGTCGTCAATCAGCCCGGTCGCAACAGTCCAATCCCAGATACGCTCGGCCCAATCGTAGTATGTGCTGTTGCCGGTGTAGCGTGCAAGACGAGCGGCCATCTGGAAGAAGCCTCCGTTCGAGACCGAGTTTTTGTAGTTCCAGCCAGCGTTGGACTGGAAGACCTGCCATCTCAATCCACCGTTACATGTTGTAGTGTCCCAGCGTGGGGCCATTGAGTCAAAGGCGTTCACAGCGAGGGTCTCCCAAGACAGTGAGCCCTCCGACGGGGCAGGGAACCCATACTCGAGGGCTGAGAGGGCGGCGAAGGCCCAGAAGGCTTGATCATCGTTTCCCTTCAGTTGGAGTCAGTACGCGTGCTCGGGCTTGACGGACAAGAGTTGGACATACCATGCTGCTGTAGTAGGCCTCGGGCAGGTAGTTGTTCTCTGTGCCCTTCTGAGCCATCATGGCTTGCATGACAACATTGTTGAAGCTTGCGTCTTTCGTGTAAGCCCAGTAGTCAATGAGACCACCCCAGACAGCTCCAGCCTCCCACCAGTACAATGGATACGGCAGTGTTCCGATTGAAGCTGCTGGTGTATCTGTCTTGTTGTTCTCGTAGTAGCTCATAAGCCCATGTGCGAGTGTTGATGCTGCGGTACGAATAGAGTCTGGTGATGAGACGTCGAGGTTGAGTGCGTATCCAAGTTGAGCGCATGCCGCCAGGGCTGCGAGGGATTGTGAAGGCTTCATGGAAGCTGACTATGAGTATTTATTATATGATATGCAAGTACTAGAAGCTCCGCGATGCTCCAATGCCAAATGCAAGATACCAAAAGCTGTGCTGTAAGTCGAGGCAGCTCAGTCCAAGTGCCATGGTGTTAGTCTTGTATGCTGACTCCATCGTGAAGAAGGAAAGCGCGGATGTCTCAAAATTGTCAACCAAGTGTTGAATATTCTTGGTCCAATAACGCCTATCGTCTTGGATAGGCGCAATTTGGGTAACCGTTGGCGCCTGCCTACCAGATATAGCTACAATGCACACGCCTCTTCGTATTGGTCCGCGGCGGAAACGAGCTGGAAAGCTAGACAGAGGTCAGCTGCAGTCCTCAGCCTGCTACATCCAAGGCATCGAGTAAAGTAATATCGCAAGCTTGACATGCTTCTTGCTTTGGATGCGCCATGGGATGGGAAGGAAGCATGATCGGCAGCTCTGCTCTGGCAACTCAATTTTCTTGATTTGCACTGGGCCGTGAAGCGTTTGAATCCTTCGCGCCAACCGTGTTGAACGGCTAACGTCCATCGCCGCATCGCCAGCCTCGTACGTCCTTCTCGTGAACCAGATCATGCCTTGTATGCAGATGAAAGAGAATACAATCGCTTTCGAGTCGAGCGGACTGATTCTTCTAGAAGTGGCTACCTGTGTTGCAGATTTGTACCGAGAGTGACATCGTCTATAAAGAGTTCCGATTTGTCACAGCTTCATCGCGTTGGCTTGAGAAGGCTGGAGTGCAAGTCACAGCACATCAAGATGGTTGACGCGAAGAGGTCGGTATTCCACTTTTCCTGGCAGCGATATTCAACGTACTCTCACTACGTATGCAAATGCCCTTGCTCACCAGCGATCCAGTATTACAACGTCGCGGCACAGGATCATCATCTCAATCAAGTGTCGCAGATGAACGCGTCTTGAGTCTTGACGCGCGATGAGTCCGCGGACTGATCCCATTGTCTCGAGTCTCAAGCATCAAGTCTGGGCCTTCTATGCACGATTGCAACGGTCGAGAAGTGATGTGTCTTCCATGATGTGTCTTCCATGATGTGTCTTCCATGATGTGTCTTTCATGATGCGTGCGCGCGTGGAACTACAAAAGTTATCGCGGCCAAGTGCTTTGGTAATGGGTACCACCCTGACCACAGTCTTCCATCACTGAATTCTGTCACATAATAGAGCGGCTGGAGTCATGTGGCATATTGATCAGCGGAGATTGTATATAGATATAGGTTCAATAGTCTAAACACCACCTTCAAGCTCTCGTGAGCGCGGTTTCGTCGTTTGGCTTGAATACAGGTTCTCGTACCCATATCTTCACGGGCTTGTGCTCTACAACGCTGCGTGTGCATGATGATTCAAGTCAATGTTCAATCAACACACCGTCTCAAGATGATGCAATTGCACTAGACTTACGTTGTAGTTCATAATTTTCTGTGCAATTGTACAATCATCTCTGTTGGATACTCTCCGAGTAAAGTCGCTCTTCTGAAGACTCTTACCAAGTGCAAGACGTTAATAACGAACATATCACCCACGATCACGTGCCATCTAGGTAACGGTGGAAGAAGTTATGAAGCAGATTGTAAAGTCGCACTGTGCGACCAGAGCATAGGTACTGATCGAATCGAAGTTTGTAAAACGAGACTGAGCTCGTGCTATGCAACTGCTGAATCAAAGTTGCCTAAACTGTAGGCCATCCATTGACCCACTTGATTTTGTTGACACCAAGACGCTTGTCGCCATCAGCGTAACCGATGTTGGTATCAACATAGTGGTAGTAAAGGACCCAACCAAGCTGAGGATCGTTGTACACACCCTGTCCACCTGGAGCATAGATGTTGCCATGCGAAGGCAGTACAACAGTACCGCCACCATTGGTACAGCTCTTACCACTCTGGTCGACAAACCCGCCAGTAGCTGAGTTGGATCTGCAGACCATAATCTTGTACTCATCACCAGGGGCAGGGCGGTTCTTGTCGAGGTTGCAGCAGCTGCCAGCACTAAAGAACAAGTAGTAGCCACCGTTGTAGTTGATCATGTATGCTGCTTCGACGGCGTGTGTACCACTGGGCTGGAAGATGGTGTTGTAACTGGGTCCAGCGTTCGAGTTGACAGTGTTGGGAGTGGTGTTCATCTCCACTTGGTAGAGATCGTGCCAGAAGGAGCCGAAGTTCATGAGGTATTGGTTTCCAACCTTGATGAGGTTGGCATCGATGGCGTTGTATGATTTGGAGCTATCCGAGGAGATACCGGCTGGATGTTGTCAGCTTGCCATTTGTATGTAATATCGACCAGAGACTTACTGGAGCCTTTGTCGGACCAGCTGCCGACATCCATGGAAGAAGAAGTTGCAAGACCGATGACAGAGTTTTGAGTGCCGAATGCGCTGGCAGTGTAGTAGAGATAGTAGGTGTTGCCGACCAAGGTCACGTCAGGAGCCCAAAGGTCGGTCTTGCCAGAGTTGGCTACGTTGGCACCATTAGGCAGGACTTGACCTTTGTAGACCCAAGGGCCCTGAATGCTGGAAGCAGTGTGGATAGCAATACCACCTCCAGTCGAGAAACGGAAGTATGTTCCATCAGCGGTACGGCGAACAATCGAAGGATCGTGAGCGTTGGTACATGTACCACTGCAAGCAAGAGGGTTCGAATAAGCCAAGACTGTGGCGGCCAGCGACACAACACCTGACAGAATGGTAAAAAGCTTCATATCGAAGGAGAACAGAACAGAACAGAACAAGTGAAGAAGCGGACAGGAGCGGGTGAGATGAGGCCTGATCCTTGTCACCTCGACATGGGAGACTCACCTTTATGTGTTTCTACGCTCGTCTTCGGTCCCCACTGCCATCAAGGAATCATCGTCAACAAAGGCTGATGTGACCGAGCACTGGCTGAAACGCTGCATAGTGTCGAGTATATTACCCTGATGATATTCTCCGAGGTAGCGAACAAGCATCATGCACGGTGTTTGCGTGGCAGCCAGTGCGGGTCTAATGAGGGTCTAGGGTGGCATCCTACAACGTGCCAAGGGTAGTGGTCGAACACCTCCGTTCAGTTCGGATCCGTACTGGCGCGTGTACCCCGGACATGCCTTGCAGATTCGCAGTCGTGTTACAGATGTGGGAGCTGCCGGGATCAAGCCTTCTCGCCCTACCTCTGGCAGTATACATAGTACTTTGAGAGCTCCCAAAATTCAAGTGTATGTCGACCTACCTCTTGACGACCCTGCCTACAGTGACAGCGATGCAATCTTTCAAAGGATGATACTTTCACTGTTGATGCAAGGTACCCGAGGCATGTCTTCGCGATTGGTGCGTTATCTTGATAACTGCTAAAGGCTCGGGCCTTTGACACGATTTTGACTTCGATATGCCGATCCAGGAGGGCGACTGAGAGTTCAGTTACGCGAAGACGGTTTGTTCTAACAATTCGAGGTCGTTACCAAGGACATCCATGACTCGAGAAGACTTGGGGCGATATCATAACGTGGGACGTCCAGGGCAAGATCCAAAGCTGTGTATCGCAAGGTCCTGGTCTAAGATTTGACTGACAAAATCTGGTAGGCGAGGATCTCTAGTCGGCAGAGGGCAAGGTCTGCGACGCATGCTGAGGGATGCCGCGGCTCCTGGCAGCTTTTCGGCTGAAACATTTGCGGGGGTGTTCTGCTGTAGCTTACGCTTGGCGGATGTGGAATAGGCTCTACTTATAGGACCGACGCATCTACTTGAGAAATAGTGTCCCTTAGTAGGTTGCTTGGTATGGTGGCTGGTTTCGAATGATGCCTTGTTCCACTCGCGTCCGGGGGATTGTTGAAGTGGGCATGCAGTGTTGACAGTCAAGTTGGTCATCCAGATCTACTCTACTTCACAATGGCTGTCAAGGAATTCTTGGCCTAATAAGATTTTGAAGCTGCTCATGGCCTGGGATTGAGTCGCACCTTCCAGAAAGAGAGCAGCTGTAGCTTGGAAGTTGAGATGGAGCCACAAATTATGCTTCAATTATCCACATATCGTCGCAGCTGTAGCAGCTCTACGTGCGTACCCTGTCGAGGAGTCGCTTGTGTGAGATCCACTTCACAGGATCACTCCTGTCTAGTTGCGAGCCGCTATGGTGCGAGTAACGCCGACGGGTGAATATCTCATGAGACATATCCCATCTGGGATCTTTCCCCGAAGCCGTTAAAGAGGAAGGTGGGATCGAGTGGAGGGTAGTGTTCGTTTGCGAACATCCTTAGTCTGTATCGCTGTTGGCAACAATGCCGAAAGCCATGAACTCAGCTGTCAACCCGAAGGCTTCAGCGTGCGCCCATGACATTCTGGCCAATAGTCTTGACTACAACAGTCTTCCAACGTCGAAGGATCGCGACGGGAAGACAAGCTTACAAGGAGCAACCTCCTTGGTTTCCACAACGCTCAATAATTTTGCGCCATCTTTCAGCAGACAGCGCAGTTGGGCTACAGTGTGTCAAGCGTGTCGCTCTAGAAACACTTGGTGAGCCAAGGCAAGGCGTCATGAACTGCTTGACGCATCCAATTAGCACGACCCTCCTCCAGACAGAGCACCATTTTGTCAGGCGACCGAATGTTCACCACGTTACGCTAGCAAGGAGAACGAGATAGCATTGGCCCAAGGATCGTCGTCTCTTCCTGTTTCTCACTTTGTTACCTGTTCGTACCTTTACAGGCAAATGCTCACCTGCAATCATTGCCTTCTCCATATGGCGCAGTCTGTATGCAGAGTGTCTCTCATCTCAAGCTGTCTCGAGCTTGTGTGAGCTGCCATCTTCTAAAGCGAAAACGAGGCAGCAATATGTCTCAATCCCAGCTCCTGATGCCCTCTCACATGCTCCGCATCCTCGGTCAAGCCTCTTCCACCGTTGCATACATGATTCGGTCACCCCGACCCTGAGATCTAACCGCAAACGACCCGGTTGGCGTCCGCCGAGCTCCTCCGCAACGGTCCATTGGGTGACAGGCGTCAACGCCCCAGACACTGGACTACTACTTCTACTGGGTAGGATTGAGCGACTAATACTGATCTGGATAGCACATCCCTGGCTTCCTAGATTCGAATCCCTATTCAGAGAATGATCTTGCATATCCTCTTAAGCTCCAGGTACGATATTCTCCACAGTTGACACTTGGCAAACGACTACGCTCCTTTTGATCACCTTAGAATGTTCTTAATCGATCATGGAAGCGCTGGCTCTTCGTACAACGTGCACTATCCCTTTGGAATCCAAATTGTCGTTGCTTCTCTGCAATGTATTTTGTGATATCCAAGTCTTGACCATAGGTGTTATCAGCGCGAGCCTACCACCGGTGCCTGGTCATTGTCACGACACTCTTGCGCAACGCTGCTGCAAGCCTTATTGCCCTGACGCTCCCAACCGTCGTTTTACCCCAAGCACACCATTCAGCAGCTCTTGACCGTTGAGGGGGACCGAACGGGCTGAATCACCACTGGACGCTGAGGAGACTCCAGTATATCGTCTTTGTTCAGCCTTACGATAGGGAATGGCAACTGCCTGAACGTCGAGTGCTCCTTCGGGATCTGATTGGACCCAAACCAGCAAGGTCGTCGAACAGATGTACCGTAGTCGGCATGTACGACTTCCAGGCCTCGGTCGAGACCCTATGGGTCTGTGGAATATTGGCATGATCATCGTCATGCCATTAGACGATCCAGACATTCGGTACATACAAGCACTACTGCTTCCAACACCCGGATTGATAGTCCCATTTACCGCCGGGCTTGATACTCAACGGTAAAATCACTGTTTCATTTGGTGTATCCACTTCTCAATATTCAGAACGTTGCTAGATTGACACAGAGTCCAGACTCACTTGAAGGACAACATCCAGGGTATACCATCTGCAGCAGAAGATGTTTCGTATAATTCTCGTCGACTATAAGACGCAGTGTGACGCCTGCCTTTGATATCATCATCCACCCCGACAACCTCTCAGGATCAACACAAACGACCCTATTCGACATCCTGCGCCTTAATCTTCCCTAATACTTACTATCCTAATCACAACCTCTAATTCCTTCCTTAATCACAATCTCTCCCCCTTAATTCATCTGTCACCATGGCCCGTCAAGTTGCCATTCTGAGCCTTCTTGCCCCTGCTCTCATCCTCGCAGCCCCCTTGAACTCCAAGGACAAGAGAGATGACATCGTCGATCTCGCCGCCAGAGGCGATACACTCGGAGCCTCTCCTGTCGATATCATGGATCACCTTCTCTTCGACAAGCGTGAGCCTCTTACTATCGGTGTCGGAATCTCAGCCTCGGTCGGTATTTCTGCTTCCAGACAAGCCACTCCGACCAACAAGACATCTTCGAAGAAGTCAACATCCACATCGAGATCAAGCATCAAAAAGTCCTCTTCGAGCAAGATCACTGCTCATTCGACTTTCAGTGTCTCTAAAGGGTCGTCATCCAAGAAGATCTCTAGCAGTACCAAACTATCCAGCAGCTCGGCCAAGGCTTCCACTATTCCTAAGCCTGCTTCTAGCAAGAAGCTCACCTCTTCGAGCATCAAGAAGTTGACCAGCTCAGCTAAGACCGCTTCTTCATCTCCGATCACCACCAAGAAGTCGACTGTCACAGTCAATCCTGTTGCCTCAAGCAAGAAGACTTCCTCCTCATCAGCCAAGAAATCTACCTCTAGTAGCAAGAAGCCAACCTCTTCATCTTCCTCTAGCAAGAAGCCAGCTTCTTCATCTTCTTCTAGCAAGAAGCCCGTCTCGATCTCTTCTAGCAAGAAACCCGTCATTGTCTCGAGCAGCAGAAAACTCAGCTCGTCTTCGTCAAGCAAGAAGCCAAGCTCCGCAGCTAGCAAGCCCGTTGCAAGCAGTTCGAAGGCCTCAATCAGATCCAGCAGCTCCTCCAAACTTCCTTCGGCCACCCCGAAGAGCTCGAACAAGCCAAGTAGCTCCGTCAAGCCTACTGCCAGCAGTTCTAAAGCTTCTGTAAAGCCAAGTAGCTCCGTCAAGCCCGCCAGCAGCTCCGTCAAGCCCGCCAGCAGCTCCGTCAAACCTGTCAGCTCCGCCAAGCCATCCAGCAGCTCAATCAAATCTGCCAGCTCTGTGAAGCCTGCAAGCAGTTCTATCACTCGTGGTGTCAGCTCCGCTTCTTCTGCCACTAGCGGTGTCAAGCAGGGATCTACCTCGATCAAGAATGGTCAGACTTCTGCTTTTAGTTCAGTCTTACTATCAGGCACAACCAAGTCCAGTAGCTCCACCGCAAAGGCTGCGTCATCTTCTGCTGGCTCCCAGATTACGGTGATCACCAGCAATGGTCAGACTGTCACTATTTCGGTCAAGCCTACTCCTTCGAGCACGAGCCTGCCTGGCGTGACCGTGAGTGGAGGAGTCACACTCTCCATTCCACCACAATCAGGAGTCTCCTCTGCCTACTCGTCAGTCATCAGCCGTGCATCAAGCGTGGTATCCTCCGTTGTTTCTCGGGCGAGCTCTTTGGCTTCGCAAGCTGCGTCTTCGGTCGCCGGCGCTGCTTCTACTGTCAAGTCTCAAGCATCATCTGGCATTTCTCAGGCCAGCTCTGTAGTCTCCAGTGATGCCTCGAGCATCAGTTCCCGCGGATCATCAGCTGTCTCGAAGGCAACTTCAGTCGTCAGCAGCGACATCTCGAGTGTCAGCTCGCGTGTATCCTCTGCAGTCTCGGGCGTCAGCTCACAGGCATCTTCGGCCATCTCGAAGGCGACCTCAGCCGTCAGCAGCGACGTCTCGAGTGTCAGCTC